TTTTACTCTTTTCTTTTCTGTTGAATTAACTTTTTTTTTAAGGACGAATACCCATTTGTTAGTATTAGTTGGTATCCTTTAAATGAAGAACAAGAAACTACCTCCCAGTCCATATACCATGTTACGTCAATCAGCAAAAACAACTAAACCTGTCAATCCTTGGGGTCGTATCGTATTGGCCGTTATTGGTATTCTCTTTGCCATGGTAGCAGTCTTTGTCCCTGAACAATCTTGGTTATCAGTAATTGAAACTTTACTCAATAGTCATTCTGGTAAGTTAATAAAAAGATATAATAATAATAATAATAATAATAATATATATATCTTCTTTATCTTACACCTCAAAAAAAAAAAAAAACTCTTTTTAGACGATTGTTTTAGATATGCATTGATGATAGACGCTGGTTCCACTGGTTCCCGTATTCATGTTTATCAATTCCACCAATGTCAAGGAAGCACTGAACCTTTAAAGTTCCATGATGAAATTCTCTTCAAACAAAACTATCCCTGGACCTCTCTGCCTATTCTCCTGTTGAAGCGGCTCAATCTCTAGACTCACTCTTGGATGCTGCCATGGACTCATGTCCCACAGCCAACATAAAAACCACTCCTATCTCTGTCAAGGCAACAGCAGGTTTACGTTCTTGGGCAATGAACAAAGTGAAGCTATTCTAGATGCGGTATATGAACGTTTGGTAACCAAGTTATCCATTTGTGATTGTGGGTGGACGAAAGGAAGGTGTGACCATTATGGAAGGCCGAGATGAAGGTGTGTACGCATGGATCACTGTCAATTCTTTACTTGGACGTTTGGGTACCAATAATACAGCAGCTATCTTTGATCTTGGTGGTGGGGTCAACACAAATTGTATTTGAACCGGAAAAATGGAATTAGAGAATCATTAGACAACTTACCAGCACTTGATCACAAATACGAACTCCAACATGATGGTCATCATCATATACTTTATCAACACTCTTATTTGGGCTATGGTTTGATGGAAGCAAGGAAATTGGTGCATCAACATGTATTCTCATCATTGGATGGACAGGCGATTGATCTTAAACATCCTTGTCTTCCTGCTGGCTTAGCATGGGCGTATCAACTTGGTGGCGATCAACAATCATTTACAGGGGGCTGCTATACCAGAAGAATGTAGGGCAGTGATTGATCATGTACTGGATAAAAATGCAATGTGCGAAACAGCACCTTGCTCTTTCAATGGTGTCCATCAACCTACTATCAGTGATTCATTTCACACAAGGTCCTATCTATGTTTTCTCTACTTTTTTGATCGAACTCAACCTCTTGGTTTACCTGCTCAATTCAAACTTCCCGAACTGGCGGCACTTGACAGAAAAGTATGCTCTGGCGCTTATTTGCAATCTATCACTGATGATGATCTACGTGGTGAATTGTTGGATCGACACTGAATGGTGTTTAGATTTGACTTATATCTATCGTCTTTTGTCATTTGGCTATGAAATCCCTGATCATCGTGTCATCAATGTGGCCAAGAAAATCGATGGTGTGGAAACTGGTTGGTGTTTGGGCGCTGCCATTGCCTTGTTGGATGATTTTGTCTCTTCTTAGTTTAGCTTGGTAATAGACCTTGTATATATATATTTATATTTTTTTTTTTATGATGATGATGATAAAAAATAAACGGTCTCTTTATTTTAAATAATTACTATGTGGAACTTTTTTTAGACAGATAATGAGTTTGATTGGGCCAAGATATGAAGACAAAATGAGGTACTTAATGTTTTTCATTTTTTCTAAGGGGTCGATCATAAAACATAATAATAAACTATGACTTTATTGGTATAACATATAAACTATAATTGACATTGGATTTTTTCAACTAGGAAAAAGGCAAAATGGTTATCGCTTTGTAGAAATCTCTTTTTTTTTTTCAATATTACCTGGATGTCGTGTTCGTTAGGATTTGTAAAACATAATGATCATCAATTAAAAATAAATTCAAACCATCCGATTGTTAGTCTTTCTATACTTACGGCTCTTCTCAGTGTATCGTTGTTCTATAGTATATATATAAAAAAAAAGAGTCATATTAGTAAAATAAAATTCATTTCATTGCCTATATATAGTATATGTTTTTTTTTTTTTTTTTTTTCCAATGTCGATCCTTGAAGAAACTATTCGATGACCCGAAATTGAATTTGTTTCCATCATCTTGAGATCTCGGTGAGAGATTTATTGACAACTAAAAAGACCACACAGAGATGATTTCAGAGACTATAAAAAAGCTCCCAAATAAGGAGATAAACTTGTCAATTAATTTCTATCTATAAAAGTCAATATCTCTGTTTTGGTCAATTACCCTATCCAGAAAACCATCTAATATATCATTAAATTGTTCAGGAGTAAAAGAATCGATAAAAAGAATAAAGGGAGAAGTTTCCTTTCCTACAAATCCTATTCCTTCTACCCATGAGAATAAAAGAATGATGATCAATATACCGTAGTCTGCTGGAAGTCCAAATAGATATACTTACATTTTTTTTTTTTTTTTTTTTTTTTTGGTTTCCAGTAAATCTGCAATAAGAGCGGGCATGACAGATAATGTTGATCTAATAAGCACAATTATAACAAGACGCCTAGCATTGGTGGTCGATGTAATATCCATATTAGTAAAAGTTAGTTAGAATAATACTTATCCAGCTCGTTCATTTTTTCATCATTTTCCATTCCTCCATAACAAATAAACAGAAAAATTATAATAACAATAAGTAAAAAGAATACGTATATAGCTATTTTCTATACATACTGAGGGTTTCGTACAGACATGAATAGATCGTCCCTTTTGATATTGTGGTAACTATATGATAGGTGAGATTTCATCGACTCATAGAATGGCTTTTGAGATGAATGTTGAATGGTTTCGTATTGTGAAGGTGATAACGGTGGTTATCCATAGTGAATGTTTTCTCCATTAGACGCTGTGACGTCATTAGTCGAGAAATCGAAATCAATGTCAATGGGGAGGAAAAGAAAGAAAAGAAAAGGAAAATGAAAAGGAACTGGAAAGTGTTGCAGGATGGAAAAAAAAAAATTGGATCAGTTTTTGGATTTTACAGCCAAAATTTTCAAACTCCTCAGCCAAATTTTAGCTGTAAAACTAAATCGTCGAGGAGTCATCAGGCAACTTTTGGAAAAATCGATGAAATATTTTAGTGTTTTATTGCACATTAGCTGGAAAGATAAGTGATGAAATGGTATTAGATGATATTAAACTACTTTTTTAAGAGGAATCCAATGGTGGTCATTTTATGGGATGATGATCATTATTGGATGAAGGATGACGATATTGAATTTTATTTTTTAATTTATTCTATAAATTGAGAGGTAAGGTGTAAATTGTTATTAAGATAAATGAAAGAGAATGTTGTTATCTTTGTTCGATTCAAATTTGGTACGATGATGATCACTTTTGAGCGAGCTACAAAGAGATCAGTGAAGTTATGGAAAAAAAGTGGCTAAAAAAAGATGATGAATAAACTAAAAAGAGGGGACTTTGAAGAACTTCACGAATTAATACCTTAAAATTTCTTTTTTTGCGATACTTTGAGTACGGAGTTTTAGTAAAAGGTGAACACAAGAAAGAGTCGTCAGAGCAAAAAAAAAAAAGAAAAAAAAAAAAAAAAAAAAAAAGGAAAAGTAGTAAAACCAACAGTCAGTTTGAAGACTCCGCTGTCGCGTATAAATTTTTGTTTTTATTATTTTTTGTTTTCCTTTTCTTTTTGTTTTTTCTCTTGAAGGGACATGATCTAGAGTCGTTGAATGTACGAATCTTCCAAATAGGTCATTCTGCGCTAATCATTCCCGCGAAAAAACAGTATCCCAGTTTATAGCTGTGTGATGGTGTGGTTTATAGTTATCGAACTACTATTTTCAGTTTGACGCTTTGCCAATTGCACAAACATCTTTAATATTATAATGAAAATGAAAATAACTTATGAAGTCTTGTACGTGGAATATATGATCAAAATAAATCATCATCGTAGTAGAATCATGATTATTGTAGATATATATCACCCATCATCATCATTGATAGAGTATGACGATGGATAAGTAGGACATAGCATAGGGTTAAATGTTCAAAAAAAAATGATAATATTTAATAAGATAAAAATAAAGATGGATAAAAATCGAGTAAACTTAAAATAAAAACCTATCAATCAAGTCTTTATTTGAATATATCATGATTTGTACAATTGTAAAACTAGTTTATTCTTCATCAGCAACCTTCTTCTTGTCTTCATCACCAGTAACACGAGCTATACAGAAATAAATAAATAAAAAAAAGATAATAGATTAGATATCATGTAATATATTTGATTTTTTTTTTTTGTATCTTACTGTAGATAACTTGAGAGCATGGTGAATGGTAAGAGGCTTGATAAGTCCTTGAGCAGTGAGTTCCTTGAGAGCGACACGAGCAAGAGAACCATTTAACTTGAGACGATCAACTAAAACAGATTGACTGATGAGCTTGTAGGTAGGTACTTCCTTAAACAAACGTTCGTAAGTGGGTTTGTCCAAAACAACCATATTGTTAGCCTTATCCTTCACCTTCTTGGCAGACCACTTCTTCTTGGCTTTCTTTCCTCCAGAAGAGGAGCTAGGCTTAGCAGCAACGTCCTTCTTAGCCTAATGAATTGTCCATTAAAAAAAAAAAGAAGGTTGAGTCGATAGGATGTTCTTTATTTCCTGCTGGGAATTTCATGTTTGTTGTTTGAGTCGTTTTAATTCATTCATCCATCTATCCATCCATCCATCCATCCATTCATATATATATGTATTGATCGTTTATCTTTATTTCGTCTCTTTCCTATTGATAATCACTATTTTTTTTTGCCTTTTTGTAGTATACGATTCCTTACCATATTGGATTATTCAGAGGAAGAACAAAATCGGGGGGGATGACCAAGACGTTTCGCTATGGGATGTTCCTTTCGACTCATTGGCCGATCTCGTGCGGCATTTTAAATTGTGAGTGCTTTTTTTTTTTTCCCTTTGTTCTCCTTTTCTCTTTTTTTTCCTCCTATGATATATTATATTTCATAAAAGAAAACATGAGATCAACGACTAGAGGCAAGTTTAACAGGTCACCAGTTGTATCACATTCAACGTAAAAATAATAATAATAAAAAAATACTCAATATATATATTAATAATATATATGAGTATTTTTTATTATTATTATTTTACGTTGAATGTGATAAAACTGGTGACCTGTTAAACTTGCCTCTAGTCGTTGATATCATGTTTTCTTTTATGAAATAATAATATATAATAGGAGGGAAAAAAGAGAAAAGGAGAACAAAGGAGAAAAAACAAAAAAAAAAAAAGCACTCACAATTTAAAATGCCGCACGAGATCGGCCAATGAGTCGAAAGGAACATCCCATAAGCGAAACGTCTTGGTCATCCCCCCGATTTTGTTTTCCTCTGAATAATCCAATATGGTAAGGAATCGTATACTACAAAAAGGCAAAAAAAAAATAGTGATTATCAATAGGAAAGAGACGAAATAAAGATAAACGATCAATACATATATATATGAATGGATGGATGGATGGATGGATAGATGGATGGATGAATGAATTAAAACGACTCAAACAACAAAACATGAAATTCCCAGCAGGAAATAAAGAACATCCTATCGACTCAACCTTCTTTTTTTTTTAATGGACAATTCATTAGGCTAAGAAGGACGTTGCTGCTAAGCCTAGCTCCTCTTCTGGAGGAAAGAAAGCCAAGAAGAAGTGGTCTGCCAAGAAGGTGAAGGATAAGGCTAACAATATGGTTGTTTTGGACAAACCCACTTACGAACGTTTGTTTAAGGAAGTACCTACCTACAAGCTCATCAGTCAATCTGTTTTAGTTGATCGTCTCAAGTTAAATGGTTCTCTTGCTCGTGTCGCTCTCAAGGAACTCACTGCTCAAGGACTTATCAAGCCTCTTACCATTCACCATGCTCAAGTTATCTACAGTAAGATACAAAAAAAAAAAATCAAATATTACATGATATCTAATCTATTATCTTTTTTTTTATTTATTTATTTCTGTATAGCTCGTGTTACTGGTGATGAAGACAAGAAGAAGGTTGCTGATGAAGAATAAACTAGTTTTACAATTGTACAAATCATGATATATTCAAATAAAAGACTTGATTGATAGGTTTTTATTTAAGTTTACTCGATTTTTATCCATCTTTATTTTTATCTTATTAATATTATCATTTTTCTTTGGAACATTTAACCCTATGCTATGTCCTACTTATCCATCGTCAATTACTTCTATCAAATGATGATGATGGGTGATGATATATATCTACATAATCATGATCTACTACGATGATGATTTATTTTGATCATATATTCCACGTACAAGAGACTTCATAAGTTATTTTCATTTTCATTATAATATTAAAGATGTTTGTGCAATTGGCAAGCGTCAAAACTGAAAAAAAAGTAGTAGTTCGATAACTATAAACCAAAGCACGCATCACACAGCTATCAAAGCTGGGATACTGTTTTTTCGCGGGAATGATTAGCGCAGAATGACCTATTGTGGAAGATTCGTACATTCAACGACTCTAAGATCATGTCCCTTCAAGAGAAAAAAACAGAAAAGAGAAAAGGAAAACAAAAATAATAAAGAAACAAAAATTTATACGCGACAGCGGAGTCTTCAAACTGACTGTTGGTTTTACTACTTTTCCTTTTTTTTTTTTTTTTTTTTTTTTTCTTTTTTTTTTTGCTCTGACGACTCTTTCTTGTGTTCACCTTTTACTAAAACTCCGTACTCAAAAGTATCGCAAAAAAAGAAATTTTAAGGTATTAATTCGTGAAGTTCTTCAAAGTCCCCTCTTTTTAGTTTATTCATCATCTTTTTTTAGCCACTTTTTTTCCATAACTTCACTGATCTCTTTGTAGCTCGCTCAAAAGTGATCATCATCGTACCAAATTTGAATCGAACAAAGATAACAACATTCTCTTTCATTTATCTTAATAACAATTTACACCTTACCTCTCAATTTATAGAATAAATTAAAAAATAAAATTCAATATCGTCATCCTTCATCCAATAATGATCATCATCCCATAAAATGACCACCATTGGATTCCTCTTAAAAAAGTAGTTTAATATCATCTAATACCATTTCATCACTTATCTTTCCAGCTAATGTGCAATAAAACACTAAAATATTTCATCGATTTTTCCAAAAGTTGCCTGATGACTCCTCGACGATTTAGTTTTACAGCTAAAATTTGGCTGAGGAGTTTGAAAATTTTGGCTGTAAAATCCAAAAACTGATCCAATTTTTTTTTTCCATCCTGCAACACTTTCCAGTTCCTTTTCATTTTCCTTTTCTTTTCTTTCTTTTCCTCCCCATTGACATTGATTTCGATTTCTCGACTAATGACGTCACAGCGTCTAATGGAGAAAACATTCACTATGGATAACCACCGTTATCACCTTCACAATACGAAACCATTCAACATTCATCTCAAAAGCCATTCTATGAGTCGATGAAATCTCACCTATCATATAGTTACCACAATATCAAAAGGGACGATCTATTCATGTCTGTACGAAACCCTCAGTATGTATAGAAAATAGCTATATACGTATTCTTTTTACTTATTGTTATTATAATTTTTCTGTTTATTTGTTATGGAGGAATGGAAAATGATGAAAAAATGAACGAGCTGGATAAGTATTATTCTAACTAACTTTTACTAATATGGATATTACATCGACCACCAATGCTAGGCGTCTTGTTATAATTGTGCTTATTAGATCAACATTATCTGTCATGCCCGCTCTTATTGCAGATTTACTGGAAACCAAAAAAAAAAAAAAAAAAAAAAAAAAAATGTAAGTATATCTATTTGGACTTCCAGCAGACTACGGTATATTGATCATCATTCTTTTATTCTCATTGGTAGAAGGAATAGGATTTGTAGGAAAGGAAACTTCTCCCTTTATTCTTTTTATCGATTCTTTTACTCCTGAACAATTTAATGATATATTAGATGGTTTTCTGGATAGGGTAATTGACCAAAACAGAGATATTGACTTTTATAGATAGAAATTAATTGACAAGTTTATCTCCTTATTTGGGAGCTTTTTTATAGTCTCTGAAATCATCTCTGTGTGGTCTTTTTAGTTGTCAATAAATCTCTCACCGAAGATCTCAAGATGATGGAAACAAATTCAATTTCGGGTCATCGAATAGTTTCTTCAAGGATCGACATTGGAAAAAAAAAAAAAAAAAAAAACATATACTATATATAGGCAATGAAATGAATTTTATTTTACTAATATTGACTCTTTTTTTTTATATATATACTATAGAACAACGATACACTGAGAAGAGCCGTAAGTATAGAAAGACTAACAAATCGGATGGTTTGAATTTATTTTTAATTGATGATCATTATGTTTACAAATCCTAACGAACACGACATCCAGGTAATATTGAAAAAAAAAAAGAGATTTCTACAAAGCGATAACCATTTTGCCTTTTTCCTAGTTGAAAAAATCCAATGTCAATTATAGTTTATATGTTATACCAATAAAGTCATAGTTTATTATTATGTTTTATGATCGACCCCTTAGAAAAAATGAAAAACATTAAGTACCTCATTTTGTCTTCATATCTTGGCCCAATCAAACTCATTATCTGTCTAAAAAAAGTTCCACATAGTAAATTATTTAAAAATAAAGAGACGTTTATTTTTTATCATCATCATCATAAAAAAAAAAATATAAATATATATATACAAGGTCTATTACCAAGCTAAACTAAGAAGAGACAAAATCATCCAACAAGGCAATGGCAGCGCCCAAACACCAACCAGTTTCCACACCATCGATTTTCTTGGCCACATTGATGACACGATGATCAGGGATTTCATAGCCAAATGACAAAAGACGATAGATATAAGTCAAATCTAAACACCATTCAGGTCGATCCAACAATTCACCACGTAGATCATCATCAGTGATAGATTGCAAATAAGCGCCAGAGCATACCTTTTCTGTCAATGCCGCCAGTTCGGGAAGTTTGAATTGAGCAGGTAAACCAAGAGGTTGAGTTCGATCAAAAAAGTAAGAGAAAACATAGATAGGACCTTGTGTGAATGAATCACTGATAGTAGGTTGATGGACACCATTGAAAGAGCAAGGTGCTGTTTCGCACATTGCATTTTTATCCAGTACATGATCAATCACTGCCCTACATTCTTCTGGTATAGCAGCCCCTGTAAATGATTGTTGATCGCCACCAAGTTGATACGCCCATGCTAAGCCAGCAGGAAGACAAGGATGTTTAAGATCAATCGCCTGTCCATCCAATGATGAGAATACATGTTGATGCACCAATTTCCTTGCTTCCATCAAACCATAGCCCAAATAAGAGTGTTGATAAAGTATATGATGATGACCATCATGTTGGAGTTCGTATTTGTGATCAAGTGCTGGTAAGTTGTCTAATGATTCTCTATTCCATTTTTCCGGTTCAAATACAATTTGTGTTGACCCACCACCAAGATCAAAGATAGCTGCTGTATTATTGGTACCCAAACGTCCAAGTAAAGAATTGACAGTGATCCATGCGTACACACCTTCATCTCGGCCTTCCATAATGGTCACACCTTCCTTTCGTCCACCCACAATCACAAATGGATACTTGGTTACCAAACGTTCATATACCGCATCTAGAATAGCTTCACTTTGTTCATTGCCCAAGAAACGTAAACCTGCTGTTGCCTTGACAGAGATAGGAGTGGTTTTATGTTGTGCTGGTGGGACATGAGTCATGGCAGCATCCAAGAGTGAGTCTAGAGATTGAGCCGCTTCAACAGGAGAATAGGCAGAGAGTCCAGGGATAGTTTGTTTGAAGAGAATTTCATCATGGAACTTTAAAGGTTCAGTGCTTCCTTGACATTGGTGGAATTGATAAACATGAATACGGGAACCAGTGGAACCAGCGTCTATCATCAATGCATATCTAAAACAATCGTCTAAAAAGAGTTTTTTTTTTTTTTTTGAGGTGTAAGATAAAGAAGATATATATATTATTATTATTATTATTATTATTATATCTTTTTATATAACTTACCAGAATGACTATTGAGTAAAGTTTCAATTACTGATAACCAAGATTGTTCAGGGACAAAGACTGCTACCATGGCAAAGAGAATACCAATAACGGCCAATACGATACGACCCCAAGGATTGACAGGTTTAGTTGTTTTTGCTGATTGACGTAACATGGTATATGGACTGGGAGGTAGTTTTCTTGTTCTTCATTAAGAAGGATACCAACTAATACTAACAAATGGGTATTCGTCCTTAAAAAAAAAAAGTTAATTCAACAGAAAAGAAAAGAGTAAAAAAGAAAGAAAAAAAAAAAAAAAAAGAAAGAAAAAAAAAAGAAAGAAAGAAAAAAAATCTTTGATAATTACCAGGAGCGGAGAGGCCAGGGGAAGATGAAATGAAACCATTGGATAGGGTTTGAGCGACCGATAGTTAGAAACGGATGAAATCAAAAAACAATGGGAAAAGCAAACAAATCTAAAAAAGGTGTCAAAAGATGTATATAATATATATATATATATATTTCAACAATATTCCCGTTGAAAACTGGACTAAAAGATAAAAAAGCAATTATTTTTTTTAAAAAAAAAATCATCATCTTGATTTTAACTTCTTTTTTTTTTTTATCTTTAATTAACAATGAACTTTATTCGCTTACCAAGCTTAAAGTTAAATCATCATCCATCTGATAATCATCATTCTCACAATGCCGTTGATTCATCATCGGTTAAAATGAACAGTCTCTTTTTACCACCAACTTGGAAACAGGAATCTCATCATTATCAACAAGAAGATTTAGGTTTGAAATTACATCCTTCTTCACAAAGTTATGCACAAGAGATGTTTTCGTTCTCCGCGGGAAGCACCATCCCACCTCCTCATGCCAACAATATACGATCATCATCCACTATTAAACGACGTAGACGACCTCCACATTCATATGCATCCATGATTGCACAAGCTATCATGACGTCTAAAGAACAAAAGATGACCTTACGAGATATTTATGCATGGGTGCAGCAACGGTATCCTCATCTATATGAGACAAACACAAGTGGATGTCAAAACGTGATCCGGCATAATCTTTCCTTGAATCGTTGTTTTTATAAACTGCCTAAATCTAATGGGAGAGGTAAAGGAAAAGGTGGTTACTGGGCCGTATCTCCCGAGCAATTGCACCATACCACGTTTGGTCGACATTTATTAGATACGGGAGGTATATCGGCCGCTGGTTTCGAATATTGGCCTCAATCATCAGTGGATCAGAAGACACAACATCAAGCGAGTGAAGAAGAACAAGAGGAAGAGGAAGAAGAGGAAGAGGAAGAAGAAGGTTCCCAAATGGATGAAGACAATGAGGGATTCATTCCACGTATTCATCCGTCCTCTATCTCTTATAAAAATAACATCACTAATTTGCTTCAACCTGCAGATCTCGCTACTTTACAAAATCATCAACTTCATCTACAACAACGTCGATCTGTTCCTCCTCCACCAGCTCTGACTATCCCTTTTGAACAAGATCATCATCATCATCATCAGAGTCCTATTGCTGAACTAGATAATCCTACATTTCATCCACCATCACTTCATCATATTCTGAACTAAACAAAGACAATAATAATAAAAATGAGAATAAGATAGTGCTTGATTTCCTTTTTTTTTTTTATTATTTTATTTTATTTTATTTCAAATGTGTATGAGAGAAATAATATAATAAAAGGTAAAATATCTGCGTTTCTATGTACATTGTAAAGTAAGAGGGGATAATAATAATAAAAAAAATAAAAAAATAAAAAAAAATCTAATCAAATGATGCAGTGATACCAAAAAGTGGGGACAATCTATTTTCTTTTCTTTTCTCGTTCCAACCTATTCTTTTCAGCTTGATCGCCTTCCAAGATCGTCATGACACCCTTGATCATCTTGTTGTAGTCTTCATCCTTTTGTTTCTTGATCTTTGCCTTTTCACGAGCCATAAACATATTGTCCTTTCGTAACTCACGCATGGCACCCTTCTTTTCCTTCTTGAGTTGTGCTTCCAATTTGGCGGTGGCAGCTCGTTCATGATCAGGATCATAATGACGATCCATTGAGTATCCTTTTTCAAACTTGGGTAAATGTTGTGCAATTGGTACTGGACGATGTTGTTGCATTCGTAAAGGTGTCTTGAGTCGTTTTTCAATACAGAATTTGATTTGTCGTTCCAATCGATCTTGTAAGTGATCCATCAAGGTCTATACAAGTAAAAAAAAAAAAAAAAAAAAAAAAAAAAAAAAAAAAAAAAAAAAAAAAGGTAAGTTGATGTGATCCCAAATACATATATATATATATGTATCTTACCTTCAGATCCTTATGCCAAGTCAATGATTGAAGTTGTTGAATTAAAGAAAGAGAAGAATCAAAGACTTCTACCAAAGCAGGTGTTGATGCATATAATTGAAGATAACGTTCCAATAAACGTAAAGATGCTTGAACAAGAGAGAGCCGTACGGTATTTTTCTTGTCGAATCCATCTTCATCCACCAGTTGATCTAAAGAAATTGATTTAAGAGATTCTAACCCTTTACCTTGTGTATCCTTGATTTTCAATTTGGTTGTCTCTTCAGTCATTGGGAATATGCCAGGTATTTGTTCATCAGTGAAAGCATTTGATGGGGTCAAAATGGCCAATACACGGTGTAAAAAGTTGAGACATTCTGGTACCAATCTTTTTGAAATTGCTTGATACTAATGAAATAAATCAAAAAAGATAATGCGTTAATACCCTTTCTTTTTCTTTTTTTTTTTTTTTTTTGTCTCTCTTTTGGTTGTCTTGTTTTTTTTTTTTTTTTTTTTTTTTTTTTTTTTTTTTTTTTGGCTGTATACGTACCTCCAAGAATAACTGTGTCAAGAAAAGTCCACGACCAATATCAACTTCAGTACGCACAGGACATTGAGCTAAAGCTTGAGCCATAAAGAGAGAAGCAGGAGTAGCCACAGAATGATTCAAATCAGAAGTAGAGAAAACTTGACCTAGAGAGCGTAAAATAGTCAAATCTTCTACATCAGGCCAGCAAGATGACTTCAAACTGTTTCGCATTTTCTTCGCCATGTTGTTTTGCATTTGCTTAACCTTAGTAATATAGACTTCAGTAGCAGCTTCTGGTATTTGTTGTGCTATTTCAAAGATATGACCATTTAGGGCTTCCAGTAACTTTATAGGTAAGGGACTAACTGTTGATGCAATATAACCTAGATGTTCCACCAAGACATTGAAGAAGACTGACATCTTTTGTTTATTTTCGGGAGAGATTTTGATATGATACAAAACACGGATACGCTTGATTACAGTAAGAGTATCTTCCAATTTGAGACCATCCATGATTGCCAAAAAGTCGCTATGTGATTCGGGGCATTCAAATGTATATGGAATTTCGCCTGTTGTTTCGCCATTAGAAGTTTTGGACTTTTTGTTGCTTTTATTAGATTTTGTAACCACTTTTCCATGTTGTCCAATTTGATTCATGTCATCATCATCATCATCATCGCCAAAGTCTGGTATTTCATCCCCTTCCAAATCGTCCACTTCTGATTCATCATCATCATCTTCTTCTTCGTCGTCGTCATCTTCATCTTCTTCTTCATCTTCATCCCCAGATCCTTCATCGCCAGTTTCCATATCAGCTTCAAGATCATAGGCACCATTTTGAATATCATCCAAGGTAAGACCAGTACCAAGTTGTTCATGATCATCTTCAACATAATCATCCTCCAAATCATCAGCATCAGGACCACCTGTAGACTTACGTTGTTTCTTTGCTCCACGTCTATGTGAGAATCGATCACCTTCAGTTTCAGATTCAGAGTCCAATCCTTCCATACGTCGTTTTCTTGCACGTTCAGCCTTTTCCAACTTTTCCTTTTCTTCCAAAGCCAATTCTTCTTCTGTTTTAGTTCTATCAGTAGCTTGAGCTCGTCGATCAAATGCCAAGTCACGAAGAGCCTTGTCATAATCTTCATAATCATCGTCCTTTTCTACTTGATGATCCTTTTGTTCAGCAGCTTGCTCGGCTTTGATATTGTTTTCAATTTCTGTTTTGGCAAATAGCTGATTCTGCGATGGAAGAGGTTTGCGTTTGTCAGTATTCAAAAGAGCCCGGATATCTTTGAGTTCTTCATCCAATCCAGCACGAATATCATCATCTTCTTGTTTAGCCATTTGTCGTTCATACTATATATCAAAAAAAAAGAGAGAGAAAAGAATGAATTTCAATTATATACATAGTTTATTCGATGATATTTCTTACTTTGTGCATTTTGCTTTTAGCAATAAGTTCCTTCATGACTTCATTCTTGGATTTAGGTCGATCACTTCCATCATTTGTTTCTTGATCATCATCACCGAAACCACCGAAATGCATCTTGTTGACAATACTACGATCCAATTGTCCATTATCTTCGTCATCACTAAGGGTCAATCCAGTGTCATCAAAGTCATCAATATCTGCCAAAGATTGTCCGTAATGGGTTAGATTCATTTCATCCTCGTCATCCAAGTTGAAGAGTGAGGTTGATGATCGGGCAGCACGCTGTTATAGATTAAGGAAGTAAGTCAGTATAAAGAATAAAATTCATAGGATGGACAAAAAAAAATTACCTGACGTTCTCGGGTGAATCTTTCCAGCATTTTTTCTTCAGGAGTCAAATTGGGATTGTTTTCACCGAAACGTTTATCAATAATACCACCCACACGATTCTTGTTTCGCATTTCAACTAGAAGAGTTTTCTTACGCTAAAAGTCATTAAAAAAAAAAGATAGATTAGAAAACCGAATTCTATCGCTCTTTTAGATCTTTTGAACTTACGTTGTCTTCACCAACTTGTTTTGATAAAGTAGGCTTCCCAGTAACACCTTTGATCTTGCGTCCAACCACATCAAATTTGGTACGAGTTGTTTTCATTTCATAAGGATTGAATTCTCCACGAATAAGAGCCAACTTTGCTGAATTGTCCATTTTGCCAACCTCACTAGGTTTACCTTTCTTGCGATCCTTTTTTGATCTGCTTGCTTTGGATTGTTGACCAACCACTCCAGCTGCTTGAAGTGATGTTTTTAATCGTTTAAGTGCTGATCCTCCACTTGATTTCTTGTTATTGGGTGCAGTGGCTACCATAATTTTAATTGTTGGATCAAACCAGAGAGATAAAAAAGTGAAAAAAAAAGTAAGGAAAAAGTAGAAAATTTTATTTTATTGTGGTTAAAAAAAAAGTTCCAAGCCGCAGAAAAATGCAAAGAAGCGGAATTGACAAAACGGTAGAATCAAAAAAAAAAAAAAAAAAAAAAAACCACACTAGTAAAACTAATAATAATGATTTGTTTTCCATCAGGCAACATAGATGATAAATGATGTAAACTATGATAATAAAAGAAATCAAAATCAGTATTTTTTTAAAAACTATTTGCTTACCTAATGTGTCAAATATCCAGTCAACGACTTGATCCTACAAAAAGAGTGAGTATGATGATAATCATGTAGATATGTATCCTCACCAAGCACCATCGACTAACAAGAAATGCTGGTTTCTAATTTTCATCCATATCCTTCTATATAAAGAGTTGATCTAGCTTGTTTAATGACTTCAAAACAAAGAATCAATGACTATGATAACTGTTGAACCCATAAATATAAGCCAATAAAGGTATATAGACAACTTCTTTACCCGTCAAAGAAACAGATCTTTATCAAAACAGTGTTTAACAACTTTGTCCAATAATATTTAATGTTTGTATAAACAAGGCTTTTTACATCTCATGAAAGGAGAAGAAATAACCTTGTTGAACAAGAGTAAAGAAGAAGAAAAAAAAAAAACAAAATTGACACCTGGAAATAAGTTTGGGACTCCGGGGAACCGCAGCTTGATTGAAAACTACCAATTTTTTTTTTTTTTTTTTTTTTTTTTTGCTACTTCTTCTACCACTCTTCTTTTTCTTTTTCGTTTCCTGATGCTTCTTCCTTATATTCCAAATGGTTCCCAAGGCATCAATGATACTACTTGGGAAAAAGGTTATCATATTTGGACAACTCAACTCATCAAAGTACTCTCTCTAGACGACACTGCCTTTCTCCAAAAAGTAGAACGCGACCAGGAATTGGCCTCTTGGATTCAGTCACTACTACAAACACAACTTGATCTTGGTAACACAGAAACAGGTCTACTTCGCCTTGTATATCTGATATACGTCCGGTTGGGAACTGTATTGGAGTTATCATCATCTTCAACCTCTTCACCTTTGATCTCAATTACCTCTCTGGACACTTTCTCTCTGGTATTTGCTCGTGCTAATCCAACCACAACACAAACACTTTTTGCTCAACTCTTTGCCAACCAAAAGGGACTACGAGATCAATATGAAACATCCATATATCTACTTGTAGATACTTTGAATACTATCGGCAGCTACATCGCAACAATGACATCTCAGCAGGAAACAAAGTGGGAACAATCTTTTTTGGAACGTATTCTTGTGGTGACGCGGTTACTAGAAGCCAAAATACTTTGTTTGAACTCAAAACATTTATCTTCTCAACTGCAGCCTGCCTTGATGTCAAGCTATGAACAATTACTAGATGGATTTACAACGACAACTATGACAAAAGATAATAAAGACTTGGAAAACAAGGAAGATTCGACAGCTCATGTGGACTATTGGATATATCTTGTGAAGCAATCCTTGGTGAACATATTTAATACGATGGTCGAAATCAACTACTTGACACCACTGGAGGCACTAGGACAATCAGAAAGCTGTGATGATGATAATAAGGAATCCCTTGTTGCGGCACTCAGTGATCAAATCTTACAATGGGTGGAACAGAGTCATGGGCTGGAGACTATCAAGACTGCTTTTGTAGATGCTCCTCTGATTATGGATTGGCAAGTAGAATGGCAAGTGGCAAAAAGACTGGATCAAATCAATCAAGACCTATTTCGTGGTGAGAATGAACAACTTTCGTTTCTGACATTGGTAATGGACACTCAAATACAAGAATTGGCTTCCAACCCACCACAATCATGGAGTAATCGTATTAAAAGACAACAAAAGAAACAACAACAGCAACAGATGGATCAATCAATGTCTTCGACATCTACGACAGTGACGACAATGGAAACAAACGATGACTATACCAACTATATCAAACGTACTTCTTTGATATCTCAAGTTAGGGATATCTTTTCTGATCTTGGAGAAGGATTTATCGAAACTTGTTTGATAGCTAATGATGATGATGCTGAAATGGTGATCATGCAACTTTTGGAAAACAATCTCCCATCTTCTGTCAGCTCTTTGGATCGAACAATGGAACGAGCTGCTTTCATTCCTTCAGCAACTACGGAAGTAATCATCAACTCTATACCACGTACAAGCATTTTGGATTCAAGAAAGAATATATTCGACAAGGATGAGTTCGATGTCTTTTCTGGTGGAATCGTGGAAAAAAGCAAAGTTTATGTTGGAAAGAAAAAGTAAGGAATTCTTTGATCAATAATCAATATACTGATTAGCCGCTCTCTTATTTTATTTTATTTTATTTTGTTTTTTTATTTTTTATTTTTTTTTTTTTTTTTTTTTTTTTTTTTTTTTTGGTTTATCAATAGCGATGGTACAGCTGATTCACTTTTGGAAAACAAAAAACATACGGAAGACGAAAAAGTAAAAATGCTGCGGAGGATTTACGACATGTATGAAGACGAAATTGATGACTCTTATGATTCTGTGAATGAAGTGACGGGACCTGTGGATCTTGCCGCAGTTGATGAAGGTGGAGAAGCAGCATTGGACGTGGTACGGGCCAAGAAACAACAAACAGTGGATCCAGGTGTATTGAATGAAAGCGAATTAGTACACGTGTATGTGGATCATCCTGAAGTCTTTGATCGATCATCAGCTACTAGGAAATCTGCGCAAAGGGATGCTCTAAGGAAACGAACCAATATGACTGATGAACAACTGGAAGGATGGGCTATCATGTTCAACCGAAACGTAAGTGCCTTTGGAGAATAAAAAAAAAAAAATAAAAAAAAAGGTAGTTTATACTCATGGTATTTTTATTATCGTTGTTATTGTTATTGTAGCCAAGAAAACAGCGAATCCTGGACAAATATATGTTATTCGATGGCAATCAAGATCAAGTAGATGCAACGGTAAAAGCAAGTCAACAGCAAAAACAAAAGGAATCGCCATCGAGGAAACCTCCACCGATATCTGAATCAAGACAACGAGCTTACAAGGATAAAAACAAAGCCAGGTTTGGAAATCACAATCGAAAGAAGAATCACGACAAGAAATTGGCTAAATTGGGTGGTCCTACAAGTGCAACTTGACCTTGACGACAATAAGAGAAGGAAAATGGAAGGAATTTTTATGTATAGAATTCAGTTAGACTTTGATACCATAGTATATGTATATTTTTGCCTCTTTTTTTTAAAAAAAAATATATTTGTCTCAATAAAAACTCTGTACTTATAAGTATATGAGTATGTATTTATGGGTATTTTATTACTCGTTGGTTTCAAATATCTTCCATTTTGAAATAAAATGTAAAAGGTTTCCACATGGAGAAATATTACCCTAATAAGGTAATCACTTTACCTGTTCTTAGTAAATGAAGGGATTCATGATTTTTCAACATATATATTGTACTTTATTGTGGTCGATACATGGAATTAAAAAAAAAAAGGAGACAAAGGAAGTGTACAAATGATAGGATATGACTGATATGAATGCTAAACTACAAGCAGAATTATAACTATTCTACAAAATGATGATACATGATATAAATAACAATTATGTAAATATGAAAGGAAGGAGAGGGGATGCGTATCTAATCTATCCTTCACGCCATTGATGTTCACATTTTTCATTGCAACACTTGAAGAAAATGGAGGATGGTTCATCAGCTGATCGAATTTGAATTTGCATAAAGTAAGCTCTTTCATGTTCACATTTAGGACAGGTGGCTATGTATAAAAAAAAACAAAAACAAAAAAAATAAGTGATAATATTCAATGACTCTTGATCCATTTCTTTACCTTCAGTAGAATCAACATTTTCCCAAGCTTTTGCACCACCAAGCACATCATCGACTTCCTTCCTTTCCAGTTGTTTCCGAGTCGTCAACTACAAATAGAAACGAACGAAAAAATGTTAAAAGGAAAAAATACGTTCTGGTTGGATCTTTCTTACCTTATTCTGTATACTATATTGATATGGACATGTTTGACAGTAGAACATTTGACCACCATCGTTCTGTACAAGAAGAAGATTAGCGCATTGTGGGCAAAACAACATGGTTAAAAAAAAGCTAGGGAAAGAAAAGAGAAAGAAAAGAGAAAGAAAAAAAGAAAGAAAAAAAGAGTTAGGTCGAAAACATAAAAACGTCTCATCTGCATTTCCGGGATTCCAAAGTCACGCATTTCTTTTTAGGTCCCAAATCGAAATCCAGAATAAAGGAAAAGAATAATTTCTTTTCCTATTTCTTTCTATTCTATTTTTCTTTTTTTCTTTTTTGTATATATTCCATTCACATACAACATATGGATAATCCTCCTACGAAACGTGGACGTAAAAAAATTGAAAGAATACCTGACGGTCAAGGAACTGATCCAATTACTTCTACAACTAAAGCCAAACGCGGAAGACCTCGTAAACCGAAGACTGTCACAACTGATCCTACAGAAGTTATCGTCAAACGCGGACGTGGACGACCTAGAGGCAAGATACAAAAAGAAGATCAACTAGAAGATATCAAACTTGAATATTCTCCTTCCGGTTCAACGTTATCCTCACACGCACCTCATATCCTTCCTGACAAGCAAGATATTAAGAACGAGGTCCTTCAAGAAGACAATAATATTAGCAACGCCATTATCACCAATGACAATAACAGCGATAGTGATAGCGATGATGCTTTCATTTATGAAGGAACTGATGACGACGACATGGAAGCAGAAGGAATGGATGATATTGATAATGACGAAGTGATCTATCTTGTCCGCGGTAAGATATCAAATGGAAAAGACTTAATGAAAAATAATCATTAATCTCTCTCTTTTTTTTTTTTTTTTTTTTTTTTTAAATCTTCCTTTGGTGAGAATATAGATCAACAGTTAGATATCAGAAAAGGTCACGAATTACCAATCCTCTATTATCCCGACGTCCAAAACAGATTTTATTCAATAATACGATCCTTCCGCATTGAACATTTTTACATCATCAGTCGATATATCTTGTTGATTTTATTTGCTTGTTTTATTATATCTCAAGTTGGTCAAGTCAAATCTACAGTCAGAAGAAATGGATATTGTGACTCTGACATTGGAAATAATAGTGGAACAGGCATTTTACCTAATTTGAATGGAGTGAACTCATTTTGTATCCCTTGTCCTGCGAATGGTGTATGTGTCAATGGTCAACTCACTTGCCTTCCTCTCTATCGACCGCATCGATCAATCACAAAACGGATCATCAACCTTATTTGGCCAACTGGGAAAACATGTATCAAAGATCCAACACTGGTCAAACTTTCAAGGAAACTGGAACATCATATGTTACAGTATCTTTCACGTCGCCAAGGTCATCATGAATGTCGCCACCTCCAGTTTGCTTCTTTTAGAACATCATCATCAAAATCATCTTCCAATACGCAGTCAACTAATGCATCATCATCATCACAACAACAAGATCAATATCTGGTCAAAACGAACAGGACAAGGATGATCGATAACTTGCGACGATCATCAGCTCTACCTACTGCTCACGATCAACATCACCAAATTGAATTGGATTATGTCATGGAACAAGCTCTGATGAATATCAAGAGTAATAAACATGTGATCACTTGGAATATGTAAGACGTGCAAAACAGTAATATGAACAGTTATTCATATTCTTCTTCTTTTTATTATTATTATTATCTTTTATAGCGATGATGAACTGTATTTGGGCATAGACGTTGCAAGATATTCGGTTTGGTGTTGGTGTTTGGCCTCCATCTTCTCTATCTTTGCACTTGTGAAAAGGATGAATACAATGATTACACTTGGTATTCCTACGCTGGTGATTCTATGGATGGGCTATAGATGGAAAATGAAAAGAAATCGACAATTGGCAACCGTTGTTCTCAAAGCGTTGGATATTCTGAAAAAGCAGGTAATCAAAAAGAAAGAAGGAAGGGAAGAAGAAATTAGACAGAAAATATATATATTCATTAACTAAAATCTTTTTTTTTTTTATGGTTTCGTGAATAAAAGCGACAATTACATATTGAAAATCCTGATGGGTTTGGACCAGGATGTTCAGCAAGATACCTTCGTCTGCATGCATTGGAATCAAGCAACGAAAATACAGCACATGTATGGAGGGCGGCATTACAGGTACTACAGCACCATCCTTGTCTGCGTCATGGCTATACGGATGAAAATGGCGAAATTCTACAGTATTTTGAATGGTTATAGTTTTATATTGTAACTTCCATAGATTGCTTGTATATATTCTTTTATCCTATCTTTTTTTTTTTTTTATCCAATCGTACATGATTCACATCCTTTACCAATATATGCACAATATTATACTGATACCAATAAAAAAAGATTTTATTACGTTTTATAAAACATTTTATTATGCCTGATTGACTCAATTAGAACCTCTTTTTAATCAACGATCTATCTTCTTATTTTTTTTTTTTATCAATAAAAAAAAATATAAAATAAAAGGCTATTAAAGGGTCAAAGGAACAATTTATAAAAATAATCATCCCATGTCTTTATCATATCCATAGAATCATCATTTCGAAAAAGACATTTTCTTTTATCTGTTGTCAAAATCATCTTTGGATAACTGACTATGAAGATACTTTTTTACTGGTCTCATCCACTTACTTTCCCATCACTTTTATTATTATTATCATCCATCTTTATTTTTCCATCACTTTTTTTTTTTTTTTTTTTTTTTGTTTTGACGATTAATCATATCCATCTAATAATAGACTTAGTTTCTTTATATAAGCGCACCACTAGTTTTTATATATATATATTTTTCTCTTCGTCAATCATCAAGTCAATTTTTTTTAACAAACAATAAAAAGATTGTATACTCAAATCATCCTGGCTACACTTACGGAATCAATCATCCTAAGTTTTATCTTTATTATATTATTATCAAGCAATCATCAAGCTTCTATATTCAAGTTATTTTATTATCTGATCGTCACCGAGTGTGATCATACATTCAAGACATCCATTTCCATTTTGGATTATATATTTAAAAATATCTTTTATTATTCTTTGTTCTATCAACTTAAAACTGTTGTTCATGTAATGTTTGATAGTCTTTATAAAAGTCAGTGATACAAAAGATAGATGATTTTTATTAAATAAAATAATAGAAGGCTTTTTATATAAAAAAATGGAGTTGGAATGAATATATTACATATAACTATTCTGATGGATCATTGGTGTAGTTCTAGATGATAAGATAAAAATAAAATAAAATAGAATAGATGGATTGTTCATATGGAAGATTGATTACTTACCCGTATGAAACATGACCAGTTATGTATATCGTATTTAGAATAAAAGGCACAATTGTTGAGTAAGTATAATGATTCCATGTTGATTGGGTATGAAGAGACGACGAATACAACAGTTCACTACTATATAATCATCAAAGATATTGGTAGACAAAAAAAAAAAAAAAAAAAAAAAAAAAAAGAAAAGAAAAAAAAAGATATAATGAAAAAAAAAGATATAATGAAAAAAAAAGATATAATGAAAAAAAAAAATAAAAACATCCTTTATCGCTACTTATTGCGGATCATTCATCCTGATTGGCTCAACCTCTTTTTTAAAGTCAGACTAAGTACTTCGTATTTTCTCACCTTTCAAATTTGGTCTTTATTTTTCTACTACTTTGCTTTTCTTTTTTATTTTATCTCTTTTCTTATACGTGTGCTTGCGTAATCAAGTACTGGTGCTCACTATAAACATTATTAACTTTCAATCATCCGTTTTACTTTTTCAGTTTTGGCCTTAACAACCAAAAAATCACTTTAACATCACTTAGCAACACAATCATCTACCAAAGTACAAAAGACATGAACATCAACAACTATGATTGGCTTATATATTAAACCTTAAATTTGAGGAAAAAGGCAAAAATCTTCCCACACGGGGAATTGAACCCCGGCCACGGCGGTGAAAGCGCCGGATCCTAGCCACTAGACCATATGGGAGAAGATGAAAATTAGACTCATAAGTATGTAATAAAGTGAATCAGCTGAGAATGAAATAGCGATCGCTGATTGGTTGGATTACGCCGTTTGAATCCGATTGGTCGTGTAAATGCCGTACTTTTTGCACTTCCCAAAACCAAAACGTGGACTTGTGACTAACATTTGGGGCATTTTTGTTTTGCGTGTACACCCTCATACTTTTTTTTTTCTTTTTTTTTTTTTTTTTTTTTTTTTTTCTGTTTCTTTCTTTCTCACACCTTATTTTCTTTTTTCCACTCTATTATTTTTTTTTTCTATTATCTTTCTTCTTATTCTATCATTATTTTTTTTTTCTTTCATTTTGATATACAATGAGTGGACAAGATTACATTGGCTCCAAAATATCGGTAATATATCAGTTTATCATTGTTAATATATAAAGTCATCTAATCTAGAATTTTTTTTTTCTCAACATATTTATTCTTTTGAAACTTATTTTCTCTCAACTAGCTCATAAGTTTGAGTGATATTCGTTACGTAGGAACTCTTCACAGTATTAATACAAGCGATTCTACTGTTTCTCTTGAAAATGGTAAGTTCAGCTTTTATATATATATATATTTGCCAAACTAACAGATGTTTTTTTTTTTTTTTTTTCGTTAGTTCGGTCTTTTGGTACTGAAGGTCGCCGTGGTAATCCTGATGATGAAGTTATGGCCTCTGATACTGTATTCGATTTTGTCGTATTCCGTGGTTCAGATATTAAGGACTTGCAAGTTTTCGAAGCCCCTGTTAAGGCAGCTCCTCCTCCTCCTCCTCCTCCTTCTAGACCTCAAAACCCTCCCATCAGAGTAAGAAAAAAAAATAAGACAAGTCTTTATTCGAATAAATAATCTTTTATTTTATGATTAGCATTCAATGGAAGGGTACCCTCCTATGAATCCTTACATGATGCCTCCGTATCCTCCTCAAGCTCATCAAGCAATGTACTGGCAAAGTCCTATGTATCCTGGTCAACAGCCTCCTCTTGGTCAACCTCCAATGCAACCTCCAACTTCTCAACAAGAACAACAACAACAACAACAACTGCCTCCACAACAACAAAATCAACAACAACAGCAACAACAACAATCAGTATTGCCTCCAACCACCTCAATGCCTCAACCACCTATTTCTACCCAACCTTCTGCGCCTGGATTAGATTTGGCAGCTAAGGAACAGTCATCCATTTCGCCTTCGAATATTGCTGCAGAACTTATCGATCAACAAGAAATTGATGGTGCAGCTGTAGAAAACCTAGCCAAGCAAGTCAGTGAATTGGATACGGATATCAAGGAAACTGAAGAAGCTCAATCATTACCACCAGCACCACAACAACAGCCACAGCAACAACAACAACAACAAAGACAACAAACACACCAACGTCAAAACAATTACCGTAATGGACGTCATGCCAATGGACCTCGTACACGTGATAATAATCAAAACGCCAAGCAACGCATTACCATCCCTCAGTCTGATTTTGATTTCGAATCTTCCAATGCCAAATTCAGCAAGAATGATTTACTCAAGGAATTGATCAAAGGTGGTGAAGATGATGATGTTCATCATATTACTAATGATAAACATCAACAACATCAACAAGAAGAAGAGGAAGTGATTATCCCTCCTAATGATGAAGAATTCTATGACAAGGTAAAACAAGACAAAAAAAAAAAAAGAAATGAAAAGAGTGAAATGTACTTATTATTTTATATAAATATATATTTGCTGTTTAGAGTAAAAGCTTCTTTGATAACATCTCTTGTGAATCCAAGGAACGTCAAGACCAAGATGGGTAAGTCCCAAAAAAAAAAAAAAAAAGATTAGAGAGAATGAATGAAATTTTAATTAAACTGTTTCTTCTTTAATATTACAATAGTTCTGTTGATCGTCGTGGCAAATTCCATGAAGAACGAAAATTGAATATGGAAACATTTGGTCAAGCATCAGTGGATCAATCACGGTTCCGTAACTTCCGAGGACGTGGAGGCTATCGTGGAGGCTATCGTGGTAATCGTGGCGGCTATTATCGTGGAGGTAATCGTAGCAACTACAGCAGAAACACTTCTTACGGCTACAGAGTAAGTAGGAATTAAAAAAAAAAAAAAAAAAAAAAAAAAAAAAAAAAAAAAAAAGTTTGACTTTTGTACAACCTTGGATCTTTATCTCATCATCATTTTTTAAATGCTTTTTTTTTTTTTAGTCACAACAACAACAACAGCAAGTCGAATCTCAACAACAATAGAATGAATTGGATGATGGATACCTTACACTTTCTTTTTTTTTTTTTCTTGTCCCCTTTTGTCTTTTAATCACTTTTTCTTTTGCTATGGTTTAGTTTTTTTTTTTTTTTTCGTCTATATTAGTATTATTTACACTTTCTCACTGTCTCCATTCTCTTTTGTCTTTCTTTTTTTTTTACATGATTTTTTTGACTTTGTAATATATTTTGAAGCCAAAATCAGAAAAAAAAAGTCTTAGTTTAGTTATGTATATTCGTGATAAAACCCAAACACTTGTGAATAAAGACCATGATTACCTTAGTCAATTATTTTATAAAACTAGATTATGATCCATGTGAGAGTCAATGATCGGGATTTGACACCTCGAGTAAACTCATGCGTCCGCCTTTTTTTTTCTTCCTTTTTTTAAATCAACAAAGGTAAAGGAATACTCTTTTTATTTTAAATGTTATTATGTTATGAAAGTAAGCGAATATATGTATCTATTTTGACATATGTGTGAACATATATCTTTCTCTGAACTAACAGTTTGTTTCATCGGCTCATTCTCTCATCTGACTCTTTTGGATAATTAAAGAAAGGTATCTTTATATTTTTGCCATTCTACCAGTAGCCGTTGCTGTCCAAAATATTTTCTATCATCCCATCATTCATCATAAATAGCATATTCTAGAATAAATAGTCAGTGGAAGAATCAAATAGTTCAAATAATATACATTTTTTATTTAAAAATACAAACGTGAGATGATCATACATGAATTCGTAATGAAATAAAAAAAAAAAAGGAGGATTGGGTGAATCATATATCATGGTAGATATTATTGTTGTTGTTGTTGTTGTTGACATAAACGCTGTCCATCGTTTGTTCTCCTTCTTGTTTGATAGTAGTTCTTGATTGCATTTCCATATTCCTTGAAGCCATCCACACCACGGAGAAGTTGATTCAATATGATTGCACTAAAAGTTGCACAACCGATGCCATCCAATTGAAAATTCCCTAGAACAAGCTGTCCTTGCATCGTGCTTGCCAAAATCATAGGAACGACTCCAATGAATATATTTCTTGCATCTGTTTTTTTTTTTTTTTTTTTTTTTTTTTTTTTGTTTTTGTTTTGTATGAATAAAAAAAAAATGAGTTCCTAATCCTACACTATCTTTCATTCCTATTATCTTTACCAGAGAAATCCACCTTGTTGTCGATCCAAATCTTAATTCCGGTAATGGTGATGATTGCATAAAGAACCAAAGTAATGCCACCAAAGACACCTATGATATAAAACGTAAGAGTCAATGATGATCTTCAAAAAATAAAAAAATAAAATAAAATAAAACCTTTGTTCCTTTTTACGTATATATATACGAGTGTACGTGTGAGTGATATTACCTGGTGGGATACTATTGACGACAGCACCAAACTTTGTAAGCAGACCCAAGATGATAGCTATCAATGCAGCAAACACAATGACTAATGGAGAATATATACGAGTCACAGAAAGAATAATCAAGTTTTCAGCATAAGTTGTCATTGGCTAATAACAACAGTAAAAAGAATAAATGATATCAGTCATGATTAGTACAAAGTATTCTCATTTCTATCGTATTCATACCTATCACTTACCGCTGTCCCAACAATGCCACACAAGGTGGTTGCTAACGCATCGCCTAAATAAGTCTTGGCAAGATGATGATCCAAAGGTGTTTGTGTGATAGAAGAAAGAGCCTGTAAGTGTCTATTTGTAAAATGTAAATAATAAAACAACGTCAATAAAGATGTTACTGATGATGGATGATGGATGATGGATGATGATAATGTTGATGTACGACTTAGTAGTACTATTTACTTACCCCATGTTTTCTGCTAGCAATACAATAAGGACAGGTGCCACAGTAGAAATAGCGGGTGCTTGGAATAGAATGGGTGAGTTGATCATAGGCGCACGAATCCAAGGACTAGAAGAAACTTGACTGAAATCAATTGGAGGACCTGCTCCCTTGAGACCACAAATCAAATTGATTATATATCCAACAATTGCACCTGAAAGAATACATCTATATTATTCCCCTCAACCAAATATAAAAATAAATATATACTAATCTCTTCATTGGTAATATTCATATAGGAAAAGAGAATAGAATAACTTACAATCGACGGAGTAGAGGGAATGGAGCATAAACAGCGATAAACATGGTTGCTAAAATGGTTGTGAGGGCCATATATGTATCAAAAGGAGTTGAAGTTGCCTGATGAAAAGAGGAATAAACAAGATGAAGACCAATACTAGCAACGACTGAACCAACTACCACTACGAAAAACAAGTCAAATTGAATCATTATTTCCTTTTTTTTTTTTTTTTTGATTTACCAGGAGGCATAATCCATCTAATCCATTTGTAACCAAAGACAAAGACCAATAAAGAGACGCCAACATACATCAAACCAAGTATCACCAATGCTCCTTGTACTGCAGATATATTTGGATTAAGAGTTCCATTCCCGTAAACAAAACCAGTGATACTAAGCACAGCGCTTGTAGCTGACCCGGAGCTTCCAAGATAACAAGGTACCCTACCTCGTACAACTATAAAAAACAATATTGTACTTATTCCCGAAAAGAATAATGCAGCTACAGAAAAAAATAACAATAATTAAATAGTGTCGCTTATAACATACAGTATAACACTTACTATTAATATCAAACCCCATTTGCATTGCTGAAAAAAAGAGAGAGAGAGAGAGAGAGAGAGAAAAAGAAAAAGGAAGGTCAGCATTTAACATTCCGTACATCAACACGATGACCTTTTTCTTTTTTGACTTACGAATGAAAACTGTTCCACTAAACATGGCTAAAACATGCTGTAAACCAAAAACAATACACTTGTAGATTGGTGGACGTTCATTAATTTTGACTAAATCTATAGAATAATAATAGTAATAACAATAATAAGGAAATCAATATCTTTTTCTTTTTGTATTTTTAATCGAACTCACCTGATCCTGATTGTAGTTGATAATAAGGAAAATAGTTTTTGATCCCGTGCCAAATGGTAGGATAAAAAGAAGCCGAGTTTGTACTTGATGTTGATGCAGTTTGTATAGTTTTGTTATGAGTGTGATCACCAATAGAATCCATTGAAATAACATTTGTTGTTTCCGAGTCCATATTTTTCATAAATAAAACGAAAAGTCAAGATACCTAAATATAAAAAAGAAAAAAAAAAAAAGAAAAAAGGAAAGGAGATAAGTAAATATATGCACTCCTTCTTTTGTACAGTCCATCATGCAATCAAAGCGATAAACTTACTCCGACTGGTCATCAAGATACTGTTATCAGAAGAGATAATACCAAAAAAAAATATATATAACCTAATGTTAATAGTAATGATAATAATAAAGTCTAATTCAAATTCTAATACGACACAATGTAGATATAGTTGTATATTTATAAAAGATAATAATAATAATAATAATAATCAAAGATAATGAGGGAAACCAAAAAAAAAAAAAAAAATAGACTTCAAATGTATACATAAGGGGAAGGTAAGGGAGATCCATTGCTTCAAAAATCTTCGTTTGCTTCCTTAATTTCATGTAGTAAAGCGTTGTCAGGATTCAAGCTTTGGAAAAGTCGATAATCAAATTTGCCGTTCTTCATCAATCGAGTAGCCATACGATCAATAGCTATAACTGCCAATACCGTTTGAATATAAGCATCGATCAAATCATCTATTCCCAAACCCAATTGATTGAAATCTTTTCGGTCCATTAGTATCAATCTTGAGGTATCTGTTGTCCAGCCACCATCAGGTAATTTCACCGATAAGTTTGTACCCAACATATCCCATGTATCAGCTTTTTCATCAAAAAAAAATAATATGTTAATATCATCATCTCATCATCATTCTTCTTACCATGTGGATCCAAACTTGATGCTAATGGAAGTCGAGCTTTCCTGCCATAGATACAAATAGGTCGAAATCCTTGAGCACTACCTATTTTTATATAATATATAATATTAATAAACTAATGGATAATATTTGATTGTTAAACTTACCAGTCACCATCATCCTTAAATCACTAACAAAGGTATTACTCTTCTTATTCGGGATGGTACCAACATGATAAAACTTCCCACTTCGTGTAACACTTGACCAAGAAGCATTTCCAACCAAAGATTGAACAATAAACTATAAATAATAAAAAGAAATGAATATATATCATTCGTGCTTGATATATATATAATCCAAGTGTACCTTGTCATAGTGATGATCTTGCTTGATAAAGTTATCCAATTCATCATCATTCGTGATGGTATAAACACCTTGACCTGTAACAAAAGATAATAACAAGTGAGACAAATATTAAATATACTTTTTTGTTAGTACAGAAAATTTCCATTTTTGTAATATGTATATATATATATTTTTTTTGTCATACCGGCATTACTATAAGGAACTTTCAAGACAGCATGTCCTCCCATTGACTGGATCCAAAGAGGGATTTCTCCAATAGTCACATTATTGATCGTTTCAGGTGTACGGATATTCAAACCAGTGTCGACAAGTTCGGAATTGTAAAAATCATAGGCCCGAGCAGCCATCATTTTGTTTCGGCCGCCTGCTAGACAGCTGATGATTTGATTCATGACAATGGTTTTGGTCTTGAGAGGGAAACGATTCCAGGGTTTTTGAGTCAAATAACGGAAGCAAGCACGAATAGGATGCCATTCACGATCTACCAAATCACGTACATAAAGAACACGATCTACCCATTTCACATTTGGATCAGGATCATCAACGTTCCATTCCACCAACCAAACATCTTCTTGAGATACATCAGCTAATACGGAAGCATAACCAGAGGATTCCATCAAATTTTTGTCGTAAATTACCGCCAATCCACCCAATGATCGGTCTGCTTTTGAAAGTTGTTGTTGGAATGCAGTTTCAATCACCAATCGATAACCACCTTGTTCATTGTGTTCATCCGTTTCTGATAAAAGAGGCATTGATTTTTGACCAGAAGGACAAGAATTTGTTTCTATAACAATCATTTGTCGTTGACCAGAAGCTGTTGTTACATTGAATAAATCAGATCCTAATAAATAAAAATAAAAAAAAAATAAATGAAATGGAATATAATAATAATAATAATAACAATACCTGCCCATTGGAAATGAATTGGTTGATAAGATAATAATTCTTTAAGATGATCAGGTTTGACTTGAGGATTCAAATGGGTATAACGGGCAATGATTCGGTCATTTCCAAGTGAAAAAAAAGATTGAACCAAAGGATGAATTTGTGCATTTAAAACACGAGGATAAAAATGACGATCAGATTCAAATTCACCTTGAGATATTAATCTTGGCACATTTTCAGTAGTAGTATTTTCTTGAGGTGGTGTTCTTGGAGGTGATGGTGCTGTTGATACAGATGTACGTTTCTGTTTCTTGGATTCACGAACTTGTTCATCTCTTGTAGGTGATCTTCTTGTAGATGATTGTAATAGATCCGTCATCTTGTAAAATATCTTGATATATTGTGAATATAAAACAATAAGAAAGAAAAAAAAATTTTTTTTATTTTTATATAAAACCGGAAAGAAAGAAAAAAGAAAAAAAAAAAAGAGGGAGTTTTTTTATTTTATTTGGTTTTTTCAATTGGTTGAATTCCCTCTGTGCAGGATAGATCGTCCAAAAAAGGCAAGAAACTCCTCCAGTCTTGAACTTGTCTTATCCAATAGCTTGAGACATGCTTGTTTTTTTTTTTCCCAACCCATAGATTTGTTATCCAATAAGAAAATATATCAGTTTGACATGTCCAAATAAAAAAAAAAAAAGAACTCTGTTCTTATCCTAAAAATAAATACATACGCGTACCTACAAACACGTTCACGTCTCAAGATATGGACTCCACTTACTCCTTTTGTCAGTATGAGTGGGGATGTCTTTTCAATTTCCGTCCCAATTTCTTTAACTTTCCCTTATTGTTCATCATCACGTAATGCTTTGACAACAACAAAACAAAAAAAGAAAAAAAAAAGGCTTGAAGAATGATAAATACATAAATTATATTGAATATAATTTATTTGATATAGAAAAAAAGAAATAATAAATAATATAACATATTAATTAACTATACTACCTCTATTACTACTCGTTCTACTATCTATTACTATTGCTATCTAAGTCTTTTGAGAGACAAGAGACAAAAAGAAAAAAAAATATCTCCAGCGTAACGTCATGTACAGATTTATATATAAATTTCAAATAGCGCAACTTTTGTCTTGGCTGGCGTTGGTTGACACGTTGAGATTTTTTTTTTTTGTTTTCCCTCTCTCTCTCTCTCTTTTCTTATTTTTTTTTTTTTCATCTGTAAAAGTTATTTTTTTTTTCTTTTGTATCATCTTTTCCAGAATATACACTTTTACGTGATCATTACTTAGACTTATCTTTTTCCTTCTTTTTATATTCTTCAAATCACTTTTACATCTTACTTTTGTATTCATCAACTTTTATCATTCGACACAACTCGGTTCAAAAAGGTACATACACATCTATCTCTTAGTTTTGTTTTATATCGATGAAAGGAAATAGGCTCCTTACTTTATTTTTTATTCAAAAGTATTGTTTGGTCCTGTTTTTTTTTTTTTTTTTCGAAGATATTATCATTCTTTTTTTTTTCTATCATCATCATCTGTCATTAATCCTTCACTTTTTTTTTTTCTTTCTTTCTTTTCTGATAGAATTATTATACGTCAAGGATGCAGATGCTTACAAAGGTATAAAGGAGGAACATAGAGAGAGAAAACGGTTTAGGTACCTACTCACTTGGACATTTCTCTTCCTTTTTTTTTTTTTTTAGTTTGAATCGAAAAGCAATCGCGTCAAAGGAATCGCCTTCCATCCTAAACGACCATGGATATTGGCTTCTTTACATAATGGTTGTGTACAACTTTGGGACTATCGTATGGGGACTTTATTGGAACGTTTTGATGAACATGATGGTAAAAAAAAATAGTATACTATATATATATATTTATTATTTGAATATTCATTCCTTTTTTTTAAAAAAAAATTACATAAATTATATATAGGACCTGTTCGTGGTATTGCTTTCCATCCCACACAACCACTTTTTGTCTCTGGAGGTGACGATTATAAAATCAAAGTATGGAATTACAAGACTCGTCGATGTTTATTTACTTTAAATGGTCATTTGGATTATGTACGTACTGTATTTTTCCATCATGAATATCCTTGGATTATTTCATCATCAGATGATCAAACTATTCGTATCTGGAATTGGCAATCTCGTACTTGTATTGCTATTCTTACTGGTCACAATCACTACGTTATGTGTGCTCAATTCCATCCAAAGAATGACCTTGTGGTATCTGCTTCTATGGATCAAACTGTACGTGTATGGGATATTTCTGGTCTTGTTAAAAAGAATCAAGCTCCTTCTGCAATGTCATTTGATGATCCTTTTGCTAGACAAAACTCTCAAGCTGATCTATTTGGTTCTACTGATGTTATGGTCAAATACGTATTGGAAGGTCATGATCATGGCGTCAATTGGGCTTCCTTCCATCCTACTCTTCCTTTGATTGTATCTTCTGGTGATGATCGCCAAGTTAAACTTTGGAGAATGAATGGTAATAAATAAATAAATAATCAAATGATTTATATTAATCTACGTTCTTTCTTTCTTTTTTTCTTAGATTCCAAGGCATGGGAAGTAGATAGTTGTCGTGGTCATTTCAATAACGTATCAAGTGCTATCTTCCATCCTAGACAAGAACTTATTTTATCTGATGGTGAAGATAAATCTATCCGTGTATGGGATATGACAAAACGAACAGCCGTTGCCACCTTCAGAAGAGATCATGATCGTTTTTGGGTATTAACTGCTCATCCTGAATTGAATCTTTTTGCTGCAGGTAAAACAAAATATAGATTGTTTATCATCATATCTCATTTTTTTCTTCTATTTTTATTTTTTCAAGGTCATGACAGTGGTTTGATTGTTTTCAAATTGGAACGTGAACGTCCCGCTTTCCAAGTTCACCAAAGTCAACTGTACTACGTGAAAGATAAGATTGTTCATGTCCATGACTTTGGAAGTACTGCTGATCAAGAAGTTCTTAGTGTTCGCAAATTGGGATCTCAATATATTCAACCTCGTACATTGTCTTATAATCCTGCTGAACGTGCTGTGCTCATTACCTCAGTAAGTAAAAATAGAAATAAAATCGGATGACACTGTTGCTATGCACGTTCTAACACTTTTTATTCGTTCAGCCGCAAGATGGTGGTATCTATGAACTCTATCATTTGCCCAAGAATTTGTCAGGTTCTTTGAAAGAACCTATGGATGAATCTAAACGTGGTACCGGTCATTCTGCTCTCTTCATTGCTCGTAATCGTTTTGCTGTATTGGACAAGACTAATCAACAAATTCAAATCCGTGATCTCACCAATACTGTCACCAAATCATTCAAAACCCCTATTCCTGTGAATGAAATCTTTTATGCTGGTACTGGAAGTTTGATTATGGCTACACAAACTTCTGTTATTCTGTTTGACCTTCAACAACGTCGAGTATTGACAGAACTTCCTGTGGCTACTGTCAAGTATGTGGTATGGTCCAATGATCAAAATATGGTGGCTTTATTGAGCAAACACAGTAAGTGATTATGAACGAAAACAAAAAAGAAATTGAGTGTATATTATACAAGATAAGTGATGTTTAACCTAATATATTCCTTTCTTTCATTCTTTTTTTCCTTATTAGCAATTACACTTGCCGATAAGAATTTGAAACAAATCTGTCAAATCCATGAAACGATTCGCATCAAGAGTGGAACTTGGGATGATTCTGGTGTCTTTCTATACTGTACTTTGAATCATATCAAATATGCATTGCCTCAAGGGTAAGAAGGATGAAAAAAAGGTCGAGATGATTTGATCAAAAGTGTATCTTAACCTTCTATTTTATAGTGATAGTGGTATTATTCGTACTTTGGATCAACCTGTGTATTTGACTCGTGTCAAGGGAAAGACATTATATATTTTGGATCGTGATGGCAAGGCTCGTTCTATTATGATTGATCCTACTGAATACCGATTCAAGTTGGCTCTTATCAAACGTCAATATGAAGAAGTACTACATATTATTCGCAACTCCAATCTGGTTGGACAATCTATTATTGCATATTTACAAAAGAAGGGTTATCCTGAGGTAAATACATATAACAAAAATTGGAAATGGATGAAATCTAAAAGATTTACGTTATTTTTTTTTCCCTTCTATAGATTGCTTTACACTTCGTCCGTGATGAAAAGACTCGATTTGAATTAGCTTTGGAATGTGGCAATTTAGATATTGCATTGGAAACAGCAAAATCAATGGACAAAGCTGATTGTTGGATGAAGCTCAGTGCTGAAGCATTACGTCAAGGAAACTACAAGGTAAATATATATATATATATGAATTGGAAAGACGACAAAATGAGAGAAATGATTTACTTACGTATTATCTTCTTTTTTTTTTTTTTCTGTTGACCTTTATAGATTGTGGAATTAGCTTATCAACGAACTCAAAACTATGATCGCCTTTCTTTCATGTATCTTTCAACTGGCAATGAAACCAACCTTCGCCAAATGATGAAGATTGCTGAACTTCGTGGTGATCCTATGTCTCGATTCCAAAATGCTTTATACCTTGGTGACATTGAAGAACGAATTCGATTGCTTGAAGATGCAAATCAATGTAAGTTTCTATTTAATATTATTCTATGTTAAAATAGAGGATGGGAGTTGTGATATATATTAGTGCGCCTTTATTAATTTAACTTCTCTTTTTATCTCTATCAATTTTAGTACCTCTCGCTTATATGACCGCCAAGGCCAATGGACTTACTGAACGTGCTGAAGCTATTCTTGCTGCCGCAGGAAAGACGGAAGAAGATATCCATCTTCCTACCATATCTACTGATCAATCTATCTCACGACCCAAACCCTTGTCACAACTTGAAGATCCCAACTGGCCTTTGTTGACTGTATCCAAAAGTTTCTTCGAAACCGCCTTTACCAATGCTAGTGTTGACAGTAATGGACCTACCAATCTTGCTACTGGACCTACCTTCAAATTTGATGAAAATATTGATGACATGGGCGATATCGATGGTGGTGAATGGGGTGGTGATGATGATATTCTTGATTTGGCTGGTGACAAGCATAACCTTAGAAATGAAGATGATCTCTTTGAAGCTGGTGAACAAGATCTTTTGGATATTGGTGGCGGCGATGAAGATGGTGGATGGGGTCTGGATGATGATATTAAGGATGACATTGATGCTGAAATTAGTCGTGTGGCGGCCAAGGAATCTGCTGAATTTGTACCTCCTACTGCTGGACCAAGTGAAAGTGCACAATGGCTTCAAAACTCTCCTTTGGCTGCTGATCATATTGCTGCAGGTTCCTTTGAATCTGCCATGCAGGTAAAGAAGAAAAATATATTATAATAATAACATTAAAAAAAAAAGGAAGATATGATTTGTATATACGTGTATGATTAACTAATCTATCTCTTTTTTTACATATATTTCCAATTAGACTTTGAACCGTCAAGTTGGTATTGTCAACTTTTCACCACTCAAGAACCACTTTTTATCTATCTATGAATCATCACGTATTTATTTGTCACCTATGGCTTCCAATCCTCCTTTGCAATTCTATCTTCGACGCAATCCAGAAGAATCGACAACACGCACCAGCTTACCTCCAGTATTATACAATGTAGAGAATCTTAGCCGTATGCTTCAAGCAGGTTATCGACTTTTCTCATCAGGACGACTTGCTGCCATCTCTGTACAATTCAAGACTGTTTTGCATGCTGCGTTATTCACGGTGGCTGCTGATCAAAAGGAAGCGGATGAAGTGTCGCAATTAATTGACATATGCAGGGAATATATCACTGGTGTGGCTTTAGAACAGATGCGACGATCGATATCATCATCAGCTACAGCAACAGAACCAGCACAACAAAAGCGGGCATTAGAACTAGCATCATACTTTACTCATTGTCAGTTGCAATCAACACATCTTCAAGTGGCTCTACGACAGGCAACCAAACAAGCGTTCAAGCTCCGGAACTTCATCACTGCATCTCAATTTGCACGTCGTCTACTTGAATTGGCTCCTGCTGCTGCTATTGCTGAAGAGGTAACTTTTTTTTTTTTTTTTTTTTTTTTTTACAACAGAAATTATATACTAAATCTACTTTGCATAGGCAAGACGAATTCAAGCTGTATGTGAACAAAATTTGCGTGATGATATCGATTTGGCTTATGATCAGTACAATCCATTTGTGGTATGTGCCATCACTTATGAACCAATTTACAAGGGCTCACCCAAGACGACATGTTCATTCTGTCAAGCATCCTACAAACCTGAATTGGCTGGAAAACTATGTACGATTTGTGATGTGGCTCAAATTGGATCCAATGCAAGTGGACTTCGTGTATTGGCTTAGATTTATTTATATATCTCTCTCTCCCTTTATCTTTCACTACACCATGGTTTAGCGTTTGCTCCTGAAAATCTATTACTACTATATAAACGTTTACTGCACTTCTTTTATTCTTTATTTTCTCCTTTTGTCTCTGTTTCCCATATACATTTTTTACTCTTTTTCTTCCCCCTTTTTATACTTTACATTTACGTACTCTTTCCAAAAAAATAAAATAAAATAAAATAAAAGATAATGACTGATTTTGTTCCATCCTCCTAATAAAACAATGAAGTGTATAGTCCTTTGATGACATGAGTTAAATCAGAATTTTTTTTTAAAAAAAAAACTTGTATTCCAATGTTAATGATCTCCATATTATGACGATTCGCATATGATAATGATTCCTATGATAATGATTCATATGATAGTTCAAGACAAGTGTGTTTATTTATTTGACTGTGATAAAAAAAAGAAGGGCCAATAAATAAAACTAAACTAATCATCATTCAACTTGATGTATCGATGGTGCCATAAGGACATAGGAAGCCAATGTGAGAATCAAAAAATCTTGGGTACAGACCTGTACCAGGTAGCAAAAGGGATCCATTTCTTGAAAAGGGCACAATGAAGATCGGAAGGGTAAAGACAAACCACACCAACGTTAGTAAACGAGCTAGCCACATTGGTACAGCACGCGACAAAAAACGATACCATGGCATACAAGGAGAACTGATTACCGTAGCTACACCTTGAAGAAGAAAAAAAATTGTCTGTTGTCCAAGCATCCCAGGATACGATCGAATGGCGGAAAGACCCACCCTTGCCAACAGGATATAATCATGTAATAATCCAGATGCCAAAAACACAGCCATGATTGCAGCAATGCGTCCCATACATACGCCCATGATTGACGTATTATTTGCCTTTTCTTCCGGGAAAAGTGATCGTACAGGGTCGTAAACCAACTTCTTGAATCCAGGACGGAGGAGTTGATGCCATCGACAACTCCATAGATTGTGTGCCGAATGAGCTAGCCAAGGTTGATCAAACAAAGAAGGTTGCAAGATATAATGACGACTATCATGATAGTGGTGCAATAGCGAAGTCATACAGTCTTTTGTCGGCTTTGTTTTTGTCCATAATACCATCATCATCAAGTGTGCCGACAAGAAGAATCGATAAATCAAATCCACGGCATGTAAATAAGGATGTACAATCAAGAAAGTCACTAGGTAGTATGCCAGCGTTTTCCACGGATACCAGTATAGAATGGAGTTTGCTGTCGGAGGGAACGAACACACGTGGAGCAGGCCATCAAAAAATGACATGATAGGAACCAACAACGCTATATATGTCACGTACTTCAAGAACCAACGTCGACTGTCATGATAAATCACAGAGAGAGAAACAGGTTTAACATCATTCAAAGAAGAAGAAGGTGTTGACGTTGTTGTTGATGCTGTCATTCTGGTAATGGCATTATCCTCACCATTTGAAGATGTTGTGTCTTTGTGGTTGTTGGAAGATCGAGTAGGGCTTTCGTTCCATTGGTGACGGGCTTGGTAAAAAACAGCGAGTTGTTGTCGTTTTTCTTGATTGTTTCCACACTGTCGTAGATCATGTATATAAAACATCATACGGGAGCCGAGAGATATACTCAACGCAACGAAGAAATCATTTTCTTTCCAAAGACCAGCGCCACGATAGGAGATCGGAATTAGCAGTTGGATGATTGTAATAAATACTAGGACGATATCAGGGGTATATTGTTGATGTTTCTCTGTACACAAATAAAATAAGAATGAAGGTATGGAATAGAGAATAATATCTGGCAGTAACATGAATGGAGAAAAAAAGAGCATAAAGAAAAAAAAAAAAAAAAAAAAAAAGGGAAAAAAAGGTTGGAGTCCCGCTTTTATGTTAAATCTATGGCATTTCTGTCCTTTTTTAGGTAAACAGACCATTTGCTCCATGTACCGATGATTTCCATTTGCCGATGATTTGCCGATGATTCTTCTTCCTGATGATTCATATGATGAAGAAGATATTACTATACTGAAGATTCCCGTGATGATCCAAACAAGTGACTTTTTATTTGATTGTGATAGAATGCAAAAATAAATAAATAAATAAAATAACAATAAATAAAAATCATAAATAAAATCTACAGTCTAATCTAATCTAAATCAATCCTCTTTTCCAAAATCTAATTCGTTTGTGCATTGATGGTGCCATAGGGACATAAAAAACCAATATGAGGGTCAAAGGATCTTGGGTATAGAGGCACTTCAGCTTCCACATGTAGTCCAATTCGTAAAAAGGGGTCCACAAAGATTGGCGCAGTGTAAATGATCCACACCCACGTCAATAAACGAGCCAACCACATTGGTAAAATACGCGACGAAAAATTTGACCACGGCATATTGGGAGAACTGATCACCGTTGCCACACCTTGAAGAAGGAAAAAAATAGTTTGTTGTCCAAGCATGCCAGGATAAGATTGAATAGCAGAATGACCTATCATTGCCAGTAAAATATAATCATGTAACAATCCAGATGCCAAAAACACGGCCATCGTACCAGCAATACGTCCCATCCATACACCCATACTTGGAGTCTTGTTTGCCTTTTTTTCCGGGAAAAGTGATCGTACAGGGTCGTAAGCCAATTTCTTGAATCCAGGACGGAAAATCTGATGCCATCGACAACTCCATAGATTGTATGCCGAATGAGCTAGCCAAGGTTGATCAAACAAAGAAGGTTGCAAGATAAAATGGTGAGTATCATCATAATAACGTAATAATGATGTCACACTTGTCGTCCATAACATCATCATCATCAAACGTGTCGTCAAGAAGAATCGATAGATTAATTCCACAATGCCCACATGGAGATGAAGAGTAAATCCAGTCATCAAGTGATATGCCAGAGTTTGCCAAGTAGGAGGGAACCGATGCCAATATGAAATTGTGTCTGTACCTGGAGGTAAAGCACACACACGCAGCAGACCATCAAAAAATGACATGACAGGAACTGACAAAGCCATATAAATCACAGACTCCAAGAACCAACGTCGACTGTCGTATTGAATCACAGAGAGAGACACAGGTTTTTGATCATCAAAAGTTGTTGTTTTTGTCGATGATATGGTGGTGGTTGTAGTACAGTCGCTGTTTGAAGATACCTCGCCAGTATCGTTGTTGTTATTGTTAAAAGATCGAGTAGGGTTTTCGTTCCATCGGTCAAGAACATGATAAAACGCAGTGAGTTGTTGTCGTTTTTCTTGATTGTCACCACAACGTCGTAAATCACGTATGTAAAACGTCATGCCAGCGCCAAGAGACACACTTAATACAGTCAAAATAGCATTGTCGGCCAGGTAACCAGCACCATCATAAAAGATCGGAATAAGCAGTTGTATGACTGTGATAAACATTAGGACAATGTTAGAGGTATATTGTTGATATTTCTCTGTACATAGGTAAAATAACAACGAGGGTATGGCGCATCCAACATAGAGAACAATCTTTAAAAGTAACATGAATGGAGAAAAGAGATCATACGGGGAAAAGAAAAGAAAAAAAAAAAGAAAGAAAAAAAAAAAAAGGAAAAAAGCAAGTCCGCCTTTTATATTTTTCTGTCCTTTTTTGGGCAATCAGGTCATTCAAACGGTCAATAGAAAAATAGTGTATGATTTATTTGTTTTTATACATATAATAAAGTAACTAATGAAGGAATAATATACAAAGAGATATAATAAAAATCTAACTTAATTATACAATGGAATCATGAGTAGTTTGAAGAGAATGTGATTGTTGATGAATTGAAGTAGTTGGTGATAATGTAACAGGTATTTCATACTTGTCCTTTTTAAGAGCACTTGGATCCATGACAACCTCCTTTTCACGTTCAGCAATGATCCATTGGCAAGGGAATAACCAGTTGCACAAAATGTAAACACCACCTCCAATGATGAATCCAATAGGCCACGCCAATTTAAAGATCTTTTCAGCAACAGGAGATACATAGTTTCCAGTTACTCCTGCAAATCCAGGAAGATTGGGTGTAATACCAATAAGATAAGCAGCATACGCACGCCAATTGATACCATAAGTATACCAGTATATACCTGCAGGATCATACAAGTCTGCCACTGAATAATGCCCCTTTTTGACGAAATAATCTATATAGGAAAAAAAAAAGAAGGTAAATCTTAAATCTTCTTCATACAACTGTTGTCTAAATTAAAAAACTACTTACAATCCGCAATCAGAACGCCAGTGATTGGAGCCAAGAAAACAGTATATCCTGTGAGAAAATTGAGAAAAGCTTGTGCACCAGAAAGTAAGTTCCAAGGAGTGATACAGAATCCAATAGCCGCTGCAACATATCCACCACGACGCATATTAATATAACGAGGAAAAACTGCTGCCAGATCTGCACCTACAGGAATTGAGTTTGCCGCCAAATTTGTACCAAGAGTTGCAAAAGCAAAAGCAAAAGCAAGGAAGAAGACAGCCGGTCGACTATCCATTCTATTCAATAAATCAATAGGATTCCATAAAGCCTCCCCATACATATGTTGAGATGCAGATGTCACGACAATACCGATAAAAGAGGTGAAGAAGAATCCAAGTGGAAGTGTGATCAGTTGAGAATAAATGATATCTCTTGGCTTGATAGAATATCTTGCAAAATCAGGTTGATTGACAATCTAAAAGAACAAAAAAAAAAAAAAAAAAGACAATGAGTTACCATTTCCTCTTTCTCTCTTTTTCTAATTATTATTACCAAAGCAGCCATGTTACCAAAACAAGAGATGATAGAACCAATAATACCCCAAGCCATATCTTCGTTGGAAGTAAAAGAAGAAGGTTGATTCACAATAGGACCTAATCCATGTACGTTGACAACAGCCCAGATAAAAAGAGAAATAGCAGCAATAGGTACAACGATTGATTTGAGGGTGAATAGATGACGGATTCTTTCCACAGGGAACCAGATGGCCACACAAGATAATAAAGAAAACAAAAAGAAACCAAGGAAGGCTTTTGTTGTTGTACCAGCATTAGGAGGAAGTGAATTGGGAAGATCATCAATACTTGGGGCAATAGCACGAAGCATTTGATAGACACATTGACCACCAATCCAAGCTTGAACACCATACCAGACTACACCAAGTAAAACCCGATTAAGAATAGGAATGAAAGCACCATACATACCAAAGGAAGCTCTTGTAAATACGGAAAATCCAATATGATATATTGCACCCACTCGACCATTGATTACCAATACTACAGCTGATAATCCATATCCAATAGCAACCACCACCAATGCTTGCCACCAAGAACATCCAAGGGCAACAAATGAACCTCCAATCATAAATGTATTTACATTTAAACAATCAGAAATCCAAAATGCAACATAATTCCAAGTACCCCATGTTCTACGTTCTAAAAAAAATAAATAAAATAAAATTAATATATGATTTTTTTTTTTTTTTTTTTTTTTTTTTTACCTGGAGGAATAGGAGCTAGATCACGATTGATCCAATTATTGTTTGTACTAATATCATTATTCTGTCCAACTTCTAGTTTTTTCAAAATCTGTTGAATATTTTCTTTATTGACTATTTTCATTCTTCATGTAAAAAAAAAAAAAAGTATTCTGTAAAAAGAAAAGAATCGAATCTAATTTTTTTTTTCTGGATACCTTTTTTTTTTTTTTTTTTATCTAATCCTGAGTTTGAAAAAGTCTTCCCAAAATGGGTTATCCTCTCAAACCTAAAAACCATTTAGTAGTTGATAAAAGATATTTGTTATATGATCTTTTTTTTCTTTCACACTAAAATAAGTATGAATGGATTTATAATAATTTGAATTAAATACAAATGTTCATTGAAAATAACGATAATCAAATAGTTAGAACAATAAAGATCAAGAGAAAAGTCGTCATAATAAAACTATGATCGAATCCCTTTCATTATCTATATGATGATAGATAAAACAGGAAAGATAGGAGCTTGAATCAAGATAAACATTATAATCGGTAGTGTTACGTGAAATGATAGAAAGCAGATGATTTCATAAATTAGACTTTTGATTTTCTTGAGAAAGATATAGGTATTTTTGACAAGCCAATAATGGGTTACTCACGTTTTGGAATGGTGGGAAAATAATTTTATACAAATATACCAAAAAAAAAGAAGAAACTTTATTTCAAGAGATATTATCATAAAAAAGTAAAACTATCTATTTTGCACCGGAATGATAAGCCATCATAATACCTTGATTAGGTACAGAAACTTCATCAGGACGACTTGGAAGTGGAGTATACATACCACAAGGACTTGTAAAAAGATTGGACAATAATAAGCCTACCATAGACATAACACCAGCAGATACAGCATCAATCACAGGGACACCTAAATTAATTTCAATATCTTTTTTCAACTGAGACATACCAGCACAACCCAATAGAATCACCTCAGCACCATCTTCTTTAATTGCCAATTGACTTGCCTCCAGTAGTTTATTCATCACTTGATCCACCGATAAGGTTACTGTATCTAAAGCTGTCATACCGGATGATCGTACACTTGCACAACGTTCCATAGAACCCAAAATGGATTGAATTCCTTCCTCTAATAATGGTTTCCAATGAGCTGAATCGGTCACGATAGAGAATTTGGCACCTAAAGGTAATGATTGCAAAATAGCGGCTTCCATAATATGCATTACTGGTTTACTAGTTGCTTCCCGTAAAACCTTAACTGATATATGATGAGAGAAACAGGCAATCAAGACACCGTCATATTCATCTAATAGAGTCATCACTTTATCTACAGTCCAATAGGTCGATACCGCTTCATCAAACGATCCTTCTACCGATGCTACACCTTGATCCGCACTAGTCGTTGTTGCTTCCATTAAGCCTCCTAGTTTTTTAATCGAATCATCCACAGATTGTTGAATTACCAATGTCATTTCTTTGCTTGTATTGGGATTGATGACAAGTAATCGTTTTGCTTTGGTCATGATTTAGATAAACTAAGAAATGTGTTGTCTCTAAAAAAGAGAAAGGTAAAAAAGAAGAAGAAGAGAAAGGAGTTAAAATAAAAAAAATTAGATCTAAAAAAAAGGTAAACTATATTCCCAATCCTTTTATTCTGTCACACACTTACTTTTGTGTTAAAATATAGTTTTTCAACATTTTCAACAAAATTTATTTGATTTTCCTATATTTTCTAATATTAGTTTATGAATCAAGTTTATCTTGAATAAAATATTATGAAGAAGGAAAAAAAGGAAAAAGAAAAGAAAAAAAAAGGTATTCAAGCAGAGGCTGCCTAAATAAAAATTCCCGTTCGGAAGGTAAAATGATCCTTAACTAAAGTTTTATATAGTTATGAATGAAAAAATGTTTCGAATATTAAAATAATAATAATAATAATAATAATAAAGAACAAATAAAGAAAGACCTTCATTTTAAACTAAACTTTTTTTTTTTCTATTATGTAGGACAATAATGCAACTCTATAAGAATATAGTAATCAATGATAAAAGATATTATTATTATTATTATTATTATTATTATTATTTTATGAGGAGTGAATGACTAAGGTAAACCTTTGAAGAAGAATAATTTCAAAAAAGGGAGGATAGATTAGAGTGAGGGAGAAAGGGAAAGGAGAAAAGGGAAAAACCCTTTTGACTTGTTTGGTTACCCCGGAGTCTTAATTAGTTTTTATTTTATTTTATTTTTTTTGTAGGTTAAAGGAATAAAGGACAATAAAAAAGTTCACTTTCCTTTCTTTTCTTTCTTCTTTCTTTTTTTCTTTTCCTCTTTTTCTATATATTCTTCAATTTCTTGTATATCATCTTATTATAATTATTATTTTATTCTTGAATGAAATGGAACGTTTACATTTAAAGGTATCAAGACTTGAAACTCTTTGGTCCTGTCTGGGAACTTGTATCGATTCACTTAGTATCAATGAAAAATTAGAAGTAAAATAATAAATAAAATAAATTACCCCATAACTCATTTTATTATTATTATCTTATAGCATGTCCTTTATGAATTGGATAAAGTTATTGAATATGAAGAATGGCGTAAACTAGTACTTAGTGCTGATATTGAAGATGTGATGGTAATAACAATTCATTCTTTTTATTTTATTTTATTTTATTTTTTTTTTTTTATTTATTTATTTATTCTTTAATAAGGCAAGTATTGAACATGGTTGTGATATTCTCGGTATAGCTATGGAAAGTTTACTTACAACTAATATGAATGATACAATGACCGATAACTGGGAATTCTTTGCAACAAATTGTGTAATGACACCAACATTAGATCGTAAGAAAACTCTTACAACGTTGAACAACAGACTGGCAAACGTATGTATGCATGACAGGACAAGAAATGAATTCTTATAGTTAACATCATCATCATTCTCTTCTCCCCCCCTTTTTTTTTCTATTACCCCCCCCCACTCCTCTCTCTTTCTCCTTATGGATCATAGGAAATACGACAAAGAAGATTACATGTGAAGGAATGGCTACAAGAGATCGATACTATTTGTCTTGAATTAGGTCAATCTCATTCTCTTGGTTCCTATCATGATTATTATGATGATTTAAGTTGGGGTACTGTACAAAAGGTAAAAAATAAAAAAGGAATTACTTTCATTATCTCAATTGGTTTACTTGATTTCTTTTGTTATAGGTTAGTTGTACTTTACGTGATCTTACTCAAAAACAGGTAATAAGAATAATACTGAAAAAAAAAAGAAATATAATAACATCATTAACCCTATGTTTATTATTATTATTATTGTTAGACATCAAACAAAGTTTTATTTGAACAATTGGTTCATTCTATTCATTACTTTTGGACTGTTCTCGATGAACCTATTCATGGTGATGATCCTATCGACATTTCCTTACACCAGCTATGTAGTACTATCAACAATCATCATTTCCATATGGATAACATTCCTCATTTACCACTTGACAAGCATAATATGAACAACAATGCATTTTTGTACTACCGTCATCCATTACCTTTTCCATTGTCCTTACAAGATGATCTCATGATGGTTCTACAATCTAAAGCACATGATTTGGAAGCATTGTACAACAATCGACTGGAAAGATTCAATCATTTTGTGGAAAGCATTCAAACTCTTTGGGAAGAACTCAATGTCCCAGAATCAAAAAAATGTACAATACATAGATCTCTACATGAAGAAAATATGATCAAGGTAATATATATATAAAATAAAATAAAAGAGGGACAAAAGGGGAAAAGGGAAATGGAAAAAAAAATACAAAGGGGATTTTTTTTTTCTTTTTACTAAACTAACGTTTGATATTTTCTTTATATTTTTCATCATTAGCTTCAAATCGATTTTGATCAAATGAAAACAATTGTGCGGACCATGACAGATGAATACCTTGATACGGTAATGATCAATCCGAAAACGAATAACTATTTTATTCACTTGATTTTTTTATTTTTATCAATACAGATCAGACAGGATTTAGTACACTTATGGGACGAATGTTTACTGACACAATATGAGCGTGATGAATTTATGTCCATACTCTATCATAAAGGTAATCATCTCATTCATATCTTTATCATTACAAACGCTAACTAGCTTTTCTTTTTTTTTCGTAGCAAATACAATGGATACTGTACGATCGATCATAGACGAGCATATGTCATACTTGAAAGCTATACAACCAGCGAGTCATATAGTATCAACTATTATGAAAGAAAGAAAAGATTTAATACAGGTAAGAACAATTATATATATAATCGTTGTTAAAAAAAATCAAAACTCATTTCACCAAATTCATTTATAGAAAATGATCGATTTTGAAACTTCGGCCTCTGATCCAAAACGACTATTTCAAGCATCCTTCCAATTGCTTGAAGAAGAACGATGGAGAAAAACCTGCTTCCCAACATTACTTCAACTGGATGACACCCTCACCAAGGCAGTTCAAGATTTTGAAAGGATCTCTGAAAAACATTTTATGGTGGGAAATCGACGGTTTCTTGACATATTGAAAGAGGAAATCATGGACAGAACGGCAAATCAAACCTTTTTTGGATTTTTGAATACGGAACCCAATCATGATCGATCTACACGTGTTAAACCACGCCACAATTCATCAATCTGTCATTCACTTTCCATCAATACCAATAACAACAAAAAATCTAAAACGACTATCTTCTCAGAATCTCCAACACAAGACATGCCTTCAAATGATATTCAACCTCGTCGAAATAGTAACTCTCACAAGCAGCGATCTTCACCAACAGGCAACAATAAACAACATATTACCAATTCTATAGTAACGACAGATCCTCCATTACCTTCTACAACATTATCTTCGTCTTCTTCGGCAATAACCCAACAATTGTCATCATCATCATCCAAATTCTTGAATCAAATATCATCATCTCATTCAACTAGAACAAAGCATCGTCAAGACATTAAAAAACGACGTAGTACTCAATCTATACCAACATCACAAGAACAGACAATGATCATACCCGAACAACACAAATCAAAATCTTACCCAGTTTCAGGTGGCATCAAAAAGAAACGAACCACCCTTTTTGACAATGATACCAGCATACCAAATCATGTAGAAAATAACCATATCAAAAATAACAATCAAACAACAATAACAAATGATGATACTATCACGACATCCACATCACAATTATCACCACCTATATCTCCGTTGACCCCTCGAACTAAGGCTTCTCAAATCCCTGTACGTGCACAACCTCCTTCCAATCGAGCTTCTGTTTCTCCATCTCCAGCTCGACAACAACGGATGCCTGTTCAGTGTGCTTAGTTTTTTTTCTTTGTATTGTAGTATAATGTTAATGCTCAAAAATACCCTCATCAATAAACATTTATTCATTTGACTTTATTCTTATTGTGACATTCACCATAATACTGACTCTATATTTATAAATTAGTGATCATTTTTTTTTTATTTGATTAAATTACAAGGTAAGATAGATCATTATCAAATTGATGAATATCGTGAAACAAAAGAAATAAAGACAATGATTGGTCTTGAATACATTTCTTGTTCTATGCTGGTCAAGAAGAAATTGATCTATTCTTCTGCTATTTTTTATTGTGATCAAAAAAAAAAGGTACTATTTTAAACCTTGATCTATTCTCATCCTAGGCAGGTTGGGATCCCATATTATGCGCTTGGTGCTAAAGGGTTGTTTGGCTTGTTTTTTTTTTTTTTTTTTTTTTTTTTTTTATATAGAGAAAAAGCCTAAAAATGATTGGCTCCATTTGTTCTCTGACTTTATCTGTGGTTGATAAAATAAATTTCGTCGGATGGCAGGAAAACGCATTTTTTCTCTGTTTCTTTGTCACTGATACCCTTCTACTGTTCTGTCATCATGGATATGATAAAAAGTGTACAATACTATGTGAATAAAATGATTGACGATGTGACTGGAATGAAAACTTTATTGTTGGATATCGAAACTGTAAGTAGGATAAAGAATTTTAAAGTAGGGGAAACACTCAGACTAATCAGTTTCTATTTCTCTTGTATATTCATTATCCCTCTGGTCTCTTTTATTCTACCCTTCTTATCACTTTTTTTTTTTTTTTTAGACACCTATAGTATCACTGGTCACTACTCAATCTGCTCTTCTCACCAAAGAATGTTATCTTATTGACCGAATAGACAATCGTCAACGAGACAAGATGAAACACCTCAAATGCATTTGTTTTATTCGACCTACCAGAGAAAGTATTCAGTATCTCATTGATGAATTGCGTGATCCTGCGTATGGTGACTATTATCTATGTAAGTATCATATTATAAAAAAGGACCATTAGATTTATCTTTATATATATGTATATAGTCTTTAGTAATACCTTACAAAAAGCTGATGTGGAACGATTGGCCGAAGTGGATGAACATGAAGTTGTTCGTGAAGTACAGGTAATAAACTTATATGGAGTGAATATCTTCTATATATATATATATATATTGACCAATATGGTGTTTTTTTTTATGATGCAGGAATATTTTGGTGATTATTTAGCCATCAACTCGGATTTGTTTTCTTTTGGTATGTCACCTTATCATCTATTTGGATCCAATATTTCGACTTGGGATGCTACAGCTTTTGAACGATGTGTACGTGGTGTTAGTTCAGTACTACTTGGATTAAAAAAGAAACCTGTGATTCGATATGAACGTGCAAGTTCCATGACACATCAACTTGCAAATGAAATACAGGTTCGTGAATAGAAATAATAATAACAAAAAAAAGGGAATATTATTATGTCAAGATATTTATTCTCTTTTTCTTTTCTTTTTTTGAATCAACTCATAGCGTCGTATTCAACAAGAAGGTCAATTGTTTGATTTCCGTCGCCCTGATACACCTCCTATATTGTTGATCCTTGATAGGCGCAATGATCCTGTCACTCCTCTTCTTACTCAGTGGACTTATCAAGCAATGGTACATGAATTAATTGGTATACATCATGGTCGAGTGGATATGTCAAATGTACCAGATATTAGGAATGAACTCAAGGTATGATACATATACTTTTATATCTTTTTATTTTCTCACCTCTCACTCTATCTATATATACACACACAGGAAATTGCTTTATCACCAGATCAAGATCCATTTTTCAAGAAATCAATGTATTGGAATTTGGGTGATCTAGGCGCAAACATCAAGAAATATGTGGATGAATATCAAAGTAAAACCAAATCCAACATGAATATCGAATCGATTGCTGATATGAAACGTTTTGTGGAGGAATATCCTGAATTCAGGAAACTTTCTGGCAATGTCTCCAAACATGTTGCCTTGGTCAGCGAATTGAGTCGACGGGTAGCTCAAGATCATTTACTGGAACTTAGTGAACTTGAACAAAACTTGGCATGTAATGAAAATCACAACACAGATCTCAAGGTAAGAATAAGACAAAAAAAAAAAAAAAAGACAAGCCATTCTCATTGACTTTTTTTTTTTTTTTTTTTTTTTACTTGTTGGTAGAGTATACGTCAAATGCTTGAAGATCATAATATTTCTGAAGTTGCCAAGATACGACTTGTTCTTCTTTATGCCTTACGATATGAACGAATGCCCAACAATGCCATCAAGTCTTTGGTTGACCTTTTAGATGCAGTAGGTGTCAGTGAAAAATATAGTGCAGTAAGTTGAATAGAAAAAAAAAGATCTAGATTATCGTTTTTAGTGACTTAAAATGCTTTTTTTTTTTTTTTTTAAAAAAAAAAAAAATCTAGTTAGTTCCTGCCATTCTTTTTTATGCTGGATATCAACAACGACAAGATGATCTATTTTCCAATCAAACATTTTTATCAAGGGGCAAAAGTGCACTGAAGGGACTTAAAGGAGTTGAAAATGTATATACACAACATACGCCTGTATTAGGGGAAACATTGGATCTACTCATCAAGGCTCGATTGAAGGATACAGATTATCCTTTTGCAGATGGTACCCATCAACAAGCAAGAGAAAGGTGATGTGATAGAAAATGATTTACCAAGAAATGATTTCATCTCATTTATCTTTATATATATATAGACCACAAGATATCATCGTGTTTATGGTTGGTGGTGCAACTTTCGAAGAAGCAAAATATGTGGCTCAATTGAATGCAACGACTCCTGGCGTTCGAATTGTCCTTGGTGGCACTTGTATCCACAATTCAAAAAGGTACTATCGTGCTCCAGTCACATTATGATCGTTACTTACTTTTTTCTTTTCTTCTTCTTTGATTTAGTTTTATGGAACAAGTAGATCAAATTGGAAAAAGTTACATGAATTAACATAGTCTCCTCCTAATAGATTATCTCGTTACCATTATTCTTATTCTTATTATTATTTTAGAGGGGATGATATCATCTTAATGGAAATAATAAAAAAAAAATGTACAATTCATTTCGATATGGAAAATGTTATCGTAATTGGAAGGATCATTAGGAGATAAACGATTTATCAATTAGGTGATGAGAGAGCAGTGAAAAGATCAAGAGTGAGTTGGAAAAGGGGAAGCGAGAGAGGTATATGATCCAATTTCAAGATTGGTTTAACGATGAACTATAAGGTAGATTACTTATGGGTAGCATAAGAATGATGATCGTCTTTTCGACTTCAATTAAATGTATCGATGAAAATAAGCAAACTGAGACATTATTTCATTCGCATCATGTCAATGCGTGCTCCTTCTTTTTAGCCCATTTCTTGTTTTGATACTGATTTTTTATTTTAGGATTTTTTTTTTATTGAGCATCAGTGAATGGTGATATAATCAATTTTTTTTTTCATATTGGTCATTTTAGGTGGAACATCTTTTTATAGATAATAACCTGTCCATCCATCATCTCCAAATACAATATTATGCAACAAAAAAAAACAATAAAATAAAAAAAAAATCAGATCTGTTTATTTCATATTAAATACAACTATATACAAAAAACTATACTATCCAATAAAAATATATCATTGATCATCGAGTATAGCGCGTTTCCTTTTCTTCGCTGAGAATTTTTCTTTTTTGCGTTCGTCAGTATCACAGCATGGACGGAGGGCCAGAGGTTTATAATGTTGCATTGAAGAAGACAAACCAGCACCCAAGACAACTTTGTGTTTTCCATCTTGAATAGGATCGCAAGCGGTCTGTTGAGAGAATAATTCACAGGTCAAGGCACGAACTTGTTGAGCATAAGCCATTTGATCCCAATGGGTAGCAACACGATACGATGCTGAGGGTGCGTAATGCCATACTATCGAGTCAAAGGCACAGTCGTACAGAATCAAAGGAAGATCACTTGCCATGGGGTATTCCGGTCGTCCAGGGTATCGTGAGATATCCATCAAATCCTTGATGATCGTGGGTGGTTCCAAATGCTGCCCAATCAGAAACAATACAGACATCATACACCGTACTTGATGCCACAAGAATGCCGTACCTTGTAATTCCAATTGAACCATATCTTTTTCTTTGACATCGTCTAATGATGTTGGAAGGAGGGTGCAGCGAAGAATACATCGATGATAATCCGTGATATTCTTTGATGGATCCAATTTACAAAAGTTGCGGAAATCATGAGTGCCGACAAAATCTTGAGCTGCTTGTTGCATCAAATGAAGATCCAGTTGTTCTTTTCGGAAGAGGTAGCGATACGTTCGAGATCGACAATCAAAGCGAGCGTTGAGTTGAGATGCCACAGGTGCCCAGGCCAGGATATGAATATCATCAGGTAATGCTCCATTCAACATGTCCACATAAGGTAACTCTTCTTCCACAGGTAAAAAATCATCATCCTCCTCCTCTTTTTTTTGTTGTGAGAGTTGCTTGGAACGAACATTCAATATGATCACTTGCCCTAGTCCACTGACGCCACGATCTGTTCGTCCACACCGTGTATAATCACAAGAGTCCCTATCAACAATGAGTCTACAATGTTCCAAAGCATAAAAAATAGGTCCTTCAACAGTAGGTATATTGACTTCATCCCCTTGAGCAGCAAATCCTGCGTATTTCCAACCAAGATAGGCCACTTTGAGGGCAATACGTCGTTGTCGATATTTGGTCATGTCAAATGGTCGTTGTTGTTTCTTGTGTTTCTTTGTTGATTTATTGTTGCTTAGTTTATTTTCACTTTGTTGTTCCAACTTTTCAATATGTGATAATAGTTGTTCTTTCGTCCAATCCTTGTACTTTTCCATCTTGTCAACTAGATAAAGAAGAAAAAAAAAGAACAGCGAAAAGAAAAAAGAAAAAAAAAAAAAGAAAAAGGGGACGAAGCCACCAAATACTCCGTTCGAGCATTCTTTTTTTTTTTTTTTAATTTTTCTTTTTCGTTCCTCTTTTTTTTTTTTTTTTTTTCCTGCAAATATGAATTCTAACTTTGATGAAGCTGGAAAACGATTTTGGCAATGGCTTATAGATAATAAAGCTATAGTATCTGATGCTATTGCTTTTAAGGATTACCGTGATGAAAATGCTGGTCGTGGTGTAGTGGCTACTCAATCTATCAAGGTAAGTAGGTTTATCTATTCAAATTGAAAAGAACTTATATTGGTATTATTTTCTTCACATTTAGGAAGGTGACATGTTATTCAATATCCCAAGATCTTTACTTTTCTCCACGAAAACGGCGCAATTGGCTAACAAGGAAAACATGGCAACTATTTTACAAGAATTAGAAGGTTGGACACCACTTATTTTATGTATGATGTATGAACTTGATCGGGAGGATTCCTTCTGGAAACCTTATTTTGGTAAAACAAGACTTTTTTTTTTGATATATTCATGTCAAAATTGATTTTTTTTTTTTAGATTTACTTCCTAGATCTTTTTCTACACCGATGTTTTGGACAGATCTCAAATCATTGGAGGGAACAGATGTGATCAACAAGATCGGCAAAGAACAAGCAGATCAATGTTATGATGAACAAATTGTTCCTATTATCAAAGTATGTGATAAAGAATGAATTTGATAGGTCCTTTTTTCTAATCTTTTTTTTTTTTTTTTTTTTTTTTTTTGATGATAGGCCCATCCAACTTTATTTGATCTCAATGTTCACACCAAGGATTTGTTTCATATTTGTGGCTCATTAATTATGGCGTACAGCTTCCACGACGAATATAAAGATGAAACAGACAACAATGGTAATGGTAACAACGACAAATCTAATGATAATGCCGAAGATGAAGAAGAAGAAGAAGAAGAAGAAGAAGAAGAAGAAGAAGAAGAAGAAGAAGAAGAAGAAGAAGAAGAAGAAGAAGGATTATTGGCAATGGTTCCTATGGCTGATATGTTGAATCATAAGACTGGTCATAACAATGCACGACTATTCCATGAAGCTCAGGGTTTAATGATGAAGGCTATCAAGGATATTAACCAAGGGGATCAAGTATACAATACATATGGTGATTTGTGCAATGCAGATTTGTTACGCAAGTATGGGTTTACCGATGACAACAATCCACATGATCTAGTTGAAATTGATGGTGAAGATGTGATGAAATTGTCTTGCTCAGAGGACACTGATGAATCGATGAAAGAAGAAAAGGTAAAACAACATTTTATATATGTATTATACTTATCACTCATTTGAATTCTAATCTTTATAGTTATCTTTTTTGATGGATGAAGGCGTACTGGATGAGTAAGTTTTGTGATGGTGATACAATATTTTGAAAAGATGTGTATTTATTTACCCTGAAAAAAAAAAGTTATTTTGTGATAGATGGCGATCATGAGATCCCCCCTGAAATGATTATTACTAGTAAGTTCATATCGAGATGGGATACTTTCGTCATCATACAAATATACTTATCAAAAAAAAATTTTTTTTTTGTTATCTTCTTTTACTATAGTCATTGTTTTTGGTAGTTCTCGTGAAGTCTTTGAAAAAATGGTGGCTAAGGAAAAGTTACCGAAACCAAAATTGACTGATCAAGTTAAACAAGTAGTCTCCACTATATTAAAACATCGTTTATCAAAATATCAAACTAGTTTGAAGGTAAAAAAAAAAAAAAAAAAGAGTTTGATGGGGTGTGTATATGATACATGATGTGTTTATATATAGGATTAAATATTTTTATTATTTTGGAAACTATTTTTGTACTTACATTTCATTTCTCTCTCTTTTTTTTTTTTTTTTTTTTTATAAAAAAACAGGAGGATTTAGAACAGATTCAAGGGACACAAGATGAAAATGAAAAGAATGCAATCCGTATTAGGATTGGAGAAAAGCAGATATTAGAACATACATTAGACTTATTAGTGAATAATAATACTTTAGAAAAACGACCAACCCCCCTTAGTGTAGATCATCCCAATAAAAAAACCAAAAAATAAATATTTATATCGTTTCATCAAACGCCCTTTTGCCACAATAAAAATCGTTAGTTTATCAAAAAGTTTCTTTTTTTTTCCTATTTACTTGATTTGGAATTTTTGCTTGAAACAGAAAAATTTACCCATATATGGTAACGAAATAAAGAAAAATATAAATAGCCCTTTTTCAAGAAAAAAAAGGAAATATTATTCCACTTTTATCCTTTTTTTTTCTATTATTCTTTTGAACCTTTGAAGGTTTATATTGTATTTTTTTTTATTTTTTAATTTATATATCAATTTTGTATTATATATATAACATCATGGTTGTTCCTCTTGCTTCCATTTCAACATCATCCACATCATCCACAGGCTCTCCTACACTTGACTTTTATCATAGTCCTGAACCAGCTTTATCATTTATGGTGAAAAAGATAGATGGATTATTGGATTGCTCAAGTAAACCATCACATCATCATCGGTTACCATCATTACAAAGCTTTGTTCGCCAAGTATATGTGAAATGTCGATTATCACCTTCCATTTTGGTCATTGCCTTGATTTACATTCATCGATTACAACAACAATTACCTTTGGATTCAAAAGGTGATTATGATACTCCTCATAAGGTCTTTTTGGCTGCTGTCTTGTTGGCTTGCAAATATAATGAAGATTCTAAAAGTCTTGCTCAAGCTATTTATCGTTGTGTCTCTGTTGTTTATACCAATCTCGACCTCAATGAAATGGAACGTAGCTTTTTGGGTGTTGTCAAGGTAAAGAAAAAAAAAAGATAAGTGACTTTTTTCTCTTTTCTATATTAATCATCCTTTTTTTTTTATTATTAGTTCGATCTTTTTGTTGATATGAAACAAGTAACTCGTTTTATTGAAGAACATCCTACACTTGAATTGAATTGGGAGGATTAATCTCATCTTTTTTTTTTTATCCTCTAAGAGTGGATTCTCTTTTTATCTTTGTTTTATCTATCTTTATGTTTATCTACCCTTTCCTTTCTTTCTATCTACTTTTTCTTTTTTTATTTAAGCATGATCATCATCCAAGTCACCGCCAACTCCATCTCTTTTTATTGTTCTATATTATTTTATGCTCTTTTTTTTTCCTTTCTTGTATGATACCCTTTTTATTATTTTTATTTCCAATCAAAACAATATGAGAAGCAGCTCAGTTTTTATCTATCTCTCCCCTCCAAAAAAAAAAAGATAACAAGAACTATGTACATAATCCAGAATTGCCCCTCATTTCTCTCTCTCTCTCTCTCTCTATTATATATATATATCTTCTATAATAAATAGTTTTCATTTTTATTCAAATAAAACAAAGTATTCATAATAAACTTGGTGTATTGATAACTTAAAAAATCAAGGTTCTAAGATTCTATTCTAAGGTACATCAGCTGATATTGGCCCCTGACTTTCCATTTTGTTCGAGAACTCCTTTTCTTGAATGGGAGAATTTCACCAAAAAAGATCAATCTGTCTTAATTTCAATTGTGCCAATGAGGAATCAATGATCCATAAAGTGCCTTCATATGAGATCCCAACTAGAAAAAAAAAAAAAGAAAAAAAGAAAAGATCATTTTAATAATACTAATAATAGTGATAATAATAGCAAGCACTGACCCTGATCTTCCTTTTTTTTTTTTTTTTTTTTTTTTTTACCTGATCCATATCGGTGAGCATAGTTTCCATTAAGACAATATACGCATAATAATCCATATAAGAAGAAATAGATGCATGATGCATTGTTGAGGATTGTAATCGTCCAATGAGTTGTTTGCGTGCCATATCTGCAGGAGGTAGGTAGGGAGGTAGAGGCGTCTTAAGCTGCAACGCCGACGCCAATACGTAAAAATACAACACCACATTGCCCTCCATCTCTGTCCCTTGCTTGTTCGTTTGTTGATTTGCCTTCATCACCATCCGCATCATCACCAAATTATCCAAAATCGATTGACATAATTCTAACATCACTTGATAAGTCTTGACTGGGAAACGTCCTTTCAACCTTGGTTCGTTGGGCGCATGACTTAGTAGCACTGATAAATCGTATAGCTGGTGTTGTAAATTCAATGTTATATCGTCATCATCCTCGTCCCCTGTTGTCATCAGCATCATCGTAGTTGTTGTTGTCATTGTTGGCATCATCATCGTTGTCATCATGTTGTTATTGGTATTGTTCAGTTGATAATATTGCCATGAGAATCTTAATAAAAGATCAGATAAGCCAAGTCGTACTTCTTTTCTTGCTTCGTAAGGCCACATATAGGTAGTCACCACCAATCCTAACAAAAGAGATGAAAGTAGAATCATGATTAGACTTTGGACATTGCATAATAATCACACACACCCGTATATATATATATATATAAGTTTACCTATGATGACACCTTGACAAACAGCCACACATCTTTGATAAGCCAAGTCAAATACGTTCACATCAGGATGATTGTACTTGTAAAGAATCACAAGAGTGTAAGCTAGTAAAACAAATTGCCCAAACTTGCCATATTTCGGTTGGTGAAGAATCATCCAAAAACAAGGAAGAGATACCATCCATGTCAAAAAGATAAGAACCACCACATGATAACCAGAGAATACTTGATAACAACATGCACCAATCACTACTCCTACCACTGTTGCACCCAAACGCAGTATTGCATTAAAATTGGTTCCTCCTACTGTTGGGGTCATCACTGCCAAAGCCTAAACATAGAAGGTCCGATCACATGTCCATACAAACATATAAATAAATTAAAAAAAAAAAACATGAGTTCCCATTTTTTGACTAAATCGTTTGTTTACTTTTCCTTACCGTAATCAGAGTCCATTCCATTCGATAGGTTTGAAAATAATCTTGAGTAGAAGGAAAAAAAGCCATACTTGCCACTACCAAAGTTGTCAATCCTGCCTTGATAGCATATCGCACTTGATATTTTCGAAACCACGATAAGAAGCTCCAAACTCCCAATCGAAAAGAATGACTCAAGTTACTTGGTGCTGGAGTATGTAGAGTGTCAACCGTGTGTTGATTGTTAGAAAGAAATGGACCAGTATTGTGACTAGATTGGAAAGCAGCAGTGAAGAGGCACTTGATACCAAACACTATAAAAAAAAATGGATTAGTTTCATGATTTGGTACACTCCTTTTTTTTTTTTTTTTTTTTTTGTCCTACTCAAAGATGTTATCGAGATCCGTTTTTCATATCGATCAAATACTTGTTCCATACATGTCACAGTGACCATCAATTCCTTGGCGAAGGCACTTAGACAGAATACAAAAAAGTAAACCAAAAATAAATCATCTTCAGGAAATTGAGTCAGTAATTCTGAATGCACAGTCGAAGGATGAGGTGTAGTTGGTGAGAAGTAACCAGTAGAAGATTCAGTTTTTGCTTTTGTTGTTGGTCCATTTTCCTTGTCCTTGTTTTTATTGCTAATATGCCGACGATATAAGCGTGTCAATGCTTTTTGTTGTGATTGTTCAAAGACTTCCAAAGCCAATCCAAGGTTTTCACGTAAAGTAGAAAAAGATGGTGGAGGAGATAAAGTCGTTGTATCTTTTGAGGGTGTAAAGTGATATTGAAGATGGATGATCGTTTGTTTACAGGTGAATGCTAATGATTTCATAGGCGGTCCGGTCGTTCGAAGAAAATTGATCAAATTGCCATCATTACCACTTGTTTGCGAATTGGTATAATTCTCTTCTTCATCAATTTGTTCCGCCAAAGATGTATCCTGTGTACTATGTTCTCTTTTCAATGTACGTTCAAATTTTCGTCTATGATCATCCGCTCTGATTTGATAGGTAACATTTTCATTGTCGTTCTCTTTTATTGTTGAAATAGTTGACGTATTATGAGTTCGATCGAATTGTAGCCCACAGCTTTTTCGTAATCCACCAATATGAAGAGCCAATCGTTGAATGCTTTTGACCATGCGGTCATATCCATCATCACAGTTATCAGACTTGTTCCACCGCCACCATTCAAGACGTGCTTCTCGTAGACTAGATTGAAGAGCAGTAAAACTTGTAGCATGCGTTTTGATCGCTTGTGCCAATGGTTCATTTGCCTTGAAATCTGGTAGATCAGCATCCAATAAGAAAGTTTTTGTCAATAATTTCAGTAAAATACGAAGACTTTGAAGACTATCATACATATTGGAACTAAAAAAGAAGGAAAAAAAAAAACATAATGGATATATTAGTATATTTAAATTCTCTTCCGATATATATATATTTCATCACTTGAACTTTTCGGTTGCAGTTTGAGGCCAAATAAAGAAACATACAGCAGATGAAATGGCAGTACCAATAGCAACAATGGCAAATGTATCTTGAATCTTTTGTCGACTGTATTCAGATTCGTCCAAAGTATGTTCGCGTACCAAAATAGGAAAAAGAATAATGAATGCCAAAGAAGATGCTAAATTAAAAAGAGAATGAGTCTTTTTTCTTTCTTTCTTTTTTTTTTTTTTTTTTCTTTCTTCTAAATTACCAGTTCCCACGCTTGGTCGATCAGAGTATCGTGCCTTCAGAAAAGTCAGTAAAAGAGTACTTGTCAAGAGCCAACCAATAAGAGTGATCGCATAAGAAACAGAAGTTTGATGTAAATAGTCCAAAAAATAATCAGTTGTCCAGAGACTTGCAAGACAAACAGCGAGAGCACCTAATGTCATGATCCATCCAATTCCTGCTGCTTCAACCATACCACCTACTGTTTTCGCTGGATTGAAAAACACGGTGACCGTTGCTGCCATAGAACTTGCTACCCTATTTCGAACCATACCATCTTCCCCATATCCACCATTGACCCATTCATGTAAGAGAGGTACAAACGTGAATAAAGATCCCAAAATATAAGCTAGACTACATTTCAACACGCGTTTTTGTCCTGTCGTCAGTGTTGATAATTTGATCCAAGAGAAGAAAGTAGAAGATTTCATTGTCTTTTTCTTGCTGTTTAGTTTGTTATCACCATCATTGTCCTCATCACTATCTGAGAAGTTATCCTGTTGATCAATAGATCCTGCAGCTGTAATGATGGAATTGTTATTTTGGTGATATTGTCGTTGATCAAAAGTAAAAGGTAATAAATGAGTCGTTTCCAAGTTTTCCCTAAAAAAAAAAAAAAAAAAAAAAGAAAAAAAAAGAAAAAAAAAACGTTAAGTAAATATCAAATTGGTCAAAATCTAAATCAATAATAATAATACAAGTACTTACCTAGGAGATAGGTTAGATGGAAAAGATGGAAAAAGTGGTACAGTTGTTAAAGATATGGTACGTTTTTGTCGAGTTCCGTCGTCCATAATAACATCAACATGATTACGATCAAAGAATGAAGAGGCATAAGAAGGTGAAATAAAAGATGAAGTACCAAGAGAACCATATTGAGAATAATAAAAAGGTGATAAAAAAGTTGATTGTTGTTGATCCATCAAATTTTGTCCTGTAGTTGTACTTGTAGTAGATGTAGAAGGTAATAGCCAGTTTTGAAAGAAGAGAGTAGAATAGAAAGACGAGGAATGATGACTAGTTTGCTCCGAAGTATTGTTAGTGTAGGCATTCATTGGAATAGACCTTGGATTTGTTGTTGTATTGGATGTCATAATAGGACTTGTATCAATTTGATCTGGGTCTATGTCATCATAAGTTGGTGTTGTCAAAGGATGAATAGTATTTGATGGTGGTGAAGTACTATTCTTTATGTAATGCATAGTGTAGTGGTATATGTAATATACAAATAGTATAAATAACAAAAATAAAAGGAATAAGATGAATAATCATTTTCTTTTTTTATTATTATTATTATTAATATTATTCAATTAGATAGAAGTAAGGGGCTGAAAAAGTAAAATGTGTCAAGAAAAAAAAAAAAAAAAAGAAAGAAGAGGGAAAAATGAAAATTGACGTACGCGGAGATGAAATACCATATTCAGGATTAAAAAAAGTGTTTCAAATTTCTCTTAATGCTAATGTAAAGCATACAGTAGCCATGATATCACCAATCAAACGAACTTTATGAATTTTGATCCATCGTTTAATAGCTGGTTCAATGGATGATTGATTTTTGTTTTCAATAATTGTTTGGCAAGGATACATTATCAAAGGAACAAAAGCAAAATGTAATCCAGCAAAAAAGGCACCCCAACCAAAATATCGATTTCCACCACGAAAAAAGTAAAGATATGAACTAATCATACTCGAAGTACTACCAGCTGCAATAATAGGACCCAACATACCATAGAAATAGGAACTAAATGCTTGTGACATCACATTAGTAGAAGGTAATTTTAACAGGGATGGTACAGATACAAGTGCTTCTATTCCAATGGTTGTTAAAGCTGTCGATGTTATCAATGGAACTAAAGAAAGTGTATGATAATGATTCATTTTAATAATAATGATAATAATAAAAAAGAAAAAAAAAGAGAGACCCCTGATTTAAATAGTCTCTTATTTGAAACAACGCTTGTTTCTGGGGTCCATGCAATTTTCCCATTATTTTATCGCCTGATCAACTCACAGACTAAACTAAGCTTTGCATCCTCATCATAAAAATAGTAGTAGTATTTCCATTTTAGGATCGGATCATTTTTGACACAAATACTTGTAATAGTTTTTTTTTTTTTTTCGGGTAAATATACCTATATGATTTGATTCATAAAATGATATATACAATTGAATGTCGGATGAATTAAACCGAACCGCGCGGATTTGCTTTCCAGCATCATCATCATCCATACTTTAGTCCTAAATTGGCTCTATGATAATGATATTGGCTATAAGTTAAAATTTTTATGTAAAAATTCAATGATAGTGAGATTATATATGATGACAATGATATAAAAGATGACTTTGATGATATTTATGTGATGACTGATAGTTATTATGATACATGGATGTTGGAAGATATGTAATGAATGAATAATCAGATGTTGATGATCGATGACATTAAAGCTAGGAAATGAGAAATCTATAAAGGATGTTTCAAAAAAAAAAAAAAATATAACGAGACCAGAAAACTTTGATAGTAGTCATCACAGATAACTTAATATGGATAATTTAATAATAAAAAGTAAATAAAACAAAGACTATACTATATAATATATACTATATATGTAAAATAGGAATAATCGATTTATAGGTAAATCTAAACTAGGAAAGAGAAAAGTATCTAAGCAATAACCACAGAGAGCATCACAGCAATAAATACCATAAGACCACCAGTTCTCAAAGAAGTAGCAATACTAGTAGTAGGTTGACTACCGGCTGAACCAGATTTTGAAGGAGAAGAACCATCAGCATTGACACAAGCACTAGTGTTGAAATTAGAAGGTTGATTTTTCAAAGTCACATCGGTACACTTGATGAATGAAAAGAGACATGAGGAAAATAAAAGTAAGTAAACGTATAGTAAGTTCAAAATGAATTTTTTTTTTTTTTTTTTTACCTGATACAAGCTACCATCACCAGCCATATAGATAATTTGTAAAGTAGCATTGGTACCATCAGTAGCGGCTTGAACAGATGAAAGATCCACTTGAAGACAACTTTGAGCAGGATAAGAGACTTGACCTTGAGCGACCATGCTATTATTACCAGTAAAAGAAGAAGCAGTAGGATTGTTACCAATAGCCATAAATACTTGATAAGTATATTTGGGATGTTCCGAATTAATTTCTAAGAAACCATTTTTTATAGGGAATTCAGTACGTTGGGAACTAACTTGGTTAAAACCACCACAAGGACCAGTAGGTTCATTTGATTCACTGAATCCACGAGAAGGAGGATAAGTCAATTGGTAATGACCATAAACAGTTTGACAAACCAAAACAAGAAGAACAGTGAATAATAATAAACGCGACATATCTTATTTAATAATATATAGAAAAAAGAAAAAGAAAAAAAAAAAAGAAAAAAAAATGAAATTAAATAATAAAAAAAAAAAGAAGGGAAATGCGAACTTTTCGCGCTAACAATTGTTTTTATTGGCTCTTTTATTGACAAACCGAATTTGTCTTACCCTTTTTTTTTTTTTTTTTTTTTTTTTTTTTTAAAAAAAAAGCTCCGTTTCAGATTTTCTTTGCGGTGTCTTTCTCTTTTCAACTTTTTTTTTTTTTCTCTTTCTCCATTCTATTCCCACCTCCAACTCTTTTTTACAATATGGACATGTCAGAAATGAGTATGGAGGATACTCCTCTCAATGGTAACGAAATGTATTCTCAAACATTGGTTGGAATTATATGTGCCTTTATATTTCTATTGATCATTCGCCACCATATTCTATTACGACCCTATATCCCACTGTCAACTTATAAAACAAGGTCAAACAATACAGTATTATCAAGGTTATTATCTATACAAATGCCAATTGGAATTCAAACACTTTTAAAACAATATCAAGCAATCGATCGTTTAGTAGTGAACAAGTTTACCTGGTCCTTACCTTTTTTACCTCCCATTGGTGTTATACTTATATGTTTGGTACTGATCACTACGATCCTTCCCCTTTTATTGTTGAATACTGATCTTTCCTTAAACTCCAATCGTGCAGGATTCCTTACTATTGGTTTGGTTCCATTTTTATTGGCTTCTACAGGGAAATACTCGGCCCTTGCTTTATTAACTGGTATGTCATCTGCTCGTTTGAATGTTTTCCATCGCATATTGGGTTGGGCTATTGTGATCTTGGCTACTGTTCATATGTCTTGTATGTTATCCGCATGGGCTCCTTTCCCATCCTTTATGGCTTCTCAATTGACAATTCCAAAGGTACGATATGGTTTGGCTGGATATGGTTGTCTTTGTGTGGTTGTCCTTGGTAGTCTTTATCCTATACGTGTATACAAATACGAATTCTTCTTATGTACTCATATCCTTGCCTTTGGTTTTATTGGTGCTATTTCCAAACATACTCCTTATGCTATGCGTTACTTTATCTCTGGTATTATCTGTTATTTATTGAATCTTTTAGCGGCCTGGTGTGTTCAAGCTCGTCTAGCTCGTGTCCGTACCCATGTCCTTGATCATGATTGTACAAGATTATCTTTACGTCTTTCTAGTCCTATGGCTCATGCTCCTGGTCAATTCATTTACGTATGTATTCCTCGTCTCTCTGCTTTCCAATGGCATCCTTTTACGATCACCAATATTCAACCTCAAGGTGAAGGTTTTTGTGATACAATGGTGGAAGTACATGCAACTGTTCGTGGTGATTATACTCGTCAACTTTACAAGATGGCTGGACATTCTGGTGATGATGATGATGATGATTGGATTGCTTTTTTGAGTGGCCCATGTGGTCGTGCTTTATCTTCCACTTGCCCCAAGACTATGCTTACTGAACAAACTGTTATTGTCCTGGCTAATGCTGGTGCTGGTGTTACTTATGGTATTCGATTGATCCGTGAATTGGCTTCAACTCTATTAGAAGTGGATAGTTTCAACATATCATCTACAAACGAGGGTTATGATCAACATCATCCTATTCAACAAAGTCATTCTAATTTGAAAACTCGTGATATCTATTTTATATGGTCCGTACGACATGCTGGTGCTTTCAAATGGTTTGGTCCTGAATTACAATCTTACAAGGATCAATTTGACAAGGCTCATACATCCAATTCCCGATTCCCTCGCTTGCATCTTATATTACATCATACTGGTACTGATGAAATAGAGCATGACTTTTTGGATACAACCGACGTTAAGAATATGGAGAAGGAAAACAATGAAATCATTAGGACGACAGAACCCGACGTGATGGATGAAACTTGTGATGAACTGGTTTACGAAAACAAAGTATCGACATATACAACTGAATATAGTGAAACAAAAGCACGTTTGATCAAGACTGCCCTATTTCGACGACGAGTGGATCCAAAAGAATGTCTGGCATTATCTTCTGACTCTGATACGATGGGACTCTTTGGTAAGTTGAGAAAAAAAATATGTATATTTAATAATATATTAAACATTTTTCTCTATTCTTTTTGTTAGTGTGTGGATCTACTAGTTTTAATCGATCATTCAAGAATGTTGTCGCTAGCACTGATGTTTCAAGATCATGTTTATTGGATTTCCATTGTGAAGAATTTGAATATTAGATCATTCCCCTGCATCACATGACACAATAGTAGATTTATCAATGTATTATATTACTGAAATAAAGCGTTTTGATTCGCCTATTCACAGCCATAAAGTCTCATTTTCATATTAAAATATCAGCAAATCAGATGATTGACTACAGCAAAATGATCTCTTTCTATTTTAGTATACTATTTGGATTTTTTTTTTTTAATATTTTGTTTCGGGTACAATAAGGGGAGGTGTACGATCCAAGAAATAATGATAAAAAAACGGATGATTCTTTCCATTGAGAATGTAAGTATAAAAAAACGCTTTGATGGCAATAATCTCTCAATGGTAGTACCGATATATTTTGTTATAAAGATCAAAAAAACGAAAGACGTTGTATAGAAGAAATATGTTCAGCTGAGAGTCAATAATATGATGATGGAAAGGTTGGATGGTCATTCCTTCCGAATATGTATTTTTAGTATAGACAGTCAAATCATTTTTTTTTTTTTTTGTTTGTTTGTTATTGATCTGTATGATAAAGTTTTAATAAAATGAATATATTATTGAATAAAAAAAAAACAAAATATGGTTTATATGTTGATGTTGGACTATCTTGGTCTGTGCTCTCTTTATTGTTCACTTTTCGTATTTTTTTTTTTTTTTTTTTTTAACAAAAAAATCTATCAATGTGACATTAAGCTTTAAGCCAAACCTAGCTTGGTTGGTAGCTCCGCGATTTTGAGAATTTTTTGCTATACCAATGGTTTTCCTCGCCTAGGAAACTAAGGTAATGGATGATTTGAAGCTCCTACTCGCGAATAAAAAGGGATACAAAAAAAAAAGTGATTTCTACAAAAGTACCTCCCTCTTTCTTTCCTTTCTACCTCTTTTTTTTTCAACCCATTCTCGGTCAACTTTCTTTCTCTTTTTCTCAACTTTATATATACATACAACAACAATGGATCATTCAACAATGGACCATTCTTCTCATGGATCAGGTAGCATGAGCGACATGGGTGGAATGAATATGGACATGTCTTCTATGACTATGGGTACTTTCCATTGGTCTTCTACTGGTGATGCTTTATGGTTTGATGCTTGGATGCCCAAATCAGAACCTGCTTATATTGGTGCATGTATTGGTTTATTTGTATTTGCTGTGGTATCTCGTGGATTATTAGCTTTGGAAGTCTATTTCGTGTCATGGCGCGCAAGAAGATTTGAATCTATTCATCAAGCTAATCATATCTCTATGTCACAGGTATTAAAAAAAAAAAAGAATAGTGATAGTAGAAATAGAAATGTTAACAAAAACAAACAATCAATCAATGATATTCATCAAACTTTGTTTTTTCTTCTTCCCGTTCAGACACAATTGAAAGACCAAACTTCAACTTCTTCTCAATCATTGACAAATAAGGATTACCCTACAGAACTTGGATTACCATTGGTTCCTCCTTTCTCATGGATCACTGATCCTATTCGTAGTTTCTTGACCACCTTCTCATCCTTTGTAAGCTATCTTCTCATGTTAGTGGTGATGACTGGAAATGGTGGCTTCTTTATTGTTGTCATTGTTGGTATCTTTGTTGGTGAAATTGCTTTTGGTCGATTCCGATCCATTGGTGGTATGAAAGGCGGTGAACATGATCATTAATTTATCTCTATTATCATTATTTTGTGTACACTTTATTTATTCATATGCATGTATTATCTCCTAGTTGATTCCCTCCTCCTTTCCTTCATCATCTTTTTTACTCCTCCAAGTCCTCCATCAATATTTTTGATTTCTTCATAATACTTATTTTACATATTACCTCCTCACTCTTTTCCATACTTCATACTTATTAGCCTCCTTCGATCTTATTGTACAAATAAAAACATTTATTTTCAATTTTTTTTTATGGAACATCCTCAACGCTCCTCTTTTTCTTTCTTGTGTGTACATGTATATATGATCTCTGAAGATATGAATAATTACTATTATATGATGTTGTCAATATGACCTGTTGTCAATCATACTCTCATTTGCCCTTGATCGACATCTCGTTCTTTATTCTCCGATACTTAAAAAGGCAATGGTCATTTTACGTATCTGACATAAAAGAGTACAAAACGTGCATATACTGTTACTATATACATATGGAAATTTGTCTTTATTGACGGATAATGATGATGATACAAAAAAAAAAAAAAAAAAAAGGAATAATCTAACACTACTATTTCTATCTAGTAAAAAAAAAAAAAAAAAAAAAAAAGGATATGATACAAAATCTATCTATACATATATAATAAAAAAAAAAGAGAGAAAATACACTAATATTTGCAATGACCAACCCATCTAGGGATAGGTACCACTTCGCGGACATTATCAAGACCAGTCAACCATAACATCAAACGTTCAAAGCCAATACCATAACCACCATGAGGAGCCGAACCATATTTTCGCAAATCCAAATACCATTGATAATCTTCACAATTCATATTGGCCATTTCCATCTTGTACTGTAAAACATCATATCGTTCTTCACGCATGGATCCACCCACTAGTTCACCAATACCAGGTATCAATAGATCAAAACAACCCACTGTCTTTCCATCGAGATTATCACGCATATAGAAGGGTTTTAATTCCTTTGGATAGTCGGTCACAAATACTGGTCGCCCACAACAGTCATCCGAGACTAAGTAGCGCTCATGTTCAGATTGTAAACTGGAACCCCATGTTGTTGGAAAATCAAATTTCTTTTTGCTTCGCTGTAAAATATCGATAGCTTCCGTATATGTCATTCGTACAAATGGTTTATCCACACTCTTTTGTAACTTGTCCAATAAATGTTTGTCGATCCATTGATTGAAAAAGGCCACATCCTCTTGACAGGTTGTCATCACATGCTGAGTTGTTTGTTGGATACTTGCTTCTGTCACGTCTAACAGTTGATCCAATGAATCAATAAATGTCATTTCTGCTTCTGCCATCCAGAATTCTGCCAAATGCCTTGATGTCATAGATTCTTCTGCACGAAACACTGGTCCAAAGGTATATACACGTCCCATTGACGTAGCCATGATTTCCGCATGTAATTGTCCTGACACTGTCAAATACACAGGTTTTTTAAAAAAGTCGGAAGGAGCTACACTGAATACTTCACCACCTCCTTCGCAATCCGATGATGTCAATAATGGCGTGTTCACTTGAATAAATTCTTGATTCTATTGATGATATACAGATATATTAGTTCATACTCGAAAAAAAAATATCGATTTTATTTTCTATTCTTACAGCAAAAAACTTTTGAAGACCTTCACTAGCAGCATGTCTAATTCGTAGTACAGCACTACCAGTATTTGCACGAGATCTTAGATGATTAATTGTTCGCATAAATTCGAGTGTGTGTCGTTTCTTTTGAAGTGGATATGTCTATGATAAAAAAATAAAAAAAGAAACAGAAACGTCAGTTATCCAAAAATCATCCTTTTCCTTTTATTATTATTTATTTATTATTATTTTATTACACTGTCGCATTCACCTAAAATTTTGACCTTATTGACTTGTAATTCCATACTTTGTTCCTTGCCTGGACTTGTAGCTAATATCCCTTGTAGTTCTACACATGTTCCAGTCGATAACCTTATACCCAAAAAAAAAAAAATAGATTTAATAGTTGAATAAGAAGGTTTCAAATTGGCAACTTACTTGTGGATAGGTTGGTCGTCGTTCAAAATAGCTTGAATACCTTTCAGAGTAGAACCGTCGTTAATGGTGGCAAAAGACAATTGTTTTTGTTGACGAACGGATCTTATCCAACCACGTATAGTAACATTGGGTTGAGGTTTTTCGGATAAGAGAGTTCGAATAGTTTTAGTGGGGAATAAAGGTTTTGTTGAATAAAGTCGACGATGACCTTGTAAACTACAACGAAACATTTATTTTTTTGAAAAAAAAGGGGGAAGAAAAGAGAGAAAAGGCAGGATCTTTTTTTTTTTTTTTTCCTCAATTCTCGAGAAATGTGATGTCAGAGCGAGTCACCCCCCTTCGCTTGGAAATGCTTTTTGCTCAACAAATTTTTGATTCCGTCTGGTGGCTGGCAAAAACTCTTATGTCTCTTATTTTTTTTTTTTTTCGGTATTATCTCTCTCACTTGTGTGTTCGGCCTAGCTTCCTTTTTTTTTTTTTTTTTTTTTTTTTTTTAGCTCTTGTCAAAAAAAAGTTTTTTTTTTTAACATTTTACATTTTAGATTTCATTTTTTTTTTCTCTTTCTTCTTCCTTCTTCCCCTTTCTACCTCGTTAATACATCATAATGGCCACACCTGTTGTTCCTCCCACTACACCTACCAACACTGCACCCATCACTCCTGGTGCTACTCCTCGCATCTATTCACCTCTTTCTACTTTCCCAATCAAAGATCAACAACCTACTGGTTCTCCCTTGAACCCTCTTCATTGGGGTGCTTGGTTCTCTTATCAAAAGTCCAAGTTGAATCTTCCTAATCCTGGTAAATTTGAACGTTTACACAGTGAAGCCAAAGGTAATATTTCGATTCCTATTATTCAAAAAAAAAACTTTGTATTTAACCTTTTTTTTCATATATTAATAATAATAATAATAGACACATTTGTTACCAACTATTTATTCGACGGTGCTCAAGCCAACATTGTTAAAGAATTATCCGGTAACTTCCACGTACAACATCAATTCTCTTTAGGTTCTCAAGTCATGCCTCCCATGTACAACTTTATGTCTGGTTATATGACTGAAAGAGTAAGTGACCACAATCAAAAAAGAAAAAAAAAAGAAATAGAGAAGCTAATTCTTTTTTTTTTTTTTTTTTTTTTTGAATAAATAGACTATGGCTCAAGGTACTATGGACAATGATACCAACTTGAATGCAGTTGTTCGACATGCTTGGTCTGCACGTACAGCTACTAAGGTTGTTGCTCAAATTACTCATATGCCTGGTCAATCCATGCTTCAAATTGATCAAGATTATACTGGTTCCGACTTTTCTTGCAATATCAAAGCTATGAACCCCAATCCTCTTGAATTCACTGGATTGTATATGGCTAATTATTTGCAATCTATCACTCCCAATTTGGCTCTTGGTACTGAAGTGGTATTGCAACGTCCTACTCCAGATATGGAAGAAACTGCCATGTCACTTGTTGGTAAATATACCGGAAGTGACTTTGTTGCTACAGCTCAATTCCAAGGACTTGGTGCTATTCAAGCAAGTTATTATCAACGTATCAATGAAAAGGTAGAATTCGGTGCTGAAATGAATATTATGGTACAAAATGGTCGTCGTGAAGCTGTGGCTACTGTGGGTGGTAAATTTGATTTTAGACAAGCTACTTTCCGTGGTCAAATTGATACTACTGGTAGAGTGTCTGCTGTATTGGAAGAAAAGATGGCTCCTGGTTTCTCTTTCCTCATCAGTGGTGATTTGGATCATATGAAGGGTCAAAGCAAGTTTGGTGTTGGTATTATGTTATCTGCTTAGATTTTTTTTTTTGTCTTCTTTTTTATTCTTTTTTTTTTGATTTTTACAATCTATTTGTTTTATTCTTTTTTCTTTAGTATATATACTTTCTTTTCCTCCCTTTCCATCCACTTTCCCTTACTGTCTTCATATAGTATACATCATTCAAATATACATGTTGTCACTTTATCTTTCTTTCTACTATTGTACACCTCCTGTTTCTCCCCTACCTTTTTTTTTTTTTCCTTTTGTAAAGTGAAAAATACATCAATCAATAAAAAAAAATATGCAACAACATCAATTGTCTGTGGTTCTGCAGTTTCGACTTGGATGCTGTCAATTCACACATCACATGCGGAAATTCAAATTCGATTTCTTATTTTTTATTTTTTTTTTCCCTGTTTCCAAGTTATTTTTCCTTCTACACTTTTCTTCCATTCCTTTTTTTTTTTTATTTGTAAATCAATCAATTACCTTTTTTTTTTTGAAATAATATGGCTGAATATCTTGCTAGTATTTATGGTACAGAAAAAGACAAGTAAGTAATCAAGTACAAGTTGTAAAACTATGTCATTGAACACTATATTCATTTATTTCTTTTATGTTTGTTATTTATAGAGTCAATTGCTCGTTTTATTTCAAAGTAAGTAGTGAAAAAAAAAAGGATAATATATTTTGTTTATAATAATGACTGATTGAAACTTTTCTTTTTTTTTACTATGAAACGATAGATCGGTGCTTGTCGACATGGAGAACGTTGTTCTCGTAAACACGTTAAACCTACTTTCTCACAAACAATGCTAATTGCTAACATGTATCGTAATCCTAGTCATGAGCAACCTCGTTTATCAGCAGAAGAAGATCAAGCCAATTTTGATTTGTTTTATGAAGATGTATTTATGGAACTTGCCTCGTTTGGTGAAGTAGAAGAAATGATCGTTTGCGACAATGTGGGTGATCACTTGGTGGGGAATGTTTATTGTCAATTTAGATATGAAGAAGATGCTGGAAAGGCGGTGGAAAGCTTGAACGATCGATTTTATGCTGGTAAGATATAATATATATATATAACTAGGATTTTTACAAAAATATTTGTTTGATGATAGGACGACCTCTGTATGCAGAATTATCACCTGTGACTGATTTTAGGGAAGCATGTTGTCGACAAAACGAAATATCAGAATGCAATCGTGGAGGTTTTTGTAACTTTATGCACTTGAAACATCCATCAAGATCACTAAGACGAGATTTACAAGAAGGACAACGACTGACAATACGAGAAAAGCGACGGGAAGCTAGACAACGGGAAGATGAAGAAAGACGACAACGGGACGAAGAACGACGAAGACGATACGATGAAGAAGAAAGGCGGAATCACCACAATGAAGATGATAGACAACAACAACAGCAAGAGGATTATCATAATATTGTGCAACAAGAATCAATGACCATGTAGATAGATAGTCCCCCCACTTTTTTTTTTCCTTCTATATATATATATTATCTGCTTTTTTTTATTCCTTTATATTGATATTTACATATCTTTTTTTTTTTTCTTTCTTTCTTTTGTTTGATTGATATATATTTATTGTGTTTTAGTTTAAGTTTGAATAATAAAAAGCCAAACCAATTTTAAATGATACTTTTTTTTTCTGACTTTTTTTACTGATGATGATGGACTCGATGACCTGAGAAAAAAAAAAAAAAAAAAAGGGGGAGGGAATGGAATTACCTTTTTTTTTTTTCTTCCTTTCTCTCTCACACCCACACACTCCTTTTTCTCTTTCTTTTCGAGATTACCAATTTAAAAATACCCATGCATCCCATTATCTTTGCCTTTGGTTTATCCACGTTATTGGTAGTATATACACGTCGAAAGAAATCTCTCACAAGAGATGGTGCTGGAGGTGCATTTGTGCTTGGTATGACCACATTTGCATCTTCCTACTGGCTCTTCACCGTGGTACTTTTGACCTTTTTCTTGACTAGTTCGAAACTAACAAAGGTAATCAAATAAAATAAGAAGTATACTTGTTTTTAATAAATCTTTTTATACTATTGATAGTTCAAAGCGGAAAGAAAACGACTCCTTGAAGATGAATATGATCTATCTTCTGAACGCAACTTGACACAAGTGTTGTGCAATGGTTTGGTGGGTGGCATTGCCGTATCGTTTTTCCATACTTTGGCTGACTCAGAACTTGTTTGTTACTCTTCATTTCCCTGGGGAAAAATGCTTCTTTGGATCTATATTGGGTAATCATCATCATATTAACACTCTTTATTACTATTTTCATCTGGTATATATTGTATTGACTTTTTTTTCTTTTTCTTTTTTTCTTCTGTAGACACTATTCTTGTTGCGCTGGTGATACGGTAAGAAGAAGAAGAAGAAGAAGAAGAAGAAGAAAAAAGGATGGATGAAACTATCATCTTTTATTTTTTTTTTTTTGTCTCATATCATCTTTTCATTTTAGTGGGCAAGTGAACTAGGTATTTTGAATTCATCATGGCCATTTCTTATTACGAAATGGGAACGTGTACCACCTGGCACAAATGGTGGTGTGTCTCCATTAGGACTATTTGCTTCTTTGGCTGGAGGTTTATGTATTGGATTGGTGGCAGCTCTTTCATTGGCATTGGATCAACGTTGTCATGGATTTGATTGGAGTGTGATTATCTTGGGTGCTATGGCTGGACTTGGAGGCTCATTGGTAAGAGAACATCTCAAATGATTTGACTATGACATAACCCTGACAATGATATTTACTGTTTGAACAGATTGATTCCATTCTAGGCGCTACTATTCAAGAAACAGTATACTCCAAGGATAGAAAAATGATAATGACAGATAGATCAGCAATAAAGGAAGCAAATATCGACATTCGTGGTTGGAATATTTTAGATAATCATCAGGTAAAAAAAAAAAAAAAAAAAAAAAGATTGAGTTAGGGTTTATTGTCTCGCTTATCACTATTTTTTTTTTAATAGGTGAATTTCGTCTCTTCTTTGTTGACATCTAGTCTGTGTGGTTTAGCTGCATTGTATTTTCAATAGTGATAGATATTTTTGTATAGTGTATAAACCAATAAAAAAACATGATGATCATCAAGCTTTTGAATAGTTTCTGTCCTCCAATCTGTCAGAAATGAGCAGGCATCAGCCACTTGGTCGTTTTTTTCAACGACCGATTTTTTTCTTCACATAATTTGAACATTTTTCTTTCTCTCTACTTTTCTTTCTTTCTTTTTCAGTCTTTTGTGATCCTTACGATCGACATACAATCAATATGGCTGATACCGTACAATACTATATGGAACGTATGGTTCCAGAATTAGAAGAACTGGAAAAGAAAGGTTACTTCAGTGATGTATGTCTTGTTTTTTTATTTTTGTATGTGTTGTGATCTGTTTACTTATATAGATCTTTATATATAGGTCGAAATCAAATCTATTGTCAAGAAACGTACTAACTTTGAATACGCTATGAATCGTCGTATTGCCAAAAAGATCGATTTTTTACGTAGTATTGAATATGAAATCAACTTGGAAGCACTACGAAAGAAGAGGAAGAAAAGGATCACAGGCAAGTCATACTATATTTATGTCAAGGGAAAATACAAATATTGCAAAAACTAATCTTTTATTCCTTTATTGTTATAGTTATCGATGGAAAAGTAGGAACTTCTGAATACTCCATCAACAGACGTATATTCCATTTATTCAAACGGGCCACCAACAAATTTAAGGGCGACTTGTCATTATGGATTCAATATATCGAGTTCGCAAAGAAAAACGACGCTCAGAATATCCTCAGTGGGATCTTTGCACAGTAAGTAACATAGAAAAAAAAAATATCAAGGAATACATTAAAGAGGAGTTAAGTTTATAAATCTTACTAAACTCATTCACTTTTTTTTTCGTCTTTCTTTCTTCATATTAATAGAGCCATTCAATTCCATCCTAACAAGCCTAGTTTATGGATCCTTGCGTCTTCATGGGAATTTGAAGACAATGCAAATATGGGAGCAGCACGATTATTATTACAAAGAGGATTACGCTTAAACCCGGATCAGACTAGTCTGTGGCATGAATACTTTCGCTTGGAACTGTTGTATGTGGAGAAAATCAAAGCACGACGACGCATATTGGGAATCGATGAAAAATCTGAAGAACAACAAAAGGGTGATATGGAAATTGATGATGAAGAAGAACAAAAGGATGACAACATGATTCAATTACCAAAAATCACTGGTGAAGATTTGAATAATGACTCGGATGCTGTGAATCAATTGAAGGAAAAAACAGCAGATGCTTTGAAGGAAGGCATGAATCCTATTTTGCAAGGTTTATTGGCCACCATTGTGTACAAGAATGCGATTGCTGGTAAGTTATATGTAGAAGATGAAACATTATCACAGACAGATTCTCAATTTTATTACCTTTTTTTTTTTTTTTTTGTCTTATAAGCCCATCCCGACAACCTCGATTTTAGAACCGCTTTTATCGATATTTATCGCACGTTTACAGATACTGAAAAGGGATGTGACTTGGTGTACGATAGTATTCGACAAGATATGAATGACAATCCTCATGCTCGTACTTACTTGGCAACCCGACATTTATTTACAAAACCCAATGATGCAAACAACGAATCAAAGTACATTTCTATTACGAATCCTTCTTTTGTGGTAGCTCTCAAGGCATCTGTAGACGAATTCAATCTATCTGTGAAGGTAAGAGAAAAAAAAATGATGAATGTAAAATGACAAAAAAAAGTATGGATATGGATGACTGATTTGATATCCATGGGATGATTCTCTCTCTCTTCTTTTTTTTTTTTTTTTTTTTAAAGGAACTATGTGTCCCACTTATGTGGCAATTGTACTTGGAATTCTTGATCCAATGGAGAAAACTCATTAGTGAAGAAAACTTGGTAAGTTCCAAAAGAAGCTTGTGACGATCATATGGGTACTGATTTTTTTTTTATGTGTTGAAATAGAAATTATACCTTACAAAGCTATTGCAACGAACATTCACATCATGTCAAAAGAAAGATTGTCTTTCTGAAGAAATATACAAATTATGGATAGACTTGCTTGTAGATCAAGATGAAATCACTCAAGGTAAAAACCTCAATTTTTTTTTTTTTCATTGATCATGACAAATTTGACTGATTTTCTTCCTTGTTTTTGTTGGTATAGCTCAATCCAAGGCAAAAGAAGCTACTAAAAAGTACCCTCATTGTCCAGCTTTATGGCTTGCTCGTATCTCTTTAGCTCAAAAGGAAGATGGTAACGGTAGGTTGATTACCAAAGAAAAAAAAAAGGCGGAATGAAAACACGTAAAACTAATCTCATTGAAATTGTTAGATCAACCCCAAATGATATTATTCAAACAGGCTTTGGAAAACCTACCTTCATCCTATGATTTATGGGCATCATATGATGACTTTTTGCAACGACTTTCTGAAGAAAATACTCTCACATCTGAAGAAGTGAATGACCTTTATTTGGTAAATCACACACATCTATATATTTACAACAAAATGAGTATGACTAACCTCAATTGATTTTTTTTTTTGAATAGGATGCTTGTCAAAGGGTTACTTATTTGCTTCCATCCGTTATGACAGCTACAGAAGAACGTAACCATATCAAGGATTTGATATTATCTAACTATATCAAATGGTCTGCTGACGTTTGTGGTATTGAAGCAGCCCGGATGGCTTACAAAAAAGTGATCCAAAGTATGTATCCTACCATCCAATTTTACAAGACTTGCTTGGAAGTTGAAAACACATATGGTCAAGGTGGTCAAGATGGACAAAACAAAGTGGAATACTTGTTTGAAATGGCGGTACGCATGGAAAACAGTAAAGAAGGTAAATCATTGATATATATATATGCATTACGAATATATTGACTCAATCTTTTTTTTTTCTATAGATACCTATCTTTCTTATTTGTCATATCTCTATTCTCAAAAGAAATTCCAAAAGGCAAATACAATTTATTGGAAAGCTAGTAAAGAAGTTTTGGACAAGGCAACGTTTGATCTTCGATTCCAAGATATCAAGAATGGCACCGTATTCAATGTTTTTGCTTTATAAATAGTAGTATCCCCCCTTTTCCTTTCGCATACACACATATATTTTGTTTCTTTTTTTTTTTATCACATTATGTTCATCCATAGAATCCATCATTTTATATTTACTAGTCCTTTGTAGAATATTTTATTTTCTTTTTATTTTTTTTTTTTTATCAACAATAAAAAATGATATGGCATTTTTGAAACAACAAATGGTTGAATCATATATATATATATATATATATGTAAAATACTATACTATAATTTTTAAAAAGCAGAATTCAAAAATTCAAGTAGATTGGATCGATTTTCATCTCGCTTCTTGTCATCAGAGGTTTTGTGGATCTTGAGTTTAACCTATATTAACAAATAAAGTTGTATAAATGATATTCTCTTTTTTTTCGCTTTTGTTACCTTTTTGCCAGTAATAGGATTTCTTCTATGATCATCATCATCGCTTGAATCGTCATCACTTGTATCCGATCTTTTACTCTTCTAATCAACCCCAATATAATAACAAAATAATAATAATAGGAAAAAAAAGGTTAATAAGGTACACATACGGGAGAATCCACTTACCGATTTCTTCTTCTTTTTATGTTTACTGGATGATTTCTTGTGTTTCTTTCTGGATCGTCGTTCTTCTATTGAATGGAATGGTAAGTAACAAAAGCTGATAATCCCCTCCCTTCTTATCCCTTCAATTGCAATAGGTGTAAATCTTTCATAAAAAGGAACCTATTTTTCTTACCTTCCGAGTCACTTGATGAACTAACTGAAACACTTCGATGACGATGGCGACGATGATGATGACTATTACTACGTCGAGAAGAAGTGGGTGACCTTGAACGTCTATCTTTGTCGTCGTCTAATTGTATTAACATCATAGTTCCCCAAACCCCAAATACAGAAGGGACAAATGAGGTGAGAAGAGAGAACATTAACCAAGATCATATACGTTTTCCAACCAGACAAGTTTCATATAGATATATTACAGTAGTATTGACATTTATCCGTTGTAATGGTCCATAAGAGTAATAAAAATAAATAAATAAACAACAACATATTAGTTAAAGAAGACATTGATTCAAACAAGGATCGTCACTTTAATAATAAAAAAAAAATTGTATCATCATTTTATTCAACTTACCACGCCTACTCGCTTTCCTTTCTTCTTTCGTCAATGGAGATTTGCTTCTTGATCGAGTATCATGCTCCCGTCGCTTGCGCCCACTACTACTACTACTGCTGCGATCATTTTGGTCACGATGTGAAGACCGTCCTAATGATAACGGCAAGATCCACCAAAAAAAAAAAAAAAAAAAAAAAAAAAAAAAAAAAGAGAGGTTAGGATATAATACAGTACAAGTAGTGAAGGCTTAATCAACATGATCAATCCCTTCCATATATCTAGAAGCTTTACCTTCACCCATATTTGTATTGTTCGTAAATTATCCAAAAAAAAAAAAAGGAAAGTGAAAGAAAAAAAGAGAGGGAAATGATTGAACCGCTATTAAGAAAAAAGATAAAAAAAAGATTGGCTGAGGTTGAAGACCCGTCCAACATGCACAGCCTATAATAGTGTTTTATTCAAAAAAAAAAAAAAAAAAAAAAGGTGGATATATAATAAAACAATAAAAGAAACAATAAAAGACAAAGTAAAATCATTGTAAACGGTGCATTTTCTGTCCAACTTTGGTGTACTGATATAAAGGAAGCTTCTTGCTATTGCTATCAGGGTCATCCTTTGTATCTGCATCTTGTGGTGTCAACGGAAACTCATCATCATCATCCTCATTTTCGTCGTCATCATCACAATCATAACCAAAAGTCAATGCATTAGCTGGTTGATGATCAATAATCACACTAGGTCGAGAAGTGGGTGAACAAGTAGAAAAATCCCATCCTGTCAAAATAATAAAGATTAGCCTTTTTTTTTTTTTTTTTTTTTGGTTGATATACCTTGTGTTTGTAGTGATGATGATAAGGATGTCAATGGGCGGTGATCTCTTTGTGTATATTCTGGAGATTGGCCAAACAGAGGACAATGTGATTGTAAATACTGAGCTAAATAAAGAGGTGGCGGAGCAGTCTGGATCCAAGGATGTAGTAAAGCGTCCTTTGTAGCCCAACGTTGTTTAGGATTCTTATGTAAACATCGTTGCACAAAATCATGACATAAACGAGATAAAGGTTTGTTAAAAGTCGGTGGATGATCATGGAGAATCCGATCAAAAATCAAGGATGTACGTTTAGCATCATAAAACGGGGGTTTTCCACTGGCCAGTTCAATAGTGGTGATGCCAAGTGACCACATATCCACTTTGGTGTCATAGAGTTCGCGACGGATCATTTCAGGTGATAGCCAACAAGGTGTGCCTACAAAACTACGTCGGGCTAGCACACTGTTTTTACGCCTGCTGGTTGGTGTTAATTTGCCTGATACCCCAAAATCACACAGTCGTACCACGCCAGTGTTAGCATCCACCAGCATATTAGCCGCTTTCACATCCCGATGAATTAACTCGTTGCTATGCAAATAATCAAGTGCTTCGAGGATTTGCTTCACGATGCTATACAAAAAAAAAAAAAAAAAAAAAAAAAAAAAAAAAAAAAAAAAAGATCTTGTTAATAAGAAAGTAAAAAAAAAAAAAAAAGGTAATAGATGATGGATGATGGATGATGGATGATAATTACCAAGAGATCAGCAATTCATGCAGGCCATGTGGATACCATTCTGTCAATAGATCTAGACAAGAACCTAAAATTCATTTCACAAATGACTTCATCAATGACAACCTTCCTTTTTAGGAACACCGCCTTTCAACCTTAATTTTTTTTTTTTTTTTTTTTTTACCTGACATGATTGGGGTGATGATATATAAATAAGAGAAAGATACAAAGCTTTGAAGAAGAGGTAACAAATTTGGATGTTGACATAATGACATGATTTGTACTTCACGATGTAATGCATCTAATCGAGCAGGGTTGTCGAGCGTTTCTAAATCCAATTGTTTGACAGCTACCAGCGCTTGAGTGGGAGGATAGAAAGCAGCATAGACATGAGCACTTGCACCTGAACCTATCATCAATGAGATGCAAATCATTAATCTAGCCAATCCATCACTCGTATTTTGTCATGGGAGAATGCTGTTGTTCAAATAAGGTTTCTGGTTTTTTTTATTATTATTTAATTACCGATGAGGGTGAGAAGATGATAATCTTCTTGACGAGTTGTATATGGATTGGATGATGATGATGAAGTTAATGATGATGATGATGATGATGATGATGATGATGCTGTTATTGTTGCTGATGTTGATGGAAAGATATTTAATCGCGAAACATAGGTGGAAAGTGAATTTTTTCGTTTCATAGGCTGTTGTTTAGCAGAAATCAACAGATCATTCAGAGGTGTATGTTGTGCAACTGATAATTGACCTTTGACATGAATCCGAGTTTCAGAAACAAAAAAGGACATAAGACAATATTTAAACAAATAAGAAAATAATGATAAAGAATGAAATGATAAAAAGAAGAAAGAAGAGATAGTAGAAAGAAATTTGGAAGTTGGTTTAAAGTTGAGCAGGCGAATACTGAGTTTTAGGGTTAATTAGTTTGAATTCTGTTTCATAAAAAGAGAGATCATCCAATGGAAGGATAGACTAGTATCAAATACAATTTTGTTCATTTCAGTAAGTTTTTTTTTTTTTTTTTGTGGGAAAATAAAACAATTTTTATTTATTTTGAATGACTCCAATCTAAAAGATGAAGAATACAAAAGGAAGTGTATGTACATATAATAATAAAAAAAAGGAGAAAATATAAAAGAGATCGGTCCAGAATTCTATTCTAAAATGGCCAGATCTTTCCCGTGGGATAGAATAAAAAAAAATACACGCAACAACAACAACAACAACAATAATAATAATAACGAAGTAATTTAATCATACTAAAATGTCGACCATTGCCAATCAGCAGGAACAGAGGGTATTGGACTGAAAACTATCATCATTAAAAAAAAAAAAAAAAAGAAAAATAATTATTATCTTTTTTTTTTTTTTTATATATACCCAAATCATCCATTTTTCTTTTTATTACCTGTATTATTGAGTTTCTTGTCTTTTTGGTTGTTATTGATGGCGATACTTTTCGATGAAGATGCATCAGTGGCGGTAATATCTATAATATATATAAAGGGTTTGTGAATATGAAGCTTTACTATTGTCTTACTTTTTTTTTTGACTTACTATCTTTTCCTGGTTCTGTTATCTCTTCCGTAGTATGAACTTGATGTGATATTATACCAGGTTGTCGCTTTGCAAATGATGGTTTCTTTGGTGATGATTGTTTTTGTAACTGAGTAGCTCTAAATGTAGGTGAGGTTGTTGAAGATTGTTCTGATGGTGAAGAATTAGGCGATTTCTTGCTCAAGGAAGAAGGTCGTCGTTTCTTTTGTTGTAGTCGTCGTTGTTGTCGTTCTTCTTCCATCTTTGTCCAAGCAAGATATTCCGTAGTACAATGATCACATCCACGAGAAAGAATTCCTTCAGAATGAAACTGACAATCTTGATCCAATCGAAAATAACTTGAGCAATGTTGAGTACAAAAGATATCTCCACATCGTCGACAGTGATGTCTTCGTTCAAATAATCCAAACGATGTTGCACAACCCTGATACTCACAATGCGCTGCTTCCGAATCAGGCTAGAAGGGGAAAAAAAAGAAAAAGAAAAAGTCAGTCTTTGTTTTATTGAACCATAGACCCCCCCCCCCACATTACACTACACTAACATATGTATATATTTATCTGTTTCTTTTCCATATTCCAATCTTGTAGACCAGGATATTATTCTTTCATTACCTTCCAATGATGTTTTGATGGTGGACCAGTAACAGAAAATGATAATTGATCCATATAAAGAATGTCGCAGCAGAAAAAAAAAAAATAAATGAAGCGAAAAAAAAAGAAAGAGGTATCTAAAAGTTGACCACACCAAGATTTCAAACTTGCGTCTAAATCTTAACAAGTGTAAAAAGAAAAAGTTAATAAGTAACAAACATAACAACAACTACTAACCATATATAATAACATACATTGAGAAGAAAAAGAAAAAGAGTAAAGGAAAAAAAAAAAAAAAGAGGTAAAAGAGGAAAAAAAAAAAAAAAAGGAAGGAAATGGAAAAAAAAAAAGGTGAATGAGTAATTTCAATCCCAGTAGGTTGTCACCATCACCACAAATGCTTTATTGACAATATAATATAAGATATATATATATATATATATATATGAATGTATAAACAGATAATGAAAGAAAAAAAGAATAAGATGGTATATAAAAGAAGGGTAAAATATTATCATACCAATGATGTTTTGTCCAAAGAGAGGGAGAGACCAAAATAAGTCCAAACTGGCATAGATACAGAGACAAAGGTGAGATGAGCATCTTGAAAGGAAGAGTGTTGTAAATCATGTTGACTTGATACTTTGGGAAGAGCATATCCATACTTGAGACCAGTTTCTATCAACCCTAAAGCTTTCGTCATAGCATCCTTACTACCTTCGCGCTTGTATAAATAGATCAAGTTGATAGTCAATGTTCTTTCCAAACATTCATCCCGTAATGGTGGTGGTACTTGTCTTAAACAAAAACAAGCATAATCCAAAGATTGTTGTATTGTTGGCGCATATCGTACCATACTTGAAATGGCTTTCTGAAAGTTTTGAATTTGGATTCTACTATATTTTGGTGTGTTGTTATCCAAACCATTTGGGAGTTTGATCATATCGCATAATAGGAGAAAAGCTGCTTCTGCTTTTGAGAATGCATTATGCTTACAATAGTTTATCACTTGATGCTGTGCGTCAATTACATTTTGAGGTGGATCACGTCGAAATGGTGGAGATTGACGGGAAGGATAATTCATATTGTCGGAAAAAAGTGAAAAAGTGAAAAAGAGAGAGAAAGAGAGAGAGAAAGAGTCAAAAGAAAAGAGAGAGAAAGGAAAAGATTCTTTTTTTCCATCAAAAAGAAAGTGGCTGACATTCAAAAAAAAAATTTCACCATAGTCCTTTTTTTTTTTTCTTCCCTGTTGAATAAAGCAAAGACAAGAAGGGGAACAATAAAAAGAATTAGGCACGTGATAAACCAGAACTGTATCCAATAGTGGGCACGGATGATTTCCATGATTACCTTTTTAGATATCACAAAATCCAATCTTGTTTCTTGATGTTCTGATACACTAAAAAAAGAAAAAGTTAAAAATCTGGTATTCATGGAAAAGATAAGCTAATAGATCATCGTGTTTTCCGTAGCATCATCGGCATAAGAAAAAAAAAAAAGGATTACGTTTTTAGTATGATAATGATGAATCCCGTTTTTAACTTTCTTCTCTTTCCATTAATTTCATACTAAAAATCATAAATAGTGCGGAAGTATAGGATGATTGATCAAAAAGAGAAAAAGGATGAGAAACATAGTATGTTTCAGTTGGGTTATCTTTTTTTTTTTCCTTTTTTTTTTTTTTTTTTTTTTTAGTTACCATTTGATTATCCTATTTAAAGTGATAATGATATTCATTTACCGTTTAAGCGATAAAAAGGTTATGTCTGTTTGTTTGTTTTATGATTATAGTTTTTAAACTATCAAACATAGAATTGAAGTATTCACGTTTTTTCTTAATCGAAAGATGAGAAGTAAAAGAAACTGAAGTAGAAATCCGGAATGATATCCACCAATAGGAAGGATGGAAATATGAAAAATAGCATGACATAGTAGAAATAAAAATGGAAATTAATATGAACTCCGTTTTGGATTGGATCAAGGTTTAACATCAGTGAAATCCATATAAATAAGTCAAAACGTTTATTGTTTTTCTTTCTTTTTTCTTTTGTTTCTTATTTTTTATTTATTTCTATTCATATATATATATATTTGTACATTATAATGACACATCAAGATCAAAATCAAACTACTATTCAATTTGATGCATTACCAGCTGAAGGATACCGTCAAAAATATGCCAATAATGAAAAGATATCACAAAAACCCCTTACTAGAAGTTCTACTGGTCAAAGTAGTGGTAGTTTTGATACAAAATCTGTTAGATCTGTAGTAATGAAACGTATGAAATTGGTAAAACGATTCAAGAAAAAAAAGAAATTAAACAATGCAATGGATGAACAAGAAGATCGTGTGGAAGGACCTCCTTATCATACTATGGATTTAACTACTGTAGCTGAATTACTCAAGACTGATTTGGAAGATGGTTTATCGGATCAAGATATTGAACAACGTCGTGCTGAATCTGGTTATAATGAAATGGAAGGTGAAGGTGGTGTTAATCCTTTTCAATTGTTATTAAAACAATTCCTGAACGTTATGGTTTTGATCTTATTGATTGCTATGGTAAAAAAAAAAAAATTGAGTTACCGCACAAAAAGGGCATTTTTTTTTTTTTCTCATTCAATATATTTTTGTTATGGTTATATTAGGTTGTTTCTTTTGTATTCAAGGACTGGATTGAAGGTGGTGTTATCTGTGCTATTATGTTTCTGAATGCTGGTGTTGGTTTTGCTCAAGAATTCAAAGCTGAAAAAACAATGGATTCCTTACGTCAAATGGCTTCTCCTACTAGTGTTGTCGTTCGTAATGGTCATCAAAAGACTATTGGTACTCGTGAACTTGTTCCTGGTGATATTATCATTCTTAAAAGTGGTGATGTTGTAGGTGCTGATTGTCGTATTGTAGAGTAAGTCCTCATAAAAATAGATAGTATATACGTTCTTTTTTTTTTTTTTTTACTCATTGTTTCTTTCTATAGAGCTTTCAATATGGATATCGATGAAGCTCTCTTAACTGGTGAATCTCTTCCTGTGAATAAAATGTAAGTTAGTAACAAAAATAGAATTTGATGGGAGTTGAATACTTTATTTAAAGGAAAAAAAAATTAACACTGTTTTTACTAGGACTGAACAAATTGAAGGTGAGGAGGTACCTTTGGGTGATCGTGTGAACATGACCTATTCAAGTACCGTTCTGACCAAAGGGCGTGGTAAAGCTCTTGTTACAGCTATTGGAATGCAAACTGAAATTGGACGTATCGCCAAACGACTCTTGGACAGTGGAGACAATCAAAAAACGCCTCTTCAAAAATCATTGGATCGTATGGCTTGGGCTTTGTTGGCAGTCGCTATCTTATCAGTCATAATCGTATTTGCTTGTGCACGCTTCCATATCAATGATGATGTGATTCTCTATGCTATCTCAACGGCTATTTCAGTGATTCCTGAAGGTCTAGTGGCTGTGGTGACCCTTACTCAAGCTTTTGGTGTTCATTCTATGGCCAAACGCAAAGCTTTAGTGCGAAGATTGGCAGCTTTGGAACTTCTTGGTGCTGTGACAAATATCTGCTCCGATAAAACTGGTACATTGACTCAATCTAAAATGGTGTTAACTAGACTCTGGCGTCCTGACAGTGGCTTTTTTAGTATTAGTGGACTTGGCTTTGATATCAAAGGGGATATGATTCGCGAAAATGATGACAAAATGATGGATCCAGCTGACTTATCTAATGGATTACGTTATATGACAACAACAGCAGCACTTTGCAATATGAGTGAAATTCGAAAAAACAAAACAACTGGAGAATGGAATGGTATTGGTGATCCAACTGAAGTGGCATTACAAGTGTTTGCATACAAGATGAATATGGGAAAACCTTCTTTGACAAAACCCAGCAAAGATAGAAACAATATTATCGGTGATGGTGTAGGTAGCAACAGCAATGAACAACAACAAGTTTGGAAACTAGTGGCAGAATATCCATTCGATTCTACAATCAAACGAATGAGCACGATTGCGAAATCCCCTGAAGGCAATTACATTGGTTATCTTAAAGGTGCAACTGAACGGGTCCTTCAATGTTGTGTGGGTTATTATCAGGAAAATGGTGACATCAAATCGGCAAATCCTCAAGAATTAGAAGATCTCGTTCTCCCCCAAGTCGATACTCTTGCTTCTGGTGGTTTACGAGTTCTTTCTTTGGCAATGCGAAAAATGAAAGCGGAAGGTGAGGTTACTGGTGATACTTTTACTCGTGAAGATGTAGAACAAGATATGATCTTTTTGGGTCTTGTTGGTATTTATGATCCTCCTCGTGAAGAATCAAAATATGCTGTAGAAAGTTGTCATCAAGCAGGTAAATGAATGAAAATGAAAAGGAAAAAGAATTATTTTGAGAGAAAACAAAATATAACTAACTATTTTATTTTATTTTATTTTATTTTTTTAAAAAAAGGAATCACTGTACATATGCTCACTGGGGATCATATTGCTACGGCTACTGCTATTGCTCGTGAAGTTAGAATCATTCCTGAAGATTATGGGTTAAAAAAAGACACCAATGGACATCAAACAATTGAAACAGCAGAATTAGTCATGTCAGCACAGAAATTCGACAAACTGACAGAAGAGGAAATTGATCGATTGACTGAACTCCCATTAGTAATTGCACGTTGTAGCCCTGATACCAAGGTCAAAATGATTGAAGCTCTCCATCGACGGAAGAAGATTGCTGCTATGACTGGGGATGGCGTCAATGATAGTCCTAGTCTCAAAGAATCAGATATTGGTATTGCTATGGGTGAAGCTGGATCGGATGTAGCTAAACAAGCAGCTGATATTGTCTTGGTCGACGACAATTTCTCAACCATTGTAAGCGCTATTCAAGAAGGTCGTAGAGTATTCAGTAATATCTCCCGTTTTGTGGTTCATATGGTCTCTGCCAATGTATCTGAAGTCACTCCTCTTTTAATTGGTCTTGCATTCAAGGATACAATGGGTAATTTGGTTTTCCCTATGTCACCTATTCAGATTTTATTCAATAATATTTTGACAAGGTAATTAAAAAAAAAAAAAAAAAGAACAATAGTTGACACTATATATATATATATATATATATATAAAACAGAATGAACTCACTTTTTCTATTTTAAATATTTTGAAAATAGTTCACCTCCTGCTATGAGTCTCGGTTTGGAACCTATTCATGCGGATGCAATGACAACACCTCCTCGTACATCCAAACAAAGCTTATTCTGCTTGTCGAACCTAATGGATATTCTGTATTATGGTTTTATGATTGGTCTCATCTGTTTCTGCAACTTTATCGTGGTGATCTGGGGTGGCGCGGATGGATATGCATCTTTGGGGATTGATTGTAACAAGGAATATGATGAAGGTTGTAGAACCGTTTACCAAGCGCGTGGTGCTCTCTTTGCCACTTTGACGGTGCTAAACTTGTTACATGGCTTCACTTGCCGCGATCTGATTCATTCTACCTGGAGTTTCAAGGCATTGCGTGGACCTCAAAATTTTTACTTGTATGGCAGCTTTTTGTTTGGCTTGGTTCTATTGGTGATCGTGTTGTATGTGCCTGTCCTGAATACCTCCGTCTTTAAGCATGAAGGGATCACTTGGGAATGGGGGATGACTGCCGCTTCTGTCTTGGCCTATATTGCTTTGGCTGAACTTTGGAAGGCTCTCAAGCGCAAGTTTTATCACAAGATATAGAACTCATGATTATTATTATTATTGTTATTATCATTATTATTGTTATCATTATTATTGTTATCATTATTTATTTTATATCTTCCATGTATTTTTTTTTTATAAATAAAATGTTTTATAGTGTTTTCCAAGTTCAAAGTTATGAATGCTTTTACCCAAATTGGGCTCTCCAGAGTGATCACTTTTACCTTTTATTGTTTATATACATTTGTCGTTCAAGCTCTCAGATTGTAGTCTCACTCATGGACGTTATCGATTGTAGTTTAGATTTTTGTTATCATTATACACGGTAAAAAAAAAAAAAATTGAAAAATTAATATTAGTATCGACTTTTCAATACGAGAAGTCAATATCGTCAGTATTCCATCAATTTTTTTTTTTTTTTTTTTTTTACTATGATATATTTACTGTAATGCAGTGATCGAATAAAAAGTTTTGTTTATGGAACTCATTTTTCTGCAGATCGATCACATCAATATTTTAATAATTATGATATCCTAATACGGCATCAGAATATTTTAGAATCATATAGTAAATTAATTGAAGTCAAATATTATCAGCTAGTCTTCTTATCCATAGTATTCTTTTTCGATATGTGATTGAAGATAGAGGATGATAATAAGTATGATGAAGAATGATGAAATAATAAAGTGATAGTATGGTTAAAATGATTGGATGATAACTATTTATAAACATTCTTTCATGTTATTATAATAATAACCTGTTGTATGATGATTCAGAGACAATATTCGAATAGGGCTTTATTAATGTAAGAATGTAATAAAACAATATTCTATATATAAACTAATTGACTAATATTCACTACCAAAAAAAAAAAAAAAAAAAAAAAAAAAGAATCATCATGATGATAAGAGCCAAGTACGAGAGAGAGAGAGAGAGAAGTCAACCAAAAAAGATCATCAAAAAAGATATGTTTGTTCAAGTGATTATTGCTTTTGAGTAGGACATTGGATGCGGAATTGTATAAATGTTTTATGCAATGATTTATTTGATGTATATTTATATAAAGACTACACTAACCAATAGAGTACGTAGCTAATATGTAGTAGGTAATCGGTATCATGATTCTTCTTCAAGCGCGTTTTCTTGTTCTTCAATGATTTGTTCTTCATAATTGTCAGATTGCCTTCGGCGTTTATAGAACAACAGGTACGCTGCTTTGGTCTAATTGAAAGAAGCAATTATAATCATTAACAATGTATTTCCCTTTTTTAATATATTATCCTATATTTTACCTTGGCATCCTTTTGTTCTACTTTGCTGACGTGAGAATCATCAAAATTGTACCATTCACCATCTTGCCAATTTTGGGCATAAGCAGTATCTATAGATATACAAAAAAAAAGATCAGCAATTATTCCATTTTCAATAAAAAAGAAAAAAAAAATGAAACTTACAATGACCACCACCCATACCACCAAAGTGATTATCCACAGCATAAAGATCATAAATAAAACGGTCTTCCTTAGCGATAGAGTCAACATTCTTCACGCCAAGTACACGGTCGGTCATATCCAATTCTTCCATGGGAAAATCAATAAACGCATCAATCTTGTCACGTAAAGTTCTAGTATGGCTAAAGCGTTTCAGATGGACCACCATGATTTCTGGTAGATGCCAAATGTCGAATTTCTTGGTGGCACGTTGATGTTCTTTGCATTGAGGACAGTACCAAAGATCTTCTTCACTGAGTTGTTCTTCCTTGGTGAATTCATCTAAACAATCCATAAGTGTAACATTGCGATTACGCTCCTTTTCATCAGATTCAGCATCAGGATCAGCAATATCGTCGATTTCCTTCCAGCCGGCGTCGCTTACGTTGCAAGAATTGCTTCCATAATTCATAGGTTCAAGTGATTTACCAATACCAAATAATTCTTGTGCCTTCTTTAAACGCCAATCTAACATAATTCCTTCGCCTTGTCTAATAACCGTTCGTGGTGGAGGGCGTCGTGGCGGTACATGTGGTGGTGGAGGTGGAGAAGATGGCGTTGATAAGATGGGAGATGCTGATTGTATAGTAACCGATTTATCCTGAGAGTTCGATTTTTCAAAGATCATGCTACTAGTAGAGCTCGTCTCGCTACTGGTGTCATCACTATTGTTGTTTGTTACTGTTATTGCCGCATCTGGTGTCATCGTTGTATCATCGTTATTCCATTCTGAGGCAACATCCGCTACAACATCATTGTCATAGTCGTCTATAGAGGCTTGATTTGGTGAAATCATATTGTTGTCGTTATTGTTATCCATAGTATCATCCATTGATTCCTTGTTGTTTCTATTATTTTCGTAGTCTCGTCTCGCCTTTTCATATTCAATCCGTTCAGCATTTTCCTTGATAAACCTTTCGTTAAGATCTTCGAGAGAACCAGATCTCCAAGAAGAGATGCTTGTTGGTATAAGATCATCAAGATCAGAGCTGTAGTTGTTTTCAGAGAATACCTTCATAGTGAATAGGTTGTTGATGGGTTCAAGTTGACGTCCTCCAGCAGCAGTCACTGCAGCCGCTGTTCGAATAAGTTTGGGTTGCTGATCCACAGTATCAATATCCATGCTCTCTCTATTGTCATCTTCTATTTCTTCGTTTTCAGGAAGAGTTGGTGATGCGGGTGACATGGGTGTAATGGCATCATCAATGATTGAAGCTTGAGATGGTCGTCGTACTTCTTCAAAAAGTTTCACCATGGTGTAACGTTCCACGTGTTTGGTAATCAATCTGTATACATTTTCAGGGCAAATGGCATCCTTGGCCTGCATAGCGAGTATCACGGGTCCACCAAATTGACCATAGTTATATTGATTTTCAGTATCAAGTCGTGAGGCACAATAGGCAGGGAAAACAATCCATTTTTCACCATCAAATTCATCATCCTCATCCATAGTATCACCAGATTCAATAGCAGAGGAACCAAGTCTGGATCTAATTGAAAAGCGCGGTTGACGTCTTGTATGAGGAGAACGTGAAGGCACAGGTCCAGGTAATTGATATACATAAATAATGTCTGACAGTCCAATTGACGCAACGAGTTCATATTCCGGGAACACCTTGTAAATTTTGTTGTTGAATATTTCTACCACAAAGAGCTACAAAAAAAAAAAAAAAAGGAATTAATACATGTCCTTATTTTTTTTTTCTTAAAATATCAAAATATTATATATTTACCGTGGATGGATCGTCAACATTCACTTGTTTCGCAACAGCATCTTTGAGATTCTTGAAGCTTGCATCCTTATCAAGAGTAATGGTCATACGTTGTGGAGTGATAGAAGGATCATAGGGAACATATACAAGTTGAGTTTTTCGTTTCTTTTGTATTGGGAGAGGTAAGGATAAATACATAAAAGGGTCAAACGTTACCGAAACCTAAAAGTAAACAATAACAAAGAATGATTTAGATCCATCATGTACACCATACTCTTTTTTTTAAAAAAAAATATATATATATATACCTTGTGGCAAACATTACAAATCAAACGACTCTTGAATTGTCCTTGAAAGAGGTCGACAATGATGGAATCATTTCTAGCCTTGTGATAATCCCAACTTGTTTTCGCAATTTCTTCATCGGTCATATTGTCAAAATCAGGCATTTCTATATATGGTTTCTTGAGGATTCGATTCATATCTTCATGTAGACCATCTAATAAAAATGCCAACAATTCTTGAGAATCATGTTGTTGATAACCAGTAAAAGTAGGATTGAAACGACTGATAGTATACTAAATCATTCATAATAAATAAATAAATAAATAAATAAGCAAATATACTGTATTGTTGATTTCTTTTCACTTACTTTGAAATCTCTAGGAGCTATACTTGCTGTTGTACCACTCCAAAGTTTTTCAATCAATGATCCATAATTTTCTGCAATTTCACCATTCATGCCTAATGGATTGTCCCGATTCAGATCTTCTTTGTAATTTCCAGCTATTTGTGAATGGAATATTAGTTGAGTTGATACTTTTTTTTTATTTTATTTTTTTTATTTTATTTTCCTTACCCAAGAACCATTTTGTCAATTGCATTGTATTGCTAAGGCATTGTAAGGCCGAATTCATGAAGCATGTATTACCAAGATTGGATAAACCACAAATACCTTGTTGTCGTGATACTGGTGCACTTTTTCCAATCCAAGAAGAACCAAAATCACTATCATCATTGTTCCTATTACCATATAAATTGTTGTTGTAACCAATGGAAAGAGGACCTGCTGTTGTCGAATTTAGTATAGAATCAGTGTTATCTTGAGATAGATTGATGACCAAGATGCCGCTAGCCAAGGATAAATCGGAGATTGTTTTGTAGTCTTCATCAAGGTTAATTCGTTCAGCATCACGGAGGACAGAAGTAGAAACGAAAGGAGAGTTTGAAGTGGAACTCAGAGTGGTAGGAAGATCATCATCTAATCGCCAAAGTTCAAAATCCACATCTTGAGCCAAATCAAAAGCATTCAGAAAAGTATTCTTCATATCCATCACCAAAGTTTTCCTTGAAAGGCTAATGGTTGGACATTTTTCCAAAGAAGAGTTGTTGTTTTGTGATGATGTGGCCAAATATATTTTGAATGTTGGAGGATAAATTTCAATCATAGTTTCTTTATTGACTTCGCCTTCGGTAATGACATATCTTGGGATAGGATCTACTGAGATACCATACCTATATATGAATGATTTTTTTTTTTTGATTAGATTATACTATTTAAATAAAAAAATAAAATTATATTTTACCATTTCTCCAGGGAAAGCCAAGCCAATTCAGGTACACAGGTGTAATCTTCCCCTTCAACCAAATCTGGTAATAATTGATTCTTGTTGGAGTTGAGGACTGAGCTATTGTCGACAGGGCCAGGAGCAGTTTGAGAACCTAAAAGTTGAGTATTGACCATTGGACTTGCCATACGTTTACAATATTGTTTCCACCTTGACATCCAAGAATTAGCTACCAAATACCAAGTATCACCTTCTTTCATGGTAGAGTTTTTAAGTGTCTCCAAGTAATCAATTTGTTCAGTAGGAGGTAGATCGGATATTTCTAGACAGGTCGAGATATCATTGTCATTACAGTCCCAACCAGCAACAGCGTTTTCAAGTTGTTCATCGTCAGTTTCGTCCATTGTTACTGCGGTAGTACGTTGTTGTTGTATTGTTATTTCAATATCACTACCAAAACTTGTTTCTCTAGCACGTTTTGCTGATAATGGACTATAATTTTCTGTTGGAGTCATGTCTATTGAAGATGTAGGAGATGAAGGCTCACTAGAATCATTTTGGTGGGTCATAACTTCGGATCGGTGTCGTTTGGATGGTGATTCTGATCCTCGACTACTTCTTTTCACTATATTTTCCACCTTGTCTTGAATTTTGAGGTGTAAGGATGAAGATTGTAAGAAGAAGAAGAAGAAGAAAAAAAGGGGGGAAGAGTTGAAGAAGGGGGAAGAAAAAAAAGAACTGTAGAGAAATCAAAAAAAAAAAAAAAAAAAAATCAAAAAAAAAAAATGACGAACCAAAAAGAATCGCGTTTTAAATTTTTTTTGACTGTCACGAACGACTAAGATGAGCCTTAATGCAGCCTTTTCCTTTTTTTTTTTTTTTCTTCTCTTCTCTCTTCCTTTTTCTTTTCATTTCTTTATCAAAAAAAAATAAAAATAAAAATAAAATAAAATAAAACTATTCTGATACCGCTAATAGGTAATATAGAAAAATAAAATATTTGAAAGTTTCTTGTTAGAATAAAAAAGTTATATATTTATACCATGTTGCTAACATTTTTTTTTTTTACAGTAAAATATATACTTTCTTGATCGACTGGATTCTTGAAAAAAATAAGGACTTGTATCTAAACTGTTATAAAGATGGCTGGCGTTGGAAAAGAAAGGTATACTTAAAAACACTATTATTGATAATAGTGGTAGTAATACTAATACTCTCCTTAATTTATATAGCAGACGACGCAAACAACCTGATATATCTACTGCTAAATCCGATACAGGCAACCCTATTCAACCCGGTTTCTCGTCTTCCCGACCACAACTTGGAAAACGCAAAAATACAAAGAAAGCTGATATAGGCTCCTTGGATCGACCTCGACCAAAAGTCTTCAAGTCACAACAAAAGACTCCTGATACCTCAAAACCCCCTTCTACGTCAACAAGATCCAAAGGGAAAGCCAAGGCTGATAATCATTCAACTTCCAAAACGTAAATACCAACTTTTTTTTTTTTTGAGCCACTCCAATAAGAAACCAGTTCATAGCCTCTAACCTTTTTTATTCCCATTATTATTATTATTATTAGTCAATCTTCAGCCTCCTCCAGGGTGTCATCTGATAGTATGGATATGGACAAAACTAAAGTTACATCTGATAGATTCACTGATAAGGCCTTGATGGAAGTAGAACATGACATCCATAGTCAAGACAATGAAATGGACTCTTTTGCTGAAAATGAAGACATGTTGGTTATGGATGAATCAGGCATGATGAACTATGGTAATAGTAGTGACGATGACCACGACCAAAACGAAGGTGACTGGCATACCTATTTTGAAGATGATAATGAAGATATGGACGACTTTTTTGATGGTAAAAATGACGATAACGACGATAATGACGACGAATTCTTCAAAAGTGGACAAACAAGTCATATATCCAAAAATGATAGCGACTCTGATGACGATAATCATAACGATAATTCCATCAATAGTGACAGTAGAAATGACGATATGGATGCCGATGATCATTCTCAGGATGACATGGATGATTTGGATGATGCCGATGTTGGTAGATTATCACGTCTCCGCCGTAATTTGGGATTACATATGCATGATCTATTTGGTGGTGTCATGTCTGGAATGTCTGGCCAATTTCGCAACATTTTGGAAAATCTATCAAACAGTGACGATCAAACTCAACAACTTATCGCTCTTCAAGAACTAGCGGAAACTCTCTCAATCAGCAGTGAAGAAAATTTGACCGGCTTTTTCCAATGTGATGCCTTTGTGAAGGAACTTGTCAAGATTATGAAAGGTTCTAATGCAGATCCTACTCTTGGTGCTACAGAAGATGATATGATGCTCGCTATTGCTTTGAGTGAGCAATATGGTGGAGGAAATCCTGAATTGATGTTACTTGCTTGTCGATGTCTATCAAACTTGTTAGATGTTCTACCATCGGCTGCATCAAGTGTAGTATCCCATGGTGCTATTGAAGTATTATGCGACAAATTGAAATCCATTCAATATATTGATCTTGCTGAACAAGCTCTTGGGGTAATTATCAAACTAAAATTGTCAATTCACCGGTATTTTGATGGCTCACTTTTTTTTTTTTTTTTCCTTAGGCTTTGGAAAAGGTTGCAAGTCAGGTACCTCAGGCTGTGATTCAGAATGGTGGTCTAAGCGCTTCTCTCATGTACTTTGACTTTTTCAGTATACACTCTCAACGTACAGCGTTACAAACAGCTTCTCATTGTATGCGAAATATTGGTGTGGATTCATCTTCTCAAGTTCTGGAAATTATACCGATCCTTACAAATACTTTAACCTACTCAGATCGTACAGTGATCGAACTTACTTGTTTATGTTGGGCAAGATTGGCCGAAAGTTACCGATCAAATCCTACTGCTTTTGAAAAGGTGATCTCTATGGATGTATTAAAGACAATGATCGGTCTTCTCCCTGTTTCTGGAAACTCAAATGCTGTTCGATCTGGTACCTTCAATGATATCTTACGTGTCTTTCGATGTGTTTCCAAGGCATCCCCAGAACTTGGATATCAACTTTTGAATCTTGATATTGTTGGATACTTTTATCAAATTCTTACTGGTGCTCATAATCTCCCTCCATCAAATGAAGTCCTGCATACTGGTACTCCTGCTTCTCTAGCTATGATATCTTTGGACAACAAATGGCGTGACTCTCTATATACGGTATTGAAGATCATCATTGATTTACTTCCTCCTTTGCCAAAAAGTAAGGAAAAAAATAATACTAGACTTGGATCTTTTTGTTTCTCATCCATTTTTTATTTTTTTTTATTTTTAAAGATGAAATTTTTAGTTGGAAACGTTTTCAAGGAACAGAACCTGTAGCTTTACGAACCAGATCTGCAAAGTCAATTCAACCAGAATCATTGTCACAACCATCATCACCAACTTCGACTTCTTCATCATCACCACCATCACCTTCATCTTCGTTAGCTTCACAATCAGGACAATCTATTGAAAATGCATCTCCAGATCCTCGAATTCAACTCTTCAAAGAAAATTCAGAACTTTTACAGCGAATTGGCTTTATTTTATTCCCTTTACTATTGGAAATTTATTCTTCAACTGTGAATTTACGTGTTAGACAATTGGTGACTCATATCTTGGTCAAATTGGTCTTCTTTATGGACAGTGATGCTTTGAAAATTGTCCTCAAGCATGTGAATTTATCTGGGTTCCTGGTGGGTTTATTAGCTCAACAAGAACAAACTACTTTTGTGATAGATGCTCTTTTTCAAGCAGAATTCTTACTGGAGAAACTACCGGATGTCTACTATATATTATTCCAGCGTGAAGGTGTTTACTATGAAATCAATACATTGGCGAACAAAAGCTTGGTAGAAGAAGGTGTTTCTGCGAAAATGCATCAATCTTTAGAAGGTACTATTCTGGCTCCGTCAATTGATGATTTATCTATGATATCCGAAACAAATAGTGAATCAGGACAGTCTTCAACTCAATCAACATCACAATCCATGGAGGAGAGGTTGTTCACTGATAGCCCTATTCTTGCTTCAAATCAACGACGATCTGCACGTTCGGATACAAGTCAACAAATGTCCAACTTACTGGAACGTAGCTTTATGATGAGGAGACTTCAAAAAAATCGGTCTCGTTTAGAAACGCATCCTTCAACAATGTCATCGATCAGAGAAGGTGAAGCTGGAATTGGACATGGTGCACTTCGGAGGTTTGTCATTCAACTGGCTCAGCATTTTATCAAGATTTACTCAACTGCTCAACAAACTGATAGGGCTGATCCTCTTATCAACAGCTTACATAAATTACAACAATTTGGACAAGGACTTGTTGGAACAACGGATGATCCAGCAGCACGCAACATTTTGGAAAACTTTGTATCCTATATTGATGGATCTACTATTGGCATCAGTGGATTTGAATTACTCCGATCTGGTATGCTAGAGGCTTTATTGGGATATCTTACTCAATCTAACGACGGTGATAAACGACAAATTCAATATATGGCATCTGTGAATCAACGAAGGCAAACATTTTACTCTGTGTTCATGGAGACACTCAAATTAAATGAAGAAGAAGAAAACGGTATGATGGCTTCTCCTTCTCTGCGACTTCTTGTGAAACGTCTAGAAGATCTTTTCACACAATTTGAAAGATTTGAAGTAGTATCGCCTTTGGGTTCCTCTTTATCATCAAGTGATAGTATCCGAAATCCTGTACATTTATTAGCCAAGCAAATCCGAATTAGGCTGACTGGACAAGGACCTGGAATCCCAGCAGAATATCAGCATTTGATGGTGGCCACCCATGCAGTTGCAACCTTCCGTGTTTTGGAAGAATATTTACTGGCTCATATTCATGATCCAAATGATATTCTGATGACTGACAAAACGATCTGTGCAGACGAAGAAGAAGACTTTGATGATGACGAAAAGACATCTCCTCCAGAACAAATGAATTTAGATGATGACGAACAAAATTCAAAGGTATTTTTTTTTTTTTGAAAGGATTATTCTACTCCTTTATTTACTCACTTTTTTTGTTCATTACAATAGGATAATACTATTCTCAAGAATGGAAAATCTATCTCAAGAAGGACATCTTCCCGCCAAGCAACACTTCGGAAATCTATATCATCGTCATCATCATCATCATCATCATCATCATCATCATCATCACCATCATTATCGAGATCAGCATCAAAAACGAAAACTGCAACAGCATCATCATCATCAACATCAAAAACCAAATCAAAATTAAATACTCGCCAAAAAGGAAAATGGAAGATACAGTTTTATATGGAAGGTACTATGATATCCAGTGACTCGACAGTATATGGCGCCATTCACAGAAATGAAATAAGAAAACAAAATCAATCAGATCCTCAGACGACAAATCATCCTATTTGGTCAACAGCATACCCAGTTACTTACAAACGCGTTTTTGTTACAGACGATACTGATATTACCAAGAAAGCGGAAAATTCATCATTACAACAAACCGACAATTCACAGCTTCCCAAGCAATTGCCCGATATGGATGCAATTTGTTTGAACATATTACGATTACTGAAAGAACTGGCGACATTGAGTGGAGCATGGGAAGCCATCAATCAATCACCTTCGGCCATAATAACAACAACAGAAACTCCTTCTCTGGTACCAATGACTGAATTCGTGAATAGAAAATTGGCAGCCAAGATGCAACGACAATTAGAAGAACCTTTGATTGTGGCAAGTTCATGTCTTCCGGAATGGGTATACTACTTTATGGGAAACTATCCGTTTTTATTTCCATTCGATGTACGACACTTATTTATACAGAGCACGTCTTTTGGTTATTCCCGGCTGATTGCAAGATGGCAAAGTATGCAAATGCGAAATAACACTCAAAATGGACAGAGACATGATGGTCAAGGAGGGTATACGAATGATAGTGGGTCTGGACGAAGTATTGAAGGTGGATCATCACAACAACAGCAACAACAGCCAACATTAGGACGTATGGAACGAAAGAAAGTGATGGTGAAACGAAATCAAATTTTGGAATATACCATCAAGATAATGCGACTTTTTGGTAACTCTCAACCTGTATTGGAGATTGAATACGTGGATGAAGAAGGTACTGGTCTCGGTCCAACTTTGGAATTTTATTCACTGGCTTCCAAGGAATTTAGTAAGCAATCTACAAATATGTGGAGACAAGATGACGATATTAGTGACATTGATGATGCCAAGATGACTCTTTCCGGTGTGAATACATCTTCTGAAGAAGAAGTAAACAAAGATATATATGTAGTGGCGAAGCGAGGACTTTTCCCAGCTCCATTATCAAGATACAAGGATACCAGATCTAGGAAAAAGATCATTCAATTATTCAAGACACTCGGTCAATTTGTTGCTAAAGCGATGCTGGACTTTCGGATTATTGATATTCCCTTTAGCGTGGCTTTCTTCAAATTACTTCTTCATGATGATGTGACTCCGTTAGAAATATTGAAGGTAACAAAAAAGAGATAAAAGAAATGATAACATGATAACCAATTATTATTATTTTTTCTTTCTTTCTTATTCTCTGTAGGAAATTGATCCCACCCTTGCAAGATCTGTGTCTCACTTACAAGCCTATGTAGATAAGAAACATTTGATGGAACAAGACATAAGTTTAAAGGTATGACAGTTTATTCAAAAAAAAAAAAAGATTCTAAGAACTTATTCACTTTTTTTCTTTTTAACTTAGTCTGATCAAATTCAAGCTATCGAAAACATTACAATCAATGGTGCCAAAATTCAAGATTTATGCTTAGACTTTACTTTACCAGGGTATCCAAATATCGAACTGAAGGTAACAACAAAAAAAAAATCTTCTTTTTATTTTTCCTATAATTCATTTCATCCTTTAAATTCTATTTAGCGTGGTGGGTCTCAAATACCTGTGACAATGGATAATGTAGAAGAATATATATATCTTTTGACAGACATGATAGCTGGATCTGGAATCAAAGAACAAATATCGGCATTCCGTGATGGATTCAGTGGACTATTCCCTATTGAAGATCTCAAAGTACTTACTTGTGAAGAATTGGTATCTCTCTTTGGTGCTGCAAATGAAGATTGGTCATACGCAAGTAAGTCAGAAAATATGCATGATATTCATGAAAAAAAAAACTCACCTTATGATCATTATTTTTTTTTTGATATTAAATAATAAAAATGAATAGCTTTATTGGATACTATCAAGGCAGATCATGGATATACAATGGAAAGCAACACGGTCAAGCATCTTCTGGAGGTGCTTTCTGAAATGACTAATGAAGAAAAACGTGAATTTTTACAATTTACCACAGGATCCCCACGATTGCCAATTGGAGGTATAATGAGACTGAGTAAAAGGTATTATGACACCACTGACGTTTTTTTTTTTTTTTTTTTTTTGGAATAGGATGGAAAGCAATGCGACCTATGTTTACTGTTGTCCGGAAGAATTGCGAAGCACCATTAGTTGCGGATGATTATTTACCATCGGTGATGACATGTGCCAATTATCTCAAGATGCCAGATTATTCCACCAAGGCTATTCTGCGAAAACAATTATTCAAGTCTATGCAAGAAGGGAAAAATAGCTTTTTACTTTCGTGATCGATGGATTTCATACTCTCCTTCCCCTTTATATATTCATATTTTTGTATTCATGTACCCCTTAGGACGATATCTCATTTTTATTTCCCCCCACTCATTTGTACATCTTTTATCAACACCTCTTTTTTTTTCATAGTGAATTTTCACTTATTCAAAATAGTGTGTAAATTCAATATCACTTACATCTTTTCGCTTAGTTTTTCCCCCCTTCCAATTGATAGCATACATATGACTGTGTAAACTCAAAAATAAAAATTTTATTTTACTTTGTGACAATGCTTGATGATCAGTAATAGTATCCATACACAGAAAATTAAACCTTTTATATATATTATATATATATATGTATAACAATAAAGAAAAAGGGTCCAGTATACTCAAACATGTCATTGTCAATAAGGTTGCACGTACATATATTCGATAGTTGTTTAAGTTTTAATATGAACTCATTTTTTATATTAAAAAGATCGTCATTGTTTAATAATGTGCATATCATTATTATTCCGTATATCGACATAAAGTAACCATCATAGGACATGAGCCATCATAAATATCATCTATCATCCCATACTATACAAAAAAAAACAATTACATCGATGCATAGAGAGAGAGATCGTATATGCATTTTCTTTTTTTTTTTTTAGGGGTGAGTCTAGAGATATCATTGGTCATTAAGATTTTTTTTTGGGGGGGGGAATAGAAAAAATCAGTTTATTTATTTGAATGGACAATAAAATATTTGCATACTCTACAAGTAAAACTATTTTGTTTCTACTCTATTGATTCTTGTAATATGATTCCAATTCTTCCACATCTTCCTTTGAACCCAACCAAATACCAGATCGATCGTGAATATGTTCTGGGATGAGATCCAAAGCGCTTTGTGTTCCAGTTGTTGCCTTGCCACCAGCTTGTTCAATCAAAAATGCCATAGGGAATACTTCATATAGAATACGAAGTTTTCCTTTCTTTGATTTGGAATCAGCAGGATAACCAAAAATACCACCTATATCAAAAAAAAACATTAGCATAAATTACTTTTTTTCTTTTTTTCCCCATATTTTTTAAAAAAAGAAAATAGTCCGAAAAAAGAAAGTATGTGTAACGTTACCATAAAGTAAAGTTCGGTGAATATCGGATACCATGGAGCCAACATAACGAGCACTGTATTTTTGTTTGACATGATCTACATACTTCTTGCAAGGTTCATCAAAGTATTTGTAATTTCCTTCATTGACAGAGTAAATCTTTCCTCGACTAGGTAAAACAATCTAAAAAAAAAAAAAATATTATTTGAGATAAGCGGATAATAAAAAAAAACATCTAGATTTTCTTTTTTCTTTTTTTTCTTTTGAATTTACGTTTGGGTGGGTCATGATAAATTCACCAATAGCAGGATCCAAAGTAAAACCGTTAACACCATTACCGACAGACTAAAAAAAGAAATCATAATTAAAAATCCCTCTCCTTCTCATAGTGATTCCGTTCCGTTTCGATTTTTTTTTTTTTTTTTTTAGTCATTCATTACCAAAATCATTTCACAGTAAGAACCATACATACAATAACCAGCAGCAATCAATTCACGTCCACTTCGAATACAATCTGACATATCAGGGTTTTCTTCATCTTTCTATAAAACAAATAGGGGTCATCAAGAAAAAGAAAAAAAAATATATTAGTCAATATTTTCAAAAAAAAAAAAAAAAATCTACCCACTTACCACTTTGAAAATACCAAAAATAGTACCAATGGATACCCCACAATCAATATTTGAGGAACCATCCAAAGGATCAAAGGTGACGACATATTTTCCACGTTCATGAGGATTCTTGATAATCATTGCATTTTCATCTTCTTCAGATACAAGAAGACGAGCTTTTCCAGAAGCAATTAAAGAATTACGAAAGATATCGTTGGCTAATACATCAAGTTTCTTGACATCTTCACCTTGTACATTCGCAGTTCCTGTCAATCCCAATCTATTCAATCAAACTTTTATTAGTAAACACTCCCATCTTATTTTTTTTCTCCCTTTCCTCCCTTCCCTCCTCTTTTTTTTTCGAGTTCAAACTTACAAGTTGATCAAACCAGCTTGTTTGACTTTTGAAGCCACAAACTTGCATCCGAATTGAATAGCAGTCAAAAGAATAGTCAAATCACCAGAAGCTTCAGGTACTTCCTGTAAAAAAAAAAAAAATAGGAGTTATGATTGAGTAAAAATAGAAGACTCAATAAAAAAAAAACGCGGGGTGTATGGGGAGAGGAGTATTTTTTTTTTTATTTTTTTTTATTACCTGTTGTTGAGATAAGACCCAACGAGTTAAGGTGACTAAATCTTCACCTTTACCGATCTTAATTTCGTCAAAGGACATGATAAGTAATATTTATTTATATATAGATTGAAAAGAGAGAGAGAGAAAAAGAAGAAGAAGGAAAAGAAAGAAAAAAAGAAAAATTGATATTTTTTATGTATAGAAATAAGCGGAGTCGCTTTATGAATATGGAGAATCTCGGACAGACAGACATATGAAAAACGATACTCTGTCCGCGGATACACATTTTTACATATTGAAAGAAATCATTTTGGTTTTTTTTTACATTTATTCATTATAAACAATAAGTTGCCACCCTTTTTTGGAATACACTGGATTATTTTATTTTTTTTTTGTATTTATCAGTACTCCTTTTATTGTTTCCCCTATTGCAGTTCTTCTTTAAAGTTAATCCCATCATTATATAACAACAACTATAAAAACAACATCAAGTTGTTACCTGCATATATTACTTGTAAAGATAATCCCTTCACTCCTTTATCGAAATAACATTTCTGTTGTTTTCATCTGACAAATAAATAAAAAAAAATAAAAAATAAAAAATAAAAAATAAAAGAAATAAAAAAAAAATAAAAAAATAAAAAATCTTTTGGTTCAGGAGTTACCAAAGGAGGTCCTTTTTTTTTTTTGATCTTTGTAGTCAAGTAAGGGTGGCAAACCTTTATAAACATTTTCTTTTTTTTTTTATTTCTTTTTCTTTTTCTTTTATTTGAAATTCTTTTTCTTTTTCTTTTTCTTTTTTCAGATTGTTCTTTTTTTTATATATGATTTATGATACTTATCCTGATCTTGCCATACCAACTGGGAGCGGTAATTGAATACATATATATTTTTTTTTTTTTTTTGCATTTATTTTATCGGTTCCTTATCTTTTTTTTTTTTTTTTTTTTTTTTTTTGTTTCTAAAAGGCGAAGAAATTCATTCTGTTTGGGAACAAGACAATAATGTAATTGATCATGTTATTTTTGTTATTCATGTAAGATAAATAAATTATTATATAAATATTATATTGTAATATTTATTAATAATAATAATAATATATAGGGTATTGGTCAACAAACTGAACGTTTTGGTTATTTTGAACAACATAGTAAGTTATTTTTTTATTTTATATATATATATACAAAAATATTTTAATATTTTGAATTCAATTTTTCTAGTGGAAACTATTCGATCTACTATATGTGAAGTATTACAAGCACGTATGCCATACCGAGATATTCGTATTCAACTCATTCCTATTGAATGGCATAAACATATTCATGAACAAACAGACGAATCTTTGAATAATATTAGTCTCAAAAATATTCCTGGTATGCGTTTGGTTGGTAACGATTATATTATGGACGGTCTTTATTATCTTGCTAAAGATAGACAACAAACTATTATTACCCATGTCACACGTACTTTTAACGAAGCATATCATGAATTTATTGATTCTCATCCTACTTTTCAAGGTAACATTGGTATCTTTGGTTATTCGTAAGTGAATAAATGTATTTATTTGATATATTTTTATTTTATTCTTATTTTTAACACTTTTTTTTTTTAAGTTTGGGAGGTTTGATTACTTGGGATATATTAGCTCATCAACGTTCAATCACTACTATGGAAGAACAAGCTCAACTCGATAAATTAGACCTGAACGTACCTCATTTAGATTTCAAACCTCAATTTTTATTTGGTGTGGGTTGTCCATTAGGTGCTTTCCTTAATATTCGTAATCAAGATCCAAAACTATATTGTCCTGATTCCTCTACCGTTTTTGAAAATATTTATCATCCTTGTGATCCTTTGGTAAGTTAACCCTTTATCTCCTTCTCTTCTTTTTCTTTTTCTTCTTCTTCTTCTTCTCCTTCCTTCCTCCTTTTGTCACAAAAAAAAAACTCCTATATTTCTCCTTGTATACTTGTTCTTCTATATCTCTTCTCCCCCTATCTATCTATCGATTTTATTCACTACTCTGTTCTTCTCAAGTTATCTCCTTTTTTTATTTTTATTTTTATTTTTTATTTTTATTTTTTTTTTTTACTAATACGATAACTCATTTTTATATGTATATTTATATCCAATAGGCTTATCGCGTGGAACCATTATATCATCCTGAATGTCGACATCATGATAGTGTTCAAGTAGAATCTGCCATACCGAATGATGCATCAACACCTATATTCTCATCTCTGACCGATTGGGTAACTTCATGGTTCAAACGATCAAATGAAAAACTTCAAGATGATATTCAAGTTTCAAGTACCCCTCAGTCTCCCGTCAATGGTTTGAATAGTATCGCCACTACTACATCGACTTCTCCTTGGACTCCCCCTCAAACTCCTACTCTTGTCAAAGACTCCATGTCCCTCATTGCCACCACCACGTCCAACAGTAACAATCTTCACTATAATAACGGCAACCATCCTCACTATTCTTCACCCCCTGCTCCTCACATGCGTGGAAACAATGTATTGGATTCAAATGATGATAACAATATGGAAAGCAAATCTAGCGAATCCAATGATCGAACTACTTTATTATCATCTGTCGGTGCTTTATTCCAATATATCTCTCCTCGTGCCTCTTTTGATCGAGATTCGGCTCTTGGTTCGGATATTGAAGAAGATCATGAAGAAGAAGATGATGAAAACAACGATACAACATTCTTGAATCCATTGGACACAGGATGTTCATCATCTTCCTTATTCAACAAACGCAATACCAAGAAAAAATCAAGTATCAAAGCAAGTAATATGCCACCTGTTAGTCAATTGTCTATGCCGACCATGAATGATCCCAATATGTTATATCGTCGTCGACAAAGTCAGATCTATGATTCGCCACAATCTTGGATGATGGAAAAGAAGAAACGACGTCAATCCTTACCCAACCTTCATCGATCTCCTCGTATTTCGTCTTTGGAAGAAGATACCATGTTATTGCAAAGTTTACCAGGGAGTCGTCGAGTGGATTATGCATTACAACCTGGTCCCATGTTTGGTGGCATGATTTCAAATCAATATCTTCTTGGTCTTCAAGCTCACTTTTCTTATTGGAACAACAAGGATATGTTATGGCATATGGTGGATCAATTGGATAATGCTATTCATTAGATTGGTGATTCCCCTCTTCACCTCCTATATCAAGCTTATCTCCCTTCCTCTTTTTGGTGCTTTAGTTTTCATTATATACATACCTATATTTATATATCCTTCCTCTTCTTCTTCTTTTTTTTTTTTGTTGTTCCTATTATTTATCATTCTTTTGTGTCAAACTGCTGTAGTATCTTCTTCCGTCCACCCCCTCCTTTTTTTTTTTTTTTGTCATTAGTTCTAATCTACCTATTCGTCCAGTTACTTCCCCATCATTTCCTTTTTTCTTTATCCCTCACATCTCGTCCCCCCTTCCTTTTTTTTTTCCTTCCTTTTTTCAAAGGTAATATCTATTTATCACTGCTACACAACTGATTCAATATTATAATAAAAAAAAATAAAACACAATAAAAAGACAACATTTTTTTTTCCTTTATTGAATATATCTATCTATCTATTTATCTATCTATCCAAGGTGATGTAAAAAAACTAGTTTGACATTCTATAGTTGGATACTAAACTTTCATCATCCATCCCCTTTTTTTTTTTTTTTCCTTCAGCCAGATACTAATCTAAATTGTCCATAATGCCCGTTGCCAAAATGAAAATAGAGAAACAACGATGCTGAGTCCAAAATGATGATGAGGAGGATGGGTTGGATGCTGTATTATTGTTGGATATGTTGAGCGAGACGAGTGACTTCCTCTATAGCGGCCACGGTGGATGGTGAATAGTGAGCAGTTTCATTGTCATTTTTATTGTCCATGATAGCATGTCGTTTACCGTCATCTTGTTGTAATCCAGTTGCAAAATCTGTTGGTGTCGTCCAAGGGTAATCCATCAATGGATCATAATAAGAAGGTCCACTATTTCCTGCCACAGTCAAATAATACAGATCATTGTGTCCTTGTTGTGATGTCGTAGGGTAATAAGAAACCAAATGTTGTTGTTGCTGTTGTTGTTGTTGTATTGGATACGTGGGTTGAACTTGAGAAGAACCAAGTGGTAAGAAAGGAGTCATCTGTTGTAATGGAGAGGTTGCCGAGTACATGGTCATCATGCCAGAATTGGATGCCGTTTTCGTTGCCGAGAATGTAGTTAAATCTGTTGAAGTAGGTACTGAGGATGAAGATGAGGATGAATTACCAAATTTGGTTGTTCTTGTAGAGAATCGCTTTTTACTATTTGATGATCGTTGTGGTTGTTGTTGCTGTTGTTGTTGTTGTTTTGCTTCTTTTGTTTGATTTCTCTTTGTCCTAGCTATTCTTTGTTCACCACGAAGACGAAGCTGTGCCAGAATGGTTCTTGATTCTTGTACTTCTTGTTCTGTTTTACTGAGATGAGATCTTAACATTTCTTCTTGATCACTTTCATTGGTTGAATGAAAAGAGGAAGTGGCCAAGCTGGATAAAAGCATTTCACGGTAATCATTCATATCCGCTTCTATTTGTCGAATATGTTGCTCCAATCGTGATAGATGATCTATATAAGGATCGACATGATGAGGTTGAGTATTGCGTGAACGTCGTGAACTAGGATAAGAACAGGATGATCCTGTGCTTTGACATCGTGTACAATAAGGATGAGCTCCATCACAACGTACCTTTATTTCAATTAAAAAAAAAAAAAAGCGTTGGTCAGTTGATGACTGATGATTTTTTTTTTTTTTTGGGAGTTACCTTTTTATGGTGACATCTGAAGCATGCAATAGGTGCTCTAGGACGTTTCATTTGTTGTTTTCGTGATTGATAATGTTGACTAGTAGAAGAATACTTTGAAGTTTTTATCATATAAAAGGAAAGAAGAAGAAGAAGAAAAAGGAAAAGAAAGAAATAAAAATAAAAAAAAAATCCAGAAAAGCTTATACGGTCATTTGGAATTCCGCTTTGTACCTTTGGGCGAGTTTGATATTTATGCAGGAATCACAACGGGGAGATCAATACCATCATTCATTCAATTATATATATAAAGTCATACAAAATAGTAATAATCAATATTTATTTTAAAAATAATAATAATAATAATGCGAAACTATTTCAACAAGCACATCCATTCGATCTTGTTTCGCCTGTTGTATTACCAAGAGTTAAATTCACATTATTGTTACCATGTTGATTAAGTATTGAAGAAGAAGTAGCAGATTTATTTCCACCTGGAGGTCTTATAGGTGTAAGGTATTCAATAGGTACATTTTTGGCTTTATATATATAAAAAGAGGGTTGTTAGTAACAAAAAAAAAAAAATAGGAGTCATCATCATTTTACCTATTTCTGTAAATACTTTTTCTACATTGATATTTAAACGAGCACTTGTTTCAAAAAATAATAATGCACATTCTGCAGCGTATTTTGATGCTTCTTCTGTTGATACTTCACGTTCTTGATGTTCTTCATGTTCAGCAAAATCAAAGTTTTCATTATCCAAAGGAGTCTCTTGTTCTAAAGAATCGCATAAATCAATCTTGTTTCCAACTAGTGCAATTACAATATGTGGAGGAGCTTGACGTTGTAATTCACGAATCCAAATCTTTGCTCTTCCAAACGTTGCCTATAATATAAAATGATAAATGATCGTATTTGAACTGTATTTATTTAATAATTTACCTGTTTTGATACATCATACATTACTATAGCAGTTTGAGCACCACGATAATACATTGGCTTATATAAAATAAAATAAAATAAAAAAGTGATTTAATCATATATATTTAGCTTTCCTTTTTATCATTTACAGCTAATGAATGGAAGCGTTCTTGACCAGCAGTATCCCAACAATTCATTTTGATCATCCTATCTTCTATTCTAAACGTTTTTGTAAGAAAACCAGCTAATAAGAATAATAATAATAATAACTTTGTTAGTTCATCACATTTATAACTATCCTTTTTTATTATATTACCTCCAACTGTAGGTTCACGTTTTTCGGTAAAGTTGTTGTTCACAAATCGATGAAGGAAAGAAGTTTTACCAACTGCAGATTCACCTATAAAAAGAATATACTTTTTTATACTTTGATAGAATTCTAATAAAAATAAGTTTACCTAATAAAACTAATTTGAGTTGATGTTCTGGAGTTTCATTTCTATCAGTTATTGACTGAATATCTTCAGTAGATGTAGACATGATATATAATATGCAAACAAAAAAAGGAGTAAGTAAGAAAAGAAAGAAAGAAAGAAAAAAAAAAAGGTGCGGCGGAATATAAAAAAAAAAAGATGACCATAAAACCAACCAATGTAAAGAAAAGTTTCACCACGGGTCTTTCTCAATTTTTTTTTTTTTCACTCATGCCAAATTTTGTTGTTTCATATTGGCGTATATTTTTTTCTTTTTTCTTTTCTTTTTCCTCTTATTTTCAAACACTTTATTGTATACAATGCCACTTTTTACTTTTGATATGAATATGCAACATGCTTTGAAACAAGCTGGAATCATTCCTGATGGTAAAGAATAAAAAAGTAAAAAAATAAAAAAGAATAAATAACAACTAAATATTCGTTTTTTTTTAATAGTTATTGATGAAGGTTTTCAACCTAAAACACTTTTATCTGTCAAATATCCTGATGAAGAAGTAGCTATTGGTAATCATCTTACTACAAATCAAACAGCAGAAGCTCCTCAAGTTCAATTTGTTACTGAAGATAATGAAGATAATGAATATACTCTATTCATGGTAAAAAATCTCATTTTTTTTTTTTAGTATATATTATTTATCTTTATTTATTCAATAGGTCGATCCTGATGCTCCATCACGAACAAATCCTAAAAATGGACCTTGGCGTCATTGGGTGGCAGTAAATATTCCTGGTAATTATCTAAAAGAAGCAATAAAGGAATTTGTTTTAAAAATGGAAGAATTATTATTTTTATAGGTAATCAACAAGATAAAGCAACTGCAGCATCTTCTCAATTGACCAACTATTTGGGACCAGCACCTCCACCTGGTACAGGCGATCATCGATATGTTTTTTTACTTTATAAACAACCTAACAAGAATATCAAGTTTGAATCTTTATCCCAAAGTGTTCAAGAACGCAGAAGTTTTGATTACAAAAAATATGCTTTGACTCATCAACTTGAACTTGTAGGTGTCAACTTTTTTTATTGCTCTGTTTCGTAGTTATTATTTAGTATTCAATTAAATAAAATATATATATATATATATTATGTATGTGTTTATTTTTGTCATTTCCATATTTGTAAATGACTAACTATCACTGATAAAAGAAAAAAAAAAGGGGGTTTATGAGATTGAAAAAGATCTTGGGTTATGATTGGCTGGTATACAAAAAAAAAGAAGAAGTGTGAATAAGTGTAACTATAGATCTAATAAAGACATTGACTTTGTATTTAAAACAAAAGATCAAATAAACTAGATAACATAAATTGATAAGTAAATAAATCTAAAAGTTTAAATATACATGTGACAGTCAAAAAAAAAAAAAAGAAAAAAAATCGTCTTACTGATAAGGAAAGAGATGATGATCTAATATCATACTAGAAATTTAACCCTTAAGGAGTGTGGTTAATCAAGGAGTGAAAAATGATAAAATAAAAATAATCTTTTTGTATATATATAAATATGCATTGATCCCGCGGTTCATTTCTGATAAGAAGAGAGAAAAAAAAAAGCAATCATCTTATCAATTGTAAAACGGGCGCTTGCGGGATTTTATATGTTTTGTACTATATCTGATGCTTATCACCAGCCAATAAAAAATTCCCTCACAAGAGCTTTTTTTTTTTTTTTCCTTTTTTTTTTTATAAAATGTTTTTTTTTCAGTCCCCTCTTTTTTTTTTTTTCTCTTCTCTTCTCTTCCTTTTTTTTTTTTTTTCCTTTTATTATCTTTTTTTTTTTCCTCTTCTTTTCACCTTTATACATTTTTTACTTCTGTCTCTCTCTCTCTCTCTCTTATATAACTCTTCTCTTCTACTTTATTTCCTCATTGGTACAATAGGTAAATTATTAAAAATAAATAAAAAAAAAGTGACTTGTATGACTCATACCTTTTATATATATATATATAATATAGAGTTTATACATTCATCTACTTTTATTCTTGAATCTATTTCTTTCTTTTTAATCCACCTAAAATGACTGTCAAGTCGCCTTTTTACAACAAGCCTTCGACGTCAACCAGTGTGGATTCTTGCCATAAATGCCCGGCGATACCAACCAATAACCAGGACTTACACGTACCGTCAACTGATTCAGTCAATCTTCAGACTCAACAAGACCAGTCCTCTCCTACTGGCTTCGACCAACGAATCTTGGATACTTCCAACAATGACAACACTTCTACTACTACTACTATGGATAGTGCTAATGTCGTTGAACCGTGCAGCTCCAGTGCCGCGATATCGGAATTTGGAACAACACCCTTGACCTCTTGTTCGAACTGTGGAACTCAATCCACTCCTCTTTGGCGACGTTCTCCTCAAGGTGAAACTATTTGCAATGCTTGTGGTCTTTATTTGAAAGCTAGAAATACTACTCGTCCTCCATGGTTGAAAAGAAATTCTACAAAACGTCCTGTTCCTTTGGCTCCTGTGGCTTTGGCTCCTGCTCCTATTGCTATGAAATTACCTATTCAACCTTCACCACCTGCTATTGTTCCCATATACTCTACTTCTTCTCCTTCTTCATCATCATCTGGATCATCATCTGATTCTGTTTCTACTCCTGATGATACTACTGCAAGTGATAGTGAACAATCTGACAAGTCTGATAGCAATCGTTCAATGATTTGTTTCAACTGCAATACAACAACAACTCCTCTTTGGCGACGTGATGGTGACGGAAACACTATTTGCAATGCATGTGGATTATATTACAAACTCCATAGTGTACATCGACCTATCACAATGAAACGATCTATCATCAAACGTCGAAAACGAGTGGCTATTCCTGCTACTATGACAACAACAACATCATCTGATATTATTGGAAATAAACGTAAATCAAGTTTGGATGATTCTATTGATCATGTATCACCACCTGCAAAACGACTTGAATTACCTCTTCTTGCCGCCAAAACAACAGCAACAACAAAATCGAATCAATCTCTCACTTTACCCAATGTAAGCACTATTGTGGAATCGATGGAGCCTGATGCTTTCAATCGTCATCATCATCGTCAACATTTACCTTCACCACCTCTACATCCTGTGAAATCTTCCAATTTGGCTAGTTTATTGAATCCATCCAATGAAAGTGATAAGAGATTACCTCCTATTTCTTTACCTGGTTTACCTTCTCCTCCTATGGTACCTCATGATACAATGCAACCTTTATCACCCGCCAGACCTTCTTCACCTTCTTCATCAACACCATCTACTACTGTCAATTCGCCCATGTCATTACCATATGAACCTTCATCCAACTCTACTGTCGCTGCTGCTGCTGCTGCTGCTTTTGCTACCGTGTCTGCTCTTTTGAATCCCAATGCCAATCGACAACATACACATCAAATGCTTGAAGCTCATCGTCATGAATTGCAACGGGAAGTCACTAATTTGACATGTATGCTTACTCGTACTACTGCCATGTTGGAGAATCTTGATCAAGTGATGGCTGTCACTGGAAATAGAACAACAACTATGATGGAAACAAGCAACAAGAACAACAATGTATCTCAATCCATTTTATCCTTTTCCAAGTCATCCTCTTCCTCTACCACTGTTACCTCTTCATCTGGATGTTGATTTACAAGTTGATTCTCTTTCTTTTTTTTTATGCTTTTATTCATTTCAATCCTTCTTTTTTTTTTTTACTATGATATTTATCTTTATTCTCTTTCTTTATATGATCGTATAATAGTTTAGCATGTTTTTTTTTAAAAATTCTCTTCCTAACTTTTATTCGAATCAATAAACATTCTTTTTTAAGATCCCAATGACAAATATGGAAAACATCTTACAGGATTGGCTTTACAGATTATTAAGAAACTCTTTGTTCGTTCTCCGGTCAGACTATTCTCTTTCCTGAAATATCCAAGTACACTAGTTTGGAAAAATGGTGTCATCATTTCAACTCCGTTGGTTACCCACTTTTGTTCCTCTTTTCATAAATCACGAAACTAGCCGTGAGAAGTTTGGCGGAATTGAATACTTTGTGGAGCATTTAAAGTTTTTATATCAAAAAAGAAACAAGTTCTCTGCCTTTTTTTGTTATTGATGATCTCTATAATGATGATAAAAATGAATTGGATAATATATGACTAAATCATAAAGAAATATGAGATATTTATTTATATATATATATATATGAACAAATAATGTATTTTTAGTCAGGATGATGTGATTTCCGCGGAAAGATATCAATTTTTCTTTTTTGAAATAAAAAAAAACCTCTCCTTTCTCAATCAAATTTCTCTATTACTGTATAATATGTGTGGGGAGGATGGTGCACGAAAATGATATTTTCCCACAGTACCTACCAATCAAAAACCAAGAAAGTAGATATTCAACTTCCGTTCCTCGATTAAAAAAAAAAAAAATCGGTTAAATGTTAATTTTTTTTATCTCTTTTTTTCTATTCCCCTTCTTTTCTTTTCTTAATTCACTTCATTGCCTATTCTTATTATTCAAACTATACCCATTTTTTTTTCTTTATATTTTTTTTTATACGCTTTATTTTTCCTCTTCCTTTGATCACTTTTTATTTTATTTTATTTTTTTTTATCATTGAACGCGATCTGAATCATGGCCCTTTTTATGGAATATGACGAAAGTTATGTAGCAGGTAGCAAAGCTTCAAGTATCTCAAGTACTGATAGTGGCGATCATCCTCCTTCCCTTTACACTGGTCAAGCTGATTCTTGTTCAAGTTTATGTGATCCTGATGAGTTATCTGAACCACTTGTATTTGACGGTAAAAAAAAAAAAAAAAAAAAAAAAAGAATGGGTACCTTAACGATTCAAGGGTCACTCACTTTATTCTTTTTTTTTTTGTACTACTTTCTTTAGATCCTAGTCCTTATGAACCCATGAAATCTAGACAACGAACCTCTATTTCAATTCCTTTTGAAGAAGATCTGATTCCATCATCATCATTTTACAACACTTTCTCTTCTTCTTCTTTGATCATTCCCGTGACCAACAAAGATAAACAAGAGGTAAGGTTTAATCTATTTCCGATCAAAGCAAGTACATAAAAATAGAATTGACAAATTGGCTTTGTTTTTGTTTTTTTGATCTTACTCAGGAAAATGAACAAGAAAAACAACAATCATCATCCATTTCTCCTTCAAGCCATCATGTACTTAGCCAAGATGAAAAACGTGCCAATCATATTGCCTCTGAACAAAAACGACGTCAGAATATTCGTCATGGATTCCAACAACTGACTGATTTAATACCTAGTTTAAAAAACATGCCACACAGCAAAAGTACCATCTTATTCAAGACTGCAGATTATATCAGATATTCTGAGAAACGCAATAAGGTATTACAGGATAGATTGAAACAGTTACAACGTCGGGTGGCACTTTCTACAACTGCTTTATCATCAGCTACACCCTATTATCGTCGTTCATCAGCATTATCGTCAGTATCATCAACATTATCACCTTCATTACTATCATCATCATCATCATCAACAACAGCATTATCAGCATCATCAACATCTTTAGCATTAAAATCATCAACAAGTCGACGTGCATCTAGTAGTTATACATCTACTCAATTACAAATTCGACGATTACAACAACAACTTTTACAACAACAAGAACTATTACTACAACACAACATTCCTCACCATTCATTATTATCTCCTTCATCTCAACAACAATCATATGAATGCCCTGCCGCCATTGTCATGCCAGCCTCTGGAGAAGATGAAGAAGAGAATAAGGACACTACTCATATGCATGATATTCCTATCAAGTCAACACCTTGTCTTCATATTCCAGCCGATGATGAATTTGGTCAAGAATCTATGCTTCGGGAAAGGTTACTCAGCTGTGGTAAATTGAAATTTAAATCGCCCATAATTTAGTTTAGTGTTTTTTTTTTTTATAGTTTAGAGTTATTCCTTTTTTTTTTTTTTTTTGATCTCATTCATTCTTTATCCTTTTGATTCCTAGTACTATCATCATCTTTTTTTTTTTTTTTTTTTGTGTATCAATAAAGAATGGATATTTTTTTTTTTTGAATGGACGAATCAAACAACAAGACAACATCATAATTATGGAATAGGAAAAGGGGTATAAGGATGCGGATATCTTGTGAGGTCAAAAGTGGATCTACGCGCATAACCTGTAGGATAACAGCATAAGGGATTTGAAAGGGGGGGGACTATCATGTGTAACAGAGGGATTTTTTTTTTTTATAAACAAAAAGAACAAGGCTTTATTTTTGATCGATTTTAATTGAAAAAGGGAATGAAACACTAATTATAAAGGAAAAAAAAAAAAGAGAAACAGAAACAAAAAAAAAAAAAGGAAAAAAAGAGAGAAAGTGAAGGGAATTAAGCAAGGCACCAGGCAGCAGCAGCAGCCATAGCAGCCACCAAGGAAGTGGTGACCTTGAAGGTATTAGAGGAACCATTGGCGGCAGTGACGGAAGGAGAAGTGGAAGGTTTGCGTGATGATGAAGCAGCAACAGAGGAAGAAGCAGCAGCGACCTTTCCGGCAGAAGGGGAAGATGAAGCACTGGATGATTTTTGAGTGGAGGGAGCAGAGGCGGTAGAAGCAGCATTTTCAGCTACACCACCAGCTACAGAAGTGGCATCAATAGCAGCACTACTGGAAGATGAGGCGTTTTGGGCAGCCAGACCTTCAACTTCTTTGATCTTGTATCCATCCGACTTCTTCTTCCAATCATCCTTCTTGGAGTTACCACCACCATTACCACCCTTATGATGAGATTTCTTATCTTTATGGTCATCATGACCATCATGACCATCATGACCATCATGATCATCATGATCATCATCATCGTCATCATCATCATCATCATCATCATCATCGTCGTCATCATGACCCTTGTGCTTGTGACCTTTACCCTTCTTCTTGTAATGATGACCAGTCCATCCTGAACTGTTGACAACCACTTCTCCGTTCTCTTCAGGAGCAAAGACCGTCGTGGCACTGGGAGGAATTTCATCTTCAGGGATGATGGGGATCGCTTGATCTCCACCTTCTATCCAAGCTCCTTTGGCCTTGTATCCATGATGATGATGGTAATCATCGTCATGATCATCATCATCATCATCATCATCATGATGTTTCTTATGATGCTTGTCCACTTCAAATTCTGCAACAACTACATCACTACCTGGAATATAGTCAGGATTACCAGGCAAGTGCTTCCAGAGCCATTCCTATATAGGAATTTAAAAAAAAAATTTGGATTATGCAAAAAATTCATCGGATTTTTTTTTTTTAATACTTACATTAGGAGTAGGATATACAATTTCAGTTTGAGTCCGAGTAACATGGACAGTCCTTGTTACTGTCCTTGTGAATACGCCTGGATCTTCTTCTCCTCCTCTTCCTCGTTCTTCATGTTCTTCTTCGTACTTTTTATGTTTTTTCTCTTTCTTGGCATGAACTAGTCATAATATATATTAAAAAAAAATGAATGAATATCTTTTTAATATGAAGAATGATCACTTTACCACCAGACAAGATACCGGAACCTAAAATGGCGGATACTGCAATAATGGAAGTAGTTTTCATTTTTTTTTTTTAAAAAAAAGAAAGGAGTGAAGGAAATGAAAAAAGAGTTGTCGTGAAAAGAAAGAAAGAAAGGAAAAAAGAGAGAACAAGAAATGTTAAGTTCTTTATCCATCTTGTTAATGATTTTTATACCTCTAAGAAATAAATTCCCGAGATATCAAAATTGGGCCCATTTTCTTGGTTAGAATCTATCTCTCCAACTAAAATACTATGATGATCTATTTGCTCTTGATCAAAAAAAAAAAAAAAAAAAAATCATCCTAACAACAAACTTTTCTTTTTTTTTTTTCTATTTCAAATGAACATTGTTATATTAATGACCATCAAAACTGACCGATGATTTTCTCTCTCTATCTATCTATCTCTCACTTATTCCCGATCAAAACATTCCTTTCACCCAGCTTTTACTTTCCTACTTAGTTTTTTCATCTGCATGATCATCCTTGAAAGATTATACCATCCACTGCTGGGTTTCAAAAGAGAAGGGATCCAGGCTGGGGGGTATATACTCATGTTTATTTTCTCTCTCTCACTTTATTTTTTTTTTTTTTTTTTTGGAAACTTGAACCTGAACAATAGAAAAAAAAAAGAGTTTCATTCTTCTTCTTCTTTATATATTATCTTTTATCTATATACATATAATTCATACAACAAGTGAAACAACGACATAGACAAAGAACAATAAACGAACATGACGACGACGACGACGACTATGATGGATCTGTCTAATGATCTCAAGGAACTAGTCAAACATTGCGCAGTGGATGAAAATGCGTCATATCAGTATGTACGAATCGTATCGTTTATGCAAGGACTTCTTCTCGGTCAAGTCAGTGTTCTTGTTGTAGTATTCTTTGTTATTCGATATCTATTAATGGAGGATGTCAAACGCGTGAAAAAGGTAATAAAAGTGGCATATATAAATGTTATTGTTTTTCCTTTTTTTTTTTTTTTTATTGATTATATTTTATATTTTTAGAGATATATTCCATCAAGACTTTCTACAGCACCTCACTATCGAACAAATCCGGCCATGACATCAGCTCCTCCTGTAGCATTGATCACGTCCAAAACTTATTATGATATCATTCACCATCCTCCTGAAAGCACAGATTGGCTCAACGTTCTATTTGCTCAAGCTATTTTACAGTATCGCGATGATGCCAAGATCAACAATAGACTCATGCTTTCCATTGACGAACTCATTAATGGAGGTGTACGACCTAACTTTGTGGTAAAGTAGTCAGTTAAACCTGAAAAAAAAGGGGATGATATTGACCACCTTTTTTTTTTTTTTTTTTTTTTTGTTGGTATGTTTAGGGTCCTATTCATGTGACAGAATTGAATCTTGGTGATGAATTCCCTATCTTTAGTAACGCAAGGATTCGACCATCTGATGAAATTGGATCCATGGTAAAGCAAAGAATAAAAAAAAAAAAAAAAAAAAAGAGACAAATATTCATTTTTTTTTTTTTTGTTTAGCGTGCTGAAATCGACTTTGAATATAACGATCAAGTTACTTTGGGTATTGAAACACAAGTCATATTGAATTGGCCAAGACAATCTTTTGCCGCTTTACCGGTATCTTTATTATTATCTGTAGTGAGGTTTTCAGGCACGGTAAGGATGAAATAGGAAAGAAAAAAAAAAAGGAAAACCATATTGACTTTTTTCTTTATATATAGTTGACGATTGAATTGATTAACCCACCAGAAACAACGACAAAACCAGACAAACCATTGGAACGATATATTGCAATCTCTTCTTATCCTGATTTTGTGCTAGATTTACAAGTACAATCATTGATTGGATCAAGGACCAAGTTGGAAGACATCCCTAAGCTGACAGATCTTATTCAAACAAAGTTACGGAACATTTATATCGATAAGTTGGTATACCCTACATTTGTCAAGATCAAAGTACCAAATCTTTGGGAAGAAAGGGATAGGAAATCAAAAGAGGCTCATCAATTGCAAGATCAAGGATTGGAAAAACATCAACAACAACAACAACAACAACAAGAAAAAGAAGAAAATGGGAAACAAAATGATTATGATGATGATGATGGTATTGTACCTGTATCAAAAGAATCTACTTTATAGTTTATTATATGTATCTACTTTACCACTTTTATTGTTTCAATTCATACCCCACTTCTCTCATCTTTTTTTTTTTTTTTTATTTTCTTCTGTATTTTTACATATCAATAAAACATTCTGATGCATCTCTTATCTTTTGTTATCTATGATGATCATTCTTATTATGTTTATTACAAAGAAATCGGAACGATCATGTTTATATTCCGGTATGATTTTATCCTTGACCATATATACAGTGTGGCTATGTTTATTTAGTTAAATTCCTGGTCAAGTTCTTCTTCAAAATAAGGCAATACATACTTAAAGTTTGTTGAGATAAACGGGAGAAGAAGGAAATTTCCGACCACACTTCATTATTATTATTATTATTATTATTACACATAGACGATTGAATCAATATACAAAGAGGAATGAGAACTGAAGAAATCGGATCAATACCAAAGGCAAGTGAATTATGCAACATCATCTTCTTCTAGAGTGATTGCTTCTCTCTCCCTTTCTTTCTTCCCTTTATCATCTAGCTTTGATGTTGATAGTTAGCCTTATTCTCCAAATTGAGATTGAACATAAATTAAATAAATCATTCTATTTGACCTATTAGTATCACTTTATAACTTCTCTCCCAACTTGTAAAAAGAAATGATCATTATCCAATAAAAATCCTATTTTTCGATTCATCTTCAAAAAGTAACTTAATATTGCCCAATAGTATTTTATCCGTTGCCCTATTTCCTTGAAATTTTTAAAAGATGATCAAATAAGGTAAGCGTGTATTGTTGTATACTTTTGTAACTCACTCAAAAATCATCATCATCGTACCAAACTTGGACATAACATAGACGAAATCATTCTCTTTCATTTGTCTTAATTTATACCTTATCTTTTATAGAGTAAACTAAAAAAAAAAAAAAAAAATATCGCCATCTTTCATCCAATAATGATCATCATCCAATAAAATGATCACCATTGGATTCCTCTCAAAAAAAAAGTAGTTTAATATCATCTCATATCATTTTATGGCTTACCATGCCACCTAATAGTGTAAATAAAGAATACCAAAAGATTTCATTGATTTTTCGAAAAATTGCCTGATGACCCTTCGACGATTTATTTTCACAGCCAAGATTTAGCTGAGGAATTTGAAAATTTTGGCTGTAAAATCTCAAAATCTTCAATTCCTTTCACAGCGGAAAAAAGGAATTCTATTGGCTAAAATTTAACTCTCTGGGGAGGCTAATAAAAAAAAAAAAGAATTGTGCTTTTCTGGAGCTAACACGTTTCTTCCTTTCAGCTACTCTTTTTTATATCAAATAAATACAACAAAACAATACTTACGCTGAATAAAAAAAAAAGGAAAGGGGAAGACTAATGCCAGAGAAAGAACACCAAGACCCACGATTTAGAAAATATGTACAACTTATTGAACGAAACTTACAATCCTTTGATGCTGTGAATGAATGGGCTGATATCATCTCATTTCTTGGAAGACTATTGAAGGTATATAAAAAAATCTTTTTTTTTTTTTTTAAAAAAAAAAAAAAAGAAAATAGATAGGCTTTAACCACCCTTTTTTCTCTTACCATAGTCTTTTCAAGCCTATCCTCAATTCCAAGTTATACCTCACAAACAAATTGTTTCAAAACGATTAGCTCAATGTTTAAATCCTGGATTCCCTGCTGGTGTACATCAAAAAACCTTGGAAGTATATGCTTATATATTAGAAACTATTGGTGTAAGTATTACTAAACTTGTTTACTATTGAACTCATCTTTTATTTTTTTTCCTTTTGTTTTTACCTCCAGAGACAACAACTGGCTGAAGATTTACCATTATGGTCGGTTGGATTGTTCCCATTTATACAATATGCTGCTACTCATGTCAAGGTAAAGAAAAAAAATACTTATAAGAGGGAAGAAGTGATTTACATTATATGTTCTCTTTACCTTTTTTTTTTATTGATATTATTATTAGCCTCAACTATTAACTTTATTCGAAAAATATTATTATCCTCTTGGTGTGAAATTACGGCCAGCGATGCGCGGATTTATTATTGCACTTTTACCAGCTTTAGAAGAGGAAGGAAGTGAAGGTTTTGACAAGGTAGTGACAATGTTGGATCGACTCTCGAATATAGTGGAATTACCATTTTTCTACTCTTGTATATGGTTGATCATGATCAACAATAACAATTTGCGATTGGCTACACTCAACTACCTATTACGACGTTTACCGAAAATCGTTAATACTGAAGATGTGGCTTTAGTATTGGGTGGACCTGAAAATATTGGATTAATGGTACGTGCATTCTCAACGACATTGATGGATCAACAATTACTTGTTCAACGTGGCATGTTGGAATTGTTGGTGCAAAATTATGTTTTACAACACAGGTAAAAAGAAATAATATATCAAGTTGATTACAAAATAAAATCTAATCTATTTTTTTTAATATGGTTATAGAACACTGCGGCACGATGATCTAGTGATCTTGACACGTTCCGCTTTATCGATTGTTTTACGGAAAGACATGTCACTCAATCGTCGATTATATGCTTGGCTATTAGGACAGGATACAACATCACAATCACAACTCCAATACTTCCATCGTTATGCAGAGAAACCAGCAACCCAGGCTATCAAGAGTTTATTTTTTACAACATCTTACGATAAACACATGGTGGAGGATGATATGGGTATTTACAACAAAGATGTATCCTCGGTAGTAACTGATGCACAGAAACCATACAAGATCTTGATTTCTTTACTGGATAAATGGGAAATTGGTCAACCTATTGTGAACAACATATTTATCGATTCTTTGATTAGTCTTCAAGGGTATGACGAACATGGATCAGTGGAGCAAGAGGTAAAAGAATAAAATAGATAGAGATATAGTAGAACTGGAAACTAAAGAAGAAGAAAAAAATCAATTATCCTTATTTAGATCTTACAAACAGCAAATATGTGGATGGAAATGATCGAGCCCTATTTGATATGGGGAAAGCTATTCAATATTATTGACATTTCATTCCCTCCTCTATCCAAAGCATCATCATCCAAATTTGGTCAACCATCAAGAAAAACTGGACTCAAATTGGTCGAATTTACTCTGGGATCTTTCAAATTTACCGATGAAGAAATCAAACATATGCATTTACCTCTTGTTTTGGTAGCACTAACCCAGAAACTTCAGGTAAGGAAGAATCTAAATAATGGAAATAACAAGGGGAGAAAAAAATGCTATGAGTCAAATAACTGATTATAATCTTATATTATTATTATTATTATTTATTATTTCCAGGAATCCATACGACATGTCTCCTTTACTGGAATACTCAATCATGTGATTCAATGCATCGATATTATTCTCATCATCTTGAAGCAATTGCCGGATTCTGTATTTATGGATCGACAACGAAAACTATCGACACCGGTTGGTGAAAACTCATCCCTATCAATAACATCACCGGATTACCAAAAGGAATTCAAAACGGGTATGGATGCTTTAGAATATGCACGCGATTTTTATGGTATAAAGCAACGTATTGGTGACACCAAACAACATAGTATCAAAGATGGAGATAGTGACAACACAGCTACAAGTACAACAAGCATGGTATCATCTAACAACAAATCAACAACAATGGAAAATGAAGAACAAGAAGATGAAGGCGATCTTACAAGTCAAAGGACATCGACGATTACATTGGATGACGAAACAATTGCTGCAGTCACCAAACCTTCTTATGGACCGATACGAGGATCAACTTTGATGAATGAAATAACAAGAAATTTGGTTCGATTTTTGGCAGAATTGGTCAACAATTATGTGGTAGCCCCAGAAAACAATATGAATACAAATGGTGTAGATGTCGGTGTGGATGGAAATCGTTTACAATCTCTCGATGCTCAATTGGAACAAGTACTTCATGGCGCTTGCTTGGTATTGACGACTGTGGCAAAACATGCTGATCGTGCTGGCAATACTCGAAAAAGTCAGGATGATAAGGATGAACAACAACAACAACTTGATACAGAATTGATACAAATTTTACTTCGATGTTGTCAACAAAGTCGTGAATTTGGCGTAGTCGATGCTGGTTTATCTACCTTAGCTCAGTTGATACGACAACAATGGTTTTTGGATGACTCCATATTGAAAAACAAGCATCAAGTTAAACAAATCTTGAACAAAGTAAGTCATGAGATCATTATGAATCAAAAGGATGTTTTTTTTTTTTTTTTAAAAAAAAAAAGGTTATTGAGCTGACGAATGATAATTATATTATGTTAGTTATGGATATTTCTTGGACCATCCACTCAATTATTACATATGCGAACGGTAGAACTATTATGGTTATTGACAGATACATCTGTTGCACATCATGTGGAGGCAATTATGGCAAGTTATTTGATTATTAAAGATGATCAAGAACGGATGGTCAATTATGAAAAGTTTGGTATTTTCTGGGAACTATCTGAAAACATGGTGGAAGTCTCAACATTATTCTCGCGACCTATGTTCTTAATGTTGGATTTGTTACGTGATGATACTAGCCCTGTGAATCGTCGTGCTGCGGAAACTTGGATTAGATGTCACTTGAAAAGTTATGCTCGACTCTTGGAACCTTTTATTACCACATTATTGAATCGATATATCATTCGTCGGTCAACGGAAAAAAGGATACCTTATGTTTATCAATCGGTTTTCCCTCCTCAACAACAAGACGATATCTATTTTACAGTTCCTTACTTTTTATATATGCGTTCATTTGATATGGATATTGTGGATTACATGCTGACGACTTTGACAACACTTATTCAATTCGGTGGTGTTGGTGTATTGAAGGCATGTAGCAATTATACAATTGGTGATGCTGGATTAATGCCTTTATTGATTGAATCTGGTCTTGGTATCTCTACAAAAGGTATTATTGTGATGATTTATCGTGAATTAGTCAATTTTGAAATTTAACAATTAATTACTCTTTTTTTTTTTTTTTTTTTTGTATCTTATAATAGATCATCCAAATTTGAATTTTTTGGAACTTTTGGTACATATTGCAATTAGGTAATTTCAGTATAAGAAAAAAAAAAACACAGTTGTAATAACAAAATTTAATAATATTTTTTTTTTTTTTGTTTATATCTGATAGATTTCTGGAGTCTGAACCTTGTGACAAACTCTATTCCAAGATAATCAAGCCTGTGCGTCAAATACAGCTACATGCATCGGATCTACTCTATCTCATCATCTCTAAACTTGATTATGTTGATATGACGATAACAAGTCTTATTCAAAAAAGCGTATTACAAAAGTTACTCTTTTGCATCTCATCAGGTGATCTCGATATTCAACCCAAACTATTACATCTTTTACATGCGACAATGTCAATCACAGCAGCTGGTACAAATATGGTTGGTCACAAATCAAATATGAATTCGACAACTACGCCTCAAAATAATACCAAACGACATCAAAGACAACGATCATGGACAACGATCTCAGATAACATGTCACCTTCACCATTATCTAATGCATCATCCATGTCATCATTATCTTCTCCATCTCAACAACAACGACGTCGTCGCGAAAGTATCTCAACAACTTATCAGGTACAACAAGAAGCTTTGAAATTGGCACGATCGACGGCCAACCTTTATGTCAAATGTGTTCTTGATGCTTTTCACACTGCCAACAATCGACCTCTACTTTTACAATGGATGGATTTCGTTCTTGTTACGTTGCCACATGTTCGACAAGGATTTCGTCAAGTGGTTGTGCCTATTCTGATATGCCTTTGTCAACAAGTTAATCTTTGTAATGTAACAGTGCGACTACTTATGCATGGGGACAACACAGATAACGTACAAGTGGATGACGGGACTCATGTTAATGGTCTAAACTGGAAATACTTGAATGATATGGATGAAAAGGTTACAGACGATGATGAATCAAGCGATGGACGAAATGATGCTTCAACTACAAAACCTTTGATACAAGAACGCAGTGCTATTATTGGTGGACCTGAAACGGATATTTTGGTATTTTTGAATGGACTGGAAAAACTTGTTACGTGTTGTATAACGGATCGATCTCTCAGTGATATTTGGTCATCCTCTTCAGAACAACAAGGTGTGGAACCTCACTACTTGATGATGCCTCGAGTGGAAGATCATACTGAATTATGGGGACTAATTCAGCTGATATTGCAATATCCCGCAACAACAGCTACCGGAACAATAAACGAAACGATGGATTCTTCTTCAAACATCAGTGACAAGTCTAAACCACGCAATGCATTATTATATCATTTACCAATCATACTTCATATTCTTTTGGATGTATGGCGAGTATTTCGACAGCCTACTTGGGATCAAAGTACCGTGGATGTCATTGGTTTTGCCAAAAAGGATGCAGTATTACAATCATTTGCCTATGCTGCAGATCATGTCAAGGCGAGACTGGAAACGACATTCGAAATATTATACAAACATTGTCCTGTGGAAGTCATTGAAGGATTTGTCGAGCTCTTTTTTATGGAGAATCCAATTGCTTTGGAATATGAAGTAAGTCAAATATATAGATATATAGGAGAACTGACTCTGTATGATTATCATTTTTAGGTATCCAATGATCATTTTCAAATGATGGCAATGGAAGTATTGACATGTATACCTACCAATACTCCTCAACAAACCATGACGATATTATTGGATAGTATTCGACAACGAACACCTGGTATACCACCATCACATCGAAAACGACCTATTTCACGAATTGGAAAATTGTAAGTTTTTTTTTTTTTTTTTTTTTTTTTTTTTTTTTTTTTTTTTATATAAGAAAGAGGTATGTCTCATTTAATTTACTTTGTATTCAATTAGGACGGATACCTCATTACTTCGATTTGCGGAAATCTATTGTCAAGAAATGGTCAGACCAGAAATAGCATGTACTTTATGGCCTTCAATATACACGTTTGCCAAAGAATATCTGTCTCAAGCCTCAGCGTACAAGATGTTTTTACCGGGACTACTACGATTTTTGACAGTGGCATTGGATGGATTTATACGATTCTCAGAGGATAAAAAGGCTCGCAAGGATGCACAAGACCTTTATCAAAGATGTGTGGATTACTGTATTTTAATTGCGGGACGATCATTTGATCAAGGACTTTGGCTTCGTGGACGTAGTAATGTATTTGAGGAGGAACAACTACCGCCATTGGAATCATATCACACTTCAGGATCATCAGGATCAGCATCTCCTTTTATATCTTCTGCTGCTGGTGGTTCTCTCGCTACAACATCAACGACGGCTACAACTATCTCAATGCAACAATCAACAGTCGGCACTGAGTTATTTTTTGATACCGGTACTGGTTTCATACATGATGGTGGTGTTCCTCGAAATTTATCGACAAGTACAGTATCTGATTTGGAAAAGAAAGCAAGTTGGAAATCTCGAGAAGACTTTTTGATCATACAACTCAATCATTATCTTGCTATTCATGTGATTCCTCAATTACGTCAACTCATGGGTGATCAAGATCGTATCAACTCGTTACTGAACAATTTAGTTTATTATGTGATTGGACCTCATCTTCGATCAAGAACAACTATGTCTAGTATGCCAACATTGTATAGCAATGGATCATCAACAAGTGGATTATTGCATGGCGGCGCAGTCATAGTGGATCAAGTGGTTGAAATGGCCAAAATGCCGTTTACCTACAAGACATGGAGAAAAGAAGTATGGGATGTATTCAATGAAGGACGATTCTTTTATATGACAAGAACAACGGCGAAGAAATGGTGCAAGATTTTGGCGACTATGTTTAGCTTGGAAAAGGATCGATTTATGGAACTAATGGGCAAGATTACGACATCAGCAACCGTCAATAACAGTGCATTCTTCACAACAAATAAGGATCAAGAAACCTGGCAAAGAGCATTACATTTACGTCGAGTATCTTTTGTGATCTTTGCAGGTACCATGGATCAATTTGTGCCACAACTTCCTTCGTTGCAAGAAAAAATCGTGGATCTACTTAAACTCGATCATAGTGAAATGGTACATGTAGAAATCTATCTTTGTCTTCGGATCTTATTACTTCGTTTCTCTCAAAAACATTTGATTAACTTTTGGCCTGTATTGATCTCTGAATTGGTAAATAAAAAAAAAAAAAAACAAAGATTGATTGATTTTTTTTTATATTAGATGCGATTATTCAATGCAGTATTAGCGAATGCAAGTCATGATCGACCTGAAGAAGCACAGATCGCATTAGGTGGATGTAAATTTTTGGATTTACTTTGTACTTTGGAATTAGATTCTTTTCAAGTGTAAGTTTTTTTTTGGGGGGTGTTTTCTTGAAACTCATTATTATTATTTGATTCTCATGATGTTAGTTACCAATGGATATTTATTCGTGACACTGTGGAGGCTCTGATTCAACGTGAACAACAACCTAAAACGACGGATATGACACCAACAATGATGGATCAACTTGAAGACAAGATAGAAGATATTTCAAGAACAACAAACAACAATGCTAAGACAATGCTTATGGAACAGGAAGGTGTCACAACGATGAAGACACAACATACCACAACGTTGCCATCCAGCGGGGAATTGAAACGACCAATGTTGACGATGCACAATATAGGATCTATATTACAACTAGATTTTTTTATACACCATATTAGTTTATATGTATATCAATCATCGTATATGCTTGCCAAACCGGATCTCTACTTTATCGAAAGTTTATTATTACAAGATCTTTTGGATGGAGATATGCGGACGGAATAATTAGTTATAGTATAGGTTAGATATCAGGTTTATGATAAATAAAGATACCCCTCTATTTTTTTTTTTTTTTGTTGGTTTATATTATTTCTTTTGGGGGGAGAAGAGAATGAAAAAACCTCGGGATGTGTGAGTCAACAAAGCATGAAGACATACAGTTCGTATCACCCATAAAAAAAATGAAGATTTTGTATCACACATACATTTTCAATGATATTTCTCTTTTTTTCTGCAAACAGGATGAAAATAGGCGTAGAAACTGGCGAAGGAAGAGGGGGATGAAAATAGGAGGATAGGCAGGGGATGTTGATAGATCTTTGATAGACCATTTGTTATTTTTTTTTTTTTTACAAAAGAAAAGGGCGTTGATTGCATCAAAATAAAGTTGAGAGAGAAACAAAGAAAATAGGAGGCAACTCACGCCCAAAGGGATGAACTTTGTTTTTTTTTTTTTGACCTATGATTTCTCGTCAGTGTCACTTTTTTTGGTAGTCAAGAAAGAAAAAAAAAATATGGTTAGATCGTGATAATGCATCTTACCAAAGAAAAAAAAAACTTGTTACTGTAATTGATATATATATATTTATAGTAAATAGATATATGTGTGTGAATAGATGATGAGTGTGAGAAAGAGATTCAATTAAATAGATAAATGAAATGAAAGGATGATTGTTTTTTTTTGAACCCAAGAACAACAAATAACAGAATATGACGATCTTGTGGGTAACACGATGACATTAGAAAAAGCATTGACAATTTGTTTTTCTTTGTTCTTTTTTAGGTTTGCCACATTATTGAAAATGGGAGCTGGGTGCAGCAGCCACCCGGAATAGGGGAAAGAAATAAAAAAAAATACTCATCCAATAGACAAATCTGATGTTGAGTGAGGGGATGACCTTTTTCGGTAATCATCTCCCCCCAACTTATTACTTTTATAAAACTGGATGATAGTTGATTGGATAAAAGAAGAAAAAAAAACAAGATTCTTTTTTTTTTTTATTATTATTAGTATAAAGAGAAATGAATACTTCATTGATAGATAAAAAAAAAGGTAGATATGATTAAATACGTTTGCATGCAGACGAATGCAGCGTTCAAAAGTCGGTTACCCAGTTCAATAGAGAGTTTTTCATATATATATATATATATATATATTTGTCCAACCAATGATGATAGAAGAAAAGAAACAAAGAGAATGAAAATAGAACTATGATCAATATAGAAATAATCATCATTTAGTATTTTTAATATGATTGAACAATGAAAAATGATAATGATATTAAAAAGAGTCCGTGCTTTAATATGATGAAATAATGATGATGATGATTAAAGGATTTGTTCAAAAATATTCAATAAGCCAGATATGGTATTTTCATCATTATTATCATCCAAACAACAAAAAGTGCTGCATATGTAAAGATTAATGTCAAAAAAAAGTAAAGTACCCCTTTTCTTATATCACATTGCCGGATGATCCTTGTTTTTAAGTTGTTTTTTGTGCTACGGCATGTTTTTTCTATTTGTGATGCACTTAAATGGACGCTCTAATTGACAAACATAACGGTTAAAAAGAAATCTATTGAATTCACAAAAAAAAAAAAAAAAAAAAAAAAGGATGATTTTTGATTGGTGTTAAAAAAAAAAAGATAAACAAGTTTTTTTTTTTTTTTTGTGGTTGATGGAGATTGGTTATAAAGATGCTCCCGTGAACTCTTTTTATGCCGCAACACTAAAAATAAAATTTATATAAAGAGACTAAAAATTTTTTTTTTTTTGATTTTTTTTTTCCCCTTTCTCTTTCTTTCATTTCTTTACTTTTATAACTCATCTTTTTTTTCTTTTTTTCTTCTACTTTTTTTTTTTATTCACAAAAAAAAAACTCTTGTTTTTTTTCTTTTGATAAGAAATAAATTTGGTGTTTTTTTTTTATTATTATTATTCTTCCTTTATCATTCCTTTTTTTTTTTTGATTATCCTACCTACTTTTTATATCCTCTTTGATTTCCTTTTTTGATAAAAGGAAGCAAGTTATTTTATCTGACTCTCTCTTATCTTGTTTACTTTTGATCTTTTGGTAAGTAGTACGAACTAGAATATATGCATGCAGCACACATTGCTTTTACATGTGTTTACTAGTAAGGTTGACCCGAAGATAGTTCCTTAAAACTTACCTTTTTTTTTTCTTTTTTTTTATTTTTATTTTTTATTTTTATTTTCATTTCTTTTTTAGTTTTCATCAAAATAATGAATTTCCAATACAATCAAACAGCTTTTGGTTCAACTTTTGATCAACCTGAAGAATGGATTCGACGGGTTAGTTATTCAGATATGCTTTCTCAAAGTGAAACTGGTTTTTCTGATGGTGAACAATTGACTCCATCACCTAAAATGGATTATTATGACGACAAAATCTTATCTTCTAATTGTGATACTTTTGATTATCCTCCTTCTTTTTTTTATCAACCTTTGATGAATGAAATGTATTTGACTCCTTCTCATTTGGTATATCCTTTCAATATACAATCTTCTCCAGCTTCTTTTAGTTCTTCTTTTGGATCACCTGATTTGTCATCTAGTTTATTGGTCTCATCATTATCGTCAGCATCATCATCATCAGTATCATTAGCATCGTCATCATCATCAGCATCATGTATATCACCTTCATCATCACCCTCTCCTTCCTATACTTTACTGTCATCACCACCCTCCTCATCTGCATCTACATCATCATCACCATCTGCATCACCAAAATCAAAGAAGAAACAATCATCAAAGAAAACAGCATTATCATCAGCATCTTCACTAGCATCATCAAGAATCAATAAGAAACCAAAACAGCCTTTAGTCACCATTCTTAAAACATTTGAATGTACAGAAGATGACTGTGGGAAAGTATTCAAACGATCTGAGCATCTCAAGCGTCATGTGCGGTCTATACATACAAGAGAAAAACGTAAGTCTTTATATTTTATCAAGTGACATCTATATTGATTTTTTTTTTATTATTATTTTCTATTAGCCTTTGAATGTCCTTATCAAGCATGTTGTAAACGTTTCTCAAGATCTGATAATTTGAATCAACATATTCGTATCCATCGCCCTGCCGACAAGATGTCCAAAGTACAACGCAAGAAACATCATCATTAGAAATCTCTTTGATAAAAAAAAAAACAAACATCAAAGCAAACAAAAAGAAAAACAAATTGGCTGGCTCCCTTTACCCATCATGGATCGACTGATTGACTTGACTCCCCTTTTTTTTATATATCACTTTTTTTTTGTTTTTATTTTTTTTTTTTATTTACAATACCCTTTTTTTTTATCACTTTGCATCTTCTATATATTGTATATGATGATGATCAGGTCTCATTGCTTGCAATGAAGTAACTAGTCTATTCAATCCACTTAGTATATCAAAATCACTTCAAATAAAAAAAAATGCTTATTGAAACAATGTTATGATGATGATGATATTTTTTTTTTGGAGATGATGTGCGGATGAAAATGAAATCGGTTAGAATCTTAACATGAAAATCTACGTTATGCACTGGTTCATACGCAACCAGTCAATCAAATAGTGTTCGATCTATATATCTTAGTTGTTTTTTTTTTTCTGCGGCCTCCCTCTCCCCCTTTTTTTCCCATCAACCAAAAATATTAGTGACAAACCACATGATGACTGTCTTAAAAGGAAATACACAATGAAGGTTGATCCTTTTTCTATCTATGTGTTCATGTATACCGTTCTTTTTTTTTTTTTTTTTTTTTTTACGAGTCAACCATGTGAAGAGTAATAATAAATTCAATGAGATTGACAAAAAGTAAAAAAAGTAAAAAAGTAAAAAAGTAAAAAAGTAAAAAAAAAAAAAAAAAAAAGAAAAAAGAAAAAAAGAAAAAAAGAAAAAGTTGTCATGGGTATGAAGGCTCGTGCACCCCGAGATTTCTTTTTGGTGGTAGTGGGATAAAAATAAACTCTATTTTATATGTGTTGACTGTCCCCTTCTTCCTTCAAATAGACGTGCACACACATGTATATACAGTAGATCAAAAGATGTAATAAATACTTTAATATGCTGAGATGTTAATGGCGAATGATTGGACGATTAGATGATACTTGATGATGGATGATAACGTAATGACGGATGATATGTGATGATGAATAATACGTGATAAAGAATGATATGTGATGATGGGCGGTTCTATTGGTGTGTATTTAGATAATAATGATGATAGTAATGTTATTAGAAATACTAAGACTACTAATATAATGTATACATTTTTTTTAAAAAAAAAAAAATAACGCAGACACAAACGGATAAATAACAGTATAATATAAACATAAACATCCCCCCAAGTGACCCCCACCGTTCGATTTTCTTTCGTTTGGTCCAACTGATTTTGATTGGCCGAGATTCGACGCCGTTTAATCATCAACTTGACAATCTATTCGGAAGGAAAAGCCGGTTACATATTATTGACATTCCCAACTTTTTTTTTTTAGATTTGATTGGTTTTGTGTAATCATCCTTCTCATTTCCAAGAATACATAAGCTCCTGTCATATAAACTATTTATATATATACAACGAGGAGGTATTTATATATATATATATATATAATACAGATGCTTCAAAGCCAATTTTTTTTTATATTTCTTTATAGTCTTTTCTTTCCGGCTTAACAATTTTAAAGTTTGTTCCCCTGGAAAAGTATATTGCATCCGTGCCACAGACGGATAAATCATCATACAAAATAAGACTAATAATAAAGATTAGGAAAAATAGAACTTTTTTTTTAAAATGACCAGAGGAAACTAATAAGGTTATGCTGTATATAGTCATCCGGTGATGGTAACAAAGAGAAATATCTAGATATTTTTATCTCTTCTGTGAAGTAATTTGAATTCCGTTAGAACGTATACTTTTTGGCACAGTGCGTTGATGGATATATTATCTGATTATCATCATTTTAAATAAAAAAAGAAAAAAAGAAAAGAAAAGAAAATCAAATATAATCATCCTAATGTCATTTTTGAACAAAAAAGGAAAAGGGAGAGTCTTTTTTTTTCTTTTTAGTATCCTTCTTGTCAATTGTACTCGTTCAAAGGAGAAACCCGTTTTTTTTCCACTTTGGCACTAACAGTGGAAATAGAAATATAGTGAAAGACAAAGCACCCGTGACAGCAACTGGTGCTACCGCTTTCGGAATTTACTACCCCGCTCCCTCCTTGTAAAAGAGCTTTTTTTTTTTTTTTCTTTCCTTCTTCTTTTTTTCTTTTCCTTTTTTTACTTTCCTTTCTTATCCTCTTCCTCAATTTTTTTTCTCTTCCTTTCTTTTCCATACCCTTCCTCTAGTTTCATAAATTCCCAAATCAAATATTTATATTATTATATATCTTGACAAAAAAAAACCAAAAACAAAAAGAAAACAATGTCTATGCAAACAACCAGTCAATTTTGTGGTGGTTATGTTGATCCTATTTATTATCAACAACAACAACAAACATATCAAGTATCATCACAACATATACAACGCTTGAGACATCTTCAACAACAAGCAGCACTTCATCAACAAACTTCTCTTCAACCTCAATGTAATATTTTTTTTAAAAGAAAGAAAAAAGAAAACATATTTGGAATTAACCTTTTCTTATATTATATAGTGATGACTATGCCTCAGTATCATCCACCTTCTCAACCTCATCATCATTATCAAGAACCTTCTAATCATCATCATCAGCAACAACGACAACAACGATCACCATCATCTTTGGATCAATCTACTGATCTCGATCGTACTACGGATCAAATGTAAATATATTATTAAAATCATTGTCTTGGTACTTATTTTTTTTTTTTTGGTTTTAGTGATCCAAGCAAAGCAGCAAGACGTGCAGAACATAATGCAATCGAACGTGCTCGACGTGAACATCTTAACACCAAGTTCCAACAATTAGCTCATTCATTACCCAATCTTCAAAACGATCGTCGTCCATCCAAAGGCACCATCATTGAACGTACTCTTGAATTTGGTAAGTTTAAAATCTTCATCCTATGTTCATTTACAATATATTAATTCTTCTTTTTTTTTTTTAGTCAAACATACAGTACAAAAGGAAGAACGATACAAGAATGAAATTAGGGAACTCAGCAGAGCCAATCGACAATTGATGCGACAAGTGACATCTCGATCATCCATACTAGCCGGTGTTCACGATGAAGAAGATGAAGAAGAAGAAGATGTGATTGATTATGAAGATACAATGGACCTGGCAACAACTGATGATACTCTTAGTCATAAATCCTCCTGTTCCTCCTTTGCTATGCAATCCATGTCGTCTGCTCCAACAACTGTGGGTGGTGAATCATCAGCAACAACCAGTCCATCTTTGGATTATCACTCCATGTTATGTCAATGGGATATTCCTACTTGTCAGCAACAACAACAGCAACAACAACAACAACAACAACAACAGCAACAACAACAGTACAATCCTGATTTATTCGTATCCAATGATTTGTTGATGGAAGATGGTTATCTTTTGGACCCTACTATCAAGACTTCTATGGCTAATCCTATCAAATTCGAACCTGCCTTCTCTACTACTTCTTGAGCTCTCTCCACTCTTTTTTTTTTTTTTTTTTGATCCTCCTCACTTTCCTTTTGATATATCCATATATTTATCTCATACCTTTCTTTATATCAATAGTATGCCAATGCCATTTTTTTTTTCATTTTTCTTCACGTCCCCCACATCACACTCATAACTACACATTTATTAGTCATATATACTCTTTTGTATATATATATATATTTTTTCCTTTGCGTTGATCGCTCCTCTCCATTACCCATCATTACTTTTTAAGATGTTCTTTTTTATGTGTATACTTTTTTTTTATTCCCTTTCCCTATGTTAGATATGATTTTTTTTTTGTCCAATTGCTATCCACCCATTTCTTTCATTCTCTTTGATCCTTCTAAAGGTTCCCTTTTTCTTTTTGTGTGTAAATTATTCTTATTACTATTTTAGTTTTATGTGATCCTATACCAAATATATGAACTACTTGTGTCTTTTGTGTTTGTGTTTGTGTCCTCCTTATTACCTACCACCTACAGTTTCAATTTTTTTTTTTTTTTTACATCAATAAAAAAAAGCCTTTTTTTTAAAAAAAAATATGATGATGATAATGATGATTGTTTCATTTTGATGATGAATGTGTTTGATATTCAATGATGGTTCCTATGATGGTTCTTATGATGATTCCTATGATGGTTCCTATGATGATAATAAAAATGATTCCTATGATACTTGAGGCACATAGTAAGTGTTTCCTGCTATCCTAATTTGGATCCTTGCTTTGGAGTAACTTTTTTTTGATAATCAACATACTATCTGAACTGCCTAACCTCACCAAGTTCCCACACAATGCTTTCTCTCTTTTTCATGATGATGATGATGATGTTTACTTTTTGTTCCACTGAAGATGATGTATTTATTTTTTTTCCCATGGCAAAAAGATCAACCTCCCCTTCTCCTCTTTTTGCATCAATGACCTATGTATCTAGATCTTTTATTTCATATAGATGATTTTTTTTTTGTCCTCACCGGTTATCTACCAAAAAAAAAAAAAAATCAGGGGAACGGAATCTCAATAAAGTCTCGGCAAGTTCATCGGATCACTTCCCTTATGAAAGTTGTAGTTGTACCTTTATTCTTTTTTTTTTGTTTTCATGAAAACTCAGTTGTCACTTGTCAATTTTAATTGATAGGTCATGGAAAAAATAACTCCTTTTTTTTTCTTTACTCAGCCAATTTACACAAAAAAGCATAAGAAACAAGTTTTTTTTTTTTTTTTGTTTACACCAATGCTTTTTGTCCAAATAGCTCTACAGTTCTTTTGAGAAACATTTTTGTCTAGTGAACTTTCCGTGTGAAAAAAAAAAACCGATCATCATCCTATTCTGCAAATTGAAGCATAAACAAAAAAAAAAGACCAAATAATGTGATAGGACCGATTACCTTTATGAGTTCTTCCTCCTTATCAAGGTTTTTTTTCTCCTTGATCTGATCGTTTTGTCTGCGGACATCAAAATGGCGTTTTTTTTTTTTTTTTTGAATAGAAAAAAAATATCTTTATACTATTTTTTTTTTTTTCATCGTGATAAACAGAATAAACAAAACAAAAACAAAAAGTCAAGTGGAAATTCCATGGGTAGTACATAAGCGGTGATTTAACCCTGTATATGCTTCTCTCTCTTTTATAATAGTAATAATGACGAACGGCTTCTCCTTTTTTTTCTCTCTCTTAAAATAAGATTTCCCTCATTTAACTAGTGCACAGACTTTAAGATAGATGAAATTTATCATCCTATCTGATTCCGTTCTTGCTGCTTTATTTAGTAGTTACCCGACTTTTTTTTTTCTTTTATTAGACATCTTCTCTTTGTCTATTTTTCGATTTGGGTCTATCATCATTTTATTATTCCAAGTGATGGGAACAAGACGATCATCTTTTTATGTTGAGTATTTTGGACGATCTTTTTTTTTTTTTTCCTTCCAATGTCTCACAATTTTTCTTTTTTGTGATCACGTTCTTTAATGGATACAACGTATCACTATAATAAAAAAGAAATGATGTTTTTTTTTTTTTCTTCCCGTGATTAAGAAGTATAAAAAGGATAGACAAATTCGAATCCACATTCGAGAATCTTGGCAACCTTGATGTAGTACATGTCACTCACACAAGAAAAACGTGATGTTGGTAAGGCAGATTGCTGTCATCGAGCTTCCGATCAATCCCATGTTTGGGCTTCCGATCTTTTTTTTTCTTCTTTCTTTTATGATTCTATTTTATTCAGTGATGATCCAAAAAAAAATGGTGTATTGATTGTATTCTTTTTTTTTTTCATAACCCTCTTTCTTGGATTTCCATGCATTTGATAAAAAAGATTGTAATCATTATACAGTACCATTTTCATAAGGCATCATGAGGAGGATTCATTCATTTAATAGGTACATGACATGATCAGTTGTTTTTTTTTTTTTTTTTTTTTATTCTAGAGTACACGATGCATCCCATTTCATAAAGCACTAGCTTCCTCATGGATTGTCTTTACATACAGATATTACCACCGTGTTGGATCTTCTTATTTGAACCGATAGAACATGGATGTCTAAAATAGGCAATGACTGGATGAATGATTTTTTTTTTCTCATTACATATACTCTAACAAATCTTCTTTTTGTTTTCTTTCTTCACAGATTTCTTTCGTCCTTATAGAAACAATACTTATGGTGGATGGATAGTGTAGAGAGAGATACCATCTCCCTATTGTATTTTTTTTTTTATTTCTGCGGGGATGTAAAAGTATGAATCTTCCTTTCTTTCTTGCTTTCTTTCTTTCTTTCTTTCTTTCTTTCTTTCTTTCTTTCTTTCTTTCTTTTCTTTTTTTCTTTTCTTTTTTTCTTCTTTGAAACAATTGACTAAAACGTATTATCACCAAGACCTTTTTCTTCTTCTATTATTTCTTTTTTTAGATAATTCTTCACAAGCAATGAGTAAGTTGAATGATATCAAACAAGAATGGGGAAAAAGAAAAGTAGGGGAAAGCATTCCTTTTTTTTATTCTTTTTTGGATACAATAGATTAGATATGATGGTTGGGTTAGTTGCCAGACTCATACTGAATCTAGTAGATACTACAGTTATGGTGGATAAGAAGAAAGCTAAGATATCAAACATATACATATGTACGAGAATGGGCGGAAGGAAGAAAAGTATCCGTTAAAAACGAATTGACTTCATCAGACAGTAAGTTAAACAAAAGTGAAAAGGAAGGATTTTTGGTGACACAGAAGATTAATATGCAAATACAAATAATCTTCTCTTATTAGTATCCATAGATCCAATAGCTCACTCTCATACCCAAATAGATATGGACACCATCGATCTACTTATTCGGTTAATATCTTGACAACTGGAATTTGTACAATGAAAGATATGGATCAGTGTTTAGTGTTTAGCTCTAGTACCAATATATGAACAATAAAAGTTAGTTTGAAAATTCTTTATCTTCTATGAATGACTTAATGTTTTTTAATGAAAGAAGGTTTTATGATCTGAAAGGTATTTTTCTACTTGGTTATTTTACAGATGATCAACCATATGTAGGATAGAAATCCATTCTTGCAATGGACGTTCATAAGGGGAGCCTATCCATCTATTTTTCAACTTCCGCCCAAAAACAATTCACAAGTGAGAAAACATCCAGTTGAAATTCCTCCTCTCTCTTTTCTTTCTCTGACCATATAGTTTACAACCATGGTGGTAAGCATTCGTATTGTTTTATAGAGTGGATGGATAGGATATTATCTGGTGAATAGATGGATGGATGTATGAATAGACGGATGGATGGATGGATGGATGGATGGATAGATAAATCACATATACACGCACAACAAACGGATTACCATAGTCAAACCATTAAAGGACATGAAAATAACGAAACGAACAACGCTCGGTCAATAGACAACATCATGATAGTTAAGGAACGATAATAAGCAATCACTTTCAGAACTCTATACTTCTAATTATGCCATCCATCTATTGACGGGAATGAAAGAGAATGGGGGAAAATGCAAGAAGAAAAAAAAAAGTACAATGCACTGATTTTTTTTTTTTTTTTTTTTTTTGTGAATAGCAAGGATCATTCAAACGTCAAGTCGAAATCGGTCGTGTTGTTCTTCTCGATAATGGTAAGTTGGCTGTTATTGTTGAAATCATTGACCACAACCGTGCCTTGATTGACGGCCCTACCACTGGTGTTGCCCGTCAAGCCTTCCCTTACCGTCGCTTGACCTTGACTCCTTTGGTCGTCAAGGGTTTGCCTCGTGGTGCTGGTCAAAAGACCGTCAAGAAGTACTTTGAAAAGGCCGATATCTTGGCTAACTGGGAAAAGTCTGCTTGGGCTCAAAAGATTCAAACTCGTCAAGTTCGTGCTGGTTTGTCCGACTTTGATCGCTTCAAGGTGCAAAAGTTCAAGAGCCAAGTAAGTAAAAAAAAAAAAAAAAAAGGATGATATATGTGTATTGACTGGATAATTAACTTTTCTTCTCTTTAGCGTCGTTTCGCTGTCGGTTCCGCCATCAAGCAAGCCAAGAAACAAGCTGCTTAGATTTTCTTTATCATTCTTACAATAAAAAAAATCTTGTCTTCTCTTTATTTTTTCTTTTTGGGATGTCTTCATTATTTTTACTTTTTATAGTGTTGATATATCAAATGTCTATTGTTGAATTATGTTATATGATGAAGTGTTATTTTGTTTTGATGGGATGATGATGGAAGGGTGGAAGAACGAAACAATAAACTACGCTGTATGATGCTTCGATAAAGTAGGCTGTGATGATTCTTGTAATGTGATGACTTTAGGTCCATAAAGATGACAACTCTATAGATAATGATGATTTGTCTGTTAATTTAGAAGAAATGTCTCATCTGTAGTTTGTTTTCAGAAGAATCTACGGCCATCTTCACTTGTCTTTTACTATCATCATCGTAGGGTTGATAACAAGAACATGACTCATAGAATCATCCAAGAATATACCGTCATCATGGAGTTTATTCGTCAACATATTAAACTTTCTTTATCGTATGAACACCATACCGATAGTCCGGCGTCATAAATAAACTTTATACATCTACGTATGACAGTGTGTCCCTATCACTAATCATAATATTAACCTAAAGATCAAAGCATATAATGTGTATTTCATTATTTATTTCAACTGTACAAGAATGGGATCCAAATAAAAATAATACAAAAGGGAAATAGAATAAACTAAGTAATGATGGAAGATTGGATGGAATGATAGGGGGGAAAAGAGTGATGACTAGAAAAAAAAAAAGCCTATCTAAGCACGAGCAGCGGCCAACTTTTCTTGATAAAGAGTTTCGGCACCATTCCAGACAGGAGATTCCTTTCTATTCTTCAAGGCCAAGATAGTGGGCAGAAGATCGCGAGAGAAGAGATCAGAAGATTCACGAGGAAGTAAGGTAGGCAAATGATCAATAGAACACACATCCAAAGGCATAGGATTGGAAGTGGTGACAGGAACAATAGGTTTATCGAATGTAGTGTTGATGGTGTAGACTGGAATAGGATTGTTGGGATTGGTAGTATCACAAGAAACATCACAGATAACAGATAAGTTGCGTTCACCATCGATTAACTCTTGAGTAATGAAAGGAGGAATCTTTTGGTTCAAATAGATACAATTGACAAAGATATCAGCCTTCAAGATTTCAGGGAAAGGACCACCAGCCTTGGTTTCATTAATATCCCACTTAATGATATTTTCTTCAGGAATACCAGCTTTACGAGCAAAATCACAAGCGCCAGTACCACATCGACCTAAAGCACCCATCACCATCACCTTGGGATATTGATTATTATTATTGGCCACTAAATATTAAAAATAAAGTTAATCAAAAAAAAAAAAGTTCTTATGAATCTAAATAAACTTACCAGCAGCAGTCAATCGTTTCTTTGTGAATGAAATCAAAGCATCTTCATTGGGATAAGGTTTCAAAGCTCCATAAGCTTCATTCTTGTTGATTTGTTGATGACACCATACATCAATAGCGACAGCAGAACCAGCAAAACCAGCCATATAACCAAAAGCAGCAACACGACGACCTAAAAAAAAAAAAAAGAAAACAATAAAATGATCGTGTCAATTTTTTTTGAGTTTATAACCCGTGGGAAATGCGTTATCCTTTTCTTTTTTTTTTTTCTTTACCATTACTGTCATTCAAGAATTCCAGATCAAGAATAGTACCATTACCAGCATCAAAACGACGTAAAAGTTCCTTCCATCCACCTTGATTCTTGAAACAATGGGCAAAGAAGATATGTGTATGATGAAGAGGAGAATCGTCATTTTCAGGAAGTTCCTTCAAACCAACAATATAAGCATCTGCAGGAGCGTCAGTCTTCCAACTAAGAGTATCAACAAGAGGACAACCAACCCTAAATAATTATAGAGAAGGATAAGTTTTCATTACTAGAAAAAAAAAGAAGAAGAAAAACTTACTTGACATATTCTTCATCGTCAAAAATACGTTGGTCAGAACGTTCAACAGTAATCTTAAAACCATTATCCAAAAGAATCTTGGCAGTAGCAGGAGTCAAAGCAGCACGATGTTCCATGGGCTTTGTTTCAGCACGGAGCCAGAGATGAGGACCTTGAGTAATAGTAGAAGACATTATATTGAGTTTTAGTAAGATATGAAACTAAGTAACAAAAAAAATTGAAGTAAAAGGAAAAAAAAAAAAAAGACAGAAATACGCCAAACAATCATTTTATAAGCGTATCTTTCATCTCCGCATCTTCAGTCTTTGACCAAAAAGGGAATGTAGTTTCATCTCGTTTGATGGATGACTGTGTTTCAATTGATCTATGTCAAAAATCAAAAAAAAAAAAGATTATCATGTTTTATTTACAGTAGATAGTAATAATAATAATAAGAAAAAAAAAAGATCTATAATTATTCTACACAGGGTATAAACTAAAAAAATAATAATAAAAGTATTAAATCATCAATGATATTGAATATATTATCTATCTTACTGTAAATTCTACATAGGCAGCATCATCATTCACGCTGGTTCCAATCTTGAACTGTAATAATAACAACAAAATAAATGATATGAATGAATTCCCCCATATTTCCCTTTTTTTTTTTTTTTTTTTATAATTACCAATAAGCTAAGAAAACCTTCAACTGATATTTTCATAGTAACATCAGACGCTTGATCTAAAGCTTTGGTGCATCGAGCAATATGAGAGTAAAGATATCTAATTCAAATATAGTAAACCAATTGTGATTAGTTTTTTCATTGGCCGATCATCATCATTGTTTTATTTCCTTACTTGTATGTTCCATCGCAGGAAAAATCAAAAGCTATAAAAGGTTCAGCATTATCTGCATGATAATCGGTCTACATATAAACAAAAATCAATTCTATCATATCACACTATTTCATAGCTCTCTTTACCATACTAGTTGTTCCATTTGTTCCAGTACCAAACAGCTGAAAATGAAGATCTTGAGAAAAGAATTTGATCGTTATTTGTTCACAACTTGAATCCAAATCACCTAATGCGTCTTGAAGTAATGATGCCTGAAATAATAATAATAATAATAATAATAAAAATTAAGTTCTCTCCTACGATTATTTTCTAAATAAATACTTGCCTTCATAATAACCGTTTGTACAATTTCCCTATCATTCACAGATAAATCTATTGTATCCAGTTCAGGTTCCATAGTCTTGATTTTGCAGGTATGTGTCAAGTGTGTATGATTATCTTCACGTCTAAATAAATAAATAAATAAATAAATAAATAAAATTAAATGAGAATATGTATATACATATATATATATTTGTATCATTTACGTAAGCTCTAATGGTGTTCCAATTCCATTATATTTCATTTTGCATCCTTCCATCATACCAGAAGGACAAACAACACCTAGACAGTCGACCAAAGTCACCAAGTGCAAGTCAAATGAAGACCGATCAATAGTACCAAGTCGATATTGTTCAAACATGATACGTTTTGCATAAACAACAGCTTTTATACTTTGGTGTTCAGTTACAGTAAAAGTCAAACCTTCTTCTTGAATATCGCAAGTCGCTACCTAACTCATAATAAAGTTAGAATAAAGTTGATATCAGAATCTATATCATTTTACCGGTCTAAATTGTATAGTTTTTATCATGCCAAGTAATAATTTCACTGCTTTCAAATTAGCTGTGAAAGGTTCTATTTGACTCATATTTATATAGAAAAAAAAAGGTTACGCGAAAAAGAGAAGAGGAAGCATGAAGGAAAAGAGAAAAAAGAAAAAAAAATTGGGTTTGAAAATCGTTTGCTGTGACTTGATCTCCTTTTCTACCTTTTTTTTTTTTCTTTTTCCTTTTTTTTTTTTTTTACCATTTTTTCCTGTTGCTTACTCATTTATCAAACATGGAAAACAAAGATAACAAAATCAACCATTTGGTTATCGATACAAACGCCATTATCAATGGTATGACTTTAAAGGATACTGCCGATTGTTTTTATACTTGTCCTGAAGTGTTATCCGAAGTACGAAGTGCTCACTCCCGAGAATACTTAACTCGACTTCCTTTTGAAATCAAGGTGGAAAATCCTACCGAAGAATCTTTGAAAGCTGGTAAGTTTTTTTTTTTTTATTGAATATATTAGTTATCATTAATTACTTATTCCTTTACTTTACTTTTATTAGTCATCAACTTTGCCCGAAAAACTGGTGATTATTCTTCTCTTTCTATGCCTGATATACGAGTTATTGCTTTAACACATACTATTGAAGCACGTCGTAACGGTTTAGAAAATATTCGAACTGAACCTATCAAGGTAAACCCATTGATTTTAGATTTTTTTTTTATATATGAAAAAAATAACTCATATATCAATTTTTTTTTTGTTGTTTAGACTCGACCTACTGGAACTCTTACTAGTGCACCTCCTCCTAAGAATAAGGTCAAACCCAAAGTGATAGAAGTAGATGAAGATGGATGGGAAGTTGTCACACCTGCCAATAAATCGACCAAAAATTCCAAAAAAAACAAGAATAACAGTAACAACACCACCACTACTACTACTACTACAACTACTTCCAACACTACTGACAAAGATGTTATTGACAATGACAAAGAAGCAGCTAATCAAATCGAACAGCAACAAAAAGAAGAAGAAGAAGATGCTCAAATCGTGGATACCTTGGCACAAAATGTGTCTGATGTTATTATTGAAGAAGTGGAACCTGATATGGAATTCGATGGTGATGATGGAGAATGGATTACACCTGAAAATGTAGATGAATTCAATGCTTTGAAACTTGGGGTGACTCCTGCTGAATTCCGAAAAATGAATATTATGGATGTTGCTTGTATGACAAATGATTTTGCTATGCAGGTATGTATATAAATAATTCAATTATATATATATATATATATGTTATTTACTTTTTTTTTTTTAGAATGTTTTATTACAAATGAATCTAAATCTCGTATCAACTGGTGGTCATCGTATTTCCAAAATCAAGAATTGGGTTCTTCGATGTCATGCTTGTTTTACAGTAACAGCAGATGTGGATAAGAAGTTCTGTCCAAAGTGTGGTAGTGCAACATTGATGCGTGTATCTTGTACAACAAATAGCAAGGGTGAAATCAAATATCATCTCAAGAACAACTTTCAATACCGACTTCGTGGCACAAGATATGATATCCCCAATCCTAAGGGTGGACGAAAAACAAACAATATTGTTTTACGAGAAGATCAACGTGAATATGTTAAGGCTCAAGAAACACAATCCAAAAAGAAGATCGTTGATTTGTTTGATCCTGATTTTGTACCTCTTTATGGTAAACTGGATACTCGTACTGTCAATAATAATATGTTTGGTACAGATGTTATTGGTTTTGGTCGTAGGAATCCAAATCAAGGTCGAAAACGAACAGGGAAAGGCAAGAAACGATCTTAATTTTTTTTTCTTTATTAGATTAGATATATGATAGACTTATCTTTCCCCCTTTTATATATATACATGTATTATTCTTATCATTTCATCTTCATTTTTATTCTACAACTGCATTCTTTTTTCTTATCAAAATAAAAATATATAATCATAAAAAAAATTATCCATACTATTATTTATGCAATATGGAAAATGGAGTCCCGACTCCTTGGTGCACTGCCTTTTGACTATAAAAATTTATATGGCTTTTTTTTTTTGTTTTTATTTCCCTTTTTTCCTTCTTCTTCTTTAATCTTCATGTCAATAGAACATTACAGTGCACTTTCCCCTATACAACTCTTTTTACAAAACCTCGATCTTTTAGGTTTTGAACCACAACGAGATGCTTGTGATCAGGCTTTTCAACACTTAATATTTGATACTTCGTTATATCAACCAAACACTGACAACACCAGGGCATTTGAATGTACTAGTTATTTTTTATTCAAAAAACTAGATCCAGTAGAAACCAAGACCAAATTTGCTTCTTGCTGGCCTATTCAAGAATATTCACCTTTGGCTCGAACATACCGTATGACTGCTTATCAATGGTTAGTGGAACTCAAGGAACGACAACTTTTGTTAGGTCCCATCTCATTACGAAGAAGTTATTTTGAATCATGTCCAGGACACGAAGCTTTTATCTCTATCATGTTGTCCTTATCTATATTGACTCTACAAACAGTGATTGATCGTGACTATGCAGATCCAAATGGTAAACCAATACGATTGATACCCTCCTACAAGAATGTTGGCAACATTGACGAGCGGTTACCTCTTCCAAATGAAAATCCAGAAACTGTCCAATATAGTTTACAAACAGCAATACAAGCTCTATCAACTTACGTACAACAACAAAAGCATGATTTTATTGTATCTACAAACAAATCTATAGCCAATGCAACATTATTGAAACAAGCGATCGATACACAACGTGAGTATTAGTGGTAACAGTCTTTGAAAATGTCTTACCCCCTTTTTTTTGTATACTTGTGCTTTATCATTAGGAAAATCCTTATCCTATTCTTCTTACGAATATCAATATGGACAAGTACCTGATCTGACAAGGATAAAGAAACGTATGATCCAATATCATCAAGCTCAAACACATCAACAAGATCTAACCCAGCATGCTTTATCTGATCATATATTGAAAAGGTAAAACAGAGAATAATGAAAAAAAAAGAACGGATGAAAACTAATATTCTTTTGTTCCCTTCAAGTGCTCAATTACAAATAGAAAAGCATGATCAGATTCAGAACCATACACAAATGACAATTGATGATTATCATATACGGTATAACCTTCCTTCCTTATTATCAGGAGGTAAGAATAACGATATTTTAATGAGAGTTCTTTTATTCTAATATATATGTAATATTAGATACGAATATCAAGGATGCCGTTGAGGCAATACAGACTCAAGTTCGATACCTTCTTGATAGCAAACGATGATGAACAAACCTTTTTCTTTTTGACATTGGCTGACTTCAAAATGCGTGTTTTTTTTTTCTATCCATTATCCCCCGTACAACAATTTTTTTTTTCTTCTGTTTCTCCTATTCTTTGTATTTTTATTATCCTTATTATTCTTAGTTATTTTTTTACTTTTTTTATTATTTTATTACTATTAATCTCATGTCACTATTCTATTAGATTTGTTTATATATAGTATATAAATACGTATTCAGTTTTTACCACTCAACTTTAAAAACTTGACTTTTATTATTATTCATTATTCATTATTGCTCTTCAAACGATAATGATCCAAGCCGCTTATCAACAACAATGCAAACATCTCAATTATCAAGTGCCTCAAACAACATAATCAACAAAGAACAACAAACAGCGCAAAAAAGAAGACGTCGTCGTCGAAGAAGACAAAAGAACAAACGCAGTTCAACTAGTCGTCAACAAACCAAACAAGAAGAACAAACTCATTCATTTGCTTCTTCATTGTCACAAGATACTCGCCTTGACCTCAAAGATTTGACCAGGTATTATATATAAAACAAAAATTGTATTACAATACCTTTTAAATATACTCATTATTGATTCATTAGGGAAGCGTCTGCTCTGGAAAAGCAACTTGGTGAACTTCAAACACAATTGAATATCAACTATACCAATTTTCCAAAGGACCAAGGACGTCGTGCCAATGCTATTGCCAATGAACAAGTGACAGCTACCGAAGAAGAAATCGACTATGTTAGAAAAAGGTAAATGAAAATAAGAACAATCACGCGCTTTCAGCCATATGAAATATCTCAACGATTTTTGACTTTTTTGTTTTTTTTTTCAATTAGGTTGAAAACTGTTTATAGACAAATCCTCACCAATGATCTTTTATATGCTTCATCTCAACGAATTGAAGATAGACTCTGGCGGTACATATTTTATCCAGTCATTGAAGAGACCCGCAGTCAACTACGCAAGGTAAATAGTAATCATTAATAATTACTCAATCTGATGATCAAACCAAATGACCTTTTTTTTTTTAAAGCTCAAACCCAATGATTCGTCTACTTTACGACAAAAACTTGCTACAACTTATCATCAAGATATTGATACAAGCTTCAAATTCTATCGTGACCTCAATCACAATATCAAAACTACTTATCACATCGATACGAAGACTATTGGAATTGGTAAGTATTGTTAAGTGGCATTATATCATACTGACTCTTGTTTTTTTTTTTTAGATGTATTTCGACATCAAATAACAAACTCTATGGCGACAGATGAAGATAAGGTGGCACTGTTGTTACAATCAAACTATATTTGTATGGGTGATCTAGCTCGGTATCATGCTTCCTTTGCTTCTTCCAATTTGGACAAGGATTCATCCAAAGAGAATCATACTACTTCTCGTTCTTCAGATGCTTGGAAGGTGTCGAAAACATGTTATCAAAAGGCAATCGATGTTTATAGATCAAGTGGGAAACCCTATTCGCAATTAGCTCTTGTCTCTGCTTCTACAGGGAGTGTGATCGATGTTGTCTGGTATTATTGCATGAGGTAAAAAAAAAAAAATAGACCACGTGATGAAATACTCTTCTGATATTCATTCTCGTTTTATAATATAATCATAGTTTGGGCATGAAACATCCTTCAAGCTTAGGTTACGACAATCTCAAATCATTTTACTCCAAAGTTCGCTTTACCACGAAAACTATATCTCCTCAACAACTGAATGTAATGGACAATATCAAACCCTCCCAATGTATATCTCATTATGTAGAATCTTTTCTTCAAATGCATCATGCAATTGTCTTCCAAAATAGTGACAAGTAAGTTTAAAAAAGGAAATGTCAAGTTAGCCATGTGTGATTGATCTATGATGATCTTTCCCTATTACTATGTAGTTTTCCTCCCATGTCAACTGGATTAGTATTAGCTATGACTCAAATATTAACAACTGCGGTATCAGATCAACACATGACGAAGACTACTTCTTCAACTCTTCATATTATCCGATCAACTTTGACAAGGGCAATGGTTATTTTATTGATTTCTGTATGGCATCTAGGCGAACGCATCAAAAACAAAGGTAATGTATAAGCTTTTGTTTTTATATATTTATGGATTATGCTGATTGAACTACTTATTGTTTTTATAGCTAACTTTAATCAGCGATTCGAACTACAGCATTTGCAAATGATACTATTGAATTATGGATTCGATATGCTGATAACCTTATACAAAGAAACTAACTCGACTTTGGAACGCCTGAAAAAAACGGCATCAAGTGAATCATCAGCCATTTTGTTATCTTTAACAACATTAGTAGATAATACTCTTCTCCCTGCTTTATCAATATGGTGTACATTCCTATATACGAATATGGATATCATTGGACAATATTGTCATGGTGCTGATGGTAGAAATACTTCCCTTCCAAATGGTAAATCAAAGGAAACCACCAAACGATCATTAGTTAGAGTAAGTCAAATATATATATATATATATATATATATAAGTTCTTTCAGCAACAACTAAGCTTCTTTTTTTTAGTCTATTCAAACATTTTGTTCCTTATTGATTGGTTATCCATCTTTCCCAGTCCCTGTTAATAATATCCTTCCAAGTGTATATCCATTATCTGAAGACGTTTTGCTTCTTGGTCTTGTTCCTTTGATTCCATTCCATGCCAGTGTCGACTTTTTCAAGGAAACGGCTTACGAGGTGGATGAACAAGTTACATCTGACGCACGAAAACAAGTACGTTGGGGTCGTGTCCGGGAATTCATTCGGAAAATGGCAGATTCAACTGTAAGTTCAAAAATAATAACAAAAAAACAAAAATATCTTTGATATTCATTTTTAGTTTTTTTTTTTTTTTTTTTTTTTTTTTTATATCTAGTCTTTTGATTTTGTACAATACAACCAAGTGGAACAGAATTATTCTGTGATCGATGAAAATGCAAAGGTAAATATGAAACTTTTCTTTATTCCAAGATGAATTGTTGTTAATCCTTATCTATATATATATATATATATATATAGCGACAACAACAGAGTCGTTTCATGAAGGCATTGGCTACTCAAAGATTGATGGAACAAGTATCTTCTCTGGAAAAGAATGTTAGTAACATGGCTATTTCTCCCAATGGTGGTGGCCAAGCACGCAACAAGATGACAACAGAGCAATTGAGACCTGATGACATCGATATATATACAGTTGTGGTGGATGCAACTGCCTTCTTGGATGGGTTGACAAAGGTCAAGAGGTGGGCAAATCAAACTCTCAATGTACGGTCTAGAATCCAAACAAGTGTTCTCCAAGTAGTCGTCCCCCTAGATGTGATTGACGTTCTTGATCGATACAAGAAAGGTGATTCCCATATGAATCTACAAGCTCGTGAATCCATTCGTTATTTGGACCAACAACTCACTGTCGCCGCCGATCATAACAAGCAAAACGAAATAGAATCTAATAATATACGTACGCGATCTTTTTTACGAACTCAACGTGTGGAAGAGAAATTGGATGATTGGGATCAGGCATCTACATTCTATATTGATCACAAGAAGAACAACTCCCAGCAAGAGCAACAACAATCGGCACATCTGACTGAAGAAAACAGCAATGAACCAGTATTGACGGATGTCGACGATGTGGATGATACTTCGATGAGTTCCGATGACGATTTATTCAAAACACATGGACGTAGAAGGGGTCGACGATTTGATCAAGATGAAACGGATTCTGAGGTTGAAGATTTATCTACAGACGATGATGAAGACTATTCAACTGACGATGATGATGATGACAACTATGCTGATGAAGATGAAGATGAAGATATGGATTCAGAGGACTTGGATGAAGATGAACAACAAGCTTTGGATCAGGATGATGATGAGGACAATGATGATGAATGGTCATTTATGGATATTCCCAAGATGTATCGCCCTATTCTTACTTGTTTATTGTACTTTTATCAACAACAACAACGACAATTGGATTCTGGATCTGACTCAAAAAGTACCCACGACAATCAAGTGGAGCATTTAGTTCTGGTGACCAATGATGATAATTTGACCAAATGGGCTGAACGATTTGGTGATCCCTCTACATGCAAACCTCTTTCGGTGTATTCTGTGGCTGAATGGGATCATATCTTGAATACAAAATCTTTCGAAAGAATGGCTTCTCATCCTTCCCAACGACGTCGTACTTGAACATTTTCTCTCTCTGTTCATCTCCTCTTTTGGATTTAGCTAGACTTTATTTTTTATTTTATTTTTTTACTACCCCATTTTGTTTATCTCCTCCCCCTTATATATACATACATATATTTAATTACTCAATAAAGATATTGATTCCTATGGATGAAACTTTATCTACTACAAATGGCTCTTTTTTTTTTTTTTTTTTTTTTTTTTTTTTGAGAAATGGGACATTAGAATTGCATATTATGTACGATAAGAGCAAGACATGTCGTTCATCGTTATCAAGCAGCGTTTTTGATTGATCTTCTTCTGATTTGGTAAAGTTCTTCTTCTCCCTCACGCGGTTTTATCATGGTGATCCCTGTCTTGATGGTTTAGTATATTTCTTCTCTTAATAAAGTCAAGATTGTATTTAATATTTTTTTTTTTTTCATTTCCAATATTCTGCATCACCATCAATATGATAACATTCACCGTCATACTGGAATCACTACCCTATCAAGCTTGGTGATGATTAACAGCAAATTTTTACTAATACTGTTTTACTTTTATTTGCTCACATGTCATAATAAACACTCTGGAAAATAAACATCATTCTTACTGTTCATTCCAATGCATCCCTTATCATCCCCAAATCTAATCCGAACAAGGTGTCTCTATACAAAAGCTTGTGCCTTTATTCTATATTTCAAACAAACAAAATAAATCAATAGAATACAGTCTAATCTAAACGATAGGAGGAGAAGTCAAAAGAATATATCCGGTTGTTTACTTGAAGATCTTGCCATCAGCGAAACCTTCGACTTCCCAGGCCATGTACTTGTAGATTTCTTCCTTCTTTTCTTCGTATTGGGAGGGTTCAATCTTAACAAAGTTGTAAGAACCGAAATCGGCAGCATCGTACACTTCGAAAGGCACTTCTTGACCACGGATAAGGAAGTAACCAGAGATAGTGTTGTTATTGTTTTCACCGCACACCACCAAAGAACCAAAGGCATACTTTCTGGCCATTTCCAAACGAGCGAAGAAACCACCGATCAAGTTGTTAGACATGAAGACCAAGGTGAGTTCATCATTGTACTTGTAATCAACCTTCCAGAGAGAGTAACCTTCAGGATCATGATGTTCCCAGAACCACTTCATAGCGACATCAGAGTCGTTGTTAGAATACATACGCTTCCATTCATCCATGATAAACTTGGAGGGGGGCAAAAGATCCAACTTGGACTTGGGCTTAGGAGCAGGCTTGGCAGGTTCTTCATCATCAGCAGCAGGAGCAGCAGCCTTCTTTTCCTTCTTGGGAGTTTCTTGCTTCTTAGTTTCCTTCTTTTCCTTCTTAGGAGGAGTATACTTCAAGGGAGTTTCACACAATTCAATATCACCAAGGAATTCCTTGAAATGCTTCTTGGCAACAAGGGTAGTGAAATAACGAGTGACATTCTTGTATTCAGAGCGGATGGACTTGTCAAACACGGTCTTGAAACCAATAACTAAGGCAGTGACAACAGCAATATCAGCATAGGTAACATCTTCACCAACAAGGTAGGTCTTGGTCAACAAGATCTTGTTCAAAGCATCCAAACCACGCTTGGCCTTTTCGATAGCAGCATCATGAGCAGGCTTGAGGTAAGGATAGTAACCCATGAGAGGATAGATCCAGGCACCGAGGTGAGCACTGATTTCATTTTCAGCAAAGAGAACAAATTGAAGAACTTGAGCTTTTTCAGCAGCAGTGGTACCAAGAAGAGTGGAATCTTCCTTTTGGAGAGCAGCTAGAGAATAACAAAAAAAAAACGCGTCATGAGCAATTTCATTCAATATAAAACATATATGTTATTCTTACCATAGTAACCAAAGGCAGAGGATTCGAACAAGTTGACTTCAGCACTTTCAAAAACAGGTACCTTACCCAAGGGGAACTTAGCATAGAAAGCTTCATCACGGTCCTTGTGAAGGTCAAAGTCCTTTTGTTCGATGGTCAAACCATTGTAAGCAGCCTATTTTAAATATAATGTATAAGTGAATGAGTTTAAATGGTCAGATATTCTAATGTCATTTAGAACTTACAGCAATTTGAGCCTTAGCAGTGCGAGGATTGCCGGGATAAGAGGAGATAGTCTACAAATCGAAAAAAAAATAGAATATTTAAATACAATATTCGATGGAATTAAAAGTGATATGTTTTTTAAGCTTACTCCAAGAGACATGATGGATGGATGGATGGATGGATGGATGGATAAAATAGAGTAGAAAAGGTGCAAGTTCCTGAAGAGCTTTGAAAAAATTAAGTCGGTAATTGAAATCAGGCAATCAGCTTGGATGGGCCAGCCAGGAAATCCAAATTTGTTTCTCTTCTTTCATTATATCAACATGGTAAAGCAACTTAAAAAAGATAAAAATGCTGGGAATACGAATTCAATAATCGATGGATGAACGAATATACGAATAAATATATGTGATGGATGGATGGATGGATGGATGGATGGATGGACGAACCAATTATTTCTTGATGAATAAATATATATATATATATATATATAATGTATGCAATTGGATGAATGGGGATTCAAACCGATAAACATTTTCGAATGGATAATACATTTATAGTTATATTGGTCAAACGAATTTCAACAATTTTAACAACAAATACTATATTCGACAAGTAATAATATCGTCATATATATAGTCATCCATCTATTTTTTGTATTTCTCAGCTCTTGATGAATGATACTTATTATTATTCTCGACTAATAATAATTCTTTTTCTTTTTATTATGTATACATTAGCCTACTAGACTCCATCACAACAGAAAGAAGCGTGGACATGTGTCTGCCGGTCACGGTCGTGTTGGCAAGCACAGAAAGCATCCTGGTGGTCGTGGTCTTGCTGGTGGTCAACATCATCATCGTATCAACATGGATAAATACCATCCTGGTTACTTTGGTAAGGTCGGTATGCGTCATTTCCACTTGAAGAAGAATCCTACCTGGCGTCCTGTTGTCAATTTGGATCAAATCTGGACTTTGGCTGGTGAAGGTGTCCGTGAACAATACAAGAACACTGAAAAGGTGCCTGTTATTGATGCTCTTCAAAATGTAAGTTGGATAGGAATTAGGGAGATGATTTATTATCTTATTTTTTTTTCTTTGACCCCTTTATAAATGTAGGGTTATGGCAAGGTCTTGGCTAAGGGTCGTGTTAATCAACCTGTTATTGTTCGTACTCGATTTGTCTCCCGTCGTGCTGAAGAAAAGATCAAGGCTGCTGGTGGTGGTAAGGATGATGAAAAAGAAAATGTTGATAATTCTTTTAATAATAATATTTTATTTTATTTTATTTCTATAGTTGTCGAACTTATTGCCTAAAGTATTAGATTAGTTTTTTTTTTATTATTTCTTCAAATAAAAATGTATAGTTACAGATGATTGGATTAGTTATCAATGAAATTTAAATATAGTATGAAGGACAGACTGCATGAATTAGATAGGAATATCAAATAGCACGTGGTTATCTGCAATGAATAAACATCGGATCATAACCTATTTTAAGCAAGTGGGATAAATCGGGATCTCAACCCGCCAAGGAAAAAAGGTACAATATTCAATCATTATGATAACCAATAAATATTACTTCATCAGTACTATATATATATATAAGAAGAAGAAGAAGAAGAAAAAAAGAAGTTTGAATTGAGTCAATAGATTTATAAGATATTAAAATTATTGGTTTATATCATGCAATCAATATGCCATCTAATGCTTGTTTATTCTAATATATCATTTAATTACTATATTGATCAAAAACAATATATTTATTTACAAAGATTCTTTTTTCCTTAAAAAGACATTGATGATAGTCCTAAAAACATTCATTGGTCATACAACCATATCATGTCGTCATAGTATTTATTCAAAAAAAAAAAAAAAAGAAAAAAAAACTAAATGAAGAATATAATGAATCTTTGAATCTTTTATACAACTATCATCATTGTTTTTTTTTTTTTTTAAGTTGCAGGTTTGGAACAATGAAAACCTTTTTCCGTTTAATCTATTCTCATTGGTACAAACAATGAGTGAAGGAGGAGGGGGAAAAAGTGATGGAAAGGGAACTTGCTGGAATCATCATTTGATTGGTCCTTCGGCCTTTGAACTAATACAAGCAGAAAAAAAAATATAAAAAGGGTTTTTTTTTTCTGGTGTGATTACGTTTTTTTTTTTTTCATTAATTTTTTTTTTCCTTTTTATTATTATCACAACTATTAACATGCAAATCTTTGTAAAGACTCTTACCGGCAAGACTATTACTTTGGAAGTGGAATCTTCTGACTCTATTGACAATGTTAAACAAAAGATTCAAGATAAAGAAGGTATTCCTCCTGATCAACAAAGACTCATCTTTGCTGGGAAACAATTAGAAGATGGACGAACACTATCAGACTATAATATTCAAAAGGAATCTACTCTTCATTTGGTACTTCGTCTACGTGGTGGTATGCAAATCTTCGTTAAGACTCTGACTGGCAAGACTATCACTTTAGAAGTTGAATCCTCTGATTCTATCGACAATGTTAAACAAAAGATTCAAGATAAGGAAGGGATCCCACCTGATCAACAACGACTTATTTTTGCTGGAAAACAATTAGAAGACGGACGTACATTATCAGATTATAATATTCAAAAGGAATCTACTCTTCATTTAGTATTACGATTACGAGGTGGTACCAATGATGATAACAAGATAAATCAACAATCATCATCATCATCAACACCTAAGACAATAACAACTAGAAAACGCTGCGCATTTGGTTCCTGTTCTGATAAACCTGTCAAGATCATTGGTGATTGCCGTTATTGTGAATCCAAGTTTTGTGCTCGACATCGATTACCTGAAGCTCATGCTTGTGTGAATCTGACTAGTTGTCGTCAAGCTGCTCATGAAAGGAATAGTATGAAATTACTTAGTGAACGATGTGTAGCTAGCAAAGTATAAATATTAGTCTTAGTTTCATCATCTCCCTTTTTTTTTTTTTTGTCAATTTTGTGTATATGATCTTTTATCCCCTTTCCTCATTCATCTTTTTTTTTTTTTTATACTTTTAATCATTGAAAGTATTCTCGATAGATTTTTATTCAATCAAATAAAAATAAAAAAAAATATTCAAAAATTTCTTTGTTTCTTTTTATTTGTGTAATTTATCTTTCTTTTTTTTTTTTTGTTTTTCTTGGCTTTTTGAATGATGGATACTAAATCGGAGCTGAAAGAAACCTACTTTTTTTAGAAGACAATGGGATGATGGATGATTGTCTGCATGTCTGGATGAACGATATTCCTTCCCGATTTGATTTTTATAGAGAGCGGAAAAAGTAGGTTTCTCTTTCTTTGAAAGACATTTCCGTCACACATAGCAGCATTTTTATTTGTTTTATAGAATGCATCATCCTATGTTATTCATGCATCTTTCTGTCATCATTTTTTATCCATAGCGTGATTTATCATCCCTATCAAAAAATCATCCTCCATCTGATATCATCGGGTTGTCACTGTTCATGATTAAATCCTATTTCAAGCAATGTAATAAATGCTCATAAAAATTTCTATTTTATTTTTACAGATTTCTATAAAAACAACGAATATAAACTATTTTGACTATCTAAACTGGTTTTCTTGATAAAATTTGGAGATCCAATCCAAATGGAAGCATAGTATCCTTATACCTTGTAAAATGTTGCATCACTTGCTGTTGTTGTTCCAATTGACTAGCAAAGGTGGTCAAGACAAGTCTAGTGTGTTGATCATAATAAACGACTTCACGCATCGTAGGTAATTCATCCATGGAACGAGGTAAACGACCCGGATAATCCAATAATGTTGCCAGTTGTTCTTCCGACATGTGCAGTTGTTCTTGCTGAAGAAGGTGAGATGTTGTTTTCGTTCGTACAAGGAGAAACATCCATTGGCCATCTATTTCAGGAGTATATAGTTGTCGCTTCACTAGTACACTGTTGACAAGCAAGTTGTTGTATTGGTCCATCCAAGGTCGAACAACCTGGTCAATATAGTCAGGAAGAGCTGTGATAACATCAAATAGGACCATGGGTTTAAGTCCACACAGATAAAAGCCTACTTCTCCATACATATACAAGTCATGTGTGGTGATATCTGTCAACGTGTTGAAAAAATTCTGTTCATATTGTCGATATATTTGAATAGCATGTTTTATAACAGTTGCTTCCATCCATAGATTCTAAACCAAGATAAAAAAAAAAAAAAAAAGAGAAAAAGAAAAGAGGGATAAAAATGACCGGGGAGTGAAAAAAAAGTGGCTTTTTTTTTTGGCTTAATTATGCATTTTTTTCTTTTTTCTTTTTTTTTTTTTTTCTTTTCCTTCTTTACAACATGGCGAAATCAAAGGCAACTCCACCGAAAACGACAGAAAACAAGTCTGACACTAAAAACAGTGAAATTGATGATATCTTTGCCACCAAGACCATCACCAACAAACAACAAGACACTCCCACATTGACGAAATCACAAAAACGCAAACAAAAGAAAAAGGCCGCTCAAGCAACAGAGACAGCAACTGATCAAAAGACGAATGATAGTGAAGATGAACATAAGGTCCAAGAAGTGATCTTTGCTCAATTAGCAGCAGCCAAAAGTTTGAAGCGGAAGACTGCCCCTCCTCCTCCTCCTTCTTCTTCCTCAATAGACGATGATGCCTTTGGTGACTCTAGAGGCAAAAAAGCAAGTAAGTCAGGGTGAAAAATAAAAAGTTTTATTTGGAAAAGGATTGTCTCATTTGTTATTTATTTGTAGAACGCATGACAGATGATGGATACCCTCTTTTTGATGTCAAGGATTTACGGATAGGTGAAGGAAAAGATACTCCTGATTGTCCTTTTGATTGCCAATGTTGTAAGTGATTTTTTGATGTTTCTAGTGAATTCCTGATTGGACTAACTTTATTTTCTAATGAATTTAGGTTTCTGATCGTAATCCATAATGATGTTTTTAGTTGGAATACTCTGTTGTATAGTAGTAGCATATTTGTAATTAGTGATAGAAGAAATAAAATATCTGTAGATACAGTAGTAAAATCTTTATTTGAAGTGATTGTATAATTGGATAAAAAAAAAAAAAGAAGATAGTATAGATATATGTTTGTGTACAATGGAGTTTTGTAAAGAAATAAATAAATAAATCAAAGGGATAAAGTTGGGATGAAAAAAGAAAAAATATGTCAAGAGTGTGTACAAAGATAAAAGTAAGAATAATAAAATACATCATCATGAATGATAAAACTACCAATTTTCCCAACGTTGATAATTGTAAGATACCTCCATACGTCTTCTTACAAATGCTGGAATAGAATGAGATAACCACATTTGTCGAAGTTGTTCATACCGTTTGGAATTGAGATATTGAGGTGCACCACGTCTAAAGATAGGAAGACAAAAAAAAAAAAAAAGTCAGTTATTATCAAAAATTATCATCCATTCTTTTTTTTTTTTTATATAAACTTACTTTAGGAATAGATCTACTTCACCATGAGCATCAAGATAAGGAGCGCTCATGATAGTGCCACCATTATCATGTAGAAACAAAATAAAACATTCTTTGATCACCATGTAAATACCAATTTCACCACCACACCTATTTCGAATAAATAAATAAAAATTGAATCCTTGATTTTTTTTTTTGGAAATCATTTACTTACATTCGCATATGAGTATTACATTCACCACGGTCTCTAGTCATACAACAATATCGACGTGCACATACAAAAGTACCACACATCAAACAAAGAGCAGGATCTTCAGGAATTGTCTTACAGTTTCGACACACTCGTCTAGAACTTTCATCAAAGAGTTGATCCATACGATAAGGTAAAGATACCATCGAGAAAGGAGTAGGAAGGTTGAGATTCAATTGTACCAATCGAGCATAAGCTGGCGTCTGTCCTCCTTTCATTACCATTCCTGCAGACGATGAGGAGGATTCATTAATGGGTTGCATATTCAATGAATGATCACGATAATGTTGACACCATGTCGTAAGAATTTGTTGTTCAAAATCTTCCAATGAAAATAATTGGTCAAAAGCAGGGAGCCGTAAGATAGAGAGAAGATGATTGTATTCATCCAAAGTCGAGTTTTTCTTGTCAATATCTTCATCCAAACCGAGGTCATCATTTGGAGATTGAGGTACAAAACCATGATGAACAACCATCAGGAATAAACATTTGCGGAGAAAAGGTAAAGTAAATGTATGAATCAGAGCCACCAATACCTGAGGATCAATTTGACGGAAAAAGTCTTCCACAAAGCTGGATGGTACCTCCAATATCTGCATGATGCTTTCAGCAAATTGTCGTACTGATGTAGCAGTCGTCGTATTGTCATTCCAAGTTTCGCTTGTCATCACTTGTTGTAAACTTTCCATCACACGGACATCCTCCATTTGTTCACTACCAGTTAGTCCTTGCATCAAAGCAATCACAGTCTTGGTGATTTCCGCTAATAATAAAAGCCGCATAAGGTGATGCACTTCCAATCCACAATCATCATCATTCAATACACAAAAACCAAGTCGAGTCAGAACACTGAAAGGATCGTCACAAAGAAGAGGAGTAATATGAGGCTTGTCAACACCATCTGCTGAGAAAGGAAGATCTTGATACATCACTTGACGAAGAGTAGATAATGCCAATCGTTTCATGCTGTGTCGATTTTCGGAAATCATGTTGATGTTTAATGCTTTCGGTAACAGATCATTGGTTTTGGCGAGGATTTTGAGTAGAGTTTGTGTTTGAATCGAGATGCCATCCAAAAAGGTTCCAGTATATTCTACAGTCAGATCACGTTTACTTGATGATTCATCCACACCACGTTGTCCGATTTCGATGGATGCAATGGTGTAAGCATACATATCAAAAAGTTGCATCAAAGGTTTTCTCGTATCCACTATTAATAGTTGAGAATCCATCTTGTCATTCGCCCTGATCATTTCCAAAGTCTTCATCAATTGTTGGTAGAGTTCCGAGAGAGATTCTAATTTATCGGGTGTCAGGTTGGCGTCATGATTATTGATGATGGCAGCAGCAGAGTCTGAAAGTAAAGATGATGAATGAAAAGCTCCAGGGATCTGAGTAGTGGGTTCTTCTTGATGTCGCTGTTGAGAATAATGTTGAATTGCATCATCAAGACGTTCACCTGTTAGTTCATATCGAGAATGAGGAGCCATCACACCAGGGAAGGATTCTGTCTTGCCTTTCCATACCACAGGTAAAAGAGTGTTGCCAAGAGCCTTGCACAGAGGACATAAAAATCGTCGACGAGGAGCAAAAGTTGGCATGATTTCTCGCAATGAACCTAACACTTCGTTTTCAACTGATGCTTGATAGTTCTTGAAACATTGAGCATGCATCAGATGACCACAAGATGATACTTGAGCACCAGCAAAATGAGCATCAGAAGGGAATCCATGAAGATCTGTCTTTTGACCAGGGATGGCTTCAGTACGTTCAATAGCAGGGTTTTTTCCTTGAGCAGTTTCACAAATATCCACCAATATATTCGAATTCTTCAAAGGAGTTTGTCGAAGAATATGTGAGTTTTGAATAAGTCCCAAGACACCATAAAGTTTATTCCGGTCGAGTTCTTCTTGACAGACAATGCAGGTGCCAGCAGGAAAATGACATAGTCGTTCAACTTCTAATTCACCGTCTACTGTTTCAGGAAGAATATCATTCTTGGTCATATCATCGTTTCCATCTTCAAAAGCAGCAAGTTCGTCATCATCTTCATCATCGTAGAGTTCTCCATGTTGTGACATAAATTGAGATTGTGCCTGAGCAAATTGAGACATAATAGCCGCTTGACGAGCCTTTGCCGCAGCCTTCTTTCTTTCGTATTCAGATTGTGCGCTTGATGCTGTTTGATTAGCTTCTGCTACTGCTGCTGCTTGGTCGAATGCTTGTCGCCATTCTCTAATAATTGATTTTGCCTCATCCGATCCTTGTTGCTCAATTTTTTCAACGATGAAGTGTAGTCGCTTGTGCACGTGTTTCAAATCATTGTCGTCTAAACATTTAAGTAAAACTGTAAGTAGTGTGGTGTGAATGCGTTCAATACTGTTGATAGTGATGGCGTATTCCTTTGTAATAGCGTGATGAATAAATCCAGATTGTCGCTCAATGTCGTCAGATGTCTCCATTGCTTCAGCACGTTGTTTTCCTTTTGTATCACGAGATGTTTGTGTTCGATCTTCTGTTGTCACTGCCAGCATGGCCAAATAGAGTGTGGTTTCTAGTACAGTGTCGCTTGGATTGGGAGAAACCTTGGTATTCCATAATGCATGTGTGATGATTTGGCATAGAGTAGCTGAATGTAAAAAGTCACCCAAATGAGTAAATGGTCCAGATTCAATGTTGACGAGTTGGGGTATCACCATGAATTCTTCCTTGTCATCAAGTTTTTCATCAGGATGGTGTTTCTTCCAGTGTTTTCGTAACGCTTCAAGTGCTTCTTCACGGTGATTACGAGTAAAGTGCCAAAAGTAAGGATCCAGTTCACTATAAAATTCATCCTTGAGTTCGTATAATCCATGATCATTCAATCCATCCGGAGCCTTGTAAGTAGCCAAAGTATCAAGTATCGTTTCAAAGGATTCGTTTTCACTAAGACTTTCCGGAACCAATTTCACAAGTTCAGAATAAGCCAAACTAGAAATACCCAAGTATTGAATGATAGATCGTCGAATTTGATCTTCAGTAGACATAGCTGAAGCGTATCCACGTTCAGTTGCACAAATAGCCAAAAGATTTAGAAATTCTTCCACAATGAATATAAGTTGACTTGCTTCATAATCTGGATGAGCTTTGTGAGTTTTTCCATTAAACCAGTTCCATAACTTGAATCGATCCAACATGGTCACCAAAAGATGATCAGGATTCGTAGCAACAAAACCAACTTGTAATAGATAAATGTCCCGATCAAACGTATTTTCACGCACACTGATATCACGATATGTTCTAGCCTAATATCGCGAGTGTCAGAAATAAAAAAAAAAAAAAAAAAAAAAAAAAAAAAAAAAAAGAGAGAAGGGGTTCATCAGTATCATAATTAGCGTATGTATGTAAATCTGTTCTTACCTGATTCCGAATACCATAACCATTTCTAACCCAAACTCCACAGTTGATTTGAGCCAGCATAACAATAGTACGTAAAGGATAATCCAATATGGTCAAGAACAAATCATAAGGTAACTGAGACGAAGGCATCTGAATCATCTGTTTAAATCCACCAGTCCATCCAAGATCAGCCAAGAGATCAGCTTGTAATAATGAGATATGTTCCAACAGTTCAGACAATAGCCAATGGAAAGGATGATGAAAAGAGACAGGTTCCTTCGCAACATCATAATCCACCACATCAAATGTTCCAGAATAAGGTGTTTTGATAGTTTGGAATTTTTGTTGATTGACACCACGGATAAGAAGTTGTGCACCACCATCGTTTGCAGCAGAGATATCGCCTTCTATACTTTGTTGTTCAGTTGATTTGTGAGGATCCCATTCGCCAATTTGATGTAATACTCGATAGATGGACCGACATAGATTTCGAGCTGCTTCCGCCGTTGTCAATTTATCAGAGGTTGGTGAAGAAGATAATAGATGAGGAGAAAAGCAACCAGCAAAGAGACGACAGAGCTTGGATACTTGTAATGTCACATTAAATGCACTAACCCAGGAACTTGATTCGTATTCAACATGAGTGTCCATTTGGCGTTCTAAAGGATCCATGGCTTGAAATTGGTACAATACATCCAAGAAATGTCGCAGATACACAGGTCCTTGAGATACTTCCACTCTGACAAGATCGGCATTCAGTACATATCGTAGATCAAAAAAGGTATAGGCATAGCGATGTCGAGTGATGGATCTTGAACGACAATCTACTTGCATCTTGCGATAGTTTTCAGGTAATAACATGTGAATATGATCTGTCAAAAAGAAGTTGGATAAAATAGAACTGACAATGCCAAAAAATTTGTATTCCTTGACCAACATCCAAGCAACCGTAGGGACCGTCAATAATTGTACCGATAGTGAGCTAACAGAGTGTTCTGGTTCACGATCCTTAAAAAAGAAAGCATCCACCAAATCAGGATAGTTGCGAGCAAATCGAGTACCTAAAAAAAAAAAAAAAAAAAAAAAAATCAACAATAGAGTGAGTCATCTATCCTCTCTCCTTTTTTTTTTTTTTTTTTTTTTTTTGTTTTGTCCTTGCTTACCTAGTACAGGACGATAGTCAAAATTTGAAATCAAAGTACCAATCAAAATATCCTTGATAGAAGCACGAGCTAGTTTCCATAACCGAAGATCGAATTGTAAAAGATAATCTAGTCGAAGTTTCCGCTTGAATTCCTTCTTCAGTGATTTGTTGGCTTCAGATACAGGTTTTGATGGAGATGATAAAGGAATACCTAGGGATTGTGCTAATTCACGTTCAAATTTATCCAGTTTCTCTGTATGGGCCAGCCATTCATCCAAATCGTAACCAATATCAACAATATCCGATTGCTGTTTCTTTTGTTGTGTGGTATTTGAATGTCGACGTCGAGTACTGCCGGGTTGTTCTAATAATGTACTAGTTGTATCAGCAGCAGAAGCAGCAGTAGTAATTTGTTGAGGATGGTTGTTATCGTCGGAACTGACGGAATGTTGGGTAGTCGTTACAGAAGAGTTGTTGGGGTCATTAATAACTTCAGAAAAAAGGCGTGTCAAAGCAGTCGAAGTAGTAGCATCATGCATTTCAATATCGTCATCAGCATCATGATATTCTGTATCATCATTGTCATCACTACCATTGTCTTCTTCAATGACTTCGTCACCATCTTCATCATCGTCACCGTCATGCCATATATTATTATCATCAGCGATAATTTCGTCTATATCTTCCAAGTCAAGTATATGAGCGTCCATCATAGGTAAAGGTTGCATCAAAAATGTAGGATTACCATCTTCGTCCACATCACCATCATCTTCATCATCATCAGGAATATCCATTTCTTGAGCGTCAAAATCATCATCAGTGTCAACATCCATTCTACGCCCACGTCTTGATCGAGTAGATAAAGCAGCGAGATCCGGTCGTAAAGTCCATTCTTCACATAAAACTTTACATAAAGTATCACGTAAAATAGATGTACCACCTTCCACAGAGGTAAAGAACTTGAAGCGTCCACTAACAAGATCTTTGAGCCACTCCAATAAAAGACCACATATTTCTTCTCGTAGTGTATTTTCAGTCGATCTTACAGTAACTGCCAAGTTGATACTATTGATTTGTAAGGCTACTTTCATCGCTTCCTTGAGATTTTCAGAGATAAGAATAACATGTCGACCATAAGCATCCACATTTTCCGCCACTTTTTGCGCTGCCGCCTTTGAGCACTTGGTTGCCCTTACTACAATATCGTTTACTTCTTCAAAAGAATGGCGTTCATCATTCCACAATACACATGAGTAAGCAGATCTTCGTTCTTTACTTGTATCACGAATACCAAGAGCAGCATGAGATTCTTCACAATCTTTCAATACATCCATAATTGAGCCTGGTGATACATCTTCTGGAGAGGCAGCAAATGTTTCTAAGAGATAATCCAACACAACAGCAATGGTGTCATGAATAGAATTGAGTAGTTCAGTAGGGATAGTATCATAAGGTTCCATGGTGGGTCGAACTATCTTGACACCGGCATCATTATGGGTTGCTGATAATGAGTGAATACGACATTCGAGAGGAATTTTCCAAGCTTCCGGATCTCCACAATCACAACATCCACCTGCACCTCGGCTAATCCAAATTTTTACATCATGTCCATCATGGTTAGTTGCGTGAAAACATCTTGAACACATAACACAAGTATCATCCAATCCACAGTTTCTAAAAAAAAAAAAAAAAAAAAAAAAAAAAAAAAGTAAGCTTCTTATTTTTTTTTAAAAAAAAAAATTAAAATATATCATTTACCTGCAACGATAAACACTTTCACCTTTCTTGAACAAATGACCACATTGTTTTCCACGTTGAGATTCCCAATATTCAGGCTCGTCTTGAGTAGAGTCTACCAGGACATTATCAGGATTCGATTGTATAATATTCATAGAGGTATCATCATTGTCTTCAGTATCGTGTCCACTACTACTAGCGCTACTATTACCAGTAGTACCCACAGCACCAAATAAGTCATGTCTTTCCAAAAGTTGAGTCAAAGATTCATTGTCGGTTAAACCTTCCTTGAAGAAGTAGCGTTGCATCCAGTCGAGGTTGTTACTCCATAAAGACCGATAACAATTGGAAAGGATTTGTTTTTCGTTACCTCGTTGAAGTTTGTCCTTGAATACACTTGGAGCGTCGATCAGAAACCTCCTCAACAAGTCTGGTGTGAGCGGAGCAGCAGAACCAGTTGGAGCAGACGACATGTTGCTTGCCGTTGCTGAGGATTGGGACATGGTTTTGTAATATATAAAAGAAAAACAAGAAAAAAAGTACAAATGACAAGTGAAATAAAAAGAGAGTGAGAGAGAAAGTGAAAAGAAAAAAAAAATATGGAAAACGCAAGACAAACGTTTGTTTTTTCTCTATTTTCAACATCCGACTAGACAAACTGTTCTCCACAAGCAGCCTTCATTGGTCATTCTTTTTCAATCATGATAATCCTATCATCATAAATAATTCATCATCACATTATAAGAGATATATAAAAAGGAGATTCTAATTAGGAATCTTTCTTTGGAATACATCATATGAATCTCCATGAAAAAAAAAAGAAAGAGTCAATGACTACAGTATAAAAATCGTCATCATTATCATCATCATCATCATATATTATCGCGTCATTCTAAGGATTCTTCAACAATAGTAATAACTTGATACTAACAGGTTTACTTCTTGTTTAATATCATTGTTTCGGGGGATCATCAATGGCATGAATAGTGGTGAAACATGAAATATATTATACCACTCAATTTTATCCCGCAAAAATATTGTCATTGTAACTTTAGTATTGATTTATGCTAGATGAATAAGCCACTCGGTTAACCTTTTCATATTTGGAGTCATTTTCTATAGAATTTATATTTTACGTAAACAACAAGGATGTCATCTGTAATTTATTTTGATTTTCCAACTTGTAATAAAGACAAATCAATCAAACATATTCAATTTTTTCATTCGGAGCAGTCTGTTCACCATCTCTAAACTTTGTCTTCCCTTTTTCCCTTGTTGACTGACGGCTTTCCTTTTTGGGAACCTTTTTCCAAAAGCGTACTTTACTTTCCCACCTTGAAAATGAAAAAAGGCGTCTTTTTTTTTTTCTTTCTTTCTTTTCTTTCTTTATTTTATTTTATTTTTTTACCGATTAATCATGGCCGCCAAAACTTTTAGTGACAGACTCAAGAAATATGCTTTATATGAATGCACTGCCGATCTCTCTCACTTGCATCCTAATGAACTGACTGCCCTTAAACACTTGGTCAAGGCTGCGAATATCATTGATGACATTTATTATCGTCAACTATGGTCCGGAGCTACGGAATTACGCAAAAAGGTACTTGGAGGAGATGATGCCGAATTGAAGGAATTATTTGAAGTATACAAGGTAAGTCAATTATACACACTCACAAAATAACAATGGACGCGTTCTTTTTTTTTTTTTTTTTTTAATATTAAGCTTTTTTTTTTTTCTTGTTTATTTTTAGGGACCTTGGGCTGGTGATGACCATGATGCACCTTTTATTCCTGGTGTTCCCAAGCGACCTGGAGGTGCCAACTATTATCCTGAAGATATGACGTCTGAAGAATTCGAATCATTTGTAGCCTCATTATCACCTGAAGATCAAGTACAAGCCAGAAGTTTCTATACAGTGATTCAACGTAACAAGGAAGGCGGATTACAAATAGTACCTTATACTGAAGTCTATGGTGATTTATTGAAGCCTTTGGCCGATCAACTTATTGCTGCTGCTGAAGAATTAGAACAAGTACCTATTCATAAAGGAAAAGATGAAACATCCAAGACAACAGTGGCTGAATTTTTACGATCTCGCGCAGCTTCTTTCTTATCCAATGATTATGTTTCCTCTGAAGTTGACTGGCTTCATCTTGGTACTTTTAACAATCTGGAAGTCACTGTATCTGCTTACGAAGTCTACATGGATGCTGATCGTGGATTGAAAGCTGCCTATGAAATGTATCTTCATGTCCGTGATCAACATGCTTCAAGTCTCTTGGAAAAGTTCTCCGATTTGCAATATGCTGAAGATCATCTACCTGTGCCCGAACAATACAAGAACAAAGATTTGGTGCCTGCTCCCATTGTGGTGGTGAATCAATTATATGCTGGTGGTGATGTATCTGTAAGTTAAAATAAATCAGATGGAAGTGAAAAGATGAAAAAACGTTCCCTTTTTTTTTAAAAAAAAAAAAAAAAACTTTATTTATTGATATTTTCTAGGTCCCTATGACAGCAGCCTACAATCTTCCTAATGACGAAGTTGCTATCAAAAAAGCAGGAAGCAAATTGGTTTTGATCAAGAATGTTCAAGAAGGAAAATTCAAGCATGTTCTGGAACCTATTGCAAAGCAAGTATTACAAGCTGATCAGTTACAATATTTGAAAAAAGATGCATTCACCACCCATGTCTTATTACACGAAGTTTCACATTCAAATGGTTGTCATTTTACATTAAAGGGGGATACTGTCCGATCTGCACTCAAGGAACATCATTCAACTCTTGAGGAAGCAAAAGCAGGTAATCTATTTGTATATGGGATAAAATGAATAGTTCTGATATGTATTTTATTTTATAGATATTGCCGCCCTTTTTGTTTCTGATTTGATGGTAAAGAAGGGAGTGATTGATGATGTAACACAAAAGCAATTCTGGGTCACCTTTTTGGCCTCTGCTTTTAGAAGTATTCGATTTGGGATTCAAGAAGCTCATGGTCGCGGTCAGGTAAGCTGAAGAAAAAGTAGTAGTATTACTATTACATATATCGATTATGACTCCATTCTTTTTTTTTTTTTTTTTTTTTTTTTTTTTTTTTTTTTTTGCTTGGTAGGTGATTCAATTGAATTATTTGGTTGAAAAAGGTGGATTTACATTTGATCAAGATGGCATATTTGGTGTTGATTTTGACAAGATAGAACAAGCTGTGGCTGATCTCACTCATGATATCTTGGTATTGCAAGGGGATGGTGACAAGGCAGCCGTGGATGCTTTTGTCAATAAGTATGCCGTTATTGAACCAGCTACTCGAATTGCCTTGGATAGAATTGATAATTCTGGTAAGAAACAAGAAAAAGAGGAGAGGAAAAAAAAAAAGAATAGATAGATTAACATCCATTGTTTATTAGGTATTCCTGTTGATATTCGACCAATTTACCCTCTTATCAAGTCTTTGGAATAATTTAGCATATTATCCTATATAGTTGTAATTTTTATATTGGAATCAAAAAGAAATAAATTAAAATAAAATATTTGAAAACTAGATGATCAAATTAGAAATTGTAACTTTGCGACAATAGCCTCAGAAATTATCTCTTTTATTGGATGGATGTTGTAGTAGGAAGACGCTTTTTTCGAGAACAATATTATTCAAAATGAAGACGCACATGTGTGGTCGTTTTATGGTATGATTGGAGGGTGTCAGATGCGATTTTTTTTACGTATTATCGACAAGGTGACTTTTTTGATTCACTAGCAAAAGAAATAATTACAGTTAAGGCTGTGGATTCATTTTTTTTTTTTTCGAAAATTTTGGAAGTTTACAGCCAAAAATTTGAAACTCCTCAGCCAAATTTTGGCTGTAAAAAAAAATCGTCGAGGGGTCATCAGGCAATTTTTGGAAAAATGGATGAAATGCTTTAGAGTGTTAAAAGATGAAAGAAAGAGATATCGTACCCTGATGTAATGTATATAGTTAAACAAAATAATGTGATAAAAACAAAAAGACTTTTATTGATTCAAAAACTATGTACAAAAATAAAATAATATAATATAAACATGAGGATAAAGATGAATCCAATTCAAGCTAGACCGATTTGTTGTTTGTTCAAAAGTCATTTCCATAATGGGCCAACATAAACGTTAGCGCTTTTCTCGCTGTTTCTTCATCTTCGTCTTCTACATTGTCATCATCATCATCATCGTCATCATAATCATCATCTTCGAATCCAGTAGTATTATTGTTATCGTTGTTCAAATAGTCATCCATTTGAATCGAATCTTGATATTTAGAGCTATCATATTGATCTAGTGGTTCTTCAGTGGTTGTATTCTCTTCGATCGTATCAAGATGAGTTGGTGTCATTTCTTCTGATTTTGTTGTTGACCAAGGTTCTAGACATGGTGGTAAAGATAAAGTATCTATTACACTTCTTGTATCCGATCCAATTTCATCAGCCGTTTCGTATACAGAACTACCAATAGGTGATAATAACGATATGTTGCTTGTTGTGGTCGTGGAAGCAGTGTCATAAGGAGAATCGAAAGTTTGCATCCAACATTGATCATTAAGTTGTTTCAATCCGTCTTCCTGTTCCATTCGCATTGACTGTTGGTATGCTGCTGTGTCTTCGTCAAGAGAGTCTATATCATGTTGACTGAAAAGAGGTGGGACATCATCTACATCTTGTTGGGTATATTGGCACATTTGCTCTAATAGTGAATGTTCCATCTACATTAAAAAAAAAAAAACAAGGATTTGGGTTAAGAGTTGTAAAAATATATTTCTCTTTTATTAATCTAACCTGCAGTTGTTTTAATTTATCCCATAACAGTCGTTTCAGATCGAATAAAAAATGTTGATCTCGTAAAATAGATCGATATACCTTCTTGGCTCGTTTCCTTTGGAGTTTATGATATAAAAGAATGGGATTAGTCAACAAAGATAAAAAAAAAGGAAACTTGACATATCAGACTTACGCATTGGGTTGTAAAAGACCTTCTTGTATAGGTCGTTTAAAGTTGAAGTGATTCAAGGAATGATATAAGGTTTGTGGAGTTGCCAAATTCGTTGTTGTAGAACCGGTAGTGTTGGAGGATGTCGTAGATGCTAAAAGGCCAGCTTTTGATGTGTGAAGGCGTCGATGGAAATCTTGTTTGACTGCTAAAGGACGTGGTCCATCATTACTAGAAGAAGAAATAGAATAAGAGGGAGGATCCATGAAGTTTTCCAAACGGGAAAAAGAAAGATAAAGAAAAAAAAAAAAGGAAAGGAAAAGGGAAGAATTTTTTTTTTTTTTTTGGCTCTCTTCCATTTGTGATGGACAATAATTCAATCCCAGCAACCTACTCTTCAGAAGTTTTCTGGTCGAGTAATGTTATGACAAGATCTTTTTGACATCGGTGGCGTCTCGACTAAGATTTTGGTAATCAATAACCATCATCCTTTAAATAAACAAAAAGAATGTTATTCGAACGAGAGGAAAAGTGACATTACTATAGATAGAGAGAGAGTGTGTGTGTGTGAGTGCGTGTGGTTCATTTTGATATGATCTAACAAGAGACTTATATGAGGTGCATGAATCTCAATTTCGCGCTCATCAAAATAAGTTTCCGAAAGAAAAAGACATCCTTCACAAAAGTTGTTTTTGATTCCTTCCTCTCCTTTTTCTTTCTATTCATCTACACCGAATTTTTTTTTTTTATCATTCAGGAAGGATCGCGTTTATGACGATGACTTTTACCAGAAACGCCACTTCCCAGCGTCATCAAGAAGTACAAAAAAAGAAAAAAAGGCAATATAAATATATCCAATTGAATCATCCAATTTCATATTTATTTATTTTTAGATCAAAACAAGAAAAAGTAATATATTTCATGATCGATATAGAAATATATGTACGCTAGGAAAAGGCAATTTTGGAAAAGTTTTATTAGCAGAGGATCTGACCACTGGTGAGCAAGTAAGGAAAAAAAAAAAGTCGGATAGTGAAATAGGATATATAGAACTCTGCTAATATTTTGATTATAGGTAGCGATCAAAGTAGTAGATAAACGATTATTCAAAAATGGAGATCAGAAACAACATGCACAAAGAGAACAATCTATATGTGAAGAGTTTGCTACGGAATTGAAACATAAGAATATTGTGCAAATTTATGATGTGATATCCGATGAAGAATGTATTTATGTGGTGATGGAATACGTACAAGGCGGAGAGTTATTTGATCGTATCAAGCAAGATCAAAAACTTACCGAACCTCTTGCTCGTCGCTGGTTTCGAGAAATCGTAGAGGCCGTTTCCTATATTCATGAGGTAAAAAAAAAAAAAAAAAAAAATCTGATATAAAGTCAAAAGTTAAACTAATTCCGTATCTGTTTGTTTATTATTATCATCATCATTCTTATAAATCAACCAATCATCATCACGAACCAATCAATCATCCATCATAAATCATCGTAAATCATCATAAATCGCATTGAAACCATCAACAATCATCATCTATCAATAATCCATCTATCATTTATCCACCCATCATCATTCAAATCATCTACTCATCATCATCATCCATATCAGAATGGCATTGTTCATAGAGACTTGAAACCAGAAAATGGTAAAAAAAAAAAAAAAAAAAAAAAAAAAAAAAAAAAAAAGACTTGACACAGTTAATAGCAGTAACCATCATCTTCCTTTTTTTTTTTTTTTTTGATAGTTTTAATCGATAAAAAGCAAAGAGTTAGAGTATGTGATTTTGGATTTGGAAAAAGAATCAGAGAAAGACAAGAGGTACTTAGTACTTATTGTGGTAGTCCTTTCTATGCAGCACCGGAAATGGTAACCGCTACACCTTATCGAGGTCCACCAGTGGATATGTGGAGTTGTGGAGTGATCCTTTATGCCATGTTGACAGGTACATTACCGTTTCAAGGTGATGATATGCCACAATTATTTCGTAAGATTAGCCATGGCTTATATAATACGCCTCGATTTATATCTCCCGATGCAGCCCATTTGATCAACCGACTGTTATGTAAAAATGCCAAAGATCGTATTACGGCAGCTGCTTGTTTGGATCATCCTTGGTTAAAACCACCATCAGCAACTACATCATCATTATCATCATCTCAATTATCATTGTCGTTTTCAGTTCGAAAATCTATTGTAATGCAATCTACAACCCCTCTCATCAGTGCTCCTCCTTCAAGACATCCATATAAAAAAAGTGTTACTCCATTATCTCATCATCAACAACAACAAGAACATAAGAAAAAGAAAATTCCTTCTGATGATAAGGTTGCTCTTCATTCTACATCATTGTCTACATTGAATCATCGTTATCATCAACAACCACCACCATCAGCTAAGAAAATCAAAGGATCATCACCATTTAGATTTGTTTATTCCAAAAAACCAACTCAAGTGGTGCCATCCTCTACATCTGAAAAATCTGATACCACCAACAACAAGAAAAAACTTAAATCTGTTGAAATCAAGATGATTCATCGATTCAAAGGCTTCTTTAAATCTGCATTTCAGAAAAGAATCACTTGATATCTTTTTTTTTTTTTTCGTGTTTAAACGTTTTGAATAAAAAAAAAAAAAACTTTGGAAAAACTTTAAAATCCGGTCATACTTTTTTTTCTCTCTTCATTTTGTTGTTTTTCTTTCCATTTTTTTTTTTTTTATTCTCTATCTCTCTTTCTCACTTTCTGTGAATGATACTTCAAGAAACGTTCCAATCCTTATCTCACTCCTTTCGTCGGTCCTTTCACTGTACAACGCGTTCTAGTCAAGCACTTTATGGATGGGGACAAACAAAAGCATTACCATTGACACGAGATCCTACTGTTTTCACTCAACCAACATTACTGCAAGAACAAACTGATTATGCTTTACCAGTAAGATAATATTATTTTCATTTTTCCTTTGGTCTTTATTATTCATTTTTTATGTCTATATATTTCTGACTAGGCTTCAGCAAACATCACTCATATGGCAGCTGGTTGGGGTCATTCTTTATTAGGAACGAAAGAACACGTCTATGGTTTTGGACTCAATAGATCTCATCAACTTGGTAAATCTAATCCACTCATGAATCTCTTTCTCTTTTTACTAACCTTACGATTATAGGGCAACCTGATAAGGATCATGTCATTCTATCATTGAAGAACAATAGAAGTTTAAGGGGTGTTGTCTGTGGTCGAGAACACTCACATATCGTACTAACGGATAATGACAAATTAAATGATATTATTTATAGTATGGGTAACAATATGTATGGACAACTTGGTATTGGACAAAGCAAATCAACACAACCTGGACATTTTGTTATGTGCAAACAACCTACTGTGATTCCTACTAATAGTTATGATGGAAGAATTACCGATATTGTATGTGGTTTGGACAATACTATTTTTGCTACAGGTAATATCATAAAAGATTTTCTCTTTTTGGGATTTAGGGAGCCAAAAAAAAAAAAAAAAAAAAAGAGGAGGGATGACAAGTAGAAATGATGGAGGCGGGAGAGAGAAATCAAAAGACGTTTTGATATATCTATTTTTATTAGATCAAAAATTGATAAGATGATTCGATTACTTTTTATAGATGCGAACAAGATTTATGCTATGGGATGGGGCGCTGATGGCCAACTTGGACAAGGACCAGGTTTATCAAGTGATACAAATATACCTAGTTGTCTACCTTTGAATAAATCTATACAAAAACTCTCAAGTTCAACAGACTTTACATTGGCTCTCGATAGTAAGTAAAAAAAAAAAAAATGTTTCAATCACAACATCAAAGGAGAATGAATCTTTTTTTTAACTTTGTTGTTTTCTTCTTCTTTCTATAGGAGAAGGTGGGCTTTGGGTATGGGGTAACTCAGAATATGGTCAAGGCATGCAGGGTGAGAAAATAGATCGCGTAAGTTATATCTATTTATATAGAAATCATGGAGGAAAAAAAAAAGAAAGGGGGTGATGATCAGTAATCATAGTGATAGTAGTATAATGGTCATAGCAGGAGAAAATATACTTAATCTTTTTTTGTTTTTATTGTATAATTTTATTTAGATATTAGATCCATTACCTGTGACTATGATGGAACGAAAAACAATAGTGGATATTGCAGCTGGGGGACCATTTTCAGTAATCTTGACTGGTAATATAAAATAATAAAAAAAAAAACCATCATGTTGAAAAAGGCAAAAAAAGGGGGGAAATGACTTACTTTTGATTTGTGGGGTGGGAATTATTCTTGTTTATATCTATTTGCAGATGAAGGACAAGTATATACCTGTGGTTATGGAAGTATAGGATTAGGTAAAGAAGTGATTGAAACATTGTCTTTACAAAAAGTCAAAGGATTAGACAAGATCATTCGTGTATTTGCCGCCACTGACTATGCTGCAGCTCTTTCAGGTAAACAAACAGAAAACAACAAATCATCATGTATATATATTTACGTTTTGTTTATTGTTTTTATTATTATTATTATTATTATTGTTATTGTTATTTTTTTTTTTTTTGTGTGTATTCATACGGATCTATTCTAGAATCTGGTGATTTGTTTACTTGGGGACTCAACGGACAAAGTGGACGATTAGGATTGGGTCATCATCAACATGAATTTATTGCCAAACAAGTACTTTTCAATAATAACAAAGTGATAGATGTAGTTTTAGGCACCAACCATGCTATGGCCCTTTGTATATAGTTTATATAGATCTCCCTTTTTATTATAGTATTTACAAAATAAAAGTAGAACATACCATTTTTGGCCACATGTATTAAGATTTACCGCGCTTGTCTTTTTTTTTCTCGCTCGCTCTCTCTTTGTCTTGTTTTTACCTGATTAAAACCAAACTATGATGATGATCGTTTATACTTTAATTTGATCATGCTTTCATCACATGTAGCGGAAGAAAGGAGAAAACACCAATTGTTGGAAAAAAAAGAAAGGGGAAGAAGTCTCTCTTTTTTTTTTATCTCGATGATTTAACCGCCAACTCTCCTCATTTCCCTCTCTCTCTCTCTTTCTTTTACTTGATTTGCTTTCTTTCTCTTTACCACTAAAAAATCTTTTTGTTCTTTTTATATCTTTTTTTTTCTTTTTTCGATGATTACTCCTTATGATGATCCTCAAAGCGTAAAAGAAAACAAAAACAAAAAAAAAAGTCAGGGGGAGATGATTATAAAAATGCCAAAATAGGATACTGGTCGGTCCGTGCAGATACCTTACACAAAACGACAGCATTGCATGTTGTGGTTTATATAGATACCAACATGATTTCTCTTTTAGTATAAAAAGCTATTCAGGTGCCTTTTTTTTTCTACGTTTTTCTTTTTATTTCCCACATATCTTTTCAAACATTATTTTTATATTCCATGAAAACTTCATTTACATCTACAAACACTAGATTTCGTCGTCCTTCATCTTCAGGTAAAAATAAATAAACAAACTTTTATATAAAAAAAAAACTAATGTGATGATTAGTACCTTTTCAAATTCAAACAACAACAATGAGTAACATGATGATCAGTACCTCACCTTCATCTTCTTCCTCGTTATCATCATCATCACCCACCACCACTAGTTCACAATCAAGTCGTTACGATTCATCTTTGGGATTATTGACGAAAAAATTCATTTCACTTTTACGATCTAGTCGACATGGTGATCTTGATTTGAATTCTGCAGCTGCCCAACTCAAAGTACAAAAACGAAGAATATATGATATCACCAATGTTCTTGAAGGGATTCGTTTAATAGAGAAGAATTCTAAGAATCATGTTCGATGGATGTAAGTTTATATTATTATCATCATGACCCCATCTGACCTTATATATATATATATAGTGGAAAATCATCTTTTAAAAAGATCAATGGACCCAGTACCATGGCAACAGCAGACAAGCGGGCGGAGCTAGAAACCCGGCTAGTGGCACTACGCAAGCATAATCTAGCCCTTGAAAAGGAGCATGATCATCTGATGCGCATCAAACGCCAAACCGAGGATCACGTTGACCATGCATTTAAAAATCGTAACTGTTACATGACCGTCAAAGATATTTTGAATTATAATACTTCCAATCATACAAACGGAAGTACCCGAAATGATATGTTATTGGTGGTAAATGCTCCTTTAGGAACGGATGTTTCTTTTCAACAACAACAACATCGGTATCAAAGATCATCCTCCTCTCGAAGATATACCCCGTATTCTACCGCTTACAAGGTAAAAAAAAAAAAAAAAAAAAAAAAAAAAAAAAGATCCGAGTGTTCCCCACCTCCCTTTTCTTTTTTTTTCTTTTTTTTTTTAACCCCTTCTCTAAATGATCTTTTTTTTTTTATGATAGAATAAATGTTATATTCAAGCTCCATCCAATTCAAATCAATCACTTCAAGTAATAACATTATCACCACATCGATCAAATTAATTTTTTTTCCTATTCCCTTCCTTTTTGTATATATGTTATTTTTATATTGCATTTTATGATGATGATGAATAGTGTGTCTCCTGGAGAGTATCATTATTGATTTCCCTTCTGTTTTTTTTTTTTTTTTGTCTACATTTCCCCCCCCCCCTTTCTTCTTATTCGTTTTGATCGGCGTATACAATAAAAAGGATGGCTTAACTCCCTCTCATTCTTCGTTGTTGCATGAATGGTTTTTTTTATATATATAGTGAGAGAGAGGGGTGAACAGAAAAGCTTAAAAAAGTAATCGGGATTTGGAATCCAGATATGTGTGTGTGTGTCTATGTGGCTTCTTGACTGGGGGAGGGAAAGGGAGTTTCTTCTTTCTTTTTTTTTGACTTTTTTCTTTTTTCCCTTAATCATATTTTTTCTTTTTTTTTTTTTTAGAAAACGACATTGACTTATTGAGATGCCACCATTTATAGAAAACACTCCTCGATTTCCACAACTCCCAAATATTGAATTACCTCCTTTTCTTTCGTTCTTGAAACTCGCTTCATTCCCTTTGAAAACTTATCCACCTGTCAGTCAACCCAAACGTAGTCAAAAAGATACTTTATACATTTATGGTCCTGGTTTACGTGCCTCTCCCTCCATTAGTTTTGATGTTGACTGTATTCAAACTCAAGTAAGTTTCTCCTTTTTTTTTTTTTATTGGTGAAATGATTTAGGTTTATGTTATGGGAGAGAGGAGGTAACAATATTCACACTGACCCGTTTTTTTTTTTTCTTTACTTGGATTATAATAGATCTATTTTCGATTCTGCAACTTGGACGTGGATATCAAGTTTACTAATGATCCTGAAGCTTCCCCTTCTGGTAAATTACCCTATTTTTCAACTGTGACTGGAAAGCTTTTGACTGGTACGCAAATAGATCAATGGCTCAAAGACAATGTAAGTTTCCTAATGTGTGTATCCTCAAAGAACAGCAACACAGGAGAAGGGGACAAAGAAAGAAAAGGGAAAGAAAAGGAAATGTAAGGGAAAACGGATGATATTGAATTTTATTCTATTTGATTTAGGAAAAGGATATCTCACTAGGAACTCATCAAGATGAAGCTATTGCATTTATATCTATGGTGAAATCAAAATTACATCCTGCTTTGGTAAATGTGAAAAAAAAAAGAAAAAGTTTTCATCCTTCAATATTATTCTGATCTATTTTGTCTATACTAGTTATTCTCGATGTGGCTGGAACCACTTAATTATAATGAAAACACATTCCGTATGTATTACGGTCATATTCCAGCACCAATCAATTCAATCATGGGATATAGGAAAAAAGAAGAAATTGTGAATCAATTATTGGCAAATCGTGATATTTTATCCCGAGAAGAGGTAAGGAATGAAAACAAAAAAAAAAAAAAAAAAAGAAAATCATAAGATGATCACGTAACCCTTTGTTTTGTTTGGTCTAGGTATATGCAGATGCAGCCCAAACATTAGAAGCATTATCGATCAAACTTGGTGATTATACATACTTTTTTGACCAATCGTAAGTTTATCTTTTGTGATGATATTTATCATCTGATACAATGGATTTTATTTATTTTATTATTGTTGTTTTTGTGCATAATAGTGGACCCACCTGGATGGATGCAGTGGTTTTTTCTTATCTTCATGTGATCCTTGGTGTTCCTCCCGTCAGCAAATCTAATACTTCTACCGAAGAACGAAATCAAGCTGCCACATTACGAAAATTGGTCCAGAAACATCAAAACCTTGTACGATATGCCAAACATATCAATGAACATTATCTCAAATAATAATAGTTACATATAGTGATGATTTAAAATAGAATGAAATTCAAATAAAAACAAAAACAATATAATAATATATCTATGTCAATTTATTATACATATAAGAAAGGAGGGGAAGAAATGAATATTGATACGATAAACTATGAATGAATGAAGGGGGAATGCCAGAAAATGTATCAAATCTAGTTGGTTTTTGGTTGCTTTTGTTTCTTTTGCTTTTTGTTGTTATTATTGTTATTATTCGGCTTGTTTTTTCGTTTCTTTCCTTTGGAGGATGATGCGTCAGATGTTGATGTTGATTCAGCTGTTGTTTGAATATATGGTTCGTTGATACTGATGGCAGAAGCAATGGTATTTTTTCGTGTTTCTAATCAAAAGGTTGAATACAAAAAAAAAAAAAAAAAAAAAAAAAAAAAAAAAGGAATCAGTAAGCAAGTAAAGAACAGCTTCCACACATACACACACATGAATATATATTTATGATATCTTTATTTACCTGCTTTTCGTAGTAATCGTTGATAATTATATCCTACTGCTGCTTCCATTTGTGTTGGATTCATACCAAACATAAGAGCCCTTACAAAAAAAAAAAAAAATCAAGATCTTGTTCCTCCATGACTTTTTGATTTTAATTTTTTTCATTCAACTTACAACATTCGAATATCTGAAGGTCGTTTAATTTCCAATGCTTGGATAGCTCCACTTGATAAGATCAGATTATGTCCACGGGTATGCTGGATCAGTTTGCGTACATTAGCAAAGAATAAGGCACGTTTACCAGGTTGTCGGATGGCATGAGAGTAGCAAATTTCAAAGAAAATACCACGATTAATAGCTACTTGAGCAGCACCATAACCAGGAAGTCCAATTGTAGTACATAGATCGATAGATATTAGATCGATTTCATATACCTGACAAGCTTGTTTGCAGGCATCACTTGTTAATGGTTTGACTGCTAATATATCAATTTGTTGATTCAAAGGATTTGCTGCTACCTTGGAATGATAATACAACAATGATTAGATCAAGTGCTTTTTTTTTTTTTGTTATACATACTAGTTGATAGTTTTTCTTGATATCGTCAACTGCCACAGTAACACGAGTGAGTTGTTGAATTGTAGGGAATCGTTGAGGTCCATAAGGAGGTATTGCCTAATAAAAACAAAGATCTATTGGTTATTTTGTTTGTCATTTATTCGTTTTATTTATTAATACCTTCATTTGACTTATTTCAAATACTTCCATATTCCAAGCGATCGTAGCTTGATCAACTATAAAAATGGAAAAATATAAAATGAAATTTAGTAAAAAAAGGAAAAGAATAGCATAGGTTTTAAAAAAACTTGAATCAAATTCCTTTTATATATATATATATATATATATATTCTTCTACTTACTAGACTTTATTCTTTTCATCAAAAGATCTATTCGCTCTTCTTCTTTAGTATTAGTTTCTTTTGAATATGGTATATTAAGATCAAAATACATGGTCGTGATTGAGAGAAGAAGAAGAGGGAGAGAGAGAAGAAAAAAAAAGTTTATTTCACTGTCCGACTTTGATTTCCACAGAGGCACAACAGAAAAGATTTTATTTACTTTTTCTTTTTCCTTTTTTTTTTTTAAGTAGTATACTTCAATAACGGTTTCAAAAATATGAGTGGTCAACTGTCACATTTATTACTTCGTCGATCGTTAATAGTATACACTCGATCTATTCATACCACTTCAAAATGTTGGAAAGATCATGTTTCTATTGGAAAACCTGCTGTCTCTACTGGGAAAAAGGATTCTACTACTGTACCTTCTGGAATGGATAAATGGAAACGTCCTACTTCATTGAAATCTAATACTACTCGACCTTCTGGACAACAACAAGATCGATCCTCTCGATCAAAGGATGTGAATAAAAAAAAGACGGATAATGGTCGTACTATGCCTCCTAAACGTAACTGGACAAAACCTATAGATCGACATGCTGAAAAACACGAAGGTGAATCGGCCAAGCTTCATGAACGACACATCAACAAATTCTCCAAACCACCTCGGGAAGGTGAAACTGTGGCACAACGAAAAGAACGAAAACGAAAGGAAGAAGAATTAGCTGCCATAATGAAACAAGAAGCCATAGCCAAACGACAAATGGAACAACGACAAGCAAAACAACGTGCAAAGGAACTAGCAGAGAAGGAAAATAGAGTACGTGATGTTTTTATCCCACAAATCATCAATGTCGCCAATTTATCCAAGGTTTTGGGTGTTCGTGCTGGTATGTTAACCAAAAAAAAAAAGGAAGACCTGTTAATAATAGATTCATACTTATATATATATATATTTTTGGTAGAACAAATCTTATCTACTATGGAAGAATTGGAAATGGGTAGTGCTAAACACGATCGAAGTAAGTATATACCAAATAAGAAACAATGAAAAGGATATAACGACATTTGAACAAATTTATCCTTTTTTCTTAACTCCCTTCTTAGTGTTGAACGCCGATGAATCTAGTTTGATCGCTATGCAACTGAATTTAAATCCTATTGTGGATGAAAGACAATCTCTGGATCTTTACCCAAAGTAAGTGATTACTTTTCAAATGGAAAGATGAACTATATCAATAAAAATCCATCTTTTTTTTTATTCTTCTTCTTCTTCTTAGGCCTCTACCTGAAGATACCTCCAATTTGCCCTCTCGTCCTCCTGTAGTTACTATTATGGGTCATGTAGATCATGGAAAGACAACTTTACTGGATACTTTACGGAAAACATCTGTGGCTGCTGGTGAAGCTGGTGGTATTACTCAACATATTGGTGCTTTTTCTGGTAATAAATAGCAATATGATCTATGAATGAATGAACATCAGTTTAACTCTCTTTTTATTATTATTATTATTATTATTATTATTATTATTATTTATTTATTTATTTATTAGTACTATTACCATCAAAGAAAAGTATTACCTTTTTGGATACACCCGGACATGCAGCATTCTCAGCTATGCGGGCTCGTGGCGCACAAGTAACGGATATCATTGTTTTGGTTGTTGCAGCAGATGATGGAGTCATGCCACAAACACAAGAAGCGATCAAGCATGCACATAATGCTGGGGTACCTATGGTAGTTGCTGTCAACAAATGCGATAAACCTGGCGTGGATACATCCAAAGTCAAACAAGAACTAGCACGGTATAATGTTCATTTGGAAGAAATTGGTGGTGATGTACCTTGTGTCGAAGTCTCTGGATTAACGGGTTTGAACTTGGATCAATTGGAAGAAACAATTGCTACATTATCTGAAATTCTAGAACTGAAGGCCGAACAACAAGGTATGGGTGCTGAAGGTGTTGTATTGGAATCTCAAGTGGAAAAAGGTCGTGGTAATGTCGCAACTGTACTGGTGCGTCGTGGAACTTTGAAAGCAGGCTCCGTTGTAGTGGCTGGGAATACATGGTGCAAAGTGCGATCAATGACGGATCATCAAGGCAAACCTTTAAAACAGGCCTTACCTGGTACTCCTGTCAAGGTTATTGGTTGGAAAGATGTCCCTAATGCTGGTGATGAAATGTTACAAGCAAATGATGAAGTAAGTGAAAGGATCATAGGATGGGATTTATTCTAATGCCTTTATTTTTGTTTTTTATTTTATAAAATTAGAGTATGGCCAAAACAGTAGTGGAAAACCGTCTCACTCGGCAACAAAGAGATCAACAGTTACAAGATTTAGAAATCATTAATGCCAAACGAAGACAACAACGAGAAATATTGGAACATGAACGATTAGTGGAAAAACAATACCAAAAGGAAATGATGATGTACCAACGAGGATTGTCAGATCAAGTGCCTGATTCACTTGGAAAACGACTCAGCGCGGTACAACAAGCATTACGAGAAGATGGGATTATTGAATCAGAAGATAAAACGCTGGAATTTCGTGCTATCGTTAAAGGTAAATAATGTGAAACAATAATAAAAAAAAATAGGGATTGAAGCCAATGATTTATTTCCTTTTTTTTTTTATTTTATTTCATAGGTGATGTCAGTGGTACAGTGGAAGCAGTAGTAGATTGTCTTGGTGGATTACAAAATAAACAGATTCGTGTCAAAGTAGTACATGGTGGCGTTGGGCAGATCTCGGAAGGTGATGTTCAACTTGCTGCAGCGTGTGAAGGACAAGTGATTGGATTTAATGTCAAGGCTGATAAAAAAGTGATGGCGGAAGCTGGCCGACGTGGTGTTACGGTGAAATCTTACTCTGTTATTTACAAATTATTGGAAGAAGTCAAGGATCAATTAGGTGATATGTTGCCTCCTGTAGTGACTACTCAAGTTGTTGGTGAAGCATCCATCTTACAAGTATTTGATATCAGTGTCAAAGGAAGAGAAACCAAACCTGTAGCTGGTTGTAGGGTGACGAATGGAACCATTTCTCGTAATGGTCGTATAAGAATTATTCGTGATAAGAATACTATCTGGGAAGGTAAGGAAATTGAAAAGTTTATATTATTGTTATTGTTACTATTGTTATTTGTTATACAAAAGCTGATTTATCCTTCTTTTTTTTTTCTTTTTTTTGTTAGGTGAATTGGATGCTTTACGACAAGTCAAGAAAGATATCAATGAAGCAAAGAAAGGACTGGAATGTGGTATGTCATTTGAAGGATTTCATCAATTCCAACCTGGCGATATTATTCAAAATGTACAAACCATAGAAACTAGACAAAAATTATAGAACATTTAGCCTGATATTTAGAGACTTTTTTTTTAATAATAATAAATTTTTATTTATTTATTTATTTATTTATTTTGGAACCAACGTGATGTCTTTTCCCTGATCTTTAGCTTTTCTTATTGGTCAATCACTGTCAATTCCCAAAAAGAAAAAGAAGCTCGGTGATCTTTCTTTTTTTTGACTTTTTCTTTTTTTAGAGCTTTCTTTCTTCTTTTTCTCTCCAATCTATTTTTTACTTTTATATACAATAGTTCGGCATAATGATAGCAACTTATTCATATCCATCTAATACTTCTGAAACGAAACGATTACAACGATTTTGGAGAACCATATCAACTAGATTCAAATCAAAAGAACAAACCAAAGAGGATGATGATATTACTTTGGCAACCATCACTAATCATACCATCAAACAAAGTACTCTATATTGTCAACGACGGAAATCATCAAAACCACCAACATTTTATTGCCAAGAAAATATACCCTTGGTGCCACCTTTTAGTCCTACTTATTGTCAACGGGATGTTTTTCCTTATTCCAATTTTTATGTTAAATTACCTGATGGTAGATGGATGATACGATTTCGAGATGGTAATCGTGGTATTTTAAGAACTGATATCATTAATGGATATTATATTTGATTTTATATTGTTTCTAATTCTTTTTGTATATTGATCATTGAACTTTGAAAATAAAACTTTTTTTATAAATGTTAGAATGCTTTGATAGATTTAACCTCAGTTACACTTTCTTTTTTAAATTTCTATGATCGAATCAAGTAACCGTATTTGGTTGATGATGATTCTTTACTCAATAAAAATAAAAAAAAAATTTTTTTTATTCAAAAAATTCAAGTTTTTGTCCTACAGTAATCCTTTTCATTTCTTTTGTGTTACGTTTTGAAAAATCAGAATTATAGTTTTTATTTTTTTTTCTTTATTTCTGTATGATAAAGTAGTTAAAGATTAACGATTTAAAAATATAATATAAAGTGTATTATCATCTGTTCTTTTTTTATCTCCTTTTTTTTTTTTTTAATTGCTATTTTTTGACAGCAGGCGGAAAATAAAATTTTGACTCTTGGCTCATTCAGTTTGATTTGATGAGGCTCAGGGGTTCATGAATGAAAAAGGAAAAGAAAAACTTCTCTCTTTCTCTCTTTTTTCCTTTCTTTCCTTTTTCTTTATTATATCACTCTATTCATCAATATACCGTTTATTTTTTTTCTTCTTCTTTTTAATATCCTTCATTTCACTATATTTCAAATATGCATACCACTGCAAATACCTATTGTCTACAGCGACCTTATGAAGAAAAAACGGAATTACCTTCATCACCACCTCCTCCTGTACCTCCACATCATATATTACCTCGTTCTTCTTTTACAAATACATCACCTCACTTGATACGTTGTGTTTCTTTACCTCATACTACTCAACAACAACAACAACAACAACAACAAAATAATATACCCTCACGACCGATATCTTGGCATCCTATTCCTTCTCGACGTACAAGTCAATTTTATCAAGATGATCCTGAAATCAAGGCAAAATTGGATCGTATTGCACATAGTGATCGTTTATTATCTCTTAGAACTAGACTTCATGCATCCATAAAATAGATAAACTATTGGTCTTTCTCTTTTTTTTTTTTCTTAACTTCCTCTTTTTTACTTCAAAATAATTTACCACTATGAAATAAAACACCGCAGTGGCTTTTGTCTCTTTTTTTTTTTTTTTTATGCCCAGTTCTCTTCTCACTGTCTCTCTCTCTCTATCTTCTTTTTTTTTTTTTTTTTTTTTTACTACAATACAATGGATTATAGAAAAACTGTTATAAAGAAATACCCCAAAACACCTACAAAACTTACAAGTGAAGGAAGATATTGGAAACGATTCAAAGTAAAGCGACATAAAAGAGATTAAAAGAAATGAACTAGACACCTAACTTTTTTTTTTCTTTGACTAGTCACCCATTTTGATCAAAGAATATGCTAGTATTCCCTCCATTTATTTTTCACCAGTAGCACCTTACGATTTCGCTGTGGCTTCTTCTACTCGTGTACAAATTTATTCTTCCAAAACTCATCAACCCAAGAAAACGATCTCTCGATTCAAAGATCTTGCTTACTCTGCGACTTTTCGACATGACGGGAAACTTATTGTTGCTGGTGATGCTACTGGTTTGGTTCAATTATTTGATATCAACTCTCGAGCCATTTTAAGAACTTTTCGTGAACATACAATGTAAGTTAACTTAGTCTTCTAAGACTGATCAAATATCTCATTTTTTCTTTTTTTTTTTTCTCTCTCTCTTATTTAGGCCTGTTCATGTGACGAAATTTTCTAACAATACAACCAACATCATGTCAGCTTCGGATGATAAAACAGTGCGTATTTGGGATATACCTACAGAAACCAGTATCAATGTATTCGAAGGACATGAGGATTATATACGTGCAGGTGTAGTCAACGATGATAATCCAAACTTGGTCATCACTGGCTCATACGATCAAACCGTGAAATTATGGGATATGCGGGAAAATAGCTGTGTAATGACAATGCAACATGGAGCTCCTGTGGAATCTCTTTTAATGTATCCTGGTGGTAGTGCTATTGTATCGGCAGGTGGACCTACATTGAAAGTATGGGATCTTCTTAGTGGTGGACGATGTATACACACTCTATCTAATCATCAAAAGACAGTAACAAGTTTGGCGTTCAATGGATCACATTCTCGATTATTGGCAGGATCCCTGGATCATCAAGTCAAGGTCTATGATGTACAAGATTATCGTGTGGTGCATACAATGAATTATCCTGCACCAGTCTTAAGTGTAGGCATTTCACCTGATGACACTCATATCACTGTAGGTATGGCCAATGGATTATTATCTATACGTCAACGTCAAGTATCTGCAGAGGAAAAGCAAGCAAGAATGCAAAATCAATTATTTATGCAAGGTGGTGGTCACAAGTACTTTATGCAAAATGGATCACATCATTTATCACAACCATTAACATCAACATCACAATCATCATCAGCATCTACAAATTCATACAATACAACTTCTTTAGGAATATCATCTGCTGGCGAAACACTCGGGAAAAAGAAAACTCCCATCAAGGATGATTTTACTGTAGAAAAGACACGTCGTGTACATTTAGCGCAATACGATAAGTACTTGAAGAAATTTGAATTCACCAATGCTTTAGATGAATCTCTCAAAGTTGCCAATCCAAATGTGGTTGTATCTATGTTACAAGAATTGATTCATCGAGATTCCCTTATGCCTGCTCTTACTGGTCGTGACGATGTCTCTTTGGAACCTTTGGTCCGCTTTTTGATGCGACATATTCAAAATCCAAAATATACGAACATTCTAGTAGATGTTTCCGAAATCGTGTTAGGTAAAATGTCTTTTTATTATTATTATTATTTTATTTTTATTTAGGATGAGTTATTGACTTCTTTTTTTTTGATGATAGATATCTATTACAAGTTATTTGGTCAATCTCCATTGATAGATGAATTGATTTTGCAACTTCGACAAAAGGTGGCAAATGAAGTCAAATTACAAAAGGATTTACTTCAAACCATTGCTTCTCTTGATATGTTATTTGCCCGATCAACTATTGGTTTACCTACTCCTTCCATCGCTTAGTGTGATTATTTTGGTCATTATTAGTATTATTTATTTATTTCATTCTTCATACAATAAAAATCATCTCTTTTATTTTCATCATCCTTTTTTTTTTTTTTTTTGTCTTGTCAATGTGGTTATTTGTATTGAAGGATCCATTACATTGTTTCGATCCTTTTTCATCATGTGTTTTGATTGCTTTTCTTGTTCTGGTCATTTGTATAGTATATAATATATGTTTTACTAGTTTTCCAATATTGTAATTAGAATAGGTAAGAAACACGGTGATTAAAGATAGCCGATTACCGTTTCACTTGGTTCAATCTTTATTATTATTATTATTATTATTGTTCTTCTCACTATTTGACAGCTTTTCTTTTTTTTCATATGATTGCGTCTCCATGCAATTCGGTTATGTCAATTGCCGTCTAGATCTCATTTCTAATGACAAATGCTGATTCCCCCCCACAAAATAAAAAAGTGAAAACTTTAAATCCCAGACTAGAACCTTTTTTGTCCCTCTCTTCTCTCCTTCTTTCTTTTACTTTCTCATATAAAAACAAAACTGTCTTTCACCATGTCTAAATATCAATACGAAAATATCAAGGTAGATATTTATGACAAAGTTGCTCACGTTCAATTGAATCGTCCAAAGAAACTCAATGCATTTAACCCAGGGTAAAAAAAAAAAAAAAAAAGAAAGAAAGTTGTCTCTGTATGCAAACGTCAAGTAATTTGAATTTGAATTAATATTAGTTTGATCGATGATGTTGGTAATGTTTTTCGTGCTATGTCTGATGATAAAGATCTAAGTGTCATTGTGGTATCTGGTTCTGGTCGTATGTTCACTGCTGGTTTAGATTGTAAGTTATCTTCTAACAAATATATCATAGAATAAAAAACGACTCATCATGATCATTTTATCACCGGAATTTTTTAGTGGGAAATACTGGCATCACTCTTCTTACTGAAGGCGATCCTGCTCGACTTGCTTACAACAAACGTGCTCATATCAAGGTAAAAAAAGAAAAAAAAATCATATATATATATATACACCTATCAAACGCGTATAGAAGAATCAATCATCATCTTCTATCTATTTCATCATCTATTCTTTAGCATTTCCAAGATGCCTTCACTGCTATTGAAAAATGTGAAAAACCTGTAATTGCTGCTGTTCACAATGGATGTTATGGTGCTGGTGTTGACTTGATTACTGCCTGTGATATTAGATATTGTACCAAGGATGCCCTTTTCTGTGTTAAGGTAATACAATAGCAAAAGAAGAATATTTTCTTTTTTTTTTTTAACTTGCTTTTATGATGAATTTTTATATTTAATATAGGAAGTGGATGTTGGATTGGCTGCTGATGTGGGTACGTTACAACGTTTACCAAAGGTGATGGGTAATCAAAGTTTGGTCCGGGAATTATGTTTAAGTGCTAGAAAGTATGTTCAAAACAAAAAAAAAAAAAAAAAAGAAAGGTATATGAATCATACGTTACTTGGTACTGATTTTTCTTTTACACATATATAGTTTATATGCTCCCGAAGCTTTCCAACATGGTTTAGTGAGTCGTGTTTTTGACAAGCATGAAGAAATGATTGGTAAGGTTTATATTTCAAAGAATTGAAATGAAGATGACATTTGATTTATCTTTTTTTCCCTCTCTATTAGCTGAAGCATTGAAGATGGGTGCTTTAATTGCTAGCAAGTCTCCTGTAGCTGTTCTGGGTACCAAGTAAGGCAATCATACTAGAAAATCATTATCCATTCTCTAACTTGTCTTCTTATTATATCTCAAGGCACAACCTGATCTATTCGCGAGATCACACCGTCTCTGAGGGATTGGATTATATTCTTACCTGGAATTCTGCTATGTTGACTACTGAAGTAAATATTAAAAAAAAAAAAAAAAAAAAAAAAAAAAAAAAAAAAAACCATCATCTAAATGTGCTATTCTTATTGATCTTTCCTTTTAGGACATTCCAAAATCCTTTGAAGCCTTTGTTACTAAGGAAAAGCCTGTTTTTTCCAAATTGTAGTTTAGAACTATTGTTTCCTTCTTCTCTCTTCTTCAATAAAAACTCGCAACATTGATCTTCCTGTTTCTCTTTTACATAATTGATGTCATATGGGAGTTCTCATCAAAATTCATACCTACATGCATTGATAATGATTGTGTTATAACTACTGCTATTATACTCTCTCTCTTTTTTTTTTTTTTTTACTTTCTCTATAGAGTGGTATTGATGGATGATGATACATTTTCGTTGTGAGTTTAGTATTATCCACTTTTATTTTTGTTGATGATGATATGTGACGATGGATGATTGAAAATGAGTAGTAACCGTCATGATTACTTTTCACTATAGCAAACAATATATATCGTAAAAATTTGCTGTTCATCATCACGATGTTAATACTATGATAAAGGCTCTACAATTACGATGAATGTATTAAAGATGATGATAACTACAATAAGGATAATGATGATGGAAAAAAAAGGAACCAAATTAGTTTTTTATTAGTTGTATTAAAAAGTAAAGAGTAAATAATAATAGTATAATAGTAGTAACAATGTTTTGTAGAATAGCAAAAGAGGATGTAAAAAAAAAAAAAAAAAAAACGAGAATAAATGAATGAAGAAATGCTATATGAATATGTATGTGTATGAAGTGCGTTTGTGAGGTGAAAAATAATTGACTGGAGTATAAAGATATATCATTAATATAACAGAGTAAAAAAGAAAAGACGTGAAGAAAAAGTAAGAATAACAATAAAAAAAAAAAAAAAAAAAGAGGATGACAAAGTACAAGAAAATCAAATAAAACCACGACAAAAGATCATCATGAAGCTGCTGCAGCCACCACCAAGTTCACCTTTTGTTCTGGAAATTCTTGTCGTAAATCATCCATAATCATGACGGTGTCTTCATCCTTGAATAGTTTTTCTGATACAATATATTGTTGTTCCACTTGAGATAATCGTTTCACACATGCCAATGTTGAAGGTAAAGTCATGAAAAGCCAAGCTGCCACAGGTAAATTTGTATAATCCAATAGATGCTTCCATTGACGAGATTCACTCTTGGATTTTTGTAAAAATTCACGATCGATTGCTCGGTGAAGTTGTTCATAGATAGCCAAAGTACCAAACAAAGGAAAGGGAAGTAAAACAGTGATGATTTTGACCATATTCCAAAGTTGTGCATAAAAATCAGATGTCAAGATAGGATTTTGAGCAGGATCCACCAATGCTAAAGCCGAAAAAGGAGGGAACAATAAAAATTGCATCAAAGGAACAGCAGCAAACATAAGCCATCCAGAGGTTGCAGGAATCATATGAGCTTCCAAAATCAAAAAACAGACAGTGACCTTATCCAACCAACTAACAGAGGAGGTAGCAGCTAGAGCTAATCCACTACTTGCGTCGTCCAATAAAGAACCTTTGGGAGCACCACGATGACGAGTAAAAGCATTCTTGAGAGTATAAGCTACATCAGCAACACCATTATAATGACGTTTGGCTTGTACATATCGAGCATTGACATTGGAAAGATAACCTTCGGTTTGAACATTTGTCAAATTGATAGGTACATAAATAGGAGCAGTACGAACTTGACCATTAGTTTTGAAAAAACACTTTAGCCACATATGCATATCTTCACCTACGGCATCAGCATCCGTATCCCAATATCCAACACGTTCGGCAAGCATCATTGACAAGGAGTAAGTAGAGCAAGGAAAAGAGAGACCACGACTATTGCTGAGATTAGACATGACCATAGCAGACCAAGTAATATCAGTGACACGAACGGCAGCAGGAACTTCATAGCAGTTACGAGAGAAGAAAATAGGAGGAGCCAAGAGTAAATAATGAGGATCATCGGCACGATGTAAGGCATCTTCGACTTCACGTACATAAAGTTCAGGAATAGCAGAATCAGAATCAGTAACGGTCAAAATAACACGACGACGATCAACACCACGACGTAAGAGTTCGGCACAACCATTTCTTGCAGCATAAGCAACATTGGAACCTTTACCACGACTTTCACCAGGAATATTGGCAGGATGACCAGTAACAATGAAATAAGCAAATCTATCAGCAAAAACAGAAGCTAATCGTTGTCCCTTTTGTTCCCATTCAGATTCCGATTGTTCCATGGCCATAATGATCGCGTAGTGTGTCTTGGCATTTCTAAAAAAAGATGATCATTTAGTTATAAAGAAGATGGTTTTTTTATTATTATTATTATTATTATTATTACTATTTTTATTATTATTATTATTATTATTATTTACCTGTGATTAGCCATTCTTCCAATAGTATCTTTCAATAAACCTTCAGGTTCACAATAATTAGGAATGATAAAAGTATGAATATAAGTTGGATCTTCATATAAATCAAGTTGTTGTTCAATATCATCCATATCATCTAAAGCAAGATTATTGTTTCGTTCACGAGTCAAATTAGGAGAACCATTTCGACTAGTAGTAGCAGGTTGTTGTTCAATATGATGAGAAGCAGATCGACGATTCCATTTTGAAATAGTTGCTTGAATTTTGCAAGAAGTCATATAAAATTTGCATACATGATTGACTTGAGTATACAAAAACACGGTAAAATAAGTAAATAATAAAAAAAGATAAACTCTTGGAAACAATAAAGGTCCCAAGGGAAGAATTAATAAAGATAATAATGGAACAAGAGGCGCAACCCACTCCGAAGGAGAGTGAAGACGAGACATTGTTTGTTAGATAAAGAGGTAGAGAGAAACAAAATATAAAAAAAAAAAAAAGCAAATAAACAAAAAAAAAAAAAACTTAAAATGGGGCTCTGGGTTTCCAAAAACTTTTCTATTTTAACCAATCATACAAGAGAAAATCATTTGATTTAATGTCCGAGACATCATTGATGGACAAACTCTTTGAGACAATGACAATGAAATCCAACAAATAAAACAAGTTCTTTTTGCATGATAAAAAAAAATTCTATTCTTTTATTCAAAGTACGCGTGCTAAAGGGGATTTTGGGGAGATATATAATGATTTCGCTTCTACAAATTTGGTATTACCATCTAGACTTTCAATCCACGCTTCCACCCAAGCTTTTCTTCCTTCTGCTTTGTCCAAACGACCACGTAAAACAACCCATTGATCTGATTTGACAGGTCGGCGGTAATCAATATTCAAATTGGCAGTAAATCCTACATAATTGGGTAATGCTGGCATAGCCTAATAAAAAAAAAAAAAAGGAATCAATATATCTCTAATTTGGTTACTAGTTCAAACACTTTACCACAAGAGCTAATGCTTCATCTAAAACAGTTGCTAATAAACCACCATGAATAATCCCATCATGTCCACATAATTCTGTACCCAAATGGACTACAATCATAGTTTCAGTTCTTGATTGATTATAAAATACCACAGGAGGAACAATGATTCGACCTTTGGCACGTAATGTCTAATAATAATAATAAAAAAAAAAAGGTCAATCCTCAAAAAAAAAAAAAAAAAAAAAAAGAAGGATCGAATACTTACTGAGGCTGTCAAATTATTTAATAATGCACTTCCTTTCAAATGACCATAAGCTTCGATTTCAATTAAATCAGGATTATTACGAGCTTCCTTGACAATATCCAAATTATCCCGTTCTTCTTTTGCCAAGGTGACATGATCATGATCCATACCAGTCAAAATATGTTTTTGTTCTAAAAGAGCTTCGTGTCGTTCAGTAGCCATGATAGTATAGGTGATACCAGTTGCAAGTAAAACGCTGAATGTAGGGGTAACCAGAGGATGGAGACGAGAAGATGATCGTTGTGTTGAATAAGAAAAAGAAGAAGTTCTAGGAATCCAAAATGTTGGTCGTCTTTTTATGGTCCTGGATAAAGATTGAAATACAGTCGGGAACATGACAATTGTTGGGTTGAAACAAAAGAAGAAAAGAGAACAATGGTTCAGCCAAAGACCCCTTTTTTGCGCTTCATCCAAGTAATTTAAAAGTCAGTAACCAGTGAAATCGTAGACTAATTCGCCTTTGTAAGCAGCTATATTTCATCGCCCACTAAGCTTGGACGGAAACGGCAATATACTGTAGTTGGTGAATTTTCTGATCTATCAAAGCCGTGATCCCCATTTTTTTTATTTTTTTCCTATTATTCCATAGATGATCGATTGTGATACTATAGAAAAAAAATAAGATAACAAATTTGATGGTTTATTGATGTCATAATAGAAAAATATCAAAAATGGAAGGACAAAAAAGAAGAAATATAAAAAAAAAAAATGATAAATAACACACTAAAGATATGGTAACTAAAGAGAAGGGAAAAATGAGTTTTTTCAAAAAAAAAAAAAAAAAAAAAAAAAAAAAAGAATGAGCATTAATAATACTATTGAAACTAAGAAAAGTTCTTTCGGTACAAATAAAAAAAAAAAGAAAGGAACGTACTTACGGTTTATTCGTCCAAGGGATTTCCGGATGCTTTCGGTGGGTCATCACGCTGTTGATAATAATCTTATATTCATGGGTGAAGACTGATGGGCGAGATCCAAACATAGCTAAAAAAAAAAAGATCGGATATTGTGAGAAGCATTCACATCTCGATGCCAAAGAGTACAGCACGTTTGACAGCATACCACACTATGCAACTTTGATGTAATATCGGTCTCATCCAAATATAAATTTTGAAAACCATGAGATCCACATTTTGAACAAACTTGATATGATCATTGTTCATCCATATCTACAACGAGAAGAAAATTCTGTCTTTGTGCTTGCGTGATCATCTTTCGGAATGTCTTGGCGAGTCCATGTTGTTTATTTTGGAATAGAATCCTGCCAGACGCTGGATATGGTCGTCGTTTTTCATTTCTTCGTCTTGACACAACATCTTCAATCAAAAAAAAAAAAAAAAAAGAATAGATGCGTTAATGTTGTTTGTTCTTTTTTTCTTCATCTTCACCTTACATTGTTTTTGATGTTGATCATGTTGAAGGTTGGATGTACACTATTTGCCGTAGTTGATGTGTGTATCCATCATAGAAAAAATCCAAAATGTCGCATGATTTCTGCCCCTTTTCTTGAATGATAAATTTCCATATGTTCTTCGATAAATAGGACTTCTGCGTGTATTTCCGTAAGATGAGTTTGCTTCACATGTCCATAATCAATTCCAGAAAAATCAGCATATTCGTCAAGAAGTTCAATCATCCTGAATGATATTTATCAAAGTATTGTTCTGTTCTTCAAATCATCAAATCGAGTATCAACAGGTTGTTCTTCCAAATCGGTTACATCCACAAGTCCATCAAAAAGCGATCTTTGGTAGCACAAAATACAATGATGATTCAGACATTTTGAATTTCGTGTTAGGTTCTGATGCTGCAAGACATTGGCGAGCTTCGGAACCGAGTATCAGAGGAATAGAGTATTCTGATCAAAGGCAATTCCCTCATTAATCGTTCTTGTCAATCCACAGACTAGCTTGTGTCTTTGTCGGAATACATCCGTTGTCGAAGTACTTGCCATTGTTGTCAATATAAAACGACTAACAGAAGGATTCAAAGAAGGGCCATATTCAATAGTGAGATTGTTTGTGGCATCATAGACAAAGTGAACAACCTGAGAGTGTCTACAGAAAAAAAAAAGGAAAAAAAGAAAAAAGAAAGAAAAAACGAAAAAAGAAAAAAAGAAAAAGCAAAAAAAAAGGTGAGAAAGTGCCCTACTTTTTTAAAGACATGAAGAGGGTACTTACTGAGACCAAGTGAGTCAAACATGCTTGGATGTAGATATATTCGAATTCTTCTACAATAGAGTTGATCATAGTTGACGTGTACAAAATAAATATATATATATATAGTATATCGAAGTTGACATGAATTCTGTTATGTAACAAAGCAGTTGTAATAAAAACTTTATTGAATAAAAGTACAAACATTACTGACTACTAATATACTATACTAATAAGTCAATAGAAAGAAAAGAGTTGTATATTTTTTTTTTTTTAAAAAAAAAAAAAAAAAAAAAAAAAAAAAAAGGAAGAAAGAAAGAAAGAAAAAAAAAAAACGGTGACCTACACGTTACCCAGATTTCACAGCTTGGCCCATTTTCAAAAAGTTGACCCAATCAGATTTTTATATGACCCATTTCCATTTTGGTGATCCAATGATCCTTGTCGACTACTGTATATAAGTAAATCAATCAGCCTTTGCCTCCATCTTGTCTTCATTCACAATAGTTGTTGTCACAGTAGATCCATTCATAGATTTGCCCCAATAGAGATAAACTTGCATAACCAAGACACCATTGAGTAAACTTGCCAATACATTCCCAGCCAACATCAGAGGATCATCCAATTCTGTCATGGTTGTAAACACACGTGCAGTTGTTCCTGCAAAATAATTCAGCACGGCAAAGACTGAAAGTTGACCAGTAGATTGATTTTCATAATTGGTATAAATTTGAGGAAGTTTGCTGGCCAATGTCATGGGAATCGTGATAGCATATAGACTTGATAATAACCAATCAGGTATCCAACTAGGTACTAACAGAACACAAAATACGCCAATAAATGCCGCTGCATTACAATTCAGTGTCCATAATATCGAAGAAGAAGAAGAAGTCGGTCGCCTGCCATACCAAAAGATCATGAGAGTGATGAGTACATTTTGACTAGCAATAAATACCACTTCACCATAAGTACTGAAAGGATTGGCCTGTCGTAAATTGTAAGCCAAGATGATAATGTAAGCATAAGTTTCCAGATAATAAGATGCGAGTGAAAGTCCCTTGGCTGACCTTTTGGAGATGATCGTGACCATTTGAGGTACCTTAATAATAGCACTACCAAACACAATACCAAACCCAAGCACTTTGGACAGTGCATATTTCAAACAAAGAGTATCTGTAATGTTGAAATCCTCCACTAAAGACACATAACATGTTTCCCCAATCAAAGTTGCTAAAGGATCGCGTAAAAGCGGTGGTAGAAGATTTTTACGTTCGAAGAATCCAGGATATGGGATAGGTGCAGACAATGACAAGTGGAAACATGTAGAAATAAAGAGAAATATTTCCACAAGCATTGAGTGGGATGATAGAAGAGAAAGAAAAGGTTGGACTGAATAATCGAAATGAGAATGGAGAAGAGAGAGAAAAAGAAAGAAAAAAAAAAAAAAAAAAAAAAAGACCCATTCTTTCTGCGGAGTTGCTTATCCTTTATTTATTAACGTTCTTAAAATCATCCATCATCACAAAAATATAATAACACAAAAAAATGAAGCTTTTGCTCCATTCTTTTCCCTTTATTCAACCAATATATATATATATTATAGATAGCTATAAAGATTTAAAAAAAAAAAAAACTAAACTACAATGGAAGAAAAGAAATCAAAAGAAAACCAAAATCAAAGAGGAATTTATTTCTTGCCAGCCTTGGTAGCAGCCTTGGTAACCTTACCAGCCTTGTCAACCTTTTCAACAGCCTTGATGACACCAACAGCAACGGTTTGACGCATATCACGGACAGCGAAACGACCAAGAGGAGGATAATCAGTATAAGCTTCAACACACATGGGCTTGGAAGGAATCATCTTGACGATAGCAGAGTCACCAGACTTGACGAACTTGGGAGCATCTTCGAGCTTCTTACCGGAACGACGATCAATCTTTTCCAACAATTCAGCGAACTTACAAGCAATGTGAGCAGTGTGACAATCCAAGACAGGAGCGTAACCAGCACCGATTTGACCAGGATGGTTAAGGACAATGACTTGAGCAGTGAAAGAGGCAGATTCCTTGGCAGGATCGTTCTTGGAGTCGGAACAGACGTTACCACGACGGATATCCTTGACAGAGACGTTCTTGACGTTGAAACCAACGTTGTCACCAGGAAGACCTTCAGCCAATTGTTCGTGATGCATTTCAACAGACTTGACTTCAGTGGTCACGTTAGCAGGAGCGAAGGTGACGACCATACCAGCCTTGATGATACCAGTTTCGACACGACCAACGGGGACAGTACCAATACCACCAATCTTGTACACATCTTGAAGAGGAAGACGGAGAGGCTTGTCGGAAGGACGAGTAGGGGGATCAATGGCATCAATAGCATCCAAAAGAGTCTTACCAGACTTTTCACCAGCCTTGGTTTCCTTCTTCCATCCCTTATACCAGGGCATGTTGGTAGATTCGTCCAACATGTTGTCACCGTGCCAGCCAGAAATGGGGACGAAGGGGACAGACTTGGGGTTGAAACCGATCTTCTTGATGAAACCAGAAACTTCCTTGATGATTTCGTTGAAACGAGCTTCAGACCACTTGGTAGAATCCATCTTGTTAATAGCAACAATCAATTGACGGACACCGAGAGTGAAAGCCAACAAAGCGTGTTCACGGGTTTGACCATCCTTGGAGATACCAGCCTATGAATAAATAAATAAAAAATAAAATAAAATAAATAAATATATTCATTCTCTTTTTTTTTTTTTTTTTTTTTTTTACTTACTTCGAATTCACCAGTACCAGCAGCAATGATAAGAATACCACAATCAGCTTGAGAAGTACCAGTAATCATGTTCTTGATGAAATCACGATGGCCAGGAGCGTCAATGACAGTAACATGGTACTTGGGAGTTTCGAACTTCCAGAGAGCAATATCAATAGTGATACCACGTTCACGTTCAGCCTTAAGCTTGTCCAAAACCCAGGCGTACTTGAAGGAACCCTTACCAAGTTCAGCAGCTTCCTTTTCGAACTTTTCAATGGTACGCTTGTCAATACCACCGCACTTGTAGATCAAGTGACCAGTAGTAGTAGATTTACCCTAAATAATAAAACACAAAAAAAAAAAGTGGTAAGTTATTATATATATATCTTTTTAAGAATATATAAAATATAAACTTACAGAATCGACGTGACCAATGACAACGACGTTAACGTGAGTCTTTTCTTTACCCATGGCTATATAAAATAAATAAAAAGAATAAGTTTATTTATCATTTTTCTTTTTTTTTGTTTTGTGCAAAACATCTTACCTGTAGATTTGTAGTTTAAAAAAAGAAGGAGGAAAAAAAAAAAGAAAGAGAAAAAACAAAAAAAAAAAATGGGGAAGAATGTTTCATTACGGTAGAAAAAAAAAACAAGCCACCAAGTTCCACCATCCAATCAAAAAGTCCATGCCATTGACGGGCTTCAAGAAATTGAGACCTTACCAAAAAAAGAAAATGATTTTTTTTTTTATATCAGAATGAGTTCAATAATAAAAAGTGATAATCATCATACCTTGCATAATAAAAAGTTTCTCCATATGTACTACATAACGATGAGCTATGATAAAATCATCATCATCATAAATAATAATAAGAATATGAACCATGATGAAATGATGACCAATTCTTTCTAATCATTCAGAGTCATGCTATCCAAACCAGCTAACATATAGACGTGTAAACAGCAATCAAATCACATAAACTCACTTCTCCTGTACCCTCTCCAACATAATCCATGTGATCATTCCAAATAATTAAAGAAATTTGCCCATTTCGAATCAAGAACTCAATATATAAAAAAACAAGGTGGTAAAAAAAAAATCTTTATTGATATATGAAAAAATAGAAATAAAATAGAATCCGCTGTACAAAGTTGAAGAAGGAGGAATAAAAACCAATAGTAAATAATCATAAGAGAGAGAGAAAGAGAGAAGAATGACTATATAAACATGATGAAATGCAGACTATCTACCCGCCCATAATAATCCCCACTCTTTCAACAAAAGGATATCCATCCAATTCATCATCTTGACCTTGTATCGACTAGTTGCTTTTGTCCAATAATAATGATCGCGGTAATGGAATCTGATTATCTGTGATTGTTGTTGGTGAACTATGAGTAGAAGGATCCGAATGGTCTAGTAATAGCACAGAGTCACATTTTGTTGTCGTTGTCATTACTGCTTTATCATCTGTCTTGATATTGTCCCCTTTATCATGCTTTTTTGATGATACTATCGTCGTTGGTGTTAATTTTTGGTCGTCCAAGGTAAAGTGCGATTGTTTGGAGGGTATCGTAAGCGATACGAATGTCGCGTCACTATCATACATCTTGTCGTTGCAAAAAGTTAGATCACTTATTTTTGGTGTAAAATGGTTTTTGTTGTTATTCATTCTAGATTCATCATGTCCTGTTTCCGCAGTAGTCAGTGGTGATCTTTGATTATTGGTTCTATTGTTAACAGATTGTTGCATTCCAATTGTAGTATTGTCGTCCCTTTTGATAGCACCTAGATGATCATCCACACTACCAAATTGCTGTGTCTCCATACCAATTGATGATTTGATGTTCCTATCGTTGTCCGATGTGGCAATCGAATTATTTTCTAATATTGCCGTTGATGCTTGTGGAATACTGATAGCCTTTGATTGTGTCTCTTCTATGATATCCAAAGACTTGTTGTTATTATTTATCATCATGTTCTGCACAGTTTCTTGTGGAGCCTCCGTCATCATTATTTTCGTATTGCTCATATTAGATGTTGTTTCCGCCACTGGAAGAATAATTTCAGATGTATCAGATGGTGAGTTGGTCGTGAATGCAGAATTGTCGGTGGTAGAGGTCATTGTTTGTCCAATTGTCGATGTCGTTGGTATTGATTCTTTGCTGTTCGTGTTGCTGGCAGTGGCATCGATGGCAGTCTCCATTTTGGATAATAGATGTGTCTTCCAAGTATTTAGTACATGAAAGCATCGGTCCTGAAGTCCATAGGTATCATTCTTTTCAAATTGATAATCGCATCCATATCGTACCACTTTGCCTATTTTTGTTTCCTTTAGACAAGTAATAAGTAACCCTCATCTTGCTTTCTCTTTTTTTTTTTTTTTTTTTTTTTTTTACCTTCAATAATTCCTTGGTCATGTTGACTTGCTCCAGAGAATTGAGAATATCATATATTTTTGGATAATCACTTGAAGGTATTTCACCCTAACGATAAAAATCAAGTTTAATCAATGTAATCCTTTTTGTTTTCTTTTTTTTTTTTTTTTTATCTCTTCTTACAGGTTTCTTTTCATATATCAGTTTCTGAAGTTTGTGGCGAGTGAGATAAAGTCTTTTGAAAATTCGTTCATATTCTGGTGATCTTCGAGCTGCTGCTTCAAGAGATCTAGATGTGTGTGTAGGGCGCGTCTGTTTGGAGGAGGAACCAGTTGTTGGTATTGAGTTATTGTTGGTCATTGTCGGAGAAGCTTTTGTCTGCATATGTCAAATGAAACCAAAAAAAAAAAAAAAGAAATAGTTGAATCCAATCAAGTCAAACAATAATAACATATATTTTTTTTTCTGCTTACATTTCTTTTTTTGTTACTTGTTAATCCAGATTTTGTTTGTTTCAAGTCGACATCATCATTTTCAAAAGACCTTTTCTTGATCACTTTTCCCTTTTTTGTTGCTTTCCCTTTCTTTTGTTTCGTGATGGTAGACTGAGATTGTTCTAAGGGTTGTTCATCGTCATTGTTGATGGTTTCAGGCATATGTCGTTGTCTACTTTTATTATTTTTCAGGTTATTGATAATCATATCATTGTCTTGTTCCGATTCCCTTAAAGACTCCAAGTAGGTTGGATCCAATGCCTGTTGAAGACCTTCTAGTAACGCCTTGTTCTTGACTTTGCCTAAGAGTATATCTTGTTTCACCTTGTCTTTATCAAATGGTCTAAGCAAATTCTCTGAAAAAAAAGCACTATGTATTAAAAAAAAAAAGCAGAATTAGAAAGATGATGATATCAGGACATTTGTAGGATCAAATAGAAATACGCGATCGCAATTCACATTCTTCGTCCTCTCTCCTCTCGCCCCACAGAGAACAAAAAAAAAAAAAGTCCCTGAGCAACATATATATATATATATATCTTCAACTACATTGACCCAAGTTCTTTTTTTTTGTTTTTGTACTTACTAATCCAAAGATCCAAAGAAGAACACGGTATAATAATTTTGAGGTATGTTCTTTTTTGATTTGGCCTTGACGACATCTTTTGGGACTTGGTTGTCATCTTGAATCTATTCAAAAAGAAGAAGGTAATATGATTAGCATCCTACAGGAAATATATATATATATGAAAAAGGAAGCATACATACAATGGCTGGCCACCATGGGAAACCTTTCAATTTGGCAAATACTATTTTTCCTGGAGGGTATAGACTTTGTTCGGGCTTGCCTTTTTTTGGTGGCATGATAGGCACAAAAATAAAAGACAATGTTCGTAGGACTATATATGCTTATAATAACTGTGTGTGTTTTTATATATATGTGTGTTTGTGTGTTTGCTTGAGGAATAGTGAAAAAAAAGAAAAAAGAAAAAGACAAAAAAGAAAAAAGAAAAAAAAAAGACGTGCAGAAATCAACGAGGAGAAATAAAAAAAAAAAGTATTCCCATGCGCTACTGTGTTTAAAAAGACACAACATGATATAATTTATTGACGATTTCAAATATAAAGGATAAACGACGAGAATAACCTAAAACACCCAATAAACTCATCATAACAAAACTAAAAAGTACTTTAGGATTCAATGTGGCCAAGATATATTTTCGTTGTTGTCGTACTATAGAAGTTAATAGCCATCGATCATGACTGCTAAAATGAGAACCACTGAGCCATTTCAAACTTGTCCTTGTTCCCACTATCGAATTTGTACCTTTCCTTGACCATATTGATTCTTGTTGTTGTTGTCCTAAACCATCCAGAATTTGATGATGTTGTACTAGTTTGCGATCATCATCCAATAATAATACTAAATGCCTTGACCTGTTGTTGGTGGTATCATTGATAGTGGTAAATTGTTGATCGAAAAAGCCATATCTATTTAATCGATGCAAATAGAGCTGATATGTAGTTAAGTGAGTCCCCAATGTCCAATTTTCCAATCGGATTGGTGATAATTGAATAAAAAGATCGATCAATGGATATAAATGAGTTTCCAATGGTATGAGTGATTGATTGAATCTTTTTAAAGAGCGAGAATGATCATCATCTGTTGTCCGTGATACTAATTGAGACCATACATCGTGAGTGGGTGGTAACGGTTTAAATCCTAATAAAGTGCCTTCTATAAGAATAATAGAGTATGTCTTGATATGTATCCAATGTTTGAGAGTTTCCAATATATCCAATATTGACTTTTTTGTTGTTGGGTGTTGATGATGTTGATCTAATGATAAAACAGTTGTTGATAAACCGTATTCTTGTTCGAGAACATGTGCTAAAGTATAACATAAAGAAGTTTTCCCTATCTTTTGAATTCCTGAAACTGCTACTACTAATGGATGATCGAGTTCTTTTGTATGGTCAAGTATATGTTGTAGTGAAACTTTTACTTGTGGTAAGAGTTGATATGTTGACATGGTTGTAATAGAAAAAAAAAAAAAAAAAAAAAAAAAAGAAAGAAAGAAAAAAAAAAGACAGAGAGTTTATTACCCCAAGCGGGGGATTTTTTTTTTTTTAGGATGCGGCATGTGCAAATTTGTGTAACTATATCTTTTTTTTTTTTTGTCAGATCAATATTATCCTTTCAAAAAGTAGAATTCTACTATAAATCAAGTTTTAACAATGACAGGTAAATTATACTCGTATTAGTTTTAAATAATCTTTTAAAAATCTAATAGATAATGATATTGATGATGATATTAATGATGATGATGATACATCAAACTAACTGATTTCGTAATAGTAAATATTCTATTTTAGTCAAATCCTCGAACAATGAAAAAAAATAAAAAAACGATCATCCAAGTTATCACTGATTACTTTTCCAAAAAAGAATAAATTGAATTGTTTTTTTATTTGTTTTGAACCTGAATTCAGAAAAAGTATAGTATTGAAGATTGAAGTTTTATTTGATATATATATATAAAGAGGGAGAGAGAGAAAAGGAATGTGAATGACGGGTTGGGTAAATAATAAATAAAAGATAAAATAATATTGTATGATGTATAAAAGAGAAGGATGAATAAGAGAGATCTCAAGAAGATCAAAAGAAAAAGAAAAAGGAAGGATTCTATTTTTTGACAAGAAAAATAAAAAAAAAATCAAAGCCTCCAGGGCAAATTGGATAAATATGGATTTGTTGTATGTTTGGAGTAGTGAGAGATATTTTTTTTTGTACTAAGAAGTAAACTATTATATAATAATAAAGTTAGTGAATAGGTATCAATATGTATCGTCATTATTATCATCACTTACGTAATTGGACGGTACAATTCCTATAGTTTGATCTTGTTTCCTTGCTTGCCACCAATTTCCTCGTCGATCAAGAATTTCTAGGACTTCACCTTTATAAAATGACAATTCATTTGGATCATCAGGATTGGCCGTATCTATAAAAATAATAAAAAGGTTAATTAGTTATCTAAAAAAAAAATTAAGATATAAATTTAATGACCATTACATGGATGAAGAGCTATAGCATTATTTGCAGGATCATATGTAGTTGTTGTTTGAGGAATATAAGCTTGTTGTTGTTGCTGTTGTTGCTGTTGTTGGACAGAACAATCCATTGGAGCAAAACCACTGTGAATAGAATCATGTTGAGACATTGAATATTGAGTAGGAGTGGATAAAGGCATTGCACCTTCATTATCGTAATATTTGGCAGAAGCTGGTGTTGCTGATGATGATGATGGAAGACCATAGACAGCACTATGAAACCATGATTCAGGTGTACTTCCAAAGACGATGACCCAGAAAAACTATATATATAATAAATAAAATATAGTTTAGAATCAATCACAAGAAAATTATTTTTGTTTATTTTTACCTGCATAGTAATGATCATGATACCACCAGCAGCAGATGCTTTGGCACTACCCATACCAACATGTAAGTGTGAATCAATTGTTTGAATTAATAATGTGATACTGATAGCTAAACAGGTTAAAATCTAATAACAATAATAATAATAATAATAATAATAATATATGTATGAATAAGAATAATAATCATCATTCATTTTTAAATAATTTACAAGTAATCGATAATCAGGAAAGGCAGATTTCATGAGTACGTAGAAAATACCAAGTATTAATCCTAATTCATAAATAATAATCCACCACACAACACCTTTGAATCCAGAAATGCATGTACCGATAAAGAGTATAAACCAACCAACCTAAATGTATATAAAAAAAAAAGTAAAATATGTTAAGTTACACAGTAACCATTTGAAATATAAAAAAAGGGGGGGGAAGCAATGTTAAGGAGATTCATAGTTAATAGGGAGAATCACCAAAAATAGAAAAGAAGATAATGGATAAAACACACAAACATATAATTCACCTAACTTACAGCAACAATAATAGCAGAACTAAATACTATAGGATTCCTAGTAACGTGTGTAATATTTAACGACATTTATTATTATATATGAGAGATTGATTGAATAAAAGGAATGTAAATGGGAAAAAAAAAAAAAAAGAGTGGAAAGGGTAATTGAAAAAAAAAAATTGAATTCAAGAAAGAGAGTGAAAGAAATACAAAATATAAAAAAAAAAAGTTCTTTCTTTTTGAAAGGAGACCACCTTTTTCGACCTCCCATTTTCTCTCTCTCTCTTTTTTTTCCTGGTAAAAGATACGTTCATGGTGTAACTGCTGTTACCATTCTTTGAACACAAAAAAAAAAAAAAAAAAACTTTAATACTTACGGAGATAGTCACCCTTTTTCTTCTTCTTTATTGGTTCATATCAGTCAATAATGATTGATTGAACATCTCCTCAATTTCTTTTATTTTAGTTTAATTTACAAGGAGTTAATAAAGAAAAAGATCGATTCATCCTTTTTGTTGTTTTCATTTTAATGAATAAGAATATCATCATATCCCCTTAAATCATTTTTTTTCCCACTTTTCGGTTTTTGTTTTAAAAAACTAGAACATTGATCATTTTGTGAATCATCATCGATATTAGTTTTAGTAAAAATCGAAAATGGTAAGTATGGATTACATTGGTTGATAACATTTAGTTGATTTGGTGTTTTGGCCTACTAATTCTGTCGTAAGCGGAGAAGAAAATCTTCTGTCGCGAAAAAAAAAAATATATAGAATAAAAAAAAAACGCGTTCGGGTGTTCCCCTTTTTGTTCCTTTTTTTTCACTTATTAGAAAAATTGCTTTTTTTTTTTATTATTATTATCATTATTATTCTATTGTAGTCTTTTACATGCTTTCATCTTCTACATCACTAGTAGGAACAACAACAACAACAACGACAACATCAGTTACAAAAAAGTCTTCTACCACCACGACCACCGATGGACGAGGCAACAAAAAACGAAGTTTTGACATGTACAATGATAATAATTCAACTACCCGTATAAGCAATAGATATCCCCGATTTCATCATTCTTCTACTTGGAGTACTTATGAAACTTTACAGTTTAGATCTTTATATGGAAACCAGTATTTTGGACGCAAGATTCATGGTAAAATAAACAAACAAATAAAACAAATATATATATATATATATATATATATTGAAATGATATATTGTTCTTGTTACTAGTTTCTGGTCGATCCATCTTGCAACGATTCCAATGTTATGAAGATCAAATCTATTATTTTTATTTCCCTGATTATACCTCATGTACACCTTTTGTATGTGATTATGCCCATTGTAAGTTGAAATAACAACAAAGATAGACAAAAGCAATGTTTAATTGTGTTATTTTTTTTTTTTTTAGCTGCGAATGATGGAAACTTATTGGCTGTACCTGATGAAGAAGGTCGTATCTCTATTATTAGAACAGATAAATCCAATGATATCTCACAAGGTAAAAGGATATGACTTTTACTTTTGTTTATTCAGACTTATTCTAAACTTTTTCATTTCCAGGTCAATATCATTGCTCATTCTATTGTCATGCAAATGCAGTAGTGGATGTTAAATGGAGTCGTGATGATACCATGTTATTAACATCTGCAGCTGATAGTAAATCAAGGATCATGGATGTAGAAACACAACAATGTCTTGGTACTTTTATTGGTCATAGGGCTATTTTAAGATCTGGCAATTGGCATCCTACCAATCCACGTAAATGTCTAATTCTATTACTATACTTCTTTTGTATTGATGAATGATCTATTACTTTTTTTTAGACTTACTTGTTACTGCTTGTACTGATGGCTCTTTCCAGATTTGGGATACAAGATATCGACAACTAGGAATTAGTAATGATGGTAAACAAACGGATATGATGAAATGAAATGAATTTGAAAAAAGTTGTTAGAAACTTTTTTTTTTATTTATTCGATATAGATAAATTTATGAATGACGAACAAATCAACGGATTAGATTTAGGTAGTTATCCTATGTATGGACCAATCAAGGCAGTTCCAGATGCACATGTTGAACCCAATTCAATCATCAAAAAGAAACGACCTGTGAAAACCATTACAGTAATTATTAAAAAAAAAGAGGGTGGAAATACCTTAGCATCTTACTTATTTTCTTTATTCTTTAATGAATCATAGGCTGGTCGAACAGTAACATGTGCATTATTTTATCCAAATGAAGAAGAAAAAGTCATCACCTCTGGAAGTTTTGATGGGTAAGTTCAAAATGAAATAAAATGAATCTAAACTCTATATATTTTTATTCTTAGTGCTATCAAACTCTGGGATTGTCGCGCTGGTCGTTCTCCCTCCACTTTGCAAGCTACTCATTTTCAACAAAATGGACGAAGAAAAGGAATTTCTGATATGAAGATCGATCATTCTGAAACTCGATTGTTTAGTGTGTGTATGGATAGCAGGTAATGTTTTTTTAAAAAAAAAAATGTGATACAGTTGTATCTAAACGTTGAGAAACCTTCTTTTTATATATTTATATTTATATTTAGTATCTATATGCATTATCTTTTGGATTTAACGGAACCAGCACGAAGATATACTGATCCAAGTTACAACTCATCCTGCTTCACCATCAAGTTATCTGTCTCACATGATGATCAATTCCTATTGGCTGGTTCTAACAACTCCAACAATGTCTATGCTTGGGATGTAGATGGGGATCCAACAGTTGCTCATGCATTTGAAGGTCATACGGATACTGTCAGTGGTGTTGCTTGGCATAAATCGAACAATTATCAGGTAAATGGATATAAAATGAGAAAAAAAAAAAGGTTGCAATGAAATGGAAATTGTAGTTATAGGTGACTGACTGACTGTTACTTTTTTTTCCTTTTTTGATTGGAAATTCTAGTTTGCATCTTGTAGTGATGATTTCAAGGTTAGAATATGGAAAATATGATAGATAGTGGTAGTAAAATATGCGCTATTTTTTTTTTTATTATTTTTATTTTTTATTTGTGTAATAGTTTGTAAATACAGTGTTTTCAAAGTTTTTTTTGTCAGGTCACAAGAAAATAGTTTCGTGATATTATAAAATAAAATATTGGTCTTCTCCAAAATAGATGTCGCATTACCCACTTTTTCAGATATCGCTCTAAAGTACGTCAAAACACATTGATTGATGATTGATGATGATATAGTATATTAATCATTCTCTTCTTTTTTTTTTTTTTTTCTTTTTGAAATCTCCTTTGGTGTTTCCTATTCAAAGTGAATAATCCACTTGTAACAGCAACATATTAAGATATGTTATCACCTCTTCATGAGGATGTATTTAATACAGGTAAGATAAAATAAATATATAAAAAAAAAAACGGATATGTTGACTAGATATATATCTATATATATTTCTGTTATTCAAAATCTCTTATACTCAATGGAACTACTACCACTCCTTTTCTTCTTTTTCTTCTTCTTGTATTCAATTTGGATTATGCGTTCAACTCTTTATCTTTTTTTTCTTCTATCATCTATTTTCTATTTATTTCCTATTTTTGCGACATCTTATTTTTGAATTCCGTTTATTTTTTATTGAATAAAGTGTAGATCATATTCCCCTCTCCACATGTTATAAAGATAAAATACTTGTCTTCCTTTCAACAAAAATCGATATGATGATGATCCTATAATGATGGTGGTGATGTTGTTGTTGTTGTACCCATCATCATTAAATTTAGATAATACATCAATCTCATTTTATCCATATGCTTTATCTATAATCATATTAATTTTTTAATTCAATCAAACACCTTTATTGCATTCCGTACCCAAAAAAAAAAAAAAAAAAAAGGTAGAGAGAATATAGATCATCAAACATATACAAACGGTATTTATTGGTTGGTCGTTTATATGAATATGTGTAGAAAAATAGATAACCTAAACAAAGGAAGAATCCATAATATATAATAAGGTAATAAAAATAATTTGTTTGTTATTTTGAGAAAGGGGAATTTATATATGTATAAAAGGAGAGGGGACAGGCACACTAGATATCCTAAACTATATATATAGACTAAAAAAGAAAAATAGAGTAGGGATAGATAGATCTTCGTTGTATTCAGGATTTAACATCATTTTTTGTTTTCTTGTTGTTAATCGCACACCTAAAGATCCAATAAAAAGGGAATCAGTTACTATTTTTTTTTTTTTTTTGGGTGATCCATCTATTTCTACTCACATCCAAATCCTAGTCTTGTAGATCTTGAACATTTCTCGTACAAGCTCTCTAAAGTCAATTCGTTTTTCGGCACTAAAATAAAATGTCAATTTGCGTCGATCCCTATATAATACAATAGAATTAAAAAAAAATAAAGGAAGTTTTAGTAGGTCAAATATAATATATATATGTTTTGTTGCGTTTTTATTTACCATTGATATTCGGCATCCATCACCTCCATTTGTAATTTTCGTTGTTTGACCTTTTGTTGACAAATCACCAAAGCTCGTTGTTCATCTTGACTTTTAACCAAAAGCATATTGATTTCATCAGGAGTTGCTAGTCGATGAATTCGTTTGACATACATCTCTTCCGTTGATTGTTCAGGTCTTGTTGCTGAAGAGTTTTTGATGGATGATGGTTGTTCACTATTCGTTGGAGATGATAGAGAATTGGAGGCAGAAGAAGATGGGGATGATGGTATGCTGTTGTGTTGTTTGGGTGATTCATCTGAAGTCTCATCCATATCATTTTTGGCAACGACTCTATCATCTTGTTGTTGAGTTTGAAGTACTTGTTCACATGTCAGAGCTACTTGAGCCACCTTTCCTAAATCTTTTCCACGATCCGCTTCCACAATCACCAAATCGCCTACCATAGGTTGTAAAAATCCATTTCCACCACTAGTGATATTGGATAGATCAGTGGTTGGTGCAATGTAATAGTAGTCGATTCGTCCAGATTTGAATTCCACCATGTATAACGGTCCTTGAGGCGGTAACTTGTTCAATGGTACACCTTTTCCGTTTTCATGAAGTAAACGAGGGTCGATATAACCAATTGGTTTACTGTCCTTTGCATCGTAACAATTTGATCTTGTTTCATTATCCATCATTACGTTATCATTGGTGGGATTTGTAATCAAATTGGATGGTGTAGATGTTGTTGTTGTTGTTGTTATCGCTGTTGATGTTGGTGATTCATATATTTCAATGGATGTTTGTTGCTGATATGATGGATGTTGATTTGTTGTAGCATGAATAGCCGATGATTGCTGTGATATGACAGAATGTTGTTCCATTTCTATCTGCTGTTGTTGTTGTTGTTGTTGTTGTTGTTGTTGTTGTTGTTGCTCTTGTCTCGGTTGATAATGGACTTGAGAAGGATGTTGATAATAACCAGAGGATGTTTTTTGCTGTGATGACATGGCTGATGATGATGTTGTTGGTGGTGGTGGTGGTGGCGGTCCATAATGAAATATCATGCCTGAATTATCCTGAACCTGCTGATATGGATGCATGGGAAACTGAGGGATTAAAGAGTGACCAGTTGATATGACAGATGGAGTAGGAGGAGGAAGCGATTGTGATGACTGGTGATAAATAACAGGATGAGAAGGGTAATGTTGTTGTCCAATTTCAGCAAATTGTTGTTGACTCTGAAGATGATCATGTGAGCGTATATAGGTAGGAGTCGACATTGTTGAATAAGGTAAAGGTGATGGAGGTTCAGATTGTAAATGCATATTTTCCATTTGGTTGTTAAGATCACGTACTCCTGCCAAATAACCATGTTGAAGAGGAGCGCGTGTTTGCTCATTGCTGAATGATTGTCGTCTGGGATGATTCACTAGAGGATAGCTTTTGAAAATATATAAATATATAAGTAAAGAGAAATAAAATCCAACATCAAGGTTTCACAATAACACATGATTTTTTTTTTTCATCTACTTACCTACTGTTCTTCTCAGGAAAGGAATAATCTACACTGTGACTCAGTCTTTGTTGGAAGGAAATATCGTATTGTTGATCGCGTTCTTGGTTGTACAATGGTGAAGATAGCAGATGAGATGTTGTTGGTGCATTTGAAGAAATAGGCTGAGTATGATCCATTGCTAAAGATGTATTATTGCTGTTGTGGTTGTTGTGGTTGTTTTTGATATCATTACTTTCATTCCATAAACTAGCTAGTGAAAACCTTCGATGTTGTGAATCATGCCAATGTTGTTGAGATGGATGATAAGACGATAAGTAGTGATGGCGATGTTGTTGATTTGTAGAAGTTCTGGAAAAAGTATTTCCTAAAGATCCTGAAGAAAGATATCCAAATGTTGCACCAGATGATTGAGATCTCATACGAGACGATGATGATGGTGGAGGTGGTGAATTGGCTAATGTATCGAATGACATTTGTTGTTGGTTGAAATTACCGTCCAGTAATGTTGGATCCAAGTAAGAAAAAAGTCCACGACAATCCGGTCCGATTTCATCTTCTTCCGCCATTGTTTCAAGAGAGGATTTATAACCTTGTCGGTTATTGTTATTTTCGGGAATGTCATCATCATAATCACCATAACCAAAAGAAGAAGGATCTTGACCCATAGAGAATGATAGACTTCGTTGTTGTCGATACATAGGTTCCAAAGGTACACCAGGAAGCATAGGCACAGATAAGACACTATTGGTACTAGTAGATGAAGTGATTCCCATCATATCAGGAAAGGATAAATTGGTTTCAACTTCAGGTGTATTGGTTGGAGAGGCATCCCATTGGAAACCGGCAAATGAATCCCAGTATGATTGCTTGGAGAAATTGTAAGGAGTATCAGATGATAAGGATGCACGTCTAGGGAAAGATTGGGTCATATGGTTTCCGTTTCCGCTGCCGAATTTTGGTGTAATAAGCAAATGCTGTTTGTCGCTGTGAGTCGTATTTGATGGTGGTGAAGGAGGAAGTTCGGTCCGTAGCTTGTGATTGAAATCGTCGTTAAGAGTTGTATGCGTAGAATAAGATACTGAATATGGTTGTCGTGTTGAAGTTGTTGGCTCTTGATAGAAACTTGTGTCCTAGGAAGAAACAAGAAAGAAGAAAAAAAAAAAAAAGATAAATATATTGTTTTGATTTTTAATGCCGCCATCTTTTTTTAAAGTTACCTCCTACCAAATATGGATCAGTGAGAAGAGTTTTAGAAAAACCAACAACATTATGGCGTGAGTAAAAAAAAAAAAAAAAAAAAAAAAAAAAGAAAGAAAAAAAAAAAACGGTGAGTAGGTTCACGTATTGCTTTATATTCTAAATAGTTACTTTTATCATGTCCTCTTATTATTATTTGATATAAGTCTAGTATGAGTAAAGCTAATAATATTGAGAGGTAACTGACCTTATCATAACGAAGAAAGAAAGAAAGAAAAAAAAAAAAGATAAGTTAGTCTTCCTTTTTTTATGTTATTAGAGTTACTTACAATCAGCTATTCAGAAGAAACTATACCCGAGTTTCAGCAAAAGCTTTTTTTTTATAGTAACCTGAATATTCAAGGAATTGAGATTGTATATAAAACTTAGTATATAAAACTAACAAAAAGTAAAGAAAGTTTGTTAATAAAAAAGGAAATATAAAAAAGGGGAGAAAAAGAGAGAAAGAAAGGAAAAAAAAAAGTAGAGAGAATCGGGAAGAAAGACACTGAAAATAAATATCAAACAATTTTGTTCTATATGTAGACAAAATAATAAAAAAAAAATTTATTGATCAACACCCATTCCATTCATCAAATCTTTACACTGATCTAATTGTCTAAAGTTGCGTTCAATCTGTCGAATCACTTTTTTCTTTCTATTTCTAATATCTAAAATAGCTGCTTGTTCTAACGCACTTGGTTCTTGTTGTCCTTGACCTTCTATATCTTCACCTAAAATAGCAGACTTGGGTCGTATCGCGTCCAAACGTTCCAGTAACCGTAGTAGTAACTCATTACATTCTGCTAAAATAAAATCGCGCCTTTTCCATTCCTTATCATCAGTTGTTGTATCTATTGACGTGGTATGCTGTGCTGTTTGTAATAAGACACGGGTCAATCCTTCAATATCGTTATGTATCGTTTGTCTATCCAGTTGAATTTGGTGAATAAGTCTTAGTACTTGCCTTTCTGCTTGTTTCGTTTGTTTCCTTCGTTTGACTCGACGATCTTGTTCAATAAGATGATAAGTGGCAAAAGCTGTACTGGCCACTAACGTAAGACCTACTGTGATATATATCCAAAAAGTGTTTGTCCTTGAATTCTGTTGTTGTGATGCTTGCAAAAGACTTGACATTGACAAAAAAAAAAAAAAAAAAAAAAAAAAAAAAAAAAAAGGAACTACCTGAACAGAAAGAAGTGAAAGAAAGGAAAGAAGAAGAAAAAAAAAAAAAGGAAGAAAGAAATGAAGCTAAAATTGATCTGTTTTCGATTTCCGAATTGTAGATTTCAAATAGGTTTTTTTATTATATTTATACAAAAGAAAAATCCAACGGATTAATTAAATAAATGATATATACTACTATTGTCAAAAAAAAAAAATCAATCTAATCAAATGGCTACGGTTTCACGTAATGTATGTTGTTCTTGAGTTGCACTAGCAAAACCAGCCATTGCCCAGGTATAAGCCATAAATGTTGCAGCATTCGATGGGAATGCTCGGACAATTGTGGGAGATAAACCTCTAAAGAATACACGCCATCCTTCTTCTTTATAACATTGTTTGAAACAATCCAAAGTACTTTTATATCGATGAGGTTCAGATTGAATTCTTGTTTTTACCACATCTATAAAGAGTAAAGATCATCATGTTATATAACGTCTTATATTATTTGTTTTCGTTTTACCTGCTGCATATGTAGAGCACCACGCACCAATACCTGCTACTCCACCAGCCATAATCACCTTCATTGGATTTTGATCATCTTGTTCTTGAGAGCCAGATGATAAGACTTGATGAATAGAAGCATATACCAAAAAATAAGGACCAAAGCTAAGTTCTCTTAGAGCTGTTGACGTCAAACCTGTGAAACACATACGAATCCCCCCAGTGGTATAAAGTTTGATCAAACAATCTATTGGCCCTTTGATGGTATTAGTTGTTTGATTTTGAAGTTGAACCTTGGCTAATTCCATAGGGCATGTGACAAGACTAATATGAAATGATTAAAAAAAAAAAAAAAGAGAAATTACTATCATGATCATTTTCTGTAATTTTTGAATAACCTTACCTTGTAATAAGACCAGCTCCTAATCCAGCAAAAAAAGTATCCCTCAAAGGAGGAGTAGAAGGAGGTGATGTATCTAATTGATCCATTTGTATTCGTTGTTTAGCTTGTAATGTCATAAAATAACTGTGTGATCCGAATACGAGTGCATTGACACCAGCAACACCAGCCTAACAACAATCAATACAAAAAAAAAAAAAAGAAAGTTCATTTTAGTATATAAATCAAATCAAAATAGAAAAATACAGAATACAATCATACTCATGATTGTTTTTTGATATATTGTATTTTTGACTTACAGCTGGAGATGCCTAATGAATAATATTTTTTTTCAAAAAAAAAAAAATACAAATGATTAGTTAAATATTATGATGATTGAATATTCTACTAGTACTAACTTACCATTCCTTTGTAAAGCCCTGAAAACTAGAAGAAAAAGAGGAATGATTAGTTTTAATGCATAAACTAAGTAAGTAATAGTAATACCTTTTCTTGTCGTATAATTGTAATGAAACAATGCCACGTTCCTTTATATTTTGAAGCCAGTTCACGGGATTGTAAGCGTACTTTCACTATTGTGGTCATCAAATGTGAGTTAAATAAATCAATATGAAAGTGGTTGTATATTACCAGTATCTACATATTTTAAATCAAAAATTAATAATATATAAAAAGATGAATCAATAAAAACAAAGTGATTTATGTCGATTGTGTGACCTTACCAAAAGGATGCCCCACGATCAATCCTGCCAGACCTAAAAAATAACAATAACAATAATAATAACAAAGAATGAATATTACTTATATTCTCTTTTTTTTTTTTAAATATTTCTCTTACCTCCTACTAAACCAGAGAAGAAACTAGGGATAGTTTGTGTTTGTAAGTGTTCAGCAGCTATAGTAGTTATTAAATATCGTTATATATAAAAAAAAATAAGTACAGTGAAGTATAAACATAAAATAAATGGTAGTATTTACGTATTTCGTCAATATCCAACATTGTAACTAGATTTAAAGAAAAAAAAAAAAAAAGAAAGAAAGAAAGAAAAAAAAAAGGAAAAGAAAGAGAGAATAAGGAAAAAAAAAAGTCAGATAAAGATAGAAAAAAAAAAAAACTAGACATCAGGGCGTCAAATTGAATTCCCACGGGTTATCAACTTATGCGTAATAATTTACTTAACTCTAATACAATTTATTCCATTTCAATTCTCTCTTTTTTTTTTATTTATTATTATTATGATTATATTGTTCTTTTTTTATAATTTATATTTGTATTATAATCTTCTTTTTATTTTCTCTTTTTATGTATATTATACTGTGATTAGCGGAGTGAAAGCAAAGTAAGTCAAAGGAAGGTCATGTGCATTCCCCAAAATGGCAACCATTCCATGAATTTTCTCAGGATCTCCTTTTGAGGTACCTTGGGGGTGTGAATTAAATGCTCCAATCAGCAACCAATCGCCCATTCAATTGATTAATTTTTTTCTTTTTTTTTTTTTTTTTTTTTTTTTGTTAAGCCTCTACATTATTTCTTTTTCTCTTTTTTCCTCTAAAAACATTTTGGTCTGATAATCTGACCATGGTAAATGATTATTATGACCGGAACAAAGACGATAATGAAACAGCTTTACCAAATCCACCTACTGAAGAAGAAATAATGGCTTCTTTTGGGTACAAGCAAGTATGTTTTATTTTATTTTATTTTATTTTATTTTTTTTAATGGAAGACTTCTCACCTTATTATCTTTTATAACTTCAGGAAATGAACAAGACAATGTCTACCATTAGTAATTTCTCCATTGCCTTTGGTTGTTGTTCCATCCTATCTGGTCTTACGCCTGTAAAAATATAAAACAATGTAATAATACTTTGTAGATAGGAAAAAACTCACATACTTTTATATATATATATATTATTGTAATTAGATGTGGGGTGATATCATGTTGATGGGTGGTTCCGTTGCTGTTATTTGGGGTTGGATACTTGTTTCTATCTTTACTTTTGGTGTTGGTTTATCACTAGCCGAAATCTGTTCTGCTTATCCCGTGACTGGAGGATTGTATATATGGGTGTCGCGTTTGGCTCCTCCGGAATGGGTTCCATTGGCGTGTTGGGTTACCGGTTATTGTAATTGGCTTGGATTGACAGTTGCTATCACTTCTGCTGATTTGGGTTTAGCTCAATTTCTAGCATCTGTTATCAGTATTCACAATCCAGAATACAATGTTGATATTTATTGGCAATATGGAATCTTTTTAGTCATTTGTTTTGTTCATGGTCTGATCAATTCTATTAGTGTCAAATATAATGGATTCTTCAATCAAACCTCTCTCTACTGGCATATCATTGGTACTTTACTGATTATCATTGTTGCTTTGATATTGACACCAAATAAAGCAAGTGCGAAATGGGTGGTAAGATGAATCATTTTTTTTTAAAAAAAAAAAAAGCTCATTTTATTCTCATTTTATTATTTTATAGTTTACCTTTTTTGAAAATGACACTGGTTTCTCTTCAAATGGGTATGCTTTTTTACTTGGTTTGTTACAATCACAATATACTCTCTCAGGCTTCGATAGTGCGGCTCAAATGTCTGAAGAAACGGTGAACGCTTCCAAGAATGCACCAAAGGGAATTCTTTATGCCATAGGAACTGCTGCCATCACTGGATTTGCTTTTATGGTCTCTGTCAACTTTTGTGTTCAAGATTTTCAGCAACAAATTGTAAATACAACCACAAGTCCTCAAATGACTCAAGTATTCTTGGATGGTGTTGGTTATTCTTGGACAATTGTATTCACCGTAATTATTATGGGTGCCATGTTTTTCAGCGGTTCTGCTTTGACTCTTGGTTCTTCTAGGATGGTTTTTGCTTTTGCTCGTGATGGAGCTACCCCTTTTAGTGATTACCTCTCTCGAATCAATCCTATTACGAAAACACCTATCTATGCAGTTTGGGCAAATATTATCTTCGCTATGGTCATCGGATTACTGGTATTAAAAAAAAAAAAAAAAAAAAAAAGGAAGGAAGCAACATAAAATTTACTTCTTTTTTATTTTCCTATTATTTTTAGTATATCGTCAATACAACTGCTTTCAATGCTATTGTATCTGTCAACACAATCGCATCATCCTTAGCCTACTTGATTCCAATTGCCTTACGACTGACAGTAGCTCGATCAACATTCAAACGAGGACCTTTTCACATGGGTAGTCTATCTAACATTATCAATTTCATTAGTTGTTGTTGGATCATCTTCACTTCCATCTTATTCGTTTGTCCAACTGAATATCCAGTTACAGCTTTAAATATGAATTATTCAAGTGTCATCTTTGTCTTTGTCATTGGTACCTCTGTCCTTTATTATCACTTCCGTGCAAAATCTTGGTTCCATGGTCCTGGCAATAGTATCGAATTACCAGCAGATGCTTACGAGTCCGAAACATATATAGTAGGTGATCAGTCGAAATCTCCAAGAGACTATGATAGTAGTGGGTTGACTGATCCAAGTCAATCATCATTATCCTTGAATGTATCCTATTCCATTGGTCATATTGTAGACGATCACGGTAAAAATAATAATAAAAAAAAAAAAGAGATATCTACTGGTACAAATTTATCATGCTTACTATTTTTTTCTTTTAGATCATTCCAACTTGCGGCCAAGAACTACCCATCAATAGAATTTCCTTTAAGATTATTATTATTATCATTATTTTTATTACTGTATTTTATCTACATCATTATCATCTCCTACTTTTTTTTTTTTTACTATTTGTGTATATCCCCCCTCTCTCTCTCTCTTCTTTTATATACTGTATGCTTTGATCTTTCATTCTCCCTCCTCTACTCATTTTTTTGTTTGCATTATTTATCTATTTGTATATATACCTGAATTATCGTGATGTGTATTTTTTTTTCCCTTCAATAAATATCATTTTTGTTAGAACGCAAATGGTTTGATTACTTGATAGATAACAGATGATGAAACGATTAGATGATGATTGATAATTGGTTCTTGGAAAAAAAATTATAAAATGATTCAAGTCACGGTATTACTATGATGATTATTGAAGGGGTACACTTTATTCAATAATAAATAAACGGATTCAAAAGTAAGATGTCGTAAAAATAGGAAATAAAATATAGGAGAGAAAATAGATGAAAAGAAGGAAAAAAAATGTTAATCGCATAATCAAATAGAGAATATATGAAGAAGAAAAAGAGTGATAGTAGTTCCATTGAGTATAAGAGATTTTTGAATAATAGAAAAAAATATATATATCTTTAGTCAACATATCCATTTTTTTTTTATTTATATTTATTTTAACTTGCCTGTATTAAAGTACATCCTCCTAAGAGGTGATAACATATTTCTATATGTTGCTGTTACAGTTTGATTATTCACTTTGAATTGGAAACACCAAAGGAGATTTCAAAAAGAAAAAAAAAAAGAAGAGAATGATTAATATACTATATCATCATCAATCATCAATCAATGTGTTTTGACGTACTTTAGAGCGATATCTGAAAAAGTGGGTAATGCAACATCCATTTTGGAGAAAACCAATATTTTATTTTACAATATCACGAAACTATTTTCTTGTGACCTGACAAAAAACGTTGAAAACACTGTAAAAACAACAATAGTGATTACGGTGGTTAGTACAAAAAAGAATCAATATGCTTTATTAAAAATAATAATAATAATAAGATATAACATTTTCTGTAATACAGTAAAAATCACTAGCTTCGATATGATCATCAATTAAAAAAAAAAAGCATCACTATTAAAGCCAAATGAGAGAAAGAGAGAAGTCAATCAAAAACCGGAAGAAAGCTATCAAAAGATACAGCCGTAAATCCATTCAATTTGTTGCGTATCTATCCAGTTTGATCATGTTTGTAAAATCCTGTGTATTTCTCCTGCTACCTATCCATCCAGTTTATCCAGTCGCATAGTCATCTAATTGTATTCTATCTACAAGAATATGTATAGGAATAAGAAAGTAAGTCAAGCAAACATCGATGTATATTAATTACAAGAAAGAGAGTAAAAGATAAAGAAGAGTAAAAAAAAGAAAAAAAAGAAAAAGAAAAAGAAAAAGAAAAAAAAAAGAGTTGCACTTACCAAAAAAATAAATCATGGTGTCAAAGGATGGCATTGATACATAGAAATATCATTGTCTTTCCAATATAGAGCTTGAGAGAGTAAGAAAAAAGAAAAAGATTATAAAAAAAAAAATAGATTAGCATTTTGCGTGGATATGAATTGATATGACTCTACCTTTTTCAAAATATAATATAAATAACAATAAAAGAAAGGTATTGAATACTATCCTATTGAAAAAAAGAAGCACCAAGAATATGAATCAAAAAAAGAATGATTTAAAAGGAAAAAAAAAAAAAAAAAGAATATAAAAAAGATAAATGAATATTCATAAAAATATATAAAAAAGAAAAGTTAGATTAGTAATAAAATAAATAAGTATTTAATTCATTATTTATGTATAAAATAATAATGAATATAATAATAATAATAATAATGTAAAAATAAAGTATAATGTAAAAAACTAAAGAAATGAGGATAAAAAAAATATAAAAATAAAAAAAAAGTGAATACATATGAATTCACTCTCTCATTTCTATATCCAATCATATTGCTCCATTTTTTTTTTTTTTTTTTTAGTCACTGTATTTTCAATTCCTTTCTTATGCTATAAATAATCATTCAAAATAAATAAAATTTTCAGAAAACATAAATAAAACTAAATCAATTCAAATCATGATGGTGATTTTTGTAAAAACCCAATCATCATTAAGAAATAAATAAAGAGATGAACTACTAAAAAAGGGAATCGGAGATCCACATTTGTGATGAGATTTATAATGATGATCTCGGTCTACGATACATATCAGCCTTGCTAGCTCAATCGGCAGAGCGTGAGACTCTTAATCTCAAGGTTGGGGGTTCGACCCCCCCGTAGGGCTTCTTTTTGTCGTTTTTCGCTATTAGTCGCAGTATGAAAATGTACCAATCAAGTTTGTTAAAGATTTTTTTTGTGGATGATTGTTTTATAAAATGATTGTTGGGTGATTTTTTGGTTTATAGGTTCAAAATTGAAAAAGTAATTCGGATGATTGAAAGAGAATAAGTTATTTAGTGAGTACCAGTACTTGATTACGCAAGCACACGTATAGTAATAGTAATAAAATAAAACAAAAAGTAAAGTAAAGAAAAATAAAGTCTTGTTCCAAATTTGGAAAGTAAAAGTAGAGTAATTTTTCTGACTTTTAATATAGAACAAAGTGAGCCAATCAAAAGTAATAATCCACAATACAATCAAGTAGGGATGAAAAGAAAAGATTTATTGTAAAAAATATAATATTTATTGACTAAAAAAAAAAAAGGAAAAGGATGGAGTATTTATACTATTTGGATTAAACAATAAAAATTATTAATGTACAAAATCTTGGATGTAAGATTTTGATAAAAATTTAAACAACGATGTTAAAAAAGACTAAGATTTTTTTTTTTTTTTTAAAAAAAATTCTTTTTTTTTTTTTTTTTCTTAACATCATACATCCCCAAGGGTCCACTTTTCTGATTTTTCTGATAAAGGCTGACACGTAGGCATTAGGTCTTTCAAAAGATGTTGTAAATAACATCTTCTTTCTTTCATATAATTCAGTCGCTTATATTTCCCCAATGGCTCTTCGAAATGGTCGTGAAGTAAGTTGATGACAAGTGGGAAGAGATTCTCCTTTTCTTCTTTCATTCATTTTTGTTGTTGTTCTTTCATTAGGGACATTTGATACAAGTATGAAGGGATCATCATTGACAACAACTGTTCGCTATCTTCAGTACTACAAGTAAACGGCGTTGTTGGTTGAAAGTAAGGGTTATTGTATACATTCTTGTTTTCAGTACACGCATCGGTATTGTTAGAAGGAAGCCCGTCCAGCAAGAAAAGGTCATTCAAACAGGTGGTATTGTTATTCATGGTGATTAATTGCTAATCCATTCCTTTTTTTTTTTTTTGAGGGAAATGGTGATCATGGATTATGATGTAGTATATGAAAATCAATGATGATCATTTCAAATAAAGATTTTTTTGATGATGAGTATTGATGATATTGATAGTGATGATTATTGAGGTACACGTCTCTTCTTTTTTTTTTTTTTTTTTTTTTTTTGTTTGACATAAGTGATTTTTTTGGTTTATAGGTTCAAAATAAGAAAAGTAAATGGGATGATTGAAAGATATTAAGTTAAATGGTGAGCACCAGTACTTGATTACGCAAGCACACGTATAAGAAAAGAGATAAAATAAAAAAGTAACGTAGAAGAATACAAGATCAATTCCATATTTGAAAGGTAAGAGTTTAATAAACTTGTTCTGACTTGATATAAAGAACAAAATGAGTCAATCAAAAGTAATAATCCATAAATACAATTGGGATGTAAAGAAGAGACGTTATTTAAAAAGATATAAAATATGTTGACCGAACTAAAAAAAAAAAAAAAAAAAAAAAAAAAAAAAAAAAAAAGGAAAAGAAGAAAAAGGATGGAGTATTTATACTAGTTATAAAATAAAGTTAAAAACAAAACGAAAATGAAAATGAGAATAAAAATAAAAATGAAAATATAAATAAAAAAATTCTTTTTTTTCGTTTTTCTTCTTTTCTTTTTTTTTTTCCTCAACAAAAGTAATTGGGATGATTGAAAGATAATAAGTTAAATAGTGAGCACCAGTACTTGATTACACAAGCACACGTATAAAAAAGGAGATAAAATAAAACAAAAAGTAAAGAAAAAAATAAAGTCTTGTTCCAAATTTGGAAGGTAGGAGTTTGATAAAATTGTTCCGTGTTGCTATAAGGAACAAAAGTGAGCCAATCAAAAGTAATAATCCACAAATACAATTGAGATGGGACGTCAAGAAGTTTTTATTTAAAAAAAATATAATATTTTTGAAAGACTGACTAAAAATGAGAAAAGAAAAAAAGGAAAAGTTGGGTTACTTATACTAAAAATACTATGATAAAAAAATATGGATATAAAGGGAATAGAAATATGGAGTTTTATTTTTTTTTTTTTTGGTTGTTTTCTTCTTTTTTTTTTTTTCTTCTCAACAGTAACTTGGGTGATGATTGATTAATAGAATAGATGGATGATAATATTAAAATAATAATATCTATGATGATCGATTTGTAAAAAGAGCAAAATAATATAAGATAAATTTAAATGTATTCCATATATGGAAATGAATGTCTTGATTATATGATCACTGATGACGATCAATAAAATAAAAGCTTGATTATTGCTTGAAAAGAATAAAATAATAATAAAACTTACGATGATTGATTCCTTAAGAGTGGCCAGGATGATTTGATTAAATCTTTTTAAAGTTTATTAAGAAAAAAAATTAAAGATCTGTTTGACCAAGTAAAAACTAGGCGCTATTAACAATAAAAAAATCCAAGTCAAACCGATAAAAAAAAAAAGATATAACTGGCGAGAATTGGTAAAATGAGAATATATATATATATATATATATATATCCAGAAAGTCAATGTAAATTTCATTGGCAACAATGGTGATTGTTTAATTTTGGAGAAGAAAAATCTATTAAAATATAACTAAAGAAAAATATAAATTATAAACACTAGTATAACAACTAACTATACAGCATCCTCCTTTTCATCATTATCATCAACAACAAGATGGATGCACTATTTCTACTAAGTTGGCGTAGCTGTCGTAGTAAATATGAATAGGAAATGTAGTAGCAAGATCGTAGTATAATATTTATGTCGCAACTAATAATGTGATCATAATCATTTTTTTAAGATAAAAAAAAAAAAGAATGTATGTCAGATAACATAACGCGGTCGTTATAAAGACAATCCTTACCTAACGTCAAAAAATATAGTAAAAAAGATAGAGAATTATCTCGTGAAAATAAAATACTGTATCATTATAGATTAATTGTTCATCAGGTTCCAACAAAAAAAGTTTTATTCTGATTAATCGGTATAAAAAAAGAAATCAAACGAGTGATAATAAAGTAAATAAACTACTAATAAACTATTCCCAATCACTATCACTATCATCATTATTATTATTGTTGTTGTTGTTATCATTGATTGATTGTTTCTTTCGTTCTTCTTCAGTTGATGTCTTGACCCAATCATCCGCATCTGTCTCTGATTTCAAAGGAGGTGATACAAGACTTGCTTCAGTTGATGGTGGTTCTGAGATGTTGCTAAAGTCAGTATCCGATTTGTTGGTATCATTATTTGTCTCATCCAATATCTGTGATGATGATGAACCTAAAACTGCCTTGTCCTTGTTCTTCTTTGTTGATGATGTGTTGTTATTTTGATCATTGGTTTGTGCTTTTTGGTAATTTGTATCTTCATCATCTGAATCCCATCTAAAATCATCCTCGTCATGTTCCGCACCTATATATATATATGTATATAAAAGAAAGAATTTATTATCAATATGGATGGTATTCAAACTATTACATTTATCATTACCTTTGACAATAAGTTGGCGGCGTTGTTCTTCTTGATCAATCTTCCAAGAATGATAGAAGTACCGTTGCCAAAATGTTGTATAATCCACCTTGAGTGGTACTAAAAAAATAAAATAAAATATCATCATTATCAAATAATATAGCCAAATAAAATACTGTATGTTTGTAATCACGTACCTAGATCATCCATGGTCTGTCGTAAATCAGGTGAATCATCCAGTAATCTTGCTATTTCCGAAGTATATTCTTGCACATTGAATCCAGAGTTGAAGGTTTCCAAGAGTTTAATTTGATCACTATCTTGATTCGCCATTAGAATATCCTTTGGATCTGCAAGTAAAATATCATGATCCGTTTGAAGTTTGGCAATGAGAGCTTCGGTACGATTGGCACTACAAAAAAAAAAAAAAAAAAAAGAAGGTTGAGATAAAAAAAAAAAAAACTATATTTCTTTTTGTTATTACAATATCCTTGGAGCATTTGTATTGGATTGACTAGTATTCTCTTCTTGTTGTGATTGTTGATTATCCTCTTGTACATCTGGTTCCAATACAGTAATAGTACGATTCAACACCTGAATAACTTCAGCACCAAACTTTTGCATATATAATTCCGCGAATCTTGTACCTTGATCCAATTCTTGTCGTAGTTCACCCAAGTTGATATTATCCGGAAGTTTGATCGATGTGAGTTGAGAAGGTAAAAAAGGTTGATTTTGTAATGTATCTGTGAGTCCTTCGCGGAGAGCTTTCAAGTTGACAGTGTTGATTTTTCCAAGTCCTTCTCGTAGTGAAGCAATAGATGATGCATAAATACTATTAGTATTGTTTGTATTATTTTCATTATCAACATCACGAGTAGATTGATGGGTTTCTACTGAAGTTGTTTCTTGTTGATTAGGTTCATCGTTATTGTTGTTGGTAATTGTTGCAGTAGAAGTGGTAGATTGAGAGAGTTGGTCTACAAGTTCATTTGAGTCTTCACGAAGAATATTAGCGAATTCTTGCAAATCCTTTTTAGTAACGTCCACAATGACTTCACTCTAAAAGATAGATATAAAAGGTTAGATAACAATATTGTTATATATATATGTTAATATATTTACCTGTTTTTTAACAGTATCCATCAAACTAGAGAAACGTTGACCCCAACCAAAATTTGTAAATGCCTGAATAAGAGGATCGTTCTGTTGATCATTTTCATTTATATTATTGTTGTTGTTGTTGTTGTTCACAGCTGAAGCAGTATATTGATAAATATCATCCATATTAGAATAAATTATTTACAAAATAGAAAGAAGAAAAAGGAAAAAAAGAAAAAAACCAAGGTAATGAGAAAAATAAAAGAGAAATAAGCGGTCCTTTAATAATGAAGTGTGTTTTTTTTTTGTCAATCAATAAGGATATAAAAAAAAAGTATAAAAGAATCAAGGGGTAGAAGGATATAATATAAAAAAAAAAACAATAACAGAGAATCACATATATTGGGGAATACTAAAAGATATATATATAAAAAAAAAATACTATACTACTTTCAATTTTTTGATTTTGGGTAAAAAAAAAAAAAACATGAAACAATGATATGTAGAGAATATCACATGCTTTCATTTATGAGATTCCGAATTATGAGCCACAGCAGCTTGTAAAAGAGCATTACAGGTTATTACTAACTTATCCATCACCAGTCTATGTAATTCATAATGACGATCCATTTCAATAGCCTTTGCCATTCCTTGTACAGCCATATTCCATGTTCTTTGACGAATTTGATAATTAGCATCCATCGCTTCAAGTCCAGCCAATGCGCATGATAACGAATAAGCCATGGCATCTAAAAACATATGCATACATATACATAAAAAAAAAGGAGAAAAAAAAAGTTAAACTACAAATGATCATTTGCACTCCCTTTTAGTTATCATTTACCAGGGATAGGACTTTTTTTGAATACATCAACACCAAATAAAGCAGCAGAGGTTACGATTTGTGTCAATCTTGATTTCAAACCAACATAGGATAAGGAAGTAAAGTCTTGATCATCATCAGCAATTTCTTGACAATCAGCAATAGCCATCATAGTTTCTTCAAAAGGTTGATCTAAATCCAATTGTTTACGATTTCTAAAGTCTGATAAACGATATTCCAATGCTAATTTCAATGTAGGATCTGATTCCACTAATAATAATAATAATAAAAGTTTAATATGTATAAAATAATAATAATAAAACTTACAAGGTAAAGAAGAAAGCATTCTATCAATACCCATAATATAAAGATCTTTTGCCATTTGATGATTTCCAGATTGATCCATTTCAGCAGCTATATGAAGTAAAGTCATAACTTGTTCAATTTGTTTTTTATCAATAGTAGATTGGGTAACAGAATTAGATAGAGTAATATCAGGTAAAAAATGAGAACCTTGACGCCATACATAATCAGATAATTGTGATAATTTGGATGTACCAACTACTTTTTCATAAGGAGGAGGAGGAATAGGAGTGAGAAAGGAATGAGTTTTTTCATTGGATTTCTTGATATCAGGTAATAAGGCAGAAGCCATATTAGTTAAAGGTGTACCAACAAGAGGAATCTTATCAGCATGAGAGATGAGGGAACCAAGACTAGTCATGGTAAAAATAAGGGGGAGGAAGGGGGGTATACAGGAACAATAAAGAAAAAAAAAATGGGAAAAGAAAGAGAAAAAAGAAAATGTTTAAACGCTGAGTATTTTTGAACATTAATTCCGTTCACGTGAATTAAGACAATGTATTGTTTCAAAATAAAAAAGTACCTGAATTGCAGAATGGATTTCCAATGGATTGGTTTTAGTAAGACAATGATTTGAACTCCATTTGTCCCACATATCATCATCATTTTTGTTACCTTAAAAACTTTTTCCTCAGCCTATGATCGGGTCATATGTTTTTTTTTTTTTTTGTCAATTGCTATAGTTTGATCCTTCAAAATCAAAGACAGTTCGCATGTACCACATTGTACAAAACAAAATGCAACACCTAAAGTTTAAAAAATTTCCCTCTTTTTTTTTCTTTTTTCTTTTTTCTTTTTTCTTTTTCTTTTTTTTTTTTTTTTTAAACGAAATAGAAAATAAAAAAAAAAAACAATCATGTCTAACACTGAATATGGAACTGTAAATACTCAAGATGAAGAAGCTCCTTTACTTCATACTCAAGTGGAACAAAGTCGTTGGGAATTCATCAAGGAAAAGTTGCATCTCCATGGTCATCGTGTATTGATTAGTTGGATTATTGTTCTTTCTGTTACTGCCGTACTTACTTTGAGTTTCCATTTTGCTTTGAAAGAACATCATCCTCCTGTTGAAGGTGATGATCTTTTGATTCAATGTGTATCCGATCGTAGCTGGTTTGTTGCTCTTCTCTTGTCTATCTTTGTTGGTCCATTTGGTAAGAAATAAATAAATAAAAATGGGGTGATGATTTTAATTGAATAATCATTCCTTTTTTTTTTATTTCTTTAGGTGTTGATCGATTCTATCTTGGTTATGTATTCTGGGGTATCATCAAATTGTTGACTGGTGGTGTCTTTGGTATCTTGTACGTTGTGGATATCATTTTGATTGCTTTGAATGTCTTGCCTGATCATTTTGGTTGTATCCTTCATTAGTGTAGTTTTATTTAAACAAAAATTGTATAATAAAGTATATATGAATGATTCTTTTTTTTTTTTTTATTATTATTATTATTGATTCAAAGTAAAATGTATATATCTAATAATAATCCGGTATAACTATCCTATACTATCTAAATAAATAAATATATATGTACCCAGGTCTAAACTATCGTCGTTTTGAATAAGGCCCAGTTCGTTCTTTTTCCTTCTTGAATTTGGTTTCCGCATTTCGATCCTTCCAAGTACTTTTTCGTAGTTTAATAGGCCGATTACCCACATATTTTCCTAATAGACAATGATGAGTTCCTTTTTTTTTTTTTTTTTATTTTATTTACCATTCATTTCGCGCCAAGCTTTAACAAAATCATTGGCATCCTTGAAACTTATGAATCCATAACCCCTAGACTTGCCAGTTCGTTTATCGCGCACCACACGAGCCTTGAGTGTTCCAGGATATTTCGCAAATGCCTTAAAAAGAAGTTCGTCCGTCACTTCATTTCCCAGGTCACCAGCAAATAATCGAAAATCATTTTCATCCCATTGTGCCAAGGATGGATCTTCCCAAGTTTCCCCAGCTGCATGTCGTAATATCGTCGTTTTCTTATGTTCCTTGTCACCTTTCTTTTTTGATTTTCCACCTGCTGGTGGTGCTGTCACTGTTGTTGTTGTAGGTGTTGACGGACTGCCTCCTAATGCATCTGTCCTTGAGTATCCCGCTGTGCTGTGTTCTGGTATATCTTCTCCATAATACTGATAATAAGCTAATTTCTTCCTTTGTGCTGCTGTTAGTCCATCCTTTGGTACAGTTGTCGTTTCTTCCCCAGTTGTTTCTTCTGATGGTAATGATCCAAATGTATGACTATACCTTGCTGTTGTACTGCCTTCACCATAATCGCCAGTTTGGTAGTAATCTGTTTGCTCATAGTAATTAGGATCATTGTAGTATTGTGAATAATCATAATCGTACCCTTGATAATATCCATCATATCCTTGCTGGTATCCTTCATAACCTTGTTGTTGATATCCTTCGTAACCTTGATAACTGCCATCGCCAGTTGGATAATAGCTGTTATATTGGTATTGTGCCGAGTCATAATTATTGCTCTTTTCTGATGGTTGTTCCGATGATCCAGTTTTGTGGTTTTGAATGTCACTCATTTTCTGTCAATATATCAATGTCGCAAAAAGGAATCTATTAAAAGGAAAGAGGAGCAAGAAAAAAAAAAAAAAGAAAAAGAGTTAAAAAAAAAGTGGCAGAAGAGAAAACAAAAAAAAATAGCCAATCTGGTGTCCACACATTTCAAATTCCGCATCTGCTCACTTACAAGATGATAGCGTAATGGATGATCGAATATGTTAAAGCCCTCCCTTTCATGTGAGATTCCAATCACATCAAGTAGAATACTTTCCCCCATCGAGAGAAATCAAATACCTGGTCACCGTCAAATCCAATGATTAATAGTTTTTTCTTTGTGGATTGCTCTTATTTTCTTCTTTTCTGCGAATGATTAGAGGCTTCTTTGCATCAGTGTCCGAATATATTTGCGATGATATATTTTTTTTTTATCACGGAAATGGATTATGGGAAAAAGGGTTTGATGGATGATTATCGCCACTTCTCATAACCTTCCTACCCCAAAAAAAAAGAAGTTACAATCTACACCTTTCCAAAAAAAAAAAATAATCCCGTTTGATTCAATCCATGGATTCACTTGGATTGCTCCCTTATTTACTCCATCAATAACATCACATGTCATCCTTTTTGCATTGATTCATCTATTCATTGATTCATTACTACTATCTTCAAAAAAGAGGGAATTTTAAAAAAAAGAATGAAGGAAAACAAAGAAAATGTTATCCATTTCCAGTTGATTTAGTATAAGAGGGATGATCCTCATTTATCCTTTTTCCTTTTTAAGCTCATCTCTCTTTCTTTCTTTCTTTCTTTTTTTTTTTTTTTAAACCCTCAAATGCGAATTTCTCTCTCTCATCCTTTTTACTAATATTTTTTTTTTTATCGATGCTACCAAGAAGTAACAAAAACAAGTAAGTAACAATTGCTATTATAAGATAACTATTTTCATCATCTAATATGAAATCATCATCATCATGTTAGGTTTCATCAAAAGTGGGTCAATTTCTGTGGTTATTTGGTGTCTCTATACTTTTTATTCAGGGCAAGAAGTTTTTTTTATCTATCGTGTCTGCCTGTCTGTTTTCCTTTTCTCCCGTCCTCCTTGTGTTGTCATTATCGTTTATATTGATGTGCGTTGGATCTAAGCTACCATCATACAAAAGAGCATTAGTTTAACAAGCGCCTGCCAACCAATACCAAGTCTCCGATCATCATGTTAGAACAGCAGTCTTTTCTTTTTCCTCTTTGCTTTATCGCCTTGATCGTAGTTAAAACGGTCATAGTTACATGTTGTGAGTAATCCTTTTTTTTTAATGATGATGATGTATTAACTGATATATATTTTTATTTATTTTCTAGATATGTTATCCCCTTGGTGTTCCAATTTGATTTTCCCCACACTCTCAATTTTATTTTCCCTCACTCCAAATTTTATTTTTTCTTTGTCTATATATTTTCTTTTTACTTTTTTGTCTCAATTTAAAGTGAATAAACTGTAATAAAAAAAAAAAAAAAAAAAAGAAAGAAAGTAATGATTCGTTTATATTTGTCTTTGTTGAATTGATGTTATAGTTTATGGTCATCTTTTCAATTTTTAAATTATATACAAAATGCTCATAAAAAAGTGCCGCTTTCCTCAAGCGAGCTATTCATTGGCTAAAAACTTTCCAGTGCAACTTTCAAAGGCAGGAAACAGCTCCTTTTTTTTTTTATTTCTCTTTCCTTTTCTTTTCTTCTCACCTTCTTTTTTTTTTTTTTTTTTTCAAATGTTACCATGTGTGGCAGTCAATCACAAACAATAACTTCTGATCCGATTTACGACAATACACTTATTGAAGAGTTTGATGACGACTGGTATGACTCTCTCTGTGATGCGCATTGTCACTTACATGATGATCAGCAACTTGTCAATGATATCCCAATAGTACGTACTGGTCATTTGACTTTGATGGGTGTACGATTGGACGATTGGACTTGTGTGGAGGAAGTGACGGCAGCATGCAACAATAAGAAGAAACAAAAGGCAGTTCCATGTTTTGGCATTCATCCTTGGTATACCTATCGACTAGAGACAGAGGATAAGAAGAGAACAGATGATCATTATCAAAGCATTCTAGAAGGACCTGATGATACTGAAAAACAAGAACTCATCTCACATTTGCCACCACCCACACCTTTTGAAGAATGGTATCATCAACTCAAACAACATTTATTACGGCATCCTACGGCTTTATTAGGCGAAGTTGGACTGGATAGGGCGGCACGATTACTCCCCAAAGGCGCGATTGAATGGCACGGTGTCAAACCAACGAACGTTATCTGTCATATTGATCATCAATACGCTATTTTGCAACAACAAATACAGTTAGCTGTGGATCTGGATCGAGCAGTTAGTATTCATTGTGTACAAAGCCAAGGACATCTATTGAAATTACTACAATGGACCGGACGGTATATCAAACAAGGAAGCAAATCAACAGAATTACGTGTATGTTTACATTCATTTGGCGGAAAAGCAGCAAGTTTGAATCAATTTTTAAAATTACCTCACATCGTTGTCTATGTTTCTTTTTCTATAGCCATCAATGCAAGATTGGGGTGGTCCAAGCTCTCTCAACTTATTCAAACTATCCCTGACGATCATTTACTCATTGAATCTGATTATAATACCCCTCAAGGTGTGGATCAAGCTATGGTGCATATAGCTTCTTTGGTTGCACGTGCAAAAAATTGGTCTCTCCATGATACTGTGCTTCGAACTGAACGGAACTGGCTCCGATTTACTGGTTTGGATGTATATAATAAATGATGTAGTTAGAATAAATTAGACTAGTGTTTATCGTATTTAATTGAATATTGATATCTCCTTTTTTTTCCAATATTGATGATGATGATTTGATTTTATTATTTGTAAATAAATAAATAAGAAAAAAAATTGTATGAAAGAGACATGTTGACAATATGGTTGATAAAAAAATATGTAATTTTATTAAAATGAATAATAATAAGGAGGGCGAGAAAGGAGATATAAAAATAAATAAATAAATATAAACAAGGAAATGATGTCAATAGATCAAAGATGTACCTAAACGAAATAATAAGAAATTATATAATAAAAATGTGTATATGTATATATTTGTAACTATGTATTTCCATCTATTCCTAACTATATCTTCAAGTCTTCTACAGCTACTATAGTGGATGCAACGGAATCCAATTGTTTTTCATTACCGGATTTGCTGCTGGATGGTGGCGATTGAGGAGGTGTGGTGATATCAAGAGCAAGTTGAGATTCAGGTTTGATGGGTGTTGTCGTAGATGATGATAATGGCGTAGGAGAAGGAGAAGTGATCGTCGTGCCACTCCTATCAGATGAACGCCGTTTCTTGTCTCCAGCATCGATCAATGGTTTTGCTTGTTCACGGTAGGATAACTTTTCGCTGAATATACGTTTTTCAGTTTCTTTTGGTTTGTAATGTATATTGTCCTTGGAACCTACTCTTGATTTCACTATAAATTTAATAATAAAAAGTAAATGTTCATCAGTTCATATTCATTCAATCAGTAATGTCACTCCCTCTTTTTTTTTTTTTTTATTAGCATTTCCTTTTTTGTACCTGAGGCGTAATGTGGAATAGGTTTGCTAATGATAGTCTTTTTATTTTCAGATTGGATTGATTTCTTACGTCGTTGTTCCTTGTCACCAGCATCAATCAAAGGTTTTGCTTGTTCCCTATAAGTGAGTTTTTCGTTGAATATCTGTTTTTCAGTTTCTTTTGGTTTGTAATGGATATTATCCTTGGATCCCACTTTTGATTTCACTACAAGTTTGATGATAATAAGGTTGACCACAATTAGATCGTTTTCGTTTTCTCCTTTTTTATAAATATTTCCTTTTTCTTTTTTTTTATACCTGAGGCGTAACGTGGTTTGGGATGATTGATGATGATCTTTTTGGGTTCAGATGGGATTGATTTTTTGCTTGATTTTTCCTTGTCACCAGCATCAATCAAAGGTTTTGCTTGTTCGCGGTAGGATAACTTTTCACTAAATATGCGGTTTTCAGTTTGTTTTGGTTTGAAGTGGATGTTGTCCAGAGATCCCACTTTTGATGTCACTACACATTGGATTATAAAGTGTAAATATCAATATCAACATCTAACCAATACTAATTTTTTTTTGTTCATTTTGGAATACCTGAGGAATAGCGTTGTTTGAGTGCAGATACACTTGTTGCTCCAGGTTGTGATAGGGATAATCTCTTTGCAGAACTACCTTGTGAGCCAGTAGGAGAACGTAAACCCGTGGGAGAGCGCATACCTGTAGGAGAGTTTAAGCCTGAGAGAGGATTTGAGTTGGTAGGTGAAGAGACAAGTGACGAGGTGGAGGATACCGAATGTCTACTTGTTCTTGTTGAACTAGTATTGGAACTGGTAGTATTACTGTTGTTTGCACTTTTAGTAACTGATTGTGTTGTCGTAGTTAAACCAGTAGATCGCTGTGGTTTTTTGCTGGCGCAAGAAGAGATTGGCATGTTGAGAGTTGAGAATGCGTGTAAAACAAGTAAAGACGTAAGAGAGAGAGAGAGAGAAATAGAGAAAGTAAGAGTTGGAGAAGAAAAAAAAATAAATAAAAAAAAAAAAAAAGAAAAGAAAAGGAGAAAGAAAGAATTAAAAAAAAAAAGAATTTTATATTCAAATTGGGTTGTTTTTATTGTGAGTTTTCGTAGCAGTGGGACAAAAAAAAATAATAATCAAAGGGAAAATTTGTACAACAAAAACTTAATATGATAACAATAAACTAACTACGCACGGCACATATCTATCCATGATTACCTAGTTTTTCAGTTACAAAGATCCTATTGTTCTTCTTCTTCTTCGGTGGTATCAAAGACACCCTTGGATCGTTGTTTTGCCTTGCTACGATCACGTTGATAGTATTCAGCCAATACCTTTTGAGGGATACGATTCAACAATTCCTTGGGGAAGATACGGAGTAAGGACCATGCCAAATCCAAAGAATCATAAATAGTTCGAGATTCATAAGCACCTTGAGCAATAAACGTTTTTTCAAACTTTTCCAAGAATTCCAATGACAGTTTGTCTTCTTGATTCAAAGCTTCTTCACCCACCACAGCTTTCATAGCAGCAGCATCACGACCAATGGCATATTTGGCATACTAAAAAAAAAAAAAAAAAAAAAGGATGAGACAAGATGATTTTCATATATTTATAACAACAAATAAGTGCCTCCTTTTTTTTTTTTTTGACTTACCAATTGATTTGAAACATCACCATGATCCTTTCTTGTCATACCTTCACCAATGGCAGACTTCATCAAACGAGACAAAGATGGGAGAACATTGATAGGTGGATAGATTTGTCGATTGTAAAGTTGACGATCAACAAAGATTTGTCCTTCAGTGATATAACCAGTTAAATCTGGGATTGGATGGGTAATATCTATTCAAATGATAAAGGTAAGTTTTTCATAAGAAATTATAATATATATATATATATATTACCATCGTTGGGCATAGTCAAAATGGGGATTTGAGTAATAGAACCATTGCGACCTTCCACACGACCAGCACGTTCATAAATGGTAGATAAATCAGTATACATATAACCAGGATAACCACGACGACCAGGAACTTCTTCACGAGCAGCAGATACTTCACGCAAGGCATCAGCATATGAACTCATATCGGTCAAGATCACCAAAACATGTTTTTCCAATTGATAAGCGTAGTATTCAGCGGTTGTCAAGGCCAAGCGAGGGGTAATGATACGTTCAATACTAAAATATAATTAAATAAAGGAAATTATCAATAAATAATAATAAATAAAAGATAACTAATAATGTTACTTACGTTGGATCATTAGCCAAATTCAAGAAAAGAGTCACACGTTCCATAGATCCATTTTCTTCAAAGTCTTGTTTGAAGAATCGAGCAGTTTCCATATTAACACCCATAGCACCAAACACAATAGAGAAATTGTCTTCATGACCATCATGAACATCCTTGGTAGGAGCAAGTTTTTGAACAAGACCTGCTTGACGGCAAATTTGAGCAGCAATCTATAAAGTAGTAACTAATTAATCATATCTTTCTTTTATTATTTTTATCGTTATCATTTTTTTTTTTTTTTACTTCATTGTGAGGTAAACCAGCAGCAGAGAAAATGGGAATTTTTTGACCACGAGCAATAGAGTTCATTGTATCGATAGCAGAGATACCAGTTTGAATCATTTCTTCAGGATAAATACGAGAGAAAGGGTTGATGGGAGAACCTAAGAAAAAAAAATAAAGATGAATTTTCCTAAGAGTATATCATTTCATTTCTACTTACCATTGACATCCAAATAATCATCAGCAAATACTTTAGGACCTTTATCAATAGGTTTTCCAGAACCATTGAATACTCGACCCAACATATCTTCAGATACAGGGATTTGTAGAGTATTACCAGTGAACTTGACATGAGTTTTTTTGGCATCAATACCAGGAGTTCCTTCAAATACCTAAACACAAATAGATTTTTGTCAATAACCTTTCTCCTATCCATTTATTATTATATTAATTACCTGTACAATAGCCTTGCTACCTTGAACTTCAAGTACTTGACCTGAACGAGTAGAACCATCGGGAAGAGTCAAGTCAACAATTTCAGAAAACTTGGGGAACTACATACAGATGTTTTTTTTCTTTTAGTATAAAAGACATCCTCTTTTTAAATGATATATTATTTCATCCTTTCCAACTTTTTTTTTTGTTACCTTCACGTTATCAAGAATAACAAGTGGACCATTGACACCAGTGACTGTACTATAGTCTAAAAGAATGAATAATATATAAAGGATGAAAGTGAGCGAAATGTTAATAATTCTTTCTCGTTTTACCTAGTCGTGGTTTAGCAACAAAGTCTCTTGTCACAGCAGATTTGTGTAATTCAAAAGCTTCACGAGCAGAAATTGGTTTTGCCATCAAAATATAATGTTAATAGAAAAGAAAAAAAAAAGGTATAATAACAAGAAAGATGAAGAAACGTAAAAAAAAAAAAAAAGAACGTAAAAACAACAAAAATTGAAACACAAAGGGATAACGCGGGTCTTGAAAACAAACGGAAATTCAACAAGTGCCTGCTTTCCATTCATACTGATGGAGATAAAAGATCATCATCAAGTTTCTCTAAACCAAAAGAAAATATCATCCAATTAGTATAATGCTTAATAGTTCAATTATCTAATCAATCTCCTTTCTAATAATATCCTCACGTTATTCAAACAAATCCTGTATTATCAACCTTTAATCCTTTTTTTTTGAAAGCATTTACCACTGCATAAAGAAGGTGATGGTTATGTTGGAATAATTTAATTATATCATAACATTACATCAATCATCCACTGTATTCAATGACTTCATTCCTTTTTTATTTTTATTTTGGCAACAATATCTAAATAGAATATAACTAAACTAAAAAGAGAAAAAGGAAAAAAAAATAAAGACATTAAAAAAAAAGCGAGAGAGAGGGAGAGAGAGAGAAAAAAAAAAGATAAATCAAAAGCAAAACAACTATATAAAATAAAGCTATCTAAGAGATGAATGTCTTTATCCAATTGCCCAACTTGTTTTATAACTTGTCATAGTATTTGTCCAAAGAAGGAATGCTTTCAGCCAAACCCTTTCTCTTACGTACGGCAGCGATGATGTCAGACACTAAAACACAAAAAATGAATTATATCAGTCATTAATAATAATATATTTTCACTTAATATATAATTACCTTTGTTTCCAGGTTCCATAGGATCACCAGTCATTTCTTGCCAATGATCAAACACGGCTTGAGGGAAGGCTTGACCAGCAGTAGCAGCACGAAGATCAGTAGTAAAACCAAACGATTCATTGATAGGAAGATGGGCTTTGATGTTCATTATAGGAGTACCAACACGTTGTTCTTCATTTATCACCACACCACGACGGCGATTCATCACACTATAGACACCACCAATGGCTGTTTCAGGACATTGCACTTCCACAAGGTATACAGGTTCTTGAATACCAGGGTTAGCTGTTAGTACAGAGGCATAGATCACACGACGACAAGTAGGAATGATTTGACCACCACCTCGATGAATGGCATCCGCATGTAAAGCAACGTCCAAAATGTTGAATCTACATCCACGTAAACTTTCTTCAGCCAAAGGTCCTTCCTTGGTAGCCCATTGGAATGCAGCAACACATGAATCCTTGATTTCATTTAGGTATTGGACAGCCTTGGTAGTATCCACCAACTAAACAAAAATCATATATCACAATAGTAATAATAATAATAATAATAATAACAATAATAGATTAGTCTCTTTGATATCCATTCTCTCTTTCCTTTTTTTATTGTACTCTTTTTTTTTTTTTTTTTTTTTTTTTTTTTTTTTTTTTTTTTTACCAAGTTTGCACCCATTGCTTCAGGACCAAAACACCAGACTTTTCGTGCTTCATTGACATCCCAACCATGCTTATCGGCCATTTCACGAGCACGAGTCTTGAAATCATCACGAGGACCAATTTCACCTTTTTCAATAGCCAAAGATAGTTCTTCATCCAAAGGAGCAGCACGCATAAAGATACGATTGTGTTTGTTAGGAGATTTGGATAGACATGTAATGGAGGATTCACTAGTAACAGTTTCACGGTATTGAACCACAGGATCACCTTTTTTCAGTTCTACTTGAGCATGATCTTCTTCCAAATCCTTGAGACAGATTTCTAAATGTAATTCACCAGCACCAGCCACGATATGTTCACCAGAGTCATTGGTAAATGTCAATACACAAGGATCAGATTTTGCCAAGCGTTTCAAACCTTCTACTAATTTAGGCAGGTCGTTGGCGTTCTTGACATCCACCGCCACTTGCACTACAGGAGAGACAGAGAACTTCATAACCTTCATGTTGTGTGCAACTTCAGACGTACTGATAGTACCAGATTTCACTAAGAATTGATCCACACCAACGAGACCAACAATATTACCAGCTGGACAGTCATCGATGGCTTCAATGTAACGACCCATCATCAAAACAGTACGTTGGATAGACTTGATAGCCAAATCGGTCTTGCCACCAGGTTGATAATTAGGACCCATGATGCGTACCTTGAGACCAGCACGAACAGTACCAGAGAATACACGACCAAACGCATAGAAACGACCTTTGTCAGAGGTAGGCACCATCTTGGAAACGTATAACATCAAAGGACCATTTGGATCACATTGACGAATACCAACAGCACATTCATCATCATGAGGACCTTCATACAAATTGGGTACACGGTAAGCTTGAGCAGTCACTGGGGAAGGTAGATGAATACAAATCATTTCCAAAAGGGCATCACCACAAGGTAAGAATTTTCGCATGACGACCTTGAGTAAAGGTTTTCCTTCCAAATCCTTTTCTTCGGGCCTAAGGACAACATTCAATTTTGATAAAAGAGTTTCAGTTTGTTCTTTCTTGAAGTTCATCACACTATCGAAAATCTTGTAAATAGGATCCAGAACAAACATGTTGAAGGCACGTTCTAGGGAATTTCCATCTGCATCCGTACTGTGGCTGGTCCATTTCTTGGTTTTTGGATTGAAGTAGTTTTCACCCCAAAGTTTGCCCATCATACGTTCTCTGTCAACACCAAACTTTTGTGAATATCGTACAGCAAATTGACGAAGAGTGAAACCCCAACCATGTAAACCAGAGGCAAAGGCAACAGTACCACGATCAGGATAAACTTGAACATCACCAAGAGCATCATCCAAATAGGTAGATATAATGACATTAACGGATTCAATAGTACGAGAAAAAGTCTATGTCATTAAAAAAAAAAAAGAGAGAATCAGAGACTAGTTTACATTCCTTTTTTTTTTTTTTTTTTTATAATAATTACATTATATAATTCTTCTTTGCCAAGTTGAAGTTCCAATAAGGCACGATCCATCTTGTTGATGACCAAAATAGGCTTTATACGTTCAGTTAAAGCTTGACGCAAGACAGTTTCGGTTTGTACACAAACACCTTCAATACAATCCACCACAACAAGGGCACCATCAGTGACACGAAGAGCAGCAGTGACTTCAGAAGAGAAATCAACGTGACCAGGAGAATCAATCAAATTGATCAAAAAGGAATGACCATTCGTTTTCTGATTCTTGATTTCCTTGATATCATCTGGGGTTTCCAAAGCAAAATACATAGAAATGGCAGTTGACTTGATGGTAATACCACGATCTTGTTCATCTTGACGTGTATCAGTAAAACGCATATCACCAGCACGACCAGCAGAGATAATACCAGCCTTGGAAACTAAAGAATCGGTCAAAGTAGATTTTCCATGGTCCACATGAGCAATTACAGACATGTTACGTACATTGGTGGTACGATTCTAATAAAATAAAGAAAACGCATGAGTTTTTTTTTTTTGTGTTTTTTTTTTTTGGGGGGGGGAAATAAATATAAATAAAAAGTGAATAGAAGCACTATGATAATAATAAGACGCGTTTTTTTTTTTGTTTTGTTTACCATCAATTCACGAATTTCTTCGATTGTAAAATTCTACATATGAGAAAAAAAAAAAAAAGAGATATGAGAATGTTTCATCTGACGTGAGAGGGTACGTTCACACACACACACATATATAGATATATACAGAAAAATAATAAAAAAAAATCAGAGTATTCCCACGCGGGTAAACTCTTCATTCTATAAAATAAAATAAAATAAATTACTTACCACTATATATATTCATAATATAAAAACCAAAAATAAAGGTAAAAACATGGAAGATCAATGAGAGAATTCATTATAATAAAAAGAAGAGGAAAAAAAAAAAAAAAAAAAAAAGGAAAAGAAAGAAAGACCAAAAAAAGAAAATGAGTTTAAATTTATTATATATATATATATATATATTTATGCGACATTCAACCTCCACTTACCCATTGTATACTGTTATAGTAGGACACTTGGAATGGAAAGGGTAGTAGTAGTAATAAGGTAGTTTGTTGAAGAAAGAAAAAAAAAGAATGTATTTTGGTAAAGAAAAGAGAAAAAGAAAAGAGAAAAAAAAAGGGAGAAAAGAATTTTTTTCTCATGACCCTTTTTATTTTCATTCTAGATGACTGGTCTAACAACCCGCATTCATTTACTTTTGTCACATAAAAAAAAAACAATATTAGTTTTTATTAATTTTCACTTTTTTTTCCTTCTTTTTACTTGTCGTAGTAAGACATATGATGATGATGATGATAATGATAATGATAGGTTATAAAAAGATATTTTCATCATTACCGCAGTAGAATCAGACGATGAACATACTGTCAAAGGAATGAAGACGCGTTGGTTGGAATAAAAAAAAAAAACAAGATTGTTTACGTAGTCCCACGCTTATTCGTTCTCTCCTGTTGATATATAAATCCCCTCACCTGATCATTTTTCTTTTTAAAGAAACACAAAATACTCACACACACACACGTATATATATATATATATATATTACTCACACACAGAGCTGTATGTCTTAATCAAAAAAGGGTATAAACAAATTGTCCAAGTCAAAACAAAAAAAAAAAAAAATAATTAGCTGAAAAAAGTTGTCAGTAAGAGGTTGATCATCGATATTGGTTTCATACAGATATGCATATTGCATATCATTGTAGAAGTATAAAGGATAGATAAGTTTATTGACGATGAAATAATAATAAAATAAAAAAAAAAAAAAACGGATGATACTAAAAAAAATAATGAATTCTAACATGCAAAGACTATTGTTGAATGAAGTAATTGTGTAACAATAATATAAGGATATCTATTTGGATTGCTTGTGAAGAAGATCACAATTTTTCATAAAACAAGATACAACTAGACAAAGTACAGAGGTAATCACGGCATAATATATGGAACTATGGATAGCATCTTGTAACGACTTGATGACAATGATTTGAATACTAGGTGACAATAATCGAATTTTTGAAATAGAAGTTCGTACAAATTCAATGATTTCTTTTGCTTGAGGTCCACTTATGGAACGAATGAGATTCTCTTTCAATGAAGCTTGAAGTATGGCTGCTGAAAGACTACCACCCATTAACCATCCAGTTGATCGACATAGGAATAACATTGATGTAGCAGAAGCTGTTTCTAATAGGTCATTATTGGTTTACCAAAGAAAAATATAAAAAAAGGAGAAGATGAGTCGGTGTGCGTTCTTCCTGTCTCATTTTTTTCTTTCTCTTTTTTTTTTATTATTTTACCTTGATGATCAATGTCCGCAACCAAAGCTACCATTGTAAAGACAAAAACTGATCCAAAAGCATAACCTTCAAAACTCATGGTGAAAATCATAGACCAAATTGGTGTTGACGGAGTCCAGCTGTATGTGAGTATCGTAGCTATCAGTTGAATCACCATGGAAAATAGAATATAACGATAATATCTTCCTTTGACAGCCAAGATCTTTCCAGCAACCCAGCATCCTAATGCAACACAAGCCTAGGGAGAAGTGTTCAAAAAAAAAAAAATTAGGTTCCAACTAGTAAAGTAAAAAGTGATGATGTCGACTTTCTTTATATCTTCAACTTACCGTACGACTGAATGTCCATAAACCTGCAGCAGAAGATGGATAACCAAGAACGCCCTATTGTATAATAAAAGATGAAGTAAGTATACCAAATATTATTACTATCATGTCATTGTCATTCATTGATTCCGTCATCCATTCATCCATCCGTCCATCCATTGTACATCAGCATAGAATGCCCTAATATTTATTCTGCTGCCAAAACTTACCATAAAGAATTGAGGCACCAAAAAGATCAAGGTCATAGTAGAGTTACACAAGAAAAAGTTGTTCAAGCAGACAGCCACGACATTGCGATTCTTGAGCAATTCTTTTGAAATCATAGGATAGGAAGCCCAGTAGAATTCATTGATAGCAAACAAGACAAAGAAGATGGGAGAGAGGACTAATAACATAATAATCAAAGGATTTGTCCATTCAAGAGTATTTCCACCAAAGGAAGTGGCGATAACAAATGTAGTATTGGCGATCAGTAATAAAAGAGCACCGAAATAATCAATTCGTTTGCATTTGGAAGCCAGATTGGTTGACCAATGTTCAGATAGGTTATAATTTTGCAAACGATAGATATAAACATAGAGAATAAACAAGCAAGGAGGTACGTTTAAATAAAAACAATGTCTCCATCCAAACATTTCATTGATCATTCCACCCAAAGGGGCACCAACTGCAGCACCAACCTATTTCCCAAAAAGAAAAAAGTTGAATCAAAATCATTATTCTTTTTTTTTTTTTTTTTTTTTTGCCTTTGTTCATTTTTACCGTCTGTGACATGTTAATATAAGATTGATACTGTCCACGTTTCTTCATTTCTACAAGATCATGAATGACAACAGAACTGATACGATTGGATTATTATTATAAAAAAGGCTGTTCCTGATATATCAATAATTTTTTTCTTGTTTTACCTCATGACCATAGCTCCGGAACCACCTAGACCTGCAATGGCCCGAAATATACCCAGTTGTACCATATTTTGAGCAGCACCACATCCAACAGATCCAATCAAGAAAAACGTGAGAATGAAAACCAAGGTTGTTTTACGACCTACAATATCACTGATCTTTGAATCTATATTATAAAAAAAAAGAGTGGAACATTTATTAGTATGAATCAATCTTTTTTAGGTTTTTAGGACTTACACATCGGTTGAAATGCAGATGCACTGAGCAAATAGGAGGTAATAACCCAAACCGCTAAATTGGAACTGATCCATGTAATTCAAACATAATAGTAAGTATCCTCCTTTTTTTTTTAATTTTCTTTATTACCTTTGGAATTCAGTACCAATAATATTAAAGATCGTAGAAACAATCGAACTATCTAGAGCTGCCAAAAATGCACCAATACAAAGACTATATCAAAAAAGAACTAAATATGATGAATTATTTGATGATTGTTTTTTTCTTTTTTTCCTTACCAAAGAGTGAGTAGAAATAAAGAGACATCACCAAGATTCTTTTCATTATCAGACTGAGAATCAATATCATCATCTAATTCATCAGTAACAAGGTGTATTGTATCATCCATATCATTATACAAAGCATCATATTGTTTATTTTTATGAAAGAGTCTATCCGTTTCAGTTGTCATTTCAATAATGAAGGAAAAAAAAAAGTAAAGGAAGAAAAAAAAAAAAGAAAAGAAATGAAAAAGAAAAAACGAAAAAGAAATCTTTATGCGATTTAAAGTTCATGGATTGAAATACCGATATCCTTAACAAAAAAAAAAAAAAAAAATGACGAGCAAGTGTATATCAATGGCGCAACTTTCTTTTTTTTTTTTTTTTTAGATTACCAAGGATCTTTATTATCAAAATGATGTACCATCTTCACCTTGCCAATAATTTCATCATCTTACGTTTCTTCCTTATGCCCTGATTATCTAAAACTTTAATCTCCATAATACTGTATGTGTAACCAATTCTAATTTTCATTATCGTCTTTTTTTTTTAAAGTGATTTTATTTCAAAAAGGAAAAAGGAAAGAAAAAGATATAAACTATAATATGATAAAATAACAAAACATAATATAAACTAAACTAGATTCATCCAATTGTATATTCATCCGTAGTGAGAAGCACTTCTTTGGAAAAGGTAGAGCTCGAATTTGATTCCAAATTTTGTACATCCAAAACATCCACACCACAAATCAATTTTTCAGAAACAAAGCTTGCCATTACAGGGAAGAATGAGCTGGCTTCGGTACCAGGAAGTGTGCATTCCAAAAGTCCATTCTTATTAGAACTGTTGATAATAGGTAATTGCCATTCAAGTACTCGTCGTTGAGTATCTACGAAATAAGTTCCATCCACTTGGTGTACTGTTGCCATAGGTTCGCCACTATTATTTGATCATCCAAAAAAAAAAAAAACATAGTTGATGAATCTACTGGTCATTTTTACCCTACAATATATGTATAAACTTACGGAAGAGGAATAGCAATCACTACATCATGAAGTTCCAAATGATCAGCTTCTAATACGTATTCTATGTTCACATCACAAGTTCCATTCTCAGCAGGAGAGGGCCAACAAGTAACTATAAGAAGAAGAAAAAAATTAAATAAATAAATAATCAATATCCATTTACAAATAAAAGTATCATAAACAACTTACTTGCTAACGGGACTGCAGTTTCATCTTGAGATATAAATCTCCATCTTACCACCTCCAAGTTTTGATTTATAGGGAACGCCCGAGTTGGATCACGCATTTGAACCGCCTTTTCATTCTTGAATAAGTTCTTATCCACATTTGGATGGGTCTATTAAGATAGAAAATAATTTAGTTCAATTTTTTTTTTTTTGATCCTTAGTTCTTTTCTTTAATTTTTTACCTTGAATTGAATAGCAGGATCATCAGTAGCATCAAGAGCCAATCGAATACGTCCAAGTGAAGGATCAGATATCTTTAGTGTAAGAACACCCTTCACTTCTAATTGTTCTAATTCGCCTTCTTGATTCGCCACCATAGAAACACGTTCCTCAATAGACACGTGAACGCTATGAAAAAAGAAAAAGTTTTTTAAAAAAAAATCATCCACTATTTACTAATTCCTTTTTTTTTTTTATTATTACCTATCTTGATGAACATTGATCTTTTGTTGACTAGCTGAAGATGGCAAGGAACGATTGGATCGTAAAAGAGGTTCTTCAACTTCAGTCTTAATGGCTTCAAACAAATCGGCTGTTTTTGGTTTGCGACCCAATTGCATTCCTCTGGCCTTTGATGATGAAGCAGGTGGTGTTGAAGAACGTCTATAAAAATAAAATGATGAGTTTCTATTATTTTTTTTTCTCTCCATTATATCATCCTATTTACCCATTATAAGAAGGAGTTTGGATCATAGATTGAGCAGAAGGTTCCAAAGAAGGAGAATATCTTCCACCCATAGTGTTATTACTAAAGTTCCCTTGCATGAATCCTTGACCACGTTTTGACGCTTCCTTTCGCTGAAGATCGAATTGTTTTGCTCGTCGTTTGAGTTCTTCCTTGGCTTCCCGTTCTTTGTTCTATGAATATATACAAACGATGTTAAAGAAAAAGAAATGCAAATCATATTAAAATAGTTACCCTGGCAATGATTTCTTGAATCTTTTCTTCATGACTTTCCATATCAGTATTATTCTTGACTTGAGAGAGGTTCACATTTTCCCGGTATCCTTCCGAAATAATTTCATCAAAGGCAAATAAAAGTTCAAATGAGTTATTAAGTATATCACGTTCATCACAAGAACGGCAAGTATCAGTAACAACTCGGGCAAATAGATGAAGTGATTCGATATCTTGAAGAATGTTTGACTACGTGTTCCAATTTCAATAGTAGATAAAAAAAGAATAAGGGAAAAAGATGAGTTCCCTTTTTTTTTTTCTTCTTCTTCTTTTAATTCTCATTGTTATTATTTTTTTTTTTTGTATGAACTTACTTGACGGTTTGTAATGAGTACCATAAAGAGATCTTCGAGAGGTTGATATACATAACGAACGTGTTCTGTTTCGACAGTGGTATGTTGATGACCTGTACTGGTGAGTTTGGGAAAAGATGCAAGTAAACCTTCGATACGAGAGCGTTGAATTTCACGGAATTGACGAGAGATAACAACTATAAAAAATAAAAAAAAAAAAAAGGAAAAAGATGGAAAGACAACAGATGAGAAATTAGAAAAAAAAAGATGGTATATATATATTGTATATACCTTTGCCACTCTTGGTTACAATAGAAGCAGCTAAAACGACCTATATAAAACAAGAATATAATTTAATGTGGGCAAACAGATCTATTTCTTTTCTAGTCTGTGCTTACCATAGTTGTATGTGTTGTATTTGGATGACAATAAAAGAAAAGAAAGGGCAGAGGGAAGACGAGAGGCACCCGCTCTGAACGTCAAAAAATGAAAAAAAAAAAACGCACTTGATACGGACTTTGAAATGACTCCCATCACCAAATAGGATGCATCCACAGTTTTTTACACAGTTTTCAAAAAGTTTTTTTTTTTTTTGTTAGGTCACAAGAAAATAGTTTCGTGATGTTATAAAATAAAAATATCAGGTTTCCAAAAATGGATGTTGCATTACCACTTTTTCAGATATGGCTCCAGAGTATGTCAAAACACATTAATTGATGATTGATGATGATAATACAGTATTAGTTAAAATAAATATAAAAAAAATGGATATGTTGACTAAATATATATATATAACTACCATTTCTTTTCTTCTTATATTCAATTTGGATTATGCGTTCAACTCTTTGTTCTTTTTTTCTTCTGTCATCTATTCTCTATCCTTACAATATTTTATTTCCTATTTTTGCGATATCTTATTTTGTGAATATAGATAGAAAGAAAAATAAAAGAAAGGAGAAAATAAAAAATAAGTGTCTTTTATATTGTTTTTTTCCTCCAATCACATTGAAGCTATCAAATAATGATGATTATTCTATTAAATCAAATCAATTATCCAATCATTATATGTCATAAAATAGTATTTAGAATTCATATCTCATAAAATAAAAGGCTACTTGTAAGAGTATGGTTTTTATTAAGAGCATAATCATTGATCACGGTTAAATTATTAAGGGGGAGATTTAATGTCAACAATCAAGCTAACTGGGGAGAGCGGCTTGGAAGCACTATCTCACAGTCATGAGGCTTTCTTTATATACTAAATCGGGATGTCAAATACAATTCTCTCCCTCTTCTTTTGCTTTTACCTTTTTTTTTTTTTTTTTTTTTTTTTTTTTTTGTTATATTGATTCTCTTGTAAACAAATTATGAATCCATCTGATGACTTACTTAACGGAACGAGTAGCAATGACTCTACTACTACTACAATGAAAAGATGCTCTGAAGTTGATCAAGAAGATACCCTAAAGGAATCCACTGATCTCAACAATGATGTCAGAAACGATCGCTCTTTGAAAAGAACTAAATATGACCAAGATACATTAGGTAATTAGATTCAAATACATTGGGAAAATGAAAGAACGAAAACATGTATAAAAAAAAGAATCTTATTTGTATGTGTATATATCGTTGTTTGGAAAAAAAAGGAAACTGGAAAATTATATATATATTTATGCTATGTCACATAGATATTTATGGAAAACTTTTTTAATATTATTATTATTATTATTGATAGTCGATTACAAGGAAAATGATCAACGAAACACGACAGAAAGTCGTTCACCGTCACCACCAGCAACAACACCATTCAAAAACAACAGCAACAACTCGACTAACCTGGGCGATGCTTTATTTGACGAGAATTACAATGAGGAATCTGATGCAGATTGGGCTTCAGGGTTTGATGGGGATTCTGCAAGTGAAGGCGGTTCATCACCAGAGTTACTACATTCTGCATTACGACTGGATGAAGATATAGATGTGGAAGAATCGGATGAAGAGTCTCAATATATTTTACGTAAGTTGATATCAAAAAAAAAAAAAATTATAGATAATTCATGCATTCTATCTTTTTTTTTTTTATGCTTAGCATGGACTAGCTTTACTGAAGAAGAAATGGAATCAATTCAAGAAGATGCCAGGGAAATTGGTATGTAAGAAGACTAAAATACCTTTGATTTTGTCATTACCTGATAGTTTTTTTTTTCTTATGTAAATGTTTGATAGGTCTTATGAAGTTTATAGAAAAATACGTCCTTCAGTTAAAGGTACCCGTAGCCAAACTTTTGGAAGTATTTGGATTCATCATGGTAAGGATGTTTTTTTTTGTTTGTTTGTTTTTGATCCAACTTTTTTTTCTTACCATTTATTTATATTTTAGCATCCAAAAGCTATCATGATAGCTTCTGATCTTGAACTTGCTCCAGTGTTACGAACAGTAGTGAATCGCTTTTTACGAAAACGACGTCGATTGGAACATGTGAATACGTTAGACGATGTAGTGGAATTGATGTCCAAGGCACAAAATATCATGATTGTCACTGGGGCGGGTGTATCGGTATCGTGTGGCATTCCGGATTTTCGATCTGAAACTGGTATCTACTCAAGACTACAGGAATATCAATTGGATGATCCTCAACAAATGTTTGACATTGAATACTTTCGCGAAAGTCCTGAAATCTTTTATTCGTTTGCCAAAGAATTGTATCCAAGTAAATATGAACCAAGTCCAAGTCATGAATTTGTAAAATTGGTAGAAGAGCAAGGAAAATTGTTACGGAATTATACGCAAAATATTGATACTCTAGAGCACAAGGCTAACATTAAAAACGTGGTCAATTGTCATGGAAGCTTTGCAACAGCTAGTTGTGTTACTTGTGGATATAAATGTGACGGGAAAGACATTGAAGAACATATCTTTGCTCAGGTAAAGTATTCGAAAAAGAAAAATTCCTATTTGATATACTAATATTTTTTTTTTGTTATTATTATTATTATTATTATTATTATTATTTTATTTTGATAGACTGTACCACCGTGTCCAAAATGCCCAACACCCAAGCCTTTGAAACAACATAACAGAAACTCTGATGATAGTGATGATGATGATGATGGTGACGGAAATGCTAAAGGAACTTCCATTATGAAACCGGTAAGCTAAAAAAAAAAAAAAAAAGAATTGGGTTGGGGAGGATTCATCATGATGATACAATTATTAATCATTTCTAATATATATATGTATTAGGATATTACATTTTTTGGAGAAAAACTACCCGATGAATTCGACAACTTACTTGCAGTAGATACAGATAAGGTGGATTTATTGATTGTTATGGGATCATCTCTCAAAGTCTCACCAGTATCTGAAATCATGACTCAAATTCCTCATCGAGTACCTCAAATCTTGATCAACCGTACGCCAATCACACATATGACTTTTGATGTTCAACTGCTAGGGAACTCGGATGATATTGTACCTGAACTTTGCCGACGACTTCATTGGGATCTGCGACATGACAAGCTTCCTGGTGGAAGTGCTCTTTCTGAAGAAAGTATGCAACTCTCTAGACAAGGTGATGGTGACTTGATAGATTCTACAACAAACGACATGGATCAAACAGATTCTAGAACTTCTGAACGACACATTTGGAAGCAATTAGCGGATGGATTATATACTTTCCCTGGGGCAGTATTAGATGAACGTTATTTCAATGCACAAAGGTAAAGTAAAAGAAAGAAAGAAGGAAAGAAATGTATAAAATATGATTAACATTTTCTTCTTTGTTAACTATTGTTGTTCTTTGTTTGATGGGTTTAGATGTGATGAGCGTGGAAGTATCAACGATACTGAAGAAGATAGTGATCAAGACGATAATGATAAGCCAAATGACCAATCTCTTCTAGATGCGAAACCAAATGATCCAATAATATAGTTTTTATTTATTTATTTGCTTAACCATATAGTTATTGAAGTAGTTAGTGTTCATATATGTAAATAAAATGACTTTCTTCCTTTGAATCTCTAGTATTACATTTCTGATCTGTCAAAAAAAAAATGACCAACTGCGGTACTTGAAATGAGATGAAGACATCCAATCAGAGTTGCCTTAGTGTATATAATGTTTTTTTTTTTTTTTTTTGTCTTCCATATTGTTCTCTTCCTTCTTTTTCAACGTTACTACTTTATTACAACTATTTCTTTTGAGAAATGCGAACATTTTCCATTTCTTTCTTGATTGGAGTTACTTTGGTAGCTCTTTCCTCCGCCGTGAAATTCGATCTTCATGCTGCTCTTCTTGCGGACCGTGCCACTGCTGAACGATGCTTTTCTCAATATGTACCCAAGGACACCAAGGTCTTGGTTACTGTCTCTGTAGGTCCAGGTTACAACCAACGTGTGGATTGTAATGTAAGTCAATTTCAAATAATAATGTACTACTAATATTTGTTTCTCTTTCTCTCATTTTGATATTCACTTTTTTTTTTGTCATTAGATTTTTGAAGATGGAGAACAACCCAATATATTTGCAAAGAAACAAGATATCAAGAATGACTATACGAATGCATTTGATACCTTACAGGATGGTGAAATTAATATTTGTTTTTCAAATATTCTCGATGATGGTAAGTAAGGGAAACAAAAATATGAGACATCTTGTAGATGAAAAAGAAAAAGGAAAAATACAATAAGGAACAGATGACGCGACGTATGATTTTGAAAAATAACCTTTTCTTATTAACATTTTTTTTTTTTATTTTTCAATTAGGTTTCCTTCCTTCTCCTGATTATTCTCGTGAAATAGATCTTGAAGTTAATGTTGGTACGGAAGCAAAAACCATTGAAGAAATCACCAAGAACAAACATTTGCCAAACCTGGAAGAACAGACTCAAGTGTTGGAAGCCATGGTCGATGATATCTTGAAGGAAATGAACTATTTGAAAGGACGTGAAGCAAAGTTGCGAAATACCAACGGTAAGAATTAAAAAAAAAATGGACAATTTATAGTAATGATTTGATGAACTAACATCCTTTCTTTTTGGATTTGATTTAATTAGAATCGACCAATGATCGTGTTAAATGGTTTAGTTTATTATCTTTATTTACATTGATTAGTTTAGGCATTTGGCAAATTTTATACCTTCGCTCATTCTTCCGTAGAAAGAGACTTATTGATTGATTGATTTTTTCTTTTTTAAACAAATAAAAATTCTGTGTATGAATGTAAGGATAATGATGTTCTTATATATGTAGCTTGACAACTATAATTCTTTTTTAACAAAAAAATTATATAAAAGTTTGATCTTTTATTAGGTAAAAAGAAAAAAAAAAGGGGGAATGGAGACAAAAAAGAAAAAAAGAAAAAAAGAAATATCAATATAGACAAGGGCATAAAAGGGAATGTGTATCAAATCAATTCTACTAATTATTATTCCTAAAGTGGTGCTAAGCTGTGGCATCATGAATATCTAGGTCGTTGACTTGACTTGTTGCTTTTTCCACTTCCGAATCGGTATCAGAGGAAATATCTGAAAGTTCATCATCCAGGTGCTTCCATTGATTGAGTAAGGTCATGGCGGTAACAACTGATTTGAATTTGGTATGAGAGTGTAAACCTTTACGAACAGCAGGTGCCAAGTTGGTATCAGTAGTTGTTTGTTCTTCTTCATTAGTAATCCATGGATGTTTGAGTGCTTCTTTAGCTGTAATCCGTTTTTCCGGGTCAAAAGTAAGTAGCCGATCAATCATGTTCTTTGCTAAATGAGTGGAGAATAGAAGTTATTTAATCATCGTGTAACTATGGTTTCTATTTTTTTTATTATTATTACCAGAATCAGAGATATCGCTCCAATATTCTTCATCAAATTCATATTTTCCAGACATGATGTTTTCGAATAATGCAGCCTGGTCTAACAACAACAATAAGAATAATAATAATGAACAACAATAAAAGAGAATCAGAAATCACGTTGGTCAAACCATTCATCATGATATGATATCAGTTTTTTTTTTTCCGTTTTACCTTCACCATAAAAAGGAGTATAACCAGATAAAAGTACAAACTATAATAACATAACATCAATTAGTCACTCTTTTTTTCCTTTCCATGTTGAATGGACTGAATAATTACAGCAATCACACCAACACTCCAAAGATCTACTGGTTTTCCATGTCCTTTTTGAAGTAACACTTCGGGCGCAACATATCCAGGAGTTCCACAGGCTGTCATCAAAATATCATCATGGTTTTTGAGGATCTTTGATAATCCAAAATCTGTAACACATATTTAACTGTTAGTGCAGAATCTTTTATTTGATACGCGTTCCAGTATAATTAAATATTGATTTACCTGTAATCATCAACTTGGCATCCACATCTTTTGTTGCAAACAAAAGCTAAAAAAAAAAAAAGTTTAGCAATTGAATGGTATCATCCCCCTTTTGAAACATAATGATGATGACTTACATTTTCTGGTTTGATATCTCTTTTTAACAGTAAAGATAAAAATAAAAAAGAATAGTAGATGAGAATAATGATCCACCAAATAATATAAGCTATCTATTTTTTTTTTTTTTTACCTATGAACAATCTAGAAGAATATGATAATCATTTTATAAGTTTCATATATCCTAATCACTAGAGTATTGTGTGTTACTTACATCGAGATCATGTAGATATGCAAGTCCTTCAAGTAGTTGCCGTAAAAGATTAGCTGCATCACGTTCTGTATAACTACCCTTATCCAAAAGTTGTTGAAAAAGTTCACCACCACTAGCAAGATCCGTCACAATATAAACAGCATCCACACTTTCATATAATCCATGCATAGATACAATATGAGAATGATGCACCTTTGTTAAAATATCTTAAAAATATAAAAAGATTAGATTTTTTTTTTTTTTTTTTTACTGTTTTCTCTCTTTTCTATATTTATAATTTATACCTAGTTCACTATCCAACATATGTTCCTTGCCTATCGTAATGAAAAAGTAAAAAAAAAAAAGAAGTCAATCCTACTTGGTCATAAGTATAATCTATTTTTATTTTACCTGCAATGACTTTTTTCAAAATGATTTTCAAAGCATAAGGCTTTCTTGTATCCTTGTGTATACATTCCTTGACCACAGCGAAACTACCAACACCAAGAGTCTTCTTGGTGACTTCATAATCAGCAGTCAACTGAGAGGGATAAACATCAGCTTCATCGTCTTTTTCATGAGTTTTCTTGAACAACGCCAATAGGCGTTTCATCAAAGGTGATTTGGGCATGATGGAAAAAAAAAGAAAAGAGTAAAGAAAAGAGAAAGAAAAAAAAAAGAAAGACTTTTCTTTTGATTTCAAGGAAATGACAATTTATTGTAGTCCCGCTTCAAGCCGTTATTCCGATGAGTTAACCAAATGAAGTGGATCGTTTCAGCATACATAACGTAGAATGAATTTATGATTTAAAACAATATTTTATTATTATATACTATTCAAATCAATTCTAGGTAAATATAAGAATCCGTTGTAACTAAAAATAATGTATTTTAAAGTTGGCAAAGTTCGAAAACAATAAACATTGCCAAAAAGGGATATCAGTAACAAAAAACACAACTCCCTTGTTTCCTTTCTTTTTTTTTTTTTTAACTTTCTTTTTTGACTTACTACACATATATATATGTACATAAGTAATAAGAAGTGGCAAGGTCCTTTCCGCAAATGGATCCAAAATATCATTCTTTTTTCAAAAACCATTTGGAGAAACAAGATAACACATAATACTATATTCAAGATCAAATCTCGGATATCCTCTTCTTCAAATAGTCAAAAAAGACAACAATCTCTATTACTTCCATATCAAATCAATCTATTGTTAGTAGTATTTCTTTGTTTATTATTTACCATAGTATATGTATTTTATCAACTTGGTAGAGTCATTGGTATCATAGAGCTTCTTGTGTTTGGACTGAATGATATAATACGAAATAGCATAACCTTGTTGAAAAAAATAAACTGAAAAGAGAAAAAAGAAAAAAAAAAAGGTTCTGTTTCCAAAATTTTGCTGACTGAATAAAAAAATGGCATGGGAAAACTACCATTTTTTTTTTTAATTTTGTCGCGACTTTTCTCTTCTTTTTTCTTTTTTCTTTTTCTTTTCTTTTTTTTTCTTTCTTCTTTTTACACTGACTCTTTATTATTTTATGTCTTCTAATACAAGTCTTTCTCATCATATACTTCTCGTCGCTAATCGTGGTGAAATAGCCATTCGTATCCTAACAGCTGCTACTGAACTGGGATTACAAACTGTAGCCCTTTATGCAGACCAACAAGATACTACTCATTGTACCTTTGCCAATCATTCAGTCAAACTTCCTTCTTTGAATTCTTTTTTAAATGAACAACATATTATACAAGCTGCAAAGAGGTACATCATAATTCTATTCAAAAAGTAATTCATCTCCTTTTTATTCTTATATTATTATTTATTTATGCAAATAGTGTACAAGCAACAATGATACATCCTGGTTATGGATTTTTATCTGAATCTGTTTCCTTTGCTAAAGCATGTTTACAAGAAAATATACGGTTTATCGGTCCTTCTCCAGTCTGTATTGAATCTGTAGGTGACAAGATATCAGCACGTCAAGTGGCTCATGCTGCTAGAGTTCCTGTGGTACCTGGAACTGAACAACCTATCTCTCAAGTATCACAAGTTCTTTCATTTGGTGAACAATATGGTTATCCTCTTATGTTGAAGGCTCGTGATGGTGGTGGTGGTCGTGGTATACGGATGGTAGATCATCCAGATCAAATAGAAGAAGCTTTGAAACGCTGTATCAATGAATCTCCATCAAAACAAGTCTATATCGAAAAAGCAATTGTTGGTGCCAAACATATCGAAGTACAAATTATTGGTGATGGTTATGGAAATGTGTTACATTTATTTGATCGGGATTGCTCCATCCAGCGACGATATCAAAAAGTGTTAGAGGTAATATTGAAGAAAAAAAAAATTACCAATCATCTGAATTTTTTTTCTATATATATATATATATATATTATTAGGTTGCTCCTTGTCCTTGTTTATCTCCTTCTCTACGAACATCTATCCATAACGCTGCTATTCAAATTGCACGATACATCCAATATGATTCTGCTGGTACAATTGAGTTTCTGGTCTCCAATCATGATGATGACAACAAAAAACAATTTTATTTTTTGGAAGTAAATCCTCGTATCCAAGTGGAACACACCATTAGTGAACAAATCACCAATGTCGATATTGTACAAACTCAAATATTAGTCGCCATTGGGAAGAATCTGGTCACAGATCTACGACTGACTCAAGCTTCTCTTCAACCTTTACGAAATCTGGTTTCTATTCAAGCACGTATCGTGGCTGAAAATCCCATGAAGAATAATATGCTTTCTGTTGGCAAAATAACAAATGTTTCGTTCCCTAATGGAAGTTATGGTGTTCGTGTTGATACTTGGATTCGTCCTGGTTGTGTTGTTTTGCCTGTAAGCCTTTTTTTTTTTTTTTTTTTTTTTTTACTTTTTTCTTCAACGTGTTGATCTTTTTATTTATTTATTTATTTTATATAGACCTTTGATTCCTTGCTGGCGAAAATCATTGTTACTGGCTCTTCTTTAGACGATGCTCTGTCAAAGATGTCACTTGCTCTTCAACGTACAATTATCACAGGTATAGATACCAATCTGGATTTCCTTACTGCTCTTGTCAATGATCGTGAATATCTTGGACAAGATTTACGAAACACTCATATCAAGTCTTTAGAAGAGAGATCACCGGTTTTATTACAATCAACCCTTACTTGGATGGAGCATCGACAGTCAGCAACGTTAAGACCTTCATCAGTGATGGGAAGTGACAATCTGACTTCTGCAACATTGGCATCATCAAATAGCGGATCATTACAATTCAAACCTGGTGACTCTTTTAATGTTGAAATCAATGATCATTCATCATCATCATCTTCGGTAACACATACATTCAAATTGGATACAATTCAGGTCAACAACTTTCCCGATGAAATGGTAGCACATGTTCAATCGACCTTACCAACATTACCTAATCCTTTTGCAATGACATTGAAAAGAAAGACAGCACTTGGATCAGGTTTACGGCGCAAGACAAGTACTCAAGTACCAGGCGAGGTGGGCACTCCAATCACTGGGATGATGGTGGAAATCAATGTACAAGAAGGAGATGTTGTCTCCATTGGTCAAGAGTTATTCGTCATGAGTGCAATGAAGATGGAAACCGTCATCAAATCTCCTATTCATGGTCGTGTTCAAGCTATATTTGCCAAGGCTGGCGAACTAGTAGAAAATGGTGATCTCGTAGTGGAACTCTTTGAAAAAAAGGAAAGCAAGATGTGATATCCCTCTTCCCTCCTTGTATTATTATTATTATTATTATTAGATGATTATTTTGATTAGATCAATTTTTACATTTAACCAAATAGTAATAAAAAAGAAATATGCATATATATATATATATATATATATATATATATATATATCATTATCTCTTTGTTTAGAATTATCTTTCAGTCTGTATTAAAGAAAAACGGGATATATTTCAATCTATTTGTAAGGTGATGATGATCAAATATATATATATATATATATATACAGGCTATTCATCATACTACAAAAAAAAAGTTCATATTTTTATTACTAAAAAAACAACAACAAAAAGACAAAAATCAAAAAAAAAAAAAAAAAAAAACTATTAACTATACAGTACTATATATAAAAAGATCATCCAACTAAGGTTTCCGTCCATGTTCGGCAGCCAGCATTGCAGTTTGAAGATCAGGCATCGCTACTGGAGGGATGATTTTTTTCGTTCCACGATCTCCTTTTGAAATGGAAGCAAGTAATGAATCTAGAATATTCCCATTCGAAGCTGTTGATCCATTATCTGGAATAGATTTAACTGACGATGATGATGATATTAAGGTTGGCGATGATGCATGTTGTACCTTTTGCTGAGGATGTGAGGCTGTGTCGATCTTTGAAAGTCCAGAAGATCCTATCGTATGAGCATTCTTTTTCAAAATTGAATCAACAATGGCAGTGAAACGATCACTTGAGTAGGTTTCAAACGCATCACGGGTGATAAAGAATTTGTCGGAAAAAGGTGATCGTACTACTGATGATCGATCGATGATTACAAAACGTGGATCACGTAAACTTTCGGTGTCGTTTTGTGGTTTCAGTGGTGGCAATTTTAGCGTAGTTGTTGCGGATTCTGATGATTGTCCTGTTGAAGTTATTGACGCCATATTTTGTATCGGTTTGGTTAGTGAAACTGCTGCACCCAACTCAACTCCATCCGTTGCTAATGTTGTTATCTGTGAATGTGTCGTCTGAATCGTCCCTGTTGTCTCCATTTGCTTTGTTACTTCTTCTTGCTCAACCGAATCGGCAACAACTGATGATACTTGTTCCTTTGCTTCTATTATTTCTGTCGATTCATTAATGTTTGGTTCTTTTGTCGATGTCGTACCGTTGATACTTGCATTATTATTTCCTAAAAATAAAAAAAAAAATGGATCAAAGAAAAAGAGCAATTGAATATATTATATATAAAAACTGAATCCTATAAAGATTAACCTAGATCAATGAATTCATTACCTGGAGTTGTATTTAATATACTTGCATCTTGTCCAGACCTTATAGAGTTGCATTCAATAGAGGTATCAGTGTATGTAGAGGTTGTAGTTTCAGATAGTTGGGTATTTGTGATAGTAGACGGCTGATTGTCAATAGAATCCAGTTCAGGTTGATAGCTAGTAGTATTTAAAGGTGAAGATCGTTGTTTTTTTGTTGTCGAATCAACAGTATGTATAGATTCATTGCTACGCTTGTTGCTATTACTTTCCTGTATTTCAGATTCTTTCGTTATTTGCTGTAAATCCTCTTTTCCTGTTTCCATGGTTAATTTTATAAAAAGAAAAGAAATAATAGAAAGCGTGAGCAAGGAATTTGTCTTGAAAAAAAAAACTCCGTCGAAGCCCTATTTTAACTCTTTTCTCTATTCTTTTTTTTTTTTCTTTTTTTTTTTTTCTTTTTTTTTTTCTTTTTTTTTTTTTCTTTTTTTCTTTTTTTTCTTTTTTTTTTTTTTTACATGGAGTATCATTCCCTTTATATACTGTATGTATGAATTATAGTGAATCGTCTATATTTTTAACACGTACATTAAAGTAAGCTATACCTATCAAACCACATTTATTATAATCTTCTTCATTGACCATCTTTTTTTTTTTTTTTTTTTTTACTAAATTAATTATAGATGTATTTTGTGTGATGAATCCTTCTTTTGTCATAGCAATCGTTGTGATGGGATTGGATATTATAGAATGATAGTATAGCGTAATGAAATAGTAGTATAGTGTGTAATAGTGTAGAATGATATACTGTAGAATATAGCATGGCACATCAAATAAAATGATCAATCTCCACCAATCATTGTCCAGGACATTCCACGGATAAATAGTCGGCGCGCGTATGCGATTAGATTCATATATACTTTTGGCTATTTTTGGAAATAAAGGTGAGATGGCCGAGTGGTCTAAGGCGGCAGGTTTAGGCCCTGTTTTCTCCGGAAGCGCGAGTTCGAATCTCGCTCTCATCATATGTATACTTTTTTTATTTTTTTTAATTGGGTGGCTTGTACATTTGTCGTTTGGGATGTAGGATTTTTACTAGATGATCTGTTACAGTTTTGTTAGGTGATTTTTTTGGTTTTGTTAAGTGATTTTTTGGTTTATAGGTTCAGAATTGAAAAAGTAATTCGGATGATTGAAAGAGAATAAGTTGTTTAGTAAGCACCAGCACTTGATTACGCAAGCACACGTATAGGAAAAGCAATAAAATAAAAAAGAAAAGTAAAGTAAAGAAAAATAAAGTCTTGTTCCAAATTTGGAAAGTAGAAGTAGAGTAAAATTGTTCTGACTTTAAATATAGAACAAAGTGAGCCAATCAAAAGTGATAATCCACAATACAATCAAGTAGGGATAAAAAATATGTTGACTGAACTAATAAAAATATATAATAAAAAGTTGGACCAAGCTCTGACAAAAGAAAACTTCGGCGCGCTCTCACTTTTTTTTTTTACTTTTCCTTTTACTTTTTTTTTTTTTAACCACTGGCAGGTTGAACATTGTAAGTTACCATTATACATTTCTTTATTAATCTATGTTATATATTTAGAGTCATTCATTACATATTATACTTACTATACTTACTATTCACTTACTCTATACTTATTCTTTCCTTTTTTTTCTTCTTCTTCCTCTTACTCCATCATATTATGAACTAATCCATTTTTTTTTTTTTTTTACTCTTTCTGTGAACATATAGTAAATAGATATATGAAGAAATATACAATAGGATTAAATGGATATTGGATAAAAGAATATCAAGTTAGGTAAAAGTATCCAACTCTTTATCATAGAAATTAGTTTATTGAATAGTTTAGTCTTTTAGTTATAGTGTTTTATATTCTCATTTAAATAAAATCATATCTTTATTATTGTCATTTCATTATTATTTATGTATTTGTCCTGGATCATTATCAAGAGGAGTAATAAGAAAGAATGGTATGATTATCATTTTAGCTTCACTAAAAAAAAAAAAAAAAAAAAAATAAAAAAAAAAAAATAAAAATAAAATCCATATACACATCAGTATCTGCTATTTCTCTTCATACATTACATCCATCATTTTTAAGAATAGATATTATCTTATTATCAATCATCATCACCACCCATGATAATAGCAAGTTGTACCTGTATACTGTTGACTGTTCGTCTTCTCTCTTAACGAAAATAACGATATCGTTGATGGTACTTTAGAATAGATCATGTACTTTATTACATAATACACTGAAAGATAATTTTTATCAAATCATCACAACAATAGATAGTAGCAATAGGTACATACACAAAACATCATAGCAGGATAATTTAAATAATCAAACATTTTATTTAAATAAAAGGGTAAATTTACCAAAAAAAAAAAAGTAACTAAATACCAACAATATAAAGAATATATACAATACCAGTGACAATAATGACAATGATAAGAATAATAATAATACTAATGGAGACAGAGATGCCAATCAAGTAGAAAACAGAATGAGACCATCAACCATGGGTGAGACCAACCAAATAGAAAGAAACAAAAAAAAAAAAAAAAAAAAAAAGGACAAGGACCAACCACGCAGAAAAGAGATCTCGAAGAAAGCACCATGACAATGAGAGACAGATGAAGGAAAGGGAAAGAGGGAGAGACCAACCAGGTAGAAAAGAAACGAAGAGACCACATAAACACGAGAGAGAACAACAAGAGAGTGAGAGACACCATACCATTAGAAAAAATAACCAACCAAGTAGAAAAAAAAGAAAAAAAAGACCTTCAAAAGTACCTGTACATACAAGTTGACTTGCATTTGCTATTCAGTCCAGAGTCCAACAGTAAAAAAGATAAAAAAAAAAAAAGTAAAACGATTAGTTCCTTAATCTATGTCTTACCATCATAATTGTCATTCCATCCAGTTCCAAACCATTAGAAGAGCCATAACCAGCTAAAGCTAGAGAAAATAAAAAAAAAAAAAAGGAAAGAAAGATGAGAGAAGTGAGATAGATAAAATAAGAAAGGAAAAAGAAAAGAAATGAAAACTCAGTTAGATAGGAAAAATAAGAAATGAATTTATACGTTGGCTGAATTAAAGTATCTCTCAAAGCAATCACGTATCTTTTCTTTTCTTTTCTTTTCTTTTCAATAAAGAAGATTTAGACTATATAGACAATAATATCTAAAAGATCAATAAAATAAAAGAAGAAATATATTAGTATCATTTCCTTTTTTCATCTATTATTTTTTTTAGACTTATCATTTTGCACCATTGATCGTTTTATATCACCATTTTGTTTGACTAAAGGTTAATATAAAGTAATGATGATCATTCGAAATTTGATTGCATAAACAACAATCATTGTATCTACAGATAAAATCAACCAAAAAACAGTACTCCATCACTGTTATTCTTATATATATCAATGTTACCTTGTGTATATCATCTGACAGCGATACCGTATCAATCCCCATACAATAAAAGGAAGGATCTAAAAAAAAAAAAGAGAGAGAAAGAAGCAAGTGATTGTATGTAATATTGATTGATCATCTTTTTCTTTCCTGACAACTTACTAATTTGATTGTATAGGCGACAATCATAGTATCTACGAATAAAAATAAACCAAATGAATAGCAATCCGTTACTTTTTTTTTTAATACATGTTACCTTGTCAACACCAGTGGATGTTTTATATCATATTGCAATTGAATGTCATCATCATCACGAGTTCGGAGAGAAAGAAGGGTTGCCACTAGCAGTACATCTGACATTTTAAGACCATCAAAGTAGGTAGCTTGTTCCGGTTTTAATAGATACGCTCCACTGACCAGTTATGATATTATCCCCTAATTCTTTCCAAACCATACCGCAATTGGCAGGACTTCCAAGGACTCCAGCATGAAACAACACGACCTACAGGCGATATACTGTATTCCCTGCATGTTGCCTTCTAGTCTCCACCTGCTTGAGCACTAGATCCAGCCTCTAGATTCATAAATGATCCTAGACACCAGTCATCCTCGACCAAGTCCAATGCCTGTTAGATAAACAAAGGTCATCCCGCCATGATCTTTGAATATCACCAAAAGCTAAGTATAAAACGATGATGACCATTCGACAATTGATTGTATAGACGACAATCATGGTACCTACAAATTAAAAAAAAAAACCAAATGAGTAGCAATCTGGTACTCTTTTTTTTCTTTTTTTTTTTTTATACACATGTTACCTTATCAATAACCAGTGGATATTTTGCATCATCTTGATTGTATAGACGACAATTGTGGTATCTACAAATAGAATCAGTAAAACGAGTACCAGTTCATCACCGTTATTCTCTTTTTTTTTTTAATGTATGATTACCTTAGTTACATGATTCACCAGTGTCAATGTATCAATCATAAAGGTCATACCAAAGGAAGAACCAAGAACATTTTACAAATAGTATAGCCAAAACCGAAGTTATTGATTTTCGTTGAAAGGAATGGAGAGTACCGTAAGACGAAGGGATAATAGTCCAAGGTCATGGGAGAAGACAATAAGTGGAAGACATCATACCAAGTGGGAGGGACAAAAAAAAAAAAGACAAGGACCAACCATGCAAGAAAGAGATTTCGAAGGAAACACCATGACAATGAGAGACAGATAAGGGAAAGGGAAAAAAAGAGAGAGACCAACCAAGTAAAAAAGAGAAGAAGAGACCACACAAACTCGAGAGATAACAACAAGAGAGTGAGAGACACACCATACCATTAGAGAAATGATCTTGAAGAAACCAACATCATAGGAGAGAATAACCAACCAAGCAGGAAGAAATGAAAAAAGATCTTCAGAAGTACCTGTACACATAGGTTGACTTGAATTTGGTGCTCCGTCCAGAATCTAATGGTAAAAAAGACAAAAAAAAAAAAAAAAAAAGTAAAACGATTAGTTGCTTAATCTATGTCTTACCTTCATAGTTGTCATTCCATCCAGTTCCAAACCATTAGAAGAGCCATAACCAGGTAAAGCTAGAGAAAAAAAAAAAAAGAAGGAAAGAAAGACGAAAATAAAACAAGAAAAGAAAAAGAAAAGAAAAGATACGTGATTGCTTTGAAAGATACCTCAATTCAGCCAACTCATAAACTCATTTCAATAAAAAATATTTAACATCTATTATTTTTTTTATACTTATCTTTTTACACCATTGGCTTGTTTTGTATCACCGTTTTGTTTGATCCAAACCGAGAAGAAAAGAGATCTTGACAATTGGAAAAACCAGAAGAGTCATGAATTAATTATAAAACAAGTAAGTAATTATATTTTATACTGTCTTTTTATTATTTTATTTTATTTTATTTATTTTCTAAATTGACAATTGTAGAATAAGACTCCATTACTGTCATTGTATTTTATATGTTACCTGTCATTATTCCAATATGGAGACGCGAACAGAGTGCGGAGAGTGAATAAAAAAAGTGTGGAGAAATGGAAAGAGAAAGAAAGAAAAGAAAAATGTGGGGAAACGAAATAAATAATAAAAAAAAAAGAAAGCAAAAGTCCGAATAGATAAAAGTGATGTACCAAAAGTAGCAAAATAAAGAGAAAGAATATATTGTAATGTGATAATGAATGTACAATTAAAAAGTAGATTAGTTTTTTGACATTGAAAGGAAAGTGTCAAAAACTAATCTACTTTTCCTTTAATGTTGATAATACATTTAGATCGAGTCGAATACAATATACAGCAAAAAAGGGAAAAAAAAAAAGACAAAATATGTGAAAAAGAGAATTAATATGATTCCATGTTGTTTCTTGTTTTTCATATTATTGTTAGAAAGTCTTTAAACTCTGATTCTCTTTGCTTGGATTCAGCTGTCATTTAATTTATTTAAGGAACGAGGTACAGAAATGCATTGATAACTGTTCGAGAGCTAATACTTAATAATATAAGAGAAAAAAATAATAATTATGATTTTATGAAAAAAAAAAAAGGGAATGGAAATATATATAATTGATATACTAAGTACCATTCTAAACTACAAGTAAAAAGAATCACTAACGATTCGTAAGCCAGAATAAAGGAAAAAGATATTTCTAATTGATTGTATAAGCCGATCCAGGTGAATCCTATAATATATCCTGTTCATCCATGTTGTCCACACCTTATGACAATAGCATGTATTCATTTCGTTTCATTTTGTGATCCTGTTGTATATCTATCCATTCCGCTGATGATGATATATAGCTACTTCGCTTAATATCCTATTGATACCATATTTAAATGATCAAGTCTTCGTGTATCTAGATTTCTTTATTTCTTTCAGACATATATTCAGTGATGATGATTGTCAAGGATACCAATTATGAAGTATGAGAAGAAGAAAGAACGGTAATTCTAGATGGATGGATGTTGTAGTAAAAAGATCACAGAAGAACGTATATAATAAAAAAAAAAAAAAGGGAAGGAGGTTAGAAAAAAAAAAAAGAAGAAAAGCATTTGTTTTTGAAACTTACCTTTAATAAGAGTAAATATTTGTAAAAATCACATAGATAACATGAGTAGGATATAGTAACGAAGTTGGAATGTATATAAAAAAAAAAAGAAAGAAAAAAAGAAAAAAAAAAGAAAAGATTACTTTATATGTCTACCTGATCGGAGCCAGTTTAAAAAATCCTGCAAATCAAATCAACCAATCATAGGGAATCACAAAGGTTGAAGTTGCTTTTTTTTGAATTGATTTTTTTTTATTATTGATTATAGTAACATCATAATGATGATGATGATGATATATTAGAATAAACACTTTCAAGTGAATGTCTTTATCACTTATTTCTTATTCCTTGTATTCATTGAACTTTTTCTTGTACCACCTTATATTTTCTAGTGATGACATCCTTTTTCACTTTTTTTTTTTTTTTTGTTTGAATAATTATGATAGTGAAGAAAGATTACAAAAGAAAAAGGAATATCAAGCATATAGGCTAAATCAATTTGAACAACTTTTTATTATGGAACATCAATTACATTCATTTAGAATAATAAATCAGTTTAAATATCATAAATTGATTATCCTGATAATATAAAATAATAAAAGTAATGAATATAAATTATGAAAAGCGGTAGTTGAACATCCAAAAAAGGAAAGCCTCAATTCATGAGGTTATGTTAAAATAGACCTCACTTTTTTTATTTTCTCACACTTTCTTCTTCTTCTTCTTTTTCTTCTTTATCACTACTGTTATAAGCTTCTTTTTTTTATTTTGTATAAAAAGTAAGTAAAGATATAATAAAAGGAACTTTATATACTTGTTAAGTAATCTCTCTCTCTCTCTCTCTCTCTCTCTCTTTTTTTTTTTTTTTTTTTATCTTGTTATAGAAATACCATCTCTTGACTCTTCTTACGAACTGAATCCTCAATATATATTCAACAGATCATGAAACTATAACAATGGGACTATAACTATCAAAGGTACTACTATATTTCCAAAAGAAAAAAAAAAGAAATAGTAAAATAGTAAGTGATTTAGGTATGGCTACGATTCTCATTCTTTCCTTTTTTTTTTTTCTCAGTAGTATTCCGGTATAATGTGTCAATGGAAAGGCTATTGAGCATATCTATCAATTATGGTTATCAGGCATAAACAAAACAAAATCAAGGGTATTATCTTTGAAGGTAAGGCCTAAAATACGATAATGAAGGATTTGTCAATCATTAATATCATCTTTTCTTTTCTTTTCTTTTCTTTTCTTTTCTTTTCTTTTTTTTTTTTTTTTTTGCTGATGGGTAGTGTCACAAATACAAGTTTATCTGTTTATATGTTACTCTATTCTCTATAAAGGCATCCTATCTTATCAAGATGGTTTGAATTCTCATCAGTTAGTTACCCTTGTGGAAATTGATATCGTTATCATTACTATCGCTGTCACCCATCAAATATTACTAGTATAAGTTCCAACTACAGTGGAATATATATTACACATATCAACCATTAAAGTTTATTTATTAAATAGATAGGTTGTCATGATAAATCGTCCATCAGTCTTATTATGTTACTACTGTATTATTCAATTGTTACGATCCGTTTCAAGTATGGTCAATTACTGTATTCAAAGTAAGATATAAAAAAAAATGAAAAAGAATATTTAAAATATGATTCTCATTCTCTTTTTCTTTTTCTTCTTTCTTTTTTTATTGTTTTGATGCATCATTATCCTATATATACCGATCACAGAACCAAATGAAAATTGGATACATAAAAAGGATGAATAACTAATGTAACTATATTATTAACTACAACTGGAAAGGGAAAGCAATTTGTGTACAATAAATAACATTTTTTCTATAGTTTCTTTTATTGATAGTTTTAGTCTTATTATATTCTTTTTATATTCTTCTTCTTCTTCTTTAATAAAGTTTATCTTTATATCATCATCTTATTATTATTATTATTTATTCATCTATTCTATTTTCTTTTAATGCAAATCATAAGTGTTTCCATAAATAGTATATATTCAAAGTCCGGTCTCAATGTGGGGTGTGTTGGATCAAAAAAAAAAAAAAAAAGGTCTGGAGGTTCCAATCTCAAAAAAAGTTGGTCGAGATCAAAAAAAAAATCTGGGAGATTGAAAAAAAAAAAAGAAGTTGGACCAAGCTCTGACAAAAGACAAAATTTTTTTGGCGCGCTCTCCACTTTTTATTCCAACTTCTCTTTTTACTTTTTTTTTTTTTTTTTTAACCAATGACTCTTTGAACATTGTAAGTTACCATTATACATTACTTTACTAATCTATATTATATACTTAAAAGTTACTCTTTACATGTTATACTCACTCTATACTTTACTATATACTTACTCTATACTTATTCTTTCTTTTTTTCTTTCTTTCTTCTTCTTCCTTAGTCTTTCATATTATGAACTAATCTATTTTTGGTTTTTTTTTTTTTTTTTAACTCTTTTTATGAACATATAGTAGATAGATATATGAAGAAATATATAATATGATTAACTGGACATATAGCAAGTTTTCTATTGGACAAAAGAATAACAAGTTAGGGAAAAAGTATCCAACTCTTTGTCATGGAAATTACTTTATTTAATAATTTAGTCTTTTAGTTATAGATATTATATTCTCATTTAAATAAAAATCATATTTTATTATTTGTTTATTATATTGTCATTTCACTATTATTTATCTATTTGTCCTCGATCATCATCACTATCAAGAGGAGTAATAAGAAAGAATAGTATGATCATCATTGTATTTTCACTAAAAAATAAAAATAAAAATAAAAAAAACTAAAAACAAAATCCATATACACATCAGTATCTGCTATTTCTCTTCATACATTACATCCATCATTTTTAGGAATAAATATTTTCTTATTATCAACCATCATCATCATCTATGATAATAGCAAGTTGTACCTGTATACTGTTGACCGTTCGTCTTCTCTCTCACGAAAATAACGATGTTATTGATCAATTGCTTGGATTCAGCTGTAATTTAATTTATTCAAGGAACCAGGTACAGAAATGCATTGATGACTGTTCTAGAAAAATAATAATTATGATTTTATTAAAGAAAAAGAATGTAAATATATATAATTGATATACTAAGTACCATTCTAAACTACAATTAAAAAGAATTACTAACGATTCATAGACCAGAATAAATAAAAAAAAAGATAAATAAGATACTTCTAATCGATTGTATAATCCAATCCAATTGAATCCTATAATATATCTTGTTCATCCGTGTTGTCCATGCCTTATGACAATAGTACGTATTCATTTTGTTTATTTCTGTGATCCTATTGTATATATCTCTATCTATCCTGCTGATGATGATGTATAGCCCCTTCGCGTAATTATGCTATTGATACTATATTTAAATGATTAAGCCTTCGTGTATCTAGATTTCCTTCAGACATATATTCAGTGATGGTGATTGCCAATGATAACAAGTATGAAGTATGAGAAGAGGAAAGAATAATAATTCTAGATGGATAGATGTTGTAGTAAAAAATATCAAGGTCAGAAGAACGTATATATAAAAAAAAAAAGGAAAGGAGGTTACAAGAAAAAAAAAAAAGAAGAAAAGCATTTGTTTTTGAAACTTACCTTCAATAAGAGTAAATATTTGTAAATACGACATAGATAAAATGAGTAGGATATAGTAACAAAGTTGGAATGTATAAAAAAAAAAAAAAAGGAAAGAAAGAAAGAAAGAAAGAAAAAAAGAAAGAAAGAAAAAAAAAAAGAAAAGATTACTTTATATGTCTACCTGATCGGAGCCAGTTTAAAAAATCCTGCAAATCAAATCTACCAATCATAAGGAATTACATAAGTTTAAGTTTCTTTTTTTTTGAATTGATTTTTTTTATTATTGATTATAGTAACATAATAATGATGATGGTGATGATGATGATGGTGGTGATGATGATGATGATGATGATGATGATGATGATGGTGATGATGATGATGGTGGTGATGATGATGATGATGATGATGATGATGATGATGGTGATGATGATGATGGTGGTGATGATGATGATGATGATGATGATGATGATGATGATGATGATGATGATGATGATGATGATGATGATGATGATGATGATATATTAGAATAAACACTTTCAAGTGAATGTCTTTATCACTTATTTCTTATTCCTTGTATTTATTGAACTTTGAATAATCATGATAGTGAAGAAAGATTACAAAAGAAAAAGGAATATCAAGCATATAGATTATATAATCAATTTGAGCAACTTTTTATTAATCTGATGAAGCATCAATCACATTCATATAGAATAATAAATCACATTATATTATAAATTGATTATCTGATAATAACAAAATAATAAAGTAATGAATATAAATTATGAAAAGCGGTAGTTGAACATCCAAAAAAGGAAAGGGTCAATTCATGAGATTATATAAACTAGACCTCACATTTTTTTATTTTCTCACACTTTCTTCTTCTTCTTTATCACTACTTTTATAAACTTCTTTTTTTTATTTTGCATAAAAAGTAAGTAAAGATATAATAAAAGGAACTTTATATATTTGTTAACTAAACTCTCTCTCTCTCTCTTTTTATCTTTCTATAGAAATACCATCTCTTGACGCTTTTTTACAAACTGAATCCTCGATATATATTCAATAGATCATGAAACTATAACAATGGGACTATAACTATCAAAGGTACTACTATATTTCCAAAAGAAAAAAAAAAGAAATAGTAAAATAGTAAGTGATTTAGGTATGGCTACGATTCTCATACTTTCCTTTTTTTTTTTCTCAGTAGTATTCCGGTATAATGTGTCAATGGAAAGGCTATTGAACATATCTATCAATTATGGTTATCAGGCATAAACAAAACAAAATCAAGGGTATTATCTTTGAAGGTAAAGCCTAAAACACGATAATGAAGGATTTGTCAATCATTAATATCATCTTTTCTTTTCCTTTTGTTGATGGGTAGTGTCACAAATACAAGTTTAGCTGCTTATATATTACTCTATTCTCTATAAAGGCATCCTTCTTATCAAGATGGTTTGAATTCTCATCAGTTAGTTACCCTTGTGGAAATTGATATCGTTATCATTACTATCGTTGTCATCCTTCAACTGTTATTGGCATAAGTTTTCAACTACAGTGGAATATATATTACACATATCAACCATTAAAGTTTATTTATTAAATAGATAGGTTGTCATGATCCATCGTCCATCAGTCTTATTATGTTACTGTCATTCAAGTGTTATGATCATTTTCAAGTATGATCAATTACCGTACTCAAAGTAAGATATAAAAAAAAAAAGAAAAAGAATATTTAAAATATGATTCTCATTCTCTTTTTCTTTTCCTTTTTTCTTTTTTTATTGTTTTGATGCACCATCATCCTTTATATACAGATCACAGAACCAAATGAAAATTGGATACATAAAAAGGATGAATAACTAATGTAACTATATTATTAACAACAACTGGAAAGGAAAATCAATTTGTGTACAAATAGATGACATTTTTTCTATAGTTTCTTTTATTGATAGTTATTATATTATTTTTATATTCTTCTTCTTCTTCTTTAATAAAGTTTATCTTTATATCATCATCATCTTATTATTATTATTATTATTTATTCATCTTATTCTACTTTATTAAAATCATAAGTGTTTTCCATAAATGGTATCCATTCAAAGTCCGGTCTCAATGTGGGGTGTGTTGGATCAAAAAAAAAAAAAAGTTGGTCAAAGATCAAAAAAAAAAAAAAAAAAAAAAAGTTGGTCGAGATCAAAAAAAAATCTGGGAGATTGAAAAAAAAAAAAAAAGTTGGACCAAGCTCTGACAAAAGACAAAATTTTTTTGGCGCGCTCTCCACTTTTTATTCCAACTTTTCTTTTTACTTTTTTTTTTTTTTTTTTTTAACCACTGGCACTTTGGACATTGTAAGTTACCATTATACATTACTTTATGGTTGGTTCTTTTTTTTTTTTTTTTTTACTCTTTTTGTGAACATACAGTAGATAGATATATGAAAGAATATACAATAGGATTAACTGGACATATAACAAGTTTTCTATTGGACAAAAAGAATAGCAAGTTAGGGAAAAAGTATCCAACTTTTTATCATGAAAATTAGTTTATTTAATAGTTTAGTCTCTTAGTGGTTTATGCTATATTATTCTTTTTTATTCTCATTTAAATAAAAATCATATTTTTATTATTGTCTATTATATTGTCATTTCACTATTATTTATCTATTTGTCCTCTATGATCATCATCATTATCAAAATGAGTAATAAGAAAGAATGGTATGATTATCATTTTATTTTCGCAAAAAAATAAAAAATAAAAAAAAACTAAAAACAAAATCCATATACACATCAGTATCTGCTATTTCTCTTCATATATTACGTCCATCATTTTTAAGAATAAATATTCTCTTATTATCAATCATCATCATCATCATCTGTGATAATAGTAAGTTGTACCTGTATGCTGTTGATTGTTATATCTACCATTTCTATTGCAGGTATATACATCGAATCAACCATCATAACAAAAGATAATAATAATATTTGATTATTTATTAAGATAGATGATATATCTGTAAGCTATAAATTATCGATATAAAAAATATACAAAAATAAGCTAAGACTATTCTAGTGTTTTGGGGAAGGTATAGTCTTGGGAACTGAAGGGAATTGTAATGTTTTAAGTCTTTCTTCGGCTTCCTTCTTTTGTTGCTTCTTGGTATGTTCACGTTGTCGTAAGTAGAAATAGTCCCGTTGTAGAATGAATTTCGGTGGTGCTTGTGGTTGTGGAGATGTACTTGCTGGTGGTGGTGTAGCAGACGCCGAGGAAGAAACATCTTCTTTATTGTCATTAGAATTGTCGTTGCCATTGTCGTCGTCTTTATCATCTTTCTTATTCTTGTCCTTGTCTTTATTCTTTTCATCGTCGGGTTTCTTTCGCCAAGAAGTCAATGCTGATCCAATACTAGATACTAGATCTACTACGCTATCACTTTCAACTGGTCGATCCTTCAATGATGAATTACTTGTCTGTGGTGGTAATGTTGCTTTTGGTTTGGGTGATCCTCCTACTTTAGAACAAAAGTTGAAATCACCTAGATGAGATCGGCAGGTATAAAACCAATCACTGTTGCTGTTATCAGCAGAGGTCAGTACTACTAAAGTAAACTTGTTGCATACAAAACACGGTCTTTCTTGTTTGGTGAGTCGAGCGATATATAGATTCTGTATTTTGGATGTCATAGCAATGATAAAAAAAAAAAAAATAGGAGAAAGAGTGGAAAAAAAACAACCTGCTTTTTGCTTGAACAAAGCCTTTTTTTTTGGAACTGTAAATTCAATCTCAGAATCCACTGATAAGTAAAGGTGCCTGGGTTTTGTAAACGCTACCAGCATGAATCATCAACATCATTTCAATGATCCTATAAATACCAAGTTTACTGATTAAACTTTGTAATAAAATGATATGTATTCTAAATGGAAGGATAGAACAAAAAAAAAAAACCAATCGTCGCAGTGACCAAATCATATGACCTTAATGGGGGTACACAGGGTGCAAATTATACCTGAGCTTTTTTTTTTTTTTTTTTTTTTTTTCTTTCTTTCTCTTTCCATTCTTTTTTTTTTTTTTTTCTCTCCATTGAACTAGTTAATTGAATGGTGAATCTTGTCGAGAATAGTGACGATTATAACAATAAGGACAACGGCGATAATACCCACTTATCCGATGAAACAATTGATCAACTTGGATATGCTCGACTCACAGCTGCTTCTCTGAGTTGTGCTCCTGCTTCTTCTATTACTGCTACTTCACCAACAGCTATCTTTGTCACTGGCCCGACGAAATCTCCTCCACCAGTTCTGATGCCACGTCCTCGTCCAGCCGTTCATCCTACTTTGAAGCTAACAAGTGCATTTTCTGAACCTGATCCTATTTCTCTTCCTTCCATTACTACTGTGCCTTTGACTACAACAATACCACCGAAATTTCCAGAACCAACCCAACATCAACAAGAAGAGGAATACGAGTCTCCGGAACAACCTCCAAGCACTTACTTGACACCACCTCTTGCATCTCCTCTTTCAATGCCTTTACAAAAAACAAACTCAATACCGTCAAAAGTAGATTCTACCAATTTGGAAGAAAAACCACAAGTAGCTGTTGAGCAACAATCATCTTCGCCAACATCAACCAAAAGGACATCGCCTTCCACCACTAAAAATATCAGCAACAACAGCAACAACAATGACAACAACGATAGCAACCATACTTTGGAACAAAGGATCACATCATCATCATCATCATCAGCAGAAACTAATTCCAATTTGAACCGTCATCAGCAACCAACCAGCAAAAAGGCAGATCCTGTGGATAACCAATCATCATCAGAGCGGCGCAATCAGCATAGTGGGATTTTACCTCGAAAACCTCCTGTTTCTTCCTCTGGTCATAGCATTACAGTCTTGACTACTTCTACTAGTGCACCTATTATTCCCTCTCCCTTGGTCAAATCTACATTGGCGTCCCAACTCTCCAATTCTTCTTCTTCTTCTTCTTCTTCTTCCTCCTTTTCCTCCTCTTCTAGTTCTCGTGGCTCGACCAAAAAGCAATCATCATCACAACCATCACGATCATCACATCCATCAGAACCGCCAAGTAGTCATCATCAAAGACTTCAGCGTCCAATTCGAAAGTCGATGTCTAGTGAACATCTTCAGAAAACAGGTCCTTTTGATCTTTACACATCATCACCAGCAACGACGAAACAACAGCATGCAGGCATCATCAAGGAAAAAGTACCATATATCGGCAAGCCACCAACTAGACAACAGCAGCAGGATTATCTTTTACGACAAAACAGCTTACTTCGACGACAAGTGGATGCCTTGCGGTTTGACAATTGGGAATCACAAAGACAGCATCAGGAACTGGCACTTCGTTTGAAATATTTGGAAGCGCAATTAGCAGAAAAAAGGCAGGCTACCACTGGATCTGTAAATGAATACCAACATCACCATTATTACCACCATCACAGTATGTTATCGCCTGAAGATGTAATCAAGAAAAATGGGAAAGTGCAACGACAGCAATATGGATTTGAAATGAATGATGATACCAAAAAAAACAACGATGGCGACAATGACAGCATGGAAGAAGAATTATATTATCATCATCACCATCATTATCACCAGAGGGACAAAGATGAAAAGGATCAAAGACGGAATTCATATGACGAGGAGGAACAAGATGAAATAATGGACAACAAGAGCGCAGTAGATAATAGCAAACATTATATGGAATATCAAGAAACAATACCTAGAAACGAAGCAATTAACAATAGCCAACCATACCAACCTACAACCAAACAGAAACGACCAATATATCAGCGAAGACATTCATCATATATTTCACCCACATCATCGATTTCGGATTCTGTGCTATCACCAAATCAACGGGTCCAACGACAACAACGACCGGAACATGAATTACATGAAAATGAAAGGAGACATGCAACATTCCCTCTTCGACGTCGCTCAATCAATCAACCAGTACCAATACAAGAACGACAACGACAGCAACAATCAGGAGGGGGATCAAGACGTCAACGTAGTCGAAGCGTACCCAAAAATAGCAATATCCCACTTACGCCATCCTCACAACAAAAACAACAACGGCTTTATCATTATCAACCACGACAACATTATCCGCAGCAACAGCATATATCTGATTTTCCTTATGATGATGATGATGTTACTTATCTAGACAACGAGGATGTCAATGACAACAGCAGCAACTACATGATGCCTAATCGTGCGATGCTTCCACCAATACTTTCTCGCGAATTGGACAACGGAGAAGAAGATATGGATGATGGGTTTAGTGAAGAAAGTGATCCTATTGATGACATGACGGATGATATCAGTGACGATTACTATGGATACGATGTCAACAGAGCTGCCGATGATGATGATGATGATGATGAATACTTTGATGATGACGACGACGATGATGATCATGTTGAGGCAATTCTACCACCACGTAATGCTCGCAGAATGCCACCACCTCCATTGAACAATGTTTACTCTATGTTTTATCCACCCTATGAACGACTGCCGCCACCCAATATGTTTATGAATGATCCTTATTTTGATCCACGTTTGCATCCATTTTCACCTCCAATTCGATTGCGCCGACAAAGATCAGCTACTGCTCCTCAACAGATCAGACGAAATCTTTCTACTGAATTTCGGATACCTATGCATCAACATTATCTTCGTAAGTCATCATAAAAGAAGAAAGATGATCGTTGTTTTTATTCATTTATTTATTAAATCAAACCACTTTTTTTTTTTTTTTTTTTTGAAAAATGTTAGGACGACCACCCAAACCACCAGTTGGAGGAATGCAATGTAAGTGAAAACACCATATGTTTTGCTCCCCATTTATTCAACAAATGATTTTTTTTTTTAATAGGGAACCCTCGTCCTTCTCCTTCTACAGCAGCTGCCCATACTCGACAACTACAATCAGTTCGATCACCAACTAATAGTCAGCGTCGCATGAAACCACCTGGAGAGGGAACATCTGTATCAGCTCGGCCGTCTCCAAGACCTCCTGGATCCGTTCGATATAATATAAAACCCCCACCAAAAGTGTCTAGGCGATTGGATGAGAATCATACACCAAACAATAGATCATCAAGAAACTACCATGCACCATCATCATTGGACCCATCAAGGACGATATCATCACCAAAAGTCAAGACTTCCACCGTGCCACTCACTTCGATACTGAAAACATCAACATCCGCCAACAACTGACCAAAATTTACTACAATGATGGAATGATGATAACACTTGTATTAGTATCATATTAGTACTCCTTTTTAGTTAGTTAATTAGTTCGTTAGTCAATGTACACTCTACCATGTTTAGTTAGTTTTCTCGCCACGGTACCCTTTTAGGTGAATCACTCTTTTTTTTTTATATATATTTTAATAAAGTCACCACCACAACAACATCATCATCGTCTTTTTTTTTTTTTTTTTTTTTTTTTTTTTTTTAACATGATGGTCCAATCGTTTTGATCTAGATGTTCAACCATGATGAAAGAATTCTGTCAGACATGACCATCGTTCCGTTTTCCGAGTCTAGCCAATGACTAGCATTTCATTTCGACTTCCATTCCATTCATACTCCTTTCATTATTACTTTTTGATCATCCTTCATCATAAATACGCATAAAGTTTCTTTTTTATATACTTTTTATTTTCATAATTGTTTTTGAATGAATAAAAGAAAATAAGTGATCATTCCAAAATTATATTTTATTTTTCTTGTGAGACTGATACAAAGTAGGAATCCATGATGGAATGATAGCTTTGAGATTATCCGATCTCTTTTATTTTTTGATGTATACGTATATCTCTGTTTCAAAAAACAAAAAAAAAAAAAAAATAGACCGTGATCCAAATCACATCCTCTATGAGGCATATACGTCCTCCAACTTTCTCATGTTCCATCTTCGCTTTAAAGGAATCAAGCTAAAACAGATTCAAAATCGTACATCCAATCAATTCCACCGAAAAAGGAACAATGTGTCCCCATCACATGCACCTCAGATATATGTTCAATGAGTTCGCTCAAACCAGATATCTCATCGTCGTGTTTAAAACAACTTTTTATGTTAACCCAGACATCTATTCCTATTTCAATATATTTATAAAAATATGCATATGCTTTTTGTTTATTCTATTGATATATGTATGAAGAATGATGATAATATTGTAATAATAAAAAAAACAAACTATTGTACAGAGGGCGGATGGATATTATATTAGGGATTGTAAAAGAGCCAATTGCTGAGGTAAAAGAAGCTTGACTTGTTCCGAGATCTTGCTATTTGTTTCAATGATACCATCCTTTTCCAGTTGTGATTGATGTTCTACTACCATCATTGTCTTTTGTAGTTCATCCAAGATCAATTTCAAATAGTGTCGTTCATCTGACGTTGATGTGATCAAAAGTTGATGTATCCAAGTCAATAATCCATACCGTTGAACCAATCGAAGAGCCACATCAGGAATCGAGACTGCTTGTTGTATTAATTCCATTACCAGTCGTTTGCTCTGTATATCTGCCAAGGATGAATTGTAATAAGATGGTATTAAATCCCAAATGCGGTGGCGTGCGTATATGTTAAAATCGTCCACTGTTCTAATGGATGATGCCAAAACTTGAAGAATCCATAATCGTTCTTTCTTGTGATTGGGTGTGGTAGAGTTGAATAAGGCTGTAAACATAGGAATATGCTATAACATAAAGGTATCAGGCAAACGTTAGTTTTTTTTTTTTTTCAAAAAAAAAAATTATATTCATTCATCGTCATATTCTTATAACTTACGTTGAAATCCAAAGCTGGTTTTTGGGAAAGCCATTTCGATATATAAGGTAACATAAAATGATAAGGTAGCATAAGAATTGACAAGCTCTGTGCAACACAAAGACAAACAGCTGGAGGTATACGAGGTGGAACATCCATATCAGACCGTTTCGTAATCCCTTGTTTGAAGATATCTAAAAGGTACTTGATAGGGAATTTGCCTTTGAATTTGGAATGCTAAGAAGAAGAAGAAAAAAAAAGATGATGAATATCGATCTTTTTTTTTAACACATACAAACAATACAGATATATATACATATATATATATATATATATATATATATATATATATATACATATAATTACCTCCAGTAAAACGTAGAATTGATCCATCATTTGATATCCAATCTTCCGCACATTTTCATCCAAACTTGACAACGCAGCCACTGTCAAACCCAAACCGTCATTTTCGATAAATCTTCGACAATCCAAGGTACCACTGGCAATCAGATTGGCAAAAAGAGGCAAGAAAAAGTCAGGATCATAAGTCACTACAGATTTATCCACAGTTGTCGTAGGCATATGTAAGAATGTATATCGCATCATTTCTCGATGAATCAAACCCAATGTCTCCACAGAAATCGTTGATGCTCGAAGGAGTGTGCCAGCTTGTGCATGCTCTTGTCTTGTCTTATCAGAATTTGGTCCCCACATCAGTAACTTTGGAAGAATCGTTTGGTCACCATGATGTTCACTAGAGCGAAGAATACCAAGAATTCTTCGATCACTAGGTAATGTTGTCGCACTGTAGCTGGTAAGTAGCGTATCCAACAGACCGTGATGGCTAGCAAGTATTGAGGGCTGAATGTCATTGAGTGTACCAAGTAGTTCAATAATGGCATTACGTTGTTCATCTTGGACAACTGTGTTTCTACGCTTGTTCTCATCGGCATCATCATCATCAGCATCTGTTTGCGCCAACCCTTCTTTGTTTTTGAGAAGAGAATCAATCGTCTTGGGTGCCGTCAATGATCGATACAAGTTGTGATCTAGAATGCGACGGATATACGTTTCAATAGGCTCCTTCCGAGTATACTAAATAAAGAGACAAAATATAAGTCAACTGTCACAAGTAATTCTTTTCTCTTCTATTTACCTTGGCATAAACTTTATGTATCAAAGTTGATGTGAAACGAATAGCAGCTGAATTTGATATATTGTCCAACAAAGTCATCAACACGAAATCACGTACAATTTCTGCATCCAATCGAGTCCAATCAAAGTCGTCTACTTGACTTATCAGCAAAGTGAGAGCGTCATATACATCGTCAGTAATAGCCATGTTGGATACAATGGAAACGTCTGCATTTTCTGTGAGCATTTTCAAAATAGATTCCATGACTGTTTGAAGATATGATTCGCCGTCTGTTGAAGAGCAATTGTTGTTGATACTCAAAGAATAACCAATACGGATCAAATGAATCAAAGGGACAGTAACTGATAAACTGGCCGAGGAGGAGAAAGTATCTAATACCCATAAAGACACAGGGACAGACGTTTCCTTGCAAGCTTCTTGAAGATCCTTCATATTCACAGAATAAGGATGACCTTGAAGAATATGCTTCACTACAAGATCACTACAGGCATTCAAAAGAAGTCGTTGAGCATTGCGGTAATCGTCATCTTGATATTGTAATGATTCATTCTTTTCTAATAATGATAGAACATCGGTATTTGATAACCCCATTGTTGCCGCAGATTGATGAGTTCCATTCCACATTTGTGCTATGGTAGCGAAAACCTTGCCAGGAATAGAAACTTGATTTCCACCATTCTTGATCAGAGAAATCAATAGTTTCATGAGTCCATTATAGAAGGATTGATAACCGTTGTGATTGCAATATTTGTAAAGAGAAGTAAAGTCCACCAACGCCATACTGTTCAATAATTCAGTTGTTCTGGTCCCATCTCCAAATATTTTTGTAAATTTGACAGCCAACTGGATCAACTAGAATCATGCAAAAGTAAGGAAAAAGTGAAGACAGAAAAAAAAAAAGTGAGTTGTGTGATGATTAGATGAATGAAGTAAGTAGAAGAAAGACAAGTTATTCAACTTACATCATCATCAGGTAATGTAGGATAAGTGTCGGTATATCTGAGCTGATGTAGTAGTGTAGAAAGTCTTCTAATAAAATATTTCAGAGTTGGGTGTTCAAATATAAAGTGTCGAAGGTCCAATCGAGTTTGCTCTTGCTTCATGTTGTTGTCAATAACCCAAAGTCCATGCTGAATAAGTTCAAAGCAAAAGTCAATAGCCTTCATGGTATTTTCCGTCGCTTTGTTGATCAACACAATAGACAAATTTTGTAGGACTAAAGAGAGAGCACAAGTCAGTTGATACCGAGTCATGTTGTTCAATTGATGTTCCAGTAATTGTATTGCTAAAGTGTGGTCACCAGAATAATTCCAGGCATTATAGAAGATGATGTGGTAAGGAATACATTTGAGTAAATCCACTATAGGACTGGAGCGAAAAGATGAAATAAATATATGAGTTTGCACCTTTTTTTTTTTTTGAGTTTTAACTAGATTACCTTTGATCATTCAGTGATCTCAAGTGTTGTAAATTAGGATAATCGAATAAGTTGCCGGCTACTGGATGTCGATCAGAGATATAATTCACCAAAGGATCAAAAGCTGTAAATTGTAGTACTTTGATACAATAATTTGCTGTAGTATCCAAGTGATTGGCAAGAGCTTTGGTAGGTAATGAGTCCAAAATATCGATAAATCTTTTTTGACGATTATCAAGATCATCATCTATTTCTGTTTCTAAAATGAAAAAAAAAAAATAGAAATGAGAGAAGAGCAAGTGAGGGGGGAAAGGTTTTAAAAATACACAAATCCGTCCATATCTTTTGTATATGAATCTATCATTTACCTGATATCATACTGGTGAGAATAGAGGTTTCCGAATCTTGATCCTTCGTCACAAAAGAGACACTACTGAAGATTTCTTGATCAAGACATATCTTGGCTTGATATACCATGTCCTTTATTTCCCAAGTGCCAACCAATGCTTCATCAGAAACATTGTAATCGAGATCCATGTCATTTTCTTCACTATTCTTGTTCATCGTTGTTTCTAATAGACTTTTCATCAATGCTTGCAGATAAATGGGTAGTTTCTGTTTAGTTTGAAGTAGAGAGAATAATCGAGAAATGAATAATACCAATGGCCGTTTATCAGTTTTAATAAATCGTAATTGTTCCAATAAGACAAGTAACAAAGGACTGAATGGGTGAGTATAATCAATCATGGTGTTTGATGATCCAGTATCGACGATAGATTGGTAACTTATATGATTATGTCCGTGCTTTTCTGTCGATATTTTGAGTTCAAAAGATTCGTTTGTACTGTTTACAAGTTCCACCAATTTGTCCGTATATCGATATTGAGCTTTCCCAAAACGAGTAAAACAATCATCCAAGTATCGAAGAACAATTTCTTGATCAGTTGACATTGTAAGTCTTTCACTACCACTTGATGATGTTCGAGACAAGAAATTTTGAGGTAGAGCTTGTAACCATAACTGTACTTCTTCAGGATCATGTTTAAACATAAATGAGTCGGATAGCGTTTGATTTACCAGTTTGGCGGTCAGGTTGCGGATATGATTGTAAGGAGTTTGAAGGTATAGTGTAAGAAGAGTCGTGATATGCGATACGGATGTCCCAGCTATAGTGCATATATATATATATATAGATAAATTGTTAGTAACAGTTACTTCTTTTTTTTTTTTTTTTTTTTCTATCTTGACCTGGCCGATCTTTCTATCTTTACCTGATTTGTTGCTCCATCTGAAATCCGACAAATTAAGAAGTAACTCCAAAAGATGAACCAAAATACTAGGGCTAACAGAAAGAATATCCGCCGGGATCAGATTGCTAGGATCCACATTATTTTCCATAAAGGTCAAAGGAACACATTTTTGATAGTAATGAAGTAACCGGAAGACACTAACTTGCAAGATTTCACATTGGGCTTGATATTCAACATCATCCTTTTTAGTATTATCGATCTTGCCAAATATTTCAGAATGTAACTTGATGATGATTTGAATTTCTGGTAATCTTCGTCGTAATTCTTCTCGTACAGTGTTAAGACATTGTCTCCATTGAGCTGATGGTAAAGATCCAGGTTGTTGATCTTGAGTTGTTGTTGTTGTTGTTGTTGTTGTATTTTTATCTTGATGTACTTCTACATCTTCCAAAACTGAGATAACATGTTCCATTTCATCCGCTACTTTGATGAATTTCTGAAAAGCAGCTGCTAAGATGTTGGTTGTAGTGAAACGAACAAGAGCACTTGCATGTTGAAGACCTTTGCTAGATATCGATCGACCAAAAACGGTTGGAAGTATATTGTCGAGAATCATGTCTGCTTTTGGTGGAGTTGCAGGATAAAGGTGTGTTGTTCCAAAATAGAAGGATGGTACAGGGAGTTGAATCACTTTTTGAAGATAAGTTGCATTTCCAAGCCATTTACTACTGAGACGTACTTCAAATGTCGATGATACATGTTTCCAATATCTATGTATTGAATAATAATACAAATAAAAATAAAGAAAAAAAGGTTAACATACCATTCAGATAGAAGAAGTCCAAACCACCACCACCATCATCATTATCGTCATCATCATCTTACGATTGCACAAGCTCAGGACAGGCAGATAAAATTTTCAATAGGAGTTCTTGTTGGCGCATATCATCAGATGGTTTCAAAGATAAAATGAATTTTGACAAACATTTATTTTCTAATGGTTCTCCTTTATCACTGTCGGTCAAAAGAGTATTATCACGAATTGGAGGATACCATCCAGCATGTTTCAAGCAGACGCCAATCCCAGGAACAGTACAGATTGACAATAAAAAGTGGTGTACCAAATTAGCAGGGATACCAGTTTCTGTGGAATTGATAGGTACTGGTTCTTGTCGTCCATATATTTTTGCGATCTAATAAACAAACAAACAAAAAAAAAGGCATAAGAAAATTGAACATTTCACTCTTTTTTAATCAACATGTTTACCTTTTCCAATATATAAGGTGTAAAAAAGCTTAACTTGGCGAATCGTGGAACGCGATGATCGGATATAAGGTTTTCATAGATCACATTTAGTATTTCTTCAATCAACTGCGTTGTCAAAAAAAAAATAATTAAATGTTGATGTTAAAATATTATTTGAAAGCAAAAACATTTTTTTTTTTTTTTTTTTTTTTTTTTTTTACCTGATACGCATCTTCTTCCATTGGAACAAACACGCCATTCAAAAGACCCTTGACACCAAGGACTTGTTTCTTTATTTCAGAATCACCATGAATTAAAAATGCCAATACAAATTGAACATATAATGTTCGTAGATCTATTATTTGGAAAAAAACCCTTATCATCAGCTTGTTGTTCATTTTCATTTCATCCGTTCCTTTTATGTTTACCGAATAAATATTTGTTTGGATTGTTTCCTTTTTTCTGTTGGCGATATCGACAAGCTCTAGTAAAACCCTAAAAATCAATTAATAAAAACAAATACTCATTAAGTCAAAGTAAGAATAAAAAATGTTTTTTTTTGATGGATGTGTCAGCTTACTTCTGCCTGGAAATTGAATGACTGAAATAAATCTCTTGCTGTTGTTTGATTGAAAGAGGCGATGGCGATCAAAACCCTAAAGGACGATTGACATTGAGGAATACGCGCTGAACTGATACCACGGTAAATGGACTTCATATGTCTTTGCATGATGTATTAAAAAAAAAAAAGAAAAAGGTTAAGGATAATAATAATAACAATAAAAAGATTTCGTTAATATAAATGAATCATCGACATAATATTTCCAAAAAAAAGGATATAGTTTGAATAAGTTGTAGACCATAAGAGCGCAGGATAGGAGTGTTGCACAAACGGATAACCAAACTAATGATATCAGGTACAAGACATTCTAGGTTTTGTATATTTGTCTATTTTTTTTTTTAAAAAAAAAAAGGATTGTTAATATCATATTTTACTTCCTCAATAAAACATGATAATTGATTTATTAAAACATTACCGAGGTTTGATAGTCCCAAAGTTCAATGACGGAACTACAGTCAGTACAGGATTGGATATATTCAACAAGAGGTCGTGTATATTTTTCGGTAGGATCTACTCGGACAGATACAGCCCCTATCAACTGAGATCGCAATGTTTGAAGATCTATTAAGAAATAATAATAATAAAAAGGTTAAAGAAAGGAAGGAAAAAAAAAAAAAAAACTCTTTTAATATAATATACCTTTTGTGAGAGCACCAAGTTCCTTTATCTTCACTGCTTTTGCCACATCCTTGACATTGGTATAAAAGTCAATACCCTTTTGTGAATCTTTGGCAGACTGATCCTTGTTCGTCATAGTCTGGAAAACAATGAGGTAAAAGGAAAAGAAAGTGAATAAAATCAAAAAAGTTAAAAAATTTGTCTGGAAATGAATAATTTCAAAAGGAAAGATTCATGTCTCCCCTTTCAAGTGGTGGCTTACACTCATAATTTTTTTTTTTTTTTTTTTTGGGAGGTGCATGTTTTTGCATAAATTTTATTCATCCATGTTTGCAAACCACTAAAAAATATTTTGATATAAATCATAACGTATAAAAACATCTATTATCTATATAATTCATAATTATTATATATTTTGTTATTGAAACTAAACGATCAATATAGAATGATTACTTTTTTTTTTTTTGTTCATGTAACCTCTACGGTCAACAGCAAAATGGCCAGTCTGCTGGTGCTATTTTTTAATTACCGCTCTATTTTTTTTTTTTTTTTTTAGGTCCTTGACCTGTTTTTTTTCCTTGTTCTTATTTTCTCTTCATCACCTTTTTCTTTTATTTCGCGATTTCACATGGATGATAAGGTAAAAATAAATACAAAATATTGTATGATAGAAATTAATTAGTTTCTTTTTTGTTATGTATATATAGACCAATCCTGACGTTACTTTCCAGCAACAAAGTGCGGCTGCCCGTTTCCTTAATGTGGTAAATATTTATTTTATTTGATATATTGGAATAGACTGATACTAATATACTCTCTCTCTTTTTTTTTTTTTTTTTTTTAATAGTTGAATTTGATGGCCTCATCAGTAGCTCACGTCAATGCAGTTTCCATTCATGGTACTCGTTATACCCGACCCACTTTCCTTGAAACTGTCAGTACTCCCATATTAGAAGCCAAAACCATTGCTGATGTTGTTAATCTATCTCAAGATATTGCCGAGAAGTTGATGCGCTTCGATATCTTTGAGGACGTTCAAGTATTACTAGATCATGCTGCTGATACTGATCCTTTGGCTGCTCCTGATTCTATCAATGTTGTCTATAATGTCAAAGAAAAAAGTCGTTTCTTCATCAAGACTGGTACTGAAATTGGGAATAATGAAGGGAATATGGTAATAAAAACATTTAGATAAAGCACATCATCATCTGATTATTTATATTCATATGTTATTATCTTGATATTTCAATTAGAACGGATCTCTAACTATTCGTAACGTTTTTGGTGGTGCGGAAACTCTTGAATCCGTGGCTTCTTTTGGCAATCGTACTAGCTCTGCTTTCCAAGTATGTACATTCAAAATGTTGACCTGACCATTTAGTTTGGTACAATACGATCTGATAAAGAAAAATTACATATACTCAACAAAACTTTTATTATTGAATAGTTTACTCTTTCATCCCCTGTCAAGGCAAATCCAGACTCCAAAATCGATCTTAACGCTCATCATGTCCTTCGCAACAACAAGTTATACAGCGGTTACGAAGAACTTTCCCGAGGTGCTGCATTAAGATATAAGGTAAGGGAGAGAAAAAAAATGAAGAAGGGTGAATTGTATAGGTCATTTACCACTGGAAAAATTATATAATAATCTTTATATTTCTTGATTTAAACGAAATAATATCTTTTTTTTTTTTTTTTTTTTTTTTTTTTTTTTTTTTTTTTTACATACATAGACTGTATCAAATTTTGGATATCATGAACTTAGTTACGACTGTACCTGGCGATCTATTGACAAATTTTCTCTCACTGCTTCTGAAAGGTAAATGAATTAACAAAGGATGAATGATTCATCTTTGTGTATTGATTATGCTTCCATTTTTCTTTTTTCTTTAGTGCTCGTGCGGAAGCTGGACAGTCATTGAAATCATCCTTAAATCATACTTTTATCCGTGATCGTCGTGATGATATGTTATTACCTGGAAATGGACATTATATTCGATTGACACAAGAATTGGCTGGTGTTTTAAATATTGGTAACGCAAGCTTCTTCAAATCTGAATTAGAAACTCAAGTATGTCATCGATTTGGTGGTGGTCAACTTCTCAAGAATGAAGAAAATGAATTGATTGGTCTTCATCCTGGATTTGTTATTAGTTTGGGTCTCAAAGCTGGTTGGCTGGCCAACTTGAATGATGAAAAGAAGGCATCTACTATATCCGATCGATTTTTACTTGGTGGTCCATTATCAGTCCGTGGATTTAGAACAGCTGGTATTGGTCCTCGTGACTATAGTAAGTGATCATGATGATAAATATTCAGAAAGAAACAAAGAGAGAGAGAGAGAGAGAAAGAGAAAGATGGCTAATCGTTCATATAATTTCTTCTACATTTTATAGAGGATGCATTGGGTGGTAATATTTATTGGGCTACTGGAATCAGTGCTATGACTCCCTTACCTACATTTGAACACAAACCTATTCGTGCACATGCCTTTATCAATGCAGGAACTGCGGTACCATGGTCAACAAAAACAAGTGCACAAGATACAGCTAGCTCTTTAATGAGATCACCAAGTATCGCCGTAGGATTTGGTCTCGTCTATCGTCATAGTATCGCTCGATTGGAATTGAATTATTGTATCCCCCTGACAGCTGCGAAAGGTGATCAAGTCCATCGTGGTCTCCAGTTTGGTATTGGGTTGAACTTTTTATAGAAACATATCATTTGTCACACTCTTCTCTCTCTTTTTTTTTTTTTTCGGTTACACGTCTTTGTAGATTATTATCCCCTATATCTTTCTCACCATCGTCCTTTCTCTTTTCTTTCTTTCTTTCTTTTTTTTTTTTTTCTTGATTAGCCTTTCACTTTTTGATATTTACAGATACATACACGCTACTCATTTATTCTTAAAACAATAATAAAAAATTATACACAGTTTTGTATTAGACGAAACATAATATCAATCAATGATTCAGATCAAATCCAATATGCAGACAAGAGAAAAAGGCTTTTTATATACAAATACACAAAATTAGCTAACTAACTAGTTTGAAGCAATCTATCTATTTCCACCAACACCGAAGATACGTTGTAGATCTTGCATATGTTGAGCCTTCTGTTCATCCTTGGACATGTAGAGTTCGTTCATCATTGCCTAGAATTGGAAAAATACAAATATGAGATAGAGTAAAAAGATAGTTAAAAATAACTTACATGTTTTCGATTTTGAATGTCTAAAATTTGTTCCTCCACGCTATCTTTCATGATGAATCTGGTGACAACCACCTATACAAAATAATAATAATAATACAAAGTTAGCATGTAAGGTTTTGTCCATCTTTATATTTACTTACGCTGTCCATTTGTCCTAAACGATGAACACGATCAATGGCTTGAGCTTCCACAGCAAAGTTCCACCAGGGATCCTATATAAATAAATATATATATATATATACGATGAATAAAAGTGGTATTCTTAATCCTGATTATATATATATATATTTACCATCATCAAAACACGATTTGCACAAGTAAGATTGAGACCCACACCACCAGCACGCAAACTGATCAACATCACCATAGGGGATTTTCCATCTTCCGTTGTACGACCATCTTTGTTTGTAAACTGGGCCAAGACCTTTTCACGTTGTACTTGAGAAAGAGTACCATCGAAACGAACATATTCAATATGATGTAATTTCAATGCTACTTGGATCATATCAAGAAAGCCAGTAAATTGAGAAAACACGACAGTTCGATGTCCTTCACGAATATATTGTTTCAAATGTCGAACGAGGGCGTCAATCTTGGTGGATGATTTGTAGCCTCCTACAGCTCGTCGTATATTCAGTAGTTTATTTGATGCCATTTCCGTATCTTCTTCCTGTTTGGTGATTTCAAGTAAATCATTTTCATGTACTGGACCTTGTCGACAAATCGGGCAATCGCCTGGACGACCTTCATTTTCTTTTTTCTAATTAAATAAAATAATATAAGAAAACAATGTCAAAATATAAATGTTTTTAGTTTAATTACCTGTAAATATTCAATCACACAAGGACGGCAGCCCATATGCATACATGGTAACATGATCACCGATTCCACAGGTTCAAAACATATAGGACATTCATCAGGTATAGATTCGTTTGTTGAAGAAGAAACACCACGTTGTTGTTCTAATAAATTCCGTAAAACTGAGATGCCATAGGATTCAGGTTTTTGATGATCATTTTCTTCAGCATCTATATCCATGCGGTCCATGTCGGTTGATGATCCATCGTCGTTTGTCAAATTTTCCATGGAAGAGTGGTTGTACTTGTCAATCAAAGCTTCAATAGAGATACGACCACCATCATCCATCAAAATGTCATCGTTCAATACGTCTTTTCCACCAGTTGATTTCCGTAAGGCCAAATAAGGATGACATGTAGCTTGACGTAGCCGAGAAAGAAGTTGGAATATAGAAGCATAATTGCGAAGACTTGTACCAGCAGCACAGAAATGGGAGAACTTGGTTTTTGAATCCTTGAACAATGATTCATAGATGTCCTTTTCCGGGTCCGAAAAATCCAAATATTCTATGCTGATTTGCTTTTCAGGTAGAGGAACAATTGGGTTTCCATTTCCGTCACGCATATTCTTTGTTCGTCGTAATACCAAGGGTTCCAAGACTGTTTTGACTGTTGATAATGCTTTGGGATCTTTCTTTTCAAAGGGAAGGGTGATAAATGTCCGCCAAAAGGTATAATTCCCCCTATATATATAAAAAAAGGTAAAAAGATAAGCATACATAATGAGATAATTCCATATATATATATATATATTGATTACCATGGTTCACATTTGAGAAATCGAACCAAAGAAAATAAATCTTCCATTTTGTTCTACAACAAAAATAAAAGTAAAAAAAAAAAAAATGTTAATATTGATTTACCTTTTCTTTAGTAATATATATATTAAAGCAAAGCTTACCTGAATTGGAGTCCCAGTCAAAGCCCAACGTCGTCTTGATTTCAGTAGATGACATGCTTTGGCAGTTTTACTGAGTCTATTCTTGATGTGATGAGCTTCGTCCAGAACAATCCGCCAAAAGTTCACATTGAAGAGGGTCATTTCACCACCATTTTCCGGTCGATTCATTTCTGACATAATCACGCCATAAGTGGTTACTAGTACATCTGGGGCAGAATCAGAACAATAACGTTGTCTGAAATCTTGAGGTCTTGATCCACCATAGTAAACTTCCACTATCAGAGAATCTGGAGCACTACTTCTAGTAATTTCGTCACGCCATTGAGCAAGAAGAGCCATAGGACATATAATCAAAGTAGTAGGTGAACTATAATCATTTTCTAGAGACATTTTACCAGGTACAAATCGATTGGTATGAATCAAACTAAGCATTTCTATAGTTTTGCCTAATCCCATTTCTATGGATAAATAAGAAAAACGAAAATAAAAAAAAAACGAATGAAAATCTATATGAATACCTTATCCTATCATCATTTCATATTATATTATAAACTTACCATCTGCCAAGATACCGCCACGTTCTTGAGAGTTTGTTTCTGGGAATTTCAAATCAAGTTGTCCTGAAAAAAAAAAGAAATAAAATGAGTCGAATATCCTTATATCAAACACACTTCTTTTCATTTATTGTTACCATTATATGGATTAAAATAAAAGTGACTGATAGATTGATTGCCATTTGGAAATTCAGGATCTGTTGGAAAACGATATTCTTCCCATAAAGGATGCATAGATCTTACATCAATTTGATCTTCATCATGATTGACTGATTCCTTTGTCACCATCCATGCTAATGCCTATAATGTAAAATTAAGGTGTTAAATTCTATATATATATATATTTACAAACTATTATCTTCATTTTCCTATCTTACTCGTTGTTGATATGGTTTCAGAGTCAAAGTAAGGGTATCAGGTTGTTTCATAGGAGTGATTTGAGCATCGAAAAATTGTGCTTTTTCATAAATTGTATCTAATTGCCCATCAGTAACTTCCTTTTGTTCATCATTATTGTCATTATCGTCATCAGATGTTGTCATTTTGGAATCCGTCACTGTTGATGCTGTCATAATGGAGTGCGTGATTTGATCGTAAACATCATCACCAGCATTAGAATCGATATTGGAGTGCCGTACCGCTGATCGAGAAGGTCGTAATCCCAAAGTTCGAATAAGAGAGAGTAATGCCAAAGTACGCTCACGAGAAATCAATTCGGTATCATCATCAAGCTGATTATTGTTGGTGAAAAATGACGTCTGCCGAGAAATCGATGATGGTAATCCAGAAAGAGTCGTATGATCAGTTCCAAAAGCCGATTCCCGTATATAACATTTCATATGCAGTAGGATATCATCGCCTGTCTTGAGTACGCGGTTACAACAAACGACACTTGCTTCAAAATCACATAGCTCCAAATCCATCAGTTTTGAAACAAACTTCGCTACACCTCTTGGCAATCGTCCTATTTCACTTCCAGAATCCGTTGAAAATCGAACAATATTGTTTTGGGTGGTCTGAGTTCTATTCCGTTTGTTAGACTTTGTCGTCGTAATGATCTTGTTGTTGCGTTCAATGATTACATGACTGCCTTGCCGAAGAGGATTGACACCACTAAAAGTAGCCCAGCCTTGATAATTTTTTAATATAAGGAAAAAAAAGTTAATATTTAAAAAAACAGTTGTTAAATGACATTCCATATCTTTTTTTTTTTTTACCTGTTACCACTGTATCACCAATATAGTATCGACTTGACGTAGGTTTCTTTGATTGTGTCTTCGTTTTTCTTTGGGGCGAGAGAAATGGATTCGAATTAGTGATAGGAGTTGAGGGTATTGGGTTGATGAAGTAAGAATTTGCAGCCAGTTCGAGATTGCCTTTGTGTTGAGATAATAGTTGTTGTAGATGAGAGATTGGTACATGATCTCCAAGTACAGATCTTAAAGCTGCTATTTTTTCATCCAAGTTGTATTCTGTACTGTGATCGTTGTAGGATCTTTTCCTTGACCCGTCGTCCATGATCTAAATGGGTTACAATATGAATTAAAAAAAAAAAAAAAAAAAGAAAAGAAAAGAGAGAAAGAGAAAAGGTAAGCGCGACGTGTTTTTTTTTTTCTGAAACTTTGGTACGAATTGAAACGCCGTCAGTCATTTCATGTTAATGAATTCACTTTACACCTTTTCTCTCAATTTATAGATTAAATCGCAAAATAAAGTTTCATATCGTTATTCTCTTCCCTCCCAGAAGTGATCATCATCCAATAAAAGTACTATCATTCGACTATTCCTCTCCAAAAAGTAACCTTGTATAATCATAGTATTTATCAGTTACCTTGAGACTTTTAGAAGATGATTAAGGTGATGATCAATGCTAAATGCCACGTGAGATAAACATATACATATATAAACCCATTCTCTTCCAATCGTCTTAATAATAATTTATACCTTCCAATTTATTGAGTAAATTAAAGAATAAGAATCAATCCAGTCATCCCTCATCCAATAATGATCATCCAATAAAATGACTACCATTGGATTCCTCTCAAAAAATTAGTTTAATATCATCTAATATCATTTTATTACTTACTATGCTACCTAATAGTGTAAATAAATACTAAAATATTTCATCGATTTTTCGAAAAATCGCCTGATGACCCCTCGACGATTCATTTTTACAGCCAAAATTTGGCTGAGGAATTTGAAATTTTTGGCTGTAAACTTCCAAAATCTTCAAAAAAAAAAAAAAAAAAGAGTGAATCCACAGCTCTAATCACTCTTCAAATCCGATTTTTAAGCTTAAATCTATCATCATACCGTATAAACACCATTAATAAAAGATGTATATATTATCTATGATTACTTCTTTTGTTAGTGGATCGAAAAGGCACCTTGTCGCTAATAGGTAGAAAATCTCAGAAAAAGGTTATCTGATCTCTACTCTCACTCTAAAAAGAAATTCTCAAATCTCGTTTTGAAGTTTAAGCGTCCAATCATACCATAAAAATACTACTAATAAAATAATAATAAAATAATATGTGTATATGACTATCTTTTTTATTAATATCTGAAAGTAGATTTACCATTAAAGCGTTAAACCATACATCATACTTTTGTTGTCATTTAATCATTCATCATCATAATCATCATTAATACTAACTATTCTTCGGTTTTACCGGAATTAAAGTAGATAAAAAAAAAAAAAAAACTTTTCTGATGCCGTTTGCGGATGTTCAGGGCATGTTTTAAAAAAAAAAAAAAAAAAAAAAAAAAAAAAAAAAAAAAAGAGCACGTGTAACTTTAATTTGTAAAGTTCCCCTCCCCCTTCAAAGATTACCCAAGTCGGTGTAATTTTTCCCCTTTTGGAGAGTTTCCCAGTTTGTTGACAAGGCATAAAAAAAAAAAACTAAATAATGCTAACCTAATTTATCTATCTGTATTGCATGTTGATAAAAATAAAAACTACATGAGCAATGATCAAAAAAAGTCAAATTTATTTTTATTTTTATTTTTTTCGAATGGTTTCCTATTCAATGTAGAATACGAAGGTTGCTGATTGGCTGTAACTTTGTATCACGTTAAAATAGAAGTTTGACCTTGTTTCTATATTCGGAGGAAACAACGGAAATTCAACACATGTGGGTTCTTTTTAGATATAGATATATATATATATATATGTTGTCTGTGAAATGAAAAAAAAAAAGATGATTTCTAAATAAACAAGATATACTGAAAAATTTACTTTTTTTCTTTTTAAAAATAAATAAATAAATGAAATCAATAATCTCAGATACTTGATATACTTATTTATGCAGAGCTATTCCATTTATAGATGAATTTCAACAGTTAACTCAATGCGAAATTTGTTTCTGTAAAAAAAAAAAAAAAAAAAGAAAGAAAGAAGAAAAAAAAACTTTTTCCATTCCATCCATCATCACATTCATCCACCGCGGTTTCGACCGGAGATGACGAATGAGTTCTTCTTTTGTGGACCCCTAAGATAGGTTTCCATATCGGTATTTTTAAGTACCTGAAAGAATTATAAAACGATGATGAAATTCATTCTATTGGCATAAAGTGAAACCAATCCATCATGATGATTTTTATATTAGAAAAAGAAGAAAGAAAAGAAAGTATCGGCAAAATGGAAACAAAAAAAAAAGCACATGATCTGATCCTTGAAAAAAAAAAAGAAAGAAAAAGAGAGAGAGAGAGAGAGAAAAAAAGAGTATAAAAAAAAAAAGAGAATTTCTTTTTTTGGGTGACACACATATTGATTTGATTGATTAATATATATATATATATTGAGGATGACAATGGATATAATAATATGATAAAATATTTTTATAATAGTAATAAAATATATCAATTCAATTTTTATGAAAATATCTCATAGATTTCTATTCTTTCTTTTAGAAGAAGTGGAAGCGGAGATTTTGAGTTCTCAGGACGGAAACTTGATACTAAAAAAATTATCGCTTTTTTTTTTTCTTTTCTTTTCTTTCTTTCTTTTTTTTTTTTTCTTAACTTTTTCAATTAAATGTATTATGGATTATTCTTCATACAATCCTTATCAACATTATAGAAAAAAGTCACCTACAACTTATGATAATATTATTGATCCATATCGTAGACATACATCGCGACCTTGTAAAGTTAAATAAAAAAATATATATTATTATTTTATTTTTTTTACTTATTTTATTTTATGTTAGCTGATACCAATACTATAGAACAAGAAGTCCTTCATTCAAGAACTGCTTCCGATAGTAGTACTAGTCGATTAGCTACTAATGGTATTACATATACTTCCCGTGAATACGATGACGATCCTTATGCCATATCCAAAATACCCAACAACAATAACAACAACAACAAAGAAGATAATAATGATATCCACACTAACAACAATAAAATACCAACTGTCAATCCTTACCATAGAGCTAATTCTTATTTACCCTATTCTCATCATCAAAGAGATCCAACACAACAAATAGCTCCTATTTATGTGGAAGACGACCAACAACAAAGTATTCAAGGTGTGGGATCTATGTTACATGATACTTTTAGCGTTGACATGACTACCAACGAAATTAGAAGACAAAAAACTACAGCAACTTCTGATTCTGAAAAACGCAATAAAGACTTTCTCCTCCTAATTGATCAACAAAAGAAAAAAAACAATGTTTTACATCGAAGGTGTTATGGTATGACTGGACGCAATTGGTTTATAGTGATTACCACATTTTTGGTTCTTTTTACTCTATTGATGTATTTCTTGATTCCTCGTATGCCTACAGTGACATTCTCTGGTGCTGATACAACTCAAAGACAAACATGGTCTCTCGACAGAAACACAATGACAGCACAATGGACGGTGAATATGACACTTGACAACTCACAAAATTGGATTCCCCTTTGGTTACAAGAAATGTATGTAGAGGTAGCGGATAATGATACGCTTACAATGATTGGTTCAGGTATGGCTCAACCCACTTGGCTTTCACCACGCAATTCTCAACAACTCATCAATATACCCATTAATATCAGTTACACTGGCAAGAATGTATCTGACGAAACTATCAGTGATTTATTTGCTACTTGTGGTCCTCAAATCTCCCTACCTGGTCCTTCCTTTACTAAACCTGAACTTTTCAATATTACTTTTGATATTGATCTTCGTATACAAGGTGTTCCCTGGTCTTCTCATACCATTATTGAACCTAGTGATGGTATTCAATGTCCTGCTTGATACTAGTATATCAATAGTTTTGATTTTTTTTTTTTTTAGTTTCTTCATTTGTACTATATATCTATTTATACTTCTCTTTTTTTTTTTTTTTTGTATTCATTACTTCAATCTTAATAAAACTTACATTTTCCCAATTTATCACTCATAAAACAGAAAAGTTTCTTTTTACCATCATATATCCTATCATGATATACATTCTATTATACAAATTATCATCCTCATTTGTAAAACCTATCATCATTATCAAATTTATTGCATACATAATTACCATTCACCATAGGAATATAACTACCTTCATCATATAGAAATACAGTCATCAACATACTAATCATAGGTATCAACCATTTCTAACAGTGTCATCACTTTGATGCGATTGTCTGATATTTTAATCTCAGTAGACACTTTTTGCTGGTATTCTGCCATGTGGATTTTTTTTTTTAGTCAATCTCCATTTTTGATATTCCCTTTTTTCTTTTTTAATTCTTTTTCATTTGAATGTCAAAAACAGTGGCAACACGAACCAAGAAACTTTTTGTAGAATTACCACATTGGAAAGTAGTATCAAGACCAGTGGATCAACGATCGGAAGTAACTGTCTATGTAAAAGGTTTTTATATGATTCATTTTTTTATTCTACTGGGATTGGTTGTACATCTTTTTTTCAATTCACTCACTTTATCTTCCTTTCTTTCTTTATATATATATATATATATATAGGATTTCTAGCTGAAGGAGATACACCAGAAAACTTTGACGATTGGTTACACTCTCATAAATTATTGGTACTTAGTCCAAAGCATCGTTGGGGTTCAGCAGCATTAGGGTAACAAAAAAAAAAAAAAAATAAAGGTAAAAAAAAAAAAAAAACATTTCATTCATTATGTATTATTCTATCTTTAGATATTCATGGCCTTCAGGTTCTTCACTTCATCATATTCCTGTTCCATTGGCAAGTGTTGGATCAGCAGCATATTTGATTGGACGAAACTTTCAAGAACTTAAACATCTGCGGATGCCATCACCATTATCAATGATTGGGGCAGTAGCCATCGACGTGGGACTTCATTTGGGACGACTTGCATATCAATTCAATGTGGCGACAAAAGAAAGTCAAGAAAGGGCAGAAATGTTAGCTTGGCGATTATTGGAACTTCGAAGGAAACATGATTATTTACGTGTAGTGGGTCATTCTCTTGGTTGTCGACATATTGTAGAGGCCTGTGGATTAATGCAACAGAATGAAAGGTATGATAATGATGTATGATTCAATATGGTTTACTTATTTCATATATTCCTTTTTTTTTGGGGGGGGGATGATGTTTCTAGACCCAATTCTATTCATCTTTGTGCACCAGCATTAGTCAAAGAGGATATTTTACCATGGATTGAAAATGGTACAGGTGGATTAGGCAAAGAACAAACATTGATTTATTATTCTCACAAGGATATCACGTTGGGGATTTTATTAAGGATTTTACTTGGTGGAACTCAAGCTGTTGGTGAAATTGGATTATTGGATTCAAGTCTGGACCCTACGGTAACATTAATCGATGCTAGTAAATCTCTTGGTGGATATTATATAGGTGCTCATACTGATTATGCGAACAAATTCCATTATTTTTGTTACCCCGGTGTTCCCCTTTCTCCTACAGTTTTAGAAAGTTAGTTTTATATATATATAGATTAGATGAAATGAATCAGGCCACATCACTATTTGACACTCAGCCTATAGTCGTCCATGCAAAATAAAAAAAAAAAGGGTTCTTGATTTAGGTCCATGAACTTTATTTCATACACGCTTTGTAGACTTTCTATACACACACACAAAATAAAGATATTAATTTTAATACCAGATTTACATATAAATTGTGATGATTTTTAATGAATAACTATATTGAGAGAAAGATGTTTGTTTAAAATTTTTGCACTATTCTTCAAAAAGGGGATCCGTGAACACAAAAAAAAAAAAAAAAGAAGAAAATTTTTTCATTTGTACCTGGGTTTGAAATTTAAAAATGGCTCAAATGGGAGAACAGTTCCATTTCTTGATTTGACTGAAACTTTTTTCCTTTTTTCTTTCTTTCTTCCTTTTTTTTTTTTTTTTTTTTTTTTGATTCAATCAATCCTTTCATTATTATTATTATTCTCTCACTCCTATTCGTATATCTCTGCTTACTATCATTCTTTCTATTTTTTATTACCCATGGTACATACTATTCGAAAATCTGTCGAAGTACGGATTGACTTGGCAGAAGAAACTATATTGATGGTTGGACATCCTGAAGAATCAGCTGGAAAACTACTTCGAGGTGTTCTTCATTTAAATACTACTGAACCTATTAAAGTCAAGTCTATTAGTTTACGTTTTGTTGGAAAAATGAAAGTATCTTGGTCTGAAGGTAAAAGGAAAAAAAAAAAAAACAACTTGTTATCGAATATCAGTCTAATGTTAATATTGAAAATATTTAGGACTCGGACATCATCAACATTATTACAAACAAGAAAGAACTATAATGGAACATAGTTGGCAATTTATACCCATGGCTTGTTCAAGTCAGAAAAAGACTTATAGTTTGGCAGCTGGTGAACACAGTTTCAATTTTGAATTGATGCTTCCTGGGGATCTACCGCAATCATTGGATGCTGAAGGTGGTCAAGTTCTTTATCGATTGAAAGCTATGGTGGAACGTCCTGCTTTTGTACATAATATTGTCAAGAAACGTTATGTCAAATTGGTTCGATCTATGTTACCTTCCGAATTTGAATTGGTACAATCTATGGAAATACATAATACCTGGGTAGACAAGATGATGTATGATATTGTGATGCCTTCCAAAATGTATGCTTTGGGTGAAACTATTACTATGACCTTTCATATCTCTCCTATTGCTCCTGAACTCAAAGTACGATCTATTTGTGCATCTCTCAAAGAATATTGTTCATATACAACTAGGGATAATAGCAAGATGGATACTCGAATTATTAATTATGAAAAACTCTTGGACCCTTTCCCTCATCATGCTGATACATGGTCCCGTGATGTTACCTTGGATGTACCCTCTACTTCACCTCTGATCTTTTGTAACACTGAAAATGATATGATCAAGATCCGTCACAAAATGAAATTTGTTATTAGTTTGGTCAATGCTGATGGTCATCTGTCTGAATTACGTTGTTCGGTACCTGTTGTGGTAGTGGATTCTTTTGCTGATCAAAGTGAAAATATGTTACCTGCTTATGATCAAACTTGGCGTTCGGTTCCTTATGATCCTGCTGTATTTGAAGCTTTACGTCGATCTTCTGTTTCTCAATCTCGTCCTCTTCTTCCTCCTTCTTCATCTTTGGTTAATACTACTGATACTGAAGCTACTACTTCTATGTCAGATCAATCATCAGCATCAACATCATCACCATCATCATCATCATCAAATGAACAAGAATGTCAAGCATCATGCCGTGCTCCCATTACTATTTCTGGTCGTGCAAGAACTTTATCTATCACTACTTTATCAGCATCACCTAGCAATACTTCTTTTTTGAATTCATCCTCTGGTATTCGTCAAGGACAACAACAATCATCGGTAGACCCTTGGTGGCAAGGAATGGATTTATCTCGGGTACCTTCTTACAATACTGCAGCAGCCATGGATCATGTAGCCCTTTCTTCCTCTTTACCTGCTTATGATCAACTATCATGTTCTCCTCGTGTATAACAAACTCAATTTCATCATTCATAGCATTTCTTCTTCATTACTATATTATCTTACATTCATATTTATCATTTTTTTTTATCATTCCCTCCTTGTTTTATTTGTTTACTATTTGTTACTACTATTCTTTTGTTAGATTTTTTTTTTTTGTTATCTTTCTTTGGATGTACTATCATTTATCATTCATTCAAAATAAAATACCCACTTCAAATATCTTTCGTTTTCTTTGTATTCTTGACTTTTTTTTTTTAATACAACAACAAAAAACAAAATAACAATGACAATAACTAGTTAGAAGAATATAAATACAATACATAATATATAATCAATCAATATTTCTTTATTAATTCGAAAAAATAACAATATTTGAAATATACTATCCTACTAGACATGGTAACCCTAGGTAAAAGAAAAAGGTCAGTTTACAATATTTTTTTCACATTATGACTTTTTTTTTCAATATTTTTATTATGTTATTCAGACATTGGATATATATCACCACGTTTTTAGGCACAAAGATGGGTCCACATTCAACAAAAATTGATGAATGATATCCTTGCGAAACTCCCAAAACACTATGACATGATTATCCATAATATCATCCTAAACAATGTTTTTCATTTTTTTTTTATTCTATTATATGATTGCTTACCTTTATAAGAGCATTATTCCAGAACAACTGAAAAGAGAAACAAGGAAAGAAAAAAAGAACAAAAACAAAAAAAAAAAACAGAACCCATGATTTTTAAAGGTTATCACCACCCCCAGTCACTAAACAAAAAATAATTTTTCTTTACTTATGGTTTCAAAGACCGCGGGTGTTGGGATTACAATATCATCAAAGAATGTTATTCATATTTTATGTAATTACAATTAAAACAGTAAAAGAAAAAACGAAACTAAACAAAAAAAAAACAAAAAGATTATTCTTAATTTTCTTTTGATAATATTCAGTTTAATATATAAGGAAAAAAGAAGGGGACAGTTAGTCACACAATGTAAAAATCGCCAAATGTAATGGAAAGAGGCCGAAATATGAAAATCAGTCAATCAAGTAGGAACATTTTCCGATATTCATTGGCGGTAAAAAAAAAAAAAAAAAAAAAGATTCACCTTTTTGAACCTTTTTTTAATCCAGTATTTGTTATAACGGACTTGATTTTTATCTTGAAAAGGAAATGTCTATATGAAATTTTTCTCCCTTGCCTTTTTTATTTTTTTTGTGCCGCTTTTTTTTTTTTTTTTTTTTTATTCATTCATTCATTGCATTTTCCTTTTTTTTTTTTTCTTTCTTTCTTCTTATGTAGACAATGACTAAAGTTCAACCTGACCAAGAAGAAGATACAACTCGACGACCTTCACTTCGCTGGAAAGAACGGTTTTCACGTACAACACGATTATCCACCATTGACTCACATGTATCAACCAAAACCAATAGTGATAATACTTTTGACAACAATTCCATTCATTCTCAATCTTCAATAGAAAAACATGTTGATAATGTACGTATTACAAAGTCTGCCTTGTCACGAAATAAAGACTTTCATGAAACTTTTAAACAAGTACCTTTAGAAGAACCCTTATTACAAGGTATTACTATTATTTTTTTTATTATTAAAAATAGTTCCGTATATACTAACTTACTTTTATTATAGACTTCAAATGTGCTTTACAAAAAGATATTATCATACAAGGAAGATTGTTTATCACCAAAAACTTTGTTTGTTTCAAATCTACTAGTCTTGCCCATGATACTTCGGTAATGTGATATAGCTTATTTATGCAAGACACATCTAACTTGTAAGGAATTATCTTTCCGCCTTTTTATTAATTTAGCTGGAATTCAAGGTACATGATATTAAACAAATTGACCGAATACGAATGAAACGATGGATGCCAAGAGTCATACAAGTAACCATGAACAATGATGATGAAAAAGTAATCACAAAAAAAATTTTTTTCTTCCTTTTTTTTTTTTAAAAAAAAAAATAATCTTTTTATTATAGCATATTTTTACTTCCTTCTTAACTTCATTATCTTCAAGAGATGATGCTTATTATCGATTACTTGGTGTTTGGGAACAAATATATCCGCCGATGGTGGCATCATCATCATCCTCAACAACATCAACAACAACCAATTCTGCAAATACAAGTACAGTATTATCTACAACAAATAATACCTCAAATAATTCTGCACTTCCTACTACTTCTACTACAACAAATAATTCGACAGTGGAATCAACCTCACAAACTATTCAAGAAGAACATCATTTATCAACCTCCATGAACAATGAACAACCTGCACCATCCACATCTCACTTTAGGATCTTTCATCGAAAACGTGCTCAAACAGTATCTGCTCAACAAACGTCTACAAATAGACCAAGATCAGGTACATCCAATAGTACCCCTTTAGAAAAAACCAATCGTAAGTGATTTATTTATCTTCCTCCCGTTCAAAAAAGTCATCTGATTTTTTTTTTTGATTTTTATTTTAGATAATCATGTTACTTGGAATGACAATCAATCAAACCAACAACAACAGAGTGAATCATCCATTACGCCATCTAGTATCATAAAACCAATTGAATCACCAGTAAAACCAACTTCATTATCATCATCGTCACCATCATCATCATCATCAGCAGCAGCAATAGCAACAGCGTCATCATCATCATCATCATCATCAAAGAAATCACTGATGCCAACTCCACCATCAATACTACATGATCCTTCACCTACTCGTACCAACTCTAGACTTTTTATTACTGGAGGATTACTCGTATTTTTATCCTATGTCTATTTGACATACAAGTTTTATCAAGTGACATTACTCTTCAATGATCAATACCAACAACTTCATTCACATTCGACTCCTTCTTCTCATCCAATACTACGCCATCTTCCTTCTCATCAATTTCAAGACACAACTTGGATTTCAGGGCATCTACAAGAGATGAAAAACCAGGCTCAATTATGGGAACAAGAAACTCTGCGACAAAGAAAGCGACTTTTAAGTTTGATACCTTCGTAGAATTATCATCATCATGATTTCTAGTATAGATTATTCCTCTTTCCTTTCCTACCTTACTATTATTAATTACTATTTAGTATGATTGCATTGTTTTTAGTTTATACTGTGTATATGTCACTCTTTCTTTTCTCAACTACAATAAAAGAAAAAAAAAAAAGAAAAATACCCCAGCTTGTTCCTACCATAAAATTGTCCCAATAGAGAGAAGAAAAAAAAATGTTGAAATGAACTGATATCCTACACCCCCCTTATCCCTATTTTTTATTTATTTATTTATTATAGTCTTCAAGGATGGATGATTGAATCAATTCATCATTATTCAAAGTTTCTATTATTTATATAAAAACATTTCATATATTCAAATAAACTAAAACAAAAGATAAAAACATGTCCATTTACATACGTACTGATGCCCATATACAACACAACACACCCAAAAAAAAAAAATAGACACAATGGAAGATGATGGATAGATATCCAGTGTACATTTATTGATAAAAGAAGATGATCCAAAATACTATGAAGACAGGTATCTATGGAATGCTAGATATACAACATTACTTGACCATATAGATAAATGAAGAAGGAAAATGATGATTGATATGATGGTTGGAATAAGATGGTGAGTGGGATGATGATTGAAATGATGATGATAAATAATAATGATCATGTACCTTCAGAAAGAGACGCTGCAGTAAAAATCCATATCATTCGGGATGTTGTTGCTGCTGAAGATGTTGAGGATACGCCATCATTGCTGAATTCGCTTGCTGTTGCATCATCAGGTAGTGTTGATATTGATCCATTGGCATCTCTTCCGTTTTGATAGACTGTTGATATTGATCCATAGGCATCTCTTCTGTCGTGGTGGGTTGTTGATGTTTGGGTTTCTTACGTTTCGATTTTTCTTTGCAAACCACCTGTCGTTGCCGTTTATGTTCACGTTGAGCCACATGTTGTCTATATTGATCCACTGCTTGTTGTCCATTCGGTATATGAGTGGCGATGGTTGTAAGTAAAACATCGATGTCTTGTTTCAAGTCTTGATTCGTATTGCGCAGATGATATACATAATCAGTTGCTTTTTGAAGAATAGTGGCCTTGTTCAATTTGGTTGCTACAGTCACACCATCCATAAACACTGGTTCCAGGTCTTCTTCTTCTCCACTGTGGGTCATTTCTTCCTTTCCATTGTTGTTCTTTTTCAATCGAGCATAACGAAGTGCTGGTACTGCCTCTTTCAAAGCAGCTATTCTATCATTGATGTTGTTTCTGTATTTTTTTTCCACTGCATTGTGTGCTGATCTTCGAGGTACTGTTTCATTCTCTTGTTGTTGTTGTTGTTGTTGTTGTTGATATCCAGGTGACGATGATGTGGATAGTGGATACATATTTCCCATAGATGAATCCATTGGTGTATATTGTTGTTGTTGTTGTATTTTCTGATCCATCATATTGTTAAAAAAGGTTGAAGCTGGTGGAGAATTTCCAGGAGAAATGGGGGAGACTGGACTATCATCAGCCCAAGGATAAGAAGATGATGTTTGTAAATAAGTTGGGCTACTGGGCATACTATGTTGATTCATATCCGTAGAAGGTAAAAACTTGGCCAATGGACTTGAAGGAGTAGAAGTAACGTTAGTAGGTGATAATGGAAACAAATGATCAGCATAATCTACACTATCGCCATTGATCAGACAAACAGGTCCTTCGATGGTTAAATTACTGGGTTCATTTGAAGGTGTTGACGTATTTGAGGTGTTTGGAGAAGAAAAAGCAATGATGTTGTTGATCAAAGTATTTGTATTATTGAAAGGAGCTTCAAGAGAAGGACGATGAAGTATGACAGTAGGTGGATGATTAGTTGATCCAGTATTATTTGTGTTGAAATACTCTTTTTGCGTTTTTGGTGTGGATGTTGTTGAGTTAGAGGGTTCACCAGGAGGACATGATTGAGTAAAACTAGTAAAGTTATCAGAAGATAAAGTCCAAGCATCATTTGAATTATTATGTAATGACAGTTCAGCATCCAAAGTGGCATCTAATGGAAAATTTGTTCCTGTTGAAAGTATTGTATCCATGGGAATTTGATTTGAATTCATATTGATATAACAATAATAATAATAATAATAATAAAAAGTAAAAAAAAAAAAAAAAAAAAAAAAATAAGAGAAAAGAAAATGGAAAAAAAGAAAAAAATCTTTTTTTAAAATGGTTTCAGTTCCAATGCCGCTCCTTTCAATGCATTGCCTTAAATGAGTGATTGAATCTCAATTTTTATGATCCCTTGTTTTTTTTATAAACCTAATATTTTTTATTGAATCATTTTCAGTGGAATCATAATAATATATTATTTATTTTATTTTTTATTTTATTTTTTTTATTGATTCTGGTGCACACACACGTACACGCACACACGCACTCGTATATCGTGTTCATAATTCAATGGTTTGTTATACCTTTTTATATTCCGACTTGTTTGTGGCTAGCCAATCAATTTTGGTCACAATGTGAAAAATTGGGATTTAAAATAAAAAACATAGTCTTTTCATTCTTACTTAGTTTCTTCTCCTTTCCCTTTTCAGTTGTTTTATAGATCCCTTTTTTTTTCTACATTTTTGATATTGTTATTATTCTATTTCAATTTGATTTTGTCTCTTATTTATAGTTATTGATTGAATATCTTGTATATATATACAAACATATATATACTGACATAGATATATTTGCTGTAAAGAAGAAGAAAAAGAAGAAAAAAAAAAGGTACATTACAAAGTCTTTTTATTAGATTAAAAAAACTCATCTATCTTCTTTTTTTTTTTTTGTAGGTATATCAACTTTTATTATTCAAAACAATAATATATTCCATGGCGACAACTTATTCTTCCTTTGCCATGTCAGCTCAATACCAATCAAGAACTTTATCTCTTCCTGTGATCTCAACTTTCCACACTGATAATAGTCATCAGATGACACAACTGGGAACAACAACAGATAATCCTAGAGTGAAATCAGAATTAACTTGGACTCAACTTATCCATGCTGAAATTATAGGTAAGTTCTTATAAATATCATTATGATATATCTTAACTTCTTTTTTTTTTTTCTTTCTTTTGGTCTTTTTTCAGCTGTCACTAGTGCTATGCGGAAAAATGCTCGTTGGTCTGGTACAAACGTTAATGGTCTTCATATGGGTGGACTTGGTATGAGCATGGGCTTACGAAAAGGAAAATCTCATATAAAGGACCGTGAACTGAAAAATGAGGTAAATAACTTGATAAAACTCTTTTATTTTTATTGACTTTTGGTTATATAGGAAAATCCACTTATGGCTGGTTTTACTAATCTTCGAACTTACTTGGAAAATGTACAAGGTAAAATAAGTTTTCCTATTTAAGGAAAAAAGAAAACTTATGCTCATATATCTTTTTTTTTTTTCTATCTACAAGATGTCAAGGACTTGGATGCTTTGGTATTGTTGAACCCATTCTTGGAAGTAATTCGTTCTGGCAATACGACTGGTCCTATCGCTGGAACTGCTCTTGGAAGCGTAGAAAAATTTTTACATTATGGAATCATTGGTAAGTAATATATAATCAAAGTTCAACCTGGATCAAATATACCCACAGTTCTTTCAAATAGGTTTACACAACCCAAGTATTGCGTTTGCCATGAATGCTTTATCGTCAGCAGCTACACATTGCAAATTTGAGGCATCGGATGCTGCATCAGATGAATTGGTCTTACTTCGTATGCTTCAAGTTTTACAGGTGACTTTGACAAGTGAATGTGGACAAGTACTTAGTGATGAAGCTGTTTGCGAAATGATGGAAACTGGTCTTAGTATGTGCTGTCAAATGCGTCTTACTGGTAAGAAATAAATCATAAAGTATATAATTTTTTTATCTGATCTTTCATCCTCTTTTTTTTTTTTTTTTTTTTTTTTTTTTTTTTTTTGGTAGATATGCTTCGTCGATCTGCTGAACATGTCATGATTAAAATGGTTATATCTATATTTGAAAGGTAAACGAATGGAAAAAGTGTTGATCATATCTTAATTATTTTTTTTTCTAGATTGAAAAATCTTGATGATGAATGGCAATTTGTGGACACTCCTACAGAATCAGATGGTGAAATGCAACGAGATGGACAAACAACAGCTACGCACGCCCCTCATATGAGTACACCACGACCGTCACCATCTCCTACACCATCAACAGATACGACTCCTAACAATAATGATATTAATCATTCTTCAAATGACGATCTGAGGGAACCTGAACAACAACAACAACAACAACAACAACAAGATGATGATAACTCTGTTTCTCAAAACCTAGACATTCCACCCGTGACTGATGTCAATACTATGGTATCAACTTCTTCATCATCTCCTGTTCCTCCGCCTCCGGTAGCACCATCACCAACATATGAAGAAGATTCTGACAGAATAGAAGATCGTCAACAAAATCAAGGTAACACATATATTATTAAAATATTGTTCTTAAGATGACTCATTGCTTACTATATGACATTTTAGATGTACAACCTCTACGACCTTATGGACTTCCAGCAATTCGTGAATTGCTGAGAGTGCTAGTCTCTCTTTTGAATCCTCATGAACATAAACATACAGATTCCATGCGAATGATGGCCTTAAGCATTTTGAATGTTGCCTTTGAAGTGGGTGGTCGCAGCATCAGTCGATTTGAAACTCTTCGTGGACTTGTTACTGATGAATTTTGTAAATTCTTATTTCAGGTATTTAAAGAAAAATGATAACTATGACTAGAACTCTTATTGATTTATCATTATATTTATATAGTTGGCAAAAACGGATTCTACGCCATTACTCTCTCTCACATTACGCACCATCTCCACTGTATTCGATACATTCCGACCATATATCAAGTTACAACAAGAATTATTTTTATTCTTTCTGATTGAACGCTTGTCACCTTCAACGGGTATGGGAAGTCGAGGGATTTCTGTAGACGTCGATGAAGAAGGTAACATTAGCTTCATGTCTTCTTCAGCACATCACGCTTCATTGGATGGCAATTCTGGAGAAAAAGCATCACCATCAGCAATGGTTACTTCAGGCGGTAGTCAATTGGATATTCGCAGCGGCTCACCAAACATGTTTTTGAACAAATCTACTGATTACTATTCGGCGAAATCACATCGGGCTAGTCATACTCTATCTGATCCTCCTATGATTCCTGGTGAAGTACGTGAATTATTGCTGGAATGTTTATTACAATGTGCCCGGATTCCAACTTTTATGGTGGACCTTTGGTTCAATTATGACTGTGATCTCTCTTGTGGTGATCTTTTTGAAGAATTGATTCAATTTTTGAGCAAGGTAAGGATATAAATGAAAAAAGATGATATCAAAGTCCTAATACTCTCTTATATATTACTTCTATGATTAGAACTCGTTTCCAGATCCCCATAACTACTCTGTCATGAACTATCATATCTTGTGTCTAGATACCCTACTTTTGTTTATTGATCATATGGTAGAACGTGTTGGCGAGGAAGTAAGTTGGTATACGAAATGATATTGAGCAATTTCATGATTGATTTTAATATATTTGTCTTTTTTTTTATATATATAATAGGCCGAGCAATCATCAGACAGTAGCTATGTGGTATGTATAATAAAGGAAGAAATATGGCAAATCGATCATCTACTGAAGTTTTTTTTTTACTTATTTTTATCTTCTTTAGGAATTGACCTCAACTGATGAACTTTTAGAACGAAAAGCTAGAAAACGGATTATTTTGACTGGGTCTATGCTCTTCAATGACAATCCCAAAAAGGGGATCGCTTACTTGAAAGGTAAATCTTTTTTTTTTAAGACGTATGTGTTATATTAATTTTTCTTTCTTTCTTACTTTATTATTTGATTCGTTTAGAAAACGGAATTATTCAAGCTGATGCATCCAACGACACAAAAGAAAGCTTGGCTCATTTCCTTCGATCTACACAACAGCTTAACAAGAAAAGTTTAGGTGAATATTTGGGCAAACCAGACAACTTGGATTTGCTACAAGTTTTTATGCGACAATTCGATTTTGAAGGGGTAAGAGACATATATATATATATATTGGAAATAAATTTTTTTAATCTCTCGGTTTTTTTTTTCCATTCTTGTACTAGAAACGTATGGACGAAGCTCTACGAATGGTATTAGAAACATTCCGTCTTCCTGGTGAATCTCAACAAATCATGCGTGTAACAGATACTTTTTCTGAAGTCTATTTTGCAACAAAACCAGCTCAAATAGCAAACAATGATGCTGCGCAGCTTTTGGCCTATTCCATCATCATGTTGAACACAGATCAACATAATCCTCAAGTGCGAGTAAGTACAATCGAAACAAAATAGAGACATGATCATATATAACAGTTTTTTTTTTTGTCTTCTTCCTTCTTTTTACTATTTTAGCGACGTATGACTTTGGAAGATTATATGCGAAACTTACGTGGCGTCAATGGTGGTGAAGATTTCCCAAAGGATTACTTGGTAAGGGAGGGGAATCAGTCACAATTCCTTTCTTTTTTATCACTATGCTCATTATTATGAATTATTTTTGTATATAGGGTGAAATCTATGAAGCTATTCGACAAGATGAAATTGTAATGCCCGAAGAACATGAAGGTCGTTTAGGATTCAATTATGCTTGGAAACAACTTTTACATCGATCCGATACATCTGGTCCATTCGTAGTATGTGATACTTCAAGTTATGATAAAGCTATGTTTGAAATGTCTTGGAAACCTGCCATTGCGGCTATTTCTTATGGTAAAAAAAAAAAAAAAAAAATAGAAACAAAAATAAATAAAATAAGATAAACAATGTAACTACAACATCTAACTTATTTTTACGTTTTTCTTTGTTAGCATTCAATACAGCTCAAGATGATGATACTCTTCAAAAGGCGATTTCTGGATTCCATCAATGTGCCATGTTATCTGCGCATTTCGGTTTATATGATGTATTTGATAGTATCGTGGTGAATTTGGCTACCATGACAGGGTTACTGGATACATCAGGTCATTCAAGTTCTTTACCTGATCCTATTGTGGATGTCGCTGGTGAAAAGTATGTGATCAGTTCCCTGGCGGTACGATTTGGGCGAAATTACAAGGCTCAATTGGCAGCTGTGGTGGCATTTACTATAGTAACAAGACATGGTAATTCTTTACGCAAAGGATGGACGAAGGTAAGACTATTGATAATGATGATGATGATGATAATGGAATAACCATTTCCTTTGTTACGATTATAATGATGATTAGATTCTTCAAGTAATCCGAAATTTATTTGTCAACTCTTTACTACCTCATTCAATGCTTCAAGTGGAAGATTTTGTGTCTGGAACAACAAGTATTCCTTTGAAACCCAAGAACATAACACAATCAAGACAACAACAACGTAGAGATGGATCGTTACTATCGACATTATCCTCCTATTTACTCTCTCCTTATTCAAATGATGAAACATATCGTGCTGATCCTACTGAAGAAGAAGTGGAAAGTACTATGTGTGCTGTTGATTGTGTGGCTGCTTGTCGATTGGAAGATCTCTTCAATGATATCAGGTAAAAAAAAAAAAAAAAAAAAAAAAAATTGAATGATAGAAAAAAAAATGTATTTTTAGACGACTCATCACTTCGTGCTTTTTTTTTTTTTTTTTTTTTTTTTTTAATACAGCAATTTGAAACTAGAACCATTACAAGCGTTGTTGACTGCTATTGGAAAGGTCGGATATGATGGCGAAGCGGTGAAAAATGCTGAAAAACCTATACCTTATGATCCAGCGACTGTCTTGTTTTTGGAATTCATGATTACTATCACTATTCGAAACGATAGTAGAATAGAATTACTTTGGTAAGTTCCTTTTTTTTTTTTTTAAAAAAAAAAAAAAAAGAAAATAAATCTTTTTTCTAATTTGTTTTTTCTCGTTTATATTGATGTAGGCCATACACGACGGAATATATTTTTGACATCCTGGAACAAGCAGAAAAGCAAAGCGTTTTAGTTGTAGAAAGAACAGTGGTTGGCTTACTTCGATTATGTATAAGGATTGCAGACAAGGTAATATATGAATAAATGCGAATAGATGATAGATGAGTTGACTTTTTTTTTTTCTGTACCTAGAAAAACATGCAAGAAGATATCCTGAAATGTTTACGTTTACTTCGTGATTTCCCTCCTTCTGTAACCAAAGCTGTTGCTGAACAAATGATGGCTGGTATTTACAACTTATCATCAGCAAATTCTGAAAATTTGAAGTAAGTTGAATATATGTATATGTTTTTCTTGGAGATAGAATATTAACTCTTTTTTTTTTTTTTTTTTTTGTCTTTAGTAATCCCGAATTTTTGAACACCATTCTAGAAATCAAACAAAAGGTTGGTAGCTCCCTCGGATGATGACAAGTAAAAAAAAAAAGAAAAAAAAAAGAAACTTTTTTTTTTTTTGATGGCGTATCCATAATATAGAAAAGACACAGGATTATTCTTTTTTTTTTTTTTAGATTGATATATATATATATATATATATATATATATATATATATATATATTATATTTGATGATGAAGAATAAAAACTGTTAGCAACTTTTTTTATGACTTTGATATTGACAGTGAACTGAATGGGATGACTCATTATTATCTGTTTGATGATTGAAGGGAATATTGATACGGAAATGTAGCATGAAAATATACCTCATGGTGCACAGATGGAATATGGGTTAGTAAATTAAAGGCGATAATGAAAGACAGAAAGATGGCTTTCTATAGAGTTGCATATAATAAAATATGTTTCATATATTCGAATGGTGATAGTGGTTAATAATATTGGAAGACTACGAGAAAATGACAATAATAATAATATTGGTGTGATAAAAAAATACTTTATTAAAGATATGTAATATGATATACTGTATAATTATGTATGAATAAATCACTAGCATCAACATCACCACAATAAGAGACGAAAAGAAAAGAGAAGTCGGTCAAACAAGAGAATCATCATCTGCTACTGTACACCTATCCAATTGAATTTGTTGCGTATCTATCCAGTTTGATCATGTTTGTAAAATCCTGTGTATTTCTCCTGCTACCTATCCATCCAGTTTATCCAGTCGCATAGTCATCTAATTGTATTCTATCTACAAGAATATGTATAGGAAAAAGAAAGTAAGTCAAACAAACATCGATGTATATTAATTACAAGAAAGACACAAAAAGTTAAAGAAGAGTAAAAAAAAAAAAAAAAAAAAAAAAAAAAAAAAGAAAGAAAAAAAAAAAAGTTGCACTTACCAAAAAAATAAATCATGGTGTCAAAGGATGGCATTGATATATAGAAATATCATTGTGTTTCCACTATAGAGCTTGAGAGAGTAAGGAAAAAAAAAAAAAGAAAAAAGAAAAAGATTATAAAAAAAAAAAATAGATTAGCATTTTGTGTACATATGAATTGATATGACTCTACCTTTTTCAAAATATAATATAAATGACAATAAAAGAGAGGTATTGAATACTATCCTATTGAAAAAAAGAAGCACCAAGAATATGAATCAAAAAAAGAATGATTTAAAAGGAAAAAAAAAAAAAAAGAAAAGAAAAGAATATAAAAAGATAAATGAATATTCATAAAAATATATATAAAAAAAAAAGAAAAGTTAGATTAGTAATAAAATAAATAAGTATTTAATTCATTATTTATGTATAAAATAATAATGACTATAATAATAATAATAATGTAAAAATAAAGTATAATGTAAAAAAACTAAAGAAATGAGAATAAAAAAATATAAAAATAAAAAAAAAAAAAAAAAAAAAGGGAAAAAAGCGAATACATATGAATACTCTCTCATTTCTATATCCAATCATATTGCTCCATTTTTTTTTCTTTTTTTTTTTTAGTCACTGTATTTTCAATTCCTTTCTTATGCTATAAATAATCATTCAAAATAAATAAAATTTTCAGAAAACATAAATAAAACTAAATCAATTCAAACAATAATGATGATTTTTGTAAAAACATTTTTGTAAAAACTCAATCATCATTAAGAAATAAATAAATAACAAAGATGAACTACTAAAAAAGGAAATCGGAGATCCAAAATTACGATGAGATTTATAATGAAGGAGATGGTCTTCGAAATATATTCTCCCATATGGTCTAGTGGCTAGGATCCGGCGCTTTCACCGCCGTGGCCGGGGTTCAATTCCCCGTGTGGGAAGATCTTTTTGCCTTTTTCTTCAAATTTAAGGTTTAATGGATTAGCCAATCAGATTAGTTAAGTGGTTTTTTGGTTGTTAGGGCCAAAATTGAAAAAGTAATTCGTGTTAAGTGATTTTTTGGTTGTAAAGGCCAAAATTGAAAAAGTAATTCGGATGATTGAAAGAGAATAAGTTAAATAGTGAGCACGAGTATTTGATTACGCAAGCACACGTATAAGAAAAGAGGTAAAATAAAAAAAAAGTAAAGTAAAGAAAAAAATAAAGTCTTGTTCCAAATTTGGAAAGTAGATGTAGAGTAAAATTGTTCTGACTTTAAATATAGAACAAAGTGAGCCAATCAAAAGAGATAATCCACAAATACAATTGAAGAGGGATGAAAAGAAAAGATTTATTTAAAAAAATATATTGATGATTAACTAAAGAAAAAGAAAAATAAAGGAAAAAGGTGGGGTATTTATACTAAAATATTATGCAACATAACGATTATATAAAATTGATATTAAAAGTATAACTATAGAGATAAAATTTATATAAAAGTTATGTGCAGAGGATAAATATATAGATGATGTGAATGGAGACTAAAAATTTTTTTATTATTTATATTTTTTTTTTTTTTTTTTTTTTTTTTTTTTTTACTGAACAGTTGTTAAGGCCAAAATTGAAAAAGTAATTCAGATGATTGAAAGATAATAAGTTGAATAGTGAGCACCAGTACTTGCTTACGCAAGCACACGTATAAGAAAAGAGATAAAATAAAAAAGTAAAGTAGAAGAATACAAGTTCAATTCCATATTTGAAAGGTAAGAGTTTAATAAACTTGTTCTGACTTGATATAAAGAGCAAAGTGAGCCAATCAAAAGTAATAATCCACAAATACAATTGGGATGTAAAGAAGAGATGTTTTATTTAAAAAGATGTAAAATATGTTGACTGAACTAAAAAAAAAAAAAAAAAAAAAAGGAAAAGAAGAAAAAGGATGGAGTATTTATACTAGTTATAAAATAAAGTTAAAAACAAAACGAAAACGAAAATGAAAACGAAAACGAAAACGAAAACGAAAATGAAAACGAAAACGAAAATAAAAATAAAAATGAAAATAAAAATGAAAATAAAAATGAAAATAAAAATGAAAAAAAATTTTTTTTTTTTTTGTTTTTCTTCTTTTCTTTTTTTTTTTTCCTCTCCTTTTTTTCTCCTTTTTTTTTTTTTTTTCTCAACAAAATTAATTCGGATGATTGAAAGATAATAAGTTAAATAGTGAGCACCAGTACTTGGTTACGCAAGCACACGTATAAGAAAAGAGATAAAATAAAAAAGAAAAGTAAAGTTAAGAAAAATAAAGATCAAATTCATTTTTTGGATGGTGGAAGTTTGATAAACTTGTTTTTTCTTGCTATAAGGAACAAAAGTGAGCCAATCAGAAGTAATAATCCACAAATACAATTGAGATGGGATGTCAAGAAGTTTTTATTTAAAAAAAATATAATATATTTGACTGAACTGAACTAAAAAAAAAAAAAAAAATGGAAAAAGAAAAAAGGAAAAGAGGCCTATTTATATAAAAATTTTTATAAGAAAATGGACAAGTGTCGATAAAGGTCAAAGTGATGCATGGATAAAAGTGATCTGAATCCCATCATCTGATACACTGATGATCAGAGGATATGTTGGGATAAATAAAAAAAATTATTTTTTTTTTTTAATTTTTTTATTTTTTCCCTTTTCTTTTCTTTTCTTTTCTTTTTTTTTTTTTTTTTTTGTCTCCTCATAAATATTGATTGGATAATTTTTTATAGAATATATGTGAATAGAATATGTCCTGATCAATTGAATAGACACAATGAAGAAAAAGTTGATGGTGTAAAATAACAGGTTGGAAAAATGATTTGACAATCCATCAGCTATTAATTATTAGTATAGATCTATTTTATACTTTATTCATTAATAAACCATAAATTCAACTTTTACGATCATTCTTCTATCTCTTGTTTTTTTTTTATTGATTAAAATCGTATTAAAAATATATTTATTTCAAATTTATAAGAGTGGAAGCTATCTATAATAATCAACTATCATAATAAACTATACTAAACTAAATATTCTTTCGAATACTTTATCACTCCGGAAACGTTTCTTCAATGAGTCTGGTACCAGCATTGGTATTGTTTAGAGGAAAAGGACACCGAATATTCCATTGAGATGCTTAGTAGAAATCCAAAACTGAAGAAGTAATGTTCATACCCAATACCACGACGGGTGAGTAGCCAACAGCTTTTGCTCTTTCCAATCCAGTCAAAACAAGTTGTTTACTGATCCTTTGTTTTTTATTGTTCCGAGTCCACAATTAAAGGTGCTAAAAACAGACTTGCTACAGGTAGCTGAGAGATCTTCTTGTCATATAGTAAAATATGATATGAATGAAAAAAAAAAAAAAAAAAAAAAAAAAAAAAAAGAGAAAAGAAAAAGCTCTCTGCGCGCAGCAAAAAGGGATCCACTTATTCAATGCTTTCTGTGTAGTTGAAAGACCGCAAAAAGTTGGCATAAAAAGTGGCTTTTCCTCTTATGAGAAAAAAAAAACACAGAAACTAGAAAAGTCACCCCGCCTTCTTCTTTTTTTTTTAACTTTTTTTTGTCTTCTTTTTCATTATACAATGGCAAAATCTCACAAAGCAAACCCCAAGAAAAATATCAAGAAAGGTTCTCCATCTGTGAAAAAAGTAGAAAAAGGTGCAAGTGTTCAAAAGAACAAGAAGAATGAAAAAGGTATATTTGAAAAGACATTCTTCTTTTACGTGAATATGGGATTAACCTATATTAGTCCTTCATTTTGTACTTGGGTATTCAATGTGTACTCACCAATGTTTTTTTTTTCTTTTTCTTTTTCTTTTTCCTTTTAGTGACCTCCAAAAAAACTTCAAAGTGAGTATTTTATATCTTGTCTATTATAGATAAAAATTAGATCTAGATTTTGCATACAGGAACGTTTACTAATTGATCTATTGTCTAGATCTACAATGTCTGTGGATGATTTCTTCAATGGTGGTTTTGCCATGAATTCTGATGATGAGGATGCTTTGGATAAGGTAGGATAGTTTTAGTAGATCAGAGTAGTATCATTACAAGTTGATTCATTTTTTATATTATTTATAAAATAGGACTTGCAACAAATGGAACAAGTGGAAGTAGATGATTCTGATGATTCTGATGATGAATTCCTCAAGATAACAAAGCCTATTGAAACACCAAAAGCTGATGTTGATGAAGCAATGGAAGACAGTGATTCATCATCTCAAAACGACAACAATGATCAAATTGACGACAAAGAAGAATCAATGACGGATAGCGAAAGCGACAATGACGAAAAGGAATTACAAGATACTACTATGGAAGCTGAGAGTGATAACGACGACGACGACGACGATGATGATGATGATGATGATAACGACAAGAACACTGATGAAGGTAGCGATAACAGTAGCGACGAAGAAGAAGAAGAAGACAGCAAAGAAAAACTTAAAAAGGACGCCGCCAAACATAAGAAGGAAATAGAAGAACTCAAAAAACGTGATCCGGAATTCTACAAGTTTTTGGAAAAGGAAGATGCTGAACTTTTAGGATTCGACATGTCTGAAGACGAAGATGAAGAAGAAGAACAAGATGAAAAGGAACAAGAATCAGCTGACGAACAAGAGGATAAGGATGAAATCAGTATGCATGACGACACATCTTTGATAACCGTGACAAAATCTATGTTGGCAACATGGGTACAAGACATTGAAGCAACATGTGACCCCAAGGCTGCAAAACGACTATTTTCAGCATTCAAATCAGCAACTAGAATGGGTGATGAAGAAGAACGTGAAAAAACTACTTTTATTTACCAGGTGGTTGATCCAAACGGTATGTTTCTATAATTTATATTATAAATTAACAGTCGTGACACTCATACCTTTTTTTTTTCTTTAGTATTCAATAATGTCTTGACATCAACAATGCGTTTGGCTCCTATCATATTTGGACGATATTTGAAAACAAAATCGGAAGGTGCCTCTCCTACAACTTCTAATCGCTGGATCAAATGGAAATCAACAGTCAAAACATATCTCTCTAGTTTACTGTATTTGATGAAAACATTGACGGACTCTAATATGCAATATTTAGCCATTCATGAATCGGAAAAATGTACTATTTATTGGACTTGTTTTGAAAAGGTCTCAAAGGATTATTTAAAGGTAAAATAAAAAAAAAAGGAGTAAAATAAAAAAAAAAAGTGGAATCAAAATGTTTAATTATTATTTTTGTCGGTCTTCTGTCTTGATTTAGGTTTTATTAAACTTTTATTCAAACTTGGGCTCATCAGATAATGTGCGAATTCAAAGTTTCTTGGCTATTCGTACCTTGGCATCAAGTAGTGTTATCACCAAAAATAAGACAGATGCACCCTTTTTAGATACTTGCTTGAAGAATATTTATTTGACTTTTGTACGAAACTGCAAGAATACTAATTCTCACACTCTCCCTGCAATCAATCTTATGCGGAATTTGGCTGTGGAACTTTATGGCTTTGATCAAGTGTTATCATATCAACAAGCGTTTGTATATATTCGACAATTAGGGATTCATTTGCGTGGTGCAATGCAAACCAAATCCGATGTAAGTTAGGAATAAAATTTAGCCTTTATGTCTGTATATTAATCTTTTCTCTCTTCTCTCTCTCTCTTTCTTTTTTTTTTTAAATAACTTTATAGGAAACGTTCAAATCTGTTTATAATTGGCAATATGTTCATTGTATTGACTTTTGGTCCAATGTATTAGCAACTTATTGTCAATCTGTAGAAAACCAGGAAGAAGAATCTCCATTGAAACCTTTGATTTACCCTCTTACTCAAATTGCCCTTGGTGCTGTTCGGTAAGTACAAAATATATTATATATAGGGGAGCAAGTAGATAGATAGATTTTTGTGTTTACATGTATCTTATATATATATTTGTATAGTTTGATTCCTACAGCGCAATATTACCCTCTACGGTTCCATATTTTGAAAAGCATGGCTTCCCTTTGTGATGCATCAAAAGTATATATTCCTTTGGCCCCATATGTACTGGAAGTTTTAGATAGTGCAGAACTTAAGAACAAAGCAAAACCATCTACTGCAAAGCCTCTCGACTGGGATCTTCATCTTCGAGCACCAAAACCATATTTGCGAGGTCGCACTTACCAGGTAAACACATCAAAGAAAAAAAAAAGATCAATTAATATGTATAAGTTATGATCACTTACTTATATATACCTTTTTTTTTTATATATAGAATGGTATTATAGATCAAGTAGTGGAAGTATTGGAAGCAAGTTTCAAATCCTATTTCCATCATATCGCTTTCCCAGAAATGATCATTCCTACTATTGTCAGTGTAAGTTTGTAAATTTGATAGTTTAATGGATAACTTAAGAAATTACTATTATTTTAGATCAAACGATTTGTGAAAAAGTCCAAAAATGCCAATGGAAACAGAAAATTGATTGATCTCGTGAAGAAGGTATGAAAAAAGAAAGGAATAAAGAAATGAATTTTGATGATTAACTTCTTTTTTTTTTTTTTTGTTTATAGTTTGAAATCAAATCGAACTCGGTCCTTATACAACGAGCCAAGATTGACTTTTCCCCTGAAAGCGATCAAGCTAGACGCTATATGTTCGCTTAGATATTAGTATTGTATATCATTTTAGACTTTTTATTTTTATTTTTATTCTTTATTCTTCATGGATTTATTTTTATTGATTCTCTTTCATCTTCATTTTTTCTATAAAATAAAAGCACCTTCATCATTTTATGTATTCTTTTTTTTTTTTTCCTGTAGTCTATTCACTCACAATTTTTTTTCGGGTATTGAAGCACCGGATAAATCCAAAAATCCCAAATTTCTCATTTTTTTTTCTTTCTCTTTTTCTTTTTCCTTTTTCGATCCATTTTGAGTCGTTTTTTTTTTCTTTTGTATGTTCATTCCTCGATCAGTCAAACGAAAATATTATGACTTGCCATCTAATGATCAACATATCAATAAGAAGAAACTACTGAACATCACCCAATCAACAGATCCTTCATTATTGACTTGCCACAATGACAGTGAGAGTAATATACCAGATCAGCATATAGACAACAACATTGATACCTCCACCTCGACAATATCGGAAGATGACATCAAACAGTTCTCATCACAGCAACGACTAGTTCACCCTGATCAAGATGAACCCATTTGTATTATTTGTGGTAAATATGGCGAATACATTAACGACAACACAGACAACGATGTGTGTAGGTATGTGAAATAAAATAAAAAGGTTGAAGAGAGAAATGCTATTGAACTAAACCTTATTTTTTATATACTCATAGCTTGGAATGTAAAGGAATCGATACAGATCTTTGCCAACCATCTCATGGATCGTTGATACGAAAACAACAACAACAACAACAACAAAATACTGTCATGGTGCAACATTACACAGCGGAAAATGTACATGCTAAATGGACAAATTATCAAGAATCGGATTCTGTTCGCACAATGACTCGTGGACAGAAAGAAGCGATATTCAAAGCACACGACATTACTGTCAAAGGGGATCGTCTACCAAGACCTATTACAAGTTTTGATCAATGTTATAACAGTTTGGGAGATCAACTTTATAGTAATTTGGAAACTAATCTTGGATGGCATATGGCGACAAGTATTCAACGAATGGCGGTACCAGTGGGTTTAGCCGGTCGCGATCTTCATGTCACAGCACCTACTCATTCTGGTAAAACAGGAGCATTTCTGATTCCTTTGATAGTTCATTGTCAATCTCTAAATGTTATACACCGATACAAACGACGCGGCGGACCTTATGCATTAATTGTGGCACCTACTAGAGAACTCTGTCAACAATTGGAAGTGATCACAAAGAAATTGGCAAAAAACATTCGAAACATGCGAACAGGGTTATTGATTGGTGGTCAGCCTTTATCTACTCAACTTTATCGACTTCGAAAGGGTGTTCAAATTGTTATTGGGACACCAGGGCGTATTTTGGATATTGCGATTCATCATCCAGCCATGCTTCGACTTTGGATGATACGTATGGTAGTGTTGGATGAAGCAGATGCTATTTTTGGGTTGGGCTTTGAACATCAAATCAAGGAAATCATGGGAAAACTATCCAACAAGGCAGTTTTGCAGATAAGTTTATTCTCTGCTACTTTTGGTGATGGGGATGATGGATTCAAGACGAAAATGTATGGTTATCTCAAAGATCCGGTGGAAATCAGCATACGACCCACAAATGACGACAATGATGATATCAACGAGGGAAAAAAGGAAGTAATGATGGATAACAACAAGAATATAGCTACTCCATTGGTGCGACAAACAGTACTTTGGGTGGAAAATGATAAAAAAGCCAAACGATTACTATCTATTCTCAATAATCCGAAGTACTTTTTACCACCTATCTTGGTATTTGTAGAAAGTCGATTGGGTGCTGAATTTCTGACAAGAGCAATACAAAAGCGGAATGGATCATTACGGGTGGTAGCTATGCATGCTGACAAGGATCAAAGTGAACGTGCAAGTATAGTAGCAGGGGTGAACAATGAACAAGATTTGGCATGGGATGTGGTGGTGACAACTGATGTTTTGTCACGTGGGATTGATTTGCCGTACGTCCGATTGGTTATCAATTATGACATGGCCTCTACTTTGGAAGATTATATTCACCGAATTGGTCGTGCTGTTATTCGTGGACCTTTACCCAAAGGATCAAGACAACAAAGAGGTTGGGCTATTACTTTTATTAACAAGGTAATATATATATATGTAAAAGAAATAGAGTGTGTGTGTGTGTTTTGGGAATAAAAAAAAAAAAAAAACCTAACAATGAAATTCACATTTTTTTTTCTTTTGTTTGTATCTATATTAGGAACATAATTATTTGCTACCTTCTTTCACTAAAATGCTTAGCGATAAGGCACTTCACCAAGTTACACCATTGCCTTCACAACTAAAGCGATATCTCTGAAACAACAAGGTATCTGATACAATAAGTCAAAATATCCGTCGAAACATGATATTGTTTCTAAACTCTTTTTCGCTTTTTTTTCTTCTTCTTATTAGACATCGATGGTTATATTATTTTATTTTTTTTTGGATGAAACACGTATATGTCTATTCTTGATCGCCATACAACCATGATCATTGTAGAAATCCCTTGATCATCCACGTGAATCCATCGACCAAGTGAACAGGTCGCGCTACTAGGCTGGTGTTGAAACTTGATCCTGATTGGGTGAACGCCAGGTACAAAATTCGAATGCTTTCTCTTCTCCCTTTTTTTTTTTTTTTCCTTATTCCTTTTTCTCTTTCTTTTTTTTTTTTTTTTTTTACCTTCTTTTACTATTATTCCCCCTAGTTTATATATTATATACTCTTTATGACACAATTAACTAATATCAATAAAAGACCCTCTCTTTTAAGTTTTCCTATTCCCTTTGATCATCCTTTTACCATTCCAACATTGATTGCTACCTTGTCAGCTTCTGCTTTACTGTACTATTATCTTCAAGCCACCCATGCTGCTGAACTTGTGGAAGCCTTGAGGAAGAAGGATATTAAGAAACGGAAACAATTGAAACGACCTGAAGATCGCTTTGCTAGTTTGAAGGTAAAGAACATATTTAGTTTACTATGACTGACTTTTATTATTATAGGTTGAAAAACGCTTTGTTAATCCTTTTGAAGAATGGCAAGAAGTTCCCTTTTTAGAAACTGCTTTATTCTGGCTACGTCGATGGAAAGGTAATGGATTACCTAAGGCACAACATGTAAGTTTTAGAAATATAAAATAAAAAGGAATGGAAGAATTGGCATTGAGACCTTCTTCTTTTTTTTTTTTTTTTTGGTTGTTATGGTAGGAACTAGAAGAATTATTACCTGTTCAACTACCTGCCTTGGATACCATATTTGCTAGCCGCATTCGAACTAAATCACTAATTCAACACGAACACACAGACAATGATGAACATTATTGGTCAGACAGTCCTAACATGCCAACTACTACTACTATTCAACAATCGTCTGCTGTTGAACCCGTTACTTTTACATGGTTTGGGTAAATAATAACAAATAAAAATAGATAAACAAACAAACAAAAGATGGGATCAGATAAGAAAAAAGAAACGTTTTCTTTTATATTTCATATAGTCTTTTTAACCTCTTTTTGTTCTTTTATTTGTAGTCAATCAACGTGCCTGATCACAATCGATGGATTGGCCATTTTGACAGGTAAAAATATAAAAAACGCTTTGTTCGTTCGGACTTTTTTTTGACCCTGTTACTCAAAACTTTAGCATCATTTTCATCTTTTTAGATCCTGTTTTCACTCGATGTTCTATCAATGATTATCTTGGTCCAAAACGACTTCGACCTATTCCTTGTAAATTAGAAGATTTCCAAGAAAATTTAGATATTGTTTTGGTATCGCATGATCATTTCGATCACTTGGGTAAAAAAAAAAAAAAAAAAAAAAAGATTGAAGACAAACAGATCACTCTTTACCGATTGTCTCATTATTATTATTATTATTATTATTCATAGATGAAAAGGTTGTTTATCAATTGGGAAACTCTGTGACATGGTATATACCACTTGGACTCCAGGATTGGTTTTTGAAACGGAAAGTTACAAATGTGTAAGTTTTTTTTTTTCTTTTTTTCATTGTTTTCCTGTCCTTATTTGATACTATGGTTTATAATAGAGTGGAATTGGATTGGTGGCAAGAAATTCGACATCATTCTAGACCTGATATCATGATTGCTTGTGTCCCTGCTATGGTAATAGAAAGAAAGAAAGAGAAAAAAAATTCTTTAGAATTATGTCATGATATACTTACTAATACTATTTTTTTTCTATAGCATTGGAGTGGATCAAGGACTCCCTTTGAAAAAAATGGAACTTTATGGTGTAGTTATGCAATTAAAGGACAAAATAATAATGGTGTATTCTTTTGGTAAATTATCATAGATTACGGATGCGATTGTTCATCATACTCAATTCATCTTTTTATTTTATTAATAGTGGAGATACTGGATACTCATCCGAATTATTCAAAGCTATTGGCGACATCTATGCTCCATTCACTCTAGCAGCCATTCCAATTGGTAGTTTCCAACCTGAATCTATGATGCAACATGTACATATGGGTCCAGACGATGCGATTAAAGTACACGAAGATCTGAAAATGCCTCGATTGTCGGTAGGTATTCATTGGGGAACATTCATGATGTCCGACGAGCATTATTTGGAACCACCTAGGGCATTGACACGATTATGGCAAAAACGACAGCAACAAGGTTTACTGAATCTTGAGCGTCATGATGATGATGATGCACAGAGATCTTCTTCAAGACAACCATCTACTCATACAAACATTGATGAAGAATCTACCTCATCTTCTCCAACTTTTGGTGGTAGTGATGTACAATCCATTGGATCTTCATCAAGTTCATCTACCATCTCGTCTTCCATGGCAATGAACACTGACGACAAAACAACTGGATTATATTCAAGTCGATTTATTACTACAGCATTTGGTGAAACCGTGATTATAGATTAATTAGTGATATTGATTTTTTTTTTTTTTGTTGTTGTTATAGTATTTATTTTTAAAAAAATTTGAAATAAAGAGGGACCTATGTATAGGTTGATGATGACTTCTTTATATGGACAGTTTCCTTTTTTGACTCTCTACTTTTTTTATCTCTCTTTTTTTTTCTCTTTGCGACAAGGATGGTGATACAGAGCTGACGACAAAAAAAAAAAAAGGCTACTCATCCATTTTGGAATATGTGGAAAATAAGGTTAGAAAGAAAAGAAAGAGGGAAAATGAGTTTGGTATTTTTTTTTTTTATTACTTTCTAGTTATCATGAATGATTACACTAGTATGACCTTTGATTTTCTAATGATCAGTAGTATAATGATGTCACTTACTATGATGATGTAGAATAATAATAGATAATTTTATTTGAATTCAGTACAAATAATTTGAAATAAGAATGTATTTGCATTAGCGAAGTTTGGTCAAAAAAAAAAAAAAAAGAATGAATATGTGTAACATATCTGCATCTTTCAAATCATTTTTTTTTTTTTTTGAATCTAAACAAATATATATAATAATGATTCCACTGTAGGTTCATATGATTTGATACCTTTATGTAATCTTATTCATTCATACCTATTCAATCATCATCATCATCATCATAGTTCATCAGGATGAACAAAATAAAGAAATGTCAGAGTCATCATATTGATAAATAAGAGTTTTATATAATTTTGAGAAAAAAAAAAGAATTTTTAATCAAGAGGAAATAATAATAAAAAAAAAGGGGGGTCAAAAGTATAGAATACAACTAATACACTACATAAGAAGAGATGACAAAAAGAAGACGATTGAAAAAACACTAACGACATTTAAAGGTAGTTGAGAAGAGTACAGCTGCCACCATCATAGATATCGACCTTGGTAATACGATGTTGCTTATCCAAAGTTTTATAATTCTTTTGCTTGTAAATGTAAAAGTCAATGTGATGACTACCAAAGGACCAGGATTGATCATCAACAAGTAGACAGCCATTGTGTTTCTTACTAGTACCAGGGAGAGACCAACCAACGAGTTGAGGGACATAGATTTTGGTGCCACGCTTGAAATCATTGGCAGCAATGGTAACATAGGGTCGAAGAGGAGAACCACCGGCAGTCAAACCATAAGGATCATCATGCTTGTCAACTTCTTCGAAACACTTGTAATTGGAGCAAGAACATCCACCGAGGTTGACAATCTTGGATCCCAACACACCAGTACCTTCCATCACAAGGGCATCACCATAGTTTTCAGATACTTTGCCAAGGGATTTGCCACTACAGGTCTTGATGGTCACAGATTTGCCTCCAGATTTGTATGAATCGGGCGTGGCAATCCAGTAGTAGGTGAAAGCCGTGTTGCTTTGAAGAAGCTTGCGTTTTTCCTTCTTGCCAGAGGAACTTTTGCTGGTGGAGGGACGCTTGCTGCTAGATTTCTTCTTTTGGCTGCTCTTGTTGGAGGATACTTTGGAGCCTAATTTGGTCACCTTGCCAGAGACATCATTGCCAGCCTTGACACAATATGACTTGCCATCATCCAGATTGTCGCAGGAACCACGGTGCACCTTGGGGTTCAAATCATAGAAAGTGTTGACGCTAATACCATTGGCTTTGGCAAGACTAGCACAAGTGTCAGAAGAGGTCACTAAAAAAAAAATAAATAGGATGAGTTTTCTGAAGGCAGAATAATAATAACAATTGTAATGATGATGGATGATGATGGACGATAGTAATGGATGAAGTATGTTTGTATAATAATGATAATAACGATGATAATCGAAGTGACAATGACGATGAGGAAGATTGTGTCGTGTTATGTCGTGTCGACGATGATGATAATATTTTTTTTTTTTTTTTTTTTTTTGTGATGATTACCCTTGTGAGTTTTGGCACAACCGCTAGCAGTGACGTGGGTGTTACTGGAAGAAGAACCAGATCCAGTGGCAACACAGTACTTCTTTCCATTGTTCAAATTGGTACACTTGTTGTTAACTTGAGGATTCCATGAGTAAAATTGATCCAACTTGATACCGTATTTTTTACTGAGATTGATGCAATTATCGTTTCCACTGACTAGTATTATGATTAGAAGAAATGATTATTAATATAAAAATTAATATTTCTTTTTTTTTTATTACCAGTATGATATTTGGTACATTCAGCACGCTTGATCAATTCAACTGGAGTTTCAGGGATGTCGACATGACCTTCAACAAGTTCAAATTCGGCTTCAGGTTCTTCTTCATCACCAAATGCAGAAAGGTAATAATCAGAATAAGCTTGAGGAGTATAAGCATCAATTTGAGAATCTTCAGCTTGTTGAGCTGAAACAAATTGAGCTGTCGCGAGAACGAAAAGTCCAAGAGAAGATAAAGTAGGCAAACGCATTCAAGTGTAATAATAAAAAAAAAGGAAAGTAAGAGTTTATAAAGAGTGATCAGTTATAAAAAAAAAAAAAGGTGACTGATACTACAAAAGAAAAAATAAAAAAAAAAGATAGAATGAAAGGAAAGGGGGGTTTATGAGCCTTGATAAAAAAAGAATGAAGAAGAAGAAGAAGAAGAAAGGAAAAGGAATACAAGAAAATTTTTATTTGAAAGAAAGTTGATGAGCGGTGATTGAAACACGAAAAGTTACACAAGTTAGATTGCATTGCTTGTTTCTTTGTACCAAGGTGAGTTTTCTTCGATTTCTATTTTACTATTGCCCATTGTAGGTTATTTTTTTATTTCTTTTTTTTTTTTTTTGAATTCATCATCACGTAGATCTATTACATCTTTTAATCTTTTAACATTTATATTTTTCTATTATATTATTTAATTTATAGGATGATGAATGAAAATGGAGTTTTAATATAAAATATTTATTTCTATCTCATTTTCTTTTTATATATATATAATCATAATCATAATAATAATAATAATAATAAAAAAAAAAGGGCTTTGGTAACCCGGGAATTGAATCCTGAGTTCGATGACCGAAATGAATAACTTATCCATGTGTCACTTTGAAAACGAAAGCTCGTGGGATGATGAAAAAAGGGACATTGATGTGAAATCTCTTCATCTTATTGGTAGGAATATATTACTTTTTCTTTCTTTTTTATATTTTCCGTTGTTCCTGAATATGTTGCATATAACAAAATTTAGTGATAAGAAAAAGACAAAAGTAACAATTCAATATTGGTAACACAATTTTTATCCTTTTTTTTTTTTTTTTTTTTTTTTTGAACGTCATAAATATAATACTTCTCCATCAGTACTACAAAGAAGTATTATCATTGATTGCATAAATCAAATGTTTTTTTTTTATTCATCTAAAATGTGAAATTTACCCTTTAAAGTCTAACCTTTTTTTTTTTTTTTTTTCCTACATTAAGTTGTAACCTTTTTTGCAGAAACTCTAAACATTTCCTTCTCTTTTTTAATTACCGCCAATCACGATTTTTTTTTCTCTTTCTCTTTCTTCCTTCTTTTTTTCGCGTCTCTATCAATGTCAAAATTTTTACCTTCTGATAGTTTGTTGGCCTGTCAACCTTTTTTTATTAAAGATATCATAACTGCAGATCAACAATTGAATCAACATCCTCTCTTATTCAAGACAAAAACCAATAAATTCTTTCAAAAAGTCAAGTAGGTTATAATAAATAAAAATAAATCTATTCTATTTAACCTTTTTTTCTTTTTTTTTTTTTTTCTCGAACGCACAGACTCAATGGGGTTGTAGTATCACATAGATATCTTGACTCTACCAAGGTTGGTAGTCAAACTCGTTGCATTCTTTGTTTAGGTAATAAAAACAACAACAATAAAATGATAACCTATTTTGATTTTTTTGGTATAATTTCCTCCTCATATATCATTCCCTTTTTTTTTTAAATAGATGATGGTACCGATGTTATTCAAGTACACCTCTCAAAAAGGCTTTGTAAAAGAGTTGACGCAAAAGACTTGACAGAGGCTGTTTCTTTGACTATTATTGGTGATCCTCAACTATATAATGACACTATTATCATTGTTTGCAAAGGGTAAGTAGAATTGTATATTATTTTTTTCAGGAACGTGCCCATATTTTTTTTTTATTTTTTTCCACACATATTACTATAGTTACCGTATTGAATTGGATCCTTTAGCTGAACTTTGTCACTGGTTAGAAGTTATTAACATCCATCGAAACAGCAATAATACTGATATTAAAAGAAGAAATTCGTCCTGTACGTCCACTCAACTTTATTACTTACAATATGGAGAAGGAAAACGACAAAAACAACGCACAGTATCCAATCTTTTTCTTTCATTATCTTCACAGCCATCACCCATTCGAGGATCTACTGATAGTCTATATCTTTCACCTTCTCAACAGAATGATGTTACTAACAACAACCAGATTGATCGGGACGTATTACAATGGCATTGGTCACCGGATCATATCATTGCTACTTCAACGCCTATCAAGCAAACATTTTCATCGTCACCTAATCGATATATCGCATCGCCACTACATACAACACAGACCGCGTCTAGATTATCATCTGCCTTACAACCACAACAAGATGAAGAGAATGACAGCTTTGGATTTATTGATGACACGGAATTTGATGCCATGGATTTGGATGATTTAGAAAAAAAGGCATTAGAAGGACGGATAGCATGACAATGTCTTTTTTTTTTTTTTTACCAAAGGTAGGTGACAATCGGAGTTGATATGTGATATAGTTTTTGTTGTTATTGACACAATTCCTCATTTTTCTTTTCCTTTTTTTTTTCTTTTCTCTTATTGCAATAAGATAGATTTACAACAATGACTATATCCTTACTTAGAAAATACTCAACTACTACAACAAAGCACCAAACGACACAATTAACCTTAGCCTTGTTGAAACCTGATATTTGTGCTGATAAACTATTGATACCCAAGATCCAACAGGCAATGAAGGATCATCAACTTGACATTGTACAGCATCGCGACGTTCTTTGGACAGAAAAAGAAGCAGGGAAGTTTTATGCTGAACATAAAGGCAAGTTCTTTTATCATCGACTATGTGGCTATATGACAAGGTAAGTCAGAAAAGAGACTAAAAGTTTTATATATAATTAAACTATTCCCCTTTCTCTTTTTTACTGATATAGTGGACCCTTTCAAGCCTATATTTTATCCTCACCAAATGCTATTAAAGAATGGCGAAGTTTGATTGGACCGACTCATCCTGTTAGGTAAGGAAAAAAAAAAAACAGTTTATCATCTTGAAAAAGCTTATGTATTAATATCCTTTTTTTTTTTTTTCCTCGATGAGAATAGAGCAAGGATTTACCAACCTGATACTTTACGAGCATTATATGGATTGACTGATACAAGAAACTCTTTTCATGGCTCAGGTAAGATCATATATAAATTATATATTATTCTTATTAAAGAAATGTTTTTCCTTTTAATAGACTCAGATGACAACGCACGAACAGAAATCCAATTTTTCTTTCCAGACTTTAATATAAATTCCTATTTAGAACATCATCAAAATAGTCATCAATAAACATTCTTCTTTCATCTTTACTTCTTTATAATATATATATATTTGAACAGATTGACCCCAGGATGTGGGTGCCATGTGTCGGTCCGGATATCACGGATAATCACGTTTTTTTTTTCTGTGTCAGTCTCAAAAATAATCTCGCTCGCTTCTTTTTCTTTTCTTTTCCTTTTTCTTTTTTTTTCTATCGTTCTTTTCTTTCTTTTTATTTTTCAACCTTTTTTTTTTTTTTGGTTATCGTTAATTACTAACTTTCTTGTTAGTTTTATACAATATGAATCCTGAGTAGTAAGTAACCTCAAAAGGAAATAACTAAGGTAGAGAGCTCTGGGTATGAACTCTTGTTTATGCTATACTTGGTTGACAATGAATTTCCCTCTTCTTTTTATTTTAGCGATTATCTATTCAAGATGTTACTGATCGGTGACTCTGGTGTTGGAAAGTCTTGTTTGTTACTTCGGTTTGCTGACGATACATATACTGAAAGTTACATTTCAACGATTGGTGTAGACTTTGTATGTTGTTTTACATGACTATTCTTTTGAAAAATATATTAATTTAATTTTTTCATATATAGAAAATACGAACTATCCAATTGGATGGCAAAACGATCAAACTTCAAATTGTAAGTAATATATATATATAAAAGCAAGCAGTGAAGACTGACCAGATTGATGATTTAATGATAGTGGGATACGGCTGGTCAAGAAAGATTTCGTACTATCACATCGTCTTATTATCGAGGGGCACATGGGATTATTGTTGTCTATGATGTCACTGATCAAGAATCATTTAATAATGTCAAATTGTGGTTGAAGGAAATCGATCGTTATGCAGCAGAAGGTGTTAGCAAGTTATTAGTTGGGAACAAAACTGATCTGATGGATCAAAAAGTAGTAGAAACAGAACAAGCCAAGGTAAGGAACAATTATAATATATATATATGATAAATGATCTTTATATATATACATATATATGATTAGGAACTATCGGATTCACTTGATATACCATTACTGGAAACATCAGCAAAAGATTCTATCAACGTGGAACAAGCCTTTTTGACTATGGCTAAACAAATTAAAAATAATATGGGATCACAACATCAAGATCAACAACATACACAACAACGAAAATCATCTATTAGGATAGGTCAAGGTACATCAGTCAATCAAGAAGAAAATAGTAGATGTTGTTAGTTAGTTAGTTAGTTATGATAGTTTTTTTTTTTTTTTTTTTTTTTTTTTTTTTTTTTGATTCAAATAATAAAAATGAAGAAAAGCGGACTCCGCTATTAAAGTTTGACTAGGACCAAATTTCATGTGGGGCAAAATAAAAAAGTTACACATAAAGCTCTTTTTTTCTTTCTTTCTTTCTTTCTTTCTTCTTCACTTTTTTATTTTTATTCTTATTATAATCGTTTTATTTACCCATTCCACTCCTTTTATTTCAAACTATTATATTATGTCAAAGTCGAGCTATAATCAATCAGAAGTGCTGATCGTTGGTGCAGGTAAAACTATTTTCTTTTTTTTATTATTATATCGACACGAGGCATAAGACTAACTTGCATATTATTTCTAGGTGTTACTGGTCTCTTTACAGCTTTATTACTACGACAAACGGGTATGTCTGTTCGTATTATTGGTAAGTCATATATTATATAAAAAGAATGTTTTTCTATGTATATGTGTTTAACTAATCTATTTTTTTTTTCTATTCTTTTGTCTTGTATGAAACACGAAAAAAAAAGATCAAACTCCAAAAAACCATTCAATATCAATGAATTATCAGACTACAAGTTTACCTACACTTTTATCATCTGGTACAAACCAATATTCTGAAAGCAGGTTATTACTACTATCACCAAGAACTTTACAATTATTACAATCAATACAACTATATGACGCGGTTATCGAATATGGCATCAAGCATTGGCAATTACAAGTCCGGTCTAGTGTGTCAATGAACGTGCAGCAATATGACATGAATGCTATTACACCAAAAATATTAAATGAATCATCACTATCTTCACCATTATTACCATTATCCTCCTCTATACCTTCAGATACCATCCAATCTTATAATTTATGGGAGAACAAGACAACAGATTATAATTTTTGTCTTTCCATTGAAAGATCACAACTGTGCAACATTCTCGAAACAGCACTTCTCGACAGATTTGGAACCAAGGTAGATTACAATATCGCTCTAGTGGATATTTATTATGCGGATTGTCTTGGGAAAATGGTATTTATGGAAAATGAATTGGATTCTGATTTTTACTTCAATTCGTCACATCAACAAATGCAACCTATTACAAATGATACTATCAATGGAATGATACCAATTATCTCAGCTCTTAGGTGCCAACGAGAACATCAGGACAGGAACCAACTTTGGCAATCTCAATACTTGGTGGCATCTGATGGCAAATCAAGTCTTGTGCGACAAAAATTAGTAGGTAAAGTTTATTCCCCCATAATGGAAATATTTGTTTTCATTAAATACAAAAGTTTAATTTCCCAATTTTTTTTTTTTTTTAATTCTAATAGGTCATACATCTCAGCAATCAGAGCAAAAACGGACCATACAACGTCAACGGTCAACTACTAGTACACTTTGCAGCAAAACAACCATTGGAAAAGAAAATGACAAGTATTATTATTCTATGGTGATCAAGGCAAAAACGAACTTTCCTGGATTGAAGCCCATTTCCATTGTGATGAAGTCAGAAGGTACACTTATCATTTTAGGTAAAGTTCAAAAATTTTCAACATACTGAATAGTACATCAAATCAAAAGACTGACTTGTTTTATTACATTGTACTACATCTTTATAACTCCGTCTAGCTCACAACAATTACTTCTCAATGATGATTCATCAAGACAATCTCAAAAGAAAGGAAGAGGCGCCGATGACTTTGGGAAATGCTCAAGCTCTTCTCAAACAACTTTTACTTCCTTATACTATTGATATAGAAGATACACTGGAATATTGCTTTGGGAAAGGTAATGTTTCTCAAAATCATCAATTAGGAGAGGACGAATTAACATATGCAATTCTTAGATTCGAGTATTCCGTCCACACCAATGGCACCTGACAAACCTATTATGGACAACCGCGTTTTTTTACTTGGAAATGATTCGCTTCAAATCCCTTCTGGATGGATCTCACCTGACCTTGGATTTGAACAAGCTATTAACCTTTGTTGGAAATTGAATTTATGTGCGCAACATCGAAGTGTACCTCATTTACTGGATACTTACAATGAAGAAGTCATCATCAAGAAGATCAACACATTCAAGGCCGTTGATGTATTGCTACATTTCTTACGAGACTCATCGACTCTTACTGCTAGTGGTGGCGTGGCCAAGTTACTTCAAGATCATCGTCATTGCTTTGTTGGTGGAATGCTTTTAGAAAACAACTTGTTGAATCTCGGTTGTCCTCAAACAAAAAAAGTACAACGTGGATCAGTTGGCACTCTGGCTCCTAATGCAAGACTGAAGCCTTATGATTTGAATCAGCTTTTAACACAACAAACCAACAACTATACAGCAGCAAAACCATCCTCTTTGTTGTCATCATTGGATATCAATACAAACGTCAAGAACAATAACAGACGAACAAAATTGTCTGGAACATCATCAAGTATAGATGGGAACGAAGAAAATCGACACAGCAAACTCAAATTATTACGGGGATTATTTACCTTTTCAAACAACAAGAAGATACAACAACAGCCATCATCTGTAGCCGTTCCCTCGGATCAAGCATCAGTAACAACAGCATCACCATCGCCAGCAAGCGACAAATGGAAAGGCATTCGGGCGAATCATTATCAACTTTGGGATAAATTACAGCTTTCTCAATCCACTTTCTCCGTGTTGGTGCTTTGCGGTTCATTGCTAGACCGTGATTCTTTATTGGCCTTACGAAAACTGAAAAAACATCTTGATCAACCAACTTCTTTTATACGCATGTACGAATATTCACATCACCAATTATATTATCCACAAACTCATTATCAACAACAACAGGAACAACAGCGACAACAACAACAACAACAACAGCAACAACAACAACAGCGACCTATGTTTTCAACGTCTACACCTATTTATCCAACTAAATCAGCAATACCTGATGTTGACAATGGTAGTTCCATACCTCCTCCTCCATCATCATCAGCGTCCATCCATCGCTATCAGTCACCACAACGATCAGAATCTTCATCATCCTTTTACTCGATACAAAGTAATACCAGTAGCAATGGTGACGATACTCTACATCAATATCAACATCATCGTGACAGTCTAAGTGCCAGCTTGAAAAGTCCACAATCCTCCACTTTTACTCGCTTTTCATCCTTCTCCAACTCTGATCGATATTCTATGGCCACCACTATCAGTGATCGTAGCATCAATAGTGCGGATATCCCACCACTTCCACAGGTACCAACATGTTTCCTATCAACAACTAAACCGGATCATTCACAGCAAGAAGACGATCATCGACAACGGACATCACTACCCATGTTTTCTTTTACTTGCTTGACATCTTCCAGTCGGTCAGAATGTACAAAGTTTCTTTCTGAACAAACACCTTACTCTCTTCATCAGTTATTCCCCTTTGGATTGAAAAATGTGTTTTTGGATCATGATCAACAAGCTCATCAACTTTATACCATCAAAACCCGGCAACAACAACAAGTCCCTACTCTGGTGGTCATTCGACCTGATGGCTACATCTGTGCACAGATACCTTTTCATCATGAAAGCCATTTACATGACTTGAATCGCTACTTTGATCAACTTCTATTACCCGTGGTGGATTGGATGTCGGCTGCGTCTCTTGTCGCTGATGATTATTGTCCTTGAACATATGTTTATTTTAGTTTAGATAAACACTCATACCATATATATATATATATATATATTATAATTATTATTGTTGTTATTACTATTATTTTACTATTATTTTTATTACTATTATTATTATTATTATTACTCTTTCTATTCCAATGAATAAATTACTCTTTATTTTATTTTGTATGTATATTCTAGATGACTTTGTGAAGTATCTGCTCTGTTCCTCTAATGGTTTGGTGAATTACCTTTTTTTTTTTTTTTTTTTTTTTTTTTTTTGCCATAACCTATTGGCAAAGTTGGGTAATGATTCTGATCATCGTACTAGAGATGATGTTTTTTTTCCATGACGCAGGCCATTCTGCTAGAGACGATATTGTTCAATGATACTGATCATGCTATTGGATATTCCGTTATCGATGATTACCATAATGACCAAAATAAAATAAAATAAAATAAAAAGTTTGTATTTGTCTTGATAGACATGCTCCTTTTTGTAAATACAAGTACGTCGTATCAGTTGTTTCTTTTATAATGTGATAGTTAATCAAATAAAGTATTTATTTAAGTATACAAGGTCCCTAATTAATGACAAATAAACTAATGATAAACTAACGATGAGCTATATTAATGCCTTCGCCATAGCCTTATGTTGTTCCTGAGACCTTTGATTTTTGCTGCTATACGTTTTGAGATACTTTCGAAGCTGGGACCAAATGCTATAAAATCCTAAAAATAAAAGTGTTATACCCTAGTTACCAATTCATCACGCAAAGTCTATGTTACCTTAAATCCAAACTTTGTCGTTCTTGTACCAAATCATACGTGTACCTATAATCGTCCTTTTCGTGAATCATCTTTATGCCAAATCATTGTCGTGTAATAGTGTCCCTATGTATCCCCCGAGTGAATTCATCCTAGAGTTAATCCGTCCGTGAGTTGGTCCTTCCTTGCGGCAATCCGTCCTAGTTGTGCTAAATCATCTTTTCCTGCGATTCCATCTTTCTACCAAATTCATCCTTATTACCGAACCATTCTTTCTGTTCATCCGTCCTTGTGTCAATGCATTCTTGTACGTTTGTAATCACACCTGTGCTAAATTCACTCTTCTTCGAACTGTCCACTGATCAATAACCCTTGGCAGATATCTATCAATTGAAGAAACATAGTGAGACTTTTCCTAGAGAAACTACAATGACAATTGTCCTTGTTGTTGTTGGTGACGTTCTTCGTGTATTTCGTAAAAGTATCATTGACTTACCTTTTGACAAGTAGATTGAAAAGCTATGGTATCAAAAAAAAAAAAAAAAAAAAGGAAAGAGAAAGGAAGAAAAGAAATAAAAAAATCTGTCCCAATTTTAAGTAAAGTGAGACCCGCTCGGCCAATCAAACCATCGTTATGCGATTTCCTTATACAGTATTTTCTTTTAAAAAATAAAATAAAAGATGATTATCGGATTCTTTTCAGGGGAGAGACTTGGATCATGTTACTCTGTTTCTTGAAGTCCCTAGTAGTATTAAAAAAACAATTGAACCGAGACAAAACATTACGGAAAATTAGTTCATCATGATGATGGGGTTTGCTCGCTGAATAAAACAGGTTTGGTGAACTTATGATCTGCTTTTTTTTTCAATTTCTTTTTGTTTGTTTATCTAAGTGTCAATTGAACGGATAATTGAATTTGTAGATCTTATTATTTTAGGTAAGGTAAAGAATCATACGGATGATGCTATCAATCTAACAAATAAAAAAAAAAAAAAAAACTATTCTAGATCAGATGCCAACATGAATCCTTTCAAAAAGAATTCATCAAAAGTAACTACAACACAACAACAAGAACAATCATCAGTAAAAGAAGAAAAAAATCAGAAAGAATATAGTCAGAACGTACATCACACACAAAAGAATATAGCAGGTAGATCATCATCATGGTGGCATTGTCATCGTGCACGTGTAATTGCTATTGCTATATTGACAATTGTCGTTCTGAGTGCAATTGCCATTGTACCAATCATTGTTGTCCAACAATTAGAGCTCACTCATCATTCATCTCCTCCTGATATGATTGATCCCACAAACAACAATAATCAGACAAACCAACAACCTGATCATCCATCACCTCCTCGTCCTCCTCCTCTAGATCCATACAACGATACTGCTCAAGCCAATCCACATGTACCACCTTTGTATCAAGATTTCCATTACAAGACAACCCCAGTGCGTGGCATCAACTTGGGAGGTTGGCTTGTGTTGGAACCTTTCATCACACCCAGTCTATTTGAACAAGCACCCGACACATCGAAGCCACCACATGAGCGAAAAGACATGGATGATCATGTGGCGGTGGATGAATGGACGTTATGTGAACGATTAGGGCCTACCAAGGCGCGGCAAGTACTTGAGCATCATTATGAAACATTCATCACTGAAGCGGATTTTGCACGAATTCGACAAATGGGGTTCAATCATGTCCGTATTCCCATAGGTCATTGGGCCATCCGACCATCTAGCCAGGAACCGTTTGTACCGCATGTGGCCTGGACTTATCTTTTACGTGGGATTCAATGGGCAAGGAAGTATGGTTTAAGAGTGATGATCGAACTTCATACTGCCCCTGGGTCTCAGAATGGTTGGAATCATTCTGGTCGTAGTGGCGATATTCGATGGTTGAATGGGGATCATGGTCAATATTATGCTGATGAAACTAAACGTGTGGTGATGGACATCGTATCCTTTTTTAATAAAGATCCACCTGAAGTCAAGGATGATAATAAAACCATCCATAGTCATAATGTATGGTCTCATGTTGTACCTGTATTTGGTGTATTGAACGAACCTGCCATGATGATCATTAAAAAAGAACCAGCCAAACAATGGTACAAGGATTCATACTCTGCTATTCGAAACATCACTGGTCATCAAGGTCCTATCTTATCTTATCATGATGGTTTCTTAGGATTGTCACCTTGGAAAGGATTTTTCACCGATTTTGATCGTACTTTTTTAGGTATTTCTAATTACAAAAAAAAAAAAAAAAAAAAAAAAAAAAAGAAGATACTGATCACCTTTTTTTTTTTTTTTTTTTTTTTTAATGGTAGAAACACATATGTATTTGATTTTTGATCCGAATTTGGTTTATATGGAAAGAGAAAAACAAGCAGCATTCCCATGTGATACATGGCGTGAACAACTTGCTGATGCTAGTCAACAAGTGGCACCAGTGATGGTAGGCGAATTTTCCTTTGCAACCAATGATTGTGGTAAATACCTAAATGGGGTTGGATTAGGTACACGATACGAAAATACAATGAATGGGAATGATGATGATAGTAGATGTCCACAATGTAATTGTACTCAAGTAGAAGATTGGCCTTCATGGACCTCTGGTTATAAACATTTTTTAAATACATTTGTCCAACGGCAAATGGATGCCTATGAAGCTGGTGTAGGATGGTTCTTTTGGACATATAAAACTGAACAACATATCAATCCACATTGGGATTATTCTCTCGCTTGGGAAAAAGGTTGGGCACCTAAAGATGTGAATCAACGTGAATTCTCTTGTAAAAAAACACAATAGTATAAAAATCATAATAGTTTATTTATTGACATCACAAAAAAAAAAAAAAAAAAAAATAAAACATAACTATAATGTATATAAAGTTGGAAACAAATGGGAATGATCTAACTTCTTTTCCTGAATGTCACTGGATGTTCCGATGTTGGTAAAGATAGACTTCGAAGATGACCAACCAAAGAGAAGGAGCTATTTTCATTGATTTTATTGTTGTCATTGTTGTCATTGGTATTGTCGTTGTTGGATGTAGGATGTTGTGATATATTTGTAGAGATAGAGGAGGACGATTCGGTTGTAAAGGAATGGGCTGTACGTAACGGATGTTGGAGGTGATGATAACCTTTTGTAAGCGTTGTAGTTGGAGAAATGGGCATCATCATGGATTGTTGCTGTCGTAAACTATTGTTGAAGTTGATACCTTGATGTTCATCCTCTCGTTCCCCATCAGCCATACTATGCCTATTGCCATGTTCTACATTGTCATCATCATCGTCATCATCATCATCATCATCCATGTCATCATCCCAGCTTGTCAAACTGCTTGTTGTAGAGTTCATCCGGGCCAAGGAGCTTGCGTTGCTAAAGATAGAGCTAGAATAACTGCTAACACCTGACGTTCCACTACCACTATGAGCACGACTGCCTGGAGAAGAACCTGATCGTTGCTTGGGAGGTTCACGAAGAATACTTAGTTCATCCACGATTTTTTCATTTACCCATGGTCGCATTAATAGATATTGTGTGATGAGTTGTTGTTCCACTTCCAATTCACGTCTAGGATCATCATCATAATCGTCCGTCAAAGAAGTTGAAGCACCAAAGAGGAGGGCCATATGAGTGGAGCGTTGTCTGACAGTAGCAGAAGTGCGTTGTAAAGCATTGGTGATCAGGGAAGCTGACGGTCGGAAAGAATGTTTTTTGGGTTGACAAGCCTTGATATATGAATTAGGCGGAATACTGGGATAGACAGGTGCTTGTTGGAAACCAGTAAAAGAATTCATAATATCTTGTACACGAACATCATTCTCTGGCTGATTCCCTGGTTTTGTTGCAGCAAATAAATAAGTCATGTCGTGAATGAAGACACCCAAGAAAGGAACGATAGGTTTATCCCATTGATGATGATAGTGTCTTTGACAAGGTTGTTTCTTGGATAAAAGAGTCGATGAAGATGATGATGATTCCAATAAACCCATATGTTCTCGATAACGTCCATAATTGTCTGATTCTGACATGAGAGTGTTGAGTAATTCCAAGCGATTCATCCTTTTTTTTGGTATACAATCCCAAGTTCTTCGTAGACGTTGTACAGGTGGTGTTCCTAATGCAGATACTATGGCTTTCAGAGTTTGGTAATTGTTAAGTAATAGGCATTTGGTAGCGATCTTAATCCAGCGGTTAATCATTTCAGCACGTCGTGATGCTTCTTGTGGCAGTAGGATAGAATGTTCAATGGAGCGAGTGGTGTAGTTAAAGAAATCTGTAGAGGCAACTATCCTTGCATGCGGTGTTCGTGGCGAATGAGTCAAAAAGGCGTCCTTTGGAATATTGCGAAAAATGGCGGATTCGATCAGAGTCAGTTGATATGCTGTAAGATAAGGAGGAAATTGCATCACATTGGGTACTGTTGCTGCTTTCATATAAAGTGTACGTACTTTTGTCAATGTTGCTCGAGTTTCTGCCACAGATGTGTTTCGTTGTAATATTTTTTCGTCCATTTCCTTTTCTAGTTGTGTATTTGATCGTGTCATAGATAAGTTATTGTTCCTAGTTTCTGTGAGTAACACCATGGCTCGTTTCTTTGCTTTACATTCTTGTAAAGAGGCCTCCAAATCAGTTAGTTGATGTTGCAGTAATCGATGTGTTGATAAAAGAGGTGGCATTGGTATCAAAGGTATATAATCACTAGTTGGTGACGATGAAGGACATGGTGTCAGGATATTATCACCCGAGTTGGTTTGAGCAGGTACAAGAATAGAAGCGTCCACAAGAGAATCAGCTAGCACGTCCATAGGGGTCAATTCAAAGTCAGAAGAATGATGATGAGATATATCTAAGGATTTGCGTTGAGTGTCTTCTTTTTTCAGATGAAAGAAAGGTCGAGAGTCAGCAAGAGTATGAGGTCGAAGTATATCAGGATGACTTTGATTCCTTCGCATTGGTGTAGTGATAAAAGCTGCATTATGTTTTGTACAAAAAAAAAAAAAAAAAAAAAAAAGAAAAGGAAGAACATTTAATAAGTCAATAGTTTCTTTTTTTAATGTCATTCCACACAATATATTGAGTATACGTACTAGGATCATTGTCAAATTCCACACTAATATCATCATCGTCATCGTCATCATCATCATCATCATCATCATCATCACATTCATCATCATTGTTATCATTGTTGTCTGACTGTGTTGGATTGTTACTTTCCAGATCTTCCGCAAAACTAACAGAATTGCCTCTTCCGCGATTTTTTCGTACATTTGTTGAAGACGAATTCCAAAGACTCTTTGTTGATAGTTGAGTAGTTGAAGTCATTTCTATTGGTGAATCGATTTTCGTTGATGAAGATATAGAAGGAGCTAAAGGTGGTAGTGTTCTTGGTTTTGGTGGAATAGCAGGTTTTTGTTTGTTGTTGTGAGATGTATCATTTGGAGGACATGGTAAAACTTTAGAGTGGAAAAGTTGATCTTGATTCAAAGGTGATGGAGCGATCGAAGTTTTTGGTATAGGTGGAGGACAATCATAATGCTGTGATGATGGAAGTGAACGCTTGACGACAATATCATCCAAATGAGAGAGACTTGATCGAATCATAGATATAGATACTTCATAAAGATCTGGTGTTGATACTACAGCTATAAATAAATTAAAATAAAATCAATATCTTCATCCCTTTTTTTTTTTTTTTTTTTGTGTGTGTGTGTGTTATGTGTCTAATAACGTTCCTTCATCCCCCCCTTTATTTTTTCTCTCTCTACCCCAAGTTTCGTAAGAAGAAGAAATAAAAATTCAACAAACAAATTACTTACTATGATGAACAAATTTGACACCATGCAATTGTTTTGTAGATAATTCAACCACTGATAAAAAGGAAAGATACGCGTCCTAATGAATAATAATGAAGAAATAAGTTATACTAAGTTAATTGGACTCTATTCATTACCTTGACTCTTCCTTCGTCAAGTAGTTGAGCAGCATGCATGTAGGCATCGTGAGGAGTTTGGATGGAGGTCATTTCAATAGCACATGTATCAAAGAAAAAGTGGGGGTATAAGTAAAAACAACAACAACAACAATAATATATATGTATATATAAGGTGAATATAGAGGTGAATATACAATAAAAAAAAACGGAGCTTTTTGCTTTTTCGTCCACTGAAACTGTTTCAAGAAAGAACAATCAAAAACTGTTCAAGTTGGAATCAGGCAAAAGCGTGATAAGTAAAAAAAAAAAAATGGAGAGGTACCAAGTTAGGAAAAACAACAATAAAGGAGAACTGTAAAAAAAAAAAAAAAAGAATGGAAAGAGAGATAGAAATAAGAAGAGAAGAGAAAAAACAAGGAGACTTTATGTTTCGAATTCCGCTTTCTACCGCTTTTTTTTTTCATGCCACACTATCATTAAGAATATGATTGGATGAAAAAAAGGAAGTTTTATTTACTTTTACTATCATTTTACAAGTGTATATATAATAGAAATTTGTTCCAAGTAATTAATACTATTATACAAAATATTCTTATAAACATGAAATAAAAGTATAATGCATAAACATGAATCAACAAGATAGTATCAAGTTAAGGTCCTCCTTTTTTTTTTTTTTTTTTTTCTTCCTTTGCTGTGACAATAAAATAAACTCCGTTGTGGTCTTTTTTTTTTTAATTTTTATTTTATTTTTTTCCTCTTTTCTTTTCATTTCTTTTGTTCTTTAGTCTTCAATGCAACATCAACGTTTACCTTCTTCTTCTTCTTCTTCGTCTTCTTCTTTTACTATCAAAACACAACTTCAGTTTTCTAGAGCAATAACAATAGTAAGATCTTTGCCTGCTAGTAACATACCTTGGCAACCTTCTGTACATGATAAACTTTGTTTATATGGTTTATACAAACAAGCTTCAGAAGGCGATTGTTATAGACCACGACCCTCCTCTCGTCTTCTTGTCCAACATGCAAAATGGTAATAATAATAGTAAAAAAAAAATAAATACTGAATGAATCTTTATCTCATATTTGAAATAAAAAAAAACTTTAAGGAAAGCGTGGGATCAACTTCGACAATGGAGTACAGTAGAAGCTCAGAAACAATATGTTATGCTACTTATTGACATTCTTTTGGACGTAAGTAAAAAGTAATAATAGTTATATTATAAATATTAACTATTTTTTATTTCTTTTTTACTAGTTTATTGAACGATATCCTCACCATCAAATGACACCGACATTACAGAACGCCATACACTACATTAAATTGGATACTGGTAAGTAAAGGGAAAAAAATATCACACGGAAGGGAAAAAAAATAAATAAATAAATGGCACGTGCGATAATGTTTGTGTAATGATCTATCGTTTTTACCCCAAACTATTTTGTATTTTTATAGACATGATACCCTCAGTAGAAGACAAGAACAGTGAAGGCTTTTTTCATCATATAAAGGAAGATGAACTAACTGAACAACAAGAATACGGTTCACCTGTAGAACCACATTTCAACAATGATCAACCAAATTATAATCCTCCTTATTCCTCCACTAGTACAGCAACTAGTAACTATACATATCCCATGACGCCTGATCATTCTTCTCCCTCTCAACAACAACAGCAAAATATATTACAGCAACAAAAGCAACAGTGGTATGAACGAAATCGACATTATGTACAACAAAAACAACAGTCCATCATCAATTCAGATATACAATCTCAACATCATCGTCATCATCCTATTGACAATGGTTACGATGGATTTTCAGACGTAGATACAATTGATCGCGAAGTGGCTGCTGCGACGTCTGGCCTAGGACTTTTATCTCCAGAACAACATCCATACCATATGATGATGACAAATGAACAAAGTGGAAAACGACAATCGATTAGACAAAGTGATAACAATCAAATATTGAAGGAACAAAAACAACATGGTACAAAAATCGACAGCAAAAAGAAGACTAAATCAAACACATCATCATCAGTATCGCCATCAGAAAAAGCATTGGAATCACTACAAACAGAAGTGGCTGCACTCACGGAACAATTGGATTATCTACGGATAGAATTGGCTGAAAAGAAGAATCAAAAATTACGGTGGTCATGGTTTCGGTTAGGGAAAACGCTTTTAAAACACACGTCGATCAATTTGGTGATTCTCTTATTGGCTTTTATTGTACTCTACAAAAGGAAATCTCCTATTGCCTATGTCATCATTGGCTATGTTGGACCTAGAATACAAGATATTCTTCACTATTTAGTTGAAAGGCTCTTCTTTTGGAAATTAACAGTATAGTAGTAGTTTGTTTTGTAGTTTAGTGCATATTTGTATCATTTGAACAAGAAATAATAATAAAAAAAAAAAGACCTTCCTTGTATTCCATTCACATCATCAGCTTCGGATTTTCAAATTGCTTGGAATTTGTAACAAAAAAAAAAAAAATAACTATTGTCTGGTTCGTCTTTTCTCTCTCACTCCTTTTGCTTTTTTTATATTTTTCATTCATGTCCTTAGCACACCAGTCGACTCAGCAACACATGCTTTTAAAAGATATACGTCCTTTAATGCGCAAGATAGATGTTGAGGTCATTGTACTCCAACAAGGTAAGATAGTCGATAACAATTATTCCACTCAGAAGATCACTCATACTTTTTCTTTATTCTATCAAATATAGAAAGTGAACCTATTATTACTCGTGATCGTGAAGTCATTCACAAATATTTAGTGGCTGATAAATCAGGTGTTATGATATTTAATGCTTGGGGTACCGTAGGCGAACTGATCCGAGGTGGTGATATTCTAAGAATTACAGGAGCGTAAGTGTGGATTGAAAGAATGATATAAGCAATTTGAATACATACTCATTTATTTATTTATTATTTTTTAGAGAAAGCAAATTTAGAGCTGGACAACAGTTTTTGGCAACCACCCGAACAGGAAAAGTGGAAAGATTAGGTCAAGATACATTTCCTTTTGCAGAAGGACCCAACTTTTCAGAAGCAGAACCAGGATCAAATATACCACCATCAAGGCTTGCACGGGCAGCTGTAGCAGGAGAACAACAACAACAACACCAACAGCAACAGTTACAACAACAACAACAACAACAACAACAGCAACAGCATCATCAGCAGCAACAACAGCAGCAACAACAGCAGCAACAACAGCAGCAACAATATAATTACCATCTACAGTCAAGGCAGCAGCAACATCACACACCAACATCATCACCATCATCGTCATTATTACCGCCAAAGCACTTTGGAGGAAGAGGTAGAGGAAGTAGAGGAGGTAGAGGAAGGGGTCATGGCGAAGGACCAACCCATATCAACGTACGGGATCCAAGAAAACGGACTCTAGAACAAGCGACATCATCCATCAACACGAACAACAATAATGAAGCTTCCAATCAACGACGAAAGGTTGCTTACAAAGAATTAGTATAGATTTTAGTTTAGATTCCCCCTCCCCTAATTTTCCCCTCTCTTCGACTTCATACAATCATCATCATTGTAAATAAAGAAATTACTCTGTTTTGAACACCGATTCTCTTATTTGATACCCTATTCTTTGTCCTTTTTTTTTTGTTCTCTTCTTTTCTTTCTTTCTTTCTTTCTTTTTTGCAAGTCATCATGAACTATTCGTTAGATGATATCAGAAGCATTCTTTCAAGAAAACATAAACTTCCTGTAGAAACTGAAAACAGTTTGATGGATCTACGCATCTTTGTTTTATCTCATTCTATTCCTTCCCAGGTATCAAAACGAAAAAAAAAATGCTTTATGTGTGTGTAACCGATGAGTTTTACAGATTGATTTTATTATTATCGTCATAGAAACGGGGATTACTCTGGAAACTATTATTACGGGTAAATGAAATATCTGCGAAATGTTATATATCATTAGTGCATCGAGGACCTAGTTTGATGGATTCAAAAATCAGGAATGATACCTTTCGAACAATGACGACAGATGAAAATTTTTTGGAACAAGTGTCTGAAGATATGCTTATTCGAGTTTTGAATGCTTTTGTATGGATCAGTTCTTCAGGTAAAAAGAATCATCATCATCTATTTCCAACATTTCTTACCTTTTTTTTTTTTTTTTTTTTTTTTTTTTTTTTTTTTGGAAGATGGCAAAGAACTTGATACACCAGAAGAATTACGTTACCGATCAAAATTTATAGGATGGTTTCCTGAAGCTGGATTGACTTATGTTCAAGGTATGAATGTATTGGTTGCACCATTTTTGATGGTGATGCCTGAAATGGAGGCTTTCTATGCCTTTTCAAATTTTATGTGGAGATGGTGTCCTTTATATATTCAACCTAATCTGAAAGGTGTTCATAGTGGTATCAAAGTAAGTAGGAAACAAAAAAAAAAAAAGTAAGATATATATAAAAGGTTCTGATTTTTTATTTTCTCTTTTTATTTTTTTTTTTTTTTTTTTTGACAAAGCTACTTGATATGTGTCTGAAAATGCTAGATCCACAACTATATTATCTTTTACTCAGTAAAGGGTTTACTGCCAATATGTATGCGATACCATGTAAGTCTGAATCATTTGTTGGACCTCAAAACAAAAACTAATCTTTATTATTGTTATTAATTATTCCTTGCTATAGCTGTGATGACATTTTGCGCCTGTACACCACCATCCAAAGAATTGTTATTATTATGGGACGTTATGTTTGCCTTTGGACTCCATTTGAACATTCTTTTTATTATTGCTCAACTAGCCTTGATACGGAAAGATTTAATGGCAAGCTCAAGGTATGTATATATAATGGATATCTTTTTATTCTAAATACATTTATCTATATCAATTAGTCCAATGAAACTACTTCGAAAGCTACCTTCTTTACAAGCCGAGAAAATTATCAAGATCACATTATCATCCATTAAGCAACTTCCACCTGATCTATATGAAAAATTGGTCCGACATGCTTATGATGAATCTGTCGCTGATAGTCTTGGTATCCAATTATCTGCTGGTGTTTCTCAATCTGAAGATTTACATAGATTACCACCTTATTTAGCTGAAGCCCTCCTTTGATTTTGAACAATAAAAAATGCATTTCATTGTCCGCGACGCGTACAACTTTTTACCGCGCCTCGTTCTTTTCTCTTTTTATTTCTTTCTTTCTCCTATTTTTACTTTTTAGAATTGTTTATGCTACATTCATCTACACACAATGATTTGCCTGATACCATTGAAGGCATACTTCTTCGAATGAATCAAGAATTAACTTGTCCTATCTGGTAAACAAAAAAGATACTTATTTTATCCCAAAGTGAATCTTTCCTTTTTGAAGTTGTATATATTTCTAAAATTTGTCATTTATTTCTTCATTCTTATCTATAGTTTGACTTTATTGACACAATGTACTAGTACACCTTGTGGACATAACTTTTGTCGCCAGTGCATCCTACAATCCTTGACTTCTTTACCCAAGTGCCCTATATGCAAAGTACCAATCACTAAACGTGGTCTCTACAGTTCAGACTCAGTGGAAGCTATTGTACAAGAATTCTTGGTTCTTCGCCTACACTATGAAAAAGATACTGGCAATGGTAATATGACAATATGATTCCTATGAAAATATAATTATTTACCTTTTTTTTTCGTTAGTACTATCGCAAATACCAAATAAAGAATACCACGAAAGGCCAGTGAATGATCTGTCACAATTATACCCATATCCAACCAAGGCAACTGACTCCTCAACAAATTTAGAAAGGAAACACCAAATGAACGATGATCACCAGCCACTGCAATCGACTGAAAATATATTAGAACCTCAATTAATACCAACAACTCCATCCATAACAGATGCACCGATAAACCATACAACGTCAAATCATCAAGAAATCTTCAGTGTAAACGGTAAAGCTCATGTTTTTGTCGAAACTTAAAAGACAGTGCAAATATGTTATTTTTCTAAAGAAGATGACTAACATTTTTTTTTCCTTTCTAATAGAAAATACTATGACTCGCGATCAGCCTCCTCCTTCTTCTCAACAACAACAATATGAACCCTCCACCCTTTCATTATTATTATTTCCATCTCATTCGCCACCACAGACACCAGCACCATCTCATACATCTCTATCTACACGGCAATCTTTATCACAGGCAATGCCATCACCATCCTTGCCACCATCATCGTATCATCTAACGTCACATCAACCTTCATCATCACAGCGATCCCCGTCTTCATATACAATCTCATCACATGCGATGCCTTTATCATCAAATTCGCAACAATCATCACAAGAATCACCACAACAATTATCATCATCATGCCCTACTGGTTCACAAACGCCAAACACTTTTATCGATACTAGTCCGACATACTTCTTGATTCATGCAGCTGGTCAGTTGAATGATTTTACTGTAAGCTTTTACAAAAAAAAAAAAAAAAAAAAAAAAAAAAAAAAAAAAAAAGGAACGAAAACTATATTTACTCAAGAGATTGTGTTTGCTTAGGTTGCTTATCTGACAGAACTGGAAAAACAAGGCAAGCTACAAATATGCGGAAAAACACATGTATCTTCCAAAGTAACACACTTTGTGTTTCCATCTACAGGTAATCTTTGCTTTAAGGTTACCTTACAGACATGCTCACCCCACTTTTTTTTATTATTTTTATTTTATTTTATTTCATTTTTCTTTTTTTACTTCGCCAATAACAGAACAACATGGTATCCAGTCCGTCAGCAGTGCATATCTTCAAGCGCTCGTTTTACGTAAACGTATCGTACGAGAAGAGTGTAAGAAAATATGAAAAAAAAAAAGATCATAAGGTCATTGACTCATATTATATTGCTTTTTCCGGAAATGATAGGGATTAAACAATGCTATCAAGCAAAGGAAATGGTAGATGCGACACCTTTTTATACTGCATACTTCGGTGACGGACAACATGGTTATGAAGAAGGACCGAAACGAGCAAGAATTAGTGCCTTACATGAGGTAAAAAAAAAAAGGAAAAAAAAAGAGATCAGATGCTTCTAATCGTGCATACTCATCCTTTAATGCAACTCAAATATTTTTTTTGGAACAAATTTGGGCTCTAGATGCCGCTATTATTTGATGGGAAAGTAGTCTATTTCCATGAATCTGTGAATATCAAATTAAAAAAGCAATTTATGAATCTAATGGTTGCGGGTGGCGGTCAAGTGATTCAGAAGGAAGAAGATATGACGGATGATACCCTTATATTGTGCCAGTCTTTTGCCAAGAAGAAGGATGATCAGTTGACACTTTTATTATACCAGCAATATAGAAAGCAAGCAATTGGTATTGCCTGGATGACTCAATCTATCCTACGATACGAATTATTGAACGAACAAGACTTTGTGATTGGATCATCAATATACTAACAAACAAGGTAAAAAAAAAAGACAGGGAAGGTAGGAAGGATGCGCATTGGTATTTGGCTTTCTTTGTTTGGATGGGACTTGGTTGTGATACAAATGTGTGAGAGCTAGAAATACGAATGCCTTTTTTTTGCCCTATTTCGCGCTCTCATCTTTTTTTTTTCTTTCTCTCTCTCTTTTTTTCTTTTTTTTCTAACCTCTTCTTTTTTTATTTTATTTTATAGAAACAAAAGGTTACGAACCAACCACAGGACTACAAGTATGAAGAAAGAAAAAGAAGAAGGTCTATTGCGATCGTTTGTTCGGTACTTCTTGCTACTGAATTCACAAAACCGAACGGATTACGACATAACAATGAATCGGAATGGTGGTGACAATGAAGAAGAAGGGTGGGTGCATAACAAAGGAACGCATATCATGAATCCAAGAAATCAATTGATATCAGCAAGACAACTGCGGCGGGTTGGACGACCACAAAGACGAGGATCATATGATTTACCAGATGTTACTTAGTTTATTATTATTATTATTATTTGATGGATCAGTCTTTATGTATGCAAATTCATTTGATATATCCAGTGATAGTTCGCATTATCATAGTATAGTTTTTCAAACGATTTTTGGTGGATGAAATGTTTTGGAAATAAAGAAAAAAAAATGCCTCATTGTTTGTTGTTTACATAGATACATACATACTCTCTTGCTTTACATAATTTTGTTATACTATGACATTTTTTTTTATTTGTTATATGTATTTGATAGATGAATAACCTTATATTTCTAATGACATGTTTATTCGGTGAAGGGTAAATAGATTGGACCGTTTTTTACCACTTTTGGTATTGTGATATGCTTTCGTTTTTATATTCACAGCAAGTTACACGATGAAAGTCGGTGTTGAAGATGCCAATCTTCCTGAAATCGAGATTCTGCTTGATCTTCGTACTTGATGCTCTCCTTTCTTTCTTTTCCTTCTTCTTCTTCTTTTTTTTTTTTTTTCTCTTCTTGTTGACTTCTTCTACAACGATTAGATACTGAATCCACATAAATCTGACATCTATTTCAAATGTTACAGAACACCTTTCATACAAAACCACGGATCATTTGGTCACAAACACAAGATACATTATCCATTTCAATCATCACTTCAAGTGCTGTAAGTAATATGCGTGAATGAACATCACAGATTTAATACTAAGCTCCCATCTTCTTTTATGATAATAAAAAAAAAGATTACTTGTTGTTTTTATCCTCAATATCTTGTTCTTTCTCCTGTAAGTTCTCCTTCTATTCAATGTACTTTCCAGTTTTATGATGTGATTGATCATCAGGTATGAAAACAAAATAAAAACAAAAAAAAATGTCAAACTGACAGTCTCTCTCTCTCTAAAAGCCACTCCAATTTAGTGATGAAAATGATCAATTACGTATTATATCTCTATCCAAACAACAACAATGTGAATGGCCCAGATTATTTGAAAATACTCATGAAGATAAAGTGGATATCATTTATAGTAATAGTGTCGATGATTGTTCCACGCTAGTTGATGATGATGATGATGATGAATGTATAGATTTTGACAAAGTTCTTTCTAGTCATGGAAATAAAACAGGCCTTGAATTGTAAATCAGTGATTATATATATATGGTACTTTTGATGTTCTTCTAGTTTGGATCCGGACTTTTCGGACCGAGAGATCCCTATTTGTAGCCCAAAAATAGAAATATATATAATGTAATGGTATGATAACTAGTTGCAACTCTTTCTCATGTAATATGAATTTTCAAGCTCGGCTTAAAAGAATGATATGAAGAATGGAAACTAATAGAAGAAAAAGGTTGGGCAATCTCTATCGTCCATCCATCATTCATCATAAGAAATATCAACATGAGTTGCCTTTATTAATGTTCACCATTGAACTGTTGTCATCATTCTATTTCAACATAACGGTATTATCTGAAATAAGACATCATCATCATAGAGTTTGAAGTAAATGATTAATATTATTCTCTTCCCCTGGCGATCTCCAAGTTTGATGTACAAAAACGGAATTTTTGGAGAAAATCGGTCGAGGTACCCGTTATAACCATGAATTTAGGGCTAACATGTGGATGATTAAGGCTGAGGAGTTCGAACAGTTTGACCACAAAAAAAAAAAAAAAAAAAGTGCGGAACCAGCTTTTTATGTTCTTTTCTTCCTTTTTCTTTCCCTTTTTTTTTTCTTTCCCTTTCTGGTTTCCACTATGTCATACATATTCTTCACCGGTTTTGTTGCCCATAGCATAGTTTGATTGGCATGTCACCATTACCTTCATTTACTTCGTTATTTATATATCTCATAGGAAAACCAAAGGTAATATGAGGAAAGAGAATTGAGTAATGTGGTGAACAGCATTCCGATACTAATATACTTTTATTTATGATTTTTTTTTTGCCCCTCTTTCTTCCGAGAATCTTCTTAAACTCCATAGTAAAAAAAAAAAAAAAAAGGGTCCATGATATTCCACTGTTCCTCTCTCTTTCTTTGATAATTCTCTTTTTTTGTTTTATTATGCACATTTGCATGAATAATATCTGACTAGGTGATTATATGGGCTTGGATCAAGTAAATTTATAACAGGAACAATCGGATGAATGGGATCATCAAAGAAATTATATAATGGACAGCAGGATCAAAACTGGGATGGATGTGTAGCAGGGAACAGCTAGACGATGGACATGTGACAAGATTCGACTGGACAAAGGAATACATAGTAATGGTGACACAAGTCTCTTTCTTGCTTGTCTTGTTCTGGTTTGGTTGACTTCTTTATCTTATAGTGATGATAATTTTATTATAGTTAGTGTTAATTTTTATCCAGTCTTTATAAACGATATATTCAAATGTGTGTGTATGAATAAAAGTGAAAGAATGAAATATTTCAACATTTGATCTAGTAGGAAAAAAAAAAAAAACTTCTCAAGTATTATCACAGGCTACAAAGAAAGAAAAGAATTATGGATAATGTTGGATGATTAATACGATGGTAGGATAATAGATGATTGTCACTTTGTTGTTCCACAAGACACCAGAGGAATTGCTTTCATGCCACTACTTTGCATTGATTTGTAATAAATGTTTAAGAAAAAAAAAAAAACAAACAAAAGTTTAAACTAAAAAATAGCATCATATTTCCCACCATAAATACAGACACATCCCACCGAGTGTATACGTAATATATTTAAAATATAATAAATAATATATGTCTTGGGAACTAAGTGTATTATTTTGTCATTCTTTGTTCTTTGTTCGTCATTTTTTTTTGCAATAGCATTAATAAGCGTTTCGCGGTCATTCAAACACCGTGGTTATCTGACAAATTTTTTTAAAAGGAAAATTATAAATTTGGCACCATTCTTTCCTTCTTTCTCTCCTTTTTTTTTTTTTTTAATACGTGAACGAAATTCAACATACTTTTGGAAAACAATTATATTATATAACAACAATAACAAACATGTCAGGTAATGTAGTTGACATGAGGGAAAACAAGGAAAGCACATTTCGTTAATTTTTTTTTTATTTTGTAGCTGGTAAACTTGTACTTTATACTGCCGAGGTATGTCCTTACGCACAACGCGCTAGAATTGCCCTTTTGGAAGCCAAAGCAAACTTTGAATCTGTAGAAATTGACTTGACCAATAAACCTTCTTGGTATGGTGAAGTGAATCCTGAATTGAAGGTGCCAGCACTTAAGATTGGTGATAAATCTATTGCCGAATCTTTGGTGTTGACTGAATTGGTGAATGATCTTTATCCTGAAGCAAAGTAAGTTTTATGATTACTCTTTTTTTTTTTATTTTCTTGATGATTCTAATTATATATTTTTGTTTATTTTGTATAGGTTATTACCTGATGATCCTGTCAAGCGAGCACAAGGTCGATTTGCTGTTGAATTTTATGGTGCCAAGATCTTACCCAATTTATATGGTATTCTCAGAAATCCTGATCAAAAAGAAGCTTTCGTGAAGGATATTGATACTGCTTACAAACGGGTAAGAGGACGTGATGCATGAAAATATTTAAAGGAGTATGAAAACTATATTTATCTATATATTTCTTTTTTATTATCTATATAGTTCAATGAGTTACTCTTGGAACAATCATCCGATGGCCCTTATTTCTATGGTGACAAGTTCTCTTTAGTGGATATTGCTATTGCTCCTTTTGCAGGTCGTTTTAATGCATTGTTTGAATTGGCATTCAACAAAGGTTATCAACCTCCTAGTGTGGAATCCTTACCTCGTTTGAAGAGCTATTTTGCCAACATCTTGGATCGTCCTAGTTACAAGGAAACCTACTTTGGTGATCAAGCTTTTAGGGAATCCGCCATCCGTCGATTCAATTTTCCCGCCAAGGATTAATAGTTAGTTAGTTTTTGAAGTAAAAAATAAAAAATGGTTTTGATGATTGTATTCAAATTTGGTGAATGGTGGTTTCGAATTCCGATTTTTTTTTTTCTTTTCTTTTTCCTTTTTTGTTTTCTTCCCCTTTCTTTTCTCTTCCTTATCTCTCTGTCTCTCTCTCTCGCTCTTTTCTACGTACATACTGTTTATTGTTTCTTGACCATTATGGGCATACCTATATGGAAACCAAAAGATACAGCTAAAAAGTCATTGAGACGTCACTTGTTACATTCTACTCATCGCCACCATCAACAACATAATGCACTTCGAACAAGACGACGTTCTATTCCTTTTACTGGATCTTTAGAAGACGGTGACAGCAATTCTCAAAGACAATTCATCTCTTTCAGTAGACGCACAGAAATCAACAGACAAATAGAGTTACGTTTTCATGAAAAACAAGAATTGTTGGATCAATTGAAAACGACAACATCTTTATTGGATCAATACTTGGTCCTCCGTGAATTGTGTGGTGAACCTTATATCACTGATGGTAATCAAAAAAAAAAAAAAAACATTATCCAATATATTTCTTTTGTTCTGTCTGGCTCAACCTTTTTTTTTTTTTTTTTTTTTTTTAAAAAAAAAAAATAACGTGTATAGATCTACGAACTATCTTGACCGCCACTTCAACATCACTCCATTCATCAATAACCACACCATCATCTATTGAAGACCATCCTGATCCGATACGGAACAATCATGAATCCTTAACCCGACTGGTGGATCGATTGATGGGTGCACCTCCTCATGCGTCAAGACTGGCTGACATCGAATCCGACATTGCTACTACTCATCTCCGTGTGAATGATCAATTGAACTTGTTAGGTGCTCCTTTGTTGCCTTCGGTGATATTCCATTGACTTTGTTTCCCTTCCCATTGAACACACACACACATATATATATATATAGCTTTATCATTCTCTCATCTTCAGCATTTAGATTACAATTTATTTATTTTTTTTTTTAAAAAAAAAATTGCTTTTATTGAAAAACATCAAAAATAAAACATATACATTCTTTTCATCAAACAACTAAATTGTATAAAAAAAAAATTGTATCGATACTATATATAGAAAACTATGAAGTGGTATATCGACGAGACAATGATTGGGTAGAAGACTGTTGAGAGGTAGTTCGCCAAGCACGTTGAATCAACCTGATTTCCTTTTGTGATGCAGGACTAGGAGGACTGGTAACATCGACTTGATGCCAATCGGTACCGGCAAAATTGCTTGCATGACCCAATACACTTTCTTCCAATTTCATCAGTTCTGCCACAAAGCCAATATTAGGAGATACCCATGGTCGTTGCTTGATCACATGTCGATATGCCCGTCGTAAAGACCAATGTTCTGATAATACAAAATATGCCAGGATCACCGCTACTGATCTTGATTTACCTGCCTTGCAATGAACATAGATGGCTTCATGATGTTGTTTGGCATCATCTATCATCATAAAAAAAAAAAAATAAAAATCAAGCAATCAATATCTTTTTTTTTTTTTTTTTTTTTTTTTTTACCAATGATTTGTACTGCTTTTCGTAAGGTAGATTCCACATCTTGCATTTCTACAGTATCTCTAGCTGCCAGTTTGGAATATCGAAAAGAATCTTTCAATCCAGGTACATCATCATCACATTCTTCAGCCATGTTGAGAATCCGTCGTATCGATCGTTGCTTTAATCCATCCATTTGTTCCACAGTAGATATTTCTGGACCAAGGTATAAAAAATCCGGAACAATAGCTGATACAATAAAGGCATATTCATTCTCGGTCAGAGGAGTTGGTTCTTGTTCGCTTTCTAGTCCATCATCGTATACATCATGATATTCCATACTATGGTCGTCATTATCTGCTATTCCTGGTTTTTCATTGTCTTTTGCTGGTATAGTTGAAGGTATCGATTGTGTCTTATTGATAGGTGATGAAGCAGGTATGGATGGTGCATTATTGTGGATGGATGTTGTTGTTGATGTAGATGTTGACGGAAGTATATCAGAAGGAATCACTGGATCATCATGAAGTGGATTCCGATCTTGTCTCCTTCGTCGATTTGTAAAAGTGGATGATCCAATGGTAGTTGATTGTAATTGCGGAGGAGATCGATGTTTGTTCCTGACATTACTTGTATCCAAAGTGAAAAGACTTGCGCGACGTTGTATATTAGAATTGCTAACCAAATGAGGTGCTGATGAGAAGGTGGTGGCACTCCGTGATAATACAGGGACGACTTTAGGTACAGATAAATTATGATCATCATTGTTATTCCATAAAGTAGAAAGATCGCCTTGCCTTGTTGAATTGAAAGGTTCATCCTCGAATCCATTTGTTCTTCCTATATCCCGTTGTTGTTGATATTCTGGTGATTGTCTATCTATATATTCCATCTTGGTATCCCATTGTTCAAATGCTGTATATCCACCTTGTAACCAAACTACTTTTGCCTTAATATTGTCTTCACCATCCATATCACCGGAGAAAAATTTGCTAAGAGCGCCCACCAAAGTCCAAGCTGAAGTTGATTTATCTGTAATATCCATATGATCATCATAGACTACCACAAGATTAGAACGATCATTTTGTTGTTGTTTTTGTTGCTTTAGCCATTGGGTATAATGATCGATGGCTTGAGGTGTAGTAATAAAACTTTCCAAGCTAAAATTAGACACTGTTCCGCGGCGATAACGTTTCAAAAGTAATGTCGGCATATTGACATGAATGGAGCCACGAATCCTAGCATAATCATAGTTAGGTTGGTATCTGATATCGATCAATAATGGTTTCACATGAGGTGTCAAGAGAAGAGCAAGATCTTTTGCTGTAATGGAAGTTGCATTATCTATGGCCTTGACTAAGATATCACTTGCAGCACCGTCGCCATGAGGACTATTTCCAGTGGATAAACGTCGTTGAATAATAGATTGCTGATGTAAAGCAGTATTTGGAGAAAGAAACATGGAAGAATCGCTTGTTGTTGCCATACCAGTACTAGTTGACGTAGTTGGGGGAGGCACTATAAGAGGTTGAGTTGTATCATCTGATAATTCTACTGTATGCTGAAGAGGATGGCAAGACAGATCCAAAGGATTTGATGTTTCGATATTGTTGTTGTCGTCAAAGTTGATGTTGACTTTTGATTGAAAAGAGGTAGATAGTTTATCGGTTGGTTTATTGGTAGAGTAAACATGGTTTCTACCTGCCATAATAAAAGAGATATGAAGGCACCAAGAAAGATGATGGATAATAAAATAAAGTAAAATAAAATAAGAATAATAATAATAATAAAAGAGTAAAGGAAAGGAGGAGACAGAGTTTCAACAAACAAAAAAAAAAAAAAAAGAGAGAAAAAAGGTATAAAAAAAGGACCAAAAGTGTGAATATTCCACCTTGAGAAGAAAAATCACACGCACAAACAGTCTTTTTTTTTTTTTAAAAAAAAAAAAAAAAATGAAGAAAAGAGGCAATATAGACAGGAATGCTCTCCGAAAAAAAAAAAGTCGGCTGTGGATCAAGCTTTCTATTTATGGGTTGTGAAACAAAAAAAAAGAAAAAAATACAGGAATAGTTCAAGCAATCTATTTTAAAAATGACATTTTTATTACACTAACTAACAAGAAATAATAAATAATAATAAAACTATATAAAATCTACTAATGAGACGGATGATGAGATTGTTGTTGCCGTTGATGATGACCAATCAGTTGTTCCTGAAGCTCAGTAATTCGTGCTGTTTGTTTCTCCACCAGGGCCATTAGTTGTTCAATTCGATAATAATACTGCGTTTGTAGATGTTTTGATTCTTCCAATTGTTTCTGTAGTTGTAAAATATATGTTTCTTGTCCAGTTTTGTTCCCACTCATAGACGATGATGCACGAGAAGATACTTCTTCCTAATCAAAAAAAATAGTAAATAATACACTGTAAATCTATTTGTTTCTTTTCTTGTCTCTTTTGCTCGTATTACATCAATAATTGAAGAAGGTAGGGAATACATAGAGGGATCTTGGGAGACTATATCTTGTTGTTGTTGTTGTTGTTGTTGTTGTTGTTGCTGTTGTTGTTGCTGTTGCTGTTGTTGCTGTCGTTCTTGTTCTTGTTGTTGCTGTTGTGAGCCAAAAGAGAGCGGCGGTGGTGGTGGTTGGCTAGACATTATGGATATAGGTAAATGGTGTACGGGTTTCATATCGGAAGTGTTTGCCATGAGAGGCATTACTGTTGTTCCAGGTAAAGGATGAGTATAATAACCTTCAGAGGTAGATAAGCCTTGCGTCATGGTAGTGGCGTTTGGCTGTGATGCAGTATGAGAATAATATATTAGATTGTCTGTAGAATAATTATGATCTTCCATGACTTGATGTAAAGAATAAAGTTTTCCTTTTTTTTTTTTAAAAAAAAAAAAAAGAAGAAAGAAAGAAAAAAAAAAAATTGCATTCACAAAGTTTATACAAAATGACAAAAGCGGATATCTAAAATAATGATGGGCAATGGAAAAAAAATTATTGGCTTTGCGGCAACTTTTAATTTAACTTACCAGGCACATTCAAGAAAACCAAGCCAATATCTATATAAAAAGCCGAATTTAAAGAATGATTAATTTATTTCCATATGTATAATTACAAATAGTATACGACCAAGTAAACAAGATGAAGAAATAAGAAGAAGAAGAAAAAAAAAAAAAGAAGAAGAAAAATATATATATATATAACTTGGGGGGTGAAAGGGATATCAAAACTAAACTAAACTAAACTAAAAAAAAACACATCATACTATACTATACAATAATAAAGGCATGATAGAGAATAAAAATAAACTATATATGCATGTAAGATAAAATAACCTAATGATGATTTGGATTCACATTTTCTTTGCCCAAGGAGATTTCAGGAGATTCGTCAGCTTTGACCTTTTGATATATAGTTCCAATCATCCGTAATCCAATGGCACGTTGCTTGCGAGTTTCTCTAGAAGCGGTAGGATCACCCAATACTTTATCACATACATCACGTAATACACTTTCTACTTCCAGTTTTGATCCACGCCAAATTGCTTGTAATCCCTATTTAGATATAAAATCAATCTTTTTTTTCTTTCTTTACTTTTTTTCTTTATTTTTTTTTTCTTTATTTTTTATTTTTTTTTTTACCTTGGCTGCTGCTTCTTCTTCCAATTTTTGTCGTTGTTCTTCAGTTAATCCTTTTTCTTCAGCCTTTTGAAGTTCACTAAAGCTTGATTGTAGATCTAATGCGGTTCGAAGAGTACCCACTGTTTCACTAAAGATATAACCCTTTTCCTTGACACTATGGAACATACCACCCAAACCAAAAGCGATATTCTTTCCTAGATATTGATTTGCCTTGGCCATATAAGTATATCCAATAGCATGCAAAAGTTCCACACCATAATTTTCCGTTTTCAGTTCTTCAGCTTCGATCTGAACAATGCTCTTGAAGGCTTGCACTGATGATTCCGAGGTATCTGGTAGTTCTGTATACAGGCTGAGTTTGTTGATCAGTTTTTCAGCCAAAGTGTCTACTCGCTTCGCCCTTGTTTCTGCCCGTTCCTGTTCAGATTTTTCCTTTTGAGCTTCACGTTCCGCTTTTTCTTCGGCTGTCAACGTCGTAGTATCATCTTGTTCCCCTTCAGTTTCCGCAGTTTCCAATGCTTCACGCATATCTTTTCCAATCGAGATTTCCCCAATAATATCAATAAATCGATCTCCACCAAACGATTGTTTGAAAAATTCTTCAGGATCCACTATCATACAAAAAAAAAAAAAAAAAAAAAAAAAAAAAAAAAAAAAAAAAAAAAAAAACCGGTTACCATCTCATTTCACATCTTTTTATAATTTTTTTTTTTTTTTTTTTTTTTACCAAAACCACCATCAGGTTTGACACCATTTTCTTCACCAAATTCGTTATAACGTTTTCGAAGTTTAGGATCTGATAATACTTGGTATGCTTCGGATATTTTCTTGAACTATTAAAAAAAAAAAGAAGGTCAAAGGTACATATAAATATGTGTTATTTCTTTCTACTCAATTATATATACTTTGTCTTCGGCTGTTGGATCGTTTGGATTCTTGTCAGGATGGAAACGAATGGCCTTTTTACGATATGCTTTCTTGATATCATCTTGGGAGGCAGAACTTGCTACACCAAGTAAATCATAGTATTCTGTAGAGATTGGATGTTCGTCTATTAAAAAAAGAAAAAGAATGTCAAAATATATAGTTTATAAAATGGCATCATTTTTTCAACATAATACTTTACCAGATCCTCGTTTTCTTGAAAGTTTTGGTTTTGTACCATTCTTGGCATTCTTCAGTCCAGTTCCCGTGGCATCCATATCATAGGTTACCACCTTGTGACAAGCAAAGCATTTGACTTCTACTTTTTCATTGGCATGAGTAGCAGTAGGAAGGAATTCTATAGGTGTCAAACACTCTTTACATGTGGTTTTGATATATGGTTCTGGTTTTCGAGATTCGTAGATCATGATAAAGATCAAAAGAGGCAAATAATAAGAAAAAAATAAAAAATACAAAGAAAAAGGAAACAAAAAAAAAATGGGAAAAACCACGTCCCTGTTCCAAGTTAAGTCTCCGCTATTATGTGTTGAATGATCATATGAAGATTGAAAGTGTACTTTGGTACTAAGTAAAGAGAAATTTAGTATGACTACTGATATCGTTTTCATATGTATTCATAAAACGTTAGAGTGGAAGTTAATATCAATCAAGGAAAGATGATATGATTTTGATAGCAATAGATAGAATTTGAGATCACGAATGGATTATGACCAGTTACAAACAAGTGTTGATAGATGATTGTATGCATAATGATTGATCTTGAATATAAATAACAATGGTGGTTTTTATTTATTTCTTTATTGATATAACACAATAATAATAATAATAATAATAATAATAATGATCATGGTAATAGCAACAAGTTAAAAAAAAAGAAGAGAGCAAAATGATAGAATGGCAAATACGAAAGATCCAAATAATGATAATAATAAAAATAATAAAAAATAAAAATAAAAAGAGGACCATCCACGTAATCACATTTAAATAAAATAGGAGGGAAATTATAGTAACAATAAGAATAATAATAAAAAAAAGGAATCCAATAGTAAAAGTCAAGTGGGGGTGATCAGAGAGTGGTTGTTGCAAAGGATTTGGAATAAGACTTGTTGTTTTTGGCATCATCATTGCGCATAAAAGTGGGAACAAGACCATCCATCGGATTCAAAGAAGACCATAAGGATGAAGTAGAAGATGGCGCGGATTGGTCATTAGAATGATGATAATTGAAGGGTACCATGGAAGTAGAGAAAGATCGAAGAAGTAGAGGAGTTGAAGAAGTTGAATGAGTAGAATTGACAAGAAAAGAATTATCATCCATCATCCTGGTCGTGGAGCTGTTATTGTTAATGCTTGTAGTAGGAATGAAATTTTGACGACAATGTGAATCAGAATAAGGTGGCCACTGGATCGATAAGCCTAGTTTTGAGTTCCATAATTTCTTGTCGCAGGCCGATGATAGAAGAGTAGAGTCACTATTGGAAAAGAATTGAGAAGTAGATCGACTAGTTGGCTTATGGTCCAATTGTTCAAAAGAATTCCGTCTTGTTTGATTCCCTTCATCTTCATCAAGATGAATAAAAGTACATCGGCTACCATAAAGACAAGTTCCTTCCAGATGATAAGCACGGCATATTTGAGTCTTGTATCGATTATGTTTTGGTACCATTCGTAATTCTTCATCACCATGAGCATACCGACATTTTTTCCCATACCTTTTAATCACCAAAAAAAAAAAAAAAAAAAAGAAGATATATCAGTGATCATGATAGATCGATTGAATTGATAGATGATTGATTGGATTTTTTTTTTTTTACTTTTTATTTTATTTTATTTTATTTTGTTTTTCATTTTTTTACCTGCATACACCTAGCTCCGACCAGTTTCGACAATATTCAGTTTTGTAAAGATGAGATTTTTTTGGATTGACGGAAGTGTTGTTACTGCCATCATAGATGGTGGGTATACAATGGTCGATAGAAGTTGTCACGGAGAATGTTGGGGTTGATGTGGTTTTCATCACATTTGTAGTAGATAGTGAATATGAATAATCCTGTACGTGATTGGATGGCCTATAAATCGAAGAAGATGATGACGATGACAATGATAATGGTGATGATGTTGCATCCATTTTGTCTGTTGTGGACATATAAAATAAAAAGATAGGATGGATCCATCCAACAGACAGTAACGAAAGGATGATTGTTCAATTGAATAGAACAAAAAGGTGAAAAATAGATAACAAGAAACAGAGAAAGAAGAAAAAAAAAATAAAGAAAGAAAAAGAGGAAAAAAAAATATAAAAAACTATCAATTTATCGAAAAATGGATGACTGGTGTTTCTTTATTTGGAAGGACCATCTTTATTTTTATTTGAATTTTTTGCAGGAATTATATCAAACGGATAATATCCACATACAAACACACACACACACATATATATATATATAAATATAAACTAAACTATTCTTGTACACATCCACAAATGACAACAAAAAAAAAAAAAAAAAAAAAAAAAGAAAAAAAAAACACTACGACTATCAGTAATTACAACTATCTAAATCTAATCATTTTTATTTCCAATAAACCAAAGGACTGTATCATTTTTCAGTGATTTGTTCACAGTGTTGATCACCTCTAATACAAGTATACCAGTCTCTTCCAAGTGGACATTTGATATCGGCTGCCAAACGACAAGGACAAAGTCTAGGTTCACTAACACACTTTTTGGTATCTTGACAAAGATATCCCTGAGCACATGTTTCTATCATCATACATTTAAAGATATATTACCATGAGTCTTTTTTTTATTTTTTTATTTTTTGTTTTATTTTGTTAAAGAACATATTATTTAGATTTAGTTTTACCTTGGGTTGCTTCATTATGTTTCTTGACTAATCGCGGTGGCACAATGTATCCAAAATCTTTTGTTGCCTTTCCATGGTTGTCTACTGGTCCAGACGTACCAAAAATAATGTTCTTAAAATCGAAACAAGTAGATGGTGGAATAGAAGTTAAGCCTAGCACTATAAAAATGAGTGAAAGAAGAAAACACTTCATGATTTGATATAAAGAAAAAGAAGAAGGAAAAAAAAAAAAAAAAAAAAAAAAAACCAAACTGACCAAAAAATCAGAAAGGAGTTTCAAATCATCAAGCCAATTTCATCCATATAAATGATCAATGCAAAAAAACCAGGTTTTATTGATAAAAATACACCACACTAGACTAAAAAAAAACATATACACAAATTATGGACTACTTTTCTTGGTGTCATCCCCGTCTAATAGAATTGAGTTTTCCATGGAAGGTCCATCATCATGTAGTTGTTTTTCCCACATGTCATAATATACCCCTATTAATAAATAAAACAATTAGTTTAAAATCTAGAACATATCCATTCCCTTCTTTTTTCTTTTTTTCTTTATTTTTTTTATATACCTTCTCCATTGTTTTCCATTGCCTGTCGTATCAGTTCTTCATGCGTTCCAGATTCAACCACCTGACCATCCTTGATGACAAGAATTAGATCCGCATTCAAAATTGTGGACAAACGATGTGCAATCACAAGGGTAGTTCGTCCTTTTGTCATAGCATTCAATGCTTCTTGAATATATCGTTCCGTAGTCCTATATACCGTATTATTATTATTATTATTATTATATATATATATCATCTCTATTTTTATCTAATGTCACTTACGTGTCTAATGCACTTGTAGCTTCATCTAGTAAGATAATAGGAGGATCTTTGACAATAGTTCTTGCAATGGCCAATCTTTGTTTTTCTCCGCCTGATAATCGTAATCTATCATCATCAAAAAAAAAAAAAGAAAAATCAGTAATCTATACAATTTATCCTATTTTTTTTTCTTACCCTCGTTCACCCACTTTGGTTTCATATCCATCTGGAAAGTTCAAAATACTATCATGGATTTGTGCAGCTTTGGCAGCATTCACAATTGTATCTTGAGAAGCATCAACATCACCATATCGGATATTGTATTCAATAGTATCATTAAATAATACCGTATCTTGAGGAACTACACCAATATTTTTTCGAAGAGAATTTTGTTGAATATCACGAATGTTTTGTCCATCAATGTAAATGTTGCCAGAAGTAGGATCATAGAATCGGAATAAGAGTCGAAGAATCGTACTTTTGCCACTACCAGAAGGACCAACGAGAGCGACAGTAGAACCTGCAGGGACTGAGAAAGAAATACCTTTCAAGGCTGTTTGACGAGGATCGTAATTGAATACCACATTGTCTATATATACATCAAAAAATAATAATAATAATAATAACAAGTTAGCCTTTTTTTTATTTCTATATATATATATATTAACTTACCGAAAACAACATTGCCTGCCTTAACATTCAATTCCTTTGCTCCAGGGATATCCTTCACTGATTGATCCACTTCAAATAATTCCAACATTTTTTCCATGTCTGTAACGTTCTGAATAATCATTCGATAATATGTACCAAAGAAATGTAACTATACAAATATAAAAATATAAGTAAATCCAAAAAAAAAAAAAACTAAAAAAAAAAAAAAAGATTCTTACCGGTGAATAGAGCTGCATCATATATATATTGAAGACAACAAAATCACCCGCAGTCAAAGTACCTTGAGATACTTCCCAAGCAAATAGTAAACTTCCAACTAAAAGACCCAAAGTAATCACAGCATTTTGGGTGAGATTAAGTACATTCAAAGAAATAGAAGATTTCCAATCGGCCTTTTGATAATCAATGATGGCAGTCTTGTATCGATCAACTTCAAAGGATTCAGCACCATAGTATTTCACAGTTTCAAAGTTGAGTAACGAATCCACAGCCTTTGTCCTAGCAAGATTATCAAGTTGATTCATTTCACGTCGAAAAGCCGTTCGCCATTGGGTCATAGCAATGGTGACATAAAGATAAAGTGACATGGTGACAAAAACGATCAAACCAAAAGGTAAGGAGAATTTGAAGGCGAAGAAGAATACAGCAACGATGATATTGGCAATGGCAGGGAATACTTGGAATACAATTTGTTGTAAGAGTTGAACGATACTATTGGTACCACGATCCATCACACGAAGTACCTCACCAGTCTTCCGATTGATATGAAAAGCCAATGATAATGAATGGAGATGAGTGAACATTTTGATGGAGATTTCACGCGTTGTATATTGACCCACGGGTATCCAAAAGAAGTTTTGCATTGCTTGAATCAATCCGGAGCCACCTTGAAGGAATTTGAACCCAACATATAAAGATACAGCAGCCCATGCAAATTTGCCTTTTCCATCACTAATTTGGTCCACCACATAACCTATTTGAAGTGGTGTGAGCATATTGATAGCCAAACCCAAGATCATTAAACCAAAACAGAGGAAGATAAGTAGTTGTAAACGGAGGTTACCACTAGGCCAAGTATAAGGAATGATTTTTCGTACTTTAATAAAGAAACCCTTGAGACCTGGTTCACCACCTTCTGGAATGGGTGCAGGAGTAGTTCCATAGTCAGTTTGTACTCTTGTATTATCCAAAAGAGGTTCATTTTCTTCCGATTGTCTTTCTTGCGAAAACATATGTATCAAGGACAAAACAACAAGAAAGAGTTGAATAATATATCGACCCATAAAAATACTGAACCATATTTTGTCGTAAATACCAAAGGTAGTATCTAACATAAGAAAGATTATATGAATGAATACAAATATATCTTTTTTATTTCCTTTTTTTTTTTTTTTTTTTTTTTTTTTTTTTTACCTTGATGAGATTTAGAGTATTTGATTCCCATTGCCCATAACCAACCAACACTAGTATCTGAAAAGAAAGCTAAAATCCAAAACGCATATTGTATCCAATACCATTGACCAAAGAGTTGAGTTTCTTGAGTGAGTCTAATTAAACTAATAGTCCAAGCCAAATAACTAGTGACAATATAATAGGAAAGTGTTGCTGAAGTCCAAGTACCTTCCACTAAAGCACGAAGAACCATAATAATAGCATCGATCACATAACTAAAAGTGACAATGATAGAAAGTAGAGCGATCAGTTTGCCAAGAGGTGATAAACGAAAAGTTTGTTGTATAGATTGATTAAGTAGAGGGTCATGACGTACTTGTAAATATCGAATGACAAAACATATAATTACAAACCCAAGTAAAAAACTAGGTGCTATAAAGAAAGGTGAACTAAAAGAGAAACCATTGGAAGAATAAAAAGGTGGATAAGGTGGATTCTGTATCCTTTCATAGACCAAGTCAAAGGACATTATCCAAATATTAAAAAATTAAGGATAAACAAGAAGAAAGGCAAAAAAAAAAGGATGGAGTATGAATTTTTTTTTTTATTTTTATATTTGTGCCCTCGCTCCATTTCCTTTTTTTTTTTTTTTTTTTAACATGCATACAGTTAGTTTTCTATTATATCATCCAAGAATAAAAAAAAAAAAAAAGAGAAAAAAAAAGACTGATTATTACACGTATCTACTTTTTTTTTTTCTTTTTATAATGAATCTCATTATGTAACTAGAGATAGATTTCTTTATAATTAAAAAACAAACTTTCCTTTTATAATAAAACTCATTATTTTAAATACAGTATAATCAAACTTCTTTTAAATATAGTAGTGATCAAAAAAGAAGAGTTATTTGAATTGAACAATCATCTTTAAGTATTATAGTATAAAAAAAAATGTATTTTGAAATGCTGTTTCCATTTTTGGTTTCATCCAATCAAAAGTCCACGGTATTTCAATTTACAACAACTTTTTCACCCAAATGTTTTTTTTTTTTTTTGTATTTCCCTTTTCTTTCTAAATTTACAGCAGAATTCCCTGATACCATGTCAGAATTACATATTAACGTGGAATTCAGGTAAAAAAAAAAAATAATAATAATAAAGTATGAATAGTATAATATAATAAATATATCTAAAACAAAAAAGAAATTATTATTATTATTATTATTAGTGGTGGTATGGAGTTACTTTTCAATAATGAACGTAAACATAAAGTCGTCCTTCCTACTGAAAAGAATCCTGGTGAACCTACGAAATTACAAGATCTTATTTTTTATATTCGAGATAATATGATGACAGAAAAGAAAGATCTATTTGTAGATAATGACACAGTGTAAGTGAAAATTATATTATATTATATATAATCAATAACCAATTATTATTATATATTATTAGACGACCTGGTATTCTTGTATTAATCAATGATGTTGATTGGGAACTTTGTGATGAATTAGAATATCAACTTGAAGACAAGGATGAAATAGTATTTATTAGTACTCTTCATGGTGGATAAAAAATAGTTATATATATAATATAGTTTTAATTGATTGTATAGATGTATAAAATATATAATATGTTTTTTTTTTTTTTTGATTGATGATTCTCTTTCTCTCTTTCTCTTTATATTGTATATGATTCCCATTTGATATGAATAGTTTTGATGACAAAAAAGTAATACACTTTATTTGTTTTGCTACAAACACCGATTCTGTGTTTGAAAGAAAAAAAAAAAAAAGGTTCCATTCAACACTTGAGAACCCCATTTTTCCCTTTTCTTTCTCCTCCCCCCTTTTTTTTTATTAACCCATTTCTTTCTTTCACCTTTTTCTTTTTCTTTTTTTTTTTTTTCTCTCTCTCTCTTTCACGGACACATTCTCACATACTCAATAACCTCTTTCTAGTTTCGGTCTATTTTGAAATCATGAACTCTTGGAAACTAACTGGGAAAAGTAAGTGTTGTCAAAAAATGTTATATTGCCTGATGAATAATATTTTTATTAATATAAATCTATAGAAAGTAAAGAAGTATCACCTCCACTTCCTCAAACTTCAACATCTATTACTACACAACAACAACAACAACCTTCATCTTCATCATCTACTAATCATGAACCCAAGTCTGGTGTGTTACTTATTCGTGTATGTGAAGCTAGAGGAATTTCTCTACCTGCTGGTGTTTCTCCTCCTCCTTCCAATCTTCAACCTGTTCAACCTCGTAGTAACCGAGATTCTTTTAACAGAAAACAAAATTGGTGGTTACCTTATGTAGTGTTGGAATTCGACAAGAATGAAATTCTTATTGATGCTCTTGGTGGTGATACAAACAATCCTATTTACCAGTATCGTGCAAACTTGTAAGTGATTCTTTCTACCTCCTGAAAAAAAAAATTCTACTTTTTGTTTTCACATAAAAATATATATCACTCCCCCCCTTTATATATATATATATATATATATTATCATTATTATGATATTGATTCTCCTTTTTTTTTTTTTTATTTTCATTTATTTAGTGATGTCTCTCGAAATTCGGATGTTTCCATATCTATTTATTTACGTCCTCCACCTACTACTCAAGGAACTATACCTGCCAAGACCAACAATGATCATTTTCTTGGCGCTGTCAAGGTTCAACCCAATTTCGATAATAATAAATTGGATGATCAAGTTCTGAATATTACTGGTGGTACTGGTGCTATGCATATTCAATTATGTTATAAACCACAACAGGTACATATATATATATATTGATAGTTTTATATTAATAATTATTTATTTATTATAGCAAAATCAACCCATTGCTTTTGATTCTTTTGATCTTTTACGTGTTATTGGTAGGGGAAGTTTTGGAAAAGTAAGTCAAATAAAATAAATAAATAGATAAAAAAAAAAGAAGAAGAATAGAAAGTGATTTATACTTTTTTTTTTTTGGTTGTTATTTAGGTATATGTTGTACGTAAAAAGGATACCAATCGGATATATGCTATGAAAGTGTTACGCAAATCTCGTATTATCTCAAGATCTGAAGTGACTCATACTATGGCTGAAAAGACTGTGTTAGCCAAGGTTCGAAATCCATTTATTGTACCTTTGAAATTTGCTTTTCAAAGTCCAGATAAATTATATTTGGTACTTGCTTTTATCAATGGCGGTGAACTTTTCCATCATTTACAATTGGAAGGTAGATTTACTGAAGAAAGATCAAGGTTCTATACTGCTGAATTGTTATGTGCATTGGAATGTTTACATGACTTTAATGTGGTTTACAGGTAAAATAATAATAATAATAATAATAAAAGAAGAAAAAAAAAAAGAAGAAGGATGGATTGTTTAATATATTTATTTTTAATAGGGATCTTAAACCAGAAAACATTTTGATCGATTATAATGGACATATTGCTTTATGTGATTTTGGATTATGTAAACTCAACATGACGGAAAAGGAACGCACCAATACATTCTGTGGTACACCTGAATACTTGGCTCCTGAACTTTTACTTGGTCAAGGTTATACAAAGAATGTGGATTGGTGGACTCTGGGTGTACTTTTATATGAAATGATGACAGGTTTACCTCCATTTTATGATGAGAATACCAATGAAATGTATCGCAAGATTTTACAAGATGAATTAAGATTCCCTGAAGATATGTCTGCAGATGCTCAACATTTATTAACTGGCGTAAGTTCTTTAACAAAAACAAAAAACGCGACAGGATAATGAACCTTTTATATATATATATATAGCTTTTGACGAGGGATCCAAATGAACGATTAGGATGTGATGGACCAGAAATGATCAAGAATCATCCATTCTTTGCAAGTATTGATTGGCGAAAATTGATGCAAAAGAAAGTACAACCTCCATTCAAACCTTTAGTGGAAAATGCATATGATACAACCAACTTTGATGATGAATTTACGTCTGAAGCTCCTTTGGAATCTTTGGTGGATGAATCTCATATCTCAAAAACAATGCAAGAACAATTCGCTGGTTTTACATATAATCCTGCAAATGATGGTATCATGAGTGAAAGTTACAATGGTTCCGTACCTAATAGTGGACAAAAATGGTGATTGATTGGCTGATTATATATTGATGGATAGATATATTATTATTATTATTATTTATTATTTTGAAACTGATTAGTACAATAAATCTTTTTTTTTTATTATTATAATTATTTGTTTGATTCAAAATGATGATTTTCATATAGTGTGGATATGATAAATACAGTATTTTATCAAATCTAGATAATGAAGGGAAAAAGTATGGCTAGTGTTATTACTAATAACGAGAATAAAAACTATATTATAACAAGATTTCTAATTGATTACAACCTGTACAGGTCCAAATCAAAAAAATATCATCGCCTGGTAAACCTAAATTGGAATAGTTCACTTTTGATTGATCACTTTGACAATGACTTTTTATGTACTCAACCACATAAATAAAAAATAATTAGTCAAAAAAAAAAGTTGTCAAGTATCATTCTATTTTGAATAACATAATACCTATGTTCTTGTTTAGCCATATTGATCATATTCATAATACCTTGAAGACCAAGATCTTGTTGATAAGTTAAAGGTATGTTGATTGAACATCCTTCACAAAATAGACCAGTAGAAGTAGATGTTAGTGTGAAAGTGCATTGAGGACAAGTAAAGTATTCATGTAGTTTTATTCTTTTCTTATCATTATTATTGTTAGTATAGTGGTTGATATCCTTGCTTATTTCCTCGAACAGTCGTTTTTTCCACATACAAGAAAAAAAAAAAAAAAAAAAAAGAAAAGAAAAGAAAAAAAGAAAAACCTAAGGGGAGGAAGGTAGGAAGGGGATTTCAAGTTCAAAGTGAGCTATCGGAAAATTGTGTTCGAACCAATTTTCGCAATGCTTGTCTTTCTATTTTTTTTTTTTTTTTTTTTTCACTCTCCCCTCCTTTCTCTTTCTTTCTTTCTTTCTTTCTTTCTTTTTTTCTCTCTCTTTACTGCATGTTGCCACTCGATTCTCAATCCCATTCATCTACAAAGGAAGTAAAACAACATTATGTTACACTTGGAAGTCTTCCATCAAGTTACTCGGATCATGATACCAACATACTTCCTAAAGTGTCACTTTCTTCGTCTACTTCGTCTATCAGTTCATGTTCCACCAAACATTATAAAACAACTACTACTTTATCCGACGCTGCTCTTCCTTCACCTTCTTCTTCTCGACACTTTTATTCTTCAAACTTAGGAAGACCTCCTGGACAACAACAACAACAACAGCATGGGAAGCAAGTTCGAAAATCTATATCAGCAACAACTGGACCAAATCAAACTTCTTCCTCTATTATGCCAACAGCTTCTTCTTCTTATCCCATGACATCAATGACAAATAAAACAGTTCCTATGAAAGAATTACAAAAGGTATACATAACAAAAAAAAAAAAATAGTTGAAAAGGAATGAAAATTGATACTATGAAAAAAGTTATATATCACTGATTTTTTTTTCTTTATATAGATCATTGCTGACCTTAAGAAAGAAAATTTCGATCTCAAATTACGATTATATCATTTGGAACAGTTATTGGAAAAAGACCTGGAAAAATCTTGGTTAACAGAAGAAAACAAACGGTTACAAATGGAATTAGATGAACGTACGACACAAGTGAATACATTGGAGCAGGCTCTAGAAACATTTGTGAATAATGAACAAAAAACGACATTGTGTGATGCTAGTACACAAACAATAACAATAGGATTAGCATCATTGATACCTTCATCTACATCATCAAAATCAGCACCATTATCAGCACCAGCTACTTTCAACAATAACAATAATCAATGTCATTTTTTCCCATCTGATCCTGAATCATTTGGTTTAACCTCATCAATACCACCACCATCACAAACCACAAAAGGAATATCACATCCACCAAATACAAAAGATTGGGCAATCATGGTCGATCGATTTCAAAATGTCAAGATTGTATCTCCGAAGCCACCGAAATCAAAGTATGGCACTACTGAACAAAATGATCGTATTTCTGGTTGGATAGATAGAATACCCTTTCCTTCCTTCTTATCAAATGATCCTTTATCAAATAATACATCATCATCATCATCATCCAATAAATGATTATATAATTTTTTTTTGTTTTGTTTTGTTTTGTTTATACATATATATATTTGTCTTGTTTTATTATCTAGCGTTCAATATAGATCAATAATAAATAAAAACATAATGAGGAAGATTTTATATTTGTTTGTTGACAATATCTCACCCCCCCTTTTTTTTTCTCTTTCTCTCTCTCTCTCTTTTTCTTTTCCTTTATATCGGACCCTTTTAAAGTTGCTCAAATGGAGAGATTCCCAATGCAAGATATTCGGGAAGTGAAATAAATAAATAATGATCACAAAAAAAAAGGGTTTAGTTGACATTATGATTTTTTTCAACTACGATTGTTTCATATCGAAAAAGAAAAAAATGTTATAAGATAAAAAAAGTTAGAATGATATATAATAATAATAATAATAAACACATTAACCATCAAAATCAAAAGCTAAGGTTGATAGGAAAATATAAGTATTTTCTTTAAGATTTCAATTTTATTTTAACGTGTGGAGATCCGAGGTTAAAAGTTGGAAGTACAGGATGATTTCAATAGACTCTAAATAATGTAGATAAAAGAAGAGGACAAGTTAAACACATGTTGAATTGGAGAACTAATTTTTTTTTTTTTTTGGCTGAAAGTAGAGTATGGGTCTCATGGCTGTCGACGTTGAAGTGAAAGTGATCAAAAAAGAATGATGGCACCAGATATGTTGAATGTTATAACAGGATAGTGTCAAAACCTTTGAAATTGACTTGTATGAAATGCATTACGTACAATACATTTTAACCTCCGCGTTCTTTTGAACGGCATAACTTGAGGTACAATTCAAGTTTACTTCTATTTCTTCCTTTTTTTTTTTTATACTTGCTTATCATATCACCTTATTTTATATCTAATATATTATTATTATACCATTTCATTTGGTTCTTCTAAGAATGCACAATTATTCACCTTGTTTTACATTTATTATATCGCCATGTCATTTGATTCTTACCGAAAAGCACAACTACATTTGCAAGAAACAAGAAAGACAATTACTATACCACAGTTAGACAAAGACACCTGTATATCATATTTCAACAAAGTATTCCAAGAATTAGTACGCGAAGATTTACATAAGCTATGGACAAACAAAAAGAAGAAAACCGAATCCGAGATTCTATCAAACTATTGTCAACAACAAGAACGAAAGCGAACAATACCAAACCTTTACAAAAAGACTGTAGAACTGTATAACCAAGGTAGTATACATATACATATATACATCTATACCAATATTAATCTAACTTTTATTTAGAAAACTCAACCGACTTTTCCAAGGATACGATTACTGCAACTGTAGACTCGAAAGCTATTCCTTATGTTCACCTTTATAAAGATTTTGTGAATAATAATGCTGCCAATATATTAGAGGAATTAAAAAACAACGACAACAACGACAACAACAACAACAACAACAACAACAACAACAATCAAGATTATGAGGATAATTTTATTCACAATACCATTACTTCTCAATTGAACACAATCTTACGACCTGATTTGTCTGACTTGGAGAAAAACATCATCCGTCAATCACTACTGAAGTCACAGAAGATAATTACCAATATAATGGCGGATATCTCAACTTTAGTTTTGTTAGACCTTTTGAAACGAACCACGTAAGTAAATAGTGATCATGAAATACTAGTCATATACTCATATGCTCTTTTTTTTTTTTTTCTTAGTGGTCCACCTGTAGAAATAACTAGTATTCTACCTGAATGCAAGATTACCAAGGTCCTTCCACCACCACAGATCTCTCCTCCTTCTTATGATGTCAAGAAACTCATGGCTAGTCACAACAATGCCACCAAAGCTGAACGACGTCTATTTGAACTGTATACTTTCGGCCATTTGATGCACCTGTTGACCGCAACTCATAACTCTCAAGAAACCTCTCTTACTGACACTCCAGGTCCTTTCTACTTCTTCAAGTCATGATTCCAACAAGGATGGTATATTGAACTGGAATTTGGACTTACCGGACATCACCAACCTAAACCTTACTGATATGCCACCTGGATTATCTACCATTATTCTGCCTTATGTAAATACGTACGCCACCAATTTAAAGAATATATATCAAGGTGATATAGTGGATCGTCTGCTATCAAGAACTATTATGACTGTCCTTCGGTGTCGGCTTATTCTCCCAAAAAAGGACCAAAATAAGAATGAATTGAAAGAAAGGTAATGCATATTGATGATTTGATGATGATGATGATGATGATGATGATGGATGATCCACATTATTAACCTATCTATATATAATTAGAAAATCACAACCAAAAAGTCCCAAGAATTCTTTTACATTCAAGTGCCAAATCAGACGCCACAGCAAAAGAATAAAGCGGTTGCAACAATTTGATAATATAAATCGACCAGACGTTCTTCAGAAGGAGCAACAAATTCTCGAACACTTGATGCAATCCTCTATTCTCAATTCAAGTACTACTGCTCAGGTTAACGTGGAGATTCCTTTGGTGGACGATACTGATGCTCAAATGAATTTGGATGTTACTTTGGTGGATGATACTAGTGCTCCGATGGAAGTGGATGCCCCTGAAACCATTCATGTTAACCCCTCCTACAATCGACTGAAGAAAATTGCAAATTTTGTGAAGTCAATTCTATTCAAAAAGAACATCGATCAACCGTTAACTGTCGAGGATCTTAAGATGCATGCGCCAGATATGGAGTTTAACGATGACGAAGCCAATTCAGTACTCCTTTTGTATCAATTTTTCTCACCATATCTGTTACCCAAAGTATACGATGACGATGTAGATCGGCATCCCCTTCTCAATTTCCCTCTTGTTACGGTATGCAATCATATTCTTCGCTCAACTGGAAACGAGAAATTTGTAAGACGATCTGTACCAGTTGTAAAACATTCCAAGACCTATTCCATTACTTTGGATCCAACAAGATTGTATTTGACTCTGTGCTCGTTGAAAGGACGTGTTGGCGGAACAAAAGGCGGAAATGTGCAACCTCTACATTCGTATGGATTCGATGTTTTTCTTCCCAACGGTGACATAATAAGCAATATTACCAAGTCAATCAAATTCCAGGATGAACTATTTGGTGCTTTTTTTGATCTTCCAACGAGGCGAAGACTCTGTGCGAAAAAGACTGGCTTTACCTTCTCCAATCGAATCACAATCACTAACTATGGCGCGGTGCGACTACATTCCAAAAAGGAAAAACCAATTGACACTGATATCAAGCCATCAGCAACCAACGTACGACGAAAAAGAAAGTTATCTGAAGAGATCACAATGCAAGAAAAGATAAAATCATTGGATGCTTCCTTATCAACACCAGCTGAAGAATTGCGCAAGTTGAATAACGAAATAGATGAAACGAAGATGAATATTATGAATATCAACAAACGAATTTAATCCATTGCCGACACAACACATGATGATCTGGAAGACCTCCCAACAAAAGTTTTTTTAATTAAACAGCGGGCAGAAAAGAAGCGACAGCGTGACGATCTACTTCGACAGAAGCTTGTTGTGTTACGGAAGATATCAGCCCTCAAGACAGAGAAGAAGGATATCTTTGACGAGTTTTATTCAACTGACACGACAGATGTTAGCCTATCCTCATCATCTACTGGTAACGAATGGGAAAATGGAAGTATTTTTGTTGGATGTGATCCGGGTCTGGCAACCATGGTCCAAGCTACAAGTGCTGATGTCAAGAAAGTAATGTACTATTTGGCAATCAACAATCGTTATCAACCATTGGAAACATTAGTAGAAAAGGTGGATAGTGATGGCGATGAAAAGGAAATGCTTACTTTGAAGAAATATTCAATTACCAGTAAACATCTCGACGATCAAACCTTCTCCAAACGCCATCGCAAGGGAATGGAATATAGAAAGAGACGAGATCATCGCAAAGTAAGTGATTCCAAAAAAAAAAAAAGGATGTCAATAACCTATTTTTTTTTTAATTACTAGTCTCAAGCTCAAGGTTTGCTTTCCGTCAAGCAAGTAGAAGAAAAGTTGGCTGGATCAGTTGATGTTCGTTTATATGAAACAAGTCTACAAAAAATCATGACAAATCACAAGGTAGGATCAATTATTATACATCATCACGGAGACCAAAAAAAAAAAAAAAAAAAAAAGACAATGGATATTAATGAATGCAATCATTTCAATTTATCTAGTTGGTCAAAGACAGCTCACCTATTCTCCAGGATTTCTATTGTGATCAAAAATACAATCGGCGGTGGAAACGAACAGCAGTGATATACAGCGAAAAGGGAACACATGTAGTCATCAAGCATCACCAACGACAAGTAAAAGAAGAACCTGGACAAAAATTACATTACTTTTATGGAAAGGCGGGCCGTGGTAGAAACTCACGTATTGGTGGATTTTTAAGAAGAGGTCATGGACCCTTATTACAAGCTCTTGGTCAACATTCTTCTATCTTCCATACAGATGAATTTAGAACGACAAAACTCTGCTGCCGTTGTCATGAGCCTATCTATCATCCGAAGAAAGCTAATGGAAAATTAAATCTGGGAACTGCTATTTGTCAAAACCCTGATTGCAAAGGACGTCAAGCTGGAATGATTGCTGAATCACGAGACACAAATGCAAGTATGAATATGATCATCACTGGATTATGGCAACAAGTTACTGGCAAACTTCCTCCATCCTTCCGGCGGTCAATCTCATCAACAGACAACGATAACAACAATATTGATAAGATATTCCAAACTTTGATCTCTTCTCATCCTGGACTGGTTGAAGATGGATACATCATGCCTCTGTGCTGAAGGCAAAACTTGAATTGTACCCTAAAATTCAAGTTTTGCTTTTGATATGCATAAGTTTTTTACTGCCCTTCCTTTTTCTCCTTTTTTTTTTTTTCTTTTTACTTTTTTTTATATATGCCGTTATCTCTATTTTATTTCACATTGATATCACAGTTTATATCTTTTTTTCTTTTTTCTTTATTCTTCTTTTTATTTTATTTCCATACATACCCTCACCTTCTTCGCATGACATGTACAAAACAAGGTATGAAGAAAGCCCGTGGAAAAACGCCAGAGAGAAAAAGAAGAAAGTGATGACCACCAAGAGCGACAACAATTAATCCGTTTGGATCCACAACCCAATCCAGAACCATCGCGTAAGTTAGAGTTAGATATTATTTGATAGACTCTTTATCCTTTGGTCTAACCTTCATCTCCTTTTTCTTTTTTTTTTTTTTTTTTGAATGAATGAATAGATCCTCCAAAACGACAACGTGGTGGAAAGTCCAAGAATATCACCCATCGAAAGCAAAACTCTGATGAAAAGTTCTCCAAGCAAACAACAAGAAATGAACGTTAAGATGATGTAGAAGCTCAACAAATCATTAACCGCCTTTACCCGATATGCCTGTGTTATGGTATTACCCAAGCATCAACTACTCATTCTCATAGCTCAAGTCAACATTGTCCTTATCACTCGAAGTCTTAGAGTGTCATCTCACGGCAGATACTGGATGGGAATACTCGAACTCTTACTATCAAGCATGGCATTGAAGGCATCCTCAAGACTTTACGGAACGATGAAAGAACGCAATTCTTGTCTGGCCTGGTCAAAGGTGGTGGATTTCAACCGACGTGTCATGATTTGTGGTCATCTGTTTATTTTGCACTATTTTACGCAATGCCTGTCGATTGGTTTCCGGATAACCTTTGGTGTTCTTTGATTATAGGTTTGTGAATGGTGTGTATCAACTCATCGTAAGGCGCAAGTGGTCCAATGAACGTCATTTCGACGAAGAAACGCGTGAATATATCAAGACATCTTTTTAAGCATTCAAGCTAAGTCTCCAACGTCCATTGTCCTTTAGTACCCTCTACTGTTCAAGACAAAGCTACGATTGGTTTCAACAAGATCCTGACCGCTACGGCTCGTTTGTATGCTTCAACCATGATCAACCATATTGTAGAAGGATTCGAACAGATTTTTATCTCATATCTGCAAGCACGTTTGGCTCGCATGGCACCAGTAAGTACATTCTTCAGGTTTAGAAAAAATAGATCACTTTCTCACCCCCCTTTTCTTTTCTTTTTTTTCTTTTCTTTTCCTGTAGGCCTTGAAACGCTCCCAAGTTATTTTTTTTTTCTTTAAAAAAAAAAAAAAAAAGAAACGAGGCATATTCGAAAATCAATTCTTCACTGATTCGGTATATTCTTCCATTCAAGAAACGTTGCCCGGTCGTCGTCTGGTATACCTTTGACACCGAATGATTTGGATCCATCCATGGTAGAAGGCTTGGAAGTGTGGGGGGATTCACTCTGGTTTTACCGAAATATTTGTGGCATCAAACTCTTCTAATCCTCGTGCATATATAAGTGATGAAGATCCCGATGAACCGATCCTGTCTTCACCAGAAGAAAGTCTCCATCAAGTTCGCAAGTTTAGTGCAGCTGAATTTTATTGTCTGATCAGTTATCCCAAAACGAACGAGAAAATCAAGCAGTGGAAACAAATACATATGGTATTGATACGATTGAAAGTGGTATTGGATCACCCAAGACATCCTCGCGTGAAGAAATTGTCAACTACATGGTCAACAAACTCAAAAATCTAGATCAACCATTGTCATTTTATGGTCAAGATCTTCAGGAGATCCGATTTCTCAACTATCATGGTCGACAAAAGGCAACTCTAGAAATGGTCAAGATCTTTCCGGATGGAGGTCGAAAGTATGGTGAACACTCTGATCATGGCAACAGCTTTGGTGCACAACAGCGTCGATTGAAGATTGATGGATCAATGAAGCAACATCGGCGTAAGTTTGGACAAGTCTCATCTATTCCAGTACCGTAAGTTGTTTTATAAAAAAGTGTGTATGAGAAGAGGAATATGTCGACTCATTTTTTTTTTTTTTTTTTTTGGTTGGGGATGTTATGTAGAAGCAATACAAACAAATGGAAACGGCTACCATATTCAGGATCTGACAATATTCCCTTGTTATGCGTTGGTGATGGCCAGTTTGATCGAAGTACTTTCCGAAATAAATATCATGGACTCATCAAAACATTCCGAAAGGTGATCAAGCAAGCGCAAAGATAGAATCTTCTTCTGTTTGTGGATGTGGATGAACGATGATCGTCTCAAGTTTGTTCAAAATGTGGATCTCGTGATTTACAAAACTTATATCTGTATGAGAATGCTGTTACATCAAAATTGCATAGTGTGGTCTGCTGTCAAACACGTTATACTCTTTGGTAACGAGATGTGAATGCTTCTCGCAATATCCTGTCTTTGGCCATTTTCCCTATTTTTGGATCTTCAGTTTTCACCAATGAATATGATAATCAAGAATATCAAGAACTTTCCAATGATGGCCCTCAAAATCATCCTGGTAATAGAAACCCGTTGGACGAATAAACCGTAGGTGCATACACTTTTTTTCTTTCCTTTTTCTTTTTTATTCACCTTCTCTTTCCATCATATAGACTATGGACTCCTTTGTCTGATTGTAAGTATCAAAAAAAAAAAAAAGAAACACCAACAAGGACATTTCGGAATCACTTGGTAAGTCAAAAAAAAAAAAGGTATTCTGACCCGCTTTGGTGAAGTTGAATCGTTTTGACAATGGTGACCGAATTTGGCAAGACTGACCCATTTTTATGTGGTTGACTCAATTTCATACTAACCGACCAAGCTTTTTTTTTTTTGTAGGCTCATTTTCATTTGTACTGACCCAAGCTTTTTTTTTCTCAACAGGAACTTAAGTCTAAGTGTATGGTGTAACCTTGCTGTGCAATGAATATCATTTTTATATACGGAGAGCAAAATTTACATTTGATTCTCCTCTCCTCTCCTTTTGAAAAAAGATCTCATTTTTTTTTCTCTTTTTTCTTTTCTCCTATCATACTCACCCACTCACACACACATATATATATATAAATATATATCTATTACACTTACATTAACACACCTACATTCATATTACCACTAACACTCACACTATTTTCCTTTTTCTTTCTTTCTTTCTTTTTTCTTTATTTTGTTATTACATTCTCTCACATTAACATCTGTAGTGATTATTTTTATATTCATCCTATTATCCGTTTATCAAATTTGACCACTACTCCCAGTCTCTCTCTCACACAATCACATAGCACCTTCAGTTTTTTCCTTGGAACAAATTGTTGGTTTCTTCGTCCTCCTCCATCTTCTCTTCGTGATACAACAACTTTTTTTTTTTTATGTGTTTTATAAAGACGACCTTTTAATATACGACAGAACAAACATAAACCAAAACTTTCAACTTGTATATCATCAAACAACTTAAAAACAAAAGATCATGGATCCTTCTCATTGTACAGTAGTAATATTACAACAACCTCAACCTCAACCTTTTATTATTAATGATGGAAGTGATCAACAATTGTCTCAACCAAGTTATTTATCTATTTTACAATCTGTTTTTGCTCAAGGTAATATATTATTATAATAAAAGAAAAAAAAAGGGGGGAATGACAACAGGTAACAACAATAGCAACAACAGTAATAATAACAATAATAATAACTGCAACAACAACAACAAGAGAACGATTATGGAAATCAGTGTGTGAATTGTGGGGAAAGAGAGAGAAAGAAAAGTGAATAAATGATAATATTCCACACACAAGAAAGTGAATGAGTAACATAGAAGGATAGCACTGTGAAACCATAGAAAACTAACACTCCTTTTTTTTTTTTTTTGTAACCATCATACTTTTTAGTATCTATTACCTCCCATCAAACCGAAGCTTTTAGTTGGATCAAGCAACAACCGTCAACATTATTATTATTGGATTTGGATGATCAAGAAGATGACTCCCTTGGATGTTTTGCAAATATCACTTGGGTTGCCAATATTACTCAACTTGTTGAAGATGATAATGTCCCAGTCATTGGTAAAATGAATGTTATTTACCATGTGCTCCTTTCTTATTCTTCTTTTCTTTTCTATAGTATGTTCATCCAATGAAAATGCTTCCTTTATGCTTGATTGCATCCATGCAGGTGCTGCCGATTATATCCTGAAACCAATGCGTCTAGATGTCGTCAAAACATTATTCTTAGTAAGTAAAGAAAAAAAAAAGGAGGATAACCATAAATTGGAAAAAAAGGGGGGGAAAAAACTCATATCATCTTTACTAGGCGTTACACCGACGTCGATCTCATTCCAAAATGCACGATGACCATGGTTCCTCTCCCACACTTTCTAGTGATAATGTCATGTCTCCTGCTGCAACTACTACTACAACTACAACTACAACTGCTCCTATCACACCTACCAACTTTCAATCTTTACAACATCATCCATTACGTGACGATTCTAGTTTACAACTTCGTTTGAAAGAAATAGTTGAAAAAGATTCATTGTAAGATTATTACTTTATACCATCCATATCATTTGTAATTCATCTCCATCTCTCTCTCTTTTTTTTATCTTTAGATTATCCAAAGTAGTGATGGATATTTATGCACCATTACCACCGGTTTCTGTAGACATGTCCTTATCAAGGTATATATCAATCACAAAAATCGCTATTTCAACTTGTTAACTTTATTTTTTTAAACTTAGTGAATCTGCTAAATTATTACAAAACAAAATCGATAGATGGGATTTTTCTCCATTTGAATTGAATCATCAAGAACTTATCCATTGTGTTATCCTTATGTTTAAACCAGTTCTTGCTTGTCCTGAATTGGATCATTTGATTGTTACTCAAGGTAATAAAAAAAAATAACAATACTTTAGTTTTGGTCTTTTTATTATGTTACTCAAATAGATTCTGTCTTGTAGAACAATTGTACGACTTTATTAGTGATCTTTCTAGTGTTTATCATGATGCCAATCCATATCACAACTTTGCTCATGCTGTTGATGTTTTACAATGTTCTTATTATACTCTTCAACAACTTGGTGTCTTGCCTTTTGAATCACGACAAGATCAATCACTTCCATCTTTTAAACCTCAACATCTGTTACGTCCCATTGATGTCTTAGCTCTCTTTATTGCTGCCATTGGTCATGATGCTGCTCATCCTGGTGTCAACAATTTGTTTTTGGTAAGTCACTTATCATTTTTGATTTTAAAAAATCAGTTTTTATTGGATATTAATCTCCTTTTTTTTTTCTTAGGTCAACTCGGCTGCTCCTCTGGCCTTGCTGTATAATGATCGTTCTGTACTTGAAAGTTTCCATTCAATGACTCTGTTTCAATTGATGAAAAAACATGGCTTGGATCAAATTTCAGGTGGTTCTGGAACCTTAAATTATCAAGGTAAAAAAAAAAAGAATACATTCATATAATGTTGATCTTAACATGTTTTTATTTATACTTTCAATCCAAAGAATTTAGAAAGACTGTGGTGACTAGTATTTTGGCAACGGATATGTCACTTCATAATGATTATGTCTTGAAGATTCAAGAACAAGCGACAAGATTACTGGATAGAACGCCAACATCCAAAATAGATGAAGAACAAGAACGGCTGCTGCTATGTAGTGCTATTATCAAATGTGCAGATATAAGCAACGTGGTAAGTCGTTTGAAAAATAGTTATCATGCCGTGATTCTAAATGTTATTGTTTTTAACAAAAAAAAAAATGATGATTAGGCTAGACCTTTCTTACAATCTACCAAATGGGCTGAATTATTGGTTGAAGAATTTGCTTGTCAAGGTGATTTGGAAAAGGAACTTGGTATGCCTGTCTCCTTACTCAATGACCGTGAAAAATTGATATTGGAAGAATCACAAATTGGATTCATTCGGTTCGTTGCTATGGGATTATTCCAACGTGTGCGTGAAGTTATGCAAGGTAAAAAAAAAAAAAAAAAAAAAGGATGCAGATGAGGAACAGACATTTTAACATTTTTTTTTTTTTTTTTGCGTGTTTGTTTGTTTGTTAGAAATGACATTTGCTGTAGATCAATTAGAAAGTAATTTACAACGTTGGGAAAATCGCAAACATACCACACATGATTCTGGGGTATCAACACTTGCCGATAAGGAAAACGAATTATTACAACGAAACGACAAGGTCACTGATCCCTCAACAACGGTGATCCTTGGTAGTGATGACAATGATGGTGATCATACAAACCGTGATACAGACAATAGTTCACCGTATAATGTCCAACCAGATGTGGAATTTTTGCATACGCGAATATCTATTGATACAGCAAATGAACTGACAAGCATGCCAGCCATGGCGATGAAGCACTATTCCTCTGCAGGCAAGGTGGATGATCGGGATGATTTTTCGACTTTATCGCATTTCCCTTCTACTGGCAATCACCCTCCTGGATGGCACGATGGCCCTGTTTATTGTCAATGTACTATACAATGATGAAATCTGATCATCTCCTCCCCTCTCTTTTTTTTTATATATCTAGTATTATCATAGTCATTATAGGCATTTGTACACAATTTTATTTTTATTCTTTTTTTTATTTTATTTTATATCTACACTCTTCATTGATTCCCCCCATTCCTCCTTTTTATTTTTTTAAGTATATAGATTATTCTTCCTCCGCATTTTTTCTTTATCTTCTTATATCTTCCTTCTCTTTCTTTGCCGATAGATTGTATACTTTAGACCTTTCTTCAGTTTTCTTTTTTTTTATTTATTTATTTTTTTACAAATAAAATTTCAATGTGTTTATACATATACATACTCAGTACACTTTATTTTTTAAATGTTTTCAAAGTTTTCTTTTTTGGTCGGGTTACAAGAAAATAGTTTAGTGATATTATATTTCTGTCCTTACAATATATTATTTTCTATTTTTGCGACATCTTATTCGTCAATTATTATTGAATAAAGTGAATAAACTGTATCCATGGTCAACACTTGCTTTGTAAAGAATCCCACTCCAAAGAGACTTCCAACTCCGCTTTTTTTTTTTTTTTTTTTTTTTTTGTGATGGTGTGGTGTTTTCTCGTTTTTATTCTTTTATTCTCTTTCCCTTTTTCTCAAATTTGTCTTGATTCCTTTTGAATCATGTCTGCTGATAATTTCAAGACAAACATCTATGAATATCTTGAAACATTACCAAAGTATACCTTTTTACGACTTTTTCAAAAGCCTGCAACATGTTTAGCTATCTTTAGGTAACAAAGGAATCCTTGTTTGTTAATCTTTTAACTATACTCATTCTTTTCTTCTCCTTATATCACGATACTATACAAATGCTTTATAACAACTACACATTTCAAAAGACTTTTGCCAGCAATAGGACGCCAAATAGTCATGTCATTACTTTACGTGGAAACGCCAATATCAACACAAGATCTACAATATTGGGTGAATAGAGAAGGACAAAGGTAAAGTTGAAGGGATAAAAAAAAAAGATAATGTCAATGTATTAAGCATTGTTTGACGTGTCACCTTCTTTTTTTTTTTTTTTGAATCATATGATTGGGACAATGTAGAAAACTCAAAGAAGCATTATTGAAATTATCAAGGTTACGTATATTGGAACAAAATGACAATCTGTTGATTATGAACGAAACCTTTCGACTAGAATTTACCAATGCATTGACTGGAGGGTAATCATATGGATGAACAAGCAATGGCATACATGGATCTCACTCACACTCCTTTGATTCTTACTTCTGATATATATATATTTTTTCTTTAAAAAAAAAAAGTGGGACACAACAATCGTTTGGTCTACCATGTGCAACACCTGATAAACATAGTGTAGATATTGGGTTCCTGGATCAATATGCAACACAACAATGGGAAGCGATTTTACATTATATGGTTGGAACCTCTTTGACAAAGAAGCCAAGTGGTGGAGTATTGAACCTTTTGGAACGTAGTAAACTTATGCAAATCAGGCAAGATAATTAAAATAACATGAATATGACAAAGTAATATTATTCTGATAATACTACTTTTTCTTGTTCTACACTATAGTGCGACAGATTCTCATTTACAGATCACAAACAAGGGTTTCCAATTCTTACTTCAAGATGTGAATACACAAGTTTGGGCTTTTTTATTACAATATCTAGACATGGCAGAAGTACAAAAAAAAAAAAAAATAACAACATCGATCACCTCTTATTTACCCCCCCTTTTTTTTTGTTCTTCTTCTTAGGTTTTACAAATGGATCTTGTAGAAGTGTTGAACTTTTTATTTCAACTTGGATCATCGGAATTGGGTGAAGTACGTTGATATAATGTAATACAATCTATGTTCACTTACCAATATCTTTTTAAACTATTTAGAATTATTCTGTTGAACCTCTTACTCAAACACAGCAACAAATGTTGGAAGATCTACGGGATTATGGTATTGTGTATCAACGAAAGGTAAGAAATAATAAAGAAGATGTATAAATAGTTGACATGTATCTTCATTATATAGCGTGGATCTCGACGGTACTATCCAACACGTTTAGCAACTACTCTCACATCAGGAAATGCTGCGGTTGCTGGATCCAACAAAGCCGTGCAACACAAGGATCATGGTTCACAAGCTGTTGGTGCTGTTGGGAAACTCGATACAGAAGAGGAAGAAGAGCAAGGATTTGTCATTTTGGAAACAAACTATCGTGTTTACGCATATACAGGTAAAAAAAAAAAAAAAAGACAAGAAATGACCTGAATTTAAAGCTATATTTAATGATTGAAATTTGTTTATCTTCTTTTTTATTTTATTTATTTAAAGATTCTCCTCTTCAGATTGCAGTATTGAATCTCTTTGTACAATTACAATCTCGATTTGGAAATATGGTCGCTGGTGTTATCACAAGGGAAAGTGTTCGGAATGCATTGATCAAAGGAATCACAGCAGATCAGGTAAGTGTTTTTGGTGGAAGAAAAGATATCAAAAACAAAACCTATCATTTATCCTTTTTTTTTTTTTTTTTTTTTTTGTAGATTATATCCTACTTACAATCTCATGCTCATCCACAAATGCGAAAAAGAGTAAGACATCTTATTTAATATTACGAATGTGAATTAAAACGTTTTTACTTTGACGTAGATTCCGATTTTACCTTTGACAGTAGTAGATCAAATACGATTATGGGAAATGGAAAGAAATAGATTGAAAGCATCACCAGGTAAAAAAAGAAAAAAGTTAATAATGTTTAATTGAAAATGACAGAGCACTAACCTTTTTTTTTCTATTAGCATACTTATACCATGAATTCAATGTGCAAAACGACTTTGATGCTGCTGAAAGACATGCAAGAGATATTGGTGTTCTATTATGGTCAAATCCCAAGAAACGATCTATGGTGATTACACAAGCGTAAGTGATGGAAAAAAAAAAACAAATGATCAAAAGATGAATGGTCTGATCTGATTACTTTTCTCTATTATTAGAGGACATGAAAGTGTGAAAGGATACGTCAAAAGGAGACTTCAATCAAATAGCAACCGATAATGATTTTGTTGGATTTAGTTTAGCATCATGTTATTTTGTTAGAACGATCAATAAAAAGAAAATGTACATACAATTTTTTTTTTTTTTTTTTTGGAAAATGATGTTATTATCCTCTCATTGATAAATAGAAAAAAATATTGTGATATGATTGAAGAAACCATCTCTATTCTCAAGAAAAAAATCTAATATCAACTTATGGCAAACTTAATTGAGAGTGGTCTAACAAAGAGCTTTTGCGAAATCTGACGCAATTAACTTTAATATTCGAATAGATGAACTGCTGTGCCTTTCTTGAAGTGAAACTGCCAAGACCAAAGCAAAAAAAAAAATCTGTGCGGGTTTGCGGACCTTCGAAGTGTGCACACTGCATTCCAGTAAGGCGGTAACTCGGCCAAGTGGCAAAGGTGATGTGGGGCGGCTTTACGCTTTTTGTTTTTATTCCTTTTTTTTTTTTTTTTTTTTTTTTTTTTTTATTCTTTTCCTTATTATACCAAGCTAGCCGGTCCCATCAAAAACATATAAAAGGAGCAAAAACCATGGTTCTTTTATTTGTATTTTCCTCTTTTATTATTATTATTTTTTACCTCTTTTTACAACAATGTCTTCTACTCTCATCTTCCAAGTGAACTGTAACGGTGAACAACATCAACTCGAACTTGCAAAGGACCAATGTAACTGGACCAACTTTTATAATGCATTGAAAGAAACGCTTTCATTACCTGCAAATATCACACCAAGTGAATCGGCTCTTTACTATCTCAAGGATAATAACAAACAACGTATTGAAGATGCTTCTGATTTTGCCGTTTTGCTGATGACTCTTATGGATACAAAACAAACCAAAGCTCAACTTTTTTATGGCGATAATAACGCTGAAGACGGTGACTGGGAATGGACACCTGAAGGAAAAGACATGGATCAAACATCAAACAAACAAGTACCTGACGACAATCATGTATCATCACCTGAATATACGACCTGTTACTCACGTCTTGGTGAAGTGATCGACAAACACCATAGTAAAATCACACCTGACCCTTTTCTTCGTATGGTTTGCCGTCGTTTAGCTTGCAAACTTATCATGCGCCCGGACTTGACCATCATCAACTCTCTGGATACTTGGTTGGATGGATACGACAGTAACAATACCACTACCAAAAACAATAACGACAATAAGAAATCGTGTGAACATCATGACAAGAAACATTCGTGTATGCGCAATCGACAAGCATTTATCTCCTTGCTTCCTGATGACATTTCCAAATTCTTGATGACTCACCACGATGGCCATCATGGCCGTCACTCTCACCACTTTTATGATTCTTTCTTACACGAGGATGATTCAATGAACAACTGCCACCGTGGAGGAAAACGAAGACGACATTGTATGAATAAATCATTCCCTTTTGATATTCTCTCTGATGGAAAATTTGGAGGACCTGACGACATTTTCGACATGGCTAATGGTTCCAGACATGACAAGAAGCATGGATGTAAAGCGGACAAGTTGCGGAAACTATTCGAAAAATTGCATAATGATGATGATGGACATCATTATCATCATGGCCATCATGGTCATCATCATGGACGTCGAGGTGAACATCATCATTTTGGTGGACGAGGTGAACATCATCACTTTGGAAGAGGTAGACATCATCATTTTGGTGGAAGAGGTGGACATCATCACTTTGGCGGACGAGGTGAACATCATCACTTTGGAAGAGGTGGACATCATCACTTTGGTGGAAGAGGTGGACATGGTGGTCGTCCTTTCTCATTTGGTCAACCAATCCCTTGGGCGGTACAATCTCATGGCGATCTTTATGTCAACCTTTAGTATTATTATTTTAGTCTTATAGTTATTCTTATTGTTATTATTTGTTAGTAGTATATTAATTAGTGTTATTATATTATATTAAAAAAAAACCAATAAAAAAATTTGAAAAGATGGGGTTTGTACCATCAAAAAAAAAAAAAAATTTTAAGTTTCAAATCTAAAAAAGTTTGCATATATTTTTTTTTCAACTTTGAACAAAAAGAGTTCTTTCCAGGAGATCTCCGACCAGGTTCTGCCAATCACAGAAGGCGTGACTAACTCACTGTCAAAAAAAAAAAAAAAAAAAAAAATAGATATAATTTTTTTTTCCCTTTCAACGTTTTTGTTCCTTTTCTTTTTTATCTACTATTATTCTTATTATTTCCCTTGTACGGACGAACCAAAAAAAAAATGACCAATACTCGACAGTTCCGTATCCGAGCACCTTGTTCCACAGCCAACATTGGACCTGGATTTGATGTATTGGGTATTTCTTTATCACTTTACTTGACATTGGATGTTACAGTAGGAAGTCAAGACGACAATGTACCAGCATTTACAATGACTTATTCTGGAGAAGGAGCTCAAGATGTTCCCTTGACACCTGAACATAATCTGATCACCAAAGCGGCTTTGTATGTACTTTCAGCTAATGGTATTCAACAACTTCCTAGTCCTCTCAAGATCCATGTGGACAATCCTATTCCTTTAGGTCGAGGACTTGGATCGTCTGGTGCTGCTGTGGTGGCTGGTATTCTTTTAGGTGATGCACTAGGTCAACTTGGATTATCACGTTCTCGATTACTGGACTATTGTTTGATGATTGAAAGACATCCGGATAATGTAGCAGCAGCTTTAATGGGTGGGTTTGTCGCTTCTTATTTACGAGAATTGTCTCCAGAAGATATGGAAGGTATCCCTGAATCCGAAACCTTATTGGAAGTTACCCCTTCTACTCCTTCTCCACAACCTCCTCAAGGTATTGGTCATTTCTTACGTTTGGCTTGGAATCAAGATATTAAGTGTATTGCCATCGTACCTCAATTCAAGGTCGCTACTGCTAAAGCTCGTTCTGTTTTACCCTCTTCTTATCAACGTCAGGACGTTGTAAGTCACATTACAAAAAAAAAAAAAAAAGATAGAGACTGATGCTGATTACTTATGGATGTTAGATTTTTAATTTCCAACGATTGGCTGTATTGACCACAGCTCTTGGTCAAAACCCTCCTGATGCTGATTTGATTTATAATGCTATGCAAGATAAAATTCATCAACCTTATAGAAAAACTTTGGTAAAATAATCATCATATATATATATATATGTATCTGTGGATGTATTGATATATATATTTTTTTTATAGATTCCTGGTTTACCTGAAGTCTTATCTTCCATCACTCCGGAAAAATACGATGGTTTATTGGGAATTTGTTTATCGGGTGCTGGTCCTACCATATTGGCCTTGGCTACAAAGAACTTTGATGCTATTGCTACTGCTGCTCAAGCTGTTTTTAAGGAACATGGAATTCAAGATAGTTTTTACAAAGTCTTGGATGTTGTAGAGGATGGTTCCACTTGTGTAGATTTATAGATTAGAAATGGATTAGACTTTTTTTTTTGAAATAAAACTCTTCATTGTTGAACAGTTTAGTTTATGATATAGATGATGATGACGATGATATGTGTATATGCAAAATGTTGGATCCTATTATCTAAAGTAGCACAAAAGTGGACGGAAACTCAATTTTTGGGAAGAAATCAAGCCAGTTGTAAAATTATCATACTGAGGTAACGATGATCTTAAAAGACAATACTGGATAATGGATGATGATTTAATGAAAAGTTCATTGATGATTCCTTTGATGATGAACTTTTGATAACTGATGATATCATTAGAAAATGAAAACATGGCTATAACACTATAATGATAGTGATGTTGATGAAATTTTCTTTTTAGAAAAAAAAAAAGTCGAAACTGGAAAATTGCTGTTTGACGATTGGTAATAAAGATTTTTTATATATAAGTACTTTATTAAGAAGATGGTACACTAAATATGACTAACTACTACAATAACTATCCAGGAAGAAGTCAATTATAAATGATGATCAAAAAGAGATGCTTGTATCCAACTATCTTTCCTTACTTGTCCAATCGATAACATACTTATGTATTTATCACTAAAATGAAAAAAGAAAAGCAGGTGGGTAAGTCTGAAGTTCAGATCCTTTTTTTTAAAAAAATTACATTGGCGCGGTGAATAAAAAAATGAAAAGGATGTTGCCATTATCATTTAGCAAATTTTGATTGGCTAATGATTGCACCATCAATGTCTTTTATGAATGGTCAATTATCATACAAGTAAAGAATAAAGGTAAACTACAGAATGGAAATCTATTTATCTCTTTTCTTTTCACTCTTTTTTTATTCTTTATTTCTTTATATTCTTTAACTCTTTTGTATATGGTAATTAAAAAAAAAGTTTATTCACATAAAATTTCGAGAGAGAGTGGGGGAGTACTAGACTGGGTAAAAAAATATAAAAATATATATATAAAAAAAAAAAAAAACTAAACTACAATAATCCTTTTTCTTGACGGGTTCCTTTAATGGAATAATAGGTACATTGACTGGCACTACGAGCTTTACCTGATTTCTCTTCAAAAGTCTTGCAAGTTTTATACGGAGGAGTATAAAGATGTAATGATACAGCACCATTTACTGCACTTGGATTGGCAATTCGATGTAAACCAATTTTATCTATAGGTAAATATAGAATAATAAAAAATCAGCTCATCTTGTGATTAGGGTGGAAAAAACTAAAGAGAAATTTTTTTCTCACACTCCGAATCTTTTTGTTTAAAAAAATTTTAAGGGGATAGGAACACCAATCAAAATTCATTCTTACCATGAATATAGGCCACTTGATTTGGATGCAAAATACTATCCTTTGTGACTCGTAACGGACACTTATCAATACAACCATCATCCGAATTATCGGCGGTAATATCTACATGCGATAACATAACATCATCTTCTTCAACAAGTTTGTTTGGATATTCATATAAAGTTTCTTGTAAATTGCCATCAAGTACTTTCATGATACAATGGGATCCAGCATGATCATGAATAGGACTAGAAAAAAACAGGTAAACCGGAAAGAAGAAAGAAAATATTCATTACATATCGTGAGAAATCTAACCTTTTTATTAAACATTTTTTTTTTTTTAGTGGAATCATCCTTACCTATGTCTTTCTTCGGACCATGCCAAAATCATCAAATTAAACTATTCAACAAATGTATGACAAACAATAAGAATGATGATTAGTGACGAACGATGACGAACGTATTTTATGAATACATACCTTGCCATTACCATCATCAATCAAATTACGAGTATAAGGACGTGATCGATCAAACATAGTATATTTTTGCCAATCTTCACGGTTGGATCCATATTTCTCCATCAAGCGAATGATTTCATTTTGATCAATATGCTCAGAATCAAGACCACCATCAGGACCAAGAACATTATGGATTTCTTGAATTAGATGTTGTAATGTATATTGGGAAACATCTTCTTCAGTATTGGATTGACAAACAAAAGGGGCCATTTTGGAATATCAAGTAAGTAATAAACGATGGTTTGAATAATAATAATAATAATAATAGAGAAAAGAAAAAAAATAAAAGAAGGGAAAAAAATACTTTATATAATTTTCTTTGTTTCACTGACCTGATGATTGTTTTTTTGGCAGCAATTCAAATCAACCAATCGCAACAAAGGTGACTGAATAACCATCTCTATTATTCTACATCTCCTTCATTTCTGATTCTCTTTGATTTTGACTCCGATGGGATTTCTTTTTGGATTTTTCGTTGTCTTTTACGATCATGGTTTGTTTCTATAGATAGGTATACGATCATTTTTGGATGGAAGAATAATGATTTTCTTGTTATCAATATGGATGGATTGGGTGGGTGAAGTAGTTAGGTATTTTATGGTAAAAGGTGATTTTGATATGCACATATTCAAATAGGGAGAGGGAAGCGGAAAGGGTGATGATACTATATGCATGATGAAATAAGGATAGAATACGGAAATAGAATAGTCATTATTGTTATTATTTTTATTTTTACATCTTAGAATCGAATAAAGGAAAACTTTTTATAAAAACTTGAATGTTTCTTTTTCTTAGTAGACGTAATGGATGAGATGATGACTTTGTGAAATGAAACTGTAATCCTATAATAGAATCACTTTTTTGATTGATGATTGATTTTTATGATTTGGTTTTATTGATTAATTTTCATGATTTGATTTTCATGATTTGTTTTTTTATGATTTGTTTTTATGATTGATTTTTATGATTTGGTTTTTATGATTGATTTTTATGAATCTACTAGAATGATGACTGTAGGATGTTGACGATAGTATGATGATGATGATAGTATAAGAAGATATAAAGATAATGAAAAAGATGATAGAAATGCTACGAGGAATGATAAGTGATGAGAAGTTGAACAGTGATAAAATTGATTCTCGCTTCTGTCAGATGTCAAAATCAATTTTGTTATAATTTGAACAGTTTACTCACTTTAAATTGAGACAGAGAGTAAAAAAAAAAAAAAAAAAAAATAGACAAAAAAAAGTTAAATTTGAAAGTGAGGGAAAATAGTACCTTCCGATTAGATCTACCATGATTTGATATTAGATGATGAAAATAGTTATCTTATAATAATATTGTTTCTCACTTGTTTTTGGTAGTTGTTGGTAGCATCGATAAAAAATATATAAGTAAAAAGAATGGGAAAGAGAAACTCACTTTTAAGGGTTTAGGGAAAAAGAAAGAAAGAGAGATGTACTTGAAAGGAAAAAGGATAAATCACAATCGTCCTTCTTTTATAGTACATCAATTGAAAAGAAACCAGTGGTGGACGACCTTCATTTCAAATGCCGCTCTGTGTTTTTTTTCTTTTTTTCTTGTCGGTTGTCTTTATTTGCTCTTTTCTTTTCTTTTCCTTTTTTTTTTTTTGTCATTTTATTCTGTACTTTTTATTCGTATTTATATATCAAACATAAATACAATATGAGTCAGGAAGAAATAGCTCTGGCTCTACAACATGCTGAACAGTGGTCTCCTCATGACAATATCAATCCTTTACGACAATTGATTTCACAGTCTACCTATTATACTTACATTGGTGAACGTTCCCTTGATAGTTTTATAGATCTCTTTAAAGCACTAACAGAAGACAAAGATGGAATATTTGAAAACAAAAACATCGATATTCGACTCTTCTTTATCAATTCTATGAAAACACAGGATGTCAATCTTGAATGTATGGAAGAAGCAAAACGTGAAGAAGATCAACCCAAAATTGCCTCAAGGAAAGCCAATCTTATTGCTATGATTAAAGGTGTTATTGTAAGTTTATTTGTTTTATATTATAAAATATCTTTTTTAATTCTTTGATGTTTATCAAAACAATATATAGGATGCCAATATTTTATCAGATGCTGATTGTAAAGTACATTTCTCTAGTCAGTTATTGGAAAGTGCAAAGGTGATACCAAGCAAATCCATTTTTGATCGTCGACTTATTCGTATGAATACTGCCATGTTGTAAGTAGATGAAGGAACATATATATATATATATATATATATATAAAGTGATGGATATTAACTATATTGTTTTATATTTGCAGGTATAAACAAAACAAATTCAATTTATTGCGCGAAGATGCTGTCGGTTATTCTGCTCTCATTAACGATATTATCATTGGAAGTATTGATTTGGAACGTGACGAATTCGGTCGACTACCTCCCACTCCCTTAGATAGAGTTCCTAGATTTTTGGATATTATCTCATCACATATCGGTAAGCCTCTTGTCTTCTCGCCTCTTGGTGAACAAAATTTTATTATCTACCTCAAATGTGTTTTCTCATGGTGTATATCTTTCCTCTTTATTTCTTGGCAGGCAATTTCCATCTTGATCCCAACCGGGTTTTGGATATATTACTCGACTTTTTTATCAAGGAAGTCTTACTCAATTTCACCTTCTGGATTGAACTATTTAAACAGTCCGCTTGGATTCGACAATTGACTTTATCGCCATTGAACAATAATGATGACAAGGAATCTTCAACAACAAATGATAACATTAACCACAGTACAGTCATGGCTCACCTTCTTGGTTTCAAATTTGAATATTATCACACTTTAGAAATCTCCCAAGCTCCTCAAGAACTTTATTATTCTTGTGCTCTTTTGATTCAAAATGGTTTGATTCAATTAGGTGATTTGTTACCTTATTTAGCTCCCAGTGAACAAGAAACAGAGAAGCTCAAGTCAGAATACATGGAAAACATGAATAAGGAAATCAAAACCAACAGTGGTGGATTGCTGGCTCAATATGGTGCTCTAGGTGAAGAAGGTACAACCAAAAAAGCGGCAAAATCAGCAAAGGATTTGGATGATGGGGAATCTGCAACTCTATCACGTACCTATGATGCAAATGATATAGTGGAATTGGTCAAATCTCTTCTCTCTATTGGTGATATTGTACATTCTGAAGAAATATTATCAAAGTACAACAAACTATGTGACATGTATCCAGTACTGGCTCATTATATATACCGTCTTTGTTCTGTGATCATTGAACCTAGCTATCAACACTATGTCCCTGATGATCTCAAAGCTCGATCAACTTACTATATGGAGTGTGCACAACAATCGGAATTAAAGGCTGTACTGTCAACAGGAAAAGGGAAGATTCCACGATTACCCAAACTCACTACTATTTATGTACTGGATTGTCTCAAAGATGGTTCTCATGATCTGAAGAAGAAACAAATACATCAATTTTTTTATACAAAATGGGCTGATCAATTGGAAACTGCAACAACTTACGATGAACTCTTGACGCGACTCATGCCTGTTATGCGATTGGCTGGATACCGTGCCTATTTGGCCCCTCAACTTTTCCAAAAACTGTTACAAGTAGTTTCAGCTCTATTCGAACGTGGTGAAGCTGTTCCAGATTCTGAACAACGAAACGTATGTACCATCATGACTCGTGAATTCTTCCTTCCTGCTATTTCATTCAGTGACTGCAATCCTGGTCTTATGGCGAATGTATGGGAAATATTGGAATTATTTACCTTTCAAGAACGATGCCGACTCTATGGTGAATGGGGAAACGACTTTTATAAGAAAACCATCGAAACCAAACTACTCAAGGCTCGCGTCGAACGAAATGTCAAATCAGTTATGAGACGTGTATCCAAAAATGATGTTCGTCAATGTGGTCGTGACCTTGGCAAACTTGCTCATTCAAATCCTACTATTGTCTTTTCTGTCATGTTGGATCAAATACAATCATTCGACAATTTGGCTCCATACATGGCGGATGCATGTCGATACATGAGCAACTTCTCTTACGATATTTTGGGCTATTATATGACTGAAAAATGGACTGGCTCTCAAGGTGCTGGTCGTATGAAGAAAATCAAGATGAAAGAAGATGGAATCACATCGTCATGGTTACGGGCATTATCTGTTTTTGCTGGTATGCTATACAAGAAGCAAGGTATAGATCCCACCCCTCTTATTCGATATCTGATTTTCCGACTTCAATACGACGATTCGGTGGCTGATCTGGTTCTCTTTAACGAATTTGTGACGAAACTTTGTGGCATCGAAATTATTGGTAGTACTTTGACGGATGATCAAATTACATCTGCTGGTTGTAGTGATGCATTGAAAGCTGAAGCATTCCAACCCATTTCAAACGACAATCGAAAAGCGACAAAACGAGTGATTACAAGATTGAAGGATACTTTGAAAAAGGACAATGCTGCTTTGGAACTTTTGGTACTACTCTATCGACTGAGTGAAAGCTGCTCCTCTCAACAAGATATCAGCACGCGTGAACGGGTGAAGCGACTGGATCAAGTACAACAAACCATCCTTCAATATACTGAACTTTTGACAACTGTATTTGACCAAGCTGAATATAGTGCATTGATTCCTGGCATTGATGTACTGTTCAAGGACTATGATCTTCCCTATAATGTGGTGATGCAAATTATGCGCCCCAAGACACGTTATCTTTTACACAACAATATGGACACTGACACCAAAGAGGATGAAATACCACCTGTTATGCAGCCCATTATTCAAGCCGTACCGTCTTTGATGCCGAATAGTGAAATCTTTGAAATCATCACAGCTGAATTCTTTGTCATGTTTTGGCAACTTGATTTATATGATATCCATTGTCCAGTCAAACACTATGAAGCCGCCATCAAACGATACACAGATACAATCAATCAATGCCGAGATCCTCGATCAGTCATATGCCAAACAAATAGGCCATCTGTGGTGACAAAAATGGAACGACAAGCTCAAGCTAGCCGTGATGCTCTAGAAGCTGATCTTCCCAAGCATCAACAAGACGTGGAAAATACTATGAAAATGCTCAAGGCCTCTCATTCACGATGGTTTGTCAACAAGGTGGATAGAATCATCCTTATTAGATGTATTCTTCAATATTGTCTCTATCCTCGTAGTGTCATGTCTGAAGTGGATGCTGTCTATTGTTACAAGTTTGCCATGATCATGCATCAACTCAATGTCAGCAATTTTTCAAGTTTGACTCTGATTGATCAAATCCTTTGCGAAAGTTTGCCTGCTACTCTGATGACATTTACCGATTACGAAACAACTATTCATGCTCGATTTATATTCAAGACCTTTTCCAAAATGTCACGATGGTACAAGGATGAAAAACTATTCAGTGAAGAAGCTCATGGTGAAGGTTTGATTGGATTTCAAAAAAGCTGGGTGGTCCAGATGTCTCAAGAAGTACCTAAAAAGGATCTCCTCTGTCACGCTGATTTCAAACGGGTAATGGGAAAATGGCATCAAAAATCAAGTCAATTCTTTGAACAAGCTCTACGATCCGGTGATTCTCATCAGATACGAAATACTTTTTTGATTCTTCGACAATTTATTCCTCACTTCCCTGCTATCCGTGAACATGGCGAAGCATTAGTCAGTGCAACTCAATTTTTGGCAACAACGGAAAAACGGGATGATCTCAAAGTGTTGGCACGAAGTTATCTTGGTCTCATTGAAAAGAATCGATCACGTTGGGTTAGCAAGAATCACTTTAATGGTCAACCAGAACCTCCTACTTCACCACCATCTACAAAACAAACATCAACATCACAATCTCAACCGCAATCAACATCAAAACCATCAACCCCTCGACAAAATCATCACCGTCATCATGATGAAGATCGTACGTTGGATAATACAACCTCAACATCCAGCAATGGAACAATCACGGACAATACAGCTAGCAACGATCGTAAGCGCTCCAACAAGGACGATATCCCTTCATCACTCTCTAGTCGATCTTCCTCTTTTACCACTGGAGGTGGTGTCAAAAGACTTCGCAGTGATGAAATGCAGTCATCTTCATCTCGTCGTGATATTCCAAGTGAAAGCCGTCATGTTAGCAGCAGCAGCTCTAGTCGTTATCATCGAACGGATGCAACTTCTTCATCATCATCATCATCAGGCCGACATTCTCCAAGGGGCTCTTCTAGTCGTGGCGTGGAAATTGTGTCGACATCAATAAGTTCTACAACAAGGGAAGGTATCAGGATACGTGATCAAGCAAGGGATGCTATTCGTGAAGCAGCAAGGGATTCATCATCAAGATCATCTCAACCGACGATTTCAACAACATCATCACACTCAGCGTCATTGACAGCCAGCAATCACAACTCGCCAACTTCTACCAAGGAAAGCACAAGGGAGTCAAGGCGATCAACAAAGGAAGATCGATCCAGTACTTCACGTAGTCATCATCGTGATCTTCAACAAGAATCAGTTAGGGACGACCGACGTGGCGTTACTACCGGCAGTAGCAGTACCAGCAGCAGTAGTTCTCACCCAGTGGCATCCTCTTCTTCAGTGACTTCAAGTGGACGCAAACGTGCAATTGATGATGAAAAGGAAAAACAAGCTCGCGACAAGATAGATAAACGATACAGAACCGACAGGCATTCAAGGGATGTTCGACGGGAAAAGGATCGTAGTGGAAAGGACTATCGTGACAAGAAACGCAATCGCAGATGATCTAGTTAGTTGATATTTTGTTTTTCTTTTTTTTATATATATATATATATAATTTAGTTATTTTTATTGTGAATAAAGACCTTTTTTTTTTTTTATCTTTTTTGTTCTGGGGTATTGTTAGTTATTTGAAAGTTATTGATGTATATAATAATCGATGATCAGTACTATATTTATCTTGATGATCATCTTTATCATTATTCGTTAGTCAATCATTTTAGCAAACAATCGTCATATTATTAGATGGAAAATCACTGGTGTAATTCTTCTTTTATTTCTGTGTTCATATTCAACACTGTTTGATAGTTTGATTATTATTTATTTAATTATTTTATTTTCTTTGAAATATGAATGATCTGGATGAATCATTTCCGGGGTTGCAGAACCAAATGAAAAAGGAATAAAAACAGATATTCTTTAAAAAAAAAAAAAAAAAAAAAAAAAAAAAAAAAAAAAAAAGGTCGATCATCAAGCAAGTAATAATGATGTTTTAACCAAAGGAAAGGTAATGTTGATTTGATTACCAACAATATCAAATATCTAATAACAGGATGAGACATTAACCCAGAATGGTAATCATTAAAGTGAATAAAATAGATATATATAGAAGCCCTTTTTTTATTATGCAGATAAAAAAAAAAAAAGTATTACATTACTATCAAACAATATAATAACAAAAAAAGAGAGAGAAGGGAAGAAACATCATATGCTAAAACTAAAATATATAGAAATAGAGTAAAGACATAAAAGAGTAGAATTTAAACTGATAGTAAAGGGGTATTTTCACTGGCCTCCTTCCGACAAACATCAAATTTGCAAACAGGACACTAAATAAAACATTAAAATAAAAACAATTATTACCCAATACATATTTTTTTTTTTTTTTTTTTTGGAACTTACAAATTTTTTGTGACCAGTAAGCCAGGCATCAACACAGGTAGAATGAAACTCATGCTTGCAAGGAAGTACCCGTAAAACATCACCATCGACATAATCTTCCAGGCATATTGCACATTCTGCATGACGAGTATCATCTTCATTTCCAGTTTCTTTCAATTTGAATTTTCGTAAAGGTAATTTTGTGACAAAGTCGGTTGGAGCCAATTCTTCTTTTCTTTGTTGACGTTGTCGCATTCTCCATGTAGTATAAATAAAGAGCATCATCACTGCTGGGGATAATACTACTACAAGTAACATATCTAACAATGGCCTAAATGATAAGAATCATTAATATTCTTGATTTATATCCTTTTTTTTTCTTTTTCTTTTTTTTTATAAATTTACCATGTCAATATATCATCCTTTTCCATACGTACTTCCATAGGTTGTTTGAATAATTCTGATAGCTGCAGGAGTGCTTGATACTGGCGTTGTGCTACAAAGACACTGGGTATACGTATATCAGAGGTGTCACCTGGATCATCAAAAAAAAAAAAAATGAGGTGAGTTAGCAAGAAAGAAAAAATAATCAGCCTGACATGTCATTCACTCTTCCTTTTTTTTTCCAATTCCATCCTTTTTGTTTTCTATACTTTAATATCATCTTTCTTTTTCTTTTCTTACCTGGAGCATACATGGTCACCCAACCATTATAGTATTTATCTATATAAAGTGGAATAAAAATAAAAAAAAAGAAATCAAATGTTAGACAAAAGATTAAAAGTGCCACAATAACAACAACAACAACAACGAAGCTTTTTTTTTTTTTTACCTCCGACCACTACAGCGATTGCACCACTTTGCTGCATAGATCTGACTTTATCAATAAAAGAACAGTTGCCTCGTTCCACTAGAGCAATCCATTTGTCAGAAGGAGGTTCAACTACTTCACAACCGTGTCTTAAATCTGGTGAGAGAGGTGCCATCAAATATCCTGTTAATCCATCTTCTGTTTCTTCAATCCTTGGTCCAAATGCTGCCATACGGTCAACATATGTTTCATTGGTTGCCTACAAATATATATATTATATATATTTAATCCTTCATGTCAATGTCTTTTTTTTTTTTTTGTTATTTAATAAAAATAAATAAATAAATAAATAAATAAAAACTTACTAGGACAGTAATAGAAGCTAAAACAAGTTGAGATTGGTATACAAGTAATGATAAGAATAAAAGTATCAAAGTACTTCGAATCATGATGGCATAAGTTTTTAAAAAAAAAGAAAGTAAACCAAGAAAAAAAAAAGAGATTATATAAATATAAAATGTTTAGGTAAAAAGGGGGAGAAAAGGAGAAAAATAGAGTATTGAAAATAAGAAAGAAAAGAAAAAGAAAGAAAGAAAGAAAGAAGAGTGAGAGAAAAAAAAAATATATTCGCTCAGAATAGAATAATAATAATAAAAATAAAAAAAAAGTCAGTAGGCTTCAAAAAAAAAAAAAAACACTTGGCAGGTGAGAAAAAATATAATAGAGACAAAAAAAAAAATATTATGCATATTATCAAATTATCTTCCATTTTATTTGATCTTTACTAAACGAAGGTACACTTTTATCATTTAAATAATAATTTTCAAATGCTTTAAGTTTTAAATAATAATAATTATCACTATCAGCTTCAATCCATTCCCATATTTGTCCATTACTTTCTGTTGAACAAAGTCTTCTAGCTTGAATAATATTTTGATCTTCTATTGATCGTTTTTTGGATATTGTCTTTACAGAAAGTACTATTTTTTTAAAAAAAAAATAAATAAATTAATAATAAAAAGAAATATATATATATATATATTTACCACAACCAGAATGTTTATTAATGATATAACCAAGAGGATCCATATACCATTGTTGATGAGAACCTTGAATATTAGGTCGTAGTTCTACTCTAGCTTGTGGCTACAATATAAAAAAAAAGAAACTATCAAACAGAATGAAATTTATTATTATTATTATTCTCTGTCTTACTTCAAAAGAAGTATTCACTACAGTGAGAACATGATGATGATGGCTCGGTGACACGATATAGAACCACTGTGTGGGTATCATGGAAGACTTCAAAAGAATGGCAAAAAAAAAAAAAAACAAACACAACGAAAAAAAAAAATAAGAGCTCAGAAAAATTGTAGGTGACGGACACTCAAAATACATCCATCATACAACAAAAAGAAATCATGCATTAAAAAAAACTGTCTATATATATATACTATAATGTAATACTATTCACTTTTATTGTACATTTTTCAATCCTATCTACTACACTATATGTTTTCCCTAAAATATATAAATATATATATATATTAGTATTCTTATTTTCAGCATTCATGTTTTATTTTGGATTATTTACCTAATTGTTCCATACGCATCTGTTCCTTTAAATAAAGTGATCGATCTCTATCTATAGCAGCCTTTTGAATAAAAATAAGAGTACCTACATATATATATATATATAAAAAGATGAATCATATCCTTTCATCATTCTTATCTTTTTTTTTTTTTTTTTACCTGATACTTGTAAAGTTCTAAAATGACATGGTATAGATTCTAATTGTTTGATAAAAAACAATGCAGCTAAAAGCATAGAAGCATGTTCTCGTGGTGCGCGTATGATCCCTGTCCCCGTTTCTGGATTGTACCATTTCACTATCGAGAAAAAAAAAAAAGGTGAGTTAATATAAAAAGTCATCAAAAAAAAAAAAAGGTCTTACCATGTGCTGCTCGTAAAAGACCTCCACCATATTCTCCAAAAGTAGAAGTGATTGCCACTCGTAAAGCTTTTTGAATCATATTATCTGCTAATTGTAAAGGTATATTTTGTTCCACTGGTTTGTCATGTTGTAATAAAGGATCTTGAACGAGTTCAAATAGAATCCATCGACATTTGAATCGTACCATAATGTTTATAATTATTTAATAATAGAAAAGAATTAAAAAAAGTTGGAGATAAGAATGAAAGAGGCTTTTGTTTTTTTTTTTTTTTTTTTATTTACATCTGAGCTTTTTCCTTACCAAAAAAAGGGAGTACGGATTGCTTCTCCGCACATACAGCACGAAATGTGTTTTATTCCATTGCTTATTTCTTCAAAACTTCGACTCAGTATCTTTGCCATCACATGTGATAGAGACGTATCCCTTTATATGTTGACTCAAGAAGTCATCATCATCGCACCGAATTTGGAATGAACATAGATAAAAGTCATAACTTACTTCCCAATAAAAAGTAAATTAAAAAATCAATTTATATGATCATCATTCAATAAAATAACCATCATTAGATTCTTCTTAAAAAAAAGCAGTTTAATATCATCTAATCCCATTTTTATCACTTGCCATCTAATGCGCTAATAAATACTAAAAAATTTCATCGATTTTTCCAAAAATCGCCTGACAACCCCTCGACGATTCATTTTTACAGCCAAACTTTGGCTGAGGAGTTTCAAATTTTTGGCTGTAAAATCAAAAAATGATCCCATTTTTTTTTTTTCATTCTGCATACAAACTTTTTGATTTTCCCTTTCTCGCTCAAAAGTCATCATCATCCTACCAATTTTGAAAAAAAAAAAGTGTAAAACGAATCATTTTCTTGAATTTTCTTAATCCATCGAGTCAATTAAAAAAAGAAGTACCAATATTGCCATCCTTCATCCCTACTTTAAACAATCCTATATATGGAAAATACAACAATTCTATCACTGCAGTATTTCATCTACATAGGTCATAAAAAAAAAAAAGATTGAAAAGAGAGATATACTTTTGATACATATATCATATCATTTGTTTTTATTGTTCAAGCATAAAAATATTCACATCATGAGATCAAAATAAAGAGTGGAAAAACGTGGGGGTATACTAACAACTGTAAATAAAAATAATTGTAAAAATGCAATCATGTAAAAAACTAAGTACGATCATCCGATAAATCCAATTCAAGTGCACGTCGATCTAATACATTTTTCAATTCGTGTACCATAGTTTGAGGATCCATTCGACTTGCTTTTTCTTTTGCCTAAACAAAATAAAAATCAAACTTTATTCTTTCCTCTTTTTTTTTTTTTTTTTCTTACTTCTTGCTCTCGTTTTTGTTTCATTTCTGCAATACGTTCTGCTCGAGATTTCTTGATGGATCCAATGGTTGTTGTATTGCTATCACCTGTGTCATCTTCTGTTGTTTCATAGACCGATGCCTTGGAAGGTAAAGGTAAATGGAAGATATCTGAGGATTCATCCGAGTTGATAATGTAGACTAAAGATGGATCATCATGACCTGTATTATCAGTAGGTGTCATTGTAGGAGAAGGAAGAGGTGATGGTAAAGTTTCGTTGGTATGTGTTTGAGAATCTATTATTGTCACTGGTGGTGGTGCCATCAAGTCATGTAACGCATTTCGTCCTGTTTCCCATTCAACCACTAATTGCTGGATATCCTTCTCCAAAGCCATGTATTCTTTTTGAAGAGACCAATCTTGATGATATATTTCGCTACTATCATTGTCGTTTGTTTTTGATATCAATCGTTGTCGTTTTTCTAATTCGTCATTACATAAATATATTCTTGCTTCCATTGTCCGTAATTGTTGTTCAAGTGAAGACAATCGATGAATAAATTGTCGTGCATGTGCATTGGTAGAAGAAGAAATTCCTGAGTTTTCATTGTTAATATCCATCATTGAAGGTTTATCTAATATCAAAATAAAGAAAGAGAAAGCGATTGAATAAGAATATATATATATATATATATATATAAATGTATTTATATGTTGTTTTCATCAGAATATAACTTACAAAATTCCAACTCCATGGCATCCACAATATCCTTGACAAAACCTTTTGTTTCCTTTCCAAGCGTGGCCAATATTGTATTGATATTTCGCCAACCGGATTCATAACCTTTGCGTATAGAATCATGATCACTTGTCATGACTGAGAGTGCCAAGAATTGTAGCATACATTCACGTCGTTTTGAATGCATAAGATGAGCCAACGTTTTCAAATAATCCAAAGTAATATTGCTATCACTGTCCGCACTATTGTTGCTACTACCAATGTTGCTGAAACTGCCATCAGCTGCTGCTGATAGTGATGCCACTGAATGTATATTGTGCATGTCAAATAAGCGAGAAAGTGTCTGTTTATTGACAGTATCAGTCATATCGATGATAGCCTCTTCATAAACAATAAAGGCACGTCGTAATAACCCGGCAAGATGAGATCGTAATCGTTCACATCGTTTGTGTTTACTAGATTGTTCTATTCTTGAGATGGGTGATAAAGGCGTAGAAAGTCGGTATCCACGGGACACAAGCTCGATTTCTTGAATAGTCAATAATGCTCGATGTACTTTGTTGTCTAAAAGTTGTGAATGATCTATCACATCTTGTAGCTGAGTCAATGCACATTGGTATAATTTTCGGATAGATGATCTGCGCTATAAAACAAAATAAAATAAAAAAGTATTTCAAGAATAAGGTTTTAGTATAAAACAAATAACCAATCGCTACTATCCTAGTCTTTCCGTTCTGCAGTATTATTTATATCTTTCTTTTTTTTTTTTTTCTTTCTTTACCAGGTGACGATAAATGAAGAATAAAGACATTCCACTTGCTAAAACCATAGTAACAGTAGGTGTGATATGTTTAGTTGTTGTTGTTGTTGTTGTTGATACCAAATTAGTTTCATTTCGTTGAAAAGGAGCGAATCGTTCCACACCAAGAGCAATAAATAGACCTGACAAGGTGGCGATGGTACCAATGCGTCCAGACCGAGTATGTGCAGCTGCAGAGTGAAATGGAGTTGGAGGAGGTTGGTTATGTCGTTGTTGTTTTGAATGAGTATTTTGAGTATCATTGAGTAAAGGAGATGTCACAATAAGATATTTGAATTTTTCTTCAAATGCCACTTCTTCCATAATAGGGAGTGAAATAGCAAAAGTATCCTAATCAAAAATAAATAAAGTATTGAATTCATCTAGTTCAAATCAAACCTCAACTGTTCTCCTTACATGAAAAAAAGAATGCCTCCAGTAACGATAGATTGTTTCGGATAGTTGAGTCATAACTGATAATGTTGTTTTCGTTTCGGTAGCATGGATACCAAGATGAAGTGGTGCTGGTTTGACAATAGATTCATTGCTTTCTATTGCTATCAAAAAGTAAAAGAATTTTAGTAAATTCAATCTTTTAAAAAGTGCTTATTTCTACTTACATTTCAAATACTCTGCAATAGGTGTATCTTCATACACGACAAATTCTGCCATGTTGTTAGTCAGTAAAAGGGAAAAAAAAAAAAAAAAAGAAAAGAAAAAGAAATAAGGGAAAGTACTCCAGAAGAAAAGTAAAACGCGGAGTTTGACAAATCATGGGACGATTTTTTTTTTTATTCATTGGTCAAAGTTTCAATGGAAGAGAAGGATAATGAACAGTGATAGGATTAGGTTGTAAAAGTAAAGGAGGTAAAATAGAAAAAGGTTTATGATTATGATAATTAGTTGATTGAATTGGAGGTAGATTAATCATCAACAAAGGAAAGAAAGTAGGCTTCTTATTTAACTTGTCGAAGTATGTTGGACGAAAAGATGCTATTGTCGGCAATACAATTTGATCATGCGGGGCATTGTAAAAGGGTAACAATTTTTCTTGACAATAGAAATTGGGATGTAATCTCCTTGATGATGATGATGATGATGGTGATGATGAAGGTGATGATGATATGGATGATGATGGTGATGATGACAAAGAAGGTAAACCTGGATCTGTTGTTGAAGATGAATTCAACAAATTGGCTGCTTTCTCCATCAGTGAGCGTTGTCGTCCTAATCGACGATTAATTTGATCTTGAATAAAAATTTGCTTCTCAAGATAATCATCATCCCCAAATTTCTGTCTGGCTAATCTATAGACTCGACATCTAAGGTCATTACGCTTATTTTTGTCTCTATTGGCAGCTCTCCATTTCCGCATACTGATCATCATCATCAAAAAAAAAAAAAAAAAAAAGTTTGTAAGGTAAATGAAGTATATTAGATGCACTTACCGTTCAGCTGTTTCTTCCTTGGAAATTTGTTTTTTTGCATGGTTTTTCCATCGTTTTTGATCTCTACTTCGTTTATATGGCATATTATGAATATTAGGATTTTCTGTATGCCGCTTTCTAAAATAAAAAAAAAATTAAATGATGGTCTTCTCTCACTCTTCCCAAAAAAAAAAAAAAAAAAAAAACTTACAAGTTCGAATGAGTTGCAAACTCTTTTATAAAATGATAAGCATCATACAAAAAAAAATCAATAAAAATGCGCTGACCTGTTGGGAGAAAATAAGTATATTAGCTTACTTTTATTACACTGAGGACAGGGATATAGACGGATGAATCCCATAGGCGGATGATAAGTGATGATGATCAAGAAAAAAAAAAAGAAAGAAAGAAAAAAAAAGAAAACGAAAACCATTTTATAAGTTCGAAGGAGATAACATTAGTGCATAATGATATTCATCTTTACTTAGTAAATACATTGCACTTGTAAGTCCAAATAACAAATATGTAAGATTATGTAGGTGTTTGTCAATTGTTGCAAAATCTTCTCGCAGCAGACTTACTTACTTCTTACCCAGGCAAAACTTTTATAAATGATCACCCCTGCCGTAGTTGGGTTTCAATATCTGTTGATCGTTTTCCATGAAAAAGCATCACAAATACATATGTACATTAAAAAAAAAAAGAAAAAAAAGAAACAGATACCCACTCTTTTTTTTTTATTACTGCAACCAAGTTGTTATGTAAAAGATGATCCTTTTTTCGCCAAAAAGCAAAACAATCATTTGGTACAAGGGGGTTTACGGAGTTTTATCATTTGCATTGATGTTTCCTTTTTCAGTTGACTTTTTTTTTTTTTTTTTTTTTTTTTTTACTTCTTCGATCAATATTCAATTTTATAATCATATAATATAATTATCATGGTATTTGAAGCGGTGTCTCATATTCTTCATCCTGATCATAAAAAGGACGATCATGAAAGATCCAATGAAGAAATCACAAACGAGGCAGAAAAATTACGAGCGTCAGTGGGCGATTTGGCACAGAATCTCGCTATTGATGTGAGGAAAAAAAAAAAAAAAAAAAGAAAACCAAATCAAATCATAAAGAATGGTACTCATCCGTCCTTTTTTTTTTTCTTTCTTTCTATCTCATCACTAGCGATTAACTCAATTCCTTGATGCTAATGGGTGGGATCACGTAAGAATCTATTTAATTTTGTCTCATATTAGCAAAATTCACTCACGATGTCCCTTTTATATATATATATGATTACTCTACTTTGTTTGATGATGATTATACGATGATGATTTATGAATGATGATTACAATGATGATGATAGGGTGCCGCCAAAGAACAGCTAGAGTCAACATTGCTATGGCGACAAGAAAAACAAGTAGATATGTGCCCAGTGGCTACAGCGAAAAATGGCCTACCAGTCTTAGTCAGTGTACGAGGTTACAAGAACATCCAAGATCAAAATATTCAATCACATCCTCAATTATCAGAAACATCCATCCGTATATTGAATTATTTGGGTGGCGATTCCTTCCATAAGTTTGATAAAGAAGGCCATCCTCTTTTGATTGATCGAACAGTAAGATTTCTTTTTTTTTTTAAAAAAAAAAAAAAACAACTCATCATACTAACATATTATTATTTAAAAAGGGATATCATCAATCCAAAGAATTAGGAAATGATGTAACATCAGAAGAAATAAAACATTTCCAAGTGGCATGTAACGAATTTTTAAATCGAGTGATTATGCTTGAAGCAAGTGAACGAGCAGGTCGACCTATTCATAAAGAAACAATCATCTTTGATTGTACTCATATGGGACTTTGGCGTAAGTAATAAAAAATAATTAAAAAAAAAAATAGGATGAGCATTGACATTTCTTTTTTTCTGGAAATAGAATTCCATATGAGTGGACTATTGAAACTCAAACAAGTAGCTGAATATGTTCAAGGTTATTACCCAGAGACATTGGCCCATCTTTTTGTAGTAAATGCGCCTAGTGCATTCTTGGTAATGTGGAGAATAATCAGACTTTGGTTAGATCCTAAAGTGAGTATGGATAGTATTTTTAAAAAAAAAAAAGAATTGTATTTACTTATTTACTATTTTATTTTTGAAATTTAGACATTGGAAAAAATACAAATACTTGGCAAAGATTATCAAGATGTATTATTGAAATATGTGGATAGTGAATCATTACCAGATTTTTTAGGTGGAAATTGTTCCTGTTGTCATTTGGCAGGAGGATGTGTTCCTTCAGTGAATGAAGGACGTATTCCATTTTTAGTAAAGAAAGAAGAAAATGAAAAAGTACCATCAGTATATAATTCAGATATAATGAAAGAAGCCAAGACCAATGTGATATATCGTCAAATAGTTAAAGAATAGAATTTATAGAATAAAGTTATTTAATCATGAGTGGATGATGATTTCAATAGGAGTACAAAACCTTTTTGTTCTTTTACTTCCCAATGGGGGAAGTCAACAAGCAAAGTGGCGGGTTACTAAAAAAAAAAAAAAAGGAGTTCTATTTTATTTTTATTTTTATTTTTCTCTCTTTCCTCTATTTCTTTGATTTACTTACTTTTTATTTATTTATTTATTTACTTCTCTTACTGTTTTCCTCCTTCATTTATTGGAAAGTATCTCGATTCTTTCTTTTCTTTGATAATGATGAAGTTTGGTTTTTCAAAAAGAGTCATCATTACATTGGGTACAATATCTACTTGTTTCACTTTATTATTTTTATATCTCATCTCCACTGACTATTCATCAAATAATAATCATCTTTCATATACTTATGACGACGACACTACTGTATTGACTACATTGAAAGAACAACCGAAATGTCTCAAGAATACTGCTATTACAGAACGTCCAACTAAACAACAATGGGAACAATGTCTTGCTCCTGGTGCTGATCCTTCTTATTACTTATCCATTGTCATTGTTACTCGTATGGATGACTATGCTGGGTAAAAAAAAAAAACTACTTTGAATATGTATATATATAATACTAGACATTCTTTTATTTATTTATTTACATAGTGGTCAACATCATCGATTCCAAAACTTTATCGACAGTGCCTTCCTATTAGCCGAAAATACCAAAGAAAAGATCGAATTATTGATTATTGAATGGAATCCTCCTGAAGATAAACGAAGAGTAGTGGATGTATTTGTAAGTGACCAAAATAATAAAAAGAATGTTAGCGTATTGAATAATATTTTTTATTAATACGATGAATATAGAGATTCCGTCAATCAGAATATTTGACTTATCGTATCATCACTGTACCAAAGAAGATTCATGAATTTTTACCAAACAGAGGTGGGTCTCCTTTACATGAATTTGAAGGCAAAAATGTTGGTATTAGATATGCTCGTGGTGAATTTATCGTTTGTACAAATCAAGGTGAAGTAAAATTATATCTATCTATACGTTAGATGAAAAAAAAAAAAAAAAAAAAAAAACTAACTTGATGATAATAATAGATGATATTTGGTCACACAACTTCCATAATGCAATCAAATCCCGGGCATTCAAAAAAGGCATGATTTATCTCCAATATCAAGCAAAACACAATATGTAAGTGAAGAAGAAGGAAACAAAACAAAAAAAAAAAGAGAGAGATAGAGGGAAAAAGAATACTTTATTCATATCTATCGTTTACTATTAGTCACGAAAACTTCCCTCCTACGATTGTTGATTTACCTCCTTTTCCTGATGACACCACTCTATACAATGCTTGTCACTTGGATGATCAAGACTGGGGAAATTACAAACTACCTGAACCTATCACTGTCAACACTGTTCATCAAACACCTGAATTTATTCTCACAGTTGCGGATCAAGCTGGTGACTTTACAATGGCACATCGAGATACTTGGAAAATACCTAGAGGATATCGTGAAGCTGGTGGTATTGCATGGTAAGTGAATACAAAAAAAAAAAAGTAGAACGGAATTTATTTATTTATTTTGTATATAGGATGGATATTGAATTCATTTGTACAGCAACATGGACATTCGATATCCCAGTGGTTTATAGTTATAAATCATTTGCTTGTCATCAACATCATCAAAATATTTGGGAAGGACGAAAGGATCAGCATACCGACAATAGTAATATCAATATGGGCATGATTGAACGAAAAGAAGTCAAATATGTGAACAAGGAGAACGAGTGGGGTCTACAACATGTGGATACTTGGACTATGGGACTAGAATGTTTGGAATTCCGTGGTGGACTTTGTTGGTAGATCATTATTATTATTTTATATCACCCATTCTTTTCTTTATTATTATTCTCTCTTATATTTTACCTTGTAGATACTCTTTTTCAATAATAATAACAATAAAAGAACAAAAGACTATTTTTCTTTTTTAAGACTCTTTTGACGATCTTCTATTAAGAAAGACAGACGCTGTGTGACATGACTATAAACTAATGTAGTTGTGATACAAGATTTATTTATTCACTGATTTTTGATGATGGTACATGGTTTATGTTCATGAATATATGTATGATGAGAGGATAAATTATTTGGCCGATAGCCAATCATTTCAAAGAAAAATCTTTCTTTTTTTTTTTTCTCATCGGCTTACCCCACATGTACTGGATTGAATTTATAAAATAGATGACGATGCATTTAGGTGATGATTGACATGATATGTCAAAGTTCAGATAATGAAATAGTAGTAAAAAAAACAAGCAAATGTGATGTTTTTGAATTTTTCTGTTTTCTGCACAAAAATGGAAAATGAAGAGTAGATCAAAACAAGATAATATACACTAAGAAAGGGTCTTTTTTCTTCATCTCAGCCACCTTGATATCTTTTTAGGATGTACACCCGCGGTGTTGTAGATGTGCATACACACAAAAAATAATCGGCGCCCGCCACAGAGCACAAAGGGTCGAATGATCCAATCATTGGTTGGCGGATGGTAGGCGGACACTGGATGAAAAAGAGTGATACGACCAACCCAATTTTTTGTTTCATTCGTTCCTTAAAAAAGAAAAGATTGTCGTTTTTTTTTTCTTTTCTTCTTTTTCTTTTTTTTTTTCTTCAATTTCTACCTTTTTTTTTTTTAATTTTATAATATGTCAGTAGCTGAACAACAACAAGTCAATGAAATCGTTGATGTAGAAGCCAAACAACAACAAGTGGCTGTCCCTATTACTGCTGCTCCTACTATCGCTAATCCTGGTCCTTTGGGTCTAAGCTCTTTTGCCCTGACTACTTTTGTTCTTTCTCTTCACAATGCTGGTGCTGGTCTTTCTGCATCAGGTCCAAGCAATGTTGTAGTATCTCTTGCCATGGGGTACGGAGGTTTAGTTCAATTACTTGCCGGTATGTGGGAATTTCGTACTGGTAATACTTTTGGTGCCACTGCCTTCTCTAGTTATGGTGGATTCTGGTTATCTTATGGTATGATCTTTATTCCTGGTTTTGGTGTGATTGATGGTTATAAAGGTGACACTGTCACCATGGATCAATCTATTGGTATTTATTTATTATCTTGGGCCATCATGACTGCTATCCTATTGATTTCTTGCCATCGATCTTCTGTTGGTATGGTTGCCATGTTCTTCTTTTTGTTCATCACCTTTGTTCTCTTGGCTGCTGGAAAATTCAACAATAGTTTGAGTTCGCAAGTGGCTGGTGGTGCTTTTGGTGTGGTTACAGCTGTCATCGCTTGGTATAATGCTCTTAGTGGTTTACTCACCAAACAATCCTCTTACTTCCAATTACCCATGGGTCGTTTGAACTAAATGTCAATTTTCTCTTTTGTTTACTGATCAAGCATCCATATACCATCTCCCTTGTCTCTACTCCTTTACGTTATATTATATACTCCATTAGTATTCGTAGTATCATTTATTTATAATTAGTTTAATTATTATTATTCTTTTAATCTCTCTTTATTTATCTATAGTGGATGCCACTTTTTATTCTATTTTTTACTATCTGAAAACAAATAAATAAACTTTTTCTTCTTTTTTTCTTTTTTTTTTTTTTTAAAACTAAAATTCATGATGGGAATACACAATATGGAAAATGATACAACATGGTCACACAGCAGATTCTACCTTTACCAAACTTGTCCATGCCTCATCCTCCTTACTTCCCATCATCATCATCATTGTCATCATTATTTCAAACATTGAATGTATATCATATATGCCAGTTTCTTTTATTCATCATATATAGAAATCAAAAAAAAAAAACGAATAAAGAAATCAAAGATCACCCATCATCATATATAAAAAGCCAAAAAAAAAAAAAATGAAGAAATCAAAGATCACTCATCATCATCATATAAAAGTCTATTTTATTCAGTTCAAATCAGAATCTAAAATAATCATCATAATAAAATCTAAACTAAAACTTGTTACATATGGGTCAATCATGAGTCGTCATCCGTTTCTTCATCTTCTTCAGCACCAAAAAAGTTAACGCCTACCCAGTTGACAAAACCTCCATCCACGGTATCGTTATCTTCAGTCAATCGTTGGAATAGATCTTCATTGCCACCAGCACGTTTAAGCCAAGAGGTAAAAATTTTACGAGCATCTGCTTCCTTGCCATCAACATCAGCCCATGCACCCAGCGCCCAAGTAGCGTACGACCATCCTATCCATCCAGCGTGCTGTTGTGCATCCGTCTCCACTGCCTGTTTATAATAAAATTGAGCATTCTTCAACAATTGTACTTGATTGCGTTCCGCCACTGGAAGTGGTAATTGTGCTCTTGCCATACTGATGTCACCTGCCTTGTTCAAGATATGCAAATTTTTGGATTCAAGTTTCAATGCCTTTTGGAATGCTTCGGATGCCTTGCTGTAGAGTTGCCATATATCCTTGCCAGTTGCTTGGGATAGAGATTTTTGTTGATCAGCTTCGTCCACGATCGCTTGTGCATATCGAGAAAGCACATCACCTTGATCACATAATGCTTCTACATTCTTGGGGTCCAGATCTTCCGTCACACGCTCTAGAGGTATCAATGCTTGCTCATATAAATGTGCATCCACCTTGCCAGTCGCCAAAAAAGCACGGTCTGCCAACGCACAGTAGCTTTGTCCACGTTTAAGTAAAAGATGTGATCTTGCCTTGATATATTCCTTGTCTGTCTCGTCCGTTTCCGCCAACCATTTTTCCGCTCGTGATAGCTTCTCCCTAGCTCGACTAAATAGCTTTTGTGAATCTGCATAGACTGCCATCATGGATGCCATCGTCGTCATTGCATCTGCCGTTGAAAGAAGTGTATCAATCAGTGAATAAGCTGTTGTCGCCTCCATCTGTGTCACCGTTGTGAATTGATTATTATCTTCCGTTGTTCCTTTGTCATTTGTGATATCCTTTTCGACGTGCTCATCTTTGTGATTTGCGGTACAAGCATCATTTTTCGTTGTTTCTGTCGTTGTTTGATCTCCTTCATTCTTGTTATTTTGGTATCGAAGATATTCCTTTTCTTGCAATTCATAGACAGTATCAAACAAAGAGATGGCTTCTTGTAACGCTATAAATAAAGATTAATATATATATCATCAACTTCCACATTCAACATGGATCATCCTATGTAAACCATAATCCTCTCTTTTTTTTTCTCTCTCGTCTATTCATATACCTAAAGCAGATTGTGTATAAGCATTTTCAATCTCGGAAGACTCTTGCAATAATTCGGATCGTAAATGTAATGCTTGAGCCAAATTAAATTCCACATCAGTCTTGTTGTGAGATTCTAACCTTAACGCGTGTCGAAACCTTTCGATCGATTCATCCAGTTTGATCAATTTTTCTTCAGGAGCAGCATGAGCAGGTAAAAATCCAACAAGAATAAACAAAACACGACCCCTATTATAAATAATGGTTATATAAATCGTCAACAAGTTTGTGCATGTATATTACCAATTGTAAAGACAATCTGCATCTTGATCATTCAAAGCATGGGCCTTGCTATACATATCCAATGCACGTTCATAATTGCGTTGAGCACGATCACCACTGGCATACCGTTCTCCTTGTTCTTCAAACCCAACAGCATCTAAAATAATATAAAAAGTAAATATAGCCGTTCGATCATTTATTTTTTTGACATACCTTCCATAAATTCTTCAAAAGTAGAAGGTTCTTTTGACTTTTTGGATTTTGACTTTGTTGCTGCTGTTGTAGGTTTCTTTTTATTGTTATTAGTTTGGAATCTTCCCATGGTTTCAATCGAGTGAAAAGTGAAAAAAAAAAAGAAGAATAATGAAAAGGAAAAAAAAAAAAAAAAAAAGGAAAAAAAAAAAAAAAAAACTTTTTATGGCGGATTTTCAATAAGGTTTTAACTTTTGTATGAAATGATCAAAATAAGTTTTGTTTTATTATATATACAATACTACATACAAGATAAATGAAATAAAAAACTAAAGATATATACAAAAGAGGGGTAAAGAGCTTCGTATTTTCATTCTTGATCCAGTAATTGAGCGTAATCATAAAGAGGACCAGGGTCTTGTTGATTGGTAGCTATTCTTTGTAGATAAGGCACAGCGAGGATTTCATCTATGGTCGCACGTTCTCTTGAGCTTGGTTTCAACATCATCAGCATGATCCGTCGAATTTCCAATGGTACAGTTATCAATTGTTGCTTGTAATTAGAGAAATCACCTAATCGAAGCATTTCCCAAGAATCACCAGTTGACGGTAATTGTACTCGAGTTACCATTTCAAATATAATCAATCCCAAACTAAAAAAAAAAAAAAAAGATGATGAGTTTATTTTTTTTTCCTTTCTCTTTTTTATAAAACTTACCTAAATACATCAGCAGGTGCATCATATTCTTCACGTAATAAATCAGGTGCCATATAATGTCGATCCCCTTCACCTTTGAATTCATAGGCGTCCAATGGTCTACGTATAGATGTTCCAAAATCACCAATCTTTAATATTCCATTTGCATCAATCATAATGTTACTAGGTTTCAAATCCATATGTACTAGTCCTGCATGATGTATATCTTGTAATCCCTACCAAGCCAAAAAAAAAAAAAAATCAATTCCTCCTCTTGTAACCTCTAGGTACCTTTTGCAATGATGATTATTTTTACCATAGCCATTTGATAAATCATATGCCAAGTAATCGATTCATCGATCGTTTCTTGTTCATCTTGTAAATAATCCGCTAACCTGTCTCAATAGGAAAAATAAAAAGTCAGTTACATTGAAGGAAATACACTATTTACTTACGTAGCCACAGCAATATCCGTTTGTAAATATAAATAACCATCTTGTTCCCAGGCACTGAAAAGATTCAAACAATAAGAAGAGTGCTGTACCATTAACATATTCCTGACCTCTACTAATTGTTGCCATCTATGAGAGTAATGGAAATATATATTAAAAAAAAAAAAAGATGAATAATCCTGATATTTTCCATCATCACAAAATAAGTATCTACCTGTCACTAAAACTTTGGAAGGGCACCTTGAGTTTCTTGATGGCAAACACTTCATTGGATTCAATATTCCATACTTTCCAAACATCAGCATATTCGCCTGTACCAATACGATGAAGTACAGAAAATTTGGTATCAAAATAGGAAGCTGTGGAAAGAATAGGTGTCATCGTATCATTACCATTGTCGCTGTTTTCTTGATGATTAGAAGATGGTGGTGGAGATGGTGGTACAATATCAGATCGATCGTGAGCATCATGTGTATCGAAATAATCCAAGGTCAAGAAATGAGGCCAAGAAGTCAAATAGGTTGGTTTGGCAAGAGCAAGGAATTGTTGTCGTTGCTGTGGAATAGAAAGTTTCGTTGAGAAAGACATACTGACATAATCTGCTTGACTGGCTGAGAAAAACATATCTACTTCATCTATTGGTTGTTGTCCACTTATAGGTTGTTCACTGTCGCCACCATCACCCTGAACATAATCATCTGCCTGGAGAAAATCTTGAAGTAAAGATCTTTGCAAAGGTCGGTCGGAAAAGAATGAGGTGCTATGTTGATGTTGTTGATGATTGTTTCCTTGTATTGAGAAAAACTCTTCGCTGGAATTCAAATGGTTGCTATTGCGCCGTCCGCAGCTGATATTGTTAGTGCTGTTACTATTATTGTTCGCGTCGTGTGTTGCTGTTGGATCCATATCAGGCCATCCAAATTCTGAATAATGTGTCCCATCCTTGTCCTCATCCTCGTCACCGTTCATATATCCATAAACTTCACTAGTGTTGATACCCGTCATTGATACATCTGCCGTTGGACTACTAAGATAGTTATGTCGTGAATTACCCACAAATCCTTCCCGTTGTCGTAAGAATGCTGCAGATGGTGATGGAGAAGGTGGTGATAGTTGTTCGTCGTTTAAATCATAGGAAGAACTAATATCTTTGTTGTCATAAGGGTCATCAATATTATTGCTAATGTTGTCATCAGTTTCTTCAATGTCATCGTTGGTATCTTCATCACTTTTGTATGTGACTTGATTCACAGGAGACACAATGGGATTAGAAACTTCCTGATTGAAGGTATCTACTACTTTTTTTGCTGCTGCTGGTGTTTGAGACGTACGTCGTTTCTTTGAAGGAGAGTTGATGGATACTGAAAATTCCTCTGTTTTTGTACAATAACTGGGAGTTGGTCTCTTGTTGTTGTTGTTCGTTTCTTCAGGATTATCTTGTTCCTTGCTATAAATTTTGCCCATGGATCGTGTCCTACGTTGATTTGAAGGAAGAGAAGATAATTGTTTGGGACTAGCAGTAATGGTGGTCATTATTGTTGGTTTTTTTTTTTTGCGTGTGTGTGAGTCTTGTTGTGTGTTTTCGTTTATTATTGTAATTACTTGTATCGAATCCAACTGTTGTGCCGTCCTCAAAGTGAATGGTTTTTTTTTTTAGAGGAGTCTACTCTAATGGTGTCAGAATGACAACACAAACAGAAAGATATAAAAAAAACTTGGAAAAAAAAAAAGATGTCTTTGCTATATAGAATAAAAATAAGGAAAAGAAACAAAAAGGAACGAGAAAAAAACGGGAGTCAGTGTCTGGATTTAAACCTGCTTTTTTTTTGTAGTGGTGTACCGCGTTTTTTGAACTTCCTTTCTTTTTTTTTTTTTTTTTTTTTTTTTTACACAATTGACACTTGTGCATAATTTTAGGAAGTCATTTTATTTCGCCTGGATTAGGACATACCGGTAGACGATTATCTTGATACGCAACAAGAGCCATCTACGGGGCGATCAATGCAATTTTATAGATAACAACAGTGAGGTTCGAACAAAGCTATCTTTCTTCTCTTCCTCGATGGTTTCTTCAATGACATACAGAACATGTTACTGGCAATGGAAAATGGGAAAATCACGTAGCGACGATACCAATTTAAGCGAGCGAACAGATCGAATCGACTCTCAAGGAATCATCACGACAAGAAACGCAGTTGAAAGTACTTTATTTACTTAGTATAGTTTATACGAATAAAATGACTTTTTTATCATGGTAACTTTTCTCTTGTTTTTTGACTCCCTATCGTACCATCATATACCATCCATTATCACATATCGACGTCGTCAAAGAGAATAATCTGATAGATATGAGCTTTCAAAGTTCGTTTTTTTTTTATTTATTATTATTATTATCATTATTTTCATACATATATAATAGAATCAACTATAATATACTATTCTAATCCTAACAATTTATTATTGATAAATGATAAATCGGAAAAAGAGACCCCAGCTTGTCATCATCAATCCAAGTAAAATGGCACCATAGAGATAGTTCATTTTCAAAGGTGTGTCTTCCATAGCATCGTACTTGTTTGTGTTGAGATCCATCTTTTCCCTTCGTTGAGCCAGCACCGCCGATTGATCCAATAGATGACTGTAACAAGTGCGATCCAAAATCCAAAGGACAAGCCCAGCCAAAGTAGAAAGAATTCCTACAGCGAGAAAGAAGATCACTACACCAGAGTATCCTTTATTTGTATCCTGATCTTGAATCCATCCTGTCAAAATATCAAAAAGCGATGCACCAATATTCGTAGAGCACTTGATCAATCCCATGCCAGTTCCCACAAAGGACAATGGTAATAATACAGGAACAGAGGATACCAATCCTACTGGACCAAGGGCAAGACTGAGACTAAAGGAAAGCATTCCCATCAATGGATGCCATTGGGTATAATCCAGAAGATACATTGCCAAAGTAAACGTCAGGCCACTTCCAATCACTATCAAAAGACAAAAAAAAAAAAAATTCAGTTTCCTATTTTCATTTTTTCCTTTAAAAAAAATATTATTTGCTTACTAAGAAGAGTTCTTTTGCCATATCGATCGACAAAAACACCAAGTAGAGGCATGAAAAAGATAGGTAGGACTTGAGCCACGCTTGCAATGGCGGCAGCATCAGCATTATCGTATCCAAAACGGAATTTAACCAATTCACTATCAAAGGAGAAAAAAAAAAACAAAATAACTACAAGGAAGGGAAACTTTTTTTTTTATTTACCTGTTGATATGTAGAAAAGTGCCCCATGAACCACCTAAGAGGAATTCAATCAATACCACGATCCAATAACCATGAGGCAAATATAGTAATTTGGACCAATGGAAAGCTTTTTTCTGTTTGATGGTTTGAATATTTCGACATTGATCTACATTTGAGACAGGAGATACTTTGTGTAATAAAGCAATGTAGATCAGATTGATAACCAAAGAGAAGAGACAAAGCAAAGCAGAAAACTACCAATAAGAAAAAAGAAAAAGAGGTAAATAAATAAAATAAATAAATAAATAAACAAGCAAATCAAAAAGGGTTTTCCGAGTAGATGATATGAATATTTCCGATATCCTTTCTTTTTTTTTTAAAAAAAAAAAAAACTTACCCAAAAACCATATCCATACCATCCAGACCAATTAGCGATAGGTACCACAGTAGCTTGAGCCAAAAAGGAAGCTAAACGACTGACGGTCAACATCAGAGCCACCACAGCTGCCAAACTACGTCCACGGAACCATTGACTTAGAATCGTTTCTTGTACAATCACCACACTACCACTTCCAATACCATATAACACACGTCCCGTCACCATGATATTCCAACTTGCGGAATGCGTTGACAAAGCCACTAATATATTACCAGATGTGATCAGGAGGGTTGCACACACGGATCCAGGAACGGTACCAAATGCATCGATAAATACACCTCCAAGCATAGGCAATACTGTGTTGACAATAGCTACTGAAGATTGTAATACGCCATACTGTGAGTTACTAATATCAAATTCCTTTTTTTTTTTTAAAAAAAAAAAAAAAAAAAAAAAGGTAAGCATCAATTATTTTTTTTTTGGATATCTTGCTTTTGTTGAATGACTTACTTGTTTGATCGTGTTTTTCATGGCCCCTAACGTATGTGCAGCAAAGTGACTACCAACTAGAAAAAAAAACAAATAGAGAAAAGAAGGGTCAAAATTTCAAGTCAAAGGTATTCAAGGGTAAGAGAGGATAATCATTTACCTGCTAAAAACAAGGCACATAGTAATGCAATCGATTTATATTTCCAAGGTTGATCAGATAACTGACAATAAGATGAATTTTGATTATCGTTATTATCTAAAGAAGAAGACGGTGGATTGATTGCTGTGGAACAACAAGCGCCAATATCATTTCTGCCTTTACAACATGGAGTAGACGATATAATTTGTTGATGATGACGAAGTAAAGGAGTCTGTTCTGTATCCATCAGATATGTAATAAAAAAAGAAAAAAGAAGAAAGGGATAGAAATGTGATATTTACAATATAATATAAGAAAAAAAAAAGAAAAGGAGGAAAAGAAAAGAAAGAAAAAGGAAAAAGACAAAGAATTTGGAATTTAGTCATTTTTATGTCTCCGCTAATGAGGCAAAGGGTTTATTGTAGTTCACGAGATCAAGTCATCTTGTTACATGATGCGATTTACCATTGGTAACGTTATTCTATCAGGCATTTATAATATAAATAATCTTTTTATCTAAAACAAAGGTCAAGGGGCGTGCGCGTGTCTTCATAAAAAAAAAGATCTGATAAGAAAACCATCTGATTACTTTCTTTTTTTTTTTTTGGTTTGGACACCAACCTATTATTGGGTCTCAATTTATTTATTTTTTTTAGTGCAGGATATCATCATTTCAATATCATCTTTTTCCCTTTCTTTTTTTTAAATATGATGATAGACTAAAACTCATCTTACTTTATACCCACATGATGATAAAAACTTCCTTTAATCCACATGATTACTATCTTTTCCATAATCCTATTCAATTTTACTAAATATCTATTTCGGAGGGACATGTGTCACAGACAGATCGGGGAACAGAATCATCAGCCAATCCAAACAATCCAAATACCCCCACTGACTTTATATTTTATTCTTTCCTCTCTCTCTCTCTACCTCGTTTTCTTTAATCAAGATTCTTTGTTTCTCTACATTCATATTAGAAAAACATGACACAAGAGAAAGAAGGTACAGTTGAGAAAAATCTTCATGTTGAAAAAAGAAAAACTTACAATTCACTCACCTCTTTTTTTTTTAAAAAAAAAAAAAAGTATCGACGTCAAGAACATCAGCTGGCCTGACTTTACAACAAAGAGCTCACGTGGTGGTAAATGGATTAGGGGCAGCAAGTTGGTTCTGGATCATAGTGATGGTGTTATATCAATGGTTCCTTGTTGACCAAGGAGTATGGAAGGGATTACCAGCTGGATTGCAAACCTGTGTTGATGGTGTAGTGTTGTATAGCGCCATCCTGGATACGAGTATGCATTACACTGAGGATCTTTTACTATGTGTACAAACTTTGATTCGACTTTTCGTCCTGTTTGGAATCATCACCTTGTTCCCGTCCATCCAATCACTCAAAATCTATTATCCCTGTTTATTATTCGTCTGGGCTACACAACATGTTGTTCGCTATAGTTATGATGCTTATCAAAAACTCTCTGATTTTCCCTCTCTCGTCCATGCTCGCTTTGCCTGGCCCTTATATTTGGCTCCTCTTGGTGTCGTGTTAGAAATCATGATGATGTATACTGCTTTGCCTTTGGCCAAGGAATGGAACAGAACATATGGTCTTATGATGGCTTTTGGTGGTCTTGCTTATTTACCAGGTAAAACAAAAAAAAAAGGATGGATGGATGTATATGTTTACTAAAGTATATATGGATGTGGTTTTCTCTTATAATGATTGATAGGTTTCCCTGTCTTATATAAAAATGTCTTGATTGAACGACGAAGATATATCCAACGCCTATTCCTAGAAAAAAACAAATGATAATCTTAGTATAATCCTTTTTATTTATTTATTTATATTCTCTAATAAAACATGTCTGTATTTTATTTTTTATTTTTACTTTCTTTTATCTTGTTGTAAAGTGGTTCTCTTTTATGTTTATGGATGATATTTTGTAGAATGACAGTCAGATCATGTATTGATATATAGACTACATCAATTGTAATAGATGGTTTTGCTGAAGACAGTAAGGATGATGGAAAATATTGACAAGTATATTAATGTAGCATGTAAAATAAAAAAAAATGATTTATTTGAAAAAAGATGGATGATACTATAAAAGATTCGTAATAATGAGAATAATATAGTAAAAATTGAAGGAAAATGCAAAAAAAACAACAAACATAAATTTCGACTAAAGAAAGAGGACAAGACTAGAATGTTATACTACATGGATACATCAACAATGCCACCAATACTAATTGCATAACTAGCTTCGTTTTCAGGCATATCTGGTGAATCATAAATCTTGGCTACACGCTCTTCTCCGCGTCCTTTTCGTAAATAAATTCGAGTAGCCGATCTAAACAAGTTGATTAGTACAACTATGATCTATTTTTTTTTCTGTTATTTTAATTCTGTATACGTACGCATGAGCCAATATATGTCCACCTACAGGTTTTTTGGGATCAGAAACAAAAGTCATTCCAGCTAAAATAATTCAATACAAAAAAAAGAAAGAAAAAAAAAAAATGATGAATATCGACCAATATCATATTAATTTTATTATTACCGCCAGGATCAGAGGAAACTTGATTTGTCAAATAGACCGCTACATTGTATTCTTCAGAGATCTTAATCAGTCGACTAAGCATTTGGTTAAGTTTTTGTTGTCTTTCAGCTAGTTCACCACGTCCAGCATAATCACATCGAAATAAAGCAATAATGGAATCCACTACCAATAATCGATAGGCACCTTTTTCTTGTACAAATCGTGCAGCAATCTCTGTCATCAAATCCATCTGATGATCACTGTTCCAAGCACGGGCTACGATGATGTTTTCCAAGCATTGTTCCGCATCTACTCCAAATCGTTCAGCAATGGCACGAATCCGGTCAGGTCGAAATGTTCCTTCTGTATCGATAAAAGCTATATATAAAATAAAAGAGATTATTTGGATGAATGACTTTTTTTTTTTTAATTTGAATGTTATTTTGTTACCTGCTTTTCCACCAGCACCTCCACTATGAGTAGGTAATTGAACTTGAACACATAAAGTATGTGCCAATTGAGTCTTTCCTGTACGATATTCACCAAAGGCTATAATAACAAAAAAAAATCGGACTGATTAATATTAATTCTTTAGATGGAACTACTTTATAACATCACCTTCAGTAATGGACATGGTTTGTATTCCACCACCCAACAAAATATCCAGTTGTTGACTTCCTGTAGAAATTTTCAACACTTGTTCTCGTTTTTGAGCCACTTCTATACCAGATAAAAATCCAGAGTTCTAAAAAGATAAATATATATATATATATATATATAGAGAGAGAGAGAGAGAGAGAGAGAGAGAGAGAGAGAGAGAGAGAGAGAGAGAGAGAGAGAGAGAGAGAGAGAGAGAGAGAGAGAGAGAGAAAGAGAAATAGGAATAATAAATTAGACGTGTAGTAAAACTTAGAAAAAAAAAACTTCTTTTTTTCCAATTTACTTGAAGTTTAGCAGCTGCGTCTTTGATTTTGTCCACTTTTGCTTCCGATAATCCTTTAATTCTCAATAAATTCTTCTTGGTCATCATTTGCACACCCTATCAACAAGTTGTATAGATTAATATTCAGAAACCAAAAAAAAAAAAAGGAAAAAAAAATAAAAGAGAATTTACACTAATAGTACAAATACCAGCATTTTTGAGTTTGTTGATATCCACCATAGTAATGCCTTGGGTCTATATAATAATAATAATAAACAACTAACAATAGAACAATCCCCAAGTTCCGTCATACCTGTAGTTCTTCTACTTCAGTATAAAATATCTAAAGAAATAAAAATAGTAAGTATCATATCTTTTTTTTTTTTTTTTTTTACTTGATCCATTGTTTCTTCGTCTGATGAATTGATGTCATTTTGATCTACAACTACTTGATCGTCGCTCGCGGTCACAGAAGCTGCACGTTTTGGAGTCATGAGAGAGATGGGAGAAGCAGTGTTAAAAAAAAAAAAATATTGGAAAGAAAGACGAGAAAACTCGAAAAGAAAGGTGAAGCGCATGAAATGGGTTCTTTTTCAGCCTCCGGCTTATAGTGTGTTCATAATAATTTAACCGTGATCAATTATTATGCTCTTAATAAAAACTATACTCTTACAAGTAGCCTTTTATTTTATGAGATATGAATTCTAAATACTATTTTATGACATATAATGATTGGATAATTGATTTGATTTAATAGAATAATCATGATTATTTGATAACTTCAATCTGATTGGAGGAAAACAACAGCATAGAAGACACTTTTTTTGGTTTCTCTTTCTTTCGTTTTTCTTTCTTCTACAAAACACAAAAAAAAAATCATTTGGTTCTTTTTGGCTGGTTCCTTGTTGATATCTTCTTTCACTTGGTCACAGGCGACAGAATATAGAGCAATATCTTAAAACCTTATTACTATACTTTTAAGACCCAAAAATGGTTATGCAAAAAAAAAAAAAAGAATAATGTGATAATCTGTCATTTTCAGATTGGTAAGCCGAGGAAAAAGGTACATCCTGATGATGATTGGAGTGGGGTGATTTGTCAAATCAGATTCCGATTCGTTCCTATTTTGAATCAGTATAAAAAAGATCGGGTCATATTCATCCTCTTTTTTTTTTTCTTTTTTTCCTTTTCCTTTTTAACTATACTTTATTATTATTTTTCTCAAATCATTTACTCATGTTCTCAAGATTATTTATTGGCATTCGCGAACAATTTGGTAAAACTGTCCCACGTCAAGGTCGTTCAACTGCTACCAACATTGAAGAAAAGTCGATTAAAAAATATACAAGGACACCTACTTCCTATCGTCGACTCAACACAGCTGATGATTTTATACGACAGGATCTTATCTCTGGCTCGTGGAATTAAATCGTTACCTTTCTTCTTCTCTTTATTTGTATCATATATCCTTGTATAGCTCTCTTCTTCTTTTTTTTTTTTTTGTATATTCCCTTCTTTTTGTTATCAATAAACCAATCATCCTGTTTTCTTTTTTATTATTATTCTTGGAAATTGTTGTCCTCACCTCCCTCGATCTTATACTTTTGCAACTCGTTCAAAAATCGTCGTCATCATCATACCAAATTTGGACTGAACGTCTATAAAGATATTCTTTTTCATTTGTATGAGTGACAATTTATACCGTTACCACCTAATTGATAGGGTAAATTAAAAAGATAAATATCGTCATTCCTCATTCAATAATGATCATCATCCAATAAAACTACCACCATTCAATTCTTAAAAAAAAAAAAAAAAAAAGTAGTTTAATATCATCTAATCCCATTTTATTGGGTGCAATGATCATCAAAAAATTTCATCGATTTTTCTGAAAATTGCCTGATGACCCCCTGACGATTTATTTCCACAGCCAAAGTTTGGCTGAGGAGTTTCAAATTTTGGCTGTAAACTTCCAAAATTTTCAAAAAAAAGAATCAACAGCTTTAATCACTCTTCCAATCCCATTTTAAGCTTAAATCAATCATCATACAATATAAACACCATTAATAAAAAATGTATACATTATTTATGATTACTTCTTTTTTTTTTATTAATGTATCAAAACATATTTACTACTAAAAATATCTCGTTAAATGAACCAAGTTAAAAAGACAACAGGAACAAAAAGTAAACTCGAGGTGAGCATAAGAATTCAATCAACGGAGTTTCTTTTTTTGTCTTTTTCTTCTTGATTCCTATTTCTCGGCCCGTCTTTCATTGTCCTATAAATATCTTCTTCTTTTTTACATCTTTACATCATTCTCATGGGTGCTTCTTCTTTTTCCTCTTTAAAGAAAAAGAAAATACGAATGTCTCAACAAATCAACACCAATGTCACACCTTCGTTTTCTTCTCAAGAAAAGTCAGAATCAAATATGTATGAAGGTCGATCTTATCACAATACAGATTCTATCTATTGGTTACCTAACGATAATGAAGAACTTGATAGATTAATAGGGGTAAAATACAACTTTTTATTTTATTTCTATATTCATATTTTATTCTTTCCTTTTTAGCAACACTTTGCCTTGAAGTCTTTATTCGGTGGGTAAGTTCAATGAATCAAATCAAAAAAAAAAAAAAATTTAAACCTGATTTGACTATACACTATTGATAGGAATTTCAATACCAAAGTCTTGGATTATATGTCAATGGAAGATCGTACTACTAAAGTACTGGATTGTGGATGTGGTCCTGGTAAGTAAATTTCTTAAAATAATTGATCTCTTTCTTTGTCACTCATAATTTCTATCTCATTTCTTTTCCTTTTTTTTTTTTTTTTGGGTTGTACAACTACCTAATAAGGTACCTGGATTATGGTAATGAAATGACAAATATATTATAACGTTTTATACTAATGATGATGGATGTTTTTTAGGATGTGGCTACCGAATACCCAAATATTCAATTGACTGGTATAGATATTAGTGATGTATTTCCAACTGTAAGTTCTCTCACCAATAATAATAAAACTAAAAAACATCTAATCTACTTTATTGATGGATGAATAGAGTATACGTCCTCCCAATGTCAATTTCTGCCTGGGCAACTTATTGGAACGATTACCATTCGAAGATAACACATTTGATTTCATCCACGTTCGCTTATTCATCGCAGCATTACGAAAAGAAGAATGGCCTCTTGCATTGGAAGAACTTTTTCGTGTGTTGAAACCGGGTGGTATTCTGATATCTACTGAATGTAGTCAAATTGGACCAGGTCGTGATTTTATCAATGAATTTGCTATTCTCATTGCTAAATTCATGGAAAGTCGTGGTCAAGAACCTGAAATTGCTGCCATGTTACCTGATCTACTTGTCTCCAAAGGTTATGAACTTATTGATTCTGTCAAGCAAGTTATCAATCTAGGTAAGAACAGATAAATTAAAAAAAATGAAAAGAGTGTTGATCTTTTTTTTTTTTTTTTTTTGATAAAGGTGCGAATGATTCACTAAGTCGTGAATTCTTATACGATGTGATCAATTTGACGCGAAATGCCAAACCTTTTATTGCTCCTCATCTGAATCTGACCACTGATCAAGAATACAACGATATGGTGAACAAGCTGACTATTGAATGTCAAAAAGAACCTCAAGCCCAATGGTCATTTACTTCAACTGTAGCTAGAAAACCTTTGTAATTCTCCTCCTTTTTTTTTTTGGAACAAATCACTTCTTTATGATATCCTATGTCTCTCTTTTTTTTTTTTTTTTTTTTTTTTTTTGTGGAATCCATCCAACCACACCAATAAATGATTTGTATTATTTGATTATTATTATTTATTTATTTATTTTTATAATTAACCAGAAATATCAGGGTGACTATTTTGTGTATATATACGAGCACAAATATGAGACCTTTTTTTTTTCCAGTAAAGGATGATCGTTGTGATTGGTCGATGACAATGATGAGGAATGATAATTATTAAATAAAAAAAAGAAACTGGATGATGGCGATTCCCTCTTTATTTTGAGGTACAAATCTGTGTTGTGTGATATCTCATTCGAGCAGGGTAAGATATGGAAACCAAGGAAGAAGACACTAAAGTTAAACATTAAATTCGACCGAACTATACCTTATTCTTCAATGATATATGGTTCTCTTTTCCTGGTAAATGAAATGCATGATCACCATGTCAGATGATATGCTGTTATAAATGAAATCACTCTCTCGTTTCAAACACACACACATATATATATTTGTACATATACTGAAATAAGAAAATAAAAAAAAAATAGAATACGAAACAATTTTTATTCAACTAATAAAGACTACACTACATAAATAAGCCTGTACTGTCATTATGAGAAGATGGAGGAGGAAAGATGGAAGGATGATGATGAAATGGGGGTAACAATGAAGGATGTAATGGTGGCACGGGATGATGATGAGGCGGAGGACGAGGAAGAGGGAAAGTATTGGGACCAGCCGATGGGTAAGTTCTATAACGAGATGAAGAGGATGTAGAGTGATAACTGGAAGGAGGAGGATGAGATGATGATGATGATGATGATGATGACGGCGGTGGTTGTAATGGTAAACCATGAGAAGTTGATGATGTTGATGAAGCCACAGGCGGATGACTGTTGATGATTTGTCTTCTCTTTTCTCTTTTCATTGATGGTGGAAAAGAAGAAGAGGAGGAGGACGACGACATAAGAGAAGGAGGAATCGCATAATATGAATGTGATGTAAACCCATTGTTGATACTACTGTAAAAAGGAGTCGATGTTGATGAAGACGGTGGTGGCGGATGATGAGACGGCGGTTGATTCCATGATAGCTGTTGATTCGTCGTTGCCGATGTTGGTGGTACCATGCGTGAAATAACCATAGAAGGGTGACGTTGATAATAATATCCTTGTTGATGATCAGTAGGCCATGGATATTGCTGAGAAGGCGAGGATGAATTAGATGTTGAATGTTGAGAATGTCGTTGTTGGTCAGGTTCTCTTTGTGATAATGGTCCTGGTGCTTGTGGTCGTCCTGGTCGATGATGATGATGATGATGATGATGACGATGATGATGATGATTTTGTTGTTGTTGTTGATGATCCAGTCTTGCATCACTTTCCTCATCTGATCTACCGTTGCTAGCTGAAGAGTAAGTATCATCACAGTCAGATGATCCTGCCGAAGAAGAAGAAGATGATGATGATGATAGCGAAAGCAGAGCTGATACAGTATCGTTTTTATTCTTTTTGGGTCGATGTCTGATCTTGGTTTTGGTACTGTGACTATCGTGATCATTATCGTCTTCCATTGCAGAATGATATCCATTTGGTTGATCCAGTAGTGGTAGAGATAATAGACTAAGAGGTCTTCTTGATGTTTGCCCTTTATCATTGTTGTCACGCTGTCTTTCCTCTGATTTTGATCGATAACGCCTTTGTTGTTCTTGTTGCTGACGATGTTGCTTTTCTTGCCGTTCCAACTGTTGTGTAAAATAAGCCAACTGTTCACCCGTTCTTTGAATATCATCCAGCATCCTTTTTTCCAATTGTCGTCGTTCCACTTCCTTTGCCAAATATGCCATTTTCTCTTGTTCACGTTCTTTCTGGATTTGCTGAATCTGATCCTTCAAAAGTTTCAATGTCATCATCCACTGTTGCGAATTCATTGTTTCTTGGTGAGAATCTATGTTATCATTTTTTGTTGTAACTTTATTGGAGGATGACGATGATGATTTTTGTTTCACCAAACAGGGTATCCCGGCATTAGGATGAAGTGATTCATTGTTGTTGTTGTTGTTGTCATGTGGTGAAGGTATGATGCCAAGGGTTGTACCGGCTTCTTTTGTTATTGTTGTCTCGTCCAATGATGATATCGATAAGTTTGAGGTTGCACTAATAGAAGATTGTGTTGCAGTATTGGATGATTTAATAGATGAAGTATGTTTGTTGTCATCCACACCCACAAGATCGAAGAAAGATGAAGATGATGGCGATGATGATGGGAACAATGGTGCAGAAGAGGAAGGAGATCGTAGTACAAGAGATGGTTGATATACGCCATTGTCTCCGTTATCGGCTCCGACTTGATGATTTTGATGCTTGTTATCGTTGTCTAATTGCTTTGTTGGTAAGGGTACTGTAATGGTATTGTTATTGTTGCTAGTAGTGTCAATAAGAACTCCCTGTTGAGACTCTACTTGCACATTGGACATGACCATCTTGACTGGAATAGGTTGGGCAACTGCTTTGATAGTACGGATTTTGTATTGATGTTGGTCAGTGGTAAATGAAGGTTGTTGTGGTTGTGTTGGTACATGATATAATGACGGTGACGGTATCGACATAGAATACCCAAAAAAAAAGGAGTCAATAATATATATATATATTATATATAAAAAGGGAAAGAAAAAGAAAAAAAAGAAAAGAAAAGAAAAGAAAAAAGAAAAAAAAATTAAAAAAGAGATGGGCGTAAAACATATCAGATAAACAAAATGGGAAAATTTTTTTTCTGAAAAATAAAACCTTTAATTGATCTACTATATTATAAAAGTGGGGAAGAGAGAGTATGATAATGATGACAAAACTATATAAAACTAAACTAAACTAATCTATTGACCACCCATTTCCTTGGCAAGTTCTTCAGCACGCTTGATCACATCAGAGATATCACCTTGCATATAGAAAGCAGTTTCGGGAAGAGAATCATGCTTACCACCGAGGATTTCTTGGAAAGAGCGGATGGTATCTTGAAGCTTGACGAGACGACCTTCATAACCAGTGAAAACTTGAGCAACAGCGAAAGGTTGAGACAAGAAACGTTGGATCTTACGAGCACGTTCGACAACCAACTTATCTTCTTCAGACAATTCATCCATACCCAAAATGGCAATAATATCTTGAAGAGACTTGTAGTTTTGAAGGATTTGTTGGACATCAGTAGCAACCTTGTAATGTTCAGCACCGACAATACGAGGATCCAAAATACGAGACTTGGAATCCAAAGGATCGACAGCAGGATAAATACCCAATTCAGCAATAGAACGAGACAACACAGTGGTGGCATCCAAGTGAGCAAAAGTAGTAGCAGGAGCAGGATCAGTCAAATCATCAGCAGGGACATAAACAGCTTGCACGGAAGTAATGGAACCATTCTTGGTAGTAGTAATACGTTCTTGCATACCACCCATATCAGTGGACAAAGTAGGTTGATAACCTACAGCGGAAGGAATACGACCCAACAAAGCAGACACTTCGGAACCAGCTTGAGTGAAACGGAAAATGTTATCAATGAAGAGCAACACATCTTGACCTTCTTCATCACGGAAGTATTCAGCAATGGTCAAACCAGTCAAAGCAACACGAGCACGAGCACCAGGAGGTTCGTTCATTTGACCAAAGACAAGAGCACACTTGGAATCACCTTCGAGTTTAATGACACCAGTTTCCATCATTTCATGGTACAAATCGTTACCTTCACGAGTACGTTCACCGACACCACAGAAGATAGAGTAACCACCATGAGCCTTAGCAATGTTGTTAATAAGTTCTTGAATCAATACAGTCTTGCCGACACCAGCACCACCAAAGAGACCAATCTTACCACCACGAGCATAAGGAGCCAACAAATCGACAACCTTGATACCAGTTTCCAAAATTTCGGGAGTAGGGGATTGATCAACGAATTCAGGAGCTTCAGCATGGATACCACGGTGGGTCTTAGCGTTAATAGGACCACGTTCATCAATGGGTTCACCAATAACGTTGATGATACGACCAAGCACTTCCTTACCAACAGGAATAGTAATAGGAGCACCAGTATCAACCACCTTTTGACCACGGACAAGACCTAATGAATATAATAGTAATGATGATCATTTTTTTTTTTTTTTGGTGTGAATACATAGACTATCACTTTCTTTTTTTTATCCCTATTTATTTTTTTTCTATAGGTTACATTACCTTCAGTACCATCCATAGCAATAGTACGAACGGTGTTTTCACCCAAGTGTTGAGCAACTTCGAGGACGAGACGACCACCAGCATGATCCTTGACTTCAAGAGCGTTCAAAATAGCAGGTAGGTTTTCTTGTTCGAATTGAACATCAACAACAGCACCAATGACAGACCTATATCAATGAAATTAAAAAAATTAATTAGTTTAAAAAAACCTTTATAAAAAAAAAAAAAAAAGTACCGAATTTGACCAGCAGGAGTAGCTTCAGTAGCATATTGACGACCTTTGAATAAACAATAATAAAAACAATCAATCTATAGTCTCGTATTATTCGTTTTATTGTTTTACCCTTGACAGCGACAGGTTTCATACCAGCCTTTGCAAGAAGAGCAGCATTAGCCTTTTGTTGACGAAGGGCACTTTGAGAGGCCTTTCCAAGAAAACGAGTAAAATGCATCGTGTTTAAAAAAAAAAAAAAAAGAAAAAAGAAAGGGGTTGAAAGAAAGATGTCAACGACGCCGGGGGAGGAAAGAAAGAATTAAAAGAAAAAAAATCGCACCTTACCAATTCTCAATTTTTTTAACCCCGGCTTTTAAAGATCAATTAAAAAAAAAGCCACTCACTCCATCACGCGCTTAAATGAATGTATCAGCTTATATTATATTATCATCACTTATTAGCTCTTTTTTATTGGTATAAAAAATATATATATAAAAAAAAAAGTTAAACAAATAAATAATAAGAAGAAAAAAAAAAGAGAGAGAGAAGAGTAGGGAAAAGAAATCAAATAGAAATATATATGTACAATAAATAATACAATTAAAAAGAGGAGTCTAATCTAATAATCCATAATGTCTTTGCTTGGCCCAACGTAAGACTTCCATGGTTACCTTGTTTGGTTGAATATTTTCTGTCTTCATTTCTTCATAAACACGTTTAACTTGATCCCATTGTTTCGCCTTGGCCCATGCTCGCATAACAATTGTGTAAAGTGTCACATTGATCTTGATACCATGGGTTTGTAATTCCTTGAGCATATTTTCGCAAGCATGAGGATCCGGCACAAATGCATGAGCTAACATCAATGTTGAAAAGGTCACCAAGGTAGGCCTGATTTTCTGTCTGATCATATCTTGATATACTTGACTAACCATTCCAATATCATCCCGTCGTAAATAGGCCCGCATAAATGTGGTATATGTGTATACATTATTGCAAGGTTGAATGTGATCACCCCAAAGTGGTGAATTTGTATTTGTTGTTGTTGTTGTTGTATTGGAATTCACCATAGATTGGAATTGTTGATAATAGGAATTAATCTTTTCCAAATCGGTATTCCCCATCATTGCATTGAGTAGAGTATTACGAGTATGTTGAGTCGGAATCAAAGAATGATGATGTTTTTCTTCATGTCGTTGGAAAAATTCTCTGAAGAGTTGAACCGCATATGCATTGTCTTTGTGTTTGACATGAATTCCCATCAAGGTCGTTGCCACCACATTGTTGATATCCACTCCCTGTTGCTTCATCCTATCAAAGATCCGCCAAGCTTCATCCACCAATCCATCATCGCCTAATCCATGAATGAAGATCGCATAGGTATATACATCAGGTTGTAATCCAGCCTCTGCCAATTTACCCCAAAATTTGACTGCCGTTTCCATATCTAATTTCAATACAGAGTGATGCATCAATACGTTGTATGTCACCAAATTGGGCTGCACCGAATATTGCATCATTTTCTTGAATAGTTGTTCTGCCTTGTCCACATTGCAGTGTCGCATATATCCGTCAATCAAGGTGGTATAGATATAGACATCAGGGGATATGTTGTTGCGTCGCATACGTTTCAACCATTTCATCGCACGTACCATATCAGATTGTTTGCTGTATCCATGAATAATCATCGTATACGACCGTATATCAGGTTTCAATTGTTGTTTCTCCATTGTACGTAACCACTTGATTGCTTTATTTTGTTGATCATTCAATACTGCAAATAGAATATACTTATTGTAGTCTTCCACCGTCTCGGGTAGTTTTTTTGGTAGTTTGAAATGTTTGCCAAGTACCCATTTGTCCAGGAAGGGTCGATACACAAAACCATTTATTCTTTTCTTTTTCTTGTTGTTGTTGTTGTTAATGTTGCTGTTATTGATACTGTTTTTTGTTGTACTCTTTGGAAATTGATTGTCATGTTGTATATCTTCAAGTAATATATCTTTTGAAGGAAGATAATGGTCATAATCCAAGGTGGCTGAAGAAGATAATGAGGAAGCAAAGTTTGTTGTTGATCCATTACAAATAGCAGGTGATGAGGAGGAATAAAGTCGATAAGCCATTAATTGATGTCTTGATATTCCAGAAGTAAAGAACCAATATCCTGATATTCGCGAAGATGTTGACCAACTAGAGTGTTGATGTAATCTTGTCCAATGAGTTGTTGTCGTTGAAGTGGATGGATGAGTTGATATTGATCTTGATACAATGGCACGTAATACATTGACAATGACAGATTGAGGATAATGAAGATGATGGGGTGACATTGTATCAATAAAAAAAAAGAATGGGAATCGACCGGGGTGAAGAGAATTATAGTAATAGAATGCAATGGTAACAAAAAAAAAAAAAAAGAAAAAAGAAAAAAAGAAACAACGAAACGAGACGAAACGAGACGATCGTTTATTTTCTTTTTCTTTAAATTCGGAATAAGTGGAAGAAGAAAGAAGAAAAAAAAAAAAAAGTAAAATGAATGTAGATCTTTTTTTGTTGACAGGAGAGAAAGAAGTATGATAATATATTGATAGAAAAAAAAAAAAATCAGGTCAAAAAAAAACAAGGCTGGCTGAGAATGAAGTGACTTGCAACTGACCTGGGCTTTACCACCATGATCCTTTCTTGTCATCCCATAGGTTATATATATATATATATATATATAACTTCTAATATCATCATTATGATCATAATAATTTTTGATGAATGAAGAATCTAAAAGGTAACAAAATCATCATATCATTATCATTATTTCTCGCCATGGAAAAACCAAGAAAAAGAGAAGAGCCAAGGATTCTCGGCAAGGTCTCATGTCCCGCTTTTAAGGTTCTCTCCTTCCTTTTTCGACAACTCCTCTTTTTTTTTTTTTTTTAACATATCTCATCCTGGAATGGTTGAGGATATGTTCACTGTGCCTTATGCCAGTTGGAAATTTTTTATTGTAAGTTGATATATCTTATAGTGATCACTTATCAATTCTTTTTTAAACACCGTTTTTTTTTTTTTTTTGATGCATATAAATCTTCGTCCTTTCTTTCATTTTTCTTTTCCTTTTCCTTCTATTCACTTATAATAAAATCTTGTTTTAGTATTTCTTCTATTGAACAATAAATGAATCCCATCAGAGTAGGACTTATGCAACCCACCCAACAACAACAATCAGCAGACTGTGATGGTTGGCGGGATAAATTAGTAGGAAAAACCGTTGTAGATGATGAAACTATCACTTCTCTTCCTGAAGACAAGGTATATATAAAAGTAAGATATGAAAAGGAAATAACTTACTAATATAGTCAACTTGATTTAGATTGTACGTAAAAAGGATTTACCTCAATTTCATCGTGTTCTTGCTCCTAACTCGATAATGACTATGGACTATCGACCGGAACGACTCAACATTCATGTGGACGCCAATCAACAAGTCAAAGGCGTCAACTATGGTTAAATGACCCAGACAGCATTCCTTTCACTCTCTTGGCTCTATATTGTAGTTTATTATCCTTTCATAGTTATTAATCTCTTTATGTATAGTATTCCGTTATCTTTTGAAATAAAAATCTTCTTTTATTTTCATTCTATCATTAATTAGTCTTCCTTCCTATATTTCTTTAGTAGTAGTAATATAGTATGAGGAATCCGGAGTCTTGTCTGCATTTGGTACTTTTAGTCTTTTCAGGCGGCGAAGTGGATCTCTTTTATTATCTATGAAAAGATCAATGTCTCACAAACTACATGATAAAAAGTAACATGTTCCATAAAATATATATATTTCTCTTCATATTCTTTATTATAATCAACAAAAAAGGGATAAAATAAACGTTAAATATGTCAATATGTATATATATATATGTATATTTCAATGTAAGATAAAATAAAGATAGGGTCAATTGGATGAGAAAGAAATAAAAAAATAAAAGATACTATAACTACATCTAAAAATAACTGAATGAGATAATATATATATACTAATGTCAATCATCCCACATCCATTCACGGTGACGTTTTAACCATTTGTTCAACAAAATGGCGAAATCACGCATCACAAAACCACACACCACAGTATGTAAAGTGCCACTACACATCATGGTTTTCTGTAAGAGTTGATCATACACATACGCTTTGTCCATCGACATAGTGTGAGTCATTTCCATACACTGGTCCCGCCATTCATCTATAATAATAAGAGGGAAAAAAAAAAACGTATAGATTATTACGATTTCCTATTCTCTTCACAATGATGTCTTTTTTTTTTTTTTTACCTAATACAGTGGTCATAGAAAATAATCGGATCAATGTTTGGATATAAGCATGAATTTGTTCTTCACTATATCATTATAAAATAAAAAAGTCATTACATTCCTTTGTTTGTTTGTTTGTTTTTTCTTTTTTTTTTTTGCATTGTTACTTACGAAGATTTGGTCTCTATTTTCATCCGTTCTACAGATTTGGATAGTTTACTACTCCAGGTAGTCACAGGGTCCTTGATTGAGTTCGTGGGTTTCGATTGAAGTGATTGATCTTGTGATAATGAATTTGTTGTTGTTGCTGTTACTATTTTGGTCGACGAGAATGATGGAGTTAATGATGATAATGCTGATGATGCTTGGTATGTTGGTGATGATGAATGTTGCTGATGCTGAGAAGTGAATGTCGTAGTCGAGTTACCTGGTTTAGAATGATCATAATGAGCCTTCCCAAAAGTTTGTTTGATTTGATCCAATATCTGTTCTAGGCGTACAAGGTCATGTAATCCTTCCGTGGCGGCATCTCTTTGTTTTTGTTGTTTTTGTTGTTGTACGTCGAGGAATTGTGTAAGAGAATGCATATGTTGTAACAAAGCTAAAATCTGTTCACATGATGAGATTTTGGCATCAATTGAAGGTAACCTGACCTGGGTTTGATACCATAATTGTTTGGGTGCATGAATTCGATCAGTGATATATCCGCCTTCTTCCATACTTTGCAATAGTCTGGCCATCAACTTTGGTTGTTTGCATTCCTTATTGCTAGTTGTCGATTCCAATGCAACACTGACATCAATTCCTTTATTCTTCATTGCTGTATCTACATACACTCCAAAAGCGTGAGAATAATGGGTCATAAGTCTTTTAGATGATGTTGTAGTTGCGGCTGATCCTAATGACATAGTTGGTGACAATAAAGATAAACTAACTGATGTGGTTGTTGATTTTGGTGTCGAAGGTGTTGATTCTACTGATCGTCCATGCTGTGATTCATGGCTCTTGTGATGATCAAGATGCAAAGGTGGTACTGTCTTCAAAGTTTTTTGCTTGGTTGGTTTGCTTCGTTTGGTCCAAAAAGAACGGTCCTTGGTACCAGATGGTGTAGATGGTGATGATGATGAATAAAGTTCTTCCTTGAGGTTGTTGTTATTACTTTCATTGCTACCATGTGAAGATCCACGGGATTTTGCTGATGAGACACTTTTGGCACTGGGTGATCGACTAAGACCAGATTGTTGTTGATGACCATAAGGAGTATCCAGGAAATTGGCGGTAATATTGGCAGTCAAAGAAGAAGATGATGATAATTCAGGTTCTGGTTCTTCAATTACAGCAGGAATGGAAGGAGCAACGGTACCATTTGTACGTTTTGAGCGATCAGGCATTGTAGCAGCAGATTCGGCAAGGACCTTCGCCAAACTTTCCATAGCAATATCGGTAGATCCAGTAGTGAAGAAGGACGATGTAGTGTTATTCATATTGGTATCAGAAAACAGAAATGACTGAGCTGGAGGATATTTGCTGGAAATGATAGAATATTCGTCATCATCTTTGTATGAGAATGAATTGGAGTAAAATGATGATCGTGTAGGTGAATAAATGGATCGTGTAAAGGATGAGTTGGTAGTCATAACAGAAGAAGCAGAAGAAAATAATTGTTGTTGTTGTTGATTTTTATGGACACTATTTGTTCTAGATACGCTGGTTATATTGTTGTTGTCATTATAAGAATGGTCGATAACATCTTCATGAGTTGGAATATCATTGGCTTTCTCGTGTAGATCGCGCAAGGAGGTTAACATGGATTCAGGTCTTGAATAAAGCATATTTTTAGTTTCTGTGTTCGATTGCAAATCAAAATAATCATCATCCTTGGGTATATCAACATTGGGTAATTCCAAAGAAGGTAATTCAATTTGAGAAGCACTAAATGGTGAATGATTGCCTGAATCCAATTCAATAGAACGTCGTTGTTTCTTTTTTGATCCTATTCATACAAAAAAAAAAACTTGAATTAGTCATCACTATATATATATATATATATATATATATTGTATTTTCTATTTTTAATACTTACCATTCTTTTTCCACGATAATGTAGATCGATTCATAGACAAAGTAGGAGTACTTTTGGAAGGAGTAGGCATAGAGAAGACGGGATTGGCTGTTTTTGGTTTCACAGATTCTTTGCTTGATTGCTTTTTCATAAATATAGAACCAAAAAGAGATCCAGAAGGTGATTTGGGAGGTAATACTTTTGGCGATTTACTGGGCAATGGTGGAGGTGGTGTATGAGGTGTTTTAGAATCGAAATAAAAAGTTGAATTATTAGAATTTGGTGTAGGAGGTTGAATATCCTTTTGATAATTCTGTGAATCGTTAAGAATCAAAGATGGTGGACGACGATGATGTTGAGAACGAGTAGATTTTGTTGAAGAAGAAGTGGATGGTTTTGGAGGTAGAGGTGGTAATGATACTTTTGGTGTATGAGCGATAGGGATAGTAATAGAATCATCCAATTCATCATGTTTTTGAAGTTGTCGAGTCAAAATAGCTACACGTTCTAAATAAGAATCATACTAAATTTTATATAAAGAGATGAGTAACAACAAAATAAACTATAATAATAATAATAATTAATATTATACTTACAATTTTCTTTAATCTAGACTGATCGTCAGATTCAGTAGCCGATCCGAAAACTTTATCAAGTAAATCAATAGCTTCCTTATAAGCATCCAGGGCAGGTTTAGGAGAACCAGTATAATCATATAGTACCGCTGTATTTGCCTTTTCCAGTGCTGCTTCCGTCCAAGAATTCATAACCGTATTTGTTGTAATTGGTTTCGTTATTGGTGATGATATTTGTTCATTGTTTTGTCGATTTCCTCTGAACAATGACTTTCTTGGCATCTGAAATGGAGGGATTGATCTAGTCTATAAAAAGACCAAAAACAATACAAAAAAAAAAGAGTATGACAAAAGTAAAAAGTAACTATAAAAGAAGAATAAAAAGTCAATATTAAATATATATATATATATATATATAACAATCAAGTACTTTACAGAATGAAAATAACGTCAAAAAAAAAAGAATAAATTGAAATAGAATAAAGAACGAATAAATATTTTTTTTATTTGATCAATATATAAAAAAAAAAAAAAAAGGAAAAGAAAAAAGAAAAAGAAAAAAGGGACAGAAAATGAAAAAAAATTGAAGGATTTTCATTCTTGTGTCGGGTTACAATCATTAATGAAAAAAAAAAAAAAAAAAAAAAGAAAAGCGCGACGAATAATCTTTCACAGACTGTACCACTTTTTATCTATTCAATCCAAACTTTCTTCTCTTCTTCTTTTTTTCCCCCCTTGATGAACATCTTACTTTTTCCCTCCAAAATTTGAGATTTGATTACCTTCTTATTGTTTAAAACCCCAACATCTTTCTCCTTTATTCTAATTCTTAGTTTAAGCTTTCCTCGAATATGATTGGCTTTTATTCTTTCTCCATTGATTGCCTTCCCCCCTTTCTAGTTTTAAATCTTTAATAATGTTGATGATGAATAAATGTTGTTGGATGATCCTTTTAAATCCCCGAAATTAAAGTATCAATGATTGAGAAGGAATTGTGATTTGTGTTTAGGTTTAATATGATACATTTTAAAATTATTATTTTTTTTTTTTTTGAAGTCAAAGAGAAAAAAAAAATATATATATATATATATATATATATCTGTTAACAACAATCAAAGGAGAGAGAGAGAGAGAGAAAATAAGGATATTGGCCAATAAGAGACTTCATCTGATCTCCATTTTTAGCTTATTTGAGTAACATATGACCATAGAAAGGACACTAAACCCGTTTTTGCACGAGTTTTTTTTTGGGGCTACAATCTATATAATATAGTTTTAGAAATTGTAATCACAATCATAACAACCATGTTGATCCACGTTTTATATATGTATATATTCTCCCTTTCGTACATGATCATCTATAGTTGTACAAACAAAACAAAAGAAAAAATTATTAGAAAGAACTATCTTCTTTTATGATAAAGGAGCAAGTCAAAAAGATAACAAAAGGAGTCCACCAAGGTACTATCATCATCATCATCATCATCATCGTTACCAATATTATTATATATCGTGATCAATAAGAAAATGTGTAACTGTTTTCATTATGTACTGATTTTTATTTATTTATTTTCAAAAAAAAAAAAGTCAAATGAACAAAATAAAGAATGAGAAGAGGAAAAAGTAACAAAAAAAAAAGAAGAATCAAAATAATCAATAGAGAATAAATAAGAAGAGGAAGGGAGGAATGATACATTATAATGATGAATATATAAAAACTAATGCGGGTGATATCAAAGTGGTAACAAATGTACGAAAAAGAAGAATCATCGTACAGTAACATCATACATGGTTTGACGTAAAAGAGGTTGACCAGTACTTGGATTGATGATGGGAATAACACGGCTATGAAGGATGGATGAAGAGGAAGAGGATGATGACGTTGATGATGGTGATGATGATCGATCATGGAAGGCTTGCCAATGAGCCAATGGAGGAGAATCTTGTTGATATCGTTGTTGTTGAGGATGATGTAATTGCTGGCGTTGCTGTAAAATTGATACTGGTGTCATATTTTCAGGATTGATAATAGGAATTGCCTTTAGTTTTGGTGGTGAAGGAGTACTACTATATGATACAGGAGGTGATGATCTTGGTGATGAATAAGGTGATCTTTGTTGAATTCGAGTACGATGAGCAGCAACCTATTCAAGAAAATAAATAAATAAATAAATAAAAATTAAAAAAGTTATATAGAAGATGAGCATCATATCTTTTATATATATATATATATATATATATATATATATATATATTTTTTACTCTAATACTTACTTCATCAAACCCAAGAAGAGGACAAAATTCAACATCATCATAAAAGTTTCTAGCAAGTTCATGTTGTGTCCTAAACTGTTCAAGGCGACCAACTAGTAGATATAAGAAGACAATAGGGATAAAAATAGAAGAGAGAAAGTATTAACATACATTCTGTTTTCTTTCTTGATATATATATATAAGTCAGGTTTGTCATTGTAGTTGTACCTGATGAATAACCACTATCGTAACTTGATAAAGACATTGTTGTTTAATTTGAGGGAACAGATAAATAAATAAATAAAATGACAATAATGTCAAAAAGTAAAACAAAAAAAAAAAAGAAAGAAAGAAAGAAAGAAAGAAAATAAAAAGTAAAAGTAAAAGAAAAGAAAAAAAAAAAAGTGGAAAGTAAACGAACGAATATAAATATATAACGACCCAACCTTTTTGGGAACACAGAGCGAAAACTAAAAAACTAAACAGGAGAAAGCAGGTCCCCCTCTTTTGATTCCCCTCTCTCTCCTTCTAATGCGTAAATAGACAGTTACACAAACCTGTTTGTGCGTCATATCCATATTTAGCATAGAAGTATCCCCATCATTTTATCATTTTCTGAACCAACACAGCCTTTCTATCGTTAAAAATTTATATATAACTAAATTTGAAGTAATCATCCGAGATATTTCTTTTTTATTTCTATACACTAAATTACATAAACTATGATATGGCTTCTCTAAATGCAACTAACTTTTCACCCTTGATTTGACCTAATAATAAAAAGTATAAATATCTACATTAAGTATCTATATAATTCTTTTCTTATCTTCAATTGTTACTTACTATCTTTTTCTACTACAAAGTCACTAGCTACTTCACAATCTTTCAATACAGCTTTGTCTAATACTTTAGCATTGTTACAAATAACACAACCATCCACTTTAGCACTAATAATAATAAATAATAATATTAATATTAAAAAACGTTGTAAGAAATCCGGATAAGCTTTTTCCCAGTTATATAGAGTATAAAGATATCATCATCTGCCTTTTTTTTCTACTTACTTGTCTCCAATCACTACATGATCCATAATCACTGAATTGGCAATTTTCACATTTTTTCCAATAACACAATGAGCTCCCACCGAGGATTTCTTGACGGATGATCTTTCATCAATTTTGGTATGTTCTCCAATAATAGAATCATTGCCCACTTGAGTCTTTGGTGCTACTTCTGCGGTAGGTGGAATACGAAGAATGGGAGTACCTTGTTTGATCACCTACGTATCATCATCATCATCATCCAAAAAAAAAAAAAGGAGAAATCAAGTCAATAGGAGAAGAAAGAAAAAAAAATAGACAATAACAAAAAAAAAAAAAAAATACAACATCTTTTGCATCATAATACTTACATAACGATTAAGTTCAGTATAAGTTGCCATGGTGTTACCTCGACCACAAAAACCATCACGATAAATAAATACTTGAGTAGTTACAGGACTTTTGAAAGAAGGATGAATAGGATCAGGCATGAATACATCTTCATCAATATCATCACAAGTAGTTGTTGATAATGATAATGCTGTTTTCAAAAGGTTTTGATAACGAGAGGCGTCTAATCAATATTAAAAAAAAATTTTGAGTTTTACAAAAAAAAATCATTCCTCGGCGTTTACGACTCCTTTTAACTTACATTGTTCCACATTTTCTCGTTCCACCATTTTCTTTTGATATTGACATTTCACCAACATGGGTATCAGATCATCTGAGATACTTGCAATAGATTCCTTGTCAGTCACCATATCAAGAACCCAATGTTTAAATATATAAAGATGGGCATCTTGTAAATCAGTATGAATTCGAACGCGTGGAAACCTAAACAAAAGTAAATAAATAATTGAGTTACATATTTATTTGGTATATATTATATTTACAAAGAGTTACCTTGTCAAAAGGGACATACGCATCGAGAAGTCTTCATCATCCGATCTATTTGCTTTGTAAACAAGAGCGTCATGTGTAGGTTCGATACCAACATAAGGGAGAAGTTCTAATATAATAAAAATAATCAATATATATGCATATAACATTGTCATCATCATTATATATATATATATATATATGGGCTTTACCATCATCCTTACTAGCCGATTCCAAATTGCTGGGTTCATAAAATAAAGCTGTCATAGTAGAACCATTGAGACGATGTTGATCAAGTAATTCCCTAGGATTCAATTCTGTCACCAAATCACAAGGCAAAACCACAAAGTCACGCTTCAAAAAAAAAAAAAAAAAAAAAGTGAAAGGATTTAATATCTATATCTATACCCTATATATATAATATATATATGTACTTACGTCAATTTTATCCTTGATAGCTCGTAAAGCTTCCGCAGTTTCACAATCTTCATCCACGCCTACCACGTTACAATGAACACTTCCAGTATAATTTCTTGATAAGTATCCTGATAGTTTTTGCTGAGCATTTCCAGTAGTTTGAATAACAACAATAGCATCTATTCACAAATACAAAACATTCATAAAGCTTTAGTAATCAATATATTATTATTATTATTATTATTACCAGTAATTCCAGCTTTTTCCAACCAATCTAAAGTATATGTAATCATAGGTTTATTTCCAACTGGTAATAGTGCTTTGGGTAAGTTGTCGTCTTCAGATATAGGATAAAGTCTATAAATAAAAATAATAGATTAGATAATAATTTCTTTTTATTGTTAAATATAACATATAAATTACCTGTTACTACTTCCATATCCACCCAAGATCACGGCTTGGAATTCACTATGACGGTGATGCTTTGTCTTTTCAAATAACAAATTCATGTTCTTTGAAAAGAAGGTCCAGATAAAGCGTGGATAGAAAAAGTATAAAAAAAAAATCTCTTTTATTCTGCAGAGAAGTTCGACTCGAGTCACAAAAAAAAAAAAAAAATAATTCAATCTGCGTCATAATGATGAGTGTGTGCTTCTTTTCCATTATTATTTATTTTACCCTTTTATACTTTTTAATTCATTCTATATATTATTATTATTATTACTAGATGAGTGAAAGTGAAACTGAACTATATCAATTTCAACTTGAACAAGTAGAACATGCTCTCAGTAGTGATCCAACCAATGAAGAACTTTTGAAATTACAACATGATCTGAAAGACTTGATTGCTTTAACAACACAATACGAACAAGTAGCTGGTTCTGCTCCTCCTTCTTCAACAGATAATACAACAAATTCACGAAAACGATCAAGGTCACCTAACTTATCACCACACACTTCGGAAAATACAACTAATCGTCCTTCTACATCAGCACTTGTAACACATCAATTTACCGTTGGACAAGAAGTCAAAGCAAAATGGTCTCAAGATGGACAATACTATCGAGCCACTATCACAGCCATTGGTGGAGCGGATCAAATATTTTCTGTACAATTCCGAGGATACAAGGATATTGAAGTTGTATCGGTAGCTGATATTGAACCATTGGAAAAGGATAAACGAAAAGGGATTTTTGAAGGTATCAAGAAAAATGATGATACGGATACAGGTTTATTAGCAACTGGTAGCCCATCAGTAGGTGATGATGGAAACAAGAAGAAAAAGGATGGGAAAAAAGTCAAGAAGGTATCTGAAGTGGAAGTCAAGAAAAATGCATGGTTAAATTTTGCAAAAGGGTCTGATAAAAAAAAGAAGAAACAAAAGGTTGCACCTATCAATAAAAAAAGTATATTCAAAACCCCGGACAATCCCGAAAGCAAAGGTAAGATTAAAAAAAAAAAAAAAAAAAAAAAGTAGGGGAATGATAAAGAAATAATGTTTATATACTTACTCTTTTTTATTATTATTATTATTATTATTATTATTATTATTATGTTGATGATGATAGTGGGTGTCGTTGGTAGTGGGCGTGGGATGACAAGTTATCAACAACGTGGAAAACATTCTTTTACAAATAGTTCAGGTGAAGAATAGAATTATATAGTTTATTATATCTTTTTTCTTTTTTAGTATAATATCATGGTCTAGTATAGTATTATTATTATTACTATTATAATAATAATAATAAAAAATGACTTGTTTTTATCTTGAAAAAAAATAATAATAATAATAATAAAGGATTGACAATGATGATTTTCTTTATTGACCCCTTTTGTACAAAATGTGGGCTTTTTTTTTCCATTTCCAATATCTTGCCCCCCCCCTCTCTCTTTAAAACACCGCGTAGGAAAAGTTAATAAAGTTTTTTTTGATTCTTCCTTTCATTGGCTTCTTCTTTTCTCTCTCCTCTCTATTTACATACAGTCGTTCCTTATTCATTTATACAACTTCGCAACGAATCTTAATTGTAAACCCTTGATCGTCATGTTACCTCAACTAAGTTATGTTGTTGCGCAAGCTGGTGTTGATTCGAGACCTCCTCCTACATTGCCTCGCTTGACTAAATCTTTTTATGCCAATGGTGATTCAATAACAACCGCTACTAGTACTACTATTACTACTACTACCAATACTGCTGCTACTACTACTACTACTTCAACATCTACTATAGACCAACCATATTATGCACCTTCTTTTTATATGCGACCTACTGTTTCACCAACACCTCCTCTTTTACCATTACCTAGTAACACGTCTTCTACCTCGTCACCATCGACCGCCACGGCTGCTCCTTCTTCTTTTGTATACCCACCTTCTTCTTCTTCTTCTTCTTCTTCTTCAAATGTTTCTACCAATAAGATATCCTCTACTCCTTCTACTGTATCCAATCAGCATATTTCTGCTGGATTTGCTTCCACGCCATTACCTCAGCAAAATCATGATCGTCAACAGAAATCTCCTACTATGACAACAAATCCAATTTTATATCATCCTTCTTCTTCAGGTTATTCTCATCAAACTCAGCAACAACAACACATATCATCATCAGCGACATCATCCACATCATCCTCATCTTATCCACCTTTGTATGCTTCGAGTTCTTCTGCGTATCCAAGCTATCCTGCCTATCCATCAAATGACCCATGGCCCCCTCATTGGACAACTGCCCCTTTTGTGGAACCCGGCAAGTCATCATCAACTTCTGCCTATTCATATAATACATCTTATCCACCATATACCAATCAAACATCCACTACGAATACGGTTATTACCAAAGACAGTGCTTCTCCAATATTGGCTACATCAAATCATAAATACCAACAAGCTCCTTTGTCTCACCAAAAGGTACAACAGCAACAACAACAACAACAACAACAACAGCAACAACAACAAAAACAGAAACGTCGATCCCGTGGTTTTATTGTACCTGATCATAATCCTCCTCCTCTCAATAATATGAACGATACAGATCAAGATACTTCTGTATATCGTCATCATCATCAACAAGGATATGTAACATCTGCCACTGGACCTGCTACTGATAGTTACACAACATCGCATCGTGTGGAACACTTAAAAGAATGGAATCAGTTATTGACATGGATGGATCATGACTTTTGGGAACAAAGTGAAGAGTAAGTCAATGAAAAAAAAAAAAACAATTATGATGATGATAAATAGGCAAATATTATAAACGCACGTGAAGCAAAAGGATATAGGGGTTTTAAATGAAAACGAGATGGAATGAATGGGAACACAAAAACAATGGGGAATTTTGATTGACACTAACTAAAAACATTACCACTTTTTCATTTATATATAGAATCTATCAAGAGAAATTGACTTCTTTACAACAAGAATTAAGATCATTACAGAATGGTAAACTAAAAATGATTTTGAAAATACTTTGATTAACAAGAGAAATAAATAAATTTTCTTTTTTTATATTAGATACTCATGTTACCTTCCGAGATTTAGTATCGGACTTGGATTTGAAACGACAAACTATGATCGCCGACGCGGAGTGCTTCTTGAACTATCAATTGGAATGGATGGAACACTTGTATCAAGAAGATATTGCCATTATAGAAGAAGAATACAATGCAAGTGAATATTTATTCATCATCATTATTATTATTACTAACATGATCATGTTTTGTGTCAATAGAATGAAAAAAAGAACCTGCATGATGCCCTGATGGCTGTCATTGAAGATCGAAAAAAGCAAATTAAGGAAGAAAAAGATGATCATATAAATACAAAAGGTAAAAAAAAAAAAAAAGCAAGAAGAAGTAAAAAAAAAAAAAAAAAAAAAAAAAAAAAAAATCTTTTACCAAATATCAACTGATATATATTCTCTCTTTTTTTTATATTTATACTCAATTGTGGATGATGTGCACAGACCTATTCCATGAGGCTTATTCTCGTGTGACCAACAAGCGCACATTGCGTAAACGACCTAATGAATCTGCGAGAAATGATTCTCGAAAACGGCAAGGTAATAAGAAAATAGGATATTCAATCATTCACTCAACTTGACTATCCTTTTTGATTAGCTCGTCAAGCTGCACAACAATTGGATAATAACAATTCACATGCAAAAGAAGAGGAAGAATTGGAAATGGAACTTGAACTGATGAAGGTAAAAAAAAAAAAAAAAAATATAACAGGATGGAGAAAGTTCATCTCACCTCTTTTTTTTTAAAAAAAAAACAAAATTCATTAGAGTGGAACAAAAGGTATTATCAACGGACATCATCTACAAAGTTATCAACAGCGATAGTAATTGGACCAAAAAAAAAAAAAAACAATCACATCACATCAGAATTTTATATCATCCCTTATTAGTCATTTAGTTAGTTATTTCTTTTTTTCTTTTTATCTTTTTATTGTTTACTTTATTGTAGTTATTTTTGTTTATTATTCATGAAAACATATAATAAAAAAAAAAAATGAAAAAAAAAATGTTTGAATTAGAATAGTGTCATGGTAATCAGGGAATGAACGAAAACAAAGTAATCATTTATTCCGTTATTGGATGAGATCTTCCACCTTTGTTTTTTATTATTATTATTGTCCCGCTCATCCTCTCTATTTATATATTTTATTATTTTGGTTGGATTGGGGGGAGATATACTAATTAGGAAGGCATAAACGGGGGGAGCACTATTTTTAGAGTACATGCTTATTATGTGATTGGATTAAGTGGTTTGCTTGGGATAGCAGAAACTGGATACATTACAGATATACATAGTGGGTCAGCTGGATAGATACTTTGCAGAATCAATGGCACGATGTGCTGACAGAATCCGACTGCAACAGAAGCAAGATAGGTGCATTGTGTAAAAAAAAAAAAAAAAAAAAAAAAAAAAAAAAGAATACCTTATTTCTTTTATATCCTTCTGGTACTCCTCTCTCTCTCTCTGTCTCTCTCTGCGTGTGTTTATCTCTCATACGGCTTTTACCATGATGATTCCTTTATTATTAGTTAGATTCAGTCATAGTTTAGCAATTTATATTATATCTTATAATAAACGTCTCTTTTATACTATTAGTTTAGTAAAGTCATGCTCATGTTTTTTTTTTTTTTTTTTTTTGGTCACTATCATCTTTGTCATTGTATTGTCGTTATTATCATCTCCCAGTTTTTGAAGTATTTTTAATAATGATATCATTCATTCACCATCATTTCCAATCTATACACTGAGTTGTCCTTACGATTATTCCTTGCTTGTAATGGAACGCTCTGGTATATTCATAGAAAAAAAAAATGAATAAATGTCAAGCTTTGTATTCACTTGTTGATAAAATTTTATTTCATAGATAACACTTGATCCAAATGACAGGGAGTGATAAATAAATAAATTTAACTAAATATGAGGTTTTATTGCACAGTAAAAATGGAGGAGTAGCCTTGATGAGGAGTCACTTGTTGAGAAAGATCATTGCGATGATGTCCAAAATAGCCCAGTCGATATGTTCCAGCTATATCAGGAGAAAGAGAAAAAAAAAAAAAGGAGAAACTGAGTATTCATCTATATCCTTTTTTTTTTTTTTTTTTTTTTACCTTTGACGGTATCATCAATATCCCATTCAATAGTAGCCTTTGACATACCCAATAATTTTGAAACAGATTTCCAACGAAAGCGAGTATCCCAATCATTATCTGTCCGGATCACTTTCCATTTTCCATTCCTATACTTTCCACCAGAGTAGGGAACCAGCTGCTCAACTGTTAAATAAGTTGAATCCAACATGACATTGTTTCTTGGATTACCAGCTACAAAAACCGCTTTTACTGTTTGTCCGCTCTTATAAACACTGGTTGTATTCACGTCGGTCAATACATCGCCAAATTTGTGTAATAGCAAAGGGTGATCGGTAAAATCAGGAGGTGCTAGGCTGAAAGCTTTGCTGGTATAATCAGGTAAAGCTACACTTGCTATTGATGTTCCATTCGCCATGACGTCCACTAATTCATAGAATGCTTCGATATAGGCTTCCAAAGTATGTTCACCATAGGGTGTACTACATTCATCATAATACAAAAAAAAAAATGATTATTTTTGGCATCCTAACTTTTTATTATTATTATTATTATCATTTGTCATGCTCACCTTGCACCTTCATAACGTTGTTCCTGATATTCTTCATACGTTGTACAGTAAGACTACCAAAAAAAGAGAAATAAAAATTTGGTAATGATATAATTAAGAATATACATCAGGAAAATAAATTTGTCTTTCACTTACAGCATAACCATTGGCAGGACCAGAATATATGACATCTTGTACTGAAAATCCATGAGATTCTAATCTTGATTTGATGGCACGACGTAAGCGTCGACCACTCATTGTAGTCAATTCAGAAGGAGTAGAAGTTATAAAGACATCACCAAGACGGAATAATTGGATTTCTAATACAGTAGGTTGCCATGGGAAAGGAAAAGAGATTTCACCAGTATCAATCAAAATAGGTTTGGGTGCTTGACATTTTTCTTGTTCCTTTGTTGGTGTTCGTAGAATATCCTTAATAATGTTCCACAAGGGTGTTCCATGTGTCATGTTTCTATAATAGAGAGAGAGTATGCATAAAAGTATACGTAATTGAACCTTTTAAGGATAGTATTTAATCTAAACTATTAGTTTTCCACTTACTGATAAATACCTAAAGAAGTGAGACCAGGTCCATCTGTGGTACCAGCAGCTACAGTTTCAAAAAAAGAATCAATTGATTTTCTTCTTCTATGAATGAATTTATTATATGAAAAAAAAAAAAAAACTTACCAAAAGCATAACCCATTGCAGGTGCACAAAGATGTGAACCATTGACTACCATAGTTGTAATATCAAAAAACTTGTTTCGAAAATCAATCGTACCAGAGAGTGAATGACCTTCTTGCTTAAATAATTCAATTGCCTTGTCTGCTTGTTGTTGACCAATGATTCGATTGGATTCATAATCACTTATTTCCCACCCTGGTCCCCTGTGTGTGTGAACATAAAAAAATTCAGCAATGTGTATGACACAAAAACAACTATTACCTTCCATTGCAACTTGATCCAGTAGGACATTTATCATTTTTCGATCCATCACAAGGTATGGTGGTACCTGTACAGAAAGAACCAAGTGTATTCGGAGTAACATCACCTTCGTTGGATTGAGCAAAAGCAGAGACAAACCTTCCTTTACCAGATATACTAGACGGATTCATTGTACGTTCAGTTATATATGCTGCATAACCTTTGTTATCACCATTCACCAAATGGTTTGTTTCATTGACTGATACTCCATGAACTGCAAACCTAAAAATCAATTGTAATTTAACATGATTTCTTTTCTTTTCTTTTTTTTTTTTTATTATTACCAACTAATAAGTCCAAGTCCTTTTCCTGTTTTATCCCTGAATCCAAGTACTGTCATATTCTTGTCCACATCATAAGCATATTGAGAACGTTCTTCTTTAGGATTCAAAAGGTAACTTGCTGGTGATCTATTGATATTTGTGTTCAAAAGTTCCCCTACAGAAAGATCCACTGAACCAGGTTGAATATTATCGTGTGCACGAGTAATAGCGTTGACAATGCCTTGTACCATAGGTCTTACTGTTTCTTCGAACCATCCAAGTACAGAAATTTCATACAGAGCTTCAAATAAAATAATTAAAAAAAAAAAAAAGATGAATATAAACCTTTGATCAGTAAATTAGTTTGATTGAATATTTGGTCTACCTTGTTGTAAATATCCACCCATAGAAGAATGAGAATGAGTTGAACTCAACATGACATTTTGTTCAGTGTACATTGTATCCCCATATAACACCTTTAGTTTTTCAATTACACGTTTCTTGACAATATCACCCATGGATTGCGTGTCAGTATTGACAAAGACTAGTCGTCGATTGTCATCAGTATCATCCACAATAATAAAAGCACGAGCCCAAATACGTTGTCGTATACCTTCTCCAGTTTGAGCCAAATTTGCATAACTTTCGTATAAAATCACGCATGCACATAAAAAACAATTAAGTAAGTATAAAGGAATATATACAATCATAATATTTCTTACCCCATAAACGTAATTTCTACACATGGTCCAGTAATGTCACCAATACTATATATAAAATAAAATAAAATAATAAAAAAAAAAGAATGAATGAATATTTCAAATTCTCTTTTTTCTTTTTCTTCTTTTTTATCATCTATACCCGGTTCCAATCTTGTAGGCTTGACCAGTATCAGTAGCAATCAATAATAGTAGAGTAAACCAAAAGGAGATATACCATGGAGAAGATTTCATAGTTATTTATTAAAAAAGAAAAAAAAAAGGAAGAAAAAAAAAAGAAATAGAAAATGTGAAGGGAATCTTTTTATGTACAAAGAAGGGAACACATATATATATATATAAAGTTTATATTTGTCATTTTGGGTATGGTGAAGTAAAAAAATGAATGGGATAAAACATAAATACCTTATTTAGGATGAAGGGAAGCGGTTGAAGCAGTATATTCAAAAGAAGGAGTTTCTGGTAAGGGACGATCTAAATTATCATGCTCTCCTTCTTCTTCAAAACTATTGCCAAGATGTTTTTGATTTTCATATTGAGGTTGATCATAGTTTGCATATCGTGTACTAACATTTTTTTTTTAAAAAAAAAAAAAAAAAAAAAAAAAAAAAAAAAGATCATGATCAGTCTTTGTTACATATCTTTTTTTTTTTATTATTATTATTATTTTTTTACTTTGTTGAAGACTTGAGGACTTCTATGACTAACTGACCAGAACATAGTGACACAACCTATAATGTGCATAATTTACAACAAATAAATAACAGTAAATCAATTATTGTTTTTTAGTTAAACTCACCACCATAATAAAAAGTCCAATATTGAAATACATTGTAATCAACATATACCAAAGACGAAAGACAGTAACCAATCCATAGAGTAAAGTTCGTGTTATGATTTTTCTCCATCTAGATCTTGTATTATTGTATTCAAGTTGATCGAGATAATAAGTTAAACCACGTTCAGACCAACAAAGAAATACGATGAATATATAACTAGCAAGAAGGTTCCATCCGTTTTCCAATTGAAAGGTTTCGAATAATAAATGAGTACCTTGTATATCTATAAATAATAATAATAATATAAGTATAAACTATTATAAATTTCATATTATTTTTATATACCATTATGAAAGAACCACTTCATAGTATCCATTTAATATATAAAAGTGTCAATTAAGGAGAATAAAAGGTGTGTGACCAAAAGGAAAAGAAAAGGAAAAATAGGAGAGACAAAAAAAAAAAAAAAACTAAAATCTCCGCGGAGTCCTATTTTGCCTTGAGTCTTCCAAATCATCATCTCTCATCTACCACCACCCCCAAAAAAAACTCACAGTGAACTCTTTTTTTGATTCTTTTCTTTTGACATATAAATATTCCGATCAAAAAAAAAAAAAAGTTATTGGGGCATTTTATAAGTAAGCCACGTGGAAAGAGAATGTTCACTATTACCATCATCAAAAGATGTTTTGTTATAAATGATGATGATGATTTATCCTTGTTTTCCCGAAAAGAAATCGATAATAATATTATATAAAAGAAAAAAAGAAAAAAGGTCGACTGACTTTTTTTTTTTTATTTTGTATGAAATTGCTTATCTTTTTTTTGTTCTTATCCTGCCAAGCGATAAATCCCAATCAAAAATAAAATTAAAAAAAAAAAAAAATAAAGATACAGTACGGATGATGAATTTTTTTTTTTTTTTTTGACATTGAATCAACACGTGAATATTAGTTTTCTTGCATTTTAACGATCACCTCAAAGGTATTTATCCATAAGCGGCGATAAAAGGGTCCCTTTTCTTTTTTTTTTTCTTTTTTTTTCTAACGTAAAAGGGAAGAAACGGGATCATTCATGTAAAAGTCGGGTGGTAGATCTGATTTGATTTACCCATGTGAAAATGAATTCAACCGATTTATATGACTTGACATTTTGTTATATAAATGAATCATTCATATCGTATTAAAGAAAAAAAAATCATTCATTCTTTCTCTCGTTTTTCATTATATAATGATTTCTTCTTTTATTCTATTTGTTTTTATCTTGATCACTAGTACTGTAGCAGCTCCTACTAAAAGACAAGAAACTATTTCTATTCAATCTCCAAACAAGGGTGATACTTGGGTGATTGGTAACTCGTAAGTTGAAATTGCATTTCAATACATATATATATATATCTTATAAGACTAATGATTATGTTCTTCTCTTTTTTTTTTTTTTAATAATGAAGTAGTATCTTGGACAACTCAAATGAACAAACCAATCAATATTTTATTATCGCAAGGTGATTCATCTGATGTTATTGTTGTGGGTCAAGGTTTAAACGCTTATCAAGGAAGTTATGTCTTTACTGTACCTTCATCTATTGGATCAAAATCTATAGAAAATGGATCAACATGGAAGATTATCATTAGTGATGATGGACAAACGTAAGTAATATATATATATATACATATATAAATAGAATTCAAATTAAATATATATTTTTTTTTAATTTATATAGATTTGCTACTTCAGATGATTTTACAATTGTATCTAGTGCCGCTGTCAAATCTGTCAATGTGGTTCCTGCGCCAACTCAAGCTTTAGCACAAAATCAATGGACTGCTACTGCAAGTATTACTCTTCTTGGACCTGATGGAAAACCTATTGTGATGCAACAAGAATCATCTTTAGCTACTAATATAAAAATGACCTCGTTAACAAGTCTTATTGCATTAGTGATTGTTAGTTGTCTATTCATTGGATTCTGATGATCTCATTCCTATTCTTTTATTTTGTTTATATTATGTATTTATTTCCTTTTTTTCTTCATTCTTTTTTTTTCATATTACATTACTTATTATTTTACCCATTATTATTTATTAGTTTTATATATATCTTCATCCATAATCATTAACCCTAACTAGATAACCCAATATGTATAATAAACTATTCATCATTACCTTTTTCGTCTTTTATTTTCAATTCCGATCTGCCTCTTTTTTTTTTTTCGTACTTTGTTATCTTACTTTTTTTTCTTTTTTTTTTTTTTTCTTTTTTTTATATAGTCTCTCCGTATTTTTTGTCAAAATGATTAGGGTATGGACAAATCCAGTCTATCCCTGTAACTCATTTTTTACACAATCTTCCTTCATATCTCGTCATAAAGTCTTCATTAGAACCATTCGTCCAATATGTACATTACCACGATATTCGAAACCATCCTTTAATAAAGCAACACTTTTATCAATCACACGTCTTTCATTACGCCAGCATTCACCTACAGTTCCATATTATACTCTACTTAGACATTCATGTCTTATACCAACATCTTATTCACTCGGAGCTTTGATGTTAACGACCTCTACTTTGACACCACAACGAGAACTCTCTTCAATACAAGCAAATACCAAAATATCTAGAGGTGAAGATATCAGCAACTCAAGGATCAAACAATGGATGAAACATATTCTTCACTTTTTGGACCATTGGTTATTAGAACCATTATTGACACTTCGCCGCTTTGTACATATTTTATTATTATTTACCCCTGTCTTATTGTCTTCCCCTGCTCTGGTGTTGGGTAATGTGAAAAATGAAGATACCTCAGGTAGCTTATGGTGGTATGATTTCTTGGCAACTCAAATGGAAAGGGCTGGTCCTTCATTTATCAAGGTAAAGTTACTTTCTTCTTTTTCTTCTTCTTCATTCCTAATATCTCATTTTATTCTTTTGTCTCTCTTTTTTTTTTTTAATAGTTGGCTCAATGGATCGCTTCTCGTACAGACCTATTTCCCATGGCTTTATGTCAACGATTAGGCAAATTACACTCTAATGTGGATCCTCATTCTTTCAGTTATACAAAAAAGGTTTTGGAAACTACGTTTGGGCAATCGATGGATGATATCTTTTTGGAATTCAACCCTGATCCTCTTGGAGTAGGAGCCATTGCTCAAGTTTACAAAGCAACACTACGACCAGAAATTGTATTGAATAAAGGCAATATTGTCAAGGATTTTATTGTGGGGGATAAGCAAACAGTGACTTTAGATTGTATTTCAACAACAGATGAACTAGGACGACAATTGAATGTACATACAGCGGTAGCAATCAAAGTGATACATCCAAAGGCTCGACAGATTGTACGACGAGATCTCAATATCATGCTTTTCTTTGCATCACTACTGGATTGGCTCCCTACAATGCGTTGGCTCTCACTTCCTGATGAAGTACGTGTATTTGGGAACATGATGAAAGATCAATTGGATTTACGAATTGAAGGACAACATTTGGAAAGATTCAATCAACTCTTTGCTGACAATACTGAAATACGATTTCCTAAGCCATATTTACATTTTACTTCTAAAGATGTTTTAGTGGAAGAATATGAAAATGGTATTCCATTGAGTGTCTTTTTACATCAAGCTGCTATGATGAAAAGAAAACATTTAAGACAACAAGAAGATGCATTGGTGGTCAATGATATTGATGATGATGATGATGGTGATGCTCAAGTTAATCATGGTGGTGTATTTGATCATAAGATTGCAAACATTGGTAAAATAATAATAATAAGAGAAAAGATCTCCTACTTTATGCATATTGATTATTTACTCTCTTTTTTTTTTTTTTTTTTTTTTAATTATATGATTAGGATTGAATGCATTTTTGGTAAGTTTTGATCAAAATATATGAATGAAATGAAGATTCTTCTATTCCTTTTTTGGATACTGAATGATCTAAATGATTATTTTATTTTATTTTATTTAGTATATGTTGATTGTATATAATTTTGTTCATGCTGATCTACATCCTGGTAATATTATGATCAAGTTTTACAAGCCATCAGCACATCATCCATTCCAAATAGCATGGTCAAAATTATGGCATCGTGAATTGAAAGATGATGGTGATTTGGTAGTTAATCGAGTATTGGCAGTACAAGATGAAACTGAATTATTCCATGAATTACTTTATGAATTGGATCAAGAAGGTTATGTACCACAATTAGTAATGCTTGATACTGGTTTAGTGAATGAATTAAATGACAAGAATCGACGAAATTTTTTGGATTTATTTGGAGCAGTAGCAAAATTTGATGGATATCGTGTAGGTGAATTAATGGTAGAAAGATGTCAATCACCTGAACGTGTGATTCAACCTGATATTTTTGCTCTTCGTATGCAAAATCTTATATTGGGACTCAAGCAAAATACGTTTCATTTGGGAACAGTCAAGATTGGAGATTTACTTTCAGAAGTAAGAGATATGGTCCGAGCACATCACGTGAAATTAGAAGGTGATTTTATCAATGTAGTTGTGGGAATTATGTTACTAGAAGGCATTGGTCGTCAATTGGATCCTAATTTGGATTTATTCAAGAATGCATTACCAGTATTACGTAAATATAGTATTCAAGATGGTGGTAAAAATACAATTGAAGGTATGAAAGATGTACAAGAACATGGTGTTATGTCCCCTCATTGGATCAAAGTATGGATCTTTTTGGAATTAAGAAATTGGTTAATCAGAAATACTCGAGAAAATGAATGGTTACAACTTTGGTAAAGAAAAAAAAAATAAAAGAAAAAAAAAAATAAAAAAAATATTATATTTATTTAATCTCTCTTTTCTTTTCTTTTTTTTTTTTAAAAAAAAAAAATAGTGACATCCTGTGCTTTAATAATTAGATATAAAATAAATAAATAAAAAAGGAACATAATAGGTTTAGTTAATATTATTTTATATAGAATTGAAAATAATAATAATAATAATATTAGTTTTAATAAAGAAAAAACCAGTTTTTTTTTTCTTTTTTTGTCTCCCATTGTTGGTCTGTGTGTTCAATAAACCTGTTCGGCATGAACACTGAGTTTGAACTTGTTGTCTGATATCTGTCATCACCTCCTTTTTTTTTTTTTACCACATCCCCCCCTAACTCTTTTTTTTTTTTTTTTTTCTTCTTCTTCTCGAATTTTTCTTTACCCCCTTGTTGTTGTTATCGTTTTTTTTTTTCCCTTAACTTCCCTCCTTTACTGATTTAAAAAAACTTTTCTTTCCTTTTTTTTTTTTGTTTCTTTTTTTCTTTCTTTTCCTTCCCACACAATGTCGACAAAAGTAGTGCCAACCAGTAACACTACTATGACAGTCTCTCAAACTGATTTAGCAACACAGAATGATCAATTATGGTCTATCATTACAAAACAACGTAATGTCATTAAAGATTTGGAACAAGCACTTGCTAATATGACCAAAGACCGTGACTCTTTATTACTTGCAAAGAAACAACAACCTTCTCCTTCTCAAGAACCGGTTCCTCCTCCTCGTTCTCCTTATCGTCAACATCATCATACTCATGACGGTTCGGCTATTATTCCAACTATATCAACAACTATTGCTAATAATACTCGATATCGTTCTTGTTCTTCAATCACTAGTGCACTTGACTCTTCAACTTCTAATAATTCAACTTTATCTTCACCTATTCATGCTATTATGGATAAAGATGCTCAATTATTTGCAAAATATCAACAAGCAATCAAAAAACTCGATACTACCTCAACATCTTCTTCTTCTTCTTTTATTAAATCTGATCCATTAAGTTCTTCACCTATTGAACAACAACATCCTATCACTCGTCGAGCTTTTTCTCAGCCTCATTTAATCACTTCAACCAATGAACAACATGCTTTTTTTGCTAATATCTCTATCAAGGTACTGGATACAACTATTCAAAAAAATTTAAAAGGAAAAGAAATACTATCTTTTATTATCTCTATACGCGGCTTTACTTCTTCTTCTTCTTCTTCTTCTATTTTAATCAATCCGACTTCCGATGATGATGATGATGATGATGAATTATGGAGAATTAAAAAGGTTTACTCAGACTTTTTGGCTTTGGATACTTTGGTAAGAAATAAATGATTCAAGAATATATTTTTAATTCATCTTTTTTTTTTTTTTTTTAATTAGCTTCGATCTCAATATAGATCTCTTTCCAATCATCATGCTTCGAAAATGGGAAAATTACCAGATAAATCTTTGTTTACAACTCATGGTCAAAATAACAAAATGGACAATCGAAAAGTAAAAAAAAAAAAAAAAAAAAAAAAAAAAAAATTCTTGTGTGATCTTATATACTTAAATCCTTCTTTTTCTATATTGTAGGCTATTGTTGAAAAGTATTTAACACGTGCTATACGACTCTCTCTCCCCGAAATGACCGATTTAGTTCAGTTCTTATCTACTGATATCATAGATCAAGAAGGCAAACCTACTAATACTACTACTTCTCCTGTAAGCATGAACATGAAATATCTTTATCAATTGATTCTAATCCTTCTTCTTTGTATTTTTTTTTTTTTTAGCCAAAACCCCAAAAGAAGGGTTACTTATCATTACAAGATAGTCGACAAGAAATATGGCAACCTCGTTTTTTTATATTACATGGATCAGTATTAGATTATTACGATACCGTAAGTAATTTATCTATTATTTTAAAATGAAGTTAATTGATATATGAATATTTTTTTTTTACATACTTATTCTAGAAAGGTGGCCTTTTGATTGGATCTATTCAACTATCGGAAACTCATATTACCATGCAGCAAATGCAAGATGCAGCTCAAAACTCAACATCATCATCTAGTCTTATCATCACAGAAAACAAACCAACATCTACCACTCTTCAACAATATACCCTTTGTGCAGATTCAGACATCAAATTGGACGAATGGGCACATGCACTCTCTCCGTTCACTCAGCCTACACCACAAGTCTCTCAATCAACATGCACCACCACTCATTCTTTTACCAAACCTAGTATGCGCCACAGAGTGTCAAAAGATCAAATCAAGCAACTTTCTGCAGCTCCCATCTCTCCAGAAAATCACAACAATTATGGAAAGTTTACCACACGCAAGTACATTCAACCTACTTCCCCACATTATCACCCACAACGATCAAATTCTGATACCTCTATTCATCCTGGTGAATTCGATGGAGGTGTTCGTAGAGCTAGTCATACATTCTATCCACACAGTCCAAGTATGAATGATACTCAATCTTTACCTTCTTCGTCCACAGTGGAAACCTATCGGAACACTCTTAGTGCAACTTGTACTCTTCCAAGAAGGGATCATCTTCGACAAAGGTCAAGTTTAGATGCTATCTATTATTCAAATCATCGACAACAAGATAATAATCAAAAACAATCCATCTCTATCTCTACAATACCAACAAAGAAGAACTCTCCTTCTTGTCCTTCGTCTCCTTCTTCTGGTAAGATACCATCCACTATACTAGGCAGTATTGGAGATGATCCTTCTTATGATTCAACAACAACAACAACAAAAAAAAAAGTCAAAACAAAAACCAGTCGACGCACTTTTTGGCCACGCAAGATATTTTCAGGCAATCATCAACATCAACAGCAAAATGATATGGGTGTCTTACGTGGATTCTTATCGCGACATTCCAGTGATGATTCTTCCTCTGCTTCTTCTGCTTCTTCTACAACTCAAGTATCCAGGACATCGACCAATCATATGGATCTTTTTAATTCATCCAGTTCGACTCAATGTCAAGATACTCCAGCTCCTTTATGTCCTGTTTTCGGTGTCCCCTTGGAACAAGCTGTACGTATCTCCAAGATAGACGACAATTACGAACTTCCTGCTGTTGTATATCGATGTATTGAATTTTTGGAAACCAAGGATGCTATTTACGAAGAAGGTATTTACCGACTTTCTGGTAGTGCTGTCAAGATCAAGGCCTTACGAAGGGAATTTGATGAAAGTAAGTGATGATGAATCAAAACTCGTTTTTCTTACTATTACTCTTTTAATTCTTTTTATATATATAGAGGGTGATGTTAATTTATTGACATCTGAAGAACATCAAGATTGTGATGTCCATGCTATATCTGGATTACTGAAGCTTTGGCTTCGTGAATTACCAAGCAATGTATTGACTCAAAACCTGTTGAAAGAATTTCTTCCTGTCATAGGTAAAAAAAGAATATATATATAAAGGGAACAAATAGATACTGAACATTTTTTTTATTTATTTATATTTTGTATAGATATGGTAGATAGGGATGAATGTATTAATGAATTGGGTCGATTGATCTCCATGTTACCACTTGCCAATTATACACTTCTTCGTGCACTGACGGCTCATTTACTTCGTGTTGTCCAAAATGCTGATACCAACAAGATGACTTTACGAAATATAGGCATTGTTTTCTCACCAACATTAGGTATTCCCACAGGAATCTTCAACCTTTTCCTTTGCGAATTTGACTATATCTTTTGGACAATGGAACAACAACAGAAACAGCATCAACAACAAAAATCGGCTACTTTATTCCCTTCTCTTGAAACAAAACCAGAATTATTACAAGAACAACGGCAGAAAGATAATAATACAAATCCAAATAATACTCAATCATCCATCACTGATACCATTCATCCAACTCAGGTCATTTCTCCAACTCCTCGACATTCTTCGTGGCGACGTAACAGTAATGGAAGAAGCAATAGAAACAGTGTTCAATATTCGGGTGGTGCTCCTGAATGTATAGTGGGTATGGAAAGACAATGTCAAAAAGGTAAAGAAAGAAAGAAAGATATATAATAGGAACGAAATGGGTTTGATCTGATATGTATTTGTTTATTAGGCACAGTGGATCAAGAAGAAGAAGAAGATGATGATGATGATGACAACAGTAGTGGACAAGATATTGGTGATGACAATGAAAACAGCGTTAGTGATGACGATGATGATGATGATGATATGGATGATTTTGATAATCTTCCCGTACACGATATACCTCATAGCATAATAGAAACTTGGAAAATGACCAGTAGACCAGTTTCATAATATTATATTTATTTTTTTTATTTTTATTATTTTTATTATTATTATTACTATTATTACTATTATTATTATTATTATTATTATTATTATTCTCTATCTTTATTTATTATATATTAGCCACTTCTCCTCCTCCTTTATTTAGTTATATTATACAAACTATACCTTCTTTTTACCTTTAAGCTTATTAACCGGAAAAGTGTAGAATAAAGTGTATCAAATTTAAGCCTTTGTTGATTGGATAGAATTGTTGATCAGCATTGATTTTAGAAATCCGTATTTTTTTTTGTCACACGTTCGTGGTTTTTTTTACTTCTTTTTTCTATATATTTTTTTTTATGGGCCAACACAAGAAATCCAAATCATGGTCAGCTTTAGTTTCTTTTCCTAGTTTAACAACCTCAACATCATCAACTATAAAGACACCTTCCGTTACCAATGTGACTTCATACCATTCTTCATTGTCTGGCGATAACTATAAGTTTCAACCATCAGGAACAACCATGATGAAATCCAATTCACACCAACAACATCCGTCCTCACCATACAACAATAATAATGGCGAAAGCAGTAGTGGTAGTAGTATTAGTGTCAGTAGTGGTAGGAGCAGCAGCAGTAACAATAATAACAACAAGGACAAACGAAATAATGATCAAGATGACAAGGATTGGAATGAGTTTAATAATGACTCACTACCTGTGTTTTATATTTTCTCCACGCAAGCTTTGGCCGATGAATACGCAAGTGAGCATACCATTATTCCATTTACTGATCCTCCCAGTTTCTCCTTGGATCAAGCAACTTTACTGGCTGGTGTTTTGGAATCTCTTCTTCGTGTGGTGGATGATATTCCAGTGGATTCAACGGATATGCATGGCAGCGATTCATCCGACACCGATGATAGTTCACATTGTATGGATAATACAATGCAGGATATCAGCAGCAGCACAAATAGCAGCATTCATAGTGAACATGATGTTGACGACGATCAGGTGAATGGGCCTTGGAGCGATGATGCCAACGATATATCGACTGGAGACAACAATGATGATGATGATGATGATGATGATGATCATACCACTCTCACTTCCGATTATCCACACTTTTCTACAGACAATCATACATTTTCACCTACAACCATCTATCCTCACCATCATGAACGCCAACATCAGCATTCACCCTTGAGCAAAGATATATTGTCTTCTTCTTCAACCATTCAATCTTTAGCAAATACTGGATATCCTGTCTCCTCATCTACTACGCCGACTATCGATACCCTTCATAGCAACACTAGTCATATTTATCATCATCCGACCAGCAATAGACCAACAACAAGGAGTTCATCATTTGCAGTAGCAACACCGTCGTCCTCTCTTACACATCCTTTCACGATCGTTGGTCTTGGTTCCTTCAAGGTAGTTTTGTGGCCATCTGTTTTACCCAAAATGAAAGATTTATGCGCGGTAATCATTGAAATAAGATATTCTCTTTTATATATATTTCTTTATGAATTAATGAATGACTTTTTTTTTTTTTCTTAGGTGATTCTGGTGTCGCCCCAATTCCCGGATCAAGATATCATTCAAGCAATGCATCAAATCAAGTCATCATCAAGTCATACATTGTCTCCTTTGGTAAGCATAAATAAAAAGTTGTTTTCACATGAATTGCTCACCTAATATTGATTTAGACAACGGCGCAGATGATTGGACAACAACTACTCCCTTTGATCAAGCAGCATTTTGGCGTCTCCAATAGTATAGATAGATGATCTTTTATTTTTTTTTTTCTATACTGTGTGGATCACCATTTTTTTTCCATCCATTTTATTCCAATAAATCAAATACATTTTTTTATACTATTGTTCGCTAAAGACTCGAAAAAAAAAAGGAGACTATAGTAAGAGTTTGTTTTATTACATTATAATGAAAAATAATAAATAAAAGAATAAAAAAGATATGTACAAAACAAAACAAAGTTATTATTAAAATAGTGAGGGGTATGATTGGATTTGATCAAAAAAAAAAAAAAAAAAAAAGTACAGTATGAAAAAAAAAAAATCTATTATCTATATTAACTATTCATCGGAAATGGTAGATGATTGAAAAGGTTCAAACTTCATGCTTCGAAAATCAACTTCCCGTTTGACCAATTCAAATACCAAGAAACCCACACTTGTTGCAGGTACCACCTTGAGTACCGTACTTCCAAATTCTTGATATAGGAACTTGATCCAGCTGCCACCATTTAATTTCACCTGACGTTGACATTGTTCCCACGTGCGCCGATAGAGTACGTTGACAGGTTCTCGTTTGGATTTGTGAGTGAATTCAGATTGACCTTCTTCGATATAGAATATACTATGGATCTTGGCAAATGGATGATCTATTAATTGATACGCCTAATGAAAAAAAAAAAATGTTAACATTATCTTTTTCTCTCATTATCATTCTAACGTCTATTCTTTTTTTTTTTTTTTTTTTTTTTTTACCACTGCCGCGGCTGCACCTGCCAAAATGACAAATATAGGTTCTAACATAAGTGGAGGTCGTTCCTTTTTTATGGTTGTGATGGTTTGATCATTGAGAGGATCTTTTGTAGGATGGTGATGAATTAGATCATTGACTTGTTCCTTCCATGATATTTCCAAATCTTGAAGTGTTTTTGATGATACTACATGTAATCCATACATTTCATCCAAATAGTAGTAATAACCTTGTTGTTTTACCCATTCAAATGTTGCAAAGAATAATCCACAAGCCAACGAATCCTGTCCAAAAAAAAAAAAAAAAAAAAAAAAAATGAGATCATTCTTTATATATATATATTACTTTACCCTTAAAAGAGTCAATGTGAATCCTCGATAAGCACTAGCAATTCCCAAATCCTTTAATGTCGTTTTTGCAAATTGATAAAGAGATCGATGTTTTCCTTCTAATAGATCGTTGACTTCAAATCGTACTTTAAGTGAATCGATAGGTGTAGCTATGATTGACTGTGCTGCTCCTGCTAGACATCCAGCTAAAAATACAGAACTATAAGGTGGTGGTGGAAATGGACGATGAAGTTGATATGCTGATGGTGGATGGAATAAAGGTAAAGTGGCGATATAGGTTGTATACAATACAGTACCAATCACAGTATTGGCAATCAATGGTGGGAATACATGTTTCGGTAAAAAGCTCCACTATTTTATATATATAAAAATAAGTACAAAATAAAAGAACATAAAATATAATTCTTACTCCTCTTGTCTTGACAGCATGAGTGATCATTCCAATAGAAGTATATCGAAAAGAAAATCGTTTAGAGGCTTCATCTATAGGTAAAAGAGCACGAGCCATGATTAAGTAGTCTATACGAAGAGGTCGAAATAACTAGGAGAGTGTCATTTTGAGTAAACAATGAATATCAAACCTTGCTTTTTTTTTTTTTTTTTTTGTCTCCTACCTTGACTGGTGTCCGATAAAATAAATAAAGTCCCTGAAGCATCAATGTTCGAGCAATAGCTGTTGAACCACCTACAGAAGTAGCATCCTTGGCTTTTTTTCGTTTGATATGAAGATTGGTTGTACCATCAGGTGTTGGGTAAGGTACTATTGCTGCTGGTGAACGTGCAGATAAAAAGGATGTGGCGCTGTGAGGATAATGAATAGGAAAAAGAGATGCTTTTGACAGGAGAGGTTGTGTATTGATGATAGTAGGGTTGGAATGAACTGTTTGAGTCGTCTTCTCTACAGTAGCTGTTGTGGAGGTAAATGAGTCCGAAGCAACAGCCATGTAAAGAAAGAACAAGAGTGTGGAAATGTGAAGAAGAATGTCAGGACAAAAAAAAAAAAAACAAGAACGAGAGATAAGTGAAAAAAAAAAAAAAAAGATACGGAGCTTAAATTCAACTATTATTATCAGGGCAAAACCATTGATTGAAGCCACTCCAAATGCCTTTATTTGTGATTGCCTACTAAGAAAAACTCTTTTCTCCTTTGGATGATCCATTGTTTATACGATTGTTTATACTGTACTGATAAATAATGAACTCATTTTGCTTTTTTTTTTTTTAGTAACAAGGATTGGAAAAGATGATCTCTATTGTTCAACAATAATTCATTCATTTTCATTTTATATTGGATTTTCAGAAAAAGGTCTCAGTAGGATCAATTGGAAAAATATGATGTTTTATGGCGCATATACTGACTAGCCAATGAAATACTTCATCCTAGACCTTTAAGTACAAAGAATTCTTTCTCAGAGTACAGCAATCCATCGGAGACTATCTGTCTTGACAACCATCAACGAATTGTGGTTTTTACATTCACTGGTTATTTTTTTTTTTTTTAAAAAATCCATGTTGATTTCTTTTTTTTAAAAAAAAACGCTAACTATTTCCAAGATACTAACTACTGTATAATCATGAATAAATATATAAATATGTATATATACTTACAATTTTTTTTTCATCCCTCTATTTGTACATAAAAAAAAAAAAAAAAGAGAAATGATAAAAGACTAATATGGATAGTTGATGTCCATGAGAGCAATCATTGATTTCCCGCTGACTCCTTTGGTCATGTTTTTCCTTTTTTTTCACATCCCACATTATACCTTTAGTTTGATTGGTCAACAGTACCCCTCGTGAGACCAGGCGATTATAATGTTTTGATAGATAATTGTAAACTTTATGTATTATGATAATAGATCAATCGTTCTGTCACTTTTTACCATTTTGTACCTTTTTTTCTTTCTTGTGAATTATTTTTTTCCCAGTATCTTATTCTCTGTACAACATTTAAATAATAATAAAATTAACAGTAACCAAAAAGGTGATGTCTCTCTTTTTTTAGCAATCATCATCAAAATGTATAAAAAAAAAAAAAAAGATAGCTCTATTATCATGTATTTTTTTTTCTCATTACTTATCAACATGAAGTGGATTTTATTTCTTTCCATTGCTTTGACCTTTATTATCACTCCAATCAATGCAATACCTTTTAACAAAAGAGCTAGTCATCAACCTAATGATTCATCTTCATTAGTACCTGGTAAATTCTTTGATCGTGTCGTGATTTTCATTTTTGAAAATATTGATTATGCTGATGCTGCTAATAATACTTATTTCAAATCTTTGGCACCTAATCATAATGGTGTTGAATTGACTAATTTTACTGCCCTTACTCATCCATCTCAACCAAATTATGTACGTATCTTTTTTTTTTTTGGATGATCTTTTACTAAAGAAAAAAAAAATGAATTAATTTAGATTGGTCTTATCAGTGGTGCAACCGAAGGTTGTGTTGATGATGATTTGGTTAATATGGATCGTGATACTATTGTCGATCTTTTGGAAAAAAAGGGTGTCTCATGGAAAACATATCAAGAAGATTATCCTGGAGGTTGCAATGACTCAATGTACATTGGCAAGTATGCAAGAAAACATAATCCATTCATCAGTTTCAAGAATATTCGAACTAATCCCGATCGATGTGCTAAAATCGTCAATGCTACCGAATTGGATGATGATATTGCCAATGACACCGTTCCTCAATTCATATTCTATACACCTAATGTAAGTATCATAAAAAAAAAAAATCCATCGTCTCTTTTACTAAAAAAAAAAAAAAAAAAAAAAAAAAAAAAAAAGAAAAGGATACTAATTATCTGCTATATAATTTGATTTCATCTATTTGACAGTTGGATCATGATGCTCACGATACTGATCTTAACACGGCTGCCACTTGGTTCCAAAGTTTTCTTGAACCCCGCATCAAGCAAGCTAACTTTACAAAGAACACTATGTTTGTTTCTACATTTGATGAAGCCAAACATTATACACTGATTCCCAACTCAATACAAACTGTCCTTTTTGGCCCTGACTTCAAGCGTAAATCCAATGTTACCACGGACAATACTCCCTATAATCACTACTCTATCCTTCGCACCATTGAAGATAATGTAAGTTTAAAGATACAACTAGAATTCATTTAATTAACTAAATCCATTCATCCATAGTGGGATCTCGGTACATTGAATCTGATTGATAGGATTGCGACTCCTCTTGATCTCTAAGATAAAAAAAAAAAAAAAAAAAAGAAAGTGTAGCTATCGGTCATTCTAAAATAAAACTATCGTATATAAATGTTTCTTTTTTTTTTTATTTTGTTGTAAAATGATATAATAGAAGTGATATTATAATCTATATGAGAAAAGAATTAACATCGAGTTAGTACCCATATTCCCATAATAAATCACTCGCATATCTCATTCCTTTTTTTTTTTTTTTTTTGGACTTACAACGTTCGCCACTAAGAAAGGATTATTGTTTTGTTAATTCAATAGTATTTGCTGATAACCATATGGTATACTTTCCGCTTGATGGAGACTATTTATGATGGTCAGTTGGTGGAAGTCTGGATAATGTTGTATTTATTTTGTTGACGTAGCATTCCATAGTTAAATCAAATCGATCAGCATAGAGATAAATGGTATGAAGGTGAGAATAGATCATCCATAACGCTAGAATAGAATAAAATAAAATAATAATAAAGTTGGTTAGGTATCTCCAATACCATCCTTTTCCCTTTCCCTTTCTTTTTTTTTTTTTTTTTTTTTTTTTACACGTGTTACCTATATTGTTGATTTATACACAGGCGAATATGGTAGAACAATCAGGAACATAAAGAGATAAAATAAGTGAGTATGCTTTTCCTACTGTTTTTGGCGTGATTCTATCAGTATCATCCACTTTCATGAGCTAACCTTGATCAATCATAATTCAATGTCTTATTTTTTATGACACCATCCTTGCTGTTTCGATAGCAGTAATTGTTGTTATTGTTTGTACCCCTAACAGTTGATTCTTCTTTGACTATTGTTGCATTCAGAAGTCGTTTATTCTAACAAAAAAAAAAAAAAAAAGTATTAGATCCAGTCAGCTGTACCTGTAAACATTGGTACCTAGTCCTTATTGACCAATTGCATGTTAAACAGATCATATCAATAGAGAAGATATAGAGGATATTCGACGCCAATGTAAAATAGGAGAGAATCTATATCGAATTCAAAAATATTATTCTAATGATAAAAGTATAGGAAAAAAAAAAGATTAGTTTTGCAGATAATATTGGTCTTTGTTTTTCCAATAGTCTACAAACTTACTAAGAATATTATAAATAAGAATGTATTAAAATATAAGTTATATATAAATATAATTTTTCTTTTTTATTCCTTGTATTATAATTTTTTTTTTTTTTTACCTTCGAAAACAATTATAAAGCAGGTATATAGATAAAAGGAAAAAAAAAAAAAAGAAAAAAGCATCTAAAAGGAAAAAAAAAAATACTCAGATCAAATTAATCTCCAGGTGTTGAAACGGAACGATTCCGTTTCAGATGTACATCCGCCACCGGTTCATTATTACCCAATCCGAGTTAACTGTTATTCTGAACACGGCATTGTTTGACCAATCACAGTGCGCCATTTTAACATTTGATTCATATAGAAGAGACCAGTTTTTTGGTCAGTTCGACCCTTTATAGCTCAGTTGGTAGAGCGGAGGACTGTAATGAAATTGTCATCCTTAGGTCACTTGTTCGAATCAGGTTGAAGGGATCATCTTTTTTATTTTTTGTGACCAAGTTTGTACTACAATAACTCCTGTTAAGTGTGTTGTGGGATTTTTTGGTTTATAGGTTCAAAATTGAAAAAGTAATGTGTTGGGTGATTTTTCGGTTTATGGGTTCAAAATTGAAAAAGTAAAACGGATGATTGAAAGAGAATAAGTTGTTTAGTGAGCACCAGTACTTGATTACGCAAGCACACGTATAGGAAAAGAGATAAAATAAAACAAAAAGTAAAGTAGAGAAAAATAAAGTCTTGTTCCAAATTTGGAAAGTAAAAGTAGAGTAAAATTGTTCTGACTTTAAATATAGAACAAAGTGAGCCAATCAAAATAGATAATCCACAATACAATCAAGTAGGGATGTAAAGATGTTTTTATTTAATTTTTTCTATGAAACTAAACTATAGGGCAAGTGGGTATTGCAGATACTTTTGTCATTCTTCTTTCTGATTGAACTAACTGATAAAAAAAAAGGAAAAGAAGGGGTATTTATACTATTTGATATTTAAGGTTAAAAAATAAAATATGAAAAAGAAAATGAAAAGAATAAGTGAAAAGAATAAGTGAAATAAAAAATAGAATGAAAATATAAAACGGAGGTATAAATGAAAATAATTTTTTTTTTTTTTTTTTTTTTTTTTTTTTATATTTTTTATTTTTTTTTTTTTTTTTTTTTATTTTTACATTACAGGAGATAAAGATTTTTTTTTTGATTTTTTTTTTTTCTTTTTTCTCCTTTTTTTTTTTTTTTTCTCAACATCCCACGCCCTAAGAAAAGATGGTCCCCGTCTTTACCAGTCATCCAATCTACAGACTTTCTTTGCAAAGGTACGGAAGGTATATCTTGTCATATTGTTACGAAACAAACGCCTCATTAAACCAGAGCGACTTTCTATATAGGTTTCTTTCGCCATTCTTCCATTAGGCTTTGAATGATATGCATGTAAAACCTGTATGACCAAAGGTATAATATCTCTAACCTCCTCTCGTTGAACTTCTTCTTGTAGGTCTTTTATTTGTTTCAGCTTTTGCAGATATGGGGGTATAACCAGGTTTAGGAGCTGTTCGGCATCTTCAACTGACACTTGGAATGGTACGGTGGGTTGAAAAAACTTGTTATCATAGATATTGGGATTAGTTACGGCATCCAATGATTCTGACACCACTTTAGGATTGGCAACAATGGTACTTGAAGATGATTTGTTTGTATTATCATCAGAAGATTCAGGTGATACTTCATTATCGACCAAGGATTGTTCATTGACTAATTCTTCTCCAATCTTTTTATATAGATCATAGATCTCAGTATCCAGCGTGGCATAGGTATCCAAAGGAAACAGGTTTTGATAGAGATCCATAATTTTTGGTTGTTTTTTTTTTGTGATAAGTGGATCATTCATCATTGGGGTATTTATACTTTTTTTTTTTTTGTTTTTGTTTTTTTTTGTTTTTTTTGTTTTTTTTTTTTTTTTTTTTTTTTTTTTTTTTTTTTTTTTTTTTTTTTTTTTTTTGTACAATCATCCGGTAATTTGAGATGCTTTTGATAATAATAAATTTAGTCAATCTTTCGTTGTTCCATCTTGAGTGTGTAGTTTTGATGTGCAGAAAAATATGTTATTGTTGATATGTAGGTCGAAAAATATTGTTGATTGGTTGATGATGATTGGTGTTTAAGCTTTTTACGACTTCATAAACAATTTTTGGTCGAAGGGTGCATGTTGCATGAGTATTGTAACAGGTGATTACTGCGCATTGTGTTTTTTTTTTTTTTGTAATTGTTGATAATATGGTTTGTTGTTGTGAGCACCAAATATGTTGTGTGTTTTAAATATGTTGAGAGATTGATGATAATGGTTGATGTTCGATGATGATGATAAATATAGATGTTGAAACAAGCACCAAAATATGTTGAGTATGTAGTGCTTCATAATATTGTTTGATGATGATGTCCATTATTGAGATAGATTGATGATAACGATATTAATAAATATGGATGATCGTGTAGATCAATGATGATCATGTTCGATGTTGATGATTAATAACCAAGTCGAGAAAAGAAATCAGCAGCTTCTTGTTTTCTTCCACTTCTATATTTGATTTCAAAGTCATAATCCGTAAGATATTGTATCCATCTTGCAACTATTCCACTTATTTTTGGTGATTGTATCAGCCATCGTAAAGGTGAATGATCAGTTATAACAGTAAATTTTCTTCCAAGTAGGTAAGGTCGAAAGATTTGTAAACTCCATACTAAGGCTAAACATTCCAATTTGGTAGCACCGTAATTTTGTTCACTATTCTTTAATCCACGACTTGCATAAATAACAGGATGTTCTTTTCCATCATCATCCAGTTGTGAAAGAATGGATCCAAGTCCTTTTTGTGAAGCATCACAAACAATAATAAAAGGTTTAGAGAAATCAGCACGTTTTAATATAGGAGCTTCCATCAGTTTTTGTTTAAGTAGATTAATGGAATCGGTAGCTTCTTGAGTCCAGGTTACTTCTTTACTTGTTGTAGTTTGATCGTGTAATGGTCTTGCTATGGCTGCAAAATTTTTTATGAATCTCCGATAATAGGATGCCAACCCTATAAAACCTCGGATTTGTTTGAGAGTTTTTGGAATTTCGAACTCTTTTACTTTCTTTATTTTTTCTTCGTCCGTCTTGATTCCGTCCTTGGTAATAATATATCCCAGAAACTTCAATTCTTCTTTGAAAAAGTAACATTTGTCGATATTAAACAATAGGTTTCCTTGACGTGCACATTCGAATACTTTTTTCAAGTCGTGTAAGTGTTGTTTATAAGAAGAGGAATGTACATTCAAGTCGTCGATATAAGCAACTAAACACTTGTTAATAAGTTTGTTGAAACATAGGTCAATCAATCGTTGAAAAGTAGCAGGACTATTCACCAATCCCATAGGCAACATTTCGTATTGATAAGTTCCAAACTTTGTAACGAATCCAGTCAATTCTTTGCTTTCTTCTTTTAACGGTACTTGGTGGAAACCAGAACGTAAGTCAAGAGTAGAAAATATAACAGAAGTGCCTAATTCATCAATCAAGTCGTCAATTTTTGGTAGTGGATAGGCATCAACTTTTGTTCTTGCATTCAGTTTGCGATAGTCTACAACCATTCGATATTCACCATTCTTTTTCTTCACAAGAATTATAGGAGCAGTATACGGTGTATTGGCAGGTTTGATGATTCCAAGTTCACATAGGCGATCAAGTTCTTTTTTCAAATATTCTTGTTCAATAGGTGCCAATCGGTAAGGACGATGACGAATAGGTGGCGAATTGTCTTGTAGAATGATTTCATGTTCTAACAAAGTGGTTCTTCCCATTCTATCATTATACCAGTCAAATACATCTTGATAATCGGTAAGTAGATGATAAAAAGATTCTTGTATATCTGGTGGTACTTCTCCTAATTGTATTTTTTCTTTTTGTGTAGAATCCAATAATTTTGGAGTAGGTACTTCTTCTTCAGGATCCAACATGGTATGATCATTCAATTCCATATGTACAAGTTCATATCCTAGAGTTTCTTTGGTATCTTCTTCAGGTATATCATGAAGGTAACATTGTGCAATCAAAGTATTTGGTGGATATTCCTTGGTAGTATCAGTATCATTCATTATATGGAAATGTATATCTTGATTTTCTTCATAGATTGGATCAGTCAAGATAGATCTCAAGATTGGTACACGATTATCATTTGGTTTGGATATATTGATATCACATATGGTATAGGGAGGTAAGTAGAAACCAGTGTCCTTAGTGTATATGTAGGCTTCGTCAGTATTTGGATGATCAACTCGTAGTGTAGTATCAGCTTGTGTAGAATTCAACAAATAAAAATCTTGATCTTCATCATCTTGATCTTCATCTTTGTCGTCATGTTCCCATTCTTCTTCAGCTGTTTCTTCATCAGACGCTTCTTCGGATTGATCCTCTTCTTCACTATCAGTATCAACTTCTGTGATTCGTTTTGGCTTTGATTCCTTTTCAATTCTATACTGGATGGATTTGGCTTGCATCTTGATGGGTGGATCTTCCGATGCTTTGATGTAAGTAATTGGTATAGAATGTTTTTTGTGTTTGTAGGTCAAAGTCAAGTTTCCAAGTTTGAAATTGATTACAGCTTGTGCAGGATTCAACCAGTTATTACCAAGTATCAAGTGTGATGGACATCGAGGTAATACTTCCATATTAACAGGTATTTCCAATTGATTGTTAATATTTATAGGTACATCATATATTTGTCCAAGTGATGATTGTTTGGTTCCATTCCCAAGAGTGAATACACTAGTAGATGGAGCATCAATTTCCATTTCCAATATCTTCATCAGCGATCTCGACATACAAGATTTTGCAGCACCACAATCAATCAATGCTTTTATCTTTTTATCGCCAATTTGGACTTCAGTATAGGCAGCAGTTGTAATGATTTCACCATCTTCCAATGAATTCAATTGTGCTGGTTTCTTGTTTCTTCTTGGTCGACATGCAGATAACAATTGACGTTTCAATAAAGGTGAAGCAGCAAGTAGATCTCCAACAGCAATATCAGCTTTTCGAGTAAGTACATCATCGGCTATATTGTATTTGATATTTGGAGGAATTGATTGTGTTCTTTTTTTCACCGTTTTTATTGTAGATTGGACTTGTTGCATTTCATCATCTTTATCATGTGGAGGTGTTGTCACTTGTGGTTGTACGTTTTGATGATTTGTCCTTTGTCTTTTTTGTGGTGTTTTCTTTTGTGATGGATCAACATGTATGATTTCAGGTGGACGTTCCAATCTTTTTGGCACAGCGAATAAATCATCATCCATATGATTTAATTCATCAAGATATTGATTGATTTCTCCTTCATCATATATGGCATTAAGGTAATGTGGTTGTTGTGATGGTTGTTGATTCATTGATTTATTGGGTTGATCAATGTTTTTTCTTTTTTCTTGTTGTAGGTTAATGGATTTTGGATGTGGGATTCCCAATTGACCATTAGCAATTGCCCGATTTAGTTTTTTGCCGGTTGTTGATTGTTGGATTGATATCGATTATCTTGTTGACAGTCTTGATTTTGATTCATTCGATTGTTTTATTGTTGGTATTGATTCTGGTTGTTAGGATAATATTGTTGTTGATAGCCATTGGATCGATTGTTATTGTTGTTGTTATAATAAAGGTTTTGGTTTTGTCTACGGTAGTTTCTTGGATTCATTTGTTGATAACCATTGTTGTGATATTGATTATTGTTGTTTCGATTTCTTTGATTATTGTTGATGATTCCATCCAAGGATGATTTCATGTCAATAATCAATTGTTCAATCTTGTCTACTCGTTGAGATACATCATTCATTGTGGATGTTCCTTGTGTAGCAGTGATTCTATTGAGAACGGAATCATGATGTGGCATGTCTTCATGATAACCCATACTAGCATGTTGAGGAGAGAAAGGATTATTCACCAATTCAACCTTTTGTGGATGATGAGCAATCCACCATCCTTCGGCAGCACGAAGCCATTCCTTGATGTTTGTACATCCAATTGCTATACAATGTTGTTGTATACGAGGATGTAATCCAGCACGAAATCTGCTTTGGATCATTGATTCAGAATCAATTTCAGCAAGTTCAGCAGCTTCAAATAATCTTGCATAAAAAGTTCTTGGACGTTCATCAGGTCCTTGATTCATGTTGTTTAATGCGTATTCATAAGTTTGAATCAATTCAGCAGTAATATATTCATTCATCAAGCCATGCATGATCACAGAGTAAGTAGCCTTGATGGATGATCCAGGAGTAGAATATTTTTTTATAAATAGTGTTGGGTGATTTTTTGGTTTATAGGTTCAAATTTGAAAAAGTAAATCAGATGATTGAAAGAGAATAAGTTGTTTAGTGAGCACCAGTACTTGATTACGCAAGCACACGTATAGGAAAAGCAATAAAATAAAAAAGAAAAGTAAAGTAAAGAAAAATAAAGTCTTGTTCCAAATTTGGAAAGTAGATGGAAAGTAAAATTGTTCTTTCTTGTTATAAGGAACAAAGTGAGCCAATCAGAAGTGATAATCCACAATACAATCAAGTAGGGATAATAAGAAAAGATTTATTTAAGAAAATATAATAAAAATTGACTGAACTAAAAAAATAAAATAAAAAGTTGGGCTATTTATATAAAAAAAATAATAAGTAAAAAGGTCAAAGTGATAGAAAGGATAAATGTGTTAGAAGGATAAAAGTGATATGTGGATAAAAGTGATATGTGGATAAAAAGCACAAGTGGATAAAAAGCACAGGTGGTCAAAAAGCACAGGTGGTCAAAAAGCACAGGTGGTCAAAAAGGACTGCGGTCCCATCAGGAGATAAAGATTTTTTTTTCTCTTTTTTTTTTTTTTTTTTCTCTTTTTTTTTTTTTTTTCTCTTTTTTTTTTTTTTTTTTTTTTCTCTTTTTTTTTTTTTTTTTTTTTATTGACATCCTCCGCCCAACAGAAAGATGGACCCCATCTTTACTATCATATCCATGTATCAGCTCTTCTGACCTTCTTTATGAACAAGCGTAAAGTGAACCTCGTCATAGTGTCTTGCAACAAATATCGTAGTAGATTCCCAATGGTACGGTCGTATTTAGATCTAGATACATTATCGGTCGGTTCTGTGAATGTAGCATGTAGCACCTGTATTGCTAGAGGTATAAAGAACGATGCTTCTTTTTTATGTAAGTCGGCTTGTCTTTCCCTAATATCTTGCAAGTTATAGAGGTATCCCGGAATGGACATTTGTAGCAGTAGTTTTGCATCTTCTGGAATGGGATTAAAAGGTAAGTCCGGGCTAAGGAAGGGATCAGTCCTAGAATCTTGTTTGATAACCCATTCTTCTGTTTCTGTGTCCTTGATAGTTTCTTCTCCTTCATCTTCGAACAATGGTTGTTTTTCCACTGTTTTGTTATCCACCACCGTGCTTAAAGTTAAAGTTTCTGTATCCAACCAAGTGAATTCATCCAGTTGGTAACTTGAATGGGCCATTGGTTTATAGAAAAAGGATAGGTAAAGATAATATATATATATCAATTTTTTTTTTTTTTTTTTTTACTCTTTTATATATAATTTTTTTTTTTATAGATCATCTCCAAGGATGCGATCAATAGACTGATTCCAAAAGACATCAGGCAGCTGATACAACTTTAGTCGATTACCATGCACTCGTTTAAGTTTTGGATCAGTGGATTGATATGGTTTAATGAAATAAGTTCCTTTGCCAAGTGTTTGATGTACAACATAAATTCCATCCCACATGTCAGATATTTTTCCTGTCCATGAATTTGCCTTGATTCCAGTATACAATGTCACTATGTCACCAAGCTTGAAAGGAGGTTTCCATTGTCGTACGTCTTCGATGATCTTCTTATCCATCGCTCTTTTTTTTGATTTTCTTGGGATTTTCTTATGGCTTCACAAGCATCCTTTCGTATTTGATTCAACATCACAATCTCTTTTGTTGTTCGTACATCTAGTTCATGTTGGTACCTTGGATGATGCATATTGTATGTTGTGTATTGTTGGTCATAAGGTGTTTTAGGATGATAACCGTAAGTGAGAAACTTGTTCGAATCAGGTTGAAGGGACCATCTTTTTTATTTTTTGTGACCAAGTTTGTACTACAATAACTCCTGTTGGTGATTTTTTGGTTTATATGTTCAAATTTGAAAAAGTGTTGGGTGATTTTTTGGTTTATGGGTTCAAAATTGAAAAAGTAATCAGGATGATTGAAAGCTAATAATGAATATAGTGAGCACCAGTACTTGATTACGCAAGCACACGTATAAGAAAAGAGATAAAATAAAATAAAAAGTAAAGTAAGGAAAAATAAAGTCTTGTTCCAAATTTGGAAAGTAGATGGAAAGTAAAATTGTTCTTTCTTGTTATAAGGAACAAAGTGAGCCAATCAGAAGTGATAAAAGTAGGGATAAAAAGAAAAGATTTATTTAAAAAAATATATTGATGATTAACTAAAGAAAAAGAAAAATAAAGGAAAAAGGTGAGGTATTTATACTAAAATGAAATAAAGTTTAAAATGAAAACGAAAAACGAAAAACGAAAAACGGAAAACGAAAATGAAAATGAGAATCATAAACGAATTTTTTTTTTTATAATTTTTTTTCTTTCAACAATTGAAAGAGAATGAGTTGTTTAGTGAGCACCAGTACTTGATTACGCAAGCACACGTATAGAAAAGAGATAAAATAAAAAAATAAAGTAAAGTAAAGAAAAATAAAAGATCAAATTTGAAAGGTAAGAAAATACAGTGTTTTCGAAGTTTTTGTCGGGTCACAATAAAATGTTTTTCGTGATGTTATAAAATAAAAAATCGTACTTTCCCAAAATGAATGTCGCATTACCACTTTTTTAGATATCGCTTTAGAGATGTCAGTAGAGTATGTCATTGATTGATGATTGATGATTGATGATTGATGATTGATGATTGATGATTGATGATTGATTGTTAGCTGATTCTTTTCAACAGGCCATATTTGGAAAAAAAAAAAAAAGAACTAAATTTTTTATATTGTATCATCATCATCGTCATATTCACAGTTAAGACAGGGGTATACTAATGTAATATTCATATCTTGTGATGTTGATGTGAATTTGCATAATAGTTCCTTTCTTTTTTTAAAAAAAAAATACATTTACTCGGGTATTCTTTGTTTATTTTCATTAACTGAGATATTCGATCGATCGATAACGAATGTAAATTTGCATAATAGTTCTTTTTTTTTTTTTCTTCTGAGATAATTTTTGCCAGGTTTATTTTATTCCTTGATCAAGTGAGAGATATAAAAAAGTGCTATTTTATTTTTCTTTTTTTTTTCTTTTTCTTTTTGAAATCTCTCTTGGTGTTCAAAGTGAATAATCAACCTGTAAACAGCAACATATTAAACTATGTTATCACCTCTTCATGAGGATGTATTTAATGCTTTTCTACAGGTAAGTTAAAATAAATAAATATAAAAAAATGGATATGTTGACTAAATAATATTTTATTTTTTCTGTTATTCAAAATACTCAATGGAACTACTATCACTCCTTTTCTTCTTGTTCTTTTTTTTCTTCTTATATTCTATTGGATTATGCGACAACTCTCTCTTTTCTACCCCGTCATTTATTTTCTATCCTTACGATATTTTATTTCCTATTTTTGCGACATCTTATTCTTTGAATTCCATCATTTTTTATTGAATAAAGTGTAGAAGTTCTTAGTCTAACCAAAAAGAAAAAGGGGTTGAGCCAATCAAAATGAATAATCCACAATACAGTTAAGTAGGGATGAATAGAAAAAAAAAAAAAAGGAAAAGGAGAAAAGTGGGGTATTTATACTGTTTGAAAAGTAAGAAAAATCCGTATTTTGGTGTTGTACAGGGCCAAAATGCAAAAATACTGATGCCAAATACTTCCGTATTTTGACCTCTGTATTGGTTAGTATCATTTGGATAGGCAATGTTTCTTTTTCCACTTCATGTGTCATCTTGATGATTTGAAAAATAAAAAGTAAAAATCTTTCCTTTTCTTTCTCTTGTTTTTTTTTTTTTTATTTTTTATTTTTATTTCTATTTCTTTACCTTCTTTCGATCTCTTTTTTTTTTTATTCCATATACCTATATACGTGATCATGGATGATCAACAAATCCAACAAGACAATGATGTCCACACATCGATGAAGTATCAAAATGAAGCGACATTGACAAGAAATCGGGCACAACGTCCTATCAACACGATTATAAACTATTTACCAAAACAAAAGGAATGGCAGGTATGGCATCTCTCTTTTTTGAATTACGGTATGATGGATGATGGATGATGAATAGAATGGATGATGGATGATGAATAGAATGGATGATGGATGATGAATAGAATGGATGATGGATGATGAATAGAATGGATGATGGGTGATGACAGATGATGGGTGATGACGGACGATGGGTGATGACGGATGACGGATGATAATGGATGATGGATGACGGATAATGGATGACGGATGATGGATGATGGATGATGGATGATGGATGATGGATGATGGATGATGGATGATGGATGATGGATGATGGATGATGGATGATGGATGATGGATGATGGATGATGGATGATGGATGATGGATGATGGATGATGGATGATGGATGATGGATGATGGATGATGGATGATGGATGATGGATGATGGATGATGGATGATGGATGATGGATGACGGATGATGATTTTTTTTTTGTAATCTTATCTTCACCTTTTTTTTTTTTTTTTTTTGTACTTTTATGATTCTGTACTATTGAAGCAAATATATCCTGACGATTATCTTTGGTCAGGATGTGTTTTTTCCACAACTTTATATAAGCAATTCGAAGATCAAGTGCTAAAAACACAAGAGAATGATGAATGAGCTTTCACTTCAAGTCAAAAAATCCAGTTAGCTTTACCTGAGTTATCTTCACGATTGACCAGTGGGTTTGAATCAATTACTGCAACAATCAAAGCTATGAATCATGATCATCAGTCAAATTTCCTGCCTCTTTATATTTCTGTAGTTCCATCGCAACCTATCATCATTGTATCAAATTTGGACTGAAGATGCGTGATGACATTCTCTTTCAGCTGTATTAATAGCAATATACACCTTGCCTCCCAGTTTATAAGGTAAACCAAGAATGAAAAGTCAATTCAGTCATCCCTCATTCAATTAATAATGATTATCATCATCAAAAAAAAAAAAGAACCATGGAAGTATATTCTTGTGTATCATAAAAAGTAATATAATTTTTATTTTTTTTTAAAAAAAAAAAAACCTCATACTGACTAACTAAAACTATCACTACTGTATCTATTATAGTACCAACCAGAAGCATTCGTCCACCACCGAGATCCTAACAACAAGCTTCCCTTCCTAACCAAAAGAAGCTTGTCATCCAGTCAGTTTTTCGTTCACATTACTAGTAAAATAAAACCAAGCCAAGTAATTCACATTCTATTATAAAATATTTTCCGTCATTTACCTGTACTAAATCCTACATCCAAAATGAAAGGGTTTCCCCATGTATTTTGTAAATCCCTTTTTCAAAACGCTCCAAATCCAATAAAATCTACCTTGACAAGATCGCACAGACAAAGAGGACACCTAATGTGGAAAAAAAAGTGGATGGAGAAAAGAAAAGAAAGAAAAAAATTAAAAAAAGAGCAAAACGCGCACAAAGGGGTGGGTTTTTGAAGCCCGTCCACTGACGACAATTTGCCATTTTTTTTTTTTTTTTGATTTTTCTTTTTGTCGCCCCAACCTTGCAAATTGAATTTTTTTTTTCTATAGTCGATAAATTTCAGGCAAAACCTTTATATTCAGTCATCATCCATCGCCCATCATCCATTACCCATCATCCATATATTACATATTTCGTAAAGAAAAAGACTTCTTTATGCATCCTGGTAAGACTGTCCAAATTGACGTGGATGACTTTGAACAGCCATAATTTTATGATTATTTCAGATATCAAACAAGTTTTTATTTTAATGGAAGGTAAGAAGTGTAATATTTTTTTATCGTATAGTTCAAGAGAAGTAAGAATAGTAAATGACAAAGCAATCATCCATCATCCATCATCCATCAACCATCATCCATCATCCATCAACCATCGTCCATCATCCATCAACCATCGTCCATCATCCATCAACCATCGTCCACCATCTATCATCCATCATCCATCACCAGTTAGAACCAATAAAAGTCTGGATCAAATATAACAACGGTTTATTTCAGACAAATTAAAGAAATAAAATAATAATAGTATAAAATATATATTATCAATTTTTTATATTTTTATTCAATAAAAAGTTTTTTTTTTAACCAACATCATATTGGCCACTCTTAAGGAACAAATCATCCTAAGTTTTATCTTTATTCTTTTATCATCAAGCAATCATCAAGCTATTTATTCAAGATTATTTAGTTGATCATCATTACCTGTGATCAAATCATCAAGACATCTATTTCCTTTTTTGGTTTACATTTATTTTTTTTTATTTTACTTTTGTTCTTTTTATATAAAACAACTGGTGCTCACTACTCATCAAATATCATCGATGTTATTATTTTAATAATATCATCTGTTGAGAAGAAAAAAAAAATATATATATAATATAAAAAAAAATTATCTCCCTTCACATCATCTATATAGTTATCACATAACTTTTATATAAATTTTATCTCTATAGTTATAGATATTGGATGTTATTGTAAGTCACAAGACTTACATAACATTTATCATACTCGTTATCATAATCATTATCATAACGTTTATGATAATCATTATCCTTTTTTCAAAATAGTATAAATACCCCTCCATCTTTCCCCTCTTCCTTTTTTTTCTTTAGTTAATCATCAATATATTTTTTTAAATAAATCTTTTCGTTTTATCCCTACTTGATTGTATTGTGGATTATTACTTCTGATGGGCTCACTTTGTTCCTTATAGCAAGAAAGAACACTTTTATCAAACCCCTACCAATTGATCTTTTATTTTTCTTTACTTTTCTTTTATTTTTTATTTTATCTCTTTTCTTATACGTGTGCTTGCGTAATCAAGTACTGGTGCTCACTATTTAACTTATTATCTTTCAATCATCTGATTTACTTTTTCAATTTTGAACTGTCGTATAAAAAAAAAAAAAAAGAAGAAAAATGTTAAAAAAAAAAAAAAAAGGAGAGACTTGCATATCATCATCGTCACTAATATTATCAGCAATCACCACTAGCATCTTTATTAATATTAAATAATATGATCCACAATGATCTACCTACAATTACATCAGCATCCTCAAACAAACAAAAAAAAAAAAAAAAAAAAAAAAAAAACTATAAAAACAAAAAAAAAAAAAAGAGAAGGGAAGATAAATAATAATAAAATCATCATTATGAATACACCTAGAAGAAGTACTTCCCTTGAAGACCTATTGACCTTGGACATCTTCGCGGCAAATCCTTCGTGGAATAATGACTCTGCAATTTCACAAGATATAGTCCCACAGGAATTTTCTACCATGTTAGATCCCTTCGATTTTACCTTACATTCTACCATTAATAACGAGGTGATCGATTCCCAGCAGCTGTTTAACCCTAAACAAGAAACAGACGAGACAAAGGAAGAATCTGAATGGACTACAGGCAAAGATATGAATATCAATAACCAACCCTTCTTGAATCCCACTACACCATTCACACTAACACCAAAAGACAGCGAACAATTGTTGCTTTTGGAAATGCCATCCTACCTAAACAAACTTGGGATACTAAAGAAGATGCAACAAGAATTAGTGAACGAAGAAGATGAGAACCTATTTCCCCGTGTAATCAATCTGATACATGACCATCTGGAACCACCAACAGATAATATTAGTCGTCAAAGATATGTAAAGGAACGTAATCGTTTTCTTCATCGGTTGTTGGGGGATGTAATGCCTTCCGCTATGGAACATTCCTTCGTCAAGAAAGTAAAGCGCAGAGATATCTGGACAAAAAAATAAAATGGAGACCATTTTTCTTTGGGGCGTAGATTGTCGTATAAAAAAAAAAAAAAAAATAAAAGAAAAGAAAAAAAAAAATTTATAAAAGACAAAAAAACAATAAAAAGATTTTTTTTAGGTACGATTTTTCTACCTATTTTTTATCTCAGTGACTTAGTTCCATCATATATTTTATCATTTTGTGACTCAGTGATTTATTATTCCTATATATTTTTATCCCTAATACTTCTTTATTTTCAAAGTTTCTTTTCAAATATGTTTCTTTTGGAAATCTTCATCCTCTGTCCATCCAACAAAAAGAGTATAAATACCCCAACTTTTTCCTTTATTTTTCTTTTTTCTTTAGTCAATAATTAATACACTTTTTAAATAAAACTTTTCTTTTCATCCCATCTCAATTTGTATTTGAGGATTATTACTCTTGATTGGCTCACTTTGTTCACTATTTAAAGTCAGAACAATTTTACTCTACTTTTACTTTCCAAATTTGGAACAAGACTTTATTTTTCTTTACTTTACTTTTCTTTTTTATTTTATCTCTTTTCCTATACGTGTGCTTGCGTAATCAAGTACTGGTGCTCACTATAAACATTATTAACTTTCAATCATCCGTTTTACTTTTTCAATTTTGAACCTATAAACCAAAAAATCACACAACAATACAGTATAAACCAAAAAATCACTTAACACAACACACTTAAGTTAAACCCCAGTTTTCTTGTGTAACGTATAGAAAAAATTTAAAAAGAAATGGTTGCTAGCAGATTCGAACTGCTGACCGTCTGTGTGTTAGACAGACGTGATAACCAACTACACCAAGCGACCATTTTCGAAAATTAGACTGCCAGTATACATATAAATCTAATCGTAAAAAATTTATAAATTTTTTACTTGAATAATTATTCAAGTTTATTCAAACGTGCGCCTAATATATGTATCAAAATCCTTTTTTTATTTCTAAGTTTATTCAAACGCGCGCTTAATATATGGATCGGAATACCCTTTTTTTATTTCCTTTTTTTTTTTCCTTTTTCTCTGAATTTTCTTTCAGCTTTTTTTTTTCTCTCTCTTTTTTTTTTTTTTTTTTTTTTTTTTTTTTTTTTAAATAGACAACTCTTTCTTCTTTGTCATTGATTATAGTAGTTGGAAATGAATGCATGACTTCCAATGTTAAAAGGTATACAATAGGAAGAAATACATTATATGATAATACGAACCAAAAAAATGGGCTAATCCAATTTATCATTCATTAGCATTTTAATTTATCATTCTGCAGACATGAATCCATAGGATGATGTGCAAAAAAAAAAAAGCATCAATAGTAGGTCAATGAAGGGTGAAAGAGGATCTATTAGGTATAGTTTGTCAACAATGCTATTATTAGGAAAAGAACAAAAACACTATTATGTACTCATTCTTTTCTTCCTCCCTCTTTTCTTCTTTTTTTCTTTTTCTTTTTTTTTTTTTCGCAACGTATAGTATATCTGCGTGATGCAGAATACGACTTTGTGTTTATTCGACTGTATCAACGAATGGATCATCTGAATGAATATACAACATGATCGATTAGATGAATACACTAAGGGATGAACTAGATGGACATATAAGAAAATCAAGGTGGTCTTTGAATTGTTCGTTTGATTCTGGATATCATTTTTCTCTCTCTCGTTCATTTGATTCTTCGTGATTTTTTCTTTTTTTATGAATTGTTAGAATTAATTTTAGTATTATAGTTACATTTCCTTTTTTTTTTTTTTTTTTTTTTTTTTTTTTTAATAAAATCCTATTCATGTCGTTGTTGTCATTGTTACTTCCGAACAGTCCTTGAAAGTTATAGTTTATACAGTATTAATTATCATCATCATCGTCAATCACGCATAATCATAAAAATCGTATCTATTCTACAACTCTCTTCCATGTACGGTATGAAATACTGTAGAAGTGAGAGTAAGAGAAAGCTGACAGAATGTTATATTAGATCTTGATAGGAATATACAATAGAAAGTATATGTAACAAGAGAAGGGAAATGAAGAGGAAGCATGTTTTGAAAAGGCAATCAATCATTCAGGGTTTCCAAGTAGAAATAATATAAAATTTTTCTTAAACATAGACAAAATAAAATAAAAAAAAAATAAAGACTAGCAAATTTTTTATTATAAAAATCAAAATAAAAAAAAAAAAAAACACATTACTATTTCGAAGCCTTGTTATGCACACTAGGAGCAAATCCTAATGAAATAAAATATCAATTTAATATTACCATTCAAAAGGTACAACACTTTTCTCTCTCTCTCTCTTTTTTTTTTTTTTTTTTTTTTTTTTTTTTTTTTCCTTACCTATTTGTTTATTGTCCACATCATAGATAGTAACATAATGTTCCAAGAATTTCTGGCCAAAGACAAAGTCAAATTTATCGGATGAATCAGTAGAAATATAAAGAGGACATCGAGCATCATTGTTTTGCCAAAGAGTGGTTTGCCAGTGAGGAACCGTGTACTGTTCAGGAGTCAATACTAGTGTCACACCATCAGTTATCATAAATGTGAGTGTCGGTAGAGAACGAACCTTGTTGCAATCCACCGTATACAATCTTTTTTCCTCGTCAAATTCAGTTATTTTGAGACTTTCTATCACACGATTTCCATATTCAGGAGCTAGGATGATCATGGTTGTACCTATCAGAAAAAAATAAAAATAAAAATGAGGTTGTGAATTTTTCTTTCCTTCACTTGTTACCTGTATCAACTATGCCAATCAAATCACCAGAAATATATTCGTTGTCTAATTTTATTCCATTTGATTTGATCGCCCAATAATACTAAAAAAAGCAAAGAATCGGATTGAAATGAGTTAGAGAAAAAGTTTAATAAATGATTCCATTTTTTTTTTTTTTTTTTGGTTTACTTGTAGCAAATTACCACCAAGTAAAGGAGCCCATTGAATATCACCAGAATAAGAATCCCGAGGTGGCAAATCACCCAAAGTCAATTGTCCATTTGCAGACTCAAATTCCTCGATATTATCTATATCATCTAGATAGATACTAAACATATTCCGATCAATAGCTTTATTAGCAAAGAGTTGTTCAAGAGGGGTTTTCCATTTTTCCTTATCTACAAAAGAATTCAAGAAAAAAAAGAAAGATTAGTTTCCAAAAGAGGATATAAATTATTCTTACTTTGATTGAATACTTGAGTTGTAACAGGAGGACCTAGACCAAATACTCCATTGACACCATCCACCAGTAGATCTTTGGAGATTTTATTGGCAACACCGAACTTTTGATGTTCAATTTCCTTGACTCCAATAAACACGGAATCTTGACCTGATTCGCCAATACAATGGCCTACACCATAATCCATGAAAAACCTATTATTCTTATCACCTATATATGAGCTGGATTGTGAAGAATCAAACAATGTAGACGTTGAAGACCCAGGGCAATTTTTTTCATCACATGCACTAGAAGGTACCCATAAAACTGATGAACCTGTATCTAACATCAAATTGAATTGTTTTTTTGGATGACCACTATATAAAAGATTTGAGTTAATGTGACATGAAGAGAATAAAAATAAATTCGTCTACTTACATGCCAACAGTAATTAAATACTAGACATGGATAATAATAATGGAAGAAAAGAATGGAAAAGGAAAAAAAAAATAAGAATCAAAAACTATGCTAGCTCTCATTACTTATTTTGTTCTGTTGCGTACACTCCAAAGGTAATTTCTAACTCCGTAAGCGCCCTGAATGGATAAAGCATTATCACTTTGATGATCATCCTCATCATGTTTTGTTGTTTGATTATCTAAAGCAGCATTCATTTTGTGCAAAATAAGTTTTTCTTGTGATTTGATATTGGCGGCACGATCAGTGATGATTCTAGAGAAACGATTCAAAGTGGATCGAGTAATCTCATATCTAACAGATTCTCCTCGTACTAGACAAATCATCAATAAAAGATAGACTATAAGATAAATCATGTTTAGTATATAGAAGAGGTAAGGCATAAAAGAAAGAAAAAAAAAGTAAGCTTCTTTTTTTTTTTTTTTTCTACGCTATGTAGGAGGGAGAAGAAGAAAAACAACAACAACGAAAAAAGCAGGGGAAGGGATCATCATCATCCAGTTTATCATCATGACTCTATCCAAAAAAGATGAATGATGATATTGGAATAAAATTGGAAAAAAAAAAATAAATGGACGGGATGAATGTTAAGGAGATATCAAAAAGTTGCAATGCTATGTTTAATTTTCGGATATCCTTTTTCTTTTATATGTGACCATAGAAACCAAAATGTAGCCAACAGGCATAGGGGCATAAGATGCATATACAAAAAGGAGAAAGGGGAGAAGGAGAGATAAAATTCAGTAATCGTTCATAGTGCCAATGATAAATAGAAAAGGGATTATATAACAGGAGTTCGTCAACTAAAAACAGTATTAAAAAATCAGATTGAGATAAAGAGTACAAAAACACAAAATAGGATTGAATGAATGAATGAATGTATTTTTATTTGTATGTAAATTTATGTAATGATGACCAAAAAAAAAAAAACAAAAAAAAAAACAAAACAATGTAGAGATAATACTAAATCAAAAAAAAAAAAAAGGTTGTCCACAATATAAACTAATCTAAAAATATATATATAGTATGTAGATCTAAACTACGAATCACTTGTTGATTTTGAGGGACTTGCTCCATTTTTCTTGATTCTTTCTTTTTTCCGTTTCCTTTTGCATTTTAGACACATACAGGTTCCATCACTAAGATCCGTTTCTGATTCAGTACTGCTGATGATCAATTTTCTTTTCCTTTTTGTTAATTTTTTAGTGGTTGTTGATGAGGTTGTTGGTAATGTAATGTATGTATCGATGGAGGAGGATGATGATGATCCGCTACTGCTACTTGTACTACTAGATGAACTACTGTCACTGCTACTTGGTGGTATCTGTGGTGTATGTTGTAACGTTCTCAACTGGGCCGCCACTTTTGCATAAATACTATCCGGATACTTGTTACCTAATTTTTGTAATCGTCGATAAAGTCTAGCACCTAATTTGGGTCGTGAATGTCGAGTGGATAAATATACATATTCAGCATTGGTAGGTGAGCAAAAATTCTGTGTAACAGCGATGGTCATATCTAACAAAGAAAAAAAAATCAGTCAAACTGGCCCCCTTTTTTTTTTTTTTTTATTAATTACCAAGATTCATGACAACATGATGCCATCCACCAGGGACAAAAATGATTTCACCAGGTCGTTGTAATACTTCAACCATACCCAAACGTTGTCCCAAAGTACGTACATCAGTAGGATCATCACGCATATGGAACTTGGGAAAGACTTGACTAAACCATGATACACCTTCATGATCATATGGCTTCATAGGTGGATCAACAATATTTTTGGGAGTATTAGGAGGAAAGAGCGCCCATCGTTTATGTCCTTTCAGTAAAGCGTTCCAAGCAGATGTACCAAGAGGATCTGTGTGGATACTAAGTAAGTAACCAAAAAAAAAAAGATCCGAATCAAAAAAAAAAAAAAAAATCAGCCCACCTTTTTTCATTGTATGTGATAAATCAGTTATATTTCACACTTACCCAGTACCACTACGAGCTTCACCTATCACCAACCATCGATAAGGAGGTCTTCTTTGACTACCTGCTAATTTGAATAAATCATCTGCAAAATAATCTGGTACTTCATAATCATCCAATAATGAGCCGGAATCCAAATGTTGTTCTTTCATTTTATCATCATCATCATTATCAGAGGAAGAGCTAGATTGTTGTGGTTTCTTCTTTTTTCGATCCTTGTAAAATCCACTATCAAAAATATATAATGGAGAGTCGTCCTTTTTGGCATCATGATGACAATAATGAAGAAAATGTTTCATTTTCATATATACATTGTTGCCTTCATTATCTTCCCCCACTTTATAAAGGTCCTTACCATATCGATCCGAAAAGTACTATTGTTTCTCCCAACAAAAAAAAAAAAAAAGGATGTGTTACCAAGGGGCAAAATTTATTTACAGTACACATAAGAAGACGAACATCTTTTTCCTTTTTTTTTTTTTGTTTACCTTTTCAGTCCAAGAGGTATGCGCTTTCCAATGATCAGTTCCATGAATAAGGACAACGGGTATGTTGGGTGTTTCAAAATTGTCTATGAATTCTTGTTTGGATACCTGACGACAATCAATGCGAGGCACAGTATCAACAAAAGGATCGATCCAAAAATCCTTTTTGGCAAACTGCCATTTGTTCCATTCAAAGAGATCGATTTCTAATAATAACAAAAATAAAAGAAAAAAAAAGAGAGTTATATTAATACTTTCTTATTTTTTTTTTTGACGATTATATTGGCATGATCTATATTTGTTTACCTTCCCGGGCCTTCAGTTTCGCCTTGTTGATCTTGCGTTCGTACCTTGATGATTTTCTTTCTTTATGATTCCCTTTTGCACTTCCATTAACACATTTCTTGTTCGTTTTTACAATCGTTGATACCATATGGAAGATCAAGATAATAAGAAAGAATGTATGTATATGAGAGAGAGAGAAAAAAAAAAAAAAAAAGAAAAAAGAGACAAAAAAAGACAGAAAAAAAAAAGAGGGGCAGATTTCAAAAATATAGTTTTTTTTTGTTTATTTCAAATACCGCGAACCAATATTCTAAACTATGTTTTACAAACGAGAAGAAGAAGAAGACGAAAGAGGTACAATAACCTTGCCTTTGTTTTTCCCCATTTGTAAGCGATCCACCCCTTTTATAACATCCTTAATATCACCTTGTCCAACAAGATCCAATTCTACCTCCAATTTGCGTTGAGCTAATAAAGAAATTAATCGATGTAAATGCTTGCCATATTGGTCGGCATAATCAGGGAGGAAGAACCCGGTCACTGTACGAGATTTGCCAAGTAACTTGATTGTATTGAGATCGTTACCTTGCATACCAGATGAAGAGGAATAAGTGGATGCCATACCGATTACAATCAAACGACCCTTTGTAGCCAGACTATATCATATATCATATTGTATAATATAAAGACGTGAGTAAAAGATCAATATATCCCATATCTTTTTTTTTCCTTTCTTCTTATTCCTTACCTGCCCAAACAAATATCAAAGAATTGGCCACCCACACTTTCGAATACAATATCCACACCTCGAGGATATTCTGATTTGAGTACCTTTTTGAAATCTTCCTTTTTGTAATTGATCACCCTGTCGCAACCCATTCTTTTCAACATTTCCACCTTGTCATCGCTATAGTAACAAAAAAAAGATAAATCCTTCGAAACATATCTTGTGTCAATTTCTTTTACCTAGAACAAGTACCAATAACATGATTTCCAGCCAGTTTTGCGAGTTGTACAGCGAATTGACCAGTACCACCAGCAGCTATATATAAATAGAAAAAAAGAAATACAAATGGGATGTTATATCAATTATAGTTCATCATACCTTTCTTTTCCTTACCAGCAGTTACCAATACCGTTTCACCAGATGTCATTTGCCCTTTTTCAATCAAAGAAATGGAAGACGTCAAACCGGAAGTAAGAAGACCAATATATTCAGGTTTGGGATTCTATAGTAAAAAGGAATATATGAGATGGTGATGCATACATTTTTTTTTTTCAAAAAAAAGAAAGATCATTTACAGGGATAGGAGTAATGCCTTTGTAAGATATAATCAAATATTCAGCGAAAGCACCATATTGTCTTTTTTTTTTAAAAAAAAAAAAAAAGAAAAAGAAAAGAAAGAAAGTAGAGTTAGTCATTTATTTCTGTTATTGATTTTAGTTATACTTACGAAAAAATCCCATAACTTGCCACTTTTTCCTTGGGAACTTTTGATCCAACTTGTACAATTTGACCCAAACCTTCAAAACCAACATCAAAAGGACTAGAAAGAACATCCATTGAGTTCAAAGTATCCATAGTTTTAACCGATTTTTTTTTTTTTATGCAGATCACTTACGGCTTCACATTAGGAGTATATTTACCATTGGTATAGTTGACATCAGAAGCATTGATACCAACATAAAGTACTTTGACAATGACTTGATGAGGTTTGAGTTGTTGAACGAGATCGATATATTTGACAGAGACAATTTCGGTTACCTTTTCAAAGTCGTTTCCAATAGTGACAGCTTGAATCTTTCGAAAGGTGGAAGGTTGTTGTTGGCTACATAACAAAATAATAATAGTAATAATAATCAGTCTACATTCCACCACATTCTCTATCCAAAAAGAAAAAGAAAGTTTGCTTCCGTGGTCTGTTACTTACTTTGCCATAATGAGATAAAGGTATAAAGAAGTTTATTAAAAAAAAAAAAAAAAGAGAGAGAAGAAAAAAAAAGAAACGAAAAAAAAGGGAACTGGAATTTTAACGTGCAAGAATCGGACTTAGGTAAGCAATATTCAATCGTGTGCCTATTACTATTTCAGGTCAAAGATCAAGGATCAAAAATGCATGAATATGACTTTGATTATTAATACAAACATAAATCATCATCAAGAGATACATAAAAGATGACAAGTAAGATTAAAAATAATAATAATAGTTTTCACAGAAGGGACTTTTTTTTATTATTATTATTATTTAATGATGATACAAAGAAGAAATTCAGGTAGATAAATTATTATTTGCTATTGTCAATGATTTAATATGAGATTGAAGTTGATGAATAATATCATCACGTTGATGGAGTTGATCTGTTAGTAGTTGACGTTCTGCTTTCAAGTCGTGACATTGCCTTTTTAGACGTACGCCTTCCTGTTGAATATCTTCCATTTCCTCCAAAAGAATTCCAAGTTTTCTTTCATAAGTAATATGGTATCCACTGCTGTTTTCTCCTAGAGAAAAGGATGATGATGATGATGATGATGATGATGATGAAGAAGAAGAACAAGGTGGTGGTGATAATTGAGGAGGCTCTAAAGGTAATGCCATCATCATGGGCAAAGAAGAGCTCCGAATAAGATGTTTACGTTGATGATCATTAGAAGGATGATGTTTAGTGGTTGGTAAAGTGGATGAAGAAGCGTGTGAGCGAAGTTGCATAAGAGATGTTCGATTACGAAGGGGAGGAGCTGATAAGAAAGGTTCTGTTTTGGTAGTGATCACAGATGATGATATAACACAGTCATTATCCTTGGTATCCATCATAAACTCTTCATCACTATCATCATCATCATCATCAAAAAGATGATCATTTTCTTTGGATACAATCGTAGGTTCCCAATCTAGTGGTAATGAAGTATGATGTTGTTTATTCAGTATGATTGCTCCATTGGCTTTCACACGAACAGATGGTTGGTCATGTAATGACTTCAAATGAGGCATGGTTGAATTAATCTTGCGTTGTAATTTACATTGTTCATTAAAATGATAGGATAGAATATCATTCTTTTCCTCCGTTGTTTTGGAATGAAATAATCGTTTGTTAAATCGCATATCTTATAAAACAAAATAATAGTGAGGAAAAGAAAGAAATAATAAAAAAAAAAGGAACAATGAAAAAAAAAGGAACCAAAAAAAAAAAAAGGATTGATTCAGGGGGAGAAAACACACATACATATACAAACAGAAATGGTAACCAATCATCATTATTAGATGACTTGTTTTAGACTTGACAGCTTTCACACTTGGCTTTTTTTTTTTCTCTCTCTCTCTGTTTCTTTCCTTTTTTTTTTTTTTTTTTTTTTTTTTTTTGTCCAACCTAACAAATCCTGTTCTTCGTTTCCCATCCACAACAATGATCACTAGTTGTCTTCCAATTCCAGTAATTCCCCCATCCTATCAGGAGACAAAAAAAAAAAAAAAAAAAAAAGGAAATTCGCCCCTATTTTATTGTGATCTGTCATGCGGACGAACGATACCTTCTGTGCAAAATGGTAAACATATAATACAATGATACTAACGATTATGGTTCTTGTTGTTGTTGTTGTTGGTATGATAAAGAATGCAGTGGATGTTTATGTGAATAATAATCCTTTGAATGAAGATATGAACGATGATGAGGTAATAAAACAGGGGCAGTAGTGGAAGAAGACAAAGGCGATAATACAGATGATGATGATGATAAAGAAGGAGATGATATAGAAGAAGAAGTATCAGGTGAATGAGGATGATGATGATCTTGAAAGAATTGATTGACATCACTTTTCATTAAATAACATTGAGGATGTTGAAGTGCTTGTGTAGTGCATTGTTGAATGGTTTGCTGTATTTGTGTTAACTTTTGATGTTCAAGTTCCAATTCCATATTTGTCTTTTGTAGTTGTTGTAATCTATCTATATATCTCTTTTGCTTTTGTATCTTTTGTATTTTTTTCTTCTTCTGGAGGTTAGTTGACTGTCTCGATGCATTTGCCTCCTTGATTCGACTTCCGCTGACGAGAAGGGGAAGCAAAAAAAAAAAAGTAAAAAGGGTGAATGAGGAAAAAAAAAAAAGAAGGGTTTTTTAATACAAAAGTAAGGGTTTTCTTTTTTTTTTTCGGTTTTTGGTTTTCATGCACTTACATCCATCTGACATGATTCTTGGATACCTTTTCAATCAAGTGGATTCCTTCGAGAACATTCGTGATGTCATAAATACGACGCTTTTGGACATTCAGTTCACTAGCCGCCTGTTTCAAATCTATATCACCAGGAGTACTTATAATCAGATCAATGAACTTTTTGGTCAATAAACTAAGAGATGAATCATATCGACTTGATGAATGTGAAAGCGATGTTGATGATGATGGTGATGATAATAATGATGATGTTGATGGTGATGATGATGGTGCTGCATCTATTGTTGTTATTGCATCAGTAGATGACGATACTATACTACCAGTAGATTGTTTTTTAATAGATATTATTTTCTCATTCTTCTTCTTTTTCATTTTATTATTATTCGGTGCAAGTAGTTCCGTGGTATCAAGGGTAGGATCCTTCTTCTTCTTTTTCAAAGTCATCAATAATAAACAATAGATATAAAAATAAACCAATAAAAGAAGCGGGAAAATTGGAAATGAAAGGGGAAAAGTAAAATGAAGAGAACAAAAATGAAAAAAAGAAAATAAACACTTTTTGGAAATGAAAAGGGTCCTTTTAAGACAAAAAAAAAAAAAAAACAAATCAAAATGCATAGGGGACGCATATAAAGGAGACTTTATTAAGTGTGATTGCTTTATTGGGGAATTTCTACATCTAAGATGATGATGATGATGATGGATGATGATGTTTGTAAGAAGACAGAAGGGGTAATAGGAAACAAAAGGTAAGTTGGGAGTGAAACTAAACTAAATGGTCAGAGACAAAAAAAAAAAAAAAAAGATAACACAATAAAGAAAAAAAAGGGATAGGTGGAGTGCATGGCATCGCCGCTAATACACCAATAAAAAAAAAAAAATCAAATGAGGGGGGATATGGAAAGGAGAAGGGGGGAAAAGAGACGCCATCGACACATGATAAATCCATTTCTATTTCTTACTGCCGCATTTTTGGAATCGACCAAATCCTTGTATTGCTTCGTATTCATCCAAAGTCAAGTCCACACCATCTTCTTGTTTCAACATCTTTGTCTTGTTATCCTGGTCACTGGCATACTCATCATTATCATCGTCACAAGATGATGGTCGTTCAAGATATTCGATTGGATTGCATAAATCTTGTACTGATAAACGTCTTGTCATCATCTTTTCTGTACCAGGAAGAGATGGCCAAGTCAATGCACGTCGTTGCTGTTGGAATTGTTCTCCATACGATGATGATGATGATGATGATGATGTCATTTCTATTTGTTGTTGATATAGTAGATAATTTTCTGGTGGTTCGTTAGGATGTGCCATCAAATATGTAGCCAATCGAGGTAAGATCATGTGAGCATCATCCGTATCTTCTTTTTGTTGAGATAAAGGACGTAGTACGTATCGTTCATCCGAGGAGGTAGAATGTCGAAGATGTTTCCTGTTGTAAGGATATGGATGAAACTGGACTTTGGGAGTAGTCCTTGGTCGCCTTGTGATTGAAGAGGAACAGGTGGATGAAGAATCAGCAGCAGATATAGAAGATGAAGTGGAGTCTGGTGATTCAGGGAACGGGCGTTGATAGGGGTGAATATTCTGAGAAACTGATGATGATGACGACGATGACGATAATGTTGCTTGTTGAGTTATAGTTGATGATGATGGTAGTGGAGCTGCTGGCCAAATAGGTTCACCATAATGAGATATATGATTGGTAGGCCATACATAAGATTGATGATAAGGATGAGGAATTGGTGGAGGTAATGTATATCCATCACGACTGGAACGACGCATTTCAGCAAATAGTGCACGTTGTTCAGATATCACTCTTTCACCACATATATCGTCGTCATTTTGTTGTTGTTGTTGTTGTTGTTGTTGTTGTTGTTGATGTCGAAGTAAACGGTAACTTGCATCACTATCACTATTATCTTCGTCGTCATCAAGTTCATAATCAAGTTCGTCGTCATCTTCTTCTGCATAGTTTTTCCGTTGTAATTGTCGTCGTCGTCGATGTATTCTTGGTTTGTTTCCAATATTTTCTTCCGTACCACGTCGTGAAGGAGGAGGTGAGGGAAGTCCACTATGATCATAACTGGAGTCCATGTCGGATATAGAGTTTTCACGAGATCCTTGTTCAGAGCCTATTTCATTCTTTGTTTTTGATGTTTTTATACGCCTTGGAGCACCTCGACTTTTGTTGTGTGTTTGAGTATGTTGCATCATATTGTCGAACCGACTAAACATTCTATTACATCCAGGTACTACACATTTGAATGGTTTCTATGATGAAAAGGAAAAAAATAGGTTACTACTTATGTAAAGGTCTTTTTCTTATTCTACAAAAAAAAAAAGAACTTACTTCACCAGTATGTTTTCTGTCATAATATATATATATATATATTTAAAAAGAAAAAGAATAAAAAAATAAAGAAAGAAGGAAAGAAAGAAAAAAAAAAAAAGGTAAGAAAGGGGGAGTCAATTGATCTTTTTGACATCGGAAACTGAATTCTGTGGTATATTTTTACCTCATATGTCGAGCAAGATGTTCACTTCGAGTGAAAACCATTCGACAATCTCCATAACCTGTACATTGAAATAACTTTGGTTTACCTCCACGCGATTTTCTAGCATCAGGATTTTGTCCTACTGAGACTGAATCATTGGATGATCTTGAAGTCATGGTAGTTGTTTCTGGTGGTGATGGTACTGATGATGGCATCATAATAATTTTTTTTTTTTTAAAAAAAAAAGTCAAATGAAAACGGAACTTTTTTTTTTCTCGATCGAAAAAGCTTTATGCAAGGTACCAAAAAAGGGGATATAAAAGAATGATCAGTTGGATTGCCTAGTACAATAACATAATATAATTATGTCTAACCTTATGTTCCTGTTTAATAATAATAACAATAGTAATAAAATTCTTTTTTTTTCTTTTTTTTTGAAATGAATACTTTTGTTACTGCTTGAACTCAACTCGTGATGATGATAAAAGGAAAAGGAAGAGAAGAAAAGAAAAGAAGATAATGAATTAGACCACGCATCAACACTTTCTGTTTTAGTTTTTACGAAGTGAGCCAATGTATAAAAGAAAAATATATGCCCGAGGGTTGCTTATATGTCATCATCATCAATAATAATACAATGGTCGGTTAGTTTTTTTTTTTTTTTTTTTTTTGTTTTTCAAGGAACAACTGGTATCTCTCTAAGGTTTCAATTCAACAAGATGACTTTCTTGAGGAGATCAGTTTACTCGAAAAACTCCGATACCATTTACTAGGAACTTTTTTCTTTGATCTTACTGCTATCAAAAGTTCGGAAAGTTTCTCAGTTTACTTTTTTACTTTTTTTTCAACAATATGATCTTGTTCCTGTATCTACACTGGAATATTGGACTAGAAAGTGATCGACAAATGGGATCCCGACGGACTTTGAAATCATTTTGGGTCTAAAACAAAAGAAAAAAAAAAACTATTTTTGTCGTCGTTCCTTTTCATCTACAAACTCTTTTTTTTTTTCATCTTTTTTTTTCATTCATCCTTTTTAATATCATAAAATGGCTACTGAATCTATTATTCTTGTTACTGGAGGATCTGGTCTTGTTGGTAAAGCTATCCAATGGGTTATCGAAAACGATAAATCTGAACGTTTTGGTAAAAAGGATGGTGAAACTTGGATCTTTTTGACATCTAAGGATGGCGATCTTAGGTACGTGATAATAAATATTTTTTTAAATACAATTTATTCATCTTTTTATATATTCTTATACTTTTAGAAACACTGAACAAACCAAAGCTATCTTTGAAAAGTATAAACCTACTCATGTCATTCACTTGGCTGCTTTGGTTGGTGGTTTGTTCAAGAACATGAAGTATAAGTTGGACTTCTTACGTGATAATATGCTTATCAATGATAATATATTGGAATGCTCAAAGAATGCTGGTGTCAAGAAGGTTGTATCCTGTTTATCTACTTGTATCTTCCCTGATAAGACTACTTATCCTATTGATGAAACCATGGTTCACAATGGTCCTCCTCATGAATCTAACTTTGGTTACGCTTATGGTAAACGTATGATTGATGTCCAAAACCAGTAAGTACCAAAATAAAATAGGACACAAAGAATGGATTATTAATTACAATAATATTGATCTTTTTTACTTTATTTATTTATTTATTTAAAATAGTGCTTACAATGAACAATATGGTTGCCATTTTACCTCCGTTATCCCTACCAATGTTTTCGGTCCTCATGATAACTATAACTTGGAAGATTCTCATGTTCTCCCTGGTTTGACTCACAAGTGTTATTTGGCCAAGCGTAAGTCATATATATATATATATATATATATATATATATTTATTTTTAAAAGGATCGATGGTAAAACTCATTTTTTTTTGTCGTATATGTATGTAGAAAACAACACTCCTTTCGTTGTTGGTGGTACTGGTAAACCATTGCGTCAATTTATCTATTCCCGTGATTTAGCCAAGTTGTTTATCTGGACTTTGAGAGAATATGAAGAAATCGATCCCATTATTTTGTCTGGTAAATATATATATATATATATAGAAAGGAACATGATGAAATACTGATGACTTTTTCTTAAATGTTATTTGTTCAATAGTTGGTGAAGAAGATGAAGTCTCTATTAAGGATGTTGCTGATGCCATCGTTAAAGCTGTTGGTTTCCAAGGCGAATATTCCGTAAGCAGTTGTTGAGATAGTGTATATACAAAATATCTAAATACTTTTACTTTCTTTCTTCTAGTTCGATACCTCTCGCGCTGATGGTCAATTCAAGAAGACTGCTAGCAATGACAAATTGAAAAAGTATTTACCTGACTTTGAATTCACTCCATTTGATGTAGCTGTCAAGGAATCTGTTGAATGGTTTGTGGCCAACTTTGATAACTGCCGCAAATAGAAAAACATTGTTAGTATAGATCATCCCTTTTGTTTTTCCCTTTTCGTTATCTACTATTCCTATTTCATTCCTATATAAATCACTTTATCACATACTCATATGTTTCCTACAATCCCTTTACCTATTGATGATAAAAAAAAATCATTTATTGTAGCTTTATCGATCAATAAAACGGAAATGTGTTTTTTTTATTTAGTTTTTTATTTATTTTTTTCTGGTCATTGGTGACAATGTGAACATGTATTCTATCATTCTAACTACTCCTATTACTTATTCAATTTTTACATCACGATATTTACCGTATATTTGATCTTATCTCTTTATGATTAGCAATGTAATCCAGCCTATTTCAATATATCGTCTATTTTCGTACTATCTACATCTATTGTTTAATAAATTATATTTAAAAAAAATATTTTTATTATTTCTATATATCTAATAATCTAAACTATACAGTGTAACAGTCTTGTCCAATTTTCCAATCCATCCAAAAAGCTTATAACGTTCAATCATCCCTGTCGTTTTCAAAAGCATCCCAATCAAAATCATCGTAGTTCTCTGAGTCACTATTATTCTTTTTGTCTTGCGTCTTGTCATTATTTTCATCACCTTCTTGTTTTGCAAGGATTTCATCGTACCTATAAAAAAGAGAGAGAAAGGGTGTAGGTTTCTTTTAACGTGTCGCATACCGATCTTGTCTTACCATTTCAGAAGCTGACTTTTCTGTTTGGTTGTAAAACAAGGGACTTTTAATGCATCTTCAATAAGTGGAAAGGCAGAAACAGTTGAATCGGTCTTGGATGTTGCACTAGATAGAAAAAAAGAAAGGATATGAATACTATTTCGGACTATAATTCATCTTACCGATCGAATACAGAAAAGTAAGATTCAATACAGGCAAACAGTTTATTTTTCTCTTTGTCAGAAAACCGATAATCCTATCATCGTTAATAACAAGATATATAATAATAATAATAAAGAGTGGTGAGTGATTCAAAATACTTGAATAAGCAATGTCGATCTTCCTACCTGATTTTTATAAATGAATTTTTTTAATGTTTGCATTTGTTTCAGAGTTTTCGCTGTTGGTGGTGTGGGTATCGCTTTGGTATCATCGTGAAACTTTTGAATCCGTTGTTCCATGGTTAGAATGTAATCCTGAAAAAAAAAGTATCGAGGAATAAAAAGTGAACCAAAAAAAAAAAAAGAAAAAAAAAAGACAAACAAACAAAAAAAAAAAAGACGAGATTCTCAAAAAGTCAGATCAGATAACATAACAATTGCCTAAAAAAATGATGTATGTGAGTGAAGTCAGGATACTTTATTTATCAGTTTCAATGGATCACAGAAAGGGATGTCGTACAACGGAAGCAAATTGGCAGTAAAAAAAGTTAATTTTCTATTGAAAAAAAAAAAAAATGATAATGACTTACCGATGAATTGTGTGTTTCTTTTTTTTTTTTTTTTCAATAGAAAAATAAAAAGGGGCCTACAACAACTGGCATCATTTAACAATCAATCATTCGTGATTCTTATTGATAAGTTAAGTTTGTTTATTTCTTTGTTTTAAGAAAAACAAGAAGGGATCTGTAATTGATATCATTGGCAACATGTTCCTTAACATATATGATGATTCCGTGACTTATGAGGGTTCCCGTCATTCTGAAAGTAGTAAATAAAAAAAAAAAAATGGATGATGATGGAATCCGTGGAGTATGGATCAATCACCTGCAAAACCTACAACATCCGAGTTTCACATTCTTTTGTTTTTATCTCAATGCAAATAAGTCTCTAGCCACAGCGCAGAAAAGAAAAAATGAAGTTTTATTATATCTTATCTATTCTTTTTTTGTACCACAAATCTCTTTTCGAATCGATATATATATATATATATATATATATATATTTTATTTCTTTGAAGAAAAACTAAGAACAAATTAATATCAATTCTAATCGACAAATATGTTTATAAAAGACTATTCTAGATCTCTAAAATAATGTTGTCAAAGCAACAAATACTATAGATAGAGCCATTTGACCAAGAGGAAGTTGTACAATAGAACCATCACTAGAACCATTATTAGTACTTGTTTTATTGGTTTCCACAGCGAGACTCTTGTATTGACAGTTAGTAGCACCTCTTTCACAATAACATTTATTACCGATAGGATCCCACCAAATTGAACTAATAGCATTAAAGAAAATAAAATTATCAATTTGTCCTTTTTTTTTTTTTTTTTTTTTTTTTTTTTTTTTAACATACTCGCAATTGTCAGGAACAGGATATCTATAACCAGCAGTACCATTTTGAGTAGATGAACTAGGTGTAGGTGATGATACAGTAGGAGCACCACTAGGACAATTGAAACAGGTCTTGAAATTGGATGTACCGAAATTACAACTATTGTATATCATAAAAAAAGAAAAACAAGTTAATCATCATGTCTAAGCAAACATATACACAGATATATATATATATATATATATATATATATATATATATTATTTGAATGATCTTACTTGTTCAAAAGATTATCATCCATGTTGCCATTATTATCATCATCCAATCCATTGCAGATTTCATTTGGTATCACAGGTTGTTCACATTTCATGTAAGGTTGATTGCCAAGTTCAGAAGATTTCACAGGGTTCTTCATATATTGTAAGAGCTGTTGATTACTTACGACCCACACGTCCTTTTTTTCAGAGACAGTTTTGATCAAATTCACTACACCATCAAGTAAAGGCTTTGGATCAGGTAAACCAGGATACGAAGATAAATGAGCTACAATAAAAGAAAAAAGAAAGTATAAGTCCATCATATCTTTGACCATTGTTATTTTATGACCTACTTGGATGTACATAAATACCAAATGGTTGTCGTCCACCATTATAATTTTTTTCAAATTGATCCAATGACCCTATATAATAATAATAATAATAATAGAAAAAAAAAAAAGAAGTAAGTATATTGTGGCGCACATTCGTCTTTTGAGTGTAATATACATTTTGTCACATCTTCAGGAGATCCAGAAAGATAAACATCCATCAATTCAGAAATGCTCGCATTATTCATTACAGCATACATAGGAAATTCCCAGAAACCAGGTAACTTTACCTTGCCAGGGTCACAAATACCAGTCCAACAATCATTTGCCATGCCATTGTCCAAAGTATAAGGCCAGAATCGATCACTATCACTACTAGCACTTGAGCTTGAATCGTAGGAGAATTGTTGTTGAGAAAGTTGTTTCAGTGTATCAGCAGTATAATTCAAAAATGGTGCACGAAATCCTCGGATTTCGGTTAATGGTACACCCCCATATTCATAAAGCATAGATTTAGCACTTGAGATTTCCTCTATTCCCCAAATAAGAATAATAATAATAATAATAATGATAAGTACTGTTACGATGATTAAAATAGTTGTCTTTATTGTTAACTTACGGGCAGATGGATTACCAACATGAGTGAATGTATGACTAGATAAACAGATTATATGAGTATTACTGTAAAAATTGGCCACCTTTTATAGACTTACTCAGCAACCTCGTTTCCGGCAGCGTACCATTTTTGAACCAAAGAAAAGTCAGTATATTGCATACTAACATACCAAGTACCTTTTGCTTTACATCCATTAGGATTGCTATTATTTAAAAAAAAAGAAGAATCAGTTGGACATTCAAAATAGTTGTTTTAAATATTCATACGTGACATTGAGCATTTGTTGAGCAGTAGCATATAAAGGATCTTGAATGGAATCGTCAAAGGTCACTACGACAAACTGAGGAGTATCTTTAGGATCAAGACCATTTGGCGGTTTGCTAGATGCACAAAGACAATTATTGGCAAGTTTACAAATATTGGGGTCACAAGAATAGGAGGAAGGTGCTGAAGAGGTTTGTGTAGTACTACCTTCTTGAGCTTGAACAACAGAGTTGATAGTTAAGAAATAACCAGTGGATAAAAGTGTAAAGGCACACGTCAATAATTTCATTGTTTGATTTTGATAGTTTAAATAATAATAATAATAATAAAAAAAAAAAAAAAAAAAAGAGAAAAAAGAAAAAAAAAAAAAAAGAAAAAGGAGAACTCAAATGAAGTAAAAAAAAAATAGATCTTTGACAAAAATAAAAAAGTGTCCCTTAAATACGACCAGTTCCATCGCCGCCATATACAAAAAAAGGAATTTCCGTTTCAAAATTAGTATCATTTCCTTGGTAATCGCGTAGTACATATTATTGTAAATCGTGTCACTTGTCATTTTTTTTTTTTCTTTGTGGAGTTTCATCAATATGTCCATTTTTCTTCTTTTCAGTCTCTATTTAGAATAATCCAAAATTTCTTGTTTTATATGTATTGTATTTATTGTTTTCATTTTCATCATAGTACAAAAAGATCTGCTATTGAACTTCAGGAGACAGATACTTTCTGTATTTTTTTAAGTGGGATCATATTTCTGATCGGTCACCTGAAAGAATCAGTCGTTACTGTTACCCCCCCTCACTTCCCTTTCTTCCCCCCCCTCTACTCCTTCATTTTCGGACATCCTGTTTGTAACAGTATTCTAATGCATCCATAATATTTCGATCATCATTCACATATTATCATTACAACTATCATCACTCAATCTACCTGCTATTGATTAAAATTCAGATAAACAAGCTTTCAACATTCATTATTTATAAGATTCAAATCTTAAAAATTAAGGAGACAACACCTTTTTTTTTTTTTTTTTTCCAATCGTTTTCAATATAGATTGTTGATAATGTATTCTTTTTTTTTTATTGTGTGAAGCAGAAGAAGAATAACAAAAAAAAAAACAGGAGGATACCAGAAGAAAAAGAGAGTATGTAAGTGTCTGTGTGTTTTTATGTATGTGTATGTATGTGTTATAGTAGAAGGAGTAAAGAAAAGGAGAGAGGAAGATGTATATGTGCAAGTATAAAATAAAACAGAATAATAATAATAATAATAATAAAGAATCAAACTACACGGGTAACGGTTGTTTATTTTCCTTATTCTTGGCTTCTAATTTGATGTTTGCTTCCAAGGCCTTTACATCTTCCAAATCCTTCTTCAGTATGTCAATAACATGACTCAATCCTTGTTGTTCATCACCAAGAACCTATAGTATAATAAGATCAGTTCAAATATTCTTTTTCCTTTCCTTTCCTTTTTTTTACCTTCGCAATTCTTGTGGTATCATTTTGATTCAATGCCTCCCAATGGCCATCACCAGATGTAGATCTTGATTTCTTGATAGCTTGTAGTTGTGACCATAATTCGACCATCTTGGTATACAATTGTTCTGGATTATTGGTTTGCGTAGACAGTTCTTCAAATTGTTTTTGAGATAATTCTTCTTCATTACTAAGAGGAAATCCTTTATAACGTAAAACTTGTACCAGTCGAAGTAACTACAGAAAAAAAATAAAAATAAAATAAAACAAAAATAAAACAGTATATGAGTATGCGTAAAAAAAAAAAAAACAACTACTCTCCCATGACTTCCCCTTATTTTTCATGCTATCATCATATCCTCCTAGTTCTCCTTTTACTCCATCCTCTCCTTGCAGTTTATTCTTACTCGTATTAATCGTTGAGTTAGATCAGCATGACGTCTTTTGTGTTCTTCTAGGCGAGCTCGACTACCAAGTTCATATTTCCTTCGCACTGTTTCTAATCGTTGGCTAACTTCCTATATATAATCATCACAAATCGTTAGTATCAATAGGTATATCATCTTTCATTGTACTCACCTCTAATTTTTCTTTGTGTAGCTCCGATTGTCGATCTTGAATATCCATTCGCTTCAAAACGTCTTCAAATCCAACAGCAAGTACAGGCACCATACTAGAAAGAATTATTGTTAGTGACATTAATCCATTACAGAATTATGACAATACTTACCATGATAAATCAGGATTCTTTTGTTGAGCTTCGTTCCATAGTTGTTCATCTTGATTAGGAGGACGGACATATAGATGTACTTCATTTGGTGGTACCATGTTGTAAAAATAATGTCTAAACTGACATAATGGTGAGGTCGGATCCCAACTGGCTTTAATGAGAGCTAATTGTTGCCATACATTATATTGTGGTTGTTGAGGTTGAGGTTGTTGCTGTGGTTGTCCTACATTTTTGTTCATAAAATAATAGTCAGTCATCCAAATTCATTACTATAATGTATATGAAGTTTTGTCTTACCAAAGGCATTTGCTGTTGATGTTTGACCAAAACCAGTGGTTCCTTTTTGTTGTCCTACAAAATTGTACACAAATGAAATCATCGCTGTAAATACTCTGCAACATATATACATATAAACTTACCAAACAAACCACCGCCTGTATTTAGACCGAGTCCTCCAGATGATGCTTGTGCTTGTTGATTACTTCCAAATCCACTAAATCCACCAAATCCACCGAACCCACCTGTTGTTGCAGGCTTTTGCTGTTGTTGTTGACCAAAACCTAAAAACAAAAAAATAAAAAGGAAAAAAGAAAAAAAAATGTTGATATTTCACGAAAAGTCTACTGGAAGATATATTTATATAATTACCTATTCCAGAAAATCCACTAGTTTGAGGTTGTTGTTGATTACTTCCGAATCCACCAAATGATGTTGTTGCTGGTGCAGAACTGGTCGTAGTTGCTGAAGACATACCAAATCCACCAAAGCCAGTTGTTGCTGGTGCAGAACTAGTCGTAGCTGCTGAAGACGTACCAAATCCACCAAAACCAGTTGTTGATGTTGCAGGAGGTTGTTTACCGAATCCACCAAAGCCAGGTGTAGATGTTGTAGCAGGTTGCTGAGTATTTCCAAATCCAAAACTTGATCCTGGTGCTGTTGATGAGGTAGGCGCTGTACTACTGGCTCCAAATCCAAAGGTACCTTTATATATATAAATGTTAGTAAATTATCATGGTAACAAACAATAATAGTTGCACTAGTATTTGATAAGGCAAAAAAAAAAAAAAAGTTATACCTGAAGAAGATGCTGGTGTAGGCGTAGAACCGAATAAGGAGCCTGAGGTACTAGTGGCGGGTGGATTACCAAAGAGTGAACCGGCAGCTGAAGGAGTTGCTGTTGTGGTATTTGTTGATCCAAAACCTGTAGATGTCGTTCCAAACAAAGTTCCTGCTGCTGAATGATTTGTAACTAGATGAACGTATAAAAGAAAGAAAAAAAAAAGAATAATTAGGAGAAAGGAGATATGATTTGAATATAAAGGGAATACATGACTTGGTCAATATACGTCAAAATAATAAAAATAAAAAAAAAAAGTGACATTATTTACCTGGTGCACCGAAACTAGTAGTAGCTTGTGAGGCAGGAGCCCCAAATGTAAAAGAACTCATTGATACAGTTAAGAAAACAAGAAAGAAGGAAAAGATAAAATACGCGCCTACACTTTTTCTTTATCTGGCCCAAAAAAAAAAAAAAAAATCACCAGTCACCAATCCTTTCTCCCATTTCAACTGTGGGAAACCCCGTCAATTCTTCCTTTTTTCTTCTTTCTTGTAATTAAACAATCGATCATGGCGAAACAGTCCACACCTCCTCCTCAAAGATCCTATGATCCAGTGTTAGATGAAAAAGCAAGAAGAAGATTACAAATGCCTCAACAAATGGCTCCGAGATTGAGAGCTCGTCAGATTCAAGTAGCATCTTGGGTTCTTTCCTTAAGTAAGTGTGTCTCCAGAAAAAAAAGGTCCAATATTGATTCTTTTTTTTTTTTTTTTTTTTTTAAATTTTCCTTCCATAGCACTTTCAGGTTATGTTGTATTATTTGCTGATTTTGGAAAACAAGAACATTGTTTCTCACCAGTAAGTTTTTTTGTATTCCTATCTCTGTAAAAATATAGACTAATATATATTGATGGTGAACAGATACGTCGATGGTTCTATGCTAAACGCAGGGAATTTTGGTCACTCAGCCCTCAAGAACAAGAAGATATGAAGGATCAAGGTCGATTATAGTAAAAATCTAGTTATCATTCTCTTTAGTAATATTACCCGATAGATAATAATTAGAATAGTGTTATATATTGTACATAGATGAATTAAAAAGAAAGATATCTTTGAATTTTATATTTGATTTATCCCTTTCTCTAATAATTATTCAAATTGTTTGATAGCAAATAATCTAATCATCTTATCGTATAATGAAGATAAATCACAATATATATATATATAGATATAAGAGGTATACAAGTAATGCTTTATTGAAAAAAAAGATGCTGGTTTCACTATACTAGTAATGTTCTATCTAATAAGAATTTGAGCTCAAAAGAATTTGACTGGCCTATAATCAACAATAATAAATGATCAAATATCCAAAAAAAAAAAAAAGAATCATCCATCATCCATTCCTTCCACTTACCAGAATAATCCCATCCAAATACAGCATGTTTCGCATCACAGTATCGTTTGCCAAAAGATCGATGATCTTCAAATAATGCAGGTTTCAAGAGTTGTAATAAAGCGAAAGATTCCATAGGACGAGGAATGACTGGAGTTTCAGTAACCATAATTGTTTTCTTCGCTTCTTTGACTACTTGAACAACGGGAGATCGATGACCACGTAACTATAGAAATAAATAAATAGTGAGTAAACCCAGTAGATCAATATATTCTTCTTTATACATATATATATATATATATATTACCAAAGTTGACTTGATTTTATGACAATCATCAAATATAAGGATCTTGAATTTTTTTTTTACAATATGATGTATATGGGCTGCCATGTTATCGTAATCAATAATGTACAATTGTGCTGATTCAGGATTTGGTATATCGTTGGTATCGTTGGTCATCGCTCCATTGGTTTCGCTTTTTGATGTAAAATCCATGTTTGCATCATCGTTGCCATTGGAATAAGTATAATCACCACCATCATCCTTTATGCTGATATATAAATTGTCATTATCATCGTCGTTATCCTCCGAATAATAATCCCCACTATCGTCCTTGATGCTGATATATAATTCCTCTGATGATGCCTCCTTATTTTTCCGTGATGATGGATCATTTTCTTCCCTTTCTGCGTTGATTCCCATCGATTTTCGTAGTCGTACCATTTCCCGTCGTTTTCGTGATCTAATAGCTGCTGCTTTGGTTGAGTACTCTGCTTCCAATTTCCGTGATCGTTTCTTTGTACCATTTAATAAAAGAGAGATCCCTTTTGTATCAATAATATATACTTGATTGCTGTCCAATGATAACATCTTTTGAACCAAATTTTTCCAAGCCAAACATACCGATTTTGGACATATGATAAGTGCAGGCCAATCCTCTTGATATATCATAGCCAAAGCCAATGCCTGTAAAGATTTGCCACTGCCAGCAGAGTCATGCATATATACATTGCCTTGAAGTTGTACACCTTTTTTTACCTTGGATTGTTGTTCTGCCGTTAAGGATTGCCATAGTATCGATTGTTTAATTCTATTTTGTTGAACCTGATTGCCCATCCAATCATCATTGTTTTCATCCCCTTCCAGATGGTTATGTATGTCGCCAAATGTGTCATCATCGTCACCAAACATAGCATCATCTTCATTATCATCATCATCATCATCATCATCATCATCATTAGGATTCAGCTTTCGTTGCTTTTTCCAATTCATTTCTTGCCGTTCCTGTCGTTGTCGTTCAAGTAGTAGTTGCTCAGTTGTCAGAGGAAGCTGTTTATATACAATATCGGGGAGACTATTAATGTCAAATGTACCATAATGTCGAGAAAGTGTTTCCAATACACGCTTGTAAGTTTGCTGATCAGCTGAGAATACCCATTGCTGTAGGCTTTGGATCCACTCCACACCAGGAATATTGAAAAAGATGGTTTGAAGAGTACGATGTCGTCCGTCACTGGTGATTGTAATATCGTTGGGACTATATAATGCTATACAGACATTGCTTTTCACGATCATTCCTTTTTGTGGTTTTCGACTTCTTTGTTGTTCATTGGTCCATCGATGTCCAAAAGTACCATTTTGTAGATCCAAAGGGTTACGTCGTTGATATATCATATAGTTTGTGTTATGTCTTGATTTATCATTTTCATTTGGTGAAAATACTATATCTGTATAAAGAGATCCGACTTCTTTATCCCATTCAAAAAAATCACAACGTCGAGAAGGACACTAAATTATGGAAAGATAAATTCGTATGATTTTTTTTTTCTTTGTCTCAATAATCTATTCCTTACCGTCCAGTACCAACGTCCTCTGTTAGGACCATATTTAGTTTCTTTGTTTGAACAAGTACTTCCGCATCTACATTTAGGAGAAGTCATAACTTTGGTCAAGAGACTGTTTTTGGGTATATTGTGGAAAAAGAAGGTACAAAAGAGGGTAAGATTTTTTTTTTTTACACTCCGGAGACATTTTTTTTATTTTATATGTCTATTCATTTTCTCTTGTTCTTTTTTTTTTTTTTTTTTTTTCACTTTGCACAACAATGTCTGTCGAAATAGAATCTGAAGAGTAAGTCTTTAAAGAAAAAAAAATATATCGCATTTTATGCCATTCACTGATTCTTATTAATGATAGTATTATTCGCCTGATCTTACAATTTTTCGATGAACAACATTTAGGAAAAGCTCTAAATGCATTAGAGTCAGAAACATCCATAAAGTTAAACACAGTAGCAAATAAAGACGACTTTACTCAAGAAATCATTCAAGGAAAATGGGATCTTGTATTGAACAAAGTAGTTACTTTAAATATTCGACCAAAGGCACTTATTGATCTCTACGAACAGGTAAAACGAGAACCATAATCTTACCCTCCATCTAATAGCTTCTTGTAGGTAATACTTGAACTTGCCGAACTACGAGAACTTGGTGCTGCACGATCTTTATTACGACAAAGTCATCCCATGTACCTATTAAAACAACAACACCCTGAACGATACCTGCACTTGGAACATGTATTATCAAGGACATTCTTTGATGCAAAAGATGCTTATCCTAAAAATATGACAAAAGAAAAACGACGACAGGTGATTGCACAAGGTAAAAGACGAAAAAGGAACGCGACAATGATTATACTCATCTTTCGAATATATAATATTGATGCTGAATAGAATTGGCAAATGAAGTCTCTGTAGCTTCTCCTTCAAGATTGATGACATTACTGGAACAAAGTGCTCAATGGCAGTGTCAACAAGGATTGTCAACTTTGAATACTTTTGACGTGTTTGGTGGTGGTAATCATAATGGCAATGATGGTGAAAATGCAATAAAAAAGACAGATGTTACTCCTATGGAAGAAGATGATCATCATGATCAATTTGCAGGAACACAACATAAGACCATAAAGGTAAAGAAAGAAAAAAAAAAGGAATGACACAAGAAAAAAAAATACATAGGATGATCTCTCATTTTTATTAAAACAAACAAACTTACTTTTTTTATTACAGTTCCCAGGAAAGACTGCTTATGCAGAATGTATGGCATTTTCATCAGATGGACAATTTTTCATTACAGGTTCGGTGGATGGGTTTATGGAAATATGGAATCCAGAAAAAGGCAAACTACGAAAGGATATACGATATCAAGCTGAAGGAAATCTCATGGCTATGGATGAATCTATTATCTGTTTAGCATTCGACAAATTCAATGAAACTTTGGTATCAGGATCAACAGATGGGAAGATCGCTGTAAGATAGGGATGATTATTGTTGGATAAGGAATTCTTCAATATTAATTATTATTTTTTACTGATGATAGGCATGGAGAATTCAGTCTGGTACCTGTAGGCGGCGCATTTCTCCAGCTCATAGTCAAGGTGTTACGTCTGTCCAACTCAACAAAGATGCAACTCATATTCTTAGTGGAAGCTATGATCAACTCATCAAAATACATAGTATCAAGTCTGGGAAATTGATCAAAGAATTCAAAGGTCATACATCATTCATCAACAGTATTATGTATATCAATAATGATTCAAACATACTTAGTGCCAGTAGTGATGGAACGATCAAAGTAAAAAAAAAAAAAAAAAAAAAAAAAAAGAAAAAGAAAAAGTTATTATTGATTGGTTGTTGTATTAATATATATTCTATCATAGTTATGGAATGTCGAATCAACTGAATGTCTCTCCACCATTCGTCCAACAGAAGATACAACGCCTATACAACTGATATTACCTCTACCGTCAAGTATGGACCAGTTATTCGCTGTTTGCAACAAAACCAGAAAACTCTCCATTTATTCGTATGATGGCTCTTTGGTAAAAGTGTTCCCTCTCTCTGGTAGTGATGAAGAAACCCAAATCAATTCTGATTTTATTGGTGCGGCATTATCAAGGCGTGGCGAGATCATTTATGGTATCACTGAATCTGGTAAGATCTATGGATTTGATATGTCTACTGGAAAATTAATAGGACACGTTCAACTGCCGTATACTGAAATCATCTCAATGGCAAGTCATCCATCATCCGATATGTTGGCTGTGAATGATGCTGCAGGTCATATCTATTTATTGAAACCTTAGAACCCAATTTATACATATTTTTATTCTGTTTTTGTATCAATAAACCTGTTACTTTTTTTTCTCTCTCTCTCTCTCTTTTTTTTTTTTTTTTTTTTTTAAAAAAAAAAAAGATTCGTGTGGATGTTTGTCCTCTTTGATTAGTGTGGGAAGTTGATGTAGTTAGCGATTAATGCGGAAGACTGACTTAAAGCAAGCATATGATGATGGCGATCTGGTGTGGTAATCCAAAATTTAATAAAAACCGGAGTAGGAAAACCAAATTATTCTTTCTTTTTCTTTTTCCTCCCTCCTCCATATCATGACTAAACTTACTGTTTATCATAACCCAAGCTGTTCAAAATCTCGTAGCGCTGTCAATACATTGGAACAAGAAAAACAGCAAGGCGATACTAAATTATATGAATTGGAAATATGCAAGTACAAAACGGATCCTCCAAGCAAAGAAGTGTTAAAGACTCTGGCAGAATATTTAGGCTTGATGAAGAAGGAGGCGGCAACACGACCATGGGATGTTTTATTACGACCTGAAGCAAAGAAGAAGGCATCATCGTGGGAAGAAACATGGGATATGTTAGAACAAGACCCTGCTTTGTTAGAACGACCTTTTGTGATTGATTGGGATTTGAAAAAAGCTGCTATTGGACGAACTGTTCCTGGTCATCCGGATTTACTTAGTGTGGATAGTCTTATCAATGAACATATTAATAATAAAATCTGATTTTTTTTTATTGTGATTGTGTTTTTTGTAATCTACATAAATCATATGTCTTATCTTTTTCAATGATACTCCAATAGATGGTAGGGACCTCCAATTTGCTCATCCCCACAAATGTTCATTCCGGCTGACTTTCCTTTTTCTGATGGGTGGCTTGAATATCCGTCACGCAAGTTTCTATTTTCTTAGGGACTTCAACCCTAACTTTTTCTTTTTTTTTTTTTTTTCCTTTTTATTTTTTTGTCTTTTGTATCACATATATAATATTCACTCGTCATGTTCTCTCAATGTATACGACAACACATCCGTGGTTATGCTACCAAAAGTAAAACCACCAATATGAAAATGACAGCACGAGTTCCCTTGGAACAAACCTCACTTCCTAGTGGTAATCTGTTCATCAGTAGGCAGTTACCTGTTCCTCTCCAGACACAAGCAAATGCTCCACCTATCCATCGACCTTACGAACGTAAACCTGAACTCGACCAAAAGACCATTGATGAAATTCGTCAACTTCGACAACAAGATCCCGAAACATGGACACGCAAGAAACTCGCCAACAAATACAATTGTTCTCCTTTGTTTATCAGTATGATTGCTCCTACCTCCGTCAAACAACCTACTCCTCCTGTTACCATGTCCTCCGAAAAGGGTTATCGACGCCGATTAATCACGAAGAATAGACAAAGAAGAAAGGAATTATGGTAGATAGAATTATACTTATTTGTTGACAAATCCTTTCTTATTAGTTTAGTTTGTATTCTCTTTTTTTTTTTTTGTATATTCATTATCTATCTTTATTCATCAATATAATCCAAAAAGAGTTAAACATTATAGGCATGTAGATAGATAGAAAAAGTTCTTTATTATACCGTTATTTCAAATAAACTATTTACTATTTTACACATTTTTGTTTGATGCTTATGAAAACTATAGAAAGGATCTACGTATTTTCGCCTGCCATTTCGTTGTTTGAAAAGAAGAAATGGAAAGTGATTAGTGTGATGATCAACTATATATTATTTGTATATGTTATCCGGGATGTACATGGCACAAAAGGATAAGTATCGTAGGGTAAAAAAAAAAAAAAAAAAAAAAAAAAGGATCCAAACGGCAAGAAGACAGACAGACGACGCAAATGAAAGACAACCATAGGCACAACGAGAACACGGAGAGCAAGGAAAACGGAGAAACAAGAATCGCCAGAAAAAGATAGTGTTCTGTCGCGTATGACCAGGCGAACGGAAAGAAGAAGACACCAACAGGGAAGCAGCTAAAAAAAAAAAAAGCAATTAATTTTGTGTTTTGTAGAAGAAAGAAAAACAGAAGACAGGAGAAAATAAAAAAAAGTCTCTTTTATATTGTCCAATCATCCAATCATTATATGTCATAAAATAGCATTCATACCTCATAAAATAGAATAAAAGGTTGTAAGAGATCATGCATAGTTTTTAGTACATAGAGGTCAAATTTAAAAAGGATGAAAGGATATCGGAATTTCAAATACTCGTATTCATCATTCTTTTTTTTTTTTATTTTCGTGTCATGCGTCTTTTTCTTTTTTCTTTTTCTTTTCATATTGATAAATCATGACTCAAAAAGCTACTTCGTTTGTTCTTAATTGTAATTCATCCATGGCCGTTGATTTACCGACCATTGGTAAAACAGCCTTTCAAGCAGGTATTGATGTTATCTTAGATGCTCTTGGTGAAAAGGTAAGTCCACAATAATGTGTCACTCTGACTTTATAGATACTTATTATTATTATTTGAATAGGTTTTATATGACAGAAAGATGGATAAAGCCAATGTTATTCTTTCGGGTACCACAGGTAGAAACGACACAATGAATACACCTATATATATATAGTATCATTCATGCCATCTTTCTTTTCAATACAGGAACTGAAAATGAACTAGCGGACGAAAACGCTGACCAATACCAGCACATTACAACTGTATGTCCTATTATGCAACCCAACGTAGCTACTTTACGGACACTAGTCAATTGTACGGTCTCGGAATCAAAAGATATGAAAGCAGATAGTAAGTGTGTGATGGTGAAAAGAAAAACCATGGTCATAAGAAAAAAAAAAGTGATTGACTTTATGATTAATTAGTTATGGATGCATTGATTTTGGCAATACACATGATTGTCAAGGGTTTTGGACGACTGAAGTATATCAAACAAGTTGTATTAATTACCGATGCGGTGGATCCTATTGATTGGAGGGACGTGGATGATGTCAAAGGAATGCTTGAAACTGAAAATATTAAACTGGTGATTATGTAAGTTTCTTTTTCTTTTCTTTTTCTTTTTCTTTTTTTTTTTTTAAAAAAAAGACATACATCTCCTCATTATATACATTTTTTTTTATTATTGTTATTATTCTGGACAAAATAGTGGTGTGAACTTTGATGCAAATGGAGTCATCAAGGATGAAAATGAAGACTCAAAATCACAACAAATCAAGGTAAATTAAAATAAAACAAAATGTAATGTGAGTATCAAACTGATTTTTTCTTTCTTTCTATAGGTTTGGAATCAACAAAATTGGAAGAAATTAAGTCAAACTGTCCCTGGTGCTACTATTCACAGTATACACGAAGCTTATGAAAATGCTAAAGGAATGAAAACTAAAGAAATCAAGCCCATGCCATCGTATCGAGGATTTCTATATCTAGGAGATCCAAGAATGTATGATCAACGTGCATTGTCTATCAATATCAATATGTTTCCTCTTACATCTGTTGCGCATCCACCTGCAGCAAAGAAATGGTCGACCTTATCAGATCTTGTACAGAATAAGAACAACGATGCATCGTCATCACCGAGACATCTTACACACGCAGTTAACATGATAAGGAAATATCGACTTAAGGATACAGGCAACAATACCGATACACAACAACCAGCTCATGATGATTCCTTTCTTGATGTGGATCCCAACACTTTGGAGAAAGTATACCCATTTGGCAAAACCTTGGTCAAGATCACTGCAGAAGAAGAAGAATATCTCCGGATACAAACAACACCTGGGATGTGGATCATTGGTTTTTTAGGAAAAGATGCCGTGAGTTAAATTTATTAATAATGAATGATATGATTATTAACGTCAAGGAAATTCTTTATTTTATTTTGATATTCATAGGTTCGTCGGGATTATATCTTATCAAAGGCATATCTCATTGTAGCTGGTGCAAACAATACAGAGCCATCGGGTGTGGCCATAGCTGCTTTGGCAAGAGGTCTATATGAAAAGGAAGCTTTGGCTTTGGTGCGATATGTGCAAAAGGCAAATTCGGAACCAGTATTGGGCATTATTTCACCTTATATTGATGTAGATATCAATGCATTAGAATTCTGTCAGGTAATAAATATAACTAGTGGAAAGAAGAAAAATAAAACATATATATATATTTTGTTATTAGATTGCTTTCGCAGAAGATATTCGACAATATACTTTCAATAGTTTGGACAAGGTAGTTTTGAAGTCAGGAAAAATCATCACGGAAGATCATCCATTGTTACCTACACAAGAAATGAAAGAATCTATGACCGATTTTGTCAAGCATATGAGCATAAAAACAGAGTAATAAAAAAAAACATCGCTAAAAAAAATAATATATAATGACATCTCTCTCTCGTTTTTTGTTTATATATATATATATAGAGACCAAGAAGAAGATTATCAAGATGCATTCAATCCATTGATTTGGCGATTCCATACTGCTATCAAGGCACGTGCTATGAATGAAGCGGCTCCTATTCCCGAACTACATCCAAAACTGAAACAAGAGATGACAAGAAATCCTATTCTGGAAGAAGAGAATAGTGATCGTATGAAACAAATGGCATCTTTATTCCAAGTCAAAAAAGGTAATATTAACTAAAAGAAGAAGAAAAAGAGCCCACATAGATGAAAATTTTTTTTTGATTATAGTGGACCTTACCAAAAAGCGAAAAGGGAAATATGGAAGAAATAAACAAACAACTGATTCTGTGGTGACGGATAGTAGTCAATTGACACCGATTGAACAAGTGATGAGTGGAGCAAAACAAGGAGAAGAACCAGATATGAAACGCAGCAAGATGGATAACAATAATGGAGCTCTCCGTATAGGTGTCAATCATCCAGTGCAAGATTTTTATGCAATGCTGAACAACGAACAAGATTTAGTGACAGCGGCTGTAACACAAATGTCTGAATTGATTCAACATCTGGTGACCACTTCGTTTGGAGATCAACATTACGACAGAATCATGGATTGTTTGAAAGTCTTTCGAGAAGCTGCTGCCAAAGAAAATGAAGCTGGCGTCTTTAATCAGTGTCTTTATCAACTCAAACGTATTATTGATCCTGCTAGCAAAACGTCTCGATATGATCTTTGGCAACGACTACAAAAGGAAAATATGACTTTGATTACTAAAGATGAAGCTATGGATGATGAAGTAGCCAATGTGACAAAGGATGATGCTGAAAAGGTAAAAAAAAAAAAAAGTTTATTTTTTTTTTTGTACCATGATATATTAACTATTTCCCCTTTTTATCAATTTAGTTTTTAACTGATACAGAAAAAGAATCCACCTTATCTTCTGCTCCATCGAGTAAACCTGAAGAAAATAATGATATGTCTACAGAAGATTTGGTAATAATAATAATAATGAAAAAAAAACATATATTTACAACAACAATGGAATGACTTTTTATTTATTTATTTAATATAGCTTGCTATGATGGATTGATGACAGCCATTAGGTTAGGTTAGTTTATATATATTCAAATAAAAATAGATCCAAAAACAGAATTGGCTGGAAATGGGACACGTTTGTGTCACGGACTGTGTTTGATTCTTTGTTCTTTATTATCCTTTTTCTGCATGTCAATGGAACACAAATAAACCCAACAAAAAAAAAAGTTAAAAGAGATGTTGATTCAGGGCACCATTCCTCCATAAATAAATAAATAAATAAAGACAACCAACAAAAAGTTTATGAAAACTTTTTATATGAATTTATGTAGAGATAGATAGAGAGAATAGATTATGACAAACCACAACTCCGCAGACTGACTCACGTTTTACAGAAAAATAAAAAAAAAAAAACAAGGTTATATTTTGATCATATATGTGCAGGGGTGGTAAAAGAACAAAATAAGTGAATTTTTTTTTTATTCATCATTTAAGGAATATGAACACAATAAGAAATATCTAACAATCAGGTCACCAAGAAACAATCCAGGGTGTACAATGAATACAATAGGCCTCTTTACAAAAAAGAACTGGTCAACTGATGTTATCATCCCATCAGATAAGTGTTTATTATATAAAATAACTTTTTCTTTATTTTTCAGGAATCATCCCTAAATCATCCATCATAGATAAACTAAACTAAAAATGAAGATATACTAAAACAAAATCATAAAAAAAAACACGCATAAACACATGGGAATATATAAAACAACATTGGAGGAGGATGAATATACAAAAAAAAAAAAAAAGAAGGTGAATTTTCATTGTCAAAGTTGGCAAGAAATCAAGTACTATATATATATATATATATATAATAATAATAATAAAAGAGGGGTATGATGCGTGTGTGTATGAGAGTGATTGTATGTGTGTGTATGTGTGTGTGTGTGGGTGTAAAAGAAAAAAAAATGCAAATAAACATGATCAAAAAAAAAAAAAGTGTCACATCATCTTTTTCGATTTTTTATGAGTCCTAACAGAATCCAAATCAGTTGCCAATCGAGATAAACGGTATAAACCTTGTTGAGGAAGAGGAAGACCAGATGATGCCATAGAAGGAGGATGTAATTGATTGATGGAAGTATTGTTGTTATTGTTGTTGTTGTTGTTGATGATGGAAGATAAAGGAGAATTTCTATTAGTAGAGGAAGATGATGCACGTTTTGGACAATAACGATATTCTGGAAAGGCTTCCTTGTGAGCTTGTTTTTCTTGTTCTGCCAATTGATGCCATGGTCGCTTTTCATTTTCAGATAACAATGACCAACGACGGGAGGCTCGCCTATGAAGCATAATAAATAATCAGAATAAGAAATCACATGTCAAAAACGCCAATGAGAAATTTAAATAAATCTTACTTTGAGATTTCTTCGGCACGTAAGGTTGGATCTTGTGTCTTCAAAGCTTGACCATAATGACATCGGAACTAATTAAATAATTATAATTAGAATAATAATAATAATAATAATTGATGGTTTTTTTTTTTTTTTTGTAACTTACATGGATCCAGGCATTGCGAGGTCGTTTGATATGAGCATTTTTGGTCAAAAACATACTTTGATCAGCCAATTTTTTATCATCATCTGATTTGACTCTAGATAAATCAACATATTGAGAAATAGATGGTGATGAAGGTGTAGAGGTAGGTGATGAAGTTGTTGATGTATGCAAGTTGGCGGCAGAAGCACAAGCAGCAGCTAAAGTAGGTGACGTACATGAATCTTGACCCTGAAATGGAGATGTATGATGAATTTTTCTTTTCTTTGTTGAATTTCTATGATGATTGTTTTCTTGTTGATGTACAGAGATAGGAGAAGATGAAATTGATGAAGGTGTATATGGATCCATTGAAATATTTTCTGAAGTATGAATAGAATCCATTGATTGAGATTGAGAACGTCTTGGTAAAGGAGTATATATACTTGGATGATTTGTCAAAGCAGGAGCAGTAGCACGTCTTGTAGGGAAAATGACCAGAGGAGGAGCCAAAAGATGAAACAATTGAGGTCGAATATTCAAAGTAGCATTTACTTCACAAGCTTGAGGAGTTGGTTCCAAATATGCTGGTAATGCATCCTTTTGTTTCTTGGGTGAAGCTGGTGAAGGCGGACCGTCATCTAAAATAAGAAATAACAACAACAAAAAAAAAAAAGTGATTAATAAATAAGCCCCCCCTCTTTCCTTATTCATTAGCATATATCAAACACGAATATTTTTTTTTTTTATACATAAATACAAACAAATACTTTACCCAAAGTAAGATGACGTCCATAACTTGACAATTCTGGAATAGGTGGCAAATCAACAGGTGATGCTGATGGAGGTGGTGTTGGTACTGTCAATGGATAATTAGGAGAATCTGTCATCAAAGGAACTGCAATAGGACTCATCATAGTAGTAGTAGTAGTAGTAGTAGACGTCATAAGACCGGAAGTACGATGCATTGAGAAGAGTGACAATTTTTCTTTTTTTTTTGATTTGGTATAAAATATAATAAAATAATAAGACGTGATATATATATATAGATATTTATATATATACAAAATAAAAAATCAACAACGAAACAATATTTAGTAACGATGAAGAATATATATATATATATAAAAAAAAGGGGAATGAGGGTGAAATAAAAAAAAGAATGAAAGAGAGGGGAAAAGGAAGAAAAAGGGAAAAAAAAAGAAGAAGAAAAAAAAAAACAACTTGTTCTTCTTTTTTTAGTTGGTTGGTTTACGTTTTATTTTATTTTTTTTTTTAAAAAAAAAAAAAAAAAGGGAAAGAAGAAAGAAAAAGAAAAAGAAAAAAAAAAAAGGTGAAGATACACTAAAAAGTTTACAATGGGTGATAATAGTTGGACTGGGCCTTTCATCATTTATCGGATAGTGAAATCCCAAAGACGCACTTATTTTTAATATGTAGTAAAACTACATAGTGGAACATACGCGGAGAGTCAATTCATGTCAACCAGGAACGTTAATAAACAAAAAGTAATCATTTTAAAAGAGAATTACACAACATGATTTTTATATATATAATAGAAAATGTGATGTTAGTAAAAAAAAAAAAAAAAAAAAAAAAAAGAATTGATCAATTGTTTTAATTCGGTAGGTCCCGTTAAAACCAAATGTCTGTGCGACTTTTTTTATTATTATTATTATTATTCAATGACTGATGATGATTTTTTTTTTTTTGAAAACAATGAAAAATCCTACATCTCATTATAATAAAACTATCTTCCGAATGTAACCCTAAAAAGAATAAGAGCCCACGAAATAAAATATCTTTTGAGCCTCCGAATGAATAAACATTGTCTGACAAAAAAAAAAAAAAGAATTTCGCTCTCTCTCTCACTCTCTCTCTCACTCTCTCTCACTCACTTTTTTTCACTTTGTAAATATAGATACATTTTGACTCCTGAACAAAAAAAAAAAAAAAAAAAAATTCTCCCCTTGAAAAACTATCAAAAATCTTTTTTTTTTTTTTTAGTCTTTTTTTAATCCTTTTTAAAAAAAATTCACTTTTGAATAATAATAATAATAATAAACTTTTTTTTTTTTAAAATCTCAAAATAGTTATCATCATCATCTTCTTCTTCCTCTTTCATACTTTGTAAAGTAATTTCTAGGGAAATCTTATTCATTGTCAAATTGACCAATGGGAACTCTTCCTTAATTTTGGTGTTACACATCAAGCCAACCAAAAAAAAAAAAAAAAAAACTTCTCTATTCCATCAATTTCACATACCGATATTTCTTTTTCCTTTCCTTTTTTTTTTTTTTTTTTCTTCTCTCGTCCCCCCTTTTTTTTTTTTTTTTTTATTGCAGACAATGCGATTATTTTTTTTTAAAGCTCATACGGAAGAATATCAAAAACAAACGGAACTTTATGGTTATGAACCACACTTTATTCCTGTTTTAGATCAAATATATACAACTGATGAATTAATTTCTGTATTGAAACAAACTCCTTCTTCTTTGGGTATTCATGGTATTATTATTACTTCACAACGATCCATTCAAACTTTGAAACAAGTCAATCTGACTCTTGATCAACAACAACGACAAGCATGGCAAGGTATACCTTTATATATTGTAGGTGATAACACAGCAAAAAAACTAGAACAAACTTTGGATCAACAATTATTCTTTTTACCTGATCAACCACGTCCTCTCATTCTTACTGCAGATAATGCTTCTTGTTTAGCTGATCAACTCATTCAACAACAACAACAACAACAAAAAGGACTTTTATTTTTGGCTGGGGATAAACGACGTGATGAATTACCAAACAGATTAACACAAGCAGGATACCATTTACATTATATTCAAACTTATCGAACTTGTCGTCATGCTGATTTAGCTACTCATTTAATCAACTATCAACAACACAAGATAGATATGGATAAACAAAGCAAGAATATTATCAAGGAAGACGATTGGTCTATTTACTTTAGTCCTTCTGGTGCAGATTATATCCTATCTCTTCAATCTTCTCTTTGGCATACGAAAATCGCCGCCATTGGTCACACCACTGCAAATCATTTAAAACATTTAGGTTATACCGTCCATGCCATTGCTACCAAACCTGATATCTCTCATTTGTTAGAAGCTATTACCCTTTATGATAGAAATATCTCACATCATTAATCACTAGATTATACTCTTTTTTTTTTTTTTTTTATGCGATGATATCCATTTTGTTTTTAATTCACGTGTATTATAATAAAGATCTAAATAAATAATATGTATATACAAAAAAAAAAAAAAATAACGCTCCTTTTTTTTAATTTCCATTATCTCTCTTTTTTCTATATATATATGTGTGTGTGTGCGCGTGCTTGTGCATGTACCAGCGTGGTTTCTAGACAGATGAAGGATCGTCCATTCACCTGTGATGATCGCATCTGCAAAGTTATCATATACATCCTTTTTTTCGTTAGTTACAAAACCCAGTTAAGAAGATCCCAACCTTATTTAACATCATTGACTAAACCATTCAGTCTTGATGATTGGTACAAACATTCATTCTCCACATATCATCCCATCATCCAATCATATATCATCCCACATCATTCAACATCAAAATACATTTTATTACTAATGGGTTCATATAATTACATCAACATGATCAGCAAATAAAATAATAAAAAAAAATAATCTAAGCAGACGAGTTGGAAGTTTGATTGACGATCAATTTGAAGACATCAGGACGAGTGTAATGACCAGCAGGATCCAGATCCAATTTACTTTGAATGATTTCTTCCATATCAAGATCAGCAGTGAGCAAACCTTCGTCACCACGGAGAGGACCGGCCAAGATGGTACCAAGAGGGGAGATGATCACACTACCACCAAGTGAGCGAGGAGCTTCAGGATCACCACCATCCAAATCGTTTCCAGCATGACCTTCGGGATAATCCTTTTGACGTGTGAATTGACAGGCACTAAGAACAAAGCATCGACCTTCCAAAGCAACATGTTGCATAGTTGATTGCCAAACATCACGATGATCCACCGTAGGTGCACAATACAACTGTACTCCTTGACTATACATAAAACTACGCAATAATGGCATGTAGTTTTCCCAACAGATCACAGCAGAGATACGATGTCCATCTCGATTTGCCACCACTGGTAAAGTTGAACCATCAGCAATTCCACTCCAGATCGTTCGTTCCGTACTTGTGGGCATCACTACCAAAAAAAGTAATCATCATCATCATAAAAAAAAAAAAAAAAAAAAATTGGTGATGATTAATAAATGAGTCATCCATTTTTTTTTTTTTTTTTTTTTTTTGGAGTTACATACATTTTCTATGTTTGCCAACATATCCTTGATCAGGATCAATATACACAACAGTACAATACAAAGAGCCTATACATAAAAAAAAAAAAAGAAGATGAATGAATAGTCCAAATCATTTTATTATTTTTTTTACCTGTCAATTCTTCACGTTCAATGACACCCACCACAAGAAAGATATCATTTTCTTTGGATAAAGTCACCAGTCGATCAGTAACAGGACCAGGAACAACAATAGCACCTTTGTGATACCTAGCATACTCTTGCCGACCTTCCGGGGATCTTGCTCCAATCACCATACCAAAGGTACTATGCTTAGGGTATCCACCAATGAAGGCTTCACTAACATTTCAATAATAAATAATAAAGTGTTAGGTTCTAGAAGTAAGTGATTCATTTAAGACTTACGGAAAGACAACTAAGCGACTGTTTTGTTCACGAGCTTGTTTGACATAAGATTCCAGTTTCGCCATGGTAGGTTCCAATTCAAACTTGGGTGTACCCACTTGAGCAACAGACACACGAATAGTAGACATGATAGTTTAAAAGTTTTGATGAAGTGGAAAAAAAAAGGACAAAAAAGAAAAAAAAAAAAAAAAAAAGAAAAGGGAAAAAAAAACAGAAAAAAAAAGATCCCACGCTTTTATCATTTCAAATTGACAGCACAGCCCCACATAAAAAAAAAAAATATGATAAGATAAGATCAAGATGAATAACTGCGGTTTTCCTATATATATTTTCTTTTTATTTATTTTTTTTTTTCAAATAGGTATATACACTAAACAAAGGAAGAAGGAAGATATAAACTAGATAAAAGACCATAGAATCACCTTTTGCGACTATATCTTGTCATGGCAGCTGCTTTTTGACTTGTAAACAAAGTACGGATAGCTTGCATGAGATTGGGAGCAGTAATACTATGAGATTTGCAGAATTCGTGAGCCAGAGTATCAGGATCGTCAAATTTTCGAATATCAACGGGTATCTTGACGCCATTTTCCATATCTAAATGAATCGATACTACAATTGGATTCTGTGATGGTGGTGGATCGGCAGCCTTGCTAGGTCTTTCCATAAATGCGGGTCGACTGATACCATTCTGACGATAATAGTTTCTCGGTAACGGCCGGCTGGATGTTTGTTCTGCGCTTGAATACTTGTTCCTATAAGGATCCGAAAATCTACCAGTTGAGCTTGTCTGTTCATCCATGAAAGAAGGCGATGATCTCTGTTTGGTGAATGTCTCCTGTCCATCTGATACCCAATTTTCATTTTCTATATTCCATTGATCATCCTGTTGTTGTTGTTGAGTCTTTCCTGTTGAGCTTGATTTGCTAAATTTGGTACGATCAGATACATTGACAGATGATGCAAAAGATGTAGTAATATCATCCCATCCTGACACCCAATCGAGTTGATTATTGTCTTTTTTCTTTCCACCGTTGTCGCCTGATATAGTGTTCCATGATGTGCCATTATTGTTGTCAGTGGACCATGAATCTTGTTTTTGTTGTTGTGATGTTGATGATGGTAGAGCATAGTCGAATCCTGGAGGTGGTGGTAATTGCGGGTTTTCAGAAGCTACTGGATAACGTCGTTGAGGTATGGAGCCAAATCCAGGTGGTGTCGTCATTGTTTTTGTTGAAGTCGTAGATGACGGAGGAGTTCTCTTTGTTGTGCGACTACTATCAAATCCAACGCGTTTTGGTGGTGGTGGTGAAGGTGCTTCGAATGTATCTGTCATCCATGAAGAAGGTACGTTAAGAGTCTGTTTCCCTCGGCTTTGTGGTTGTGATAATGGTTGATCCTGTTGTTCCCAAAATGGTGTTTCAATCAATGGTTGAGTACCCCAACCAGAATTAGTAGAAGTTGGAGGAGGTCGACGTATAGTTGTTGGTATTGTAGTAGGAATTTTCTTATTGTTTTGACGTATCGATGAATTAGTAGAAGTTGAAGTAGATAAATGAGAAGGTTTGTTTTTGTCTTTGCTGTCATTCTTGTTGCCAACGGAAGTTTTGTTTTTTGGAGCGCGTTTTTTGTTTTCACCTTTGGGTAGAGCACCACCTTTGAGTCTTTGTTTGAGAATAGCTTCTTCATCCACAGGAATATAATTTTTGCCTTTCCGATGGAGTCCACCGCTTCCAAGAGCACCTGCTTTGATTTTGACAGAAGGATCAACTAGAGAATTCCAACTTTTCGGTCCTGTAAGTTCATTTGTTTCTGAAGTAGGTGTGTTTTGTTGATTTTGATCACCCCAGCTTGAAATAGTAAGAGGTTCATATTCATCTTCACTACTATCACTTTCCATGGACAAGTATCTTGGAATAATTGTTCAAAGTGATAAAACAAAAGCACTAAAACAAAGAGAACTGGAAAAAGGAGAAAAAAAAAAAAAAAAAAAACCTCGAACCAAAACATAAAAAATTATAAAGTCCGTCCAATCACTTTGGAAGCATATCTTTGTAAGAAAGATCATACATCTCTTCAATAGCAAATAAAGACTATCTTAATTTCAATTGAAATAATGTTTTGTATATGATGATGATTATTCTCTCTTCATTACTCACTTTAGTTTTAAGTTGAATTGACTGTTATCTCCCTTTTAATACTGAACGTATATTGCCTTTCTACTGATTTTTTTGTATTTAAAATTATCATCTATAATGATGATAACAATAATAATAATAATAATAACGATAATAATGATATAGAAATTAAATAAAATAGAAAGAAATTTGATGATTTCGTTTTAATACATACAGTAATGAAAATAATCATCATCTTGTCTCGTTGCCTTTTTTGGTACCGGACTTTCAAGTCTTTTGTGAGATGAAATGTAGAGAACAACTGGCATTCTCATTTGACCTTCCTTTTTTAACTTTTTCAAATTATAATATGGGTACGTTACAATTAGATATCATAAACACAACGACTATCTCTCTCTATTTCGAAAGGATATGGAATCGATATTAAATGGATGATTGGATGGATGGATGGATGGATGGATGAATGAAAAAATGGACTGTGTGGACAAAATGTTCTACATTAGAGAGAATCATTGTCTAAGCTGTTAATTACAATTCTTAACTAATGACCATTTTCTTACTCTCATTGATATAGGTCAACCTAGTGGTTTGAATGCTGCTCGTAAGCTTCGCAACCATCGTCGCGAACAACGATGGGCTGATAAGCAATACAAGAAGCGTGCTTTGGGTACTGCTTTCCGCTCCAACCCCTTCGGTGGTGCTTCTCACGCTAAGGGCATTGTCCTTGAAAAGATGTAAGATATGAAAATATATTTAATATATATATTAACTCTTTTTTTTTAAATAGTGGTGTTGAAGCTAAGCAACCTAACTCTGCCATTCGTAAGTGTGTTCGTGTCCAATTGATCAAGAACGGTAAGAAGGTTACTGCTTTCGTACCCAATGATGGTTGTTTGAACTACGTTGACGAAAACGATGAAGTCTTGATTGCTGGTTTCGGTCGTAAGGGTCGTGCTATTGGTGATATTCCTGGTGTCCGTTTCAAGGTTGTCAAGGTTGCTGGTGTCGCCCTTATTGCTTTGTACAAGGAAAAGAAGGAAAAGCCTAGATCTTAGATAGTATACTCCATTCTTCTCTTCTTTTGTTTAGTACATCTCTTTATTTTCTTTTATTATGATCTATATATATCAATAAAATATTGCTGATGCTCTTTTTTTTCCTCCTTCATTATCCCTATCTCTCGTCGTGATAATTTATCTCTTTTATCAAATACGTATGTGAACCAGGCATCTCTTATTATATAACTACCGATCTTTTTTTTTTTTTTAACTAATAATCATGAATATTAAAAAAAAAAAAGACAAATCCATTCTATTCACTTTCAAATCAAGCAAGAATAACAAGATGAAATCATCAATCATATATGGGAATTATCATCACCAATGGTAGCACATTCTCTTGCCATAAAAGATATTATAGTATCAACCACGCATTGTAAAGAAAAAAAAAAATAAACAAGCAGTAACCTACCCTAAAAAAAAGAAACCACATCAAATCCTGAATCACAACATTTTTAAAGAGACAATAGAATATAATAAAATGTATATAAAAATATCAAACGTTTATTTATTTATTTATCATCCTTATCATCCTTCTTCTTTTCCTTCATATCTTCCAAAGCTTTTTGAATACGAGCATCGTTTGCATCCACACCTGGTAATGATCCAAGTACTGCTGACATCATTTCTTGATTGGCTTCACCATTATTATCATTCATGGACATTTCCAAGGCACGTTGAAGTTCTTCATCTTCATCCATCTCATCCATATCTACATCTTCGTCCTAATAAAAAGAAAATAACAACACAATTTATTATCATTTTCTTTTTCAAATATATCATTGATCTTTACCTCCACCTGTGATTGGTTCATTGACAAGGCCAAAGCAGCTTGTAATTCCGCATCTTCTGGACTGATATCTTCTTGTTGTGATTGTTGTTGTTGAGATGATGATGAATCCACTGCCATAGCATCACTTGACCCAGCTGCTTTTGATGGTTCTCCATTACTTGATTCTTTCTTTGAAGCAGCTTCTTGACGAGCTTTTTCTTCTTCAAGTGAAATACGTAAAGCCTATATTTAATTATCATCAGTTAACAACCCGTTTATACATATACATGTTTTCACTTTACCAAGGCCAATTCAGGGTCGAGATTGGGATCAATACCAAATTCAAAGCCCTCACCACCAGTAGCGAAACCACCAGGAGCACCATCTTCACCAGAGATAATAGGAGTGGACATTAACATATCACTCAAGATATGAGGACCAGGGGGAATAGATACCAAATGACTATTATTAAAAAAAAAAGTCATGTTAATACCACTCTTGCTTACTTTTCCTTTTTTTTTTTTTAATACCTGTTATCACTGTTGTTGACATTATTGATAAATGCTTCCAATTTGGGGGTGTTTTCTGCTTCTTCGCCAAAGTTGATGATATCAATAGCCACGTTATTCTTTTTGAGTTTCTTTGCTAGTCGTACTAAGGTTCGTTCATCAGTTTCCACAGGACTTCCAACAAAAACAATCACTCGTTGACGTTGATTTCTATTTTGTCGATGTTTCAATGCAAGCTATCCAAAAGAAAAAAAAAATTGAGAAACTATATTATTCTTTTTTCCTTTTTTTCTGTATTTTACCTGAGCAATCTGCACACTGGTCAAAAAATCACTTTTTCCATTAGATTTAATACTATGCAAAGCCGAGAGGATCTTGCCAACATCCGAAGTCAAAGTCACCAAAACCTCTGGGCTCTTTCCAGCCATGGTCATCAAACCAACAGTGTTTTCAGGATTGGATTGTGTTTTAGCATTAAATATAAGATTTACAGCTTCGTTTTGAGCTACCAACCTAGTAGGAGTATAGTCACCGTTACGCATCCATTCTGAATTATCCACCCTATAATATGTCATCAGTATCTTTTATTTTTTAACATCTACCCTTCTTTTCTCCTTTCAACTTACACAATCATAGAAGCTTCCATCACCATTGTTATATTGAAGTTTTATAGATAGATATATGTTCAGTAAAAGATAAGGATCAAAAAAAAAGAAGATATAAAAACAAATCGTAGATCTTTCAGAAAAAAAAAAATAGTACGTGGATAAGAAAGAGAAAGAAAAAAAAAAAAAAATTAGGTGTACACCTCACCGCGTAATATGACATGACGTTCTTTTTTTAATAATGTTTGGTGGTAGAGACAGCAGATTGAAACACCGCTGTTCCACTCGTTGACATGTAACAACGCTTTATATATTACAACAATGTGTTTTTCTCTTTTTTTCATTTGATGATCATCACCAGTCATCATCACAGTTTAGAATATGAGTAATTATATAGAATGATCATCATCGTAAGAATGTGATCATTATAGAGCCTGATTACGGTAGGATGATCGCCATCAAACAATCATGATGAGTGCTATCCATCATCCACTTTTTTCAACTAATACACCCTTCTTTAATCATCATTAAATAAATAATAACATATATAGCGTTGTTGAATACCAAAATAGCAATGAACACACTGTAAGCCATAGAAAGGAGTAGATAACCTTTATATTGAAACTGAACAACGGGTTAATAGTTTATGATGGTAGCTAGACTGACTCTGATTGCTAACACCAATAATGTGTATGTATGAATGGAAAGACGATGATATCAATTGGTGAAATGAAAAATATGAGTTGGATAACAGATCAATCATTTCAATCAAAGGAAGGAATATTCAGCGATTTGAGTAGATAAGTGATATTTCATGATGCAGTGTCTATATTCATTCTCTAGAGTGTTTCTTTTTTTTTTTTATTATATTGACATCACAAGGAAAAATCAAATTGATATTGATGATGGTGATGAGTCTTATGATAATACTTATGACGTTGATCGTGATGATGAATGATATTCATGATGACGCCTACGATGATGCCTACAATGAGTCGTATAACGATGGATTGTCTTTTGTGTCTATTTTTTTTCTTTTGTCTCAATTCAAAGGTAATAAGGATAAACATCACTTGGACAATGTGGAGAATCAAACTTGTAAACATGTGAATCGAATCAAGAAAAAAAAAAAGAAGATTTTTTTTATTTATTTTGGATATGACTAAAATATATTGTATATATATAACTAATAGGATAAAACTGGACAGGATAAAGATGAGGAACTAACCATAGGAGGAGAAAGGAAGAAGGGAAACAAAAAAAAAAAATGGGGGAGATAGATTTAATCAGACTTGCTTGCACTAGATGCTAAATCATGAACTTTTTCCTTCAATTCATGAGCATGTTTATCTACCGAGTTTCGTGTATTCAATAAAACAGGACGTAAGAACCGACCATACAATAGTTCAGCACCCTAAAACAAATAAACAAATAAATCCATAATCTATTCATCCATCATAATAACTTACTCTGAATTGAGGTAAAACAAGGTAAAGTACAAATAAAGTTTTGAAGAGATAATAAAAAGGAAACCAGTATAATAAAATATCAGAAAAGTATTCGAGGAGTTGCACAAATCCAATCACAGTCCAATAAGTCAACCATTGTTTATCATCATTATTGCCTGGACTTTCAATAGCCTTGAAAGAAGCATAAGCTAAAAAAAATTAAAAAAATAATAAAAAAAAAAAGTTTAGTTCATTATTATATAAAATATGAATCTTTTTACCAGGATAAATCCAAGAGATAACATTAGTCAAGAGTTGACCAGCAATGTTAAAGAAAATCATGATAAACGCAATACCACCAACACCAAGAGCAAAATAACTTTTTGGTACTCCAGTACGACGTTCCACTTGATTCATATAATACGATTTACCAAGTTCTTTATCCAGAGTAGATAAATAATGTTGAAATTTCACTTGAGCACTTTGAATAGATGAAGCCATATTGAAAAAAGAATAGGAAAGAAAGAGAAAGAAAAAAAAAAAATGAAACGCACTTTCTGTCTCGTGTACAAAAAAAAAAAAGACTCTGCTGACATTAAAAAAAACTCGCCTATTCATTCTTATGCTTGAACTCACTTGGTGTAACATCACACAGATATTATCAAGGATGATCCTATTTGTTCATATGATCATCCATCCTTTTTATTTTTCTTTTTTATTTTTTTTAAAAGAAAATGAAATTCAAACCAAAAAAAGAAAAATGATGATATTTTTTTCCACTTGTCAAAAAGAGAAAAAAATCCACTTTCACTTACTTTTCATTCCAAATCCAACCTTTTTATCATTTTACATTCGGTTCGGTTTATATTAAATCATCATAATTGAATATTTCGTGATAGTGATGAATGATATGTTTGACTATATATATATGATGTAAAGAAGAAGGATGATATCAGTAATTTCGATCACACTTGTGTTATCCATAATACTCACCATTTGCATACATTTCTATGATATCAATTCTTTTTTAATATTAACAAATACAATTCTATTATATAGATAAATAAAAAAAAAAAAAGAGGTGTTCTTTTTCTTTATTATAAGTATGCTCTCTAACCATCAAGTTGCAAAAAAAAAGGTATATAATTTAGAAAAAAAAAAAAAGGAATGGACATCAAAATAAAATACAATGAGTAAAACTATCAAGAGAGAAAAAGAAGGAAATCTATGTATCCAATGAGGAGATTCTATCTAGTTGGAATAAGACTTGATAACTATCATTATCGGGATCATTCATTGAGCCTTGAAGAACGCCTTCTCTAGTATTGGTACAACGAATGTTTTTGCCACGAATCAACTGATCCACTTGACCCTACAGAAAAAAAAAAAAATAGTTAATCTCCATAAAAAAAAAAAAAAAAAAGAATCAATCTTATTACCGTAATGATATTTCTCACTTCAATAAAACCTGGTTCAAAGACAAGGACATAAGGATAAGATAATGCAAAGGCATCCGGTTCTCCTTCCCATTCCATAATATGACTTGATCGAATCCATCTGCCTCGTTGATCTACAAAGAAGCCAAATTCTAAAAAAAAAAAAAAAAAATATCAATTATCTTTCCTTTTTTTTTTTTTAATTTTTCTTACCATTATAGCAAACAAGGTATTCTGCAAATTGAACACGGAAAATGGTGATAGGTCGAATATCTTGTCTTGAAAAAACAAAATCCAATTCTTCATCTTCAGGATCTAGTAATGCTTGTACACCAAAGGATTTCATATCCACCACACCAATTTCTCTAGGACAGGAAATACACATTTTGCTTTTGAGAAGACTGATGGCTGATGCTTCGCTTGGTAAATAAAGATCCTTGTAAGGTTTCAATCCCACCGGCCCATTACGTACCAGACGTCGAATACTAAAGCCGGTTTTGGTTTTCTTGCTTTCATCCGTGGCAATTGGTTCCAGGACACGAATCGTAGTTGTAGCTAAAGTGTTTGGTTTGGCAATACATACCATGGTCTTGTTGATACATTCGCCCACATGGAAAAATGCTGTGTTGGTGCTAATCGTCCGTCCTTTTTTGATGCTGAGTGGTTTGTTGTCTGATGTATCCAAAATATCGTCCAAAGGAAATGTCCATAATGTCTTGTCCGCTAATACCAGGAGTTGTGCATCTTCCATCACTTCAATTTGGGAAATTCTATCCAGAGGAATGACCCGCTTCATCGTCGATAATTGCCCATCTTCTTCTTCATCGTTGTTGTTGATCCTGACATATACTCCCATATCCGTGCCAACCAACATGGTATAATTGTCTTGTTGTTGACCTTCTTTCTTTGTTTGATCAGTTATCATGATAGAGTCATGCACTCGGTTACTTGTTAAAAACTGCCGAATGACAATATATCGTACAGTAAACACACTTTTTTCCATGGATAATGCCTGCTGTTGTTGAAGAATCTTTTCTGTCCAAGTTTTGCGTGCCGATATGTTGGAAACAAATAATGTGATCGGTGGCGATCCTTTTCTTCCATGATGATAAAATGTAATACTACTTGACGTATTTGATTTCATGGCCAAAAGATTGTCTGATGTAGAAGCACGAGGCAGTGAGGAATGAGAATTGGAATGGCTAACACTGGATCGACTATATGATAAAAGAGTACTTGCACGTTTTGCTCGATTGTTGTTCACCACTGTGGAAATCGTCAATAGTTCAAGTGGTATTGGCTTTGGGAAGAGAGATTAAAGAAAAAATAAATAAAGATATGTTAATAAAAAGAATATTGTATGTTAAATGGTTTACCTTTCTGTACACCTTGTAGTATTCTAGATGATCGTGATACTTGATTTTTGCAAAGATAAGATAGTGATCAAATAAGAAAACTTGTAGATCTGATGCCTCTGATGAAGTATTGCCCTTTCTCTTCATTCGTCCTTGAATGATCAGTTGTCGTTGGGGATCTCGCAGCCTCAAATCCTAATAATAATAATAATAATAAAAAAACCCCCATCCATTATCTATTGTATCCTTGGATCTATTTTCATTTTTGAACTTACCACATATTCAGCTGATGATTTGAAGGATAATCGTTCTTCAATTTGTTGCAAGTTGAATATATTTTCACATTTTCCGGTTTCAGTGTTGACTTGAAGCAGATAATCAGTAATAATATCCATCACCTTGGGAATTGTTTCATAATCTGAATTTTCTTTTGGTGTTCGTTTCCATATTTCACGTAATAGTAAATTGTATCTGAAGAATCAACAAAAAAAAAAAAAAAAAAAAGATCAGTCATCCATACTCTATCTATTTTTTTTTTCTTGGGGAGAGGGTGGATGCTTTACTTTCCAAGTCTAGTAGTAGGTTTTGTCAGATAGCCATTGAGTTCCAGACGCTTTGATTCAGGTAATCGTTCTGTATTTTGGACAAACTGAGCAAATACTGGATTCCGTTTCTTTTCCAATTCAAACTTAAACTTGCCAATGATTTGATGGGCACCATAGGCCACAAAAGGATCAAAATGAGATACATGATTAAGAAGAATATCCCCAACATGTTGTATCACATGTTGTTCTTTTTGCAACGCTAATAATGCTTGTGAGAGGACAGTATTCACCTTTTCCACATCCGCCATGTTCCAAAACACCTCTTGTACAAAATGTTCTCGACGTTCATCAGGAATAATATCTTGAGTAATCAAAGGTTTGACCCAATACTATACAAATAATAAAAAGAAATTACTATCTATATGGTTTAATTCTTGATTCGAACTTACGTTATGCACATATTGTAAATCCTTCACAAAATTGGCCTCTGTGTAAATCAATTCATATATACATTCTTGACGTTTCCTTTCTTCTTTTGATGTAGCATCCACAATGGCCTTTGGTACAGAATGAATCCAAAGATTACTTTTTTCTTCCTAATAGACCCATTAAAAAGAATTAACATTCGATTATCTATTTATGTTCTTTCTTTTTGATTACCTTTTCTTGTAAAGATGACTGACTAATAGATCGTTTGACCAGCTATATATATATATAGGACCCAACATAACAAAAGAAATAGAAAGAGTTAGTTTTTCCTCTATGACATAAATAAATACCATTCTTTCCTTTCTTACCTTTCCTTTTCTTGGACAATGTATACTATAACAACCTTGACCCCTAGCACAGGTGGGTGAGTAACAGTTGGTGAGTAAGGTAAAGATTCCATTAGGTAGTTCTTTCTTGTCGTCTATGTATAGGAAAATAAGTGTTAAAAGTTTCAAATACATACCCAAGTTGGTTTTATAATCCTTTACTTTCATCCATATCTCTAGTTCGAATTGGAGAATCTTCATCAGTTTTGACTGCGTTTGATGTTTGACCAAGGGAAGAATCCAAATGATGTCTGAATTGATAGATTTTATCACGAGAATCCCGAAGATGATGTTCATAGGTGACATCATGGAAAAAATGCTGATGATCTAAAGCACGACCAACCAAAATCCCAAGATTTCGATCATTAGTACGAAGAATTTGTAATAAGCATTCCTATCCCATAGAAAAAAAAAAAAAAAGAAACGAGAAATTAAACAAATGAAAAGAAAAAGGCTTCCATCCATCAAGTAAAAAAAAAAAAATAGTCATCTTGCCTTACCACAGCTTCCTTTCCATTAAATGTATGAGGATATTCAATATCGTCCTTAAATAATGTTTGTACAGGTAATCGTTTATAGAGTTCTTGAGCAACGCGTGATAATAAAGCTGGGTACAGTTGTGAAGTGGAGACGGATGATGATCTTGAAGGATTGCGTTGTAAAGACAATAAGGATGGATTAGTGTGAGTAGATAATGATGTTGAATAATATGCATGAATGGATTTTCGTTGTTCTATATGTTTGGCTTGTTCCATTGTGATACCAGTAGTAACCATAGTCAGAGTAGTAACTGGATCATCATCATCATTTCTACCTTGTTGTAGTGATACCGGTAATTGTTGTTGCTGTACTTGGTCATTGGAAAACGAAGATGATTGATAGTTTTCAGGTAAAGATGATGATACTGTTTGAATGATATCTAAAAATAACATTAAAGAAAGCAAAAAAAAAAAAAAAAAAAAAAAAAAAAAAGAGTGGTCAGTTACCAGTAGCACTAATATATATATATATATATATATATATATATATATATCATAAGAAATTCTTACCACCAACGCTTCCTTTTCGCCAATAAGTACGTTCGCGCTCTTCAGCCATAATTGTTTCAGATAATGATGGAGTTGGTGTTGGCCATGTATCCGATGGTCGACCATTCGTATCGTTGTCGTTATCATCGTAAACAGCTGGGGTGACAGGAGAAAATACAGTACTATCATCGTCGTCTTCTTTGATAGGTGCATAGGTATTGATGGGAATGGGTGTTTCAGGTCCAGTTTTCAGTTTGGTGGTATGAGTTGAGGCTGTGTCCAAAGATGTATTGAGAGACTTTAAAGGAGTTGTTCCATAAAGTGAGGAGTTGGATGATGTGCTGGATAGAATGGGACGCGTACAATTGATAGTGGAAGGAGGTCGATCGCCAAAGTAAAAGTCTTCATCATCATCGTCTTCCTTGCGTTTGTCATTTGTATTGTTCGTTTCTGATGAATGTGTTGTTGTTGTTTCAGGTAATGGTGAAAGTAAAGGAGAAGTGAATTCCTTTGAAGTTGAGTGAATGGTAGGTAGACTGCTCTGTAGGTTCAAGTTGGAAGAGGTAGTTGTAGTGTGTACATCGTAAGTAGTGGTTGGTAGTAATGGTGAATTACTATGAACAGCTGCTATTGTTGTAGTACCTGATGATATTGTCGGTGATGAAGAGGACAAAGCGACAGTAGCACTGCGAGTAGGTGTTTTGTATCCGGTGGTATTAGTAATAATATCAGAAGATAAAGAAGGAGAAGCAGGAGAAGAAGAAGTAGAAGAAGAAGAAGAAGTAGTAGTGAAAGAACGAGCAAGCCTATCTGGAGGAGGATAAAGTAAAGAAGAACCAATACGTCTTGTAGGTAGTCTTTGACGATTAGCACGGTTTTGACCAAAAGCAGCCAAGCTTTGTTTTCGTACAGGAAGCTTTTGTTGAACATAACTTTTCCTTATAGAATCTGGTATAGGACCACCATCATAATCCAATTGAGTTGATTCCAGAGCATAATGTGATGAAGTAGTATTGAGTTGAGTTGTAACAGAAGGTGAAGAAGGAGGACTTGATTCATTCAATTGTTCAGAGGATGAATGTTCAGAGTTGACAGTCTGAGCATTTATATTAAAATTCATAATAAATAGTTCACCATAGAAAGTAAGAAAAAGAAGAAGAAGAAGAAAAGAGAATGAACTAAAAAAGAAAAAGTAAATTTTTAACTTACATATTGAGATGAAGCCCTTTTTTAGGAAAAGGCTCAAAGCGGAATCCCAAATACAAAGATTGATAGAAACCGTTTGTGTGGAAAACCAAGAAGGTTAATTCATCTCACCATAAAAAAAAAAAAAAAAAAAAAAAAAGAGAGAGAGAGAGAGAAATCCATTCATTTTTATTTTTATTTTTTATTTTTATGAATTTAATTATAAGAATCTATATTATTTAAGGTAAATGTAAAATGAAAATAAAACGTTTTACAGTTGCAATCTTTCCCCTTTTTTGATGCACTATCCGGGTCTGACATTGAAAACACTATATAATTTTTTTTTCCTCTCGTTCACTGCATTTTCTTCTTCTTCTTCCACTATTACTATTGTTTTCCTTCTTACCTTTTTGTACCATGCCTATTCAGTTTGGTAGTCATGCTTTAAATCAAGAACATCTGGAAAACCTACGTTATTATAAATATGCTGCAGTTGACAAGTCTTTGATTTCTAATTATATTTTACGTCATTATTGGAATGCTATGGTTCACTTGTTCCCGCGTTGGATGGCGTAAGTTACTTTTTTATGAGGTTGAAACAGAGGATTTATTTTATTTATGTTTATTTATTATTATTTTTTTATGATAGACCTAATTTGATTACTTTGCTTGGTTTAGGCTTCATGATGATAAACGTATTATTCATTATCATTTATGTTCCTGATCTTGGTACGGAAGCTCCTAGTTGGTTATATTTCAGTTTTGCTGCTGGACTTTGGTTATATTCTACTTTTGATAATGTCGATGGAAAACAAGCTAGAAGAACTGGTACAAGTAGTCCTTTAGGTGAATTATTTGATCATGGATGTGATGCTTTGAATTGTACCTGTGTGGCTTTGTTACAAGCAGCTGCTCTTGGTTTGGGTCACTCTTTTTCCACGGTTGCTCTTGTTTTGGTAACTATTGTCGGTTTTTATTTGTCTACAGCTGAAGAATATTTTACTGGAGGTAAAAAAAAAAAAAAAAAAAAATTATGATAAAAAAAAAATGATGTATTGATGAACGTTTTTTTTTTTTTTTTCTTTTTGACTTGATTAGTACTGTACCTGGGAATTGTAAATGGTCCTACTGAAGGCATTTTGGTCTCTTGTCTTGCTTTTATTTGGTCAGGCGTCTATGGTAAATCACAAAACAAAGGGAAATAAAGAAGGATGTTTAACTATATTTTTTTTTGTTTAACGTTGCACAGGTGCTTCGTCATGGCATGTACCTTTATCTGCTGTCTCAAGGTTATCATGGATTTCATCTCATCTCCCAAATGGAACTTGTTTTGCTGATATTTTTGTATGGGGAATGATTCTCTTTTTCTTGATTACCCATTGTCCTTTTTGGTAAGTTAATGAAAAGGAACATTATATATAAATGATGATTGACAAGTTTTATTATTAGTTTCGCTTCTATTTATACAGTGTGTCAAGAGAAATCATTAAAGTTGTCCCATGTTTTACTCACCATCTTATACCCTATCACTTTGTACTCGCTTGCTATCTATCTCTGGGTATCATCTCCTTATAGTCATTTATTTGAAAATCAAGATATTATTCTTTTCTCATTGACGATCGGAATCTTATTTGGTATGATGGCATCTGATATCATTGTAGCCCATCTGACACGCAACGAATTTCCTCCATTCAAGGTATCTTTGGGTTTATTATGGACTATGGCCTTACTTGTTAACCTGCCTTTCCTTCGAACGTAAGTTGTTGTTTTTTTTTCCTTGTGTTTTCTGATGAATGATTTGAATTGATTTTTTTTTTTTTTTTTTTTTTTTTTTGCATCTAGCCATATCATCACGGCAACATCTGAACATATTCTCTTATGGATTCTTTTCCTTTCACTGGTTGTTCTGTATTTAGTGTGGGCGACAAGGATCATTCAAGCATTTTGCAAATACCTTGGTATTAACTGTCTTACAATCCGTCATACAAACCAGACTATACCTCGTTCTACTGAAGGTAATAAAAAAAAACCAGACGGAAATAAATTGATCTAAGATACTAATCATGATTTTAATAATTAATAGAACATGTGGAATCAGATGCACTTTTGGATCAACAGGAACAAGGACAACAAGCATCCACATCAACGAACGGCAACAACAAATCGTATAGTACATTTGAGTAGGACAGTCTTGATCTGGATCATCAACTTTGTATTATTCTTTTTATATTTATTTTTATGATGATATTATTTTTATGATGATACCTCTATTTATTCTCTATTTATTATACTTTTACATCAATATGTTGAATACCCGCGTACATATTGTAACTAATAAAGAAATGGAGTATTCTTTTTTTTTTTTTTTTTTTTTGGACATGATTTTTATTTGACTGGACTGTCTTGTCTATTTTATGTATTTTTACACTATATGTAGGCAGTAAATCATCAAACATTTGACAGAATGGGACTTTGCAACTAGACTATTTTATTGATATATTTAGACAAATGGGTTTGGGTTCATTTTTATTCAAATTGAGAAGATGTATACAAAGGATGAATTAAAAAAAAAAAGGGGGGGGAATGGATCCTAATAAGTGATAGAAAAAAAAAGTGTTACTATAACATACTATAAAAAAGAGGTGTGTATATATAAATATGATAATTAAAAAAAAAAAAAAATTAAAGGGAAAGGTCACTAATCTATTTGGGTTGAACATTGACACGAGCAGTGATACGTCGAGGATCCAAGGATTCAGGTTCCAAAGAAGGAAGCAAGTAAGAGATATCATCCCAAGGATGTCGGTATAGGCCTTGCTTGAGACGCTTTTGATCCAAATGATGACCGATGAAACCAAGAGTACGACCTAATACAAACAGACCATTCAAAGTACCAATACGCATGTATTCTTCGGCTTCTTCAGGGGTGAATGCATTGGATTCACGTAATAAGTCCACAAATGATACCGCAATACAACCATCCACATTGAGAATCAAATTATCCTTCTTGCTAGTAGTAATTTCTTCCACCTTCAAAGCATAATCCAAGATAGGAGTGTTGGGGAAGTTCTTCTTGACATAGGATTTCACCAATTCCACACGCATATCGGGGTTAGTACGAGATTTGATCTTGTGTCCAATACCAGGAATCAATTTGTTAGCCTTTCGCATGGATGTCACGAATTCACGAGGGGTCATGCCACTGTCATATGCCTTTGTGAAACTAGTAGCAGCACCATCCAATGCACCTCCAAATCGTTCACCGATGGTCAACAAACCAGATACTACTGATGAAATCAAATCCTTTCCAGCACGAGTAGTGATGATGGTATTCATAGCCTAAAGATATTAAAATAATAAAAATAATAAATTTTAATACCTTTTTTTTTTTATCTTTTTTTTTTTTTCCTCTCTGAATATATATATATAACTTACACCAGACACAGCAGGACCATGATCAGCTGTCAACATAAGTACCATTTCAATAAACTTGCCAGCATAATCAGGTAAGCGACGCTTGAACCAAAGAAGAGACAAAACACCACCAATACCAATATCATCTTTGAAAACATCAGTAATACGCATACCTGCATACAAAAGTTCTTGACCACGATCATCAACAATAGTAGAGACAAAACTAGCAGGTTTACGAACCAAACCTAATTCTTGAGCCCAGGAGTAATCAATAGGAATCTTAGGAACTTCAGGTTCAGCACGAGGAATCACAATACCATCTTGAACAAGTTTAGTAAAAGTATCGGCTAAAGCTTGAGGCATCAATTCAAAAGTGTCAGGAACAACGATACCAGCAGCACGCATAGCCTTGTTCTTAGCATCAGCAGTTTCGAGATCAGAGTTAGCCATGGCACCAGCGTGACCGAATTGGACATCAGTTGTGAACATCTTGGCACAAGTACCGATACACCAGGCAACCACTGGTTTCTTGATTGTACCATTGCGAACAGCTTCAATCACCTTGTATTCTTCTACACCACCCACTTCACCAAGTAACACAAGCATCTTACAGTTAGGATCTTGTTCGTAACGAAGTAAATGATCGATGAAAGTAGATCCAGGATAACGATCACCACCAATAGCCACACCTTCATAAACACCATCAGTAGTACGGGACACAATATTGTTCAATTCATTGGACATACCACCAGATTTGGATACGTATGCAACGGAACCAGGTCGATAAAGCTTAGAAGCCACAATGTTATCCATCATACCACCAGTATTACCGATCTTGAAACATCCAGGCTTGATACCACCAACAGTAGCAGGACCAATCACGAGTACTTGACGACGTTCAGCTTCATGTAAGAGTTGACGAGCACGACGTTCAGGTACACCTTCAGCGATGATGGCGATTGTCTTGATTTGAGAGGAATAAGAGAAGAGTTCACGAGTAGATTCATAGACAGAGCGACAAGAGGCAAAGTTCACAACCATATCAACTTCAGGGAATCGTTCAACAGCTTCTTTGAGAGAGGTGAAAACAGGAATCAATGTTTCCTTGGTACCCCAGTAGAATTTTTGCACATGAGAACCACCAAAGGGATAAACCATAGCAGCCACAGAAGGAGCTTCACGCTTACACATAAAATCAAAATCAAGCATACCTTGGACAGCACGAGGTTGCATACCATATACAAAAGCACGAGTCTTGCTGGTGAAGGGACGGTACCATTCACGGGTTTCACTTTGACTGTTATCGAAGTATTGCATACGATTGCTGATATCAGAAGGAGTAGCGTTATCATCGGCGATCTTGAGTTTTGGACTGTTGGCTTGAGAAACAGGGGTCGAAGTACCGAGAAGTTGATCTTGGAATAAATTACCAGAAGAAGCACCATTACCAGCAGAGACAGCACCATTAATATCAGAAGATTTACCAACAAGAGCCAAAGGTACAATTTCAGTGATATGAGTTTCGGGACCAAATACTTGAATTTCCACACCAAGAGTTTCACCCAATTGACGCATGGCACGAAGACCTTCTTGATAGTTAGGACCACCACGACGGATGAAAATACGAACCTTATGATTAATCAAAGCACGCTTGAATTCAGTCAAAGCACGAATAATACCCTTGAAAGTAGTAGCGACATTGGTGAAATTAGCAATACCACCACCGATAAAGAGAATCTTGCCTTGAGGATTAGCATCACCACGAGTCATCAAGTCCAAAATAGTCTTGGCATATTCATAAGTTTGAGTTTCAGTAGGAGCACCAGAGTATTCACCATAGTTTGCCAATTCATTTGCATAACCAAGAGCAGCAATAGCATCAGAATAAACAACAGAAGCACCACCACCAGCAACCATTGTCCAAACACGACCATCTTTATTGAGTACAGTCAATTTGAGAGAAGCACCTGTCTTACCATCCAATTCTTGAATATAAGCTTCTTCCTTTGTTAATTCCCGACCAAAAGGAGCAGGGAAAACCATGGGGGGACCTTGATCAACATGTTGTTCAGAAGTGACGACACCAGTGTTTTGAGGAGAACGAGCGATTGCCCATTTAGGACCAGCTTCGAATTCAGCGGTTTGATCCAACTTGGCAGCCAAATCCAAATACATAACTTGAGGAGTTTGACCTTCAACAGGATCAGTAACGACTAGAGGATTGATTTCCAAATAAGTGAAATGTAAATCAACATAGACAGCATAAAGACGAGTAATAAAGTCCACCAAGACATCACGTTTGAATTCGGGTACATCTTTCAAAAGAGTTTCCTTGATAGTAGAAGGAGAGGGAAATTCTTCATCGACCTTGACAAGTAACTTGAGAGCTTTAGCATCAACATCACCAACATCAATACCACCTTCATGAGTAAATAAGATATTATCACCATCACGTTCAGAATTGATACAGATATAATATTCAGTATTAGAAGGATGAGGAGTAAAAGGTTCCACCAAGAAAGTTTTCAATACACCGGTCGTTCTTTCAATCTAATAGATAGATTAACATTAGTTCATCTGTCAGCAATATCCTTTTTTGTACCCAGATCTTTTTGATTAACCTTTTTTTTTTTTTTTTTTTTTTTTTTTACCTGAATTTCTTTGCCAGCACGTTCTTCAATCCATTGACGAGCTTCAGACCAAGATTTATTCAAAGTTAATAAACCGTGTTTTCCACGTCGTTTGATTAATTGATCAGGTTTGGCCACCAACTTGTCTGTTAATAACCAAGGATGAGATTGTTCCAAAAGATCCAATTGTTGTTTTAAAGCAGTTTCAAAAGTACCTGGACCAGCTTGTTTAAGAGAAGTATCCACATTAACTTGAGCCAACTTGGTAGCAGCAGGTGTGAATAATGATGTTTGTTGGTCATTTGATAACAAAGGAGCACGTAACAAGTGATAAGCTAATAACAACTTGCCATCATATTCTCTAATAGGTTTGGCAGACATGGTTGTAATAAAAAAAAAAAAAGAAAAGATGGATGAGAATGAAGAAAAAGAAAAAAAAAAAAAAAAAGGAAAGAAAGGTAGATAAAAAGGTAAAAAATTTAAATGGTTGAATTTCATTTTTTTTTTTTTTTTTACGCACCCCCCAACAAAAAAAAAAAAAAATGAGGAGACTGTCAGTCAAGATGGATGATTCGGCATATCAAAAAAAAGTACCCTCTACACACACACACACACACACACACCCCTCTCTCTCTCATTATCTCCCCCAGCTCAACTGATACGCTAAAAAAAAAAAAAAATTCGGCTGTCATGCCATTATCACTCTCAAAAATATGACTTGTCAAACTCCAAAGGCGGGCCATTTCCTAATTTGGTATCCATCCGAGGAACCTTGTTCATGGATCGACTTTCACTTGTTGAGACCCCAAAAGGAGGGGATGGCAGACCATTTAAGACTTTCAATTCCCCCAATCAATCATTATGATAAGACAAAACTTGGATATGACTAAAAAGATATAACGTTATTTATTTCAATTGTTTTTGATTTCATTTAATTTTTTATTTTTTTTTTTTGATAAGATGAAAAAGGGACATAATATGCTTAAAAAAAAAAGGTTGAAAAAAGATGACTATATAAAAGAAGTAAAAAGAAAAAAAAATTAAAAGAGAAACTACCATGCAAAGAGAGAGAGAGAGATATAAAAAAAAGAAAAAAGAAAAAAGCATAATAAAGAAGAATACAGAATGTGTGTGTGTGAGAGAGAGAGGGAGATAAATAAAAGTAAAAAAAAAACCAAATTAAAGGGGAAAAGAGAAGAAGGGAGAATATGACTAGTAATGATGTAGTGTGATTCAAACTAAACAAGCTTTCTTTTTTTTTTTTCTTGGGAATAAGGGGAAGAATGATTCAATCATAAAAGGAATATATAAAGAATAGGGAGAATCAATAGGTGTAGGAGTTTGTATGGAGAATCAAAAAAAAAAAAAAAAAAAAAAGAAAAGAAAAGAAAAGAAAAAAAATGGAACATAAAAAAAAAAAGAAAACCAAACTAAACTAATGAATCAAAAAAAAAAGGTATATATAAATAAAAGAATGGAGTAATCTGTTCAACAGCCCACGGATTCAGAAGAAGACCAAGGTAAAGAAGAGACTACATCAGAAGGTGAATAACTATCTATTGTAGAACATGTAGTAGAATAACTTGATGAATGATTGTTCATATTCGGAGATGTAAAGTCATCCATCACTGATCTTGGAGATACTGAAGAAGAAGAAGAAGAAGAAGAAGAGGATACACTTTGTCGTTTGTCCGCACGATTTTGATGAGTTTTCATATGTTGAGCCAAGTTGTCAGATCGAGAAAAATGTTTGTGACATTTTGGGAAAGTACAAGCAAAAGGTCGTTCCAAAGTATGAATTCGCATATGTCGTTTCAAATGTTCCAACCGCTTGAATCGTCTTTGACATTGAGGCATAGCACATACATGAGATTTTTGTTGTCCACTTTCCACCATTGTACCATCATTGTTGTTATATTGTAATAAAGTTGACCGACATTTTCGTTGTTTCTTGGTTGTACCATTGTTGTTATTATTGTCATTACCCCCAGTAGTTGTCAATTCAGAAGGAGATTGTATCATACTTGTCGTTGTTGTTGTATTAAATCCAGTATAATGTTGACCTAGTTCTCCTTGGAAATCATAGGTAGGAGCAAGTGTTGTTGTCCCAAACATGGAGGAGGAAATTTGATCATGATTCAATAAAGAAGATACCCCACCTCCATTCAGAGTCATACAAGGTTGAGTTGAAGTCATTGAGGAATAATGATCGTGCATCTATAATTAAAAAAAAAAAAAAAAAAAAAAGGAGAAAGGTTAAGTATTTTTTTTTCCTTTTCTTTTTAGTAATGTTTCTCCCTATTTTGATAAAAAAAAAAAGTCGTTCCAAGAACTTACCTCGTTGTTGAATGAACGTTGATCATAAATATCCTGATAAGGTAATTCAAAAGGTTTGTTATTGAAAACAAAAGGTTGAGTTGAAGAAGGGAAAGCATGAATCAATTCTTGTTGAGTGGAAACAGTAGAAGCGGAAGAAGAAGAAGTAGAAGTAGCCATTGTTGCACTTAAATTAGTTTCTGCGACGGAGTTGGATTTCTTAGAATTGCGTCGACCAGTAGCAGAAGGTAATTGTTGTTGACCAGAAGGAGAAGATGCTTGCTTTTTGATATGAGTACGATAATGAGCATGAAAGTTGTCAGAACGACTAAAACTTTTACCACAACCAGGGAAAGCACAAACATGAGGACGTTCACCAGTATGGACCAACATATGTCGTTTCAAATGTTCATATCGCTTGAAACTCCATCCACAATAAGAATACTTGCAAACATGTTTATGAGGAGCATTGGGACCATGTTGATAATGTTGAGCAGATCGACGTTTATTCTTGTTATTCGTAGAAGGATCCTTTGTCATGGAAGCAGTAGTCAAAGTTTCATCAGATGATGGAGAAGAGCTACCCGTCAAATAATCATAATCATGTTGTTGAGACATATAACCTTGATGATTTCTTTCATCATGATGATGATCGAGAGTTGTTCCTTGATGTTGCTGCACGCAATCATCCACTGACATGGCTGAACACGAGCTTCGTCTGTATGCATCTTGATCATGCATCAATGTAGGATGAGCGTTGAATCCAAAAGGTCCCACATCCACAGAATATTTTCGTTTGAATTGTTGCATAGGATCCATCATGTTGGAAGGCGAAACAGCTGGTGTCAATGGAGGTGATAAATGTTGTTGATGAAACAATTCCATCTGCATATCAGGATGTCCGTTGTTGTTGCTGTTGTTATTACTGGTAGCTTGACTACTTGTAAAAACACCACCTGTAGGTACAAAAGTAGAAAATGACATATCTTGAGAATATGAATTTTCCAATTTTTCATTTGATTGTTGAGATAACATAGAAATACTGGGTAACTTTTCAGAAAGAGGATCAAAATTAGTCATTATTGTTGATTGCTTTTTGTTTTTATCTTTTTGAATGATTTTCGAATAGTCAAAATATGAGTGATTCGTACGATGTATATAAATAAATATATATATATATATATATAAGAATGGGTATAAAAAAAAAAAGAATTATATGAAATGAAAAAAAAAAGTTTATCAAATCAGAAAGGAAACGAGTAAAAAGCAAAATCATTTGAAAAAAAAAAATCCTATTCTCTTTATTGTTGTTTTCAGGCTCCGGTTTCCTTTTTTTTTTTTTTTTTTTGTTTAGGTAGCTAGTGAATGGGGTTGATCGACAATGTGAGGTTGATTGAAGTTAGGGATCGTTATAATAATACTTAAATATATATATAGAGCGTGTTGCATCATCATCATCAAGAAAAAAGACTGAAAAAAGGATGGCTCTCAATTCACTATATACACACACAAAAATCTATCCACGCATAACTTTAATAGCAAAAATGATGCTTTCAAATATAATAGGAGGATATATAAAAAAAAGGAAAAAAAATCATCCCCTGAATTTAGTTAACTTGAGATCATCCAGTATTCCATTTTTATAACTACACGCATTGATGCTTCTTTGCCTAGTATTCTATAGAAACTGTTATTTCTTTCTTTCTTTCTTTTTTTTTTTTTTTTTTTTTTTTTACTCCTTAAATGACATATTTTTTATATGCGTGTTCATTCTTCCTTCACTTTTTGTTCAAAAAAAAAAAATATGCGTTACTCTAACTTGAGCATAACATTCTTTCCATCATCATTTGTCATGTAGAGTAAAATTTACCAGCGGAGACATAATTTCCATAAAACTAAACTATATACATCACATTACCATATATAAATATATATATATTTTTGATAATTCATGCAAAAACTAGAGCATGCTTCCCCTTATTAAAATCATCCCATTCTCCTTTTTTATCATTATTATTATTTTTATTATTCATCATCATCATCATAATATATACTTTTTATCATTATTATTGAGTTCAATACAAAGGTGAATGCATCGCCATATATAGAAATATGATTTCCTTCTACCTTTTGAAAGTCTGCTTTTTAGTCAAACCATCGATGATTGATTTTTTTTCTTAATCTTCTTTTCCTCCTTATATATAGTAATATCTGTCTTGATGAATACGTATCATGACTCGCGCTTACGCAGTTAAACAGAGAGGATGAGAAAGAAACAACATGTGTGAAAGTGAAAGTGTATACCCCTTATTTTCATGTTAGTAAGGAGGAATGAAAAAAAAAAAAAACTTTACCCGCCTCGTGCTGTACTTGCTCCTTCGAGACTCCTATTATATTTTCATACAAACGTTTTTCTTTCCGTTGTTATGGATCTCTTTCATGGCATTTATATCATCCGATGGCAAAAGAAAGATACTAGTATCAACAATCATTCTTTTTTGTACTAAAAGAAAAAAAAGTACTAATTAGATGCCATCAGTCGATGAATATAAAGTTGTGGTATTTCTATCAATGATCGTACGATGATGATGATGATGAATGATAAAAAAAGAAAATGTGATGATGGAAGAGAGAGGACGAAGATGACAGAAAGTGACTTCGTGACAATACAACATGGCATCCCTTGAGCTGCTCATGACAAATTTATATCTTTAATAGAACAAAGCTAAAAACTTCCCTATTACAAAGCTTCTTTTGAGACCTTTTTTTTTTTCCTTCATCATACCATGTTTGGATCTATTGCCGCCCCTACCCACTTTTCTTCTTTCCTTTTTCTTCTTTTCTCTTCTTCTTCTTCGGCTTTCGATCTCCTACTCCGGGCATGGTAACTGACTATATCTCCCCAAGGGACCCTGATTTAAAGAAAAAAAAAAAAGAGAACGATCATTACTTTTGACTCCCTCACTCCTTCTCTTTTATGTATCTGTGCTTTTATTCCTTTCTTTCATTCCAGTGGAGCTCTTCTCGTGTCATTTTTTTTTTTGCTCCTTTTCTGTCATCACAACGGAAGAAAACAACTATTCACGTTTAGAAAGAAGAAGAAAAAAAAAAAAAAGAGAAAGGGAGCCGAAGTCTTGTTTGAATATATCTTGAAAAAAGAATATGATTCCTCGTGTATGTATGTACTACCACCTTTTTCTCCTTTCCTAAAATGAATTAAGATGAATTAGAAATACAATCATATAGTATAAGAAAGCCAATGATAAAGATGACTACTAAAATCTGTCAAAAATGGAAATTGCCAACTAAGTACTTTTATTATTATTTAGTTTTCAATATATATTGTCATCATGATGCTCGGAACAAAGGGGAAAAGGTAAAAGGAGAGAGAGAGAAAAAATCCTTTATGCATCCATCAAAGTAAATAGATATAATAAAAGAGTTTTACTTTGTTAGTACATCCCAAAGGAAAGGAAAAAGATCAAACGCGTGAAAAAATCTTCATCATATAGGAAAATGAAGTGCCTGGCAATTGTCATCAAACTCCGGTGCATTTTCTTATAAAGTGTAAAAAAAGAAAAAAAAAAAAGGTATATTCTCGCGCTCTTTCTTCCACCATTTCTTTTCAAATTTGACATACAGAAAAAAAAAAGTCAACCTATATACTATATTGTTATATCATTATCAATATGATTATTTATTGTAAGTTTGAAAAAAAAGAGGTGAAAGATTAAACTATTACAGTACAATTGTTCATTGTCCAAAGAGGAAACTTAATACTTTTTTTTTTCCTTATTGTTTTTTTTAGGTGTTATGCAATCTTGGTCGACCTCTTGGTTTATGTTCAACATCTTTGCAACCTGTTTTTCCCGTGGCTGTACATCTCTGACATGGTCTCATATTATCACATCGTAAATGGGACCGTTTACAATGGTTACACGCCTTATCTACATTTCGTCCTTTTTTGATAGGATGACCAGATGGATTGGATAAACTGGATCCTGCTGTATCGTTACGGTGATAGACTTCATTATTAGTATGATAATGTAAGCCTACTTTGTTGTTACTATTTGTCTCTTCATGGTGATGTTGGTGGTTCCTATGCGGTTTTGGTAGATATGGATTATCTTGTCCTCCTGTCTCAAGAAGATTATCTGTATTGGAGATATAGTGTAAGCTTAAAAGAAAGAGAGAAAAAAATAACAGTATGTTCTTATCTTCTTATTTTTTTTTTTTTTTACCATTGCTTAGATTCAAGCGATTATGTTGATATCGATTACGATTCCCATTGACCTTTGGATGTTGATATTGTCGTTGGTGTTGCTGGTGGTGGAATGGATGACTCTCCATATTATTTTGATTGACGTTGATTTCATCTTCTTGATCATCATCCTCTTCTTCATCGTCATCCTCATCCTCGTTATTATCATCGTCTGGCTCATCATCAGATAATCTTTGCCTGGACAAGAAACTGGAAATACTTTCTGATACTGATAACCTTGCTGGCGAAAATGAATGGGTACCATTGCTGCTACTAGTGGATCCGGCGGATGGAAGATTTGTATTAATGGACGTAGAAGCAGCAGCGGCGGCAGCAGCAGCGGCAGCGGCGGCAGCAGCAGTGGCAGCAGTAGTGGCAGAAGTAGTGGATGATGAATATGATTTGACCTTGTTCAAGGAATGTGGTTCACTCTCTCGACGTTTCAACTCTTTGCGTTTGCTGGCTGGTTTCAACTTGGTATCAATTGACATGCATGATTTTCTTCTTCCGTTCCCTGGTCGGCCTACAGTGGTGATGGATCCTGTTAATGATTGTGGCGTTGCTATTGATAACGATGACATAGTCATTGTTGTTGCTGGGGATGATGGATGCAGATGGCTACTGTGACTGATATTGGATGATCCACTGGAAAAGGGATTTTTATGGCCAGTATGAATCATTCCACTGGTACTACGTCTGGTTTTCCCTGGTTGTTGCTGTTGTTTTTGTTGTTTGGATCTCTTCTTGGTGGATTTGTCAAATCGTTTGTTGTTATTTTGATTGTTATGATGTGGTAAAGGATGTGAATGGTGTGCATGTGGTCGTGGATGATGATGACCAAGACTGACAACAGGGGTGGATACAGATGATGACATACCCATTGGATAGAAACCTGAAGATGGATCACGCCAAGTGGAAAATGGATCTTGTGGAAATGGAATCATCCAACTTTGTGTGGATGTGGTGGTATCACTATCAGAAAGTTCATCCATACTCTCATTTGAATCTGAATACGAATAGGACGACTCTGGATGAAGATACGAAGGAACAGCAAATGGATGTGACAACAAATTACTACTATTATTGGATGGTGTGGCCGGTGATATATCTCCCAACAATGATTGCAACTGATCACCACTACTGACGCTATTACCAAATTTTGTAGATGAAAACGTCAAAGTTGGAAATGAATTTGTATGTTTGATGGAATCTGTTTCAGCAACAAATGAATTGACATCCTAAGGTATTGGAAACAGAAAAGGCATTAGGTTGACTAATTTTTTTTTTTTTTTTTTTTTTTTTTTTTTTTGGTTGGTGGAGAAAAAAAAAATTTAGAATGATTCTATTGGATATTACACTTAGATTGACATAACCATGTGGTAAGCATGAAGACAAATCATTAACATCATGTTGGGAAGTTGGTTGTAAGGAATGACAAGAGATCGATGATGACATTTGTTGCTGTTGTTGTTGTTGTTGTTGTTGTTGATCTGAGGAAATATAGGTGTGTTGTTGAAGACAGAACGGATTCTCACTATTTTGTTGTCCATTTTCATAGAAACTCAACGTAGAATCCAAGGTTGGTATGTATGCAGTATCCAAAGAATCCATCATCCATTGACAAGAGGAAGATTTATTGGTATCAAGATAACCTAGAGAAGCGGAAGCACAAGGTGGGTCCATGGCAAGATGATTTAGGTCAATTGATGAAGCTGGAGGATGGGATTGCTTCATATCATTATGAAAATGATTAGAAGTCAACATTGAATTGTTATTGTTGTTACTCATATTATTATTGTTACTGTTACTAGGTTGCTGATGATATTTCTGGCTTACGGCAGATGGATGTTCCAGGATATCCAAAGGTGTGGTGATGGCTTTTGATGATTGTTGCTGGGAAGACAAGGGTGACTGTTGAAGATACTGAAGATACGAAGGCGGTGAAGACTGAGGACAAGGACCATACAAGTCATCCATATTACCATCAAGTTGAGGTTGTAGGGAATGATGATCAAGACTAGTCAGATCAGATGGAGAGGAAGAAGGTAAATGATAGTCATGAAGAAAATTAGGCATGGAAATGGATGTGGGTACGGAGGATGACTGATAAAAGATTGGTTTGGATGGTATATCAAGTGGATGTTGACAGGTTGACCCATACATGGAATACAGCATCAAGTCATTATTACTGGGTGATACAGATAGATTCGTGGTATCAAAATGAGGTGGATTGGTCGTATCATCAAATAGGTCGACGGGGTCAAACAACTTTTGATCGTATGCAGTTGTATCCATGGTAATGATGATCAAGGTAGGTAATAGTCCGCAGTCGTAGTCGTAGTCTTAGTCTTAGTCTTAGTTATAGTCTTAATCGTAGTTTACTCTTCCGTCTTATTATATGATTGAAATAAAAGAAATCAGCTTTTGTTATTTGTTTTGGAAACTTGTTGTATCAATAAACACACATATATACACATACACGCATATATATATTATATAAATATATATAGATATATTCTATATCTATTATATATTTTATACACACCGCTTTAGGAAATATATGAAAAGGATATTTATATATAAAGAGAGAAAAGATCGGATAATGCGATATATGTTTGATGCTGTTGGATCAAGTAGAAAAGAGTGGAAGGGGTAAAGATGAACAAGAAGAAAGAAAGAAAAAAAAAAACAGAACAGTGGGTTGAGTTATATGTTTGCGTTAAAGAATGATAATAGTATTTTTACTGAGGTTCAAAAAGAGCATTCTTGCTAGTTTTTTTCTTCATCCTTCTTAATATTGAATATCTTAAACTCACTTTCTTTTCCTTTCATTCTCTAATGTCGGGCTAAACTCTATGTACTTTTATGATTTTATAAGGCTTGTTTTCTATGGTCTTTTTTTGATAGTGTGAATAAATCTTTTTTTTTTTTTTTGGAGGATGATTTGTCCATAATCCATGATCAATTTCGATTCATCAACCCCCTTCTTTTTCATTTCATATTGACGTTTCCCAAGACGTGGGACATCATCTTGGAAATCATCATCGATCATCTTGTGTGTGTGTTCGCCTTCAAAAACTGTTATGGATGTTTCTTTTTGGGAAAATACCAAATAAGAAATGCATAGCTCGTTCAATCACAAATGCATCCATTTGGTTCTCATCTTATTCTTTTTTTTTCTCACTTTAATAGTTTCCCTTTATACGTATTACTTCCTATTCTTTTTCTTTCTCTTTTTTTTTTTTTTTCTTTACCATGATTGATATTATTATCAGCATCATCAAGATAAACCTTATTTATTATCAATAATCCATCAACGAATCTATAATGATCATATAATTGATCAACTAAAAGATGCTTAAAAAGAAGTCATTATTATGACGGAAACATCAACTACATTAAATTATTGTTCGAATGCATTTTCAACACCACCATCATCTCTTGAATGGGTAATCCCAGAATCGAAAATATATCTATATGTCTTCTTTAGCTCTAGTAGACATTTCACTGAGCAAAAAAAAAAAAAAAAAAAAAAAAAAAAGGGGGGGGGGAGCAAGTTCTTTGTACCAGGCTTCTGTTTAATATCGTCATCAAGTCCCCCAAGAATTTCAATCAGGGCCAATCACACTTTCATATTCAATATAATAAGAAAAGAGAATAATGATCTATCGTTTTTCATCATTAAACATCTTTCTACGTTGGTTCATCGGATGACAATTAGTTGATGAGGACAATACTTTTTTTTTGGACCAACAATATTGAGTTTGTCAAACAATGGTAGAAAAAGTTATAATCAAGACTAGATTGTAATATCATACAAATGATATTAAGACATAAAGGATCACTCTGTTTTTATTATTATTATTATTATTATTATTATTATTATTATTATTATTATTATTATTATTTCATGTGGTATAAAACCAATTACTTCCATGATCTAACAACTATAACTAATACTAATAATAACCAGTACCTATTGAGATCAACTACAATTATACTAATAATAAACAACTAAAAAACAACCATTTCGCTAAAAGGATATCAAATAATTGCTTTTCCTATTCAAAGACTGGTCAAACATCCAATGTTGATGGAAATCCTTGTGTTGTAGACTTTCTTATCCATCCGTCATATATTGTGTTCCGTGTCAGGAAGATCCTAGCCATCATCTTTTTTTTTTCTTTTTTTTTTTTTTAAAAAAAAAAAAAAAGAGAGAGAGAGAGAGAGAGAAAAGAGGAGATATATATATATATATATATAGAAATAAGTATCTGTAGTGAAGTTGTTAAAAGATAAAAACCATTACCTTCATCAAGATTGCATATAATCCATTAGACTTGAGTACAATAAATCCTTCAATCAAGTAGTTGCTTTGGCTAAATTCCTCATTGCTGCTGTTGGGTATTTTCTTCTGAGGTTAATCGTAGTTGTTGTTGTTTTGAATGATGCTTGCTATCCAAACCATCCAAAATACAGAACGTTGATAAGTATGTATGTTACTTTTTTTTTTGTTTCTATAATTCCTACCTCTAGTATATATGTGTTTCCATCAACCGAGTATATATGTCTTCCACCATATTGATACTGAAGTATCTTCTTTTTCCTGCTTTCTTTTGAATCAAATGTAATTAAAGAAAAAAAAAAAAGATGGAGTGAAGAGAGACGAGAAAATCGTCTAGCGTGATTTTTTTTTTTAATCCTCCAAATTTTTTTTTTTTTTCCTTTCATGCTAAGGAGATTGAAATATCTTGAACAGCGAAATCTAAAAATATGATCGGTCTCGACCAACTAAAATGAACATCCCCTGATTGCTCCAAATATAGATGGGTGGTCATCGGCGCTGAATTCAACTTTGTGATAGCAACTAAAATAGATGCTCCTGTAAAAACATCCATCAAGAAATTACCTTTTGTAGTATTTTGGGGATGTACTCAGGTACGTCAAACACTTCCAGAATTTTTTGAATAAATGATCCGAGATTTTTTTTTTTTTTAGTGGATTACATTATTGTCAAACATCATCAATCATTTTCATCCTTTTATGATATTTGCTTATTAAACCTGAGTCTGATCAGTAAATAACGGCCCTCCCTTCCTACCCTTTAGACGTTTTACTCAAAATTCAGATCAAAGAAAAAAAAATATTTATTTATAGTTTAATTTTATTCTATTTTTATTGTTCAAAATAAAGTAAGATGACTATAGAAGATTAATGATCAGATTGGTATTGACGTAATTCTTGCGAGAATTCGACCTTGAAGTGATTTTTGGATGACGGATTATTCCTTTTTTTTTTTATTTTTTAATTTACTTTAAAATAAGCTACAAATGATATTAGGTAAAGTTCAAGAAAAATGGTTTGTTATATGTTGTGTTCAAATTTGGTATAATGATGATGACATTTGAGCGAGAAAAGGAAAGACAAAGCTCGTTCTCCTGCTTGTATATAGAACGAAAAAAAAAGGGATCAGTTTTGCATTTTACAGCCAAAAATTTCAAACTCAACAGCTAAATTTTGGCTGTAAAAATAAATTGTCGAGGGTACATCAGGCGATTTTTTTAATATTGGATGAAATGATTTGGTATTTATTGCACGTTTAAGTGGCAAGGTAAGCAATAAAATGAGATTAGATGATATTTAACTACTTTTTTGAGAGGAATCCAATGGTGGTAGCTGTATTGGATGATGACCATTATTGAATGAGGGATGACTGAATCGAGTTTTATTTTTTAATTTATTCTATAAATTGGGAGGTAAGGTATAAAATGTCACTATGCTAATTGAAAGAGAATCATTGACTCTACGATCTGTCCAAATTTAGTTCTATGATGATCGTTTTGAAGCGAGCAATGAAAAGACAAAGTTTTGACTCAAGTTTGATCGTAACAATTCATCATCTGGAGGTCTTCTCTATGGATTTTCTCAAGAAATTCACCATTTTTTTTAACGAGGCCGTTTTGATAGTAAATATGCCTTGATGTGATAATGATATGTTCTCATACATATTGGATGAGCGCTTTTTATTAACTCATTATAGAAGATATTGATAGTAAATGGTAGATCGACGTCCTTGGAATGCGTAAAATATCTATTTTGTACTGTTTTTTTAAGCATGATTGCTAGTAATTAGACGATGATATCAAAGAATTGCTCAATGATCTTTGAAAAAATGACAATACAATATATTGAACAATCAAAAGCTAAAGAAGGCGGGATGTGAATTTGTGTGCTGTGTATGGTGGCTGGCAGGTTTGATTTTTTTCTTTCACACTTTCTTTTTCTCTTTCTTATCTTCCACTTGCACTACTTTTTTTTTTTTTTTTTTTTTTTTTTTTTTTTTAGGATCATGAGTACCTTGACTAAGCGATCCATTCTATCTTCTTCTTACCAATGGATACAAAGATACAGATCGTATGCAACTAGTTCTTCTGGACAATTACAAGCAGCTCAAAATTACTGCAAAGAATCGGTTAGGTAAGAAGAAAAAAAAACGACACGAAACAAATCCATAGATATTAAACGTTTTACTTTTTTTTTTCTTTTTCTTTTCTTTCAAATATATAGAAAAGGTGATTATGAAGGTTATCTCTGTGTACCATTTTTCCCTGAACATTTGCGCAATACACAATACGCTCTTCGTGCATTCAATGTAGAACTAGCCTCCATTCGTGAAAATGTCTCTAAACCTGAAATAGGCAAGATGCGCATGCAATTTTGGAAGGATACTATTGATAAAGTATATTCTGTAAGTTTGACATTAAAAAAGTGATAATGGAAAGAAGGGATGGATTTTATTTACTGACAAAAGTTAACTTTGATAGGGAAATGCACCTCAACAACCAATTGCACTTGCCCTTCAAGATTCGTTACAACATGCTAACTTATCATCTATGTGGTTGAAACGCATCATTACGGAAAGAATGGCCAATTTGGATGATCATCCGTTTATGACCATCAAGGAAATGGAAGATTATGGCGAAAATACGGCTTCTAGTTTACTTTATCTTCAATTGGAGTCTCTGAATGTACGTGATGTACAAGTGGATCATGTTGTTAGTCATCTAGGCAAAATGATGGGCATCTCTACCTTTTTACGATCATTACCTTTCCATTTGGCGCAAAAACGATTAGTGTTACCGGTCCAGATCACAGCCAAGGTAATCATATAATATGATGAGGATCCATTGACTCAACTTTATGTTCAATTTAGCATAATATATCTCAAGAAGCAGTGATGCGGGGCGATATTGAACGAGTGGATGATGCGGTATTTGAAGTAGCGACGGCAGCATATGATCAACTCTTGACAGCTCGATCCTTATTGAATACAGTGAATCCTGAAGCTTTTCCTGTGATTCTCTCTGCTGTAAGTTTGATGATATGATGATGAATGATATGTGATGATGACTGAATAGGTAGTTATATGCATGTTACTTATTCTATTTTTTCTTTTTTAGATTCCTCATATTCGATACTTGGAACGACTTGAACAGCATGATTTTAATGTATTTGAACCGAAATTACAACGCAAGGATTGGAAATTACCACTCGTGTTATGGTCTAGTTATAGAAACAGAAAGATTTGAATCGCCATTGTAGATAGATAGATATTTCTTCATATTATAGATTTTTTTTTAAAAAAAAAAAAATAAAAAATAAAATAGATTGTATTATTTCTTAGTGTTCTTGTAATTTGTGTCACACCAAGGGGTTGATAGGGGCGAGGGTATTTTGCTGCACTTCTTAATCAGGACTATCAGATGATGATAAAGTAGATGCAAAAATCACAACAACGTGAAAAATGAAAATCAAACCATTCTTAATATTGATTGTTCCCTGTTGATGATGAACCACATGGCTAGGGTAAGAATGGATAATCATCCAAACAAACCACAAAAAAGCTGGTAAACAACGTGATAGAATGGTTATTTTTTCCCGAATAAAGTCAGCAAGTCAATATTAGTGAACGTGAGACAAAGTTTTTGTTCCTAAATCAAAAGGATTGTTTGGCGTATCTCTCTCAACTTTGTTTTTGTCAGTTTGTAACGCGGTTTCATCTCCGCCGATAGAATGCATCAGAAGTACATGCAAGGTTTTGATGATGAAGAATTAAAAAAAAAAAAAAAAAAGAGAGGTTTTTTTATTTCAAAGTTAATATATATCTATCTATTATATATAGATATGAATAAAAGCACAAGTGGTAATTTGACTTTTTTTCATTGGCGGGGGATGATGTTTAGAGTTCAATGAAGAAAGAAACTATACAGTAGTCGTGTCATATAGAACGTGTAACATCAAATGTGCTGCAATCTAAATGGGAAGGATAAAGGACAATAAGGGGAGAAGTAAATCTCACATGAGATTATATTTTCATAAACATTTTTTTTTTTTTATTTTTATTGTTCAGTTTGATGCAATAAATAAGATAAGGATGATGATGATTGACATAGAGAAACAATATGAAATTAAATGAGGGTTCATCCGAACATATTCACTCATGCGATAAATTTATTGCGTTTTTTTTTTTTTTTTTTTTTTTTTTCGCTTGGAAGATGTCTGTGCTTTCAAAGCCCGTGTTGACCTTTTATAGGATGATATCTTTTTTGGATATGTTCCCCGCCACTATTCTCTTATCATTTGTTTCCCACATTTATAAAGAGTTCAAACTATAGATTTAAAGAAAAATAACTTTATATATGAATGAATTGAATAGGATAGGATTACCATTTAAAGAATAAAATAGATAGAAAATATGAATGATGGGCTAGATCTATATGTTTTTGTTTTTCAGAGATCAGCAAAAAAGACACTAAACTAGGCTAGTATATTGAAAATTATCAGGGCGTGCGATGAGTGAGTGGTGGATGGTAAAGGGCAAAGTTTAGTCGGAGTAATAATCACTGAAAATAAGTCTATCATCAAATCATCCAATCATATGTTAACAGCAAGTTATTTTTAGTGTAGCACGTTTTTCGATATTAGGCTATAGTGTGGTTAAATATATAACATATAATATATATGACATATGTCCAGAACCTCTTTACTTTATATAATAAAAAGTCAATCATAAGGAAATAATAATAATAATAATACTAATAATAATAACGATAATATATATATATAGATGATGATGATGATGTGATTGTACATATATATATAGAGAGAGAGAGAGAAAAGAGATAAAGAGAAGTCACCTTATATTTTTGTGAATTTTTTGATTTGCTGACTTCCCTAATTCGGCATATGTTTGTGTTCCCACATATAATTACTTTTGCTCTTTTTAATGCCCTATTCTTCCCTTTTTCTACTTTTCTTTCTCCTTATTTTCTCTTTTTTTTTTTTTTTCTTTCTTTCTTTTTCACCCTTTTCTTCTTCTTCTTCTTTTTTTAATTGTTGAATTGGTTTTTGCCTTTTTTTTTAAAACCTTTTATCAATATTTATTTATTTTATATTATATTCATTCCCTTTTTCTTATCTGTATGCCACAACCTATTCAACCTTTTCCTCAACAAGAAACAATGGAATCAAAAGTAGACACTTTAGAAATATCACCAGTGATTGTTCCTTCCATGTCACCTATGGTAGATTTCCCTTTATATTATTATTATTATCTTCAATCTCAAACAATGCCAAGACCTATGGTAAATAATTATAAAATGATTAGGAATAAAAATAGACTGATCATACTTTTATTATAGCCAATTCATCATACACTTGAAAATGCTACTATTAGTTTTGATAATACTGATTATCAATTCAAATGGCATAAAGATTTATTGGTCAAAGATGTCTTTTTATCTCCACCTATGACTTCTACTACAACTGGATCTATACAACATCATCATCATCAACAACAACAACGGTTTATCAAGAAAATGGAAGTAGCTCCTTCTGATCTTTTATTGGATGACACTGATGTTTTTGGTTTGAATGATACTTCTTTACTTTTGGATGATCAACAGCTTCAACATCGTATTACTTCTGTTTATGCTACCGATTTACCTACTCCTCCTGCCAATATAGATTCTCCTTCTTCTGATTATCTAGGTATCAAGAGACGACATAGTAGTATCTGCAGTGATAGTAGTGATGATGCTAGTAGTGTGCAATCGGATTCTGAAAAACGCCCATGCTTGGTACATTCTCCTTGTTCTTTACCAGAATCCCCTCCTCAATTACCTATGTTTGATTTTGATGATGAAGATGAAGATGAAGATAATGATATTATGGATAAAAGGTAAAATGATTTTATCAAATTTTTTCTCCCCCTTAGAGTTTGAAAAATAAAAATATTCAACTTCTTTTTTGTAGAACACGTTCGACGACGGACTTCCAACCTTACCCAACCATTATGGAATGGATGACCGACGATGAAGATGATATGACGTTGCACCAACAACAACAGCTGGATTTGGAACTCACCATCACCAATGAGCCATCCATTCCAAAACCTTCAAAAAAAGCCAAGACAACCAACATGTCTAAAAAGCAACATAAGGAAAAATCAACAAAATCGACAAAATCAACTACAAAGAAATCATCTCCTCCTTCGTCTCCTTCGTCATCATCTACCGATTTGACAGATGACACCAGTTTACCCGTTTATGTACCTCATGGAGCTGCTCAAGTCGAATTACGATATAGTACTCAGGGGCTTTACAAACATTTATTGAAGCAACGTGTGGATTGGTGCCGATACTGTGGTACAACAGAAGGTGTCAATTGGCGACCTGGACCTTGGGGAAAACGTACACTTTGTAACAAACATGGATGTGATTATAAGGGATATGGATTTGCATGCAAATTACCTCGATTGGACCTCACTGCTTTTGTCAAGGAACCTATGGATCAACGTATTCGTCCTGTACTTCAACTCTTTTGTAGCTGCTGTCATCGATCTGAATCTTGGGAAGATAACCTTCTTGTACAATGCGATGGTTGTCCTATGGCTTATCATCAACAATGTCGACGTGAACAAGATCTGGATGATGAGTTTTGTGCTTCTTCTCAACCTTTCTTTTGTACTGGGGATAAATGTCGGGACAATCTAAAAAAGAAAAGGGTCGTCGTGGAATTCTCAAGAAAACGCTTACCTTTGATGCGTACTCCGAAACAACAACAAGCTATGATGGACGCATTGAAACAGTAGACTAGACTTTTTTTATTATTATTATTATTATTTATTCTGGTATATAGCTTTATGCTTTTTTTTTTTTTTTTTTTTTTTTAGTTATGTACATTCATCTTCCTCCCTTCCTCTTATATGTAGATTCCTATTTTTTTTTTCTATTTATTTCTATTTATTTCTATTTTCTTTACTTTTTTTTTTTTTGATGTATATACACATTCTTCACACACCCCCTCCTCTATAGTTTCTTTTATCTTTCCCTCCTCTTTTTTTCAAAGTAGATACTTTTTTTTTTATTATTATTTATTTTATCTTTATTATGCCCCTTTATACCCATTTTAGAAAGTTACACACATCATAATAATAAAAAAAAATGGCTACAAATCAATCTTTTTATACTATTGAAATGAATGATGGAAGTCATATGATCAACAGTTGCTAGAGTACGAACAATAAACAATGATGAGGTAATATTTTTCAATCATCTTATCATCACCAGAAGTGAACTTTGAAAACCATCATAATTATGGACATCATTATCGTAAAAAGATCATCATAGAAACAAAGTAGGAGCTGATACAACTGATGATGACTGATTTGGCTCCCCTTTCAAAAATTTTTGATCGATTTTTGGGAATATCGTCCCATCAACTCTCCCTTCCAAAAAGAAAAACCTAAAATAGGTCCAAGGAGTTTGAAATACTTGGCTGTAAAAAAAAAAAAATCCCAAGTGAAAAAATCAGTCTCTTTTTTCTCTTATTTTTTGTTCCCCTTTCGCATTTATTGGTTTTTTTTTTTCATGTGAAGCGGGTTTATTTTTTCTTTTTCTGCGTTATGGTTAGAGACTTGTTCGCATTGGGGTTTGAATATATTTGTATGTATTCTTTATAATGTTTTTATTATTTAGTGTTTATGTCTTTTTTTTTTTTTTGTAAAAATATCTTTTGTTTAAATAAAATATTTCTTTATCTAAACTATTTTATTATGCTGGATCTACTAAGCTGGAGCAAAGTATCTGTAACGAGCAAAACAATGGCGTTTGGCTTCGATTTCCTCTTTCTCTTTTGTACAAAACATTATGATTTTTTTTTGTGTCTGTTATTGGTTGTTACTTAATTTTTTTTTTTAGGATATCATCCTTTCATAAACTCATCATATTAGTATTTTTTTTTCTTTCCTCTCCTCCTATTTTCTTATCATTGTTAGTATCTTCTTTATCATCGCTTTCCGATGGTCATCACCTCATCATAAAAATACTGTCGCATGAATTCCATCCTATGAACTTTATAGATATAAATCATTTTTACATCCATCATCAACCACTATCAACCATCATTCTATCCAGTGTCATCAATCACTCTCAATCATCTTTTTAGAACAATAGAATCATCATCATAAAATAAAAAAAAAAAAAAAAAAAGAGGAATGGTGGATAGTCGCCTTAAAAAAAATGTGCCAGGATTTTACAGAATTTTTCATCTTGTCATTAGTAGGAACGACAGGATATATAAAAGGGATCAAACTGAAATCACGTAGCGTTTTTATTGTAAAGACTAGAGTGAATCCAAAGACCATCACCACAATAAAAGGCACAGTAAGAGATAGATGACATTCATTTAAGATGAATTATAAAACAGAGAACTACTTTTTTTTATTATTACTATTGAAAATAACACATAAATATAAATCAAAACCCAATACTAAAAAAAAAAAAAAAAAAAAAAATTCATGTCCAATAGCGGGAGAATACTTGAGAATTAATAGGATAATTGATGTATCTTTGCTCTTGAAACTCTGGTAGAATTGGGTGCCAATCGATCAAAAATGTTGTTTCCATTATCATCATCATCGTCATTGCCATGCATCGAAAGAGGCAAAACTTCATTTTGAGAGGCTTTGCTGCATATGAATGAGGATTTCACATGTTGTAATGATGATGCACGTGGACGACTAGTAGGATTCATTGTTTGTTGTTGTTGTTGTTGTTGTTGGGAGGCAAATGGTTGCATACAATCTTGGACTGGTACTGGTGGTACTGGAGGTTGTGATTGCCGTAAATGGCTACTGCGAATAGATGAAGTTGATGAGTCGTCTGCTAAATCCATATCTATATGGCGTTGTTGTTGTTGTTGTTCTTGTTGTTGCTGTTCTTGTTGTTGTTGTTGCTGCTGCTGCTGCTGTTGTTGTTGTTGTTGTTGTTGTTGTTGTTGTTGTTGCGGATGTTGCTGCAATCTTGAAGTACTTTGTTCAAGCGCCATACGTCGAAATTCCACCGGATTAGCCATTACCATTGGGAGGGAAATAGTGTTGTTCTCATCACATGGTAGCTGAGGAGAGGTTAGTCGTTTATGGATCATATTGTAAAATCGATCAGGTGAGGGCGTGGTATCGACTCTGATTGGAACTGGTAATGAATTATCCAATGATGATCCTTGCTGTCGATGGTGTTGTGATGCTGTATCATAGGCGCTTTTGTTGTACATCGTATCCATTCCATGCGCTGCTGTCGGTGTAGGGATAAAAGGTGAGGGCGTCAATAAGGCATCACTGCTATAGTTGTCGGATAATACCAATCCAGGAGGAAGATGATCACAAGAAGTAGAAATATCATCACTGTATTCCAAAGGAGAGGAAGTTGTATTATTGATCATACCACGTAGTCCATCTTCATATATCTTGTCGAAAATGGTGTTGCCATTACTGATATATTCTTCCATTTTTCGATCCATGGCTGCCATTGATTCATCATCGTCTTGTGTACCAAAATTACTTTCCAATCGTCGGATTCGTCGTTCGTTCTCCACTGTTGATGCCACTGCTGCCTTTTTCATTACAATCAACGTACGCCTCATATCCATCACGGTACGTTCCAGATTCTGCATACTCATTTGTCGATTGCATTCTGCCATTCGTAATTCCAAGATGTCTTCCAATAGAGATTCGGCAATCTGCTTGCATTCATCAGGCTTGAGAGACTTTAGTAGTTTGGTAGTAATTTCGTATGCCAAATCGGGTGCTGCATTAGATGGTACAGTATATCGTTCTTCGAAAGCATCCATATCGGCCCATTCATCATTTGGTGGTGGATCTGTTACAATTTCATCGGCAAACGTAACATGCTTTTCACTACGTAGGTGTTGAATATGTAAGAGCTGCTGTTGTTGTTGATTGTTGTCCGAAGCTGCAGCTTCCATTTGTAACCCATGTATACGAGATGATAAATAGGATATTTCTGCTGATATCAGATCAATACGTTCATCCATGAATTCAATAGTGGCCGTGTCCATAGCCGTACCAGTTTCGTCCATTCGTTCTTTTTCCAGCAAATAGATATGTCGGCGTTCATCCATCAAGTCTTGCTTTTCATCGGATAAACGTTCACGTCGTACCAAGAGCTGTTCCATCTCAACTATTGCTTGTTTTCCCTGGATATATTGACAGAGTGCCCTATCTAGAAGTTTCTTCTTTCTTGATGCCCGTATTTGAAGAGGGATACTGCTGACAGTCCTGCTGATGCCTCGTTTTCCGTTGCCTTTGTTGTTGGTTGCATTGCTTCTTGTATGTCCACCGCCACGTAAAGGAAATCCAAGACTACCACGAGCCAAGATAGCAAAATTTCCACCAACAATATGAGATACCTTGCCTAAGAGACGTTCATCCAAAATCCCACCTTCGCGTACGGCCTTCTTCATGATACAGGTAAGTTGTTTGAGTTGACTGCGATTCATCACTGCTTCTTCATTTTGTTTCTTGAGAGTTTGTTTTTGTAGGTCCCTTTCACGTTCCATGCGTCGTCTTGCGGTTGTTGCTTCAGTATGCTGTCGTTGTAATTGCTGTATCCGTCGTTCTTGGTTTGTTATTTGTTCACGCACCCTGTTTGCTTCTTGTTTCATTCGTTTCACCATTTGCTTCTTCTCCAATTTCAAGGTCTCCACATTGACACGAAGAGATTTGAGTAATGATTCATTCTGGTTGCGTGTAACATGCATGGCACTGGTAGTTTGGGAATATTTTCGTTTGAGATCTTGAATTTCAGTCAAAAGATGCTTCATTTTCGTTTCATATGCTTGTCGAATATCCAATATCTGCTGCTTTTCCTTTGCTTGTTGTTGTTGTTGTAGTTGTAGTTGATTTGAATCAATATTCGCTGTATTTCCAAAAAATCCCTTCGTACGTTTCAAAGCAGAGTCACGATCTTGTTGTAGAGCTGCCAATTGATCTTGAAGTCGATTGATTTTTTCATCAAACTTGCGACGCATGTATTTGTATTCGTTTTCAGACTTTTCTAAGTGACAAACCAGTTCTTCTTTGACCTTGATATCAGATTGAATTTGATGAATCATCCGGACTAATTTTGAATCTTGTTGTTTGAATTCCATATCCGTAGAAGAAGCCATTGATAACTGACTACATAATGAACCACGTGTAGATGATATGTTGCTATTCTTGTCATGTTGCGATTCAAGTTCTGGCCATGTTGGTGATTCCTAAAAAAAAAAAAAAAAAAAAAAAAAAAAAAAAAAAAAAAAGAAGGTTAGTAAGCTAAATAATAGTAATTGTCTTTTTTTTTTCCTTTTTCTTTTTTTACCAGTTGAAAATCATCCAGTAGCTGAGTTGGTGAAGGTGATGCTGAAAAGTTACCTTCATCAGAAAAATCATGTTCAATTGGTTGATTTTGCATCATAGTCTAAATAAATAAATAAATAAAAAAAAAAGAATTAGAATGGTTGCTCCTATCTGATGTTGGATAGGATCGACAACAGATTGATCTTCATCAGACCGCATCTTTTTTATGCAACTCATATTTACCTTGAGTTCTTTGTCCCACACTTCCAAGTCATTTTCGTCTTCAGGCTACATTTAACGATAAAAAAAAATATAGAGTTAGAATGAGACTGTTTCAATAATATATATAATTACCTTTATTAGTTCCAAAAATTCCATTCCTTTTCGAATTTCTTCCCTTGCCTTGGCAATGCTTTCTTTGAATTCTTGATGCATGTTTTCATCTTGTAGATCATTTATATAGCCTTCATCATCGTCTTCCATAAAGAGAACTCCACTATCACCGTCATCATCATAAGAATCATCTGTATAGGAGGAACTTCGTTGACGGCGGTGTCTTTTCGTTGGAAATAATCGATCTTCTGTTGATTGCAAACTATGTTGTTGTGATTGATGTTTGTTTTTGATTTTGTTGGGACGAATTGTGGTATTTGTAGTAGTGCTGTTATTGTTGCTAATTCTTCCAGTTCGTCCAAATCTTCTTCTTGTACCAGACTTCTTCCGTTTCTGTTGATCAAAGGATCCATTTTTCGTTGATGAAGCAAAATTGACTGTATGAGCAGTAATAGTTTGTGATGATGCTGGCTGCCGGGTATTTTCCAAAAATTTAAGTCTATCCTTAGCTTCAGTTAGATCACTATTTAAATCATGTATTATCTTGAGATATTTGGCTATCAGAGGATGTGGTGTAACAGAGGAAGAAAGATCATCATTTGTTGTACAAAGATTGTTGTTGTTGTTGTCATTGATGGCTGCTGTCTGTCCAATTTCCATTAGTAACGTGTCCCTTTCACTTGATGCTTGTATCATATCGTTAGTTGTGTGTTGTAATCGTTCACGTAGTCGAATAATTTCATTCCGCAATGATTGAACTTCATCATCTGTACCATTTGTCGAGAGTACTGCGCCATTAGATCGAAGATCAGATATCTCCATTCGTAGTCGGGAAACAAGTGCACGTAGTTGATTCACTTCCACAGAATTTCCAGCGAAATCTTGATTGATCGTAATACGATTTTTGATATTGCGAGCTCGATTGGCATATCTAAGAGTATTGAGAGTTTCACCAAAATTAGAATCAGAAGGGGAAACACAGGCCATCATCAATGTTTGACTATTTCCACCAAGAGAATCTTGTAAAAGTCTAGTCAACTTGCTATCACGATATGGTATATGCGCTGCTCGTCGAGTCTCATCACCAAGAGCTGATATCACATTTCCTAGTGCCAACAAGCCAGCATTGATGGCGATTCCTTCTTTTGCACGATCACCTTCAGCGTTCGTTCGTTTGAGCTATAAATAGAAAATTAGTTATGGTGTTGTATTGTTCATTTTTTTTTTTTTTTTTTTTTTTACCCTTTCTGATCCAGCCAGGTCCACAAAATGAAATTTACTAATCAAGGTTTTTGAAGTTTTTGGTGTGTTTTCATCTGTTCCATCTTGTTCCAGACGATATTGCTTTAGAGATACAGTAAACATTGCATGAGATCGAGAAGAGACAGTATTCATTTCAGTAGATCCAGTGGTACGACATAATGACCCTTTTTCCAATAAACTAAGAAAACAAATGTGAGGTTAGAGAAAGTGCGGATATCCAAAGTTATTATTGAATTTGTAATGTTTGTTGTTTGTTTTTATTTTGGTGGGTTTTTTTTCTTTGCATCATGTTCTTTTTGTTTTTTTATTATTACCCAAGCAATTCGTCAGGACTATAACAACGTTCTTCTCTGACACCCGTCCAGTATATGTTACCAGCAATATCTTCACGTATGGATACTTCAGACGTTTGAGGTGATTGACTATTGTGACTTCTTCGTTTTTGTATAGTAGGTGGATTCAGAAGATCAATAAGGTCTTCATTATGTAATTCACTAATTCAATCAAAAAAAAAATCAGAGTGTATCAGAAATTAAATTTCACATCTTTTACTAGTCATCAGACTTACAGAAACGAGACATGTACTTCATAGCTATATCCTTCTTCCTTTTCTGTTCGTTCTTCTAACACTTGATAGAGTTCCAATATACAGCGAGGTACAATTCCTATCATAAAAGAAAGAAAGAAACAATAAAATGAAATTCTTTAGATGAGATAAATAGATAGGGAGTTGTTATATTACCTTGATTTTCTTTGTCTTTGGTATTATCTAATCCTGTCCCCATAGAAAAAGTCTTTCCCGCTCCGGTTTGACTATAAAGAGTAAAAAAAAAGAGTCAAGTTTCATGTGGTATAAAGCATGTAGATAGCGTGATGATTTCTTTTTTGGTTCAACTTACCCATAAGCTAGGACTGTTGCATTAAATCTATATAGAAATAAAATAATAAGGCATTATTAGATTATAAATTATTATCTTTTTTTTTTTTATAAAAAAAAATTATACCCTTCTGTAAATTTATGCAGCAAAGGTGCAATGGCCGTTGAGTAGACAGAAGATTGAGTAGATTTGGTGTCAAAAACATAGTCATAAGTGAACGACTTATCTGTTCCAATGAGAACCTGAGGTTCATTAGGTATAAATGTGAGACATTCGGTACAGTTGGAATACTTTTCTTTTGCTGTTAATGGTCGGACACGTAAAGCGACCCTATATAGGAAAAAGAGAATGGTAAATATTCAATAGTGTATAGAGTTTCATATTATCTACCTAACAGCCGTTGAGGTCATTGAAATGGGTATATGATGTAAAAGGTATAAAGGGAATATAGTAAACCAACAAAAAAAAAAAAAAAAGAAAAGAAAAGAAAGAAGAAAGAAGAAAGAAAAAAAAAAAAAAGAAAACGTAAACTATAGAAGAAAGAAAAAAAATTCAGCTGAAAGGGAAAAAAAAGGATCGTTTTTTGTGTGTATTACAGAACGGAACGCCTGCCCCGATGCTCTATTTCACACTCAGTTTGACAAGTCTAATGTGATGACAGCACTGACTATGATCATGATGATGATACCTAGATTTTTATGTTCAACAATATATTCTAAAAAGGAATATACGATATGTTAACCCAGAAAAAAAAAGTTGTCTTTGTAACCCATTCATCATGTGGTGTACTTTTCATATTCCCGCTTCCCCCTGATTTTTGTTATATGCATTTTTCTCTTGGTCAGCAATAGATAGGATGACAAAAAAAAAAAATTTGACTATATATAGTTCAATGGATCGACCAACATTTGATTAGACTTGATTCTATACTAATCTTTGATATCAAGTAAAAATAAATCTAAACCAATATGGATATTTGACCAACTGATCACCAAAATCCCCTTTCCCCCTGTCTTTTTTTTTTCACAAAAATGCACAGTCTCCGTTTCTTCCAATGCATATAATCTTGTTTTATTTACACATACGTAGAGACAAATAAAAAAAAAAGATAGAGAGATAGAGAATAATAAAAAAACTATGATAAACTAAGAATAAGAACTATATTTTGATAATGATGATAATACAAAAAAAAAAAAAGATATAATATAAAAAAAAAAAACCAACTACTCTATCAAACTAAATCTAATTTTCATCCTCTTCATCATCACCTTCTTCTTGTCGACCACGTTTCTTTGCCTTCTTTCCAGCAGCTCGCTGTTTGGCAGCGACTATCTTGCCATGTTTTGCCTTTTCGATTTCCACATCCATGACCTGTTTCCGTACAAAAATAAAAGTTCTTGGATCCGACTTCATGATTTCTTCGTTGTCTTCTTTGCTGATACCCTTCTTGAAGCCAATCGTACGTCGATGACAGTAACCAGGATAGTCACTAGGTCTAAAAGGTATACTTGTTCTTAACGCCAATAATCCAGTCCACTTGGCCACAAACTTTATTTTCCATTCATCATAAGGTTTGCCTGTCTTGACCGTCACATAGATTTCGCCATCCACTTTTGTATCATCGCGTTCATCATGATCATAACCCGTATCCGTCTGTTTATCGTCTTGATGAGTTAAAAGAGGAGTAGCCGCCTTGAAAAAATCAGTCAGTAAAGCCTGATTGCTTTCGATATTACGTTGCTCGTCCTTGATCCCTTTACCAGCATGAGGAAAATTGAAGATGATCTTGCTGTACTTGTCCTTGTTGATCAACTTGTTCTTATCTAATTTAGTGCCATCCACATCAAATAAAACAGTAGCTCCCATAGTACGTGCCAGTTCCACATTTTCCTTGGCTTCATCCCCATATTTTTCATAAAGCACTTGTTCACTGTCGAAACATGTCGCTGTCAATCGTTCTGCACCAGAGAGATAGTATTGATTCACCAACGATGCTGCAAACGAGAAATTACCTTCACCGATCAATAAAACTCGATCATAGTCATGGAACTTGATAAGAGGTCGTGGTCTGGGTATGTCTGCTTTTACGTTTGTTTCAGTTGTTGCTTGTTCTTCTGTCGTGTTCTCTTGTTTTCGTTGTTTCTTCAAGGCCTTCTTACTGATCCCATTTGATTTCATGTATGCATTTTGTTTCTGTCGTAGTCGATTTTCATCATATGTTTGATTCTTGTATTGTTGGATTCGTCTATTTTCAGCTTGAGCAAGTACTTTGGCCAACGCTACCTTGAGTTTTTTTTTAGGAGGCATCAATAAATATCTGTTTATATATATATGAAGAAGTTGAAAAAAAAAAAAAAAAAAAAAAGAAATTGATGGGAAGGCGGGAATCAAATAAGTGGAGGACGTTTCTTTTATTGGATAGAGAAAAAGCCACCATGTAAAATCATGCAAAAATACAAAATATATCTAAAACTACTTGGAAGGTCGTACCACAGGTTTTGGAATACCAAGAAAATCATACAATTGATCACGTAAAGGTTTGATTTCATCAATAGACATCGACCTAACCAGAGGGAAAAAGAAGGAAATGATAATTTAACAAAAATGTTCATTCTAATATTGTAATTTCTTTTTATTATTACCAATCAGTGCCAGTAATGATTTCTTCAGCTTGCATAGTTCCATCAGTCATCTCATCATCATTCAAAACCGATAAAAAAGTAAACAGTTGGTCAGCGACTTCCATACGAATCTAAATTAATAAAACATATGTTCGTTAGCAATATATCACTTGTATATCAATTCACTTTTTTTTTCTTGTTTTTTTTTTTCTTTTTACTCTAGGGTAACCGTGAACCAAATAAGACAACATTTGTTGCAAGGCCTTGATTTTCACTTGAGTTCCAGACAAAGAGATGAATCCGACATATCTAAAGATAGTACACATAAAAGAAAAAAAAAGTAAGAAATATAGTATATTCCTTTCATAATCGCACTTACATTTTGATAGTAGATAACAACTTTTTCACATTTTTTGCTTTAAAGGATTCTTTTCTAACAAGTGTCATCAGTTTGAGATGACTGAATATAATCAAAGAAAGAATGGGTGAGTAGTTTTTAATATCATGATATTTCTATATATAAATTTATGTTTCACTACTTACATAGTTTCATTTTCAATAACTGACAGACTTCCAGTTTCATACAAAAGTCCAATTACATCCATCAATGGTATGATTACCCGGTCTTGTTTTTCATATCTTGCGAAAATGTCATACATGGTCCGGATAATATCTTCCCTAGAGCAGTTATCCGAAGTGTCGTTGGTATTTGGAGGTAGTTTGTTGATAAATTCGATGAGACAAGAACTAGCATGACGAACCTATATTCATATGAGATGTAAAAATAAGCAGAGTGAGTATACGTATGAAGATGATCATCATTCCACTTTTCTATCGTACCAAAGATTCAGTCAGTCCACCAGCACTTGCAATGAGCCCAGTTAATAACTCTAATCGATAACTAGGATAGTATAATAAATCAACCATGACAGGGTATAATTCACCAGGAGTAGAAAACGAGAGATCACTATCCGTGAAAAAAAAAGAAGGAGAGTCGATGATTTTTTCTTTCTTTTTCTCTTTTTTTCTTTTCAAACGAGCTTCTACTCTTTGGTTTTATTTACCTTGTTAAAAGTTCCTTCAGTTTATCATGGTGTGGAATGATAATTGCATCACAGGAGACAAGTTCCACCAAAACAGAACCAGCTAATCCACGAACACGATCGATACGTTCAACAGATTGTTTCATTAACATACTGATCATTCGACCGTTTGTATCCAAATTTGACAAAACTTTCACAGTATCTAATCTTGCTATGAGAGGCATGTAATAACGAATACATTCCATGCTTGCTGAGCGTACCCAGGAACCGACATCACCACGCTGATCTGTACTATAATCCTTTAAACAAGATTCCAATGTGTCGATAACAAATAAATGATCATCCAATGACATACCTATTAAAATCATACATAGAGAATAAGTAAAAGGGAAAAGATCCTTATTTATTTATTTATTTATTACTATTGGTATCTTACCTTTGATCAATGTAGTGTCATTCAATCCTTTCAAGATCGTAGTTAGACCAATCACCGCGTTTCTTTTTGCTTCTACATCATTGGCTATATGATCTACCTATTCAACATATAATCAAATTAGTAAAATGACAGTTTTCTTTTGTTAATATATATATATATATGTACATATGCTTCTAAAGCAGAGTCACTTACTTGAATTCGAGTTGCCAAGCCCAATTGATGCAAGACGTCATGTAGCCAAGAATATCGTTCTTCCATATTGTAATCCAAAGTCCCAAGAGCTAAAGCATAACCTCGTCTACCGTACATCATATGAGTTGTCTCAATCTTCTTTAGATAGATATCAACTTCTGATCGTTGAATGCCGTAAGTACGAGATAAAGCACCAAATGCACCCACAGCATATTCTTGCACATTTTCTTCTTTTCGTTCCAAAGATGTTTGAATGATACGTTTCCAACCATCAATCATTTGAATCGCTGTGTTTTCTTTGTCATTGTCAATCAATCGAATTCTGCACATATATTCCACAAGTTGACATGTTGCTTCCCGAATGTGTTCAGATCCAAATGTTGACAAAGATCGTGAAGGTATTTTTGCTACCACGCCAGCAATATCCTATAATTCATCATTTATAGATAGAATACAATAGTATCAGTTCTATTGTCAAATTCGTCTTTTGATTCCTCCTGCTTTACCTGAATCAAGGTTTCATTCTTATTCCATATAACATTTTTTTGTTCATCTTGTTGTCGACATTCCCAAAGAGAGAAGCAAATTTCACCAAGCGAGAGCAAAGCACCATGAGAAATAATCATATCTTTAGATGTTGATAAAGGCACCTATATTAAATAAGAGTATGTGTTTTTGTATTTTAGTTTAATGCTAATGATGGTAAATAATATCATTCGTTGGCTTTTTTATTCTTACCAATGAAGGTAAAACTTGATCCATAAAATAAACAGGGTCCAATGGTACCAGTTGATATAAAGTTTTGGAAGCAAGCACACGCATAGATTTGTCCCAATGTTTTGATGTCGTGGTAACAAGGTGATCAATTAGGTGATATCGATAATCTTCAAACCTAAAAAAACATTGATCAATAAGAATATAAATAATCATCACCATTCCCCAGAATATAGACTACTTACTTTGCGATAGCTACAGCCACCTGAAGGAAGGAATTGGTTCGGTTGCCAAGGGAAAAGTAATCTGCCAACTGAATGATGTCAATGCCCATAGGAAAAATACCCTGTATGAAAAAAAAGGGGGGGGGGAAAGAAGAGAAAATCAATAAACAAAAGAGAATAAGGGGAATTTTATCAGTAATAACTATTATTGTTATGATTTTACCTGTCTACCAACATTTTCTTGAAAAGCAGCACTGCTTGCACGGCGAACGTTGATTTCACGATCAAATACAGATACAACCACCAAATTTTGAGCCACTTCTTTGACAAATGGAGCCATGATTTCAGGAGCATAGGCTCGAGCAAATGACCAGCATACATAACAGGCAGCATCACGAACATGTGCCCCAATAGAGTGAGATCCACGTTTCAGGTCAAATTTCAATCCCTAAATTATTATCCGTATCCGAAATAAGAATTCATTTGATACACAATCTTTCCATAGGATAATCTTCTTTTTTTTTTTTTTTCTCAAATTACCAATATAATCCAAGGTATTGTCTCTTCAAGACGTGCAGGAAGTAATAAACCACGACGAGCTAATTCAGCCACAGCTAATGATACACCATGCCAAGTATGATCTGATACTGCTGTCAAATCTAATTCATCACAACCCTTTGGCTTGAACGTATTTTCTTCAAAAAGTTCCAATAAAGAGCCAATCACATCTTCAGCAAGTTCTTGAGGTAGACGCTGCGTAATACGGCCCATCCCTTTAGCAGCTGACCATCGAACAATAGTATCCTAATATCCAAAAAAAAAAGAGAATACTTAAATGACTATTTTTTTTTTTTTACTCGCTCCTTTCTAATTACCTTGTCACGTAGTCCATTCAATAAAATATCAATGATCGTTTCCAAATGTTCAGATATATCTTCATCATCATCATTTTCATTATTCATTGTTGTATCACTTTGAGATGGTATATTCACTGATAATGGTATACCTTGATCCAAATTATTCCGTAAAGATCGACTACCTGTTAAAAAATGAAATAAAAAAAAAAAGAATTAAAAACTAATGCTATATAAACTTTACCTCTAATGCAGTTTACCTCGTTGATATCTCCAAGAAGCTAATTTTGGTTTGAGATAGCAAAGTCCAACACGTTGAGTCAACTTCATACGTAACTTGCGAATCAATGAGTTGTTATCATATTTATCAAAAAAAGGCATAGACAGTAAAGGGAAGATACTATCATCCAAAGTTGGTAATAATACTTTTCTTGGAGAGAATTGATAAAGAGTACATAAACTTGAAAGTATACCAGCCGTCTATGAATAATAATAAAACTGAATATTGTGCGATATTTCCCAAATGTTCAATTAATCAACGAAAAAAAAACAAACCAACTTACTTCGAAAACTTCAGCATCTTTTGCCAGTTTCATCTTGGACCATTCTACAAAAGGAACCAGATAATCATCACAAAGATCCCGTCTAGACAATGTCAATCAGTTAAACGGTTATAAATTTGTCAAATCAAAAATAAAAGTCATTACCTGCTTAAAAGTCGTGCTACTAAAAGACTTGCACCGTCACGCTCTTTCCCTGTTGCCTTGAGGTAATACTTGCATAAATCGAGTAACCTTGTAATTAGAGAAATCTAGAAAAAGAAAAACCAAAACCAATTTGATCAATAACAATGTGGCATAGAAATCACTTCAGGATTATTAAAAAAAAATATCATTATTTACATCAGATCCACTATCCACTCTTTTCAGGTCAAAAGGAATCATACAAATCAGTGATAACCATACAAAACAGATATATCGAGTTTCCCAAATCTGAATATTGGTATCATCAAGGTTGGACAAAAAATGGAATACTGATTCAAGGTCAGTGACTTCATGAGACATAAACTTAACTATCAGAATTGGATCAAAAAAAAAAAAAAAAAAGTTCAGTGAAAGAGAATATGTTGATATGTTAGTTTCGGAAACACGCATGTATACCACACTTTGCAAAGCACGAATTACATTCTCTCTTTTTTCATCAACCTACCAATAGTTTTATATCCTCTTGTTTTTGTCAAAAGATAAAGGAAGCGAAATAAATGATGAGTGTTTTCTGGCATGATGGGTCGTTGTTGTATCCTTTCTCTAAGGCAGGTCATGATCGGCGTAACGAGATCTTCCAAATAAGGGTCGAGTAGGTGAGACTGTTCTTGATATATGTCCAACTAGTGATTAAAGTAGAAAAAGAAAAGAAAAGAATGTGATGAGATGAAGATTCAACTGGTTTTTCCTAATAAAACTATTCAGTTGACATATTTTATTGAGCTTACTATGATAGAGAGTTGTTTCAATAAATCATCAGTAACTTGAATAGACGAAGTACATAGATCATTGACTTGTTGTTTCACTTGGTCGGCATGTTCAAAATGACTTTTGGTTTGAGTGATACATTCATCTTCCATGCTAGTCCGCCGTTTCTCTTCTATATCAATAACGAGAAAAAGAAAAAGAAAGAAAAAAAAAAAAAAGGTGAAGATGGAAGCGAATTCAGGATTTTTGAGTCTGAAATTCAAACTCGTAGGGCCCAGGCTTACTTTTTGACAGACACTCTATTTAACAGATATTATATTATCTACTCATCATCATCATCAAAACATATTCACCAATTCAACCAATATCTTTAATAAGAGTTAACTATAGTTTTCTATCATTTATTTCAAACAAACGATAAAATGGCTATATATATATATAAAGATCTATCTAATATTTCTAAATTCAATTATTTAAGGGCAGAAAGTGATATCATAGCCTTCAGCAACACAAGAGTATGTGGATGACTTGTCATCATAGGCATAAGAATAAGCATCGGGGCAATCACTCTTGACAGCCTTAGAGTAAGAGTTGGGAGAACATGTGTCAGGAGTACTATTGGCACCAGTACACTAATATAATAAGAATAATAAATTTGAGTGACATTAGAAATCATGAGATTCAAATAATAATAATAATAATAATAATAAAAATAATAAAAAAAAAGTACTTACACAGTATTCATCAGACTTATATTTGGCACAAGCACTTTGGCAGCTAGAGAATTGACCATTGTTGGTAAGTTTCATATCACTAGGACATGTAGGTAAAGTAGAACAAGTAGGGGAACCACAGTTATATTGACCATCAGCATTGCTACCACCATGGCCATTTACAGGAGCAATCTTCAAAGGCAAGTTGAAACCATCGACAAAACTAAGATCATAGAAATCATTACCACCAGCACCACGGAAAGTAAATTCAGCCAAAGAAACAGGATCACTAGGACTACCATTGGAACCACTTTGACGAGCAGAGAAACGACCTTGCCATTGTTCATCCAAAGGATAATTTTGACTACTACCTTGAGATACCTTGTTTGTAGAACCTGAGGATTGACCATTGGTAAGTTTGGTAACATCAAGATCAAATTGACATTGATTCTTCACAGTGATTTGCATTCCGCCAGCGGAAGAGGCAACAGTCATACCAGCCAAAGCAGCAATAGAAGCGATAGTAGAGAAAAGCATGATGATGATGATTATTTATATAATGAAAATTGAAATGAAAGAATAAAAAAAAAAAAAAAAAAAAAAGGAAACAATTTCTCATTGCCTTTTTATATTGATGATTTTCAGGATCCGAGAACTTCTCAAGTTCCCTTTTTTTTTTTTTAGTTTGAAAACCGATCTAAAAATGATTTACAAACATAACTAATGGAAATCATGAGGCTATTTTATTTGAAAGAAAAAAGACTTTTCGATTCTGTTTTATTTTCTACAAAAAAAAAAGAACGTTTGATTTGATTGGATGATTTGCGAACGGGGTCCCTGAATATCCTTCAGATCAACTTCCTGACACTTATCGAATGAAAAAAATTATGTTTTAAAGTCATCACCCCTTTGTCTCAGTTAAATATATTTATATTAGATAGATGATTTATATATTTGATTTGATGATTTAATAATAATAACAAAAGAAAAGAAAAGAAAACAATGGCGCTAAAATAGTAGTAATAGTGAATTGACTATTACAGTTAAAATGTATGCATTATACTTCTTTGTGTAACTTTTGAAAAAAAAAATAATGAACCTCTTTTCCCAACGTTTATCTGACTTTCAAGTAGACAGTTCCCCCCGCCCGATCATCAAACGTGAGTATATTCAAGTAATTCAAGACATGACAAACCAATTGTATTCTTTAGCTGATCGGTCAATCAAATAATCCTATAACATCGTCATAAACTAGAATAAACCGAGACATAGCAAAAGAATGATCATCTTGGCATTGATTTGATCCCATCAACATCACTTTTATTATTATTTGTTGCATTCCAGAATAATAAACTAAACTAAATGCAGATATATGACAAACTAAGAGTATAAAAGTTCCAATCATAAGGAGGTAAAAGGTGATTCTGCAGTAGGTTGTAACCTTGAAACATATCGAAAAAGAAAAGAAAGAGAAAAAATTAGTGTTTGAATATTTCAGTTCCCTTGATTTTTTTTTTTTTTTATATATATAAAATCTTACCAATTATCCTTTGGATAATGAGCATTGCCTTCAATAATATGGAATGTGTATATGAATCGAGATTGTTTGGAATAGTTGGGAGCAGACTTATGTACAACACTACCATGAATCAACACCAAAGTACCTAATATAACTAATATCAATGATCTGATTTCCTTCTTATCCATATTTATAATAACTTACCAGCTTTTACTTCCATGCGAACAAATTTTGATTCATCCACTTTCAAATCACTATCTCCAATAAAAGTAGTTCCACCATTTGGATTTCGTACAAAACGGTTTGTCACAGGAACGTCTAAAATAAATTTTAAAAAGATAAATCACAATTCTAGTATTATATTTTTGAATTTACCTTTATGAGAACCGGGAATAAACCAAAGGCATCCATTTTCGTTTGTACAATCTTCCAAAGCGAACCAAAACCCAGTGGCTGATAAAGGTTCAGTATATAAAAATGTAGAGTCTTGATGAGAAGGCACTAAATCCAAGTGAAAGATAGTAAAATATATATATATAAAATTAAAATTAAAATAAATTAAAAATCATTATACTTATATATATATATATATATTTACCTTTGCCACCAATGTAAGGTTGCTATAAAAAAAAAAAAAAGGAATCAACCAATCAGTTGGATAAGTTTCAAACTGCATAATAATTTATTTATTTATTTATTATTACCTTGAAGATAAGCATAGATTGTAAGACCTTGGGGGACGAAAAACCAAGTTGTTTTGCCATAGTAGATAAAGTAGGATTAATAGAAAAAGGAGCAAATACAGGATCCAACATATGTAATCCATGTCCAATCTTATTGATAGCCTTTTCCTTGGGTCGAGTCAATTCTCCTTTATCATTGAAAGCACCTTCTTCAAAAAAGTATCGAATCTTGTCCCCAGACTCTAAGAAATAATCATCACCAATATGTTTCTTTTTATCTTCACCGCCAGTACTAAATTGTGTCATGGGATGACCTTCCAAAGATAAATCTTCAAGTAGTTCTTCAGCCCTTTGTTTCAATCTTTTTGCTTCTTCTAAACTAAAAAAGTTTGGAATTACCAAGAAACTATTTGAGAAAAAAGAAAAATATAATGTTAGTTCACGTAAATATCTTTTAAAGGGAAGATATCTTTACCCATCACGATCAAACTTAAGTTTCGTAAGAAGAAGAAGAAGAGAAAATAGTTAATGATTGAATAATGTAGACTCTTTTTTTTTATTTTATTTTCATTACGTCTTTCAATTGTGTCTCTGTAAGCATTTTTCTTATTTCCAAAAAAAAAAAAAAAAAAAAAAAAAGAGAAAGAGAGATAGAGATAGAGAAGTAGAAAAAAAAAATCAATTCTTTTTTGTAATGGGCATTCATTACCTGGGGAAAGCTGAAACCCCGCATCGATCGTGGGACTTATCACTCACTTGTAAATAAATATTCTAATTGAGTTTGAGGTAGAATTGTTATACATTTCCGCTAATCTATTACCAAGTTCTCAATTCATCAATTTAGATTTATTATTACTTATATTTAATTGTAATATGATAGTTTGTAATGCAATGACAGCAATCTATAAAAATATATATTTTTGCGTGAATGTTTGATTAACTTTAAACATCCGACTATAGTTCTTGAAATGTCAAATCATGGATCATGCTGACTGATCAATATATATAAAAAAAGAAGAGAGATCTTGAAATGATCATTCCACGTTGTGTAAAAGAAAGAACAACAAGAAATAAGCGTGATACTAAATATATAAATATAAACGTGATTAACGTTTTTCCTTGTATTCTAATAACCATGATGATTGACTAAAATCAGTATCTTACTCATCTCAGTCGATTAGGAGTTTGAATACTATTAGATGAATATATATATATATATATATATATATGATGAAATGGAATATATAATAATAATAATAATAATCATGTTTTTTTTTTTTTTTAATAAATTCATAGATAAAAAAGATTGACTAACAATAATAATAATACTAATAATAATATGGTAGTCAATCATTTTTGAAGAGAGTATCACGCTTGATATAATATAATAAACTTTATTCTTTTTTTAGCACTTCTTGTTGTCTGTGCAACCTTTAACGGGTAAAAGTGGAATCTACTGTGTATATATATATATTAAAAGAGTAACCCATTTATAGTACGATCTCAATTACCTTTTGTTGATAGTAAAACAAAAATCATCATATATTATTATTCTATTTGACAACTGAGATGTTTTCTTGCATGAATTCATTGGTAACTATTATACAACAATAACAATAAAAAGTATAATTGATCTTCAAGAAAAACAAAAAAAAAAATCACTGAGGGGCTTGCCTTTTTGAGGTCCGGAGACCGAAATTTTGTATTTTACTGTGTAACTTTTTTTTTTTTTCAAAGTAAAAAAGTAATAACTAGTAGAAAAAAAAAAGTTTGTTTTTTTTTACATATATCTCTTTTCTTTATATCTTTTTTTTTTTTTCTGTTTTTTTTTTTTTTTGTTTTATCCTATATTTTCATCTCTTTTTCATGACAAACTAGTTTTGTCTTTCTACATTCCTTTATTATAACCCAATACTCTCCTTCTCCTTTCCTTTTTAGAACTTTTAACTACTTAAATCAATCCTTTTATATATCAACCTACTTCTTCTTCTTCTTCTTCATATCTTTATATAATACCGTAAGTATTATTATTATTATTACTATTATTATTATTATTATTATTATTATTGTAGATCTATTACTAACTTATATATATATATAAAGTTTCTATGTTATCCGCTTCTACTATCACGTCTTCTACATCAACTACTTTTAGTCTTAGTCCCGCTTCATCTACACCTTCTTCTCAATATTCTATGGGATCTGGTACCAAATCTTCGCGTAATCCTCTGATTGACTTGGTTGAAGCTGAAACTACTTATCTTAATACATTGAAGATTATTGATTCAGTAAGTGTTATATACCTTTCTCTCACTCTCCTCTTCCTCTTCTCCTACTTCTTCTCTTTGTACCCCTTTATCTCCTTTTTTTTTCTTTTATTTTGTCTATTCTCGGATGAACTTATCACAACTTGTTTCTATTTCTTTAGCAAATTGCACCATTATGGATGAAACAAACTTCTCAAGCTGCTCCTGATTTTACTGAACTGCTAAAACATGCTCGTGATTTGGTCATGGTGAATAAACAATTTTGTCAGGTAAACGAAAAAAAAAAAAGGTATAGACAACACAATAAAAAAGTTTTATTCACTCCTTCTTGTCTCCCGATTATAGAAATTGCAAAAATTTGCAGGAAATGCTCAAGCTGCCCAAGAACTTGGAGTAACTCTTATGCAATGGGTAAAATAGAAAAAGTATTATCATTTCATGCTTTATTAATTATTAATATTTAGGTTGATGATATGGAAATTCCTTATGCAAATTATTCTAGAAGTTTTATTCCAAATCTTAATCAACGTCAAGATATTCTTGCTAATCGTTCTATTGATCAACTTTTGAAGGTATTATTTTATTTTATTTCTTTTTTTTTTATTTATTTATTTATCTTTTATACTCAAAAAAATTTATTTCTCTTGATAGGATCTTTCACAATCTGCTTCTTATGATATTTCTCTTGAATCACTCTTTAATGCACCTATTCAACAACTCAAATACTATCATGGCCTTTACAATGTAATAAAAAAAAAAAAAAAAAGAAAGGAATAAATATAAAACTTTATATTGATTTAAGTATTATTTTTTTTCCTTTTTGGATTTATTAGAGACTTTTGGAATCTGCAGATCCATCTCGTTCTGATTTTCAACATCTCACCAAGGCAACTCGTTCTTTGGAAACTATTCTATCCTTGTCTCAAAAATCTGTTTCCTCCAAATCTGGTTTACCTGTTTTACCGCCACCTATTCGTACTCAACCCAATGATACTACATCTTTATCAAACAAGGTCGCCAAGAAGAAGAAAAGTATGATCCGACAAGAAGACTTTTTCTCTTACTATACTGAAACTGGTGAAGTGTCTCCTTTGGAAAGTTCTGAAGATGAAGATGATTTTGATGGTTATGATTCAACATTACAAACGAAAATTCATGATAAGGCTACAGATGATGAACTTTCTACTATTCAACCTCGTACTGTCAAGATCGTGAATACTACTTTACCTGATCCCAAAATCGCTACTACTACTGCTGCTGCTGCTGCTGCTGGTGGATCTACTGCCTCAGCTTCTGCGGTTAAAAAGGACACTTCGGCTCAAGTACAAATGACTTTTATTCAACCTGCTACTGCAAAAATGGATCATATCGACACTGTCTCTGTCAACAAACAGCAACAACAGCAGCAACAACAACAACAAGCAGTGGATGTCAAGACAACCTCTCGATCGGATACATCAAACAATACGAGTCATGTAGATACTGTCCGTGCTGCTTTAGCTACTCCTCCTTCTCAAAGAACTCTCTCTCCTTCACCTGGTGATTCTCCAAGACCTGTTTCCCCACGAGCTGTACAAGTACAACAAGCTGTGACTCCAGTAGCCGCCATGCAAGCTGTATCTCAAAAAACACATGATTATTTCTCTTCTTCTCCAAACAATATCACCAGTTCGGCTAAACCTCTTCCTTCTCCAAAAGAACAAAATGATACTGGATTTTTTGAACATTCTACCTCTTCCACAACCCCGGTTACTTTACCTCGTACTTCTTCCAAGCGTGGTACAGCTCAAAATGTGGATCCTACCGCTCGATCAAATCAGAGATCTAATCCTCCTGCAAAGTCTATGAATAGTCAACCTCCTGTGATTACTCGTCCTTTTGCTCCTGTTCAAAACCCTGGTGTTCAACCTACCAACGGTGGTCAACCTCGTCCTATGATGAATAACATGTACAACCAAGCACCTCCTCCTCAACATCATCAAGGTTACTCTCACCAACCTATCCCATTGTTACGATCATCATCTCATAATTCTACTGAACAACAAGGTTATGGTATGCATTCTATGCCACCGCGTATGAACTCCAATGGACCTCACCCTGTTCCTAGTCGATCTACTGGTACAACCACATCTATGCATCATTATCAACAGCAACGTCCTCCTCTACCACCTCAACAAATAAGTGCACGACCACCTCCTATGCATTCACCTACATACCAGCAACCTCGTACTCCACCTCCAACAGATGATCAACAAAATGGTGTGCGTCAAGTTCTTTACAGTAACAATCAATGCGAAGTATTTCATTGGAAGGATCAATCTTGGTATGCAGTAGATGGACAGTGTACACTTCAAGTGCGCCTAACATATGGAGGTCGTTCCTGTTTGGCTGTACAGCTTCAACCCTCTGGACAATTGTATTTGAACGCATGGATTTTACCTAGTATGTCACTCAGTCAACCTTCAGCAACAGATGTTAGTGTCTCAGTGACCATGATGGCAAGGCAAGAAAATTACTTGGTTCATTTTAGACATCCAGCAGACGCATCGAACCTTTTCGCTATGTTACAACGTATGCATCATGAATCATCACAATCATCTACACCATCACCAACACATCATCAAAAGCCCAGAATGGCTCGACAAGATACTGTTGCAGTAGAATTACGTGATGATACTCCTTCCGTAGAAGATGTACCTCAAACACTCAAGCCGGTCTTCCAGTGCAAGTGCAAACTGTTTGTACAAAGTGAAACATCGAAATGGAATCCTATGGGTAGTACTGCTATGCGAATATCTCAACAATTGCCTAGTCAAAAGATGCATATTTATATTGAAGATGATAAGAACAAGTTGATTAGCTCCATTGTACGAAGTGGCAATGTGGAACGGTTGACAAACAAACGAATTACTTTCTTATTGACCAATGAACAAGATAAATCTAGTGTAGTCTATTTGATTCAAGTCAAGGATGAACAAACTGGTAACAAGTTATATGATTACTTGAAAACTCAGAATGCTGCTCAAGGATGGTGATTCCTTTTTTTTTTTTTTTTGTTATCAAGACTCTCTCTTATCTTTATTGGATGGATTAGAATAGAAACTGTTACATATATATATAGTTATTAGTTATAGTTTCTTCTTTGTTATTTAACTGGCAAACACACACACACACACACTCATATTCATTACATACACACGCAAACAAGCACTCATATTTTTTTATATCTACGTATATATATATTATCATTCTTTTTTTTTATTATTATTATTTTTATTATTATTATTCTATAATTCAATACATTATCATTTACTTTTCTTCTCTTTTGTTTATATTATATTTTATGATTTTCCTACCTTTGAGAGATCATACAAAAGAAGGTGGGATTGTATGATTTAAAAATGAGTTTTTTTTTTTTTTTTCTTTTGTATACCAACTAATTTAAGGATATTGAATTTCCCCGCATTGATTTCCACGGGTCTTGTTTCAACATCCCGATAGGATCTTTATTTTGATTGGAGGGTGACTCTTTTTTCTTGATTTAGATCACTTTAAAGGTTTTTTTTTTTTTTTTTTTACCTTCAAACGTCCCCTTTTTTTTCCGTTTTCTTTTTCTTTTCTTTCCTTTACTTCTGTTTGGAAACTATCATGGCTTCTGAAGTAACCACTGCTGCCCCTTTATTGAAAACAGATATCAAGCAAAAACAAGGAGGGTAAGAAATTGAAATAAGATAGATGTATGAATAACCTTATACGTGTGGTCTGTGCCTTTTTTTTTTTTTTGTAATATATCTCACTCATGTTCTTTATTTTTTTTTTCTTTGTTTAGTTCTCAAGCCCTCATTGATTGTGCTAGTGGTACTGTTGGTGGGATCCTTCAAGTGCTTGTTGGTCAAGTATGTTATACGAAAGATAAGCAATTCTTTTTTTACTTATTTTTTTTTTTTTGTCTTTTTCTTTTTCTAGCCTTTCGATACTGTCAAAGTGGTAAAATATAAAATACTTTTCTATCCAAGTACAAACTTATTACTCACTTTTCACTTTTATCTCTTTTTTTTTTTTGATATAGCGTCTCCAAACTCAATCAACCACCAATCCTGTGTACAAGAACATGATGGACTGTGTTCGCCAAACCAGAGCAAAGGAAGGTTTGAAAGGATTTTACAAGGTAAAAACAATAATATTCCTGAAGTAGGAAAAAAAAGGTTCTTTCTAATATACATTTATTATAGGGAACGACCACACCATTGGTTGGGATTGGTGCGTGTGTATCTATTCAATTTGTTGTATTGGAAGCCATGAAACGATTCTACTCACCTCATGGAGAATCATTGACCAATAGTCAATTTTATCTTGCTGGTGCTGCTAGTGGGATCGCCAATTCTGTTGTATCTGGTCCTGTGGAACATATCCGTACTCGTCTTCAAGTACAAACTTCATCGACTGGGACTGGACTTTACTTCAAAGGACCTGTGGATGCCATCAAACAAATCTATTCTCGTTATGGAATTGCTGGGATCTACAAAGGACAAGGTATCACAATGGCAAGAGAATTTCAAGGATATGGTGCTTACTTTTTGGCCTATGAATGGTTGGTGAAGAAATCCATGGAACATAGTGGTCGTCAACGATCTGAATTGCCTGCTTGGGAAGTATGTTTATATGGTGCCTCGGCTGGTTATGCCATGTGGATGACTGTCTATCCTTTGGATGCCATCAAATCCAAGTTACAAACCGATGCCTTTGACCCTGCTCATCGGAAATACAGTGGTGTGTTGGATTGTGCTCGCAAAACTTTGGCTGTTGAAGGTATGGCCGGTTTCTTTAGAGGTATTGGTCCTTGTTTACTTAGAGCTGCTCCATCCAATGCTGCTACTTTTATGGGGTAGGAAATAATTTACATAATACGATTTTGTTTTTCTGATGACTGATACTTTTTTTTTTTTTTATTGATGATAATAGTTTCGAAGTAGCCATGCGTGTCTTATCTTCCAACTCTTAGATCTTTTTCATTCTTTTATTATTATCACTATTATTATTACCTTTATTATTATTATTTTTATCCTTCCTAGATATTTAGTTTTATTACTTTTGTTTTTTTTTTTTTTATTCTTTTATCGTCTTGGGCATAGATATTATTATCATATATCGTACTACTTTTTTTCTTTAGTATTACATTATAACATATCAATATACACAATATCATCAACCATTGAATTGGATTTGTTTCTTTATATTTGAGCAATACATATATTAATTAATACGAATCATTGTCCGTACGGCATTCACATTGTCTTTCGTAAACACCATTTGATTCATTTCAACATAACATGGGAGTTAAAGAAGAGTTATCCATCAAATATCAATATTAAACCACCTTCAAATGAGAAGAGCAAATAGATTGTTTTTTATTATTCAACAAAAGATGAAGTAACTAATAGATGATACATGTATAGAGAGGTTCTAACTAAACTAATCTAAAAAGAATGGATCACTATAAACCATCACTGTCATCATCACCATATCGATCTATATTTGCGAGCACATCCATATCAGGCACAAAGATATATTCGAAAGAATCATCATCATCATCGTCATCATCGTCACTATGATCCAATAACAAATGTCTTTGTCGAAACATTCTTGACATGCTTTCCAACAGGCTACGTGTAAGGAAGGATTCACGCTGGCGTTCGACATGATATCGTCGGTTGCTTCCTACAATATCGTCAACCAGATGCATTTGCGAACTTGTTGATGGTCCGGTAGGGCTAAACAATTTGATGGTATTGTCAATGCCTGATGCCGCCAAGTAAGGTAAGGAAGGATGACCATGCACTACATTCACCGTATCTTGATCTGCTTTGAGAATTTGTACTATCTTGCCAGTTTTCTTGTCCCACAAAAATACATTACCATCATCACTACCAGACATCACATATTCATCTTGTGCTCCATAAAAATTCACATCCTTGATAGTCTAAATATATATATATCAGTAAAAGATAATCAATCATACTTCAGTGATACTTCTTTTTTTTTTTTTTATTATTACCCGAATGTTGCCATGACCATCATATTTCATTCTATGACTAATAACACCCACATCACTTTGGAAATCAGTACGAATGGCTCGTTGATGACATTCTAGTTCATCCAATTGGTTCTCACCTATGTCAGTGTCGTCATAGACGGTGTCAAAGAAACCTGTAGTGCTGTGCCAATCGTCATCCTCGTAGTCATCACTAATAATATAGTTATTGTCGTCATCATCGTCATCGTCCAAGTTGTAGCTGTAGTCGTAGTCATCACTACTGTTGCTTCTGTTGCTGCCATTATCTTGTTCTATACCACTATCATCATTTGCGTCATTGCTAGTTGTATTTTCTTCACTTGTAACCAAAGAAGTAAACAGATCATCAGAGTTGTTGAATTCATGTTGATCGATCATATCAATATCAAAAATAGGAGATATTGGTTTTGTCGGCGTCAAAGGTGGAGGAAATGGGTATAATAGACGTAGCCAGTCCATATGTTGTGGTGTTGAATCCAAATCTTCTTTTGAAAAGTTGTTTCGTCTCATCATCATATCATCAATTTCCATTGCATCATCATCATCATCATCATCATCATTATCGCCATTATCATGTATCGAATCATCATTAATAAGAGATTCATAAGACCGATAAGCACGTCGAGAGAGATGTTCCATCCATGTATAATAATCAGTCACAGATCTTCCTTGTCCTTTGGCCACCAAATCCGATCGATCAGATGTAGACAATCGGTCAAATAACACTCTTGTTCGTGTCGCAAACTGACTAGCCAACAACATGTATTTTGATACCCCAGGGAAATAGTATGCCAAATTTGCTGTTGTTTCCAAGGATTCTGGATGTTTTGTTTTTAGTCCAGACAGATATCGCTTTCGCTGTTCAACAACATCATCATCACCACCACAGATCAACCAATGAGTCACCGCAATCATCCACATGCCTTTCCAGTTTTTGGGTGCCATTTCTTTTGCTCTTGAAAGTTGGACTCTTATGCCGGCCAAGTCATCTTTGACACGTTGTATAGTTGCATTATCAATATTGCTGTTTGTGTCGTCGCTGTTGTTGTGATTAGTATCATTGTCATCACTGTTTGGTTCATTCAGGATATGTTCAGAAAGCCCTCGCATGACTCGTACCGAAAAGATCACGGCTGTCATACAATGAATCCAGGTATGTTCTAATTGTGTCGTTTCCTTTTGTTGCCCAGTTTGAAAGTCTATAGATGATTCGTTGCCACCTCCTTCATGCTGAAGATATAAATAATGTTCATTGACTAGTCGTAATGCTTGAGGTAAATTGCCTTGTTCAAGTGCTTGGATGACTCGTTCCCTATTGTCTGCTGCCATCAACAATTTACGATGAGAGGGTTGTTTACCATTTAATATATTGTCTTCATCATCATCGTCGTCTGCAGTAAATGTGTCATCATCGGACTGATTGAAATCCAATTGAGATTGTAATGATGGTGATGATGATGATGCTGTGTATAGCGAGAGAGATGAACGGACTTTTGGTTGTGGTTGAAATGTAGCACCGGAATCACCAAGTCGAGCTTCTGTTGGAGAGTCTAAAATATTGAACAGATAGATACCTCTAGCAGCCCAGCTTCCCAATAGTTCATATCCATTCGCATCACTAAATTTACACGCCGTTACATATTGATTGCCTTGTTTTCGTCGTATATGATCGCCAGATGGTGTGAACCGTAAAAGACATTGAGATCCTGGAGAGCGATCCCTATTTTTCCCAGCACCTTGACTAGCCGTAGAAGAATGAATCATACGTCGATCATGAAGATATATATAATTGTCCATTCCAGCAATCACAAAATATTGAGGCTTGAACCTGTTGATTGTCATACTGTTGATGTCAAGACCATATTGGCTATAATCGAGTAATGGTCTTGGGCAACCCTGTCGAAGAGGACGAGGAGAAATGGTACGATGTTGTGATGTGTATTCACGAGCACGTAATCGAGTAGCAGTATTGAAGGAACGAACATAATGTGGAGTACAAATATGAGGTTGACGAAGATCAAAATGACGAACAGTACCTAATATTAAAAAAAAAAAAAGATATGAATAAAATAAATAAAAGTAGTTTTCTTTTTTTCTTTTTTCTTTTTTTTAAATACTATACTTACCATCTTCGGAGCAAGTTAAGAATTCATGTGGATTGTTTGGTTCAGTACCTATTCGTTTGACGGGATCACTATGACAGGTATAAATGTGACGTAATTGTTCATTAGAGGTAGATGCATCCAAGTCAAAGATACGGATTTCAGAATCACCAGCGGCAGAAACAATGATTTGGTCCGCAGTACTTGGCATGAATTTGGCAGCAAAGACATTGTCTCGATGACCTTGTAAACAGAACAAAAAAAAAAAAGGTAAGCACGAGTTCTAATGATCATAAAAAAAAAAATAAATTACCTGTTCTAATAATAGTCTTGTTGCGATAGTCACCACTAAAAGGATGCCAAATTCTAAGTGTTTGATCATCTGAGCCAGATAAAAGCTTGTCACCGCGTTGAGACCAGCTAAACCACAAAAGAAAGAGAATGAAAGATTAGAGAAAATGTTAAAAATAATAATGAAACTTACCATAATGAATTAACACAACCTTGATGACCTTCGAGTTCCTTTTGCATTTGTAATCGATCAACAAAGTAACGATCGCCATAAAGTGTTCGTACTAAAGAATTGAAAAATAGTAAAGAGTAATTTAAATGAATGTGTCTTTTTATTTATAAATAAGGAATAATATATCTTTACCAAATTCTTTTTGACCTAATTCCTGAAATGGGTTGGTTGAAGAATAAGATGGGTATAACTTTCTATTCCAAAGACATGTTTGTATTGTAGTAGACATTGGCGTAAAGTAAAGAAGTAAAAAGAAGAGACAAGAGCGAAACAAGCAAGTGAAATATGCCACTTTGGTTTCAATGTCCGTCTTTTTTTTTTTTTTTTTTTTGGTCAGTAAAAGCATTCCCAAACTTTTTTTTTTTCTTCCATCCAATTTCTCTTTTTTTTTTTATTTTTTTTTTCGCACACTCTCACCGATTTTTATCTATTTTATATGGGAAGCCATTATAGCTATATGGATCCATATTTATATCAAAGTATGTATGACTATAGTGACGGTTCTTTTGATATCATGGTAAGACATAATAAACCCTTTTTAATCCATTCATCTATATTTTTATTATTTTTTTTTTCAAATAGAACAGATGGCGTTGGTACGGGATGCCACGTTATTATTATCCTCCAACTTATTATTCATCACCCTATTATTACCCAAGACATTTTACTCCATATGCATCAAGTTATTATTGTTCCAATTATGCCTCAAGACGTCGTCCTTATTCATACCCTTTAGTTAATTATCGTTCCCCACGTACTCGCTTATATTGAAAAAATTAATTAATTTGTTATAAACACATACATCACATGTCATATAATACAACAATCCTTTAAATAAAAAAAAAAAAGAAACAAACCTCTTGGTGTCACATGTCCACCCTTTTTTTTTTTTTTTTTTTTTTGGATAAACATAGATTCATGCTTGCAGATGGGGTTCAAGTTCAGCTGATAAGTCTGACAAAAAAAATAAAGTCCCCTCATGGGCAAGAAAAAAAAATAAAACATCATCAGGTCAATTTTATATCCTCTACAAGTGGATGATTATCGTCATTATTCAGTATGAATCTTTTATTGTTCCTATATAATCATCATGATTTTAGAGAAGTAAAATGATGACCCATATGAAATGTGGAGGGAAAAAAGAAAAACTAAGGTTGCATTGAGAAATGTGTTTGTTTTTCCAAGAGAACTAGGTTTCAAATTCCGTCTTCTAACACGAGAGCAAAAAGCAACAAAAAAAAAAAATCACATTCACCTCTTTTTCTCCTTTTCCTTTTCACAACAGACTTTATATAAAAAGATGGGTGGTTACCTATCAAAAGAAAAGGTATTATTATTTTTATTTGTACTTTTAAAAAAAAAACTAATTCTTTCTCTTTTTATTTATATAATAATAGACCGACCCAAATGACTTTGAAAAAGTTTTATCAGAATTAGATGGAAAGATACAAAAAGCTGAAATTCGATTATCAGATATTAAAGTACGTCAACGTAGAACAGGTGTTTTAGTAGTTACTTATAGTACACTGGTTTGGCTTGTCTATGTTGCCTATTGTTTCTTAACTCTTCATCAACATGATTCTTCTTTTGACATGATGGCTACTCAAGTCGCGTTCATTCTTGTTATTCCTATTGGGTAAGATAAATAAGTTACCCGGTTCTCTTTTCTTTTTTTTATAATTATTATTATTATTTTTTGTCTCATCTTTTATTTATTTATTTATTTATAGTATTTATTATTTAAGAAAAGTACTGGTTTGGTTTTATGCCAGGAAACAAACCTCTGAAGAATCTAATTTATCCTCACTACGTGCTCAACAAAAACTCAAGGTTGAAGAACTCAAAAAGAAAACATCTTATTATACAACACAGTCCTTATTGGAAAGATATGATGCTGAAGCTCAAGAAAAAAGAAAACAACTGGAACAACAGGAACAACGAAGACAACAACAATTAAAACAACAACAGGAACAACAGCAACATCAAAAACAACAACAACAACAATTACAGCAACGTAAACCAGGTATATTAAAATTAAAAGAGGAATTGATTTGATTTTTTTTATGATATTCATTTTTTTTTTTTTGTTATTTTAATAATGATAGTATCGATGCCAGGACCAAGAATGATGCAAGCTCATCAAGGAAATCAGCAACCCAACAATGTTCATCCCAATAATGGTCCTAGTACTAATCCCATGGTACAACCTTTACAGGCATATCAAAAAGAACCCATTCAAGAATCGAAAAGTTGGATTGATAGACTCGTTGATGCCCTACTTGGAGCGGATGGGCCAGAAACAAAATATGCCTTGATTTGTAATCATTGTTTTACTCATAATGGATTGATATTACCTGATGAAGTGGAAACCATTCGTAAGTTGGAAACATTTTTCTTATGTTATGAAAGGGGATAATGTATTCATTTTTATTTATATGTAGAATATACCTGTCCTATATGCCATCAATTTAACCCATCTCGACAAGCTCGAAAATTACATCCTGATGGCCCAGTATTGCCTCCTCAGACACCTTCACCATCTATGGCTCAGCACAAAGAAGATATCGGCAAAAAAGAACTTGATGTAAACAGTGAACAAAGTCAGTTGGATGTGGAAAAGGAACAAAATATGGATAATGATGATTCTATTGCCAACAGGGTAAGACGACGCCGTGGATATTCTCCAGCAAACAATGATAAAGACAACAATATTGATAATGACACCAGTGACAACAATATCGATGATGACAACACCAATGATGACAATGAAAACAAAAAGAGTTTATGATAATCAAATATCATAATTTAGTATAATTATTTACTTTTTTATTTTGTTATGATGAATAATAAAAAAATGGTTAGTTTGTATTCTTGCTGCATATACAGTTTTTATGGTGATTTGAATCCCCGTTTCTTATAAAGGTCTTTTTTTTTTTTCTTTGTCTTTTCTTTGGTCTTTTTTTTTTTTTTTTATCTCATTTGTACTTCAAGTTAAAGAATGACTCCTCTCACGCACTCTACACCACATGTACATTTTAACATTCAAGCAGGTCCTGGCTCAAACAAATCATTAGTACTAGGATCATTGGATTGGGAATTACAGCCAGGTACCATTTGTACATTAGGTCGACATACAGAAAATAAAGCACAACAACATAAGTTGATACTCAAAAGTAAAGTGGTGAGTCGACAACACGCCGAGATTTGGATGGAAAAGGATAAGGCAAGTATCATAAATATAATAAATAACTGTTATTAATCTTTTTATTGTTATCAATAGGTTTATATTCGTGATATTGGTTCTTCCTCTGGTACTTTTTTAAATGCCACACGTCTTAGCCCTCGCAATACTGTGTCTGAACCCTATTTGCTCCATGATGGTGATAGTTTACGAATTGGAACTACATATCATGATAGTCATCATGGTAATTTTAATTATATATATATATACATGTACAAATCCTCTCTTACAATTTTTTTTTTTTGAATAGATGATTACCGTTGCATTATTTTTTTAATCCGTATCAGTTTACGACCTTCACTAAACCAATATAGGTAAGTTACAGGGGGAAGGAAGAAATGAAACCAAGAACAGTGTGTCCCATGATCTTCTTCTAACTCACCCTACTTTTTTTTTTTTTATCAATATAGTACAGAAACTTGTTGCATCTGTATTCATCCTCTCAAGACTTCTCAAGCCCTGTTTGTGACACCTTGTGGTCATCTCTTCCATTACAAATGCAGTCTACCTTTACTTCAAAAATCATACAAATTTCAATGCCCTATCTGTCGAAGCATTTCCAATCTGGATAAGGATATTGATTAGTACTTTTTCTTTGAAACTCTCACATGTAGCGCATTTTCCATTCATAGTATAGCATTCAAATGTATCAATATGTCTATCCCATCACCCTTTTTTTTTTTTGTAATACATTGCATCATTCTTTTATTCCCATTATATCAAATATAAACTTTCGTCAAATAATAAAGAATTATATCCATTTTTGTTTTTCCAAAATAATATTTTATTCCAATAGATCAAGTAATAAAAGAAGAAGTAAAGATATATGAGTCATGACTACAAACGAAAAAAAAAAAAACAAAAGCTAGTAAAGAAAAATACGAATATCCAAAACTAACAATCTATTCTTGAGATCGGAGACGAGCACCAGCGTTGACCACCTTAACGTTGAGTTGAGCAGCACGTTCGAGGATGGAAATACGGTTCTTGGAAGACACATTATGGGCGATTTCGGCAGCATAAGAACGGTTGTGCATCAACAACAATTCAAGTTCACGCACATTGGACACAGCAAACTTGCGGAAACCATTGGGCATCATGTGGCGAGTCTTCTTGGCAGAACCGTAACCAATCTTGGGCATAGGAGCTTGACCCTTGAATCGACGACGAACACAACTGTCAATACCCTTGGGCTTTCTCCAGGATTCCTATAAATATATAAAAGTAACATCGTTTTAATCTCTATTAAAAAAAAAAAAAAAGATATTCAAACACTTACACCGACACGCATGAAGCGGTTGGATTGATGACGCTTGAAGGTAGCAGTACGCTTCTTCACAATGGTGTGCTTAACGGCAGGAGTGACCATGGTTATCTAAATTAAAAATATAAATATAAAAAGAAAGAAAAAAATGAGTATCAATGTAAAAATATCAATATTTCCCTTTTTTTTTTTTGCATTCGGTCCAACAATATATAATATCCTTCATAAAAGATCAGTCATATCCATCCATCCATCCATCCATCCATCCATCTAATGATATCTATTCATTTCTTTTTTTTTCGTCCCAATAGATTCGACAATCCTTCCTTTTTTTTTTCCTTTTCTCTAATCCATCATCTGTACCGAATGTTGTTAAGTAATTAGGTGATATACGTACAAGCAAAGTAAGAGGAGGAAAAAAAAAGTGGAAATCGATTCCCCCCCTTTCCCCCCAAATCTATTTTCAAAAGTGCATAGCGGAAAACGAAATGGTTTTTTGGATATTACCGGGTCGGTTGACAAGTGAATTTTTTTCTATCGCAAGTAAACCTCGGATGTTCAATTTGATAGTTTCTTTGGAGTTTTATGCATAGTAGTATAAGAAAGATGATCATTCTTATGATGATGATCTTCTTCTATAGATAGATAGAAAGATAGATTTCAATCATTTGTCAATTTATCATCTTATCATCATCACTAGCAAGCAGAATAATTCTATTTCTTTGAGAGGCAAGCAAAATAAGAATCATCATCAATGTTGTGATCCACTCTATGATTTGTCCATTGGACTACATGCTCTGACACTTCCACACTAAAAGTTGAATTAAACATTATATTCTTTCCTTTATTGTATCAATTACATCCGATTTTATTGAAACAAATAAACATATAAATGAATAAACTACATACGACTATGACGAACAACTAAGCTTCGATTTCTTCTTGTTGTTGCGCTGCCATGGCTGCCTTTGCTTCATCCAATTCATCTTGCATGATCTTCTTTCGCCCTAAAGCTAATTTCGCTAAATCCAATCGATGATTTTTCTTGAATATAAGTGCCAACTGTCGATCACGATTCATCCGTTTCTCCACATTGTCAAGATATGTCTGCATATCCAGCATGCCTGTCTGTACCTGTATCACAAGCATATTCATCTTGATATCTAACGCTTGTTTTCTATCCAACCAATCTTCCTTTGTTCTTCTTGAATCACTCTTCCCCGTATTCAATGCTTGATTTGCCACTGTCAATTCATGTTCCAATACCATGTTGGATACCAATACATCAACACTAACCAAAAAAAAAAAAAAAAAAAAAATCAATATTCATCTGATTTGTTTCTCTTCTTATATTAAATAAAACTTTACTTGTTGATTTCTTCTTCAGCAGCTTCAAGTTCTGAGTCACCCACACCTGGAGTATCAGTGTTGGTAATAGCTGAAGATGTCGACAAAGTGGCTACATCCGTTGATGGTATTTTAGAAATATCCTCTGTTGTTGTTACGGTTGTTGTTGTTGCTGCTGTCGTTGCTGGTAATGATGATAAGGACGAGGAAGAAGATGATGGATGAACAGTGGTAGATGTTGATGTGGGTTTATAGGGTCCTTGAGTCAATCCTGCCGTATACATCAACTGTGAAGTTTGTGGACTAAGACCATCCATGACTAACCATCGTTCACTTCGCTTGACAATATCTTGACCAGTCAAAGGTTCACGTAATCCAAGTTGAATTTTCAGTTTGCCACCAGTTTTCTTTCTATTGGTATCAATCAACTATATGGAATAAAAGAAAATAGAAATATATTCAGAATTACACATTGTCAAAAAAAAAAAAAAAAAAAAAAAAGGACATACATCAAACCAACCGGCAGTAAATGTCTTGGTTAACAAAACATCCAATGGTATAATCACTTTGCCAATGAGGATCGGTCGTCGTAAGAATCCATAGTTGTACTTGTTATGAAAAACTTCCAGTGTCAATTTCTTTCTTTGTAAATGTCGCATAAATATACGATTGGTGCGAGTGATGGGTATCAAGGTGGTAAAATCAAATACTACACATTTAAGTGAAAATAAAATGAGAATATCATGAGTCATCAATTTAACATCCAATCTATTATATATATATATATATAATTTACCTGGTTCTGTTCCTTTCATCACAGTTGTTTCACCTTTGTTCAAATGAGCTTGAGCTGTATTTTCAGGAGGCCAACCGCCAAAATCCCAGGTAACAAAAGGTTCTATAGTTGTACCAATATCCAAAGACTGAATCCCTGTGCCTTGAATAATCTTCAGTTCCATTTGGTTTAAAGGCAAATGATCCAATATATTCTTGTAAGCATAATCAACTTGTTCGTAATGTAAAGATGGCATTGGATGATTCGCTCCTACTTGCTCCTTCAATGCGCGTATGGTCACCAAGTCAGCTGCAAAGGCTTGTTTCAAAGGAAGAAGAGCGGAATGCTGTTGCTGATTAAAGGAAGAAGTGTTTGTATTCTTGTTTGATGGCGGTTGATGCTGAATATCCAAGTTGTGACAAATGTCGATTTGATACATCAGTTGAGCTTCCATTTGTTCCGTTGTAGGTTGGTTGAATTCTGTCAAAGGTTGCACTGGTCGAAGTTTACCATCCCCCAAAGACAAATCAGGATGATCCGGAAGTCGCTTTCTAGTGCTATCCACTTCGTGCTGTTGTAATGGTTGCTGTTTGAGTTGAATACCAGTTTTCAATAAAGATTTAGAAATCTTGATCATTTCCTTTGCTGCCATTAAATTGCCAAGATCCTTATAATGATGGGCTGCATCTTTGTATTCTTTTTGTAGTTGGATCACCCGCTGTAATAATTCCTGTTGTGCTTCCCGAGCTGCTGGATCCGGTAATGATAAAGATGTTGCAGATGCTGATTTTACTTGATCATTGGTAATTGCTCCTTCTTCATTTTCTGTAACCGAGATTGAACTTGCTATTTCCATTGAAGTTACCGATGATGATGTTACAGCTATATGAGAAGGTTCAGGTATTTTGCTAGGTTGTTCAGATCGTGAATCTAATTGTAGAAGTCGTTTTGATTCACGTAATAGAGCGACAGCTTGCTTTTTGTCTCCTTGTTTCTTCGCAATCAGAGCTTGTTGTTGGTACATTTTTGCTTGTTCCTTGAGATCCATCTTGTTGTTGTCCATGTTGGTATCATGATCATTCAGTGATGTTTCATTATCGTTGGTATACTGTTGTTGAATCGTATGATCAATCATATCAGTGTCATCATTTGCCATTGTTTGATTTCCATCATATTTCATAGCGGTATCGACTTGATCAGAAGGTGGTGTGTCCAAAAGAAAGTTGGTGGCCCGTTCCATATCGTTGTCAAACATGTCAAGTGCTTTTTTCGCTTGCTGTTGGCTAAAACCCATGTTCATTAATTGCAGAGTAGATTCATCAAGTTTGACAGACTTAGTTGAATGTTCTTGAGAATTACTGGTATGTAAAGGTCCACTATCTGCTATAACTGAGAGTTCTTCCTATATATATTTAAAAAAATGAGGATTTAGAGGACAATACCAAACAGTCTTTTAATGCTATTGTTTTTTACCAACAAGTGAGGATCAGTTAGATCATTTTCATTCAATTCCACATGAACATCATCATTCCCTTGAGCTAGAGAAGCATACGAGTCCCAGTCAATATCCATGTCCGCAGTCTTTGTAGGACGAGATGTCTTGGCAAGTGATTTGGGTTTGGTAGGTTGTTTGCTTTCGCTTTGTGATGAAGAAGCCAATAACTGTAGTTGTGCCTATTCAATACAAAAATAAAAAATAAAAAATAAAGATAGAGAGAGTATATGAGTTAAAACAAATTTGAAGATCTTTTATACTATCAATACCAAAAGTTCAGGATCGTTAAAGTCATTTTCGTCAATATCATCGCCATTATCATTTAAAGAGTCGTGTAATAAGTGTTCAATATCATCTATATCAAGATTTGAGACTTTTTGTTGTTTTCGATTTATGTTCTTGTTAGTTTGTTGTCCTCCAAACATGATAATGAGATATATATATATAAAAATGCTTGAAACAAGATAGGGCAAAAAAAAAAAAAAAAAAAAAATGAAGAAGTAACGGAATTGGAAAAATCCTGCACAGAGGCAAAAAAGTAAATCTGGCCAATCCGTGACCACTGGAAATTTTTTTTTCTCTTTTTTTTTTTTTTTTTTTTTTTTTTTCGTTGTTGTTATTGTCACTATCCTTAAGAAAATGACAGCTGGAAAAGAAACAATAGAAGGTAAAACTCGATGATTCAACAATACCCTTGATATTGATTTGCAGCCCACAATTCTTATGTTTTTTTTTATTATTAATAGAAACTTCGTCTGTACCTGTGGAAAAGCGGATCTATGTTGGCGGTCTTCCTTCTAGTGTGACAGTAGATCAACTTGAAACACGATTTGCAAAGTTTGGATCCATTTCAAATGTCACCATAGCCAAGAATGAACAAGGTGAATGTCGTGGTTTTGGCCATTTTACTATCAAAACAACACCAAAACAATGGACTTCATGTAGGTGACAGAATATATATATACCTTTATTCCATAGTTAACTTGTTTTTTTTTTTAGGTCTTTCTGTTTATAATGGGTCAAAGTGGAAAGGGGAAAAAATACGACTGGAAGACTCAAAACCTGACTATAAAGAACGAAAACGAAAAACTGAGGAATTATTAGCTCTCAAAGCAGAGAAGAAACGAAAACGTGAACGACGATGGAACAATAGTGATGGTTTCTTCGCAAGGGATATGTCATTGGTGACGGATAACAATGTGAACACACGATCTGGAGGATGGAAACGAGGTCGTTATGGAAGAGCTGTTGCAGTGATGCGGTTACGAAAGGAGGATGGTACTCGGGTATGTTAATACTGATTTTTCTTTATTAAATGTCATTTACTAACACTATTCTTCTCTAGTTTGTATATGATCCTTTAAACTATAAAAACAATTTGGAAAAACTTTATAATATTGGTGTTCGGATGAAACCCACGAAGGACCTGCCGATGTTTTATGAAGAATATGAACAACAAAATGATCAAGATGCTTTGTTCAAGCAACAACAGTATATACCTGACGACAATGACGATAACAAAGATGGAGATATTGACTTTTCCCAGACTACTCGATCAGATATGATCTTATCATCCAAGGTAATACATATGAAAACAAATGAAAGAAACAAATTTTTTTAAAAAAAAAACCATACATCTTCTACTTTTAGGACAAGGGTGAAGAAAGACGACTTGCAGCATTGGAACGAAGAAGTTTAGAATTATCAGCCAAGAAAGAATCAATGAAACAAGCTGAACAAGATCGACAACATATTTCATTTGACAAGGACGAAGATGTTATCGAATATGATGAGCACAAGACCGATATTGATATAATGAATGAATCGAATGTACAACCAAAAGATGGAGCGAAATGGATGTTTGATTCAGATTCCGACGATGATGATGATCTAGGTAAACTTAAGAAAAAGAAGAAGAAAAGAGGGGGGTAACATAGAAAAGGATTTTCATTGTACTTTTTTCTTTTTTGGAAACGACAGATATACGAATTAATCCGGTACTTGAAGGTGAAAAAGGAAGACAACGATTGGAATTACAAAGTCGCTATCAAGGTGATGATCGATTCAAATTGGATTCAGAATTTATGGATGAAGATGAAGAAGAAATAACACAACCTACAAAACCCACTATCAACGATGATATATCAAAATCCCTTGGTGATGAAAAGAATCAATCTTTAGATGTTTTACGTGCTATGTTTGGTGATATCAAGGTCATGACTCAAACGTAAGTAACTATTATGATTATGATTATGATTATTGCTTGCTTAACGATTCTTTGCAATTTATTTTATATATAGAAAACCTGAAGGTCAGTGGTCATCCAGTGCGCGCTTTGATCCTGAAGCTGAAGATTCCTCAAACTATTTGATCCAATCCACAAAACTGGAAACAGCCACCAACGAATCACAAGATGATGATGATCTCGAAGACAATTCTATAAATAGCAATGATGAAGGTAATTATCAAAATATTAAAAGAAAGGGGGGTTGTTAATTATTGTAATTAATGTAAATTAATAATAATTACTTATTTATAGATTTACCAACCACTAGACGACCTGAAAGTGCCATGCCAGTAGTATCAACTGAAAAACATTTTAGTGTCAATGTTAATTTGAAACCATTGTTTGGCGCGGAAGAAGGTAAATGATACCAAACAAAAATTGAGGCGGTTTTTTTTTTTCTTTGGAGGGCGTTTATTACATTTTTACATTATTGACAATAATATTCCATTGATGATCAATTTTAATAGAACCTTTTACCCTCTTTGGTGGCAATGTCAGTGATGATGCAGACGAAACAGGTGATACTAATATCTTTGGCAACACAACATCGAATGATCTATCAACAGGATTTATACCACAAACTACTGAGGTATGTAAACAAAGAAAATAACAGGATGATAGTTTGAAAGAGGGAGGGAGGGGGTTAGAGAAAATGATTACCTGATTATGCATATTTATTAATTCACTCCCTCCATTTTTATATGTGTCCCTGAATACCTTAAAAAAGTCCCACGTTGGTTTAGGTTTGATGTTCTTTCTACATTCGGATGATCCAAACTTGGTGAAAAGGTAAATAATGAATATGTCTGACATCTCACTCACATCTACTTTTATGATATCAATAGAAGCTGTTATTCTTATGATCCCAATGGTATTTTCCAACGAAATCAAAATGAAAGGTATAATAACAAAAAAAAAAAAAAAAAAAAAAAAAAGAAAGAAATATTTAATCATATATCTATGTATTTGTTAGTGAAAAATATGAAACTGAATGGAAAACTGAACGAAATATATTCTCTGAAATCCTCAAGAGACGTGAAAAGTATTCTTTACGGAAGCAGAAAAAAGAGACAAATGGTGGATTGAAATGAATTAGATAGTTTCTAGTTTAGTGATGATTTATTTTTATACACATAATAAAAACATTTTCTTTTCTTTTTTGTTTTGTTTGTTCCGAGAGAAGAATATCCATATTTGGGTGTGTAAACCGAAGGAGATCAAGCCGGTTTATGCAATTTGTGTAGGGAATCCATCCTAAAGCCTGTGCGCACCCCCGCGTTTTTTCTTTTCTCTTTCCTATTCAGGCATGAAGATGATGGCGGGTATTGAAAGTGAAAAAGGTTTAAATAAGATGCTCAATTCTTTTTTTTTTTTTTGAATCTTTATCTTTTCTTTGTCACTCTTTTCCTTTTTACTATTTTATAATTTATACCAACCATTCCTTTTATTCAATATGCCTAGTCAACGTATTCCTAAATCAACAAAAAACATGTTGTCTTCTCCTACTGAAAAAATTCCTCGACCTATGAATTGTTTCTTGTTATATCGACATGACAAGCAAAAAGAAATCTTGACAAAGTGCCCTGGTGCGAATCATCGTGATATCTCAAAGATTATTGCAAAATGGTGGAAAGATGCTACTTCTGCTGAAAAGGCTCCTTATGTGGAAAAGGCTCGACTCGCTAAATTGGAACATGCTCGTCTTTATCCTTCTTACAAGTATATGCCTCAAAAGAAAAGAAAAGGTTGTACTCGTACCTACAAGCGTCGTACTCAAGATGAATTCACCTCCAAATCAAAGGAACGCAATGATTTTATGCGGATGATCTATCGTGGTCATGATGTTCTCTCTTCTGTGTCTTCGTATTCTGATGTTTGTTCTACACCTTCTTCTCCATGTCCTTCCTCCTCTTTGAATACTGATTCTCTTACTTCCTCTACTGTTGCCGACAATACCTATCTTTCATTGAATCAAAACTGTACATCTTCCACAGTATCTTCATTATCTCCAATGACGTTTACTTCACCTTGCCATTCCAGTGTCTCATCGTCATCCTCCTCTCCTTGTTTTCTGCAACATCCTTACCAAGAAGATATTTATAAGTATGAAAATATGGATATGATTCATGGTCTTGAGGATTACCATCCTTCCTTTTTTTTGAACGACAATCATTTGGATTACACCACTAATTACACCACTATGTTGACTTCCGATCACCCTACAGCTACTCTGACCAGTTACCATAACGATGTTATCCGTCAACAACAACAACAAAATTATCGTGATTTGGCTTTGAATGATGGCTACATTGATCCTTCTTACCTAATACAACAAACCGCTACTGACAACCTAGATACGTCAACAGATCAATCCGTACAATATGATACCTTTACCGTTGGCTCACCTTCTTCTATCTATTCTTCCAATTGCAGTATGTATGATCCCAACTATGCCTATGATCATCATGTATCCTTCTGATTATCAAGCTCTTTGGTACTCCGCTGGTTTGTCTTTGTTTTTCTCCCATTTGTATATTTCTCCCCACCCCCTTAATCCTATTTTTTTTTTTATGATCTTTTGTTTTATGATCTTTTTTTTTTATTATTATTGCTTTATGTTACTTAGAACTTATTTCTTCTTCATCTCTATCTGTTCATCTATGTTATTGTTATTTTTTTTTTCCTTCAAAATCATTTACTCTTTTTTTTTTTTCTCATTTCTCCATTTTAGAACACATGTATAGACTCACCTCTTAATAAAGACTAATCAATTTTGCATTATAAAAATAACAATTAGACTGATTTTGTAAAGTTAATGATTGATTGATGATGGATGATGATTAATGTGATAAATGTTTGACGTGATGGATGATTGATGTGATGAATAGATGAGTGGATAATCAATAGGATGGATGATGTATAATTCATATATAACAATGGCTCTACATTTTTCGTTTTTATTGTTAACAAACTGTCTAAAAATAGCAAAACTGACTAAAAACTATACTACTACTACAAAATAGATATATTCTACACTATAATCATGGTTTATTCTTGGTGGACATGAATGATTTTGCTATTGGAATGACATGTTCCCCACAAAATCTACCAAGTGCTCCTTGAGATGCACTGATTTCATCATAATGAATAACTTGATCCCCTGTTGGATTTTTGCTGTCATCATATGTCGCTACATGTTTGACTCGACTGATACAAAAAGGTACTGGTTCACAACTATGGTCACCATAAAGGACAGGTGTTGAATGATCACTAGTAACAATCACTGTGAACTAATTAAAAAAAAAGAATATTTTTTTAGAAAAAAAAAAAAAGATCATCAGTTAGTGATTCTATTCTTTATTTATTCTATTCTTTTCCTGTTCCTACCTCCATGTTTTTGGATTTCTCTACTTCAGCCAACTGTTGTATGACTTTTCCCATCATTTGGTCAATTTTTTCCAAGAATTTAACCTAATGAAACAGAAAGGTAAATAACAATGATCAATACGCAAGTTTTCAACTTTTTTTTTTTTTTTACCTTTAGCTCTACATTGCGATCATGGCCTGCATCATCCACTGCCTTGATATGTAAAAAACCAAAATCATAATCTTGATTCACTAAAGCATTCACAGCAGCTCTTCCTTTGGCATCAAAATCAGTAAGGTAATCTCCAGTAGCACCTTCAACTTGTAATATATCCATCCCAGCAGTCATTCCTAATCCTGCAATAATACACGTAGGCGCAATCAAAAAGCTTTTGAATCCATGTAACTTTTCTATACTGGGTATCTACAAAACCGCCAAAAAAGAAATATTAGATAACTTTTTATATCCCTTCCTATGAGAGAAGTAGATTTCTATACTTACATCAATACAGCTACCGCATCCACGTAGTAAAACACAATTTGCAGGATTCTTGCCAGCTTTTATTCGATCCTTGTTGATGTCATGTTGATGAAGTGCCTCGTAAAATACATCTGACAGTTCATTCACTAGCTAATATAGAAATGATCAGATACGAAATTTACATTCTAAAATCCTTTCTTTTCCAATACACAACTTACTTGGCTTGTCATTTCAGCTTCCTTTGTATATTCGGTAGGTTCACATTTCACCAACAAACGTCTAAGAGTATAAAGACGATCACATATAAGTATTGAATGTTTTTTTGCACCTCATCATCATGCGTCACATTTCCTTTTCTTTTTTTAAAAAAAAAATTCTTACCCATCCTTGAGAGGATCTGTCCCTGTAATAGTATCAGTCAAACCAGGACCACGAACACGGACACCACATCGATGTTCAGTTGCATATTTGACTGCGACAGTATGATTTGGAAAAGAAGGTAAAGTACTAACATAAGTATGTTTTCAAAAGATAGTCATTAGATCAAATAAAAATATAGCTATTTCTTTGTTTTGTTTTGTTTTTTTTTAAAAAAAAAAAAGTAGATGATTTGCTTACATTCCATCCAAGGCTTCGCATAAAGTTGGACCAAGACCTTCAAATTGTCGATCTGCTCTTCTTGATATCACTATTCCAGTTGCCCGATCCATATAAGCAAAGTTTGACTAGATTTTAATTAGTGAATAATAAAGGTTAATGATAGGAAATAAAAATATGTCATCATCTTGATCCTTTTACTTTGAAAGCAATATCACCAGGAATCATATTGAGTCCGGCACCCATAGTTTCAAATGCACCTCGACCACGATAAAATCTAACAACAACAAAAAAAAAAAAAAAAAAAAGTAGTATGAGTATGAGAAGATCATCCTCCTCTCGTTTTTTTTTTTTTTCACATAATAAACAGACTTACTTCCGAGGACTATATCCAAGAATAGACATGTGTGCAGTATCCGAACCACAAGCCAAACCAGGTTCCACTGAATCCATAAGACCATTCAAACCACTAGCTAAAATGATAGTAATACGATGCAAGATACATAAAAAAAAAGAAAAGACAGACACATACAAAAAAAAAAATAGTAATGGTTAATATTTTACTTGACCAACCAAACCATTCAATACTAACTTACCAGCCAGTTTGTCAAGCCATGGTATATGAGCAGCTTGTAACGGTGTTTTCTGATTTAATGACTTGACTGCTACATCACCAACACCATCAATAAGTAAAAGTAGCAGCTTCTGTTGAGGCATCTGAATGACTATAAGAGAAGTGAGAATGCGAAAAAGAAGGTTCTTTATTTCCACCAAAAAAAAAAAAAAAAAAAAAAAAAAAAAAGAGGTCAGTGAATCAATGACCAATCATATTCCAGGTTGTCTGTTTTTCATTTTTTTTTTTTTTTGTAACTTACAACTCCCTTCAGCATAGAGGCATGATGTCTTCATCCAGTCCAGGATGAGAAGAGATCAGGGTTTGGAATATTTTATCGTCATTGTCTGTCGATGAAGTTGACCACCGGAAGGATGGAGGAAGTTTGCCAGTAACTTGTTGCCATAATCCAGTGATGATCCTAATTCATACTTGCATTTGTGTCTCGTGATCAACAGCAATCATTCTAGCTTGACACCCTTTGCAATCGGGGTTTTGACAAATAACAGTTCCCAAATTCATTTCTTATGCTCTTGTTGACGAGTAAATTTTCAAATGTCCTTAAGAATTCAGATTTTGGAAGAGGTAGAGGTCACATGTTTTTTGATTGATGCCATTGACGGGGTGTGAATTTGGCAGTGCATTTCATATTGAATAAGAAAAATTCTAGCTTCTTTTCTTTTCCTTTTTTTTCATTTTTTATTTATTTCTTTGCCTATAAAAGTTATAGTGGACTTTAGTCATTTTATTGAAAAATCACAATTCAATTATATTATTCAAGAAGGTAAAAAAGAAAAAAAAATCATTCAATATTTCTCGTCTTCATTCAATAGAAGGGGAAACATCCAACCACCGACAAAAAAAAAACGTCACTAATTCACTTTTTTGATGCTGAACTTCCTCTTTTTGTAAAAAAAAAAAAAAAAAAATCACGACGACTTTCTTTTCTTTTTTAACATTATATCTGATATCAACTTTATAGTCCAACCAAGTTAATATTATAAACCATTTGAACAATCTAGTTTCATCAGTCATACAAAGAAAAAGAATAAACAACAATGTCTGATAGAGTAAGTTCCCTTTTCACCAAAAACATCATTACTCCTCATGACTTGTATAAAAATTATATATGCTTTGACTTACTATTATTTTATTATTTATCACAATAGGGAGGTCGAGGTCATTACAGTGGTCGAGGAGGTGGTGAACGAGGTGGTCGAGGAGGACGAGGAGGACGAGGTGGAAGAGGTGGTGGACATTATCAAAGTCAACAAGACAAGCCAAAGAAAGAATCTATCCTTGACCTCAGCAAATATATGGAAAAGAAAGTACGCGTACGTTTCAATGGTGGACGAGAAGGTACATATAGAAACATGAATAGATATGACAATGTGATTTAACTATCTTTCTCTTAATGTGATATAGTTGTAGGTACTCTCATGGGTTATGATCCTCTGTTAAACTTGGTATTGGATAACACTGTGGAATACTTGAAAGGTAAAGAACGAATGAGTTATTATGTTGTAATATTCATTAATTCATGTTATTGTTTAATTATTATTATTATTATTATTATTATTATTTAGACCTGGAAACCGACTATGTAACGACCAAGACTCGGGATTTGGGATTAGCAGTATTACGTGGTACATCAGTTATCTTGATCTCACCTTTGGATGGTATGGAAGAAATCGAAAATCCTTTCGCCCAGTAGAATATCTTATAAGTAGTTAGTAATATAGTATAGTGGTTTTATTCCTTGTCTGAAGCAATTGGATTATAGTTAAAAAATAAATCATGTTTTTTTTAAATACACTGTGATTACATTAAACAATTTTGAACGATTTGTGCCGGAGATGGAAAATTGGAGTCAAAGTACTTCATTTTATTTTATTTTTTTGTTTTCTTTCCCTTTTTTTCTTTTTCTTTCTTTTCCTTCCTTTTATTTGTTAACTCACTTTTATTTATTTATTTTTTTTTATTCTCACGAAATGGCACCAACTGGACATTCCGAACACAAAAACAATACAGAAGATATCAACGAACAAAAGAAATCAGGTGACGGTACTAACGAACAATCAATAGGTGATCAATTAGACGAAACTGCTGCGACAATCGAAAAACCCAAGGTTGAATATGACGATGACAATCTTACAACAAAACACAACAATGACATATCATCTACTACTACTACTACTGATACGATAGAAGGTGATGGTTCTAACAACACAGCTTCCGAAGAGGATATCAACGCAGCTTGGACTGAAGCTTGGGATGATCAGAGTCAAGCATATTATTGGTGGAACACAATTACTTATGAAAGCTCTTGGGAAAATCCAAACGAATCTACCTCTACTGAAACAACAACACAATCACAACAAGTAACAACAAAAAACGAATTAGACTCTGTACTTGACACTATAGACACAGAAGTAAAGGCAAAATTGGATGGAGCAGAAAAGAGTAATAATGATCAAGGAATGTATGATCAATATTATCAATACAACACTTCAGTGCCAACAACATCAGATCATCTTGGTGCAACTGATCCTTATCGATTCCAAGCATTCTTCAACACCAAAACTGGACGGTTTCAAACAGCAGGTGATGTAGCCCAACGAAACCCAGAACAATATACTATCGAAGCCCGTGGAAGAAGACAAATGGAACATTACTTTGATGTAGATGCATATCAAGCTTCAAGGAATCAAGAACGACAACAGCAACAAGGAAAAAAGCGGACATTATCGAAAAAGGAAATCGAACGGTTCAAGCGTGCTAAAAAAGAAAAGAAGGCAAACAGAATGCGGGGCTGGTTAATGGATTGATTCAATAATCTGTATAGTTTTAGATGATTTATTATTTTTATTATATATATTCTTGAAATAAACATTTGATTATTGTCTTCTCCATTCTAATCATCAACTATCTTCATATTCATTTCTTCTCTTTGCTCGTATGTCAAACCAGTCACGGGATCCCAAAATTTTTGTTTTCAGGCAATCACGCTCCACGATTCTTTTTTTTTTTTTTTTCCTTTCTTTCTTTCATTATTCTTTGACCATTTACCACTGAGAAGCATATACAACAATCTTTCTCTATATTATGAGGTAGAAAACTAGCAACACTTTCAAAATTTTCATTCATATCTATTTTACTTATCTTCCTTTTTTTTTTTTTTTTTTTTTTAGTAGTGGCAAGAAATTCAACAGACTTGGCAGCAAAAAAAGTGGTAGTGACGATAACGTCGGCAACTTTGTCTTCTCTTGGCCTACAGCAGGAAGTCCCAGTCAATCCTTCAACACTACTGGTAGTACACCATCCAGTCCTATAGGTTCTCCAAGCACTTTTAGTACTAATCCTCCTCCTTCAAGTCCTTCTTTTCAACCATTTGGTGCCACTGGTACTGCTTCTTCACCTTCTGCTTCCGGCGTCTTTGTTTTTGGTGGTGGTCAGTCTCAACCTTCGGGAACAACTAGTCTTCCAAATAGTCCTACTACAACTTCTTTCTCTGGCGTCAGTAATACTACCCCTGGTTCCCCCAATTCAACTCTTCGACGAAACTTTACCGAAATCACACCAAAAGCCACTCCTGAAAGTGCAGGCATGCGACGCGCTAACTCTGACAGCAATTCAACAACATTCAGCTTTGGATCAACCAATAACACTGGCACTTCTACTACTGCTCCTACTACATTTACATTTGGAGCTCAAAACCAATCTTTTGGTTCGACTACTACTGCACCAACAACTACTTCTACGATAGCTGCTCCACCGTCGTCAGCAACACCTTCAACATCAACCTTCACTTTTGGCTCACCAGCAACAACTAACATATCATCTTCTACTGCAACTCCTGCTGCTACTACAACTTCTTCAACTTTTTCATTTGGAGCTCCATCTACATCGACAACTTCCGGTTTCTCATTTGGTGCTCCAGCCACTACAACCACGTCTTCAGCAACACCTTCATCAACTATTGCTGCGCCGACGACAGCTTCCAGCTCTAGTCTCACATCAACTTTCAATGCACCTTCCACTTCAACAGCAGGAACACCTTCATCTACCTTCACTTTTGGATCACCATCAGCTCCCAGCAGTCTATCTGCTGCATCTCAAAAGCCAGATTCTGGTGTATCATCCGGTAGTATACGAAGTTCCCCATTCAGTTTTAAAATGCCAGCACCAGCCAGCACAACAACAACAACATCATCATCTACTACTACAAGTCCTTTTGTTGGAACTACACCATCATCAACACCAGCAACTACGTCTTCTTCGACGCCCAGTACATCAACCACAACAATGGCAACACCTCCTGTTTTCAGTTTTGGAACATCAACTACTGGTACAACATCAAAACCAACAACAACAACAACAACAACAACAACAACAACAACAACACCGTTCACATTTGGAAAGAAAGAGGATACAAAAAAATCCGACACTACAACGCCATCATCAGGTATCTCAACAACACCACTGAATTTGTTTTCATCAGGAGTAAGCACTACCACTAGCGCTCCAACATCAACTTCCACGACCACTGCAACTACTTCAACAACAACTGGACTACCAAGTTTTTCTACGAATCTCACAACACCTGCTGTATCCACTGGACCCAATCCATATTCATTTACAACCATTTTAGAAAACCTGGAAAGAACAGCGACACAACCACCAAGTCAAATAGGAGCAGCCTTGATTACACCTTCATTGAATGCGCTTCGGTAGGAAAAACTTGGATAGAGAGAAAGGAAAAAAGATAAAAAAAAAAATAAAGATACTGATCAACTCTTTTTTTTTTTTTCTTAATAGACAAAACCAAGTGGTGACACATACTAATTTCCGTATCGATAATATTCTACCAAGTACACGATATACCGAATTACCTGAACAAGCGAGGAAGGAATTGGATGAATTGGATCAATATATACATGGAGAATCGCAACGATGTGACTATATTGTGAAACAAGCAGCTCCCAAACGAAAAGACACAATGAAAGAAGCAAAACATGATTATGAAATCTTATCTCAGGTATACATCATACAAGAAAGAAAGAAAGAAAGAAAGAAATCTTACCTTTTTTATCTATTTTTTTTTTTTTTTGATAGAAATTGGACTCATTATCAAGTAGTTTACAGATTCAAGTCAATTCTATTGAAGAACTTTTCGATTCTTTAAAGGAACAAATACGACATTTTAACGATGGTCAATCGGTGATTGAAGCATGCAAACATCCTGGAGGACGAACAGCACGTTGGTTATTTGCTTATGGTGCAAATGATGATTACTTTGTCAGTTTATCTACCCGACTTGCCTCTCGATTGGAAGAATATAAAAAATGCATCAAGGAAATCGAACGGATTACAGAATCTTGGACAAAAAATAGGGCTCAATCTCCTCAAGGTAAAAATAAAAATACAAAAAAAAAAAAAAAAGAATGTATACCTAAACCCATGTGTTTGTTGTAAAATGAATGAAATTGTGGAACTCACACCTTGGTGTATTGTAGATATTGCTCGTATCATGGAATCACAAAATCAAACATTCTTGGCATTAACCAATCAGGTGGCTGCATTACATGAAAATTTGAAAATGGAACAAGATTTTTATTTACAATATCGATTACAAGCTGTTACCCTCTAATCTTTTCTTTTATCTCTATGATGCCACTTCTTGATGATGGATGACTCATTGACCTCTCATTTTTTTTTTCCTCTTTACATTTGCAAACATGCCTTCTTGGTTTCTTTTTTTTTTTTTTTTTTTTTTACTTTTTACTTTTTATCTTCTTATATACATTCAAAATAAAAAAATATATCCAATTTGTCTTTATACTGTCTTGTTTTTTATAATTTATGTGATGATTGATAACCGGATGATAGTATGCTGATGGGATGATATGTGATGGTGGGATAGTACACTTTATTCAATAATAATTGACGGAATTCAAAGAATAAGATGGCGCAAAAATAGGAAATAAAATATATAGTAAGGAAAGAACATAGATGACAGACTAAAAAAAAATATAATTGTCGCATAATCAAATAGAGAATATAAGAAGAAAAAGAACAAGAAGAAAAGGAGTGGTAGTAGTTCCATTGAGTATTTTGAATAACAGAAAATAAAATATTATTTAGTCAACATATCCATTTTTTTATATTTATTTCAAATTACCTGTAGAATAGCATTAAATACATCCTCAAAAGAGGTGATAACATATTTTTATATGTTGCTGTTACAGTTTGATATTCACTTTGAACACCAAGAGAGATTTCAAAAAGAAAAAAAGAAGAAGAGAATGATTAATATACTGTATCATCATCATTGTTATTAAAGGAAACTTACTATTAATGCAAGCACAGAAAGAAGGAAGTCCAATAAGTATAGAAAAAAAAAAGCAAATGGACCTAAAGGCCAGTCTTGATTCTTGTAAGGTTTTTGTCCAGAAAAAAAAAAAACTTGTATTGGTGTGGATAGATATAAAGGTCTTGTATGCTTGTAGATTGGTTTAAAAATTGATATCAAAATAGACAAAGAAAAAGAAAAAAAAAAGGAAAAAAAAAAGAGAAAAAAGAAACAGAAAAAAAAAAAAGAAAAATAAAATAGCACTTTTTTATATCTCTCACTTCATCAAGGAATAAAATAAACCCGAGTAAATGTTTTTTTTAAAAAAAAGAACTATTATGCAAATTTACATTCGTCATCGATCGATCGAATGTCTCAGTTAATGAAAATAAAAAAAAAGAAGACCCGAGTAAATGTATTTTTTTTTTAAAAAAAAAAAAAAGAAAGGAACTATTATGCAAATTCACATCAACATCACAAGATATGAGTATTACATTAGCACACCCCTGTCTTAATTGTGATGATTGATGATTGATGATTGATGATTGATGATTGATGATGGATGATGGATGATGGATGATGGATGATGGATGATGGATGATGGATGATGGATGATGGGTGATTGCTTTGTCATTTACTATTCTTACTTCTCTTGAACTATTACGATAAAAAAAAATATTACACTTCTTACCTTCCATTAAAATAAAAACTTGTTTGATATCTGAAATAATCATAAAATTATGGCTGTTCAAAGTCATCCACGTCAATTTGGACAGTCTTACCAGGATGCATAAAGAAGTCTTTTTTTCTTTAAGAAATATGTAATATATTGTTGATGGGTAATGGATGATGGGTAATGGATGATGGGTAATGGATGATGGGTAATGGATGATGGGTAATGGATGATGGGTAATGGATGATGGGTAATGGATGGTGGGTAATGGATGATGGGTGATGGATGATGGGTAATGGATGATGGGCGATGGATGATGACTGAATATAAAGGTTTTGCTGAAATTTATCGACTATAGGAAAAAAAATCAATTTACAAGGTTGGGGTTGGGGCGAAAAAAAGAAAAATCAAAAAAAAAATGTGAAATTGTCGTCAGTGGACGGGCTTCAAAAACCCACCCCTTTGTGCGCGTTTTGCTCTTTTTTTAATTTTTTTCTTTCTTTTCTTTTCTCCATCCACTTTTTTTTTCCACATTAGGTGTCCTCTTTGTCTGTGCGATCTTGTCAAGGTAGATTTTATTGGATTTGGAGGGTTTTGAAAAAGGGATTTACAAAATACATGGGGAAACTCTTTCATTTTCGATGTAGGATTTAGTGCAGGTAAATAACAAAAATATTTTATAATAGAATGTGAATTACTTGGCTTGGTTTTATTTTACCAGTAATGTGAACGAAAAAACTGACTGGATGACAAGCTTCTTTTGGTTAGGAAGGGAAGCTTGTTGTTAGGATCTCGGTGGTGGACGAATGCTTCTGGTTGGTACTATAATAGATACAGTAGTGATAGTTTTAGTTAGTCAGTATGAGGTTTTTTTTTTTTTAAAAAAAAAAAAATAAAAATTATATTACTTTTTATGATACACAAGAATATACTTCCATGGTTCTTTTTTTTTTTTTTTTTTTGATGATGATAATCATTATTAATTGAATGAGGAATGACTGAATTGACTTTTCATTCTTGGTTTACCTTATAAACTGGGAGGCAAGGTGTATATTGCTATTAATACAGCTGAAAGAGAATGTCATCACGCATCTTCAGTCCAAATTTGATACAATGATGATAGGTTGCGATGGAACTACAGAAATATAAAGAGGCAGGAAATTTGACTGATGATCATGATTCATAGCTTTGATTGTTGCAGTAATTGATTCAAACCCACTGGTCAATCGTGAAGATAACTCAGGTAAAGCTAACTGGATTTTTTGACTTGAAGTGAAAGCTCATTCATCATTCTCTTGTGTTTTTAGCACTTGATCTTCGAATTGCTTATATAAAGTTGTGGAAAAAACACATCCTGACCAAAGATAATCGTCAGGATATATTTGCTTCAATAGTACAGAATCATAAAAGTACAAAAAAAAAAAAAAAAAAAAAAAAAAAAAAAAAAAAAAAAAAAGGTGAAGATAAGATTACAAAAAAAAAAATCATCATCCGTCATCCATCATCCATCATCCATCATCCATCATCCATCATCCATCATCCATCATCCATCATCCATCATCCATCATCCATCATCCATCATCCATCATCCATCATCCATTCTATTCATCATCCATTCTATTCATCATCCATTCTATTCATCATCCATTCTATTCATCATCCATTCTATTCATCATCTATCATCTATCATCATCATTCTATTCATCATCATCATCTCATTCATTCTATTCATCATCCATTCTATTCATCATCCATTCTATTCATCATCCATTCTATTCATCATCCATTCTATTCATCATCCATTCTATTCATCATCCATTCTATTCATCATCCATTCTATTCATCATCCATTCTATTCATCATCCATTCTATTCATCATCCATTCTATTCATCATCCATTCTATTCATCATCCATTCTATTCATCATCCATTCTATTCATCATCCATTCTATTCATCATCCATTCTATTCATCATCCATTCTATTCATCATCCATTCTATTCATCATCCATTCTATTCATCATCCATTCTATTCATCATCCATTCTATTCATCATCCATTCTATTCATCATCCATTCTATTCATCATCCATTCTATTCATCATCCATTCTATTCATCATCCATCATCCATCATCCATCATCCATCATCCATCATCCATTCTATTCATCATCCATCATCAATCATCCATCATCCATCATCCATCATCCATCATCCATCATCAATCATCAATCATCAATCATCATCATCCATCATCATCCATAAAAAGTAGTTATATTCAAGGCAGGCCAGACGATTAGGAATATAAGGGTAAAATTGAGTTCGTATGTGTACTTTATTGGATTTAAGAAAAATAAAAGAATGTAAAACATAAAATATGTGTTCAAAAAAAATAAAGTCAAGTAAATAAAAATAAGGATCAAGATTAAAAAAAAAAAAAAAAAAAAAAAAAAGAAAAAGAAACCAAGTTTTCTGAGTATATATAAAGAGGGTAAAAATATCGCCTGGAGACGAAAAGAAGTTTATTACATAGTTAGAAACATAAGATCTTCGTAGTATTCGTTCATTTTTAGAAACGTAATAAAACATATCATAGTATTTTACCAAAAATAATTCCTCCATCTTTAGTTGTAGTTCCTTCACATTAAGATTCCCTTGCTTAATTCGTTCCAATTGGTTCCACCAGTCGTCTTGAATAACTGTTGACATGTAGTACTTTCTAAATTCCAGTTTAAAGGATTCCCAGTCTTTGATTTTACTTTTCGCTACTTGCCACCATCGGGACGCGTCTTCCTTCATATATGTTGAGGCTACTAACACAGCTTCCATATCCTTCAGCTTTGTAATGGTGATATATACGTCCATACTTTGCAACCATAATGTAGGGTTTTCGTTATCACGGCCATAAAACCGGTCTGGTTTATCAATGAGGTATCTTGAAGTGCTTATATCCATGAAAAAAGAAAAAACGATGTTGAGTAACCGACAAGTTACGAGCTTGTGTTGTAGAATGTAATAAAATATTTGTTATCACTGATCCTGATAAGGTTGTAGTTGAGTGCCTAGGTTTTCCACCAAAATGTTAAGGGCTCAGGGAAAAGTTGTTTGTTCAATTGAGTCAAGGAATGTAGTCCAAAAAAAAAAAAAAAAAAAAAAAAAAAAAGAAAAATAAAAAAAAAAAAAAAAGAAAGAAAAAAAAAAAAAAAAGAAAGAAAAAAAAAAAAAAAGAAAGAAAGAAAGAAAGAAAAAGAAAGAAAAAAAAAAAAGAAGAAAAAAAAAAAGAAAGAAAGAAAGAAAAAAAAAAAAAAGAAGAAAAAAAAAAAAAAAGACGTAATAAAATAGTATAAAAATATGTACAGTCGAGAAAGTTAGGTTGGGTCAGGTTAGCTGAAAGTGGGCTAACTGACCCAACCTAACTTTCTCGACTGTATATTGTAAATACGACATCCACCAGAACCAGCACCCCCCCCCAAGAATCAAAACCCGCTGAACCCATCTAAAGGAAACACATTCCAGCTAGGACTGGACCATGTTTCCCCAAAATATGAATACTGAACGCTGATTGGCTGAAATTTACTTGAGATTCATAATGGAATAATTGATTTTCCAAAAACATCAGGCGCGGTTGGTTAAGTGGTATAATCTTCGCCTGCCACGCGAAGGGCCGGGGTTCGATTCCCCGACCGCGCAAAATTTTTAGCCAATAAGCTTAATTTCCTCAGCCAATCATATTCTTTCTTTTTTTCGCAGCAAAAGGCTTTTTTTTTTTTTTTTTTACTCGTTTATTAAGTTTTTTTTTGTTTTTTTGTATCTATTATGGATCTTTTTTGTTACTTGATTAATAAAATAGATGGATGATTGACTCGTAGTGAACACCAGTCTTTTTTTTTTTTTTATAAAAAAGAAACAAAATATAATACAAGATGATATGTAATATTATAGATTTATCTTATTTTTTTTTTTTTTTTTTTAGTATTATTTTATTGATTATTATTAGAAATTAGTGAATATGGATACACATTTTTTTTTTTATATTTCAAATAAAAGATTTTATTATAATAACAGTTTTGATATTATTATTATTATTATTATATTAACTAGATTTGATTCAGAATTCCATTCATAATATTTCCATTTTCAGAACTAATCATTGTTGACTGGATTGGTTCACTGCAGCAAAACTTTGCCCTCAATATTTGATTTCAAACTCAAAAAAAGGTGCCCCTCCTTTTTTTTTTTTTTGTCTTCTTTTCTTTCTATTCTTTTTTTTTTTTTTTTTTTCATTGAAAACCATCATGGGTGCTCAAGTAGTTGATTATAGAGTATCTACTCTTGTTGTATTATGTAAAGATTGTGGGCAAGATGTTGGATTATATCCTAGTCGACATAAATGTCAAACCAGTATATCTAGACCACCAGTTCCAGCTTTACCTACTCGTTTTGCAGAATCCAATGAATCTTTACAAGTACCTCGAAAACCTGTTCATTCTCCTGATGCTTCAACAACAAGTGGATTATCCTCTCGGCCAACTAGTTCAGCATCCTCTTCTTCCTTCTCCAGTATGCCTTCACCCAATTTTTCAGATACAACTGCAAGTTCTTCTCCTTCTAGTGGAAAATGGGCTCGGTTTGGTCAACGAAGCAAACAACAAGATGATCAACAACAACAACAAGACGGCGATGATTCTATTTATTTTAACAAATTCGCGGAACATCTTCCTGATCAAGAACCACAAGGTAAAAAACTTTGGGGTAAAGTACGTCAAAATGAAAAATGGAAGCAAATGACTGAAAAAAGTAAGTATTTAACATTAACAAAAAAAAAAAAAAACAAATATCCTTATTTGATTTTTCCTCTCCTTAATCAAGCTTTTTCACACACACATATATACTCACATTATCATACATTAAATATATTTAGATGATACCCAGAAACAAAGTGGAAAATTATGGGGAAAACTACTTTCAGCTACACAGAACATGGCAGACAAGTTACCTTCCCGTGATGATAGAGGTCCAGGTAATTTGAACTATATACTCTGTTAAAAAAAAAAAAAAAGGAGAGGATCGACTGATAGGAGGACCTTTTTTTTTTTTTTTTATACATATATAGATTCTGATGAATCTGATTGGGAAGGCGAAACACATGTGTCAAGGGTTTTACGTGAATATTATGAGAAGAAACGTCGTCCTTTACCAAACTGGCTACGTGATGAACGAACACCTACTTCATCAGCAAACTACAAGCAATCACCATCATCACATCAACAGCATATAAATGATACCAGAATACGTCCTCAATCACCAAGAGATGATATGACAAAACCATCCTCGTCACGACGAAGATTATGGGATCATTCTCAAGAATTATCAAGTAGAGAAAGAGAGCGTCAAGAATTACGCCAACAACAACCTCCTCCAACAGAAGTGAACGACCATCAACATCGACCATTATCACCACCACATAGTGGACGCCAATATAGGGGTAATGGTGATCATTATGACGATGAATATTCAGCATATACAGCTTCTAAACAACATGGTTATCGCCGTGGATATGATGATCATGAACGGGGTTATAGGAACAACGACCATCCAAGCTATCGAGATCATTATCAACAACATGAACAACAACCAACATCTTTCCGGTCCAATGCACGTATATCTCAAGATGAATCTAGAATGGGTCAACAACAAAGACAATATATGCGCAGTGCAACTCCTGATCATCGTGGTGGTTATGAAAACGATTTGGACGATTATTATCATTCTGGTCGACAACATCCTCCATCATCATCATCAGACCGTCTTCGTGGCCCACGCAACCCTTCTAGCCGACCTAATCGATACTTGGATGCCAATAGTGATTACTACTAGGTTTTGTATCAAACTTTGAATATTTATATTTTCTTCCTCATTCCCCTATATATCTTTTTTTTTTTTTAATTTATATCAAGTATTAATAGTAGTTTATAGTTATGATTGAATGTATTATTACGAAATAAATCATATTTTCTTTTGATCAACAATACAATAAAAAAAAAAAAAGAGTCGTTTTCAACCATGTTTTTATTCGGATAGAGGGATATACAATAATAAACTTAAGCAAAACTAGTCCAAAATTAAACCAACGCAATACCGAAGAAGTGGTCTACAAATCATATTCTTCGTCATCAGAGTCATCGCCGAATCGTCTTCTTTCAAACTATATAGAATAAAGTATACATTATGTCTATAAACAATACTTTGTTATTCTCCTTTTACTTACCACAACACGAGATTGATTTGAGCCTGATTCTTGTTGATTGATTTGACCAAGCAAATCAATCAATTGAGATTCGGTCACCTTATTTCGTAATTGATTCGATTGAGCCATTCTGATCAATAAGTCTTCGACAGCTCTTGCTTTTTCAGCTTTCACCATTTGAATTCGAGCAACTATAAGGCCAAAAAAAAAAAAAAAAAAAAAAGAAAAAGAAAAGGGAATATGAGATATTCAATAAGATAAATAAAAAGTTCCTCAAATATACATTCTTCTCTTATACTTACGTCTTTCCCGAGCATTATTATCCAAAATTTGGAATAACTTCCCCATAATAATAATAACAATAAATTCTTTTAATAATTTTTTTCTTCTTTTTATCCACAAGTGAGAATTCATAATTGCCCTCTATTATCTTACCATAGTTCGTCGCATTTCTTCTATTTGTCTATATAGAAAAAGATAGATAGGGTAAATATGATGATCTAGACTTATTATCCATTTCTTTTTTTTACCCTTGCTTTTCTTCGTCTTCCTTTGAAGTTGATCCTGCTGCACCTGGAGAAGGTAAACCTGATGATGGGGAACCACCATAGTTACCAGAACCCTTAATAACCAAAAAAAAAAAAAAAAAAAAAAGGAAAGAGAACGTGAATTTTAGTCGAAACCGTAATGTTAGTTTTCTTTTTTCTTTTAAGTTAATCTTACTTGTTGTTGAAGTTCTGCAAGACGTCTTGCTCTAATGGCTTGAAGTTCGTCGTCAGCCATGTTGTTTGATGTATGTAGAGAGAGAAGGAACAAGAAAAAAAAAATATATTAGTGTTTTGGTAATTTTTTGAAGGGAAGCGGATTTGAACGCCGATTGACCTTTTTTTTTTTCTTTTGGGAAATAGGATCGTTTTGATGAGCCGTGAACCTTCTTTTCATTTTTTATTTTTATTTTTTTATTTTTCCTTCTCTTTTTCTGACCGTATAGATATAAGTGTTAATTAGTATAGAGTTGGTACATTTGGGGTGACTTTTATCTATCATTTATACAATCCTTATTATTTTAGAATACTCTCTCTCTTTCTCTGTATTATTTTTGTTATCTATTTTATATATTTACCTATCATTTGTCCATTCCTTCCATCATGGACTCCTATCCTTCTGAATACCTCTTACATCCTGTACCTGTGCTTGCTATATACGGCCTTCGAGAACAACAAGAACTTATTCCCACCGAACCTTCCAATTCTGACGAAAACAAATTTCATTCACTTACTACCACACTTCTCAACATTCTCTTGGCACGACAAGATTTCTCTTTATATGATGCTTCAAGATATATTACCAACGCTACCATACCACCTCCCTTTCGTGTCATAACAGTACAAAAGGTAAATTAAACATGAATATTATAACTGTAAATAGTCATACTCATTTTCTTTTTTTCCTGTTCTATGTAGGACTATACATTACCCGAACGTTCATCTTATGGTCTTCATACACCACTATCACCTTTATCGTCTGATTCTCCTCTTTATCCTGATGGATTAATGACACCACAGTGGATTACGAAACACTGGAATCTACCAAGTGTAGTGGTTGGATGTTATGAATTATGGGACTGGTCTCAGGAACCTGGCTCGCCACCTCCTCAAAGACGTGAAACTGGACCTTTGGCATCACATTTATTGATCGATCCTACAGAACGTGAAAAGGATACTATATTAGCTCATGAAATCAATGAAAGAAGGTAAGTAACTTATCATCACTTGAAGAATGTAAATTATTGATGATCATCTCTCTCTCTTTTTTTTTTTTTTTGAACATTTATAATAGAAAGTATTTTCAAGACAAAGGTATTAAATTTGCTGCTGTCATACTTCGAAAAGGGAAACATTTGGGTAAGAAAGGAAAAAAAAAAGAGGATTATTAGTAGAATGGAATAGTCTGTTGATGATTAAATAATTGTTTAATTGTAGATGGACCTGCTATCGAGGAACGATGTTCTATGATACGGAAACAAAGTGGATTGGATGCAAAAACTTCCTTTTTTACTCTTGGACCTGGAAGTATTCATGATTTGCAAGAATTCGTCAATATGTAAGTAAGACAATGTTGAGTAAGAAGTATTGGATTTAGGCTGATCTCCACCTTTTTTTTTTTTTTTTTTTTTTTTTGATAGATTATATCGATCATTGTTCGAATCAGCATTACAGTATTATAATAACCTCATCAAACGGACTAGAAAGAAACGATCAAAATTACCATCCCTGTATCAACAACCAAAACCTACTTCTGTAACTTCACTTGATGATTCTCGACCACTCACAAACTCTGGTTGGACCATACGATATGATACAAAAATCGCTTTGTTTCAAGAATTCAAACAAGACATTGAGGGTGCTCTCAAGTAAGTATATATATTAAAAAAAAAGAAGAAGAGATGAATGCATCATCAAGTTATTCATCATTTCTTCTTTGTTATTATTATCGATAAAAGGACATTGGAAATTACTTACACATCACTTGCTGACTATCTGACTCCTGGAACTAACGCTGTGTCCGGTTTGCATGTCCGAAGCAAACGGTGGTTTGAAGCTCGTTCTTTATCTGACTGTTTGAATATCAAGGTAAAAAAAAAAAAAAAAAAAGGAAATATAAAAGTAATAATAGTAATAATGATGATTCAATACTTTACCAACTTTTCTTTTATATTAGATCTGTCAATTTTATCTCTATTTAAATGACTCTTCATCGGCACTCGCGCAACTCAATGGTCATCTACATATGTTTCAGTCCTATTCTGCAGCTTGGGGAATGGGTGAACAGTCATTTGAATACTGGGCATGGTTATCTAAACAGTAAAGTGAATGAAATAATTGAACAAGACAAGACGATCGACCACTAACCACCATAACGTTTCTTTCTTTCTTTCTTTTTTTCTTTTCTTTTCTTTTTTTTTTTTTTTTTTTAAAAAATAGATATCGAATCTTCGCTGATGTGATTGACTTGGCAATTCAACATGGGTTCAAAGTACCTGATCCTTCTTCACTTACAACATCTGGATTCACAAATACACCTGGAAGTCCACATTCTGGAAGCGGGATGTCTTTTGGTATCAATGACATAAATGTAGGATGTAATCCTGGGGCTATCTTACAACATCCTGGATTCTATTATCATTTGGCAGCAATGTGTTGTGCTGAACGACGTCGACGTTTTTTGGAAATGAATAGACTGGAAGCATCCAAGATGGGACAACAAGAACCAACCATGTTATCATCATTACTCGACAAGGAACGAAGGATGGATCATTCAAGCTTAACAATTGAACTACTTACCAAAAGCTATGAGCAATTCAAACGATATCACAATGGTCGAATGACACTTTATCTTGCTGCAGAAATTGCTGGTACCTATTATGAAACAGGCAAATTCGAAATGGCATTGAAATTTTTTGAAAGGATTGGAAAAACATATCGCAAGGAACGATGGCATACGATACTAACTTCCATTTTACGGTGGTCATTACGATGCGCGAAAGAATTAGGATCTTTGGAACGAGCTATTGAATGTCTGGTGGAATTATTATCAGATGCATTACCAATGTCGGACAGCAAACGAGCAGATATTCAAGGTGAACTACTGTCTATATTGAATAAACCATCAGCAACAATAGATCATCGTCAACCTCAACCTATCCTGATCAATATGAATCAAATCAATGCCTTTGTTCATTGTCAGATCCAGTTTCGTACAGCCACCAACTTTGTTAACGCACCACTTTTATTCCAAATTACCTTACAAGCCAACTCTCAGTCTCCTCCTGCTACTCGCTTTAGATTTGGTGCCATGCGGATTCTTTTCAGTGATCCTCGATACAATTATTACTTGATTGATTCAAATGGTGATGAGGACGATTCTCTACCTACCGCTACTCTAATTGATTGCTCTCAAGATGTAGAATTGGTCAAAGACGATAGTGATTATAGAAACTGGAAGACAAAGAAAGTGAATCTTGGTCTTTCAAAGAAACAAACTAAAGTTATTCAAGGTTGTGTATTACCTGAAAAATGTGAAGAAGTCAAGGTAAATATAACAAAAAAAAAAAGGTGAATCCTTTTACTCATCTTTCTTCTTTTTTTTTTATTCTCTTCCTTTTTTATTGTCTTTATAAGATTGTGGGTGTTTGCTTGGATATTATATCTCCCAGCTGGATTGTGGGTCTCAATTATACCTTTGATGAAGGGAATCAAGTTCATCCATTACCAAGGAGGAAATGGCTTCAACCCATATCAGGTATAAAAAACTTCCTCAATTTTTAAGGGTGAAAAAAAGAGAGAGAGAGAGAGAGAAGATTCTAACGGGGGAAGAGGCAATGAACTGCGTGATCTAATCTTTTTTTTTTTATTTTATTTATTCATTAGATACTAATGATCAACTCAAATTCAAACTTCTTGATGGACGAGGGGAACTCAACACCGTTCGGTAATATCAATCAATATTTTTTTTTCTTTTCATGAATTTGAACTTTCTATTTTATTATTTTTGACAGGATTATGCAAAGACCACCTTGTGTCAATTTGACTATGAAGTATTCAGCACCTGCTCTTTTGGATGAAACATTCCCTCTTACGATAACCTTGACTAGTGATGAATCTGAGATAATTGATGTGACACTGCATGTGGAAATGAAGAATGTGGAAGGTCAAGGTATGGCTATCCTTTATTATTATTATTATTGATATTGGGAAGAGGGGAAAAGGGGGTTATGATAGTGATACTAACTTTCTCCTTTTTTTTTTATTTGGTATGATTTTTTAGTTGATGAAGATTATGCGACATTTATGGTGAATGATCAACCGATAACAACAAAACAACAAGCCATTAATGAACTTCATCTGGGTCATGTTAAACCTAATCAATCCATTGACAAAACAGTTTATCTTTATGGTTCTCGATTGACAGGATCTAGATTGATTACATTGACGGTAAATTGAATATACAAACAAAAACCAAAAAAAAGGATGTCTTATATATATATATATATATATATATATTATTGTTGTCTCAACTTTATTTTAGGCACGTTATTCATCTGTGGGATCAAGTACAAATGCATTAACGGAAAAATCAGAAGCCATTCGTATACCATTTGTGACGCCATTTGATACGAATTTTGAAGTATGTGCTCAAAATGAAAAACCTGATTCTAATATGGAACCATATTTACCGAATACCACGGCATCTGAAAAATGGCTTATTGTTGCCTCTGTACGATGTTGTTCTACTTGGGATTTGGCAATTGACAAAGTGGAATTTGTTGCACAGGTAAAAGGAATGAAAGGGATAAGGAAGGGGAAAGAACTAATTTTTTTTTTGTATAGGCTCTTGAAACTCACAATGCATCATTGACGTTAATTTCCAAATTGGATGATTTTAGTAACCAAAGTAGGTATCACAAGCTTATATATATATATATATATTATATGACCGCATTATTTGTGATTACAGGAACCGATCAAAAAGGCAAAAGATGTCTTAATTTTTTTTTTTTTAATTATAGAATGGCAAACTGGACACGTGTACAATGCAAACTATTTATTTAGAATGACCACTTCAGACTTGAAAGAAAACATGCCATCCATACCAACAGGTTATATTATTATCTATTGGAAAAGGTCGGTTTATAATATAATGATGACAATGATGAATACTAATAGAATATTATATATCTATATTTATATTTTCAAAGATATGATCAAGATGGACTACTATCACAGACTACTATTCAGTTACCTTCTCTTACTTTCCAAAAACCAACATTATCAGTGCTAGCAGGTAAATTAGAGTTTTTTTGTTTTTTTTTTTAAAAAAAAAATGCAACTTACTGATTTTTATATAATGTAGATGTACCTTGCGAAATCTATCTTGGAGAACCGATCACTATTTCTTATCAAATCAACAACTCAACCATGCATATTGCGGAATACACAGGATCCATTGAACTTAGTGAAGCATTTGTATTTTCTGGTTACAAGCAAGTCAAGGGGCGAGTATTACCGATGACACGACACACATATCATTATGTATGTTATCCATTATTAGCTGGCAAGGTTAGATTACCAAGATTGAAAGTGATAGCAAAACATCAGGGAATAGATAAAGAAATTTCAACAGAAATGGTTGGTAATGGTACTATGGTAGCTTTAGATAATGATTTACATCCAAGACAGGGCCTTACTTTAGAAGAATCTTCATTAGTTACATATGTATTTGTGAATGCTAGAAGAAATTAGTTAGTATTGTTTTAGGATCTTTTTTCTCTCCTTGATTACTTATTATGGTGATCATCAAATATACAATAAATGATATTTTTTTTTTTTTTTTTTACCAAAACAGAATGTGACACAGAATTGAATTGAAACGCCTTTTTTTTTTTTTTTTTCTACGCCGACATCAAAAACGATTTTCCTTTCTCTCTTTCTCTCTTTTTTTTTTTTTTTTTTTTTTTTTTTTTTTTTTTATTATTTTTATTATTTTATACATATTATATACATATAGATAAATATATATTAGTAGTTGTATTATTGCTTACTGGTCATATTCTTAGAAAAAAAAACAAACCTTATTACAACAATAACAATGCAGCAACTACCACAAGAACAACGTATACAACAATTAACTTATACTTCTCGTTCAATGGATTTACAATCTTCGTCTGATTCAACTAGTAGTTATGGTACCTTTCCAATGACTCCTTCCGACCACAATTTGCCTCTTTCCCCTGAAAAAGATCATTTGAAACAAGTAAGTACATTCCTTTCTCTTCTCTTATCTTTTTATACAAAAAAAAAAGACACTCAAATTGTATTTATTAACATGGTAGTCTACTCAAACCCAATATACTTTTTCGAAAGCCACTTCAACAAAAGATATACCTATTACATTGGATCCAACAACAAATATGAATGCGAAACAACTCACTCAAAACCCAACCGATTTGAATAACACTACTACAAGCAATAATAACAGCAGCCATACATTCCCTTCTTTGGAACATCCTCATTGTACTCAGTCTGCCCCTGGCGAAGAAAGTTCACCAATCAACTTTGATAGGAAAACACATCTGAGCGTCGGACCTTCTATACACTCCTCATTAGTCACCCCTTTTTCTTTGACAACAGAAACAATAAAATCCCAGGCACATACGATACAACAACAAGATGATGATGATGATATTTATAGTATGGATGGATCTTTAGGATCTATTGATTGTGACGGTAAGTTGATCCTTCTTTTTTTTTTTTTGATGACCAAGGGAATATTAAACCTATTTTGAATTATAATTTATAGATTTTCCAAGTCCTCCTTCATCTACTCCTAGTCTAGTAAATTACCAGACCTTCACAACCAATAGCCAACAAGAACAACATATTGAAAAAGATGATACAAACTACATTAAACATACTTCGACTGCCAACAACAACAACGACAACAACAACAACAACAAATATACTTCACGATTCACAGAAATTTTTGATGTAGATTGTATAGAATTGGATTGGGATTATCTTACCAAAAATCAGCAATGTTCAACTATATCAAATCAACAACAACATCGTAATGATAAAAACAACAATAGCAGCAATAATCGAAATTACAAGACTCTGGGAGGCATTATCACTAATATTGGACGAACAGCATCGTTATCTAGAGTATCGTCTCCTACAGATGGTTCTAGGTCATCTATATCTATCAGCAGTAGTCCTTCACTTCGTGGCATCATGAGAAGCTTTAGCACAACAGGCACGCATTACCAAAGGTCAAAAAAGTCAAATACATTGGTGGAACAAGAAATCGGAATGTCTCGAGCAGCTCAAGTGGTGGCATCAACAGCAACAACAAGTAATGATATTCTTTTACTTGAAGAAGAAAATGATATTGGCAACAGCAGCAATGGATCATCTAGTTCTATCAACAAAGATATCGACAACAATAATGATGTAAAAAATGGACAGAGGAGAAAATTATCCTATTTGTTATCTAACACCATGAAACCAACACGACGCCATACAACTAAAATAGTCAACTTGCAACGATCACCATCATCAACTCCAGCTGCCCAAAGAAAACCAGCAAGAAGGACAGTGATGAGTACAAACTCGATGAATGAAGTCAATACTCAAAATCTATATGCAGAAATTGTCATCAAGTCAACCCAATGCCACCCTACCAAATTAGTTGGCTCTCAACAATCATCATCCTTATCAGTATCATCTGCACCCAAAAATTCTATGAATGAAGTCACTACTGAACGATTACATGTTAAAAACACGATGGAGCGAATAGGATACAAGACCACTAGTAGAATAAGCATGCAGCAATCACCACCTTCATCCTTGTCATCATCATCATTAGTTTTGCCTGCAGACTCGAGGAATGAAGCCAATGCTCATGATTTACTTGCAGCTAATAACATAGTGGAGCCAACGCGACACAACATCATCAACAAAGTCAATATGCAACAATCATCAGCATCATCATCATCATCAGCTTTACATTCAAATTCGATAAATGAAATCGGTATTCAAGATGTATATGCAACTAATATTATGAAATCAACACGACGCAACACTGGCAACAGAACAGATACACAACAATCATCAACATCAACTTTATCAGCTAGGAAATTGACACAACGGATGAATGTAGACTCGATGAATACTCAAGATTTATATGTGGATATTGTCAATTTGTGTCAACCTCATCGACCTTCTTCTACTCCTCCTACTCCTCCTTTGAAAATAGCTCCTTATCGATACTCCAAGAAGTTACCTTTACCACCACCACCACCATCACCGACTCTATCATCATCATCTACATCATCATCATCAGTAGCATCTATTCAAGGATATCACAATGAGCTGGATTCATGTGATTTAACATTGGAACAAACGAAAAAGGCAAGACGAAAACAACATATTACTCAAGTGATAGAACAAGCACCAAGATTACGACAAAATATGGATAAACGGTCAAGGAAGATCACAAATGATGAGACTGAAACGGGTGAACAAATTGAAAAAAGCGTTCTGACACTTATGGGATTGGAACCTGACTATTTGAAGAAGTTACCGCCGCCTATTCCTCATCGATCACCAAAAAGAAAACCATCCATTCATCTATCATCATCTTCACGAACAATGGCATTACCTCCTTTACCAACATCACCATGATTATCAATCATCATTCATGACATTTTATTATATCAGTTTTTAGCTTTTATCGTTTTTTTTTTTATTATTATTGATCAACAACAATCACCTATTTTTATTATTAGTCACCCCTCTTTGTCCCCCCTTTTTTTTTTCTGAATTGGGATCTTTGATACACTTCGGAATATTTTTTTTTTTTATGTATTCCGAGTATATATATATATATATATATATATATATATATATGTATATATAAATATATATGGATGTTACGTATTATATATGTGTTGTTTATACCATATCAATAAATAGATGATTTGTTTATGGACCCTTCTTTCTCTTTTTTTTTCTTTTCTTATTTTTCGTAAAAAACAAGTTTTTGATCATACCGAGAAATAGATAAAAGTAAATAATCACGTTTTGGTATTAAATAATAATGATAAAAGAATATTAAAGTAAAATTGAAGAAACTCAAATTTCTCTTTTATACTTGATTATTGTTTCAATTCATCCTCTTTCTATTTATCAAATCAAATCAAATCAAAAAAGAAAAAGAAAAAGAAAGATATATAAAAAACTGATAACAAATAATATCGTTGTAAATTGAATTTCTGTCATAAAGCTATTTGTTTAATATCATCTTATACTGAGACTCAATTTGTATCCACATTGGGTCTTTTTTTTTTTTTTTTTTTTTTTTTTTTTTTTTTTTTCATCTGCTCACTTTCAATTCCATTATTTTCCCTCTTTTCTCTCTTTCCTTTTTTTTTTTTTCCTTTCTTTGTGTTCCCATCTTACTTTTTTATTTTTTTTTCTTCTTTATCTATTACAACTTGCTCAATTATATCATCATTTCATTCTTTATCGGACACTCAAAACCAAACGCTTTCCTTTTTGGTTTAAAGAAACATTTTATATAAATTAGAAAGAATAAAAAGTTTTTCTCTCTTTTTTTATTATTTTTTTTTATATTTTATCCGGTCAAAGGTAAATTAAAGAAAAGATTTTTTTAAAAAAAAATCATGCATAAAAACTAATAAACTTAATCTAGTATGAAATTTGGGGAAGAACTGAATATGAAGATTCATAAACCATGGCAACATTTATACGTTCAATACAATGAACTCTCGGGGAAATTGGAAAGAAAATCACAAAGCGAATGGACTGAACAGGATGAACGTGATTTTTTGATGACTTTTCAACAAGAATTAAGCAAAGTTTATAATTTTGTCAATGGATGTATGATTGAACTCACTCATCGAGTGGAACAAACTGAAAATAAAATCAATGATCTCAAATCACAACAACAACAACAACAACATTGGATGAACAAATACGATACTCTGGCTGATATATTAACGGAAATCTTATTTGATATCAACGATATTTCCAAATACCATCAACTCAATACAACTGCGCTTGATAAACTGGCAAAACAACATGACAAACAAACTCAATTAGACCTTTGTACGAAATACCATGGAACTCTTTTGACAAAATGGCCGTTGGATAAGATACATTTTGATGTCTTGATTGTACGGATATCCAATATGCAAGATATTTGTCGATTACAAGGTCATCCTCGACCAAAACAAGCTTATAGTCAAGGTGAAGATCAAACAGCTTTTGAACGTGCAACTGCAAAATATTGGATTCATCCTGACAACATCACCGAAGTCAAATCAATCATCCTTATGTATTTACCAATTCATGTCTTCAATCAACGAAAACCTTACGAACAATCCGATGCTGCTGTTTCCAGTGTTTATTTTGATAATCCCAATTACGATCTTTACTCAGAACGACTACAACGAGAAGAAGGTGCAGAAGCTATTCGTTTTCGATGGTATGGTCAATCAACAAATGATATCTATGTAGAGCGCAAAACTCATCATGCTCCTTGGCTTAATGGCAATTCGGTGAAGGATCGATTTAGACTCAAGGATACACAAATCAATGCTTTTATACAAGGTCGTTACACTCCTGATGACTTGATCAAGGATCTTAGAGCAAAAGCAAAACTAGATAACGATGCTATTGAACAAAATGCCTTCATCGCTCGTGGTATACAACATTCTATACAACATCGTCATCTCAAACCTATGTGTCGTGTATTCTATAATCGGACAGCTTTCCAACTACCTGGTGATCAACGACTACGGATTTCTCTGGATCACAATCTGACTTTTATTCGAGAAGATCATCTGGATGGCCATCCACGCCGTCGAACGTATGTCAATGGAGTAGAGCAAGAACAATGGCGACGATTGGATGTGGGTGTAGATTATCCCTTTCGACATATTTCTCCTTCAAGTGATATTCTTCGATTTCCCTATGCTGTACTAGAAACTAAACTACAACATCATCTGGGTCAAGAAACACCACCATGGTTGGAAAAACTCCTCAGTAGTCATCTGGTACATGAAGTGCCTCGATTCTCCAAATATTTACATGGTGCTTCTCAACTCTACAAAGATTCCGTGCCCATTTTACCTTGGTGGATAAGTGAATTAGAAAAAGATATTCGGAAACAACCTATGGCCAATATTGGATTATCAAGATCTCTCAGTCTTAAACCTTTATTCAATGGTCATCATCGTCGTTCACTTGATCAACAACAACAACAAAAGAATGTACCTTATATTGCCATTAATTTATCTGATCCAACTCAACCATCTGAAAAACATTCAACAGGTCGACGTGATTTAATATCAAGATTATGGGCTGGTAGAGGATTATCATACAATCATAGTAAAAAGGCCAGTGGCCTTCCTCGGTTGGAAGATGATGAAGAAAAGACAATGGCAAGGCAACGATTACCTCGATTGGTGGCTCAAGCAAAGAAGATGGATCCCAAGGCCTTTTTTGCAAATGAACGGACATTTATTTCTTGGTTACAATTTTGTGCTTTGATCTTGACCGTAGCTTTGAATCTATTAAATTATGGTGATCATATTTCTCGTTTTGTTGGTGCTATTTTTATTATCCTTGCCTCTCTTATATCAATGTAAGTTATAAAAAAAAAAAAAAAAGAAATGATATATTTAACTTTTTCTTTTTTTTTGTATGTGTGTGGATAGTTATGCTCTTATTCGATTCCAAATACGTGCTTACCAAATGAGGACAGGACGACATCTTTTACGTATAGACGATATCTATGGACCAGCCGTTTTATGTATTCTTTTGGTATCTGCATTAGTGATCAACTTTTATTTACGAGCTCCTTTATTGGCCCAATCGGATGATTCTGGATAATAGACTAGTCCCCTTATTATTATTATTATTATTATTATTATTATAATTATTCTCTTATACGTATATTATTTCATATCATGTTATACTTCTTTATATGGTTCCTTTTGTTGTTCTCATTTTATCTTACACTCTCTTTCAATCACATACAATCATATACTCATACATACAAAAATAAAACCTTTTGAGATATTTATATAGTACTTTTTTTTTTAATCGTCTTTATTGATTCTTTTTTTTAATCAAACACTACAATAAGGTTGAATGGCTAAATGATGATGATCTTGGTATTGTATGATGGATATCTAATGTGGATGATTGGATACATGTCATTTCAAGTTTGCTTGCATTGATTGGCTTTCGGTTCCTTTTAAGGTTTGGTTTCACATCCCGACATAGATTTTTTTCAATGCTGTTCCTTTTTGACTTTTCTTTTTCTTTTTTGACTTTTCTTTTCTTTACCTTGTACATATCTACATAGAATACCTTTGGAATGACTGACTCTGATAAACTAAAGCCTAAGAAAAGTTTAGTGGTAAGGACTACAGAGTCACTCATGCTCACCCTACTACTCCTTCCTCTTTTTTCTTCTTCTCAAATTCATTCATTCATTCTTTTTTTTTTTTTTTTTTTTTTTGGTATATCTTTAGAATGCAGCAACAGCAGGATTGATGGCTGGTTCATTGGAAATCCTTATTATGCAGGTATGTTTAATAAGAGTGAAATTTATAAATATTGGAAAGGATATCATTCTTTTATAAACAAGATATATATTAATTCAGATATTTCATATATTCGTTAGCCCTCCGACGTTGTGAAAACAAGATACCAGGTATATTAAACTAAGTATTCAAAAATATTATTCAAATTATTTATATCCTATCTACGAAACTTATGTAGTCTGTCCGAGTGGCGTCTCATTATCAACAAGGCATACTTCACGCGTTTCGTCAAGTTATGAAAGAAGAAGGATTCTTAGGTACTATTCTTCCTATATAGAAATCAATATACATCATACTGATGTTTTTAGTTTTAATAATGAATATGTTTGTTTAGCTTTTTATAGAGGAACTGCTCCTGTTTTGTGTATTGTTGGACCAAGAATTTCATTACAGTATATAGGTCTTGCTTTTTACAAACCAATATTTGAAAAAATGGAAGGAACTTTGATCCCAGCTCATAGTTCTGCAGGATTGGCTGGTGTAAGTAATTACCAAAAAAAAAAAAAAAAATTGTATTCATTCAAATGATTTATTTCATAGATATGTACCGGAATTACTCAAGCTGTCACATTAGGTAAATAAATCAAATAAGGAAAAAAAAAAGGAAAAAAAATGAATATCTATTCTTTCAATCCTTTGTGTAGTGACTCCATTGGAAATGATAAAGGTGAGACAACAAACGGATCTCATGAATGCAGCTCACGAACGAAAATATCATGGGTTAATCAATACAGCAACCTCTATTATACGTACTGAAGGGTAACTATATATATATATTGTAGTGATATAATTGATCTGAATGTTTCTTTTTTCTTCTTTTTTTTTTTTTTTTTTTTTTTTTTTTTTTTTAGATTTCTAGCTTTATATAGTGGGTTAGCAGCAACAGTTGTACGGCAATCATGGGGTAAAAGAATAATAAAAAAAATGTTTTTTTATGCATACAGCCCTAATTTCTGGTTTTAGGTTTGTTGGTCAAGTTCTCAGGTTACACCGAAATCAAGTCGTTTTTTGAAAAGACATCCAAAGATCCAACACAACCTCTTAGTCCTTGGAAACATATGGTCAGTGGTGGTTTAGCTAATGTTCTAGTAGGTGTACTCAATTCTCCACCAGATGTAGTTAAGACAAGGTATGAATATTATTATTATTATTATATACTTATTCATATATATATTATAGAATGCAGGATGATGGAAAACTATATCGAAATACATGGCATTGTATCTCCAGTATGGTAAAGAATGAAGGATTTTCATCTTTCTTCCGTGGTTCATGGCTTCGAATCTTACGTGTATCAACAGGTACAATTATATCATCCATTATTATTCTATCAAATATTTTAATACTATATTTTTTATATTAGGTGGTGCTATTCAATTTTCAGCCTATGAAGCAGTAATGAATTATTTGGAAACAAATAATACCTTAGTGAAATAGTTGTATCAAAATACTTCTTTAAGCAATTTGTGAGGTGCTAGATTAGTTTTTTTGTTCTCCGCTTTTTTTTTTTGTCTCAATAAAATGTCTCTATCTCTTTTTTTTTTCTTTTTCTTTTTTTTTTTTCTTCCACCTTATTTTTATGTCATTCCATGATATCGATATTCAAAGCTATTAAACTTAACAATGTAGAACTTGTACAATACTTGATCAACCTCTCTGTCTCTTCTCAGGCAACAACAGCCATGAACAAGGACACTCAGGCATGGCTTATACCTTATCTGAAAACCACCAACCAAAAGCATTATAATCTTAATCGAAGGTCAACCAAGGGCAAGTCTGCTTTACATTACGCCATCACTTGGAATCGAATTGAAATAGCTAAACTCTTGATAGAATGTTCCCATGTCAATATCAACAAACGTGATCTTGAAAACGGTTGGACTCCTTTACATAGGTAAGTGCATTTATTTGACAGTTACACTTTTATTATCATTTATTTTAGTGAGAAGTTACTAATAACTTATCTTTTTTTTTTTTTAATATATTTATTATTCTAGGGCACTTTACTTGGGACGTATGGAAATAGTATGGATGCTTATGAAAAGGGATGATCTAGATCTGAATATCAAGGTAAAAAAAAAAAGTAGGGATTACTATCAAAGATTTGTTTTTGTTGTGTTTTGTTGAAACTTAATGTTTACTATATACATAAATTTATAGGATTGGGAAGGTTACAATGCTTTAGAACTATTCAACACAACTATCATGGATTCTCAACCTAAACCTCGGAAAGTGAATTCACCAATCACGGATACGCTTTATCAAACGTGCATGGAGAACAACAACGTATCCACCAATCATCAGCATTTTGAACAAGGCGGCACGGATTTATACACATGGGGAATGAATACAACTTATATCTTAGGCCATCTCGACACGGAAAATAGATCAAGACCAGAGCGAGTGAACTTGGAATCCTTGAAGACGGTCAATAATATTCTACGTCAACCTCCTTATGTTATCAAATCTGTACATATGTCAAAGTTCCATATGGCCATTTTGACAAGTGAACCTATACATAACCTATTTATCTGTGGTTTTGGAAGAGGAGGTCGCCTTGGCACGGGAAAGGACACTGATGCTCAATTAGCTCCTGTACCTGTACGATGGTCTGAACAAATTGTGGATGTCGCCGTAGGAAGGGATCATACTATTGCTGTAACACTTAGTGGAAGTGTCATTACTTTTGGTAATAACGATTATGGACAATTAGGTAAAATAATAATAATAATAATAATAATAATAATAATTTAAAAGAACGTATATCTTATCCTTTTTTTTTCTTCTCCTTTCTTCTTTATTTACTTAGGTTACGATACTGAAGATCGAGATGATGGTTACTCAATGCAACTCAATCCTCGTAAAATTCAAGCACCCAACATTAGAAAACAACCAATCATTGGTGTGGCGGCTTCCAAAGTTCATTCTGTTGCATACACTTCAACAGAACTATTTACATTTGGTTACAATCAAGGACAACTAGGTAGGCAAATAAAAGAATCATAAAAAAAAATCAATCAAATGATGAAACTAATCGTGTTTTATTTTTACATAAAGGTTATCATTATTTAGGGAATGAACGACGTCAGGTTATTCCACGTAAAGTGGTTTACTCAACTCCTATTTGTCAAGTTGTTGCAACTGTAAGTGATGAATCAAGGAAGAATGATGATTATTTAAGTTTTGATTTCTTTTCTATAGGATTATGCTACCACTATCCTTTTTGAAAATCATGATGTTGTATTACTGGCCAATTATGAAACTCAAAAAGTCATGTAAGTGACCTTCATAGAAAATAATAATAATCCTATAATATATCTGATGAACACATTACTATTTTCTATATGTTTATTTTAAATAGATTTACGACAAGGCGGTTTCCTAGCAATATTACTGTACACTCACCGATCAGCAACCATATCATCAAGTTGATATCAAGTAGTACTATTTATACCGGGGCCATATCAAACGCTGGCGACGTATACGTTTGGACATGTAAACCAGCAGCAACAATGAATGATAAACAATCTGAAGGAAAATCCAAACAACGACAGGTTATTGTCAGCACTCCTCGACGAATTTGGACGGCATCTCGATCAGATATGATGGCTGTGGATGCAAGTATTGGACAAGACGGCAACATTATCATATGTACTTCTTCAGGTAGTGTCTATACTGGAGATATTGCAAAAGAAACTACACGAGAAGGCAAATTCAAGTTTCATTGTATCCCTCAACTTCAACGATGTATCTCTGTATGTGCAAATCCAAATGGCGCTTATGCAGCAATTCGATCCGAATATCAATTATCTCTACCTCCACCACCAACAACTACCTTGGCATTGGACTTGATACGATCTTTACCTTGTTTGGCAATTTCATCGACTTTGGATAAGCAATTGGAACAATTGGAAAAAAAGAAAGCAGAAGCACTCTTGGCTCTATACAAAGATCATGCATCAACTGGGGAACTTGACAATAATAGCGATAATGATGATACTATTTATCAACAAGAACAACAGATACATAAAATTTATGGGACAAAAGTGGAAGATCTTTTGAATACAATATGGAAAAAAATGGAATATCCAAACGACCCAACACTGGATGTATTGTTCTGGGTCCAAGGCAAACCGATCTTTGCTCACCTTTGTATACTGGATTGTCGACGCAACAAACAACGAAAAAACCCTCTCTTCGGTCCAATCAATGAAAACAATTTGATCATACCATTCACGAAAACAGCAGGTCATATCCAATTTACTGTTTCAAAAGCATCGTCATCATCAACAAATCCAGATCATAATCTCAATATCATTGTAGAAGGGTGTCATCTCTTATCCTTTTTTATACTGTTGGAATATATTTATGGTGATACAATTACTTATTTTACAACTCGGAAAATCCCAGCTCTCTGTCAATACTTTATTACTCAACAGCAACCTGATCTTCAAGATATTCGATACGATTTGATTCAATTGTCCGCTATATTTGGATTAACTGTATTGCATGATACCGTGAAATCGACTTATCTTCCAACACCTTCACCGTCTTTGGCGACAGATATCGTGGGTATGATGACGACAAAAATGGATGATGACATCGTTGATCAGCGACGACAATACTGTGGCGATGTAGAATTGATTCTAAAGGATGGGAAGATGATATGTGACGAAATTATACTTCGACAAAGGTGTTCGTTCTTTGCATGCCTCTTCGATCCAAAGACAACTTGGTTGGATGGACGACGACAATATGATGATACAGGACAACGACATGTGCAAGTAAATTTAGATCATCGTTCTACAAACATAATGGCTAGTTTAGTGAATTATATATATGCCGACCCTCAATCTGAAAATGAACTATTGATACCTGAAACTACTATGGAAACTACTGAACAAATGGTCACTTTTTTACTGGATCTCTTGTGTGCTGCTGATGAATTCTTACTTCCTGGACTTAAGATTTTATGTGAACGTGCTCTCATACCAATGATCAATTTACGTAACACCGTGATGATTTTGGAATACTCTCATCTTTATCTGGCAACTTCCTTGGAACGTGCCTGTCTCGCCTTGATTCTAGTTAACATGTCTTCATTTGTGATTGCTGGGTAAAAGAACAAAACAAACAAACATAAACTTTCTGCTTTATATACTGATTATTTTTTTTTCTGTCTATTTATAGCTTACTTGAAAATCTCTCACTTGATCTTATACAGAACTTGGAAGAATTTGTATGTGTACATCAACAAGCTGCATTACGACAGGTTCAACGTTTACCAAATACGGCAATGGACGATAATCATGATGGCAATGACGATGATGATCTTCTCATGACATTATTTACGTGGACTCATGAAGAAATGCCAATTACAACAGGTTACGTAGAATATTTGGAAACGATCAAGCCAGTAACAACAATAATGACGACGAGTCAATCTGAGGTCCCTACCACATCGTCACCAGTACCAACAGCAACAACAACAGCAACAACAACGGCAGTAGAAACAGTTAATAACATGGAATCCAAGTCGAAACAGCCAAAGACACCAAAAAAGAACAAGAGGAAAGACAAAGAAATACTTCCTTCTCCTTCCAGTGCTCCATCTACCATATGGGGATCTGATCAAGCTGAGTAAGTTTAATATAATAATTATTTTTATTGGGTTTATATAGTCATATTCACCTTTATTATCATTATGATAGATCATCAAGTCAGAATATCAAGTTATCACTCCGAGATGTAATGGAAAAGGAAATAGCTGATCTTGCTTCACCGATACCACTTGTGTCCAAGGTAAACAGCAGAAAGAGGGAAGAGGAACCTACTAGTATACTAAGGTTTTTTTTTTTTTTTTTTTTTTTTTTTTTATTTACTACAATAGATTCCTAGTAGTTCAAACAAAAAGCTTTCTCAGAAGGAAAAAAGGAAATTGTATCAGCAAGAATTAGCAATGGCAGCATCAACGAACTACACCGATACCATCAAAAAATCAGCTTGGGGTACTGTTAACATCACTCCGGAACCTGTTGGATCACCGTTATTGCAAGAATCGCCTCTTTCTAAGTCTATCAAGCAAGAACCTAAAGGAAAAGTATCAACGACATCATCATCATCATCATCATCATCGTCATCATCATCATCCAAAATGCAAAATGGGAACGATATGCCATCGTCCAAAGGCAAGAAAATGTACGTAAAAAAAAAAAAAGAGAGAGAGAAGGAATGAAGGGAAAAGAAAGGAACGAAAATGGACTCACCATATTCCTCAATATAGATTTACAGCAAAGGAAACCTTACTTGAAGAACAACGACAAGGATGGAAACGAATGACAGATGATCAGCCATCATCTCGACTTTTTAATCTACAACAAATCGGTAGCTCATTTCAATTGATTCCGCGGAAATCTCTTCCTACGACAGACAAGAACACATCCACGAGACCGGACAGTTCTGTGCTCAGGGGATCCTCTTCATTCCATGCGATTCAACAGGAACAGAAATTAGAAGATGATTGGATCAAGGGCAAACGGAAGAAGAACTTGGTACGTATCCAACGTGAAGAAACGGCAATGGCATCACTAAGGGAATTCTATATACAGACACTGGATCGGGGAATGGGGACATGGATTGTTATTGATCCTTCTTCTTGATATGGGAGATGATGATTCGTAGATAGTGATAAATACTAGATAGATAGCTCCTGTTTTTTTTTGATTATTTTATTATTTGTATATTTTCAATGTATGAAACAAATTAGGATTAAAATAAATCTGCTGTTATCGTTGTTGATGATGATGAAAATGATGATACATATTATTTTTATTGCATATACAGATTGGAATGGATGGGGAAATAAAAAAAGACGATAAATATATACATAAAGCTAGATTAGGTGGGCCAAACAAAGGAATCAGCAGCAGGATCATCTTGCCAAAGTTGTTCATCATAAGCTTGTGCGATGATATTACGTTGTTGGATCATGGATTCAGGAATATAGCCTATATAGGTCAATAAGCACTCTTTTTTGGGTTGTGTTGATCGTAGCATGGCGTATGCTCTGTTTGTCATATCCACATATGCTCTTCGGAAGACTTTGACCACTGTTAGCGCATTGAATGATTTGACTCCAATATCGTTCTTGGCGTCTAAAGGATCTTCAATAGAAAATACTGGTTTACCTTGTCGCAAGCAATTGGTCATCTAAAATAGGTTTAGTTAAAACTACCATTCTTTTTTTTTTTTTTTTTTTTTTGTTACTTTACCTTTGGATAGTATTTCCCTTTATGACTTACAGAAATAGCCACCTTTCCCACTGCAAAATGAATCCCATAAAGTTGTAAAAAGTCCAATAATAGTGTTCCTAGATTTTTTTGAGGATCGATTGTGCCAGAAGCGACCATTGGATGCATCTACTCAGAAGAGAAATGTTAAGTTTCTTTTTTATCAATCTATTTCTCTATATATCACTTTTTTTTTTTTTTTTTTTTTTTTTTTACCTGTAAAAAGCTGATCACCATACAAACAACACCAAATCCACCTATGCCACCGGTATATACTTCATTTACTTCTCGAAGAGCCACAATATGTTTGATGATCAATGTCAATTGTCTTGCACCAGGATATTCTGACAGTTTCCTTGAGACATAGGTTGCACAATCTACACCACCAAAAGAATTGAGGATAATATCCACCTTCAGTCCCGTCAATCTTTCTTCAAACTTAACGACAGGTACCTATTTAAATGACATAAGTCCAGTCAGATATCCTTGTTTTCTCTTTCTATTATATATATTACCGTTGCTTTGCCAATCACAGTCGGATAGCGTTTAGACACTTTAGCTTGATAAAGTACACTTGCTACAGTATATAAATCAGAACTTGTTGGATAGCCAGGTAATTCTACCATCAAATCCATGTCACTATATATAAAGTAAAAAAATCATTATTAAACTCTTTGCCTTTTTTTTTTTTCTTATTCTTATTACCTGTCAGGAAGAAAGGTATTAGTTTTGAAACTTCCAAATACATGTACTTTGGCATCACTCCAGCGTTGGCGAATATGGTATCGAATTTTGTGAATCAAATAGTGTCGTATATTGATTTCTTCTTGGGTTGGTTGAAGGAAGTTGACAAAATCCTCGATTTCAGCTTGGAAACTAAAGTATAATTAGATCATTGATTTTCCTATAATCACCTTTTTTTTTTTTTAATTACCTTGCCATGGTATTATCAGTTGTTTGCTCCCACCAAGGATAATGATACGGTCGTTCGTCTTCATCTAATTGCCCTGATTTATCATTTTCATCCGATCCAAGTGCAATATAATCCTCCTCCATATCTATTAAAAAATAAAATAAAAAAAACTTAATTTGTTTCTCCAACCTAAGAAGAAGACTACTTACCCTGTCGAGATTCTGGAGAAACAATAACCTGGTCATCCTGTAGTTCACCTTCTTCTACTTCAGATTCATCGTCGGATATTTCAATAGGTTTGTCGAGAGTATTGGAAGAATCAAGTAAAGAATTGTCGTCGTCGTCGTCGTCGTCGTCGTCGTTATCGTTATCGTCATCGTCAGATATAACAATAGGTTGGTCGGATTGTTCTTTAGATTGAGCCATTTTCTTTACACGTTTCAATTTTCTCTTGTTCTTTCTCTTTTTCTTTATTTCCTCTTTTTTGACTTGCTTTGTTTGCTTGTCTGGTTTGCGTTTCTTTACGTTGTCAGTGTTTTGGTTATCGTTGCCATTGCGCTTTCTCTTCTTTGTTTCTTGTTTCACTTTGGTGTTGGATTTCGCAGTACTAGCTTCTTGTACTGGTTTTTTAAGTTTACTTCTTCTTCGAGCCTTTTGATTCGTTCTTGTCATACTAATGAAAAAAAAAAGTAAGGAGAAGAGACAAAGAAAAAGTAAAGAAGCATCAAAAAAGAAAAAAAAAAAAGTGAAAGGCGGAAAGTAAAAAAAAGAAAAAGCTCAGAGTGACAATTGGCCTATCCACACACAGCTTGAAAATGAAAAGCCACTTTCACTTTTCTTTGATTCATCTTATTTCTGCCTGGATGTTGTACTTTCTTTTATTTCTTTCTTTAGCATCATCATGTAACAAAAGTATACTTTCACTGAATATCAGGATGATGCCAAAGATGATTGGTTTTTGACGATTTACTGGTTTTTCCTACCAATTTGCATTGATCCAAATAAAAAAATGAGTTTGCGATACCTTATTTTTAAGTTTACATCATAAATCCAAGTCGGAATTCCCGCTATCTTTATTTCAATAAAAAAAAAAAAGATCTACAGTTCTTTTCTTCAGCCAAACAACGATCAAAAGAAGAATAATAATAATAATAAAAAAAAAAAACCTAAAAGAAAGGGGGAATCGGTAAGAACGAGGCCCGTGAAAGAATAGGGGGACGATATGCTAAACATTCCTAAATCGAAGATCGACGTCTGTGAGCATGTGTGCGAGTGTGTTTCTACTAAACATCATTCAATTCAAAAGGCTAAACAAAGACTAGAGATATATGGATGATTTAACTATAGAGATAATGATGATTGATGACACAGAGTTTGAGAGATAGCAACAAGGAAATAGATTAGAAATAAAAAGAGAAAAAAAGATATATCGTAATGTAATATGTATATGCACAAGATATATATAAGGAGCGGATGATCCTTCCTAAAGAAGGTTATTATGATCACACATGATGATCTGATTGAAAACACTAGGACGAGTGATCCTTTGCAAGAAAAAAAAAAAAAAAAAAAAAGGGATCGAATTGACCTCGTACCACAAAATATGAAGAAGGTCTAGATTACTTAAGAACGACGAAGGATGAATCAATAAGCTGTAAACCCCTAGTACATTTCCGAGACTAGAAATTAATCTATATCCCTTTTCAGTTTGAGTGAGAGGAAAAGATACAAAAATAGTGATAAAAGTGACGGCTATATCTATATATATATATATATATATATCGCTGTGTACGAAAGAAGAGTATGGCGCCAACAAAATAACTAATTGAATTCTCAAGTCATACCACAATAAAAGAATACCATAAAAAAGTTAAAGGGACGAGATAAACGATGATGATGATGATGATTCCCCTGATAACTTTTCTCTCTTTGATAACACTTTTTTTTTTTTTTTTTTTTTTTTTTTTTTTTTTTGATCAAGAAGAATTAAAGATTCAACGCTACATACTTTAATATCATCCCAAAAGCGGTCTCAGATCCTCAAAATGAGCAAGTGAAAAATTCATTAGAGCTCCCTACTCTTTTTTTGTCTCTTTTTTTTTTTATATATAAAGAAAAAATTCTGCTGTCAAAAAAAATTAGAACAGATCTCATCTTTTTCTTTTTCTTTTTGTCATCCTTGTTTGTGATATACATATATAGTTGATTAGATAGATAAATAAATAGATAAATAGATAGATAGAATATATCTTTTGTTTCCCTTTAAAAAATTTACATAATATATACAATGGATCCTGAAGCAAAATTTGAAAATGACAAGTCAAGTGAAGAGGATAAATCACAAATTGGATTAATCAGTCAACCAAGAGTATCAAACTTACGATTTGCGTTAGTATTTTCTGGGTAAGAAATTCAAAAGATTTACTATAGATTTTAACTCATCATCATCATCATAGCTTGATTCTTGGGTTTTTTATGGCTGCCTTAGATCAAACCATCGTCATCACTGCTTTAGGACAAATTTCTGCTGAATTCAATGCTACGAACGATATTGGTTGGGTTGGTTCATCTTATCTATTGACAATGAGTGGATTCCAACCAATGTATGGCATATTTGCTGATATTATGTAAGTCATCATATATATATATTCATCACTTTATATGATCATGTATTTATTGAATTTATTATATTTTAGTGGTCATAAGATTGTTTATTTGATTGCTATTACCATCTTCTTGATAGGTAGTATTCTATGTGGTTTATCCACTAGTATGTTTATGTTAATCATGTCTAGAGGTAAGAATCATTTATATAAATATATATGTATACATTTTGATCATCAACATATTATAATAATGTTTGTAATAGCTGTTCAAGGTATTGGTGGTGCTGGTCTTATCACTGTAGTGTTAATCATTGTGACGGATGTTGTAACTGTACGAGATAGAGGTAAGAAAGAAATACATCCTAATTTGGACATCAATTGAATAAATGATTCTTTTTTTTTTTTTTTTTTTTTTTTTTGAAATCAGCCAAGTATCAAGGTATTTTGGGTGTTGCTCTTGGTACAGCCACTGTTGCAGGTCCTTTAATTGGTGGTGCATTTGCTGATGCCAATTTATGGAGGTAAATATAGATATATAGAAAAAAAAAAAAAAGATGATCATTAAAAGCAGATGATTTGATTTTTACCATGTTTCCTTTTTTTGTTATTGTATAGGTGGTCATTTTTTATGAATGTCTTTATTGGGTAAGTGGATTTAACCTCCCAAAAGGGACTTTTTTTAATTCCGCATCAACAATTCTCATTCTCCATTTTTCCTTTTCTATCTCTTTCTTTCTCCTACTTTACAATTTTTTTTTTTTTTTGAACAATGATAGACTGGCGGCAATTGTAATTATTGTCTTCTTCTTTAGACGTGATATGTATTTACATCATCGGTCCTCCACATTACCTTTATCAGTACAACTTCGTCGAGTAGATTATGGTAGTCTTGTGTTGCTCATGCCAGGTGCGATATGTATGCTAGTGGCTTTACAAACTGGTGGTGAACAAGGTTCTTGGAGCACGCCTTTGGTCTTGATTCTCTTTAGTGTTGGAGGATTTGCTCTTGTATTATTTGTCTTATCAGAAATATTCGTCATCAAACATAATCCGGTATTACCTCGTCGCTTGGTGACTTCTGTCTCTTCTATGGCTATCCTTATTGCTCAATTTGCTGGTAGTGCAACTGATTATGCTATCTTATATTTTGTTCCTCTTCATTATCAAATTGTACGAGGTGATTCTGCTGTACAATCTGCCTTGGAACTTCTACCGTTCTTCTTATCAGCCGTGATAGCTGGTTTGATTTCTGGAATTTTGATTACGAAGACTGGTTATTATCGTATTTATCTTTGGTCCGGTTGTACTTTTGCCATGATTGGTTCTGCCTTATTAGCAACATCTACTGTGGATTCCAATGTTGTTCATCAATATGTATTCTTGGCTATCCTGGGATTGGGTGTAGGTTTATGCAAACAATCCTTTGTTGTGGCAGGTCAAGCTGCTTCACCTGAAGAAGAGTAAGGGATCTTTATATACATATATATATATATATATATATATATATACTCAATCCATCTTTTTTTTTTTTGTGGTCTTGATTAGTCTTTCTTTGGCAACTTCACATGGACAGTTCTTCCGTGTTCTAGGTGGTGCAGTGGGAATTAGTATTTCAGCAACATTATTTCGGTTCAACATTACCCGTGGTCTCAAAGATTTGATGGACAAACTTCATTTACATTTGACGCTTCGGAATATCAACATGATCAAGGCATTACCTCGTTCAGTCAGAATACAAGTTCAAACAGTAGCTGTTCAATCGTTGGACAAAATTTATATATTTGGTAAGACAAAAAAAATAATGATGATAATGATGATGATTAATATTTTTATTTATTATAATATATAGCTGCTGTCGCATCTGGTACTGCTCTTCTTGCAGTGATATTAGTCAAGCATACGGATCTATGGACAAAAGAAGATGAAGAACAGGATGAAAAGATTCACCCTTAGATATATCAATCATTGTATATTCTAACGTCCAATTATTGTTTTTTATGTTATTTTATTTATCTTTTTTTTTTCAATAAAATATTTTTTTTTATAATCCTTCCTTGATTTCCCTTTTTTGTATTTGATTTGCAGTTACTATGATCTTTATAAGGAAGGTGACCTGCTGTGTTCTCTTATGTGAATTCCCGTGTACAACAGAAATGTTTTTTTTTTTTTTTTTGGTGGTGCCAATCTTTAATGATCTATTATCGACAAATACCTTTTTTTTTTCTCCATGTTTTTTGTATATAATATTGTTTTAATGAAAAGTTCAAAGCCAAAGCTCAATCCCATTTCCGCTTTATCAGCCAATAGATCAGCTGATCAAACATGTCTTCAAACATCCAACTTTTTTTTTTTTGAAAGATGGAAAAAAAATTCCCGCTCTTTCCTTGATTGCCCACACTGAAAATTTTATTTTACTCGGTTTTTCTTTTACTTTTTTTTTTTTTTTCGTTTCCCCACACTTTGTACTTTTTCTTTTTTTTTCGTCTTTCTTTCCCTTTCTTCCTTCTTTTCGCTTTCTCCTTTCTTCTTCTTCTTCTTCTTCTTCTTCTTCTTCTTCTTGTATAACTAGTTCTTCCACCACTTATTATCAGCACTATCACTTTTTCAATAATTGGTCAATTCATTTATCTATTGTTTCATATACAACCATACCCCCAACATTCATCCTTTTTTTTTTACACCATTCCCGATATCTTTTAGTCGTCATATACGCCCTTTCATCGACGTCTTATTTTAATAGACCATGTATTCAACAACAGATTATGATTCTCCTATGGATACTTCTTGCACATACGAACAGCCGTCTTATTCTCCACCACCAACGACTTCAACGCAATATTCAGATCATCTTATTCATGGTAACGAACAACAACAATTAGTCATGATGGAATTACAGCAAATGTTTCGTTTGGACAAACCAACTTTATTACAAATTGTGGATTACTTTGACAAGGAACTAAAAGCTGGATTACTAGATGACCGTTCAAGTGACCTTAATATGATTCCTACTTTTGTTACTGGTAATAGAAATATCATATATTCTTGTGTTTCATACATAATGTTGATTCATCCAATTTTTTAATTATTATTATTATTATTATTAGGACATCCGACTGGTGGTGAAAAAGGTACATATTTAGCATTAGAAGTAGCTGGAATGGATATATACGCGTGTCAAGTCAAATTGAAAGGGGAACAAGGCAAATTAGCGATCAATCAATATCAATACAAGATTCCTCAAGATCTATCAAGCGGAGATGATTTTACAGTGTTAGTAGATTACATTGTTGAATGTGTTTCTGATTTCTTGACGCGCGTGGGTACTCAAGATCGATTAGTGTATCCTATGGCTGTCTCTTTTGGATTTGCTATCAAACAAACTGGTTTAGACAAAGGGAAAATCTTATCTTTAGGTTATGGATTTAGTTATCCGAATGGTGTGGGTGTAGATATCGTACAACTGATGCATGAAAGGGTCCGACTCAAATCTTTACCAATCAAGATTGTAGCTATCGCAAATGGTACGTATTATTTATTATATTATACAAAAAAAAAAAAAAAAAAAAAAAAAAAAGAAAAAGAGAAAAATCGGAAATATTCACACACGCTAAACTTTATTTCATTTTACCTTTATATATATGTAGATGCTGTTTGTACATTACTAGCTCATGCCTATCAACATCCTTCTACACGAATAGGTATTGTACATAGTTTAGGGACAAATTGCGCTTATTACGACAAAACTCGAAAAGTCACCAAATTGAAAATACACAATACTGCTACTATCGAGTCAGAAATGATTATCAATACAGAATGGGGAAATTTTGGCTCTTCAAGGCGAACCTTACCTTGTACCTGGTTTGATCGGAAATTGGATCGTGAATCTATTAATCCACAATTCCATGTATTTGAAAAGATGACGACTGGTGTATTTTTGGGTGAAATTGTACGCATCATTTTGACATATCTTGTTGATCGGGATTTACTGTTTCGTGGCGAATCATCACCTATGCTGAATACACCTTATGGTTTCGATACTAGTTACATGTATGTGTGTGAAGTGGACCAATCTCCGGAACTGGATGATACTAGGATTATCTTGGAAGATATGATGAATTTGACAAGAACGTCTTTAGCCGATAGAGAAATTGTGAAGAAAGTTTGTGAATTAATTGGAACAAGGGCTGCCATATTGGTTGGTACTGCCATTGCTGCTGTGGTACAACATATGGCAATGTCTGATGTGGGTTTAGGGCCAAATGATGATGGATGTGCTATATGTAAGTGATGATAAAATAACAAAAAAAAAAAAAAAAAAAAAAGAAAAGAACGGAACTGATTTTTTTTTTTTATTTCGGTGTAGCTATTACTGGTGGTATATATGAAGATTATCCATCATTTCATCCTCGTGTATGCACAACTTTGAAGGAATTGATTCCAGATGAAGTAGCTTCCAAATTATCTGTTGGTATTGTTAAACATTCTCGTATCGTTGGTGCTGCTATTGTTGCTATGATGGCCGAAAAAATTGTATCTGAATCTTCTTCTTGAACTTTCTCCTTTGTTTTATTATATTATCTTATTCCTTTTATCATCATCATCATAATCTTCATCATTTTTAGTATTCTTATTTGTTATTATTATTATTATTCTTATTCTTATTCTTATTATCATTGTCATCGTCATCATTCTCACTTTTTTTTTATTTAGTTTTGTATTTTCTTCTTTTTTTTATTGTCTCTGCGTATTTATAGTTCTTTCCTCCTAATATTCTTTTTTTCATGTAGTGTATTCCTATTTTTTTTTTTCATATCATCAAGCCAAGCTAGAACCCTTGCGGGGTTGAAATAAATTTATCTTTGTTTCTTTTCTGTGCAATTCTTTTCTTTGTTCTTCAAAAGAAAAAAAAAAAGATCAACTTTTTTTTTCTTTTGTGCATTTAATTGTTATAGGATGTCTGTTCCTCCAGCCATTACTATTGATCGGGAAAAGGTAAAAGAAAGCAAACATTTTGAATATATTCTTTCAACTGACGCGCCTTTTTTTCACTTCTCAATATGATAGGTTTGTCCATTTCTATTGAAAGTATATAGTAAAATAGGTAGTCATCACAAGTAAGTAGTTATTGAATCAAAATAATAAGAACAAGTTAAATTCAAATATTGTTATATTTTATAGACCATATGATTATCAAATTACTCGTCAACCAGTAGAAGACGAAATACAATTATATACTTGGTAAGATCATATTAAGTAAATACGTATATAAACTCACTTTTTATTTTTATTTTTGTATGAACTAATAGGAAAGATGCTACATTAGGTGAACTTGCATTACTTCTTCAAGAAGTGGTACCAGAAGCTCGTCATGTTGATGCTCGTATTGCCTTTCGATTAGTCTATCTTGATGTTCGTACAGGAAGGTATGAACATACTGATATTGGACGTGTGGTAAATGCTGAAGAAACTCCCGATCAGATGAAAACTTTGGATGACTGTAAATTCTTGATTGGTGATTTCTTGGATGTGGCTATTTATATGGGCCCTAAACCTATGCAACGTGGCAATGGAAACCGGTTTGATCGACGTCGTAGTAGTGGCGGTGGTGGTGGTAATAGATATAGTTTCCGTGGTAGAAGTCGTTATTGATATTTAGTTATTTTTTCCCTTCCTTATTCATTCTTTTTATTTCATCCTTTTGTATATTTTTGTCAATAATGAAGAAAAATACATTCTTTGAACATGTTTATGCCTTTTTTTTTTTTAATGTATGGACCGGAGATACGTTTGTCAACTTCTGCGTATGACGTGATTTGAAACTTTTTTTGTATAAGCTTAAAATAAAATTTTACTATATTTTTTTTTTCCTTTCTTTTACTTCTTTGTTTTTTTCTTTTCTTTTTTGTTTCAATCATATATTATATATATCATGTCCAGTCCTGCTGAAATCGTTGAAGAACTTATCAAAAACAACAAAGTAAAAACACGGTATATAGACAAGCAAACTGATGACTAATAATATCTGTATTTGATAGGTTGTGATCTTCTCCAAGTCTTATTGCCCTTACTGTACTGCTACCAAAGATCTTTTCAAGCAACTCGGTGTTACTGTAGTGGTTATTGAACTTGATGAACGACGTAAGTGAAAACTATAAATAAGAAACCAAGAAACTTGACGCGTTATATATATATATTTTTTTTTTAGAGGATGGTGCTGCTATTCAAGATTATCTTTTGACAAAGACTGGTCAACGTACTGTTCCTAATGTATTTGTTGCTCAAAAACATATTGGTGGTAATGATAAGGTTCAAGCTGCTAATAAAGATGGTACTCTCCAAAAGTTACTTGCTTAAAACCTTTGGTTCTCTAGTGAAACTCTTCCATGTTTTATATATATATATATATACACATATATATATGTGTGTGTATATTGAGTTTCTTTCATGGGTTTTAGTTTATTCACATTTAAATTAGTATCGATTCCTCTTTTTAAATAAATATCAGAATTTTGTTGATTATAATGTGTCTTCAAAGATCATTGGCTGAATATAGATTTCATGCCCATTGGGCTGGGTATCTTTCAATGAGATTTTTTTTTTATTCTTTTTTTCTTTTCCCTCTTTTTTTTTTTTTTTCTTCTTCTTTCTCCCTTTCTTTTCTTTTTCTCACTATATCATTTTTCTCCTTCCTACCCCCTTTCTTTTTTTTTCCACTTTCGGTATTTTATATATATCTATTATCTTCATTATATATGACAAGTATTATTACCAATCGTCCACCACTTATATCTTATCCTACTCATATCCTTACTTTACAAGATGTCATTGTGGATTCTCCAGTGTTTCGATCTAATGTTCAACATTTGGAAGATCAAGTAGATCTATTTGAAAAATGGCTAGAAGGCTTTATACGTGTTTTGAAGTCTTATATTGATGCATTGACAAGTAAGTTATGATATTATATTTTAATAGTATTATTCATTTACTTTTTTTTCTTTTTTTTTTCTTTTTCTTTTTTAGAGGTGAATACACAAACTAGTCATTTATTCAAACAACTTGACTCGAACAAGATGAACTTGGCTTCTATTGGTAAATTGAAATAAAAATAAATTCTATTTTGACTTAAAAATAATTTTATAGATTCTCAAGTAGCAGGGATCGTTATTCATGCTTTTAGTGGCGCTTTAGAAAGCAGCTTGTCAGCAAAAGTGAAATTGGTAATAATGAGGATGAAACAAAAATTAAAAAAAAAAAAAAAAAGAAAACGACTTCTATTAAACATGAATATTTTTTTTTTCTTTTAATTCTAGGTGAACGACTTGAATGAAACACTATTACAACCATTACAAGAATTACTCAAGACTGAACTCAAAGAGTTTAAGGTAAATTTTTTATTTTTTATTTTTTACTTAAAAAAAAAAGGAAATTGCATATATGGTCATATTTAGTTCCTGCTTGAACACAACAATACTCATCATATATTTATCTTATTTTGGATTATTTGTATGGGATGATCGTTAGGATATGCGGAAAACATTTGAAAAAACTTTAGATAAATATGAAAACCATTTGTTTCGTTACAGCAATCTCAGCAAACAAAAAGAACCAAGCTCTCTTAGGGAAGATGCGTTTCAAATGTTTGATGTACAAAAATCCTATATTCGTGCAAGTGGAACTTATTTTATGCAACTGATTACTCTCAAGACCAAAATTGAACATACCTTGGTGGAATGTTTTTCTGGTTCTCTTACTGATCATTTGGATCACCTGGATCAATCTCTTCAATCTCAAAACTCCGCACGTACCATGATTCCTGGTTGGCGACAATGGTTACAAGAAGTAAAAAAAAAAAAAAGAAGTTTTTTTTTTATTATTATTAATATCTCTTTTTTTTTATTTTTATTTTTATGTAGAGCAAAGAAACTTGTAGTTATCAGCTTGATCGTATTGAAAAATCAACTCGCGCTTTGGAAGATGCATATATTCGGAAAATCAGACCACATCGCTCACTCAAACGTTATTCCACTTCTAATAATGATCAGCTGGTAGCTATATCCAACTCTTCTACATTTGATTCTTTATACGATGATCATACCACTCAAGCAGACTCCTCTGATATCGATACTAGAATGGCAAGTAATATCTCACTAACTTCAACATCTTCCAATGATGAAAAGTCTTCCATCATTAGTCGTCATGTCAAACAAGGTTATTTATTTAGTCGTATTACTGTGGGAAAACCTTCTCGCTATTCTTGGGTTAGACGATGGTTTTTCTTAAAGGATGGATGGTTTGGTCAATGTACAATATCTACTGTTAATAAATCAAGGGGTACAATCACTATCAACGATCGAATTCCTATCGATGCCTCTTGTGAATGTCGGATCTTTATTGATATTGATAGACGATTTTGCTTCCAAGTCAATGGGTCAAGCACGTAAGTCAAAAAAAAAAAAATAGAACATCGAGAATGACGAAAAAAAAAAAATTGACCTTCTATCTATTGTATTTTTTTTTCTAGCTCTTTCTTCTTACAAGCTGAAACGGAACTAGATATGCAGCAATGGTTATGGGCTATCGAAAGGGCAAAGGATTTTTATGGAAAGGATCAACATCTCAACAAATCTTCTACTGACATCATTCCTCGTGCTTTGTTATCTCCAAAAGCAAATACATCTATTCGAAAACCATTGGATGATAAATCACATATTTTAATCACTTTATCATCTTCACCGCCATTGATACCCCCAATAACTGGCCCACCTGCAACTATCACTTCAAGCCCGCAAGCAACGGATTATTTAGCAAATGATGTCTCCACTATATCGGCAATCATTACTTTGATGCTTAAGGAAGGATCAAGCTTCATCAAGTCAACAGTCACTTCTACTGATACCACTACAAGTTCTTCTTCCTCAACAACCTCTACTACCGATAACGATAACAAGGAATCCTCAACCGTTGATCTTCCCTCTCATCAGCCTTCCTCCACAACAACAGATGACAAGTCAACAAATGAACAGCAAGAATCATCTATTATTCCACGCCGACAACCAAGTACGTCAACTGCTTCTTCTTGGTCCATGCCATGGCTAATATCAGGAATCAGTGCATTATCATCTGCCTCTGCTGATGCTAGCTCGACTGCAACGGATGAATGGATTTTGAAATCAAGTAATAGCCAGGAACCTGATGCATTGGTTATATGGCCCAACAAGATGGAATTAGAAGCTCCCAAAGTAACTTTGAATAATTATTCTGATGATTTGATCGCTGGACAACGTGAATTACGACGATACTTCGAAAATGTGCCAAAAAGGGAAACTGTACTTGATAGTAAGTCCCAAAAAGAAAATTAGACATCACCAATGGTAAAAAGATGAGACTTATTTGTTTTTGTGTCACCATAGTTTTTTCTGCATCACTTTATCGCCAAACCAATACTGATGCCACTGACAATAAGGATGAAAACAATACCGCTCAGGATGAAGATCAGAAATATCAGAATAAGAACAATAGCTTCAACGATGGAAAGGGATATACAGGAACTGTTTATGTGACTCAAACAAAGTTATGGTTTTATAGTTGTCGAATGATGACTTGTGTCAACGCTGTAAGTAGGAAAAAAAAAAAAAGAGAATTCATGTCACTTTTTAAATCTCTTTCTCTCTCTTTTTGAATATGTAGATTGTTATACCCTTTAACAGCATTAAGACAATCCGTTTGGAAAAGGTATTATCAGCAAATTCTCAAGGCAAATTGATGTATATTGAAACCAAACAAAACCCATCAAGCGTCTTTTGTTTTGGACTTTGGTTGAATGCTGCTGAATTGATTGCAGAAAGAATCCGTGTAGCCACTGAAAATGCAAAGCGAACAGAGGTAATATAATTGTGGAATAAAACGAAAGAAGAATATATATACATATATGTTCTCAATGTGCTCTTTTTATTTATAGAAATTGGATGATCAAACCTTATTCGACATTTTACGTTGCACGACTATTGGAAAACTTAAAGCAAAAACACCCACCAGCCACGTCACTACCATTAGTGCATCCAATGCTGCGGTAACACCACTCACTGTACAAGCACAATCACGACTGACATCGGAGCAACAAGCAATAGTTGGTTATGCAAGTGGTAGTGAAGAGTCGAAATCCCAATCCTCATCATCGGCCTCCTCTTCATTATCTGATAATAGTGGTATCAATGCAGTAGAGTTATCCTTGGAACGTTATCGGAATGCGTCTCCTGCAGCCGGTGCATTGACTGCAGCTATGGAAGCCGCCAATGAAGCTGAGATCGCCAAATCCAAAACACACAAGTTTATTAGAAGAAATAGCAAGTTGGAGAAAATGAAAGCAAAATCAATGATCAGTGCAACACCTACACCAGACGAGACAACTGATGACAACTTGTTGGATCAAAAGAAACAACAACAGCTTGACAACATGGCAGCAACAATACCATCATCATCAGCAATACAAATCCCTGAAGGTCCTGTTGGTTGCAATTGTGATGATCATTTAGAAAAAGTGGAAATCGATGTTGAAGTACCGGCAAATGTTCGCACAATATATGAATTCTTGGTTAGTACAAGATGTTGGGAACAATTAAACAAGGCAAAAGGGAACTCTGGTAATTTGAAATGACTCCTTTTTTATTTTTATGAATGATACTCATGACTTTTTTTTTTCTTTTCTTCATATTATATTAGTTCCAAATGCTTCAAATTGGGAACAAACAAAAACCGGAACAAATGAAAGGACATTGAACTATACCATGCCAAATCCAATGTGTAAGTATGACTGATTTTTTTGTTTTTTCTTCAAGCGACGTTAACAATTTATTATTCATTGTAGCTAAAACAAAGGATGCCGATGTGATTGAAACTCAAGAAATATTACAGCAACAACATGGATCGTAATGAAAAAAGAAAGAAGAAAAAGATATATTAACAGTTTAACTAACAAGGTTGTCTTTTTTTTTTTTTTTTTTTTGTCACACGCGCTGATTTTAGATGTTATGTTATGATGATCACGACCAAAACTCCTACATTACCATATGCGGATGCATTTATTCCAATGATCAAACTCTGTATCACTTTTACTAGTATCAATTCCTGTCGACTTGTGTGTAGCTTTGGTGTCAAATGGTTGAAGAGCATCATGATGAAAGGTAGGGATTTCTTTTTTTTTTTAAAAAAAAATAAGGGATGGATTAATTAAACAATTATTGTTTACATATTAGGGATGGTGAACCGTGCAGCAGTAAAAGGAATGTCTGAAACAATTACTTCATTGATCCCCATTGTTGAACAAGAAGCATCGGCATTACAAGGAAAAGCAAACGTCAGCGGTAGTGCAAATAAACAACAAATGACACAAAAAGAGAGATTGACTGGAATCCAGGAAGAAGATCAAGTGGCGGCGAAGCAACAATCACCTTTAACAACAGCAATTCATGGTGACACAAGACAGAAAGGAAAGTTAGCTACATCGAACATTCTTTATCGTGATACCCTACTCAGCCCCCGCTGGCTTGCTGGTTTTATGGGAGTGGCGCTGCTTTTTTTACTCGTCAACATCACGTGGTTTACTGGAAGAACCAGATCATTGTCAACAACCAATTCTATGGGCAATATATCATGGCGTGCAGTACATCTTACAGATCTTGAACCTTTAGTGAATGGAAAAGATACTGAAATCAATCGATATAATTCTAGGTAATAGTATCTATCAATTTTTAGGTATATAGATATTCATTTTTTTTTTTTTTTTGTTGGTAGTGCATATGAAATCTTCAAGCATTCACGGTCGGACATTGGTGGATGGGATTATTATCGATGGTTCAATATTAGACATCGTTTGATTGCAGCAGAATTGACATATACAAGAGAACAATTAGCTATATCAAGATATGAACTATTGGCAGCTTTTAAAATGCTGAATGGAATGGAACAACGTTTATTGGAAAGTGAATATTGGAATTGGCTATTGGATCAAAGATCGAGATGTGATGACAAGAAGGATGAGGATGAAATTAGATTAGCGCATGATAGTGATAATTTTACCAACAAAGTAATATTATGCAATGATATCAATATGGAATTAGATCAACTTTAATAAAAATCCCAAATTTTTTTTTTTTACAAAAAGTGGCGCGCGCGTGCAAATATTATATTTTATGTGTGCGTATGACAAGAGTCTATTTTTATATTTTCACCTTACCAGTGATCGGCGGATATCGAAAAATAGTACAAATAAAGTTTATTTTGTTCTGTAACACATTTCTTTCTATTTTATTTTTATTTCAATCATGCATTTTGTGAATGAGGAGTGTGGCGCGTCGATATTATTTTTATAGAATTGTTAAAGTGTGACAGAAGTAAGTTCAATATAAATACACAATGTCAATTTGTATTTTGATTTTTTTTTTCTTCTTCTTAATTTTCATTCTTCTTTATAGTCATGAATCATCAAGTTCATTTGGAACAATACAAACAAACAATAGATTATCAGCATTTATTATTGGAAACATCATTTTATTATCAACCTCAAGAACAACAAGAACCTTCACCTACATTTTCTAGTCCTCTTAGTTCACCTTCTTCTTCCTTATTTCAAGAAGATTTTTCAATGCATCATCATCAACAACAACAATTATCTTATACATTGACACCTCAAGAACAAGATCATCAACTTTATTATCCTTCTATTAACAACAACGACAACAACAACAACAATATGACTAGTGACGCTGATGTATCTCCTCATCAACAACATGATTGGTTATTAGATCCTTTTTATGATTTGAATGCTTTTGATTGCAATCCTCTTGTCATTTCTACTCCTCCACCACAACAACAAATCAATCATCCATCTGTTGTACCTCCAATGGATCATCATCAGCAAGTATCACCACAACCTACAATTCAACCTTGTATGTATCCGGAAACTTTGTCTACCAGTTTGGTTGATCCTATTGGTCAATTAGCTTCACCTCCTCTTTCCACTCATCTTCAAATGGCAGGTCCTTCTGAAATCAATCTTTATTATCAACAACAACAACAACATGATGAAGAGCCGGTCTCCTCAATCAATAACAAAAAGAGATCCAATAAAAAGAAACCAGTTCCTTATGCTGATCAGATGCGAAGTTTAGATTTCGGTCATAACACAACAACAACAAAGATGATCACTCCAGAACAATCATCTCAAACAACAACGAAAAAACGTGCCCCTTCCGCTTATCGATGTGATTTTCCTGGATGCGAAAAAACATTTACACGACCTTACAATTTGAAATCACATCGACGTACTCATACCAATGAAAAGCCATTTGATTGTCCTCATTGTCCAAAGACATTTGCTCGTCAACATGATCGTAATCGACATGCCAAATTACATTTAGGTGTTAAACCCTTTGTATGTTTGTTTTGTCTCAAGTCTTTTGCTCGACAAGATGCTCTTAGTCGTCATCAAAGATGGTCCGAAGATGGTGTCATTGTTGGCTGTTCTTCTTTGAAACGCAAAAATAGAAAAACTTGTGTGAAATCATGATTTTTTTTTTTTAGTATATATATGTTCTTTACTTTGATAGTATAGTTTCTTCCCTTCTTCTTCTTTTTTTTTTTTAAAAAAAAATTATGTTTGTATATAGCTCTTTTTCTTATGCTTACTTCTCCATTCTTTTCTTCATTTATCTATTTCTTTTTTTTTATATGTCTTGTTATAGTTATTTATCATCCACTTCCATTTTTTTTTTTTTTTTTACTATATACACTATTATTCATGCTGCCTTCCTATAGATTTTAATAAACATCATATTTTTTTATTTATTTTATTTCTACAATACCTTTTTATTATTAATGTATTATGTGTTAGTAAAATGATAGTGATAAATCATCATCATCATCATCATCATCATCATTCATCATGACATATCACTACAATTCAACCAGGATCATCAAGTTGCATCCTAATATCTCTCATTCATACTGATGCAAAATACTTTATGTCGTTGGCTGTAAAAATATCTCCCCTATTTGTTCATCCTGCATTCAAGCGGGAGAGCAATCTTTTTTTTTTTATTTCTTGCTCAAAAATCATCATCATCATATCAAGTTTGGATTGAAGATAGATGAGATCGTTTTCTTCCATTTATCTTAATAACGATGTCTATCTTATCTTCCCATTTATAGAGTAAATTAAAAAATGAAATGTCACTATCGTCATCCCTCATCCAATAATGATCATCATCCAATAAAACGACTACCATTGGATTCTTCTCAAAAAAGTAGTCAAATATCATCTAATATCATTTTATGGCTTACCATGCCACCTAATAGTGTAAATAAATACCAAAGGATTTCATCGATTTTTCCAAAAAATGCCTGATGATCCCTCGACAATATTTTTTTACAGCCAAAATTTAGCTGAGGAGTTTGAAAATTTTGGCTGTAAAATCCAAAAATCCATCCCATTTTTTTTTCTTTCTTCACTTTTCCATTGGCTGCACTGCTGAAATAATTCTTTTCCAACTATATTCTTCTTTAATAAAGTCGTCTTTTTTATCTTCCCCAATGATCATCTTTATTCTTGTCGTTATAAAATACCGCCAATCATGGTATCATCATCACCATAGAAATCATTTCATGTCCTACCCTGTTCGCGTGTATTATAAGCATCACTATGCGTTGATCTTTAGTTCTTATTTTCCAAAGTTTGATTTGTATGAGTATGTGGTATAATATTATGGTAATAAGGAAGCATCATCCATCGTTTCAACCATCTGATGTATCGTATAGTATATTATGGGAATATTCTGAAAGGATTAGAACATAAAAAAAAAAAATTACTTGGGTGAGAAAAAACTGGAAAAAAAAAAGGTAAAAGTTCTTTTTTTTTTTTTTTTTTTTTTTTTTTACCATAATTCCATACAAGTCAGTTATCGGCGATGTCAAAGGGGGCAACCTGTACCATAAAAGGCGATTCGGAGAAACCTGGGTATCACGTCCTTACCCCACGATTCAACGATGAAAATTCATCTAACGTCTTTAATATTCCATCTTTTCCCTGAGAAAACTAACAAACTTAAAAAAGTGTTATTTTGATGTCCCGTCGAATATGAAACAAATATAAAAAGGATGAAACCTCAATTTTTGTTTAAAAAGATAAAAAAAAAATGGGTTTAGTTCAGTGGCATAGTTTAGGTTGGATAGCATGGATGATGATGCCTAAATTTATACAAGCAGATCCATTTCAAAGCATGAATGCTTCCTTTGGCAAGATTGAAACAGGTTATGGTCCTGATGATCAAGCCTTTATGAAGTATCGTACTCAATACCATTTCATTGCCCCTGTCAACTGGATGAATGATCCTTCTGCTCCTTATTTTGATGGCCAACATTATCATTTGTATTATCAACATAATCCTTATGATCAAATCTGTAAGTGATCCCATATTCATACTCAGATTTCCTTTTCTTATCTTTCTTTTTTTCTTTTCTTTTTTTTCCTTTTTTCTTTTTCCTTTTTTTTTTTTTTTTTTTTTTTCTTCTTCTTCTTATTACCATGTATTCTTCTTCTTTTTTTTTTTTTTTGTGACATGACAAGGGGGGAATATGACCTGGGGTCATGCTATCAGTACCGATTTACTCAAGTGGGAAGATAGACCATTTGCCCTTTATCCTGATGGACCTGATGATAAATTGGGAGCGTTTGATGGCACTGTACTTTTCGAGCAAGGATATCAAGGTCTTCCAACATTGATCTATACAGCCGTGTCAGCTGGTGGCGATACTTATATTCCTGGACAAGAAAAGCAAGTATTAGCAGTGACAAAGGATAACGGTGATTCTTGGACACGTATTCAACCTGTGATATCCAGCCCTCCTCGTCAATTACCTGTCAATGGATTCCGTGATCCTTATCTTTTCCGTTCGTCTGAATTTGACCAACTTCTCCAACTGAACAACAAAAAGAATGATTCTATTTATATGACTGTTTCTTCTGGGGTGGATAACAAGGGAGGTCGCTTATGGTTATATCATTCTAACAATTGGATTGACTGGGAATTCCGTGGTCCTTTCTTATCTCATCCTGCTTATCATGTGGCAAACTCTGATTTTTATGGCAACGATGGTAACAACTGGGAAGTCGCAAGTTATTTTACATTGAAGGATCCTCTTGGACAAGATGATTGGCACGTGGCAACTTGGGGAAGTCAGAAGGGACGACAAGGCATCAATTTTGATCATTGGGCTCTCTGGACGGCAGGACAGCATCTCTCAATATCACAACCTGACAATGACGAAGTGGCAGCAACTACACCTCGTATTGAAGAAACTATGAGTGGTGTTTATGATTGGGGAATCCTCTATGCTCAGATGATGTTCCGTGATACTAAAAAGGATGGTCGAGCATTGGTGGTTGGTTGGGTACAAGATGACATTATTGAACCTGCAAAGAATCCAGCACGTTGGAACGGAGTGATGGGTGTGATCCGTGAAGTCTATATTCAAAAAATCGACGGTGTGTCTCCTCAAGATCCTCTTTTACAACAAGGCTATTCAAGTTACGTATATGACAATACAACCAAGACAGTGCGTACCTTGGCTTCTCGACCTTTCTCAGAAATGGATTCTCTCCGTGGTCAGAAATGGACATTGGATCAAAATCATCACCATGACCTTTCCAATTTTACTATTCCTGTCAAGTCAAAACATGTGGAAATCGACGCTACCTTCAACATACCTCTTGGTATCAAGACTCCTTTGGACATTGTCATCCGTCAATCTCAACAGGAAGAAACAATCATCAGCTACATCCCCGATATTGGACATATTTGTATCAACAGGACATTATCGACACTTCAGCCTAACATATATCGCACATCACCTGAATCACATGCTTTCCCACTTTTCCAACTTGAACATAACAAACATGGTGTGGTATTGGAACCTTTACATTTACGGATATTGGTTGACAACTCTCTGGTAGAAGTCTTTGCAAATGAACGCACCACTATCTCCACTCGTATCTATCCTACACGTGATGATTCTACTGGCATGTCCATTCGATTACCTTCCAATATTACTGTCTCCAAACTGGATGTTTACTCTATTGATTTCAAGGCCTGGGACCGTCCATGATACTGGTAATATTATCATCTTGGTGATTCATCTTAGTATAGTCTTTGATAATAATAATAATAATAATAATAAAAAGGAATATTCAAATAGTAAATGTTTGGACGGAAAAACAAAGTTGTAGATTTGAAAATGACAGTATTTTTTTTATTTCAAAGGAGAAAGGATAAATAACGAAAAAAATGTATGTATATATGACAATGAGAATAATAACGCTATTTCAGAGTCTACAGATCATCATATCATTCTGTGTCGTTTGCTTGTAGTTTGTTTGGCGCTATCTAGTCGAGATCGCTTTTATCATCACGGATAAAAAAAAAAAAAAAAAAGAAAACGTCAAAGCATGAGCACATCAATAAAATATTCCATATTGAACTTTGAAATCATTCCATTTATATCTATATATATACCTTCTCCAATGCCTTTTGTGGTTGTTCATTGTTGATTCTAGTTGTCAATGCGTCAGACAGATAATTGCGTTCGATCGCCTAGATTCAAAAAAAAAAAAGAGTCGTACAATGCATTCAATTGATCATGTCTATCATTCATATCAACCTTTCAGTTTCTTACCGCTTTTTGAATGGGTCCAGGTGGTAATAATCGGTATAACTTGGATTGTAGGGCAGTTTTTTGGACAGGTCCTATTTGCCAACCAGATCGTTTTGATTTTCGTTCAAACAAGCGACAGGCCAAGTCACAAAGAATATTAGAATTCTACATCAAAAAAAAAAAAAAAGGTGTCATCATTCAGTTCGTCTTTTTTATACAATGAATGGGGTCTCACCTCGCCTTCATCTTCTGCCAGAGTATCAACGGATATCTTGATTTTTTGTACACAGTTATATAGATAAGAGATGTTTTCTGAAGTAACAATGCAACTGATATAAAAGTCGATGTATTGAGAAAAGGTGTAAAGTTCTTCATCCGATTGGCCAAAGTCAGGATGATGCGCCAGTAAATGGATCAGCCGGATAATCGTTAGTTCTGTGGTTGATTTCACTATGAAAATATTGAATAAATATATCTTGTTCGCTTTTTTTTTTTCTAGTTAATGTTCTTGCTTACTTGGTTCCACACGAGAGGCTCTACCACGAATAAAGTGTGCCACCTAAAATATGTTGGAAGAAATAATCATAGTTAATATAGAGATAATATATGCTTGATACTAGCTTACCTTTTTCAGAAAAGATTCTTCAGGTTCATGTGCACATAAAAACAATAATGTATAATACCGAGAATGAAGTTGAGATTTGATCAGTCCGAGCATCAAAGATTCACCAAATTGTGATCGAACAAAGAAGCATGAATCCTAAGAATTATCACGGACCATAAATCAAAAAATCATACATCAATCACATTTCTATAAGTTTCTTACTTGTAATAATAGTGCAAGTCGTTCAAAATGAGTCATAGTAACTAATTGTTGATAAGGAGGATATTCCGCTAATTGAACGATCGTTTCTGCCGCCAACAGTCTAAGATGTGAAGATTCTGCAGCACTATAAAGAAGAAAGAATAGTAATTAACAAATATGAATATCAAAAATAATCGTTCTCTAACTATTGTTATGTTACCTTGTTCTATTTGTCACAGCGACATCACAAGTTGTTTCAATAAAGTTCCATAGTATAGTAAATAGATTTGTCACAATATCATCGTCCACTTGTTCCTTAAGATTGCCCATGCCAATAAGGTAATTTGATAGAATAGGAACACCAGCTAACTATAGTGCATAAAAAAAATGATCAGAAAGCAGTAATAGGATGATTATTAAATTACCTTTTGTTTTGAGATATCCTTCAAATCATCATACTCTTCCCATTCGTAATTATTGTCAGGATTCTAATAAAAAAAAAATATTCAATAAAAAATCAATGGTACCAAAGGAATCATTGTCATCAGTAATTTACCTGAACCAATAGCGTTTGTGCCAAGCACTTTTGCGTAATAAAATCAAATAAAATATCCAAATGTGGCTGTACCAGTAAAGGAGTGTATAAGGCAAAAACTGACAAACTTGTTAATGTGGTAACGAGATTGGGATTTTCCAAGCTAGTGTAGCTAATCAAGTCCTAAATAAATACATCAACAACGAGTTTCTAATGATCAGGATATTTTCAATCTTTTTTTTTTGTCACACGTATCATTTTTTTTTTCAATACCTCGACGAGCTCAGCACATATGGTGGACGTATCATTCGAATTACAAAGGATCATAGTAGCATGTTTGGCTTGAAGCATATTTCCATTATTGGCGTAGGAGGACAATCGCTCGAGTGTTTGATTAGAAAGTATCAGTTCCGAGGGAATTTCTTTAGCAATGGAGGCCATGACTTCTAAACTTTCATCCGCTATTTCAATGCAAGCATAAGAATATAAGGGTGAATCAAATGTAAATCATTCAGTTGAATAACCGTTTTTTTTCCATTGATGTTCGTTCATTCTCCATTATTACCTATTGGGCCACCATTGTCATTCATAATATGTCGAACTAGATCATCAACATAAGGTAAACACATCCTTGGGAACACCTCACCGATTTTCTATCCAATAAAAAAAAGAAATGAGGATCCTAAGATATATATTACTTTTTTCTTTTCATTCATTTTGATAGATTGATAATACCTTGACTAGATCTTGGGCAGCATTGCTTCGATCTTGAATAACAGATTGCCGCTTTCCACGTGTAGACCGTAAAGCACTATATAAAAAGGGTACATTTGATTTGTTCAAAGCCAAAAGATGTGTACGATTCAATATCCACTTGCAAGGCTCTAGAGCTCCATGAGCCTGTTGTTCTAGTTTTTCCAATAAGGAATTCTATAATAAAAGTAACAAGAAATCAGTTTGGGTGGTCTTTTATTCACTGGTCCTTTTCTTTTCTTACTTGAGCTTTCAATATATCCTTGTATTCTTTTCCTACGTCGATAGATGTCCGTAAGGCACGTATGATGTTATTATCATCAATTTCATGAAGCTGTCGTAAGCAACTAGTCACACGTGCATGATCTTCAAATTGATCTATATGTAATGGAAGAAGGTTTCATAAATGGTATTGGTTGAATGATCCTGTTGTATTTATTACCTGCAATCAGCTTCATCAAATGGTCCATCTTTCCTTGTTCATATTCACTTATCATAGATTCCATTCCCTAAAGAGGTATACCAGAAAAATAATAAGCATTTATTTTCAACCCTTTCAAATACATGCACTTACATCGTTTTCGCAATATTCGACAAATTTCTTCATCATTTCAATGTTTCTATTCAAATAAATAGGGACATTAGAAACAAACATCGTTCGACAATTTGCACTTATTCAGGATTACCTTTTCCCATAATTGATGAATGCATGGAAGGCACTCTTTGATTTTTCATCAAAAGACATGTAAACAGTGATCAATCGTTCCGTCCTTGCAGTATCATCCAGATTTTCAGGGAAGATGTATCGTTGAACCGTATCATCCAAAGCCACACTATCAAACTTCACATCAGTACAAAAAGGTTTATCTTATTTGGTATATATAAAACTTACATAATTCGAAGATTGTCTACAAAGATACAGTTGAATAATGCGCCTGGAATCCATGCGAACTTTTTGGAGATATGTTGTTCATTCCTATTATCATTATTACAACAAAAAAAAAAAAAAACAAAATCAGCTCTATATATTTGTTCCAGCATATCAACTTACATTTGAGGATATATCTCATTGTAGATTTTTCCTATAGCATTCATTGCTGCTTTTTGAATAATATTCTATAGAAAGAAAGTCAAGATGATTTCATTGAGATATAAATATGAGAGTGCCAAATGGTTGGTTACTTTTACCTTTTTGTCTTTGCTACGCATGGCCAACGTTTCCAATAATGAATCTGTCACATAGTTTATAATAATGTCGATTTCCATTTTCCCCATTGATTTGCAGGCAGCCAAGCGTACTTTTTCTTCCATATCTTGAAGTAAATTCATCAAGCATTCTAAAATAATATATAAAAGTAATGAGATTGTGAGTACATACCTTCTAGCATCCTAGATTTGTTTCTCGCGCTTTTATGTTTTTTTTTTTTTTTTTTTTTTTTTACCATTCATTTCTTTGGCAACAAGGTCAGGATGATGTTGAAAAATTAAACAGGCTGTCTCCACCCATTGACATCGAATAGATACAGATTTGTCCCGAGATCGACCTAACCAAGCTTTCCAAACACTAGGATACTGATGAAACATGATTGATGATTTGTTGCTAAACATATTACCAATGGTTTTTGTTGCTAGTTCTCGTACATTGAGTTCATCTAGTATCATTTCTTCTTCCAGTTGAGGAATCACATTCAAAAGTAAAGAAGGCGCCACAAAATATATTTTTTGAATCCAATCATGTACACGTTCCAATCCTTCCATGCTGTCGTCCCCACTATGCCCAACTTCTATCAATGTATCCGTAAAGTACTATACAAAAAAAAAAAAAAGGAAACAAAGAGTGAATACTTTTAAAAATAATGGAGATTTGATCTTACTTGACACACACGTCTTTGTAAAGCATCTGAAGAGGTACGACATAAATCCACAGCCATAATATGTTTGGCATTCGTATTGTCACCAGAAGCCAGTTGTTCCAAAATCAGTTCAACCACTTCTGACGAAAGAGTGAAGTCTTCAGTGATCAGTTGACTCAAAATATCTGTCATATATACTTGTACGTTTTGAGGTAGTCGTTTCTCCACTGAGTTGAAGAATTTCATAAAGAGGTCGACTGTCATCAGTTCTGTTTCATCCAAATCGGCCATAACAAGAATACTTTTCACCGTTGATAAGCTTTCCAACAAATAGAATTGGTATCTAAAATTGTTTTCGTTGTTTTTATCGAGATCACCTAGTTGAGATAGGAATGCCTTGAAAATTGTCTATTGACAAAAAAAAAAAAACAAGAATATAAAACCATATCAATCGAACCAATCATATATTTATATCTATATATTCTCTTTTACTTACTGTAAGTTCTTTGTTGTTGTAAGGAGCATCGGGAGCAAATAGACGCAAGATATCGGCAATACAACAAGCAGCTATGGCAGACACGGTAGTACTATTATGCTGTAAAATCTTTTTCTGAATGAGATCTTTGGCAACAGAGTTTAATGAAGATAGATCTACTTGTTGTTGTTCAAAACCTTGAAGTTCTTTATGTAGTTTCTATAAAACCATACAAAAAGGAAAAAACGAAAAGAGTAAGTACCTATATCGTGTATTGAAGGAAATAACAATACCAAAAGTCGGCTAGTTAACACATCCACTTTAATAGTTCTTGCACTAATAAGTGGTTCATCAAACTTTAAAGACGGTACATCAACTTCCATGGACATGCTAAACTACAAGTTGACGGTTTTCTATAAGCAGTAAAAAAAAAAAAAAAAAAAAAAAGGGAAAGGAAAAAAAAAAGAAAAGGGAAAAGAGAATAGTTAAGCGCGTCGCGCAGGGCAAAAAAGAAATCGGACCTTCAAAGCCTCACCAGAGCTGTCAGGGCGTGTTTAAACCTATTTGGAAACCAACATTATCTTCATTTAGGAGTAAATCAGGATATAAAAACGAAATAAGCAAACAATAATAATACCATATTTATTGATTGAATATGGAAGAATGAGATGATGCTTGTCTTGAACCTTTCATTGAAGATCTTTCCTTCTTTCCCAGGTATGGTTAACAAAGGGGAGGGGAACGTTTCAATATCCGATGATTTACAGTTTCATTGGTAGTGTGACGACTATCTATCGGTGGTCCAATGAATGAAAAGTACAAGGGATGAGTCATCCCACAATAATTTTGAAGTTTGAAAAAGTATAAATATTGGCCACAAAACCGACGAAAATGATTTTTTTCCTCATTCTTGTGCTCGGGCATAACCACGCAAGTGAGGTTTCTACTGATGCTGGTTTATTGCTGGTTGAAAACTACAACCAATACCCGTCTGTTCATCTTCATGGTGAATGGCAATTTTTAGCGGTCCTTAGTGGCCTGTCTTCTTAAATAAAATGAAAATAAAAAAATAAAAAAAGAGCATCTTTTTATCATATTGAAGGTAATCATACTGAAGGTGTGATACAAAGCAGCTGAGTATCAATCTTTACACATAAAACAGTTGTCCTACTTGTAAAATATTTATCATATAAATAAAGATGTAATGGAAATGTTTGTTTTATTTCAAGTAATAATTATAAAAAAGGGAGACTTTTTTTTTTATTTCAAAAATGCAGGAAAGAAAACTATATATAAAGTAGAGATGGAATGAAAGGGAATATGATATGAAAAGGGATAGGAAGAGAAAAGGGATTCATTTTTGTCTATTTTCTCATTTCAGCCAAATGAGCTTGCTTGAGTGTCAGTTCTTTCTTCAAACTTTCAATACTTGTTTCAAATCGTTTCTATAGAAATAATGTTGCCGCCGCAGTAAAAAAAAAAAAAAAAAAAAAAAAAAAGGTAATCAGTTGGATGATCAATCATTTTTTCTTTTATTTTCTTTCACTTACCTTGAGCATAGCATTTGGTGCAGTTTCAACATCCTTCTTTTTTCTTTCAATGGCTTGTTCAATTTCATCAATTTCTTGTTGTTTTTGTTCTATATAGAAGAAAAAAGTAAGTATATATCATGAGGTATTAATATAGAATAATAAAGTACAAAAATACTTACCAATTTCACCTGTTTGACCTGTTTCTTCATCTTCACTATCTTCTTCTTCATCTTCATCTTCTTCCTCTTCTTCCTCCTCCTCCTCTTCTTCTTCATCATTTTCATCATCAGAGGCATCATCATCGATTTCATCCAATCCTTCCACAATAGCTGCCATCATATCCGCATCACTATCTGATCCTTCGTTACCACTACCGATATCTTGAGTTCCTGCGTCCGATTCCATTTCCATTTCTTCACGACTATCGAATACCTCTAAAATATAAAAGTTGAGCATTATTTCCAATCTACAATATTTCATTATTACCATATGTGACATCTTCAGCTGTTGCATCCACTTCTAATAATCGTTCCACTTCTCGTTCCACTTCTTCGATGGCCTATATATATATATATATATATATATATAAAGATATATGAGCGAATTCTATATATTTTTTTTTATTGATTGATTGATTTGTTGGTATTTTTCCTATTTACCCGTTTTGACAATTTCTTTCGGAATCGACGTTTTCGAACATATTTCAAAGGAGGAGTAAGACCATGAGGATACATATAAGGATCAGTATGATGTCGACCATTCATTTGTTGTGTCATAGGTGTATCCAAGGTAGCACCATCCACAACCAGCATCTATATGAAAAATCAAAAAAAAAAATCATTAGTTCATGACAATAGTCTTCTTTTTTTTTTAAGTCTTTTCTCTACCTGTGAAATATCTGCAATCTTGTAAAACTGTTTCTTGTCCAATGTCTTTTGTGATTCTATAATGGTGGGTAAATCGACCAATGTTGTTTCATGTTTTCGTCCTTCAAAATAAAAGTATCCTCGTCGACTATCTATAAAATAAAAATAAGTTCAATTGATATATTCTTCTTTCTCACTCAAGAATCATAAACTAAACTTTTTTTTTTTACCTTTAAAGTTTAACTTGATACCTTCAGGTATTTCCCGTTTCCGTACATATTCATGAAGTTTATCGCACATTTCACCTTCAGGTAACCGCAAGATCAAGTGTTCTTCGATAGCAGGTTCCGGTTCTTCTTCATCTTCTGAACCAAAACCTGAGATAGTAGACGATCCTTCCTTTGCTGTAAGTTTGATTTTAATTTGTTTGTCTTTTGTTTGACTAGTCGCTCTGGGTACTTTATTACGTTTGATCTTGACTTTTACTTTAGGTGTTTTAGGAGCTTCTTCTTTCACTGCTATCATGTCGTCTTCCATGGTGCGTTGTGTGTTTCGTATATACTGATGTGTGATTGAAAATGGTATAATTGATCTTTTTTTTTTAATAAATGTAGGAAAGAAAAACAATACAATGCTGTTTGCGGCTTTTGAATTTCTTTTTAATAATTTTTCTTTTTGATTCCAAACAACCATTTTTTTCTTTCTTTTAAAATAATATACCTATTGAAAGATGAATTTGGAAGAACATCTTGAAAACTTGGTACTAAAAGCGGCAAAAGACTTTGACCAGATTGCAGGAAAGGAGCCTACAGTTACTGACGACAATAACGCATCATTACCTAATACTCTACTTGATAAAGTATTGACTGAACAAAAGGAAGAACGCGATCGACTATGGAAAGAACTTCACGAAGTAAAAAAAAAAAAAAAAAAAAAAAGAAAAGAACAAAAGGAAATGATATAATAGTATTATTATAAACTAAAGTATAAAATTTACTCCCAATTTTGTATACTTATAGTTAGAAGAACAAGAAAACGATGCGAATGAAGGTTATACGTTTGATGAAGAAGAATTACCTCAAGATAGAAAAGTAAAGGAAAAAAAAAAACAAAGCAATATTCAGATGATAGTCTAAAGGTTTAAATATTGACATGATTTATTTTATTTATATAAATAATAGCAACTGGCGATATATATGTATGAAGAACAAGAATTACTTAGGGAACTTGCAAAGCAGGAACAACGTAAGAACTATATAGACATTCTATGTTATTATTATTATTATATAGACTCAATCCCATATAATATATATATATATATATAGATGTCAACATGGTGAACTTTGAAAGCGGGAAGGTGATACCAGAGTTACGATTTCGACAAAGACTGATGACATCTATCAAAGAAATGAAGCAATTACTTACATTTTTACGCGAACAAGTGACAGAAGCTAAAGCCTTATATCAACAAGAAGATCGAGGTTTGGAGGAAAGTCAACAACTTCAAGACGCATTGACAGCAAAACTTACTGAAATAGAAACCTTTGGGGCCCCCACTCTTTCAATGTAAGTGAACTATAAAATAGAATATATTTTTTTGTTTTAAAAACTCATTATTTTATTAATATTATTACTAGGAATGTAAGAGAAAAGGTGATGAAAGCCAGAACTCAATATCAAGCAACTATGGAAAACCTAGTAGATTTCTTGGATGAATATTATCCTCCTCATCTTATCGATGTAAGTGATCACACATAAGAAAAGAAGAATTTGAAATCAATATTATTTACATTCACTATTATATAGTCTGCTCATCTTACTGAAGATAATAACCCTCAAAATTTGTGTGAATTGAAATTTATATTGGAAGTAAGTATAATGCATATTTATGGAAATAGTGATTTATGATTGTTTACACTACCTTTTTTTTTTTTTTTTAGGATTTGATGAATCGTGCAGTACTTAGTCCATCCAATCCATACATTGAATTAGAAGATGGTACATATTGGTCTCCATATATCGAAACTTTGGTGAAAGGTGGCATTGCAGAACGTGATCCATCTAACTTTAGACGATTACGACTAGTGGATTTCCGAATTTACTGAACATATGTTAGTTTGTAGAAGCTACAGCAGTAGTAGTAGTAGTTTTATTGTATATTATCCTTTACTATTTTTTTTTTCGTTCATCATAAACTTTATCTGTATATATATTATCTATTGTCTTTTTGCATTCCTGTGGTTTGATTTTGGTGATCTCCGATCTTTCGTTGGTAAGAAAAAAAAAAAGGGTTTGTGACGTGTGTGCGGCGGCGGAAACCAGGTGAAATTCAATTCAATTCAATATACTTCTTTTTTTTTGTTTTTGTTTTGTAAGTACACAACAATAAGGTAAAGAAGAAAAAGGATAAAAGGGTAGACCAAATGAAAATGATATGGATAAGGAAAAAAAGGAAAGGGGGAATGGATGAACTTTAGATTATGTTATTTTTTATTTTATTTTATATATCAATGGACTCAGGGAAATATCCTGAACCAAAATACCTACACTTAGAATTATGATACTAATATTTTTTTTTCCTCTTCTTCTTCTTCTTCAACCAACATAGTTTCCTTATCGATTTGTTTATATCTTACATTGCAACATGTCGACACTTGGACGTACATTGAAAAACTTAGCCAAAGTTGGACCTTCCAGCTATATTCGACAAATGGATACTATTGGTGATACTAAATGGGGTCGTCTCGTTGGCGTAGATGTGAATGGCAACAAATACTTTGAAAACAACGATGAAATCTCTGGTACGAATACAAATAAAAGAAAAAAAAAGAAGTGGAGTAGATCATTTGCTTTTGAATATCTATTGATGAAAACAAGTTGGTTTCTGACACTTTTTTCTTTAATTTTTTTTATACTTTTTATAGGACGTGAACGTTGGGTGGAATATGCCAGTATTGTTCAACCTGATAGTGGAGATATTACTCCTGAATGGTAAGATGAACAATGTGAAAAAAAAAATAGATCATGTTGATACTAATTAATAAAAAAAAATATGATAATGATAGGCACGGCTGGCTTGGAAAGTTTGTACAAGAACCTCCTACTGAACAAAACTTTTTGCCCAAAAAATGGTGGGGTGAACCTACTCCTAACTTCTCTGGTACTCCCAAGGCATTCAAGACATACAATACCACTAGACCCAAGGTCAACGCATGGGAACCTATTGTGAAGGCTAGAGTTTGAATGAATGAATACAGTGTAGTTTTTTTTTTTTGTGATGAAATGTTATTATTATTTTCACTAATAAAGAATATAAAATAGAAATATATATTATGTTGATGTTGATTTGTTTGATTAGGTTGAAATCTATAATAGGTGAGTACGTCCGATGAAATGGAATGTCAGTAGTACATAAGAGTTGTCGGAGAGTATGATTTTAGCTAGATTAGTGATGATCAGTGCAAAGTAATATAATAAAAAAAAATCATTTTGAGGGGAAGATATTTGAGAAAAAAAAAATACATCATCAATATATTAAATAAAAAAGATGGACAATATGATTATTTTTAGTAATATTAGTATATATTTTTTATTTTGAATGATGATGGGCTGTGTTGCCATAGTAAACGGGTCATGAAATAAAATAAGACATTTCCCTTTTTTGCGCACGGTCAGTGTAACATATCAATCCGAAAAAGGTAGAGTTAAAGTGAAAAATTTGGCGGTAAGAAAAACAAAATGGATTACAGTCGAATGTCGTGCAACCATCTCAATTGAAATCTTTTCCCTTGTGAATTGAAATGTTTCTTCCTTTTCTCCTTTTCTTATTTTCATTTTTATTTTTATTTTTTTTTATTTTTTTTTATTTTTATTTGGATTTTCCTTTCAATAGTTTATCATTTTTTTTTTGTACATATTAACTATTACATAGATCAGTTACATATATATATAATATTTATATTATTTTTAATATTATTCAATGAATAATAACCTCACATCGAACGAATCAACCTATTGGAGACCATGCGAAAATAATATTTGTTATTGTGATTGGAGATTGACTATTACTCATTGTTATGTAGAAGATATTTATCGATACATCTATATCGTAGTCATCGCTCTATCAGCAGTAAATATTATATGTGGTAAGGATATATAAATGATGATGATGATTTTTTGTTTCTAAACTTATATGTATATAGGTTCAGGGTTATTATATCATCGACTAGTGAATCTTAAACAAGTGATTTTTGAATACAGGAATGGATTTTTACGCCCTCGAGCCATGGAATCTATTTTATTTTTTATGGTTTTATTTAATTTACGTACGTAGCTACAAATATACATATATAATCTAACTCATCATGATGATTTTTCTTTTGATAGTTCGATTGATCCAGTCAATCATTGTTGTCACTGATACTGCTCAAAACATTGTATTCCGTCAATGTAAGTGTTCTGTGTGAACTTAAAATAATGAATCATCAGTGATGTCAAGGTTACACTAATTAGTTTTTTTTTTTTATAGTTCTTTATGAATTTAGCTTTGAAATGGGTTTCACTACACTTGTAATCACTAAATAATTCTCAAAAAAAAAATGTATAAATTCATTATTATTATTATTATTATTATTATTATTTAGGGTGTTTATCTATTTGGGATCATTCATGCGCTTCGAGAGGTAAATATAATATATTTCCTTTTTCGTATTTTCTGATCTTCTTCTTTTTATATATATATATTATAGAGTGATCGTGTTATCTTTGATCAGTGGATCTATTCTCCTCGAGTTGCTGATATTTTATGTACTGCTATTATAGTAGGACCTTATGTTACTAATACTACTTGTTCACTTGGTGCTGGTATCAGTGCATATCTTGGACATACTGATATGGCGAATGATTTTGCATCGGCTTTATATATTGTATGGTCTGGACATTGTTTAGCTTTATCTTCTTTGACTTTATTTGCTGGATGGCGATTACTACGTATTTTAAACCAACATATCAAAATGAAAGAAGAAAGAAAGACTACTATTGACATATCCAAGGTCAAACTTGGCGCACAAAAGGTAATTTCATCTTCAATTTCCGCTTTTTTTATTTTTCTTTTTCTTCTTTTCCTAACTTTTTTTTTTCTTTTTTAAAGGTCAAAATCATTGCCCTTACATCTTCTATTTGTTTATTCCTTTATATTGGTGTGGCTATTGGTTATGGTGTTTTCCGAGTTCCAATTCATACCCATGTACCTTATAGTATCTTTTTGATCATTGCTTGGAATGGTCTAGGTATACTTGCTTCCATGTTTATTTCTTTTGCTGTGATATTACAGTAAGTCACCTAATATCATTCTTCTTTTTATTATTATTATTAATATTATTATTATGAAACTAACATATTTTTTTTATAGTCCCAAGATGAAGTTATCTTTATTGTTCACTTCTGATACATCTGGAGCAGGGCGTAGTCATGGTATGGAGCTGGACTCAAGCAAAAGAAACGATAGTAGTAACAGCAATAAAATGACAACTTCAAACAATTTCAACTTTGAAACTTCAGCAGGTAACAGCAATCATATCGATAGTGCTTTTGATACCCATACGTTTACTGACAGCATGCAATATACAAGCAAAATCAGTGATGTCGGTGCCCAATATAACAATGAAGGACGAAATTACACATCAATGGATGCTGCCCCAACTTTATCAACTGCCATCGCCATGAAGTATAGCAATGCAAGTAATCCTTTGGTATTGGATGATTGTGATATGGAACTGGTGCATGCTTATCCCGAATCAACAAAGTCTTGCTCTCATTTGGTGGATGATAAGATTTCACGTTATTAGATCCTGGTTTAGCTGGAAATCTTTTTGATTATTTTAGTTAGTGATTTATTCCTTTTTTTTTTATTTTTTTTATATATATCTTATATTTATTATCCTTTTTAGAATTTGTATATTCCCTCATTTTGACTTTATACGGAAATCAAGAAAAGTTGATCTTTTTTTTTTATTCCTATTTTTTTTTTTTAATAGTATCCTTATGATAATAATAAAATGACAATTACAATCATTAGAGTTTTTTTGTTTTTTCCTTTCTGAATGTCATTCAATCATCATCATCATAATTATCATCATTATCATCATTATCATCATCATCATTATTATCATCTTTATCAATGTACCAGTACCATCTAGTTACCCATTCATTATGAAACAAGTTTAGATATTCTTTTGATTTGTTTATTGGTCAATTTACTTGAATTTGACCATGTGGATCAAATAGCTTATGTCCATTGATTTTGTTCTCCGCTTTGTCTCGATTGGAGTGAACAATTTGGGAAACAGTCAATAAATACATAACACAAAAAAAAAAAAAGACTTGTTTCTCTTTTTTACTTTCAAACTTCTTTTTTATATATTTTGACTATGGATAACATTGACGATTATATTTTACAATTGGCAGATAAAGATACATCATCCAAATCAACCAGCAAATCCTCAAGAAAATCGTCTTCGAGAAAATAGTAAGTTACTAATTGACTATTTTCTTTTTTTTCTTCTTCTTTTACTTATTTGACTTTTGTTTTCGAATTACAGTGCGTCTGACTCTGATGAAGTTTACTCGGACGATGACGATATTGATATTGGTTCTGAAGGAGAAATAGATGAATATGGACCAGATTTGTATAAAGATGAAGAAGATCGAAAAAGGTAATATAATTATTATTACTTATTTTGAATAAACAGCTCATCAAATTATATATATATTGTCTGAAATAGACTTTTGGCTCTTCCTGAAGTAGAACGTGAACATATTCTTAGTGAACGATCAGAAGAAAGACAACGCAACTTGGAACGTTTAGAAGTACGAAAACTATTAAAGGATGGTCATAGAGGCGATACAACTCGACGTAAGTTATTTATTATTATTATTATTATTATTTCAATAGTATACCTGGTATTGATCCATTCATTATCATATTTCATAGGTTCGACACGATCCAAGGGTTCCGGTACCTCCAGAGCTCTTTCTGAATTGACAAGAAGACGTGAAGAAAAGAAATCCAGTCGATCTATCAAACGTCATAGAAGGTATTCTCCTAGTCCTGAAAAGAAAAAGCGACGTCGATCAAGTCATGAAGAACATAGTGATTATGAACATAGTGAAGAGTGGCCTGAATCTGATGAAGAACGTGAAGCGAAGGTAAATTGTGTCTATCTACTTTCAATTTTTTTTTTTTATATTTTGTACTGATTCTTTTTTTTTATGTATATATAGGCAAAGAAACGAGCGCCAACCCTTGAAGAAATACAATCCATTAGTTTCACTCGAAATATGATTGAACAATGGTTATATACTCCTTTCTTTGATGACACTGCCATTGGTAAATTAATTTAGTTTTTTTTTTTTTTTTTTTTGGATTGTATAGATACTAACTTAATATTTATTACATTCAGGTTGTTTTGTTCGTTTATATATTGGTCCTGATCCTGCAAAAAAGGTTCCTGTTTATCGAATGTGTCAAGTTGTTGGTAAGTGTGTGTGTCTGTGTGTCTGTGTTAAAAAAAAAAGGAGGAATTCAAATTAGACATTCATAAAATATCTTCCATCATAGATGTGGCTCCATGGCACAAGGTTTACAAGATTTCTGATGGTGTGTTTAGTAATCGAGGTCTCAAGGTTAAATATGGAAAATCTGAAAAGGTGTTTCCTATGGATATTATATCTAATCAGCCAGTGACTCAGGTAAAAGAATAAATAAAAAAAAAAATAGATAATGTTTAAGAACGGAACAACTGATTTTTATATCTGAATTTTTTTTCTCTCTCTCTTTTAGAGCGAATATACACGATTATTGAATGTTTTGGAAAGTGAACGTCTTCGAGCACCAACGATGGACCATGTGGAACAAAAATTGGAAGATCTCAAGAAAGCAAAGGCATATGTTTTGAATCATGAAGAAGTATCGGATATGATTGCACGAAAGCGTCAGGTACAAGGTCAAAATGTCAGTGTGGCAATGGAACGTGCAGAAGTCTTGGCTCGATTGGAACACGCTAAAGGATATGGTGATGCAGATGAAATCTCAAGATTGACAAAACGTTTACAATCACTGGATGAATTGGTGGATCGTGGTGGAAATAGTGGAAGTCAGCAACATATTTGGGAAGAAATTAATAAACGTAATCGAGAACGCGACAGGATAGAATCTCAAGAAGTGGAATTACGATTATCAGAAGAAAGACGCAAAGCAATCAAATTGGCTATGTTACAATCATCACAACAATCAAGGTATTAAGACAAAGAAAAATAAAAAAGAGGAAAGAATAAACTAATGTTTCTATTTGTTATAGTGAAATTGATCAAAAATCTGAAACAAAAAATGCAACGGTGATAGTAGTAGCTAGTTATGAAAAATTGATGCGTAGCTTAGGAAAAGAATTAGCAATTGAATTTATTGATGAATAAACGAATTTATGATAGTTTTTGTTATTGAGCCATAAATAGGTTAATGATATGTCGCCATTTCACGCTCCGGCCTTTTTTTTTTGCCCTGCTATCATTTTCTCTTTTTTTTTTTTTTCTTTCTTTTTTATTCTATATTTCTCCTTGAATCTTGTTTTTTTAAAAAAAGGGTTGGCGTGGGCCATAGATCATTATGCGAGCCAATCTATTATTATTATTACTTTGGTTTGCTTCCACTGATGCTAGTTTGTTTACGTCAAGTAATCCATATATTGCTTCTTGTAAGTATCTCCGTGTTATTGACAACCACTCTTTTTTTTTTTTTTCCTTTATATTTCCTGTATGCTTTAACAAACATTTTATTTTATTAACAAATAGCTCTAGTTACATTATTCACCAATACTTCCTCGATTGACAATACTCCAGCTATAGGCAATAGCTTGCAAACGTATGATCATAATATCGTAGTGACCAATGCCACTGTTCCCGATGCTTCAGGTGTTAGCGTAAGAACATATGACTATTTTCTAATCTTTCAAGTCATTTTTCTTTTAACCACTTTCTTTTTTCTTTCTTTTTTTAAGGGAATTCTTTATGATCGGCAACAATCTTGTCAACAAAATGTGACGACATATCATCCAGAATTATTAACGAATCAACCCAAGATTGCCCTAGTGAGACAAGGTGGATGTTCATTAACAGATAAGGCACTTTATTCTCAACTTGACAATGCAGTCGCAGTGATAGTTTATGCTACTGTTCCTTTTGATGTGGTGACAGGTGTGAACAATGTAAGTAGAATTCAAGTATTAAAAAAAAAAAATGGACACACTAATTTTTCTTTTTTTTTTTTTATGTATAGCCTTCTGTTGGTGACAATATCAAAATTCCTACATATTATATTGACCTTGAATTGGGACAAAAATTATTACAATTATTACAACAACCTGAACCGATTTCTCAAGCACCGAATAATGTTAGTTATCAAATTGCAACCAAGGTAACTTTATATCCAGTCATTGGAGGGTTTCCGACTACTTGGGAATACATTCTGATCATTGTGGTAGCTCTTTTGGCTCTCAGTTTCTTGGTATCAAGTAAGGTTTCATCTATCCAAATGTTTTCTATTCACTCAAATATGGAAACTCATCTTTTTTTTTTATATACGATTTTCTTTATCCGATTCATTTACAAACAATACTCCATTTATATTCTTCTTTTGATTTATCTTTTTCTTTCTTTTTTTTTTTCTTTTTCTTCTTTTTTTTTATTTTTTATTTTTTTTTTTTGTTTGACTTATGCTTTTTTTCTCCAAAGTGGGTGTACATTGGCATCTTTGGCGTATTCGAAGACGTCAACGTGCATTATATGAAAATGGACTCTCTATGGCTACTCTTCCACAACAGCATACCGACAAGGGGTTGATCGATCCTGCATCTTTGGCTATTTTCCCAACTCGAATTATAGGTGAAACTATGGAAAATATGGATGATGATTCGACCAAACCAACAGTATTACAGCGACGACAATCAGTTCTCTCCATTCGACATGAAAGAGCTTTGGAAAACGCTGAAGCTTTGGCTGCTACTATTGTTCATCCAAGACGTGGGTCTAATGTTGAAAATACTTCTGATACTTCCTCGGTCTCTTCCCCGCATCCTACTGCACGTGAACAAACGGAAGAAGTCTGTGTTATTTGTTTGGATGATTTTGCTCTTGGGGAAAGTGTACGAAAACTACCTTGTGGACATGAATATCATTGTGAATGTATAGGTAAATGCTCATTGATAAAATGATTAAAGTCATTCACCTTTTTTTTTTTTTTTTTTTTATTTTTATTCATCTGATAGATCCTTGGTTGACCATTAAATCCGCCAGTTGCCCACTTTGCAAACATGACTGTTCAATGGATGTACCGCCTAAGAACGATGATGAACAAATATCGCCACCACCAGCAGCTACCATGGATGACAGCTCTTCTCGTGCATCATCGATTTTTTCCTTATCCTTTTTGCGACGACGTATGGATGATGATACCACGGTGCATCAACGAAGTGCTCCTTCCACCTTTGGCCCAACTATTCCAGCAGATCAAGCAGAGGCATTCAGTCGTACTTGGATGGCAAGAAGTTTACCTCGGAATATGCGACGTCAAATTGATTTAGCAGCACAACAAGCAGCAGAAGCTCATCGACAAGAACATACTGTAGTAACTCTTCCAGCAAGAATGATTTCTCAACCTGATCCTTCTTCAGTATGTTTGGAGATTGTACAATCACCTTTGCAACAACAACAAGCCGAATCATCAAGCTCTACCAACAAGACTTCTTAACGAAACATTATCATCAATACTCCCTTATTTGTATATCAAACACATACACATATTCTTCTGACTTGTAGTTTATATTTTTGTACTTATAATACGTCTTTCTACACAGACACATACCTTTTTTTTTTCTTTTTATAATAAACACTTTTTTCTTTTTTTGGATTCCATTTTATTGGTGAGATGAAACAAAAAAAAAAAATGTCGTGTTACCATCACACCGAGATTTATCAGTCAGGTGCAATCAACAAATATGATATAAAAATCTTTTATTTCAAAAAAAAAAAGAGGGGTAATATAAAACAAGAATAAGACTAGCTACAATTGGTGGGATGTTCAATCAATGATTCTATTTACATGATGAGACATTTGTCAGTTTTGGAAGATTTGGTCTGTTTGGTATTGCTAGTTGTTGTTGTGGAGGAGATAGTGGCAGTAGAATGAGAGCCTGTGGTTGATGTAACTACAGGAGGGATGACTTCATCAGGATACCATCCGTCGATTTTTTGTTGTTCTTGTGCCAACAGCTGTGCTTTTTCTACAGAGATTGGTTGTGTTTTCGATTGTTGTTGTTTAGTATCATCAACATCGTTATCATCATCATCATCGTCATCATCTTGGTCCATATCAGATTCTGTATGATCAAGAAGATTTTGATTGATTTTCTCCTGTTGTTGTTTTTCCTGTTGTTGTTGAAAACATGCATCACATAATCGATTCAGTTCATAAAAAAAGAGATATCCATTTTTCGATACTTGATCTAATACTGTTTCTTCCTTGATATCAGTTTGGACTCTATGATCTAGATCAAGGTCATCTTTACAAAAAAAAAAAAAAAAAAAAAAATTAGTGAGATTATAAAAAGACTAAAAAGAGAATCATCTACCTACCTAATTTCATCCATATATTGGGACTAGTTGCAGAAGTTTTGTACATTTTAGCATAGGCAACATAATGTCCAGAATAAGGAGAAGAACCTTGATGACATACCACACTTTTCAATACCATGAGATAATCCATTTCAGCATTACATTGGGAACACACAGCATTATCAGTATTGCGATTGACAAATTGAAGGAATGGAATAGTATCAGGGACTTGTACAGGTCGTTCATCCTTGACATAATAGTTGCCATTTTGTTGATGATGATTGAGTTTGTACCGCTTTAATACAATAGGGAGTACCAAATGGGTATCAGGGGAGAAATAATGTTGTTGTCCATCATCAATCATATCACCTAGTTCATTACTACTGCTATAAAAGGGTAATAATTCCATTGCTTGCCATGCATCCACTTCTCTTTGTTGTTGTTGTTGTTGTTGTTGAATGGGAGTTTTGGGATCATTTCCAAAGGTATCCATATTCTTTTTATCTTTTCCTTTGTCATCCATAAGTGTTGGTGTTGTAGTATTGGTAGTGACAATAGTCAAGCATTTGTCAGTAGAATCCGATGTACCATTAGTGCTACTACTTCCCCATGAAGTACTAAGATATTCTTGCGTATCCAAGCATTGTCTTCGTTCATTTTCCATGTTGACATTGCGTTTGACACCTGTGACCACGCTGTTATAAAAATGATCGAGTAAGATAGTTTCCAATCGAAGAGGTTCAATAATATCATCATCCTTCTCCATAGTTGGTAAAGATAAAGGTAAAAGTCGATCTGTCATGATACGATCATCATCCATATCCTTGTTAGCTCCATGGAATAAACGTAATTGAAACTACCGAAAAAAAATATATATTATTATTAGAATTAAATTTTTGTTGTTTTGTATCATTTATGTGATGCTTACAGGTAAATAAGGTAGTTCAAAGATAGAAGTTAAAAATAAAAAGAGTTCACTTGCATCTTCTTGTTGCCAATGATGAGTTTCAGGATCTTGACCATACCAACCAGTTTGTTCCAAACCACGTCGAACTTGAGCTACAGTACTTTTCTTGACCAATTGTCCACTTCGTAATTTGTTGACAAAGAGACGTAAAGTTCGTTGAAGATGATGTTTTTTGTGAATTAATTGTTCTTCTTGGTCTATTTTTGGAGGATCAGTCTTGATAGAGAGAGGAGCAGAAGTACTTTGTTCATTGGAGTGAGAAGTTGTAAAGAAGCGATGACGATGATGATATTTTGAAAAGAACCGATGGTGACGGTGGCGATACCAATGTTGTTGTTTTAACGGTTGAGAAGCGACTGGGGAAGAAGGAGAAGAGATAGGAAAAGAAGGTTTGAAAGGATCACCAAGAAGCATAGGATCAAAAGAAGTAAGACCAATATACATTGCAAATAAGAGAGCATCCAAATAACAACTAGTGCCTTGTTCGTTTTCACTACCCAAAAGTGGAAGAGATGTTGTTGTCGGTGGTGAGGTAAGAAGACCATAACTTGCCTCTTGAATATCTTCAATGTCCTTCAAAGCTTGATTCATGTCCCAGTTGGCATCTTGAAGAAAAGAAACTAAATGTCGACGTTTCCAACCTTTATCGAAACTAGAAGAAATAGTATTTGTAAAACTTTGCAAGATCTTTTCTTGTTTCGGTGTCAATGGTGGAGGAGTTGTACGTTGTTCAGTAACATGGTCATGATGATAATGTTCCAATAAACGATGCCATAAATTATTGGAATGTTTTTTCTTGGTATGCTTCATAACATATGTATGATAAAGGGAGTAAGATATAAAAAAAAAAAAAAAAAAAAAAAAAAAAAAAAAAAAAAAATCAAAAAAGGGAATTCCAATCCAAAAAAGAAACGAAACAAAAAAAAAAAAATAGACGGGACTTTTTTTTTTTTTTATTCAAACAAGAATGGGTATCGAAATTAGACTTGAAAAAATAAAAAAAAAATCTAATCAATTTGTATAATAGAGATCATATTACGTTCCCATAAAATAGACATTCTTGAGTATCCTTTTTATTTCGTTTCTTGTCCAATAATAGATCCCTGATTTCAATAGGTGGATGTAACCCTAATGCTTGTGCTCGTTCTATAAAAGGCAAATCATATCAGTTTTTATTCAATCATCCTATATAATATATTTACCCCAACGTTCTAATCTTGACAAGCCAACACAAGGTCCATATTGATAATTCAAATCAAATGCTCGTAACTTTTTATCCATATCAGATAAATGTGTTTGGTGAACTATCAATCAAAAAAAAAAAATGATCAAGCTTTCTAAACTTCTATTTTATTATTATTATTATTTTTACTTTCAATACGTCTTTGAGGTGTAGTGGTATCATTCTTATTTTGCTGTGTCACAATGGTAGAAGAAACGTCCGTATCCTCATTAGTCAATGGTTGTTCTTTTTTCTTTTGTTGTTTTTTATCAGTATCGTCCTTGCTTAGAAAACTACTTGTCAATGGACTATGTTGATCGTCTGCTGCTTTTCCTCGTCGTCGAGATACCCGTGTCTTAATAGTGGATTGTTTTTTAGCTGCTGTTGCTGATTTTGACTTTGGCATTGTATAACTTCAGTTTAAAAAAAAAAAAAAATAGAGAGAAAGGAAAGAGGGAAACTTTCCGGTCTTTGAATGGGAACAAATAGATAAAAAAAAAAAGCACATGATCTGCCTCGCTGTTTGAATACATATAACTCTATGATTTTGTCAAAGTGGCATCTTTATTAGCAACAGTATATATAAAAAAACTAGTAATTTCATGAACTATACTAATCTTGTTTTTCTGCCTTCGATTGTGGTTGAGGTTTCCAGATCCAACTAGCCATATAACCAGACCAAGTAGATACTGTCACCGAACTTGTAGGGAGAATGTTGTTGTTGTTGTTTGCCAGTGATGACGTATCAGATGTTACATCCCTTTGTCTTCGTCCATTTACCATTGAAGCCAATGAATCATAACTATCCACACGTTCTATAGAATATCCACTATCTTGATCAGATGATGATGTTGATGATGATGACGCTGCTGTTGATGATGATGTCCCTTGTATATCTTGTTGCTGCGCCAATGGTGTTGTTGCCGAGGTTGACGTTTTTGTTGATTGTAATCCTTGTGTTAATTGATGGACTCTGCTGGAAGACATCAATGAAGAAAAGATACCATAGGCACTCCATGATTCCTGGTTGGCTGTGTTGTTGTTACCCTTATCAGGTTTAAAGGATGGTTCTTCGGTGATACCTTCAGTTGACTAAGAAAAATAAGATTGATGAATATAAGTTGTTACAATCTTCATCATACAAGGTCCTATTTTTCTATTCTATTTTTTTTTTTTTTTTTTTTTTTTTTTTTTTTTTTACCTTGAATAAAGAATCAGAGATAAATGTACGTAAAAGATGAATTGCTTTTTGTCCATAAGTTGATAAAGTCGTCTTGACGTTTTGTTCAACATCGATTACAGTTTGATCAATTAAAGGTTCATTCACCTTTAAGAAAGGTTCCATATATTGAGTATAGAATACACCAGTGCCCTATTCAAAAAAAAAGACATAATATAAATATTATAAACAAGCATTATTATTTTTTTTTTGTTGATTTACATTGGTCTGAGGAAGAATGAGCCAAACGATAAATAAAAGTTTGATTTCGTAGTAAAATGGAAACCTAATTAATAAAAAAAAAATAAGAATGAATAATATGTAACATGATAAGTGTTTAATATACCAAAAGAGAAAAATATCAGTTATATGTTCAACAACAAGATAAACACTGGTAACCATCCAATATATAATGAGTGGACGAAATTGAGAAGCATCTTGAACTTTGATAGCTTTGTAACACATGTACGCAGGGTATAATTGTAAAAAGAAAAGTTTTGTAATCAAGTAAATGGTCATAATAAACCTGATCAACGGTGGAGGAAATCACAAAAAAAAAAAAAAAAAAAAAGGAAAAAAAGAAAAGAGAAAAAAGAAAAAAAAAAAAAAGAAAAAGAGATAAAGACAAAAAATGTACGCATAAAACTTTGCCGACGGAGTTTGGGCGACTTTTATACCTTCCTTTTGAATCCTTTCTCCTTTTTCCTCATGTCTTTTTTTTTTTTAAGAATTACTGTTATAAGATCATTGATTTATTATTATTATTATTAACTATGATGAATTCATCTGACGTAACTTTTGAGCATTGGATTCCAATAAATAAATCAAACGACGCATATGAATATTATTACTACCACCACCTGTCACCAATTCCTTAGAGGATGCATTGATAGCCTTGAAACATGATTCCAATTCCGCAATATGAGAATCAATAGGATTGACCTTGGGTTTATCAGTATGTCGTAAAGGAGGAGATAATGAAGATGATACTTTATACATGACACCTCTACGACTTGTTTGATTATATGTTGGTAAGGCAAAACGACGAATAGTGTTCATCATCATTGTTTGTGTGATTATTATTATTTTTTTTTATGGAGAAAGGAAAATTGCAGTATTTGGGAATAAGAAAGATGAAAAAAGAACCGTAAAATGCTTATTTATATTGAAAATCAACAAAATAGAAATATTCCCACATAAAGTATCAACAACAAGTGTTTCTACATGCAACTTACCACCTGACAAGGTATCTATGATGTAAACCGAAGGCACATCATCATCATCATTCGTTGGCGACAAGGTTGTTAAAAGCTCAGCGACGGTATTTGAACATTGGAGTTGGGTAATTGGTGTAACCTTAAATATTCCTTTTTTTTTTTGTTGTTGTTATGATGATGACGTTGTTGATGGGAAAAGTGATTCATTTAGGGAGGTTCTCGATCAAATGATTATATGATCAAATCAAAATAGAAAAAAGATAAGATAAGAGAAGATGATCAACATCATATCTTTTTTTTTTCTTCATTTTTTTTTTTATTTTCTTTTTTTTTTTATTTTCTTTTTTGATATTGTCACAGTGCACCCTTTTGCTTATTTGGAAAAAAGCGGCACTTTCTGGAAAATTGAATTATATAACTATTCCGTTTTCCGTTTTCCTTTTTTGATTTCTCCTTTTTTTTTATTATTATTTCTATGTATCTATATATAAACGAATTTCATTACTATCGCAACTTATAGGTGACGATAAAAATAAAAGTAAATAATCCATTTCTTCTAGTGATTCACATGTATACTTCTTAAAAGATCTAAATGATTTACCATGAACAATAAGGATTAAATATCCCACGAAAAAAAAAATCACTGAGAATGAAATGTGGGGAAACGGAAAATAGTGACCGGGAAGGGATTATTTGACTCTGCGGGGAAAACGGAACGGGGTAAAACCAGAATCAAAAAAGTTTCTTTTAAGGATTTTTTTTTTATTTTTATTTTTATTTTTTTTTTTACTTCTTTATTTATTATAGACAGATAATATGAGCCCCTTGTTTCAATTTGACAGTTGTCCTAGAGATGATGCCACTTTGATCCGATACTCAAAAAGTACATCCACTAGTCGACCTCTCATATCATCATCATCACCCTTATCACCACGGATACCACAACCATCATCTTTACAATCCAGTTCGAATCATCTTCAAGCCATCGTTGATCAGTATCAATCTCAACCTGAACTATTAAAGATGATTCTCAATACAAAACTTGAAGAAGATAAAAGAAAGGCAGAAGAGGCTCGTTTACGTGCTAAAGAGTTAGATATTTATATGTCTTTTCATGGAAGAAATGACGAGGATGATGATCGTGTTTCAACTCCCCCTTTATCTCCACATCAACATCCTTGTTTATCCAAATCATCACCATCATCATCATCATCATCATTGCCAACGTCACCACCACCACCATCATCATCACTAACAAATGGTCGGAAATCAATCTCATACTCTATCGATTCTTCATCTACCCATCCTTTGGATACCTCTTTTCCATATTTCAAACCCATTTCAATTACCCCGTAAGAAAAAAAAATTTTTTTTTTTCATTCCAAAAAGAAAAAGTTGCTCAAAAAAGGAAATTGAGTCCCTAAGAAGAGAATGGTCAATAAAAAATAATTTATAATATCCTTTCTTTTTTTTTTTTTTTTTAATAGTGAACATCAAGATGACATTTCAAAGAAAATGACAGGTAGAAAACGTCGATCCATGCAAGCAGTGACTAAAATTGTAGAAACCAAGGATCCTTTGTATAAAGATGATTACCTATGGAAAAACAATGGTAATACCATTCAACGCAAAACTGGGTATAAAAGTACTTATTATAAATGTTCAAATGCTTCAAAGGTAAAAATATATGTATATAACAAAAGGGATACCACGGACCAATTTTCGGGTGTGCTCGGAAACTTAATTTTTTTTTTTTTTAGGGTTGTCCTGTCAATAAAACCATTTTGTTCCAATCCTCTAGTGGTGATTGTATTATCAAATATCGTGGTCATCATCTACCCTTTTGTGGTAAAGTGGAGCATGTATATGATCTGTAGTCTCATCATCATGGTGATATGACATGTTACACAATATGTCAGATAACTGTTCATTCTTGCTACTGCTGTTATTCCTACTACACTTTATTCATTCATTCATTCTATCAATATGCACACAAATTTTATATGATTTAATATTCCCTCTTTTTTTTTTTATTCATTTCTTTTTTTATATACTGTAATAATAATAATAATAATAATAATAAATAGTGTTGATAAACAAAAAAAGATAGCTAAACTATAATACATTACTAACTACATTCTAAAACCATGTTCATGTTGTCTGCCAGATATTGTTCCATATACGTTTTCCATACTGTGATGTAGAAGGTTGTTGTTGTTGAGGTGATTGAGATGGTTGTGATGGTATATATGAAGTAGGTGATGTTGATATTGTAGCTGGCGACGATTGACCTTGATTCCCATTTTTAGTGTTGTTATTGCCTCCTCCAGTATGCCCAATATTATTGTTATCATTGTTGTAAGCCATAGGTTGTTGTATTCCATAGATCGATGGCATTGTCGAGTTGTTGTTGTTGTTGTTGTTGGTCATATTATTCATAAACTTGGTTTCGTCAAACATGATTTGTCCAAATAATCCTGTATCGTATAAGAATGCACTACTGTTGAAGTCAATAGTACCAGATGCCGTAAAAGGATCTGCACCAGCGAATGGAGCAGCAGTAGTCATATCTATCGTGTTGGATAAAAGTGTTGAAGTATTTGATAATGAAGATGCTGGTGCAATGGCTGATAATGGTTGAGCTAGTTGTGCATTAGAAGTTGACGGAAGTACTGTCGAGTAAGTTGCCGTCGTGCTTGTTGTTGGAGTTGAATATGTCGATCGTAATGAGTCAGAGGTTGATGTATCAGAATGTAAAAGACCAGTCATAGACACCGGTGGATTGTTTCTTGACGATACTGGTGTTGGACGTGAGATTGTTGATGATGGTGTTGCTACTGCTGATGATGATCCAGATGAATATGAAGTAAATGATGGTGGACGTACAATGGGTTCTTGTTTTGGCGATAATGGTACTTCGTAATGTGTTCGTTTATGATGTGTCTCCTGGGAATATTCATACATTCTACTATGAGATACAATCAAATCACGGGTAGTAATCGATAATCGTTCACATACAGGCCAGTAAGGTCGCAACAGCTAAGAAGAATAAAAATAAAATAAAAAAAAGAATTATATATGAGTATATTACTTCTTTCATCACATCATGTATCTTTTTTTTTTTTTTTACCTCAATCATATCATATAATAAAAGAAGTCCTTTGGTCCCTTTTCGGTGTTGTTCTTCTGTTTTTGTAAAAGCCGAGGTCATCAAAATAGTAGCAAACATGTAGGAAGAGTAGCCCATATAAGGAATCACATTAACACCACATATATCCTTCATAGCTCTGAACACTGGCATAACATCATTGACTACTTGTTTACACATGTTGACACTATATTGAATTCGTTCCCATGTATGTTGAGAGAAAGAAGATGCCATGTTGTTTGTATCGTCGTCTTTTTTATCCACATAAGCCAAACTACCACGGTGAAGAGCCAATACCAAGGTTCTCCAAATCACATGTGCACAAAGATAATGATTGATTTTACCTCTGCTTGCCCGTTCCAAGTGATAATCTAAATTGTCCAAAGAAAAATCCATGTGAGGAGGTAAATTGTGTTTCCATGCTTGAAGATCATCATTGAGCTGATCGAATTCATCCATAGGTGGCCAAATTGCTTTTCCTTGATTGCTTTTTGCCCGTTGTAATCCTTTGATAACGTCACCAAATAATTCCATCAATGAGAGGTAGTGCTTAATAAATGAGGCCAACGAGTCTGTTGTCACTGGTTTGTAGTTTACTGTGACATTTTGAGATTCTGGATTCAATAACGCCAAGGATTCATCATCTGGAAGTCCCACGTCGTAATCACCTTTACCGAAAAATTGGGGTCTTGAATTACCAGCACTTCCATATCTGTATATGATAAATATAAATGATTAAATCGTTAGTAAAAACCAATATTCACATACATATATATTTCAAGTAGAGTCTTTGATTCAACTTACTTGTCGATATTGAAACAACTCCAAAAAATCCGTCGTCGCATCAACATTGCTACACGATCCAATGTTCCATCCTTCTTGTAAATAGGTGATCTTATAGTTTCTTCCTTGTGAAATCCCAATTCAAAGCATAATCTGTAGTTAACCATAATACATACAGATAAGTATTCATATCCTTCCTGCTCCAGCTTTTATTTTCTTTATTTTTTTTTACCTTGCAGCAAGCCCACCGTATATCCATGCTCTATTAAAAGTTGATCAGGTAACAATATACATGTTAGACTGTTATAAAAAGGAGAATATTAATGTACTTGCCTAGAACCAGCAGCTCGACCATATTCGAGACATGCCATAACACCCCAGAATTGTAAATTAGGTACAGTAGGTTCAAATAAATCGTTATTGATTAATGATCCGGCCTTTCTAGCAAACTTTTCACCAGCCCAATAAGGAGGATCTGTCTTGATATCGGGATGATCCGAAAATCTATTCAAAAAAACAAAATTGTTAAAAACACATATAACTTATACCCGTATTTTACCTTGCTCCAATTGCCATGACACTCCATAATAAAGGTTGTGAAATAGTTCCATCCTTGATAGATTGTACAAGAGTATGATGATGTATCAAAGGAAATATTGAATTGATGTATTTGAAAAAAAAATCCACTAGATGAAGCACTACTTCTTCTGAGGGCATAGTGACATCTAATTTATATATTAACGAGAAAAAAGAAAATAAATAAATACAAATTAGTACTTTTTGCCATATATATATATATATATATAAAATATGACTTACCATCTAAAGAACCCCCATTTAATTCAGTTTGTGGTATCATCATGCCTGTAACACTTGAATTCGCATATAATCTTGAACCTTGTTTTGTTGTTGCTGTTATTGTTGGTCTACCTGTTGAAGAAGGAGGCATACCTGTCAACCTTCTTTCCAATAAAGCCAAACGTTCTTCCAAAAGTTGTACATATCCTTTTCTAGGTCCACGTCGCTTGCATTCTGCATAACCACATTCTAATCCAGCTTCGGTACAATTTCGACAGTTGGGTTTGGCACCATCACATTTTTTCTGTCAAAATAATACAACAACAACAAAAAAAAAAAAAAAAAGGAATAAATGAGTTTCACAGAATATATCTATTTTTTTTAACTATAATGAATCGCAAAGTAATATGTCATGTGGTGTGTGTGTGTGGTTTTTTTTTTTACCTTCTTTTTTCGACAAGGAGAACAAGCTTGAGTGGCTCGTTCACGTTTTTTCCCAGATTTCAAAATATAGTAATCAGATGGTTCATCGTCCGAAACGTTTCGTTGGGTAAACTGATCCATGGTATGTAAAAGACGAGATCGTTTGTCCAATGTTCGATTATAAATTAATAAAAAAAAAACAAGAGAGATAAGGAAAAAGGTGACTTTAATGATATGAAAGTAAATAATAATAGAAAAAAGAAAAGACAGTAAAAATTTCATTTTTTTTCTTTTTTGCTTTGATGAAAAAACACTCTTACAATCACCGACTGCTTCTTCTCAATGCTTCCGTACCCGGAACAAAAATCAACCGATACCCGTGACAATGCTTCCGGAGTTTTATTTTTCCTTTTGATCAAACAAGAATACTTTGAAAACACTATATAAGCTAAAAGGTATTCTGTTTTTTATTGTTTTGAAGCCGTACTATTTTTGAGGAGAATCAGGAAAGTCAAGATCCCAATAGCCAGGTGGTGTCGCTGGTTGTTTATACTTTTCTCGATGTCTTGAATAAAGTTGAATTCTATCATCTGCAGTATTTCCATTTGCAAAATACTTATTAAAAAAAGAAAGAGTCAACAAGTCTAATATTAATTCAATAAGGATGATCATTTACCTTTTCACAACATGAGCAAGTAGAACCATGTAATTTAGACCGTTCATCCCTTTTTCGAACCACATCTGCATAAGGAAATTCACTAAATGGATCCATAAAAAGTGATGTTAATAAATTGATTTTATATCATTCTATTACTAATATTTATTTCTTTTTTTTTCAAATTACCTATTTGGAGCTGGTCGGCTTAAAAAGTGGTCCTCTTTTTTGTTGGTATCATTTTCAATGATTTCTGTTGATGGCTGATTTTGGTCGATTGAGTTGAGTATAGATCGGTTATTTGACTGTTGTAGTCTCATTTGGTATTTGTTGAATGATATAAAAGTTTCTTTTTGTCGTTGATATCTATCCAATTGCTTGGTGGAAGATGAACAAGTGGGGAATAAATCGTGATGAACATCGAATGACTTTTTTCTTGGTGTATTAGAACTAGTTTCCATATTGTGAGTCAAATCAATGGTTGGTGAAGTTACTGTTTTCCATAGAGTATCAGTATTAACACGTCGTTTTCCAGTTTTGCGACATGGTGTTGAATGATGAGTACGTTGTTTCGTATTCGATGCATGTTGTAGCTGAATCTTTGCCTTCCTAGATAGCGATGGCACTAGTGATGATGATATGACAGTGGCTGTACCGGATGATGATTTCTTTGGTGATAATAATATGGTTGACATGTTGGCTGATGCTGGTAAGCCTATTGTACTTGAATTCTGAAGTGTTAGCGTGTCATCAAGTAATGATGATTGCGATGTTTCTGTTGTTTCTGAAGCTTGAGATGATTGTGATGATTGTGAGTCTGTTGTTGATTGTGAGGACGATAACCCATTCATGTTATTGCTATTATTGTTTTGTTGTAATTGTTCTGAATGCAGTGGTGATGTGATAGTTTCCCAAAGTGAAGGCGGTGGTTTTTCTGATTTGTGATACTGACTTGAAGATTTTGATTTGAAAAAAGAGCGCAAATCACTTGTACCAGACCTTTTCTTGGGATGTCTGGCAATAGTTACTGAAGTGGTGCAAGTAGGGCGTTTCTGTCGAGAATTTGTATCGTTGGAATATGTAAATTGACTTTGACATTGATCTTCCAAATCTTCTAAAGCTTGTTTGCCATGGTACTTTACAATACTAATAAATGGTAGAACAAAAAAAAAAAAAAAAAAAAAAAAAAAAAAAAAAAAAAAAAAAAAAAAAGGGTTAGAAAAAAAAAAACCAGTTGATTCAGAGTTCTTACAATTGTCGTAAGATTTGGATTTTGTTGTTTTGTTTGTGTATAAGCTTTTCACAATCTAAAAAAAGTAAAAATATAAATGAATCCATTTCTATTTGATATTTCTTATTTTTCAAAAGATTTACTTTTGATCTGTGTCTTTTGTAGAAGAATGGTCGTTTTCGCATCTCTAAGGTTTTCTTGTGCTATTTTAAAAAGGAAAAAAAAAAAATATTATTGCTTAGAAACAAAAACAAAAAAAAAAGAGATCAACTTTTAGATTAATTTTCTTTTCTATTACCTTCACTAAATTTTGCTTCAAGGTAAACTGTTTCCATCGGTATAAACTGAATAAATAAAAGAAAGAAAGGGAAAAGGAGAAATCCATTGTGCTCTTTCAGGTAAGACGTGATGGGGGCAAATCATTTAGTCTCCGCAGTCGAAGGAATATAACAAAATCAAAAAAGGATCGTTATCAAACACCAAAGTTTATTCCATTTTCTACAATCAATCACCAACATTATTATTATTATTATTAAATTATCATATTAAATTATCATGATCAAAATAAAAAAATTTCATTGGGAAATACAATATAATATCAATTTGACGCATATTTTACCAACTTTTGACCTTTTTTGACTGTCGCCTTTTAAAAATAGACCGATTTCCATTGGTGATGGTTATGAAGAAGGAACCAAACAAATTTTTTTTTTTTTACTTTTCACTTTTTTCTCTTTCTCTCTTTTTCCTCTTTCTCTCTCTTTTTTTTTTTTTTCGTTACGACATGACTAGTAACCCGATCAAGTTGAAAGGCTATGAATTCTTTCAAAAGACATTGAAATCACCTCGCTTTATTGTGGGACCTATGGTAGATCAATCTGAACATGCTTGGCGTATTCTAAGTCGACGTTATAATGCTCAACTATGCTATACACCTATGTTCCATGCCAGACTATTTAGCGATCCTGAATCTGGTCACAAGTACCGAGCAGAACAATGGACTACCAATGAAAAAGATCGTCCTTTAATTGTACAGGTAAAAAAAAAAAAAAAAGGGAGAACTCAAATGCACACAACCATTCTTATTTATTTATTTATGTAAAATACTTTTCTAGTTCTGCGCCAACGATCCTGAAATTCTACTTAGAGCAGCAAAACTTGTCGAAAACGATTGTGATGGTGTGGATCTTAATCTTGGCTGTCCTCAACATATTGCAAAAAGAGGAAGATATGGTTCTTTCTTACAAGACGAATGGGATTTGATCAAGTCCATGGTATCTACTCTTCATGAACATTTGGCAGTACCTGTAACAGTCAAGATCCGTGTGTTCCCTACGGTGGAAAAGACAGTAGAATATGCAAAGATGATTGAAGCTGCTGGTGCACAAATGTTGACAGTCCATGGACGACTTCGAGAACAAAAAGGACACAATACTGGTTTAGCGGATTGGGACAAGATTAAGGCGGTTAAGGAAGCAGTCAAAATCCCTGTGATTGCTAATGGCAATATTTTATATCATGAAGATATTCAACGTTGTATTGATCATACAGGTGTGGATGGTGTGATGAGCGCTGAAGGTTCTTTGTATAATCCTGCTATTTTTGTTCCTGGACGCTCCATGCCACCTTGTACATGGGAAATGGCTCAAGAATATTTGGAAATCTGTCGGGATTTGGAACCCTCTACTCGTCCTGGCATGATCAAGGCTCATCTCTTCAAGCTCTTCCAACCTAGTCTTCCTCATCATACTGATTTACGTGCTAAATTGGGCAAAGCGAATAACTGGCAAATGTTTTGGGATATCACCATGGAATTAAAGGAACGCTTAAAGAAGGATCAAGAAACTATTGGTGAGGTGGAATTGAATGGCAAGGAAAATGAAAAAGGAATCCGACAATATGGTCATTGGCGTTGTCAGGTAAAGATCATCATTTTTTTATTTTTATTTATTTATTTTTTTTGAAAAGAGTTTGCTAAAAGGGTATCTTCTTTTTTTTTTTTTTTTCAAATAGCCTTACTTCCGTCCAGCATTACCTGAAAGTCAACAATCGAAAAAAGGGGAAAACAAGCGCAAGTTGGATGCCAGTGGCACTGGGCCTGAAAATGAACCAAAGAAATCAAAGGATGATCAATCTCTGGTCGTGGAAGAACAGAAGATTGTAGTATAGATGATAGATTGGTTTTTTATATATATATATACCGTGATTTTTTACTTGATGATAATAACAATAATAATAATAAAAATAAAGAATATAGAATTAAATTAATATTTAAAATTTTATGAATAATTTCTAAAAAAGTTAGTTGATTGATTTTTTGGTACCGGTGGCTTATTATGGGCAAGCATTGGAAAAGATAGGGGAACCTAAAAAGGATTTTTATTTTCATGCTCCACATCTTTTTTTTTTCACCTTTTTTTTTTTTTTTTTTTTTCTTATACATATATTATATAACAATGTCAACCAAAGTACGGGAACTCTTAGCTGCAAAAGCAGCTATTAAAGCAGCTGCTGAAACAATGCCTGAAGGACAAAAAGTAGTAGCACAGTTTAAAACAGAAGACGGCGAGTCAACTGGACCTCCTTTGAATCTTCCAGCAGATGTCTCACCTGAACAATTGGAATTACTTTTGAATCAACTCTTGAATCAGGCAAGTTCTTTTTTTATTATTATTATTATTATTATTTAAGGGTTTATTTATAAGAGTATACTAAACTTAAACATTATTTTTCTTTTCTTCTTTCTAGTCTGATGATCCTTTACCTTATACTTTTTATGTGGGTGACGATGAAATCCGTAAAAATTTATGGACTGATCGTAAAGACAAATCAACCGAAGATACCATTACCATTGTTTATCAACCTCAGGCTATATTCCGAGTACGAGCTGTTACTCGTTGTACTTCTACACTCACTGGTAAGTGCATATATGAATAGTACCGTTTCTTTTTTTTTTCTCATTGATCTAAACTACATTTTATTTTTATCATATAGGTCATACGGAAGCTGTTTTATCAGTTTCTTTCAGTCCTAATGGTACCCAATTAGCTACAGGTTCAGGTGATATGACAGTACGGATATGGGATTTGAATACAGAAACTCCTCAACACACACTCAAAGGACACACTGGCTGGGTTCTCAACATTGCTTGGTCACCCGACGGTAAAGTTTTGGCATCAGGCAGTATGGACAACACTGTACGTTTATGGGATGCGAAAACTGGCAAACAAATAGGTACCGGACTTCGTGGACATACCAAATGGATCACTAGTTTGGCTTGGGAGCCTTATCACTTGAATACAAAGGTCAATCGATTAGCAAGTTCTTCTAAAGATGGCACTGTACGTGTATGGGATACAGTGTTAAGGAAAATGGTGTTCAATATTGCTCAACATACAGCTGCAGTCACTTGTGTTAAATGGGGTGGTGAAGGTTTGATCTATACAGCTTCACAAGACAAAACAATTAAGGTATGGAACTCACAAGGGATGTTGGTCAAGACTTTACAAGGTCATGGTCATTGGGTCAATACTTTGGCTCTTAGCACTGATTTTGTTTTACGTACTGGACCTTTTGATCATACGGGAAGACGCTATGATACCGAAGAAGAAGGTAAAAAAAAAAAAAAAAAAAAGATTGAAATATCAATGGTGGATGACTAATATATATTATTTATTTTCAATATTTATAATTAGCCAAAGCTGCAGCTCTTGCTAGATACAAAACAGCAAAAGGAAATGGACATGAACGACTTGTTTCTGGCTCAGATGACTTTACCATGTTCTTTTGGGAACCTGAAACCAGCAAAAAACCATTGACAAGAATGACAGGACATCAAAAGTTGGTAAACCATGTTAGCTTTTCACCTGATGGACGATATTTTGCAAGTGCTTCATTCGACAATTCTGTCAAGTTATGGGATGGTTTGACTGGTAAATTTATTGGTAATCTTCGTGGACATGTTGGAGCTGTATATCAAGTATGTTGGTCAAGTGATTCTCGTATGTTGGCAAGTTGTAGCAAAGATACAACATTGAAGATTTGGGATATTAAGAAGATGAAGATTAAGATGGATTTACCCGGTCATTTAGATGAAGTCTATGCACTTGATTGGTCTCCTGGTGGTGATAAGATGGGTAGTGGTTCCAAGGACAAGACACTTCGAATTTATAGACATTAGTTTACTCTTTATTATTAGAATCATTTGCATCACTTTTTTTTTTATAATTATATTTATTGTCATCTCTCTTTTATCTCTTTTTTTCATTTTAATAAAATTATTTTATACATTGTCTTTCATATACTTGTTATGACCTACTCAAATGTTACGGTTGGATACAAATGTCTAGATTTCTTTATATGGAATTCCCTCCACTCAGATATTGACACCTCTTATTTGTTCTTTCGATTGGTTACCAATGGCGGCGTTTTTTTTTTTTTTTTTTTTTGTCCTCTCCCTTAATCCCTTTTTTGATTTTCATTTTTTTTCTCTCCTCTTCCTCTGTCTCTCTCTCTCTTATACACACACTTTTTTGCCTCTCCTTCTTCTTTTGATAGTATAGATGCCTACGGCACACATTATTCCATCTTGGGATAACGAACCTGCAATACCTACTGATTTGAATACTAGAGACCAACAGACGACAAAAGAGTCACCATCAAAAGGTCAATCTAGTGCAATGGAACCTGGCAATCTTGGAACAACAGTACGACGTAAAGAACTCCTTACTACACAGAATGATAAGGAAGAATACCAACTACAATCTTTTAATGACAAAAAGGAAGATCTGGCAAAACAACAAGAAGAAGGAAATGCTCCTCTCAGCAAAAAGGATCGTGGTAACTTTGCACTTTTGGTGGTGTTATGTAAGTTAAAACATTTAGAAACTCATACGCATACATACACACACGCACACACTCTCTCTCTCTCCACTTTTAGACTCAACTTCACCTTATTCTTTTTTTTTTCTCTTCCTCTATATGTATATATATAATTTCATTCCGTAGATCTACTTCAAGGTGTACCTGTTGGTCTGTCATTTGGTTCCATTCCGTTTTTACTCAAAGCACATCTCTCATATTCTCAAATCGCCATCTTTTCGTTATCTTCTTGGCCATACTCACTCAAATTAATATGGTCACCTATTGTGGATGCGGTGTACTCAAAGGAATTGGGAAGACGGAAATCATGGATCGTACCTATTCAACTCTTGACAGGTTGTTTCTTTTATTGGTTGGGCAGTCATATTGATGATATCATGGATCAAGAAGAACATATACCAATCTATCGATTGACTATATCCTTTTTATTGACTGTTTTCTTTTGTGCAACTCAAGATATTGCCGTGGACGGATGGGCTCTGACTTTACTTTCAAAAGAATCTTTATCCTATGCTTCTACTGCTCAAACCATAGGCCTCAATATTGGTTATTTCATGTCTTTTACCGTGTTTTTGGCTCTCAATTCTCCTGATTTCAGCAACAAGTATCTGCGTTCGGAACCTAATGATATCGTTGGGGTCCTACCTTTGGGTGCCTATATGAAATTTTGGGCCTTGATGTTCTTCTTGGTGACTGGTTGGCTTTTGTTTATGAAGAAAGAGGCAAGTATATATTAATATAAAACTAGTGATTACTTACTTTTACTTTTGTTTTGTTTTATTGAACAGACGGAAAGTCAAACGGAAGAAGATATGGGTATCAGACAAGTTTATACTACTATTTGGAAAATCTGCAAATTACCTCGTAAGTTAAAAAAAAAAAAAAAACGGGAGATAAGAAAATATATTATTATATTCATATCATCCATCATACCTATTTCTAATTTTTTTTTTTTGATTATCTTGATGTTGAATGATAATCTTTCTATAGATATGAAGAATTTTGTTATTGTATTGATGACATCAAAAATCGGATTCATTTGTCATGAAGCTGTTACCTCTCTTAAATTAGTGGAAAAAGGATTCTCAAAAGAAGATATGGCATTATCTGTATTATTGGACTTTCCTCTTCAAATCTTTTTTGGATACTATGCTGCCAAGTGGTCTAATGGATCAAGGCCATTGAAACCAGTAAGTTTTATTTTATTTATGGAATCTATTCACTTATCTCTTTTTTTTTTTTCTTTCTTTCATTTTCTAATAGTGGCTTTATGCATTTTATGGTCGTCTTTTATTCTCTGCATTGGGTATGTTGGTAGTTGCTGGATATCCTCAAGGGAAATCAGATATTGGATACTTTTATTTTAGTATTATCATTGCCTCTACTGTGCTCAGTTCCTTTATGTCTACAGTTCAATTTGTTAGTCTTGCCGCATTTATGACTAATATCGCAGATCCAGTCATTGGTGGAACATACATGACGGTAAGAACGGAAGCATATATAATATATGACAAGTGATTGGTTTGATAATAGAATTTTCATTTTTTTTTTTTTGTATGAACGTTTATATAGTTACTCAATACATTCAGTAATTTCGGTGGAACATGGCCCAAGTTCTTTGTTCTTGAAGCTGTCGACTATTTCACAGTTTCAAGATGCTCTATTACCAATGCAAAAGATCAAGGTAAGCTAATAATAGTTAGTGTCAAAATGATATCGTCAACGAGGAATGAAATTAACTTATTTCTTTGATGATAGAATTCTCATGTACATCAGATGCTGGAAGAACATTGTGCAAGGATTTGGATGGAACGTGCTTGATCGAGACCGATGGATACTATTATGCAGGATCATTATGTGTACTGATTGGATTGGTTATGTTAGTTTTTTATATCAAACCTGTTGTCAAACATTTAGAAAAGCTTTCCAAAAGTATGTGGAGACTGAATCAATAAAGAATATCTTTTTTTTTTTTACTTTAGAACTTGACTTTTTTATATTATTGTTTTAATATGTCATTAACGTCGTTGAATAATAAAGTTAGTCCAGTAGACTTTTTTTTTTTTGTTTCAAATTCTTTAAGAATAGGTGGCAATGGGATTGTTACTTTGCGGTATTAAAGCCATTTATCATGATGTTTTATCATTGACTTTACGGAAACGTTGGCTTTTTTGAGCGTCAATAGAGTTCTACCTCCTTGTGGTGGCTTCTGGGTAACACTCACGATAAAAAAAAAAAAAAAAATAGTGATCAGATATTGATTTTTAGTCAATACCAGTATGATTTTTTTTCTTAATGATGGAATACTAACGATATTGACTTCTCGTATTGAAAAGTTTAATTTTTTTTTTTTTTTTTTTTTTTTACCGTGAAACAAAATACTGATGTGCATATGAATCTTGTTTCTACAATAGTTTTTTTTTTTTTATTTTTCAGTGAAAATACAATGATGATCATACTATTCTTTCTTATTACTCCTTTTGATAATAATGATGATCGAGGACAAATAGATAAATAATAGTGAAATGACAATATAATAAACAAATAATAAAAATATGATTTTTATTTAAATGAGAGTATAATATCTATAACTAAAAGACTAAATTATTAAATAAAGTAATTTCCATGACAAAGAGTTGGATACTTTTTCCCTAACTTGCTATTCTTTTGTCCAATAGAAAATTTGCTATATGTCCAGTTAATCATATTATATATTTCTTCATATATCTATCTACTGTATGTTCACAAAAAGAGTAAAAAAAAAAAAAAAAAAAAAAAAAAAAAAAAAAAAAAAAGAACCAACCAAAAATAGATTAGTTCATAGTATGAGAGACTAAGAAGAAGAAAGGAAAGAAGGAATAAGTATAGAGTAAGTATAATATGTAAAGAGTGACTTTTAAGTATATAATTTAGACTAGTAAAATAATGTATAATGGTAACTTACAATGTTCAAAGAGTCATTGGTTAAAAAAAAAAGCAGAAGGAAAAGTAAAAAAAAAAAAAAAAAAAGTGGAGAGCGCGCCAAAAAATTTTGTCTTTTGTCAGAGCTTGGTCCAACTTTTTTTTTTTTTTTCAATCTCCCACTTTTTTTTTTGAGGAACCTCCAGACCTTTTTTTTTTTTTTGATCCAACACACCCCCACATTGAGAACGGACTTTGAAGTTATACCATTTATGGAAAACACTTATGATTTGCATTAAAAGTAAAAAAAAAATAATAAATAATAAATAATAATAAGATGATGATGATGATATAAAGATAAACTTTATTAAAGAAGAAGATGAATATAATATAATAAGACTAAAACTATCAATAAATAGAGACTATAGAAAAAATGTCATCTATTTTACACACAAATTGATTTCCTTTTCCAGTTTCTTGTTAATAATATAGTTACATTAGTTATTCATCCTTTTTATGTATCCAATTTTCATTTGGTTCTGTGATCTTATATAAAGGATGATGGTGCATCAAAACAATAAAAAAAGAAAAAAGAAAAAGAAAAAGAGAATAAGAATCATATTTTAAATATTCTTTCTTTTTTTTTTATATATATCTTACTTTGAATAGAGTAATTGACCGTACTTGAAAATGATCATAACAATTGAGTAATAGTAACATAAAAAGACTGATGGACGATGTATCATGACAACCTATCTATTTAATAAATAAATGTTAATGGTTGATATGTGTAATATATATTCCACTGCAGTTGGAACTTATACTAGTAATATTTGATGGGTGACAGCGATAGTAATGATAACGATATCAATTTCCACAAGGGTAACTAACTGATGAGAATTCAAACCATCTTGATAAGAAGGATGCCTTTATAGAGAATAGAGTAATATATGAGCAGCTAAACTTGTATCTGTGACACTACCCATCAACAAAAGGAAAAGAAAAGATGATATTAATGATTGACAAATCCTTCATTATCGTATTTTAGGCCTTACCTTCAAAGATAATACCCTTGATTTTGCTTTGTTTGTGCTTGATAACGATAATTGATAGATATGTTCAATAGCCTTTCCATTGACGCATTATACTAAAATACTACTGAGAAAAAAAAAAGGAAAGTATGAGAATCGCAGCCATACCCTAAATCACTTACTATTTTACTATTTCTTTTTTTTCTTTTGGAAATATAGTAGTACTTTTGATAGTAATAGTCCTATTGCTATAGTTTCATGATCTATTGTATATATATTGAGGGTTCAGTTTATAAAAAAGAGTCCAGAGATGGTATTTCTATAACAAGGTAAAAAAAAAAAAAAAAAAAAAAAAAAAAAAAAAAGAGAGAGAGAGAGAGAGAGAGAGAGAGAGAGATTACTTAACAAGTACATAAAGTTCCTTTTATTATATATTTACTTACTTTTTATACAAAATAATAAAAAAAGAAGTTTATAACAGTAGTGATAAAGAAGAAAAAGAAGAAGAAGAAGAAGAAAGTGTGAGAAAATAAAAAAATATGAGGTCTATTTTATATAACCTCATGAAATGAGCCTTTCCTTTTTTGGATGTTCAACTACCGCTTTTCATAATTTATGTTCATTACTTTATTATTTTATATTATCAGGATAATCAACTTATGATATTTAAACTGATTTATTATTCTATATGAATGTGATTGATCTTCCATCAGATTAATAAAAAGTTGTTCAAATTGATTTAACCTATATGCTTGATATTCCTTTTTCTTTTGTAATCTTTCTTCAACAATCATGATTATTCAAAGTTCAAGGAATACAAGGAATATGAAATAAGTGATAAAATCATTCACTTGAAAGTGTTTATTCTAATATACTGTATCATCATCATCATCATGATTTTACTATAATCAATAAAAAAAAAATCAATTCAAAAAAAAAGAAACTTAAACCTATGTGATTCCTTATGATTGGTAGATTTGATTTGCAGGATTTTTTAAACTGGCTCCGATCAGGTAGACATATAAAATAAATCATTTTCTTTCTTTTTTTCTTTCTTTCTTTCTTTCTTTCTTTCTTTTTTTTTTTTACACATTCCAACTTCGTTACTATATCCTACTCATTTTATCTATGTGGTTTTTACAAATATTTACTCTCATTAAAGGTAAGCTTCAAAAACAAATGCTTTTCTTCTTTTTTCTTTCTAACTTCCTTCCCTTTTTTTTTATTGTATACGTTCTTCTGCTTGATCTTTTTACTACAACATACATCCATCTAGAATTATTGTTCTTTCTTCTTCTCATACTTCATAATTGGTATCCTTGACAATCATCATCACTGAATATATGTCTGAAGGAAAGAAAGAAATCTAGATACACGAAGACTTGATCATTTAAATATAGGATCAATAGGATAATTACGCGAAGTGGCTATACATCTGAATCAGCGGAATGGATAGATATACAATAGGATCACAGAATGAAACGAAATGAATACATGTTATTGTCATAAGGTGTGATAACATGGATGAACAGGATATATTATAGGATTCAACTGGATTGGATTATATAATCGATTGGAAGTATCTTCTTTATCTTTTTTTTTTATTCTGGCTTATGAATCGTTAGTGATTCTTTTTGCTTGTAGTTTAGAATGGTACTTAGTGTATCAATTATATATATTTCCATTCCCTTTTTTTTTTTTTTTTAATAAAATCATAATTATTATTTTTTTCTCTAATATTATTAAGTATTAGCTCTCGAACAGTCATCAATGCATTTCTGTACCTCGTTCCTTAAATAAATTAAATGACAGCTGAATCCAAGCAAAGAGAATCAAGTTTAAAGACTTTCGAACAATAATATGAAAAACAAGAAACAACATGGAATCATATTAATTCTCTTTTTCACATATTTTGTCTTTTTTTTTTCCTTTTTTGCTATATATTGTATTCGACTCGATCTAAATGTATTATCAACACTAAAGGAAAAGTAGATTAGTTTTTGACATTTTCCTTTCAATGTCAAAAAACTAAATCTACTTTTTTTAATTGTACATTCATTATCACATTACAATATATTCTTTCTCTTTATTTTGCTACTTTTGGTACGTTACTTTTATCTATTCGGACTTTTGCTTTCTTTTTTTTTATTATTTATTTCGTTTCCCCACATTTTTCTTTTCTTTCTTTCTCTTTCCATTTCTCCACACTTTTTTCATTCATTCTCCGCACTCTGTTCGCGTCTCCATATTGGAATAATGACAGGTAACATATAAAATACAATGACAGTAATGGAGTCTTATTCTACAATTGTCAATTTAGAAAATAAATAAAATAATAATAATAAAATAAAATAACCAGTATAAAATATAATTACTTACTTACTTGTTTTATAATTAATTCATGACTCTTCTGGTTTTTCCAATTGTCAAGATCTCTTTTCTTCTCGGTTTTGATCAAACAAAACGGTGATACAAAACAAGACAATGGTTGTAAAAAGATAAGTCTAAAAAAAATAATAGATGTTAAATATTTTTTATTGAAATGAGTTTATGAGTTGGCTGAATTGAGGTATCTTTCAAAGCAATCACGTATCTTTTCTTTTCTTTTTCCTTTCTTGTTTTATTTTCGTCTTTCTTTCCTTCTTTTTTTTTTTTCTCTACTTTACCTGGTTATGGCTCTTCTAATGGTTTGGAACTGGATGGAATGACAACTATGAAGGTAAGACATAGATTAAGCAACTAATCGTTTTACTTTTTTTTTTTTTTTTTTTTTGTCTTTGTTACCATTAGATTCTGGACGGAGCACCAAATTCAAGTCAACCTATGTGTACAGGTACTTCTGAAGATCTTTTTTCATTTCTTCCTGCTTGGTTGGTTATTCTCTCCTATGATGTTGGTTTCTTCAAGATCATTTCTCTAATGGTATGGTGTGTCCCTCACTCTCTTGTTGTTATCTCTCGAGTTTGTGTGGTCTCTTCTTCTCTTTTTTACTTGGTTGGTCTCTCTCTCTCTCTCTTTTTCCCTTTCCCTTATCTGTCTGTCATTGTCATGGTGTCTTCTTCGAGATCTCTTTCTTCCGTGGTTGGTCCTTGTCTTTCTTTTTTTTTTTGTCCCTCCCACTTGGTATGATGTCTTCCACTTATTGTTTTCTCCCATTGCCTTGGACTATTATCCCTTCGTCTTGTGGTACTCTCCATTCCTTTCAACAAAAATCAATAACTTCGGTTTTGGCTATACTATTTGTAAAATGTTCTTGGTTCTTCCTTTGGTATGACCTTTATGATTGATACATTGACACTGGTGAATCATGTAACTAAGGTAATCATACATTAAAAAAAAAAAAGAGAATAACGGTGATGAACTGGTACTCGTTTTACTGATTCTATTTGTAGATACCACAATTGTCGTCTATACAATCAAGATGATGCAAAATATCCACTGGTTATTGATAAGGTAACATGTGTATAAAAAAAAAAAAGAAAAAAAAGAGTACCAGATTGCTACTCATTTGGTTTTTTTTTTAATTTGTAGGTACCATGATTGTCGTCTATACAATCAAATGTCGAATGGTCATCATCGTTTTATACTTAGCTTTTGGTGATATTCAAAGATCATGGCGGGATGATCTTTGTTTATCTAACAGGCATTGGACTTGGTCGAGGATGACTGGTGTCTAGGATCATTTATGAATCTAGAGGCTGGATCTAGTGCTCAAGTAGGTGGAGGCTAGAAGGCAACATGCAGGGAATACAGTATATCGCCTATAGGCCGTGTTGTTTCATGCTGGAGTCCTTGGAAGTCCTGCCAATTGCGGTATGGTTTGGAAAGAATTAGGGGATAATATCATAACTGGTCAGTGGAGCGTATCTATTAAAACCGGAACAAGCTACCTACCTTGAAGGTCTTAAAATGTCAGATATACTGCTAGTGGCAACCCTTCTTTCTCTTCGAACCCATGATGATGATGACATTCAACTGTAATATGATACAAAACATCCACTGATGTTGACAAGGTAACATGTATAGAATAAAAAAAAAAAATAAAGCAGTGATAGATTACTACTCATTTGACTTTTTTTTTTAATTTGTAGGTACCATGATTGTCGTCTACACAGTCAAATGTCGAATGGTCGTCATCATCGCTTTATACTTAGCTTTTGGTGATATTCAAAGATCATGGCGGGATGATCTTTGTTTATCTAACAGGCATTGGACTTGGTCGAGGATGACTGGTGTCTAGGATCATTTATGAATCTAGAGGCTGGATCTAGTGCTCAAGTAGGTGGAGGCTAGAAGGCAACATGCAGGGAATACAGTATATCGCCTGTAGGCCGTGTTGTTTCATGCTGGAGTCCTTGGAAGTCCTGCCATTTGCGGTATGGTTTGGAAAGAATTAGGGGATAATATCATAATTGGTCAGTGGAGCGTATCTATTAAAACCGGAACAAGCTACCTTCCTTGATGGTCTTAAAATGTCAGATATACTGCTAGTGGCAACCCTTCTTTCTCTCCGAACTCATGATGATGATGACATTCAATTGCAATATGATATAAAACATCCACTGGTGTTGACAAGGTAACATGTATTAAAAAAAAAGTAACGGATTGCTATTCATTTGGTTTATTTTTATTCGTAGATACTATGATTGTCGCCTATACAATCAAATTAGTAAGTTGTCAGGAAAGAAAAAGATGATCAATCAATATTACATACAATCACTTGCTTCTTTCTCTCTTTTTTTTTTTTTTTTTTTTTAGATCCTTCCTTTTATTGTATGGGGATTGATACGGTATCGCTGTCAGATGATATACACAAGGTAACATTGACATATATAAGAATAACAGTGATGGAGTACTGTTTTTTGGTTGATTTTATTTGTAGATACAATGATTGTTGTTTATGCAATCAAATCTCGAATGATCATCATTACTTTATATTAACCTTTAGTCAAACAAAACGGTGATATAAAACGATCTATGGTGCAAAATGATAAGTCTAAAAAAAATAATAGATGAAAAAAGAGAATGATACTAATGTATTTCTTCTTTTATTTTATTGATCTTTTAGATATTATTGTCTATATAGTCTAAATCTTTTTTATTGAAACGAAAAGAAAAGAAAAGATACGTGATTGCTTTGAGAGATACTTTAATTCAGCCAACTTATAAATTCATTTCTTATTTTATCTAACTGAGTTTTCATTTCTCTTTTCCTTTCCTTTCTATCTCATTTCTCTCATCTTTCTTTCCTTTTTTTTTTTTTTTTTATTTTTTTATTTTCTCTAGTTTTAGCTGGTTATGGCTCTTCTAATGGTTTGGAAGTGGATGGAATGACAATTATGATGGTAAGACATAGATTAAGGAACTAATCGTTTTATTTATTTTTTTTTTTTATCTTTTTTACTGTTGGACTCTGGATTGAACAGCAAATGCAAGTCAACTTGTATACACAGGTAGGTACTTTTGAAGGTCTTTTTTTTTCTTCCTACTTGGTTGGTTATTTTCTCTAGTGGTATGGTGTCTGTCTTACTCTCTTGTTGTTCTCTCTCGTGTTTCCGTGGTCTCTTCTTCTCTTTTTCTATCTGGTTGGTCTCTCTCTCTTTCCGTTTCCTTCATCTGTCTCTCGTTGTCATGGTATTTTCTTCCAGAACCCTTTACTACGTGGTTAGTCCTTATCTTTTTTTTTTTTTGGTTCTTCTTATTTGATTGGTCTCTCCCATTTTTGATGGTCTCATTCTGTTTTTCTACTTGATTGGCATCTCTGTCTCCATTAGTATTATTATTATTATTATTATCATTGTCATTATTATCACCAGTATTGTATATATTCTTTATATTGTTGGTATTTAGTTACTTTTTTTCTTTATTCCCTTTCTTTTCTCCTGTAAAAATACTCTTTTATTTAAATAAAATGTTTGATTATTTAAATTATTCTGCTATGATGTTTTGTGTATGTACCTATTGCTACTATCTATTGTTGTGATGATTTAATAAAATGTATCTTTGAGTGTATCATGTAGTGAAGTGTATGATATGCTCTACTGTATCATCAACGATATCGTTATTTTCGTTAAGAGAGAAGACGAACAGTCAACAGTATACAGGTACAACTTGCTATTATCATGGGTGGTGATGATGATTGATAATAAGAAAATATCTATTCTTAAAAATGATGGATGTAATATATGAAGAAAAATAGCAGATACTGATGTGTATATGGATTTTGTTTTTAGTTTTTTTTTTTTTTTTTTTTTTTTTTTTTTTTTAGTGAAACTAAAATGATAATCATACTATTCTTTCTTATTACTCCTTTCGATAATGATGATGATAGAGGACAAATAGATAAATAATAGTGAAATGACAATAATAAAATATGAGTTTATTTAAAAGATTATAAAATATAAAACACTATAACTAAAAGATTAAACTATTAAATAAACCAATGATAAAGAGTTGGATACTTTTCCCTGGTTTGCTTATTCTTTTATCCAATAGAAAACTTATAAACCAATTAATCATATTATATATTTTATTCATATATCTATCTACTATATGTTCATAAAAAGAGTAAAAAAAAAAAAAAAAAAAAAAAAAAAAAAAAAAAAAAAATAGGTTAGTTCATAATATGAAAGGCTAAGAAGAAGAAGAAGAAAGAATAAGTATAGAGTAAGTGTAGTAAGTATAGAATGTAAAGAGTGACTTTATAATATAGATTAATAAAGTAATGTATAATGGTAACTTACAATGTTCAAAGAGTCATTGGTTAAAAAAAAAAAAAGTAAAGTAAAAAAAAGTAAAAGGAAAAAAAAAAAAAGTGAAGAGCGCGCCAATTTTTTCTTTTTGTCAGAGATTGGTCTAACTTTTCCAATTGTCTCCAACTTTTTTTTTTTTTTTTTCAATCTCCAGATTTTTCCCGATTGTCTTCAAACTTTTTTTTTTTTGAGATTGGAACCTCCAGACCTTTTTTTTTTTTTTTGATCCAACACACCCCCACATTGAGAACGGACTTTGAAGTTATACCATTTATAGAAAACACTTATGATTTTAATAAAGTAGAATAAAATAATAATAATAATAATAATAATAAGATGATGATGATATAAAGATAAACTTTATTAAAGAAGAAGAAGAAGAATATAAAAATAATATAATAACTATCAATAAAAGAAACTATAGAAAAAATGTCATCTATTTGTACACAAATTGATTTCCCTTTCCAGTTGTTGTTAATAATATAGTTACATTAGTTATTCATCCTTTTTATGTATCCAATTTTCATTTGGTTCTGTGATCTGTATATAAAGGATGATGGTACATCAAAACAATAAAAAAGAAAGAAGAGAGAAGAAAAAGAGAATGAGAATCATATTTTAAATATTCTTTTTCATTTTTTTTTTTTTGTATCTTACTTTGAATACAGTAATTGACCATACTTGAAAATGATCATAACAATTGAATGATAGTAACATAATAAGACTGATGGACAATGTATCATGACAACCTATCTATTTAATAAATAAATGTTTAATGGTTGATGTGTATAATATGTATTCCACTGTAGTTGGAACTTATATTAATAACAGTTGAAGGATGACAACGATAGTAATGATAACGATATCAATTTCCACGAGGATAACTAACTGATGAGAATTCAAACCATCTTGATAAGAAGGATGCCTTTATAGAAAATAGAGTAACATATAAGCAGCTAAACTTGTATTTGTAACACTACCCATCAACAAAAAAAAAAAAAAAGGAAAAGAAAAGATGATATTAATGATTGACAAATCCTTCATTATCGTATTTTAGGCTTTACCTTCAAAGATAATACCCTTGATTTTGTTTTGTTTGTGCTTGATAACCATAATTGATAGATATGTTCAATAGCCTTTCCATTGGCATGATACAGGAATACCACTGAGAAAAAAAGGAAAGTATGAGAATCGCAGCCATACCTAAATCGCTTACTATTTTACTATTTCTTTTTTTTTCTTGGAAATATAGTAGTACCTTTGATAGTTATAGTCCTATTGCTATAGTTTCATGATCTATTGAATATATACTGTATTGAGGATTCAGTTTATAAAAAAGAGTCAAGAGATGATATTTCTATAACAAGATAAAAAAAGAGAGAGAAAGAGAGAGAGAGAGAGAGAGAGAGTTTAGTTAACAAGTATGTAAAGTTCCTTTTATTATATTTTTACTCACTTTTTATACAAAGCAAAAAAAAAGAAGAAGTTTATAAAAGTAGTGATAAAGAAGAAGAAGAAGAAAGTGTGAGAAAATAAAAAAAAAAGTGAGGTCTATTTTATATAACCTCATGAATTGAGTCTTTCCTTTTTTGGATGTTCAACTACCGCTTTTCATGATTTATATTTCATTACTTTATTTTATATTATCAGGTAATCAATTTATGATATTTAAACTGATTTATTATTTAATATGAATGTGATTGATCTTCCATCAGATTAATATAAAGTTGTTCAAATTGATTTAACCTACATGCTTGATATTCCTTTTTCTTTTGTAATCTTTCTCTACTGTCATAGTTATTCAAAGTTCAATGAGTATGATACAGGGAATATGAAATAAGTGATCAAGACATTCACTTGAAAGTGTTTATTCTAATATATCATCATCATCATCATGATGTTACTATAATCAATAATAAAAAAAATCAATTCAAAAAAAAAGCAACTTAAACCTATGTGATTCCTTACGATTGGTAGATTTGATTTGCAGGATTTTTTAAACTGGCTCCGATCACGTAAACATATAAAATAAATCTTTTTCTTTTTTCTCTCTTTCTTTCTTTCTTTCTTTCCTTTTTTTTTTATACATTCCAACTTCATTACTATATCCTACTCATGTTATCTATGTGGTTTTTACAAATATTTATTCTTATTAAAGGTAAGTTTTAAAAACAAATGCTTTTCTTCTTTTTCTTTCTAACCTCCTTCCTTTTTTTTTTTATTATATACGTTCTTCTGACCTTGATCTTTTTACTACAAGATACATCCATCCAGAATTATCGTTCTTTCTTCTTCTCATACTTCATAATTGGTATCATTGGCAATCATCATCACTGAATATATGTCTGAAAGAAATCTAGATACACGAAGACTTGATCATTTAAATATAGTATCAATAGGATGATTACGCGAAGTGGCTATATACCATCATCAGCGGAATAGATATATATATATATACAACAGGATCACAAAATGAAACGAAATGAATACATGCTATTGTCATAAGGTGTGGACAACATGGATGAACAGGATATATTATAGGATCCAACTGGATTGGATTATACAATCGATTAGAAGTATCTTATTTATCTTTTTTTTATTTATTTATTCTGGTCTATGAATCGTTAGTGATTCTTTTTAATTGTAGTTTAGAATGGTACTTAGTATATCAATTATATATATTTATATTCTTTTTCTTTAATAAAATCTTAATTATTATTTTTCTCGAAGAGTCATCAATGCATTTCTGTACCTGGTTCCTTGAATAAATTAAATGACAGCTGAATCCAAGCAATTGATCAATGACATCGTTATTTTCGTAAGAGAGAAGACGAACAATCAACAGTATACAGGTACAGGTTGCTATTGTCACGATGATGATGGATAATAAGAGAATATATATGCTTAAAATGATGAACGTAATGTATGAAATGAAATAGTAGATACTGATGTGTATATGAATCTTGTTTCTACAATAGTTTTTATTATTATTATTTTTTATTTTTTAGTGAAAATAAAATGATAATCATACCCATTCTTTCTTATTACTCCTTTTGATAATGATGATAATCGAGGACAAATAGATAAGTAATAGTGAAATGACAATATAATAAACAATAATAAAAATATGATTTTATTTAAAAGATAATATAATATCTATAACTAAAAGACTAAAATATTAAATAAACCAATGATAAAGAGTTGGATACTTTTCCCTGATTTGCTTATTCTTTTATCCAATATCTAGTTAATCCTATTGTATATTCCTTCATATATCTTATCTACTATATGTTCACAGAAAAAGTAAAAAAAGAAAAATAGATTAGTTCATAATATGAAAGACTAAGGAAGAAGAAGAAGAAAAAAAAAGAAAGAATAAGTATAGAGTAAGTATATAGTAAAGTATAGAAGTATAACATGTAAAGAGTAACTTTTAAGTATATAATATAGATTAGTAAAGTAATGTATAATGGTAACTTAACAATGTCCAAAGTGCCAGTGGTTAAAAAACGAGAAGTAAAAAAAAAAAAAAAAAAAAAAGAAAAGCAAAAGGAAAAAAAAGTAGAGAGCGCGCCAATTCAAAGGTTGACGAAACGAAGACTAAAAATGTGATACATACTCTCTAAGAGCCGCTTTATTTTTCATATATATAAATTCAATTCAAATTAATAATACCCCTTTCCCTTATATCTTCTAAGCAAGCTATAAATGCTATTCTATTCAATTTTTTTTTTTTTTTTTTTTTTTGGGAGGGTTTAAACTATTTAAGATTTTTTTTTTTTTTTTTTTTTTTTTTTTTTTTTTTTACCAAAAAGATCTGTACCATGGGCGGGTATGTATCACATTTTTAGTCTTCGTTTCGTCAACCTTTGAATTGCATGTCGTTCCTAATCCAATTCTAGTTGACTCCACTCCGACTTCCAATGTGATACTGTTATCCGAAGAAAAAATTGAATTACTGATTGCCGTACTTGAAGATCTTTGGGATGATGGTTTATAATAATGTTTTTCAAAGGTGTTGGTTGACAAACTCCAATTCGCGTGTTTTTTAACCTCTTGAATAGCGTGGCCGTTTTCAACTGCTTTTGTGCTGGAAGCTGCCCTGATTGAATGTGCTTGGAATTGTTTTGTGTCGATGCCAGCCGTTGTCATTTCATTTTTTATCCAATTTGCCACTGTCGCTGGTCGAACGGAATTTGTTGGTTTTGAGTCATCTTCCAAGTATGTCAAGAATAATGAGTGATCAATTGGTAAGTGTTGTCTAAGATTTGCTGTTTTGTCCAAGAACATCCTCATTGTTCTGACCGGGCATAATTGTTCCTCTCCAATTTCTCCCAACGTAATTGATTTGACTTGGCATTCCTTTGGTTCGCGTACATGTAATGAAAGAGACCAGTGTTCCCCTTCTTGTCGTATAATCACATCCCTGAATTGTAACCGTCCAATGTCGGATCGTGGTCTCCACATAGTAGCTATACATGTCACTAGAATAGTTTTCAATTGTAAGGCTTTCAAAGATAAACTTGAAGTTGGAGACAAAGAGATCTTGATATGGTTGACTAATAGAGAAATATCCCATGTGAACAGTTGTTGTGTGGTTGGAATGGTGACCTGTGATCTTCTTTTTGCTTTGAAAAAATCCCTGAGTAGTTTGTTTCCTGCTAAAGAAGGTTTATCTTCATGGATGATCGAAAAAACTGAAGCGATAGCTGTACGTAAACTGTTCAAATGTGTAACACTATAATGCTGATTGTCCACTAGAAATTGTAAAACTTGTCTTGGTTCATATGCACAAGGATTTTGTTGAGGTTGTTGACTTTTGCACCATCGTACCCATATCTTCCAATTTCCATCATAAGTTTTGACAGTATGTTCTCTAGACGTCTTGAGTAAAAAACTTGCTGTTTTTTCATCTATACCCATCTTTTCCCGGAAGTTGTTGATAACAGCCATGCGGCTAAAAACCATTTCGTATTGATCTTCCAAATTATCGGTGGTTGGAGGTGTTTCATGTTCAGAATCATTGGAAACCAAAACTGGCTGGGCCACCAAGGTGTCACCAAAACTGTCTTCTTCACCTTGTCCTTCTTGATCTTGTGCAAAACTTGTGGAATCATCCTCCAAGGTGGGTAGAGATATAGTCCTGTCCGTTGCCAATCTTGTTGGAATGCATCCACTGCTGTGGCTCCTGGATCCATCTTCAAAGTCCAATATTCTTTCAGTTGGTGATTGTGTCTTGCTGCAAATGCATCCACTTTCAGTTTTCCCCATTGTTTCTCTATCATCTTGAACATCGCTTTTGGAATTGATGTTTCGTATAATGGTTTCTTGGTCCTGCTCAATTTGTCTGCCTGTGTATTGAGTATGCCTGGTACATGTTGGTAGATGACTTGTAACTTGTGTGTATTGCAAAGATCTTGTATCTTGATCGCTAGATCTTGTAGAAGTAGTGATGCTGTTCCTCCTGATTTTGTTGTATATTTCAATGCTGTCATGTTGTCTGACAAAATCTTGATTGTTGAATTTTCGCATTTTTTTGCGTGAAGTTGAAGGGCAAATAAGATCGTCTTCAGTTCGCGCACGTTTATTGAGTGTTGAGTTTCTTCTTTGGTCCAAAATCCAGCTGTTTCGATCATTGGTGAACTGATCCCCCATCCTGTATCGGAAGCATCGACGTAAATCGTTGTCTTTGGGTTTGTTGGTGTTAACTTCTGTATTGGTAATCCATTCTTTTGAACTAAGAACTGTATCCACCAGTCTAGGTCTTGAAGGCTTGTAGATGATAACTTGCATGTTGCTTCCCAGTTTTGCTTTGTTGCTTGGAGTGTTCGTGCCAGATCTCGTTGCAAGTAACGGATGTGTAAAAGAGATTCCCCCACTGCTGGTATCATGGCCGTCATTTTTCCCAACAATCCTGCTATCCACCTGCATGATTTCTTCTGGAAACTTTTTATTTGTCGAATCTTCTTTAATAGATTGTTGATCTTCAGTTGTGGTACGGAGATGATCATCTTCTTGGTGTTGAATGTAAAGCCTAGGAAGTCTTGGATCTTTGATGGAGAAAACGAACTCTTGTTGTGGTTGATTATAAAACCCAGTGATTCTAAATGTAAACGAATTTTGAGTGTCAATTTGTTCATTGCTTCTTTTGATTTTGCCAGAACGCAGATGTCGTCCAGGTAAAAGACTAAACGTATACCTTCTTTCCTCAATGGTTCTATCGCATATTTCATCAACTTGGAAAAAACCCTTGGAGCTATACTCAGGCCAAAAGCTAGAGACTTGTAACGGTAAACTGTTCCTTGATTTTCGAAGCTCAAGTAATCCTGTGATTCTGGGTGTATTGGTACTACTACATAAGCATCCTTGAGGTCGATTTTGCAAATGTAATCGTTTTCTTCGATAATATCCCTGAGTGCTGGAATCCCTTCCATTTTGAAGTGCTCGATTTGTATAAAACTGTTCAGTTTTTGGCAGTCCAGAATCGGCCGTCGTTTCGTCTTTTCTTGTAAGGTGAAAAACTTCGACAGAAAATTTCGGTTTTGTGATGGTGAAATTTCTATCATTCCCCCTTCCAAAAATTTGGTGATTGCTGAGTTGATATGAACTTGATCTTCTTCTGAAACATCCCTCTTCGAAATTTTCCATGGAATTGGTTGTTGAGCAAATTGAATCTTGTATCCGTTTTGAATTACTGAAAGAGGCCATGTGTGTGATGTGATCTTCTTCCAGTTGTTGATGAATTGTTGCAGACGTCCCCCTGGTAATATCCCATCCTGTGGAATGGAATAATTTTGAGCTTTCGTTGTGATTTGTTGTGAATTGTTGTGATACATCATTGTTGTTCCACAGAGTTTTCTTGGTGACGATGTTGGTTTGGTGATTGGTTGTGAGAGTTGTTTGAGTTGATGAAGGTTGGAGTCCCACGTCCCCTTCCCCCAAAGTAGTTTTTTCCACCACGGAAAAAACCTCGTCCTCCTCGATGTTGGTGCCAGTTATGTGAGTATCCACCTCGATTTCCATAAGATTGTGTTGATGTTGCTGCTTTGATGACTCGTTGTTGGTAGTTTGCTTCATGATATTGTTCCAGGAATTCTTGGCTAAATGCTTCTTTTTTCCCTGTTGGTTTGGATTCCAAATGTTTGAGACTTTGGGGCAATTTGAGAGCTTTGATGGCGAAGTCTCTAGCCTCATTGTCTTGTTGTTTTGCTTGAGCCCATGCGAATACTGCGAGTCGCCTAGTACTTTCCATTGTTTCGTCCAATAGTTGAGAGGCTTCTGTTTGAGTGAGAGATCCTTCTTTGATGTGATTGAGTTGTTCAAAGATTTCTGTTGCTGCTCGTCCAGTTGTACGGATGATATCTGATCCCTTGTAAATGCTGTTGACCACTTGAGTGGTGTCCACAGTGTATGATTTGAGTTTTGGAATGAGTGATTTATTGATTTCTTCACCCACTGTCCATTCGTCATGTTGGTATTTTGTAAGATCTCGTTTGTATCTTTTGAAGTTTTCTTGTAATTGTAAGATCGTACTTTCTTCCAAATTTTCAGCGATTGCCAATGGTAATTGACGTTCTTCTCTGATTTGTTGGTTTGATGCTTGTTCATCTGCTCGGAAGCGTTGGAATAGTTGATATACTTCTTCTTCTGTATACAATCTTCCATTGTTATCATTCATATTTAATCCTCGTTGCGCGGCTTAGAAAGATATAAGGGAAAGGGGTATTATTAATTTGAATTGAATTTATATATATGAAAAATAAAGCGGCTCTTAGAGAGTATGTATCACATTGGAAGTCGGAGTGGAGTCAACTAGAATTGGATTAGGAACGACATGCAATTTTTTTTTTTGATCCAACACACCCCCACATTGAGAACGGACTTTGAATGGATACCATTTATGGAAAACACTTATGATTTTAATAAAGTAGAATAAGATGAATAAATAATAATAATAATAATATGCTTGTCTCCCTTATTTTTTTTTTTTTTGTTTGTTAATTTATTTTATGGTTGTATGTGTTGTGATGCAATGATATATATATATATATATATATATTGACGTTGACTTTGACATTGATGGTGACGACCCCAAGATGATGATTCACGATGGGTCAATGATAAAGATAATGCGATTCCACAAAAAGATATATTTATGGTTACTACGCGATGACTCCGTGATCAATTCATCATGATGATACACAAGACAATCGACAGTATACAGGAATAATTTGCCATTGTCATGGACGATGATGGTCAATAATAAGTGAATATCTAATTTGTCAGACACTTAAAATGATGAATGTAATCTATGGAGGGAAATAGCAAAAAGAAGATATATGTGTAGAGTAGTTTTTATTTTCCAAGTGAAAACAAATGATAGTCATACAATTTTTTCTTACCATTGCTTTTGATGATGATGACAGTTGTAGATGATCAACGAAAAACGGATGAATTGCTGGTATGTGGTGATAGGTTAGTGGCGGATGATAATAACAAACAATGATAAAAAAAAAATGATTTTATTTAAATAAATGTACAAGATAATGTAGTATAAACCACTGGCCAAAACACTAAACTATTGAATAAAGTAATTTCAATGATAAGAGAGACCTAAATAAGAATAAGAGATATAGTTTTCCCTGATTTGCTTATTCTTTTGTCCAATAGAAAAGTTGTTATATATCCAGTTAACCCAATTGTAAATTCCTTCATATATCTATCTACTATATGTTCATAAAAAAGGGTAAAAAAAAAAAAAAAGAAGTAGGTTAGTTCATAGTATGAGAATAGAGGCCGTGCAGTAGTTAAACCCATTTTAAGTCCAATAACCTGAAGTTGTTTGTTCATTTCGTGTTCATAATCAGCAGAAAGACCGGCGTAACCTAGATCGAGTAAATTTATAACCAAACTCATGTTTGTAACCATCAGTATCCACCAGACCAGCCAAAAGGAGCACGACGGACATCAGCGGATTCTTGAATAAAGAAATCAATATTTTCATCAGTAAGTTCCTTGACTTTGTAAAATCCAAGACGAGTCAAGATATAAACCAAAGGATTATCAGCAGATCTGTTTGAGGGTCGGTACTTGATAATAGATTCACCATCATCACGAGCTGTTGCACGAGGAGTACCAGTCAATGAAGAAAGAAGAATTGTATGACAACGAACGTCCTGTAGATTTCGGTAAGTACGAGAATCTTCATCAGCTTTTACAACAGATAAGCCCATCTTGCGTCCTATAGCTTCAAGTTTCTGGTCTATTTCTGGTTCATAATCAGCCACAGTAAAAATTGGTTTACCAGCTGTACCGTCATCAAGCCAAGCACCAATAATCCATGCACATTCAGCAACAGAGAGACAGGCGTAACGTTGTTTGGTTGACGTGTGTGCTTCTTCAATGATTTTAGAAAGACCACCATGAATTGCCCGCACAGGCCACTGATCAATGGCACCGGAATAGTACTTCATCTCACATTTGATGGGTTCATTACCATTGGATTCCATATATTTCTTGTACTCCAGAAAGTGTTTTACAGTGACAACCCATTCAGTAGTTTGGTAATATTCTTGCGCCGCTTGTTTTGCTTCGTTCATCGTTGTATATACGGGACAACCATTCTTGATTTCATGATTGGGACTGTAATGGAAAGGACGTTCAGGAGTGGGAACATCAGCACCTTCAGGGAACTTCTTGCCTCTTCTGATTCGAATCGTCGCTGTAACCTTTTGTTTTTTTTTTTTTTAAAAAAAAAAAATAAAATAAAAATAAAATAAAAATAAAATTGATATAAATGATTTCATCTCTTCCTTTTCCTTGTCTAAAGAATATGTGATCCTTTTTTTTTCTTACCACATTATGAGAAACATCCGGCTGTGCTAGCTTGAACACCATGATGAGCTAAGAGAATGTTGAGGATAAATTGATTACACCAAAGGATACAACCGGGTATGAGTAGGATGCGGGATGAGTAGATGTAGTTAATTTATCAATGCTAGAGTACTTGACAGCAATCTGATAAAAAAAAATCATTCAATAAATCAAAAGTAGAAAATAACCAAGCACGCGGTAAGGAATCAATAAGATCAGAAATCAATGGAAGAGGATTTAGTCACTTTATCCTGAAAACGGATGCACATACAAATAAAGAAAAAGAAATGTTAGAGCATAATAGACAACTTGGAAAATTATCAGTATAGGGTATTGTAATAATATCGTTACTTACAAAAAAAGCGAGAGGATTGCTTGCGTCCTTTGATGACAAAGAGTAAGAGGAACAGCAACCATGTCAGCATGGAGACAGGATAGCCAAAACCAACCGAATCAACGAATGTGGACATAGAAGGAAGAGTTCGAGAAGTGAGAGATGGAGGAGGATTCAAAACGATAATTGTAATTATGGTCATCACGATGGGCATTAGTTGAATAAGTCATAATAAAAAAAAAAAAAGAAGTGACTTGAGAAATTGATATAATCACCAAGGTACGGAGGAGGAGAGTCGAACTAAGACGAAAAAGGACTTGCTCGGTGAAGTGATATTGGGTAAAGAACTAGTGTTACTAGAAGGAACATATTATACAGAAGATGGATTATTGTAAACTATATAGAAGTGAAGAAAAAAGAGAGTGGGAAAAAAAAATGGATAAAAGAAAGGAAAAGAGGAGAACTTTTTGGTTGATTCAGCTTAATATTTTAGTCCAACAAGCAAATAGAACTCCGCGGTCAGCATGAATTCTTTATGTTTGGAAGGTACGTTTCTTTTTTTAATAATTTATCAGAGCTTTTTTTTTCTCAGTCTCCAGATTTTATTTTCCTCTGCCTATATTTCTTTACCTTTTTTTTTTTTTTTTTGAATAAACATATTGTATATGAATAGAAGACGGGTATATGGATCAACCAGATGAATATTTAACAGGATAAACAAAATGAATAAACAACAAGAACGATTTAACCAGTTTTATAGTAGCATCAGATGTACAGTAGGAACATATGCAAAAGTATCATTTTGATGGTTACCTCTAGTTTGGTTAGCTTGTGTTATTTATCTTGATGTTTCCGTGATGATACTTTTATTTGTTAGTGTTTTACAATACAATACTATATCAACTCTTTACAATTCTTTTTTTTAATAAAGTCATATTCTTGTTCGTTCTATCAATATCATCATGGATATAATCATCATTTCAATTATCATCAACAGGTGATTTTATGGAAATATTTGTAGAAATCATCACTTCATCATCCATTATCACTAATTATCCAATTACACTTGTGACCATGTGAGTTCGTCTGAATTTTTATTTATTATCGCAACAATAACAAACAAACAAAAAAAAAAATCCACCGCACAGATATATGAGAAGATTTAGAGGGATATATAAAAATGAGAGGTACATACATATTAATGAGAAAAAAAAAAAAAGAGGGAGATAGACTAATGCTACAAAGGAATCCTAAAAAAATTCAAAACAATACATCACTCGTGATCACTTGCAGGACGGCATCATTGTTTTTGGCAAGCTCTTGCAAAGATAATAAATGCTGGTTGTGATCATCAACATCATCATTTGTCCATTGAGCCAACATCACAAGTGGATCATCCTTGTATCCCTTCCATTTGTTCCATAATTGTTGGTACCATGGTGGTATTTCTTCTTGTTTTGTGATAAGAATAATGAAATGATTGTCTATATATCGCTTTGACCGATCATAGTGATGTTGACGACTTGATGTCATTGTCAGTGGCACGGCGATGTTTTCTGTCATCAGCGACCTGTCGATGCCTGTCATCCTTGTGTTAGATTCATCCTTGTTTATTAGATCGGTTTCATATCGGTCATCCTCCATCATGTCCGTAGAATGAAGATCGCCTATCAACAACGTTTTTTTTTTATTTTATTAATATATCACAATCATTGTTTCATTTTTTTTTTTTTTACCTTGTTGTTGCTGATATATTTGAGCATATTTTGACGATTGTTGTTTCAAAAACAAGGATGATGGGAAAACAATAGGAGCACCTAATGATGAATAGAATAAAAGACAAAACAATGTACTTCTCAAGAACATGATAATAAAGAAGAAAAGAAAAGGATTGGAAAATTAAATATTTGTCTATGCATCCTTTTTTCACCGATCGGTTATTGAAATCATCAGGGCAAACCAACATTCTGGTCATGACTTGTAAGTCAAATTAATATAAACAAATTGTGAAATCAATAGTTAAATAAACAATGGTCTCCCTTGATTTAAAGTTGGCATCCGTCTGCTTTAAAGTTTGGCTCAAGAATGTCAAAAAAGAGGGTTTAAATTTCAATCGTTAAATCTCAGCTTCTGTTTCGAAAAGAGTGGCTTGGGACTACTTAACTACTATCTCTCTTTCCCCCCCCCTTCCCGCTGATTTTTATTTTTTTTTTCTTTCTCTCCTTATACTTTTTTTTTTTATTTCTTATACTCCATTATGCCTTTTTATGAACTTGTTTGTATTGCTCGATCTCACCTTGTAGAAGTAAGTTTGAATAGAAATAGAGATAACATAAGGAATCATGTTTAAATTAACCCTTTGATATATATATATATATTTAATAGAGCAATTTGAAAGATCTGATCCGAACTTCAGCAACACAGGTCTTACAGCGTGGAGGTGTTGTACGTGGATTCGACAATTGGGGAGATAAACAACTTCCACATCGTGTTAAACGACATCAACAATATCATACCAATGGACAGTATGTATTTCATCCATCTAATGATACTTTTGTAGAACATAACAAGTAAACTAGACACTCACTTCCTTTTTTTTTTTTTTTAATAGCTACTGGATGATGCACTTTGATGCCAATCCTCTTATTGTACAGGAATTAGGAAAAAAGTTACTTGTTGATTCTCGGGTACTTCGTCATACTTTTATCAAGTTAGGTGACAAGTTGGAAACCGTCGTGACTCGTCCTGACAAGTCTCAATAGATTCATTATATAGACACTTCGTTTTTTTTTTACTCACATATTTTACATACTTTTATACACACACACCCTTTACTTGTTGTAAATAGAATATCATTCACCCCCCTTACTTATTCTTTTGTCCCTTAGTCTGCTTTTCTTTTTCTTTTTCTTTTTTTTTTAACTTGTCATTCATATGAAATAAATATCGTTATATATCTCCTTTTTTTTCATTGTGCATTATATTCAATGATGGGCCGTTAATAGGATAATCATCCTAGGATTCTTGTGAGAAATCAATAAGAAGCTATCAACTCATTAATATGATCTTTTCCCAATGATAATGATGGAAGATAATAATTATCAGCACGAATGATTCTCTCTTTTTTTTTTTTTTTTTTTTTTTTTGTGTGTTATGTACATCCTTTATTTCTTTCATAAAAAGAATAAAACAAATAAAACCATTTCAATAAAACTAAACTACTACTAAATAAAAAGACTAAACTATAAATTTTTTTTTTGTTTCATTATTTTCCATTAGGCGAAGGCATCTTCAATATCGGCTTCACCTACTGCTTCCAAGTCACTGCTAAAGTTCATAAAGTGAGATGCCCGATGTGATTCGTGATAAAATTCCTTTGGTACATCCAAATTCAATCGGTATTTCATATTGGCATTGAATTGTGCACCCATAACTATTAAAAAAAAAAAAAAGGTAAGTATCATTCTCTATGTCTCTCCATTGGTTTGTTCAACAACTACTTACAGTTGTAATTCCAAATATCTGTTGGGACCATAAAGTAACCAAGGAATCGATCTGATAATAAGATTTGAACCTTTTCAGCATGCGTAGGAAGATAACCTTGAGGATTATTGCCAGTATCCATATTATTCTTGCCCCATTCAAATCCACCAGGCGTCAACTTATATGCCGTCAAAGAGCAAGAACCAGGAGTAAATGAACATGTCAATGTCACTGTCTTTTCACCATCCCATGATTTGTTGTTAGCCAAAAGTTTTGCATGTGTTGAAACATCTTGTGGGGAGATATTCATCAGTTCTTGTGGTTGTGTATGGAGCCAGCCAAGAGGTTCAAGATCAGCCAAATATTCATGTTCAGGTAATGTATTAGGAAGATGGATGGTTTGATGGGAACCCCATTGAGGAGGAATCACCACACAACGGATTTCTTTCACATTGGGAGCATCAGGAGGACTTACACCATACATCAAACCAGCTACTTGGGTTCGTAGATCGGAAATCGTAATAAATCGTTTGAGTACATTCTTGGGTAACACATAAGTGTAAGTGTTTTCTTTGATATCGTCAGAATTCACATAGATGTGGTTGGTACGTAGATGAAGATTAGTTGCAGAGATAGCCCGAATACGCCATTCCGTCTTGGATGAGAAGGTTTGAGTTTCATAATTACTGGTTGTTGTCACAATCATTTCATCACCATGGATATTGCGAGTCTTAGTCGTCACTGCTGTGAGTTGTGATTGTTCTTGGGTTTGCTTTTCGATTTCTGCAATTTGTTGTCTTTGAAGAGAAGGTGCTTGAATTTCCATACCAAGAATAATATCACGGATTTCAGATTGTGTGAGAGAGGCCACATTCACATTATTTTTCTTGCCATAATCGCCCAAAATCAAATCCTTCAATGCCACTTCCACCTTAGCCCATTCTTCATCAGATAGTGTTGGCCAGATATGATGAGCTTCAGTAATGGTGCTTCGGTCAGGTCGCAGAATCATCTTGGTTTTTTCGTTGTTCACATGAAGAGCACGAAGAATCAATACCAAACGAGAGAATGCAGTATAAGATGAGAAGGATCGTAACCAATCATCATACAAGTTGAAAAGAACCTAAACGAAAAAAAAAAATGAATAAAAAAATAAATAAATGAAATATATCTATAATATGAGAAATACTTTACCATTTGAGGTTCAGTTGCCTTCAAGATCAAATCACCGAATTTTTCCACCTTCAAACATGCTTGGAAAGGTAATTGTAATTCACTACCCTTGATGACAATATTCGGGAAATCAAGTAAATGCACTTCCAAAGGATCCAACATACCCTTACGAGTAACGATGATTTGTTTAGGTTGTTCTTCCACAGGTAAAGACCGAATAAGAGCTGCCACTTCTTCTGCCGTCTTCCATTTTGCCAATTGACCAAGACGTTTCTGACCTGCCCACACTGAAGTATGAATGATCTTGAGGAAGAGTTGTCCAGTTCGAGGATTAAAGATAAAGATAGCACCATTGATGGGTTTGGTTGTCAAATTACCTTCGAATGTCTTGTGAATCGTCACACGATATACATTAGTGTCATCCACAAACCAAATGATTTGATTACTGAAGAGTTCACCATAATTTGTTGAAGAAAGATAAGGTTCGGTTGGTTCTGAAGAATATAATTGAAGTGCCTTTCGAATACGTTCACGTAAGACATACAATGCAGGGTTTGCCTTCATGATCTTCGCCATAGCTTGTTGTACCAAAGGTTTCATACCAGGAATCCAATTACCATATGCTGAGTACATGTTGTAAGCTAAATCCACACCAATCATCAAACCAGTAGGTGAAGGATAGATACTCATATTGTCAGTAGTGTAATCCAAGAATTTGGCACGAGTGTAACGTTCAATATCGTGAGAATCAAAGTCACCCCATCGTAATTGAATATCCAACCAGTATTTTGTTGTAGTAGGTCCATCCATCACATCCTTTGGATCATTCAAAAGTGAAGGTCGTGATACAGGCCATTTGTAAGCAGCAAACAACAAAATATCACTAGCTGATGAATTCATCTTGTATGATTTACGAGGGTGAATAGTTTCCTTTTGTACAGTTTCAATTTGAAGAGCTTCCAATTCACGATCGAATACTTGGCCTATTTTTCATATCATTAGTTAGTTTATATTCCTTTTTTTTAAAAAAAAAATATTTTTCTATTGATAGACTTACAGAAATCCATAGTAAGAGCTTCGTGAAGTTTTTGCCATAAATGCGCACGGAAGATTTGAATCAAAGAGATCTTGAGGGTAGGAATTTTACCATGCATGAAAATACCAGTCAAATCCAATTGTACTTGGAAACCAACATAAACATTTGCTCGATTGATAGTAGGAGACCACCAAAGAGTGAAACGACGATTGGGGATTTGATTAAGACCACTACGTTGTGCATTGGTAAGCTTTTTGTATTTCATACTTTCTTCGAAACCAGATGCCTATTAAATAAAAAATAAAATTGTTAGGAAATGACTTTTAAAATAATAACCTTTTTTTTTTTTTTTGTTATACCTTTTCCCAGAAAAGACCAAGCCATGAAGAGAAATAGGTACCCTTGAATAAAGTATGTTCCAAAATACCTTCCACACCACCAAGGGCTTGAATCATATCGGTACGGTAGTTGTTCAAATTCCAAAGTTTACCATCATGACGAGTATGTGTCCAATAGAAGGGATTGTTCTTGAGTACTTGATATTGTTTGAAATCGGTACGCACACGCCATCCTTTATCATAAGCCAAAGTATGTCGATCCTTTTGGAATAAAGTATTAATACGAGGAATACCACGATCCCATGAATCTTCCAAATCTTCCAAAGTAAGTCGTCGATTTTGAGCATTGGCTTCTTGTCGCTTGAGTGCATATTCAGCCCAGACACGTTGTGAATCAATAAATTCGGATTCCCATGATTGGATATAACGATACAAATTAGGGATCAATTGATCTTCATCATGGCTCATACCAGATCGGAAATGAGTGATACCAGTTTCAGTTTGACTAGACCAACGCAAATCACTTTGAGGAATCAAAACGTGACCCATAGAGAGCATACCAAGCCCACCAAGTTCTTTGGGACCTATAAAAATAAAAATAAAGATAAGTAACATATAACCTTTTTTTTTTAACGAAAATCTAAGGGAAACACATACAATCTAAAAAAAAAAAAAAAAAAAAAAAAAAAAGAGAGAAAAAAATTGGGTTAGATACAGATTTTTATGCATTCGTTTTTTAAACGTCGGTATTTACACTAAAAAAAAAAAAGGGTTGGATTAGCTATCTTCTTTTTTTTTATTATGGTTCTTTTCATTGCCCTACAAATAAAACGGGAGGAAAGCGGGTAGGCATCTTTGAGTTGAGACCGATCTTGATACGAGTTTGGATCTTATTTTCACATTTGACCAAGAGGTCCAAAAGTTCACGAGTATGTACAACAGCTTCACGGTAATAAGTCATGAGACCAATAAGGGCCGTATTATACTTGTTTGCGATCTTGCTGAAAGTGGTACTACCAGATGACATAAGAATTTGACGAATACGATTGTGGAATTTATCCATAGATTCTTGATCGACACGAAGATAAGCTTGAGCAGTACGTTCTTTTGTTTGTTCATTGATGAGGTTCCATACACCATCCTTGAGAGTAAATTCTTCATTAAGGTTTCGAATTTTGGGTAAAATACGAACATCAAAACCGCACATAGAGAAGAGTAAGTTTGGATTATCCTTTGAATAGACACTGACAAAACTATTTTCCCATTCGATAGTAGTTAAGGAGCGAGGTAAACGATTCTTGATATCCCAAAAGACAGCACGACCCAAATTGACATCATGTTTCATCAAACGCATACGACAATCACGAGGCCAGCATTTCTTGTTGTTGTAACCGACAATGTTTTCAAAGTTTGGATCAGGATGTTCAGTCAAATAACGTTGAATCAAATCGCGTGCTTCATCAGCTGTAAATCGGAAGAAGATATGTAAGCGATCTACATAACGCGAGTATAATCGAATAGGGTGTCGAACTTCAGTAGCATTGTCTCGATATTGTAAAAAGTCATTGGGTAATTGAGGGGGACCTGCCATTTCACTAGCACGATGAAGACCAAGCACCAATAAATCCAAAACGAGACCATAGTATTGGAAGATGAAAGAAGCAAATTGAAGACCACGAATCAAACCGTAAGCATTGACATGATTCATATCTTTATAATTCAACACAACATTGTTCTTTGCAGTTGCATAATCCGCCAAATTGTGATCCAAAATAAGTCGGAGGAGACGTCCCAATAGAGTAAGATCAATTTTTTCATATACTCGGCTAAAGCTAGTTTCCATCATCACATTGCATTGACCTTCAGAAGTATCCCATACATCAGATAAATTGTTGATACCTTGACACCATTTGTATACGAGAAGTGGGGGTGGTTCAGAATCACCAGGTTTAATCCAAGCAGGGAATAGATTTCGTTTGTCAGCTTCATACCAGAGATATTGATCAAGATAAGCATCCGTAATCTTTTCCAAAGGTTCTACATCATACACAGGTACCAAATGGGAGTAGAGATCCATGAATTCAATACCAACTTCTTTAAATGCACGTTGAGTCAATAATAAACGTTTGATTCTTGAGAGAGCTTCATGAGGATTGTCATAAGCTTGTTCAATTAGACCCAATTCTTCACGTTGACTTTGATTTAGACGACCTTGTACACTATATGCTTCACGAAGACGTTCCAGGGCCAAGATAAGAAGTTTGGTGTCATGTTTATAAGATAATGGTGGGAAAGGAATAGGAGAGAATTTGCGACTTTCCAACCAATGAACAGTGGATGTATAGATAGCCACGGCTTCTTCTGCAGTTACATAAGGACCGTCCTTAAGATAGTTGTGTTGACGTTCTTGTTCAGCCTTCAGCCATAAACGAGTAAGACGACCCAAATTTTTGCGACATACAGTCTTGTCCACAGTAGCACCACGTCGAATACGTTCACGATTGTAATGAGCAACACTAGTCCACCAATCAGCCTTTGATTTGATATAACGTAAGATCATATTTTCAATAGGAGTAGGTAAACCAGGCACCTTCCATGGGATATTGGCCTTCCAAGCTATTAATTTTTTTTTTAAAAAAAAAAAGATGAGTTTCCAGTGTTATCTGATAATATGAATTATTCATTCTTACCTCTCCAAGCTTCAGATAAATGTTGTAAAATAGTCCTTGATTTGTTTCCTTTGATTCCTTCAGGCATGGCATCAGTGATATCGTGAAGAACAGCAGCACGGAGTTCAAGATCGTAATGAGATTCTACACGTTGTTTTGTAACAGTTTTGGCGATTCCTTTGGAGTGTCTATAAATCAAATTGAAATAATAAAATTTAATGATCTATACAGTATACTTGTTTTTTTTTTTTGTTATTATGATAATATTGATTTGATCACTTACCTTCCTTCGAATTGACGAGCCAAAAGATTTCCTAACCATCTTTCTAAGAGAGGTACAATACCACGCATAAAGAAAAGCCATACACGCCATGTAGGAGCCCAAAAACCAACACCAGGACCTTTTCCTACTGGACCAGTATTGAATCGATAATCTATTTATATATCATCATCATATTAGTTCATCTTTTTTTTTTCTTTTCTTTTTTTTTTTTTTTTTGATACTTACAAATCAAATGTTTCAAATCCTTGCACATACGAATTTGTCGCATTAAACGATATTTGTAACGATACATCCCAGTCAATTGACCAACGTGAGCAAAGATATATTGTAATCCATCAGCTAATTGATAAGCATCCACATTTCCCAATCTGTATTGTACATGAGCATCAACGACTAGTTTGGTAAGACGAAGAATTTCTCTGCACAAATGGAAAGCATTACCAAATCGAGATTTCTTTCGTTCCTTGGTAGTGAGAGTTTTGACAGGTTTGAGATTGAAGTTGTAATCCAAATGAAGATAGTTCAAGTTCTTACGATGAATGAGAAGATTGAGCATATTATAACCTTGACGGCACACTTGGAGACCAGCTTCAACCCAGTCCAATTGAGTAGTTTGGAAGAATTTGGTAGACTTAAGACTTCGGAAGAGATACTTTTTGTTGAGAGCTTTAGGGTGACGATGTTTGAGGGCATTGAGGACATAACATTTCAAAAGTTTTTGATAAGATACACGAACTTTGACAGGTTGACCAGAGGGACAATGTTCGAGATACCAATTTTTGACCAAAGGAATATCTTCAGCACGACGTGTACGACCAGATCGTTTGTCGAATGGATGAGGAGCCCAGTAAAGAGAAATAGCATTGGCAGTGTTATCAGTATATACAGGTGTTTCATCCAAGAAGGGCTTCACTGAAGTTGGAAGAGTGAAATCTAAATCTTGATCATCATCACCGAAAATACTATCTTCATGAGATTGATCACCACTATCCACAGATCGAGAAGAGATGGGATTGATAATAGGATCAAAGTAAAATGCAGGCAGTTCAGGATCTTCAGCTCGTACATATACCACGATGGGGAAATGATACCAAGAAACTTGCACACTACGAGGTAAAGAGTTGTATAAATAAGGGAAGGCGATCTTGTATTCGGTTCGTACAGGTTGTCGAATAATGATTTTATTGATATCGTTGAATTCGTTCCAGTCATCATCGGCATTTTCAAGATCACGGTATAACGGTTCAAATTTGGGACCACCAGGAATAGCCATACTGAGAGCCTTTGCTGTAAACATAGATTGCAAATCAAACAGATAAAAGTAATTCTTATCGTTCAAGTCGGATAATAATTGATGAGCTAAACGATACAAAGTAGACATGATAGGTAAATCCAGACGCCATTTTCGATATGCTGAACCATTGATAAATTTGGTGTCGACCAAAGGTTTGGGATCATAAAACCAATCAAAAACAGCTGCATCTTCTTCTTCATCTAATTCCATTTGAATAGCTTCCAAAGGTTCTACATCCATGATATTATCACCATAATCCAAAGGAGGTTCTTCATCATCAAAAGGAGGGAAACGCATACGCTTGAAATGTCGTCGATCACGTTTTTCACGTCGCATCATAATCCACATTGTACCCCATTGAGCAATGTAAATAGGCTCCACTACCCAAGGAATTTCATTGACAAAAGTGATTGCACCAGTAATGTGATAAAGAACATTGACTTCACGGACTTGTTCCCAAGGCATAGGCATATTTTCCAATAATTTCAAGACAGCATGAGGAATGTATTTGAGTGCACCCAAATAAATACGTTTGTCATGACGAAATTTCTTTGCTGACATGTCACCATGATCCTTGATAATCTTTCGTAAATGTTCAGGTGGCATATCTGCTTTTTGATGTTCGATAAAACCTGGTAAATTAATAAAATGAAAGAAAAATAGATATAATAAAAAAAAAAAGATTAGTTTAATTATTTCCTTTTAATAGTATGACATGATGAGAAAAAAAAAACACGATGATCTTACCAAATTTTCGTTTTTCGCCATAACGTTTGTTTTGAAGTTGTTGCCATTTTCGAGCCTTTTCATCCAAGCGATCCTTATATGACTTCATCTGGGTATGTTGATCATAAGCATCGTTGTTGTATTGTTGTTGTTGTTGATCGCCCACAGGGGAGTTGATTCCCTGATAATTCGTGGCCATGATAACTTTTGTTTGTCAACCAAAAAGGCAATCAAAGATCAAATAGATGTAAAGTAAAAAGTATTTGTACTTTAAAACTGGAGATCTTCAAATAAAGCGTTGGTTCAAAGAATAAAAAAGAATAAAAAAACAAAAAAAAAAAAAAAAAAAAAGCTATTTGCGCAGTAAGAAATCAGCAAAGAGAAAGAAAAAAAAAAAAGAAAAGAAAAGAAACATCAATAACAAAAAGTTGAAGCAACGAAAAATTCGACGTGACTGTATCTGATCCAAATTAGGAAACTGGGTGTGATCTTTCCTCCATCAAAAATGCACAATGGATTTTTTTTAAAAAAAAAATTCTTTTTCTTGTTGTGCATATTGATTATAAATAACCATGTCGACACAACCTGAAGAACAAGAAGAAGAAAATGTTTTGAAACAACTATTATCTCAAGCAGCCGTACTTATTGGAACATCACAACAACAACAGCCTTTGTCGAAAGGTAAGTCAAGTATTAACCAATCGTGACAGATCCAATACTTTAACAACTTTATATTATCTTTTATCTATTTAGATATACCTTTGGAAACACAGTTAACTCAACGTTTACAAGAATTAAAACTAGTACCAGATAATAATGATGAATCTTCTGAAACTCAAACAAGTGTGAAGAAAGAAAGTTCTATTCAACATACCTTTGTCCTAGAATGTCTTCATTTACTTGTCAGTATTCAAGAGGCTCTAGCTACCGAAATGACTCACAATGGTAAATACCGAAGGCAAAAAAAAAAAAAAAAAAGTATTTGACTATATTTACTTTTTTTTTTTTTATCTTATTATATAGAAAAGCAAACCGACCGAGATTATCTTGGTGTCCGAGATCTTCGTCTTGTTCATACCCTGCTCCAAGTTGTAGTTTCCTGGGGCATTTATCCTTGCTTATTACCTGGTGTTGGTGTACCTTTATCAAAACGTGTCAAATCAGGTTATACAAATCATGGTAAGGGTAACATATCATTCATATCTGTAAGAAAAATCTTGGTTAACTTTTTCTATTATTATTATTATTATTTTTTTTTTTGTATAGAGCTCTTAACATCACGTAAAGACACTGAAGCTACGGAAACTGAACGATCACAACGTACACTTTTATCCATCACAACTCAACTAGTAGATATTATAGCACGAAATGAGAAAACTACAATTGGAAAACAAGGCACCACAATTGCTTCTATTCTTTTACTACGACATTTACCAGATCTCTATGCTGCTCTACTTCAGCTAGCATATCAGCCAGTACCATCAACAACCAATATAAATTCACCTGGGAATGGATCTTCAATATCATCATCATCATCATCATCATCGTTCAGTCCAGCAAATATGGGGTTCTCAGATAGTGTGATGACAAAGGAAAATACAAACATCCTAACTCCTGATGAGAAAAACAAATGTGCTCGAATGTTCATGTGGCTCTTTGAAAGGTAAAGGTAAAAAAAAAAAAAAAAAAAAAAAGGAATCAAAATAATTATCTAGTCATTGATTTGATTATTATTTTATATAGATCTGATCTTTATCGAGCAATGGAATCGTTGATGCTTTTATTGGGAACATCGCCATTACATCCAGTTCCTGCTTGGTTGAGAAGTATATGTGGCCGGTTTTTATCTCGAATATTGTTGAAGCCCACAGGTGTGGCCGTGGTATTAGAATTTACTGTCGGAAATACAGAACAAAGTAATAAACGAAAAAGAATGAAAAGAATGACTCTCTTCTTATTTGATAGCTTACCCTTTATTATTATTATTATTATTATCGTTGTTGTTGACAGTACAATTGGCGGAAATGGAGAAAATCTCAAAATTGGTATTATCAACTCCAAGACAAATGACTTCTGTAGAGGTAGTAACAAGATAATGATGGAAGAAAATTATAAATTAACTTTTTTTTTTTTTGTTAGAGTTATTATGCCGTTATTTGCCCTCAACTTTTGGAATTTTTAATGGGTACCAATCAACAGAGATCCTCAACGGCAAAAGATCAAGTGGTTACATTTATTGTGGGACGAATGATTATCAAACATACTGATCTCACCAAGAAGTATATTGTAGAACCCATTATTGGTCCTTTGGAAAGATATTGGAAACAGTCACAGTATGACGATAACAAAGGCAATGACATTATCTCTGTATCTAATAATATGGATCGAGTGGTTATAGACGACAATAAGATGGCCAATCTACTACGAACATTGCACAATATAATGGTGGGTGGTGAACCTTCTCCCTTAGTGATCCAAACTTTCATGGTGACCATTGTTCCTCCGCTATACCATTTATATGATTTTGCCTGCCGCACGAAATCAGGGTTACGAGAAACTGTATTGGATTTATTGACAACTTACTTTCGTATCATGATGACAAAGGACGTATTGGACGATCTCAAGAAAATAATATTGGATCCCATCAGTATTCAAGGTGATCGTGTAGCATATTTTGCGCCATCATCCAGTGGTGGTATTGAATTACGATTAAAAAGGTAAAATGTATATTTATAAACGGGATTTATTTATTTATATGTCATATTTAGGGAAAGAAAGAGTTTAGGTGGAAATGAACTTCCTTTGGATACAACTCGATTGGTGGAATTTCTTCAGACTTTGGATAATCCTGACTTGAGTGGTGATTTTTTTGTCTCCTTACTCAACATTTATACCACCATGCAACATGCTTCATCGGCAACAGATCCTAAAAGGTAAATTATTATTAAAAAGATGAAGGAAAAAAAAATAATGTTCAATAATCACCGCTGTTAACCTTTTTTTTTTTTTATTTCTTTCTGATGTAGTATACTGATGGTATTACAATTGATTATGAGTATGGCTGATACCTTAGGTCCTAACATTCTTGGAAAACCTACACAAATCCTGTCATTTGCTAATAACATAGTGATGGAACATTTAGATCGTATTGAAAATGTCAAGAATCAACAAGAACAACAACAACAACAACAAGGTAGATTCCCGATAGATTTGGCCAATATTATCAGTGAGGATCAAAAGGAAATACTGGAAGAACATGATGACAATTTTACGGTAGAAGATGATTTAGAATCTTTATTGTTGGCCATCGATCTTGTACGTGCAGTTATTCAAGGTAAGAAAGTCGTAAAAGAAAACTAAGTAGCGATGATGATGGTCAGATATTAACGGAGGGGATTTTGCGTTTATGATTAGAAAATGATGAATTGAATCATCCTACCATTCAACTCTTGACATCGATCTTGGGGCCAATGAAGCGATTGGAAAAGTATGTTAGTGATATTATGCAAGAACAAGTACATGAGGTGATTCTGGCCATCACCACTTTATTATCGGCGCATGATATGGCAAAGAGCAAATCAAGTGGAAATGAACAATTGGAACAGTCGAAAATAAAATATCGAGATGCGATGAAAGCTCTTCAAGATGAATTGTTACCTATTCGGGCACACGGTATGGGCATGTTGAAGGAGATGATTCTTTCCAAAGATCCTTTGGTATCTTCCGGTACTCAGTTGGACAGTATTTTGGACTTGTTTATTCAATTGGTTCAAGATGAAGATAGGTAAGAACAAAAAAAGATTTAAAGAAAAAAAAAAAAGGAAACTCATTTATCTATATATATATGTGTGTATAGTTTTATCTATTTGAATGCAATCAAAGGTTTATCGGCATTAACAGACATCCATGGCAAGAAAATCATCGAAAAGTTGGGAAATATTTACAGTGACGTCTCTGAAAAATTGGATAATCGGTTACGAGTAGGTGAAGCTTTGTTGCAAACGGTTCAACGTTGTGGTGATACGCTTGGAACATATAGTAAGTCAAAACAGAATAGATGAGAATAAAGATCTAATCTCTCTCTTTTTTTTTTTTTTTTTTTTTTTTTTTTTTTACGTATATTTAGTCAATAGCTTGATCAAACCTTTAGAAACTGTTTTGGCTAGCCGACAAACACCTACTCATCTTCGTGTGTCAGCATTATCCATACTTAGTACAGCATGTCAGACAAGTCCAAGTGCATTGACAGGTATCTTGTGGGAATTAACTAATTGGGTATTGAATATTCTTGAAATTGAAAAAGCACCAGAAATTCGTCGGGGTAATTCTACAAAAAAAAAAAAAAAAAAATAGATTATTTGACTGATCACATTTTTATATAATAGCTGGGACAGTATTGATATTATCACTCTTCCGAGGAATGGCACAACAAACTTTATACGATTTTCCAGCGGACAACTTGCGGCGGGCTTATAGAACACTTAGATATATTGAACATAGTGACCCGGATGAATTGACAAGACATCAAGCGAGAGTAGCTCTAAGTGATTTGGATATGATCATGCGTGGTGAACTCTTCAAATCCAATAGATAATAGATTTAGATTATTATTTTACCCCTGAAACACATTTTTTTTTGGTACAAATAAACAACACCCTGTTATTTATTTAAATTATTTATGTTTGACAAAAGCGAGAAACAATGGACTTTTATTTATTCTTATTTGATGGATTGAATTTGTTTATTTTTTCTAATAAAGGTAATAATAAGGGAAGGAACTAGATGACCAAAATAGAAATAAAATAGATACTTGAGGTTGAATGATTATTTTAAAAAGTCATCATGTCGATAGTGACATCTATTTTTTGGTCATCATCCATGATTGTCTCATGATCTGGACAAACAAATGAAAATAGATGATTCTCTTGATGATATTGTTCTTCTTTTATGGAAGACGATAATAATGAACAGGAAGATATAATTGACCATTGTGATGGATGAACCCCATTACGTGGACAACTCCCCTGAAAAAAAAAAAGATGATGAATAAAACTGAAATAAGATAGATAAATCTCAAACTTACAGCATGCTGAGGAATCCAATGACCACAAAGTTCACATGTAGCAGGAAAAAACATGATAGGAGACATATGGATATCAGAAGAAGAAGAAGAAGGAAAAAGAAAAAAAAGTAAAGATAAAGTGAAAGGAAAAAAAAAAAAAAAGAAAACAATTGAAATAAAGAAAGTTTATTATTAATTGGAACAAAATGTCACAAGATCTAAAGAAACAACAACAACAAAAGTAATGGTATGTGTAGGAGATGGTGATAAAAAAAAAATATATTATAAAAAAAGAGAGAGAGGGGGGGGATGACTAGAAATAAACTAATTTTCCATAGGAACAGATAGTTTTCGAAGTTTCAAAATGTTCCGAACATCAGAAGTGAACCGAAGAGCATCCAAAAGCGGTAACAAATCTAATAAACTTTCATCATTAGGTGCATTAAACCAGCTTGATATTGGGATTCCATTTTCTAATCATAATATTATTTGTTAGTTTTTTCATCAATAGAATAATAATATTAATTTACCTTGATAAAGTTCATAAGCAATAGGACTATTATCTATTAAGCAAACTTTGGAAAGATCAGGTTCAGCTAATGATCTAAAAAATATATAAAAATATAATTTTTTAAGGAGGATCATTCAATAAAAGAAAGAAAAAACTTACATATCTTTCAAATAGTTCCCGCCTTTTGGTACGCATGACTATTTGAAAAAAAAAAAAGAAAGATCATCAAAACCAATGATTTTAAATAATATCCATTTTACCTGTCTAAAATAACGTTGTGATACCATACTGTCATCCTGATCTAACCAATCTATCACTGGGTCAGCGTATTCTGCCATAGAAGCTGTAAAGATGACTACTTTATACCATTGACTTATCTATATATATATATATAATAAAGAAATTAAATAAATAAGAAATCAATTTATTTTGTATTATATATTACCGTTTTCAAAAAAAAGTCAGCATGGGGTCGTTTATATACTAAATAAAGTACACTTTGTTTTTCACTTGTTACTTCAATTTGTTTTCGTTGAATAGCAGCATGGATGGGTTGTAATTTAGTACCACCAAGTTGAACAGAATGAACTAAAGTTTCGTCCAAGTCTAATACAAGAGTTTTTCCTTTGTAATATTGTAAAGCAGTTCGTTTTGAATTGAGTTTGTTAGTAGTAGTAGTAGTAGTTGTGGTGGTGGTAATACGTTGTATTCGATGTTTAGTAGGATAATAGAGAATGGTCCGTATATATGCATAAATAAGAGTAAGATAATCAAGTAAAGGAGTGACAAACCGATGACGTCGTGATGGCATGAATAATAAATAATAATAATGTTAAAAAAGCGTAATAATAATAATAATAATATGATGTCTCTCTCTCTATATATATATGTAAAATAAAGTATGTACAAAAATAAAAAAAAAACAGAGTTGAGTTGAGTTTATATAAAAGAAAAAAAAAAAGAGAGAGAGAAGGAGGGAGAGAGAAACATAAAAGCGGAAGTGGTAACCGTCAGAAAAAAAAAGTGACGCTGTCGGTGTAACATTTTGAGAAAAAGGAGTGGAAAAAAAAAAGTCTCCAGGTTATTTGGCTGGGCGTTTTAAACTATTCTTTTTCTTTTTCTTTTTCTTTTTTTTTATTATTAATACCATCATTACTTTTATATTAATACTAATGACACCACTTACACATCTTTTTATATCTAAACATCGTAAAGTACATTTTGATATTGCTATTGTTATCCGAGATCTAGTGAATATTCCTTTAGTAAGTGGGCTCTTTTTTGTCAATTGGAGAATGAAGAATGCATCACAAACTTATGGAGCAACAGTAAGGTAAGGAGGAAGGAAGTATTTTATTTGATTTTTTTTTTTATTTTATTTTATTTATTTCTCCCTTTTTTTATTATTATATAGAGTACCTATTAAAGATCATACTGTATGTTGGAATCAACCTATTAAAGTTTTATCTCAAATGGTGATCAATAAGCAACGTGTATTAGGACCTTGTGAACTCAAATTAGAAGTGTTTCAAGAACTTGGTGGTAAGCAAGTATCAAATATCGGCGACTTGACTATCAATTTATCCGAATATGTGGACGCCGGATTGGCTACTGAAAGATTCCTTTTGAATCATTCAAAATTCAATTCTACTTTAAAGGTAAATATCAAAAAAGGAAACTCTCTGTGTGACATTATTAAACTTAACCATTATTATTATTATAGTTGGCTATCAAATTACATCAAAAATCAGATCCTGGTGTAGAATTCCAAATGTAAGTTTTTTTTTTTAATATAAATATTATACATATTCATTTCTTTTTTTTTTTTTTATAGACCTATTAAAAAGAAACAATTATCATCAAGCATACCTTCATTTATCATTGAAAGGAAATCAAGTATGACACCCTCTACGGATGACAGATTATTAGGTAACCATATCCAATATATCATATTCACGTGTCTCACTTCCTATCTTTTCTTTTTTTCTTTTTAGATACACGAAAACCTACTACAAATCGAGTTATTAGAAAATCTCAATCTACAATGACCCTAGTAAGTTACTATAATAATACAAAAAAAAATACTCATCTTTTCCTTTTTTTTTTTTAATAGAAATACTGTAGACAAAATACATTACCCAAAGGTTATGATTGTCCTTCTCCTCAAGATGTAGTTGAACAACTTTTTGCCCATTGATTCCTTATTCCCCTCCCCCCGTTTGTTTCATACCATCCTTCTTCTCGTCGGTTTTGCCTCTTCGTCTAGAAATTCCACTTTATGTAAACCCTTTTTGTACAGTTCCTTTTTTTTTTTATCTCCTGAATAAATCTTCAAAATGACACATTTATCTATTTTAATACAATCTCCTATTTGTCTTCTTTATTCAAAATCACTTTTTATAATTATGATAGCTATGATGATTTCTCTTATGATTTGGAAATATTATTTCGATTGGTATGATCAGGTCAATGCAGGTATGCCATATTCAAGGATCTACGTACAGTGCCCCTCATTTCGGTGTTCAAAAAGAAGAAATGGAAAAATGGTAAGTTGTCATGGTTCAACTAAATTATTATTTGTATATATGCACTTACCAACAAATGATCTGCTAGTTCAAGGGCATGACAATCAACTAATCCAGGATGTGTGTGACACCGAGAGATAATGGAAACAACCTGAAAAGGACCATGAGAAGAAAAGTAGACAGACCATACAAGTGACATACGACCAAATGAAAAAACAACAAAAAAATATACCAACAAGAAGCAAATGTTTTTTTTTTTTGTGTTTATTGTTGTTTCCTCCAATCAACATTGAGATTACTCATGATTATTCTATTAAAGCAAATACTTCAGGCTTATCGATCAAATCAATCATTCATCATCCAGTCATTACATGTCATAAAATAGTATATAGAATTCATATCTCATAAAATAAAATAAAAGGTTACAGTACTTATAAGAGTAATAGTTTTTATAAAGAGCATAATAATCATGCAAGCGGAGATCATAAACCTCAGGGTCTATCAACTTGGGCATCCCATAATAAACAAACAGGAATCAACCTGTTGGATCCTTGAGTCATCCTGAATTGATTTTTCAAAAAAAAAAAAAAAAAAAAAAAAAAAAAAAAAAAAAAAGAAAGATAGAAAAGTTCTATTTTCAAATAAAAATCGATTCCCAAAAAAAGACATGCGATAGTACCAGAGTCATTTCTGGGCACTATCTTTTTTTTTCTTGTTTGGGAAAAAGAAAGTCAATAGATGGGAATTCATTTTTGAAGCCCGCCTTCCCCTTTTTTTTCTCTCTTTCTCTCTCTTTTTTTTTTTCTACCGTATTCGTTATCATGAATCAAATGGTCCTTTTGATCATTGGACTTTTTCTCTTTTGTTTTATTCAAACGAGTCTTGCAATAGAATCAACATTAGACTCACCACGACGAATTGTGGCCATGGGGGATTTGCACGGAGACTTGGCAAATACGAAAAAGATCCTTGCGCTAGCTGGTTTGATAGATGAAAAGGGACATTGGTCTGGACAAGATGCTATTTATGTACAAACGGTAAAAAAAAAAAAAAAAAGAATTCATATAGCATCTCTATTTGGCTAGAAACTCATTTATATATATATATTCATTGTTGTTAGGGCGATGTATTGGATAGAGGTACGGATACGATTGCATTATACGAATTGATCCAACAATTACGGGAAGAAGCACCTGAGCAAGGTGGACTAGTGATTCCATTGTTGGGTAATCATGAAATCATGAATCTTGTGGGTGATTGGCGGTATGTGACACAAAAGGAAATGGCGACGTTTGGTGGTCAACAACAACGGATTCAAGCCTTTCAACCGGATGGGTTCCTTGGTAGCTATTTGACCCAACTCAATCTAACAACCAAAGTAGGTGGCAATGTGTTTTGTCATGGTGGTATTCATCCTGATTTTGCCAAATGGGGACCAGATCTAATCAACGATTACACTCATCAAGATATTCTGGATTATATGCACTCACATCATGATCCTCATCACTTATTTGGCGCCAATGGTCCGACTTGGTATCGTGGTTATGCTTTGGAAGATGAACCAGAGATTTGTACTCTATTGGATCAAGCACTTGATCATATGGAGGTAAATCTAAATATATAAGTAGAGTGGCACTGATATATGATTTTTTATAGGCTGATCGTATGATCATGGGACATACTGTACAACAAGATGGGGAAATCAAAACTCGATGTAATGGAAGGATAGTTTTGGTGGATATCGGTATCTCTTGGGTTTACGGTAGACATGTGGGTGCACTAGAAATCTTGGGTGATCAACTGACAGCTATCTATGAGCATGGAAGGGTTTCATTGACGCCACCTTTTCAACCTATTAGGATAGTACATCAAGAATTATAATGAATAGAATAAAAAGCTAGAAATGTTTTTTTTTGTACCTTTATTTATTGTTTGTAATCGAATACCTCATGACCCAAACCTTTTTTTTTATTATTGTTATTGTATTCTCTTTTTTTTTTTTTTTTTTTTGTGTGTGTGTGTGTGTGCGTCACTTCATCCATTTAATAAATGACATATAAAAGCCCTTCTTTATTATGATGATTTATATTTTTATATAAAAAAGAAGCAATGTCTTCATAGCTTCTATATTAAAAAAGAAATATGCTTCAACGACCCTATTATAGTCCTGTTTTACCTCCACAACCAACAGTGGTAATGTCTCCACCTCCACCTTATTATGCTTCTTCCGTTCAACCTATTGTCTATCAAAGTAAGAAAAAAAATCAATGTTGTTTGTTCTTTTCTCAATAGCTACCTTCATAGCACCTGTCATGCGTCCTCCTGCAAGTTACTATTATGATCCTTATCGTCCTGATATGTGTTCATCAGAGAGTGGGAGTTGTTGTTTAGGCTGGTAATTTCTCAATCATCACCAACATCATCATCATCATCAGATCATTGAAACATTTTTGCATTCTTTTTTTTTTTTTTTTTTTTTTTTTTTTACAACATAGTATGGTGGCCTTGTTTTGTTGTTGTTGTATTGATTCTGTCATGGATGATTGTGGTTATTGTTGTCTTGACTAAAAAAGCTACCTTATGCTTAGCACGATAGTTCATCAACACATTTCAAAAAAAAAAAAACAATATACTTTATTTGTATAAACACACATAATATATAACAATAATAATAAGAATAAAATATCAAAAACAAATACACCTATTGAGCCAATACACTGATATTATAATATAAATCTAAACTTTCAGGATTGGATAAAGTACCAGAAGGAACAACAGTTTGTCCAGAGATGATTTTCTATCATCAAAATAAAAATAAAAATAAAAAAAATGAGTGTGTCGGAAATCATTTGCATTTGCTGATCTTAGATATATCTTACCTTGACAGCCACTTCAACCTTCTTACCATTGATGGTATACTATTCAAGAATAAAGAAAAAGATGAGTATACAAGATCATTTAATCTATTTAACCAACTTACAGGAATATCAGAAATAGGTAAAATAAAGGCAGGCACATGACGAGGGCTTAGTTCGCTTCGAATCTTGACCTTAATAGACTTGACCAAATCATCTGTAAGTGCCACATCCTTTTTCATCTTCAAAAACAGGACTACGCGTTCATCATCTTCACCCTTGATCTTTTGTCCAACACAAAGAGAATCTTCAACACCTTGATCAACAAATCGATCCACCACATTATATATTTCTGCACTACCAAAACGGACACCAGAAGGATTCAAAGTACCATCCGATCGACCCAACATGATCACTCCTCCAGTCTTGGGGTTTATCCATACGAAATCACCATGGTACCAGATATCATCATGTACGTTAAAGTAGGCATTCTTGTATTTTGTACGCTTTTCATCATCACCATACATACATACAGGCATACAAGGGAAAGGAGTTGTACATACCAAATCAGCAGGTTCACCTTTGACAGATTTTTCTACATCAAATAAATAAATAAGTAAACATCTATATATATCATATATTCAATCAAACTTACTATCATCAGTCCAAGCTTCAATCTTCATACCAAGACAAATACATTGAATTTCACCACGATAGACAGGTAAAGCCGCATTATGACCAGCAAACAATGAGCAAATATCAGTACCACCAGTAATACTTCCTAGCATGACATCTTTCTTGATATGTTCGTATACAAATTCAAAGCTTTCAGGTTTCAAAGGAGATCCAGTAGAATATACTGCCTTGAGCTTATCGAGACGACAGAGATCCACTAATTACAAAAAAAAAAAAAAAAAAAAAAAAATCAGTCCCCTGTTGTCATTAAAAGTCATATAATACTTGCTTGGATAAACTTTAGCTTCTTGTAAAGATTGAATATACTTGGCAGAAGCACCCCAATGTGTCACATTCAATTCATCAGCCAATTCCCATAAAGAGATAGGTGCAGGCTTGAATGGACTACCATCCCACAACACAATTGTAGCCCCCACACTAAGTCCAAAGACTAACCAATTCCACATCATCCATCCAGTTGTTGTGTAATAAAAGAAAACATCATCAGGAGTCATGTTGCCGTGTATGATATGTTCCTTTTTTAATTGAAGTAAGAGACCAGCACCAGAATGGACGATACATTTAGGGAGACCAGTAGTACCAGAGCTGAAAAGGATAAATGCTGGATGATCAAATGGTAATTGTTTGAATTCAATTTCAGAAGGTAATTGATTTTCAGGCACAGTCTTCAAAAAACAATCCCATGTAACGCTATATATATAAAAAAAAAAAGAGGGATCGTGAGAAAAAAAAAAAGAAAATATCAACGGCGTCTGAATATGATTACTATACCTTTTATCGACTTCACCCATAGATGCTTCTTTGACAAAAGGGATCATAACCACTTTTTCCACAGAAGGTAAATCCTTGATCACAGCTTCAACCTTAGGTACATGATTAAGAGTTTTTCCATTATAATAGACAGCATTCACAGAAAATAGGATCTTGGGTTGAATTTGTGTGAATCGATCAAGTACACCCTATAAATCAATATCGGGTCAGTTAAACCTTGTTTCATCTATGTCTCCACATTTTTTTTTTTTTATTTTTCTTACCGTGGTTCCAAAATCAGGAGAAGTAGAACTATATACAAATAATAAATCATCATTCATATATCTCTTCTCTTAATTATTTTTTTTTATCAATTACCTCCAAATAGCACCTAAACTTGTAGCAGCCAACATAGCAATGACGGCTTCAGCACAATTAGGAATATAAGCAGCTACACGATCACCTTGTTGAATACCCATAACCTTCATAGCTTCAGCACATTGAAGTACCTTTTGATAAAGTTCAGCATAGCTTATAGATTCACGACCATGACCTTCACCTAAGATTATAAAAAAGGATATAAGTCTTTTATATTCAAACGAGATGCTTACCTGTAGCAATGATAGCAGTCTTGTCGGCACTACGACACCATAACATGTTTTCAGCTACATTCAATAAAGCACCTTCGAACCATTTTGGAATTGAATCCATACGAGCGGAAGTATCCAATACACGATTAGCCTTGGTGGAAGAAATGATACCAGTCTTATCCCAAACTGCACCCCAAAATTGTTCAGGTTCAGAAACAGACCATTCATAAAGTTCTTGATAATTGGCTAGTCATTATTTAAAAAAGTGAATAAAAATATATGAGTGCATTTTATGTGTATCATTACCTAAAGACAGGTTATAAAGGTCATTAACAGCAAGTCTAAAGCGTTCCATTTCAGTATCTTCAGGGTGACTAGGAGTCCAGAGACATTTTGGATCAAGAGTCAAGTTTGCGTCTTCCATGGCTTAATAATAAAAAGTGTTCAAGAGAAAAAGAAAAGAAAAGGAAAAAGAAAAAGAAAAAGAAAAAAGGAAATCCATACATTTATGACTTTTGATAAATGTGTCTTCCGATTAAACTTTGGGGCCTCTCCGGTCATACACTTTAAAAGTCCGTGACCATCTTACCCTTTTTTTTTAATTCACTCTATCTCACTCTATTAGATAACTCTATTAGATAACTCTATGATTGGTGTTATTTAAAAGCTAAAAAGAAAAAAAAAAGGGAATACTATGGAATTTTACATATTTCATATATATATATATATTATTGATAACACATTTCAAAAGTTTGAATAGAATGTGATTACAATCATCATCATGTCAAGGATAGTTTCCCACGCCATTACCACAAATCCCTTCTCTCTCTCTCTCTCTCTCTCTCTCTATAGGACTTTTTCACGGAAAATTCAAAAAAATGGATGGCGGAAAATCTTTTTTCTGATCCGAACAAAAAAAAAAAAAAAAAGAAAAAGCTTTGTTCTTTCTCCGGTTCTTTCTTTTTTTTTTTTTTTATCACTCTATCTGTGTGATGGGTGGATGTCAATTACCAAAAGATTATCAAGATATCTCTTCCTATATCAAAGATCTATGTGATTTCATTCAACAATATCAATTCCTTATTGATATTCATGTTGTTGACTTTATCTCCCATAATCAATGGTTTCTTCTCGACCCTGAATGGCAACACGCTTTTTTACCAGACCACAACCAGGACCCAGATTGGTGGAATCATTTGATTCATATATCTACTGCAGCAGATTTAACAAACGTAAAAGTCATCCTCATAAAAATAGTTTGCTCATACTCACTTTTTCCTTTTATATATATATATATATTATATGAATAGAATTTTGAAATGGATTCGACTTGGCCAACTTCCCTCTGTCGTTATATTGAAAAAATTAGATCATTGACTCTACCAAGGCAAACAAGTTTAGATGGTAAAGAAAAAAAAAAAAGCCAACATTCCTTATCTATCTCTCTTCTTGCTTACATAATTTCTTCCCTTTTTTTTTAAAAAAAAATAGATGACCTTGTTTGCATGATTGATCGACATATTAAACCGGGTATGACACAAAAAAAACTACATGAGGTAAGAATTGATTAAAGAAAAGAATGATCACTAAATCAATCTTTTTTTATATATATTTCTGATAGGTGGAAAGAATGGGACCATTGATTGACAAAGTGGCCAAAGACAATCATATTGGACATGTCATCGACCTTGGTGCTGGACAAGGTTATCTTTCAAGAACCATGGCATTTCAATACGATTTACAAGTGATGGCGATTGATGGATCAGAAGTTCAGACATGTGGAGCAAAACGATTTGATACCATGGCAATCAAAGGATTCAAGGATAAAGAACATTTGATTCATCATGTCACTGATCTGTTTACTCCCGAAAATGCAACCGATATCTTACAATCATTACAACAACAACATACACATCCTTCTTTGTTAATCTGTGGTCTTCATGCCTGTGGTGATCTTTCAACTATGATGCTCCGGCTTTTTACGCAACAATCTGACATCCAAGCTTTGGTCAATGTGGGTTGCTGTTATCATTTTTTATCCCATCAAGGTCCATCTCCTGGATTTCCCATGTCACGTACTCTACAATCCTTTCAACTTGGTTCTACTGCTTGTATGCTGGCCTGTCAAGCTCCTTCTCGTTGGTTGGATCAAAAGGAGGCAAGTATCAAGGCTTACGAACATCATTTCTTTCGATGTTTATTACAGGTATATATATAATTATTTTTTGTAAAAAAAAAAAAAAAATCGATGATAGAATTCTAACTTTTTTTTTTGCTTTTGTTTTTTGTAGTGGATGATGATTGAAAAAGGATTGATATCGGCAACAGATAAGGCTCCCATCATAGGTCGACTGAACAAGAAACGTGATTTTGATTCTTTTCCTATTTATGTAAAGGCGGCGTTGACAAGACTAGGTATGGACCCAAATGCTATTTCATCTGATGACGCCGCAGCTCAGTATCATCATTACAAACATACGGCTCAAGTGGACAAACGGATTGCTGTACTTTGGACTCTTAGAGGTAAGAATAATAATAAAAAAAAAAAAAAAAAGACGAAGAGGGGGAGGAAATGGTGACTATAAAATAACATTCATTTTTATATAGCTCTTCTTGGTCCAGTGATTGAATCATTCATATTGATGGATCGTTATATGTATTTGGAAGAAACTGTACCACCGAGTCCAACAAAATCCGTATCTATCTTGCCTCTATTTGATGATCTTGTTTCTCCAAGAAATATGGTCATTGTCGCCACAAAGTAGTAATAACAGTAGTTTAGATATTTTTTTTTTTGTCAACTAGCTAGATTTGTATATTATATTTAGACATTTCCTTTTTTTTTCATGATCCCCTTTTATTATTATATGTGTAGATAGATATTAGAACGTATTCCCTCTTTGTTGAAATTTTATAGATTGGACAAATAAATTTATGGTGTGGTGAAGTCTTTAATGACAAATCAATAGATGATATATGAGATAATGATAGTTTATATGATTGAACAATGTTATAGTATAAACGAATAATTGTATTATCTATTAGCATTCTCAGAAATGGATAACCGTCTTCTTTTCGAGATATGGGTTTCAAAACGGAAGAGTATCAACGTTGAAGCATTGAAATGAAGGGAAAAAAAAAAGGTATGGATGTGTTGCTCATAGTAAGCGTACATAAAAGAAATTCATTCAGTAGAGAAGGCAGAGAGAGATATAATATAGACACAAAGAGAGGTTGATGTTATTTATTGACATGGGAAAAGAATAATAATAATAAAAAAGAAAATGATACTATGCAAAAAAAAATAAAAATTAAAAATAATGTATGTGGTTTCATCGATAATCATCAATAACCTCGCATAAAGTATCTACCAAATTGACAATGCCATTCTTTTTCAGTTTTTGTCGAACCAAGTTACCCAAGATTTCTGATCTATTTGCAAAATCAAAAAAAAAAACAAGTGAGATGAAAGGGGTACAAAAACCTACGGAGAGAAAACTTACGAGGTATCACCATATTGTAAAAGGACAGTTAATGAAGAGAGATCCAAAGAATGAGGATAAGCCATGATTTGCTTTGCACGGATATTAAAGATCACCTGGAATTTGAGTTTTTGCATATAGCTAAATACTGTGATTTGACACTTTACACCACGCATATCAGTATCAGCAAAGGGATCTTGAGTCAATGTTTCCAATTCAATCCAGAACCGTCGTTTCACCATGGTCACTTCTTTTCTAATCATCCGTAGTCGATTCCAATAAATCGAGATCACTTGCATAATCTGGATAAAATAAGTTAATTTTTATATATAACTCTTATTCTTATTATTATTATTTTACCTCTTCTTGTTTCCATGTTCCCTTTGCCATAAGTTGTAATCCATGCACCAATTCAGCAAAAGGCCCATAATCACGATCCCTTGATTCCAGCATACCAATAAAGACAGCATCCACTTCATGATTGTATAATTTTTGAGTGTTGATCAAGACATTCAAATCATCATAAATGATAAATTCCATGATATCTTCAGTCTTTTGTTTGAGTTTCCAACCACAGATTTCGGAACAGGCATCATATTGATCTAAACAAAAAAAAAAAAATCATAATTAAAGACTGGAAAAAGAAATTTCCTTGCCTTTTAGAAATAAATCAATAAATAAAAATTACCTTTTGCGTCGATCATATCACGGTCTGAAACGTATGGATGAGCATCCCTTGTAGCTTCTGCTTTGGCAATGGCTTCCAATAATTCCTTCTTCCGTTCTTCTAGTAGAGTTAACTTCTTCAGAGTATCTGTTTCCTGGTCCTTCAAATCGCTGACTTGTTGTCGACTATTTTCAATCACCATTCTTGTAAAACAAAAGAGGACAACACCTCATCAGTATCCATATTTCCATTCCTTCCTTTTGTTTTTTGTTCACTTACTCTTGATCTCTGATATCCCGTTCCCATCGCACGATAAGTCCGTGATCCATTTCTTGATATGTCTTTTCCCTAAATACAAAAAAATAAACTTATTTGAGATCACCCAGTTCTAAAAGAAAATGAAGTCTTACCTTTCTCGTGCTTCCTCCGTTGCTTTTGTCAGTTCATACCGATGCGCCAATAATTGAGGGAAATTGCTGTTGATATGATCTTCCATTTGTTTCAAGAGATCTTGATCCTATAAAGTGAGAGATAAAATATCAGTATTTGGGTTTTCATTTTTTTTGATAATACATACCTTCTTTTGACGATCAAGATGAGATGTAAAAAGATTGATCAAATCTTTCGTTATAGATATTTGCCACTTAATCCATTCATGTTCAGCTTCCGCATGCGCCAATGCTTTAGACTGTTCAAACTGTTCTTCCATTTGTTGACATATTTCGGCTGTCGCATCACGATATTCTGCAAAAATTTGTGGATTGTTTTCACTTAGATCATCATCCAATATCTTGAGTCGATTTGAGAGTTCTTTAATCAAATCTTCCAATCGTTGAGCCAACTAAAAAATAATAGTAAAATAGAATATATATTAGTACTTGATCATTTTGTTCTCTAATGTAAATATAAAATGAAACAAGAGATTTTACTTTGCGATAGGCTTCTAATTCGGGTAAAGTACATGCGGCAGCTGTAGCTTGTTCATCAAATCGGGCTGGATCTAGATAGAAGGTAAAAATAAATCAGTGTTCGCCTAATCAACCTTCTTTTATTCTTTCTTTCTATAGACACACACACAATGTATATATATATATATATATATTACCTTTGTTCAAAGGAACATCTGCTTCATTTCTTTGAGTTGGTACTGGTACATTTTCGGCAAAGTCCACTCCGGCAGATTCCAAGAATTTCGACAAGGTCATAGATTTGGAGCTTGGTACATCTTCAACAAAGGAATCATAGAGTTGTGGTAATTCTTCTTCAAATAAATCGACTATGATCATAATAGAAAAAGAAAGAGAAGAAGAGAAAAAAAAATCAATCGTCTATTTTCCACACTTTTTTTTTCTTATTCTCCCATATACTTACTATTGTCATTTCCATGCATTGATATCATTCGATCACCATAATCAGACCCTATACTATGATCAGTTTCCTCTGGACCAGGTACATCTTCTCGTCGAAGTGGTGATGGTTGAAGATGATGAGTGCGACGTATAGAAGATGCTTGACCAGGACTAGTAGGATCTACTGAGCGAGCAGGAGAATACGCTTGAGCTTCATCGTGCAAATAAAAAGATCGTTGTGGTGAAAAAGGTTCTTGCTGACGTTGATGTAGTGAACGAGGAGGAGGTAACCGATCAGATAATAATGCTGAATGAGATGATTGACGGCGAGGAAGAATAGGGCTTGCATCCATTGATTCTAACACTGACATACCAACACGAGGGCTTTTGGCGGTATCATTGTTGACTTTCCTTGTCGATGTATATGGAGATCGCATAGGAGACCTTGAAGGTGGTGATGATGTGCCAACAAAAGATGAGTAATTATCATGGTAAACAGACTGTCTATTGGGTGTAGAATGAAGTCGATTCGTTGGTATAGATTCTAATGTCAGTTTCATATCAGCTGTTTCTTGTGATTCATTTTGAGAAGTAAGTTGGCCTGATAGAACATGTTCCTTGTTTGATGCGGGTACTGAATTGTTGCTGGAGTGCTGTTGCTGTTGTTGTAAGGTAGTACGACGTTGATCCGGTAATCCACTGGTGATAGCTGTCGTAGGCCAAAGTTCCATTGTTTCTTCCATTGGTGACATAGCTTGCCTCGTGGTTTCCTCTTCTTGCTGTAAAGTTAAAGGCATAATACCAGTATCGTCCATGGTTGAATGATCAGAAAGTCGTCTAGATGGGTTGGAGGTAAATGGTGGTAATGGCATATTGTTGGTATCTTCTTGTGAATTTGTCAAAGTTGAGAGTCGTGATGATTTGGTAGTGATCTGGTGTTGATAAGTATGATCATCCTTTTCATCGTTATTGTTCATATAAGGGTTTGCTTTCTTGTCATTGGTAAATATCGATGGTTCATTACTGGAAGAAGATATGGGCAAAGTTGTCGATGGTAACGTTGATACTTTTGATACGTTTGGTATTGTCGTTGATTCGGTTGCATCTTGTGTAGATTGAGGAGTAGTCGGCACTTTTGTGGTACTATCATAATGATTGGAGAAAGAAGAAGAAATAAAAAAATCGTTTTCTCCTTTATATTTCTTGTCATTATTGTTGATATCATTATCATCATCGTCGTCGAAAAGTCGTTTGGGACCTCTTTGTTTGTCTTGAGATAGGAATTGCATAAAGTAGTTATTTTGAGGAGTTTCATCGTCGTCTTCGTCCCATTGTCGCATTCCACGTACGCGATTTTCAGGATAGATGACTTGCGTTTGTTTGTGTTGTTCACGATGACCTGGTGGGCTACCAAACATATCTACACGCCTAAACAACAAGTAAAGAAAGAAGAGAAATAGATGGATCAGTATCGTATACCAAAGTCATTCAAATCAATGTCTTTTATCCATGATGCATTTACCTTTTTCTACGGTCCATAGGCGATCCAGATAACCTTGATAAGTAGACACTATAAAGAATATATTTATTGAGTATAATATCCTTTTCTGGATTTTTTTTTTCTAGTTTCTTACTTGTCAGTTTGATTCACTGATGGACTACTGGTTTCAGCATCAAAAACAGTAGAATATGGTTTATCATTGTCGTTATCCTCGTTGTTGTTTTCGTCAGATAAATTTGTATGTACTCTTTGATTCAAAGTACGGAGACTTGGACTATTAGGTGTTTCGTTTTTGCCATAGAAGCTAAAAAGGAAAAAAAAAAAAGGAATATTTGATCATTTATTAGAACACAAAAGATTCCTTCAATTAGACCTGTTTGTTTATCTTTACCGAACTCTAGCGTCTGATGCAAAACTAACACGACGGTTGATCAATTGATGATATCTTGGACTAGAAATAAATGACAAAAAAAAAAAAAAAAGGAAATAAGAAAGGAGAAGTAACAATATCGCGTTTGATGACAGAAAAACAATGTCGAGAACTTACGCTTTTTGCCGACTATGTTGACTAGAATAAGGATCTGGTGTTTGTGTTTCTTTCAATATACTTCGAATAGGAGACTAGAAATAAAAGTAGATACGAGATTAGTAAATATGTTCACAATGAAGGATAAGTAAGTATACATACTGATATGGCTTGAGATATTCGACTTTCAGAATTATCAATAGTCCAAGGTACAGTCGGTTCCCTTTCATTATTCCGAACAGGAGATGTCATCAAATCAGACATGATAATTATATATACAGAAAGTGATAAAAAAAAAATAAATAAATAAAGAGAAAAAGAGAGTGAAAACAAATATTCAAGAAAATGGGAAAAAAGTACCTCCCAATTGAAGTACCGCCTAATGTGAACGTTACTATAGTTTTTATTGATTTTGTTTATTTCTATTAAGCTAATATGACAAAGATGATAAATGATGATCAATAGGGTGAGATAGAATGATAGAGAATATGGGAAATATACATTTATAGTGAAAAAAAATAGACAAAGAAAAAGGGAAAGTATTGTGTATGTATGTGTGTAAAGAGAAGGTGGGGAGTAAACTATTTCTTCTTTCCTTCCTTCTTCTTAATAGTTTCGTCGTTGATAAAGATACCCTTTTGGTTATATGGTTCTGGTTTTCTCCATTGTTGAATCTTTGCGGCGAGTTCAGTAACTTGTTGAAGATCAATACCTTGTAAGATAAGTCTGTTGGGTTGAGGAATAGTACAAGTAATACCTTCAGGCAAATCGATAACGACAGGATGAGAATAACCTAATTTCAAAGATACACTACGATTGTTGTTTTCCAATACACCACGATACCCAACACCAACTAAACGTAAGTGAAGACGATAACCTTCAGATACACCAACAATCATATTCCGAATGAGATTACGAGTTGTTCCCCACATGGCTCGTTGTTCTTTGATGGTGGCATCCTTGACATTCACTTGTAATACTGATTCTTGTGATCCTTCATTATTTCCAACAGTTGAATCTAGTTTGATAAAAGGCTTGATTGGCATTTGAAGTTGTCCCAATGGTCCCTTGACTGTGAGTGTGGTATTATTCAATTCAGAAGGAATACGAGGGAATTGGATTGGTGTAAGATCATGATCCAGAGTAACTTCTTGAGGATAATAGATAGGTGTACGACCAATATGTGACCCAACTACAGTAGATGTACTAAAGTTATGATGACATTGTTGAGATAATGGTCGTTTCAGTAGTTGTGTGGTGTATCTCAACATGGTCGGTAACAGAAATATAAAAAAAAAAAGAACAAAAAGATGTTTGTTTTTTCTGAGAGGAAAAAGTAAAAAAAATAAAAAGGGCAAACAGGCCAAATTTTTTTACTGTCACACTTCCCCAAGTTTTTGAACATCCGAGGTTAAGGGAAAATCGATTGAGAATCTCCTCCCTCGTTTTGGGAATAAGGTGTATCATAACGAAGATCATGATTTTTCCTTTTTTTTTTTTTTTTTTTGTTAACACTATAAATAAAAGGATATTAAAAAAAGAAAGTAAAATAGATTTTATTGATTGTTTTCATAAAATGATAAACTAAACTAAACTAAACAGGACTACATAATATAAACATAGAGAACCATCAGATATATAAAAAAAGAAAAGAAAAAAAAATAGAAAAGTACAGATAAAGAAAGGAGGAGAAACTAAATAAAGATATTCCACTATTTGTTGTCCCGTTTACCATCAGCCTCTTGTTTTGTCCAATAATCTTGATGTTGATTAGAAGAAGACATATATTGTTGCTGTTGATTATGTTGTCCATAATAAGGCATTCCATATGGAGGCTGATTAGAGTTTCCTGCTGAAGATTGATGAGGATGATGATGGGGAGGAGGAGGAGGAGGTTGTTGTTGTTGTTGATAACCAGGGTAAGAAGGATAACCATTTCCACTCATTCCAGGAGTCTGACCAGCAGGATAACTTGATGGATAAGCAGGAGCAGCATTATTGTTGTAACCAGTGGACGAGGATGGGCTTACTTCATTTTTTTCTTCCATATGATTCGATCTGGGTGAAGATGCTTCAATAGCAGTATGAGATTCCTATTATAATTAAGTTAAGTATTAATATATTTTCATTTATGTTATTTTTAGTTTATTTACCTGTTCAGTAGTATTGGGGTCAGGTGCATTCAAACAAGCTTGAATCAAATTCTTGCCTTCAGGTTTGGTAACAATAGGTTGAAGTTTGACAGTAGTAAAAGTATACACAAGACCAGTTTCAGAAACAACCAATAAAAGGACTTGAGTTCCAGTCAAAGTACTCAATTCATATGCCTAATAAAGATATTAAAAAAAAAGAAAAAGGTAAGATGAGAAAGAACTCTTATTTATGCAATCCCCCTTTGAATCCAAAAACAGATGTGTAGTTTATTATTACCTTTTTCATAATACCCGCCTTTCGTTTGGAGAATGTAATATGACGACGGTTTTTATCTTCAATATATTCAATTTTAATTTTGCGACGACCTGACCGCTTGTTCGGTTTATCATCAGAATCGTCTCCAGAGTCATCTTCATAAGGTTTGATTTTGGAAGGTGGATTCATCTTGATAGTATATAAAAAAAAAACGTTTATGGAAGGTAAAGGTTCACAAGAGTTCCCAAATAAAGAGTCGACAAAGAAAGAAAAAAAAAAGCAGAAAGTAGAGTCTTTTTTTTCTTAAAAAAGAAGAAAGAGAGAGAGAAAAAAAAGGAGTTTGGAACAAACAAAGAAAAAGGTATAAAAGGGAATTGAGGCGATGTTTCATCATCAGCTTTCATATCATTGGTTAATTTTAAAGTCCTTTTTATCCAATTGGTTTTGTTTGAGTTTGAGTTGAACCAACTCCCTTCGTCCCCCCACTCTCCACCCTTTAGTATGAATGATTTTTTTTTTTTTTGTCTTATAGGCACTATCCGTGCTTTCCCGCACTTGAATCCATCTGTGACCATCACCTATACATAATATATATATAAATATATATTCACAGCCTCATATAAAAACCAGACTTTTGGTTTAAATTTATGTAGTACAAATGACAATTTAGAACATGCACGGTAAAACAAACACTTTTATTATTATTATTATTATTAATACAACAATTAATAAGTGATGAAGATAAAAAAAAAAAGATAAAAAAAAAAAAGAAAAGAATGATGATAATGATGGATGATGATAATAGATAATACGATCATAAAGTGGAAGTGGGTGATGAATCAGGAAATTGAGGTGGTAAAACTGGAGGAAGTGGATGGGAAAATAAACGTGAAGGAGGAGGAAGAGTACGAGTAGAATAAAAGTCATTATTTTCATAAAGAGGTGGAGAAAGAATATTTTGCATCGACATGGCAGATTTTGATGGTGTTGTAAGATTTGATTTTGATGAAATAGATGATGATGATGATGGTAACGGTGGTAATATCAATGGTGTATTGGGGCTTTTCTCCGATTCCAAATTTTCTTCCATCTTGATTGGATCGTTGTCAGTTCTTTGACGTTTACTATAAAAAGATAACAGCGGGAAGATCAGTATAAATTAGAAAAATCCCAACCAATGGATGATTGTTTCATTTCACATTTTCTTGGTAAATCCCTCAATTTTTATTACCTTGTATGTCTTGTATCTTTTCGTATTCTTATCCTGACACCTTGATCCGAAAATGATTTCGTCAATAAAGACGATTCTATAATTATAAAAATAATAAATGTTTAGTATATATAACTATATCTTCTTTCTTTTTGAAATGATGTACCTGACATTCCAGGGAAATCTAAATGATAAAGAAACAATATATTAATAAAAAAAAAAAAAAAAAAAGAGGAATCATTTGAAAATCTACATTAAAATGAAAAAAAAACTTACGTTTTGGAGAGTATACCGTAAATGGATTGGATATGACAGATACTAATCTTTTTACGTGTTCACTTTGTTTAAGTAAGAAGTATGAGTATATTAGAAACAAAATAATAATAAAAAAAAAAACTTTTTTTTATCCGCTCGCTAAAATCACTCATTTGTGATTCACCAGGTTTACTTTTTTTTTTTTTTTTTTTTACTTACCCAGCTATTTCAAATAGGGTGAATTTCAATCTGTAATTTCCTTCCAAACGGACACTAACATCAGCAAATACAAAGAATCCACCATCTATTTGTCAAATACATATAAAAAATATGAATCCTATATAGACAATAATATTGACTGATCTTTTTTTTTTGTAAGACTTACCATTGTTGTCAGTATCCTTCAGTTTATGGAGAGACTGCACCACAGCACCTGCCGTAGTACGATGTCCATGGTGAATATATAAATCCGTGTCATCGGTGATACTTGTCAGATTGGCGTACAAGAAAAAGTAAGGATTGTGTAAAAAGTTGTAATGACTATAAAGTTGATCATTAAAGATATATTAGACTCGCGTCATGACTTAGTACCTTTTTTTTTTTTTTTTACCATTGTTGTTGTTGTTGTTGAGGATGACATGTACAATAAAGTTGGACTATAGGAGGTGGATCAATCGGCCTGCGATCAACTAAAGAAGAAAGTGAAAAAGTTAAAAACTTTTTATTTCCTTTGTAGATAATAAATTGTACCTTTTTCTTTGAAACTACATAGCCTTGCTTTACTTGGTTGTTGTAATACTTTAAGTTTATACCTAGAACATATATTTAAAATATGTAGTCAGATAAGGTTTGTTTGTTTTTTTTTTTTTTTTTTTTTTGGTCTTTCTAAATAAATAACTTACTTGTGAGGAATGGATTTATCATATGTAGAAGACATACCCATTATAGTTTGGTGACAGTAATAAAATAACAATAGTAATAAACACGCAATATAATTAAAATATATATATATATATTATATATAATAATATATATATAATAATATATAACAAAATCAGAATAAAGAAGAAACAATAAATTCAAGTATAAAAAGATCCATAGAATGAAAGAAAAGGAAAAGAAAAAAAAGAAAGAGTCAACCAAGCTTTTGGGTCGTCTCGCTATGCTGCTGGTTTAAACTCAGATGATCAAAGCCTAAATAGCATACCAACCGAGGGTATCTTTTATCCCAGATGAAAATAAACTCTAAATGATTGAACTAATCCTTATAGGGTACTTGACTACCCCTCTCTGTTTTATTGGTTTTTTTTTTTTTTTCTTTCCCCTCATTCATACTCCCCCTCCTCTTCCCTTCTTTCTCCCTTTATATTGAAGTAGAAGGGGATTTTATTTTGACTTGTTTCTTTTTTTTTTTTATTTATTTATTTATTTATTTCAGGTGATTCTCCCCTTATTATAAAGTATGATATGTCAAAAAAAAAAAAAAAAAAGAGTTCACTTGTTCCACTCTATTGAAACTCCTATAATACTTCTCTTTACAGGAGCAACATTTGTGAGACTCCGAGTTTATGGGTTAAAAACAGATATTCTATTGTAAAAATAAATAGGAATAATAAGATTTCCTCTTTCTAAATTCATTTTGTATACTGTAGATCTTTTCAACGTTACGTGTATCATTTTAAAGTTTATTTTTATATCGATGTTTATTTCTTATTATAAAGGACAATACAAAGGATGATAGAGAGTTACTCTAATTCAAATTTATTATTTTTTTATTATTACTTTCTATACAAATCATCAGGAGCATCATCCAATGTATTGAATGATTTCAATCCAATTTATAAACACCGATTTTTTGGTTATAGCTCTATTCTTAGTTACATCCCAAAAAAAAAAAAAATGTTCCCAGTGCTGTGGATTATGGTTACCTTTTTCATGTTAATCCCTCTCTTCCGGATTTTTCTCGAAAAAAGAAAAGGGGGGATGAATCGATGATTAGATTTTACTTGTTATATATTATACATTAAAAAAAAAAAAGAAAGGATTATTTTAAACTTGTTAGAAGAATAAAATAAAAAAAAAAAAAAGAATACTTAAGGTTGCTTAAATGTCGGTTTTTTAAAACTCGGCAATTGTGTTCCCATTCCCATTCATTTGAACCTTGATTATTACTACCATAGATCATTATTCGTCATCATCATTGTCATCATCATTGACATTGTCATCATCATCTTTGTCATCATCAACAAGTGTTATACAACTTTAAAAAAAAAAACAAGGTCTCTCTTTTCTCTCCTTTGATTTACAGGTAGACACATTTTGATAAAAGCTTTCAATTGTTCTACGCATTGTACTCATAATGATTAAAAGGAATAGACTTTGATAACCTTACGATATGCAAGCTTCAATAGTCCGCAAGTATTTAAAAAAAAAAAAAAATAGAATCATAACCAATAAAAAAACTTTCCGCGATACTTGTTATTTGGATATCAGGTGCCATGTTTCGCTCTTCGCGCGATCACTATCATCAGAACATCTGGTTTTTTCCATTTTTCCATTTGCTACATTAATTTGTTTGTTACCCGATTAGCAATGGTAACCGCTTGAAGCACCGAAGTCTATCAACCACTTCTTTTTTTTTTTTTTTAAGATGAATCCAAAAATGGTAATTGTTCTATGTTTATAATGAACATCCGAGACAGTGGAGAGAGAAAGAGAGAGAGAGGGTTTTTTTTTTTTGTATCGTGGAAATGGATGATGGGGTGATGATGGGATGATGATGGGATGATAGATGATTGATAATATTAATAGAGTTCTTTCTTGTTCATTATTTTTGTTGTTCATCCTGCATTCAAGCGAGAGAGCAAAACTTTGTCCTTTCATTTTTCGCTCAAAAGTAACCATCATTGAACCAAATTTCGGTCGAACATACATGAAAATATTCTCTTTCAATTATCTTAAGAACAATTTATACCTTTTCTCCCAATTTGTAAAATAAATTAAAAAACGAATTGTCAATGTCGCCATCCCTCATCCAATAATGGACATCATCAAATAAAATTGCCACCACTAGATTTCCTCTTTAAAAAGTATTTTTCTTCATCTACTCTCATTTGACTAGTTAACTTGCCACCTAATATGTCAACCAAAAAAAAAAAAAAAAAAAAAAAATACAGCTCTAATCTACCTTCAAATCCCATTTTCAAGCTTAAATCTATCATCATACCGTATAAGCACCATTAATAAAAGATGTGTACATCATCTATGATTACTTGTTTTGTTAGTGAATCCAAAATGACAGATCCTATGCTAAAATGGTATCTTCGAACCTGTTTTGAGAGTTGAACCTTCAATCATATCATAAACCACTAATAATATATGAGTATATCATCTACGATTACTTTTTTTTTTTATTATTATTAATGTATCAAAACACATTTACCACTAACAATGTCACGTTCAACTATAAAATATGAACAAAAAGAGAGAATGTAACTGAATTAGGACTCCAATTTGAGAGCAAAGCAAATACAGCCCCGCTTATTTTTTAGTGAGTTGCAAGATAGAGATTTTATTGGTTAATTTTTATCTAGGGCTGTGGGCATAAGAATTTCCTTTTTTTTTTTTTGTGATATTCAACTTTCTTTCTCTCTTTTTTTTTTTTTTTTTTTTTCCTGACATTTAACGACTCACTTTCTCATGGCGACTTTCTCCAAAGATGGATTCAATGCAGATAGCTACATGACCTATAGACCTACATATAATAAAAATGCATATTCTTATATTTTCGAAGTACATCAAGGCGACTTGGAACTGGCGGTGGATGTAGGTAAATATATAAAGTAATGACCAACTCTTTTTTTTTTTTTTTTAATATATATCTATATATTATATGTAATATTAGGTTGTGGTCCAGGCACGGTAACAATTGAACTTGCCAAATGGTGTCGACAAGTCATCGGTATTGATCCTTCCAACAGTATGATTGAAGTGGCTCAGAAAACGGCACAACAACAGGGCCTTCAGAACGTGACCTATCGACAAGGGTATGGTGAACAACTACCTCTGGAAGATCAATCAGTGGATATCCTTACAGTGGCCCAAAGTTTACATTGGCTAGATCCTAGCAAGTTTTTATCAGAAGTGAAACGTGTATTACGACCAAAAGGTACTTTGGTGGCCTGGGGTTATATGTTTGGCAAGTTATGCTTCGATGACAACACATCTCAACAAGAATATCAGGATACATTGGCACAACTTGGTGATCCGGACAAAGGTGGATTATTAGGTTCTTACTGGGAAAAGAATCGAGCTATTGCAACTGCTGGTTTTGTATCATGGCTACCTGAATTCCAAAAAGTGTTCAAGAAGGTACAACACTTATCTTATCCAACTTTATTGACACCTTCATCGATGATTCTGACTATGCCTTGGATGGATGATTCTGATATATCGTTTCATCAATTGATCGCCTACGTCAAAACCTGGAGTTCGTACAAGAATTGGTTGGATGCAAAACGACAACAACATGATGATGATGATGATGGTGATATTGTTGATACATTTTTCAAGAATCAATTTCCCTCTGTTTCCTTGGATACTCTCGTGCATGTACAATGGCCCCATTCTGTATTTATAGTTTCTAATCCCTATTCATCTACTTTGTAATTCCCTCTCCTTCCTCATTCCCAGTTGTTCTTCATTATATATCTACACAATTTTCCCCGGCACTACTATATCTATATTCTATTTTTAGTATATATATGTAAATGCTGTTTGTTTATTTGATGATGATGCAATAAAAAAGAAATGGTCTTTTTTGTTAAAAAATACTCTATGTCTATAACTATGATAAACTACCTAAAGGGTAACGGGTCTAATTCTATCCGATGATGATGATGATGATGATGATGATGGTATGGTGGATGGTAACTATAAATTGATTTCAAAAATAAGGCAAGGAGAACGCCAAGGATGCCAAGAAAACGATGGATGATGGAGATACCAAGGAAGAAGAAGATAGAGCATCACTTTTTTGAGGAAGAGGAGTAGATGTGGCAACCATAGAAGAACTTGCTAGAGTAGAGGAAACAGTTGAAGAGGTTGTAGAAGAGAGAGGTGATATTCCCCCTAAAGGTAATAATGTCACTGTAGAAGAACCTTTTTGGATAGCACCATAACAAACATGACTGTATTGATCAATACATAAAATGTTGGTTGAATTGCAAAGACATGAGGCGGTCGAATTAAATCCAGCTTGACAAGAAGAAGGTATGGCAGGACATGCTGATGTTTCATGTAAAGTTGAAGAACCCCAACAATATTGGTGCTTGTCATTATAACAAACAGTAATGGTTGGATCGCACCGACAGTTGAGAGTACCTTGAACTTGGTCACAAATGGAGGGTGCAGTACAATTGTTACTAGGTAAGGTTGAAAAGGGAAGATTACCAGCTGCTGATATCAATGTCTTTGTATAAGAAAGGTAAAAAGTAATGAGTAGAATAAAGAATGTCATTGCGTTCAAGAATGAAAGAAAGAAAGAAAGAGAGAGAAAGAAATTTGTGGAATAACCGGAGATTAGAATATTTTTTTATTTTTTTTTTATCTTTCCTTGATCGGCCCTGAAGGGGCTAATGCTTTTGCCTTGATGTTGTACAAGCTTATTTATTCAAAGTCAATTTTCAATTGTTTATTTTTTCTGTCCTTGTTTTCTTTTAATTTTTGATCTTCCTTTTCCCGGTTTACATCTGTTTTTATTTTTTTGTTATTCAAGAATGACCCATCTTAGGTAAAAAAAAAAAAAAAAAAAAAAAAAAAAAAAAAGAAATTGAAATAATGAATTGAATCTTCAAATATACTAACTAAATTATATCAATCTTTTCTTTTTTTTTTTAGTGATTTCTCATATTTACGTAAGAAAATATCTTTATCAAAAGAAAAGAAATAATTAATTCTCTTTTATATTATAGAAAGAGATGTTCAAGAAATTTATTTAACTAGTTTTTTAATGATTCGAATGTGGCAAGCTGATGGATTCAGGTGTCTTTCTCCGAAACGACTTATTAATGGTGAACTTCGATCTATCATCACATGGTTTATGTTTTTATTACTGATAGCACAATCTTCTTGGGGTAAAAAATTATAAGATGAAAAAAAAAAAAAATTTACGGAAGAAATGGACTTTTTGCCTATTTAGCGTTTTTTTCTACCCAGCATACTCATTTGCCTTTTATAGATTTACTGTGTACATATATCAAATACACCGAAGGCTTTATGCAAGTTGCACCAGGGATTATTATCAGTAAACCTTTTTCTCAGTGGTCACCGAAGAATCAAGATCCTATCGCGGTTAGTAATAATCTGATATACAATAGATGATTTTAATTGGCTCATTCAATTTTTTTATTTTTTAAGGTGATGAATTACATTCAATGTATCACTTTCTCTTTGCAAGTCAGTATTCTTTTATTATTACAATGCTTTTGGAATTATCTCTCAAATACGGTGGCCAAACATAGTTTTATGAGCTCGAAGGAATTCTCTCTTTATATCATCTTGTAAGTCTGAATCAAAATGTGATGATAATTATATTTTATTTACTTCTTCTTATATAGTACTATTGGTTCTATGGCTATGTTTCCTGTCCTTCAATACTTTTACAAAAAGACTGCTTTGGAAGAAGTGGTTCCTCAAACGGCTTATTCTTGTGAAAGTGAGTACTTTTGGTTTTTTTTTTCAATTCAATCCCCGGACATAGTGAAATTGATGTTCTCATTTTTTTTTTTCATTTTTTCGTTTCTTTTTTTTTTTTTTTTTATTATTATTATTATTATTTTATTTCCCTTTTACTAGTTCTTTGTGTCGCACTTTTGGGATTCAGAAATCATGGACGATTCAATCGACTTATCAAAGTAGCAACAGGCAATGGAAAGAGATCTGACGTTCATGTCTCTGATAAATTAGCTTACTTCCGTGATATGAACTTACTCTTATCAGTTGCCTTGGTGGCATTTGGTGGTGGCATATTCATCTTGTGTATTGACGGTTTTACAGCAAATAAGGTCATCAACTCTCACAAATTTGCTGCTGACTTATTGATCTGCAATGCTAATATCAGTTCCATCTTTATCTGGCTTATCATTGTAAGTCAAAGTTTTATATTTGATTCATTAACTGTTTAACACAAACTACACTGCTTATTAGATCGGTATCTTTCATCCTGCTCGAGTTGCCATTGAGCCAAGATCAATAAATAATACTTCAACAAAAGAAACACCTGCTAGGCAACCTTTCAAGAGAACTTCAAAGACGCAATCACTGAGTACTCCTGTGCCATTGTCACCCATTGTCTCACCTCCCAGTTACATTCATACCAACAACAACAACAACCAAGCTTATTATATGGATAGTGGAAAGAATAAGGATATGGTGGATACCAAACAAGGATATATGTCATCTTCACCTTCTGATACCATCAGTACGACAGCAACGCCTATTGTTGGTGGCGGACTCAATCATCCTCAACATCACCAGCAACGCCATCGTTTTAACATTGTTTCTATTGATGATCCATATGCTACCGAACCAGTCACTTTCTCTATGGTCAATTCTGTTCCCAATAGCAAAGGTAACACTGTATCTTATGCATCTGCGGTGGATTACTATGGTGTCAATGACAATCAAACTTCACCTTCGATATCTTCTTATGGGTTCCGATCTATGCCAGCCTCTCCTCCTCCAGATCAAGACTTGCCCCCTGTACCTACAAATGCTAATCCAACCTCTTTACAGTCATCCACTCATCAACAGCATTCTGATCTTCATTCTAATGTCAACTCTAGCCATCAGCAACACCCACAGGATCTGGACATTGGTTGGTTGGAAAGATCCCATTAGTCCTAGTCGTAGATGATTCATATGATATTCCAGCTTAGATTTATTATTATTAGATTATTATTATTATTAGATCATTATTATTATTAGATCATTATTATTATTAGATTATTATTATTATAGACAATCATTATTCAATAAACAGTTTGATTTTTATATAAATCTACATTTGTGTGTATTGCGTTCTGAAATATTTATTGTCCATATTGTCGATTAGAGCATACAAAAGCTTTATTTCAAATATATAAAAAAAAAAAATCAGAAAACAATAAAGATAATATAAAGGATAAAAAACAATTAAGTAAATGGAATCAAAAAGGGGTCACTAAATAGAACGAAATATCACATACTATAGAATATAAAACAATAATAATAAAAATATAAAAGTAGAGGGGGGCAAATTATCGTCTGATCGATCCACGACCTTGCTGATGATAATGGTAAAGTTGTTCCAGTTCACCTTCCAATGCCTTGATTTGAGCATGTTGACTTTCCAAATCCTTGTTAAGACGATCTCGTTCCGTGATAAGCTATAGGAAAAAAAAAAAAAAGATGAGACTTCCTTTTTTTTTATATATATAGCATAGTCTTACCTGCTGTTCCCATTGACGGAATCGGTTTTCTTCTTGTCGTACTTGTTCAGTAAATACCTTGCGCAAAGCATCTTCCTTTTCACGATGTTTTGGATTTTCATATTTTTTGATTCTAAAAAAAAAAAAAAAAAAGATCAACTTCACAATCTCTTTCTTTCTCTCTCTCTCTTAAAGGGTTCACTTACTTTGGTTCACCAAACTTGCGATTAGCCATTTCACGTTGGCGATAATTTTCATAATGAGTTTCTTCCGTTGTCGAGATCAAATCCAACATATGAGAACGAATCAACAAGTTACGCAATTTCTTGAAATCACAATGTTGTTCATTTTCGACTTCGGCCACACCCCAAGAGTAAGCACGACCTTTGACTTGACGACCATCAGGAGTAATAACGTCTTGTGTTGATCCAATGATGGAAAATGGCATGGCATCCAAAATGGTTTGATTTCGACTGGTCACTTGTTCATCTTCGCTTTCCACAGGAGAGGTGTAAATTTGAATGTTTTGAGCCTTGATCACATCTCGAATACGTTGCTTAAAAGTAGCCAAGTCTTTGGGGGTCAATGTATCTGCTTTGGCAATCACTGGAATCAAATTCACCCTTGATCCAAGTCGTTTCATCATTTCAATATCCAAAGGTTTTAATCTATTTAAAAAAAAAAAAAAGAAATGAGGATCCATCTCTTTTATGTTTGATCTCCCTTTTTTTTTTTTTCTTACCCATGACCTGTAGGACGGATAAAGTATAAACAAGCATGCACACGCATATCAATAATACCTTTCCGTACTGGTTGTTGCTCTTGACGCATATAACTTTCATGTTGATCATCCAAAAATTCAACCACTGGTAACCAACTATCATAGTTATTCACGTAGTCACCAAAACCAGGGGTATCCACTACGTTAAGTTTCACTTTGAACATCTTTTCCTCCAGTTCTAAGAATATGACAAATTCAAAAATATAACAATTAAAAAAAAAATGTTCATATATTTTCAAATAGTAGTAAAAAAAATTTTTTTTTCTTTTACCAGCTTTTGTGATTTCTATCTCGACTGTTCTATCCAGTTGTTTTTCATGTCGTTTAGCAGGAGACTTATAGTCCTTAATGGAGGTTGTAAAAAGAGTATTGATAAAGGTAGACTTGCCAACACCAGATTCACCTAAATGAAAAAAAAAAAAAAATATGATGAATTTGGTGGTTGATTTACAACTAGATATGTCTTAACTTACCACACACCATGATAGTGAAATTAACCCCTCGGTTGGTGACTATCTTATGCTTTTGGTTAGGTAAGTGAGCCACTCCTATGCCATTAGATGATACTGTCACTGGCGCCATCGCTTTATATTGTTGTTCAATTGGAAGACAAAGAGAGAAAAAAAAAAAAGAAAAAAAGAAGTCTGAGCGGTGCAAGATAATAAATAAATTTTTAAAAGTGAGGCACAGATTTTGATTGGTAACTTCCACTTTTGGAAGCTCTCGTGTTACCTTCGTTACAGCAGCAACTTCAAAGTAGTTTTAAGAGAGTGCACAACAAGTGTAACTCTTTTATTTCTTGTTCATCACCTTACATCTTGAGGCTGGGTTGGTTTTTTTTTTTTATTCCAATCTAACCATATGCTTGCTCATCTATTTATGCATTTTTTATGCTATAATGTACTTGAATAACGATAACAACTCCGGGAGATCGACAGAGGATACAATTGTTACAGTTTATTTTGTTCTAACGTTTCAATCTACCCTATGGTTGCATTGGAGCTCCGTAAGAAAAAAAAGAACGATACATTACTGTAGAACCCAATTTTCTCGGCGCCTCTTTTTTGGAGTTCCCTCATCATTCCAATCATCTATTTTTTTTTTTTAGACATGAATTCTTATATAGGATGATCCATCTTCAAAATAGGATGATCCATCTTCAAATTAAACTTACTGTTAAAAAAAAAAAAAGAAAAGTAGTTCCTTTCTCGCTTGATCTTTTGACGGTCTCCTCTTTCTTTTAGCTATTGAACGATTGGATTACCGCTCAGTAATAGGAAAAAAAAAAAAAGGATCGCATGAAAACTACTTTATTTATTGCCAAAGTTATGACCATGAATTTATCTCTATTTTATTCATTTTGGTATGTAAAAAAAAGGTATTACTATTACCATCATTAGGACTACTTTTATTTGTACCAACACTCTTCTTTTTATTATTATTCTAATTAGATTATCATTTCAACTGAAGACACATGAACACAATTTCATTGATTGATCTATCCGAACAACTAAACATATTCTTTCCACCAACAAGGGTTTATATATAATATACAAAGAGTTTTATTAAATAATTGTAATCAAAAAATAACTATAGTATATTGTATAATGCGTATATGATCATGATGATAAATGACGGGTATCAATATCATAAGCAAAGTCCATGATGAGTATTTTTTGATCTTGACTTGTACTACCAAAAAAAAAAAAAAAAAAAGATGAGTATGAATAATCTTTGATGATATTTCCCTTGCGCATATCTAAATATCATTCTTTATATATAATTGATTTACCTAATAATTTTGGTATCATCAAACATGACATCAAAGACCCAACTAGAATGACAACGTTGAAAATTCAAAAGACAAGCACCAGAACGACGATCCCATACACGGATGCTTTCATCATAGCTACCAGATACGATTTTATGTTGATCAAAATACAGAGCGCGGACCAAACCAGTATGACCTTCCAGAGTAAGTGTGCATTGACCAGAGCGAACATCCCAGACCTTGATCAAGTTGTCATTACTTCCACTGACAATCGTAGATCCATCAAACCGTATACAAGCTAGACCTCTTGTATGACCGACAAAATCACGTAAACATTGCCCAGTCGTCATATCCCATAATCGGATGGTTGCATCCCCACTAGCCGAGACCAACCTATTGTTTTTGAATTGCATAGCATTGACAGGACCACGATGACCACGAAGAGTCATGTTCAATCTACCCGTCTTGAGATCCCATAAACGTATGGTGGTATCCTTGGAACAACTGACAACTTGCACATCATCCAATCCAACATCCAATACTCCAGAAGCATGACCCGTCAATCGCCAGACGACTTGGAACGTTCGCATGGACCACACCAGAACAGTATGATCGGATGAACCTGAGACTAACCAATGTGGATTATATTGAAGACATAACACACTAGCATCATGACCCGCCAATGTACGCAAGCATCGTCCTTCTTCACCAGGTATAAGACTCCAAAACTTGATGGTTCGATCACGACTGCCTGTCACCACTTTATCCTGATCGAATTGAACACAATAGATACTGTCACCATGGCCAAAGATACACCGTGTTTCATGTTTCCCTTGTCGCCACCGTTGTTCCATAAGCTTCTTGATTTGATATAACTCTTGATAATTCAATTTCTTCGTCACAGGTCCATAGTGAGCTTCATAAAGTCCGCGCCATAGACTAGGTTCTGTGCATAAAATATACCAACGTCGTGATACGTAAGCTGCTGCAAGTACACTGGTTGGATCACAATACCCAAGAATCAACCAACATATTTCTACTGGTAAGCGTGAGATATAATCTATTCGTTCCACCCAACAAGATGACCAATTCAAAAAAAAAAGGGGGGAAAGGAAATAAGGAGAAGTCAAAGATGGGTGGTGGTGGTGATAAGTAAGGGTGATTCCATATATATAGATAAAAAAAAAAATATAAATATTGTTACCTAAAGGAACCGAGGATATAAATTGTTGGTGTAGTGTCAAGTTTTTATTGGGTGTTTGATAGAAACCTTCGTCAATCCTATGTTGTTGTTGTTGTTGTTTGTGCCAATTGGATTTTCGAAGATAACGAAATAAAGGATACTTCAAAAGAATATCTTTTGTCAAGAACGGCATTGATGATAAAGAGAATGAAAAAAAAAAAAAAAAAAAAAAAGGAATGAAAAAAAAAAAAAGAAAGAAAAAGGTGAGAAATAAAAAATAGCGAGTGGTCTTTTTTTTTTTTTTTTTTAGTCTAACATACTTACATACATAGACTTCTCCCGCAAAATGAAAGAAGGGGATGCAGTGAAAAAGATGTCTGCAACTGAAAAAGAAATAAAAAAAAAAAAAATAGTGATCTAACCAACCTATTTCTATTTTTGGGTTGCTGATCCCCTTTTCTTCTATAATAAAAACTCCTACTATCATATAATTTCATTGTTCTTCCAAATAATAATAATATTAATATTCATATTAAAAATATTAGCCTATATAAATGTTTTTTTTTTTTATTCACAATGGTGATAATGACAATGATAAACATAATAATAATGAAAGATAATGATGATCAAATACCAAAGAATAGAAACAGAGATACAAGCATAAAAAAAAAAAAGATAAGAATACTAGACAATTATGATAAGAAATAAGAAACTAATAATAATGGTATCATGCATTTTTTTTTTTTTTTTTGTTCCATGTTTATCTTGAGTTTTCTTTCAGTCAGAGTCACTAGAATCCGTTTCTGATCCCGAAGATGTTCCGCTATCACTACTAGACATTTCATTTGCTACAATGCAATAGAAAAAAAAAAAAAAAAAAAAAAAAAAAAAAACAGAAGATGAGTTACCCATTCCATCCCTTCCTTTTTTTTTTTTCTACAAATAATTTTTACCTTCAAATTTTTTCAATTTTTGTTCTAATTCTTTGATCTTTCGGTTCGAATCTGCTTCAGAGTATCGCTTACGTGTTGTTGATGGTCGTGCAGTTAATCGTTTTCCAGTGACAAATTCATGCAATTGATGTAAGGTTTTTCGATCCAATAAATCAATATCCAATACAATTTCATCTTGTCCCTATATAATAATAATAAAAAGTATTTAGTATAATACATATCTTTATATATATATAGTCCCCTTACCCCATCTAGATTTGGCATTGAAGATTGAATGATCTGAACCACAGTAGTCAATTTATCCCCTGTTAAATTGTTTATCCTTTCACTAAGATCAGATTTTTGCTGGAATGTGAATTCTGGTAATGCTGAAGAACTTTGTCGTTTCAAACTTATTGGCTTGGATTCTACTCGTTTTCGTTTATTGCCTGTGTTGACCTTCTTTTTTGATCGTTGCCGTTGTTTTTGGTTGTTATTATTGGTACCATCTGATTTCATGGTTTGTAATTGTTCAGCAATATTAGCGATATGTCGTTCCAATTCAGTAATTCGTCTTTCTTCTATATAATAAATAATAAAGTGTTAGAATATATTATTCATACTTACCTTTTCCTCCTTCATTTTATATATATACACACACAAAACACCACTTTCCTCTGTACTAAACATACATACACACACACACACACAAACACCTAATCTTTTCTTTTCATTCTTTTTTTTTCGTTTACCATCTTCATCCGTATCCGATGATGCAGAAACAGAACGACGAGTAACCGACTTTTTTGATTTTGTTGAAGCCGAAGAAGAAGAAGAAGAAGAAGAAACGGTAGTAGTAGTAGTAGTAGTAGTAGTAGTAGTAGTAGTAAGAGAAGAAGGTGGAGGAGTTGGTGGTAAAGTTGGAGGACAGGGTTTGTGTTGCCATTTATCATCAAAAATTTTTTCCAAAGTGCGAGCCATTTGATAAACAGGTAATGTTGGAGGGTTGTAAAGATAACAATTGTTGAACATGAGACGAATATCCTTTTCAAACTGATCAGCATCAATATAGTCGCCTTGGTGCCATTTTTGTTCAATCGTAGACAGATCCATAGGTTGTTTGACAATAGTTGGGTAATCAGGAATATTCAAAGCTATATAATCAACAGGAGCTAAGAATGGATAACTAATAGCCTTGTGTTTTGACTTTTTCAATTCTTTGATAGTTTGTCCACAAAACTTGAGTTCAGCAGTATTAGTACGAGGATCGGGTTTCTTGGTCCATGTTTCCGGATAATCTTTTGAAGGAGGTGGATGAATTTCTCGTTTAGGTCGTCCATCTTCTGATATACGTCTGATTGTTGTTTTTGTTGATGATATTTTCTCCATTTTATCGTCCAAAGAACTTGGTGAATTCGTCAACGACGGTGATAACTATAATAATAATAAACAGTTAATATAATCTAATTATATATATATCAAGTATCCTTTCTTTTAACTTTTACTTTTTCAAAGGGTGGCATTAGTAATATATATTAAGATTGTTTCAAATCAACAAACTGTTTCGCAGTTATAAAAAAAAAAAAAGGAAAGAAAAAAGAGAGCAAAAAGCTGACAGATGGAAAGAAACAATTTTTTTTTAAAAAAAAAAAAAATCGGACTTGAATTGTAAAATTTTTTTTTGGAAAGAGAAGGGGGGTAAAACATGACGAATTCTATATACACTTGAACTATTTGTACGCCAAAAAAAAAAAAAGAGACAATGAGAGATCACATGATTTATTTATATATATATATTTTTCAATGGTTATGTTTTGTATGTTTGTCGTGTTCTACTAACGCGTTAAATCAGAGATGATGATTGGCTAAGTGCATGCATCAGCCGAATTTGCCGCTTATTATCGTTCCTTTTGTGTACTTTATTATTTAGATGATATTCATACGATCACTCCTACCTCCCTTGATTCTTTATATTTCACGTCATTCCTGTTCATCCTTATTATTGATTGTACCAAGATGATTAAAAAAGTTTATTTCAAGTAAAAATGATACTTTTCCTCTTCATTGATTTATGATTTTTTCCAAAAATGGCTTTCTTCAAACCATAACTAAGTGTTCTATCGTCCATTTTATGTTGTGTCTGATCCAATGATTGATCCATCACCATAGTTGACTTCCATGCTTGTAGTAATAATAACTCATGTTTTAAACCATTAGCGTTTTTCTATGCAAAACGATTATTTTTTTTTTATGTAATCACTTTTTTTTTTTTTTTTTTTTTACCTGTATGGATAACCATAGTGGGTGGCTTGCGGACATGGTATATTCATGCATTGCATGCTGATGAGCAGTCTGTGATTTAAATCAAGAGAATAGATTTCTTTTTTTTTTAATTCTCTTCCTTTAATCATATATTTTATATACCTTAATAAAATCAGCTTCTTCTTTAAAAGAGTTAAGTAACCAACTATCATCCGCTTCCATGTCAATATCTATTATAGATGAATAAGCTGATGTCATATAGAATATTTCTTTTTTAAACGAACGAACCTTCTGTGATACCATGCGTGAGCAGTTGATGACGAAGTAGAGAGATTTGTTTTTGTAAATGTAACATTGAAGAAGACATGGATTGTATCTTATCAATATAATTTTGCTTTTGTACTTTTAATTCTAATAGTAAAGTTTCTTTTTCTTTTTCGTATTGATCTAAACAAAAAAAAAAAAAAGATGATTACTTTTTTAATTTCATAATAACCATTTTACTTGTTAATACCACGAATTGAATTTTCAAATTCTTGACGTTCGTTTTCCATTAGTTTATATTTGTGTCTCCATGATTTTTCATTTTGTGTAGCCTGTTTCAATTGTTTCTAAACACCGAATCATCCATTATCATCATTAGTCTATATTATAAAATAATAATATTCTTACTTCTAATTCTAATCTTTCATTATTCAATGACTTTTCTGAAACAGTGATTTTTACTAAAGAAAAGATAAATAAAAATAAAAAAAATAAGGAGGATATTTGTTTGGTGCATACATTTGTTGTTGTACCTTCATTTTTATAAGGCGTAGTCAAAGAACATTGGGAACTGAAAAAATAGCCAATTAAATCATGACGGACATGAAATCATCCAAATCAGTTTGATGATTCACACATTTAGTTTTAAGCTTTTTTTTTACCTGCTTGGAGAAAAACACTTTTGATCCAAAAGATCGAAATTGATTTGTTTTCGTTTAATATAATGTGACATTAATAATATTCATAAAGAAGAAGAAGAGAAAAAAAATAAGAAAAGAGAGAGAGAGAGAAAAAAAAAAAAAAAAAAGAAGAGGAGGAGAATGTTGAAATCATGCGCATTGATATTTAGGAAATATATTTTTTTTTTATTTTCATTAGTATTATTGATCGGCGATATAAAATGGGTGGCTTCCCTCTTGTTAAGTGGCTGTAAGAAAGTCAAAGTGATGAAACATCACCAAAGACAAGCGCATTTATGCCAAAAAGAGGCTACAGTCACGCGTTCGAATGCTTTTTGATTGGATGGATCCAAATGGGAGGGGGGACATACTTTTTTCAAGCAAAAGAAAAAAGTCCAAACCAAGCACAAAGCAAAAAAAAAAAAGGGCCAAAAAGCAAAAAAGTTTTTTTTTCTAGTTTTTTTTTCGCTTTGAAGTACCTTTTCTCTCTCTTTCTTTTCCTTCTTTTTTTTTTTTTTTTTTACTCTCCATCCCCCTTCTTCCCCCTTTTTTTTCTTTCTTATATTTATTTACACATTATATACTACTTTTACTATTATTACTTGTATTTGTACATTCTATAGTCAAACTTGTTTTTATCATGGATATTCAAACCACTTATATTCCCCCTCATACTGAAGTTGTATCATCTAGTCATTATGCATCAAACTCTTGTCAAAGAAAAGTGACTCAGTCATCTTTTACGTTTCCACCTACTCAAGTTAAACTGGATTCAATAGATGATGAAGAAGAACCTATCAATACACCTGTACCTCAACAAGTATCAAATTCTCCAACATCTGACGACCAACAACAAGGAGAAGAAAATGAAGAAGAGGAAGAAGAAACATTTGTTGATGATAAACCTACTTATTCAGCAGCAATGTATTTGGCTTGTCGAGATAAACGCAAAAGTAGTCCTGCAGTTCTGGGTTTACTTGGACTTGGTGAAGAAGCTGAATCCAAACTTAGTATTCATCTCTCTCAACATCGAAATTCTATTGAAGCTGCTATGCTTTTAGCTAATTTTAATCGACCTCAACAACAATCTCGACCTTCTTCTCAACTTGAAAAAAGTAAGTATAGAAAAAAGAAAAAAAAAAAAAGAATGACCAGGAGTATAATATACATATCTGTATATGTCTGTGTGTATTAGTATAAAAAGGATGATGATGGTCATCATGCGCATGAAACAAGAACAAGCTTACTTATCTTCCCCCCTATTATTTTTTTTTTTTTTTTTTTTTAGAATCAACTTGGCAAGATACCATGTCCGTAGATTCTAATCCTGATAGAAAGAGTACTTCTTATTGGGAAGACGCTGTGCAGGCCACTCGTCAACGTCGACGGTATTCATATGATAGCAAGATGACTTGGAAAACTATGCCCACTACCTTTTTGGAACAAGCCTCTTTATTACAAGAATTAAAAGTTAAGCCTATCAAGTTACCATCCGCTTCTTCTTCATCATCATCCTCGGTTATATCTAGTCCATATCACAAATCAACAACTTGGTATTCTGACCCAATGTTGGATCATACTTCTCATCCTCATCATCCTACTCCTCCTCTACAACAACAACAACAATTACAACGTCATATGCAACATATTCAACCTCATCATCCTCAAATGTATCGTCCTATGTACCCACCTATGCATCCTTTGGCTACTTCTGATCAATCATCTTCTCAACCTTTACATCCATTACCACCACCCGGTTATTATCCTTATCCTTATCAATCAAATCAACAAGGTTATTATTTCCCTGGCAAGTTACCTATACTCATGGATAGTAACAATAATAATAACGGCAACAATACAAATGGTATGATGATGCATCCTCCTCCTCATCTTCATCCTTTACATCTTCAACATCTTCAACAACAACATCCTCATGCAATGGCAGCATCCATGGCCACTCCACCTGTCAAACCCAAACGAAAAAGACGTGATCAAAATGAAGATGAAGAAAATCTCGGTCAAGTCATGCCAGGTGATGCTGATTTTCCGGATATGGGAGAAAGAGATGTGGAAGCAGCAAGAAATGACGTGGAAGCAAGACCGAGACGACAGAAATTACGTTATGTGGGAGATATGTATACTCCTCAATGGGTCCGATACAATGGTCAATCCAAAGAAGGTTTATGTGATACTTGCAAACCTGGCAAATGGCTACAATTGAAAAATAGTGCTTTTTGGTAAATGATTATATATATATATATATATATAAATGATGACTTTTAATTTTTTTTTTTGGATAGGTATCATAAACAATTCTTTCATGGTATTTCTTCAGTATCTGGAAAAGAATTCTTGCAACCTTTGGAAACTCGTTGGGTAGATCAAGATATTGTTGAAGGACTTTGTCATCAATGTCAACAATGGGTGTCTGTTAGCAATGTGAAAAGAAAAAATAGTGTACTTTGGTATCGTCATGCTCACAAGGTAGATACCATCTATTTTTTTTTTTTTCAACTCATCCATTCATTGAAATTGAACTTATATTTTTTTTTCTTGTTGTAGTGTCATGTATACCATAAACCGAAGAATGGATCTCCAAAGAGAAGAGGAAATTAGTCTCCCCTCCTTTTCTTGAATATTACTTTGTTTATCTTCGTATTTTAGACTTCTCCCCATTTCCCCTCCTTCCTTTTTTTTTTTTATACTTGACTATCCTCTTTTTTTTTTCTTATTGATTATTATTCTTATTTTCTGTCTCTATCTCTCTTGTATATATATACATATTGACTTGCTACCTATATTTAGTTTATCCATTACCCCCTCTTATCTATAAATATCATCTCTCTTTTTCAATATTGATTCGTATACAAAAAAAAAAAAAAAAAGAAATAATAAAAAATTTACATCTTTTCTTCTTCTTTTTTTTTTTGTTGGTCTCCATTGGATGTTCTCATGTTACAATGTTGTAATGACAAAATGACAGGATGGGATGATATGATGACGTTATGATGATAGCAATACGATGGATATATAACGGTGATGATTCCGTAGGGACTATAACGAAAATGATTCCACAATGATTCCTATGATGACGATGAGTGGGTAAACTAAACATTGTTTATTGATTGGTATATATATATATGTGTGTGTGTGTACTATGAGGATAATCATTAATAACAACTACATTAATTCAAACTATACTAATGATAAACTATAATGATAATAAACTATGCTGATGACAAACCATGTTGAAGTTACACCATAAAGGTCAGTCCATTAAACAGATGATCGTGTGATTGCCTGATTTTCCCCTAGTTGTTCCGTTGAGCCACTTGTCAAGATAATCAGTGAAACATAAAGGAGAAGTCCACTTGTAAAGTCCAGCTGTTAAGATGACCTACCATCCTTCCAATACAAAAAAAAAAAAAAAAAGATGACCTACCATCCGTATTGCATCGTATCCATCTTATTGTTTCCATATGAGCCTTGATAAACCCGTGTAATAAGTTTTAACCGAGCTGGCTGTGTATGATATATGTTAAAAACGTGTCGTGTCATCCACATCAGGTGTAATATGATGGCATAGATAATAAACAGCCATTAGTTCAGTAGTCGAAAAAGAAAGATGGCGTGTGGTGAAAAAGATGGCCATCAAGTAGGGAATGAGACCTTGTTGTATCCTTCGTTGAAGCCTTTATACACAAAGAAAGAAGCATTACTAATGATGGATGATGTACCTTACGACATTTAAGAGAAAAATAAGCATCTGTAAATAGAAAAAAATAAAGAAAGATTTTTTAGTATCGATAATATAACGATATGTTGTAGTTGTTATCATTCATGAGAGGACATTCCTACCAAAGACTATTAACATAGTTTAATGTTGTTGTCCTACTTGCGAAGCATTCCGGTCGTTGCTGAACAATGTATCACGTTGAATTCATAAAAAGCATCATTGATTGAACACGTCGGGTAAGAAAGATAGAATACTGTTGAGGAAAAAAAAAAAAAAGATCTGGTCATGATTCCAACTTCGGCCAATGAAATATCTTCATTGTGGGCATAAACATCATTGGATGAACACAACGATCATCATGTCAATTTTTTTTTTTTTAAGGATCACATAGATACCTGCGTCGAGTTCCCAACCTAATCACCCCAAAAAAAAAGGTACCATCTATTTGCTTCATCTCGGGTTAATCTGGAACGTCGTACATATGCATTTACTTTCGTCCGATGTCAATATATTGCACAGAACATAGTAACAATAAGATCTTCATCACCTTTCTGTTCACTTTTGGTTCTCATTTTACTCCATTATTCGATGATGATGATGATGATGATGATGATGATGATGATAAAGATGACGACATCTTTTTTTTTTTTTTACGTATGTTGATGAATAAGAAGTAGACAATGACGATGCTGAGGATGCGGATGGATTTACCAAAACGCAAATGGATCAAGAAAAGGACAAGTTCATATGCACGTATTCAGGTACCGCAGATCGGCATCATTTATCCGTTGATTTTTTTTTTTTTGGTCTGTTTTAGGTATGGATAAAAAAAAAACCAACGGAAATGTACTCTTATAGATATGAAATAGTTTTTTTTTTTTTTTTTTTTTTTTTTTTTTAATTACAGGAATGACCCTACCAAAAAGAGAGATCTTTTCCCTCTTCATATGAACACAAAGGACCTAATCATACATAGATCGGTATCATTATTCCGCGTATGATTATTCAAAAAAAAAAAATCCAAAATAAGCAATCTAGACTCTATCCAAAAATATCATCATCATCCCAAACTCAAAAAAAAAAAAAAAAAGAAAAGATTCCAAATGATGATGATTGGATCCATATTTTCTCCTCTTTTCTTTCATCTAGTGACCGACCCCAGAAAAAGCCCAGATCTTCCTATATATGACCTGATTTTATTATGAAGTCATTTTATATAATTGATTGGATCGTGAAATGAAAAATAAAAAATCACCGCCTATCTACTTCAACCGATCATTCCGACTATACGTTCAACTTTATATTTAATATAGTAGGATAATGTAGGATAACTATTTTTCATTTAATAAAATTGACAATAATAAAAGAAGATCTTTTTATTTATTTATTTATTTATTTTAGTTTAAAAAAAAAAGTAAATGAATGATGAATGAGTGATATTTTTTTGGGGGGGAGGATAGATTCTAATGAATCCAAATTAGGGAGTTTTCATAAAATAGGGAAAAGATGAATGTATACAATAACAATAATAAAAAAAAATGGGGGGAGAGAGTTTCTAAACTAAGAACAAAATCATCTAATTTTCATCCTTCATCCGTAATAAACGTTGTCGTTCCCTAGTTCGCATGGCCTGCCGTTTGTTTTGAAACCAGATTTGTACAGTTCTTGGACTCATTCCTAGCTGTCGACCCAATTCTGCCCGCATTTGTGTCGAAGGAAAAAAAGTACGATCAAAGACTTGATTCAAGATGGAGAGTTGTTTTGCATTGGCTCTTCTTCGTTTTGCCTTGATTCGTTGTTGGCTATTATTGCTACTTGTAGTCATGATGGATGATTGATCATCATCATCATCCACCTGTTCTTCTTCCTGTTGTTGTTCCGAATGATCAGACAAGTTGGTGGTAGGAAGAGGCGACCGGCGCTTTTGTTCTTCCAATAAAGTGGTTGGTAAAAAAGGACGAGTGTGTAATGAAAAATCAGAATTGGTGGAGGATAACATGGAATGTAAAGAAGTGGTGGATGTAGATGGTGATGATAAAGCTGACAAAGGAGGAGTTGTCAATTCTTGAAATGGGAAACAATAACTATCAGTCGGTGAAGGTGATGATGATGGTGATAATGAAGGACTTTTTGTAGGTGGATCACATAATAAATGAGAAATCGTCAACACTGAAGGCCTGCTATTGGATGTTGTTGTTTCTTGCTGTTTGATATATTGATCTTGATTTAACATATTGTTGACAGACAACATTTTTGTTTATAAAAAAAAATCGATGATAAAATAAAAAAAAAGAAAAAGAATATTTTAAAAAAAAGAGAAACACTGAAACTCTTTTTTTTTAAAAAAAAAAGAAATAATCGAAAAAGTTTAAAAAACAAAAAAAAAAAAAAAAAAAGAAGAAAGAGAAAAAAAGAAGTAAAGAAAAGAAAAAAAAACATTGGTTTTAGTTTTATTTTATATAATATTAAGATTTAAGCTCAGTTGCCAGTCAAAAACAAAAAGAAGAAAAATATAACCTCAAAGTATATTATTATTATTATTATTTAATTTTGATGAAAATTGGCTCGAGCCAAATGATGATGATTATTTGATTATTTAAAACTAAGGCTGAACCTTTAACTAACAAAGGTAATGAAAGAAAAAAAAAATATCGTTCGATTTTTTTTTTTTTTGTGTTTTCAGTTTGATGTCACACCAAGTAGGGTCTGGTCTCTTTTCAATAGCAACCTTCCTCATTTGGATATCAAATGGGCTAAACTGACCGCGGACATTGAATGATTAGTAGGTTTTTATTGGAGTACGGTGGAAATTACCATATAGAGATGTTGTTGCTAGGTTGATGTCTTTATTTATAGTGTCTTTTTAATAAAAAAGGGAAAAGGACTTACCATGAATAACATCACTTATTTCTAACTGTAAATGAATTGTTATCATCATCATCATCATCATCATTTATTATTCATATGGATCATATCCCCCACTTTTTATTGCAGATCGCTTATTTTTTTTTTTTACTCCTTATATTAAAAAAAAAAAGGTGGTACCTTCATCAATTTTTAATCAATCAAAAGCGATCAATATATATATATATACATATATATATAAAACTGAGCAGGTATACCTTCCGTAATAGTGATTCATGTTCTAATTCCTTTTTAGTGATCCCCAACTTATAATATGCAAGGTAAAAAAAAGGAATCCTTTGATCCTAATGTTAATAAGCTTTTTTTTTCATTTCAAGTTGCACGACAGCAGCCAATTGAATCATGTTTCGGCTGTTTCTAGGTACTGTTTATTCATTATTTAAGCAATCGTCCGAGGGATATGATACTTTTATAACACCTGATTTACAATGATTATCATGACCAATCACCATGATGCATCGCCAAGACTATTTTTAATATCCTACTTGTCGTGAATTGATTTTATTTATGTAATGGAGAATGAATGTTCTATGGATTCTCTATTCATCCAACAAGTAAAATTCATAAGGCCAAAAGTGAGAAAATTAAAGTTTTTTTTTTTTTTTTTTTTTTTTTTTGTTTATCATCCATCAAACTAGTTGTTTACCAAATGATTCATTGAGGATTATGTAAGTCAAATACTATTACTTTCTTGGCGAAATAATATCTGATGACCACCCCATTCTTTTTTTTTTTTATCATCTAATCCCATTACAGAAACTAGTTTATATCACAGATGATTTACTCACACATATATAAAGTAAATGAATAAATAATAATAATACCATCATCAACAATCATTCATCCGAGAAAAAAAGAAAATAACTTTATTTGTTGTAGAACATCAAATGAAAAAGTAAGGCGCCTCAGCATAAATATAAATATATATTTATATATATGGTGACACTGCATAATCTCATTCTTCTAAGTTTCCATATCTCAAAAGTACAAGATGAAGGGAAGGAATGGGTAAATTGAATCGCCGTGAAGCCTTTTTTGGAAAGGTATATGAGTGAAATTGTTGGGAGCTGTCAATCTTTTTATGGCTTCACGTTTTTTTTTTTTTTTTTTTTTTGTGTTCTCCTCTCCTTCTCCTTGTCTCGGCTGTGGGTCCGGGGCTTGAAAAAACGTGTGTTTTTAGTCATACAATGTTGAACTTTCTTCACATGGTAAAAATCGTCTTGTTATTAAACCTCCTGTTTTTTTTTATTAAACGATTTCTGGAGAAATCATCCCACTTTATTTAAAGTATAAAGTGATTCTTTTTTTTTTTTTTTTGTTATTTCATAAGAAATCTTATAATAATATTGAAAGAAAAAAAAAAGTAATGATGTCGTTAGTCTTGTATTAACAAAGAAAGAAAACGGACCGAAAAAGGACCGAGTCATATATAATAAAATGAAAGAGACCGACTCTCTGGATTTTTTTTTAATGAGTTGACAGCGGGGGTCTAAAGAATCATTGAGTATATGGGAAATGGGACCTCATAAAGAATCTTGTATGATGGTAGAACAACAATATAATGCCTCATTTAAATGATGATTAGAGCTTAAATGATACTCCCGTGCCGATTTTCTGTAAAAAAAAAAAAAAAAAAGTGGTGTGAAATATAACGGTTAATTAATGTTAATAGAGATAATCTAAACGTAAAAGGTGGATCCAAGTGTCACCATTCCTAATCTAGTAAGACCATGTTTCCTCCATAATAGTAGTAATAGTAATTCAATTGTAAGCCATCCCCGTCATTAACAATAAGACATCCAATGATCTAGAACAATGGTAATAAGATGATGATCATTTTTATTGGTCAAAGCGAGTAGAGAAAAATAATGAGTCAATAAAACTAAAAAAATAGGAAAAAAAAAAAAACTAATCCTATTGATATATTTCTGCATTGAAAGGAGTCCCAAACAAACATTCCCAACTTTTCGGTGGCGTCCATGCTCCTGAATTGTTGATGTCAGTATCTAATAACATTAAGATGTTACCATTTGATCATCTCTATAAAAGGAATATTTTCCATTCATCTTATCTTACCTTTTGATTTGATATGATAATACGTATTAAGTAAATTGGCCAATTCCACACTATCTTGAACATTGTCTACAAGTAAAAATCAAAATAGTCAAGTCATCATCATCATCACTATCACCATTTTTTTTTTCTATTAATTCATTTTCTTCATTACTTACCACCTTCCAAAACAAACATACAAAACATGATGACTTTTGTTTTCTTTTCCTGTAATTGTTGATATAAAGAGCGTGCAATACCAGCACCAGGCATAGGTGGTAACGTTGAAGTCATATCAATATCTTCTTTCTGTTGTTGTTCTGTTGGAGGCATTTCCAAATTTGGAACCTGAATTGTTTGATAAATATCTTGTACTGTGTTTACATCACCCACCACTCTGAAAGGAATTCTATAAAAAAGAGAAAGACCAGAATGAGTACATTTGTGTGATTTTTGTTTTCCTCTCTAACCCTTTTCATTTTGTCTCTCATTTCTTTTTCTCTCTCATTAATACATACCCTGATATTTGTGAATCCAATCGTCGAGCCGCATCCAAACTTGTCAATATCACCACTTGAGAAAAACCAGCCGAGGCAATAAAAGTTATTAATGTCGATATCAAACTCTGTTTTTTCCCTTTCAATGTTGGTGATCGTTGTTGTATCACTGTCCATCGACGATCCTTGGATTGATATACTATTGTATCAAAAAAAAAAAAAAGATGAGGAAAAAGTCCAACTCTTTTTAAAAAAATGGAGACTTACCTTCAATGGGTACAGAGATCCCAATGGCTTGTTGGTCTTCATATTGTCCAACTACAGGAATCACAGCATCTGAAGAAATGAACCCAACACGTTTCAAATGCAAGGTATGAATGATAAGATCACATGTTAATTGGGGTACATTGCCTATGGACACTGATGGCTGACAAAAAAAAAAAAGAAATAATAAAATATATAAGAATTAGAATTTTTATCAAAATTCTTGTTATTCAACTTACCAATAATAGTTGAGAATCTTTTAATAAAGAGATATCGTACGAAGCTGAAGGTATAAAAGAGGAAGTCATTATGAGTTGAAGTCAATTGAATAAGTTTTTTTTTTTAAAAAAAAAAAAAGAAGAAAAAAGAAAGGAAAGTGACGCGTACAGCGAAGAAAAAGTAAAAGAAAAGCAACGATTGGTGTTCAGACTCAGATTTCATGTTTTAGGATTTTCCCAAAATGGATGTCGCATTACCACTTTTTCAGAATATGTCAAAAATACATTGATTGATGATGATGATGATACAGTATATTAATCATTCTCTCTTTTTTTTTTCTTCTGTCATCTATTTTCCATCCTTACTATATATTTTATTTCCTAATTTTGCGACATCTTACTTTTGAATTCCGTATTTATTATTGAATAAAGTGTATTGAAGATATCAAAAAGATATAAATAATAATAACTAGATAATCATTAAACTAAATAATGTTTCATTCTGCCTACATGTATGTTTTTCTTGATCCTGCCGTCCTCTGATGGAATGTCATCAATAGTATTTAAATCTCGTTTGTACTAACTCGAATGGCCCCGTCCAGTTCAACATGCTCTTGCGATTTCTTTTGCCATTCCAAACTTATATGGTGACCCTATTGTTTTTTTTTTCTCTATATCCAAGCATTGATGAACTGTTCCAAAAGCTAAATACAGTGGATAAATAATATTGCCGTTGCTGGTGATGATTATCCGAGAAGAAGCCAACAGTATATCAAACGTGGACGAAGTAAAATGGTTGAGTATGATGTAACTGAGTGTGGTGTAGAATTGTGTAAAAAAAAAAAAAAAAGAAGAATTGGATAATACATGAATATTTCAGCAATTCCATTTGGTCATTTCATATAAATATCAGAGATGTTGTATAAATTCTGAAGCAAAAAAAAAAAAAAAAGGTCCATTATCGACAATTCCAGAGATACACCATATCTAAAATAAAGTCAAAATAAAAAAAAATCCTTGTTAGTTCCATTGATTGATTGTGTCGAGGTCGTGACAGATAACTCAACGTATTAGAGAAAGTACCAATGATCATCAAAAGTATTGCGTCCCAGCAGATCCGTGAAATAGTCCACAAAGATTCATAATAATCCTTTGGAATGGATAGCTGTCATGTGTTGTTGCTTGCTGATCATCGTTGTCGATATGCCTTTTGATCCTTTGACAAATATCGTGTGGATTGATATTTGTTTCGATGTATTATGTTCCTCCACATTCCAGCTGATAGGACTTCCTTTTTTAAATGGTCTTGTTGATTCCAAGGTAGCAGGAGAAGTTTGAACCATGATCACCAGAATGATTTTTTGCCAGTTGAACAAGTACTAGCATCAAATTTCCATGAGGTTTGCACTTTTTCACTAGGATTGCTATACACCATTGCATAGTTTTTTCTTGTCGATATTTGCCTTGATTTACTGAAGAGATAGAGTCTTGAAATGAAATGTCATTCCCTACATCCATTAAAGCTTGTACTGATGTACCGTTGGTGTTGTCGTATTGCCGTATTTCGTACCAATAATATATGCGTAAGATAAAAAGAATTCATTCAAACATAAAAAATAATATACCTTGAATCAATTCTGTTGAATAAAAAGCATATAAATGAACTACTACATATTGATATAATAAAACTATAAAAAAAAAGTCAATGGAATAGAAAAGAACGAAAGAGTAAAAAAATAAAATAAAATAAAGAAACAAAAAAAAAAAAAAAAAAAAAAAAAACTAGGACTTTGAAAATCAGTGCCCCTGAGCACCGAATCTAAAAACCAATGATGAAAATTGTTACTGTTGCTGTTGTTGTTTTTGTTGTTGTTGGCGTATCCGTAAAGTTGGTACCAGTTGATGAACGTTCTTAATGTCACACCTCAGATTTTTATTTTCCTTTGTTGTTGATCACCCGAACGTTTGCTGATGGCGTCAGTTTTGTTTCTTTAGAGTGTCCACGTCCATCGTTGTACTTGTTTTTTGCGCCTATATGCATGGTTTTACTAGCAAATGCATTTCAGGAGTAACATTTGTATTTTCATCACCAATTTAAAAATTTGAGAAAACATATAAATAATAGTGATCCCCTCAAAATAAAAAAAAAAAAAATAAAATGATTTATTATAATTTTAAGATGATATTACTTTTACTTTTTATTAACATTATTTTAGTCGCAGGTCAAGATTATTTGACATCACTTTCCACAACTACATGTACATCTTCTCAGTTTCTAAACACAATGAAACAAAAATACCCAGAAATTGCTAGCCAACTTCCACCAGAAACTACAAATCTTATAAACACAGCACTTGATTTACCCCCGAATCAAAGAGAGCACGCTATCGCAGAATATCGTGCAACAATCGAACAACAATTAAAAAATGATCCTCAATCAGCCCAAGCATCAAAAGGAGCTACAGATGCTCTTAAACAAGTATTTGAAGACATAGCAAGTACATGTCATAATAATTAAATATGATCTTCTAAAAGAAATGATTACTGAAAAAGAATAAAGTTTTAAATAATGTTCACAAACTACTTTCATAATGATCCATATTTACCTATCATAACCAACAGTCGCTTGTATGATGTTATTGCGTAAAAGACAATGGTTCGATTTTTTCAAATGCGATTTTCTCACTATGGAGCAAACTAACCAATAAAGTGTTGTTATCGATTGTTAAGCTACTTTTTAGCAATGCAGCCAATGGGAAAGAGAGTTCGAAGTTTGGAGGTATGAAAAAAAAAAATGGGATGGATTTTTGGATTTTACAGCCAAAATTTTCAAACTCCTCAGCCAAATTTTGGCTGTAAAAAAATATTGTCGAGGGATCATCAGGCATTTTTTGGAAAAATCGATGAAATCCTTTGGTATTTATTTACACTGTTAGGTGGCATGATAAGCCATAAAATGATATTAGATGATATTAAACTACTTTTTTGAGAGGAATCCAATGGTGGTCATTTTATTGGATGATGATCATTATTGGATGAGGGATGACGATATTGACATTTTATTTTTTAATTTACTCTAGAAATTGGGAGGTGAGGTGTAAATTTTTATTAATGAAATTGAAAGAGAATATTTTTATCTATGTTTGGTCGAAATTTGGTGCAATGATGATGGATGGCAAGTGAATTACAAAAGTATAAAGAGGTATATGTCGACACCATATGATATATTTCCCTTTTTTAACATTGTCAATCGATATATGTCTTACTCGTCATCCATCATTATTATTTAAAGATACAACGTCCCTCAATTGTTAGTTATCTTATCTATAGGAAGATTGGTTCCTCCAACAATGGCATCATGCTTTTTTTTTTTTTTTAAAAAAAAAAACAATATGGGCAATGTTATCATGGTGAGCCAAGTTTGAAAGACCGATAGATATGTGTTTAATTACTTGCACGCCAAGTTTTTTCTTAATCCTTTTTTTACTCTTTTACATTTTCATTGTGTAGGTAGTGAATAGTTCCTTCTTTTTTTATCTTATCTCGTTCTCTTCTATAGTTTTCGAAAATAAGATAGATCGGAAACAAAAATAATAATAATAATAAAGAAGTTCTTCGCCTTCACTTTGGTAATGATAAAAGAAAAAAAAAAGAAAAGAAAACATCATATTTGATGCTCACCTTTGGATACTTTTTTTTTACGCACTCTTTTCTTATTCATTTTTAGGGAATATTCTTATTTTGATCATCATCTCTCGTTCTTTTTGTGATACTGCTTGGCTTACTCTGATACCTTCAAAACAACAGGACCATATTCAAAGAAGGACGACAGGATACTTGTTTTTTTTTTGTTATTCATCTCTGAAAAAACATTACTATGACCTCTTCCCCTGATTCACCTGCATCATCTATCACTACCCATAGTACACCTAATGCTGGAACTCCAAGTTTATCTACTATTACATCAAGTACTGTGTTTGTCATCAAGGCTTTAGACAAGATTGAATCCGCTAAAGAAACTCGCCGCAATAAAGCTCTGAAAGAAGCTGTACAAAATGCTCAAAGTAAGGAACTCTTCATTTTGATGAATCTTCTATATTGTTATATTGATGAAATTATTTTCTTTTCTTAGACTCTCTAAAGACGATAGAACCTTTACAAAATGGTGAAACTCGGTATGATTATAAAATGACAACTATTTATTTACCCATTTGTTTGTAACCTTTTTTTTTTTTTGATTTATTTTTATACTGATAGATCGACGCTTATTTTAGCTGCTTTACAAATGGCCATTGATACACGTTCAGCCAATCTTATGACGATTGCTCTGGACTGTCTTGGCAAATTTATAACATATAACTATCTTGGGGACATGGAAAACGAGGTTGCACAAACTCAAGTCATGGAAAAAGTAGTTGATAGTATCTGTGATTGTTTTATTGGTGAAGAAACAGATGAAAAAGTACAACTACAACTTGTTAAGGTAAGATAACGAGAAATATAATTGAAAAAATTGTTGATGATTAAACTTTTTGTTTTATTTATAGGCCTTATTAGACGCGGTTTATTCCACAAGCAATCCATTACATCAATCTGCTTTACTAAAGGCGGTTAGAACAACGTACAACATTTTTTTATTATCACGCAGCAGTGCCAATCAGAATGTAGCGCAAGTTACTCTTACACAAATGGTGGATCATATCTTTCGACGTGTTAAAATTCTACCTCATCCCATTGCAGCATTAACTACTGACATTACAGCACAACAAGACGAAGATCAACAAACACAACAACAAGAAGGAACAGCAATCAACGAAATGGATAAAACCACCAACGATACAAATGGAACAGCGTATCAAGATCAAATTGTCGTGGAAGCAAGCATGGCTCGAAGTGAAATGGAGAAAAAGTTACCTAATAAGAAGGATACATCTGAAGAACTACTAAATGATACGGCAAATGTATTCAAGGAAGAAGAAATTGATGGACGAAATACATTGGAAAGCTCGATGGTAGAGAAAAATGGATTACCAGATACCATACCTTCAGAACAAGATACAGTAAAGTCATCACCCTCTACGGATACGACTCATTTGAAAACATCAACGAAAACTGGTGCTGATTTGGACGATGATCAAGTCTCAGATGGTCGAAGTTCTTTTGGCAATGACAGATTGGATACTGCTGAAACTGAAACTGAAGCTGATTTATATATCAAAGATGCTATTCTGGTCTTCCGTGCTCTATGCAAATTATCCAAGAAACCGATCTCTTCTGAATGGTAAGGATAAGATGAACCATTCAAAAAAAAAAAAAAAAGGAATAAGAGAAAGAAAGGGATGTAGTAATAGTATATACACTAACTCCATCTTTTTTTTTTGTGTGTGCGCATTTTATTAGGGGAAATGATATGCGATCATACTCTATGAGATCCAAGCTTTTATCACTTCATCTCATTTTGACCATTCTTACCTCTCATATGAACGTCTTCACCTCAACAAATGTCGTGTTTTCTTCTACGGATACCACAACTAATCGAATGAATCCTTTTATCTTGGAGGTCAAACAATATCTTTGTCCAAGTTTGGGTAGAAATGCTTTCTCAATGGTCCCTCAAGTATTTGACATTACCTTGGAAATCTTGTGGAAAGTTGTTCAGGGTTTGAAAGTCTTCTTGAAGGTAAATATAAAGAGAGAAAAAAAAAAAAAACTGGAGGACTAATCTGATTTTGAATTTGAATGCATATTTTGATGATTATAGAAAGAAGTGGAGGTGTTCTTCAAGGAAATCTTTTTACGAATTTTGGAAATGCGTACGGCAACTTATCAACAAAAATTCTCCTTATTGAAAGTAGTGCTTCGAATTTGTGAAGATCCTCAAACATTAGTGGATATGTATTTGAATTATGATTGTGATCGACAAGCCTTGGATAATATTTATGAAAGGTAAAGATAAGATAAGATATGAACAAAAAAAAAAACAATAAAGAAATAACAATTGATTAATTTATATATATTATTATTTTTACCATATTGCGTCTAAAGATTGGTCAATGTTCTATCGAAAATCACAACTTCGCATTCTGGTCCAAATGTTGGTAAAGAAATGGATAATCATGGTAATACCAATAACCCATCTGGTCATCATGGTCTTCATTCCAATTCAGTGGTGATTCCTCCTCCTCTTACAACTGCGACTGTACAATCTAACGAAAAACAACAACAACATCATCATGGTGTACTTGCGACTTCTGATGGTGCTATTAGATTCAAATCATTGGAATGCTTGGTGGCAGTGCTTCGATCTCTGGTGACATGGTACAACAACAATACTGTCAGTGTCTCTGCTGATGGTAAACAAGAAGATGATGTGACTACACCAAGGGAAAGTGAAGATGTACGTGGATCGACTGACCAATTGACACTACACAGTAATGGATCTGTTTCTCGACTTTCTCCCACCTCCTCTTCTAATGCCCTACCTACAGCAACAACTCCTTCTACTGGAAATGTGACACCAAGACTGGATGATCCTGAACAATTTGAAAACCTCAAACATCGAAAACAATTGCTTCAAGAAGGAATAAGACAATTCAACTGGAAACCAAAGAAGGGGATGGCGTTATTGGGAAAGAATGGATTTGTGGATATGAAGGATCATACTAGTGTGGCTCAATTCTTATTATCTACTGAAGGACTCAATAAGACAATAATTGGTGAATATCTTGGTGAAGGTGATGACGAAAATGTTGCTATTATGCATGCCTTTGTGGATGAAATGGAATTTACCAATATGGGATTTACGGATGCCCTACGACACTTTTTACAAGCATTCCGGTTACCAGGCGAAGGTCAAAAGATCGATCGATTTATGCTCAAATTTGCTGAACGTTATGTTCATGGAAATCCTACGGTATTTGCTAATGCTGAAACTGCTTACGTACTAGCCTACTCGGTGGTGATGTTGAACACAGATGCTCACAGTCCTCGTGTCAAGCATCGTATGACTTTACAAGACTTTATCAAGAACAACCGTGGTATTGATGATGGTGCGGATATTGCTCCAGAAATCTTGGAAGGTATTTTCAACGAAATTCAATCCAATGAAATCAAGATGAAAGACGAAGTAGAGGCGGCTAGCAATGATGCTTTGTTTACAAGTATAGCAGGTGGTGTTGCTGGTAGTGGACCTCTTGGTATTATGGGTTTACAAAATGCTTTGGTCAGTGCAGGAATTACACGTGATGTCCGACGAGAAGCTTTCCAAGCAGCTACTGAAGAAATGGGTTCCAAAACAGAAGCAATGTTCAAGAATATGTTGGCCAGCAAGCAACGTGCGGATGGTGGTGAAATGATTACATTTTACAGTGCTTCTCATGTAGAACATGTGCGACCTATGTTTGAGGTGGCATGGATGGCCTTTTTAGCCGGTATTTCTGGACCTTTACAAGAATCAGATGATTTAGAAACAGTACATTTATGTTTGGAAGGATTCAAGCATGCTATTCGTATTATCTGCCTTTTCCATACCGTGCAATCTGAAGATATGGATTTACAACGAGATGCGTTTGTCACCACTTTGACTAAATTCACCTTTTTATCCAATTTGAATGAAATGAAACCCAAGAATGTGGAAGCCATCCGTACATTATTGGAAGTAGCAGCTGAAGATGGAAACTATCTTAAAGGCAGCTGGAAAGAAATTTTGTCAACTGTTAGTCAATTGGAACGATTTCAACTCATTACTAGTGGTGTTGATCAAGTCAATCTTCCGGATATCTCTACAAAGCGACCTTCCAATGTATCTGCTAATAGTTCATCTACAAGTTCTCCTCATAAACCTTCTGTGGATATGGTTCGTCGTTCTTCTACCATGGCTCGTCGGGGTACAGCACAACATCGATTACAAGTGGCATTAGCTGAAGAAGTAGCATCTGCTGGTAGTTCTCAATCTTTGGTCTTGGCGGTGGATCGACTCTTCACTTCCACTGTTTATTTGAATGGGGTAATTTTTTTTTTAAAAAAAAGGAATAGAGATCTTAATGTACGGGAAGTGCTTGATTATTCACTTTTTTTTTTTTTCTTTAAAGATTGCCATTGTTGATTTTGTTCGTGCATTATGTGAAACCTCATGGGAAGAAATAGTATCATCAGCACATTTAGAACATCCAAGAATGTATAGTTTACAAAAGTTGGTTGAAATTTCCTATTACAATATGAATCGTATTCGTATGGAATGGTCCAATATCTGGTTGATCTTGGGTGATTATTACAACAAGGTGGGATGTCAATCTAATTTTAATGTGGCATTCTTTGCTTTGGATTCCTTACGACAATTGGCCATGAAATTTTTGGAAAAAGAAGAATTATCTCACTTCAAGTTTCAAAAGGACTTTTTGATGCCATTCCGTGATGTATTAGCGAATAATCCTGATGTGGCTATTAAGGATATGGTAATCATCATTTAAAATAATTTTTAATTCTTATCACTAAACTTTTTATTCTTCAGGTATTACGATGTTTATCTCAAATGATTTTGGCTAGAGCTCATCATATCAAATCTGGATGGAAAACTATGCTCTCTGTCTTTGCTATGGGTGCTAGGGAAAGTTCAGGTAAAAAAAAAAAAAATCATACAAGTAAGAATATAACTAATGATCTTTTGATTTATTGAATAGAATCCATTGTCCATATGACATTTGATATTGTCCGAAGTGTGACTCAAGAAAGATTCCCTGATATTGTTGCAAATGGTACTTTCCCTGATTATATTTCATGTTTAGTTGAATTCTCTCGAAATAAGAAATTCCAAAAGATCAGTTTACCTGCTCTCGATATGATTAAAGGAACGATTCCCAAAATGTTAGAAATTGCTTACAGTGACAAGACAATTGAAATCAATGATGCTCATACAGTAGCTGGACAGACAATTCAATCAGGGGATGACTTTTTGATCAAATTTTGGTTTGCTGTGCTTTATGGTTTGAAGGAAGTGACAATGCAAAGTGATGATGTGGAAGTACGAAAAAGGTAATGTGTAAATATATATATATATATATGATATTATTAAACAATGAAACGTATTTTTTTTTTTTTATTTTTAGATCATTGGCATACCTATTTGAAACATTGAAGCAATATGGATCAAAGTTTACTCCTGAATTCTGGGCAACAGTCTCTAGACAAATCATCTTCCCTCTATTTGATGATTTAAACGCTGACAGTCGACGACAACGTAATATTACCCCAGAGGATCTTAGTGTTTGGCTTTCAACAACCATGATTGAAGCTCTTCGTAATGTTGTGGATCTTTATACATTTTATTTTGACAATATGAAAAATATGATGCAACATGTATTAGGATTATTGGGACTCTGTATTACCCAAGGTAAGTCGACGATCTCCAAAAAAAAAAAAAGATCTGATCTTTTATTTGTTTTATCTTCTTCATTTTTAGATAATGATACTCTTGCTCGTATTGGATGTGAATGTTTAGAACAATATATCGAAGCTAATGTGGAAAAATTTGATGAAGATTGTTGGAATCAAGTAACAGATATGTTTACCAATTTATTCGAAAAGACAACGGCTTATGGATTATTTGATGATACTCAAGATTTGGTAGAAAAAGTCAAGGCAGCATCTCCTAAAGGTAAGATATGATAGAATAAACTAAAATATATATACTTATATATATCTATGTATACATGTAGAAATCAATGGTATAGATCATGATAATGGACCAGCAGTACCTTTGACTATTAGTCCTGAACGCCATAGTAAATTCCAACAAGTGATTGTACGATGTGTATTACAACTGATGCTTATTCAAACAGTGAATGATCTTCTCAGCAAGGACAATGTATATTGTGCTTATCCATCTTTACATTTGATGAAGTTAATGGGCTGTTTGGAACACTCTTTCCATTTTGCAAAGAAATTTAATTTGGATACTGAATTACGGATGGCTTTATGGCAATTTGGTAAGACAAAGAGAATAATAAAACAGACACCTGAAAATATGATTGGCTCACCTTCCTTCTTTCTTTTTATGGATATAGGTTTTATGAAACAATTACCCAACTTATTAAAACAAGAAACATCTAGTGGCGGTTGTTATGTCTCTGTGTTGATGCGAATGTACTCCAATCTAGAAAATATCTCTGATCGTGATGAACACCGAGAAGCTATAGAAAAGACATTGATACCGTAAGTGAAATCCAGAAAAAAAAAAAACCTCATGAAATTCACCATCTTTTTTTTTTTTTTTGTTAGACTTTGTAATGAAATCTTTACACTTTATATGGATTTGGATCATGATACAAAACCCAAGAATATTGCTGCATGGACTCCTGTTGTTGTTTCTATATTAAATGGATTATCTTTATTACAAGATGAAGATGTAAGTTTAGAGAAAAAAAAAAAAGGAAAACACCAATGATTTCTCACACGAATTTTTTTTCTTCTTGATTAAGTTTACTCGACATGTGCCACAGTTTTATTTACCAGCAGTTGAACTGTTGGGGCAACACAATCTTTTGGCTCAAGTACGATCTGCTTTAAGAACTTTATTGATTCGAGTTGGCAAAACATACAAGATCACCTCTACATCATCATGAAGGAATAAATCATGAAAATGGATTTCCCTTTAGTTAGTTACCTAATTATATATTTTAGTCTTGTTTTACAACAAAAAAAAAATAAAAGCTCCTATTTTTGTGTTCTATATTTTGATAAAATAGGTGTGTGGGGAATCAAATCTATCATCCGGGAGTAGAAATAACCACGGCTAATCCTTTTATAGAACGGAGAATTGACCATAAAAGGTGTGCGAAAAAGTCTATTCATTCAAAACATCAAGAACTCTCCCGACCAAGCGGGGCAAGACTGGTTTGGATTTGATGAGGGGAAGACGTGGAAAAATCGAGGTTTTGGATCCCAGCGTGGCCCTTGATTTTACGTAAAACAAAGGTGGGTTCTTTTTTAATTCTCTTTCTCTTTTTTTTTTTTTTCTTTCTTTTATATCAAAATTTCTACTATTTCCTTTCCTTCCTTTTTTTTTATTTATTTATTCAATATGCTTTCTTCTTGTCAACGAAAAAAGTCAATCAAACCTCATGTACGAACTGCTTGTGTAAGTTTAGTTTGATTGTCCCTTTTATATAGTTTATCGTCAAAAAGAACAAAAAAAAGGTTGCTCAGAGTTATTAATATAATACCTCCAACTTTCTTTTTTTTTTTTTTTGGATACCATTTATTATTGTATAGGTGAATTGTAAGAAGGCTCATTTGGCTTGTGATGGTAAAAAAAAAAAAAAAAAAAAAAAAGGAAGAATGGGACGATATAAAGATACTGATTGAACTTCCATATTTGTATATTAGCGGAAAGACCTTGTAAACGTTGTATCTCAGTTGGAAAGACCGACTCTTGTTATGATATCCAGCACAAGAAACGGGGTCGTCCGAAGTTACGGGAAAAGTATGCATCCAACTTGGAATCCGATCATCATATGTCCACTTCACTATCAACAAAAAGACAAGTTCCACGACATCAACATCATACAACCCAATTTCAACCCATGTTACCATTATCATTACCTTCACAACAACAACAACAAATTTCTCCTCTATTGGCTCGTCATTCATCATCATCACCTATTGATTCCCTTACTCCATTCCTCACCATGTCTTCACCTCCTTCTTCATTTATGATGACAAAATCATCCACTACATCATCATCACCATTTAATTTATCAGCAATGACTAATGTTCCAATGATGACGGTAAAAAAAAAAAAAAAAAAAAAAGAGGATGAAAAAAAAGGATTTGAAACTGATTCTTTTTTTTTATGATTTGCATAGATTTTTCTTACACCAGAAATGTGTTGTGCACGAGCATCAGATGAAACCATGGATTTTCTTGGTTATCATCCTCAGGAATTGGCTCATCGATCATTGTATGACTTTATATCCAACACTTCTGAATTACATCACGTGCATCAGCTTTTATCTCAGTCTTACCAACAATCGCTTCATTCTCAACCATCAACAGTGTCAACTAATAGCAACGACGATTATTATCATCAATTGCCACCAACGACATTATTAAATATTGCAAATGGATCGAAAACATTCAAGATGGTATTGTACTTTTATACAGCGGATCAGAAAGGACAAATAGCTTTAGATGCTCGGTTTTATTTTGGTGGTGGATTAGGTGCTGATTTATGTCGATCATCCACGTTGCATCATCTCTACATTGTCTGTCTCCTAACAAAATCGACGACGAACATACTGCCAACATCATCAAAACCGGTATTATCGTCTTCTGTCAATGCCATCCCTTCTCCCATATCACCTCCTTTACTCGATTTATTGACCGATCAAACTATCCATCCTGATTTCTCCTCCCTTTCTTATCTCTCTTCCTCTCTATCGTCTATCTCCTCTTCCTCTTCTTCCAGTTCTTCGGCTTCTTCTTCTACCCAACAGCATATATCAGCCTCATCACCTTTACAATCCTTATTGTTGACGCCGCCGTATTCTAATCTTCAAACTCCTGTAGATCAAGAGGAAACTTCTTTGGTAAGAACTAGAACATAGATTGTTTCAATAGTATGGATAAAGAAACATGATTCTCACTTTTTTTTTTTTTTTTTTTTTTTTTTTTTTAGTATTCTTGGTTAGATTTCGCATTTTCATCCAATGCTCCTTCAATAAAATAGATCTTACAATGTTGATTGTTGATCATAACGTTGCCTTATTATTATGGTTATTATTATTTTTCCCCCATGTGTATTAGTATTTCTTTTCTTGTATTTGTAGTATAGTTGATATGTAGTTTCTTCCTATTTTGATAATAAAAAAAACCAACAACAATCAACAGACCATGAATAGTGGAATAAATTTAGTTTTTTATTATATATTTTTAATCAATAACACAAGTCTTTGAGGTATCTACATCTAATTCTAACCATACTATTGCTAACATGTCTATTCGTTCCATCCAATATCGGATCCATTTGTTTCCAGTAGTAGTCCTTACGTAGAGTTGCCGTCAACGAAGGCCACTGTGATTCATCTTCATAATAAGGGAGTCTAGGAAGAACTTGATTTTCCCTGAGTGATATCAAACGTTGATCTTCTTTGTCGTTCCATGACATACAAAACCATTTTTCTTCTTTCTTTTGTGTGATAACAACCAAATCAGTATCAGTCTCAAATTTCAATGCGCATGTTTCTAATCCGATATCCGGCAAGTCAACCTCTAGACACCGTTCACCTTGAGTCGTCGTTTCCCATGGTGGAGCCCTGTTGTCAAGTTCCCATAGGATAGCCAGCTTTTCCAAGGTCTTACACGATTTGTTGATATACCCAAATAAAGAAGAATCTAAAGAGCAGTACATCAATTGTAGTTTTGTCAGGTTGTTGTTATACGATGATGTGGTCGATGATGATGATGATGATGATGATGATGATGCTGATGATGATGATGTTGCTGATGATGATGTTGCTGATGATGATGTTGCTGATGATGATGTTGCTGATGATGATGTTGCTGATGATGATGTTGCTGATGATGATGTTGCTGACGATGCTGTCAATGTACCACCTCTCACTTCAAGACTATCCAGATTCCGGCAGGCATCCAAAATGGAGGGTATGTCCACAGGATGGTCACGAGGACCACCAAAGAGATTCAACGTCAATGTAGTCAAGTCATGGCAAAAGGACAGAGGTTTTATCATATCTACCAAGCAAACCCCAGGACACAGCGATGGTGGAGAGATGTGCAATGACTTCAATGTTGGTTGGAGACATCCAATGAACCAGTAGTAATCTTCCATGTAGGTCGCATTTCCTATATCTTCCATTGCTTTATTCCAAAGATTTTCCAGACGTATATCTTCCATTCCGATGATCGAATTTTTGAGTCGTAAATAATGCAACAGTGATTCATGCGGTTTGTTGTATTGTGTTTCCAAGCCAAGGCTGCGTAATCGAGGAAAGCCAGCCACCATTTCAGCTTGATGTGAAGGGGATTGCGTCCCACAAGGGACATTGCTGTCGAACTTTTCCAAGTTAGGGTATCTTGTCGCAAAAAATGATCGCCAGGATGAATCAGGAGTTCCCATTTCCCGAAATATCAAAGTACGTAAACATGTTAAGGTTTTTGCTGTTGATGTTGTTGTTGCTGTTCTCATAGGAAGAAATTTGCATCCGTCAAGGTGAAAAGTTGTGAGTTGTGGTGCTGAGGTGTTCATCATGTCCAAGGAGTCACAACTAAGGCTCATATACCTTAATCGAAGTTCATGGAGAGAAGGTAAGGACGGCAATGGCCAAAAGTAACTGTCAGTCCGACGAAATAGGCCGATGTCCAGATGTGTCAGTTGTTGGGTGTAATGGTGCGTCAAATATCCAGATGTATCAGTGTAGTGAGAGGTGAGATTTTTCAAATATGGCCATCCAGGGTAAGCATAGGGGACCAAGAAATCTTGATTAGAAAGATTATCATCATGATTTTGAATGAGCGGCCACGTCGTAGATAGGAGGCAAAGAGAAGAATAATGTTCAAAAAATTCAACAAAAGGACACAGAGATTGAAGTAAGACATATCGCATATTGTTTATGCCAACAGACAGATTGATAGAGAGCTGCCGAATATAATGACCAATAGGTAAAGGGGAGTTGGTAGAAGCAACGTGATGTTGTTTTGCAGACCACAGAAGAAGAAGTAGAAAAGATTGCATACGCGGTACATTGGAGATGGTCACAGTGTGGTACAGTTGAGGATAGTCAAATAGATGAAACTTTTGCCAGTCGCGAGATACCAGCCGATATTCGAAGAATTGTTGACGAGGTAGAAGTAAAATGATCTTTTCAAATATTTCTGCAGGTAAAAAAAGAGGATCCATATTGAAGTTGTTGACCTAGAACAAAAAAGAGGGGATCAATATAGCCGTTCTTTTTTTTTTTTTTTTTTTTTTCCCTTTTCTTGGTTTGGCATGTACCTTTTGCACCCAGCTTTTAGGAATAGTGAATGAATAAGTGTACGTGCATAAGTATGTGTAAAATAGATGGAAACTGTTTATATAAAAGACAATCGTAAGACAGAAGTAAAAGGAAAAAAGTGATGAGAGAAGAGAAGAAAAAGCAAAAAAAAAAAAAAAAAAAAAAAAAAAAGAAAAGAAAAAAAAAAAAAAGAAAAGAAAAGAAAAAAAAAAAAAAAGAAAAGAAAAAAAAAAAAAAAGAAAAAAAAAAAAAAAAAAAAAGTGAGGCAAAGCCAAATTACGCGTTCCTAAATTTGGCAAACGAAGACTTTCTTTGAGACACCGCAAGTAGCCAGAAGATATCAATCTTTACATACAGTAGGAATTTGGTGATGATGATCCGTTTACTTGATTGAAATTGGCTAGCTTTGACGCTTTCTGTATTTGGTTATTTACCAGCTTATCCTTTGATTTGAACCTAATGAAATATCATCATCATCATCATCATCATGATCTGTGAGTTCCATTCCTTACCAATTATAGTAAGGTCAACCGCTCGTTTTTTCAAACAGTGTAAAAAAGTTTATTTATCATACATAGGTAGATCCAATTAGGCATCTTTTAGAAATGAAGATAAAAAAAATAAAAGGGCGTATCACAATGTTTTATTCAAAGAAACAACAACAAAAAAAAAATCTAACTAAGGGTATTATAAGAGAAAATTGATATGATGATCATTCTAGAGATATAAGTGAGACTTAACTACCAGTGAATAACTTGAATGCCCAATGAAAACAAGAATCCAAGAATCAAAAAGCAGATAAATCAACGACCATCCATAAGATCTCCAATATGGAATAATTTGTCTTTTGGTCAAGCAAGACTAAAAAAAAAAAAAAAAAAAAAAAAAAAAAAAAAAAAAAAAAAAAAAAAAAAAGGAAAAAACACCAATAATGGAATAAAGTCGGTTTTTTATATATTTGCAATCAACAGCATAATTCTTTGAGATATCTACATCTAAGTCTAACCACACTATCGCTAACATATCGACTTGATCCATCCAATAGCGGATCCATCTGTTTCCAATAGTAATCTTTGTGTACAGTTGCTGTCAAGGAGGGCCACTGTGTTTCGTCTTCATAATAAGGGAGCCTGGGAGGAACCTCATTGAATGATACCGGATGCCGATATTCTCTGTCGTTCGAAGGCATATAAAATCGTTTTTCTTCTTCTTTTTGTGTGGAGCCTGTAATAACAACTAAATCAATAATAGCCTCAACGTCCAATGTGCATATTTCCAGTCCAACATCCGGCAAGTTAATCTCTATACACCGTTCATCTTGAGTCGTAGTTTCCCATGGTGGAGTCACATCGCTAAGTTCAAACCATCGAATTGCCAGCTTTTCCAAGTTCTTACACGACTTGTTGATATATCCAAATAAAGACGAATCAAAAGAGCAGTTGACCAAGACTAATTTCGCAAGCTTGCTGTTATATGTTGATGATGTTGATGATGTTGATGTTGGTGATGTTGATGTTGGTGATGTTGATGTTGGTGATGTTGATGTTGGTGATGTTGATGTTGGTGATGTTGATGTTGGTGATGTTGATGTTGATGATGATGATGTTGGTGATGATGATGTTGATGATGATGATGTTACTGATGACGCTGTCAATACACCTTCGCTCAGTTCAAGACTATCCAGATTCCGGCAGGCATCCAAAATGGAGGGTATGTCCACAGGGTGATCAGGAGGACTACCAAAGAGATTCAACGTCAATGTAGTCAAGTCATGGCAAAAAGACAGAGGCTTCATCATATCTACCAAACAAACCCCAGGACACAGCGATGGTGGAGAGATGTGCAATGACTTCAACGTTGGTTGGAGACATCCAATGAACCAGCAGTAACCTTCCATGTAGGTCGCATTCCCTATATCTTCCATTGCTTTATTCCAAAAATTTTCCAGACGTATATCTTCCATTCCGATGATCGAATTCTTGAGTCGTAAATAATGCAACAGCGATTCGTGCGGTTTGTTGTACTGTGTTTCCAAGCCGAGGATGCGTAATCGAGGAAAGCCAGCCACCATTTCAGCTTGATGTGAAGGGTATTGTCTCCCACGAGAGAAGTTAATGTTGAATTTTTCCAAGTTAGGGTACCTTGTCAAAAAAAATATTCGCCAGGATGAATCAAGTACTTCCGTTTTCTCAAATTCCAGAGTACGTAAAGATGTTAACGGTCTTGCTGCTGCTGCTGCTGTTGTTTCCATAGGAAGAAATCTACATGTATCAATTCGGAGAGTTGTGAGCTGCGGTGCTGAGGTATTCATCGTATCCAGGGAGTCGCCATCAAGGTCCATATATCTTAATTGAATTTCATAAAGGCAAGGCAAGGACGGTAATGGCCAAAAGTAAGAGCCAGTCCGATGAAAGAGCGCAATGGTCAAATGTGTCAGTTGTTGGCTGTAATGGTGCATCAAATATCCAGGTGTATCGGTGTGGTGAGACATAAGGTTCTTCAAATATGGCCATCCAGGGTAAGCGTAGCTAGGGTAAGCGTAGCTGGCTAAGAAGTCCTGATTGGAAGGATTATCATCATGATATTGAAGGATTGGCCACATAGTAGATAGCAGGCGAGAGGAAGAGTAATGTTCGAAGAATTCAACAAAAGGGCACAGAGATTGAAGCAAGACAAACCGTGTGTGGTTTATACTAACAGACTGTTCGATGTAGAGTTGCCGAACATAATGGCCAATAGGTAGAGAGAAGTTGGTAGAAGCTATATGATGTTGTTTGGCAGACCACAGAAGAAGAAGTAGAAAAGATTGCATACGTCGTACATTAGTAATGTTCACAGTATGGTAAAGCTGACAGTGGTCAAATAGACGAAACTTTTGCCAACCGCGAGATACAAGTCGATATTCGAAGAATTGTTGACGAGGTAAAAGTAAAATGATCTTTTCAAATATTTCTGCAGGTAAAAGAAGAGGATCCATATTGAACTTTTTGACCTAGAAAAAAAAAAAAAGGGATCAATATAGCCATTCCTTTTTTTTTTTCCCCTCTAGCTTCGACATGTACCTTCAGCACCAAGAATAATGAGGCAAGCGTGAATGAGAGAGCGAATACGTTTGCATAAGCATGTGGAAAAGAGAGGAAAACTTTATATAATAAAAGATGATTGTATGGCAGACACAGAAGGAAAAAGTGAGGAGATAAGGAAAGAAAGAGGGAACAAAAAGAAAATCGAAACGAAGCCAAATTACGCGTTCCTAAATTTGGAAAATGAAAACTTCCTTTGAGACGCCGCAACCAGTTGTGCAAGACTTCAATTATGATCCGTTTACTTGATTGAAACTAGCTAGCGTTGATACTTTCTGTATTTGGTTATTTTCCAGCTTACTCTTATATAAACCATCATCATCATTATCACCATGATCTATGCGTTCTATTATTTACTAGCTATAATCGATAGTAACTTCAATCGCTCTTGTCAAATAGGGTGAAAAAAATTACAGTATCATAATGTTTTATTTGAATAGACGACAAGATAAAAAGATTTATAGCTGTAAGCATGACAAAAAAAAAAAAAAAAAAAAAAAAAAACGGAGAATTGGTAAACACCGTATGATGATCAACTTAGATATATGAATGAGACCTGATTGACCAGTGAATAGCTTGAGTATCAAATGAAAACAAGAGCTCAAGAATCGAAATGCTCCAAACCTGTAATGATTTGTCTTCTGATCAAACAAAAGTAAATAAATAAATAAAAAAAAAAACACCAATAATGGAATAAAATTGGACCTTTAATCTATATCTGTAATCAATAACATAAATCTTTGAGGTATCTACATCTAAGTCTAATAACACTATTCGTAACGTCTCTTCTTCTTCTTCTTTTTCTTCTTTCTTTTCTATTCAATGAGTCTATCTGTTCCCAATAGTGATCCCCGGGTATAGCTTCTGTCAAGGACGGCCAATGTGTTTCGTCTTCATAATAAAGGTTTCTGTCAGGAAATGGAGTTTCACTGAATGTTACAAGACTATAATCATCATAGCTGTTCAATCGCAACCAAAATCGTTTTTCTTCTTTCTGTGTGGACCCTGTAATAACAATCAAATCGTGATTATATCCCAAATCCAAAGTGCATGCTTCCAGTCCAATATCCGACAAGTCCATCTCTATATACTGAGTCCTATATTCCCATGGTGGAGTGTTGTCGTCAAGTTGAAACCATCGGATCGTCAGCTGTTCCAAGTTCCTACACGACTTGTTGATATAACTAAATAAAGAGGAATCAAAGGCGCAGTCGATCAATTGCAGTTTTATCAGATTGTTGTTGTATGATGATGGTGGTGTTGCTGATGATGTCGCCAATGATGATGATGATACTGCTGATGATGTCGCCGATGATGATGATGTTGCTGATGATGGTGGAGGTGATGACGCTGTCAATATACCATATTTCACTTCGAGACTAATTAGATTCCGGCAGGCATCCAAAATGGAGGTTACGTCCACAGAGTAGTCAGGGTTATCAACGAAACTCAAGGTCAATGCAGTCAAGTCATGGCAAAAGGACAGAGGCCTCATCATATCCACTAAGGAGATACCGGGACACAAAGATAGTGGAGTGATATACAATGATTTCAACGTTGGTTGGAGACATCCAATGAACCAACAGTAATCTTCCATGTAGGTCGCATTCCCTATATCTTCCATTGCTTTATTCCAAAGATTTTCCAGACGCACATCTTCCATTCCGATGATCGAACTTTTGAGTCGTAAGTAATGCAACAGTGACTCATGCGGTTTATAATATCGTGTTTCCAAGCCAAGGATGCGTAATCGAGGAAAGCCAGCCACCATTTCAGCTTGCTGTGAAGGATGTTGACTTCCAAAAGGAATGCTGCTGTCGAATTTTTCCAAGTTAGGGTATCTTGTCGCAAAAAATGATCGCCAGGATGAATCAGGAGGTTCCATTTTTCGAAATGTCAAAGTACGTAAAGATGTTAAGGGTCTTGCTGCTGCTGTTGTTGTTTTCATAGGAAGAAGTCTGCATAGTTCAAGGCGAAAAGTCATGAGCTGTGGTGCTGAGGTGTTCATCATGTCCAGGGAGTCAGCATCAAGATGCACAAACCTTAATCTAATTTCGACAAGACAAGGCATGGATGGTAAAGGCAAAAAGTAGGGGTCAGAGCCATTACAGATGTCAATAGTCAAATGTGTCAGTTGCTGGGAGAGATGATCTTTCCAATATCCAGATGTTTCGGTGTAGAGGGACGTAAGATTCTTCAAATGTCGCCATTGAGGGAAAAAGTAGACGTAATAGGGATCTTTATAGAAAAATTCGTCATCTTGGAATGGAAGGGCTGGCCAGAACGAATCCAGGCGAGATGAAGAGTAATGTTCAAAGAATTCAACAAAAGGACACAGATATTGAAACAAGTTATGTCGGTCTTTGTTTACGCTAACAGACAGATTGACATAGAGCCGTCGAATATAATGGCCAATGGGTAAAGAGGATTTGGTAGAAGCCACATGATATTGCTTGGAAGACCACAGAAGAAGGCGCAGAAAGGATTGCATACGTCGTACATTGGTAATGTTCACAGTATGGTACAGTTGACGGTAGTCAAATAGGCGAGACTTTTGCCAACCGCGAGATACAAGCCGATATTCGAAGAATTGTTGACGAGGTAAAAGTAAAATGATCTTTTCAAATATTTCTGCAGGTAAAAGTAGAGGATCCATAATAAAGTTGACTAAAAAAAAAAAAAAAAAAAAAAAAAAATGTTATCAACATTGTGATTCTTTTTTGTTTCTTTTCTCTAGCTTCGACATGTACCTTCAGCACCAGGAATAATGATGCAGGTGTGAATGATAGAGTGAATGCGTTTGCATAAGTATGTGGAAAAGAGAAGAAAACTTTATATAATAAAAGATGATTGTATGATGACACCAAAGGAAAAAGTGAGGAGATATGGAAAGAAAGAGCGCGAAAAAAAAAAAAAAATTGCGTTCCTAAATTTGGAAAATGAGACTTCCTTTGGGACACCGAAAATAGAAGCGTAAGGTTTCCACTGTAAAGAAATACAGCACTTGCTTCTAACGGTAGTACATTTTAGATATGGATGTAAAAAAAAAAGTATATCATAACGTTTTATTCAAAGAGACAACAAAAAAATACAAAAATAAGAAGATTTCTAGCTACTAATATTATAATAATAAAAAAAAAGAGAATGAATTGGCAAATGTGGTAGTATGATGATCATCCTAGAGAGCGTGGGTGATTAACCGGTGAATATCTTGAGTATCAAATAAAAGCAAGAACCCAAGAATCGAAAAGCAGCCAAAATAACGACCATCCATAAGATCACCAACATGTAATAATTTGTCTTTTGATCAAACGAACCGAAAAACCCAGCATTATCCGCAGAGCATATCAGAGCCACCAAGATCAAGTTCGTAATTAACCAGCAAATCACCAATTTAGTTCGAAAGGCACGGTAGTAGTCTTCTTGTTTTGTTTTTGGATCTCTTCGATGAGGTTCTTCCTTGGTACGTCGACGTAGATTTTGACAGGCTTCGATATATAATTCTCCCACATCTTTTTGTTCAGGTACCGCCACTTCCGCTGTAGCTTGGCCTTGTTTCACTTCCACCACTCCAAGATCAATAGCAACGGCGTCGATATCCTTCGTGCCCCAACTATCAATAGTGAAGAAGATTAGTTTTCTTTTTTTTTTTTTTTGTCATCTTACCTAACATCATGCGTGTTACAAAAGGCGAAACTATTAAGGATGTTGATATAGCTTGGTGTCATAAATATGTATTGGACAAAGCTTGTAAACATGTGCCATGGATCAAAAAATAAAATACTGGATACAAGGTAGATAGCATATGTAGCGGCAACAGAGACGACAATATCACGGAAGGATCCATTAGAGAGTAGGGAAGTATCAGGATTATTAGTGGCACTACGAACACCTTGATATGCAATCCAAACCGAGGCAAACATGACATAACCCATTAATATAGCAAAGAACAGGATGATGGCAGTGTAAGCACCTTTTGATCTGTAAATAGTGAAATTGAAAATAATTAGAATATTATTTTTTTTTTATTTTTTCTTATGATTTACCCTTGTGGTCGATTTCCTAATGAGAGTAAAAATAATGTCACCAATAAGATTCCATAGATATATACCAGAATAGTATGAATAATGCTTGCAGCTTTTTGAGAGAAAGGTGGTGATTCCATGGTAGATAAAGATCTGGTCAAGATATAAAAGCTAAGAAAGAAATTTCCCTTTATAAAGAATATTAGTCAGCCCTTTCTAATAAAAGAAAAAAAAAAGCATCTTACCAAAGCAAACCAAGAGAAAAGCCATTGAATAGATAGATAAATCAGTTCGATCAACAAAAGAAATTTTCTACCCGTAGAATGATCCGTTTTGAATATTTTTCCCCAATGGAAGAGAGCGTATACACCGGCAAAAAAAGAACCTATGATAAAAGATAAAAGTTGATCATGTTAGTATATAAATCGTCTTTTTTTTTTTTTTTTTTTTTTTTACCATTAAGCCATCGTCGTCTTTGTGATAAGAATTCAGGAACCTAAGAGAAAAAGAAATTCAGTACCACTTGTATGATTATTATTATTTTTTTTTGACTTGTTTACCGAACTAGGTACATCTGTTTCGCCATAAGCACCCGAAACATAGTGAAGTACCCAATTTGCATGTTTCTTGGCTACTAGTTCATAACATAAGATTCGATCTTCAGCAAGATACATATTAGCTTCAAATATACCAGCATCATCACCATGAAGGACTTCTCCCATAAAATATTTTTGTAAAGGACCTTGACCGTTGACATCATTCAAGAGAGCGGTATATCGATAGGCAGAAAAGGCTCCAGGAAGGACTTGAATATATCCCAAAACAGATTCCAATGGTTTATCGAGAATATTTGAGATCTAATTTAGTTTAAACCAGGAAAAGAGATAAATCATGATGATGATGATGATGAGATTTTTTTTTTTTTTTTGAGAATTAAATATGTTATTACTTTACCTTGTATTCAAAATTTTGACTGGCTACCAAAGGATTGATAAGATGTGCACCAAGAGGACCTGTCATGGCACGAATTTCACCACAAGCACCACCAACATTTGAATGAAGATCAAAAGTTTTCCAAAGACGATAAATAGAATGTACACCAGGTCTTGTTCCAACATCAAATAACATGCATATATTCGGCTTTATAATGGGGCAAAAGGCCTGAAAAAACCATCGATGTGAGTTGATCTTTCGTTGATTCTTTTCCTTGATACAAAGAATCATTTGCGTAGGCACAATCTTGTTTTCTGCATTCTTGAATTTGAGATCAGGATCCAATGATAATTGTGTTGTATACTAGATTGGTAAAAAAAAATAAATATAAAATAATAACATTCATTTTTTATTATTATTTAGGAATGAGATGAGCTTACCTCATATAAATGCGCTTGTACGGGTTTGTAGTCCACTAGATTCTTGGCAACACCTTCTTGATAAATTCCAATAGCTGAAAGCATATCAAACACACGTGGATGTACTTTATCACGACCATCAGCAATAATACATACTACGACTTTTCCCCAACTGTCTGAACCCTAACCATAATAAAAAAAAAAAGATCATCAAGTGTTTCGTACAAATTAATCTGGATTATTAGTTTCTTTTTTTTTTTTTTCTTTGTACCCAAGTTTTCGATTTATTTCTTTGACAAAGATGAGAGATATTCTTCATGACACCGTGTAGTGTTCGAGACAATAAAACTTCATCTTCCTAAAAGGGAAGTGGATCCAAATATATATATATATAAATAAAAGGGGTGAGATCAGTGATACAAATCAAAAAAAAAAAAAATGTTGGAGATGTATTTTTTTTTTTTTTTTGTTTCCTTTTCTTTTTTTTTTTTTTTTCTGGACCTTACGTTGTACATCGTGATGCAAACAAATAATTCCGTTTCTCGACCTAGTAGGGCTTGGCGTAAAGTATACTTGGCAAAATCAGATGGATCATTGGTCACCGCTGTATATCGCATATGAGTAAATTCTTTCCCAATACGTAAAGGAACACTTGCTAAATATTGTTCAGGCACAGGACAGTCAAGTACAAGATTTCCTTCAGTCAATTTGATACGTCGTGTAGTGTTATATCGTCTTCGTTGACGTCTTGGTGCAAGATGTGGAGTAGGTGATATTCGAACAGGCATCATCACCATCTCTGGTTGTAACTGATCTTGCTGTTGTTGTTGTTGTTGGTATTGTTGATATTGATAATAAGGATGATGAAAATATGGATAATGATACTGATCTGTTTGTGATGGTGGTGGCACTTGCTGTGATTGTTGTGTATGTTGTTGATGATGATTGTGTGAATTATTTTCATTACTTTCATTGTTATCATAATATGAATAATAGTTGGAAGAAGGATAAACTTCGTTGGGCAAAGTAGAAGAAGGTGCTGGTGGTCGAGCGGTGTGTACTGGTTGTTCAATGAGCATGGGCGCAGGAGGATGCTGTTGATGGTCACCAGGTTGAGGCATATGAATTGGTGGAGGTGGAGGAGTAAATACACTTGATCGCATAACGTCGCTCGTGATATTTCAATAGAGACCTAATGGAGGAAAAAGAAAAAAAAAAAAGTAAAGAAATAAGGAAGAGAGAGACTACCAAAAGTACTGTCAATCCAAAAACAATCACCCAAAATTAGCCAAGAAGTCATCACGTGTCCCCCTTTTTTTTTTCTGTAACACTTACATCATGCCTCCATAAATAATATCATCTTACCAGTTTTGTCTTGAATAGATAAATATAAAGATCAAGTCGAGATCTAAAGAAAAGTTCATTGGAAAATAATATATATATATATAACATATCGATGGAATAAAAAGGAGATAAAAGTAAAAATAATAAAAAAAAAAAAAAAAAAAAGGAAAGAGAGACATGAGAAAAGAATGAAGCACAAAAAATTTTTCTAAATGCGTGAATCCATGGTTTTTTTTATTGAGCAAAATAATTTCAACGTAAGTAAAATAAAGACATCGAACTAAAGAATACAGAAAGGTTTCCGACTTTAATGCTTCTTGGACTATATTAAAGAAAAAAAAAAGAAGAAGAAATAATCAGTTTCATGATCCATTTTATACCTTTTCTCTCTCTCTTTTATTTATATATTTTTTTTCTTACCTTGATCTTCTTGACGTAGAATTCGAGTTCCTTGCCTTCAAGGATGTAACCATCACAACGACCAGATTGACCAGGACGAGAAGCAATGATGGCATAAAGACGACCAGCAGCGAATTGATCATCCAAAAGGGGATCGACAGCAGCAGTGGCTTGACGAGCAGCAATCTTCTTTTGGACAGACTTGGACTTCTTATCAGCAGCATGTTCGACTTCTTCAGTCTTGGCAGCAGCAGCCTTCTTCTTACCCAAAACTTGAGCATAGTGAGCTTCATACCATTGACGGAAAGGAGTGGCATCGATTTGAATAACGGCACCCTTGACAAGAGTGTTAGTACGAACCAATTCGTTGTTGGAAGCATTGTACACAACAGTCAAAACACGAGTCTTGCGAGAAATACCTTCGGAACCCCAAGAGAAGTTACCGGCTTCAAGACGAAGAGCACGATGCTTGTAGTTACCACCACGGACACGAACCAAATGGATACGCTTAGCTCCCAACTTGGTGTTGGCAGATTGACGACCCAATTCGAACCTAAAATAAAGTAGTAGATTAGTTATATAGATATCTTCTTATATATATATGTATGATTAATGTTGAATCCTTACTTTCTCTTCTTTCTGTATTGAGAACGTCTGGCACCGGTAGCGCTGCGCTTGTGGCGAGAATCACGGCTGATACCTAAAAGAAGATGATATCAAATAAAAAGAAATATATCATGAATGTTAGACATGGATGGATGAATGGATGGATGGATGGATTATTATAGTGTGTGGTTACATACCCATATTAAGTTGAAAAGGAGGGAGTCAAAAGGTTGGTAGAAAGAATTACCATTTTACAAGCGAAAAAAAAAAAAAAATATGCGGAGATGGAATTCCCTGTTATTTTCAATCCGGACAGACCTGATTGCCCTCTTTTTTCTCATATCTACAACTTGCCATGTGTTCCTTTTTTTTTTTTTTTTTTTTTTACAATGTGTTACAGTCAATGAATGGGAGCATAAATATTAATTTTTTTCTCATAAATGATCTTTTTTACTTCTTATTATTATTATCATTTTTAATTCTATACTTTTTTAATCCAATGGATGATGATTCATATTAATATCCTCTGAGTTCCATATTTAATATTATTTATTTTTTTATTTTTAAAAAAAAAAATCATAATTAGGACAATAAGTGGCAGCGGAAAGTGAAATGTATCCAATGAAACAAGAGACTCGATGGCTCAGGTACTCACGCAGGAGTCGTTAAATAGTTTAGATCAATTTCATATTTTTACTTTTTATTTTTTTTTTCTCTTTTTAACTTTTTTTTTTTTTTTTGTTAACTTGTCATTTAGTCTTCATTCATTTTCCAAATCTCTTTCTCTCTATTTCTCTCTTTTTACTGCGGTATACTCAAGAAAAAAATAGAGTCAATTTCTTCCAAGTTTTCTTTTGTTTTTATCTTGGCGTTTCTAAATAGACCTTTTTTTTTTTTTTTACCACACGCCATTCATATACTATTTTAATCAACAATAACAGCAATATGGTGGACAACGATAACAACAATATAACCAAGAATAATAACAATGATAATGACGGCCCCAACGCCGGTTTGATAGCTGGACTAACGACAGGTTTGGTGGTGGCAGCTCTAGTGGCCCTGACCGCTGGGTTATTTATCTATCGAAAAAGGAAAAGAGCAAGAATGAATATCAGTAAGAAGACTCTAGACTCAGTTGAAGATCCTCCTCCTTCCAATCCAATGGTATCAGTTTCTCCTCCTTCTCCTCTTACCATTCTGGTTCCACCACAGCAGACGCATCAACAACAGGTAATCAAGCCAATCAAATGAAAATAGGAGTAACAATATTAATTATGAATATATTGAATAGGATCAACATCATTATGAAACTTTGCCACCTCTTTATATTCCACCATTATCAACAACACCAGCAGTCAACAACTCCATTGGATTGCCCACTACAACTATTCAAAGATCATTGACACTTGCTTCACGACCTCATCGGAAATCACCAACAGCTATTTCCTCCAATTCGCCGCTCAATCGATCAGCCTCCGTCAAAATAACAAAGTACGATCATTATCCTTTGACACTGGATGATGATGATTTAGATCATGTACAAATACGACGTGCAATCTCCGTGAAACGACAAAATGCAAACACATCATCAACAACTGTTCCTTTCTTAGTCCAACCTGTAGCAACAACAGTATCTCGATCTAATTCAGTTCGTTCTACCAATAATCGAGGATTGGATGATAAAGAATCGATTACCGCAATCACAACTACTTCCATAAACAAAACAACAAGTATAGATTCTACGACAGAAAATAATAACAAACTCAATGATGGTTCTATGCAAGAAACAACTACAACAACAACATCTTCTGCTGGCAGTGGTGCGATTCAGGTGGTCTGTGCTAAACCAACCATTGCAAGGATACGATCTATATCAAGAAAGGGTACTAAGGGAAAGAAATCAACAATAGAACAAGAAGACAAACATGAAGAACGAACATCAATACCTGGTAGTACTCATTCTTCTACTTTGGCAGATGGCGAAATCACTGTGTATTGGCAACCTCCTTCTACTAATTAGTTCTCTCTTTTGATAGTTTTTTAGTTGAATGTATTATTACCTCCTTAATTATTATTATTCTTATTACACCTGTCAAAATAAATAAACTTGGTTTACAAATTTGGAAGTGTTCTGAATCCCGCAGTGTGACTTTTGGACAGCAAGAGCTAGCTGTCCTTCTCTCAGTTTTTTTTTTTTTTTTTCTTTTTTTTTATTTCTTTTTTCTTTTTTTACAATTTCAAGGTTGTCTTCTTTGATCCACACTCCCTTTTTTTTATTTTATTGTAATTCCTATTGCTTCTAATGTCCTCAGAGAAAAGAAAAGATACCTCATTATCTAGTAATGCTTTAGTCAAACGGGCTCGTGGTGAAGGTTCCGATGACTCAGCTGCCTTGATCACCTTGTCATCTGAACGATCTGGTACTAGCAATGCTATTGTCGGCACAGTAAGTTATATTTATTGTCATGGTTAATAAACATACATAAGATAACAATGTTGTTGAACTTATATTTTTTTTTGTTATATAGATTAAACGTACATCTGGTTTGGAAGCTCCAGTAATGCAACTCACTGGTCATGAAGTAAGTCAAGAACAATGACGAAGATAATGCAATAATATTAAATTCTATTTCTATTTCTTTTTCTTTTTTTTTTTTTCTAGGGTGAAATTTATAGTGCAAAGTTTGATCCTTCAGGTCAACATATCGCTTCTGGATCTTACGATAGACGAATTTGTAAGTAAATGAAAATAATAATAATAACCTATGCTGATATTTCATTTTTTCCCCTCTCTTTTCTTGATATAGTACTTTGGAATACATATGGTGATTGTCAAAACTATGGAGTATTAAAAGGTCATACAAATGCAGTCATGGAAGTACATTGGTCTCGAGATTCAAAGTAAGAAGGAACAAATATATTCACTTTTAAAATATTTCTCACAAGTATTTTTTTTTTTTTTTTGTAGTGAAATATATAGTTGTTCTGCTGACAAAACTGTATGTATATGGGATGCAAATCGTGGAGAACGTATTCGAAGGTGGAAAGGACATAACTTGGTAGTCAACAGTTGTCAAGTAGCGCGTCGAGGTCCTGAAATGGTTGTATCTGGAAGTGATGATGGATGTGTCAAACTTTGGGATAGTCGAGAAAAGCATGCCACACAAACATTGGAAAATGATTATCAAGTGACAAGTGTATGTTTTAGTGATGCTGGTGATATGGTTTATTCTGGTGGAATTGACAATGAAATCAAGGCAAGTTTCCAAAAAAAAAAAAAAAAGATTCTATTTTACTCATCCTTTTTATCATTTCAGGTATGGGATCTTCGCAAGAAACAAGTACTTTACACTTTGGCTGGTCATTTAGATACAATTACTGGTCTTTCTTTAAGTCCTGATGGTGATTATTTACTTTCGAATTCTATGGATAATACAGGTAAAAAAAAAAAAAAAGTAATAATAAAAAGATGGAGGGACAATGAATGATGAACCTTTTTTTTTTTTTTTTTTTTTTTTTTTTTTTTTTTTTTTAGTACAAATGTGGGATATCAAACCATTTGTGGCGGCTGATCGATGTGTCAAGGTATTTGAAGGGGCTCCTCATGGATTTGAAAAGAACCTCATTCGTCCCACGTGGTCAACAGATGGCAGTCAAGTTGCATGTGGGTCTGCAGATCGATCGGTGGTGATCTGGGAAGTCTCTACAGGCAAGATTCTTTACAAGTTACCTGGTCACAAGGGTTGTGTCAATGATGTGGACTGGCATCCAAAGGAACCTATAGTTATGACTTGTTCAACAGATAAGTCTATCTTTTTAGGTGAAGTCAAGCAAACAGGTTATTGAATAAAGTGTAGTATACTCTACTTTTTATATATATATCGAAATAGTAATAATAATAATAAAAAAAAAATAAAAAATATGATAAAAAATTGAAATCGAATGTATGTTTGATGATAATGATGGACTTTATGTATTGATTTTATATATGATGTAGCTATTTTGAATGATACATACACATATATATATATATATATGTATATAATGAGATTGTTTATTAAAAAGTAGGGACTATACTAAAAGATCAACTATCAAGCCAAACCAGTTTCTTTATAAGGATACTCCAAAGAATCATCCTTTTTCCTCCAGAGTTTCTTTTTGCGTTTGGTAGTAACATGTTCAGTCCAGACTTCTACACAGTATTTCTTTTTGAATTTTCGAATAAAGACAGGATCCCTATTTTATATATAAATAAATCAATAGACTAAATCAATATGTGTTTGCTTATATAAGATTTTTCTTTACCATAATTCCGAAGCGATACCCAAATCCTTACAACAACGCATCAACGCATTACTTTTACAACCTTCTGATGCAGTGGGTAAACCAGTGGTATCAAAGAAATCTTGTTCGCCACGAGCTTGAGATACAAATCTACCATGACAAATCAAAGCATATTCTCTAGAGATATTTTTACTAGAAATCGAATGTTCACCTCGAGGAGCTAAACCCCAACCTAAAAAGAATGTAAACTATTTTAGAAATACTTTTTTTTTTTTTTGTTATCATTTTACCACCAGGGCCAAAAGCCTTGTTCAAAATGCGTCGGTACTTAATTTCAGGTAGATACAGTAAACCATCTATATAATAATAATAAGAAGAAGGTTTAATCGAATAAATATGTCAACAAAAAGAAAAAAAGATTACCTGGCTTGATTTCCACATCATCAGGATTCACCTCTTGTTGTAAAATGTTGGCAATGTCAGGAGAAAAAGGGACAGTGGAGAGACCATAAAACGAGGTGGACCAGTTGTGTGATTGATTATCAATGTCAAGACCTTCTTCAGCTAATTGAGGATCGAATTGATCGGTGGCTGGAAAATAACTCTTATCTTGAACAGTTGGCATATTAGATTCTACAATGGTTGCTGTAGGTGCAGGATCGACGCCTTTGGCAGACGTGTCATTCAATGTGCTTTTTTTGCTGTTAGATGATATCTTTGTTGTTGTCGTGTTTGCTTCATTTCTTAAAGAGGTATGGAAGGATTCTTTTCTATCTGCCGCTTTTACTATAATGGATTTGGTGGGTGTCTTGGTTGATGTTTGGTTGGTGACTGAAGTAGTTGAGGTACGTGTATTTTTCCCTGTATACCGTGTGGTTGTAATAAATCGTTGAGTCGATAAAGAAGTAGAACGGAATGTAAAGAAAGATGAATGAGGATGTAACTTGTAAAAGAACCGCATGCTGTTAAGATCCCTTTTTCCAATGATAAAAAGAAAAAGAGAAAAGAAGAATTAAACAGAGCTGGGAAGGAAAAAAAAAGTTTTTTTTTTCTTTTGTCATCTTTAGCGGTGCTTAGAAGTCGCATAACCCAAAAACAACATTTATGTTGAATGAAAAGATGAGTTGATTTTTATTTTGTTCAGGGGGGATATGTAATGGTCATTTTATTAAGTTTTCAAAAAAAAAAAAAAGGGTTTTAGATAAAGTATATATAAAAAGGAAAAAGTATAAACATAACTAAGCTAAAAAAAAAAAAAAAATAACACTACTTTGATTCCATAAGGGCAATGATCCTAAAGTGTTTTTGATCTGGCTCCAAGTCTTTGTATTGTTTGATCATCTTGGCAGCACTCTAATACAAAGAAAATGAAGAAAAAAAAATAATGAGTTCAACCCTTTTATTATTATTATTATTATGTATTTACCTGAATAAAATCTGTTGTTTTTCCATGATTCACAGGTAATGGCCTACGTCCATCCAATTCATATAAATGATCATCGACTTCCACTAAGCATATATAATGACAATCAATATGACATTGACCAGGACCAGTGACATCCGTTTGACCAAGTGAAGCGGCAGTTTGATGCAAATGTTCTAATTCGTTGGATTGTTGTAACCAATCAGCACGTTCGTCAGGCGACATGGATCGTGATGTTTCCAGAAAATCATGCAATACTCCGGGTCCCACTACTTCATTATCATTATTGGCCAATGAATGAAGCATAGCTGTCATCCCACATGCTGCCATCCCAGCTGGTTGCTTGAAAAAAATCACATTCGGACTAATACTTTGTTCCAATTTGGCCAGCCGGATTTCTTCTTGATGAATATGATCATTATAGCGTTGTGTTGATGGGAATAAAATAATGATGGCCAATGGTGCTTGAATTAAACTATCCAAATCTAATAATAATTCTTTATTGAACAAAAAAATCCCATTTATATTTTTTGATATGACTTACTTTCAATATCCACATATTTCCATTTTGTATCAACACCTGACCCATGAATGATCTAGAAAAAAAGAAAAAAAAAAGTGAAGATTGAATATAAAAAGTAGACCATTCTTATGCTAATAATTGTAACAAAAAAGTTCCAAAAGAAAAGTCTCCGAGTCACCAAAAGAAAGAAAGAAAAAAAAAACTTTTTTTCAATAGTTTATATCTTACCTTATTCCAAACCTAAACAGTTTAAAAGAAAAGAAAAAAATATAATTTATTTATCAAAATAAAGAAAAAGAATTCAACTTACCTCTGGACAAGCTTCAAGTGGTAACCAAGAATGGCTTGCATTATTTTTGGTATTTGCAGTCATTGGAATATATATTATTGTAATATAAAAAAAAAAAAAAGAAAAAGGAAAGAGTGCACAAAAAGAAGAATAATACGTAATAGAATAAATAAAAAAAAAAAGTGAAACAAAAAAAAAAAAAAAGTAAAAAAAAAAAAAAAAAAAAATGAAAAAAAATAACCAGAAAAAGAAATAGCTGGATGTGAGTTTGAACTTAACCATATTTATTTGATTTTGATACAAATTTATTTTTATTAATTTATCATTTTATATATGTTTGATAGACTTGCCAATAATGTCAATATCAATTCTTGAATTTCATTTTCTTTTGTCAAATTTTCCAAAATATCTAATCAAATAAAGAAATATATATATTATTATTATTATTTTAATATTTTATTACATTTTTTTTTTTTTTTTACCTTCTAACCATTGTATTGTTGATGATAATTCAATACTATAATCCTTCAATAATAAACTACCTTGATCTTTATAACAAATATGGAGAATAGTATGAATACCAATAAGTAATGCACGAAGTCCTTGAGTAGATAACTTGGGTATATATCGTATTGACAAGGCATAATCAAAGTATTCTTTAACTATCTTGCGTCTATCAGGTGTATTACTACCACATTGCATAATCACATTCAATGTCATAATAAATCTTTCTACTAGCATAGGATCTTCTATAATCCATCTATATAAATAATAATAGGTTATCATATTATATATATATATTATATACTCTTTACCTTAATTTTGTTTGTGGTGATGCCCACCAACCATTGATCAGTGGAAAAAAGAAACTTCGTCCAACCAATCCAGAAAGTCGATTCTTTGTGATACCTTTTTGTCGTTTGAGATCAGCTTGAACCCTTGATGAAGTAAATACAATTTTTCCTGTTGTATTTGCTGACTTCGATACCATATCGAGGGGTTCCTAAAAATAAGATCAATTTACGTACAAACAATCATAAAAAAAAACATTCTCAGTCAATGATGGAATTTCTTGATTTTTTTTTTTTTTTTTTTTTTACCAATGCCAAAGTAGAGTCCATATTCAATTTGTGATCAGATGTCCAACCTGATAGCTCAAAAATCGAGGTAGAGATGGATGCCAAGATAATGTTTTTTCGAAAGATCGAGGTATTTTGACTGAAAAATTGTTCAATCAGGAAACTATTATAGAAATAATGATAATAATATAAGACTTTTTTACTTTTTTGAATAGTATTTATATATATAGATATCTTTACCTAGCCACTTTTTCAGGACATGCCACTAATAATGCTGTCAATGAGGACTGTAGTAGTTGTTTGTCATTGTCAATTTCATAAACATCAGGAAAATAGACCAAACGATTTGCAAGTTCCATCGCCCATTCATCTAATATATGCCGTTACTTTTTTTTTCTCTTCTTTTTTTTTTTAATTGTTTTTTTTTTCTTACCTATTTCAGTTCCAACATTTGTTTTCTGTCGTATGATACGTTCAGCAGCATTTAATCCAATTTCAAGTTTTTCAGGATCTTCCGAATCTTTAAGGTAATTGATCAATTCAGATATATATCTATATGATCGTGGTTAGTAAAGAACAATTTGATTTTTAACGATTTTTTACTTACACTGGTATCCGAGCTTTCTTCTTCTTAGGGTCCGTCTTGTCATCATTCTTATCATCTTCTTCGTCAGATTCTTCTTCCATTGGATAAGGTTCCAGATCAGAATCCTCTTCGTCTATTTGTTCTATATAAAAATATTATTCGCTTATTATTCATTGCTATATTTTTTTTTTTTTTGTCATTGTACCTTCGTCTTCATCATCAGGATCTACCAAGAGATCAGGATCCAAATCTTCCTCTATTTCCTGTATAATATCATCATCATCATTATTATCGACTGCTGTACCAGTAGATGGCAATTCGAATGAGTATGTCTCTACAACTAAATAAACAAATATGGACAAAGGAGATTAGTTGACACTTTCCAAAAAAGATCCCGTTCTCTCTCTCTTAAAAGGTACCCGAAGAAAAAAAAAATCCTATCATATAAGATCAAATGGCAGTTTTATTTCCCCTTTCTCTTACTTACTTTGAGTCAATCCATCGCCAATTGTCGCTAGTTCCTTTATATTCTTGAACCATGATTCCATTGGGATCCCAAAATCCAGTACTGCATCATCCTGATTCTTTGTTCGACTTGATATGCTTTCAGCAACAACCTTAAAAAAATCATCAGCCATTCGTTAGTCATCATTCCATATCGCGTTTGATCTCTTTTTTTTTTTTTGCTATGTTTACCATAGCTAGTTTTGCAGTATTAATATCAGCTGTTTTCAACCAAGTCGAAATCCCCATCATGATTCCAGTGGATTGTTGAATATTTTCCATCATTGTATTGTCAGTATATCCAAATAGAATCAACAACACGGTTGTCACATCTGTAAAGAAAAAAAAAATAAAAATATAATTAATTAATTGGAAATGCCCCTATCCATCTTAATTAAACTTACCACGTCTTTCCGAATCACTTGATTGTTTGATAAATACAGGGTCAGTCCATATATCAATAACATCATATAAAAGCTGGACTATCATATCAGAAGCAACCATGGAAAGCCGAAACACACAGTCATCTAATATAATCGAATAATCATCAATCGAAATGACAAAAATAATATGTCCATCTTTTTTATTTACCTTTAATTTCATATGTTCCCAAACGTTCCAAACCAACCGCATGTACTGCAATGGCCACCACTGTTCTTATTACCAGTTCATTCTTCAAACGGATCTTGGAAGTGTCTTTTAATGCAAAAGTCAAAAAGGCTTGTATTCGTGTTACTTGATTCGATGGTGTTGATAAATTCTTGTTGAAAAATAAGACTGGGGCAAGTTGTGAGGCAGTGTGTTGGATAATAGGTCTTGTAAAATTTGACCATGAACAGTTGTTACTGACAGTAAAAGTTGCATGTTTTTCTTGTAGAGGTGCCATATGCTTGTTGATATAACCTAGGATGGCTTCATATAATTTTTCGGCTGGTGCAGTTTTTTCACATCGAGTCCACAGTTGATCCCAAACTGAGCTACATTGAGGATCAGAATGTGTTGTATATTGCTGTCTAGCTATAGGGATCATCGTTTCCATACACACATCTAGAATCCCAAAAAGTCAAATAGTAAATCGTCCAATCCAATTCCCCTCGATTTATAGATAGCATCTATATATATATATATTTACCTTGGTATCCTTGTCGAATCATTTTTCCAACCAATTCACCAGCCATATCCAAACATCCACTTGCTTGTTTTACATCACTACCAAAGGATGATTTCACCATATCATAAACAAAATCTATCTCCAACGCAATATACTTGGCCAACGAAGGATAAAAGTTCCTATTCAATCATCACCATCGATGAATAAAAATAATAAGAAGAAAAAAAATGGAACCAATGTTAGACCTTAGTGATAACAACAGGTTGACCATTACCTGTCCAAATACCAATATCGATGGGAGTTATTGATAGCTTGTTGCATTCCATAAGCGTTGGAAAGTCGAGAAGGAATGGAACACAAAAGGGAGCAAAATGAAGAGAGATCTATGATTGCATTGGCATGACGAAGATAAATAGAAACAAGAGGTCCACTCATCTTTTTCAACAAAGTCGTATAAGCATCAAGGACATCCAAAGAAAAAGTCGGATCTGTCGTATGAAGATCACGAATACATTCCAAAAGTAACGGTAAACTTATTTGTGCCATGGTGGCGCGTAGGGAAGCCATTGTCGAGGACGATCCAATAAGAGTGGCCACAAGACTCTCCATATCCTTACGATTGTCGCTAGTCATAAAAACAAATGCCCAACGTGGTATCAAGGTATGAAGAACTAACCAGACATGTCGTTTCCAAACTTTGTGCTTGACCAACTGAGGTGAAAGCCAAGTCAATGGTTGATGGAGGCTTTCGCGGTCGTGTTCGATACTGTCACTTGTCGAGGTCGAAGCATCAATAAGCTCCAAATCATGAACCGTCTTTTCTATTGATCCCATAAAAGAAAAGTGTATGTGAATAAGATAGAGTAAATCAAATTTAGAAAAGGAAGAGATTAAAAAAAAAAAAAATTGTAAAAAGAGAGAGAGATATAAAATTTTCAACATCAGCTTTTTTTTTTTTTATTATTATGCCCCATATTTAAAAAGTATCTATAAACTAATATCTAATCTAAAAATGAAAATGATTTGCGACTTCTTCCTTCCAGAGGGACTTGGTATCAAACTTGCTTCCTAATTTCGTACAGAGCAAAAAGGCACCAGACAACTTTTTGTGTAAGCCATAGGTTTCATCAGGAGGAGGAGTCAATCGATGTTGTAGCATGATAGGAATAGTATCACGAACCCTTGATGTAATGGTTTGTTGGGAAAAGTCATATATATCGGGTGCTGTTGCTGTAAAAGGTTCACCAAGTACCATCACACTATCTATATGAGCTTGCTTCATCACTTCGGTTTCATATCCAGTCACAAATCCAAGTTGTTTCGAATATTCCCATACACCTTCCCGATCTTGTCGAGCCGCTGACCCAAGAATCCGTCCATACAATTGTAAAAATGAGGAAGGATATTCACGACATGCTCCAAAGTCCAATAATTCGATTTGTGCTGTTTTTTGATTATAAAAAAAGTTGGACCAGTTAGGATCTGTTTGCATGAATCGGAATGAGAACACTTCACGTAAACATAACCTTAAAAGATTTTCACCAAGCTAAATATCCAAAAAAAAAAAAAAAAATGGAATGAGTGAATCGTACATAAATTCATCTTTTGAAATACCTTGTTTCGAATATCTTGTGGTTCATCCACTGCTTTACTAAGAACTTGACCTTCCAATCGTTCACATACCAAAATCCGTTCCGTACACAATTCCTTGATGACTTGAGGTACCTTGTATCTTGAATCATCCTTTAGTAATTGTCCAAATCGTTGAGCATTATTGGCTTCCCGTAGATAATCACATTCCCATGCTAATTCTTCTTTTGTGACCTTGATCGTATTATCCAAATAAAGTCCTCGAGGAAGTAAATTGCTGAATGTTACTAGAGCCTTAAGATTGCTGAGATCACTATCAATAGATGTTGCAATGCCAGGATATTGAATTTTGATGACGACTGATTGTCCATTGGATAAGGTGGCTGCATGGACTTGACCAATAGACGCAGCTGCAATTGGTACGGGATCAAAATGTTCAAAATTGGATAACCAATCATTCCCTAGCTGTTCGGCCATGACTTTCTATAAATGATATTTATATTAGTCTAATACCTTTTTTTTTTTTTTTTTTTTTTTGTTCTACTGATTGATTACCTCCATTTGTTGTCTAGGCATATAATTTGCGCTATCATGAACTCGAAGTAAAACTTGTTCTAACTGAGGAGGTAATGCACTGGATGATTGATTGGCAGCTTGAATACCTTGAATGCTTAACATCTGTCCCATCTTGAGTGCTGCTCCACGCATTGTTGAGAGTTTCTCCACTAATCGATCCACATTTCTTTCACTAAGCATGACCGATCCTAACTCCCAAAAAAAAAAAAAAAAAAAAAAAGGTTAATCATTCACTTTTTTCTCCATTCGTTTCATTTACCTTGATGGTTTCTAGAGATACCCGTTGCTCTTTTGAACGTTTCATTGATGGCACCTAAACCCATACCTGTTGCTAATGATCCATAATGCCATAACCGACTAGCACGTGAGGTTGGGATTCGCGCTTCTTTCAACATGCGTCTTACTGGTTCCTTTTGTTTGTCTGTCAATAATAAATCTGTATCCTGTATCGAGTTCACACTGGTTGAAGGACTATCTAATGTTACTGTTGTTGTTGTTGTAGTTGCAGACACTGAAGATAATGGTGATGTAGATTGAATAGGTGTATGACTAGTGATGGTAGTTGTAGTAGAATCTTCGATGCCTTTCAGTGTAACCGATTCCTGAACGACTGGTTCGATGTTGAGATCATTCATTATTGGTGATACTTTTTCAATACTGGATTCATGATCAAAGGGAGCTTTTGCCGTAGTCTTAGTATTACTGTTGGTACCAACATTTGAATGTGATAGTTGTTGTTCATTTGTTTCTGTGGTTTGGGTAATAGTAGTAGGTGTTGGATTCAATAAACTTGACGTTTTGACGTGATGTTGGATAGCGGCTGATTGACTGGCAATAATACCATATCCTATTTTTGAGGTTGCACTTGCTACACCGAATATATCAACAAGTGTCCTGGCAATAGACATTGGACCATAAAAAAAAAAAAAAAAAAAAAGAGACAATCACAGTCTGAAAAAAAAAAAAAAAAAAAGAAAGTGAAAGAAAGAGACCTGGAAAAAAAAACACAGCATTCACATCCCCCGTATAGAAATTGGAAGGCACATGCCCACATACATTTTCAAAGCCAGATGTCAAAAGGAAATAAGAGATAACTGTTTATTAATAATCTATAAAGGACAAACAAAACCTCCAGATGGTGGTGAAGCTGTAACTGTAGATGACCAAAGAATCCCCTGAAAATGAAAAGTAATCTATGTATATATATATAAAAAAAAAGGTAGAAGAGGTTACATCATCCGATTATGTTACATCCATCCTACCTTGATATTAATATTTAAAGAGGGCATATCAGGGCCTTGTTTCTGTTGAGGACCACAAGTACGATAAAGATCCTGCCAAGTAGTATCAGTGTCTGTAGCAGCCGAATAATGAACATGGAACACGATATTTGGGATGACCACCAATGATTTGGGTGCCAGAGCGAGATCATCCATTGTGGCAGTAGCAAAAGAGGATTGAGTCAAACTATCCATCATGATCATCTCCATTTTGTTTAGTCGTGTTGGGATCCAATTATCACGATTATCCAATGTCACGTTCATTAGCCATGTTGCCTCCATCCATGGTCGTTTATCTGGTGTGGTTGCCCATATTGTTCCTTCTTGAGGGTTTTGACGTTCAGCATGGCTCCCTATCACCACCATCGGTGTCCTTGGCCAACAAAAAAATGTCGCTATTCCTCCTAGAATAATCATCACAAAAACACAATAGATCATCCCTCGTGCAATCGCACATTTTCTTTTTCTTCTTCTTCGTTTTGTTGTGTCGTGTCCTCCTAATGGTATATTATCGTCTGCAAATCGTTTTATCGGTTCATTCACAACTTCCATCTGTCCTCTTGATTTTCTTTGTAATTTTTTTTCTTCATCATCATGTTTCTTGGTATTATTTGTGGAAATCGAACAACTTGCCTGATTTTCATCACAGTGAGATGATGATGATGATGATTTCTGATGATGATCACATTGACAACAATAACTTGATGTACTACGTCTACTAATATCATCTGATGAATGTGAATGAGATATACAAGAAGCATGAGGATGATGATGATGATGATAACTATTGCTTGATTCATGATGTGGATAAAGGGAACATGATGTAGCGGCTATGATGATAATCAATAGTGAATATTAAAAGAATGAGTAAGTCGATATCACTTTTTTTTTACATATATATATATATATATATATATATATTACCTTGTTGATCTGATGAATGTCCAGTTGCTAATGAACAACAAGTTTCCGTATCATTTATATCACAAGGTTTAGTATGCATTAAAGTCGAAAAGAAAGAAGAAAGGAAAACAAGAAGAAACTCAAACAGGAGAGAGAGAAAGTTAGGAGGAAGGGCGCTTTTAAAGTGAATACCCCCCCTGGATCTCCTTTTGACTTCTACCTACATGACCAATTAAAAAAAAAAAAGAATGATTGACATCATGCGTCAAATTTATCATCAAACATTACTTATATATAAAAAAAAATGGATTTGTAACGACTAGTAATATGGCAACATGGATGATCAAGTGATCTAAAAAAAAAATAAGATTGAAATGATAATAACCTTTATAGATAAAAGTAATAATTTTATTCATAAAACAAAGTTGTATGAAATATTCTAGAAATAATAAAATATCCATTAAGATGGATATCATTGTCGTTCTATCTTTCTTGCTGGTGATTTCAATCCCAATGCTCCATGAATAAACCTTTGTGCAGCTGGATTGGAAGGCCTGGTCCGTTGATTAATCATACTTTTCCTCACTGGAGTAGGATCTATTGTACAATACAAAGAGATTCATTAATTTATGTTCTTTTCACTTATATATATATATATATATACCTTTCACGATATCCATTGGACCTTGATACCCTTGAATACTAATGACACCATTATCTTTATTCTCTTCCCACGCTCGTTTTGCTATGAAGATCAAAAAAAAAAAAAAAAAAAAAAAAGATACGAGATGAATCAATATTACAAGTAATAAGATTTGTAGTTCCTGTTTTTACCTGTTGATGGATGACCAAACACCACCAATGCTTTCGTTTCATCAATGAGTTGTAAATTACAGCCTCCACGCATGTATTCATATTTTTCAAACATGTCCTGTAATGTCACCATTTTGATAGACTTTCCCATACATTCCAATATAGATGTGTTGTCGTCGACTTGATCAAAAAAAAAAAAGTTAGAACTATCAATCTTTTTATTTTCTATTGGTATTCATACTTACTAGTGCTCGATTCGTCCTTTGTTGACAATGCTTCCATGCTTTTGCAAAGATCATCACCCTTCGTATTAGATGTAGTTGCCTTGTTAATAAAAAAGAAAGATTAATACATTCAGTATGCTATAATAGTATATCACAACAAATTGGCAAATAATAATAATAATCATCTTATACCTTGGAAGGAGCTACCACCAATTGATCATCACCATTCCGAAAGGTGTTTTGATCCTGTTGAGTTGAATTATTCCTACGATCTCCTTTGGCTGTAGAGGATAAATAAGACTTTGTACTATTATATCTTGGTTGATTTCTATAGTCGTTCCATTCCATTTGTCGTTGCCCATTGCCGTTTCGTTCACCTGGTCGTTGTTGCTGTTGTTGTCGTTGTTGTTGTTGTCGTACAGATGCAGATCTACCTTGTTCACTGCCTTGATGAATGGTTTTCGTTTGCTTACCTTGCCCTCTTCGTTGTTGCTGTATTGGTTCATTGTCTTGCTTGTTAGGTTGTCGCAAGTCAGGTGGATGTAAAGCAGGCGATAAGTCCTTTTGCAATTGATTTTGAGTGGGTTTAGAACTTTCATACGATCGTATCACTGGCTCTGTATTCTTTGCGTCATTTATTTGATATCGTTGCCTTTCAGGTGATCCTTGCCCATGATCTGATTGACTTTTATCGATACGATAATCTTGTGTTTTATCGATACGATAATCTTGCGATGACAAGTTTTCCGTTGGTGTTGAGGAGTCGTGGTAGTTCTGATGAGAAGCTGATTGGTAAGTACGAGTGCGATCAGACATGTAAGATAAAAAAAAACAATGTACAAAATATGATTTAATATGTATATCTATAAGTCAGTATGATGAATGATTGAGGAGGGGGGTATAAAAAAGAAGTAATGGTAGAACGTCAAAAAAAAGAAAGAATTAAAAAAAAAAAAAAAAAGTTTTCAAAGGTTTTTGTCGGGTCACAAAATAAAATACCGGGCTTTCCCAAAATGGATATCGCATTACCACTTTTTCCAGAATATGTCAAAACACATTGATTGATGATTGATGGTGATTGCCTCAGCAGGTGAGTTGATTCTTTTCAACAGGCCATATTTGGAAAAAAAAGAACTATTTGTATTATATATGGTATCATCATCATCATCGTATTCACAATGAAAACAAGGGTATACTAATGTATCTGGTGATGTTAATTATTTTAGTAGATGAGTTGATTCTTTTCATCCTATCAGTAGCAATTTACATAATACAAAAAACATAGGTTTTTTTTTTTGAGATCATCGGGTCTTCTTTGTTTATTGTCTTTGATCAAGCGAAAAAATGTAAAAAAAGTGCTATTTTTCTTTTTTTTCCGTTTTCTTTTTTTTTTTCTTTATTCCTTTATCTATTTTGATATGAATTTTTAAACCAATTTACAAACTACAAGGTCTTCATATACATCCACACTAATACAAGTTTATTTTTTTTCTGGACTACAACTCTATCATAATCAAGACGTACCTTTAGGTCTATTTGCTTTTTCTGTACTTATTGAACTTTTTTTTTTCTGATCCTTGCATTTATAGTAAGTTTCTTTTAATAATAATGACGATGATGATACAGCATATTAATCATCCTCTTCTTTTTTTAGTGAGCAATCACCCTGTACAGCAAAATACCTATGTTATCACCTCTTTTGAGGATGTATTTAATATGGGTAAGTTTAAATAAATATATAAAAAAAATGGATATGTTGACTAAATATATATATATTTTTTCTGTTATTTAAAACCTCTTTTACTCAATGGAACTACTAACACTCCTTTTCCTTTTCTTCTTTTTCTTGTATTCAACTTGGAATATCTATCAACTCTTTTCTTTTTTCTTTTTTCTTCTGTCATCTATTTTCTACCTTTACAATATTTTATTTCCTATTTTTGCGACATCTTATGAATTCCATCATTTTTTATTGAATAAAGTGTATTCGCAGTATATAGAATCGGCTTGACTTCTTTTTTCTTGGCCACTGATTATAATACAATAACATTCCTACCCAAATCCCCCCTTTTTTTCTTGGTGTGCATGTGCGTGGTCGTGTGCAGATCCCGATACCCCACCCCCTTCGTTTTGCATAATCAGGTACAACTCAAAATTATCTCCCTCTCGTTCCATGGAGCTTTTTTTTTTTTGTATTACATCCATCATCATACTGCTAGGGTAAAAAAAAAAAATCGTCAAAGTAAGTATGGAGAGAGTGAGAGATCGTCATTTTTAGGATCAAGGTGGGGTAGGTTAATCGGGTAAAGTAAAACAAAAAAAAACGCCCTATTGGTTTTTTTTTCCCATATTCATCGAATCTCCGTTGACGCCTTCTTTTTTATAATATATCCAAAAAAGGAGAGAGATATATTTGATCATCTACTTTTTTTTTATAAACAGTTCATGTTATAAGTTTCAAAGATAATCATCATCATCATTTGTTGTTATTGTTTTCAAAGGTACAAACTTTATAGTTGGAGGGGAAACTTTGTTTCTTTTATTGCATGATTCACATACCAATCTAAAATTGAAAAAAAAGATGGGATTTTTTATTATGTTCCTTTTTGGGTTCGGAAGATCGAGATGGTAGAACTGAAAGTTAACGTATCTCCCTCGTTTTTTTCTTTTTTTTTTTTTTTCTCCACCTCCTCTTCGTCGGATGAACTATAAAAAAAAAAAGTAAATTATGTAGACACCATCATGTCTGAGAGACAACATCATGGATAAAGTTGCATGGTGGATGTAGAATGAATATTAATAAAATGAAAGCATCTGTCCAACTAGACTAATGTGATTCTTATACATGCAGCATTGAACAATTTTATTTTTTCCATCTTTGTCTCTTTTTTCTTCTTTCATTCTCTTGAAACAAAAGGGGGAGAGTTTAAATGAAGGGTGCTCCTCTTTCTTTCTCTTTCATTATATATATATATATATGCTACAGATAATTTTATTTTTCTTCCCCTTTGCCGATAACTAAAGTAACTTACCCCTTTTTATTGTGTAAAATGGGTAATATTTATAGTTAGGTGATAGTTTTAGTGATACTTGGAAAACCAACAAAAAAAAAAAAAAAAGAACGATGTGATTCTTATGATGGATGATTGGATGATAAGGTTGATTTGTGTGATGATGAATTGTATAAGGACGATGATTCTACAAAGATTCTTCTAACAGGCTAATTCTTTTCAGATATATATATATATATATATAGAAAATAGAAACAAAATTTATGCAATTGATATATTGAATGGAAAAAAAAAGCAAGTGATCAGATCATCTCTTTTTTTTTTTTTGGAAGGGATCATCTCTGTTCTTTCCTCCATGGACTACCATTTGCTCCTTATCGGCATCGATGAACCCCTTCTGAGAAAAAAAAACATCTTGCCATCTGTCGACATAAATATAACGGTAATATATACGAGTGTAGATACAAAGAATATATGTAAGTATACGGAAAAGGGAGCACGGACAAAAGAATATCGTGGTGAAAAAAAATAAAAACTGGTTTGACCGTTCAAGGAAAGTCTAATGCGGGGATCTTTTTTTTTTTTTTTTTTTTTTTTTTTTTTTTTTGGTCAAGGGAAAGATATAGATGGAAAGTGGCTCAGGTCTAAAAAGATAACTACTCAGGTATGTAATGATGATGATGATGATTTACGCTGATGAACGTAAAGTTTCTGAAAAAAGAACATAGAAAGACAATAGGCAGCCTTGGCTTTAACCTAAACCAGCAACTCAATAACAATAAAAGAAATTAGAAGGTTTCAAATCGCGCGTACATGATAGAATAATAGTAAAAAATTGACAGAAAAAATGATGTAAAAAATCTATTTTGTCATACCAAAACAACTATCAATGAAATATAAAAAAAAAACCATGAAACGAGAGGAAATGAATCACACTTTATTAACATTATGTAAAAAAGAAAAGAAATAATCATAGCATAAGTAAAGGTAATGATGATGATGAGTGAAAACGAGGGAATGGGATCAACTATGTATAAAAATAAAAAAAAATACAATTGAAAAAGAAAGGAAAGATGCAAAAATGGATTTGATCAATAACAGATAACTATACTAAAGTAAAATAATGATGACGATGATGATGTGGTAACGTGAATGAATGTGGTGATGAATCAAAAAGAAAAAAAAAGAAAGACACCTTTTTCAAAGAGGACACTGATCAAAAGTAGAAGTAGAAGAAAATGAAGAAGAAGAAGAGGTTGTAGAACTTGAAGCACGACGAGAATAGTCATAAGAATGCCAGTAATCTTGATGAAGTAAAGCAGGACTGGGTAAAGGAGAAGTACATACAGAAGAACAACTAGAGTAACGTCGATCCAAACCAATTTCAAAACCAGAAGATGTAGTATTATCTTTCATCATTATAGGAACACAAGTAGAAGAAGGTGGAGTAGAAGGTAACCAAGAAGAAGAAGAAGGAGTAGGTTGATGATATGCTGGATCATAAAGAGGAGAATGAGGTCTTGATTTTCGAATGCCTTGCAGTGTACGATACCGATTGAAACAAGTAGCTCGTTTGCGATGAGGTAATTGTCCCGAGATTTGACCCCACGTTAACCCATTTGCTACACCTTGACATATGATTGCATCTTCCAACGCTGAGAATCGACTACGCGGTTTCATATGATGGATGATGGTATTGGAAGAATGCACATTGTGACGTATCTTTCTTGGAGATAAAGGAGGTGATCTCAAACCCTGATGATTGCTTTGATATGAATAAAATGGTTGTTGATGATAGATGACTTGATGATCGATAGGTTGATAAGATTGTTCTTGTTTCTGAGTAGGGTTCAAGATAGTAGCAACTAAAAAAAAAAAGATAATAATGAAGGATTAATCTATTTTTTTTTCAAATTATATAATATATATTAAAAACTTACGATCCATCGTATATAATTTATATATAAAAGTAAAAAAGTGAATTAGTAAAAAATAAAAAAAAAAAAAATGAAAAAATAAAAAAAGAAAGAAAGAAAGAGAAAAAAAAATTCGACTTCTCTTTGTCTTTTTATATTTATGTACTCAGATGCACTCACGCTTGATCATTACCATATTTGGACTGCACAAACAAATACTTTGCATATTGTTATATACATATATAAATATTTTGGATGATTATCGACGGTAAATCCAAATTTTGACATTGAGAAAGGTACAACCCCTGTAAAAAAAAAATTATAATATTAAACAATGATCCATCAGTAATCCCTTTAGTAACAAATCAATATTTTTATATAAATATACATATATAAACCCTTAATGTTTGATATATGTTAGTAGATCAAAGCCGAAGAAAAGGGGAAATGTGGAGATTCGAAGAAAGGAGGCAAATGGGAGGAAAAAAAAAGATAAAAAGAAATGCTCTTTGGTGAAATGAACCCCGACTGTCATTCCCCTTTGATTTATGCTATTTTTTCTATTCTCTATTATCAACATTTACCGTCAACATATTTCTCCATAAAACACACAGATCATCATTCATCTATAATGATGGAGAATAAAAAGGAGAACATTTCAATGATGCTTGATGATAGATTGATGAATGTGATTAATATTAGAAACATATGACAAAAGGCTTGAGTATCAAACAAAATAACAACAAATAAGAAACACAAAATATGGTATAATATTATTGTTTTGATTTCCTTGTTGTCAGAGAAACAAAAACAACATGTAGGGAAAATTTCAGCTAAGCATAATGAAAGGACTTTCATCGGGATTCTGGTTGAAACATGTAGGAAACATTCATATATATGCAGCTTACCTATAAATGGAATCCATGACAACAATAACAATAATAACAAGTAACCATCTGCATCTATATAAAAACAACAACAACAACAACAACAACAATAACAAGTTCATCATCATAACAACAACATTTTATTGAAATAAAAAAAAAATGCAGAAAAGAACAATAAATATAATAAGACAAAAAGGAGGGGTAAAAAAAAAATACTATTAAACAATGATAATAAAAATGAAAAAAAAATAAAACATGATAAATAATGATACAAAAAGGTAATAAAAAATATACTACTACTACTACTACAATAAATAACAATAACAATTACATTTCCATGGCATCATCATTGTCTGATACATAATCGGCTTCATCATCAGGTAAGACTTCAACTTCTTCTTCAGGTGCAGAAGGAGGGACCACAGTGTTAATAGATGTAATCAATTCTTTAGCATGTTCCAATAAAGCATCATCATCATAACCTGACACTTGAGATAACTATAAATAGATGCAAACAAAAAAAAAAGATATCAATGTATATATATCCTAAATAAGATAATTTTTTTTTTTTTTTTGTACCTTGAGAGCCAATTCCAAACAATCTCTTGCATCTTCCCAATGAGTCAAACGATCATCTCCAGAAGTATCTTCACCCATACAATAATAAGTCCAACCATACAAATACCATAGATCTACCACTTGATCATTCTCTTTTTGTAATCGTTCCAATACCGTGAATGCTTGAGGGATCATACCAACTTCTAATAACAATTTGACTAAACCCAATCTTGCATCGTAATTTGGGATCGAGGGATCACCCACTTCCTTTTCAATCCAAAAACCTATACTTTCTTCTAAAATCTTTGCTGCTTCTTCGTTTCGTTGCTGTGATAATCGAACAGATGCCAATAATTGGTATACTTCAGCATTATTGGGATTCACTTGTTGTGCTTGTTGTAAGTATGTTTCACATTTTTGTTCGGCATCAGGTTCAAAACTATGTAAAAAAAAAGTCAGTTTTTTTATTATTATATACAATCGCATCACTTACCAACAATCTGTCAAATATATTTCAGTCATAGAACATAAAGCACTAGCGATCTTGTCTGCCAATAACTGTGCTGTTTCTTCTTCTTGTTGTTGTTGTTGATACTCCATCATCATAAGATCTACTCCTTTTTGAAATGCACCAATAGCTTCCATTTCTACCGAGAGTTGACCCAAATACATGTATTTACTATAACCAGTGTCAGGTTGGAGTTGAATAGCTTGTAAAAAATGTTGTCGAGCGTCAGCGAACTTTTCCAATTCAATTTCTACTTGACCCATGGTTTCTAGAATGCGAGTATCAGTTGGTGCAAGTTGTAATGCTTTTTCACAATAGGCGTAGGCCATGGGATAATCCATAGCATCTGTGCTTTCTTGAATCCTAGGTAAAAGATCTTCGACTGTATAAGTGGACATGGCTGTGGCTTTTTTTTTCTTTTCTTCTTTTTGTTTCACGAATGACTATTGGCGAGAGAGAAAGAGAGAGAGACGAAGAAAGAGGAAGAGAGGGTAAGTCTATGTGGTATAAGGAAGGAGAAAGCAAAAAAGATTTGGAAAAAAAAGAGAAAGAAGAGAATAGAAAAAAAAAAAAAAAAAAAAAAAAAAGAGTTGGCAGTCACCTGCTTGAAAACTTTATCTTTTGACAGGAAATAGGGAAAAAAGGTCCGATCTTAATAAAAGCTATTACATAACGAGTAGCCTTTTATTTTATGAGATATTAATTCTATTACTCTATTTTACGACATATAATGATTAGATGATGATTATTTGATTTGATTTAAGAAAAAATCAATATAAAAGACACTTTTTTAATTTTCTTCTTACTAACGATTTTTCCATTTTTTTTCTTTTCAAACATCGAAATGGGGGGGATGAAATACGTAGAACCAGATGTATGCCTTTTTTTATTATTATTGAGAATTGGAATAAAAGTACACATAAACTACAAAAATAAAAAAGTGATGGAGGAGTAAAAAATAGAAATAAAATAATCTACAATAATAAATAAGTAATCATAGTAGAAGCTATTAAAGAGATAACACCAGTAGATAAAGAGACACCAGCAGAAGTGGAAGAGGACAAGGTGAAAGCACCACCATTGTAAGTAGTAGCCATAGAAGGACGAGGTTTGGTTTCATCCCAAGTACAATCTGAAGTAGAGACATAATGTATAGCATCATTGTTAGCAACATTACGGAACCAAGTACGCTTGTAATTAGAAGTAGGAGCAGAGGGATTGATGACATTGATCATATCTTCCAAAAGAGCATCAGCCATCACCAAAGGAGTACCGAACCAATCATATCCACCTGATTGTGTCAATACACCATCTTCACGATAGATCGCCTTGGCAAACTTGTATTGAGTTACATCTTTAATACCATAATTAGTCAAAACATCGGTCAAATTGGTAGCAATATAAGTTTCATCAATCATGATATCCACGTCCTTAATCGCTGTCAATAAATCCGCTGCATTCGTAAAGTTGGTTGTTGATCCACTGTAAATACTACCTCCAGCATCTGTTGTCAATTGTTGTCGATATCCTCCAGTTTTAATCATCCATGAAGCAGTATTACCATTATATTGATCAGGTGCATTGTAAACGGTCCATGCAACCACAGGTTTGGTCTTGTAATTAGATGCAGCTTGACGAAGGTTATTATAATTGGAAGTCATTTGTTGAAGAGTATTAGTAGCAGTGGCTTCTAAGTTGTAAAACGCAGCATAGTATCCAAGCCAAGAAGATCGCTATTAATAATAATAAGAATTAATATCTATTTTTTTTTTTTTTTTTTTTTTTTTGTGATTTAAACAACTTACACCTAAAACACTGTTTTCAAAAGATTCAGCAGATGCGACGGAAGTATTGGCCACAGGATCAGCAGCACCAGGACTATAACCAAATTGAACTTGTACTTGTTGTAATTGTTGAGTGGCCAAAGTAGTATTTGTTACCGAGATTTCAGCAGGACCATTAGAACCAGCCAAATACTTTTGGAAACAACCTGAAGTAATCCAATCACCACCAGAAACAAATTTGGTAGTTTCAGCTACACCTAAAGCCTAAATAATGCATATATTAATAATCATTTATATAATTCATCCTATTTTTTTTTTTTTATTACCTCGAGATAAGGTACCACAGTAGTTGATAATACAGCAGCACTGGTAATGGGAATATTGTAGATCTCAGTACCATTGGGAAGATTGGAAGGAGCAGGAGTACCACATTGTACCAAGCAATAGGTTTGATTGTTATTAGTAGTATCAGTCAATAACTTGTAATTATTATGATATTCAATAGTAAACAGTTGAGCAGCATCAGTATCTTTAAAAAATAAAAAAAAAAAAATTTAATATAAACAATATTTGTTCTGTCATATCTATTTCACTTACTGGTATTAAACTTTTGAGGGAAATAATCAGTGTTTTGATTATAGTTACTGACACAGGTTTGAGCATTTTGAGCTTGACTAGATACAGTAGTAGTGCCAAGTAATAAAGCAAATAAGATATAACCGCGGACCATGCTGTTATTATTTTTTGGGAAAAAAAAAAAAAGAAAGAAAGAATGAAAGAAAAAAAAAATAATTTTTTAAAGAAAAAGGAACAAATCAAAAGAGTGGATAATGTTACACCAGATGATCAAGAAAAAAAAAAGTTTATTTGAATCAAGAGTATACAAATTGTTATTCTTCTAAACTATGTTTCATTTGTATTAATCGTTTTTCCAATATATTCAAGGTGTCTATATTTCAAGTAAAAATAAAAGTTAATATACTTTTGTTTTTTAATTTTAAAGGAAAAAAGGTTTTTTTTTACCTGGTAAATTCATGGTTTCGTATTTTGGAATCGTGCTTCGAATTTTGATATAAAATGACCTCAGTGTTGATGATATCCCACTAGAAATAAGATCAAATACAATCAGTCAATTATTCATCCAATCATTATTAAAAAAGAAAAAAAAAGAAAAAACTTACACGCCAAGTTCATTTGCAATTTCTTCAAATTTTAAATCTCTTTCTGCCTTGAGTTTCGTTTTCTTCATCCTATTTATATATAAAAAAACGATTAAGAATGAATAATAATCGAAAAAGAAAAAGTTCATCTTACTGTTGAATCACTGCTAGTTTATCATCAATGGATAAGCCTGTCTTGTTAGCATTTCGTTTTTGCCTAATATACCAAAATTTGTCATCATTAGTATAGCAAATATCAACTTTTATATTATTACCATTGAGTGTTACACTGAGCTGCCGTTCGAGTTGGGAAATACCGTTTTGCAATGTCTTTGAAGGATGTCCAGCCTTTTTGACGAGTTTCTGTAATAACTTGAATCAGTTTTTCCTTTTCTTCTTCTGACCATGGACTACCGATAGCTATATAAGATGAAAAAAAAAAACAAAATCAGTCATAAAGCGCATTTATTATCTTGATCAATTTACCTTCATGTTTCTTGTTTTTATCCTTCAGGGCAAGAGCTCTCTGTTTAATTTCATCCCGTGGACGTTTCATTTTTTCTTCAATCACACCATATCGTCGACCATATATTTTCAAATATCTAAAGAATAAAAAAAAAAAGTTTAACAACATATATATATATGTATATATCACTTACTCTTTCAGTTGCTTTGTCATCTCATCTGTCCATGGTTGACCGGAATATCCATATTTGTTATACTTTCGATTACACCATTCAATCACCATTTTCGCTGCTCTATCTGGAAACGGTTTCACTATAATATATATATTTATATATAAAATGGATTAGCTTCTTTAAATATTACTTGTCCAACTATAATCTTACGAATCATTTGCCAAAGTCGTCTATGTGAACCATAACCTGCAGCCAAAATACCTTGAAAATCTTCCAATCCATAGTTTTGACGCTATCAAAAAAAAAAAAAATCAATGAATAAATATCATTATTTCTTCTTATTAATCTTACCCTGCAAATTTTTTTGATCCGTTTTTCCAGTCGAATTTCTTCTGCTCTAGTTATTGGATTACTGTTGACCTTCCAATTTGTTTCTCCCACTTTTTTTCGTAGACGTGATGTATCCAAACAGATAGCGTGCCAAGGTAGAAGTTCTTCACTGTAACTGTCATTAGAATCTGTATCGGATTCAGAATCAGAAATAAAAAAGTCATGGTGGATGTCGTATTTGTCTGCTTCATCAATGAATCGTCGTTTATAATCTTCAGATTGGTGTTTGTTTTTATCCCTATAAATCCCACGACTTTGTAATCGATTGATTATGTATTCATCAGTACCTTTTCGTCCTGTACCCCGCTGTCTTATTTTCCTCTTTGTTACAGTCTCATTGTCATCACTACTGCTACTGTCACTGGTGTTGTTTTCCTTGCCGTTTTGCACGTTGTTAATCAAATCCATAGCAACTTTTTCAGGGTTGGTTTTGTACGTCGTAGTATCATTATCTGAACTATCACTATCCATAATATATTCCGATGATCTTGGTACCCCACGCTTCGTCTGTTGCTTTGAACCTCTTGACGATAGAGTTGTAGATAACGATTTTGACATTGAGGTATTTTTCGTAAGCTGTATTGGATGTCGATGGTCGTTGTTGTCCGCGCTATCACTGTCGCTATCGCTAGAGTATTTGTGTCCTTTGTTGAGTTGCTCCATATTCGTCGTGGCTGACCTCACTGATGTGTTCAAAGTAGTGACATGATATCTCTTCGATGGTGTTGCTGCTGCTGTTGCTGCGGGCTGTTGTTTGCTGTCATTATCAGTGCTGTCACTATCGCTATCACTAGTATATTTTGTAGGTTTGGTAAGGTTTGTTTTGTTACCATAAGAAGGCGCTGGCACAGTAGACGGCTTTGGTATAGAGTGCTTGATCGAAGAAGCTGTTGAAGATCGAGATTTGGAATCATGGTCAGTACTGTCACTATCACTATCACTAGAGTACTTGGACGGCTTGGATGCATTTTCTTTTTTGATGATAGGTGATACTACCGAAATTTGAGAATACTTGGTTGGCAATGGTGTTGATCGTTCATAAGATTCGTTGTCAGTACTATCACTGTCACTGTCACTGAAATATGTACGAGAAGGTGGTGGCATCACTTTACTCCTTTTCGCAGGAATAGATGTAATTTCTGACACTGATCTTTTTCTTGAACGAGTTGAATAAGGAGCATTATTAATGGTTGTTGTTGTTTTTGTTGTTGTTATTCCTTTGTCCTTTGGATCCTGAATAAAAGACAAAGCATTAGATTTGGATATTATGACATACCAAGTTTTATCTTGTTTATTTACCTTTTTCATTGTGGATTTATCCTTCTTTTTATTTTTGTCTTTTCTGTCGCTTTTCCTCATGATCAATAGTGAAGTAAAGTAAAATAGGAAAAGAAAAGTGATATTTTTTTTTCAGAATAAATTTTTCTAATGGTTATAGTTCTAGTGGAATTCAACTTCCGCCACTCGCTTATCATCACTGCATCAAATTTGAATTGAATGTAAATGAAAACACTCTCTTTCAGTTGTATTAATAATAACTTATAAACCTATTTCCCAATTTATAGAATAAATAAATAATAAAAAAAAATAAGAATAAATTCAATCATCTCTCATCCAATGATGATCATCATCCAATAAAATGACTTCCATTGGATTCCTCTCAAAAAAAAAAGTAGTTTGATATCATCTAACATCGTTTTATCACTTACCTTGCCACATAATGTGCAATGATTACCAAAATATTTAATCGATTTCTCCAAAAATTGTCTGATGAGCCCCATGATGATGTAATGTTTATCTCATTTTTTCATCCTTCATACAAGCGGACGAGTAAATGCTTGCTTTTCCTTTTCTCGCTCAGAAATCATCATCATCACACCAATCACCCGTCATTCCATTTATCCATCATCCTCATTTTATCATTACATGTCTTCGTATCACTTATCATTCATATTCGTTATCACCATACGACAGTTGTTCTTACACCAACCAGTATAATCATCAAGCATGGTCATCCATCACTCAATAAATCATCATCCATGAGCAATCACTCTATCTTCCCACCTTTTTTTTTTTTTTTTTTTTTCAAAACGACAGTGGAGACGGAGGAGATAATAACGGAGGCCAGGATTACCTTATAAAGATCTAAGCAAGCTTAATCATCAAAAAATTGGGGGGAGTAGATTGATCCCTGAGAGATCTAAATAAAGTTAGGGCGCCATTCGAACCTATAGCAGGATTTATCCCCTATTCATTTCTGACAGGACAATATTTCCCGAACATCAATAATATGATTTTGTATGGGGATTCATTTTCAGTGGTTTAAAAAAAAAAAAAAGGACTCATCATGCCAAAACGAAGAGAGAAAAATAACTCATCAAGCGTTAAACTATGGGGAAAAAAAAAAGAGTGACAACTTCGTTTCTTTTTTTTTTTTTTTTTGACAGGTAGAAGAAAAATCATGCTCAAAGGAAAAAAAAAACAACTATAATCAGAGCGTCTTCCTCGGTGAATCATCCATTCAAAGTAATTACGTATACAATATAAACCTTCACCTATAGATATGAACAAAAAGCTATCTTTATTACACATTCATACTGAAAGATAAGCTCAGTGTAACAAGGAGAATTTGTGTGGGAAGGCGAACTCTATCCTTTATGTAATCATGAGTTTGCTGAACAAAAAAAAAAAAAAAAAAGAATGTTCCTTTTTTTTTTCTCTCAGTATCTCTCTCCCTCTTTCTTTTTCAAGTACTAAAAACAAATGATTTCCTCTACAAAGATTACACAAGGTAAGTATATTAATGTCAATGTAGATGATTTGGTCCTCATGTATGACATAGATTATGATATAGTGATTCAGAATGGTACAGTGATTGACACTGTGCATGAACAAGAATTGGCCAACACTGATGTCGGGATTAAGAATGGAAAGGTGGTAGCTATTGGTCCTTCTCTTTCTTTTCAATCATCCACTAAAATCATCGATGCTACTGATCAATATGTGTGCCCTGGTTTGATTGATTTACATACTCATGTGTATTGGGGAAGTACATATTGGGGAATTGAAGCTGATCCTTTGGCAGCTACCACCGGAGTTACGGTAATCTTTTTTTTTTATAATGAAACAAATAGAAATAATTCCTTTTTTTTTTTTTTTCTTTTTTCTTTTCCTTTTTTTTTTTTTTTTTCTTTATGATAGACCTGGGTGGATGCTGGAAGTGCTGGTGCTTATACATTTCCAGGGTTTAGACGACATATTATTGAAAGGTCCAAAGTCAAGATCTTCTCATTACTTCATGTAAGTGCTCTTGGATTGACAGGGCGTACTTATGAATTGACTCATGACGAAATGGTGGATGTAGACATGGGTGTAGCAACTATCAATCAACACCGGTCGCTGATCAAAGGTATCAAGGTTAGAATGGACAGGGATGCTACCAACAATACAGGATTACGAGGAATAGAACGTGCACGACGTATGGCTGATGCTATAGATGGTGGTGTACCATTGATGATTCATATTGGACTGGCTCCACCTAGTCTTCAAGATTTGTTGCCGTATTTGAAAAAGGGTGATATCTTGACACATTGTTGTACTGGACTTTCCAATCGATTAGTGGACCATCAAGGTGAATTATTACCAGTATATTACCAACTCAAGGAAAAAGGGATCGTGTTGGATTTGGGTCATGGTTCTGGAAGTTTCAATTTTATCTCTGCCGAAGCCATGTTATCTCATCAAGTATTACCAGATGTCATCAGTAGTGATCTACATCAAAGTAAGTAAAAAAAAAAAATAAAAAAAAAAAAAAAAAAAAAGGTGATGATTGGAAAAAAAATAATGAGAATGGGCTCATTGTCTTATATATATATATATATATCTAGTATCTCGGTCAGTCAACGTATATGATTTACCAACAACATTATCAAAGTATCTGAATATGGGAGTATCTCTACCTACAGTGATTGCCAAAGCAACCGTTGCACCTGCTAAGTTGATCAACGAACCACAATTAGGTGTACTCAAGCTTGGATGTCCTGCCGATATTGCCTGCTTCAAATTAGAAAAGGGAACATTTATTTTTAAAGATGCCGCCAACAATGAACGTCATGCTACACAACGACTTGTCAATACTCTCACCATGGTGGATGGCGTTATTTTGGAACCTTCAAAGGAATCACCCCCTCATCCGTGGGTGCTTCGGGATTTGGCTACTGTGGCTGCTCTAGATGAAAAGGAAGAATCTTGTTGTTGATATACACATGTATAGATTTGTTAGTACATTAGTGATTTAGTGCTTAGTGCGATTCATCAATAAAGTTTTCTTTTTTTTTTTTTTTACATATTCACCCTGTTTAAATCATATCATCATTGTTTCTAATCTTTCATCCACCTTTCGTAATACTGTTATCCTAATCATCCCATCGTTATGTACAATTAGATTATCATCATTTACGTATAAATCCATTATCATCAGATACAAATGGCATCATGTTTTTATTCATCTCTTTTTAAGTATACAATTTCTACAATACTACAATATATATATCATCTATAAACTAAACTAATTGTTAGAATTACCATCCACGGACAGGCACCCATACATCGACGATTTTATCACCTCCATTTTCCACAACCAAATAAAATTCAAAACAAGCTGCAGTCAAACAACAATGATTAGGACGGACATGGAAGAGAGTACCAACAGGAGCATCTTTGAAATCAGCAGCAGGAACTTCGGTCACAACGCCATGTTCTTGAGCAATCTTGTTCAGTTTCCAATGTTCACGACCAACTATTTCACCAAACCCACCTTGAGGAGAAGGATCCTTGGAAAAGGCAAGAGCACCAGCATCGAGTAAGATAGAGCCACGTTCAGGATAACGAGAGGCCACACGAGAGAGTACAGTAATAGCTACATCATCATTAGTAGCCAAAGAGGTAGCCACTTGCTGTCGATCCATAAAAGCAAATGCACCAGCATGAAGTTCGGTGATCCCTTCCAACACAGAACTATCAGCCAATCCAGCTGCCATTACTGTTGGTGTCGCACCGATGGAACATTGATTGATGATAATACCATTCTCCTTGAGATAATCCCGATACTGAATGGCTGCATCACGTTCTGCTTGAAGAAAAGCTATTGCTGAGGCTTCATCACGGCAAGCATAAGATTGTCCTGCATGTGTATAGAGACCCATCAAATTGATATATGGAGAATTCACCAATCGACGAGCAAGTTTCAAAGATGCTTCATTATGAATGGCAGCACCTGCACGACTAAATTGATCCAAAAGAATTTTTTTGTCAGTCTTTTTTTTTTTTTATTTTATTATTCTTCATTCCTTTTACAAACTTTACCCATTACCACATTCTACTTTAAAGAAGACATTCACCCGACGATCAGAGTCTTGACCAAATCTTTCATTGTAATAAGTATCCAAAGCATCCAAAGTTTGATCATGATCTAATAAAGAAGGATTAGTATATATATATCTATTGAAAATATCGAAATTTTACCAATAAAGATAGAAAAAGTATCGATTTGATCAGCCAAAGCAAACATATCATCAAACTTATCCGGACTGATAGGTAAACCAAGTAAGACATCATTCAATTGATTGGAAGAAACAAGAGGTGATTGAATCAAGTAGTAAGCTTCAGCCAAAGTAGAGACAACAATAGACTTTGTATTTGTAGCTTGTAGTTCAATGGCAGTAGCTTCAATAGTTTTATGCGTCTTGACATGAACACGAATCTTAACTTTTTGTTGTTGAGCAATGGCACCCAATTTTTCACCATTCTTTTGAACAATGGCACGATCTACTACAAGACGAGGTGTTCGGACTTGTTCCAAGGACTTTCCCACATACTGTTTGACCAAACCTTGTTTATCAGGTACAGAGAAACCAAAAGGTAAAAGAGGTGTAGTAGATTGAGGAATCACTGGAAAGGACATGATATAAAATAAATATATATATTTGAGAAATAATAAAAAATAAAAAATAAAAATAAAAAAAAAAGAAAAAGAAAAGGAAATGACACACTTTTTTTTTTAAGAGGTTTTTTACTCTTTCCCAAAAACGATGCAAAATAAAGTTTCGATGACCGCCGCTTGAACTCAAAAAAAAAAAAGAAAATGGGGGGAGGAAGAAATGAACATTTTCTTATATAAATATGGAATTTTTTTTTTTTAATCTTTCATCTTTCTTTTTTCTATTATTTTATAAGAATCATCATCATCAAAATGTCTGCTATTAAAGAAGCTGTTAGTTCTACCAAGACTGCTCCTATTGGTGCTCCTTATAGTCAAGCTATTAAATTCAATGGTTTAATCTTCTTATCTGGTACTTGTCCTGTGGATCCTCAAGGTAATCATGTTGGTATTGCTGAAAAGGATGTTACCAAACAAACACATCAAGTACTTCAAAACATTCAAGGTTTACTTGAAGATTGTGGTTCTTCTATGGCCAAGGTACTTAAGGTTAACGTATTTATCAAGGATATGGGTGATTTCAAGGCTATTAATGATGTTTATGCTGTAAGTATTTTCATTATTAGATGAATGATTATTTTATTTTTTTTTTATTCATTTCCTCTTTTTTTTTTTTAATAGACTTATTTCCCTGATCCTAAGCCAACTCGTACTTGTGTTGAAGTGGCTCGTTTACCTTTGGATTGTTTAGTTGAAATTGAATGTATTGCTGCTCAATAGATAGATTAGATTGAAATATATATAATATAAAAATAAAAGAAACTAGGTTTGGTTGTATATTGTACTTACAGCGGAGTTGACTCACTTTCAAAGGACTAGCTAAACAAGCCCTCAGAATTATTCACCTCTTTTTTTTTTTTTCTTCTTTTTTTTTTTTAACTTTTATACATAACAAATATTTTTTTTTTTGTTATTTTTTTATATAATGTCATATATAAATAATTCTAACCCTGGTCAATACCAAGTTCCTCATGCTCAAACAGAATATGGTAATGCACCCAATACGGTAAGAAGGACGGATGAAATACCCGTCTATGAGACTTTTTCTTTTTTTTTTAAAAAAAAAACAAAAAAAAAAACATAGAAAAAAAAAAAAGATGATAGACTGGGAAAGATTTACTTTTTTTTTTTTTCTTTATATAAAGCATCCTACTGGAGTATACTATGATCAACCAACTTCTGATAATAACTATTATCCAAACACGTATCAAGCCGAAGAGACTAGTAAGTACGTTTTTTTTTCTTTTTTTTTTTTTTTTTTGTGTGGGAATATAGTGAGATACTAACTATTTATAACTCATATTTTTTCAGTGCAGCAATCAATGACAGACGCGCGTTCAATATATGTTGGACAAGTGGATTATGGCACATCTCCAGTAGAATTACAAGCCTTTTTTCAATCTTGTGGACCTATTAATCGAGTCACAATTCTTTGTGATAAATTTACAGGACAACCCAAAGGGTAATAATAATGATAATAATAATAATAAAAAAAAAGGATATATTTATTCATTTTTATTTTAAATTAGATATGGTTTTATTGAATTTGCGGATGAATCATCTATTCCTCAAGCATTGGCTTTAGATCAAGCTGAATTCCGTGGACGTCAATTAAAGGTAAACCTTTTTTTTTTTTTTTTTTTTTTGTTATTGATGATCATTTTTATATCTTTTTTCTTAGGTTACTCCAAAACGTACTAATGTTCCTGGACTTACTCATCATGGTGGAAGAGGAGGACGAGGTCGTGGTCGTGGTAGAGGTCGTGGTGGATATTACGGTGCTCCTCGCGGTGTCTCAGGTCCTTATCAAGGTGGCTATTATCAAGGATAAATATGGTTTTTATTTCTTTTTTTTTTTTCTCTTTTTTTGTTAGTTTGATGTTGTATTTTTTTTTTCTCTTTCTCTATGTACCATCGGATTAAAATAAAATATAAAAATATATATGTGTTTACGTGTACACTTTATTTTTTATTTGGTGAATCGCGTTTACTTTATTTTTTATGTTATGAAATGAATGATATGATATATTCATGAACAGTTTGTTTGTTGATGATCGATTGTTGATGATTGATTGGCTGTTGATAGTTGTCTCTTGATGGTACGAAAAAAAAAAAAGATAGGGTACATTTTATAAGTGATTGGTGTATCCAGCGTCATTTTTTTTTTCATACAACGACAATTATCTTTTTATGATCTGCAAACTATATTGTTTACTTTTGCAAGCTATTTTGTTTTTTTTTTGTCGCCTATACAGTCTTGTTATAGGGTATCCTACTTCGTCTTGGTCATCCAGTCATTTTGGTTGGTTCAACTGCAATTCACCCTCCGATTGTTTACTCTAATAAATTTTTTTTTCTGTCCTTTTTTTTCTTTTCTTTTGATAGTCAATTTATTATTATTATTTATTCAAAAATACATCATGAGTGAAACTGGTAACAAAACTCCTGAATCTTATGGTGTCATCCAGAAAGAACCTGTTACAAACGAAGTACCTGCTGAAGCTGATGGTGAAGTAGACAAGGTAAGGAAAAGATGAAGAAAATAATAATATTAATAATAATAATATATAACATATTTTATTACTTAGGAATTGGAAGCCATGAAGGCTCGTGTTCAAGAAATGGAATCAGAAGCTGCCAAATTACGCGATATGCAAGCTGAAGTAGAAAAATCCATGTATCCTGTAGAAGAAGGTATATCTATCCATTGTCATCTTATCATCATCGGCTTTTTTTTTTTTTATTATTATTTTTTTATTCTTATTCTCATACAAAAAAAAACTTGATCTTTCTTTTTTTTTAAAAAAAAAAAATAGATAAAGAAGCTGTTGACGCTCGATCTGTTTATGTTGGTCAAGTAGATTATGGTGCATCACCTGAAGAACTTCAAGCTCATTTTCAATCTTGTGGTACTATCAATCGTGTTACTATTCTTTGTGATAAATTTACTGGTCATCCCAAAGGGTAATAATATAAAGTTTTATTTATATTGAACACTACATAGAACTCATTTTTTTTTATTCTTATATATTTATTTAGATATGCTTATGTGGAATTTGCTGAACCATCCTTTGTGAGTAATGCTGTTGCTTTGAATGAAAGTCTTTTCCGTGGACGCTTATTGAAGGTAAGTGAAATTTAAGAAAAAAAAAAGAACTTTCAAAATGGGATGACATTTACCATATATAATTTACAAATCATCATTTTATAGGTCACTCCTAAACGAACCAATGTTCCAGGTTTTGCTTCAAGAGGTCGTGGTCGTGGTCGTGGAGGATTCCGTGGTGGTTATGCTCCTCCTCCTTATTATGGTCATTCTCCTGGTTATGGTTATCGTGGAAGGTAAATATTTAAAAAAAAAAAGGAAGGATTATAAAATGTGGAGGGATGGAAAATAGGATCAAAAAGAAGAAAAGAAAAAAAGTACTGAAGCAAAAAAATTAAAAACAGGGGAAGAGGACGCGGCATGCATTATGCTCCATATTAGAAAAGACAAGCCTGACAAAAGAGGATGGATGAAAGGAATAAAAAAAAGGATGAACAAGCCGAATCGAAAACATGAAAAAAATGACCTTTGGATTATCTCTAGCGCCCTTAATTATAGTTTGATTTTACGTTGTTTTTTTTTTATATATCGCCCTCTTTGTGTAAATAAAAAATATATATTTGATCCATTTTGCTGGATGATCTGATGTATGAATGGTTTTTTTGAGTTATTTAGTCAACCCATAAATGTCATTGGCTTCGGTATTTGAATAGGACGATATGTTTGTTATTCATATTGCTGTAACCTATATATTGTTTTTTTTTTTATTATTCATCTCTTTCGTTAGCATTTGACATAATATGTGTTTTAATAAGAGATAGACTGATTGACAAAGAAAAGATTTTGAATGAATTAATTTGTTTTTTGTCATTGATAAATTCCGTCAACCCACAAGTTGAAATTCAATGTTATAAAAAGAAATGTTTTGGTGACACTTGCTGAATGACTTTTTTTTTTTTTAAGAGCAACGCAAGAATATGTCTGAAGCATACCTTTTTATTTTCAATAAGGTTGATGTCTTCCTGAATCTCAGCGAATAAAAAACTTTTTACTCGTTATGTTGGTAATGGTAGACTTTCTTTTTTGCAAGCATGACTTTGAAAAGGAAATACGATTGAACCAAGAAAACGTGATATCTTTTTTGTTAAATATTATCTGAAAATGAAAATCATCTATGCTAAATCCAAGCAGTGAATGAGTACGAAATTGAGATAAAAACTGGAACGGGTTTGTACAACCTAGTTTATTATATTTTGTTGAAAGGGATTTAATAATGATTTAAAAGAAAGAAGAGAAAAAAATCAATTTATAAGAAGTGATGATAATTAAAATAATTTAAAATAAAAAGAAATAAAAAAAAAAGGGAGAGATCTCACAAACGATAAAAGTTCAGTTAGTATTCATCAATGTGTTTCAATTGTAGTCAGAAAAAAAAAACTCAGATTGGTGCCTTTGATTGGCTATTTGGATCTCATGGGGAGGGGGGACGTTCAAACAAAAAAGAAATAAGAAAAAAAAAAAAGAAATTCAAGCAACTTTTTTTCTATTCTCTTTCTCCTTCGCTCACTTTCCTTTTTTTTTCTTTTTCTTTATTGTATCATTTTCTATACCACGATGGAGTCATCTTTTAAAGAAAGGTAAAAAAAAAAAATTGATATTCTTTTTCTTTTTTTTTTTTTTTTTTTATTAAACAACATATTTTATATTATAGATTGAAATACTTTGAGGTGACTCTAAGTGAACAAGACCAAGACGATGAAGACTTTCAATATTGGACTCCTGTGATTGATATGAAAGAATTTCGAGAAGTTTGTTTTCGAGGTAAAAAAAAAAAAAAAAAAAATATTATTAGTGTATATATAAACTTATATATATTTAATAGGTATACCAGAAGAATCAGGTTTACATGCTACAGCCTGGAAAGTATTACTTGGATATTTACCGCCAGAGAAATCCATGTGGCAGTCCACCATATATGAACAACGATTATCTTATTATGTAAGTAATTCCGCATTGAGCTTGGCAAAAATTAAATACTTAGTATTCACATGTTTTTTTTTTTTTAATTATTATTAGAATCTAGTGAAAGATTTATTAGAAAAACCTGGAGAAGAACCACCTAGTAGTGATCATGTAAATTTTATTTTTATTTTATTTTTATTTTTATATAATTCTTATTGATTATAATATTATTATTTTTTATAGCCTTTGAATTCCACTCCTGGATCGAAATGGGCAACTTATATTCAGGACAATAATACTTTAGAACAAATAGATAAAGATGTAAGACGTACTCTACCAGATTTCGCTTTTTTTCAACAACGTGTACCACAAAATCCTTTAAATCCACTTTCATCACCACCACTTCCTGTCAACAATACAATTGAAGAAAGTAATGATATTGATCCTTTACAACAATCTGATACGAAACGTCGATTCTCTTTTGGTATCATGGGAAGACCAAGATCTGGCTCAAATACATCTAAAAAATCTCTCAAAGTCAACAATAGTCTCAACAATGCTAACCGATCAAGATCCAATTCAAAAAGTTCTACTAGGTCATCTGGTGGTATCATGATGGAAAATGGTACAGATATGATTCATTCACCACGAAATATTGTACGAAAACTATCCACAGCATTTTCAAAATCAAGTTCATCATTATCACTCACCAACAATACTACTACTACTAAATATAACAAAAAACAATCATCAACTGCAGCATTGACTCCTATTTGTCCTTATATCCCTAATCGACGATCTCTCTTCAAACGTATCCAACAACAACAAACAGAAAATTCACAACAAGAGAAAGAGAAGGAAGATGGTTACAAGAAGGAAGGTGATGATGATTATACGCAAGATTATCATTGGGAAGTGATTGAACGTATTCTTTTTATGTATGCAAAATTGAATCCTGGTATTGGTTATGTACAGGGCATGAACGAAATTCTAGCTCCTATTTATTACGTATTTGCTAATGACACCTCACCAGGTTTAGCAGGTCAGGTACATGCAGAACCTGATACATTTTATGTGTTTACAATTCTAATGGGCGATGTACGTGATCACTTTGTCAGATCTTTGGACCAAGATGGTATGGGTATTCATGCAACCTTATTTCGAATGCAACAACGATTAGCTTGGTATGACAAGACTTTATGGCGTGATCTACAAAAGAAAGAGGTGAAAGAACCCTATTATGCTTTTCGTTGGATCACTGTACTATTTACTCAAGAATGGGATTTACCGGATGTGATACGATTATGGGATTCTTTGTTGGCGGAACGTGGCATGTCTTATGGAACCAAACCTGGAGGTGAACGATATCAACAAACCGATACTTCATTTGAATTTCTACTGGATTTTGCTGTTGCAATGCTTGTGTAAGTATTTCACTTGGTACAAGAAGAAAGAAAAAAAAGACAAAGAATTGATTATTTTTTATTTTGATTTTTTTTTTTTTTTTTTTTAGATGTATTCGTCAAGATTTACTCAAAGGGGATTTTGCAGAAAACATCAAACTCCTTCAGGTAAATGACATTATTATTATTTTAGGAAATGAATGATATTATTTGTATACTCATTTTATGTGGTACATATGTATGCGATTTGTTTTTTTTTTTTTTTTTTTTTTTTTTGTGATGTAGAATTACCCTGTGAATGATATTCAGTTTGTGTTAACCATGGCCAATCGAATACGAGAAACAAGACTTCAAATGGTATCTATGGGACAAGTAGTACCTGGTGTGAATGATATACGACATAGTGGAGTCTTTAGTGGAGATTGGAGTGATACATCATCCATTTCATCAACAACCAGTACAGCAAGCAGTCGATTACAACAACGATTACGGGAATCTACAGATATAGCAAGAGCCAGTTTTGATTCATTCAAACGGGAATCAAAAGAATCTATGGATGATATATTTCGACGTGGTATGGCTGCATCTGGTGAACAATGGAAACGAGCAAGTACAGGTGAAATGAAACGAAGTATTTCTCAACGACTTGGATTTGTTAAAAGCAACGTATTTAACAAAGCAAAACGATCTGGATCTGTACGATCAACAACTAGTGAAACATCATTTATATCATCACAACAACAACAAAAACATTGGTTGCTGGCCAATCAATTCAATCAAAGTGGTATCCTTTCCACCTCTTCATCAACGTCTGATCATCATCATCATTTTCGATCGAATAGTGCCAACAGTAACAACAATAGTTTCATACCCTATACTAGTGATCGACAACGTACAATATCTGGATCTTCACAAACTTACACTGATGATGGATCTATCTCATCTAGATCCTCCAACATGTTAAATCGATTCTCTCAATTGATGGTATCTGGTCATTCAGCATCTTCCATCACTCCATACCAACGATCTTCAAGTCCTCATGTATATGATCCTCTTACAACCAATGGCAATGATGTTGATTCTTTAGTCTCGACAACCAATCCAACATCACACGACGATGAAGACGACAATGAAAAGTTACTTTTCGCAAAAGCTGCTGCTGCTCGGGATGAGGCTCTTTATTATAGAACTTCTACTGCTGGTACTTACAAGGGTTGTGTCTAAATGAATGATGTTTATTTATTATCTAGATGATTGTCCATTTGTATATTAGTCTACTTATTTATTTTTATCCTTATATTTTGAAATAAAATAAAACTATTCCTCTTAATTCATTCCCTTCTTTCTCTCTCTCTCTTCAAATTATTTATCAATGTCTTTATCATTTATTTTACACTATAACACTTCATTACCAAATCGTATGAAACATTAAAATCATAAACATGACATCAAGTTTCTTTTTTTTTTATTTTTATTTATTTATTATATCTGGTCCTTAAGATAGCATAAATCGGGGAGATTTCTTTTTTTTTTTCTTTTTTAATTTATCAAAGCTTTTTTTTTTTTATCAGAATGGAGATTTATCAAAAAGAGTTTCTTTATAAAAGCCTATATAGTGATGATAATGGAGAATACAAGATGCCAACTCTTTCTTGGTGGAATGTATTGATTGCAAGTAGTTTCTTCATAGTAGATTGTAAGTGTCAATGACGCGATGATCATTTATATAAATTTCATTTTTTTTTTCTACTACTCTTCTTAGTTGCTCTCTCGTTCGCTTTTCAATTGAAAATCATTCGTCCACTTTTGATCAGTTGGACTCGATGTTTAATCCAGTATGTCTAGATCTTCCATCTATATATATATATATGTGTGTGTGTGTGTGTTGAAAAAAAAAAAAAAAATGAGACAGTGGATGGATGATCCTTTTCTTTCTTTTTTTTTTTAATAGATTGACTATCATGGTAAGTTCACCCCCAACTGAAGATTCCCTTTTTTGGCATCTCACTTTTTTTTTTTTTTTCCTTGGTAGGGATTTATTTTAGAGGATGTTTTTCGACAACGAAATCCATATTATATTGCTGGCATGACCTGTAAGAACATTTCCTCTTTTTTTTTTTTTTGATGATGAACGAATGACTTATACTATTTGATCTCTATACATCCTAGTTGTGCTCATTCTCTTGACGACTTTTGAAACAACGTTCAATAAAGCAGACAATACTTTTCATGGCATGGTAACGTTAACCTAAAAAGAAAGCTGTCATTTTTATTTTATATCTATTTTATCCATCATTCTAGTTTGTATCAGTATTTGTATGTACGTTTTTCTCCATCCATATGATTGGTGTGCTTGGCATCCGATTTGCTGTCAACAAGGTACCTTTTTGGGCGCCGGATGTATTTATTCCTACCATTGGATTATTGTTGGGCTTAACGGTGAATACGATGGCAGTGGGATTAAATAGTTTATTGGGTGGATTACTGAATACCAATGGTGATCGTGTGGAGGCCTTGCTGGCGATGGGTGCTAGTCGTTGGGAAGCAACACGTGCCATCACACAAGAATCTGTTCGATTGGCCATGTTACCTCCCATTCAACGCATGTCAATTGCAGGTCTGATTGTCATCCCTGGTGCTATGGCTGGACAAATCATGGGTGGTGCCAATGTATGGAATTCTTTACGTTATCAACAAATCATGTTCTTTATGATCACTGCTTGTTCTTGTCTTGCTGTCATGATTTTGGTCACGGTAAATGCATAAAAATAAAAAGATATTTTTTATTTAACTATTATATTAGATATGTAGGATGGTTCTCTTGGATAATCAACATCGACTTCGACGAGAACGTATACAAGAATCAAAAACCTTTTTTCGATATTTCAATTGAATAATAATAAAATAATAATATTTGAATGATGTTTTTATTGATTTGTATATATGAATAATGAGATGAATGAATTGTTGTGTCAATCAAAAATAAAAAGAAAAGGGGGAATATATGTAGATAACTATTACAAAAAGGAGGACAATAAAAGAGAGAGTCTACAATTTAGCTACAGTGCCTTGAGGAACATACCAAGCCATTTCATATTCCTTTTGTTTGAAACCACATTTTTCATAGAAAGGTATATTCTTTTCAGAGCAATCCAAAATCACTAATTTAAAAAATATAAAAAGAATGAATTCTATTGTTTTTAATTTTTTTTTTTTAATTTTTTTTTTTTTAATTTTTTTTTTTTAATTTTTTTTTTTTTTTTACCTTTATAACAACCACGTTGAGCACCAATATATTTCAAAGCTTGAATAATACGTAAACCTAATTTTTTTCCTTGTTGATTTCCATCTACAGCGATATCTTCAATATGACCCACTAAACCATTCTTATGGACAAACTTGCGTTCTACAAATATAGTACCAGCAGCTACTACCTTATCCTTTTTATCATCTGTAATTGTAATAGTAAAATCTATAAAAATAAAATAAAAATAATCAATCATAAATCCCTTTTTTTCTTTTCTATATTGATATACTTACATTCATGATTGTGTTGCTTTAAATAATTGAATTGATCTGTATAAAAAATAAAAAAAAATTTGAATGAATATATTTATAATATAATTTAGTTTAATATTTTATTTACCTAACCATTCTTCCTTTGTATGATTTCCAACTTCAGTCAAGACTTCTAATACTTTTAAGAAACCACGTTCATAATCACCAGAACGAAGAGCGCGTAAGGTATAACCATTAGGTAATAAAGATTGTACTTCAGGAGAAAGAAGATGATTTTCAAATAAAGTGACTTCAGCCATTTGTTTGTTTTATAATGAATAGTTTAAGATGAAAAGAAAGAAAAAAGAAGAAGAAGACCTTTCTTTAAATATCTTTTTTTGAATCTCCCTTTTTTTTCATTAAGGAGATGCCTCGGAAAACTTAATTGAAAAGACTGAATTCCGCGGAAGAACTGAAGTAAATATATCCACCAATGAAATATTAACGGAATATCAATATTATTTACCTTTCTTTTTGTTGCTTTCTACTTCCTCTTTTTTTTTTTTCTCTCACCAAAATATGCCATTTACAATTCAAACTGCTTTTGAATCCATACGGTCAATATGGTTAAGAGCATTTCTTTTTATTACTGAACCTATCTTTCGTTTTTTATTACCTGATCCTTATACTAATGCCGGCAATACTAGAGTTCAAACAAAACCAATGCATCAAAGTAGAATCACAATGACAGAAATAGTTACTGCTTCTCATGTTAATAATCAAGATATTGCTTTTGCTGGAACTATTCTTAGTTGGATTGATATTGCTGCTGGTATTGCTGCTAAACGACATTCCTCTGTACCTGCGTAAGTTATAAATAAATAAATAGATAAATAAAAGGACTCATATATTCTATTATATATATATATATATAAAAGAGTGACACGCTCAGTAGATGGTGTTGCTTTTTTAAGACCAGTGAAGAAAGGAGATATAGTAAGTTTTAATTCAATAGATATATTAAATATCTAATTTTTTTTTTTTTGGAAATAGTTAAAAATACAAGCCAATGTGAACAAATCTTGGAAAACGTCAATGGAAGTAGGAGTCAAAGTAGAAGCCGAATCACCTTTATCTAGTGAACGTGTATTTGTAGCACATGCTTATCTAACATTTGTTGCCTTATCACCACGACCTACACCACATACATATCTTGGAAAACGATTTGTACAATATATGCCTATTGCAGTACCACATATTATCCCTATGACGCCAATGGAAACAAGAAGATATGATATGGCAGAAAAACGACGACAAAATCGATTATCACGACCAAAAATGGATAGATCTAATATTCGTGAAACAATGCAAGCTTATTCTCAAGGATTAAATTTACATCAAACAAAAGATGCACCTATTCGTTCTCATCCTGCATTTACACCTCGTCATATGATGATGCAACATGAACAAGAAGAAGATACCAGACATCATCGAAGATACTCTATGGATCCCAAAATGTTACAACCTGTAGATGCTATGAAAATGGAAGATTCTTTTGCTGAAGTGGTTAAATTGGTAATGCCTCAACATGCTAATTCTCTTTCTATTACTTTTGGTGGTCAGATCATTTCTTGGATGGAACAATGCGCTCTTAGTAGTGCTAATCGATTGGCCAAAGCTTATTTATTGACAGCAAGGTAACACATAATATTTGTTGATTTGATTTGTTCATTTGACCTTTTTTTTTAAATAGTATTGATTCTTTAAATTTTATTACATCTACTCGTATTGGAGATGTTGTAACCATTCGATCCATTGTATCTAAAACTTACACTTCATCTATGGAAGTTTATGTTAGTGTGGAAGCAGGTAAAAAAAAAAAAAAAAAAGAATGACTGAATAATTGATAGGATATTAATTTATTTATTTATTTTTTTTTTATTAGAAAATTTACAAACAGGTCAAATCAATTTTACCAATGATGGATTTTTTACTATAACAGCTGTTGATAGTGATTTGGTACCAGTAGTGATTCCTTGTGTAGTACCTCAAACTCAAGCTGAAATAGAACTATTTGATGAAGGGAATGAACGACGCAATAAACGATTATTATATAGACAAGAATTATTAGAATTATTAGATAGTCATTCATGAAATAAAAACTATATTCTTTTTGGTCTTCATAGTTTTGTACAACCACCCTTGCTACAATCCCCAGTGAATCTGACACTCAATCTCCAAGCCATTACGACTCATCAGTGGACTGGCAGCGGTATCTGAATATAAAATTTTGTTGATCAAAAAAAAAAAAAAAGCCATTTTCGATATTTCTTTTATATTTTCTTTTTTTTTTTTTTATCTACACTTTTCGTTTATTCCCCACAACCGTCTTTCTCTCTTTCTCTTTTTATTTTTTTTTATTTTTTTACTATTATTTATATATCATTATGCCTGTTTCTTGTAAAACTGTACTTGCCTCCAAGGTGTCTGCTTCATTTAGGTAACATTCATTCATATTTTATTTGACAGGTAATTGACATTTTTTTTTAAAAACAATAGAGAACAAATGAAGAAAGATATCAAGGAACGAGGTATTTGTCCCAAACTTGTTGGTTTCCTTGCCAATGAAGATCCTGCCGCTAAGAAGTATGCTGAATGGACAGCCAAGACTTGTGCTGAAACTGGTGTTGCTTTTGAATTACGAAAGGTTGATAAGCAGGATTTGGAAGAAAAGATCACTGAAGCTAATGACGAAAAAGAAGTTAATGGTATTATGGTATATTATCCTGTCTTTGGTGGTAAACAGGTATTTTTTTTAAAAAAAAAAGACAGAGAGGGGATGATATTGATGATGTTTTAATGTGTATATATTATTATAGGATTTGTATCTTCAAAGTTGTGTCAGTACATTGAAGGATGTTGAAGGCTTATGTCACAAATTTGTTTATAACGTCTATCACAATATTCGATATATGGATGAAGCTGAAACCATGAAATGTATCATTCCCTGTACTCCTCTTGCTTGTGTCAAAGTAAAATTATATAAAGATATAAAGTTGATCAATGATTGATTATATTTCTTTTTATAGATTCTTGAATATATTGGAGTGTATAATACCGTCCTTCCTTATGGTAATCGATTGTATGGTCGTACTATTACTGTGGTGAATCGAAGTGAAATTGTAGGTCGTCCTTTAGCTGCCATGTTAGCCAATGATGGTGCTAAGGTATACTCTGTGGATGTTCATGGTATTCAATTGTTTACTCGTGGTACTGGTATACATTTAACTGCTCACAAGGTAGAAGATATTGATGCAAAGGTAGAAGAAGTAGTTCCTTTATCCGATGTGGTGATTACTGGTGTACCTACTCCCAAATACAAGATGCCTACTTCTTTATTAAAGGATGGTGTGATTGCTATTAACTTTTCCTCCTCTGCTAACTTTGAAGATGATATCAAATCCAAGGCATCTATTTTTGTTCCTTCTGTTGGCAAAGTCACTGTAGCCATGTTGGAACGTAATTTATTACGTCTTCATGATTATCAAAATAATTTACTCGAAAACAAGTCCTCCAAATAGATTGTAGATTTTTTTTTTTTTGTAGGGTATCATTTTATACCTTTCTTTCTCCTCCCAAAAACTTTATTATATACATGATTTGCATACAGTTATTATTATTATTATCACTTCAATAAATATAAAAAAATAAAAATCTTTTTCATCAGTTCTATTTGTCCATTTAATACTCTCATCGATAATTTGGAATACCGCGTTTTTCAATCGCGTCGTCACGGATTTCAATTGTCCTGCCATTATTTTTTTCATTCTTTCCATTCCCCCTTTTTCTTTTATCTTGTTCTTCTCCCTCCTTTTTTTTTTTTATTTACTATGCCACGTGAAATCATCACCTTACAAGCAGGACAATGTGGAAATCAAAGTAAGATATATAAAAAGAAATCATCATTGTATTCTTGTTTTTAATTCTATTCTTTTTTTTTTTCTACAAGTTGGAAGTGAGTTTTGGAGACAAATCTGTGCGGAACATGGTATCAGTAGTGATGGTACTTTGGAAGATTTTGCAACTGAAGGTGGTGATAGGAAAGATGTCTTTTTTTATCAGGTACCAGCTTATATATATATTATCTAACTTGGTTTTTTACTTATCCTCTTCTTTTATTGTTTAGGCAGATGATGAACATTACATTCCCCGTGCTTTACTACTGGATCTTGAACCACGGGTAACCTATACAACTTGATATATATATATATATATATGTTTATTCACTCTTTTGATTTATACCTAGGTAATCAATACCATACGTGAATCGCCTTTTGCCAATCTTTATAATCCAGAAAATATGTTTGTAGCTGACGAAGGTGGTGGTGCTGGAAATATTTGGTCTTATGGTTATTCTCAAGGGGAAAGGGTATATGAAGATATTATTGATATGGTGGATAGGGAAGCTGATGGTAGCGATTCTTTAGAAGTAAGTCATATATATATATATATATATATATATTAAAATAAAATACTGACCAAAAATTCATATAGGGATTCATGTTACTTCATTCTATTGCTGGTGGAACTGGATCTGGTCTAGGTTCTTTTCTATTGGAACGTTTGAATGATCGATATCCCAAGAAATTGATTCAAACTTATTCGGTATTTCCTAATTCTGAAGAGGTGTCTGATATTGTTGTTCAACCTTATAACAGTATGCTTACTTTGAAACGATTAACTTGTAATGCTGATAGTGTGGTAAGTAATTCTATTTAGAATAGTTATATATATATAAGATGATCAACTTTTTTTTTTTTTTTTTTAGGTTGTCTTGGATAATGCTGCCCTTGCTCGAATTGCTACAGATCGTTTACATATACAAACTCCTACTTTTGAACAAACCAATCAACTTGTTTCTACCGTCATGTCTGCCAGTACAACGACTTTAAGATATCCTGGTTATATGAACAATGATCTTGTCGGTATTGTATCCTCTTTGATTCCAACTCCACGATGTCACTTTTTGACAACAGCTTATACACCTTTCTCAAGTGAACAAGTAGATAAAGTAAAGTGATTCAAATGAATAAGAATTAGAAGTATTTATTATCTTTTTTTTTTATCATTTTAGGCCAAATCAGTACGAAAAACAACCGTGTTAGACGTTATGCGTCGTTTATTGCAACCAAAGAATAGAATGGTATCTACAGTACCTTCCAAACGAAGTTGTTATATCTCTGTATTAGATATCATTCAAGGAGAAGCTGATCCAACGGATGTAAGTCAAATGATTATTTTTTTCAAGAAAAACTGAGAATTTATTCATCTTGTTTCTAGGTTCACAAATCATTGTTACGTATACGGGAACGTCGCCTTGCACAATTCATCCCTTGGGGTCCTGCAAGCATTCAAGTCGCATTATCTAAGAAATCACCCTATGTACAAACACCACATCGTGTCAGTGGTTTGATGTTGGCAAATCATACCAGTATTGCATCAGTAATAAGAAAAAATAGAACATGTAGAGAGAAATTCTTTTGTGATTATTGATATCTTTTTTTTTTCTTCTTCTTCTTCTTTAGCTCTTCAAACGGACATGCGACCAATATGATCGACTACGAAAACGAAATGCGTTCTTGGAACAATATCGAAAACATCCCATGTTTTCAGATAATTTGGATGAATTTGATGATTCTCGGAATGTGGTGCAAGATTTGATAGAAGAATATGAAGCATGTGAAACACCTGATTATGTCAACTATGTAAGTCCCCCAAAAAAAAATGAGGATGTTTTGATAAAAGACTGATTTTTTTAATAAATAGGGTATGAAGGACAAGATGGAATCATAAGACATTGGAATATACTTTTATCTATTAGCTTTGTTTTTACAAGAAAAAAAAATATCGTTTTATTTTATTTTATTTTACATAATAAAAAATGATTGTACATACTCAAACAAAACATATCATGATGCTTTTCTCTTTTTCTAAGCATACATAGAGATCAATCATCTATGTCTTTTCAACATTTTGTGTATGTTCGGTGCTTAAGATATAATATCATAAAAAAAAAAAGAATAGGAATGATTGTGTTTTTATTTTTGGAATGATGAATTTTGATGAACTACTATAAAAAAAAGATCGATATCAACAATGAATATATAAAAAGAGAGAGAAAGGGAAGAAAAAAAAAAAAACTACACAACTACTACAAGGCGATGACTAAATATACTAAAAAATAAAATAAAATAACAATTAACTTATCTATTGACTACGAGCAAATTCGACTCTAAGAATGAGATTGTCATAACCATAACCATTGATAGCTTGTTGAGCACGTTCAGCATCCTCCCGATCAGCAAATGAGACAAAGGCGAAACCTTTACACATCCGAGTTTCACGATCACGAGCCAAGAAGACACGAGTAATATTGCCAAAGCGGCGGAACAGATCATGGATATCATTGTCAACCACATCTTCAGACAAGTTGGTAACACGTAAAGTACAATTGTCATCACGACGATCACGCATAGATTCACCTCCTTGACCACCAGCGGCAGCAGCAGCCTTATTGCGAAGATGAGGAGGAGTATATTTGCTTGGTCCACCAGCTGACACGGGTTCGGGTGAGTTGGTACCAGATAAATCGGATGTTTCCATTTTGACAGCTTCCAATGATGATGCGATTTCGTCCAATGGTTGTAATGTATCCTTGTAAGGACATTTTGATGTGAAATGTTCACCTTTACAAATACGACACATAATGTTCTTGGATTTGAGTTGACTACGTACTTTATCTTGAGCTTCTTCCGCAGCAGCTGTTTCAACACTCTATATATGGATTATAAAAAAAAAAAAAAGATATGATCAATATAAATAAATTTCTATGAAAATCATGATGATAGGATATATATTCAATTCGTCCTTCTTACCTTGCCAGCTTTGGATCCTAATTTCAAAGGAATATTTTCACCAATGGTAGTGGTTGATAAGTCAGGTCCAGGTTTATTGCCTTCTTCTTCACCAAATTTAGCCCATTTCTTTCGTTGAGCTACAGCTTTGTTGACATGTTCAGTCTTAAGAGTGGATCGGATTTTACGAGTAATCTAAATAATACATAAATTATGAGAAAAAAAAATAAAACATGAAGAATATCGATGAAGTTGTTCTTTTTTTTTTGTTCTTGTCTCTGCAATTACTTACCTTGACTTTCTTTCCAGCATCGTTTTCCTTGTATTCAACAATATGTTTGATACCATTTTCGTCAGTGAATACCTTCGATTGATAGGGATCTATTTTAAAAAAAAAGAAAACGAAAAAGAATATGACACGTATGTCCAATGCAAAAAAAAAAGAATAAATATCATGATTGATCTATCGATAAAGTTCAAGTCATATTGATAAAAAATAAATGTACCTTCATCTTCAATATCGTCAGCCCAAGATGATTTGCTTTGCATTCTATTGTTATTTGTCCAAAGAAAGAAAGAAAAAAAAAAGAAATACATTTAGTTAATATTATGATCTGGTTCATATGTTTCGTCGTTTTCATGTCTTTTTTTTTTTCTTTTTGTCTCTTCCTTTTCTCGATAAAAGTGTTATTAAAGCAAATCTTACGTGTTCATGATAGTATATACAGTATGATGTTCAAACAAAATAAAGGCTCTGAGAGAAAAAAAAAAAAAAGAAAAAAAAAATAATTGTCTGGGTGCCCTTTTTTGTTTTGTGACAAGCGACTTGCTAGTCAAAGCCGCCAACCACAAAGACAACAAAAAAAAAAAAAAAAGGTGGATTAAATCACCGCAAGGATTTTTTTTGGGCAGAATTGGGTTGGACAATTGAAAAGTGAAAATTGAATTCTAGATTGATTTATTCTTTCTCTTTTGAAATCATCATGGTAAGGACCTCAGACATGTAGTTAGTATCAACATAAATACAAATATATATATATCTATCTATCTATATATTGGATATATATATATATGACGATCAATAAGAAAATCAATAAATGAACGGATGGATGAATGGATGGATGGATATATAAAAGAAAAAAAGGACAATTGAATCAATGATACTCATGATCATTCTTTTTACATTATCTAGTCCAAGCGTGCCCTCGCCAAGAAGCCTGTTGAAGCTGTTACTCTCGGTCCTCAAGTCCGTGAAGGTGAACTCGTTTTCGGTGTTGCTCACATCTTCGCCTCTTTCAACGATACCTTTGTCCATGTCACTGATCTTTCTGGTCGTGAAACCATCTCTCGTGTCACTGGTGGTATGAAGGTCAAGGCTGATCGTGATGAATCTTCTCCTTATGCTGCCATGTTGGCTGCTCAAGATGTTGCTGCCAAGTGCAAGGAATTGGGTATCAATGCTCTCCATGTCAAGATCCGTGCTACTGGTGGTACTGGTGTCAAGACCCCTGGTCCCGGTGGTCAAAGTGCTCTCCGTGCTCTTGCTCGTGCTGGTATGCGTATTGGTCGTATCGAAGATACTACTCCTATCCCTACTGATAGCACCAGAAGAAAGGGTGGTCGCCGTGGTCGTCGTCTCTAAATTTGTTGGCTACATATTTTATCATCATTCTTTAGTTTATATCATTGAAATAAAGAATTCCATTTGATCATATACTTTTTGAAACATCTCTTTTTTTTTTTTTTTTTTGGTCTCCACGTGCTATGAGTATAGGTTCGTCGGATTAGAAAATAAGTTGGCAAGGCATAAATTACATGGAGTTGAAAAAAAAAAAATAAAAAGTTGGGGACATTGTTTATTTCTTTTTCCCACTTTTTTTTTCTTTATTCAACTGTCATTAGAATGCCTGCACACGAAGCAAACAAAGTCGTTACTCTGGAACATCCTTCTGGTGCTACTGCAAAGATATCTCTTTTTGGTAACGCGAAATAAATAAATAATAATAATAATATTAATAAAAAGATGATAATTTAAAGAGACTTCATCTTGCCTCGACTGATAAACTCTTATCTATGTTGTATAGGTGCTACTGTAATCTCTTGGATTGTAAAGGATACTGAACGTCTTTTCGTTAGGTACAATTCTTATATTATTCATCCTTTTTTTTTTTTTTTTTTACTCAAATGAATTTTTTTTGGTATAGTAAGAAAGCTATCTTGGATGGAACTAAGGCTATTCGTGGTGGTATCCCTCTTGTTTTCCCTATCTTCGGTACAAAGTCTCATATTCCTTTACCTCAGCATGGTATGAAAAGAAAAAAAGCATTCATTTTTCCTATCATTAGGTTCACATTTTTTTATATTCTGTTTTTTTTTATATATAAAAAAAAGGTTTTGCTCGGAATTCATATTGGGACTACCTTGGTATTTTGACAGACAACGATGAAGTGGCTGTTAGGTTTGGTAAGAATTGATTAATATCCTTTTTTCTATGATAATGATTAGAGTTTATCAAGTATATATTTTCTCATTACTATTCTTCTTCATTCATTTTTTTTGAATGGGATTTCGATCATCATTACTATCATAGCTTTGAAAGATAATCAACTTACTAAGGAACAACGTCAATCTTGGCCGCATTCTTTCCGACTTGTATATACAGTGACTTTGACTGCAAATACATTGAAAACTATTTTAACGGTCAAGAATGAAGATAGTGATACTTTGGAATTCAATACTCTTTTACATACTTATTTCCGTGTCAAGGTAAAAGAACAGAAGATAAATTTCCTTTTATATATTCATTTATATTATTATTTAGGATATTGCAAATGTATCAGTAGAAGGATTGAATTCTTATACCTTTACAGATAAGGTCACCGGTGGTACAACAGATGTTGAAAACAGAGATAAGGTGACCATTGCAGGTGAAGTAGATCGTGTATATCAAGATGTGAAGGATCATCTTATAGTCAATGTTGGAGATCAAGAAAAATTGACTATTGACAAAACTACCATGAAAGATACAGGTAAAAAAAAAAAAAAAAAAAAGATATATTTCTAATTTTTATTATTATTATTATAGTTGTATGGAATCCTTGGATAGAAAAAGCAAAAGGAATGGGTGACTTTGATGATAATGAATATCATGAAATGATTTGTGTCGAAGTGGGCTCTGTTGCTAAATGGGTACGTTTAGAAAGTGGACAAACTTGGACTGGTGGACAAACAATCTCGATAGTTTAGTTTGAATCAACTAGATATTATACACCATTTTATACATGTTGAATAAAACCCTTTTTTTTTTTTTTTTAACAAATCGGGTGCATGACAGAAACATTATACCAGCTGACTGAGTTTTGATTGAAACGTGTAAAAAAAATCCTCATAGCTCTTTTTTTTTTTTTAATTCCTTTCTTTCTTTTCTTTTACTTTTTTTTTTTTTTCTTTTATCCCTTTTTCTTCATTTGGAACCTCATGTCAGACTTGAAAGTAAAACTTGAAACTTTCAGTTCTTCTATGGAAGATGTTATTGATAAAGTGGGTCAACCTGTAAAACCATTTATTCCTGCGATTGCCCGGTTTCTCATTGTCGCTACCTTTTTGGAAGATGCTCTTCGTATTACAATGCAATGGTCAGACCAACTGGACTTTATGGAATTAAGGCGAGGGTTCCCTACTGGACTTAGTCATCTATTTTTATTCCTCAATATTATTGTAAGTAATAATAAATAAAAAAAAATATGGTTTTTTAATTTTTTTTTTTTTGTATAGGTTATGTTTACTGGTTCATTTATGGTGATTGTCAAGAAACATCAAGAATTAGCAGTGTATGGACTTTTGGGTGTGGTAATCTCACAGGCATTGGGATATGGATTACTCTTCAATATGTCGTTTTTATTACGAAATCTGTCAGTGATGGGTGGATTAGTGATGGTATTATCAGATTCTATTGTACGACGAAGACGAATGTTTGCAGCCCTTCCTCAGATATCAGAAAACAGTCGACGTACCTATTTACAATTGGGTGGCCGCATTCTATTGATCTTTCTATTTGTAGGATCCGCGTTTCATGGTGATTGGTCATTTGCTCGTGTGTTGGTGTCGCTTCTGGGTTTGATCGCCTGTGTGATGGTTGCTGTAGGATTCAAAGCAAAGTATTCCGCTTTATTCCTGGTATTGATATTATCTGTGTCCAATGTATTGATCAACAACTTTTGGTCTGTCACTCACAATCCATTCCGAAGGGACTTTTTGAAATATGATTTTTTCCAGACCTTGTCTACCGTTGGTGGCTTTTTGCTTTTGGTTAGTGTTGGCCCTGGTGGTTACTCTATTGATGAAAAGAAGAAAGAATATTAATTCGTATAATGATTATTCCACCATTGATTTATTATATAATCCTTTTTTTTTACGTGTTTTAATAAAGAAAACAATATCTTGTCTATATCTGATTATCCAAACTTTCTGATTTTTTTTTGTTTCATAATAACCTGGAATGATATTTTGGATCGAAACTCCCGAGCAATGCAAAAACGAAAGACAGGTTCCTGCAATTTCCATTCATCGGTCGTTCAATTTACCAGCAAAGGCCCTTTTTTTTTTCTTGGAGACAATACTATTTGTGTAATTTTTATTTTGACCAATTTTTTGTTGTTTTTTTTTTTTTGCCAAAGCATATACCACACATTTGGTTCATCTTATCCTTATTATAGAAATAGACTGGTATCATCTTTGTAACTATCATCGTCAATATTCTCAACCAATCATCCTATTACCTTTGTCATTCAATTGATTTCTTTGATCTATCATCATTCTAACATGTTTCAATATATCATTTCATCATGCATTCACATCATCCATCATCATCCAACACCAACCATTAAATCAAGAGGATCATACATTGCCTTTCAATATCACTGTCCAAACACTTGACTTTATTAATATTCCACAAACGCGCATCTAACTAACTACTAATTAAACTACTACACTAACTATCCACTATTACTATTGCTATATATTTCTTATGCCAATAAATCTTTCCATAAAGTCCCTATCAAAAATAAAGAAAAAAAAAAAAAGAGTTGAGTTCAAGAAAAAAAAATATATACTTTTTTTTAAGTCTATAAAATCCATCTTATTGGTTTTTTTTTTCTTCTATCAGAGTGTCAATTTGAATCATGAGAATCATGTGAAGAAATTCAACAGTAAAAAATAATTTTTCTGAAGAGACATCATATGAGAGAAAAAAAAAACCAAGATAAAATAGACTTGAGGAATGGTAAAAAAAATATATATCTTACCTTGGTATCAAAAAAACAACAACAAAAGATCATGTCTAAAAGTCATCTTTTACAAAAGGAGAAAAAAGAATAATAAAAAAAAAACAAACAATCATTTTATATAGTCAGTCGGCTTGATAAAAAAAAATTTTCATGATTTGACTGCTTAGTAGGACCCGAGAAAAGAAGAAACACTTTCGCGCGGTAGGAGATTAAACAAGTGGGGGGTCACAAGGGGGAGTGGCAGACAGACAAGAGAGACAAAAGAAAAGAGAATAAAGATAGTTTTTTCTTTTTTGGGATCATGCTTTCTTATTTAAAAAAGGCTTCTCATCATCATCATCGATAGATGATCAAAAAGTAAGATCATGTAAAAAAAAAAAAAAAAATAATGTCGGTTCTCATTAAAAATTGTTCTATTTTATTCTCTTCTAATCTGATGTTGTTCTCATTGTCCATTTTTGGATTATACCATACAATTCTGGATGTTTATAACTTTATTTAAATTTTTCTGTCCTGCTATTTCGTTTTTCCTTTCTTTTTCTTTTTTCTTTTTTCCTTTTTTTCATTTTTACACCCTTTCCTTTCCTTCAGTGATACAAAATTCATGATTCATCATTATTTATTATCATCATCTTTTAGCTTCGTTTCCATCACGGTATATCTTACCTTTTATGTATCAGTTGAATAGGAACTTCTTCTTATGTATGATCATCATAGTTTTGAAAAAAAAAATCTATTTTGACAAATCATTCATTTTCTTGTCTCCAAAGGGGGAAGGAAATAAATTGTAAAGTTTTTCTAATATACTAGTTTTTCCATCCTATTTAAACTCATCATCCTTCTTTTTTCTTTTCCTATCTATTTTATAACAGCCACTCTTGTTCTTGACCGTTACTACCCCCCTGTCGGACACTTGATCGGATATTGTGATTTCTTTTTGGTTCCTTGGTTTCTATAGAGACGATCATCTTGATGTAAGCAAGTGGGTTTTTTTGTACTACTTTGATGACTATCATTGACTATTTGAAAAAGAAGAGAAGGATATTTTTTTTTCTTTTATTCTCATTTCCTTTTTTTTTTTTTTTTTTGTCTCTTGAAAAAAAAAAATCATGATTTTATAGCAAGACCTAGGCTCGAATAGAACGGTGCGGCTCATGGATGAAAGTCGATATGGAGGACGTGTCATTGCCAGATGGCCGGGTTCGTGCCAAATCCCATCGTCAACCGCGTCGGTGGGACGATTCCTTAAATTATATCTACATAATGGATGTCAATTTCCCTTTTCGTTCTATGAATAAAATTCCCTTTTTTATACCGTTCAAAAAAAAAAAACTTATATGTGTTGTTTTGGAAATAATCCATCAGAATGTTCAAACATATTTGGAACTTTTGTTTTAGAAACACGACGAAAATAAATATGCAAGATATCATCAGTAATTCCTGGAAAAAGAAAGGCGTGAAATCCTGTTTTTGAATGCAAGCAGTAACTTTAGTATTCTTCTGAAATTTTTTTTGTTTCAAATAGTCTGGTGTTTTTTTTTTTTTTTTTTTTTTTTTTTTTTTTTTTTTTTTTGTGCACACCATTCTTCTATGTCTTTTTTCCCCCCTCTCATCACTTTGAAAAGACAACAATTCTCTCGGAAAAGAATTGAGCTGGCTAATCTTAGTAAATCCTAAAAAAAAAAAAAAATAAAGATGTGGATCGGAAGGATATCATTACTTTGACTTTTTTTTTATGCTTCTTGCATGGTTATACGGATATATTGATTCAGGAAGTATGAAATAGGACTCAAATTGGATGGACATAAAAACTTTATCAACTAGATAAACAATAAATAAACATGGATTGATTATACAACAGGATTTAGTTCGGGTGGATAGGACGATAGTATTCAAATCGATCAACAAGAAACTCGATGGTGTATCTTTTTCACAGTTATCTCTTTTGTAGTGGTGATTTTTTTTTATGGATAGTTAGTCGTTATAGTCTTTGTGTTTTTACATTATACATCTATTCACCTCTTTTATGTCTCTCGTTAATAAAGTCATATCTATCATGGTCATTATTGTCTCGAACAACGTCTGTCTTCATACGTTCTTGTCGTTTTTGTTATCATTTATCCATCATCATTAATAGTCATTATTGTCAGTATCAAGTCAATATCATGACTGTAAATAAAATGCTTTTGATGATTGTTGTTGTCAATAAGTTATGATCATATTTATCAATATCGTCAAGAAAGCACCGAGTCAAATACGATATTTCTATGTCTACCTTCTTTCATCCATCTATCTACGTATGTATCAAATCTCCTGCAAAATAATAAAAGTTTGTCATGATCAAATTGATGTTTTTTTTTTATTGATGATGTACAAAAAAAAAAAAAAATAATAACACTATATATTATTGAGATCACGATGAATGGAGCGTCGAGAAGGAGGATGTTGAACAGTATGACCATATTCCATAAACCTCCTCGGATGATCCTGAGTTTGTCTTCGGTGATGATTTCTTTTTTGTTGTTGTTCAGTGGAAGTAGGTTCTTCAAGAGGAGGATGTTGTTCCCATCGATCCGTGGTGCCATGGGCGGTTGTATACCATTCTGGATGTTCTCGTGAAGCTTGTGAATGATCCCATGTACTTTCTCCTTTGGGTGAAATTGGTGCTTGCCAAGGTGCTATCATCAACATAAAAAAAAAAAAAAAAAATGAATGATCCAAAAAAAAAGTATCTGTATCCTTTTTTTTTTTCTTCCTTACCTTTTGTATCTTTTGGAGGCTCTGCTGTAAAGTCGGCTTGTGGTGGTGATGAGGTGGGTGGATGATGTCCGTACATATTTTGTTGTGTTGAGTCCATAATGGCTGAAGGATGCTTAAGAAAAACAAACGAAGAGTAAAACAAATAAAAAGTAAATATCTTTTTTCAGCAAGGGTTTTTTTATTAAAAATATCCAAACTCAAAAATAAAATAATGTTGTTTTTCATGCCGCCAAGGGAAGCTATAAAACTATCTGATAGGTTTTGTTTGAGAAGGAGAGGTTTTCATTCGCTTAGTTGTGACTAAAAAACCAGAATTGGTTAAAATATAGTCTTATGTGTTTTTTTTTTTTTTTTTTTTTTTTTTTTTTTTTTTTTTTTTTTTTTACCTTTTATTTTCTTGTTTGATATATCTTGTCGCTTTTTTACATAAGTAATGGATAATACATTTGACTTGATTTGGTTCACTATGGGTGATGGATTGGATCAGAGTTTCGACTTGATTTTCGTTGATATCATAAATATTCTGATCTATCTTGGTATAACATTTGGTGATGAATTGTTTTGTTTTCCAGTATCTAATAGCAGTAATATTGTAGTGAGATCATCAGTAATTAGTTTTATTACTATAATTTACCTTGATTTTGGTGCTTTCCACATCCAACAAAGAAGTTACAAATTGATTAACAAAAAAAAAAAAAAAAAAAAAAAAAAGATAGAAAATAAATAAATAAAAGGGAAGAACAAAAAAAAAAGAAAGAGAAAGAATACAAATCAATTATTTTTTATTGCTGTTAAAGCAAGTAAAGGAGAAATGTAAATGGTTCCATTGTATTCCAACAAAAAACCATAAAAGATGAATGAATAAAAAGATATCTAACTATAAACAATGAATAAATCAAACCATAAAAGTCTACAAAAAGATAATAATAATCTATTTCTTGAAGAAACCCTTGACTTTGTTGATAACACCATCACCTTGCTTTCCATCTGTCTTGTTATCTTGATCCTTTGAATCATCATGTTCTTGTTGGATTGTTGTAGGAGGTTGACCCAATGATTTTTGAAGTTCTGCAATAGTAGCCATATCCAATTGAATACCTGCTGATTGCATATCGCGTGCTAATTGTTGTACTTTTGCCTTGACCTATATATTCATACAAAAAAAAAAAAAGTGAGCTTCTATATATATATAATGATGCTTTTACCTCTGGATCTTGCATGACTTTCATCACTTGCATATAGTTGAGTTGTTTACCACTTGGATCAATACCCTTGGTTTGAATAAATGCTGTAAATTCCAACAATTGTTCCATAATATGAGGATGACGAGCCAATTGCTCCATAAGAGGATGGCTTGGAGGTTGCCAGTGGTCTGATTGATGTGCTGCATACATGATCGTGTTGTGAGAATGGAATCCTTTTTGCTGCAGTAAAGGTTGAATCACAGAAGCATGTACGGTCAACTTTGGTTTCAGTAGTTGGGCTTTACTTGTACTCGCAAATAATAATCGAGTAGATGCCATACGACTAATATTCATAATACGATTCATGGTAATTGGAGTAGTTTGTTCAACAAAGGATGTTATTATCGAAAGAAAGGATGCCTTGTTTTTTTAGTTGTTTGTCCTCTTTCATCTATTTGAATCCCAGCTGGCTTATCCTCCTTCCGGATTTTTATTTTTGAGTCATATATTTTTTTATTCAATGTATCATGGATGACTAAACTAAAAGGACACTAGACTAATATTTTTGTTGGTTTTCATGTTGCGTGATTGATCGATCTATATAATAATAAATGTAATTAAGTTTTTTTTTATTTCTTTTTTTTTTATTTTCTATATTTTCAGTATTTCTTTACCTTGACACGTTACTAAACAATTGTTCGATTTCAGGAGAGCATTGGATAAAGTCATGTTTCCAGAAATCATCACTTTTCATCAAATCAATAAAGAGTGATAATAAACCCCAAGGATGTGGCCTGTTAACAATCAACCTTTCTAACAAAACTCGGATGATTTGTTCTTTGATCTTTTCCTTTTCCTTTTCAAACAAATGTATGAGCACCTGGCTAAAGAAGTATGTATGGCTGTTGGGATATCGCAGATGATCCGCCAATGATCCAAGTAATAAGTATCGACCTATCGAAACAAATATATATATATATTTCAGGATGTCAAAACAAAAAAAAAAAAAAAGAAAAGAATATCGTATCATCATTGTCACCCTTGATGTTATCCTATTTTTTTTTCTCTTCTTTATGATTACCTTCATTATCCAAATTTGCTAACAGATGCTTGTATAGTACCAAAGCCAAATTGCCATCAACAAATGCCGTAGCATCAGAAACTTTGTCACCAACGTATAACACAAATGCTCCAAGAGCTTGACTTCCATAGAGTTGTCCTTTCTTCAATAATTCCTTCATCTCAACCGTCACTTTGTCCAAGAGTACCTTCAATGCCTGATTATTCTTATTGTTGTTTGCGTTGCAATCAAAGTCGTCACCATAATGATCTATAAAATTGTCGAAGGCCGATACAATGTCAGATTCAGATATGACATCCAAATAGCTGTTGTCCAGAGATGGATGAACCTTGGATTCAGGCAAATCGTCCAGTTGCAAATTGGGAGTAAAGGGATCAGGGAGATGCATCGTTCGTGGAAATGCACTTAATACCAAGTTTCGCATTTGGATACTAGATGGTGGAATGGCTTGCGACAAGACAGTATAATAGTAACATAGGAACTCAGGAAAATCATGAAGTAACACCACAAACACACGTAATGTGCCTCGATAGAAGGTTTTCGTAGCTCTATCCAGGTTTTGTTGTTCCAAAAGTGGTCCCAAGAATCCTAGGAGTCCAAGTATCAAACGTCGGCAAATCGTCCATCCTTTGTTCTCGTCCGTTGCTAATAGCTGAGGAAGATAACTTCGATGGGAAACTAATTGTAACCAGGCAAAAGCAAATCCAGGAAAATCACTTGGCTGAAGGGTAAGTAAAGTATCACTATAAAAAGAGAAGAAGAAAGTGCTTTGATTTGAGTATCCAAAATAAATCCATTTCCTTTTTTTTTTTTCTCGCACATTAATCTTACCTAAAGGCGATAAGTAGATTATGATCCATATATTTATGCATTTCAGCATACAAAGATGTCAAGAGTCGTAAAAAGGGCTTTTGATTAAAGTCGCCACCAAGTCTCTCATGATGATGAGCAAGAACCAGAACAATGACCGAAAGGGCTTTCCCAAATACCTTGAACTTGTTGCTGTTGTTGTTATTTTCGCCAGAATCTGATGTTGCCATGCATGAGACCAATTTCGCGTATGCATCAATAATACCAACTGCTCGTCTTTGATGTGCTGTATTCGGTGATTGCTGAGACATATAATGATCCACACATACTTCTGTGCATACCCGAACAAAAAAACATAAACTTTCAGAATCTTGAGTGATCAGAGCAACCTATTACATAACCAAAGAAAAGCTCAATCATGAGGCTTTCACTTAAAAAAAAAAAATTAAAGACTTTACTATCTTACCTTTTTCACCAAAGAACGACAAATATCGTCAGTAACCATCGGATGTTGATCGAGTCGAATCCATTCTGCCAATAATAAGCGTATTTCCAAATATTTCTCATTTTTATTCGTTTCACCGTACAATGACTTGAAGTTTTGTTTCAAATTGTCCATAAAAGTAGTAATACTAGAAATAATAATAATAATAGTAAAAAGATTTAACTTAGATATCAGTTACAATAGATATATTTCCATTTTTACCTTGTTGAAGCTTCTTCCGTATTACATTGACCGAGTGCTCTTATAGTAAGAACGTGGTCTTCCAAGACTGTTACAGGTCGACCAGTCAAATAACACTTTTGTATAAAGTCCATGGCAAATTCAACGGCGCCTTTCACCTTGTTTTGTATCATTTTAGCCAAATGGGTATCATATTCTTCTGCTGGAATAACATCGTGCTGCACCAGAGTAGCTAAAACCTCTGAATTAAATTTTCTCTAATGAATAATAAAAAAAAAGAATGATCAGTATATAGTATATTTCTATTTGTTTTTGACTTACTTGATCATCCGCATATAAAAACCATGCCAAAGTTTCATGAGTTACTTCTTGAGAGATATCAAGTAAGGTTTGCAAAAAGAAAACATAAATTTCACGACCAAATGTACTAGCACTTTCATATAACATATAAACCACTTTTTCTACAAAGTTCATCACAGATGGTAATGGTGCTGAACTCTGCGATATCATCAATGGGATTTGGCGTATCAACAGAAAGAGATCGTGGTTGGGTGGGAGAGAGGAGATGGAGGTTGCGTTGATTTGTCTAATCATTCGATCCATTTCAAGAAGCATTTGTTCCAATTTTACAGATAAAGTGTTGGCAGCAGCTGCTTTGTCATTCACAGGAACAGATGAAACCTGAGGTGAATTCAATATTGGTCCTTGTTGTACTAATAGAAATAATCATTAATAATTACCATAGCTCTTCATCTTTTTTTTTTTTTTTTTGAGATTTTACCAGGTGGAGCTGCTATTGGTTGTTGAGTAGAGTTGTATGCAGGACGATTGAATGATTCATAGAGAAACATCTATAAATAAAAAAAAAAATCAATAGGAAATAAGTATTTGTTTCTTTTTTTTTTTTCCTTTCCATTCCAATATTACCTGTTCAGGAGTAACAGGACCATGCGTTTGTAAAGGTTCAGGTAAATAGTATCGTGTTGTACTTTTACGACTGAAGGGGTCAAAATAAGTATCGCCACGTCGCTATAAAAGAATAATAAGAATAAAAAGTGAGATTCTGTGATAAGATCGTTCTAATCTATTTCAGTATATAACACAAACCTCTTCTAAATGAGAAGCTCTGTTCGCATAAGACATAGACAGCGCCCGATCAATGTCGCCAATTGCACGTAGGTGAGCCAATTGTTCCACAAAGAGACAAGTAAGTTGAAAGTTATCAGATACCACAGTAGCTGCAATTTCATCAGACAATGACTATACATACCGTAAACAAATAATATTAAAACCAATTTCCCTCTTTTTTTTTTTTTTTTTTTTTTTTTACCTCCGGTAATCCAGCCTGAGAAAGGTGATCGCGCATCGTACCAATCATGGCATTATATAATGGTTCCTTGCAGGTAGCGACGGCAAGATTTCCAGCAAGAGGTTGTATCATTGAGTAAGCAGCTCTTTTGAGTTTCATTTCATCAGGTTCGGTAGCAAAATCCTTCAAAATCAGTTCCTTTGTGGATATAGCAGCGATGTTGGATGAAGTCACAATGGCAGGAGGCACTACGGCAGCAAATGCTTCCGAGATGGCGCGAAAGATGGTGACTTTGATGAGTGGTTGTTGAGCAATGAACTGTGATATAGCTGGGTTGAATTGTAGCCTGTTCAGAAGAGGTAAAACATCTACTTCTGGTCTTTCATCTGATTGACTGTTATTGATCCTAGGGGAGCGTTGAGTTTGACTCGTGATTGGTGGTGAGACGTCGACAGGAAGTACGGGAGGGAGTCCATTTGGTAATTGTAATCCAAGTGGGTGTTGTAACTGTTGCTGTTGTTGTTGCTGTAATATCTGTTGTTGTTGCTGCTGTTGTAATATCTGTTGCTGTTGTTGTTGTTGTTGCTGTTGCTGTTGTTGTTGTTGTTGTTGTTGTTGTTGTTGTTGTTGTTGTTGTTGTTGTTGTTGTTGTTGTTGTTGTTGCTGTTGTTGCTGTAGTAGTTGCTGCTGCTGCTGCTGTTGTTGTTGCTGTTGTTGTTGTTGTTGTTGTTGTTGTTGTTGTTGTTCTTGTTGTTCGTGAAGAATTTGTGTTCGTTTTTCCAATAAAGAGGTTGATTCAATTTCTATTGAATAATTATCAAGAGAGGTAAATAAGACTTCTTCCATAGCTGAATTCACTCTCCCTTTCCACTTCTATTCCCTTTTTTTTTCAGTTACCATTCAAATCCAGTTCTAAATTGTCAAAGAGGATTTCAATTTCAAATTTGAGGTTCAAACGTAATTTGTCAGTCCAATAAAGTTCAGCCAACAATTTCAAGATGCTCATAATCCATGGATTGGGTGGTTTGAAGACTTTGCTGGCGCTTGCTTGACGTAAAACTTGACAACATAATGGAATCGCCACGATCAATCGATCTTTATCATAAGCATCCAATAATAGGTCCTATATTTGATATCACAAATAGAGAATGAATTTCATTGCATACTAATACATCTTTTTTTTTCTATTTTATATATACCTTGAATGATAAATCTTTATGACGAATTGGTTTGTTTTTTGCAATAGTGAGTTTTCCTAGCCAAATTCCCAGATTCTTCAATAATTTTCGATCCGCTGATGATGATACAATTCCTTCCGATTGAAGTAATACCCTAATGTTGGAATATGTTTCTTCAATAATAATATCATTGAGCTGAGGCAAATCAAGTTGGTTGAGTAAAGATATATACAAGTCGTGATTGTTGGGTTCGATACTGGCACGACGGACTACAAGATAGTGACTAAACCAAGGCCAAGTAGACGCATTCAAAAGTTTCAATAATTCTGGATATTTGGTATCCATATTACCAAGAGAAAGGTTGTTGATCAGAAAAGACACGCGTTCTTGTACCTTGTTGGACGGTAAGCCTTGAGTTGTTCCAGTTGAAGATGATTTTCCCAATAAACTTGAAACATCAGGTGCCAAGTCTTGTCCATTCGTTGTTGTTACCTTGTTAGTGCCATCTTGTTTGTTGGATGTGTTATTGTCCTTATTCGCGCTCTGTTCTTGCTCATTTTGACCGATCTGTTGTAGTGCTGATGTGATGCTATTGCTGATAAGTGGATAACCTTTCAAACCTTCGATTTTTGAGAGAAGTAGAGCATACTGAGGCCATTCATGATATCGTCCACGGAATTGAAGAAGAGCCTGGATAGCAAATTTGAACATTTTCGAATCGACCTTGTGGTTCGCAGCATCTAAAATACACTTGAGAGCAATACGTAACTGAGCATAAGACACCATATGATTATCCACTAAAAGTCCAAGGAGTTCCCCAGTAACAAGAAGTTCATTGTCAGGATATTGATCAAAGAATCTGGCTTCATCCAACTAAAAATTACAAATACAATCGACAAAAAAAAAAAAAAATAAGAATCATCCTATTCTCACTTCTTATCAAGATAAATAATGAAATCAATAAAAACTTACCAAGGTATGTATAGTACAAGAAAAAAAATCAAGTTGATTTTGATCAGAAGAGTTCCGGCAGGTCTTGAGTAAAGAGACAAATCGACTAGGACTTGTTTCCTTTGTATAAAGTCGTTCAAAATATCGTCTAACACTATCTTCGAATTCTGAGGAGTAAGTTCGATCAGCATCCACATCACTACTAGTCGCAGGTTTAGTTGAAGAAGCAGTGTTTTCCAATAATTGAGGGTAGATCTTTGAGTAAGCTTGAGCAAGCTGGGCCACTTTTGCACTGTCAATAGGTTGGGTGACTCTATATACATATAACTAAACGATTAATATCATATGTTTTTCTTTCTCTCGCTATTTTTTTTTATTTTCACTTACCTTTCCTTCAAAACGCGCAAGAAAGTACTTATAACCTCCACTGATAGATGAAGTGTTGATACGACATTAGCACCAGATTGTCTAGCCACTTCCATCATGTATTTCTTTTCCAGAAAGTCGATACATTTAGCCATAAGTGTATTACTGTTGTCCTGGGAAAGTCCTTCTACTAACCATTTTTCCAGATTCAGATGTTGTCGACGAGCAGCCAATGAAGCAAGGTCCAAAGCAAAATAAGGTACTTCAATCTTGAGTACATGTACTAAAATCTATGATATAAATATGTTAAGTTACCAAAAAATAGAAAAATTGATTATCATCATTATTATTAGTTTCATACTTTCGCTTCTTGAGATACATCCAAAATACGAGAAACAGATGATGGATCTTTCTTATATAAGGCTAAGAATCCTTCCATGAGTAAAGTAGGACAAAGTTTCCAAAGTAGCATAATGACCAAAGTAGAATTTGCATGTCCAATCAAGAAGATGTTGAGCAATTTGAGTAAGGTATCACGATGTAATTGATTTTGTAAAGGCTATATATATATCATAAAAATAGTGATTAAACCGTTAGCTATATAAAAAACGACATATCTAATTAATATTACAAAAAAAGAAAAAGGACTTACTTGAGTTTGAGCTAATCCAAGTAATAGTAACTCTGGTGCTTGAATAGACAAGCGATCCATCAAAATCCGTACATCTTCGGCCACGGCAGTATCATATAAACGAATAAGTGCTTTCACTAATTCCAAATAATTCAAAGGTTGTGTTGCCAAATGCGTAGCTTCTGATCGAACGCTGACATGTAAAGATTGAATATCAATGTCGCGAATAGATTTTTTGTTGGTGATAATACTTGGATGACTGTCATCAAAAGGTCCGAGTTACTATAGATCATATAATAGAGAATACTGAGTTGCCCACGTGAGTTTGTCCAAGGCTGAAACAATAAATATACAGGGAAGGCCTTATCCTGATAGAAGTATATACATATGTATATCAGTATATTCAATAAAGTTTCATCCCTCTCTTTTCTTTTTCTTTTTCTTATTATTACCTTTTCAGCAAAAATCCAGGCATCAAAGATAAGTTTTAATCCAGGAGCATCACATATAACAAAATCAGGATGATCTAGATACTTGATGACCAAGTCCCATTGTAAATGTTCATTCTAATATAATAAAAGATATAAATAAGTTTGAAACATAAAAAAAAAAGGTAAAATATACCTTCATATTTACGGCCTTGACAAAATGAGCTAAATTCCAAGATGTCCCTTGTGTCATTGTTGATTGAGTTCTTGCCATCATACCCAAAGTCCTAGCCACAGCATCCTCTTGAATAGTGCATTGTTTAATAGTTTCCAGAGTTGAATCTAAAGTTGAACACGATTGCCAACCAGCTTCATATAATGCTTTACAAAGATCGAGTGAATCTGACATTGTTGGTGTAATACTATAGAGGAAGAAACTAAAAAAAAAAAAAAATAGATATAAATAAATGAAAAGCGTGTTAATTAATATAAAAAGATTAACTTAAAAAAAAAAAAACTGTATTTATTTACCAAGTAAAAGCTATATACAATCAAATACTTGATATAAAAGGAGGAGTGGATTCCAAGGAAATAACGAGTGTAAGTTCAAAACTAGTTTGAAGCAAGTATATAAATAAGTTAATCAATATCTCTTTTCTTTAAATCAACTTACCTTTGATAGTTTTGAATAAAGTATGTTACAAAATATAATAAAGAACAAAAAAAAAGCCAGAAAGGGAACTAATCAATGAGATTGATTGACTCTTTTTTTTTTTTTAAGTAATAAGGTAAAGAAAAAGAACGAAAAAAAAAAAAGATAGTCTGGCAGGTTTTTTTCCATCCCAGTCTGTTCGGAGGCCAAATAGACTCCCTTTTTTGTATGTAGACTTCCTTAAAAAGAACAGGGATAGAAATCACTCTGATAATACATAACAAAAAGACTTTGTACATGACTTATATTATATCTATTTCTTGATTCATGAATATCGGTTGCTGTTACGGCGACATATTCTTTTTCTTTTTTTTTTAATCAGTATATATCAAAGATAAAGATGAGAAAGAAAAAAGGATTTTTTTTATTAAAACTGTAATGTATTGTATGTAATAATAAATAAAGGGATAATAAAATATATATATATGTATAATACATTAATCAAAATAATAATAAACTAGTAATAATATGTAATAGTGAAAAAACAAATAGATCAAACAGCGAGATGTCGATGAGAGGTATTTTCTTCAGTCTTTTCATCAAAATCATCAATATCAATATCCACAACATCAGCAGTGACTTCTTCCTTATCTCTTATTTCCTTTGATTTTGCCCATTGACTTGCAAATAAGGAACCCCAACCAATTGCAAATAGATAGATCAGACGATAACAAACAAATTCAGCGATATAGGCAACACGAACTTGAGATTGATCGGTTTTTGATAAAATATTTTCATCAATAGTAAGGACTAAAATACCAGGTACAAGACAGAGATAATAAAAGATAAAAGTACCATAAAAGTGATTGAGTGTTTTTCTGTAAAAGAAGAAGAGTAAAAAAACAGAACCAACAAAAGGCCAAAAGAGGTACAAAGCCACCAATCTTGATTTGGCAATACAATCCACAATAATAGGAGGAGTCGTAGCATTCAATACCATTTGCACAATACCAAGAACAACATAACAAATACCTTGTACACCAAACATACCTAAACCCAGCAGGTACATGAGGTAAGGGAAGATCCATATAAGAGGTTGACGAGGATTTAACCTAAAAACTTCAATAGCTGCTAACCATACAGCAAGACGACCGAGATATTCACAAATGAGACTGATATAAAAAATAAGAAGATAAACACCTTCGTCGTTAATGATGGTATAATTGACTTCTGTAAGAACATAATAGGCAAGATAACTGAATGAGGCAACGACAAAGTGAGCGCTTGGTAAAAAGTTTTTGAATTTCAAGGCACATCCATTCGCCAATAAAAAAGCAAGACAACTAAAAGCGATCAAAGCACGATTGGCTGCGAGTTCGAGCGTATAGTTATCTGGTGAAAGAGTATCACTATATTTCATCAAGGTTATATATATATAGAATGTATAAAGGAAAGGAGAGGAAAAGAAAGAAGGAATAAGTTAAGAGTGGGGAAGGGAAGGAAAAAAAAAAAAGTGGAGAAGAAGAAAAAAGAAAAACTAAAAAAAAAAAAAAATAGTTTTTTTTTCTTTCAATTATAGAGAAATAGAATTCATTCATTTAATTGGATGATCTACTTTTATTTGATATATCGGAGTTCCTTCCATGTAAAAAAGGTTACACCTCTTACTTTTACATATGTCGACTCGTTCTTGTAATACTGTTTAAGGTTGAATATCCGGCTTTCCTTTTTGCTTTTCATTGATGTTAATAGATATCTTATCGGCAGTATATATATATATATATCTTTTGTTCTAATAATTACTTATTCATTATCATTTTGTCTATTTTAACTATTACACTCAATTGCTCATAATAAGTATCTCCCTTTTATGGTTAAAATCGTATTTTAAAAAAATAGTTACAGTTGTTCTATTATTGTCGTGTGTAACATTTCAAACAACATAAAGCATGAAATTCCCACTACGATATATATATGTACTATTAGCCAAATTCTTTTTATTCTAATCTTTTTTTTTTTTTTGTTGTACGTACAAACTATTAGCTTGATAAATTCATCAGATCCGTCATATCGATGAGAAAAGCATCTACTAGTTTTACCTGTATAGTTGATCTTAGTGAAATTATCATTTATCTGTCAGAAACGTTGATCTTTGTCATATGTCACCTTCTCTCTCTTACACACACATACACGCATGATCACAAAAAAAAAAAAAAAAAAAAAAAAAAAAAGAGTAATATCATAATATACCAGGGAATAAATTGTTTATTTCATGTCACATTCATAAAAGAGATAACTAAATATACATTTTATAAAACTACAAAATATAACTAGTAAACCGAAGACAGCTAATAAAGACGTTTGTTCATAAAGGCAGAAATCATATTCAAAGTTTGTCGATATTGAGGAGTGTCCGCAGGGAAACTAGCATAACCATGAACAGCACCAATCATTCGCGTACAACATGTATCCACACCAGCTTCAGTTAATCTACGAGCATATTCTTCTCCTTCATCCCTAAGGACGTCACATTCAGCTGTCAAAATCAATGCCCGAGGTACACCTTTTAATTCATCCAACGTAGCCAAAAGAGGAGCAGATCGTACATCTTTTGGAGGCTTTTCATTTCCATAATAAGCATTGAGGAAGAATACCATTTCCTTTTGAGATAAAATATAATCACCATTTCCGAATAAGTTGTATGATTCATAGTGTTGTCGATGTTGAGCAACACCGGGATATATAAGAATTTGACCCGCTACCACATTACCATGACCACGTTCTTTCAACATGACTAAAAAAAAAGTATGGTTTGTTAAAAATGACAGGCATATATATATATTTTTTTTTAAACTGATCACTTACTGGAAGTCGCAGCAGATAAATTACCACCAGCGGAATCGCCACTCACAACCAAATTGGAAGGGTCCACCTTAATCATTTCAGCATTTTCATGCACCCAAAGAATGGAAGAATAACATTCTTCTACTGCCACAGGAAATCTGACTTCAGGACTAAGACTGTAATCAACAAACACAACAGCAACATGAGCATTCACAGCTATCTATATATAATAATAATAATAATCAAAATTATGAAAGAAAATCCTTGCTATTCCTAATCATCATTCCATTATCTTACGTCTTTAACCAATTTTTCATGTGTTTTGAAGCTTCCCCAGAGCCATCCACCACCATGACTATAGAAAACATGATAAATTAATTAATCTTCAAAGGTTTCTTTTTTTTTTCCTTTTTCTATTTAATATATGCTTACAAGTAAATAATGGCAGGTAATACTTCATTTTCTGTACCAACAGGACGGACTAGAGTCAAAGTAATATTGTGATTATCAACTGGAATAACTTTTTCTTCCACAACGGCCTTTTGAATAACGACACCATCAGGAAGAGGTAGACTATCGGCGGTTGCGCGAGTTTTTTGGTAATCAGGTGAAGTAACATCGAAATCAGACTTTTGTAAAGTTTCAAAAAGTGCTTGGTAGATTGGAGAAGGAGTGACCTTGGCTAAAACCATTTTGTGTAAAATAAATATATAAACAACTAAAGAAAGAAAAGAAAAGAAAAGAAAAAGAGGAAAAAGAAAAAAAAAAAAAAGAAAAACAAATTTATATCTTTCTGGAAAAACTGTACTGATAAATAAAAGCTTACTATGTGTGAATGAACAAAAACTTCTTAGTGCTCAAGGATTTATAATGCTGGAAGGAGAATCTATTTTCCCTGTAGTTTCATGGTACAACCTAGGTACTATGTGTTATTTATAACACTTGGACATTTATATATATGGAAACATACTAAAGTTAAATAAACCAAAATTATCTAATCATCATCACACAACCTTCTATTTATTATATATCTTCTATCATCTATCATATAATACCTGTTTTATTCAATACCAGTATCATCCTCAATATATATACAGTACTATCATACGGCGTTTGAATTGGGAGATCCGTACTTTTTTCTTTTTTTTTTTTTTTTTTTTTTTTTGTAAGAAAATCGAGAGCAGCGCAATTGGTCTTTCTTTTTTTTTTTTTTTTTTTTTTTTTTTTTTCTTTGTCTCTTTGTTCTAGTCTCTATGTAATATATATATATGTATAAAAAAGAAACTCTCTTAAAAGCCCTAGATAGATCAAAATAGAAAAAAAACCTCTTTTTTTTTAACTTTTCTTTTTTTTTTTTAATTACGTTTATCTCTTATAGAAGTGATACCATTATTGTCATCATGACGTCTTCTTCCAATCTGGCTCACGACCAACCAATTCCATTTGATACTACATCCGATCAGAAAAACGACCCGTTCAACTTTACCAATGTGAACACGAGCCAATCTCTACAGTCTGACAATAATAAAACCAATACTACCAATGATGTTAGCTCTCTTTTTACTAATACAAATACTTCATCATTCTTCTCTCAACCTCATCAAGATTATCCATCATCCACTTATCAACAATCTGACCAAACAAAGTCATCTGTGCATTCAGTAACAACAACCACAACAGCATTTTCTACAAATACTCAACAACAACATACTGTTCAGCAAAATGGATATTATCAACAACAACAGCATTATGGTTCTACGAATTTTTCTTCCCAATCTTTGGATTATAACCAACCTTTAACAAACCAACAATACCAGCAATATTCGACAGGCAACACGGTACATGATGGATCACAACAATATTCTGAACAATATCAACAGCAGCAACAAGGTTATCAACAAGGGCAATGGGTACAATTTGATCCGATGGTACATTATTATTATGATGAACAAGGACAATATCACTACTATGATCCAAACACTGGCCAGGAATATGATTATACTCAATACGCGTATCAAAATAATTACGATCCACAACAGCAATATGATAACACTTCCTCTGGCGCGTTGGGCTTGGGACAAAATTCTACAACTGTCACATCTGATAGCGGAAACACGGATGTACGTGATGGGACTAATGTACATTACGTTGATAACGATATCTCACAACAACAACTGTATCAACCCTATGATCAAACGATGATAGATCAACAAGGCATGCAAACAACAAATAATCAACAGGTTATGTCAGCTAGTACTCAGAAATCAGAAGCTCATCTTGCAAGTATACCGGAAGCTCCATCTCCTTCTTTAGAACAGAAACAAATCATTACCAAGGTGGCACCGCAACACGAAGAAGAATCTACCTTACAAAAATCAGGTTTGATATTATCTCAGTCGGACGATGTCAATGTATTTGGAAATGGAATCACTGCCGATGATGGATACAATCCTTCATTATTATCAGATAATGCCACAAAATCAGCAGCAACCACGCAAGCAATTGACACTCAATCAACATCAGTAACAACAACACCAGCAGGTCAGCAATGGGATCAGGTGGATATGGACAGTCAACCGGAAAATGTATCTTCATTTGTTACCGAGAATCAACACACAGCTGACCGCACTATTGATGAATTGGGTAATGATTTGGATGACTTGATATTAGGTGACAAACAAAAGAATCAATCAGCAGGTTCAACTTCTACTCCGGATTTCTACAATCTCACTGGATCTCGTACAGCTACTCCTCAACTTCCTGTGGAATCAACAATCATTTGTCTCAATCCTTCCTGTCAATCAGTGAATAAAGCAACGTCCAAATTCTGTGAAGAGTGTGGGACACCTTTTATTACCAATGGATCTCGGGCACAAACACCTGCAATTCCAACAGTACCAACATCACCACCAGCCGTAGTATCAGCAGCATCAACATCTACAATGTATGACCCATCTTCTTATCAACGTTCATATTCCCCTGGAATTCAAGAAAACATCCATCCAGAAACAACTGTTCCATCAATCTATGACCCACCAAAGCAACAACCACAACAGCAACATTCCACGCATTCACAACAATACACTATCCCTTCCGCAACTCCAATGTATAATGAATCACAACAATATGAAGCTCGTCCTGCACAATCAGCAGAAGCAAACATTTACTCAGCACCTTCAACTACTCAGCAACTATACCCCACCTCTACTGCGGCAACCTCTAGTTACAATCCATCATCTTATTACAATAGCAACAACGTTGCAACAACAACATCTATTAGAAATCAACAATCATATGCAACTGATCCTTATACAATGACATCAGCAGTATCAGCATTCCCAACAGCAACAACACAACCCCCTGTGGACCAAGATCCTCTACAACGATACAAGAGACGACCTCTGGTTCGGTTTGGCTTTGGTGGAAAACTCTGCGTCATGTTTCCACAAACGATACATCAGCAATATGGTGGTGGTTATGATATCGGAATGTCGGCCAAGAAAACATCAAGTACAATTCAAATAAAAAACATATCGGAAATATTAGATGGTACCTCTACACAGATGGCATGTTTACAATCATTTATTGGACCCGTACTATCAGACCCTGATTATTCGGTGAAGAACAAGAAGAAACAAGTTATTACATACATGAACAACCGGATTACAGAGCTTGAAACATCATCTACAATGACTAACTCCACATTAGATGTTGGGACACGATTATTGTTATGGAAACTGGTGAAATTTATGATTGAACATGATGGATCTATTGGTGACAGGTAATCATATAGGAAAAACGAGAGAGAGAGAAAAAAAAAAAAAAAAAAAGAGAGAGGCAGAACAATATTAATTGATTTATATGTGATTCTCAAATATATTTTAATTTCTTATAGTGATGAATCGAATAAAGCACTTTTGGATTTGTTACAGCCTCAAACAAAGTTAACAACAGCAGATATGAACAACTTTAGTGTGCCAGCCTATGGTAATATTATACAAAATCAAGAGGATCAGCAAGGACAAGATTTATCAGAAATTACTTTGGATAAATTACAAGATTACTTAGCTCGAGGGGATCGACGAGGTGCTGTTGCTTATGCTATGCAACAAGATTTATGGTCTCATGCGCTCATCATCAGTAGCTGTGTGGATAGAGAACTATGGCAAGCAGTGGTTCGTGGATTTTCACAACGTGAATTGGCAGTGACAGCAAACTCCAAACAAGAACGAATTCATCATCATATGGAAGGCAATCGTCAAGGACTTCGGGTACTTTATGCACTATTTTCAGGCATGGGAGCATCATCAAGTAAGTATAAAATTGCAAAAAAAAAAAAAAAAAAAAAAAAAAAAGTTACTTATTGATGTTGATATCTATTTTACAATTGGCTAGTGTCCGAATTCTTTGTCATAGACAAGCAACCAACTCACAACATGGGCAAGAATTTGGATCAAACTGGTGATGGAACAATGGCAAAGGTACATAGTCCTCTTCAAATAGGTCAATTAGACAAATGGCAAGAAACACTTGGATTGATTCTCGCCAATCGAACAACAAAGGATTTTGAAGCTATTACTGCGCTCGGTGATATTATGAAAAATCATGGATGGTTAAATGCTGCTCATATTTGGTAAACAAAAAAAAAAAAAAAGAAGTGTGCAAAAAATAACAAGTACTTAAATAGAATTTTTTTTTTTTTTTTGTGTTTGGGATATGATTTAGTTATCTTTTATCACCACAATCATCACTTCTATCTGGGTCGGATACACCTTATGTACGATATACACTTCTTGGAACAATGGATGAACAAAAAGCGTTGATGGATGTGGATAGTTATTTATTGACAGAGCTTGCGGAATTTGCAATTTCTCTTCGACCAGGTATTGGCAACAGTAAATGTCTTCCGCACTTACAAGGCTACAAACTGATGCATGCATGGTGGCTGGTGGACATTGGACTTGTGAAAGAAGCTAGTAGATATTGTTCGGCTATCAATCAATGTATCAAAGATTATACCAAAGAAAGTCCTTATTTACATCAACATCTAGTGGCAAAGGTGAAAGAACTGACCGATCTTTGTAACGAATACCATGGAAATAGAAGCATAGGGTAAAAGGAAAAGAAAAAGAGAGAAAGATAATAAATAAACAAATAAATAAAAGGGTTATGTGAATACTTATTTTATTTTTATATTTATTTACTACTATAGAAGAGATATGACGTCTTGGTTGAAACCATCCTTCAAGAAGAATACATTAGATTCATTTTGGGGCTCCATTGAAGGCAAATTCAACAAGTTCGTGAGTGGGGATGATACAACTGTAGAAGAACCTACTGGACGCAAATCAACTGAAATCAAAGCTTCTCCATTTGAAACCAATATTGAACCTCCTGCTCGAAGTGCCTCTGCTGTGGATTTCCGAATGCAACAATCGAATCAACATTTGTCTTATTTGAGTTTCAAGCGATTCAAATAATGATGATTTTCCCCCTCTATTTCTTTAGCAGTGTATAGTTTTGGATTATATTTTTTTTTTTTTTGATTATTTATGAAATAAAGTAGAAATATATTTGTACTTTATTGTAACTTATTGGATCTATATCACGATTATGGCAAGAGAGTGAAGATAATGATTTATTGATCTAGTTTTTGTCGGTTTCTGTTATTGTATTCGACTTTTTTTTTTCAAAGGGTCGTCATTAGCTATCTATCATCCTCATCATCTTACAAACTTCAGTTCTAGCTGTGACTCTTTTTATATATTCTTTTTAACTTGTTGTTATGATGAACTAAATTTAAAATTATGCAACTGTCATAGAAGTTAGCTTGGACTCAGAAGGAAATACCCCTTTTTTTTTCCCTTTCTTTTTTCAAATTTTTATAATTTAGCACGATATGCTTAGTGTAAGTGTGATCTGATACATTAATAAAAAAAAAAGATAGTCATAGATGATATACTCATATTTTAATAATAGCGGTTTTATAGTATGATTGGAGGTTTAAACATCAAAATGGGGATTTGAGGATTTCTTTTGAGAGTGAGAGTAGAGATCAGATAACCTTTTTCTGCGATTTTCTACCTATTAGCGACAAGGTGCTTTTTAGATCCACTAACAAAAGAAGTAATCATAGATAATATATACATCTTTTATTAATGATGCTTGTATGGTATGATGATAGATTTAAGCTTAAAAATGGGATTTGAGGAGTGATTAGAGCTGTGGATCCACTTTTTTTTTTTTTTTTTTTTTTGAAAATTTTCGATTTTACAGCCAAAAATTTGAAACTCCTCAGCCAAATTTTGGCTGTAAATATGAATCGTCGAGGGGTCATCAGGCGATTTTTCGAAAAATCGATGAAATCTTTTGGTATTTATTTACATTATTAGGTAGCATGGTAAGCAATAAAATGATATTAGATGATATTAAACTAATTTTTTGAGAGGAATCCAATGGTAGTCATTTTATTGGATGATCATTATTGGATGAGGGATGACAATATTGACATTTCATTTTTTTAATTTACTCTATAAATTGGGAGGTAAAGCATACACTGTTATTCATGCAAGGGAAAGAGAATGATTTCATCTATGTTCAATCCAAATTTGGTACCATGATGATTATTTTTGTGAGAGAGAGAGAGAGAAATGAAAAGATAACATTTGCTCTCCTGCTTGAATGCAGGATGAACTGGAAGCATTTTGCATGTAAAGAAAAAAAAACACTGAATTTTTGAAATTGTCATCCACGCAAAGTTTTGAGATTGAGGTGAGACTTCCTATGAAGGAACGAGTAAAAAAAAAAAAAAAAAAAAAAAAAAAAAAAAAAAAAAAAAAAAAAACGGAGATTAAATCAAGACAATGCAGAAAGGAGATGACTTTATAATGGTAATGTCAACAAAGAGCAAATTCTTCTATACAGATCATCAGGAAGAGTGATTTTTTACTTTATGTATATATTGATTAGAGTATCTTTCTTTACGAAACCACAAGGGAACTCTTTATCGCTGCTTTTCAACTCCAGCAGCATAAAATCTTTTTTGAGTTAGTCCCAATTTTTTTACCTTTTCTTTTTTTCTTTTTCTTTTTCTTTTCTTTCTCTCTTTCTTTCTCTCTTTCTTTTTTTCTTTTTTCCTTTTTTTTTTTTTTGCGAACAACGACAATAAATGATTTCCGTTCAAAGATCTCTACCATTGTACCTCATCTTATATCTGACATTACTCGTTTTATTATCACAGCATACAGTTGCATCCATTGCCAACTCTTTTGGTGACGACAATAGCAACAAAACAACCATCATTGATATACTTATACGAGAGAAACGGTTTCAAATTCTTCTAGATCATTTGAACCGAACACAATTATTACCATTTGTGAATGATCTTACTTCAACAACTCTTTTTGCACCGGACGATAAAGCGTTTGAACAGTACCAAGGTCAAGATATTGATAAGGACATTCTATTATACCACTTTATTACCAAAGGAATGACCAGCCAAGACTTTTATAATGACCAACTACTAACTTCACTCTATGTGCGACCCGATGTATTGGGACCTAGCAAGAAGGACCATGGACAGCGTATCAAAGTCACAACGGAAGACCTTTTGGGAAAAGATCATGGGAAAGTGTATGTTAATCAAGTTCAAATCACAACACAAGATATCCAGGTCAATAACGAAACATATATTCAAGTCCTTGATCAAGTTTTATCTCCTCCTCTTATGCTAGGTAAAAAAAAAAAAAAAAAAAAAAAAAAAAAAAAAAAAAAAAGACAATAACTAGTGTGTATTGTGATATGTCGTTTTGACAATTATTCTTTATCTTTTTTTGTTATTATTCATAACAGATAAATTACTAGAGGAACAATATCAAGCGCATTATAATGCTATGAAATTAGTGGATGTGGAAAAAATGATTGGTCGAGAAAAACCGTATACTGTGTTTGCTACAAAGGTCGATGTCTTTGGGAAATTCAATACTATTGAAAACACTTATTTGTTATCTGGATATGGGAAAAGGGATCTTCAACGATATCTCAACTACATGGTGATAGTCAATTATGAACATGACAATGGTGGACCGTTATATAGTATAGATTTGCCAAGAACAACAACAAATTGTAAGTATATATTAAATATACACTTCAATACATAAAACAGCATCTGATACTTTTTTTTTGTGGGACGAATATAGATAAAACGGCAAACGGTGAAATCATTACAGTTGAAGTATCTGAAGATGGAGGCATTAAAGTCAATGGTATAGCTGTTGTAAAGAAAGATATCTTGGCAGCCAATGGTAAGAAGAAAGGAAAAAAAAAAAAAAGAATACAAACAAATAAGTATCAAATGTACATATGAAAAAAAAAGGAGGGACTCCATTAATAACTTATTTCTTTATATATATATTAGGGGTACTACACGAATTAGAAGGTAGTCTTGTTCCCAACAGCCTTGTATTTGATACTAGAAAATATCTCTATGGTCTCAACACTACTAAATATGTATCGCTATTGGATCGGTTTGGTCTCAGTCAGTACTTGGATGCTTCTTACTATAATTATACTTTTTTGGCACCAGAGAATGACGCTATTGATGAAAATGCAATTCCAAACCACAGCAAGCATGATTGGCTCAGTTATCATCTTTCGAATGGCTCTTGGACAAAAGATCTACTTCATGATGGAATGATGTTGAAATCACAATATGCTTCTGAACCTATGGATGGAGCTTTACAACGGATCCCTGTGTTTGTTGAAAACGAAGAAATATTCTCAGCCAAACTTGGGAAATCGATTCGTTTTGATAATGCCCGGGTCATTACTGATATTGGTAAAAAAAAAAAAAAAAAAAAAAAAAAAAAAAAGAAATCATTCAATATATGGACCAATCATAATATTGTTTTCATTCAAACAGGTATTCAAGGCAACACTATTTACAAAGTGACGGATCCTTTGAAGATACCAGGTGATGTGCTATCAAGATTGGTGGTAGATCTGGATTTATCAACCTTTATTGCAACATTATATGTCTCTGAATTAGCGGATGAAATACGACATGCTAAAGGGATTACCTTATTTGTTCCTACTAATGATGCATTCAAGCGACTAGGATTATTGGCCAAATATCTTGTTCATCCAACTGGAAAACAACATTTACAAACTATATTAAGATTCCATGCTGCTCAAAAATTACTTTATTATGATGATATGCTTCATCATGTGTATGAAGTCCCCACATTATCGAAATCTATTCTTCGTATACGTGCCACTAAGGATCAGCAACATGTAGTAGTAGGACGACCAGATGGATCAGATGCTGAGGCAGGCATGATTGTAGTTGATGGAAAAGGCAGTAATGGTGGCGATGGAAACAAAAATATTCTCATGTCCAATGGTGTTGTTCACAAATTGAATGAAGTCCAGATTCCCAGTCAGGTGAAAATCAACAATTATGATCTGCTTGTAGGTATTGGTGCTACGACTATGGTCAAGGTATTGGAACGAGCGAACATGACGGATGTATTGAATCGAAGTGACTGTGTTGTACTAGCCCCTACTGACAAGGCATTTGCTCATGTGGATCTTGACAATCTTTACAATAATCCTGATCAACTGAACCGAATTGCACGATTCCATCTACTCTCAACGACATGGCATCAAGATTCTACGGCATGGCAAGCGGATTATCAAACTCATTTATCAGACAAGGATAAAGTGATCATCAAGAAAGAAGGGGGTGACACGCACAAAGGTGGTGATGATGATGATGATTTGATTGTTGTGGTCAAGGACAAGGAATCGATGATGGCTCAAGTGACAGGTCTTGGTAGAGCTACAACTGGTCAAGGTGGTGTTCTTGAAATCAACACGGTGTTAGTTCCTATCAGACGTGGTGTGTTTGGATTACCTTTTGTTTGGTCTGTTGTGGTGCTGATCATCATTATCCTTATTGTTTCTCTTATTGTTGGTGTTATTGGCTTCTTTACCTATAAGATCTACAATCGTCGTCGACTGGGATATCGTGCTGTGTGATGATATATCTTTAGTTAGAATATTGATGAATGCTTTTATGTGCATCCTTTTTTTTTTTTTTTTTTTTGAATAAAACATTGAAAATATATTCTTTGTCATCATGATTTTGGAACCAAAAGAAAAGAGATGATGTTTATTATTATTATGGTTTTAATCAAGAAACTAAACTATATAATGTTACCAACTTGGATGATATATTCTTATTCCTCGTATTCATCCATCTTCTTTTTGGCCAGTTTCTTTAAACTCTTTAGACTTTTTCTTTTTTCTTTTTTTTCTTGTTCATCCTCTTCATCCTCTTGATCATCAGGTGTATTAGCTTCCTCTTTTTGTTCTTCTTCAGCTTCCTTCGCTTCCTCTCTAGCGTTAGCGATATCGGTAAGGAGTTTGGCTGACTGAGCATTGAAGATGCGGCGTACCATAAAGATTTCATTGGATTCTTCGCTACTGATCAAGAGTCGCCCGAATTCATCGATGGCCAAACCGACAGGGGAAAAACAAGGCGCGGATGTACAAGGATCAACTTGTTGAAGGATGATCTCGGCCGGTTTGTCCCAACGTGGTTTATGACCCAGATCATCAAACGAGAGATGAACCACGCTATGCCCATTGGGTTGTGCTGGCTCACCATGATATGCCACAATAGGAGTATCTGTCCAATTACAAGGGAGTCCCACCGATGTACCTTTGGTGTCTTGTGTACCCACAGAACAGCCTGTGCCCATATAAAAAAATAATCCTGCTGTTTTGGATCCTGGTGCTAGTGGGATCGCTGGTCCATGATTGTTTTCTCCTTGTTGACAATACGTATCCATATTGATCGATCCATTCATAAACTCGGGATGTGCCTATTTTTTTTTTAAAAAAAAAAAAAAAGCAAAAGATGGAATGAGATAAAAAAAAAAAAAAAAAAGGTAGTGTTACCCATTGTGCACCCAATCCTGCAAATTTGCTTGTATGTTCTTTCAAATCAAATTCGGTAAAACATTGTGGGAAGCCATAATTCACTCCTGATGCTTCATAAAGATTGATTTCTTCAGCTGGACCACTTGATGATATATCTATTTTTTTTTTTTAAAAAAAAAAAAAAAAAAAAGGAGTCAGGTTGAATAATATCAGTTTGGTATGATGGACAATATGTGATGATGCTCTCTCTCTTTTTTTTTTTTTTTTTTTTTTTTTTAAGCTTACCACCACCCAAGTCAGCTCTATGAATAGAATCAAATGGATGATCAGCACCCCATAAACGAGCCTGGGCATCAAATGCCATAGATCCCCGGGAATTAGTACCAAAGGCATGGACGACCCCATCTCTTTGATAATCATAACCAGTGACAGGGATGGATCGGAAATTAAACTTCTTGATGATGGCATCGTTTTGATTCATTTTGTCCAACGCACCTGAGGCCATATGGATGCCCACGGATGAACGAGGAATAAAGGCGACACCAAAGGGATCAATGGAGATATCAGGCATGGCCTCTCTAGGAGCATCAGGGTCAGTGGCAATGTTAGACACCACCACCCGACCATTTGTCAATGGCGAATGTTGACCATCCGAATAGGGGAATTGATAGACATTATTGAGAGTGGCGACGTAAATGTATTTTGTATCGAGTGCCATACCATGTGCTAACTTTTCTACCGGTCCATCTTCATCATCATCACTGCCTGGGAGTTGACCCTTGATTGTGGTATCCAGAATCAATTCCGTATTGACATTCCCACATTTATCCATGCGTAAAGAGTAGATGGCATTATCACCCGACATGACCAGGAGATGATTGACTCGATCCATCAATAGTTTACGAGGTTGTTTGATATGATTGGCAATCACAATGGCATCATACCCATTGAGTACCTCCATTGGATTGATTGGTGAGAGTGTGATATCTGGATTACATAGAGGCATGGATTCTTCATGCGATAGAACCATAGGATGTTCTGATGCAGAGTCAGGTACAAGCAAGTTGGTCGATCCCATACGAATGGCCCCAATATCACTATCAGGATTACTATTCATTGGATCAAGCGTATCACCCATTTGTTCTTTCTTTTTTTCACTACTGGAACTTGCATCGACTCTAAGAAATATCTGACAGAAAGCTAAACATACTGTCATCAAGAAGAAACTGCGTTGGTGTACCATCCTCTTTTTCTCTCTTTTTTTTTTTTAATATATATAATGATTGGAAAGGGAATATATGAAAATGGATGATTGAAATAGAAATTAAAGAAGAAGAAGAAGAAGAAAAGAAAAAAAGAAAAGGAATAAACGTAAGAGTAAAAGAATAGATGAATACGGAAATATTATGTATATATAACTTTCATTGAGTCTTTATTCCCTCTTGTAACTTTTTATCGAAAATTCAAGGACCGGGCATTTTTCTGTATAAACTGCTCCGTTTTTTTTTTTTTTTTTATCTCTTCTTTCTCTCTTTCTTTTCTTTTTTTTTAAGTTTATTTTTATATATCATGATTGAAACATATATTACCACCAAAAACTATTCAGAACTATTAAGTGCATGCGAAGAATATGAATTGAAGGTAATGAAATATCATTTTACGGACCATTGTTTTATCTAAATTTATTCATCTTTTTTTTTTTATTTGTTTGCTATATATATATTCAAAATACTATTATCTTTTATTATTTTTTAGTATGGAACTTTGACGGATCCTTCCTTTTCCTTATATGATCTATATCCTGCCTATCTTGGTTCCTATATTATTGCCGATGACTTGTAAGAAGAAAAAAAAAAAGTTTTACATGACACCAGAATACTGAGCATATGCGCGTTTATGATACGTAATAAAACTGACATGGTTTATTTTATTTTTATTTTATTTTTTAGGAACTCTGCAAGATTTCTGAGGAAAAGAATGTTGGGGAAAGCAAAACTACAAGGATGTGCCATTAGTACCGAAACAGATCAAATGTGGCAAGTCTGTGTAGCATTATGGAAACGGAATTACAAGGACGCATATATCTTATTGAATGATACCTCTCGTTGGTCAATACAAATTCAACCTATGATTTCAGATATACTAGGTAAGAATATACGTAGATAGAAAGAAAATAAAAAGGGAATAGCATATACTTATATGTGAATGGATTTTTCATTTGATTAGAATCAATACGGGAACGAATGGCCACACTACTTTCCAAGGCTTATAGCACTCTCACGATGGATGATGTGATCGATTACTTTGGTATGCAGGAAGCTGACATTACACAAGGTAAACAGAAAAGAAACAATACATTCATGTGGATGAATTTGGAAATATAAGGATAGAATAGCTCATACTTTTGTATTGAAACAAAATAGCATTATTAACAAAGGGTTGGTCATATGATACAAATACCAAGATATTCACAACAAGGAAGCCAGGTAAATAAATGATGTGAAATGAAGGTTTGGATGAAAGATTGATTAACCTATTCCGTTTTTATCACTATATTAGATGTCAGTCAAAGGGAATCCTCAAATTTTGGACAATTATCAGCAATAGCAGACATGGTTTTACATTTAGAAAAATTCTGATTTGGTATATTGACTATAAAAAATAAATAAAAAAAAAAGTATAAACCAAATTGCTTTTATATATGTTCTTGAATTTGGAAAAGGTTTTATGACAGATTTCAAATATAAGGTAATATCAACAAGAAAAAGTATTGATGAATGGACTGATGATACTAATTAATTTATTTTTTTTTTTTTATTAATAACCTACTATTGTCCTTCTCTCAGTTTTCTTTCTTCATTCTTTTTTTTTTTTTCATTCGGATCTAGGTTGTGTAAATCTACGCTTTCTTCTTCATCTCTAATGTTATCCTGTTTTGTTTGCTTATATATGAATGGACGAAAAATTGGATTAATTGGATATATGGTAGAAGGGACTCAATTTTGAAACAAGCAGGTAGAGGCAGTAGGACCAGTATCAATTGCATGAAGATACAACTTGAATATGGTGTATGATGCTAGATTCGACTGGACAAGAAAAAGCAACTGGATGCTGTGCACATGTATCTTTTTGATGATCTTCTTCTGGCTTCGTTGGCATTTCTCTCCCTCCGCCTCTTTCATTTGGTTCTTGTCATGGTGATTCTTTTTTTTTTTTTTTTTTTTGGGTAGTTGGTTTTAGTCAAATAGTTTTAAATATAGGAAATATTGTTTTGTGAGATTCTTTCGTTAATAAATCCATAGTCATACTTCGTTATTGTCTTTGAACATCAACAAACAAGCCATTATTATAGTAATATGAATGAATATTTCTAGATAGCCATCATCATGCTATCATTTCTTTTCTACTTAATAATCCTTGATCATAGCTATTATTGTCATTCATATTCAATAGTACTATTACTATTAGTTTTAACAACCAATCCATTCAATTGAAGATGGAAAGATGAATATTGAGTTGCTCCTATTTATTTATTTTATTGTGAATTTTCCATTATCATGATGGCCTTGATCATGAAATCATCTTCATAGTGATTATTATTATAGATCTTTCTTTTTAAAATCACATTATCTTTATCATCATCCTCACCAGCAGGGACAGCAGCATAAATTTATCATCAAGTCATCATGAACCATCATTACGGGATCATCATCATCATCAACATCAATGTCAACGTCAATATATATATATATATATATATATCATCGTGTCACAACACATGCAATCATAAAATAAATTAACAAACAAAAAGAAACAAAAAAAAAAATAAGAGAGACAAGTATATTGAAAACAGGAGTTTATTTGAGCTTGTATAGTATTAATAAAGCAAAATAAAATACACTATATATCTATTCTACTATTTTCTAAACTAAAGGATGATGATAGTTCATTTAGCGTTACCCAGAAGCCACCACGAGGAGGTAGAACTATATTGACTCCCAATATTTATTTCTATTTACTAACCTTTTATATTCCTTACCAACCATACGACTTGATGTCACTAAACATAGAGAACTACTCTAGAATATATATATATAAACAGCGATTTCACAACACCAATGAAATAAATCTAGGTCAAGCAATTCATATAAAAAAAAGTATAAATTATTTTTCTTCATTACCTGTACTAAATCCTACATCCAAAATGAAAGGGTTTCCCCATGTATTTTGTAAATCCCTTTTTCAAAACGCTCCAAATCCAATAAAATCTACCTTGACAAGATCACACAGACAAAGAGGACACCCAATGTGGAAAAAAAAGTAGATGGAGAAAAGAAAAAGAAAGAAAAAAATGAAAAAAAGCAAACCGCACATAAAGGGCGTGATTAATTTTTGAAGCCCGTCCACTGATAACAGTTTGACATAATTTCTTTTCAGCCTTGCCAAACTCCAAAAAGTCCATGTCTGTTCAAGTGTAGCTCTTTTTAATTTTTATTTCCAAATAGGACTATAAAGAAATCTCACAGTTTATTTTGTTTTAAATATCTATCTACACCCATAGTAGGATACAAAATGCCTATGAGTCTCAACCCGATCTTTTTTTTTTTTTTCAATAAAAAGAAATCTCACAGGCTTGCTTTTGTCTTCATTATTTTTTATTTTTTTTTATCACTATCTACACCACTACCATCATTATCATCCATCACTTATCATCCATCACTTATCATCCATCACTTATCATCCATCACTTATCATCCATCACTTATCGTCCATCACTTATCATCCCATTCATGACCCAAGTACTACAAAAAAATAGAATCGCGCATTTGACAGTGCTTTATTTTGTTCAAAGTAATAAAAAAAGAAAGTGAATATAAAAATATAAAACTAATGTAACCGTAACTATACAGAAGAGCCTTTCTATAACGATAAAAAGCAAATTGTCGATTGTCCCAGGTAGGCATATTTCTCTTTCCACCAGAGTGTTTCGTTTCCATTTCATGCGTGATTGTATTGTCCTCAAAGAAAGTGGCAGTGTAGATGAGTTGAGTCGTAATACCAAATTGCCAATAATTGATTGTGATAGGCTGAACTTAGCGATGAGGTTCATTGTTTATGATTTACGGTTAAAGCAGGTTTGATCAAGTCCTAACTCCAAGAGAAAATCATAAAAGATCAAGTTGATTCAAAATCAAGTCAGTTCAAAAGTAAAACCTAACCAAGATATCAAATGGATTCAAGTATCTATTAAACCATCTAGAACTAAAAAAAAAAAAAAAAAAAAAAAAAAAGAGGAAATGAGAGGATGAGTAGGTTATTCACAATATATAATATGATATAATAGATAGAGTACCTACATAGTTCTCGTCTTTCTTTAGGATCCACCATCACCATCATCATCCTTATATACAGAGTTTCTTGTTTTCACCAGTAAAAGAAGAAATCTTCTATCATATTACCATTTTTTGAAAACTTCTCTTAACCCGGTATTCTAATAAAAAAACAATAACAATGATTTCAGTAACTATCTATTCTTGTTATCATAGTATATTATTTATGCGATATAAACTTACGGTGATAGATATCATTGGGAACCATACAGAATTCTCTTTTAAGATTTATATAATATAAGAAGAATTAGATTAGTTTGGTAAAAAAGATAGTTTTTTTTATTATTCACCCATTCGAAGATGTAAACAAATGAAGATGAAAAAAAAAGGTGTAACTATATAACAATTTGGTATGTTCATTGAAGTACTTACAAAACTTTCCAGCAAGAGATGATTGTTGAACGAGGTGGTCACAAAAGGAAAAGCAAAATACAGGAAAGATCTATAAATAATTGGAAGAGTAATATGTGTTTAGTAAACTTAGTTTAAAAGTTGCAAGGAAATAGAAAGAAAAAAAAAAAGTAAAAATTCTTTACCTTTAACACCTTGATTTTTATGCGTTTCAAACTCCACGTATTATTCTCTATCCTTTTTTTTTTTATAATAATAACAGTAATAGTGATATACATATATCATATCTTTAAAAGAGAAAAAAAATATTGATACTTAATGTCATGATGAGAAAAGAACATTGATATTTTTTTATGCAGTAGGACATGTACTACACTAAATCGATCTACACATTCTAATATGTCAGGTTAGAAATCCAAGCAAACCCTACAAGGTTAAAATAATTCAGGAACAATAAAAAAGTAAATGGATGATGATGATGATGATGATAATATCAAGATAACTCTATATGATGATCATGGATCCTAAACTCTTTTTCATCGAAGTACATATTATAATACTATAGTTACTGTAATATTTATGCTATTACTAATAGTTATATTATAAAATCATCATTTCTTTACATTCATACTATTCATATTTTCATTATTATTATCATTATCATTTCATAATAGTTTAATCCATATCATCATCAGATTATTATTATTTATTATTTATTATTTTTTTTTTTTACTTTTAATGCAAATCATAAGTGTTTTCCATAAATGGTACAACTTCAAAGTCCGTTCTCAATGTGGGGGTGTGTTGGATCAAAAAAAAAAAGTCTGGAGTCCTCAAAAAAAAAAAAAAAAGGATCTGGAGGTCGAGATCAAAAAAAAAATTGTTGGAGACAATGGAAAAAAAGTTGGACCAAAGCTCTGACAAAAAAAAAAAAACTTACCTTTTTTTTTTTTTTTTTTTACTTTTCCTTTTCCTTTTTTTTTTATTTTTTATTTTTTAAGCAATGACTCTTTGAACATTCTTAAGTTACCATTATACATTACTTTACTAATCTATATTATATACTTAATAGTCACTCTTTATATTATACTTACTCTATACTTTACTATATACTTACTTTATACTTATTCTTTCTTTTTTTTTCTTTCTTCTTCTTCCTTAGTCTTTCATATTATGAACTAATCTATTTTTCTTTTTTTACTTTTTCTGTGAACATATAGTAGATAAGATATATGAAGGAATATACAATAGGATTAACTAGATATTGGATAAAAGAATAAGCAAATCAGGGAAAAGTATCCAACTCTTTATCGTTGGTTTATTTAATAGTTTAGTCTTTTAGTTATAGATATTATATTCTCATTTAAATAAAAATCATATTTTTATTATTGTTTATTATATTGTCATTTCACTATTACTTCTCTATTTGTCCTCCATCATCATCATTATCAAAAGGAGTAATAAGAAAGAATGGGTATGATTATCATCTTATTTTCACTAAAAAATAATAATAATAATAATAAAAAACTATTGTAGAAACAAGATTCATATACACATCAGTATCTACTATTTCATTTCATACATTACGTTCATCATTTTAAGCATATATATTCTCTTATTATCAATCATCATCATGACAATATCAACTTGTACCTGTATACTGTTGATTGTTCGTCTTCTCTCTTACGAAAATAACGATGTCATTGATCAATTGCTTGGATTCAGCTGTCATTTAATTTATTCAAGGAACCAGGTACAGAAATGCATTGATGACTGTTCGAGAAAAATAATAATTATGATTTTATTAAAGAAAAAGAATGTAAATATATATAATTGATATACTAAGTACCATTCTAAACTACAATTAAAAAGAATCACTAACGATTCATAGACCAGAATAAATAAAAAAAAAAGATAAATAAGATACTTCTAATTGATTGTATAAGCCAATCCAGTTGAATCCTATAATATATCCTGTTCATCCATGTTGTCCACACCTTATGACAATAGCACGTATTCATTTCGTTTCATTCTGTGATCCTATTGTATATCTATCCATTCCGCTGATTCAGATGTATAGCCACTTCGCGTAATTATCCTATTGATCCTATATTTAGATTATCAAGTCTTCGTGTATCTAGATTTCTTTCTTTCCTTCAGACATATATTCAGTGATGATGATTGTCAAGGATACCAATTATGAAGTATGAGAAGAAGAAAGAACAATAATTCTAGATGGATGTATGTTGTAGTAAAAAGATCAAGCAGAAGAACGTATACAATAAAAAAAAAGGGAAGGAAGTTAGAAAGAAAAAAGAAAAAAAAGCATTTGTTTTTGAAGCTTATCTTTAATAAGAGTAAATATTTGTAAAAACCACATAGATAAAATGAGTAGGATATAGTAACGAAGTTGGAATGAATAAAAAAAAAAGGAAAAAAAGAAAGAAAGAAAAAAGAAAAAGAATTATTTTATATGTCTATCTGATCGGAGCCAGTTTAAAAAATCCTGCAAATCAAATTTACCAATCATAAGGAATTACATAAGTTTAAGTTTCTTCTTTTTTTGAATTGATTTTTTGTTATTGATTATAGTAAAATCATGATGATGATGATGATGATGATGATGATGATGATGATGATGATAATGATGATGATATATTAGAATAAACACTTTCAAGTGAATGATTTTATCACTTATTTCATATTCCATGTACAGTATTCATTGAACTTTGAATAACTATGACAGTAGAGAAAGATTACAAAAGAAAAAGGAATATCAAGCATATAGGTTAAATCAATTTGAACAGCTTTTTATTAATCTGATGGAACATCAATCACATTCATATAGAATAATAAATCAGCTTAAATATCATAAATTGGTTATCCTGATAATATAAAATAATAAAGTAATGAACATAAATTATGAAAAGCGGTAGTTGAACATCCAAAAAAGGAAAGGCTCATTTCATGAGGTTATATAAAATAGACCTCATATTTTTTTATTTTCTCACACTTTCTTCTTCTTCTTCTTCTTCTTCTTCTTCTTCTTCTTTATCACTACTGTTATAAACTTCTTTTTTTTACTTTGTATAAAAAGTAAGTAAAGATATAATAAAAGGGACTTTATATACTTGTTAACTAAACTCTCTCTCTCTCTTTTTATCTTTCTATAGAAATACCATCTCTTGACGCTTCTTTACAAACTGAATCCTCGATATATATTCAATAGATCATGAAACTATAACAATGGGACTATAACTATCAAAGGTACTACTATAATTCCAAAAGAAAAAAAAAAGAAATAGTAAAATAGTAAGTGATTTAGGTATGGCTGCGATTCTCATACTTTCCTTTTTTTTTTTTTCTCAGTAGTATTCCGGTATAATGTGTCAATGGAAAGGCTATTGAACATATCTATCAATTATGGTTATCAGGCATAAACAAAAAAAAAATCAAGGGTATTATCTTTGAACGTAAGACGTAAAATACGATAATGAAGGATTTGTCAATCATTAACATCATCTTTTCTTTTCTTTTCTTTTTTTTTTTTTTTTGTTGATGGGTAGTGTCACAAATACAAGTTTATCTGTTTATATGTTACTCTATTCTCTATAAAGTCATCCTTCTTATCAAGATGGTTTGAATTCTCATCAGTTAGTTATCCTCGTGGAAATTGATATCGGCATCATTACTATCGTTGTCATCCTTCAAATATTATTGGTATAAGTTCCAACTACAGCGGAATATATATATATATATTATACACATCAACCATTAACATTTATTCGTTAAATAGATAGGTTGCCATGGTACATCGTCCACCGGTCTTATTACAGTATATTACTATCATTGAATTGTTATGATCATTTTCAAGTATGGTCAATTACCGTACTCAAAGTAAGATATAAAAAAAAAAATGAAAAAGAATATTTAAAATATGATTCTCATTCTCTTTTTCTTTTTCTTTTTTCTTTTTTTATTGTTTTGATGCACCATCATCCTTTATATACAGATCACAGAACCAAACGAAAATTGGATACATAAAAAGGACGAATAAACTAATTCAACTATATTATTAACAACAACTGGAAAGGAAAATCAATTTGTGTACAAATAGATGACATTTTTTTCTATAGTTTCTTTTATTGATAGTTATAGTCTTATTATATTCTTTTTATATTCTTCTTCTTCTTCTTTAATAAAGTTTATCTTTATATCATCATCATCATCCTATTTATTATTATTATTTATTCATCTATTCAACTTTATTAAAATCATAAGTGTTTCCATAAATGGTATAACTTCAAAGTCCGTTCTCAATGTGGGGTTGTGTTGGATCAAAAAAAAAAAAAAAAGGTCTGGAGGTTCCTCAAAAAAAAAAGTTGGAGACAATTGGAAAAATCTGGAGATTGAAAAAAAAAAAAAAAAGTTGGAGACAATTGGAAAAGTTGGACCAATCTCTGACAAAAAGAAAAAATTGGCGCGCTCTTCACTTTTTTTTTTTTTTTACTTTTGCATTTTTTTTACTTTTTTTTTTTAACCACTGGCACTTTGAACATTGTAAGTTACCATTATACATTACTTTACTAATCTATATTTAAAATTCACTCTTTATATATATTATACTTACTATATACTTACTATATACTTATTCTTTCTTCTTCTTCCTCTTACTCTTTCATATTATGAACTAATCTTTTTTTTTTTTTTTTTTTTTTTTACTCTTTTTATGAACATATAGTAGATAGATATATGAATAAAATATATAATATGATTAATTGGTTTATAAGTTTTCTATTGGATAAAAGAATAAGCAAACCAGGGAAAAGTATCCAACTCTTTATCATGGAAATTAGTTTATTGAATAGTTTAGTCTTTTAGTTATAGTGTTTTATATTTTATAATCTTTTAAATAAACTCATATTTTATCATTGTCATTTCACTATTATTTATCTATTTGTCCTCTATCATCATCATTATCGAAAGGAGTAATAAGAAAGAATAGTATGATTATCATTTTAGTTTCACTAAAAAAAAAAAAAAAAAAAAAAAAAAAAAAAAAAAAAAAAAAAAACTAAAAACAAAATCCATATACACATCAGTATCTGCTATTTTTCTTCATACATTACATCCATCATTTTTAAGAATAGATATTTTCTTATTATCAATCATCATCACCACCCATGATAATAGCAAGTTGTACCTGTATACTGTTGACTGTTCGTCTTCTCTCTTAACGAAAATAACGATATCGTTGATGATACAGTAGAGCATATCATACACTTCACTACATGATACACTCAAAGATACATTTTATTAAATCATCACAACAATAGATAGTAGCAATAGGTACAGACACAAAACATCATAGCAGGATGATTTAAATAATCAAACATTTTTATTTAAATAAAAGAGTATTTTTACAGGAGAAAAGAAAGGGAATAAAGAAAAAAAGTAACTAAATACCAACAATATAAAGAATATATACAATACTAGTGATAATAATGACAATGATAATAATAATAATAATACTAATGGAGACAGAGATGCCAATCAAGTAGAAAAACATAATGAGACCATCACACATGGAAGAGACCAATCAAATAAGAAGAACCAAAAAAAAAAAAAGATAAGGACTAACCACGTAGTAAAGGGTTCTGGTAGAAAATACCATGACAACGAGAGACAGATGAAGGAAACGGAAAGAGAGAGAGACCAACCAGATAGAAAAAGAGAAGAAGAGACCACGCAAACACGAGAGAGAACAACAAGAGAGTAAGAGAGACACCATACCACTAGAGAAAATAACCAACCAAGTAGGAAGAAAAAAAAAAGACCTTCAAAAGTACCTACCTGTACACATAGGTTGACTTGCATTTGCTGTTCAATCCAGAGTCCAACAGTAAAAAAATAAAAAAAAAATAAATAAAACGATTAGTTCCTTAATCTATGTCTTACCATCATAATTGTCATTCCATCCACTTCCAAACCATTAGAAGAGCCATAACCAGCTAAAGCTAGAGAAAATAAAAAATAAAAAGGAAAGAAAGATGAGAGAAATGAGATAGATAAAATAAGAAAGGAAAAAGAAAAGAAATGAAAACTCAGTTAGATAGGAAAAATAAGAAATGAATTTATAAGTTGGCTGAATTAAAGTGTCTCTCAAAGCAATCACGTATCTTTTCTTTTCTTTTCTTTTCAATAAAGAAAATTTAGACTATATAGACAATAATATCTAAAAGATCAATAAAATAAAAGAAGAAATATATTAGTATCATTTCCTTTTTTCATCTATTATTTTTTTTAGACTTATCATTTTGCACCATTGATCGTTTTATATCACCGTTTTGTTTGACTAAAGGTTAATATAAAGTAATGATGATCATTCGACATTTGATTGCATAAACAACAATCATTGTATCTACAGATAAAATCAACCAAAAAACAGTACTCCATCACTGTTATTCTTATATATGTCAATGTTACCTTGTGTATATCATCTGACAGCGATACCGTATCAATCCCCATACAATAAAAGGAAGGATCTAAAAAAAAAAAAGAGAGAGAGAAAGAAGCAAGTGATTGCATGTAATATTGATTGATCATCTTTTCCTTTCCTGACAACTTACTAATTTGATTGTATAGGCGACAATCATAGTATCTACGAATAAAAATAAACCAAATGAATAGCAATCCGTTACTTTTTTTTTTTAATACATGTTACCTTGTCAACACCAGTGGATGTTTTATATCATATTGCAATTGAATGTCATCATCATCATGAGTTCGAAGAGAAAGAAGGGTTGCCACTAGCAGTATATCTGACATTTTAAGACCATCAAGGAAGGTAGCTTGTTCCGGTTTTAATAGATACGCTCCACTGACCAATTATGATATTATCCCCTAATTCTTTCCAAACCATACCGCAAATGGCAGGACTTCCAAGGACTCCAGCATGAAACAACACGACCTACAGGCGATATACTGTATTCCTTGCATGTTGCCTTCTAGCCTCCACCTACTTGAGCACTAGATCCAGCCTCTAGATTCATAAATGATCCTAGACACCAGTCATCCTCGACCAAGTCCAATGCCTGTTAGATAAACAAAGATCATCTCGCCATGATCTTTGAATATCACCAAAAGCTAAGTATAAAACGATGATGACCATTCGACATTTGATTGTATAGGCGACAATCATGATACCTACAAATTAAAAAAAAAAACCAAATGAGTAGCAATCTGGTACTCTTTTTTTTCTTTTTTTTTTTATACACATGTTACCTTATCAATAACCAGTGGATATTTTGCATCATCTTGATTGTATAGACGACAATTGTGGTATCTACAAATAGAATCAGTAAAACGAGTACCGGTTCATCACGGTTATTCTCTTTTTTTTTTTTTTAATGTATGATTACCTTAGTTACATGATTCACCAGTGTCAATGTATCAATCATAAAGGTCATACCAAAGGAAGAACCAAGAACATTTTACAAATAGTATAGCCAAAACCGAAGTTATTGATTTTTGTTGAAAGGAATGGAGAGTACCACAAGACGAAGGGATAATAGTCCAAGGCAATGGGAGAAAACAATAAGTGGAAGACATCATACCAAGTGGGAGGGACAAAAAAAAAGGAAGACAAGGACCAACCACGGAAGAAAGAGATCTCGAAGAAAACACCATGACAATGAGAGACAGATAAGGGAAAGGGAAAAAGAGAGAGAGAGACCAACCAAGTAAAAAAGAGAAGAAGAGACCACACAAACTCGAGAGATAACAACAAGAGAGTGAGAGACACACCATACCATTAGAGAAATGATCTTGAAGAAACCAACATCATAGGAGAGAATAACCAACCAAGCAGGAAGAAATGAAAAAAGATCTTCAAAAGTACCTGTAACACAAGTTGACTTGCATTTGGTGCTCCGTCCACAATCTAATGGTAAAAAAGACAAAAAAAAAAGTAAAACGATTAGTTCCTTAATCTATGTCTTACCTTCATAGTTGTCATTCCATCCAGTTCCAAACCATTAGAAGAGCCATAACCAGGTAAAGCTAGAGAAAAAAAAAAAAAAGAGAAGGAAAGAAAGACGAAAATAAAACAAGAAAGGAAAAAGAAAAGAAAAGATACGTGATTGCTTTGAAAGATACCTCAATTCAGCCAACTCATAAACTCATTTCAATAAAAAATATTTAACATCCATTATTTTTTTTATACTTATCTTTTTACACCATTGGCTTGTTTTGTATCACCGTTTTGTTTGATCAAAACCGAGAAGAAAAGTGATCTTGACAATTGGAAAAACCAGAAGAGTCATGAATTAATTATAAAACAAGTAAGTAAGTAATTATATTTTATACTGGTTATTTTATTTTATTATTATTATTTTATTTATTTTCTAAATTGACAATTGTAGAATAAGACTCCATTACTGTCATTGTATTTTATATGTTACCTGTCATTATTCCAATATGGAGACGCGAACAGAGTGCGGAGAATGAATGAAAAAAGTGTGGAGAAATGGAAAGAGAAAGAAAGAAAAGAAAAATGTGGGGAAACGAAATAAATAATAAAAAAAAAAAGAAAGCAAAAGTCCGAATAGATAAAAGTAACGTACCAAAAGTAGCAAAATAAAGAGAAAGAATATATTGTAATGTGATAATGAATGTACAATTAAAAAAGTAAATTAGTTTTTTGACATTGAAAGGAAATGTCAAAAACTAATCTACTTTTCCTTTCACTGTTGATAATACATTTAGATTGAGTCACGAATACAATATATGGCAAAGAAGGGGAAAAAAAACGACAAAATATATGAAAGAGAGAATTAATATGATTCCATGTTGTTTCTTGTTTTTCATATTATTGTTAGAAAGTCTTTAAACTCTGATTCTCTTTGCTTGGATTCAGCTGTCATTTAATTTATTTAAGGAACCAGGTACAGAAATGCATTGATGACTGTTCGAGAGCTAATACTTAATAATATAAGAGAAAAAAATAATAATTATGATTTTATTAAAAAAAAAAAAAAAAGGGAATGGAAATATATATAATTGATATACTAAGTACCACTCTAAACTACAAGTAAAAAGAATCACTAACGATTCGTAAGCCAGAATAAAGGAAAAAGATACTTCTAATTGATTGTATAAGCCGATCCAGGTGAATCCTATAATATATCCTGTTCATCCATGTAGTCCACACCTTATGACAATAGCATGTATTCGTTTCGTTTCATTTTGTGATCCTGTTGTATATATATCTATCTATTCCGCTGATGATGATATATAGCCACTTCGCGTAATCATCCTATTGATACTATATTTAAATGATCAAGTCTTCGTGTATCTAGATTTCTTTCTTTCTTTCAGACATATATTCAGTGATGATGATTGTCAAGGATACCAATTATGAAATATGAGAAGAAGAAAGAACGGTAATTCTAGATGGATGGATGTTGTAGTAAAAAGATCACAGAAGAACGTATATAATAATAAAAAAAAAAAGGAAGGAGGTTAGAAAGAAAAAGAGGAAAAGCGCTTGTTTTTGAAACTTACCTTTAATAAGAGTAAATATTTGTAAAAACTACATAGATAAAATGAGTAGGATATAGTAACGAAGTTGGAATGAATAAAAAAAAAAAGGAAAGAAAGAAAGAAAGAAAGAAAGAAAATGATTTATTTTATATGTCTACGTGGTCGGAGTCAGTTTAAAAAAATCCTGCAAATCAAATCTACCAATCATAAGGAATTACATAAGTTTAAGTTTCTTTTTTTTTGAATTGATTTTTTTTTATTGATTACAGTAACATCATAATGATGATGGTGATGATGATGATGATGATGATGATATATTAGAATAAATACTTTCAAGTGAATGTCTTGATCACTTATTTCATATTCCTTGCATTCATTGAAAATTGAATAATCATGATAGTTGAAGAAAGATCACAAAAGAAAAAGGAATATCAAACATATAGGTTAAATCAATTTGAACAACTTCTTATTAATCTGATGGAACATCAATTACATTCATTTAGAATAATAAATCAGTTTAAATACGAGAAATTGATTATCTGATAATAACAAAATAATAAAGTAAATGAATATAAATTATGAAAAGCGGTAGTTGAACATCCAAAAAAGGAAAGCCTCAATTCATGAGGTTATATAAAATAGACCTCACCTTTTTTTTTTATTTTCTCACACTTTCTTCTTCTTCTTTATCACTAGTGTTATAAACTTCTTTTTTTTTTTTTTACTTTGTATAAAAAGTAAGTAAAGATATAACAAAAGGAACTTTATATACTTGTTAACTAAACTCTCTCTCTCTCTTTTTTTTTTTTATCTTGTTATAGAAATATCATCTCTTGACTCTTTTTTATAAACTGAATCCTCAATACAGTATATAGTCAATAGATCATGAAACTATAGCAATAGGTCTATTACTATCAAAGGTACTACTATATTTCCAAGAAAAAAAAAGAAATGGTAAAATAATAAAGTGATTTAGGTATGGTTATGATACTGATTCTTTTTTTCTTTCTTTTTTCCAGTTATTTTCAAGTATAATGCCAATGGAAAGGTTATTGAATATATCTATCAATTATGGTGATCAGCACAAGCAGAACGCGATCAAGGATATTGTCTTTGAAGGTAAGGTCCAAAATTACAATAGTGAAGTATTTGTCAATCAAGATATCTCATCGTTTCTTTTTTTTTTTTTTTTTCATTGATGGCTAATGTCACAAATAGAAGGTTGGCTGTTTATATGTTACTCAATTCACTATAAAGGTATCCTTTTAATCAAGATGGTTTGATTCATCATCATGATCGTTATCCTTGTTGAATCAATATCCGCTTCATTACTATTATCATCATCCATCAAATATTATTAATACAAGTACCAACTGCAGTGGAGCATCCATTATACATCAATACTTATTTGTTACGTCGATAGGTGGTCATGATTCATCCTCCATCAGTCTTATTATGTTACTGTCGTTCCATTCTTACGATCATTCAACAGCAGCAACACTGGTATCCAACAATGATGATCTTACCATCACCGGTATATCCTCGTCAATAATACGCATCATTTCGGCATCATAGAAAATATCGGCCAAGGCACCAGATACAACATTTTCGGTGATATGATAAAAGGGAACATCAATCGATTTTCTATTTTACGATATTCTTCTTCCGGAAAATAAGAATAATAATTGTTACAATGATAAACAAGCGACCAGTGTTATCACCATCTTTTTTTTTTTTTTTTTACTGTATTGGCTCCGTCACATTATCACAAATATCACCAACTATAGGAACAATTATGACAGCATTGATTATAACGTTAATGACAATCAAGGCAGGATTAAAAATGACCACTTCAACTTGATAGAGGTAGGCAAGAAAAATATATGAAGAATTGATTTACAACATGATGGTACAAAATTCAATTGGGGCTTTCTTTTTTTTTTTTTTTAGTAACCATTCCTTTATTGGTAATCTTCAATAGCAACATTCACAGTTACTCGAAAATCCAACAAAAATCCTTCTATCGTCATCAGCGATTGTTATTTCACCTCCTTACCAGAGCAACATCGACGTTCTTTTTATTCGGCATTCGAAGCATATTCACCATGACATGACCAAAAAAAAAAAAAAAAAAAAAAAAAAAGGTAGGGGTTAGCCCTTAGGAATTCGATTCATCAAGGGGGGAGTGGAAACCTTACGATCGGAATGGACTTTAAACGTTACTCAATAAGGAAGACCGATGAAATGGCAGCGATCTCAATTGGAATAGTAGCAACGACGAACCACGATTTGCCCCTGATCCCTTAGATTAGTATCAAATTATAATAATAGCAATAGGTATGGTAGTAATTTATTTAGATTTTTATGTGTTAATTAATAAAAAAAAAAAGAAAATGTGATCTTTTTTATGTGATGATTACGATGACAACTTTGATGATTGATTTTGGTACGATATTACAGTATGTTAGTGATGGAAGATGACGAACAAGAAATGATTTCTTTGATGACGATGAATGACGATGGATGACGATGGCAGTTACATAGGAGAAAAAAAGAGAGAGAGAGGAGAAAATAAGAAAGAAAAAAAAATGAGTAAGGGATAAGTTTATTTTGATTCCAAATGTTGATCTACGGCTAGGCGTTTCATATCTCCTTTCAGGAAGAAACAGGGTATGGATCCAACGGCAACAATGATGGCAGCGGCAATCAATGGTGTTTGAGGATAAGCATGACCAACTCTCAAGCAATCAAGGATGATGGTGAATAAAAACATGGTCATACTACATGCACCAGAGATGATGCAATTGCTGACACTTTCAGGCACAGGATAGGTCACTATAATGGATGAAACAATCAAAACAGCGTCTCTGGATTATTATTATTATTATTTTTTTTTACTTTCACTTGCAAGTTCCAAATAAACTGAGAATAATCCATAGGAAAAGAATCCATTGGCAATACAAGCAAGGATGACAACATTGAAAGCATTAGGAATAACTAAATATAAAAAAATAGGATGATCAGAAGTGATGGAGTACATATAGTGTGAGTGTATATCAGATGACTTACTTTGAAAGATGAACATAATATATGTGAAGATGGATAATGGGGTGAAAATCATGATGATAGTACGATGATCATTGGTTTTACCCATCCAGTAACCAGTAACAGCTGTGATAGGATGAAATGATGATGGATGATCATTGGATGATGAAAAAAAAAAGAATAAGGGTGAATAAAACAAAAAATGGTTTCGTCTTTTTTTTTTTAAAAAAAAAAAAAAAAAAAAAAAGAATCCTACCACCACCAGGAAATCCACTAATGATGATCACAGCGACACATATACCAGCTTGCTGTTCCGAATAACCAAATATAACGAGAGCTTCAGCAAAGATGGCGGAAAAGCATAATGCCATTCCGATTCCTGTGGAAGAAAGAATCAACAGCCACCAGAAATCCAATTGTTTAGCTAATACCTTTATGCCTTCAAATACACCCATACGCATCTGCGTAGCACTATGACTAGGTGGTACTTTTGGTTGTCTAGGAAGAAATGGCATAGCAATCGCGGCAATGCTACCAATTATGGATATCACTAGAAACTGGTAGAGAAATTAAAAAAAAAAAAAAAGAGTTGATATTCATTTCCTATTTGGGCCTATTGTTTCATTATGCCATCATTCATTATTTTCTTACCATGAAAGGTGTACTATCAGCATCAGGAGTCAAATGAGGGATCAACAATAATGCAATCACTGGTCCAATCGATAATGCTAACCGAAGGAAAAAAAAAAAAAAAAAAGAGTTATTAATGAAAAGTAACTCTTTCCATATTGATTTGTTTATCTTTACTTGTCAATGTATTTGAAATGCCTCTCCATTTTGGTGGGAACCAAACAGCGGCTAACTATAAAAATGATGATGATCCCGAAAATAAAAAAAGATCCAGAAAAGGAAACCAAAAGAGGAGAAAGCTTTTTTTTTTTTTTTGTGTACCTTTGTTGAAATACTATCATCAAATCATCATCATCATCATCATCATTATATAAATAATATTAAAAAAAAAAGAAAAGGATGAGTATACCACATGATTATTATAAAGAATGAATGAGGAGATTATACTTTGTGACCAAGGGACCGGCAATAGCAGCGAGTGATTGGCCAATGATGACAAGGAGAAAGCGATGATGAGGAGGAACAATGATGGCTAGATAACGCAACCAACATCCAAACATATTGATAAATCCGGCGATGACAAGAGTGATTTTGATCCCCAAACGCTCATAGGCCCAAGCGGTGGGTAACGAGACGACAGTATTAAGGATGGCACAAATGTTGGATAACCAATTCAAGGAGGTGAATGAGACCTGCATCCATTGTGATGTAGCTTCAGGAGCGCTGGATGCACTGAGCCAGGTCAAATTAACCGCCGTATTCAATAGAACCACGCAGAACACAACCATCCATGCCACGTAGCTCACTTCATTTCCTTCCTCCTCTTCATTTGATGTTGGTGTTGCATGCATTGCATGAGCGGCTACTTTATGCTCTTGAGTCATCACTTGTACACCAACATCCTTGTGATCTGGATGATCCATATGCTCTTCATCATCATCATCATTTGAATCAAACGGTGTCATGATTTTATTTGGTAAGAAAGAAGAGAAATACCTTTTTCTACATATCATATTGAACTTTTTTTTTTTATATATTTATTTTTCATTTATTTTGATGATAAAAAAAACTAATCTTTATACTCGTTCGATTTTAATTTTTTGCATGAATCTTCCTTTTTATTATTATTATTATTATTAAATGTTGAGAAAGGGATATTGTGTAAGGGCAAACTGTATCTAATGAAATAGGAGTGTAGTTAGCTTGGAAGAGAGAAAAAAAAAATAAAAAGATGTATACATAATAAACATTTCATTATTCTAACAGGTAAAGATCATATACAACAAGGAAACAAGCGTTTTATATATATATATATATATATTATTATTATACATGCGTATTGGCGTGCGTTGAACGTGTGATGGAACAAAAAAAAAAAAAAAAAAAAAAAAAAAAAAAAAAAAAAAGGGGATGAGGTCGATCAAAATGAAAAAAGTGTAACCCATATGTTGAACATACATTCACCATACGATATTCCCTAATATGGTTTATTGGGAGGGAAGACGAAAGACTGGGCTTAAATCCGGGGCAAAGGATCAGAAGAAAACGGGTAAGGAGCCACTACTACGGATCCCCCAAATCGTTTCAATAGACAAAAATAGTTATTTTTTCTTCTTTATATTTGGATAATCATCCTGATTGGTTCAAGTAGAAAAAAGGAAACACTTTTCATTCTAACACACTCCCACTTTCATGCAATATCTGTTTTGTTTAGAGCGCATATCTGCCGGGCAAAACATTAAGAGACCAAAAAAGAAGAGATGATGAATAGATGATATTTTATTTGATACCGTTCAATTGGTATAAAATAATCAACTAACTAAAGAGATGATAAATGCAGAAAAAGAAAGGAATGCCGAATGATATATATAAAAAAAAAAAAAAAAAGAGAGGAGAATAGATGAGTAGGTTCCAGGAGAAAGGAAAGTTTTGAAGGAAAGGGGCAAATGAAAGAAAGAAAGAAAAAAAAAAAAAAAGAGAATTGAAATGCAAGACATGAATAACATATAACAAAATAATAAAGTAACAATAATAAAATAAAAATAAAGGGGATGCGGGTATATCCTAATAACCTATCGATGAAGTACCAAACGTCCTATAAGTTGATGATGTGGATGTTGATGATTGAGTGGCGTCAGTAGTGATCGATCGCTTCTGAGATTCCAAGCGGGCTTTTCCTGTCAAAGGTACTTTGGCGTCATTGTCAATATTGGATTTTGTAGGAAATTTGCTTCGCCTTGATGATGGTACGATACTAGTTGTTCTTGGTCGATTGTTTGTTGTTGTTGTTGTTGTTGTTGTCCTCCGGGGAGAATTAGTGTTGACGATAGTTCCGGAAGCGGTTGATCGTGCAGCAACAGAAGAAGGTTTCAAGACAGGATTGGCGTTTGTCTTTAAAGAAGTTGGTGGTTTTGTAGATGACGTCATTTTGTTGTAAGGTACTATTGAAGAACGATGATGATTTACAGGAGTAGCAGAGGATTTTGTCATATTATTGATTTTGGTTGGTGTACGTCCTGATGATGTCGATGATGATGTTGAAAAGGTATTGGTCAAAAGAGTAATGTCATCCATAGCTTTGTCTAATTTTTTCTGCATTTGTGTATGCTGTAGAACGTCATCGTTGACATGTTGTTGATGTTGGGTATGCAGATGTTCCAGTTGATCCAAAACATGGGCCATTGTTTGTTCCAATTGAATGCGGGCGGTTGTTTCCTTTTCTAGTCGAGCTTCAAGGGGTTGAACATGAGTCAGGGTTTGATGCATCTTTTCTTCATAGACTTGTCGCATATTGATTTCTTGGTCCAGGCGGTCATAAAGTACTTTTTGCTGTTGGTCCATCAACACTGTCATATCTTCCATTGCTTTCTCAAAAGCTTGTCGCATAGCTCTTTCTTCGTTCAATTGTTGTTCCAAATGTTGAATGCGATTGTTCCATATTACTTGTTGTTGTTGGAATGTGGTCCAAGTTTTTTGTACTAAATCATTATTATTCTTGTTGTTGGTTGATTGTTCAGTTTCATCGTTATCATCTTCCAAAGGTAAGAATACAGAAGCCGATTCTATTTCACCCATTTGATCCTTGCCATCTATGTCTTCATCATAACCTTCGTCACTAGCCAAATAAGTGAAAGAAGTAGGGCACCGAGTAACATTGGATAAAAGACGATTGTTACCAGCACTATTCTTGTTGCGCCAGTTTCCCAGTTTGTTAATCTTGATAAAGACGACTTGTTGTTGGGGATATAAACAATCACTTGAAATGCTATCATTGTCGTCGTCCAAAATTGGTTCAGTTTCAGTAATAAAGATGGGTAAATCCGTATCTTCCAAAGAGTTCATCCTTGATAAGGTTGGTGAAAGCATTCCATGTTGTCTTGGTTGATTATCTTTTTGGTGAAGAAAAAAAAAAAAAAAAAGAGGAAAGGGAAAAAAAAAGGAAAAGAAAAAAGTGAGTAAGAACCATTCGAGGAGTTTCAAAAGATATTAAGTTCCCCCCCCCCAAAAAAAGAGAAGAATATAGACTTACAACAATCGGTTTGCGTAACCTGACAAGTTGAATGGACAAAAGAAGAAGGATCATCGTTGCTATTTGACCTGTACAAAGGCATGGACAAAAACGATTGTGGTGCAACAAGAGCATTCTTAGTAATAGTCATGGTGGAATCACAAGATGGTTCACGTCGATGATGATATTGTTGTTGAGCTTGAGCAGGTAATTGTAAAGGTGATAATCCATTATCATCCACGAGAACAAGTGTTGAATTTTGTTGGATATTAGATGATGATGAAGAAGGAGAAGAATAGGACCCAGCCTTGATCTCATGATGATGATGCTGATGCTGATGATACGAATAATGTTGCTGATGGCGTTCCTGTTGTTCTTGTTGTTGTTGTTGTTGGATGAGCATGTGATGATGGATTCGGGTAAGGTCAAGGTCATCTTGGTCATATTCATTGGTTTCTTTTCTATCGATCAACGAAGAAAGAAAAAGATTGGTATGTACTGGAGGAGTTGTAGTTGAAGAAGATTCGTCTTGTTCATCGAAATATCCCGATAAAAATGAAGAAGAAGAAGATGCTGATGATGATGAATCGTTCGATAAACTAGTGAATGAAGTTTCGTCGAAAAAAGTATATTCTTCTTCTAACTGATCAAGGTAAGCTAAAGCTTTCAAATGAGATTTGGGCGGGAATTCATAGTTGATTTGTTCCGAATCGAGATGTTGAGGTACTGGCATCATCATATCTTGATCATCTTCTTGTTGTTGCAGTTGATGATAATAAGATGATGATGCCTGATTGATGGAGGAAGATGATTTAAAATGAATGATGAAAATAAAAATAGAAAAGAATGAATTAAATAGTAATAGAGAATTTTTTAAAGAAAAAAAAAAAGAAAAGAAAAGAAAGAAAAAGAAAAAGAAAAAAAGAAAAAGAAAAAAAGAGAGGGAAAGGCATTTTATGTGAGTCGGAGACCATAAAGAGAATTCCGAATAGACAAGCGGGAAATGCAGGACATGCATATAAAAACAAAAAAAAAAGAAAAAGAAAAAGAAAAAGAAAATATCATCAGTATCAATATATATATCTTTTATATATATATATATATATATAAAAGATATACTTACATCAAGGTGATAGTACATGTCTGTAGTATGTTGATTCATCGTCAACGATGAAGATGTTTCGGTAGGTGGTTGAAGTAAAATAGGTGTAGAATTAAATGAATTTTCGGTCATCATCGTATGTATGTAATAATGATGAAATATTTTGAAGAGTAATTTTGATTAAAGTACTTTTTTGATTTTTGGGATGTATATATGATACAGTGTATTAGGTTGTTAAAAACAAACAAAAGCGTACGCTGTAATCGTGTGTATGTAATGATTATACGTATCGTGTTTGTATCGTGTAACGAAAAAGAGAAAAAGAGAGAGAGAGGAAAAAAAAAAAAAGAACTTTACAAAAAAAAAAAAAAAAAAAAAAGGAAAGGAATGGAAAGGGGGGAGGAGGAGGGAGGAAGTAGAATAAAAAAAAAAAAAAAAGGGAGAAAAGTGAGAAAGATGGGAAAAAAAAAAAGAGAGAGAGACGTACAGAGAACGAAAGTAAGAAAAAGATAGAAAAAGAGAAAAGAGAGAAGAATGAAAGAAAATGATTCGAATTGAGGCAATGGTTTATATAATAATATTTCAAACGTTTTATTAATTGTTAAAAAACGTGTAAGGAGAAGACAAAAGGGAGAGAAAGACTGATAAACTACAACAACAAAGACAAGTCTAATAATAATCACTATACTAATCAATTCATCTAAACACGTAGATCACTATTTTGTCGAATTGGCTTTTTCCTAAAAATAATAATAATAATAATAAAAAAGTCTAATTTGAGTATCACTTTTTTTAGTTGTTTTCCCTGGATCATGCTCTTCGCACACGTCTGTCAAGCTTACCCTAATGCCTTTTCTGTCATCATAACAACTTTAGGTAGAGTTTCGCTCGATTCATTTCTAAATAGTAAGGAGACATGTTAGTAATAGTATCAAACGCAAAAAAAAAAAAAAAAAAAAAATTGAATAAATTCAATACTATCCAATAACAATAAGGTAAACCTTGTCAAATAAAGTTAGGGAGGATTTTGACTTACTTCTACAAAAAAAAAAAAAAAAAAAGTATCAAGTCAGTCAAAATCTATTATAACAACAAATTGATTACCTTGTATGTTTCTAATACTTGAGACAAAAGGACATTTGTGTCGATCAATGTACCTGAAGAAAGGAAATAGATAATTTTAGATAAGTTAATATAGAAAGCCAAAAAAGAAAAAAGTCTCTTTTCCTGTTCTTTTTTTTTTTTTTTTGTGAAACACCCTGATTACCTATATAGACTGGATCAGTTGTTGTTTCTATGTAACGCATGATATTCGACTGCAGATCTTGACACTTTTGATAAAGTTCCTAAAATATCCCAAAAAAAAAAAATGCATCCCGTTCCGTTGTTTTTATTTGGATAACAATTAAGTCAAATCATTCCAATTTTCCCAATATTTTTTTTTTAATTTGATTTACCCGCAATAATGGATCATTCGTTCGTGATTGTTCATTTGATAATAATTGTTGTAATAAACCACTAGTACTTTTGGATTCTTCTATACACTCCTGGACCTATAAAATAAATCATAACAAATCATGTTAGTCATAAAAGTAAAACAAAAAAAAAAAAAAAGAAAGTCCCTCCTTTTTTTCTTCCAAACAAGGAGAAAATTTGAAGTAGATCGCGATCATAATCAATCACAATCAACTTGAATATCTGTACCCATTCTGACTGATATCCTCACATATACATCACCCCAAAAAAGTATAACAACTTCCAACCTTGTCATACACATCATCCTACCTATTCTCTCCTCTTTCCTTTTCTGTCCATTCATCCTCCTCCCCCCTATCTATCCAATCCATCCCCCTTTTTCTCCTTGTTTTCCTTTTCTCCTCCTTTAATTTCCTTTTCTTTTTCTTTTTTTTTTTTATATTTCTTTTTTTACTTTTTCACCATTGTTTTCCGACATTTGTTTACATCCCGAGATCATTTGATATTCGTTATGTGATGATGATTGTTGTTTTTCCTTGATATTGCTGCGTTTCAATTTCCATCCACGAAACAAAGATGATGTTCTATTAGTTGCCGCGTTACTAAATGATATTGGTGTAACTGTCCTATTTTGTTGATGATGCTGCGGTTGTATTGGTAAGGGCGAAGTTGATATCCATGCTTCTGTTTTATGTGGCGCTATTGACCGGATTTGGTTGATTTCGTGACAATATTGTATGATTGGATGAACAGGTTCATACTCTCCAAGTTCGATCATCCAAACATAGACACATTCAATAATACGTTCACGAACCTTGGTATAAGTTTCCTACAATATAAAAAGATATATATATATATATATAAATATTATTATTATTATTATTATTATTATTTTGATGATCATTAATATTCTCTTTTTCACTTTACTGGATGATTCCATATAATCCTCAATGATCGAATCAATGTTTCATGTCCTAATTGTTCTGCATAAAAAGAAAAAAAAATAATGATCAGTTCTGTTTTTTTTTTTTCTTTCTTTCTTTCTTTCTTTCTTTTTTTCCTTCTTTTCTTTCAATCTTACCATCAAAAGATTTGCAGTTTTCCGTAATCACTTTCATTAACTATCATATTAATATATATATATATATATACGAAGAATCAATAAAAGTTTATTTATATAAAATTTCATCAAGACTTACAGCAATTGTCAATAATTGAGTTTGAGGTATCATACTAAGGATCTTTTTCTGAATCACTTTTCTTGTTGTTTTAGCAGCTTGTGGAGATTGATTGATTTTATGACATATGCTGATAAAAAGAGTCCAATTTTCAGTTGTCAAACTACTATCTGTCGCCTTGTCTATGGAAGTCAGGTCCAGTAAATAAAGGGGTATGGAGCAGTAACTTTTTTTTTCCTTTGTTCCTTTGTTTACCTATCAATTGCATAAGTTCTGTTTGTTCAGAGTCCTGTAAAGAAAACCTAAAGAAAAAAGATATCGCAATGTGAGTATCTTCCTCATCTAGTTATTGGCTCCCTTCAGATGACTCTTATAAAAGACAACTTACTTCATGTCGATGATAGACTGATATTAAACAAAAAAAAAAAAAATAGGTAATAGTAATAATCGTAGTAGTTGAAGAAGAAAGTTTTCAGGGTGTAAGTTAAAAAAAAAAAAAAAAAGAGAGAAAGAGAGATAGCTTGGCAAAAAAAAAAAAAGAAAAAAGAAAAAAGAGCTCACGGACGGGATCTGAAATGATTACCATGATTGGAAACTGGTCAATGTATACTTTTATATATTATCATAAAATAGTGTATCATCTTTGTTAATAATTATATATAGATAGATAGTATAGATATAAATATATAAAAGTTAAATGAGACTATATTAGAATATATTGAGTGTGCATATATTTGAAACTTTTTTTACTCTCAAAATCAATATTGAAAAAAAAAAAAAAAATGCCAACCAACCTCATGTATTAAAAATATGCACGGTTCCTCCAATCATCATTCCTGAGGCTAAAAAAGTTATATGATGATAAAAGGATATTCGAAAAACTGATTGTTTCAATCAAATGAAAGTTTTCCAACCCCTATGATCCTTCATATGCTGTTGGATACATACCTGCTTATAATTGAAAAAGTGTAATTGGTAAGATGATGACAGGAGATGTAGACCTATCATTATTTTCGCTCTTTTGTCGATTTCGTCCCGATTAGGAAACGCCTCCTTTTTATCTCTCCTTGAAATGCGTTTTTCATGATAAAGTCCCCACGTTTTTATTTTTTTTTTTTATTTTATTTTATTTTATTTTTTATTTTTTTTTATCTTTTCTTTCACAATTTTTTTTTTTTTATATTTATATTTTTATTTTTTTTTTTATTTTTTATTTTTATTATTTTCTTTTTCTTTTTCTTCTTATTATTATTTTATCTTTATTGACACCAAGTTAGTGATTATAATGTCAATCATTGAAGATGTAGTATCATTGACTGATGAATCAAGACATGATCATCAACAAGATGACGATGAAGAAAGTATATTACCACTTACTCAAGAAGAACTATATCAAGAACTGAATGAATTACTTAGCGCCTTTTGTTCAGATGCTCAACAACAATTTTGTATGGATCAAAATATTATTCAACCTGATAACCTATATCGCTTAAGACAAACTGTACAACAAATACAATTACTTTTACCAACTGTGGATCGTACCAACAATCTTCAACTTCGTCAAGCCTTGATGCGCGTCATTCATGATATTTTACATTACTATGGTGAAGCTTGTCGACAAAGAAACATGTACTTATTGGATGAGGTTATGACAAATCAATATATTGGGGATTGGCATCAACTCAAACAGCAATGGAAACTCAAGGAAAAAGAAAACCAAAACACTTTGATCTTATTAACCGACATCACTCTATTGACAAACTCATGGTATCATTCACTCAAAAACAACAACAACAACAACAACGACAACAGCAGTAATGACAGCATTACATTAATTCCATCATTATCTACTTTACCAAAACGTATATCCAACGCCGCCAAACGAGGTTCCATGGTAAATCACAAAACCAACGCAACGGTAACATCATCTTCACCATCACTGAACAGACGTTCATTAGCCCCATCATCTACATCTCCTTTATCAGCATCTACTTCACCATCAACAACAACAACAATGTCAACATCACGAACAATGTCATCTACAGCAGAAGAAATATTGACATCCATTCTGACAACTTTTGATTATCCACCAGGAGCTTATACAGTAGTTATTGACAAACACAATTATGGCCAACTTGGACTTCAACATGGAAAAATTGGTACTAGACAAATCATATTCGACCATCGTCAGCTTTCCACCAATGATGCGATCGATATGATTAATCAGATTTGTGATATCTTTGCCGCTTTATTTGCTTCCACCGCACAACATCACTTAGCCCAAATCGACTCTCAAATACGAAAATCTCAGCCCTTTCACACTTTGTCTCATATCAAGCGATTGTCAACAAGGATATTTGAGGATACATCATTGATAACATGTATGGACGACGCAGATATGGATCAAGAGGACAACTTTATAGATACCAATCATCATGATCATCAAGAATATTTGGACCATCAGTCTCAACACTACAATCAAAATCAACGACATCATCGTCGCCAATCTACAACAAATGAGATTCTACATACAACTTCAAATATATCTTCTTCATCAACAAATCACCAAACATCTTCTCCTATGACTATATTGACTCCTTTTCGACTTTCGATGACACCTACTCATACTTTATGGCGTCATCCTATTCCTATTCCTTCCTTTGCTCCAGCACCATGGCAGTTACCTGATCTTCTGAAGAAGCGACATCCTTATAATCCTTTGTTTTTTGGTTTATTCCGCCGACGTACAAGTAACAATCAAACCAAAAAGAAAAATCAATCATCTTCTTTTTTGAAACATCTGCAGCCTCAACATCTTCAGCATTACCATCACCAACAACATCAACAACATCCTTGTCATCATCATCATCATCATCATCATCCGCAACAACATCAACATCAACATCAACATCATCATCATCAGCATCGAAATCAAGTGACTAGGACAACATCTGCACTGAAAGGGAAGGTAGAAGGACAACAACAACAGTGTTGTGAAACAGCATCCAATCCAACATTGTCAACATCTTGTACCACATCCACAACAAAAAACAATATCAACAATAATAGTAGGACAAACATCACTAGTGCTAACGCAACAACACCGACGCCTGCAGTTTCAGATTGTTATGCATGTCATTCTGCAATGCTTCTCGATGAAGGAATTGACAACAGTACTCATCAGCATCATCATCTTCAACCTTCAACAACCATGTCCACGAGTGTACCATTACGACGATATCAAAGTAAACGACGTGGAAGGGGAACTATGGGGAAATCCACTACCTTAGATACTGCCATCTCGTCATCATCTATGGAGGAAGAACAAGTAAATCACCAGGCGGTTGATGATATGTATGACATGTATGATAGCAATACTACTTTGGAGGCTCCATTTATCAGTGTTTCAGTTGACAAACTTGCGTTCCATCTGGGCAAGATCGCTGGCCAATTTTATCAAGATCTTCTAATGCATACAAGGCTACGTTATCAAGAAACACAAAGCACGCTACAAACTTTGGAATGGCAACTGATGGATCTTTATCGACATCTTCAATTAGCAAGTTCTAGGGCAGTGATGCAACGTGCTTTAATGATTGTACAAGAATTGGATGAACGACAGCATGACTCACCTTGTTTTCAACAACAACAAAAACAACAACAACAACAACAACAACAACATCATCATCATCATCAGCTACAACAACAATTGAATCGATTTGGTCAAATTGGACGGCAACAATACAACAATGGTGATGGTGGACAAGAGGAAGATGATGATTCAAGTGAAGGTGACGCTATTCATCAACATCATCAACAGGAAGAGAATGATCAAGGACAACATACAGCAGCACAGCAAAGAAAATCGATGAATCAATGGGTACCCATTTGCACTGATCACTATCAAAAAAAGGACATGGCATTCAATAACAATAATAACAAGGACGCGGATGATGAACTTTCTGGATGGAAATTGATACCATCATCACCTCTTATGACCTCAGTAACGGCAGCAACAACAACTCCAACTCCAACAACGACAACATCAACAAGAACGACATCATTGAATGAAACTTTGAACGATATGAAAACTCTTCACCATGCATTACCCATTACCTCAAAAGTGGCCACCAATTCTGCTTCCACCCTCAATAACAATAGTAGCAATATATGAAATAGTTATAGGACTTTTGGTATGATAGATAATTTAGTTTAATTTCATTGTCATCATTCTTTATTTGAAAATCAAAAATACAATTATTATTATTTTTATTATTATCACACTCTTTTTTTTTTTCTTTGGATTGATGTTGAATTTTAAGAAGGAAAAGAATTTAGTAATACTGGAATTAGATTAAGAGATGATGTTGGTAGATGATGATCATTTATGACCATTACCATCTGTTTAATTTGAGTTAATCATGACCTTGTTATTTAACTTGCTTTAATGATTAAGCTCTCCTTATTTTTTTTTTTTTTTTGTGTTGTTAGGATGAAAAGTACATTCTCATTGTCACACCATCAACTTTCAATGAAATGTGCAAACATCACAATTTTTTCTTTTTGCATAAATGATCGGTGTTCGAATTAAAAATTGAAGGGGGGCAACAGGCATCTTTTTTTTTTCCTGATCAAGAGCTTATTGTATTTTTCCCCCTTATTCTTTTTTATAATCTTCATTTACGATGGTATGTAGACTTTGATTGTAGTTTATGTTCTTATTATTAGAGGACTGAATGAAAGGATGATGGATGGATGTACCGACAAAGGATTAGGTGAAAGGATGGATGGATGGATGGAAGCAGGGACGGAAGCAGGAATGGAACGCAGCAAGGATTAGATGATAGGATGAAATTATGTACATCAATATTCACATGTGGAAAAAACGCATGTTAATAGGGGCTATGTCTAATACACTACTCTTTTTTTTTTTTTTTGTTATTCTATAGGGTAAAGTTCACGGTAGTTTAGCTCGTGCTGGTAAGGTCAAGTCTCAAACCCCCAAGGTAAAGTATTCGAGAGGGAAAAAAAGGAACATAGCATTGCATAACATTCAGATATTCACTCACATACACACACACACTCTCTTTCTTTTTTTCCAACATAGGTCGCCAAGCAAGAAAAGAAGAAACAATTGACTGGTCGTGCCAAGATGAGACAAGTATACAAGTAAGTCCTTTCCCCATATAGATAGAGAGAGAAAAAAGTGTTTAGCAAAAAAAAAAAAAAAAAAAAAAAAAGACATAAGATAGACTTATTGTGATTCTTTTTTTTTTTTTGATATTAGCCGTCGTTTTGTCAATGTCACCAACCAAGTCGGTGGTAAGCGCAAGATGAACCCTGCTCCTACTGCTGGTCCTTAAAGTGATCTATCTCTTTTTTTCTCGATCATCATCAACATCATCATTACTCTATATGTTTTGAAATCAAATAGAAATTTAGATATCAATAAAATCCAACTATTAAAAAAAAAAAAAGAACAATTCTTGTCTCTTTATTTTCTTATTATGCATGATCATAAGAATTCTTAATAGATTATATGTTTTGTGTCTATGTGTGTTAGTGGCGTCCGAGGGCAAACTCAGACCGAACAAGGAAATGTTTTTACCTATAGTAGTGATCCATTCACTCTCCGGTCAGTGAATTTTCTGGCCTGACACTGTTCTCCATTTTTTTTTGTTCTTTCTCTTTTTTTATATAATCCATCATGGGTAAAGATAGAAAAAAAAAAGAAATATATCATCCATCCATCCATCCATCCATCGTTCTTTTGACATATTCAAGAACAAGAACTTTCTTTACTCATCCATCATTTATTTTGATATTTTATAGCTGTCGGTAAAAACAAGCGCCTCTCAAAGGGAAAGAAAGGTTTGAAGAAGAAGGTGTAAGTCAATCGTTCCTTAAAAAAAAAAAAAGATATACAACAAATGACAACAATGACAAAATAGCAACAATAATCAACAAATGATATGGAAAGATGTCGACGGTGATGAATTAGGAAACATGTGGTTTTTTCGATACTTTAATGACAAACATGAACGACATATGGAACATGCAACAAATAATTATACGAATTTTTTTTTCTCTCTTTTGGGAAGGGAATTTCACTTCTGTCTGGCGATTCTGACTCTCGACTTTATATCCTTTCATCACCGTTGATATTCGACGTATTCTTCATCTATTTTGTCACGAAAAAAAAAGGCGAACAAATACTGATCTATTTTTTTTTTATTTATCTTTATTATTAGTGTCGACCCCTTCACCCGTAAGGACTGGTATGATATCAAGGCTCCTTCCATGTTTGATGTCCGTCAAGTCGGTAAGACTTTGGTGAACCGTACTCAAGGTCTCCGCAATGCCAATGACTCTTTGAATGGTCGTGTTGTTGAAGTGTCTCTCGGTGAATTGTCCAAGGATGAATCCCGTGCTTTCCGCAAGATCCAATTGAAGGTGGATGAAGTCCAAGGCAAGAACTTGTTGACTAACTTTTACGGTATGGATATGACCTCTGATAAGCTTCGTTCCATGGTCAAGAAATGGCAATCCACTATTGAAGCTTTCGTGGATATCAAGACTACCGATGGCTACCTTATCCGTTTGTTTGTGATCGCCTTCACTGCCCGTCGTCGTAACCAAGTCAAGAAGACCACCTATGCCCAATCTGCTCAAATCCGTGCCATCCGTAAGAAGATGTTTGAAATCATGGCTGAAGAAACCAGTGCTTGTGATTTGAAGGAATTGGTTACCAAGGTCACCTCTTCTGCTTCTCAATCTGCTCAAGATCATATTGCTGCTCGTATTGAAAAGGCTTCTCAATCCATCTACCCTCTTCAAAACACTTACATCCGTAAGGTCAAGATTCTCAAGGCTCCTAAATTCGATGTCTCTCAACTCTTGGCTCTCCACGGTGGTGCTGCTGCTGCTGCTGAAGAAGTTGGCTCCAAGATCACCAAAGACTTTGTTGAACCCCCTGTTTTGGAAAGCGTTTAAAAAAAAAAAAAAGAAATCACTTTGTTAGATAGCTTCTCTTTATAGTTTTTTTTTTTTTTTTGAAATAAAAAAATTATCATTTCCTATTTATCTTACTGCATATTTAAAATGTATCGTGTTCCAAATTTCCAAATGAGGTTTGCGGAGGATGAATTCCAATGTGAATACTTCAAAAGAAAAAAAAAATCTCTTACCTTTTTTTTTTTTTTTTAATACATCATTTTATTATTTATACATGTCTGTTCAAATAGAAAGCAATGAATATGCAGAAGATGCTGCCATTTTAAGGTTCTATAATGTGGATTCTTTTGAACCTGATATTTGGGTAGATGATCCTGATGCCGAGCCTGTCAGTCAACAAGAAACAACTAAGCAACAATTTGAACGACGCGGTGAAGCTTCACAACAGCAGCAGATACCCTCAGCTTCTCCTAGTGACCATGATATCCAAGCTTCTATGGACATTAGTGATCCTCTTGGTTTATTACCTTCCATCTTTGAAAAGTAAGTCAAACTATTCATACTTATTATTGGAATAACTTATTTGTATCATTAGGGAATCTGGACCCAAACCTTCCAATTTTGCAGGTTTCAAAGAAAGTAAGTGAATAATAGATGGAGAAATAGATTGGTTTTTTTCAATTGATTTATTTTTTTTTTTGATTATTAATAGAATCAACCTTGATGATCTCCAACAAAAACTTTAACCCTCGGCAGTTTTTACTCCAGGTACATAAGGATGCTAGTTACAACGACTTGGTGTTAGGTGAAAAACGACTACGACAAGGTGTAGATAAACGAGCAGAAGCTTTGAAATCCTTGGTACACAACAACTTTGATCGCTTCGTTACTGCCAAGAATACAATGGACCATGTGTATGAAGAAATGAAGTCTCTACAATTAAATGAAATTCAAGAATATGGTACACGTGCGCTAAGATTGGCTTTAGAAGGTAATATATAAAGGAGGATCAGCTAAGAAAACAAAAAAATGATTAGTATATTGATTATTGTTCCTCTTTATAGATGCAAATAAAAGAGCAGATCAGATTTATGGCCCAGTGGTGGAAAGACGTCAGCGTGTGGATAAAGTACGAAGCACTTTATCCATTTTGCAACAGTATAAATTCTTCTTCAATCTTCCTAGTAGTCTTTTGGAAGCTATCAAACAAGTAAGTAGAATTATTGCTTTGTTTTTTTTTCCTTAAAAAAAAAGATGAAAATGATTTCCTTTCTCATCATAATCTAATACTACACATTCTACTTTTTATTATTATTATTATGAATAGAACAAGTACGAAACAGCTATTCGAGATTATAAAAAAGGCAAATATGTCTATCAAACACTCAAGACGAACTCGATTTCCGATCTACAATCCGACACTATTCCCAACAACATACCTGAAGATAATCTCTCTGGATTCACAAACATGCATCGTAAGGTGTTTGATAAGGTGTGGAGCGAAGTGACCAAGATTATTGGTGAGCTACAGAATGTATTGTTGAAAATGTTGGCAGATCCTTGGCGAAGTATGGATGAACAAGAAAAAACCATCAAGTAAGAAAAAAAATTGGTATGTAGAATAGTTTTCATTATCTCATTATTTTTATATTTTATTATTATTATTATTAGCTACTTATTTGAACTGGATACCAAAGAGGATCCTGCTTGGTTTTATCTTGATAGTCAATATCAATGGATCATGGGTTTGATGAAGGAAACATTTGCAACAAATGTTGAAAAGGTGGACAAAATCAAGAATAGTAACGTACATATCAAGGAATCGGTGACTCAACGAAGTCTTTCTCTCAAACATGCCATTTCCGTTATTGAATCCAAATCCTTGTCGCTTGATACTGAAGGTGATTTGGACTTGCGTACTTGGAAAGCTATTAGTGAAATTGTCAACTCTTTATCCTCGTTATTGGTACGTTGTCTTCCTGATTTTTGGCGACTATCCAAGGCATTCATCGAAGGGAAATTTAAAAATAAGGTAATCAAAAAAAGTCAACTCTAATACATTTTGTTTTGTTTTTTTTTTTTTTTTTTTTTTTTGACGATATGATTTTTTTTTTCATTTTAGTCTTCCTTGGCATCTAGTGAAAAAGGCGGTGGTTCACGGCGTGGACGACGTGCAAATGTGGATCTTAGTAAAGTGGAACAATGTCAAAGTATGTCTCGCAATATTGTAGATAAATATGCCTCTCTTTTGTCAAGTTATTTTACCTTGGATCATATTATGGATATTCATGATAGCGACAATGAAAAGTATAAAGACGATATGCCTTCATTTTTACCCCTCAACACGAACTCGATTCATGTTTCTGAATCTTTGACTCGTATGATGACTACATTATCCAACTGCATCAATGATCTGAACAATATTCATTTACCTGGTGAGGCTTTTGCTGGACTGACGGATTTACTAGAAAAGGCTAGATCGAAATTTATTGACGTTATCTGTCTTTGTTGGGAAAGAGGTATTTTTTTTTTTTTTTTTTTTGATTTGATGGCCAAATTTTTCATATTCTTTTTTTTTATTTATTTTAATATAGATGCAAAGAACTTTTATTACTTGGAAGATTGGGTCTTGGATCCTTATAACCCTCAATATACTGGATTACTCAAACGATATTATGATTACCACAAGTTTTGTGCAAGATCGGCACACAAAGTAGCTTCCATGACGGTGATATCTGAAGGAGGAGGTGGTGGTGTACGCAATGTCGATTCGGTATATGTGGATAAAATCAGATCATCCTTCTTAGAATCTACTTTTGCCTTTTTGGATGGACTAGTACAACTTGCTTTTGCGGATTACAAGCCTTTGAATGAAAAAGAAGAACTGTTATTGGCAAAAAAGCGAGAAAAAATTGATGTGCATTCGGTGGTAAGTGATTGTATAAAAACATCATTGAACTTGAGAATAATACAAAGGATGTTGGCAATTCACTTTTTTTTTTTTTGGTATGTCTTATAGGATGTCCGCGTTTTACTGACAGTAAGCAATCTTGCTCATATGCGATCAGCTGTCATTCGGAAATTGGTGACCTTATTTGAAAGTGCTTATAAAGTTAATATGGAAGAGGATTACAAGGTAAAAAAAAAACAATATGAAATATATATTGACATTGTTCTTTTAACTCTGTCTTTTTATTTTTATTTGTTTTTTTTTTTTTTCTTTTGAAATGAATGCTAGACTCTGATTGATGTGGTGGATCAACTAGATTTGATCCTGTTTGGCGACTATATCAAACGAAAATCAGCCGTGATACGTGATATTATACATCATGGGATTTTGATGAGCGGTATTGATTGGTACAGCATCTCCAAACCTACAGGTAAAAATAATAATAATAATAATAATAATAAAAGGGTAGATAATGATTTAGATACTCACTTGAATCACATGTTCTATTAGATGTACATTCTTTTGTCTATGAAGCATTGATGACCTTGGTGATGGTACATTCTCAAATCAGTAGCGTAGCGAAACAATTAGTACACCGTGCGCTTTCTTTCTTACTTGAAACCATGGCAAATGATTGTTTAGAAAGTTTTCGACAAGTGGAACGATTCGGTATGGGTGGTATGTTACAAGCAACCCTAGAAACGGAATTTATGCATCAAACTCTTTCACAATACGTGACACCAGCGGCTTCAGAGACCTTGCAACAAATCTATCAAACCATTGAACAAGCTTTTGATCAACAACAACAACATGCAGGCAGCCTGGATGCCGAACTAGGTCATGTCAAGGAACTCTTGGTCTATAGTCGGAAAAGTACAGTGGTTCAATTCTTATGCTTCAAACCAAATAAGGAACGTCATGCTGGAAATAGAAAATAGTCTAGTTATATTATTCAATAAAATACTTTTTTTTTCGGATCACCTTTTCAATATTAAAGATGTTTTATTTGATCGATTTTTATTATTATTATTATTAATATTATTATTATTATAAACGATATATGTTTCCAAATCAAGAATAACCGATGAATGTACGATCATTATGGTCGACAGAACTCGTTATAATGAATAATTTTTCAATTTTTTTTTTTTTACCGTGAATAGAAAAGATCACCTGTTCTCATTCTAAAAAGAAATCATCAAATCTCATTTTGAGGTTTAAACTTTGAATCATATCATAAACCACTAATAATATATGAGTATATCATCTACGACTACGTTTTTTATTAATGTATCATTTACTACTAAACTATAAGTAGGAAAAAGGCAATTTTATTCGTTAATCTTTACCTAGGGAGTGAGAATAAGAATTTCCAAGTCGTATATAATAATAATGATAATATAGTCCGGAATGATGATGACAATGATAAATAATAGAAGAATAATCACATGTATTTGTTCCAGGTATAACTACAAAAAGGAGAGAGAGAGAGTGAAAGGACATGGGGAGTGAGGGAAAAAAAAAAAAGATAACTAAAAAAGTATAAAATAATATATATATATGTATATAAAAAGGGGGAATATATCTAAACTAGAACATCTTCTTATGAATAATGTCAGGATCTTCTTGATATTCTTCAGCAGACACCCACATCTTTTTGAAAGTACTAAGTGAAGCGAGAATAGATCCACCAATCCAAGTGCTGTATTTTCGTTCAGGAGGAGCATAAATCTTGATTTTGAGATCTTTCTTTGCTGCTAATCGTTTTACTTCAGATAAAAGTCGATCACCAAATCCTATTGTATTTCATTCCATATAAACAAAGAATCAGACTTTCGTTCCATTCAGTTTTGTATAATAATATTTACCTTTACAAAGAGTAGATCCTCCAGAAAGAACAATGTTGGAATAAAGAGATTTCCGCAAATCCAAATCAGCACGACTAATACAATCCACAATGGTTTGATGGACACTAGGAAGTTCTTGACCAATAAGATCAGGTTGGAACAGGATTTCAGGAGCACGGAATCGTTCAGCGCCAAGTTTGATAATATTACCATCTGGAAGCATAAAGTCATCCACCTTGCCACTTGTTTCCTTTTCTTCCTTGGTTGGATTCAATGCAACATAACATGTTTTTTCCTTGATAATACGAACAACTTCCTTTTCAGCTGAAGTATGGAAATTATAACCAGACTTGCGTAACAATAATTGTAGATATTCAGTGATGTCTCTATTTAAATAAGTAAGAATAAGAGAAACGACAATATATTCTTTTTTTTCACTATGTTTTTAGTTTACCTTCCAGCTAGATCTATACGACGGATAGCGTGTGGAACAGCAAATCCATCATAAACAGGTACAGAGTGAGTCACACCATCACCAGAATCCAATACAATCCCAGTGGTTCTACCAGAAGAGTATAAACTAAGAACGGCTTGAATAGATGTAAATAAGGCAGGTACATTGAATGTTTCAAAAAAGATTTGTGCAGCCATTTCTCGATTTGATCTAGGATTCAAAGGAGCTTCAGTCAAAAGAACTGGATGCTAGAAAGAAGAAGAAGAAGAAGAAAAAATGATAATCGTATATAAGATAGTAAGTATATTTCTTTCGTTTTCCCCCGCATTCTAGCAAATTGATTCTGATTTACTTACTTCTTCAGAGAGAGTTTTCAATTCATCGGTATAAAGGTATTGCCAAATACGTTCCATATCAGCCCAGTTATCAACAATACCATGTTGTAAAGGATATTGAATGGTAAGTAAACCTCGTAATTCTTGAGCTTTTCGACCAATAAATGTCTCTCCTTCTACAGCACCAGCCATAATACGAACATGTTTTGGTCGTCCAACCCTTTTCATAGAAAAAATATCAATGGTAAATAAACAAATACTATTTATTTTTTATTTTTTATACATACATAGATGGGAAAAAACATTTTGGTTGTTCTTCACCAGCGAAACCTGCCTTGATAACACCAGATCCCTAAATATAATAAAATAAATGAACTGTCAGAAAGTATAATATACGCGACTAAATAAAGCTTACATTATCTATAACCACAGGTTGATTGGTTAGAACCTAGTTCATAAAAGGGATGATGTTAATAAAAATAAACATTCAGTAATAAGCATCATATTAACATACATCGTCAAATTCAGAATTCATTGGTATATATTATAAGAAAGTGAGAATGAAGAAGAAAAGAAAAAAAGGATGATGTCGAAGAAAGGGGAAAGAAAAAAAAAAAAAAAAGAAAAATATTAGGCAGCAAGCCGGTCTTTCAAATCTGTTGGATATGTTGTAGAAGGCAAAAACTGATGAAAATTTTTTGTCCTACTCCTTGTTTGCTTTTTATTTTTTTTTTTTTTTTTTTTACTTTGCTCTCGTCAATGTCTAATCCACTTCACCAAACGAGACTTTCTCTTCAACTCAGGGTAACAATACTATATATATATCTTATTCTTATCCTTATTAAATAACTTATATTCTCTTTCTTATTTATTGTTTTACTTAGAAACGAAATCTCGAACGATCTCAGGATACCATCCTTCCTAACAAGAGACAAGCAAAAGAGATCACTGATATACAAACTAAACAAGACTTACCTGCATTTGGTGCTCCTCTATTTGAAGAAAAAAAGGTAGCTTTGTTAATATTTTTTTTTATTTGTTTGACGCGTTGAACTTCACTAATTCTATTTATTGTAGACCGCAAAGCGTAGTACTGACACCAAACCAAACAATTCAGAAGAAGAACCAAAGAAAAAGCGAGTATCAAGGCAACCAACGATCAAGGAACTTATCAAACAATCAACCAACGTACAAACAGATACCTCTACAAGCTCAGTAGAAACGAAAGAAACTTCAGAACAGAACAATGATCAACTCCAACAAAATATTACCAACCAACAGAAACAATCAACAGCCTTGGAATCAGCAGAACATTCGTCGCATGTTGTCGAAGACGACAAGTCAGAGGGACAATCATCAACTAAAGTCGAAAATTTACCTCAACAACGCTTTGTAGTAACTCAGGTCGACAATGATGATGACTCCAAAGCAACATCACCTTCTAATGATGACACAACCATTGATAATAGATCACCAGATATTTTGAACACGCCTTCTCCTTCTCCCACTTTGAATATTGAAGATCAACAGTCTTCTCAACATGAATCATCTGATACTGGACTTGAAAAAACAACCTCACCGCCATCTCCTGACGCTACTCCTCAACCAAAAAGAACTGCACCGGTCATAACAAAGTCACCAGAATCGACATCAACTTCAGCAATAGAACCAATCATTCTTACTTCATCTTCTTCTCCAAAGCAACATACCATTTCATCATCATTATCAACCTCCATCGTCTATGGCAAGTCTCTCTTACCCAAAGTAAGCAAAGCAAAAAAAAAAAAAAAAAGTAATTGATTTTTCTAATGGTATTCACATTTTTTTTTATCCTAGTTGGAAAAGGAACGTATTCATGAAGAACGAACTACTTTGGACAAGTTAGTCTCCGCTTTGGACGTTACTCTCACATTCCATGCCGCTAGAAACGTTGCTGCCTTTTTCCACAAGATTCAACCTATGTTACGAAATTCTACAAAAAAGTAAGCATCATCTTATTGTATTGTTTGTTTTTATTTAACTCTTTTTTTTTAATAGAAATATCACCCTTTCCCATTTATGCAAGATCTTGTTTGTTGCCCCTGAATTATACGATGTGGAAGTGAAATTGTTAAAGGAATTTGGAAAAGATGTGGAAGGACATCAGGTATCTATTGGTCATGAATGGCAAATGCCTTTGTCTGGTAAAATGATTCAAGAACGCAAAGAGTTGATGACCCAACGAAGTGGGGATTACTTTGAAAATAACAAAGACAAGGTAAAAAAAAAAAAAAAAAAAAAAAAAAAAAAAAAAAAAAGAATGATGAGGCTTTGGAATCAAATTTCCTTTTTTATTCACTTGTTCCCATCGTAGGCAATTACAACAATACCCGAGAAGGAATTACCAAGATTAGACAAGGTAGTGGACCAAAAGAAATGGTTAGAAAAAGCAAACCTCCCAGCTAGAGTAAGAAGAAGAAGAAGAAGAAGAAGAAGAAAAGATCATACCTAGATAGATTGATTGATATATTATTATTTTAAAAAGGTACGGTCTGTTTTGGAATTACAAGAAAAACGCAAGGCAGCAAAAGAAGAAAAGGCAGCACGAGCTCAAGTTGAACATCAAGGAACAGCAAAAGATAGAGCCAAAGCTTTATTGGATCGTGTATGTATTCATCAAAACCAATTCAATGGATACTAAACCTCATACTATTTTCTTTTTTCTTCATTTAGATTCGAAACAAACAAAAGAAATAATGCATAATGTACTTTAGTCTAGGCTATTTATGTATAAATGTTGATTCAATAAACTCTTTTTTTTTTATTTGACATTTTATGTTGATGATAATTGATTGATTGATAATTGCAGCAATGATATATATTACTACACTTTAACTATCAGAAAATAGGCACCAAGACGGAGGTTGGTGCCAAGGTCACACATAGCCAAGGGTCCTTTTTTTTTGCCAAGAGTCATTGGATGATCACCCAAAAAAAAAAAAGCATATAAACTCACAACGAATCATCATTCAGATTCCTTTTTTTTTTTTTACATTACACACAAATCTTCCTTTTCTTTGTTTCCTGCTACTACTTTTTTAAAAATGTTTCCTGGTTATAGTTCTATTTCTGATGGTGATGTTGAAAAACAAGGCTTGCAACCATCTAAACCCTCTTGTCAATGCTGGCAACAACAATGGCAAGAACAAATCCGTCAACGTAAACAGTCAAGACTGATGATCTTTTTGCTGATCCTTGTCGCCTTTTCCTTTGTGGGCTATCATCACTACCATCATCATCGTGTGGATGCTTTTGACCATCATCCTGTGGATGGAATGGCTACATTTACCAAGGAGGATCCAGTTAAGATATGTGCTCAACCTACCGTTCCATGGGATGGCCAAACAACTTTTGAATTCGATGAAAAGATCAAACATTTAGCCATGTCCCAAAAGACATTTAAAAGTACGTTGGAGGGTCTACATGTAAGTATATCTTTTTTTTTTTTTTGATACATGATGATCTTATTTTTTTTTTTGATTGTATAGCATGGCAAAATTGATGTTCAAGTCAACGAAGCATTGGAAAAAACCAAAGTAACATTTGATATCAAACTGTCTGATGAGGCTTTCAATGATTATATTTGGATCGATGAACATAACTCGGAAGATACCGTCCGTTTAGTGGTCAGAGTAAGTTGATATCACACTTTTCAAAAATAAGAAAGGATTGACCTTTTTTTTTTTTTTTTTTTGTATGATAGAGTGAACATGATGTACCATTATGTTTCCAAATCAATGCAGTTATACAAGTCCCCAACAAGGCAAGTTTGGATGCGTTAGCTGTAGAGTTTGCGAGTAATGATGTCCAGATCATCGATGCTTTACAATTGCAAGACTTAGCTCTCAGTGTGGTCAGTGGCAACGTCCACATTGTCCAACCTCTCCAAGCTCGTCATATCGATATGGCTGCGGCCTCTGGTCAACTGATCGGTGTGTTTGATGTGGATCAAGTTGATTTCAAATCTGCTACGGCATCTGGCAACACAGACCTAACCTTTATTGGTATTCATCCTATTTCTTCTATTGACGCATCCTCTGCATCTGGCAGTATTCAAGTTCAAGTGGTAAGTAGTCAATATCATCATCATCATCATCATCATTAAAAAAAAAATCTTTTCTTTTTTTATGTGTTAGCCTTCTACCTTTGAAAGCAAAATGGAACTTAGCTGTGTGGTAGGAAATGTTCATGTCAATGCTGTTGATTCATCCAAATTGCATTACCGTCGTTCTGGTGGTATCGTTGGTCACACTTTGAAAGGTTACTATGGAACGGACAGTCATCCTCCTTCTAACATCAAGATCAGTACCGTTTCTGGCAATGCCAACTTGGATATCGTATAGTGTATTCTATTTTATTTATTTATTTATTTTATTCCACAGTGATCTTTGAATAAATACAAAATGAAAATCTATATAAAGATAAGATGTTTCTTTATTTTCAATTTTTAATACAAAAAAAAAAAAAAGGAAGGGATGACAATAATAATAAAAAAAAAAATAATGATAATGATAATAATACTAATATATTGATGATGATGATGATGATGATGGATGGATATGAGTATATGTATGTTTGTCTATTCTACACTATAAACTATTGTCTAACGTCGTCCACCTTTTCCTTTTCCTTTCTTTGGCGTCCGATTTGATTTTTCTTTGCGTTTTGCGGTTTGAACACGAGCCTTACGAATTTGACCAGCCGTCTTGAGTTCATTGGCCACACCACGACCACCTTCTCTACGTTGACCCATAGCTACCTTGGTTCGCTTATTGTTGTTATTATTATTTGATTTGACGTTATCTTCTTCCTCTCGTTTTCGTTTCTTCATTTTCTTATCGTAATCAAATGCTAAAGGATCCAAAGGCTTAGCATCATCTTGTCTGTTATGCTTGAATCTTCGTTGTTGTTTGAATCCTGCAGAAGGTAATTCTTGTTCACCAGTACGAGGTATGTTGGTACGTGTCTTCTTGGTCCATTCATCAAATCTTCCACTTTTATATGATGCAGGGATCAATGCACCACTTTCTGTCCGGATCATCTTTTTGTTGTCAGACCCAATACCAGTTCCCTTGACGAATTTGTGTTTCTTGGAATCCCATCGTAGTTGATTACGTTTACTGTTGATCGTGTCATTATCATCACCAATCAAATCCAATTGAGCTTGTCCAGCTTGTTCTAAAAAGTTACCTGAAGTGTTCATTGCGTATCCCCGTTCAGTGTTGGCATCCTTCTGAGTATAAGAGATATAAAATTCTTCATCACGATATGATTTTGGCTTGTCTGTTTAAATAAATAAAAAAAAAAAAATCAGAATGATTCCCTATTTATATTTAAATGGAACTTACTTTCTTTCTTGGTAGATGATACAGGTATATTGAATGTATTGACTAATTCTTCTTCTTCCACATCGTCTCCCAGATCAGCAAGTACCTTTTCATCTTTGTTGTTTTTGGCATCTTCCTTAGCTTTGGCCACAGCAGCTTCTTCAGCCGCTTGCTCTTCAGCAGCTTGAGACTTGAATTTACCAATGGTCTTACCCACATTTTGTCGACGTTCACGCATCATGGCTGTAGCAGGATTGACTTTTCTTGTACCACGTTGACCAACTTCGAAGATCGTTTCTGAAGGTCGAAAACCAGATATCATGTTGATCATTTCAAGTCGTTCAAGTTCCATAGCACTACTGTTTTCATCGTTGACTAAGTAAAAAAAAAAAAAAAAAAAAATCAGTTAATGACATTATTTGCTTCACATATGTATATATATAAATTACCAAGTAAAGGATGTAATTCTTTCCAAGATTTGCGTTTCAGTAATTCTTTTGCTCTGGTATAACTTTCAGGTGAAGCACGGGGTTTGGTACGATTGTAGAGTTTATAAGCATTGTTGGCAGTAGAAACAAGACCTTGTAATTCGGCATCACTGGCTACCTTTTGTTGAACCCATGTCACATCATCGGCCAAAGCATCCTTAGGCATAGTTCCTACTGATAAATCACGCGTATAGTCGATTTGATCCTTTTCATTGCCAAGTACTAATGGACGTGTCAAAAACAGTTCTAAATCTACCAAATAAGGGAGCTCTTCGGGAGTCATTAAGGAATATGCCCAACCACGACGACCAGCACGAGCAGCACGACCTACACGATGAACAAATACCTTGGATGAACCACAAAAGTCATAATTGATCACATTTTCTAAAATAGGGATATCGATACCACGTGCAGCCACATCTGTCACTACCAATATATTCGTTACGCCTGTTCTAAACCGAGTAATTTGGACGTTACGAGCCGTTTGATCCAGAGATCCATATACATAAGACACTTGATATCCAGACATCGTCAATATGTTAGCCAAATATTCCACATGATGTTTTGTTGCAGCAAAAAGAATGGTTTGATGATCGTCTTCAGTAGCTGATTGTCGTTGACCATATTTCTTTTTCTTCTTTTTCTTGTCCGAATCATCTTCTTTGTTGTTTGTCGATTTGGGTAGTTTGATCACGTTGCGTAACAAATATAACAAGGCAGCTTCCTTTTCCACTTCTTTGACAGAAAAAAAGGCCATCTATAATGAAAAACAAATAATGTTCAGTATATCTTTTATATCTTGTATATATAATATTACCTCTAAATCTCTACTGATCTTTGTATCTACATCCAAACGGACAAGAGTAGGTTCTTGTAAACCAGCCTTGGCAAAATCAACTAACATTTTGGGTAAAGTGGCAGAGAATAATAAGGTTTGACGAGTAGGAGGTAATCGAGAGAGGATTTCATGTAATTGGACAGCAAAACCCATTTCAAAAAGACGATCAGCTTCATCAAAGACAACATATTGTACAGTACGTAAATCCAAACTCATTTCCACTGCTAAATGAAGTAAACGACCAGGAGTAGCGATAAGAATATCAGGATTGCTTGCCAACATACTAAATTGATCATCCAAAGAGTCACCACCAACCAGAACACAACTACGAAGATCGGTATATTTGCCTAATTCCTTGCATACTTTTTGAGTTTGTAAAGCCAATTCACGAGAAGGAGATAACAGAAGAGCACGAGCACCCACTTTAGCGGAATGAGTCTTGAGCTTTTCAAATAAAGGGATTAAGAAAGCAGCAGTTTTACCAGAACCAGTACGAGCCATACCAACTACATCTTCACCTTGAAGTACAATAGGAATACATTTTCGTTGAATAGGTGTAGGCACCTTGAAACCTTTATGAATAATTGCCTTGTATACCGCACTACTAAGACCTAAATAAAAGAAAGAATAAGAAATATATATGAATTAGTCCATTATTTCATTTTGGAGATCATTCTTTCACACAGTACCCATTGATTGAAACCCTCCAGATTTTTTGTTTTTCCTATTGGCAAGCATATTTTCCTTGGCAATAAACTTTTCGTCGTCTTCGTTATCTTGATCTGAATCTTGATCATCCAAAGTGATTGGTTTGGAAAGAATAGAAGCTGTTGATTGTTGCTCTTGTTGAGGTTTGTCGATGGGTTTGATATTATTATTATTATTTATTAGATTGCCAAACATATCCATCTCAAGATCAGAGTCACTTTCGTTATCATCATTGTTGTTATCAAAAGTAGATCCAATTGGTACTATTTCAAAGTCTGAGTCTTCTTCTTCATCTTTGTCTTTCTTGTTGTATTTCTTCTTGTGATATTCACGTTTTTTTAATTTGGTATTTGAGATTTCCTTGGTTGTTTCTACTTGATTCCGTTTGTTTTTGGATTGTCCTGTTGTTTTGTTATTATTACTCTTTTTTGTATCATTGGTCAGTTTTTTATTTCCAGAGATGGCTTTTTTGATAACCATTTTGATCACCAAAAAAAAAAAAAAAAAAAAAAAAAAAAGAGGAACAAAGGAAAAGGAAGTGTCAAAGTTGAAATTTTTCTTTTCTCCCTCCTCGGACTGTGGCTTTGTCAAATCCTCAAAAACTGCATTAGTGGCGGAAACTGAACTATGTTGCACCCATATTTTAATGGGAGAGGAAAAAAAAAAGAAATTCTTATCCACATTTTGCATTCTCCCCTTTTTTCTTTCCCTTTCTAAACTTCCTTATTATATTATTATTATTTTTTATTTAATACAATGATGTCCACTGTTATGAAACCCGATGAAATAAGAGACTCTTTACAAAGTTCACCTCAATCATACTCTTCTCCTTCTACAGTAGGTGCTATTCCTGACGCGAAAAAACCTGGAGATATCATTGAACAACTTACTGACTTGGATGTAAAGTATTTATTTATTTATTTTATATCTATTATCGTATTAACCTATATTATAAATTGTATATATTCAGTGTGGATTCCAATGTCTTTTGGACAAAGTCAAAGAAGATATGCAAGCTGCAAAGGTGAATAATGACTTTTGTTATTATATATATATATATATATATGACTCCCAACCTTTTCCTCCTTTTTATTTTGTTTTTTTTTTTTTTAGGACGCTAGCTTCTTCCTAAAGAAACGAGCAGCTATTGAAGAAGAATATGGGAAACAAATGATCAAATTATCACAAACAATATCAGAAACTTTTGATAAATCACATCCAAGATCAGGGTATATAATATATAGATTAGTATTATTATCATCATATACTAACTGATTAACTTATATATATATATTTTAGAACTTATGGAGATGCTTGGATATCAATGCTCAAGGTTCATGAAACGATAGGTGAACAGAGAATCAAATTTGCCGGTAACATTACAGAAGTAGCGGACGATTTACAATTGTTGTACAAGGATACCGAAAGAGGAAGGAAGCAGGTAAACAAGAAGACAAGTTCAGTTTAATGTTTATTCATTTCATTTCTTTTTCCTGTTTAGGTCAAGGATGCTGGTGGTAAACATGAAAAAATGTTGGGTGATGCTGATACTACTTTGGAAAAAGTAATTTATTGAACTAAAAGAAAAAAAAATTCCCATTCTTTATTTTACTTATCATTATTCATTTATTTATTTAGATCAAGCAGAAATATGAATTACAAAGTGAAGACTGGGAACGCGCCATTTTACAAAAGAACAACGATCCTCTTCATGTTCCCAAAAAAGGATTATTTAAAAACACAAAGACTCAAGCTCAGGTAAACAATATACATATCAATTCTTTATTTTTACTTAAATTATCTTCCGATGTTTTCTTTATTAGTTGAATCGTATGGAAGAAGAAGCAAGATATAAAGCAACCATGGCTGATAAACATTATCGACAACAACTTCAAACAACAAATCAATCAAGACAAGAATATTTTCAAGTTCATTTACCCAAGATATTGGCAGTAAGAACAACAAAAAGAAAAGTTGACAGTCTAATCAATTCGTTTTTTACTCTTGCAGGAACTCAAGGCTGTCGGAGATGAATGCTGTGTTGCTTTACGATATCAATTGGCAAGGTACTCTTATATTTATGAAGAAGCTTTGGCGGCTGATGGCATTGCTTTAGATAATGATGATGGTAAAAAAAAAAAAAAAAAAATGATAATATCTTTTCTTGTTTTTTTTTTTTCTTGGTATTCATTTTTTATCTTTTGATAGGTTTGGGATTACGATCTTTAACGGAAAAAATTGACAAGGATGCTGATTTGATTCAATACATCAACTCTTATCAAGGACGATCTGGTAGATTACAGAAAAACGATATTGAATATAAAGAATATAGTATGGTAAGTATAGTTGAATAATATCAAGGTGATCATTCAACTATTTATTTATTTTTATTTATTTTTAGTCTATCTCCACCATGAATGCACCCAATCCCAATCCCAATCCTGTATTTGGAGTTGATTTGAATACATTGATGACTCGAGACCAACAAGAAGTTCCATGGATTTTAAGAAAATGCGCTGAAGCAGTGGAAACGTATGGGTTAAATGTGGTAGGAATCTATCGATTATCTGGAACCAATAGTCAAATTCAAAAACTGAAAGCTGCTTTTGATCGTGGTAAGATAACATAACGATGGAAAGGAAAAAACAAAATGTATGCTTATTTTTATCATTGTATTTCATAGATTGTGTTGGAGTCAATCTCAATTCCGAAGAATATATCTCTGACATCAATAACATTACTAGTGTATTGAAACTTTGGTTCCGTGAATTACCTGATCCTTTATTCCCCAGCAATGCTTATCAACATTTTTTGAATGCGGCAAGTAAGTAATCCAAGAGAATGATACCTATATACTGATATGATTTTATATTATTATTATTTTTTTATAGAAATCGAAGATGACAATATGCGTGTTTTAGGATTACATACTGTGATTAATGATCTTCCTGATGCTCATTATGCAACTCTGAAATTCTTGATGTGTCATTTAGATAAGTATGTCTCTTTTCGATGAAATAGGATCCAATTGCTTACATATATATATATATATATATATTTCTGTTTTTAGAATCCAAAAACATCAACGATATAACAAGATGGGTGCATCCAATCTGGCAACGATATTTGGTATGACTTTGATGGGAAATGAACCTGGAGGTGGTGTTTCTGGCAATCTACATCCCATGGTAAATCAAGATAATCAACGGTTTACTGAAACTCAATGGCAAGTCAAGGTTGTACAAACTATTTTGGAAAATTATGCTTTGATATTTGAAACTGAACAATGATTTAGCCAGAAAAGACTTCTCACTAGTTTACATATATACATACATTCATACACATCTATCTCCTTGTTGATATCCTTTTCTTTTTCTTTTTTTTTTTTTAATCTTTTCAATAAAATATCTTGCCTTCTTTTGGATTTTTTCTAATTTCAACAGTTAGGTGAATAAAGAATTTTGTATCTTCCGATCAGCATGGAGTACCTAATGATTATAAGCTACTCTGGTGATGTTTGATCATAATACTCTCAGATAAGTTTTGTTGGACATCATATTATCCTAACCCAGATCAACTTTAGATCATCATTCCATTTTTTTTTTTTTTTTTGCCTCCAATACGCTCGCTATTGTTATTGTCATCGTCTCCAATCTTGTTAGTTGTTCTCATGCATGAATCATTTCAATTCTTCATCAATGATGTTCAACGATTTCTATGTGTTTGTAACACATTCGTATGAGCTAATACCTCCTTGGATCATAGATAGACTTTAACCACAAAAAAAAAAAGGCGTTTATTGATATAGAATGGGATTAAAAAAAAAAAAGTATTTTACAAGTAAACGAACTAAAAACAATAAAAGAAAAATCAAAGGCTAGATGGGAATTATTCTAGTGTTCCATAGGATCATGTCGTTCGGCTTGGCGTTGTCGATGTCTAATTTCAGCTTGTTCTTCCATGGATTTCAAAAAGGTATTTACATCTAAACATTTATCAATAAAAACAAAAAAGTAAACCATTAGTGACATCCATATCTTTTTTTTTCTCTCTCTCTCTTTTTGGTACATACTTGATAGAGAATCCAATCCTAGAAAAGTCAAAATGGAATCCAACGCATTGGTTTGAAGAGCTTTGTTCAGTTTTTGCAGAGATGATTGGAAATTTGTACTTTGAACCAGTTCAGTCAATTCAGATTGGGATGGATTTGTTGTTGTTGTTGAAGGTACATCAGGGAATAAAGCTTGTCGTAAAGCATCATCTTGTAACAAAGGTGTCAAAGCATTAACAGATACTACATCTTCAGCAAGATCAATTGGACTTATATCACTTGTATCTTCCACTGTGATATCAGCAAGTATATTTTTGATAGATTCCACTTGAGTTGAGGAAAGACAGGCGTCTTCACGTTGTTCATGACCTTCATCTACTTCCATTGAACTGTCAATAGGTCCATCCCCGCCAAGACGTGTAGTTGTTGGTACAGTTCCACTATAGAATATTTCAAAAGAATGAGAGACCTTTTTTTTAAAAAAATAAAAAAAGAAAAAAAAAAAAAGTTCCTTACCCAAATCCACCAGCTGCTTGAAGGAATTGCATAAGATTTTCTTGAGACATGCCAATATCTAATCATCACCAATCATATATATATATAAACAAGGATTGAGATCAACAAAGTCCATTTTCTATAATAACCCTTCTTTTTTTTAAAAAAAAAAAAAATTATATATATGTACCTTGACCACTATCACCTAAGATTTGCATCAAATCTTGAGAATCATTTGAAAAGTCCATACGACCAGAAGATCTACCTTCTTCAATGACACTTTGAGGATCATTGATAAGTCGATTCACTTTGTTAACCATTTCTTCATCCTTTTCGTCATTTTTGCTTTGCATCCAGAAGAATAATTTTTGATTGGACGATTTAAATTTCAAAAGATAAACGCGTCCAGTGGTGCATTCTTGTACTCGGACCATTTCAGCTTCGTCAGGAAAGATAATCAAGTCCTATAAATATAAGAAAGTGAGTAACAAAGAATATATATATATATAAACTTACTTCTTCAGGTTCAGATGCTTTACGTTCCTTCCAATAAAAGTGCATCAATTGATCGTCACTCTATTATTAGAATAAATAAATAATGAGAAATATAAATAAAATGTTACTAATACGAATGTTCATATTTGAGTTTATTACCTGATCCATATATATAACACTAGAATAAAAGAAAAAGAAAAAAAAATTAGTTTATGAAAGATATATATAGGAGTGTTTTTTTTTTTCCTTTTTTTTACCCTTTTCGCAAGTCAGGCTTAAGAGTATTGTTTTCACGAATACACTTTCCAGCATTGAATTCCACCAAATGACTAGGACGTTGAGCAGTTGGAAAGAAACTCATGTTAAGTGTCGTTGATAAAAAAAAAAAAAAGAAAAGAAGATGAGAAGATAAAAGAACAAAAAAAAAAAAAAAAATAAAGCAAAAAAAAAAAAAAGTGAATAAAAAAAAAACCAGCTGTATGAATGACGCGGCCCACCAATCAATCGATTTTTGTCTCATTTCAATGTGGAAAGAATGAAGTGGATTCGCCCTCTGTCTGTCGTTTGGCGGCATTAAAAATTCGACAAACGGGATTAGGTTCAAGCGGGTCATCGGCATGGGTTCATATTTTTTTTCTTTTTTTTTTCTTTTTTTTTTTTTTCTTTCCTTCTGTTTTTTTTTCTCTTTTCTTTTTTCTATTTCTATTTACATTGTTTAGGTTTTCTATGGATGCTTTGACAAATTTAAATCCAGTAAGGACCAGAAATCGTGCTAGTTCTGCTGTCTCTACTTTACCTATTCCTCTTTCACCTGAACATACAAACCATCGTCATTCTCACCCTGATCCCAACTGGCGACTATCGCAACCAGAACTCTCTTCAAGTGCTCCTTCTACTTCTTGTCTTTATCGTCATCCTAACGCAAGTTCTGTTGATGGTCGAAGTTCTACCAATACTCTTAACCCTGAAATCACAACTAGCTCTATTAGTTTGGACTTTGAAGGTGGTGCTCATGTTATTGTACGTCCTAACCGTATTATTCGAGGTATGTCAAATCATATTATAAAATGATTTCAAGCTTATATTTTCTTTTTTTTTTCTTTTTCTTTAATAGGGACATTTCGTATGGATTTAGCAGAAAATACACATGTGACAAGGATACGAATCAAAGTAAGAAACAACAAAAAAAAAACCAGTAAAAATTAACTCTTTTTATTTTTCTCAGTTCCGAGCAGAAGAATATGCAACAGTTAGAGTAGATGAATCGGCAGGAGATGGAAAAACGGATTGGATACATCAAATCATTACAACTTTTTTCGAAGTAGACTACAAATTATTTGGAAATGAAGCATTACGTAAGAAATCAATAGCCGAAGAAGATGATAAAAAAAAAGGGGGGAAGGAATCTTGTTATTAACATATATATACTCTTTACTGCTTTATTAGCATATTCACAAAGTGCCTGGGAAGAAATGGATGCTGGTCATTATGAATTCCCTTTTGCATTGAAGGTAAAACAAGTAAATCACAAAATGATCATGTTGTTTGGTCACAATACTTATTTTTTTTTTCCAATTTTTCTTCTTTTTCTTTAGTTTCCTAATGTGAATTATCCCCCTTCAATGGAAGAACCTCCTGGATTTGGAATTCGTTATATTTGGACAGCTCAAGTGGATGGACCAGGATTACAATCTGGATTACGAAGTAGAGAATATATTACACCTTACAGACCCATTATTGTATCCACAGAAGGTAAATCAAATTTGAATTAAAAAAAAAATTATCATCGGTTTTCTAAATCATATATCTATATTAGAAAAAGAATGGACGTATAGAACCACTTTGACTCGGGATAAGAAACAAGCTTTGGCTGAAGTTCGTGGAAAATTATTTAAACAATGTTATTGCCCAGGTAACGAATCATCTTTTTTTTTTTCTATATGGTCGTTGTTACAAATATACTAATTAAGATCATTCCTTTTATTCTTAGATGAACCTTTCTCAATGCAACTTAATATGACGACATTACATTCGGACTGCAAATTCAGTAATATTTCATTCAAATTTCGAAAACATCATGAAGGAAAAATGTTGATACAACAAGGCACAGCATTCAGAGAACACACTCGTACAGTTTTACATGGCACAGTACCTATTAGTGGCAGTAGTACTAATACCAATCTATCGGAACTCATCTCATTCGACATACCTACTCGACTGGTATCACCCTCCTTTACAACACGACATACTCGAGTATACTACGATATTCAATTCCAAGTACATATAGAACATGGTCATCTCTTCAAATCAGCTCATACAGCCGAATTTGCCATTCCTTTGACCATCGCTAATTTGCCTCATGAACAACTCTTACGTATTCCAAATTTAACATCAACACAACACTATCAAAATTCCAAAGAATGTCCCTTCTTTTTTGATCCAGCATTAGAAGAACCACCTTCACCTCAAGGCCTTCCTAGTGAATTGATTGCTCCACTGACAGCTGCTTTGATGAGTCCTCCTCAGAATGAAGAACCTCCTAGTTACTTTAGTTTACCCAGTTTACCACCTCAGTTTGAAATAAGGAAGGAACGAAAGGAACGAACTATATGCATGTCAAAACCGGCAAAAGGTGCTTATTATGCAGTCGATCTTGGTGATGCTGTTGTTATTCGTGGTCTTTATGATGAATCCAGTTGGTGATCAGGTGGTTTTTTTTTTTTTTTTTTACTAGTTTATATGTATAGGTTTTTTATTATTATTATTATTCATTACCCAATTCATATTTATACTTGTTATCTAATTTATTAATTATCTATATTATTTAATTAGATTTTGCATTGTATTATTTTATTCTTCCCTTTTTATAATAATAAAAAAAAAGTGATGTGCATAAATGTGAATCATGATGACAAGACTTAAAGGCTGTGGCTTGGTTAGGTGGATTGGGGAAGGGGCAAGTTTAGGCGCTAATTTTTTTTTTTTTTACTCTCAATTTTTTTTCCCTTTTTTTTCCCTTTTTTTTTTTTTTTTTTTTCTTTCTTTCTTTTTACTATTTATATAATGGATTTGACTGTCTCAACCACTTCTATTCCTTTTAATGTCCTTGTCATTCTAGTACTTGGTCAACTTCAGTCCAGTGTCAAGCTTGTAGGAGGAATATCCACTAGCCTCAAGGTGAATGACCAAACGACTTTCCATGACGACGCCACTATTTCTCGCTTCCTTCTTCGCTTGGGTCATCTTTTAGACGAACAACAAACTTCTAATCAACGTGAAGCATCTCTTGTGGATGCTTTGTTATTGAAAGATGTATCAGTCGCCAGTGCCTTGGTTCAACAAAAACAACATGCTTTTTTGTTATCTGACAATATTGGATTAGTCGATTATCTTGCTTGGTCCGTCTTAGTCAACTCACAACAACAACAAGACTATGTTGCTTCTGTCCAAGCAACCAATGTTATTCAAGATGTCCTTACTTTGCAAAAGACGGTGACCGAAGATTGTGCAGCTGCTACTGTTGCTAGTGAATTGGCCCCTATTCCTGGTAGTGATCCCACTCTGAATCCTTTAGACGTATTCCGTGTCCGTATTGCCAATCAATTAGCCAAGGTGACTGATATTGATCCTGCTGTGATTTACAAAGCCATCGATATTCCTCGTCAATTGGACCATGGTGACTTTGCTCTCGCTTTACCTCGTCTTCGTGTCAAAGGCAATCCTGTACAACTTGCTAAAGAATGGGCTGCTGCTTTTACTCCTGTGGATGATTATATTCTTGGTGCAACTGCTATTGGTCCCTTCTTGAACTACCGCATCAATACTCGTCTCTTGATCAAGCATACTATCGAAATGGCTAGTCAACGTGTTGAAAACTATGGTAGCAATACTTCTGGTACTGGTAAAAAGGCTATTGTTGAATTCTCTTCTCCTAACATTGCCAAACCTTTCCATGCTGGTCATTTGCGTTCTACTATCATTGGTTCCTTTATTCGAAATGTCTATGTTGCCAACGGTTGGGATGTCATTGCTATGAATTATCTTGGTGATTGGGGCAAACAATATGGTAAGAAAACAATTAAAAAAAAAGTGAAGAGGATAGGAGGATGATATGATAGTTCATCATCATTATTGTTATTAAAATGAACTGGTATCCATTTTCTTTTTTTTTTTTGTTGTTGATGATCCTGGTTACTAACCGTTTTTTTTTTTTATTATTTGTTTTTTGTTTTAGGTTTGTTGGCAGTTGGTTTTGCTCGCCATGGTGACGAAGAAAAGCTCCGACAAGATGCTATCAAACATTTGTACGACGTTTATGTTCAAATCAACCATGATGCTGAAAACGAACCTACAATTCATGATGAAGCACGTGCGTATTTCAAGAAGATGGAAGATGGTGATGAAGATGCTTTAGCTTTATGGCGTCGATTCCGTGATCTCTCTATTGCCAAATATCAAGAAGTGTATGGACGTTTGAACATTGAATTTGATGTCTACTCTGGTGAATCACAAGTAAGCCGTGGTATGGAAGAAGCCATGGCAATGTTGGAATCAAGTGGATTACTTCAAGAATCTCAGGGTGCCAAGGTGATTGATTTGGAAAAATACAAATTGGGTTTCTCTGTGGTGCAAAAGAGTGATGGTACAACTCTATATATTACTCGTGATATTGGGGCTGCCAAAGAACGATATGAAAAATTCAAGTTTGACAAGATGATCTATGTGGTAGCTGCTCAACAAGATTTACATTTGAAACAATTATTCAAGACATTGGAACTTATGGGCTTTGATTGGGCCGACAGGGTGGAACACGTCAATTTTGGTATGGTACAAGGTATGTCAACTCGTAAGGGTACAGTTGTATTTTTGGAAGATATTTTGGATGAAGCACAAGAAGTAATGCATGATCAAATGCGTAAGAATGAAGCCAAGTATGCAGAAATTCCAGAACCTCTCCGGGTAGCTGACGAAATTGGTATCTCTGGTGTCAAGATTCAAGATAATTCTGCACGTCGTGTAAAGAACTATGAATTTGATCGTAATCGTATGTTCAGTTTCGAAGGTGATACTGGTCCTTATATCCAATATGCTCATGCTCGTCTTTGCTCTATTGAACGCAAGAGTGGATTGCAAGTCAATTTGAATGCTAACACTGATCTTCTGACCGAAGAAGGTGCTTTGAATATCATGCGTACCGTGGCTCAATACCCTGATTTGGTGAAAAGTTTGATGAATGCTTATGAACCTTGCAATGTGGTCACTTATGCTTTCAATTTGTCTCATGAAATCTCTGCTGTCTTTGATGCTTTGTGGGTCCGTGGTGCTGAACCAGAAGTCGCTGATGCTCGTCTTCTTATGTATTGGTGTGCTCGTGTTACTCTTGGAAATGCTATGCGCTTATTGGGTTTGCGTCCTTTGGAACGTATGTAAAAAAAAAAAATCCTTCTCTTTCTATCTCTGTATCCGATATTATCAACAAACTACAACATTCATCATCAACAATCAACACAATTCATCAAAAACTGAAGAAGGGTGGGAACGTAGATAATACATCATCATTTCTGTTTTTTTTGTTTTTTTCTTTATATATATATATTTTTTTTGATTATCATTCCTTTTTGTTATCTCTTTATTTTGTTTTCTTTTTTTCCTTTTTATATATTTGATTATTATTATTATATATTATTATTATTGTACTTGTCTATCATTTACTTCTTTCACCAACACACTCACTTGTATACAATAAAGATTGATGTTTTTATATTTCCCATTGAATTATTATTTTTATTCTTATTCTTTTTTTATATATGATGATTGATTGGGGGGGATGAAAGCCTGTAGAATATCATCATTAAGATGGACATATGGATGACGATTTTATAAAGATGATGATGACAATGGTATAGTTTATTACATTAAGAAGAAGATGATGAAGAAAAGGAAGTGGGTCTTTCAAATAATTCATTGATATGATGAAGAATGAAATCAATGACATGGATCTTTTGATTCATTTCAGTGATATCATGTATATCATTTGGATGACGGATAAGAGTAGGACCAAATACCATAGCCAGGTTTTTGGTCACCATCAAGTTATTTTGACTATGTTGTTGAATTCTAATAATAATAATAAAAAGAAGAGTTAATCTTTTTTTTTTTCTGTTTCATCATTGGTTGTACCTATCCAAGTGCTTCATTAAATATTGAATAGTAAGATAGTTTTCTTTAGGCATTCTTTCGAAAACATAGACTAGTTGAGAAATACGACCTTGAAGATCATGACAATCTAAATATATAACATAAAATGAGTAACGATTATTTTTTCTCCAAGACAGAGAGATTTCCTTTTTGGGTGTTTACCGATGGCCTGCATGATATTATCATAAAATTCAAAAGGAAAGAGAGAATCAGGTAATTCCCGAAAGTAATGTTTGAGTACACTGGTAATGGCACAAATATCTGGCCAAGTACATGAATCACTTAGATCAGGATATTGATGATCGTCAAAACATTGTTGTATCAATCTCATTTGACTGGCTCCTCCAGATTTTCGATAAATCCCTTCAAAATCCAATCCTAATCAAAAAAAAAAAAAAAAAAAAAAAAAAAAAAAAGATGAATGGATGTGATTATTATTATTATTATTATTATTAATATTACTTACCACGTTGCTCTATTGCTTCCACACAACATTGAACAACAAATGGAATCAATCGTTGTTCTTCTTGAGCTTGTAAGACAAGACTTTTACCAAAGACTGATTCTAATAATACAATAAATATAAGTATTCCCAATAATTTTTTTTTTTTTTTTTTTTTTTTTACTCTGTTTTTGCTGCTGCTGATGATGATGATGTGGTGGCGGAGGTGGTGGAGGTGGTGGTGGAGGAGGTGGAGGCGGAGGAGAATGTGTTGGATTGGATGATGATTGTGTTGTCAAAGAAGGTAGTTTTGTTTGTACAGTAGGTGCATGTTTACAAGGATCCACAATAGTGGAAACACATTTTACGTGACAGACCAAAGAACAAGCTATAAATAGAAAATAAATTTTTTTTATCGTCCCTTTTTTTTTTTTCTTTTCTTTTCTTTTCTTTCTCCCTTTTTTTTTTTTTTTTTTTATACTGTACCTTGACACTTCAATTCGTTAGCACGCCACATCTTCTCCTTACATAATTCACATTTGGTAGGTCGTAAGAACTTGGTCTCGATAAAGTGATGTTGAGCTGTGGAACGAATCTCATCTGATGGTATCCTTTTACTTCCCTGCTCTTGTTGACTACGTAAGTACAGTGGGTCTGTTTTAGGTGGCAATGTTGGTTTTTTACTTGACTCTGATGATTTCTTTTTCTGTAATGTTTTCGACTGCATAGTGGCGAATACCTTTTTACGACGATTAAACGGGAATATTTTGGATGACTCGGCAGTGGGCAATTCTTGTTGTTGATCTTTTTTTTTGTTGGACGAAGAGGAAGCGGATGAACCGGTGGATGTCGATGTAGATGGTCGAATCTGTTGATGGCTCTCAGGTAAGGTCCATGAAGCTGGAAGAGGTGGCCGGTTACTCGAGGATGAGGTGGAAGTGGATGTGGTCAGGGTAGTGTCTGCAGAAGAAGAAGAGGTCGAGGGTCGTATAAACTGCGTACTGGCCATCAAGGCTTTGGTTTCCATCTCACGTTGGGCAATATGACGGGATAGATCATTATTCATACTATTCAATTCGGCATTTTTTGTATTCAATAAAACCATCTCTTCAAGAATGTTGTCTCTGGTTTTTCGAAGTTGACTCATGGTCTCTTTGGCTGCATCAATCTCTTTGTAAATGGATTGTAATTGGATATCAAGCATTTGCTCAAGTATAGGCTTTGTGTCATAAATGTCTCTATTTTAGGCAAGTTATACCAAAAACAGAATATAAAAACAAAATTAGACAAAAGGGATGAGATATATATATATATGATATACTTACTTTCCATGTGTTTGTGACAATAGTTGGATTTCTTTTACAAGGCGATCTCTTTCTTGACTTAGAGTATCACATGTATTCTGTAAGTCATCTTTGGCGTTGTTAAACATTCCGTTAGATAGTCCCAATTGTTCCTTCAAATTGGTCACAAGTACTTTGGATTGATCTCGATCTTTATGTATCAGTAACTAGATAAACAAATAAAGTATAGTTATATATCTTATCTTTTTTTTTTTTTTTTTTTTTGATAGTGATGAATAAAAAGTGGGAGGATAGTAAAAAGGAATGACAACTGTGATGAGGCTGTTTTTTTTTTTTAGGGAGATGATAGGCGGAGAGAAAAAGAGGATGCCTATATATATATATATATACATGCCTACAGTCTGTGTGTATGTGTTTATGATGTTTTCTTTTATATATGTATATACCTTATATTTGTTCAATTTCGTTTCCATTTCTTTTAATCTTAATTTTGTGGTGATGAGACAAGTTTTCAATTCGTCAATGGACATATCATCTATATTGTCAGATATGGTAGATGGTGACCGCGTCGGTGAAGATGGAAAAGATGATTGAAATTCTGCTGGAGTGGCGAGTGGTGGTAATTGCAGAGGATCTTCTGACAAGTGATCCAGATCATTATAAGATACAAATGAACATTTGGATGATGATGAGGAAGAAGAAGATGGGGGTATTGACATATCTCTTTCCATCTATCTTTTTATTCTCTTTTCTCTCTTCGATATTAATTTGATAAAAAAGAAAGACTGAAAAAAAAAGAAGAAGAATAAAAAAAAAAAAAAAAAGGTTTAAGAAAGGAAAAGAGTTCGGACGATCAACGATATCAAAAATTATAAACGTGCTCCTTAAAAATGACAAAAGGGTAGTTGGTATGTTGCTAGGATATAAAAAATGTACATCGCCCTTATTTGGGGTTTAGTTGACGAAATTGAATAGGATGCAGATAGTTACCTTCTTCTTCCGGAATGAATCTATTTACTCATCATCATCAGATGATGATTATTACTTGCACCTTATATTGGATAAGCTTATCCCTTATAAACTGTTTACATTGCATTTACATAAAATAAAAGAAAAATTAAAGACATGATCTAGATCAACTTAAATGTTAATTCTCATTACGGCTGGTTAGTAAATTTCACTATTGATCAAAAGGATGACCTCTCTTTTTTTTTTTTTTTTTAGTCTGTGCCCTGAATTCATGCAACCCTACATAAACAAGTTTGATTCTTATAACTTCTTGTTCCCCTTTTTACTTTCTTTATTATTATTATTATTATTATTATTTGGAAATAATCATTATGGAGCTATATATGTATATAGATTTTGACTGTTCCAATGAAAGAGGGATGACATCAAATCATGTCATATAATGTCCCTTCAATCCCCTCTCTAATGCTTGAATCATTTCCTTGCTGAGATTCAACTTTTTTTGGGAGGGAAAAGCGTTGACCCACTTTTTTCTCCCTTTTTTTTTTTTTTTTTTCTCTTTTCTTTATATTAAAATGATATTTGCCCATGGCGATCAATGAACTTGATACTCAGCCATCTTTTGATAAAGAAGAACCAATATTACCTGAAGGAGTTCTTAGAGTAAGTACTTTATAAAATATTATTAAACTTTAACTCATTCTTATTCTTTAGCTTCAAATTCTGGATTGTATTTTGAATAATATACCTGTCAAGAAACCTTACTTTCTTATCACTCTTGGAGGTAAGATATATATATATATATATATATATGAAAGTTTCATTCTTTTATACTTATAAATATATATATATTATATTATAGACCAAAAGAAACAGTCAACAATATCTGAAGAACGCATTTGGAAAAATGAACAGTTTGATTTAAAGGTTGATTTCCATGCTCAATTGTTTGGCACCTTACAACTTGATCTTTATGAAAGCAACACTTGGTTTTCAGACAAACATATTGGAAGAACAGAAATAAGACTCTGTCTTTTAGAAACAATGCCATATCAGTTCACCAACTATTATGAAATTTGGGATAAGCAACTATCATCAGGTGCTAGTTCTTCTGTTGGTCAAGAAACTGCACGAAAAAACAATCTCGGTGTTCTTCACATTCAAATAGCATATCGTTATCAATTGGCTTCTAGCAATCTCTCTTCTACTGATGTTCTTTTGATGAACGGGAAACAACAAGATAATTTACCACGACGACTTTCCGACCTCCTTTTATCAACAACAAATAACGATCAGATGAAGGACGACGATGATGTTAGAACGGATATTTATTCGATCACTCAAGATGGACCTCCAGGCTCGATGAATTTACTAGAAAAGGAAGCAATGGATGAAGATTTGAAACGATATGCGAAATTCCAACGTCAACGTGGCAAACGATCGGATGGGAACAATGAATATGGATCTATATTGAATGACTATGATGAAGATGAAGATGATGATGATGATGATGATGATGATATTATCAAACAAACGACAAATGAAAAGCCATTACCAGCACACGAAACAGATACCGTAGTAGAAAATCAAGACAGTAGTAAAGATAATCGGCAAGTACTAGGTGCTATAGGCAAATTACTCGCACAATTTGTAAGTTGAAAGAAAGCTTTGATGATATGCTTATCATATTTATAATTAGGGACAAGGCCTTGAACTTGGTAATTTTCAAATCTTGACTGGTTTCAATCTTTTGGAAAAGTACTATGCTCAATTACCACGGGATCGCGAAAAGGATATTGTTCTCGATTTGAACCAAGTAGAATTGATGGGTCATTTTTGGAAGTTTGCTTTGGCATCTTATGGTTGGAAAGGATTGAACTTTTTAGGTCGTGGTAATGGTGTATTTTCTGATGGTTGGCGAGATAATTCGGATGCTTTATCGATTGTGGAATACCTCTCTATACCAAAGGCGGATCTATTGGCTTATGAATTTAGAAGTGCTGAAGCTTTTCGTCCAAGTTATTTTATTGCTTTGGATCGATCTACTGATGCTATTGTTCTGTCTATAAGAGGGACGATGGTAAGTAATGTTTAAAAAAAAAAAAAAAAAGATATCGGAAATCTGACCCAATACTTCTTTTTTATTATTATTATTATTATTATTATTATTATTATTTCTTTCTCTTTATAGAGTGTTTCAGATACACTTACTGATCTTGTATGCACATACGAACCTTGGCGTGGTGGTATTGTTCATTCTGGAATGAAGGTATGATTTATATTTATAAATCATATGTGTATAATAAACATTATCTATATACTTAGGAATCTGCTATGTGGTTTTTACGAAACGTGGCACCTCAACTATTAGTATATTGTCGAAAATACTCCGTTTCTAGGCTCTATATTATTGGACATAGTCTTGGATCAGCAACTGCAGCCATTTTAACGATGATGTTGATGGATTATCTGGATGAATTCAAAGAACAGGGTGGTGAAGGATTTACTTTGGAATGTTTTGGATATGCACCTGCATGTTGCCTGGATTTGAAATTGGCCGAAAAGTACAAGGTAAATACAAAACGGAAGTGAGTAAAGGAACTAACTCTATATATAATAGGAAAATATACATTCGTTTGTATCTGCTGATGATATTGTTAGTAAACTCAGTTATGGCAGTATGATGACGGTCAAGGATATGATTATTGCTGGTGTAGAAGCATCCAAGTTGGTAGCACCCAAATCTACGGAAGGGGATCGATGGAAACTAGCGTTTGAACGGATTAGCAAGGTGAGAGATCGATGTCTTGCTTCCAAGGAAAATCCAAGGGTAAAAAAAAAAAAAAAAAAAAAAAAAAAAAAAAAAAAAAAAAAAAAGTATACTTACCATCTCTTTTTTTTTTCTATTTTACTGAACAAAAAAGTTATACGTTGCTGGACAAATATACCAATTCTGGCTGGATCCAGTGCCTGGTAATGATACAAGGGTAGTGATCGAGAAAACAAGTGCCCAGCAAGTATGTAGTGAAGTGGTTATACAACGGTCAGTCATAGGTGATCATCTACCCAGTAATTTTGATTTGGCAGTCAAACGATGTCGAGAAACTCTGATGAGACAAGGACAACAACAACAAAAACTGGACGATACCAGAGAACTTACGATCTCTACGGATGATTTATGGCATCAATTTTCAACTCTGAAATGCGACAATAAGAATGAATCAACAAATTGAATTTTATTTAGAAATATTAGTATTCAATAAATCATTGTTTTTTTTCACTTGACGGGATTTGAATGGTTTCAGTTCATGCATACTATTGTTTCTTCTATTCTGGGTACAATTTTTCTGGGTTAAACAGATTTTTTTTCCTTTTTTTTCCCATTTTGTTTTTTTTTTTTTTTCTTTCTCTTTTTTTTCTCTAGTCATGTGAAATGGGATATCATTACGAAAGTCATACAACAACAACAGGGTATGAAGATGGTAGTACGATTACAAATTCAACAGTACGAGTACGAGAACTAGATGAAGGTGAAGTAGGAATTCTGATGGCAGGCAATAACAGTATATTTGATCCATCCTTGACACCTAGAATGTTAGCAGTACCAACGACTAATTATGATGTAGAAAGTGATACACTTAGTATTTCCGATGAATCTGATGATGATGATGAAGAAGAAGAAGATTGGTTTCCATCTTTATTACATAAATCATGGATTCATGGTTTGGATGATGATGATGATGATGATGATGATGATGATGATGATGATGATGAAATGATGATTGATAAGATGATGGACACTTTGTTTGCATCAGCAATCATGGAACGTGATGATGATAATAAAAACAAATATCAACAGGACAGTCATCCCAAGAAATCAAGACGAATGTCAAGAAGGGGGTTTGGTAGAAATCAAATGGAGGAACAACGACACAATGATAATGAAGTTGATGATTATGAAGAAGAAGAGGCTACCTTAGTTCCAGTAGATGTCATTTTTATATCATATTAAATAAAAATCTATTTATGTATCCGGATGAACCTTTCGTTCTCTTTTGAAGCATGTGAATGATGATGATGCTATTTTTCGAAAAATGGGGGGAAGGTAGAAGGAAAAAAAAAAGAACTCGAAGAAAATCCACAAAAAGAACATGGTTTGAATTTGGGAAAGGAATATTCTTTTCATGTTCAGTATCAACACTTTTGGTGTGGAGTCATCCAACAGGGAGACAATGAACGGAGTATCAATCAGATAGGAGAAACATAAAAATAAAAAAAAAGGAAGGTTTGCAAGATAAATCATCCATTATGAATATACATTTAAACCCATGAACAACCTTTTCTAGGATGAATCTTGTATATATATATATATATATATGTGTGTGTGTGTGCGCGTGTAAAATAAAAACGTATGGGTTATTCAATGCAACTTTGAATATCCGCAAGCTATTTTTGACAAGAGTATGATAAAAATAGAAACAATAGCAAAAAAAAAAAAAAAAAAAACGTGTCAGTCTATAAGATCTGGATTCTTTTCTATTCTCGAACTTCATTTATCTAAAAACAAAAATCACTATGGTATTTTATCTGAGGATGAATAATAAGGGGATCGACCATAGATGTCAATCAAATCCTTTGGTTGACATTAAAAAAAAAAAGTTATAAATATATATATGGAGGAGATTTTTTATTTTTTTTTCTTTTTTCTTTCATTTATATCTTCTTCGTTAAATGGGTCAATCATGTTACAATTCTTGACTGATTTTACCAATAATAACAATAGAAGATTATCTAAACAATCACCTATGATGATGTCTTCAGATGAACAACAACAACAACAACAACAAATAAATAAAACAACCAAAACATCACATCAAGAAAAAACAACAATGACACGATCAGCATCCTTTCATTCTATTCAATCTACGACTTCAGTTTCTTGGCATGATGAAAAACAAGAATTCTCTTTCAAACATGATTATGTATCTTTCCCAAGTCTAGATATGGACGATTGTATATGATTTCACTCCTCTCTTTATATATATATTTATTTATTTATACCAATCTTTCCTTCCCTATTCGTTTATAACCCCTATCCTTTCTTTCTTTATATATACACATCATAGTTTCTTCTTTTATATATGTATTTTATTCATCTACTTTGACAACCATTCCATTCTTTTTTTTTTTTCTCTCTATTCTACCATCTTAATATGCCCCTCTTTATTTATTTTATTTTATTTTCCATGCTTTTTAATTATTTTAAATAATAAAAAAAAATAAAAAAAAAAATAAAAAAACAATCCGTCCTCTTTTTGCCCCACGAAAAAAAGTCTATTCATGCTTGCGGAAATCAAAGTGATACTGCAGTTGTTTGTACCACTTATAACACATGTCAATATACTAAAAAACCTTTATTGTCGGTGAACATCAAAAAAAAGGGTAAAAAAACTTTATTTCTATATCATTTAACTAAACTATATACAAATTTAGGTCATTACTGTGCCTTCACGAATAGATCGTCGAATTCGATCAGCCATCATGCGATCCTTGCGTCCAATCAATGAAGAAGCCTTGCCAACCGTTCCTGCTCTAGCCGTTCTTCCCACACGATGTAAATAATCCACCACGGAGGTTGGAAAATCATACAAGATCACATGGTCCACAAATGTCGTATCAATCCCACGCGAAGCAATATCCGTACTAATCATCACATTGTCACCACTAGTTTTGTCAGCAAATCGAGTCAAAGCTTCATCACGATCGATGGGGGCATCCTTATACAAAGGTAACGCTTGAACATTCTTTGTTTCCAACCATTGATGTACCAGTTCCACCGCTTTTTTTGTATTGCAGAACACCAATGTTTTTTCATCCTTGATATTCTTCTTGAGCACTTCCAATAAAGCCAATTGTCGATTACCTTGAAATCGTTGTAGATCAATGAAGGATTGCTTGAGATTAGGTAATGCACGATGCAGGGAAGGTGTAGTGATCTTGACCAAATGAGGAAAAAGTTTGTCCAATGTGGTATGTACCGAACGTGGGAGTGTGGCAGACACAATCATCATTTTTTCCTTACGAGGTCGATCATGATGAATGGTTTGTATTGTATCAATCAGTTGGCGACAGTCCTCTCCCCATCCCGCATCAAATAAAGAATCAGCTTCATCCATCACCATATACCTTGTATCCGCCAAAGATACCATCTGTTGTTTAAGAAGGAGTTGCATTGCTGTTGGTGTTGTTACAAGAATATCCACAGGTCCACTGGCCAGTTGGGGTATCACTTTGGATCGTTGAACGCGTTCCACACCTAGACTTCGGAATTTCACCGTATGGGAGAGTTGTTTGCATGTTTTGACCACTTGAGATACCAATTCACGTGTAGGTACAAGTATCAATGCTCTTGGATGATCTAATCGTCGTTTGATACCATGTTTTTGTTCATCCACCATCAATTGTTGAATCACAGGTAACAGGTACGCCAGCGTTTTCCCCGATCCTGTTTCGGCTGCACAAAGTACATGTCGATGTTGAGGTGAAAGTAATGTTGGAATAGATAGAGCTTGGATTTCTGTAGGTCGTATCAAATCTTCATTGGTTGTCAAATATTTCTGTACAGCTTGAAGGACAATAGGTTGTAAACCAAGATCAGAAAACCTTTGATTTGATAAATAAGTTGAAAGAGTACGTACATTATCTGTTGTTGTTGTTGGTACATGTTCTAGACGTCTTTTTACAGGAACATAAGGTGCTCGAGTTGATTTTGGTTTGTTTGTTTTGAGTTTATTACGAAGTACATCTCTTCGTTCCTTGCCAGTCAAACCATCAGGTTTCAAATGTTTGGTAAGTGTTGAGATATTTGGTTTTCGAAGTTGAGATCGTTTGGATGAGACTACAGCACTAGTTGAAAATTCACAACGACATTGTTGAAGCCATGACAATACATTGTAATTAAATCTATGACTTTTATACATAACAGTGAAAAAAAAAAAAGAGAGAAGAAAAAAGAAAGGAAAAGGGAAGAAAGATAAATTTCTCCACAAAGCCACTTGAAATCCAGATTTTGACAAAAAAAAAAAAAAAAACTGAGAGCTTCGAGACGGTGGTTGAAATGTCCATCAAATAAGAGTCATCTTGTTGTTTCAAAAATATTTTCTTTCTCTCTTTTTTTTTTTTTTTTTTTTATTATTATTCTTTTATCATAATAATGTCAGTACATGCTAAATACCAGTCTCCTTTGACTTCTCGTTATGCCTCCAAAGAAATGGCTTATAACTTTTCTGAAGATAAGCGTTACACTACTTGGCGTAAACTTTGGCTTAACCTTGCTATTGCCGAACAACGTCTTGGTTTGACTGATATCACTGACGAAGCTATTGAACAAATGCGCGCCAACTTGGACAATATTGACTATCAAGTAGCTGCTGAAGAAGAAAAGAAACGTCGTCATGATGTTATGGCTCATGTTCATGCTTTTGGTTTGGTGGCTCCCAAAGCTGCTGGTGTTATTCACGTTGGTGCTACTTCTTGTTATGTCACTGGTAAGAAAAAAATAACAAAAAAAAAAAAAAGACTGATGAAACATTTCTTTTTTTAGATAATGGTGATCTTATTATTTTACGTGATGCTTATGATTTGGTGATCAAGAAATTGGTACATGTGATTGATATCTTGAGCAAGTTTGCAAAAGAATATCGTGATCTTCCTACTCTTGGTTTCACTCATTTCCAACCTGCTCAATTGGTCACTGTGGGTAAACGTGCTACTCTTTGGATTCAAGAATTGTTATGGGATTTACGTAATTTCGAACGTGCTCGTAATGATTTGAAATTCCGTGGTGTCAAGGGTACTACTGGTACTCAAGCTTCTTTCATGGCTTTATTCAATGGTGATCATGATAAGGTAAAAAAAAAAAAAAAAAAAAAAAAAAAATGAATCATAACGTTATCTTATTTTTTTTTATTTTTTTTTTTGATAGATTGAAGAATTGGATCAACTCGTGACTGAATTATCTGGATTTTCTGAAGCTTACCCAGTGTGTGGTCAAACTTATTCTCGCAAGATTGATATTGATGTCTTGAATCCTCTTTCTGGTTTTGGTGCTACTTGCCATAAAATTGCCACTGATATTCGTTTATTAGCTAATCTCAAGGAAATCGAAGAACCTTTTGAAAAGGATCAAATTGGTAGCTCTGCTATGGCTTACAAGCGTAACCCTATGCGATGTGAACGTGTATGCTCTTTGTCTCGTCACTTGATGGTCCTTGTCAATGATGCTCTTCAAACCAGTGCTGTACAATGGTTCGAACGTACTTTGGACGACAGTGCTATTCGCCGTATCTCTTTACCTGAAGCTTTCTTGACCACCGATATTTTGTTGACCACTTTACAAAACATCTTTGAAGGTATGGTTGTGTATCCCAAGGTGATTGAACGTCGTATCCGTCAAGAATTACCCTTTATGGCTACGGAAAATGTCATCATGGCCATGGTGAAGAAAGGAGGTGATCGTCAAGAATGTCATGAACAAATCCGTGTCCTCTCTCATCAAGCTGCTCATGTTGTCAAGATGGAAGGTGGTGAAAATGATTTGATTGAACGCATTCAAAAGACTGAATACTTCAAGCCTATCTGGGATGAATTACCTGCTCTCTTGGATCCTTCCACTTTCATTGGCCGTGCTCCTCAACAAGTCGATAGTTTCTTGGTCAAGCATGTTGAACCTGCTTTGGCTCCTTATGCTGAAGCTCTCAAGGACAAGACTCGTGCTGAATTGTCTGTTTAGATCTTTTTTTTTTTTATCGTTATTATTATTATTCGTTTGATTGCATTCATCTTTTTAGTATAGACTTTTTTTTTTATAACATGTCCTTATATATACATAGATATTTTATACTAAAAAAAAAAAAAATAAAATAAAATAAAATTCTCACATTTTTGATTCAAGTGTTTTTTTTGTATGTGCCAATCAATGGTAAAATTGATTATAGTTCTTAAACGTCGATGATGAATTGTGATGATAGATGATGATAGGACAATAGGAACGAATCCAATACACAAAAGAGAAAAAAAAAAGTACTTTATTGATATAATGTATAATAAAGGAAGTATAAACACAAACATATATATATAAGATAGGAACAAAAACAAAATATATAAAAAGAAGATGATGATAATGAAAAAAAAGGAGAACTATCACCTATCTATCTAACTATCTAACTATCTATTCATTCTTAAAAGCAAAGGCAGGTTGACCGGGAACAGCGGCTTCAGCTTGTTTGGCTTCTTCTTCAGTCCAATCTTCACTCTTCAAAATCGTCACAGTATTGAATCCAAGGTTGCGCTTGATTTCATCCTTAGCATGTCCAAGAATATCAACTTCACTGAAAAGCAATGCACGATCAAATCCTTCCACACCCCTCTTTTCAACCATTTTCTACAAATAAAAACAGAATCCAGATCAGTAACTATATACAAGTTTCTTCTTTTTTTTTTTTTTTTTACTCACCTTTTGTTCCTGTACAAATGGCATGGTCTTCTTATTTTTAAGGATACCCTTAACACCAAGAATTTCACGAACCTTGACATCATCGAATTTACCAGTGGCCTAAAAAAAAAAAAAAAAAAAAATCAGCAACAGTATGATATCATTATCTTTTTTTTTATATATTTTAATTTCATTCAAACTTACTTGGTCATAGTTAGCCTTGAGTGCAGCAATACAATCTTCTTGCCATTCGGGGAATTTGGTAGCAACAAAGATCTTGAGAGATTTGGGTTGACTTGGGTTATAAGTAACATCATCGGCCTTGCTCTTCTTCTTTTTCTTTTGAGTATTAGCTTCAGCATCACGAATGGATTTGATAGTACGACGGATATAAGTAGTGGCAAGAGAAAGAACTTCATCAACGGGAGCAGATGGTTTGGGGAATGCAGCATCAACAACCATACCATCCTAAGCACAAAAAAAAAAAAAAGATGAATCCATCATACTCTTACAATTCCATTCATTATTACCTTCTTAAGAACATCACGCCAGACATATTCAGCCCAGTGAGGACAGACAGGAGCAATAAGAAGAGTTTGATCAGTGATATAACGCAAGACAAGATCCTTGTGCATACCAATAGTAGAGCAAGCTTGTTGATAATTATCACGAGCAGTTTGGAATTCAAAGACACCATATTTCATAGCATCACGATAATGAGTAAGCTTGTAAGAATGATCAGTTAAAAGAACGTTGTTATTCATTTCATTTTCAAAGATACGATCAAAGAAGTTAAATTCACCAGTGCGGAGAGTATCGATAGACTTGGTTTGTTCTTCACACCATTCCAAAAGTGTGTACAGACGTAAAATAGCAGCGTTGGCAGTGGCATCTTCAAAGTTGGCATCTTCACCAGAATCACCAGCATCAGCAAGAGCAAAGCGAGTAGCATCAGCACCATATTTGATAACAGCATCATTCATCGTCATAAAGTTACCAGTGGACTTGCTCATCTTCTTGGAATCCAACATCAAATGGCCATTGGATCGAACAGCGCGAGGCCACATTTCAGGGGGGAAGATGGCAGTGTGATTGTACAAAAAGAAGGTCAAATGGTTGGGAATCAAATCTTTGCCAGAACAGCGCACATCCAAAGGATAAAAGTATTCATATTCACGACGTAACTTGTCCAAAGTAGCTTGAAGGGGTACATTAGCTTCGTCAGCAGGATAAGTGTCAAGCTTGAAGATATAATCCCAAACACGATCCGTCATTTGTTCAGCAGTGATACCAGCAGGGCCAACTTGAGTACCATTGAGAGAACCTTGATGCAAGAGATGAGAGACAGTGTAATAAGCCATGTAAATGGTAGAATCAGAAAGAGATTCAACCAAGAATTGTTTGTCCCAAGGCAACTTGGTACCAAGACCAAAGCTACGAGCGCAAGCCCACTTATTCAACCAACCAAGCGTTTGTTCAAATTGATGGCGAGTTTCAGGGGTGAAAGTTTCCATACCAGCCAAACACTTTTCAGTTTGAGTTCTCCATTCAGTTTCTCCATAATCGAGGTACCATTGATCCATCAAGGCAACAACACATTCATCTCCAGATCGGGAAATGACCAGTCCTTCAGGTTCGTAGTAAATGAAACCTTCCTTAGATTCAATCAACTTTTCACGGATCTTGCCCTTGGCATCTTGCACCTTCATACCCTTGAATTCACCAGTGATCACAGTACCAAGATAAAAACCTTCCTTATAAGCTAGTTCCTTGGCTTCAGCGAGTTGAGCACGGTCCTTTTGAGAATTGATCTTCTTTAGTTCACACAATTTGGGAGCAGTAAGTTGACCATAAGTAGGAGTTTCGATGACAGGTACAGGTTCGAAATCCACCCATTCAGGTTCCACCTTGTAGAAAGCACTTTTCTTTTTCAAATCTTGTAGAGTAGCAAAATCATCAGGAGAATCTGAAGGAACAGAGGTCACAACACCAGTACCCTAATATATACATCAACAAATGAAAAGAAAAAAAAATCAATCGATACCCTCTTTTTTTTTTTTTTTTGGTTATTTACATACCTTGGTAGGCAAGACATTATCCATAGGAAGCACATAAACAGCAGGATAGGCACTCAAAGGAGCATGAATCTTTGTACCAACCACAGCTTCACCCTTAATATCAGCCAATTTGCGTACAGCACCTTCCTTATCAAAGATTTTTTGGAAAGCCATATTTCGAGCAGCACGTTCAGTCACCAAGAAAGCTTCAGTATCATTGACTTGATAAACACCATAGGAGATATCAGTACCAACAAAACAATTAGTTTGACCATACATTGTTTCAGGACGGAGAGTAGCAGCCACCAAATATACAGTTTTGCCCTTAAGAGCATTTTCGAAAGGAGCAAAGGCTTCCTTGGCAGCCTTGGACCAATCCAATACCTTCATCTTGATACCAGTATATTCTTGAGGATTCAATGCTTCACCAGATTGTCGATCGTGATCCATACAAGGTTGTTGATCCACAATAGAATAGATAGTATAACGTTCACCAAACTTGACTTTTTCCATTTGACGAAGCTTGTTCATTTGCCATCGCACGAAACCATCATAGTAAGGGTTAGCATCAGTAGTGATGAAGCAACGACGCCAATCCACCTTGGAACCAAATGCAGTCATGTCATTGATAGTTTGAGGAGGGAAATATTCAGTCCAATAATAAGGATCAGCAAACTTGTGAATTTCTTCACGAGGAATACCAAGACTAAGCATAATTTGGAATTGATATGTCACATTGCCTGTCTTTGCTGCCACCTTGCTTTTCTTTGCCACAGCTACCTTTTCTTCGAGTTGATTAGAGAGAAGCATTTCTTCATAACGTTCAAAGTTTTTTCCAAACATTTCCAATTCACGAGTCAATTTATCAGCACAGGCCTATATTATTATTATTATATAGATTAAAAAAAATATATATGTAAGTATTTCCTCCATTTTTTTTTCCTTTCTCTTTTTTTTTTTTTTTTTGTGAGTTTTACCTTGATGGGCATACCAGTACAATGGAAACCTTGAGGTAGAAGAGCACGTTTACCCTTCATACGTTCATAACCGACTGCGTAATCAACCTTGGAAAAAGTGAATGCGTGACCCAAATGAAGACGACCGTTCATATAAGGATAAGGCATACAAGCCATAAACTTGGGATAAACAGTATGGATATCGTCACTATTGGCATGTTCTTCGATAGTAGGTGCATTGATTTCAAAAGCTTTGTTGTCATTCCATAGAGTACGAGCTTTGCCTTCCAAATCACGAAGGTAATCACGTTTGGCTGTCTATTTATTAAGATACATCAAAAAAAAAAAAAAGAAATTAGTTTATCTATAAAATAAAAAAAAAAAGTATTATGTATGTATTGTTGTTTTTACTTTTGGAGCTTCGGTAGCCATATTCAATGTTAAAGGGGAAAGAAAAAAAAAAAAAGAACAAAGAAAAAAAAAGGAAAGAAAAAGGAGAAGAACAATTTTTTTTTTTTTTGTTGTGCCTCATACAGATGTGTCAGAGCTGAGAATTAAAAATCGTGGCTTACTTTGGATTGGTTTGTGAAAAGGGACAAATGAACAATCCCAAAAAAAAAAAAAAAAAAAAAGTTACAGTGTTTCGACAAAATACTGGCAGAACGTTTTAAGTGGATGTTATGACTTGGAACCAAATGTAATGAAATGAACAACAAAATTATTTTTTTCTGAATGATTGTTGGATGTCAATTAAAAAAAAATGGGTCAAATATAACAGATTTGATTTGAATGACTTTTGCATCACAATTGATTTGCATATTAAAAGAATATAACACTATCCATCGTCTCTGCGCTATAACATCACATGATACATCATCATTCTTCTATCTTTTATGACTCACTCAAGACTCATCATCATCCAATAAAATTACCACCGTTAGATTCCTCTCAAAAAATTAGTTTAATACCATCTAATATTATTTTATCGCTTACATTACCACCTATCGTATAATGTTCACTAAAAGATTTCGTCGATTTTTTGAAAAAATGCCTGATGATCCCTCGACAATATATTTTTACAGCCAAACTTTGGCTGGGGAGTTCTAAAATTTTGGCTGTAAAATCCAAAAATCGATCCAAATTTCAAACTTTTTTGCATTATAAAAGAGGTAGACATGTTCCCGTTCATACTTTTGTAATTCTCTCAAAAATCATCATCATTGCACCAAATTTGAATTGAACTTAGATTCGATGGTTGCCTTTTCATTGCATTAATAACAATTTATATCTTATCTCCTAATTTGTAGAATAAAATAAAAAATAAAAAAGTTAATTCAGTCATCTCCCGTCTAGTAAGGATCATCATTCAATAAAACTATCATCATTAGATTCCTCTCAAAAAAAAAAAAAAAAGTAATCTATCATCACCAAATGCCATTTTATCGCTTACCTTAATCTACAGTGAGTACATTTCTTCGATTTTTCCAAAAATACCCTGCGGATATCATTTTGATAAATCAATGCTGTCAAGTAAGAAGTATACTCTGCATAATCATCTTTCAAACTAAAAATGAAAATGAAAATGAAAAAAAAGAAAGATGTGATCTGGTAATTGATCACAAAGATTATCAAAAAAAAAAAAAAAAAAAAAAAAAGATAGATCATATTAAATGATGACTTTGTATCTGAAATAAACTGTAGTCTATCCAATATTTTCTGATTCTGTTTGATGTATTAATGGAGAAAGAAAAAAAGTCTAGTTGACGAGATCATATGATCTTTTTTTTTATTTTTGAGAAACAGAAACACATTTATTTTGGTAAACATGTAAAAAAAAAAAAAAAATAAAAAAAAAAAATACTATCTATAAGTCGTCAATAGTAAATAGATTAAAATGATAAATGAAAAAATATACAAACAAAAAAAAAGGAGGAAAATAATACAAAAAAAAAGGAGGGTACAAATAGGATGCAAAATAACAAACAGAAAATAAGAAATTGGATCATTTGACAGAGGATGAAGCGTCTAGTGATGTGGTTGTTGGAATGGAAGGGTCACTGTCAGATGATGGTAAAGGATAATGCTGTTTTCGAAGATTCTCCAAGGTCGTTTGTAACACAGCGGATTGACTTGACATTTCTTGAAGATCATTTTCCAACACTTGATCAAAATCCTCGTATTGTTGTATCTAATTTTTACAAATGTGATCAGTATCAAATAAATATAATTATCTTATTTTTTTTTTTGGTTACCTTCAATGCTAATTTATCAACTACAGTCTTCACAGCTAACCTTGTCCAATGTTGAATTTCTTGATCTTCATAACTAGAAAGTTTTCGAGCTTGAATAGCGGCGGCTTCTAATGCTGCTGAAGTTGCTGACAAAAGGACTTTTTTGGAGAAAGGTGTTGATGTTGTATCTGAATCTTCATCCATATCATCATCATCTTCATCTACATCGATATCTACATCCATTGTCTGATTTTCATCTCCATGTTGTTGATCTGTGTTGTTTTGTTGTTTTTCTTGCAATGTTGCGCTTGCTTGTAAAAGTTCCTTCATGGCGGCTTTTGCTGCTGCCGATCCAACGCCAGGATTCACATGTGCAGCCAAGTAAGCAATCATCGTCATCACCGGGTTAGCAGTATTCGCAAACGGGAGTTGATCTTGTTCCTTGCTAGATAATTTTGATGTAAGAAAGTCGTCGGTGATAGGCATTTGTAAAAATTGAGTGATACATTGTTCTTTGGATCTACTACCAACATGCTCGGATACCATAAGCCAATCATCATCGTATTGATCCATTCCTTCCAATAACAATAGTATTTCTTCATCTGTCCAATCTTCATCTACATCCTGTTCGCTGCTAATCATGCTGCTGCCAATGAGATTATTGCCGTTGTTGTTATTATTGCTATTGCTGCCAATATTACTGTCATTGGTTTCGTCCATTCGCACAAAGTCGCTGCTGGCGTATACCGCTGTAAACCTTCCATGGACAAAACAATCAATACATAAATGAAGATCCAATCGTTTGATACATTGATATCGAATGGCACTACAATCCGCGAGACAGTTTTTACATCTATATATCTTTCGACCATCCAAATTGTTTGCTTCTTCCGCCATGACATTCCATGTACTACTGGTTTTGCGAGATTTGACTGAATCATATATAAGTTTGCGTAAATAATGAATGTCCACCTTTTTTACAGGTTCCAAGTGTCGATGTAAGTTGAATTCAGGGTATGCATCTGGTTCACTATCTATGGTTGGATCATAAAGATGAAGGCGAGGATCATTCTATTTTTTTTTTAAAAAAAAAAAAAAAAAAAAAAAAAAAAAAAAAGACAGAGAAAGGAAAACTAAGCATGCAAAATATCAATATATATATATATGCTTACCTGAACGTTGATCACTTTGTATAACTCCAAAAAACTATGTAATCGAACAAGTGACACAGTATCGGCATTTGGGAAGGCTTTCTTACAAGCTGAGATTGTAACAAAATAGGAAGGGTTTGATCGATATTGTTCCACCATATAATTTCGATATTGGATGTATTCTTTTTCATGAGCATCAAAGAATTCAGGAAGTGCCAGCTTCTCCATTTCATTCACTTTGTCCATATCAAACCAAGTAGGAGTATATAAATTTGAATAACACTGAGGTTGAGTATTGCATAACGAATATAAATCTTTGATAAAGAACAGTAATAATAATAAAAAAAAAAGTGTATGTTAGTTGGTATTTTCCTTATAATAATAATAATAAAAAAAAAAAACTTACCATCGCCATCTGTCATTCCTTCTTTGTCCTTTTCCAACTTGCCATTTGGAACCATAGTTGCTGAGGTGTTTGGGAATTGGATATGTTGACTGGTGTATTGAGAAATATTGCTAATGTCACCATTCATATATGGTTCAAATTCATTCTTCCTTTGGCGACTTCCAGGTGTTGGGCGTTCAATATCCACATCTCTAATAAGAACCACAGGTTGAGCAGAAGAGTCCAGTATTGGTAATTCCGTAGATTGTATGAATGTACGCTCGCCATTGTTGTCATGAGTACCTTCGTCGTCATATGTACTTGATGTATCCATAAATACTTCACATGCTTTTCTTTTTGGTGATCGCCTTACTGTGTTTGTTGATGTACTACTAACATTCACTTGTGCTGTACTGGTGTCCGTTGGTGTTGTAGTATCATAGTCATCATTGTCCACTTCGTCTTCCTCTTCTTCCTCTTCTTCGTCGTCTTCTTCTTCGATCTCTTCGTCAATTTCTTCTTCCTCTTCACCTTCAACGTCTTCAACAACAGAGTCGGTATCTACGTCTTCGTAATCTTCTTCATTCATCATTTCGTTAAATTTGACTGTATCTTGTAACCATCGGCAGGTCAAATGCCAAGCGCCAGTATGTACGGGAGGTTCTTCAGGATCGGCAAATTGCTCTGTTTGCGTTAACCAACTGTCATAAGAATCAGGATAATACCACCAATGAACAAGAACTTTATTATCTTGCTTTTCCAAAGTTCGAAACCAATCTTCTTCCATTCCATTATACTCGTGTAAAGCACCATGTAAAATATGAGAAGGACTATCTTGTCGATCCACTACATTAGCTAAAGAAATAATAATAATAATAATAATAATAATAGAATCGTATTAATGATTGTATTTTCACACTCGTTTATGTTTTTCTAAAAAAAAAAAAAAAAAAAAAAAAAAAAAGAAGAGTACTTACCACCAATCTTCCTGACAAGTGTTTTTAATGACTTTTTCGCTGATTCTGTCACAGAGCCACTAAAAGCAATTCTTGGAGGTTGAATAAAACCTTGCTTAATCAAAGCTTCTCTTATAACCTGAATCAATTCCACATTCTTTGCCTTTTTAGCTGGATTGTGCCATTCCCATTTTCTCCAGTTGTGTTTAAGTCGAAAAGTATATGCTGCAAGTAACATGGTGTAAATTGGATGGTGTTCGTTCAAACTAGTATGTTGTTGTTGTTGTTTTTTCTTGGTTATTTTGTTGGTATTATGAAGAGATCGATGATCCATTTTGAATAATTTTGCTGGAATACGTAAAGGAGCATGATTTGCTTTGTTGAAAACGCCAAGATTATCTTGTTGAAATTGTTGAAGTTGACCCAAAAAGATGGAAAGTTCACGAGCTTCAAAACCACCAAGATCACGTCGTTGAGGTTGTAGTTCAGATAAAAGTAAAGCATGTAATGGTTCAAAACATGATACTATTTCATCGGACTCGTAATATTTTTGATCCAAAGATGCTTTCTTAGGATTGCGTCCCGTCATATAAAATATATGTGTATATAAAATAAATTAAAAAAAAAAAAAAGAGGGTATGAAATCGTATATGCAAAAAGTAAAAAAAAAAAAAAAAAAAAAAAAAAAAAAAAAAAAAGAGAAAAATTCCAGCTTTATTATTTTGCCTCCAAAAAGTCACGGCTAATTTCTCCTCCGCTATTGCCATTTTTGAAGAAAAAGAATGTATACGAAATAGATGAAAATGTGAATATCTCAACGAAAAATAAACATAAAAAGCTCAAATCAATTGCAAATCCATCATCAAATGATAATAAATCTGAATAATAAAAAATATTGAGGAAACTGTTATAAAAATAATGAAAAAATGGAAGAAAATAATTAAATCCGAGCCATTTTCGAATTTCATGATGATTTTTTTCGAACAAATATTCTTCCCATGTGGTCTAGTGGCTAGGATCCCACGTTCTCACCGTGGTGGCCGGGGTTCAATTCCCCGCATGGGAGTGGCTTAAACTCTTTTTTACCGATTTTTCCCATGATTTCCAGTAAGAATTGGTGAAATGTTTAGTTTGCATATATATATTGTTAAAGATTTTTTTTGTACTGTTAAGTGATTTTTTTGTTTATAGGTTCAAAATTGAAAAAGTAATTCGGATGATTGAAAGAGAATAAGTTGTTTAGTGAGCACCAGTACTTGATTACGCAAGCACACGTATAAGAAAAGAGATAAAATAAAACAAAAAGTAAAGTAAAGAAAAATAAAGTCTTGTTCCAAATTTGGAAAATAGAAGTAGAGTAAAATTGTTCTGACTTTAAATATAGAACAAAGTGAGCCAATCAAAATGAATAATCCACAATACAGTTAAGTAGGGATGAAAAGATAATTTTTATCAAAATATTTTTTTTTTAAAAAAAAAAAAAAAAAAAAAAGGAAAAAAAATGGGTCAAGGTGTCGACGAACAAAGAGCTCATGAATTAACGAGATTTTGATGACGGAGGGTAAATGGATGAGAGTCAACATTTTTTTCTTTTCTCTCTTTTTTTTTTTATTTTTTTTATTATTATTATTTTATTATTTTTTATTATTATTATTTTATTATTATTATTATTATTATTTTATTATTATTATTTTTTTTTATTATTATTCTTATTATTTTATTATTATTCTTATTATTTTATTATTATTATTTTTTATATATAACAAATGAGTTGAAAAGAGGAAATATTTGACGCTTCTTTAGCGCTATTGATTTTTTTTTTTTTGGATCACATTGATGAACTTATATTTTTGATGTAAATTATAATATTAGCCTTGATGATTGTTTATATAAATCATTAAGATGATGATATAAAAGTAATCAAGTTTGCAAACTATACTTTTTCAAATGATTGAAATGACAAAATAGAGAAAAAATCAGTAATCGAGATTATTTCCCTTTTTTTTTTTTTTTTTTTTTTTTTTGTGATAAACTTATTTATATACATATAGAATGAATGGATGGTATAAGATCATTTGACTTTATTTATAAATTTACAAGATATGAATACATATACAGTATGTGTATAAAGATGAAAGAAGGAAATGATACAAATAAAGTGAAAGAGGTATACAAAGATGCAACTATACTATTTTGATAAAGATGATGAGAATGAATGACGATAGATGATAAAATGATAATAATAATATGTATGAATACAAAAATGTAAATAAAAAAAAATCAATCATTAAAAAAAAAAATGGATGATTTCATGCCCATAATCCAATCAAAGCCATCAGACCAGCACCAACATACATCGATATAAAAGAAACCAATTTACGTTGCCAAGAGGATCTTCTGAAATCGTCATTCTGGTTGATTTCGGTACTCATTAAAGAGACATAAGCATTATACAAGAGAATACCGGCTGATAAAGAATCCAAAATAGCACTGGCCAAAACACTAGAAGGTGAATTGGGATTGAATGAAGAATGAATACCAATACCAATGGAAATGCCGATAGGTGTCATGATAATATATAAAAGTCCCATGATCAAAGGACGCATCCATCCAACATGTACCAATTCATTGACTCGAGTTCCTAAAGCAATACCTTCAAAGAACTTTTTTTTTTTTTTTTTATAAATCCCGAGTAGAAAAGAAAAAAAAAATGAGTATAATTTCCCAATCTATAAAATAATATTATTACCTGATGAAAAACCAAAGCAATCAAAAGTGTTACAAATTGACTAGATTGAGTATTTGCCAACGTGATGCCAATAATAATAGAATGCATAACAATCCCAAGTTCCAATATAATTGTGTTGATATCTTTGAATGCATTTTCGGTTTCCAATAAACCTGCACTGTGCACATGACCAGAATGATGATGATTTTCAAGTTGTTCTTGATTCTTTTCTGAACTAGTACCTGTTGCTGAATCAAGTGAATCCATTCGTTGTATTGTTGTACATTCATTGATATTATTCACCTTGCTGAATTGTTGACGTTCACAATCATTCGAGTTTCTATTTGTTTGTCCTTTTTGTTTATTAATCAATCGATCCACATTGCTGACAGCAGCCAATTCCAATAATTGAAGAGCAAATGAAGATATCATACAAAAAACACCAGCAAAAGAACCATATACTTTCCAACCTTCATCAAGACAAGGACTAGCGAAGTTTGACATTGCTTCAGGAAATAAATGAACGAAAGCTGTGGCTAATAATACACCTGTACCAACTAATGAAACAAAAAAATCATCATCAGTTTCATTCTCAAGACTAATTTGCCTATTGAGTATACTTACAAAATTTGCCAATAGTCAATATCCAATCTTGTACACTACCTTTACCATAAGGTCGAATATGATGTATAATCATAGGTGTGAAAGTGCCTTATAAGATATACAAGTTAGACAACATTTTTTTTTATTTATTTTATTTATTACCAATACCACTGGTGATAAGGACAATAAAAATAGATCCCACTCTTAAATTCATTCTATAGTCGTCAAGAGATTGAGGGGCACATTCGTCAGCTTCGGTTTAGTGAATAATAAAAAAAAAAAAAAAAAAAAAAAAAAAAAGAAAAGAAAAAAGTCAATAGCGTGTTACAAAAAAGGTACGTCAAATACCATTTATAGTTTACCTTGTTGAGCCTGAACAGTGGAGAATAATAACCATATGAAAATAAAGCATGAGAAACGAATACTCATGTTGTATATAGAAAGGAAAAAAAAAAATAGAAAAGAGTGGGAGAGAGAGAGAGAGAAGGAAGAAGAAAAAGAAAAAAAAAGAAAAAGAAAAAAAAAAAATAAGAAAAAACAAAGAATGGAAAATATAAAAGGAAAGAACAAAGTAAGGAAAACTTTTTTTTTTGTCTCGGATATGGAAGAAAATGGCCAATAAAATGTATAAATTTCAAGCTGGTGATACTATCAAAAATTTCGATCGCAAGTCACAGCGTTCTTTTTTGTTTTTTTTTGAATATCGTCATTGAATTTGTATCATTTCAGCATAAAACGGAGAACAATATATATATCTCATATATGAAACACCTGAGTATCATTCTATGATCTTATAACATTTTTTGATTTTCCAAAACAAAAAAAAAAAAAAACTTTACCCCTTGGGGTAGATGGTAGAAAATTAAGTCTATACTTGAGCGGTTATTGAAAATCAAACCTACCCAGTTTTTCTTTCCTTTTTTTTCCCTTCTTCTTCTTCTTATTTATCCTATTATTTATATCCATTATTTAACACATGACGTTTGATACAGAACTTGATACTACAATACCAAAAGATATTTGGGTCTTTGGTTATGGTTCTTTGATTTGGAAACCTCCTATACATTATGAAGCCAAGTAAGTATCTCTCTATTTATCAACTTAGTAGTTCTTAACTTTATTATTATTATTATTATTATTACTAATAGAGTCATAGGATATATTAAGAATTATGTTCGTCGGTTTTGGCAGGTAAGAAAAGCGAAAAAAAAAAAAAAAAAGAATGAGTTTTTTCTTTTTTTTTATACAATCAAATTTATCTTTTTTTCTTTTTTGAATATATCCTTTAGGCAAGTCATGATCATCGAGGTACTCCAGAAAAACCTGGTCGTGTTGTTACATTAATCCCTTATGATGAATGGAAACTAACTGAAGATGTGGTAAATATTGAATTTTATATATTTATTTTATTCATTCTATTAACCATATGATTATTATTATTATTATTATTTTGGTGGTAGCATGGACATGATAATGTTACTTGGGGTGTTGCATTTAAAATCCCATCAACAGATGTAGAAGCAACTCGTGCATATCTTGATCATCGAGAAAAGGTAAGAAAAGAGAATATATTTTTATGAATCAGATCTTATAGAAATCTTATGATGATGATAGAATGGATATACGGTTCATACTGTGGATATTTATAGTGCAGAAAATGATCTTGTACCTGCTGTCAAATCTGTAAGTAATTACAAAAAAAAATAGATGCAGTTATTTCTTATGATGAATCATTTGATTTCTTACTATTTGTTTACATTAGGCTATGGTTTATATTGCAACAACGAATAATGAAGCTTATGTTGGACCAGCACCTATGGAAAAAATTGCCCAACAAATATATGAAACATATGGTAAAAAAAATCAAGAAAAATGAAATGTTATATTCCAAATATTTGTTTGATTGACGTATTATTATGATTTTTTTTTAAAAATTTTAATTTTAATAGGACCTTCTGGATGGAATGCAGAATATTTGTTAAATTTAGCCGTCGCTCTTCGAGAAATATCACCTGAAGCTAAAGATGATCATTTGTTTGAATTGGAACGTCGTGTTAAACACTTGATCAACTCCAATCCTCAATCTTAGTTAGTTAACTTGAAACTTGTTACGAACTGCCTTTCTATAGAATAGATCTACCCCTTTTCTTTTTTAATCACATCTTGTCCACCTGTATAAAAAATAGAATATCATTATTCCCATACATCCTTTTATTTAGATATTCATATACATAACTAGTTCACACTGATCTCAATACAATACAATAAAAAAATACTATTTAATGATATTGATGATTATTATCTTTCAAAAAATATCAACACATTTGTTCCAAACTATATAAATATATAAATACAACATACCGCTCTTTTTTATTTATTTATTTCCATCAGTCAATAAACTACACAATACAAAATAGGGGAATCATAAAAAAAAAAAAAAAGGAACCATCATCATCATAAATCATCCACTAGTAAGTAAAGCACAAATGCGACCATAAAGGATCCAATACCACAGAGCATAGTCAAAGGAATAGGTCTTTTCATTGTTGCTATAGTATGTGTCATCAAGTTGCTTGTTCTTTTTCTATCATTGTTGTCCACTTCACTTTCTGGAAGTACGTTTATTACCAAATGATTGTGTTGATGCTGCTGATGATCATAATCAATTTCTTGTTCATTGTTGAATCCGTTCATTCCAAAATGATCGGGTTGATCAAATAGAGTCGTAAGATGTAACCATATTTTGAAAATCATTCTGAGTATACGTGATGATGAATATGAGGATGAATAAATTCCTTTGTCCTGAGAGGTTGGAGGAAGACGAGTTGGGTAATTATCAGATTGTAATTTTGTTGATGTGACGCCTTGATCTAGGCAGCAATAGTCATCTTTCAAGCTTGTTCTTGATGTTATTTCCAACAAGGGCGTACGTTCACTTGGAGAGTACCTGGGCGATGATAATTGAATAGTGAGTTTTATGTTGGTGCTGCTATCATTTTCGTCATTATGAAAATCCATTGACTGTCGAGATGATGTCGTGGAAGACGTCAAACCATTTTCAATATCTTTTTTATAATGATCAGATGGCGAAGATCGTTGTTGTTGCTCTTTTGTAGATTCAATGGAAGTATTTGTTGTGCTCATAGGCTCTGGTGTGGATGCTCGTATATTGTTTCGATCTGGTATGTTTTTGCCGCTTTTACTAGAAGATGCTGTGAGTGTAGTGTTGCAAAAGCTCCATGGCGCTGTTGTTGCATCGTTAGTACTATCCTGGCTACTGCTCTTATTGCTACGTTGTCGTCGCTGTCGATGATGATGGTGATCTTGATGATAAGTACGTCCCATTCCTGACAAGTATCCTTGATTGTCAGTTCGGCGCAAATCCCATTTCAATTTTTTATGCTAATTAATATATTATAAAAAAAAGTTAGAAATAACCATTCCCTTTTTTTTTTTTTTTTTTGGTATTTACCCAATGTGGATGGACGATCGCTTTGTTTGGTAAAAGGGTACTGATTCCATGAAGATACAAAGAGAAATCTTGAACCGGTTCCAGCTAAAAGTAATGATCAACAAAGTAAACAAATGAGTAAATGCCCCCCTTTCTCTTTGATATTTTATTTCTTCTTTTTACTCACCAGAGGACAAGATAAGAATCTTTTGAACCAATATAAAGAAGCAGTGGTAGGCGAGGATGATTTAACAGTAGTGAAAACATCAAGATCCTGCGAAAGATTGATTTGTATCACAGCAAAAGGAAAGCGAGTGACACTATTGGGTGGTAGAGTAATACAGGGATAATCATCTTGATATGCTGGTGTACCTTTCATCACTTGATTGATATCATATGGTGCCATAGTAATGTCAGTGTCGATAGTAATTGTCATTTGCTTATATTGTTGATCATCACATCCATTTCCTGAAAGAGTAGTTCCATTTTGTTGATCCTTCCATTTGAAACCCATGCGATTGTATGATGATTTCAATACTGTCAATATACGTATATAAATATCATCCGTAATGCGAAACAATCAAGAAAGAAAGAAAAAAAAAAAAGAAAGATGAATAAAAGTAATAAGAAAAAGATGTAACTTTTTTTTTTTTTTTTTTTTTTTTTTTAGATGAATAAAAGTAATAAGAAAAAGATGTAACTTTTTTTTTTTTTTTTTACCTGGTATCAGATTGAGTGCTCGTAAATCTTGTTCCATCTCCATCACCTTTTGTTCAACAAGTTCCTCATCAGTTCCACAATTTTTGTATTTCTTGTAATAATAATAACGATGAGGATATTTTGATGAAGACTTGTCCAAGATATTTAAGAGAGACCATTGATGATTCAACCAAGGTTTGCATCGCTTCGACTTGATCCAGATACGACTATACAACATGGAAGAATAATGTGAAGGAATGATATTACCATAGTGTTGAAGTTGTTCCATACTTGTCGACTCGTCGTCATCATTTATAAAATTGTCAACTTCCATTGTGGTGGCATCCGATGATAGGTTAGTAATGATGGATGTAGCACTGCAAGCTGGAATAAGAGATTGACCTTGATTGTTGATATCATTGCCGATGGTTGTGGATGACGGTCGATCATATCGTCGTTGATATTGTTGATAGTAATATGGCTTTTTACCTAACTTTTTATTTCTGTCAACAGTAGACATAGCCCTGGAGTTTGGCGGTGATGGTAACACCGATGATGATGATTCATTGGACATGTATACTTTCTTCTCCAAGGCGTAAAAGGTGGTGGTGGAAGAGTCGTTATCACTTTTTTTGACTGTAGCGCTTTCATCATTGTTGTTAACACTACCATTGTGGTATTGTCGTAGTCGTAGATGGGCTATCGTTCCTTTGCTGGTAAGTGAAGGGTCATCATTGCACTGTGTAACATGCTGTGTATAGTTTGATAGATCAGGTGTATCCAAATGTATAGTGGTAACGTATTGACCATGACGTCTTTCGTTTTTTGATGCGGAATATTGTTGGTGGAGCGCGTCGTCATGATGAGGAATATGTTCAGGATTGTCAATTTCATACTTTGCTGCTGGATAAAAAGCATTATAATGATTTGTAACCTCCATGAATTTTGCTAGATACATGATGACTTCCAATATATTGTCGGGATGAATCCAAAATTTCAATGTATTACCGGTAGAACAAGTTGAATGATCATCTATGTTGTCATCGGAATTGTTTGAATGAACTGTGGTTTCATCGATCTGAGATTGGTGTGAAGATACACCAGTACAAAATGAATCGCGATCCGAGTAGGAGGAGGAAGTTGGTGACAAATGATCAAGACATGTCGTTGGGCCACTGATAGGAGATGATGGTGGTGGTGGAATAGATAGAGTCATTGCTGCTTGAGGTAAATCAGTTGATGGAAGAGAGTAAGTGGAGATATTGTAAAAGTCACCAGTCATATCAAATTTTGTAAGATAGGTAATTGGAGATGTGATGTCAGATAGTGAAAGCAGATCAGACTGTCCAAAGTAATTCCCAACATCATTCATACAAGTAGTAGCAAGTTGAAGATCCGTACAACCTGAATAAAGACGATGTCGATATAGTTCCCCAAGGTCTAAAGCCCATCGTAAGAATAGATCCAAATCCAAAAATTGGTGCGGTAATAATAGACGGTAAAGTTTTTGTAGAAAAAGATTTGTTTTCATTCGATCATATTGTTGATGATTGTTGTTTTCGATAGCTGTATCAAGATGATAGACAATAGCCAAAAAAGCGCGATAATTTAACTTGATAAAATGCCATAAATCTTGAATATCATATGTCAATTCATCCAATGTATCACGCATATCCATATAGCTGTCCAGTGTTTGGATGGAAGAAGATGAACAATTAATAAATGTCAATCTTCGATCAATTTCACCACCTTTGACAGTACAAAAATCGTGCACCTATGATAATAATATTAATAATAAGTAATGTTTTTCTTTTTTTTTTTTTTCTTTTTTTTACCTTATTCAATTCGAATATAAAAGTTTTAAAAAAAGATATTTGATACTGAGGTTCAAATTGGTAGTACAGGACAAAGTTGCTTGATTTGATCAGGTTTTCATAATCCAAATAAAAGAATCGCCAAATAGAAAAACGTAATCGATATAATTCTTGTTTCAAACTATCAAGTGTAGTATCTTGATTATAAATGGCCAATATATCAGATAAATGGACGAGATGAATCTTATGTTGAGAAATAAGTAAATTGGGAATTTGTTGAAAAAGGGAATCAAATGATTGAGTTTGAATATCAACATCAATAATAATAGGAGCCACCATATGTTTTTATAATAAAAAAATAAAAAAAAATAATAATAAAAAAAGTAGAAAAATAAAAATACAGGAAAAAGATGGAAAACGGAAAGAGAAAGAAAAAAAGAAAGAAAGTTCATTGGCTTTTTCCTTTAACATTGTAACTTTCAAATGCCGTTCATCACTTTGAGAAAAATGTTTCGTGTGCAATCCAAGTCTCATCAAATCTGTCATTATTATTAAAAAGAAAACATTAAAAAGATAATATCGTAAATGACCTTAATAAAATAATCATTGTATTTCATCATAAGTTTCGATAGTAAATGAGACTATATCACTAATAAACTACTTCTATTACTACTAATGCTTAATAACTATGATCACACAAAGGAATGTAAAAAAAATAATAATCAAACATCATAGGGTGTTAAACTCTAAAATTGAACGACGACATCATCTTGTAAACAATCTTTTCAAAAAATGGCATGGGCAGCTTCACTTCCAACTAGATGTAACAATAACAAAAAAAAAAAAGACAAAAAGATGAGACATCAAAATATTTTTGCGCCTTCTAACAAAAACAAACACTTCATTTCTTTCATTTACGTGTTGCACCAAATCCAAGAGTGGCAGCATTGGCGATTTGTCCACCCACTTTAGACATCATCCCCGATGCTTTGCTAGCTGCTGATCCTGATGCTTGTTGCTCAGGCACAGGTTGCGCAACTGGAGGAGGCACCGCATAATTGTTGTTATATTGTTGTTGTTGTGGTGGTGGTGGTGGATATCCATAAGAAGCGCTGGGAGGTGCGTTGGAATAAGATGGTGCTGTTGTAGGTGGTGGTGGATAAGCATAAGTATTACCAGCTGAAGGAGGTGGTGGTGGAGGCATCGAGTTTCTAGCGGGTGTTGAAGGAGGAGTAGGCTTTTCTTGACGTGGAGCTCTAAAAAAAAAAAAAGTTACATGATTTTTTTCTTTCTTTCTTTTTTCCTTTTTTTTTTCTTTTGTTATTGATACTTACGCTCTCTTTTGTACATAAGAGCTAGGGAATAATCCAGTTCGACCATTGAGAGTACCTCTCCACCAATCATTGTTCACTATTATAATAAAATCAATGATTAGATGATCATTAATTAATACCTTTTTTTTCCCTTACCATGTTCATTGACTTGAATAATATCACCACGATGGAAACTTAAATCTTCTGCGTTTTGACCCTGGAAATCATATAAGGCTTCAACAGTTTCCGAAGAAATAGCTGTAGCATAATTGGGTGGAGGAGGAGGTTGAGTTGTTGAACTATTGTAAGTAGAACCAGGTGAAGGCATAGTAGCTTTGCTGGCATAGGGAGAACCACTAGTATAAGAAGGAGTGGTATTGTGCAATTGAGGAGGTAATATACGGAGAATATCGTCATACGCTTGATTGCTTATGTATTGCTGAGATTTCAAAAAAGACAAATCCTTTTGAATTGATTGAAGTACGTGGTTGGCTAGCGCAACGTTATCCCTGGAAGTCATTGTTGTTGTTATTTTCGAGCTTGAAGAGAAGAAGACGTTCAAAAAAAAAAAAAGAAAGAAAGAAAGAAAGAAAGTAAATAAATAAAGGAAGAAAGAAAAAAGAAAGAAAGGAAAAAGAAAGAGTAATAGCCGAAAAGCCGAAGCCCCGAAAATGCCAAGACCAAAAACCTAACACGCATAGACTCCGGAGAGATGAGTGTTTTTCCTTTTTTTTTTTTTTTTTTTTTTTTATCAAATTATTATTTCCCAATAGAATAATATCTTCACAAGTTTAAATTACTTTTTGAGGTAGACATCATTTCTTCGATTGAGTAAGGGACATTCATTCAGTTGTGACCAAAGAAACTCCCCTGAAACTAGGATTTGCTTGAACTGCTGAATTTCAAAAAAAAAGTAAAAATAAAAAAAATGAGACAATTGCTCCCTCCAAGCCTCTTGTTCACTCTCTCTCTCTTTTTTTTTTTCTTTCTCTCTTTTCACTTTCAACTTTTAGAAACTAATGGCTACTAATCAAGAATTGATAGAAGATATTATCTATTGTTCTCGTTATGGTGAACTTGAAGATTTAAAACAATCAAACGCGTCACCTGAATTATATATTACAAAGGATGAAAATGGCAATACTGCTTTACACATGGCATCTGCCAACAACCATATTGGTAAAAGTTAAATATGAAATTGAATATTCATTATTCTTACTATATATATTATATTATTTCTGATTTTTATAGATATTGTGAATTTTATTTTGGAACGATTACAAACACTTGGTACTTCAAACTTATCTGAATTTATCAATGTACAAAACGAACAAGGAAATACACCTCTTCATTGGGCTGCACTTAATGGACATTTAGAAGTAGTACAGGCTTTGGTAAATAACGGAGGAGATTGCAAGGTAAAAAAAAAAAAAAATTAATTGATTTGTCTTTTTAACTAATCTTTTATTATTATTAATTAGATCAAGAACAGATCAGAAAAGACACCTATTTATGAAGCACAACAAAGAAATCACGAAAAAATTGCAGAATTCTTCCTTGATACCATGATTGAAGAAGCAAAGGATGAAAGCGATGAAGATATGGATGAAGATGAACAATATGTTGAAACTGGTGTTCCCAAAGAAGATCCTATGAAAGAATAGATCAACTTTTTTTTTATTTATTTATTATCATCAATTGTTATTATCATCATTTACTATTTTATCATATTATCATATTATCTATATATATATTCACTATAGCATTCATACACATTATTATCATTTCAATAGTCATCTTTTTTTTTTTTTTTGTTTCAAAGCTAACCTTTATATAACAGTTAATAAAAAATCTCCAGTCCCTTCTTTTGACAGTTTTGCCATCTCGGTTTTCTATTGGCCCATATTACTACATTTTTTCAGTCACGTACCCCACCATAAAAAGGTTGTTTCTCCTGTCTCTCAACCCCCGCGCCTTTTACCTTATTCCCCTCATCCTTCTTTCCTTTTTCTTTTCCTTTTTTTTTTTTTTTTTTTTACCTTCATCCACGACAACCGTCCCCTTCTTGTCCTCTTCACATTTTGATCTCGACTGTCGTTTTCTTTCTTTCTTTCTTTCTCTTTCTCTCTTTTTATATATATATATATCTCACTCATCGTTTTACATTCGTGTGTATATTCAAATAACAACAACAACAAAAAAAAAAGTTTTATCTCATCATATCCTATCCAACCTACGTAATTCTTTAACGAAAACAAAAAAAAAAAACCAACACAATCTCATTGATACGAACTTTTTTCTCACAAAGTAAATATATATAAAAAAAAAAAAAGAGAACAGCGATATATAAAATAAACTATCTTGAACTTACTTTATTTTATTTTCCATTTGGTAAAACAATAGGTACCTGTTTACAATATCATGTCTCAATCTCCCATAAACAACTCTACTGACCAACTTGATGATCAGTACTCAAAACAAACTTATCCTCAACCAGATGTGACTACTCATACTGAAGAAGACGATGGTCTTTTGACTTTACGTGCCTTAGTATCTACCAAAGAAGCCGGTGTAATCATTGGCAAAGGTAAAAATTATTATTGATAACAAAAAATAGTATGATATTAACTTAACCTGATCTTTTTTTTTATATGTATAGCTGGGAAGAATGTTGCTGAACTTCGTGAAGCTACTGGTGTCAAAGCTGGTGTCTCCAAAGTGGTGACTGGTGTTCATGATCGTGTCTTGACTATTACTGGTACTCTAGAAGGTGTTGCCAAGGTAAAAAATAAATAAAGAAAAAAAAATCAAATGATGAAATACAATATCAATCTTTTTTTTTTTTAATAGGCTTATTCTTCTATGGCTCAAACTTTATTGGATAATCCCATTACTACTGTCACTCCACCTATTTCTCCTGTTACTCCATCTCGTAATAATGCAAAGGCTGTAACTACTCTTCGTCTCTTGATCTCACATAATTTGATGGGTACTGTGATTGGACGTCAAGGAGCCAAGATCAAACATATTCAAGATACATCAAACGTACGTATGACTGCATCCAAATCTATCTTACCTCAAAGTACGGAACGTGTGGTGGAAGTACGAGGAACAGTTGAAGGACTTCATATGGCATTACTGGAAATTGGACGTTGTTTGATGGAAGATAAGGAACGTGCATATGGCACTATTCTTTATAATCCAACCAAAGCTGGTGTTGCCTCTGCTGTTACTGCCAATGGTGATCATCATCGTCGTGGATCGGTGACTCGTGGTGGAAATGGTTTGGAATTCGATAATGATGGTTATCAAGATGGTTCTGTCAATGGTGGTGACCGTCGTCGATCTTCTCATGCTGCCTTTTTGGATGATCCTAATGTCCGTACTCAACATATCTCTATTCCCAGTGACATGGTTGGCTGCATCATCGGTAAAGGTGGTTCGAAAATCTCGGATATTCGTCGATTATCTGGTTCTCGTATCTCCATTGCAAAAATCCCTCATGATGAAACTGGTGAACGTATGTTTACTATTCAAGGTACTGCCGAAGCTAATGAGCGCGCTCTCTATTTACTCTATGGTCAATTGGAATCTGAAAAGGAACGACGTCTCCAAGGTGTGATCCATGAAGAAGTTTTGGAAGAAGAAGAACAACAACAACAAGAAGAACCTCGACAAGAATAACCTTGAGAATCTTTTATATAGTATAGTTACTTCTTTTTGACTACTATTTTTTTTCATTGTGAATACCTTTTTATATATATTATTATCATTATTCTTTCTTTTTTCTTTTTATTATATTGTTTTATTATCATGAATGATCCTTTCTTTTCCTTTTTTTTTTTTTTTTTTGACGATCAATCACATTTCTCTTCCTAAAAAGTTTTATATGATTTCGATCTTCCTCTTTTTTCACATCATTTTACTCCACGCAAATATATATATATATATATATACTCTGCTCTAGCCCTCCAAAGAAAAAAAAAAAAAACGATCATGTACACATATTTCAATAAAATAGTATGAAATGACCCTTTCTTTAATGGATGTTTTTGAATGTTTTGTTTTATTTGATATTCAATACAGAAACAAATATATATATATCAAGTAACTAGATTAATGGTTTAATTCCAGGTTGCATAATATAATCCATCCATGTTAATACCCGAGTTGACGCCACAGTGACCATAGTATCACGATTTGGTAAAAAGACGGATTGAGAAATTCGACTTGATTTGGAAATACCTGATATACCTAATGAATGATTTGTCAGGTATAATCTACTTGATTTTTTTTTTTTTTTTTTTTTTTTTTTACCTTGCATTTCAACAGTAAAAGATGGACCTTTCGACACATTTATATAACGCATATCCCTAAAGTTATCAGCCCATATGAAGAAAAAAAAAAAGAAAGATGAATTGGATATCTTTTCATTATTGCTCAATCGATACAAATCTAACTTACCAAAATTTAAGTCTAGGATCTGCTTGACTACCACATACCACAGTATACCCATTGCCATGCCAGTCTGGTCTTATATACCTTGAAAGATTTTCATCCTCTACAGATCCAAATTGTAAGCAAATCTCTTTTGATCCAACACAACGTTTATCAACCAGACAAAACTGATCAGTCTTCCTTGACAAACTATTATATAAACGAAATAAAATAGATATAATCTGTCAGATGGCAGTTTTTTTTTTTTTTTAATTTCATGATATACCTTATGAGTAAATTGTTGGGAGTTGCTGCATTTGAGTTGATGTGATTCACCTATCAAAAAGATACGAATAATAAACTGTATTAATCATCCGTAGGCAATATTAATAAATGTATCCTATTTCTTACCCTATTTTCAAATTTCGTTTCAAACGTAGGTATTTCTTTCTTCAAATCATAGCCACATAATCGATAATCAGCAGACCCCGAGAAGAGTGTATCTGTATCCTTGTCAACATAGAGTGCTTGGATTCTGCTTGTATGTCGAATATGTAATGGATGTAATGTTTCAACATAATCTCCACTTGGTCCATCACGAGTCAATTTCCAAAGATACTATACAAAACATGTCTTGTCAATATAATTTATTCTTTTTTTTTTTTTTTTTTTAGATGAATATATTCATAGATAACTTACCGCTGTTTTATCAATACCAGCCGTCACAAAAGATGATCCATCTTGCATTGAATTTGTGCCAAAATCAGAACCAACAGAAGCTATAACAGCGAGACCTTTTTCATGAGGTTTGTTCATCAGAGTACGAATACATCCTTCGACATTATCCTAATATATATAAGGTTACAAAAAAAAAAAGTACAAAAAAAAAAAAAGTGATCACTAAATTAGTTAATCGCCTACAACACGAGATCTCTTTTTCTTTTTTTTTTTCTCTCTTTTTTTTTGGTATTTTACCTTATTTGATGATATGATATCAACTACAACGACAGATTGTTCAATTGTTCCTGGTTCACCTTTCACCGCAGGTATCATTGCCAAAGTTGTTTCTGAAGACCAACACATATCTTCAATCCAGGTATTCTTGAATATGATATCACTTCCTAGAGCCTTGACTTTTTTCCTGTATTTTGTATCCCTATAGTATATAATGGTCACGACAAAAAAAAAAAAATAATTATTACTATCCCTATACTCACTTATCATGACTTTATGCGTCTTTACCAGAATTGGAGTTCCCCGTTCAATGTTGAGACCGCCATCAAATCTTCTATATGTTGATTGCTATTGGATTTAACTCTATTGAATAAAAGCTGCCTTGTTTTCCTGTCAAATGCTTCCTTATCAACCGTTTCTTTCTTTCGCAAAATCATATCAAAGGAGTTCTGATATGCCCATTCATTTGATGAATCACTGCTGTTGTTCCTACTACTGCTGCGGTTCGTGTCTTCCCCCTTGAGTCGTGATACTATCTTATTCTGTATATAACATAAAGTTTAGTTAGTTGAATATATCTTAACCAGTAGGATGACAGTTCATTTATTATAATCCTTACCTTTGTTGATGATACTATTTTATCAGAATGTGTCTTTTGTATCACAGATTCACGTCGTCCTAAAGTTGTTTTCATAGAAATGGGGGTATCATCAGTCGATCGATTATCAGACTTGATTGGACTAAATAACGGTTGTTCTTCTACTATATTAGGCGCCTCGAAAGATGTTGAATGTGTTGATATACTGTTGGTATGGCGAGGATGAGTTTGTTGCTGTGTGATAAGTTTTTGTGTCAATTCCCCTAGTTTCGCCGTGTTCTTTCGAATCGTCTTGTCCAAAACTCGTAGTTTTTCCATATACTTTCTTTGTTTCAATTGCTGATGTTGTATCTATATATATATATATATATATATTTAAGAAAATAAAAAGAGAAAATACCAATTAGAAAAAAAAGAATAAGAGTTTACAAAGTGATATTTACCTTTGTTGTGAGAATACTAATGTCGTTCTCTAAATACTTTTGAGAGTAAGTATCACTATTATCAGATGCTTCATCGCTATCAGTATCACTACTTGACCCAGAAGAAACATCCGTTAATGTATTATATACTTGATCATTACGCCGTTGACGTTTTGCAGGATATTGTTTGGAAGTGGTACCTGATAAAATGAAAAACAAAATACATAAGTCAAAAGTCGATTATGTAAGTCTCTACCTTTAGTTTTAGTTTCTTGTTCATTTTTCAAACTTGATGTAGATAAAAACGATTGAGGTAATAGCATTATGATTGTCACAGATTTGAGAAAAAAAAAAAGAGAAAAAAGAAAAAAAAAAAAAAAAAGGAAAGAAAGAAAGAAAGAAAGAGAATCAACTTTATACCCAGAAAAAAAAAAATAAAAATAAAAATAAAAATAAAAAAAATCACAACCCTTTTGAATGAGCATGACCCTCCGCTTTTTGGAATATTTGATACAAAACAAGTATCATCAAATTAAATAGTCTCCTTATATGAGTGTTTTTACTTTCAATTTGAATCTAATTGATATCTTGAACGTAAAGGAATGACTGTTCTAATATATCCAATCGGTTGATTCCCAAATTTGGATGTACATTTATCCTCTTCATCCTCTATATATATACATATGTATCTATATATATATATATTGTATAATACTGTATAAAGATGATGACAACATATTCATTATCTACCATTTATTATTCATCATTACATATCATTCATTATAACATCCCAATCATATCTAGCATATCCATCAAATTGATTGATCTATTATGAAAAATCTTCCAAATACCTGTTCACTTTATCAAACATATAAATCACGTTATTATTATCAAATCTCTTTTTCAAATTATTACAGTATATTATTTTTTTCATCAAAGCGTGCTCCTTATATTTCAAAAGATTTCCATTTTTGGACAAAAATCAACCAATTAATCATAAAAAAAAAAAAAAAGAGTTGTTCTATCATTAATAGGATTTCCTACATACCGTATAAAGAATGACTAATCATTCATTATGAGCGTTGATCATCAATATCATATATCAATTGTATCAACATAATATCAAGTTACAGCTAAAAAAAAAAAAAAAAAAAAAAAAAAAAAAAAAAAAAAAAAAAAGAAAAGAAAAAAAGAAAAAAGAACTATCGGTTAGCAGTTGTGCGCGAACAATATTAGAAGAGATCAAACGCTTCATAAGGATTTGTATAAAAAACATTGTAATAACAAGATAATATTTTTTTATTTTATTTCTTTTCATAAGTATATTTATACTAAAACTAAACTACTAAATACAATAATACTTACACTTTTAAATCCTACACCTTTTGTCACATCTGTAATGGCAAACATGAAAAGCATTTCACAAACTCTTCAATAGTAATCCTAAAAGCTTGTATTTAATTCTTGTACATTTAATTGGTGCAGACCATTCTTAAACCAAAGCAGAGATTTCGAAATCAACAAAGATCATTTTATCTTGTGAGGAAGGTACATTTCTTCATGTTTGCATACAATTAGCCCCTACACATTCTAAGTATTCCAAAATACAGTACCTTCTTGATATGTTCCGTGCGTATTCCTTTCGTCTTACAATAAATTAATATATTATCCAAATATATCAAATAAAGTGATGCAAATAATCATCAAACACCTTGTTCATCAATTGTTGGAAATATCGGTGAAGCATTTGTCAAATCGAATGGGAGCAACTTGAATTCAAAAGATACATACCAACTTGTCAATGTTCTCTTGGAAATATTATCTTCTTATATCCATACCAATATCTAATCAGGTAAAGTGAAAAAAAAGCGGGAAGAGAGGTAGTCAAATAAAAAAAAAAAAAAGAAAGCGGGAAAAGAGGTAATCAAATAATAATAAAAAAAAAAAAAAAAGCGGAAAGAGAGGTAATCAAATAAAAAAAAAAAAAAAAAAAAAGCGGGAAGAGAGGTAGTCAAATAAAAAAAAAAAAAAGAAAGCGGGAAAAGAGGTAATCAAATAATAATAAAAAAAAAAAAAAAGCGGAAAGAGAGGTAGTCAAATAAAAAAAAAAAAAAAAAAAAAAAAAAAAAAGCGGAAAGAGAGGTAATCAAATAAAAAAAAAAAAATTGATAAATTTATGTCTAACGGAAATCTAAAAAAGTACCATCACCACATCCTTTTTATTGGATTATGTAAAATAATGATAATACAGTACATTATTCTCTCTCAATCATCCGGATTACTTTTTTTATTTTGGCCATCTGAACTGTTAAAATAAAAAAAAAAAAAAAAAAAAAAAAAAAAAAAAATATATATATATATATATATATATATATATTTACCGTGGTCACACTTTGTGACATCCAACCAAATTTTTTTTTCACAAGTTTAACATCATTTTTTTTACTCAGGTTTAACATCGTATATTTTTTTTTTGAACATCAGTCTGAACCGAGGTTTAAACCAAGGTTCAGAAAAATAGTATAAATAGCCCAACATTTTCTTTCATTTTTCTTTTTTTCAGTCAATAAAATATATTTTTTTAAATAAATAACTATCTTAACATCCCATCTCAATTGAAATTGTGGATTATCCCTTTTGATTGGCTCACTTTGTTCTATATTTAAAGTCAGAACAATTTTACTCTACTTCTACTTTCCAAATTTGGAACAAGACTTTATTTTTCTTTACTTTATATTTTTTTTTATCTCTTTACCTATACGTGTGCTTGCGTAATCAAGTACTGGTGCTCACTATAAACATTATTAACTTTCAATCATCCGGTTTACTTTTTCAATTTTAAACTTATAAACCAAAAAAATCACTTAACATCATAATAACAATAAAAATAACCATTCCTTTAAGTAATCACGTGACCATATCGCTAAGGCGATTGACAAAAAGGTATGTCCCAAGGGTGGTTCGAACACCCGGCCTTCAGAACTTCAGTCTGACGCTCTCCCAACTGAGCTATTGAGACTCAGATGAGATGTTAGACCGATTACTCTATTATAAATCATATCTAAAATTCGCGCACTCTGATTGGTCAGAAATATCAGTCTTTATGACATGATGATCACTTTCCTATGCATTTCCTTGATTATTGATGATGATCAATCAACAAAGAGGATTCCAAAACAAAGAAATCACTAGAAGAAGTCAGTTGTATGCTGTAGATGATGTTGATAATAAAAATGTAACCTATTAAAAAAAAAAAGGTAAATTCATAAACAAACGATTCTGATTGGCTAATATTTTTTAGGGAAAAAACAAAAATATATTCCCACACGGGGAATTGAACCCCGGCCACGGCGGTGAAAGCGCCGGATCCTAGCCACTAGACCATATGGGATGATATATTCTAGAGAACCGTCTAGTACATTATGAAGCCAAAGAGCGGGGTTTGAAAATGAGATTCATAATGTACTTATATGTTTCAGATGCAAAAATGCTCGCTTAGCTCAGTTGGTTAGAGCGTGGTGCTAATAACGCCAAGGTCACAGGTTCGACCCCTGTAGTGAGCATTTCTTTTTTGTCCAATTTTTCATTGGAGCGGACTTTAAAATAGAGTATTTTTGTTTCTTTGGTGTTCTTTCTCTTCTCTTTGAATATTTCATTCTTTTTTTTTTTTCATTCCTTTTTTTTTTTTTTTTTTTTTTTTTTTTTTTTACCATTAGTTAGTATTCTTATTCGTTTTGTGTTAGTTTAATGCTTTCTTCTATTGCCTTTAGAGTTACTTTCATTTCTCGAATTGATGTGATATCGTCTTCATTTGCAATTATCCATTGTCAATGACAATTTGTCTTCAACAAATGCAAACCGACATGGAAAGTTATTATTTGACTGACTAGGACCGTACAAATTCATAAAACAAAATACATCAACTCTGATACTCTGACGAAACTGTGGAGGATGGTTACAATCTCTGGAACAATATTTCGACTTTACAAGACTATCGGATGAATGCAAAATGGATTATGCGGTGATATTATTCAGAGGGTCAAATGTACTGTACATCTAACAGTGGATTTCAATGGATATTTGTAGATGTGCCTACAACATAGGGTGAAGAAGTTATCAAATGCAGTGACGGGTATATGGATGAATGGTTACATACTAGACAGAATCAAAATGGCCATATTGGACTCTTCGCTTGGATTGAACATGTCACAACTCTCATTTGGCTTGCTCAATGTACTTCTTTTTTTTTTTTTTTTTTTTTTTTTTTCTTTATATTCATTGTTTTATTCTTCACTTTTTTTTTTTTTTTTTTTTATGGAATACCCTCGTATTTTTTTAAATTAGTATCAATATGTGTGTGTCTCCTTATCAAAAATAAATCATCATCTTTTTTCCTGTATGGCTTTTATTTTTTTGTTTAGGAATTTTATGTTTTTTAAGTATTTGTTCGCGCTATGCTCTGCTGGGAAGGATGAAAACTATTTGATTATCCGATCAAATCGGTTTAAATGCTTTTTTTTTTTTTTTTTTTTTTTTTTTTTCTGGTCTTTTTCTTTTCTCCTTTCATACCAAAATACAACTCATATGCAAGCAAGTAATGATAATGATGGTGATTTTGTAGAACTTGATCTTGAAGGTCAAGACCAAGTGGAATCAAAGCTATCAGAATTGACTCTTCAACATAGTAACACGTCAGCATTCCAGAAAGTTCATCTTGAAACACAATCAACACAAGAGGATAAAAAGTTCACCGCCGATCACCTATTAGACGAACTATCTTTACCTCAAATTGACAATACCAATAATAGTATCAACGACAACAATAAGAAAAACGATGCCTACGTACAATATGATGCTCCAATTTCTTCTCCGATAGAATCCAGATTTACATCCCATTACGATCAACTTTTTGAAGAAGTGTCTTTGGATTTACCACGGGGTTCATCTACAAATTATACAAGTGCACCAACATCAACATCTTCCAAGTTACTCAAGTTTATGCCTCGTCGAAATCCAGTTATCAGTACCTCCATGACAACCTCTGGGACTCAAGATAATTCTCATCTCAAGATCACTTCTGCAGATGTTAGTGGCCCTTTTTATTCCATTTCTGACGTACTCAGTGACTCTCCAACTACTTCTGCTGCTGCTTCAGCGGCCATAGCAGGCAATGGCAGTGTTCCTTTTGATACAAGATCATCTTCTGTCCGTGGTGCCCAGCGAAACGTATTCGAACAAGAAGTAGTAGTATCATCGGGTGGTTCCAACATGAAAGGTGTTCGTAGAAGATCAAGGTAAAAGAGAACAAATGAAAAAAAAAAAAAACTATATATTAATCTATCTCATCTTATTTTACATTTAGTTTGAATCCTTTTTCTCGAAAACGAAATATTCACAAACCATCTCCTCTAGAATCAGTGATATCCAAAACTAGGCCAAGGTATAATGAATGCATACCATGTTTTTATGAATACCTAATTTTTCTTTTCCTTTTCCTTTTTTTTTTTTTTTTCAACGATACTAGGATGTTACCGCCAAAAGATCCTGTGGAAGAAAAAAAACACTTACAACAACATGATGCCATGATGAAAAAAGCACTTCAATTAGGTAACTATAAATAAAAGAAGATTGTACAGAATATAGGTTGTAATATCATTCATTAATGACTTCTTTGCATATATATTGATCTAGAGGCGAAGAAACAAAAGGAACATGATAAAAAGAAAGAGGAAATAGATAAAAAGCTGACACATGCCATACACGTATGGGAAAAAACCATCATACCCCAATGGAATAGAAAGTAAGAAATAAATAAATAAAAAAAAAAAAAGGTATGATAAAAGAAAATATTTATCAAGGTATTTATAGAGTCAAGGAAAAGAAAGTGCATGAATTATGGCTACAAGGTATTCCTCCAAGATGTCGAAGACAAGTTTGGATATTGGCTATTGGTAACGGATTACATCTTACTAAAGGTAAAGAAAAGAAGAGAAAAAAAAAAGATGTATATACATGATGGTAAATAACTAACAATCATCTATGATCTTTTTCTCAGATACTTTTTCTACGTGTATACGTCGACTACCTGTTATCAACAAAAATGGAAAAGAAAAGAATGAAATTCAAGAATCACCTGCATCCATCCGACGAAAAATCATGGAGAACGAAGCATTACAGCATTCTCACAACGATGATCTAGTATACGACCATTATCAAACGACGGAAGGAAATGCTTCATTTTATCAACTACGCCATGGCAAACGAACTAGTAGCCTCAATGTCTTGAATGATCAGGATGAAGATAATGGTGGTGATGATGACTCTTCGATACGCCACTCTCTTTCTTCTACTCAGAGCATTGGATTTGATGATGTAAATGACGATACTCATCCACAACAAGATCATCATCAAAATGGACAGCGTAGATACTTAGGTGGTACTGACAATGATCTAGTGAATGATATAGAGGATGAGCGGTCAAGCGTTGGAACGAAAGAATCTATGGCAATTGGGGATGACGTGGATGATGATGATGATGAGGATATGAACAGTGATACAAATGATCAAATTCCTGCAAACAATAATGACGGTGACAATGATGATATGAATGGGTCTATCGCTCACGATCCGACTATGATTGCATTTCTACGTAAGGCAGTGGATGAAGACATACTACGTACTCTCCCAAGTTTATGTGTTTTCCAGGTAATAAAACATTGACTATAATAATAAAATCAATGGTGCTCATTCCGTTTTTTTTTTTTTTTTTTTTTTTTTTTTTTTTTTTTTTATTATTATTATTAGCCTGATGGTCCTTTATTCCTATCTCTTCGAAAAGTCCTACATGCCTATATTGGTTATCGCTCAGATATGAATTATGCAAGTATCAAAAAAATGGTTTTGTTATTGACTATGATATTGTTCTTACATATTTTTTTTTTTTATATGAAAAACTTTGTAGGTCCGAGGAACATCTTTCCTAGCGGGTATGCTTCTGTTGAATATGGGAACAAACGATACTTTTATTGGATTGATCAATTTGATTCACAATAGTCCAGTACTTTCAGCACTTTACAACTCGGATGAAACTCGTGTCAAGGGATACTTCAAGATATTTAATGTTGTATTTGCTGAACACATGCCGAAACTCTACCTTCACTTCAAGAATCTTTCATTGACACCTGACAATTATTTACCAGATTGGTTGATGACTGTATTCACTTCTGTTACACCACTTGGATTATCATCTAGATTATGGGATATCTTTTTACTTGAAGGTGATGTGATTCTATTTAAAACTGGATTAGTGGTACTCAGATATTTGGAGCCTCTTCTTTGGGGTGGTGGATTTAGTGAAACTGTTCGCATTTTGAATATGGGCTTTATTGGTGAACATCGTGGTGAAGAAGCAAAAGCAGCTATAGCAGTTAGTGGTGGTATTACCAAGGATGAACAAGATCAATTCTTTCAAGATATTTTGGGTAGAAACAGTACTATTCATTTGGATTCATCAAAATATAAAAAATTGGTGAACACTCATATACCTAGAACATGATCATTAGGATTTATTGTTTTTTTTTTTTTTTTTTTTTTTTTGAATAAAAACTGTCTTTATCCTCTTTTTTTTTTTTTGTCTATATATTATGTAATTATTGTAAAATTAAAAGGTTTTTATTTTTATTTGCATTTCTAAGACGGAGTTTCTTTCTCTCTCCCACATTATATTTTTTTTTCTCTTTCTTTCTTTCTTTCTTTTCTTCATTTTATTATTTATTATTATTTATTTTTAGTAAAAGATATATCCACATGTTGTCAGTATGAAATTACGATTCCTGTTATCTCTTTCTATTTTATTTACGCTATATATAGCAGGACAAACTTTTGCTTCCACCAATGACCATACCATCACACCTTCAGCGCCTGTCTTTTCATCAAAACATTCAGACAGATATTTACCAAAATCATTATGTACTCCTGATCAACACTATGTACCTATAGATATGATTATTGCTACTTCTTTGGATGGTTCTATTAGAGGTATAGGACGTTACGATAGTCAAGTGTATTGGACAATACGTGGTGGTCAACAAGCTTCTTTAGTCAAATCCAATGCAAACCATCAGAGTCGACTAGTACAGGATTCACTACCTCAATCTAACTCTATATTTGACAATGACAATAATGATTATTATAACAAATACGACTATCAACATACTTATGACGAAAAGGTATACAATAACATGGCTCCTTTGTTGGAGGAAAAGGTCACACCGGATAATGAAAAAGCTGTTAGACTATGGAACAACCTTCCTCAAAATTACAATGTTTCATATATCATTGAACCAGTGAATGGTGGCATTTTATATTTACATATTGAAGGGGAACCTTTGCAGGTAAGAACTGAAATTAATATCTACCACAATGACTTTTAACATTCTTTTTTTTTTTTTTTTTTTCCTTTTTGTGACGATTAGAAACTTCCTTTTACAATGAAAGATATAGTGGATAGGTCCTTTATTACTGAAGATGGTGTTGTATACATTGGTGAAAAGTCTACCTTGATGATCGCATTGGATCCAATTGCTGGCAAGATTCTAAGAAAATTCGACCTTCAAGACTCCCAATATGATGTTATGATGGATTCCAAAACTCACTTCCCACCACATACCATCTATCTCGCTCGAAATGGTAATATATATATTTTAGATATAGGTTAAGAGATACTCATCATGAAATCTTATTATTATTATTATTCCGTAGAATACAAGGTCAGGATCAATGATTTGAAAAAGAATATGCATTGGCGTTTGACTTTTAGCGAATATGAACCAAATGCAATGAAATGGAACCTACCAGAAGATATGACAGCACCTGATATCTATATTGCTCCGGATTCTGAAAGGGGAATTACTGCCATCAACCTTACAAGTGGTAAGTAAAAAGATCAAAGGTTAAAAAGAAAAAAAAATCAATTTTGATACTAATATTTCTTATTTTTGTAGGTGATTTTATTTGGACAAAGAATTTACCTTATCCTGTTGTTACGGTTTTTGATGTTTATCGCAACTCAGACTTCTCACTGGTATTATCTCAACAAATTCCTCCAACACAACTCAACAAAGGAACGATCGGAAACATCACCAAAACACTCGACTCGCATCAACTCTCCTCAGCATATGTCAGTGTTCATGAAGGTACTTTATATGCATTATCAGTGGAAAACTTCCCTCTTGTACAACTTGCCGAATGGTCATTCATCTATACGGGAAAAATACCAGGTGCTAACTTGCGATTATTGGATTCTGGCGATGCAGTAGTTGCTCCTCAATCAGAATACAAAGCAGATCGATTGATTGGTCAAAATCTAGTAGAAACAACAGCACTTCCAACACCACCTCTTCCTGACAATGATAGAAAAACTATCGACGGTACACCAAGTGATCAAGGATTACATAATACTATCGACAATTCAGACACGAACTCGTTTTATTATACGATTGGACAGCATTGGAAACTTTATCTCATTCTATTACTGACTACTGCTTATATGAATCGAAAAATTGGATGGCAACTCTATATTTTACATATTTTACCCGTATGGACAAAATTCATGAATCGATATCGTAACAATCAACGTAATGGTCCTAATATTGTCCAAAAAACGGAAAGAACGGAAGATTTCGATACCAACAGAGTAACAACAACAACAACAGCAACGACAACAATAGACGAGATTTCAGCTACCGAAAATTTACAGCATGAAAATAACTCAACTTTATCGATACCCTCTTCCGTTGCCGCTGTATCAACATCAACAATCAAAGATACTCAAACTTCACAAAACGACATTGATCAACATATACATAATAGTTCATCAGACAAACAAAATGTTTCCCCTTCTATCAAACCTCGTGGTTTGGATTTACAAGCTTTTCAACCTACCAAATCAAGTGTACTCAGTATATCAGACTCTGTTTTGGGTAAGAAGATATGCTATCTATATGTATTCATCATATTCTTTTATTCCTTTGTTGACCTTGTTTTTTTTTTTTTTTTTTTGACTGGAATAGGATATGGAAGTCATGGGACAGTAGTATACAAGGGTACTTTTGATGGAAGAGCGGTAGCAGTTAAACGACTTTTAATTGATTTTTATGATGTCGCTCTTCAAGAAGTGAAGCTTTTACAAGAAAGTGATGATCATCCCAACGTGATTCGGTATTTTTACAAGGAAGAAACGGATAGGTTCTTATACATTGCTTTGGAACTCTGTTTTGGCTCATTACAAGATTGCATGGATCGCTCACTTGCCATCTCTGATATGAAACTATACGATCAAGTGGATCCTGCAAACATTCTTCATCAAATCACCAATGGTATTCAGCATCTTCATTCACTTAAAATTGTACATCGTGATCTCAAACCTCAAAACATCTTACTGGCACCGGCAAAACATCAAGTCAACAAGGATAGTCCTTCTATGCGTATTTTGATATCCGATTTTGGTCTGTGCAAAAAACTGGATGGCGAACAAAGCAGTTTTCATTATACGGCAGCATCACCAGCTGGGACGTCAGGATGGAGAGCACCGGAATTACTGGCAGGTGTGCTAGCAGCATCTGGATCCGACAATACCAATTTCAGTAATAGTAGTAGTAATGGTCATAGTAAGGATATGGATCCCAATCGTATCGGTAGAGTCAAGGCAACAAGGGCAATTGACATCTTCTCCACCGGTTGTATATTCTATTATGTTCTATCGAATGGTGATCATCCTTTTGGAAATCGATTTGGAAGGGAGAGCAATATTCTGAAAGGTGATTATGACATTTCGAAATTGGAAACCATGGGTGAAGACGGTATAGAAGCTATGGATCTCATTGACGCCATGATTAGTACCAATCCTCGATCAAGGTATGTCATATAGTAAAAAAAAAAAAAAAAAAAAAAAGGGTTATATACATATACTTATTCATTTAATATTATCTTTTATAGACCGACGGCAGCACAGGTACTAGCACATCCCTTCTTTTGGTCAACGTCAAAACGACTTGCTTTTCTTCAAGATGCATCCGATCGGTTTGAAGTAGAACAACGTGATCCTCCATCATTGCTTTTACAAAGTTTGGAAAAGGATGCCAAAAAAATTGTTGGTTATGATTGGTATCGTAGAATTGATCGTGTTGTGGCTAATGATTTAGGCAAGTTTAGAAAATATGATGGAAAACGAGTTCGTGATTTACTTCGTGCTCTTCGTAACAAGGTAACCAAAAAAAAAAAAAAAAAAAAAAAGAAGGAATATTGATTTTATGATTTTCATTTTTAGAAACATCATTGGCAAGACTTACCCGATGCAGTTAAACGTACCCTTGGTGAACCCCCTGATCAATTCCTTTATTACTTCACAGCTAGATTCCCTCTTTTACTTTTACATACTTATCATATTATTCTTAGTCATGATCATTTGACTCGAGAAGGTGCTTTACGACAATACTTTTGATTTAGTTTTATCATCAATACCATTTTTTTTTTTTGATTCTTTTTGTATATGTCCTCTTTCTTCAATATATGACTATTTATAGTTTGCATCGACACTATCTTTATGTTTCTCTCTTTTTTTTTTTTTTTTTTTTTTTTTTTTTTTTGTGTAGTTAGAGATAGATAACGATGATGATGAACTCTTGCTAGATGTTTTTCACCAATGATGTTGACGGATTGATAGTCTATGATGATTGAATATGAACGTATATGATGAATGAAGGATTGTATATAGGGGTTTTTTTTTTTTGACAAATGTCTGAGGGGTGATGAACATCGATAGTGTCCAAAATAGGAAAAAAGAAGAACAGACCTTTCGCTAGTTTAACTTATAGAAAGATCGCTGTTCTCCATTCATTATTACCCCCTTCATGATTTACTCTTTTCCATATGACCATCAATCATCCTCATTATTATTTTTCGTTTTTAGGAGAAACTTATATATGTTCATTCAAACTTTCATACGAAAAAAAAAAAAAACATTTTGGATATCTATCAATCCACGAATTTATTTCAATAACAATGTATTTAACTATTCTAGATAAGCATAATAAAATAAAATATATAAAAGGTATTATGGAAGAAAAGGAGGTTGGAAATAATACTAAAAAGAAAGGAGAGTAAATGTATAAGATTTTTGGTATTCTTTTTCATAACTTGGAATCAATTCGTTTCTTGACAGATAAAGCCCGATCCATTAATGCAAGAATTTCAGGTACTACCAAAAAAAAAAAAAAAAAGAAAAAGGTCAGTCAAAGCGATGAAACATCTCTTTTGATTCATAGACTTACCCATCAATTGAGGATTTTCATTGGGCACCATATGAGTTCCTTCCACCATATTGACATTGGCAAATTCCCGATTAAAATTAGGTAATTCTAAAGGATCAATCGTAACACTAATTTATACAAAATAAAAAAGTATAGTAATCAGTATCATTAGACACAGATCTCCATCTTCCCATTTCTCTATATACTGTTGCTTACTACACCGAAGATGACGCAAAAACAAATTGGACAGGCGTACGCAAAGCACGGATCGAGTTGTAGGCCGTCAAGGTAGCGTAGGAGCTGACATTGAACACATGCTACATCAAAACCAAAACAAATCAGAAATTGCAGTAATATAGATACAATGTCACTTACGTATTCTTCTTCTTTAGGTGTCTTGAGCTTGACTGTACCGTCAGGAGTTTCGTACAAACCATAATCCTAAATGATAAAAACAAGACGTAACATTTGATTAAGAATCGATTGGTTTTTTTTTTTTTTTTTTTTTTTTTTTTTTTTTACCACATAGAGTTGCATGACTTCAGGATCAAATATTTTCCAAAAATCTCGATGGACCAAAGATTTATAACAAGATTCTCGATCAGGCCAAGTATCGCGACGTTTCAGAGATGCTAGAATAGGTAATTGAGCCCGAAGTTCAGTATCCAAAATGTCAGATGAAAGTACAGGTTCTATTGCACAGATGCCAGTGAATGTCTGTGGAAACATGTATTCCAACAAGAGCCTAAAAAAAAAAAAGAAGAATAGCCATTAATATATATATATATATTTGTTGGTAATATCCTATTTTATTCTATCATAAATATAAATCCTATATAATACTTACATAGCAGTAGCACCAAAACTATGCCCAATACCAAAAACACCATCATAACCAGTATGGAGATCCAGAGATCGAATTACTTGTTGAGTATCAAGGGCATGATCAAACCAATTATCTATAATAATGATAATAATAAATAAATAACTTTGATATAATTACATATATATATATATATTTCGATTTATCCTAACGATAAACCAGTCATACACTTACATGTTTCTGAAAAGGTGCCTTCATTTAAACGGGCAGAATCACCATGAGTACGAGCATCCCAGGCATAAACACAAAGATCAGTATGTTGATAGCGAACTTGTTCACGGATACCAGCGACTAAACGACGAATAAGAGGATGTAGAGTTTCTTTGTTGAATCCATTCGAGTGGGAAAAGAGTAATGCTAACTTTTGTTGCGCAGGTTGTTGGGGTGCTTTGAAACAATGCTTTTCAACCACGAGTTGTTGAATTTGGTATCCAAGGGTACCAGGATGGACTTTAATCACTTTTGTTTCTGTAGGTATTAGTCTAGGCATATTGATAATCAAAGGAACAGTTGAATAAATAATAAAAATAAAAGATAAAATGTAATCGATCTTCAAAAGGAATGTTAAGAAAGGAAGAAAAGAAAAGAAAAGAAAAGAAAAAAAAAAAAAAGAATAAAAAAGACAGGTCCAAAACTCCGAGTCCCCCCACAAATCCATGTGAGAATGTAGCTGACATTAATGAAAACAACGGGTCAATCATTCTCCCATGTAACCTTAGTAACCCCAATCACATCCATATGACACCAAAAGACAAGAATATATATATTTCAAAATAAAACAAAGAATAACAAAGTTTATTCAGATTTGATTTCTAACATTGTACTAAACGAAAAAGGTTCAAAGGGAACACCATCCCCCATATAGAACTTCCCATCAAATTCTACCCAGTGAAGACGAAGAGCATGAAGGAAAGCAGATAATCCTTCCATACCAATCAAAATAAAGCATGTCAAAGTGAACCACATTGCGAATCCAATAACGAGCCCAACAACAGCCAATGGTCCAGTAAATCCAAACCAGATCTTGAGTGTCATATCCCATAAAACACTTGATAATTCTATAACAAAAATAATAATAATTAATATTTATCAAGATTTAATAAAACATTGAAACTTACGAGCGTGAGCAAGAGATAAGGCCCAAAGACGAAGGTAAGATGCAGTATTTGAGATACAATTCAAACAGAATTCGATGGTATGAATAGTTTGATGAATCATTTCTTCACTGAAATCGAACTATATAAAATCAAGATATATATTACGATCAGTCATCCTTCCAATTTTTTTTTTTTTTTACCTCTTCTTCATCACCATCATCATCATCGTTCACTATTTCAGTAGATGAACCACCAAGGCGAGCTTCATCATCAGCAACATGTTCATCGTCAGCAATTCGTTCATATTGATGTTTACTGTGTTGCATCTTCAAATAATAAGGTTTGGCAAACCACATCCAAGGAACACAAATAAGAGCTATAATAATCAATACACCTTGAAGAGGACCCTAGAATATAACAAAAATAGAAACAGATTAAAAATCAATATAATATCTGTATAGTTTAACTTACTTGGCCAGGGAATAATTGTTCTTCGGGATTGACTTTTCCAGGCGTTAAGAACATATAGATTAACATATTGAGAAGATTGGGAGGAGCATTATGAATATGATTGCCATCGCTATCCAATTCCCACCAGTTGACACTCCATTTATACATGATACAAAAGATCAAATAACCAAAGATGGATTCCATAAAGAGGATTTGTGGTAAGAATTCAAGCCAAATGAAAATCTTCTTTCCAAAGTTAATATGATTGAATACGTTCAAGCAGATAGCAAAGGACATCTACATAAAAGGTATTTTGTCAGTTTTTAAATCAACATTGATCATGATATTTCATTTTCACTTACATGGATGACACCCAAGATAATAGCTTGTTTCATTTTATAAGAATTGGAGAAAAGTAAAAAGTTTTCGGAACCATGCCATGACTAATTAAAAAAAAATGATAATGAGTATGTGTGATAATATTTGAGATATATCAAAGTACTTACGGGATCAAAACCAAAGGCATAGGTTTTACCATTGGGAATAGCTTCCACCGCATCAGTAGAATTATAATTTGTTGGCCAATCAAAACCAGGTTCAAAGACGTTAAGAGACAAGGAGAAAATATCATTGTAAATAGCACCAGTAAAGATAGAGAAGATAGCCATCATCAACATCATATATCTTCCACTGAAAAACATTTGGAAGATCTAAAAAGTTTAAAATATATTATTATACTTTTCATTCTCATCATAATATGACTTACTTCATCATTGTTGTGAACCAATTTCTTTTCATTCAATACCAAATAAAGAGCAAACAACAACATCAAAAAGCCATGACCGATATCACCAAACATAACAGCAAACAAGAATGGGAAGGATATAATCGTGAAAAGGCCAGGATTCACTTCACGATAACGAGCCATACCATAAGCGTCAATAATATGTTGGAAACCTTGGGTAAATTTGTTGGTACGATGATATGTAGGAGGTGTTTTTTTGGTACGTAATTCAGTCAAGATTGAAGGTAAATTAGTGCCAGATGCTTCCTATATATGTATGTATGCATCGTAAGAAAAAAAAAAAAAGAAAAAAAGAAAAAAAAAAGTAGTTTAGAAACTTTTTTTGACCATTGAGCAGTTTTTTTTTCTCTCTCTTACCGTGGCTTCCTTGAGGGCATGTTGAACTAGGGGAATATCATTGGTAGCACACCAACCTTCAGCAACCAAACATTTGCGGCCAATATCATAATCAAACAAGTTCATAGTATGGTATACAGCTTTTTCTTTGCGCACAATAGTAGTCCAAGCATCCAAATTTTCAGCAATATCTAATAATTCGGATCGTCGAGTTTGGTTGGTATTAGTCAAGACCTAATAATCAATAAAATAATGTTAAGAACAGTAAATGATCTTATTTTAATAAACTTACAGTAGTGAGATCTTCAATACGGGAAGTCACATCCAATAAGGCATCACGACGTTTGTCAGCGGATTCATCAATACTATAAAGAGTAGCACCCAAACTTTCAGAGATCTTTTTGATTTTTGATACAATTTCACGACCATGAGCAAAGATAGCAAATACATTTTTTTCCACCACAGCATCAGAATCAGGATCCACAATCGCTTCATCAATTTCAGCAGTGTTCATATACAAATTTCCACGAAGAGAACGCCAAAGGACGCGTTCAAAGGTTTGGATACGTGTACGAGGAATAACACCAGTGATATAACCAAGATTGACCTGAGATGTTTCATTATAAGCTTGTTGTTCCACATCATTATCCAAAAGAGCAGCAGTATCTTCAGCTTCTTCATTTGCACCAGGAATATCATGTCTGGAAGCCTATATATATAAAATATAATTAATTTTATCTTATATAAATAAATAAATATTACTTACTTGTTGGAAAAAGATACCAGTATCACGTAATACATGACGAAGTTCAGTAAGTTGAAGGTAACGACGTTGAAGTGTTTCATAAGAAGTATTCATTTCAGTGATACGAGCTTCATGTTGACGTAATTTTTCTTCCAAATCATCAATTTCTTGAGCAGAACGAGCACGAGATAATGAACCAGAGGTAGTTAAAGAGCGAGTTGGAATATCTGCTTTTTCCGTTTGAGTCTTGAAAAATCCTAAGAGAAAAAAAATAAAAAAATAAATAAACATAACATAAACGGGGTAAGATAGTGTTTCAAGTCAAACAAGTAAGTTTTTTTGCCCTCCCCCAACTACTACACGATATACAATAATATATAATATTCATATTTCTTTTCCCTTTCCAATTCCAAAATGATAACAAAAAAAAAAAAAAAAGATAAAGGGTGACACTTACTACATTGGCGTTCCATTTCGTCAAACCGTCTTATTTCTGACACAAAAGACCTTTGAAAGGCATTCGTATCAGGATTGAGCTATTGTTTAAAAAAGACAAAAAAAAAAAAAGAGTTATTATCTTATTATTAAAGACAATAATTTATATAAACTTACATCTCTAAATTGAACCTTGCCAAGTTCACCCAATTCAGAAACACAATGTTGAGAGACTTCCACAGGAATATACAATTGGATGAGAGACATCACTTCCGATTGGAAGAGTGTAGACTGTGTCATGATGTATCCAAATAGTGAAATAACACTATGACAATAGAAAAAAAAAAAAAAAAGAGTTAAAAGAAAAAAAAAAAACAAGAAAGAGAGACGATATGAAAAAAAGTGTAATTATCAGAAGTGAGGGCGGGGGTTGAATACTGACGCCCAACAAAGAGAGAGAGAAAGTGAGTGACGTCCAGAGAAAGAGACTAAAAATGGAACTTATAACAAATTTCTGATCTATTACAATTTTTGAACTCTTTTCTTCTCTCTATTCTTTTTTTTTTTTTATAAAAAAATTATATATATATATACACTTTATATACAATTTTTATTATGAAAAAAAACTTTGGCAAATTTAAACAGGTAATAGAACAAAAGAAACACTATATTAGAGTGGGTTACTCAAAAGAAAAAGATTCAGCATAACGATGAGGAATAAGTCATATACAGAATTCAACATAATAATAATAAAAAAAAGATTCCTTTAATGTTCATTGTAAATGAAGTTCATCTTGACTTTGTTTAAATATATATATATATTGGGGAAACTCTTCTTTTTTTTATTATTATATTTCAAGCTTATTCGGAGTTTCTGCTGGTCTTGTTCGAGACTCGACCTATTCCAAGAATAGATTTGTCTATTTTATGAATACCAAAAAAGGATTTGATGATTGAATTTAGGATATTAACTTTTTTTATATATATATATATATTGTTTTATAGTGGACTGGTGAAAGATTAGGTGCAGTCAAAGCTACTTCACAAACTGATGATTTTCAACAATTAGAAGCTGAAACTGAGAATAAACGTACAGGATTTGAAAAAGTATATGAAGCAACTGATCAATTTTATACTCAATTATCGAAAAAGAAACCATCTCCTGAAGATCAAAAAATCAAATGTACTCCATTAGAAAGTCTTGCAAGTTGTTGGATGCATCATGGTACTGCTTTTTCTGAAGATGTTGCTCTTGGTAATATATATAATATTTATTTTTATTTATTTATATATACTGACATGTCTTATCATTTTATTAGGTGTTGCATTAATCAATCTTGGTCAAACAGAGGCTCGTATTGCTTTACTTCAGGAAGATTTTGCCAATATGATCAAAGATGGATATATGGATGTATTAGAACAAGGATTACAAACTTATAAGGATTATCATGCTCTAAAGAAAAAATTGGAATCAAGAAGATTGGATTATGATGCGAAATTATCTCGTTTACAAAAATCAAAGAAGGAAAAACCTGAATGGGAGCAAGAAATGCAGGCCGCTAAAATGAAATATGAAGAAACAGAATATGATATCATTCAAAAGATGTTGACTCTACAATCATATGAGGTAAATAAATAAAAAAATAAAAAAAAAAATAAAAATAAAAAGATGATACTCATATTTAATTTTTTTTTTTTTTTTTTTACTGTTAATAACAATAAAATAGGATGATCATTGGAATGCATTGTATCAAGTTATGGAAGCTCAATTATCATATCATCAACAAGCGATGGATATGCTCAACGAACTACGTACACATATGCCAACCCCTATCAATAGTCAATCTACCCGACCTACAATGACTCCTATCAGTCGATCATCCACTACAAGTTCAGCCATATCTTCTTTGACATCAACAAGTGCTTTAACACCAACAAATGGACATGGAAACACAGATGATTATTTTGGAACTTCTACTTTGAAATCTACTCAACGTTTCTCTGGAAGTCGTCAACCCAGTCTTGATAATCTTCATAGACCTCGTCGTGCACCAAGTCATTCATCCGTTACAAGTTACTCCAATGATGATCAATCTCAACAACAACAGCTATCAACTTCGCCTTGTCGATTACCACCTCCAATGATGCCTAGAAGGAAATGTAAGTGAAGATGACACAACGAACGTTATCTATTTACTGAATAATTGTTTCTATAGCAAGTGCAGGGATCAAGAAACTTCGAAAAGCGATCTATGATTTTCAAGGTGAATCTTCGGATGAATTATCCTTCCGTATTGGTGATATCATTACCGTAGTTGAACCCGTAGATGAAGGTTGGTGGATGGGTGAAATGGATGATCTTGGATCTAAAAGACGAGGTATTTTCCCTGTTAATTATACCGAAGATATGATGCAAACTACGACATCTCCACCTACTATGCCTATTCGACCGATGATGACGACTCATATACAAGAAGAACCTCAAGATGAAGATTTATCACAACAAGTCACCGATCAATCACCATTTAGCGATAATTCGTCTTCCAATACCACAGGATTTTCTTATATTCGACCCAATCCTATTTCACGATCCAGTTCAACTTCTATATCATCCATTGCTTCTTCTGGTACAGTAACTCCTTCTTTGGCAAGATCATCCACCGTGATAACCAATCAATCAAAACTAGCATTATCCAACCGAACGCCCCCTCCACCTCCTCCAGCACTTTCTCGATCCAATACACCATCTGTCAAAAGTATATCATCATCAACAAGAACCCCTCCACCGCCTCCTCCATCAAGGAACTTGGGTACATCATCTGGTCCCACAACAATGCAAGTAGCAAATTGTCAAGATTGTGGATGCGATGATTTTAGTGCCAATTTGTTCAAGAAAGGTCATTGTAACAATTGTTTCCACAAGCACATTGTATGTTGATTAGATTCTTTTTTTTTTTTTTTTAAAATTTTATTCATATCCCCTGTATTACACTCTTATCAATAAAAAAAAATTAGTTACCATCCATCCTTTTTTTTTTTTTTTTTTTTTTTTTTTTTTTTTTTTTTTTTACTGATGACTTTTAGTTACTATCTATATCATAGGAATCATCACAGTAGAAATCATCATATGTATTAACAGTATCAAAGTCACTACAACCACAATAAGTCAGGCATCACTGTCATTGACATCACAAACAGTCAACTTGTAAAGATAACAAAACTAGTAAAAAAAAAAATCGTACTTCATGACATTTTTATTATTTCATATGTTGATACACAAAAAAAAAAGAGTTTTCATCTATTCTAAAACAAGGCAATGATGCTATAAAACCATCCCAAGTCCAAAATCGGTCTCTACACTTAGAAGTAAGAAATATCGCCGAACTTTTCCTTGTAACCAGGAACATTGTATTGACCCTTTTGAACCATAGATTCGACATTCTTGTTGATTTCGGGTTTGGCAGCAATGATATCGTCAACCTACAAAAAAAAAAAAATATTAGTTGAGGATAAGTAGATGATAATAATGGCTTTGGATCTTACAGTGAGTTGTTCAATAGGTCGAGAACCTTGAATGTTTTCAAGAGTAGCATGAAGATCCTTAAGTTCGACATCAATTTGTTGGACAGTCTTCTTAGCCTTTTCAACCTATAGTCCCAAAAAAAAAAATGAACATCTTCACCAAAAAACATCTATGTTAAAGAGGATACTTACAGCCTTGGCTTCAAATTGATCAATAGCCTTCAATTGAGCATCCAAGTTGTAAGCAACGGGTTTAAAACCTTGAACAGACTTTTCAGCGGAATCGATAATAGCTTGGTTCTTCAATACAGAACGATAATGAGCAAAGTCCACGGTGGTAGATTGAGTCTTCAATTCATTCAAAACACGCTTGACTTCTTCATTTCGCTTTCGGAAAGCTTGTAAAGAGGCAGCGGTTTCTTGAGGAAGAGAAGCTGACAATTTGGTCCAATCCAATTGCTTGGCAGCAGTACGAACAGTTGAGGCCATCATGTTGTAAAGAGAGGGGTAAAAAGAAAAATACAAAAAAAAAAAAAAAAGGTTCCAAAACAATAAACTCTTTTGATTCTACCCTTCCCCCCATCCCAGCTTTTTTTTTTTTTTTTTTTTTTTTTTGTGACTCGACGTCACGGTGAAATTCGATGACAGCTTTTGAACCGTACCTGAGATCCATCATTGTCCCTATTTTTCTTCGTATAGGAGTTCCTGTTGTTATTTGAAATATTTTTTTTTTTAAATAAATGATCGTATTTAGCACTATTGTTAGTCCAATTATCGTCATTATTATTATTATTGACATCCTTGACAAATGTTTCCTTTTTTTTTTTTTTTTTTTTTTTTTTTTTTTTTTTTAGCCAGTGATCAAGCACTTGCCTTTTTCAGCTAGGATTGACAGGCACACAAAAAAGAAGTGGTCCATAGAAACCCAATGATCTTTAGACAATGAAACTATTGACAATTATTGAACTTGTGGATGATGATAGATGGTAGTTAACTAGCGATGTACGGACAATACGTGGTATGTGATGATGGATGATTACCGTATGCTGTGATGGTTGCCTGGAATGATCCTTCAATAAGAAAACAATGGTAACAACAATCATAACATTTTTTTTTTTCTTTCTTCCTTTTTTTTTTTTTTTTTTTTTTTTTTGTTTGAATGTTTACAGCGAGAGAAAGACTATCAATCAAAACACTAAGAGATTTTAAATCCAATGAGTCTGTAACAAATGTGAATAATATATAAAGTTCTTTTTTTTTTTATTTATTCAACAATAGTGGAATAATAATAATATGGATGGATAAATTATACTATGTAATCTTAAGGAGGAGGGATACCACCTTTAGGATGAGTTTGATTAAAGGATTTGCCAGTCAAGAGTCCAGGGATGGAACTATTATACAAAGGAATTTGATCAACGGGTACAACAGTATTCTTGTATCCAATTTTCTTGGCGACAAAATCAAAAACATTGTTGTCTGTCTTGTTAGCGTCTCCACGACCCAATGACCCAAGATCCCAGTTTTGCTAATCAACAGTAATTTAAAAAAGGAAAGGAGTTAGTATAGATATGTATATAAAAAACTACGAGTTAGTATAGATATGTATATAAAAAACTACTATTCTACTTGATAATTCTAAATTGCCATTATCATCGTTGTATTTGATCACTTACTTCCACAGTGTGCAAGGTAGAATAATCTATTTGAAATAAATAAATAAATAAATAAAGATAGAACGGTGGCTATCAGAACAATGATGATGATGATGATTCTTGTCACTTACGAGTATAATATGTACTATCATTGGTACCTTTCAAGTGATCAGGAATGGCACCAAGCAAAAGAGACCATACACGGTTGCGGATAGGTTTGGTATGATTTTCATCAAAGGTGATCAAGATGAGAGTTTTATTTGACAGATTAGGCTTGCTTAGAGTAGATTGATAGAAACCTGTCAACCAGTCGCCTGCATAAGTAGTATTAGTGTCTATGAATGATCAACAAATAAATAAACAAATAATAAAAAAAGAGGTGAGATGAATGAGAAATTAAACTTTATATATATATATATATATATTTGTTACCATGACCATCATTTAGCATATTGGGAGTGTAACTAAGATATGAATGATTTGTTTAATAAAAGTAAAACAATTCATTTTGAAATACAATATTGGTAACTTACAACATCCAATTGGGAAGTGTGTTGGCAGCAATATCAATGTCGAGTTCAATTCCAGGGACAACAAATTTGGCTCGCGCAGGATCTTGAGCAATAGAATCAAAGATGATGGCTGGATTATGCTTTCTGACATATTGACCGATCTTGTATCCAGGATAACCAACGCTGGGAATATCTTCTTGGTAAACCTTCCAAGTCAAACCCTTCTTTTCTAAGAGATCGTAAATGGTGCTAATATTCTTGGGAATGTTATAATAGTCATCATTGGTAATGCCAAAAGTAGATCCACCAGCAGCCGCGACGTAATTGGGTTCACTTGGGTGAGTAAGCGCTTTTAAAAGAAAAAAAAAAAAAAAGAGGAATGAATGAGGTAAATGAAAAAGAGACCAGTTTGAATTTTTTTTTTTGTTACTTTACCACTATAACTATCCAAAAGGATACCTTCTTTTGCCAATGTTTTCCATGCAGGTAATTCACTAACTAGTTCAAAATCCTAAAGTGTGCAAAAAGTAAAAGAAAGACCAAAAAAAAAAAAAAAAAAAAAAAAAATATGGAAACGTTGTTTAAATCAGCGCATACTGTTTATTGGTCAAACGACCAACTTTCACTCTGGTACCTGATTTTCAAACCAGACTTGAAGGAAATGATCAAAGACCTTTCCTTTGACTCGCTGATGATGATGATAATGATGATAATGATGATGATGATGACAGTGATGCTGGTATTCAACTGACGGAGAAGCTATTATACTAATAGTAAATGAACTCAAAGTAAGAAAGGAAGATAAAGTAATACGCATGATAACGATGATGGAAGATTATAAAAAAAAAGGGAGAACACTCATCAAATGGTCTATTATTTATATACTGTATTTTATTATTATTATTATTATAATACTGATATTAATCATCCTTGTGATTTTATTTACTATGAAAGAAATGGCTTAATTGTATTGACCAAAGGATACCTATGATTTCCATACAGGTGGCGTGATCTTGAAAACTGATTGGGAAACAAAGAGAGAATTTCGATATCGATGAACGTTTTCCCCCTGTCATGAGGATGAAATCAGGACATATTGTGAAACATTTATTTTTATGTATACGCTTGTAATACTAAAGAATGTTCACTTATCCAAAGGAAAAAAAAAAAAGATAAAGACAATATTTAAGAGATTCTATTCTCTTGTATCGAATACATATTAATTACTTATTTATTTATTTGGGTAACAAAATACTGAAACTAAATCTAATCTAATTCCTTTTTCTAGACGTTGTATTCGAGAGTTGTTTCTTTTTATTTCCTGAATAATAGTAATCCAAAAATGATCGCTTGTCTTTCACGTCGAGATTTGTTTTTCGAAGTCGGGCCACATTACCAAGAGCCAGCAAAAATTGACCACCCACTAAATCATCATATCCTGCCAAAGCCGTCAAATCAGTAGTGTTGACCGAACCTTCGTTTGCACATGGTGTTTCATCATCCAATAAATGCTTGATTCGTAACGTATTGGAGAACTACGTAAAAAAAAAAAAATTATATATCAAATGAAATATAAATTAGATCCATTTCCTTTTCCTTTTTTTTTTTTTTTTCTAATAATTACCTGTGAGCATAATGATAAAAGATGAACAAGTTGATAGCCGACAGTATAAGTTGGAGACATATAACTGTATTCATATTTGAATGCAATAACATGAAATCGACCATCACGATCCGTAGGCTTGAATTCGTTGAATAAAGGCGCACTGAACTTGAGTAAGGCACGACCATTAGAGGTAGTTGCTTCAGGGAAAATGATCACTGGACCCCATTTGTTGTTCTTAGCTTGACTAGAAATTTGCTTGACTGTATATAGATCATTTTCATTCACATTGGCCTCTTCAGGAGTCATCACTGGTAAATAAACACAAGATCGAATGGCTTGCCATAATGATATCCGACGCACTTTGTTGACAGATGGAATGACTTGGGTAAATACAGGATTAAATCTAAATAATAATAATAATAATATATCAGTCTTATTTGTTTGATTATTATTATTATTATTACCGAAAAGCCAGATAGATCACCTCGATATAAGAAGTCCAATTAGTAACAATGATATCACCAGAATTCACCTTTAAAGCTGGAGCCTTGGAAGCCTTGTTGCGACTAATATAAAACATATGGAATAAAAATAGATAAGAGTGAGTATTTTAGAAATATCATGTCATTTTGTGTCCTTTTTTATTACCCTTTTCGAATAGAGACTGGTTCGGATTTGAAATAAAAAAAGCCCATAAAGAAAAGGATCAGTCTTAAGCATACTGAAGTGAAAATCCTTTTCCAGACACGCTGTAGAGGTTTTAATGGTATCTATAGTGACGTGATATATAAGTAAGGAAATAAAATAGAAGGATACGATTACTTACCAGTAAAGTACCCAAAAGAGGAACTAAGATCAAGTAAAGCAAGGCAACAATAGTAACTAGGGTGAATTTGATAATTCCTTGGATAGGACCAACAATATAATGAATGACATTAGATAATGATAATAATAGACTGTTTTCAGTACGTGGTGGCTAATAAGAGAAGTGAAAAGAAAATAAAAAAAAAAAAAACAAAAAAAAGTGAGTGTTGAGATCAATAAAAGATGGATTGTTGATTGCTTATATCGTGTTATTTTAACTTACCACTGGTGGGAGGAAAGGTTGAATACCAGTACCAGGATCCTATTATTAATCAAACGAAAATAAATAAATAAATAAATAAATACATTTCAAATGACATGAAGGAATAACAAATGACTTACTCTCCAACGAGAATATTTTTCCATTGATATTAGATTCAGAAAGAAATAAAATAAAGAAAAGAAGCACCCTCTTCAACATTGAAAAAAAAAAGCACTTTTTTGAATTCCAGATAATCCCAAAAAGAATTGCCACGTGATTTTTTTTTAATGTTGATCTAGATAATCATGATTGAAAAAACCTATGTTCATCCATACTTCTCTTATCGTAAACAATTATTAAGAGAATATATGAAGAATATATATATATGAATGATTCTAATCTATGAATGAATTTATTATTTCTAGTAAAAATGCATGAAAATAATACTTTCTAATTTAAAAACGAGATAAAATGAGAATAACTATATACGATGGTGAAGTCAATGAGGGAAATATGGAAAAAAAAAAAAATCTAATCTAATCACTATCAGTGTCAGGTTCCTTTTCACCACCTTCGATTAACCATTTGAGATGACGAGCACGACGACGATCTTCTTGTTTCTTGATTTCATTTCTAGTTTTCTTTTTCTTCTTGCTGAGTTTGGCTTTTACCTTTTCATCATCCACTTGCTTTTCATCATCCACCGCAGTCTTGCCAGTACGATTCAATCGACCAGCTTCCAAAGTCCAAGTTTCAGGGCAAAGTGCACTAACGAATTCTTGAGAGTGAGAAATCATCACCACAGCTCCTTCCCAATTCTTGATAGCACCAGCAAGACCACCCAAAGCTTCACGATCCAAGAAATTGGTAGGTTCATCCAAAATCAACATATGTGAGTTATTCCACATAGCTGCTGCAATTACCACCTTGACTTTTTGACCACCAGATAATTCACTCACTTTACTATATTGTGCAATATCAGGATCCAAACCAACATCTATAAAATTCATTTAAATATATATATGAATACAATGTTTCCTATTTTTTTTTTTTGTTAGATTACCTTGAAAATGTTGACGAATGGCAGGTACAGTCAATTCACGATACATGAGACCTTCACGAGAAGCTTCCTTATCATCAAATTGTTGTACCATTTTTTGGAATCCAAGTTCAAGTAGCTTTTCACGAGAAATCCAAGTATTGTATTTGTGAAGTAAGTTTCTCCATTTGACTTCATATTGGAAAGTTTTCTTGAGTTTGGCACGACCTAACAAAGTCTATGAAAGCAAAAAAAAAAAAAAAAAAAAAAAAAAAAAAAAAAAAAAAAAAAACCGTATTGAGCTACCATTTTCTCCTCCCATCTTTTTTTTTTTTTTTTTTTTTTTTTTTTTTTAAAAAAAACAAGACTTACTTCAATTTGCCGTTTATCACCATTGATTTCAATATGTTTTTCCATTTGTTTCCTTTCTTCTTCAGACCATTGACGAGTTTCCTTTTCCAATACTTCTTTGTCTTCACCCGTAGAATAACGCCATTGTAAATAATCCATAGGAGTCTTTTCCAAATGTTGTTCTAAATGGTGGAAAGCATGTTGTGCTACATAACCAATGCGTAAAGCAGGATGACGCCAAACTGTACCAGTTTGAGGAATAGATTCCCCTGTCAACAATTTGATCATAGTTGTTTTACCTAGAATAACAACAAAATATGAATAATTAAATCATCATCTATTATTTAATTCTTTTTTTTTTTTTTAATTCTTTACCTGCACCGTTTGGACCCACTACAGCCACACGAGAAGAAAGAGATAAAGAGGCGGAAGCATTGAATAACGAAGGACGAGATGCACCAGCATAGGTATAGGTACAATCAGTGATTTTCAAAATAGCTTTGGTATTGCTTCGGACTCCTGATAAAACGGAAGGTTTAGGAAAAGAGAATTCAACGGTAGAGGCATCAAGGGTATAGTAAGTACGTGCTGCTGGATAAGCTTCAACAAACCTATTCAAAAATAAAATAAAAAAAAAAAAGAAAAAGATTAGGAAACAATGTTTTGCTATATTTTGTAAACAATAAAAAACTTACTTTGAGAGGTTGCCAGAGTATAAACGTAATTTCTTCTTTTCATAATGCAAAATTTGAGTACAAACATTGTCCAAGAATCCAGAATCGTGAGAAACAATAAGACAGGTAACATGAGTTTGACTATTGAGGTAATCTTCTAACCATTTGATATTATGGACATCCAAGTGATTGGTAGGTTCATCAAGTAACAAGATATCAGCCTTAGTAAGCATAGCACGAGCCAATTCCACCTTCATTTTCCAACCACCAGAGAATGTATTGACAGCATGAGACAAACGAGCATCATCAAAACCAACTGATCGGAGAGATTCTTCAATTTCTTCTCTTGGGATATTTTTTAAATGATGATCAGCAGCAACATAGTCCACCACATTCAAAGAAGTATCAGCACCTTGTACAGTATAATCTACAAAAGCAGTTCGGACTTGATCTTGAGAGGGGAAACCTTCTACTTTTCCTTGATGAATAGATCGCATAAGAGTAGATTTACCAGCACCATTTGTACCACATAAACCATAACGTTGACCACGATGTAATTTGAGTTTGGTGTGATTGAGTAAAAGACGAGTACCATAAGCTAAAGAGAAATCATCTACACGACAAATTTCTTCTCCTTCTTGATGATCATAAGCATCATCATCATCAGTAGCACCACTACGTTCTTTCCAAATTGTATGTAGTTGTTCATGTAAAGCAGTGCACACACCAGGGACATCTGAAGCAATTAAAAAGGAATTCAAATAAGGAGATAAGATCTTGATCCATTTTTCCAAAGTAAACATTTCTTGACGAACAAAATCAACACAAAGGACGGCAATGAAATCCAAGACAGGATTGTAGAATGAATCCAAAAAGAATTGTACTTTTTTGACTTGAGTTTTAACCGTATTTATCGTTTCATCCAAACCAAGTAAAGATAATTGTTTGTCTTGTTCATCTTTTTCCAAATGACCACCAGCATCAATCAAGGTTTGTTTTGCTTTTCCAGCCAATGCACGAATTTCAGGGAATGCAGCGCCTTCAGCTTGACGATCAACACCAGGGTATAACTGAGGTAAGAATTGAGCAGCAGTACGAGGATCACGGACAAGTTTACAAAGATTGTCGATAATAATAACAGTTTGACGTAATAACAAAGTAGATCGTTCATTCAGAGCACGAGTTAACAAAGGGACCATAATAGCTAAAGTAGGACCATTGACTTCAGCAACAAAGGTAGTACTTGCCAATTTTTCAATAGTAGCAGGTACATGAGTAGGATCACCCATACAAAGAACTAAATCCTTAATATGACGTTCAATATCAGGATTGCCACCAACAGAACAGACAGCACGCATAGTACGTTGAGCTTCCGAAGCGACTTCATTCTTAGTATCAGCCAAACAATTAGAAACGACAGGAATAATTTCAGGTAAAAGTTCCCCGACTTGTTCAGGAGCTCTTTCGGTAAATCGTTTCAATAACTTGAGAGCACCGACTTTGGTTTGCCATTTCTTGGATACATTAGACTTTTCACCTTGAGCAGAGAGAATAGTACCCATACCTTCATATAATAGAGGAAGAAGTAAATGAGCAGCTTCAGGAGGAGCAAGATCAACTAAAGTTCTTGAGGCTTGTTCAGCAGCTTCTTGCACTACTTGACCCTTATCAGCATAAAGATCCAAAAATAAGACCAAATAGTTCAAAATGATAGGTTCAATAGGATCCTTCACCACTTCAGCCATAGCATTAAAACCAATAAGTCCACTTTCTCTTTCCATACCAGATTTCTTGTTCTTAGCACTAGTTTCCAACTTTTGTAAAATATTATGATGTTTTAACATGATAATACCACGACTTTTAACTTCTTTTGCAAGTTCACGAGCTGCTTGATCTACTTCTTCACTAGTAGGTGCTGTATTAAGTTGTTTCAACAGATCACTGACCAAAACAGCCACATCATCAGTTGCCATGATTGTATAAAAAAAGAAGAAGAAGAGGAGGTGAATGAAAGAAAGAAAAAAAAAAGGGGGAAGAACAAAAAAAAAAAAAAAAAAAGAAAAAAAAATGATAGGAAGGAGTTTCAAAAGTTTTTTTTTTTTTTTTTTCTAATAGCAGCCACTCAAATAAATATCAAATCAAAAGTGAGCTTTTTATCCATTTGCCCAATCTTTGGTTTCGGATCAAAAAGTATTTTTTCAATAATGCAATCTCATCCTCTTATCATAGTCAATCATTCTTCCTTTTTTTTTTTTTTAAGGTTATTTACGCAGCAAAAAAAAAAAAAAAAGGTAAAAAATGAATAACTTTATACTTGTACGTCCCTCATTTTGACACATTTTATTTTTTTATTTGTTTTATTCAATAGACATAATATTTCTATTTTTGCCTTCAAATCAAGTCACATGGTATCTACTCTCTTCATCAAAATGGTAAAAAAAAAAAAAAAAAAAAAAAAAAAAAGAATTCTTTTTTCTCTCTCTCTTTTTTTTTTTCTTATATTCAAATAATATGGTTTCTTCTTTTACTCAAACAATTATTGCCATTTTACTTATTCCTTGTATTCCACTTCTTATTTATGTTATTGGAATATTAATTCCTGAAAGTCATATTGTTTCTCGAACTATCACTTATAAAACTCGACCTGAAAGACTTTGGGAACTTCTAACAGATGTACAATCTTATCCTTTATGGCGACCTAAACTTGAAAGTGTTTCTATTGATAGTATTACTCCAGCAACACTTGATGAAGGAAAACGCGTAGTGTTTGTAGAACATTCTAAACGTGATCGTCGTACTGTCATCTTACATGTCGAACAACAACCTTTGAAAACAATGCTTCGAGTTTTGGAAGAACGTATTACCACTGCTGTTAGTTTAAGATCTCCTGTACCTACACGACCTCATGTTCCAACTTTTTCTGGTTCTTGGACTTTTGAACTCAAATATCCTAATCAATGGTTACCCAACAACAATCATAATAATAATAATAATAATATGGATTCCACCATCACCAACGAAACCCCGACAACTGTACAACTGAAGATCACTGAACAAGGTGTTATCAAAAAACCATTGGTACGTTTATCCAATATGTTACTTTTCGGTTATCATCGTCGTATAGACCGTTTTATGAAGGATTTGGAAAAAAGAATTGCTCAAGATCATCGAAATGACAGCAAAAAATCAACTACAACAATTGGGGAAAACGATGATCATCATCATCAGCAACAACAACCGATCAAATCAGCCGACAATGAAATATATCACCAGACATTCCTTTCTTCATTACCTGACAAGGAAATCGACTTGGCCACTCAGGATGATACTTTATTACAAGTCAATGGACCAAAATCAACAAAAGCATTGGAAAAGGATTGGGATCTAGTTAGTGAAATTTATGAACGTCAAAAACCATAATTTATCTTTTAGTACTCTTGTCCTTTATATATATATATATATATATATATATCAATACCCTCATTTCATCATATTTTTTTATCCATTCTTAGTCGATTATTCCCTTTTTCTTTTATTTCCCCATTCCTTTGTGTATCCCTTTATATATATATATAGTATTACTATTATTATTATTTTATTGAATACTTTATCGTGTATCATTTTTAGCCATTCATTCAATAAATATTCAAGTCAACTGTTTTTTTTTTTTTTTAAAAAAAAAAAAGTCTTGTATTGTAATTTATTTTATTGTAATATAAATAATTATTATCTAATTCTAAACTGATTAAACTATATCAAGATTAACTATCTGTATTTTCTTCATCTGAATAGGTCACACTTTCTTGTTCGCTATCATCATCATGACTGCTGTTGTCATCATCATTGTCCTTGTCATTATCACAAGTGGAATTTGCTATGTCTTCATCATCCAAGGGGTACATCTTCATTCCAAAATCGGCACTTTTTTTCATTATTTTCATTGCCATCATCCTGCTACTATCATCGTTGGATCCTAATTTCTTTCCTTGTTTCATCATATCCTCTTCAATTAATCGCCATCCAGTTTCGGGTATAAGCACTTGTTGAATATATTCCATTGGTTTTTGAGGATGTACCTTTTCTTTTGTAATATATCCAGTTCGTAAAAACATATCATTGAGTATCTTGAGTATGATGGAAGCACCCTTTGATCCATAGTATCCAGGCTATTTTCAAATATATATATATATCCCATAATCATCATGATCATCAAAAAAAAAAAAAAAAGAGTTAGATTATTATATTGATCCTTTTTTTTTTCCTTTTACCATGGTTTTATCAAATCGTCCGATCAATCCCATTGTACTTCTTGCCTTATGTGAGCCCATTTTCTTATAAGTTGCCAATGCTGTTTCTCTATAAGGACTGTCGATATGACCATCGATCACTTTGATTAGATCAAGTTTCTTTTCTTCAATACGTGTATCTAAACCCATAAAATCCAGATCAATAGGGTATCCATTCTTGATACCTTCGGGTTTGACTTTGAGTTCCAAGGTATGTAATTGACAAAATCGAAATTGATCCATGTTGCTGACAGCACGTCGTTTTGGAAGGTAAAAGTGTGAAGCATTGTCTTTTCTTTGTTGAGCATACTGAAGGTCATCCGATTCAATTTGATCCAGTGCTTCCTTAAGTTTCAAAGGTAGTGAATATGAATTATCGTCGTCATTCTCGTCGTCGTTATTGTTGTATCGAAGCACCTCCTTGCAATATGGACATACTTTTAAATTGATATTCTTGTTATTCGTTTTGGATATATTGTCGACTGTATAAGAAACAAAAAAAAAAAAAAGGTTAATGATAATATCAGGTCATAAAGATGAAGGTTACCATCATTGAGTCTTGGAAGTTTGGTAGTAGGTTCTACTTTTTCAGAAGTTTGATGAGACCGTTTTCTTGCTTTTGTCACCAATATTTCCTTCTTTTTTGGTTTTTTTCCAATAAAATTAGTAGGTGCGGTATATTTGGATGATTGAGGTTTTATACTGTTTGCGAATAAATCGTTATTGATATTATTTTGGTTCATGTTGGAATACAAAACTAGGAAGAAAAAACCAAAAAGAAATAAAAAAAAGAGACAGAAATCATGCCTGGTGCATCTCGTATAGCCTTCGATCTCCGCTGAAAAAGCCACTTTTTATATGCGGGAACGAATACGCGTTTTTTGAATTTAACATTTCTTTCTTTTTACTCTCACTTTTTTTCTTTGCTGAAAATATAAAAACTATGAGCTACGAAGGTAGAAGTCAACATCGTTCAAGAAACGATGGTAAGTTGAAAAACAAGTCAATAATAGTAAATAGGTCAAACTCGAAAGAACTTGATGTCTTATCTATTATGTTATACATATGTTGAATAGGACGACGATATGGAGGATACAATCGAGACTACCGTGGAGGCAACAGATACAGAGGTAACCCCATTAACGACGACTTTTATACGAAATTATGTTTAATATAATATTTAATTGATTATATTTTTTTTTATTTACATATATAGATGACTATCGAAAAAGACACTATCGACAACCTTCTCCCAGTCGTGACGAAGTAGAAGATATTGAAGAACGATTAAAAGGACTCATCATCAAAATAGGTGATAAGGTAATGAACAATTACTTTAAAGAAAGGGATTACGATCTAGAAAAGGACAGAAAGACATAACCTTTATGACATATATAGATTACTCCTGATCTCCAAGTAAATTTAAACAAGATGAAGAATATATTGGACAATGATTATGAGAAGTACCCTGATATGGTGCAAGAAACATTACAAGCTTGGTAAGCAAAAGTGTTCTTTATTTATCATATTTTTACTCTATTAACCATTCTTTTTTTTTTTTTTTTAGTGTTTTAGAACTTCCTTCAAAGACTCCCATCTATGGTACTCTCATTGGTTTATTGAATGCATCGAATAACAATATTGTTTTACGACTTATGGAAGGTTTCAATACGTTACTTACGACTTCAGTAGAACAAGCAGATTGGTTCAAACTAAAACAACTCGTTCGATTCTATGGAGAACTTGTTAATGCTAATGTTATCTTACCGAGCGCTTATTGTCATTTACTGGAAGATATCTTGGCTGATTTGGATCAATCAAAACAACTAAAGGTATTCAAATAAGGAAAAAAAAAAGAATTCAATTAGGATCAGAAGTATGTTATTAATCCTTTCTCTCTCCCTCTTTTTTATCTTGCTCTACATTTAGCGTCGATTGGATTGCCTTGTTTACATTGTTCTTAATGCTTTACCTTGGGTAAGTTATAAAAATGAAAGAATAAGAATTAGAATGGAAAATTGACTTGTTAATGATACCGAATTTTAGTGTGGAAAAGAACTCAATGAACGATGTGGTTCTGGATTGGAAGGTGTTCTCAACAAAATTGATACTTACATGAACAGCAGGGAAACAATCCACTTTCCTATTCTGAAGGTCTTTCAAGATGAGCAAGACCAAGATGTAAGTAGAAAAAAAAAAAAAGAAAATTGGGTCACTTTAAGAAAAGTGTTTGTATTTGTTTCTTATCTTTATATTCACTTTTTATCATTAGGAACTTTTACATTTGTGGAATCTCATTCAACAGCTTGAAAAAAGCAATTGGAAGGTAATACCCACTTTTTTTCTTCACCACGCATAATATGTTCATTGTCCTCACATCTCATATTTTATTTTATTTTTTTATCATTCTAGATATCGCTCATTCCAAAGGTTTACAAATGGTTTGATGATGAATTAAATAGAGCATTGCAGGTAACAAACAGAATAAATTATCGGAAAATGTGATACTGTTAGCGATATTTTTAGGATACATTTTGACTCATATTTATTGTTGTTCTTGTTTTTTTAGCATGAAATTCCTCGAGTGACACTCCCTCTTGATTCAGATGAATCAGCAAGGTACATTCATCCTCGACATATACTCAGAATTTTTATAGATGAAGATGGAAAGGTAAACGATAGAATCAAGGTTAAAATACCTTAAAACGGAAAGAATAAGGTAACTGAATCAATGATTATTTTTTTTAGACGAAATCTGACCATCCTGATCATCGTGGTCTTGATTACTTTATTCTCAACGATATCATTGCCGACACTATACAAATTTTTGAAGCCAATCGAAAGGAATGTGGCAAGTACCTTTTGAATATTGCAGGTGTTTTTGAACCCGGTCATTTTATGTCTCAAATGGATGATGATGACGATGATGATGATGAAAGGATCAACGAAAAATCTTTGGATTGGAATGCATCCGAAATTTTGATGGAGGTACGTATTAAAAAAAAAATAACAAAAAGGTTTTCTTTGGAAACTGATATAATTCTCTTTTTATTATTATTATTATTATTATTATTATTATTATTATTATTATTATTATTATTATTATTATTATTATTATTATTATTATTATTATTATTATTATTATTATTAGTCACTTCTATCACAGATGTTGATGCTTCCTATTTCTTCTTATCGATTGATTTTCTTCTCAACTCTCATGGCTGAACTGGTCCGTTTGAATACAAAAACATTCCCTATGGCTTTAGGACGATCTGTCAAATTATTATTTGATAGATTAGATAATATGGATACTGAATGTGTTGCTCGATTATGGACTTGGTTTGGACATCATTTAAGTAACTTTGGATTTCAATGGGATTGGGTAGCATGGTAAGATGACATAAGAACAAAAAAAGGATAAAGAGGGAAAAAAACTGATGGATTTTAATTATATTATAGGGAAGATGCATTGACTCTTGACAAATTACATCCACAAGTATGCTTCATCCGGGAAACCATCGAAAAGGAAATCCGACTCAGTTACTATGAACGTATCAAAACATCTTTGCCTTCGGAATTTGTCTCACTTGCACCAGCAGAAGCCCCTGGACCCAATTTTAGTTTTGGTGATACTTCTCATCCTCTTAACCCAGCAGCAAAGAAGGTCGTGGAGGCACTTCGGTCCAAGAAAAGTGTAGAAGAAGTACGAGAACTTTTGGAAAACATCAAACGGGAACTCGGTGATGATGATGTAGCACAGTCTTTGGCCATACAAGATCTCTTTATTCAATGCCTTTTGTTGGTGGGTAGTAAAAGTTTCTCTCATGTATTGAATGTAGTAGAAAGGTAATAAAAAAAAAAACGGGCAGATGATGATTACATTGGACTGCTATATATATATATTATGGTCATATCATATTCATTCATGTTACCATCATTCATTTATAGATATCTTGAAGTCATGCGACATTTCAATGGCACTCACGAAGAAAAAGTACGCACTGTTGAAATAGTGGCCACGTTTTGGAAAAACAATACTCAGGTACTCATAGAAAAAAAAACATTGAGAGTTTATTATTCTTTTTGTTACTTACTCAGTTGATTTTGTACTCCACACGTGTAGTTTTTATGCATTTTACTGGACAAACTTTTGAATTACCGTATCGTGGACCCAGCTTCCGTGATCGCTTGGATATTTGATCCAAAACAATTGGAAAACGCAGGAAGGTAAATTGAATATCCATTATACAGAAAGAATGGTTGATATGCATGGAAGTGACTGATTATTCTCTTTTTTCTTTTCTTGTTTCATTGATAGATCATATATTTGGGAAATCTTGAAAAATACATTGAACAAAGTTGTTTCTAGAGCCGCACAAATCAAATCTCGTTTGGAAACCTTTCGACAACAGCATAGAGACAATGAAATTGCTCGGGCAGCAAAACCTTCTACAGAAAGTAAGATTTTGTATATATATATTATGATAAAATAGGTTTGTTCTAATGATTTCTATCGTAGTCACACAAGCTGAAGCTCAACAAGAATTAGATGCTATACAAATTGCTGAACAATCATTTGGAACAGTATCAAGAGAACAAAAGGAAGTGTTTATGGTGATGTATCAACGTTTTGCCGAAATTTTACAGTCGTTACTCAAGTCTTTAGAAGCTCAAGGTCGAAACCCTGATGAAGATTGGACTTTTTGGTGGATGAATGGATGGTTCAAAGAAATCCTTCGACTGGTAAGGTTTTTCAATGACAAGAGCCAATCAAATGACAAAGAAACTAAATTTTTTTTTTGACATCCTTTCCCCTTTTATTCATAGTATCACGATGAATGTGCTGGATTCAAAGTCACTTTGGAGTCTGTTGTATTTACCTCTGATTTAGAACCTCGCATCATCAACTTGTTTCAACAAGTACAAGAATGGAATCAAAGCTTGTTAGCAAAAACAAAATGATCTCTTTTTTTTTTTTTTTTATGAAATAGTATAGTGATGGTGGTACATTAGTTTTATAGTTCTTCGAATTTACAATGGAAAAACTTTTTTACATCAATAAAAAAAAATATACTTATTTATATAATTTGGTCCCTTCAATCGATAAATAGGAAAGGGTGATTTTTACCTAATTTTGCTGTTATACAAAATGTTTTATATTTGATTCCTGGCGGAGCGCTCAAAGAATTGCCAATCAGAAACAATGATCATTGCACCTGCTTACAAGGACCACATTACTATCTATCATCAACATTTAGATTGTTGTCACACAAAAGTAGACCCTCTCATGGATATATAAAACGTTTTCTTTTTTTTATTTACCTTTTTTTTTTTTTATTTTAGCTTTTTCCTAATTTATTTCATTCTTTATTCAACTATGCGTCTTACTTTGGCTTCTGTTGTTGCTCTTGCTACTTTATCTGTTAGCACCATGGCTGCTCCTACAGCTCATCATCATGGTAACAATCATCAAGGCAAGGGAAAGGTCTTTGATCATATTCTCCAAGTTTGGTTCGAAAATCAGGTACATAACGAAAAAAGAAATGCGGTGTTTGAATAGTCGATTTTCTTAATGATCATTCAACCTTTTTTTTCCTTTTTCTTTTCTTTTCTTTTCTTTTCTTTTTTTTATATTTCTTCAAGGACTTTGATGTGGTCAATGCTCTTCCTACCTGGCAAAAGTTAGCCAAAGAAGGCATTCTTTTGGATAACTTCAATGGTACATTAAAAAGAAAGAAGTATTTATTATATATATTAACTCTCTCTTTTATATATATATATATATAGCTATCACTCATCCTAGTGAACCTAACTATGTCGCTGCTGCTGGTGGTTCCAACTTTGGTATTGATAATGATGACTATTACAACATTCCCAAGAATATTACCACTGTTTACGATTTGTTGGAAAAGAAGGGTTTGACCTGGAAGGTTTACCAAGAAGATATTCCTAGTGTTGGATTCACTGGATTCAAGGAAGGTCAATATGTACGCAAGCATAACCCTGCTGTTATCTTTGACTCTGTTGCTCAAAACCCCAATCGTGTGAAGAACATTGTTCCTGGTACCCAACTTGATGCTGATATCAAGGCCAGCAAACTTCCCAACTGGATGTTGTAAGTTTCCTGTCTTTTTTTTTTTTTTAAAAAAAAAAAATCTTTTTCTGTCACAATGGTTTTTTCTTTTTATTAATATATACTGTTATTTTTTTTTATTTTTCTATAGCTACACTCCCAATATGTTGAATGATGCTCATGGTAAGAAAAACAAAAAAGGAAAACATCTGTTATATATAGATATATATATTCATATATGATATTTCTTTTTAGATACTAATGCTACTTACGCCGGTAACTGGTTGGATGGTTTCTACAAGTCTACTTTATCTCAACCTTACTTGACCAAGAATGCTCTCATTTTGATCACTTTTGATGAAAATGCTTCTTATCCTAAGCGCAACCGTATTTGGTCCCTTTTGCTTGGTGACATTCCTGAACACTTGAAGGGTACCACCGATAACACCTATTATAGCCGTAAGTCAACTTTTCTTTTTTTTTTTTTTTGTGATATAATCCATTTGATCATTCTATTTGTACTTATCATTTTTTTTTATTATTATTTTTTATACTTTAGATTACTCCACTTTGCACACTGTTGAAGTAAGTAGTGAATAGGATCAAAAAGAGAAAGTAAGGAAATATCTGACTTAATTTTATTATTAGCAAAACTGGGATCTTGGATCATTGGGTCGTGGTGATGCTGACAAGAACGCAAACAACGTCTTTGACTTTGTTGCCAAACAAATTGGATACAAGAACACTGTCGTCCCTACTCAAAATATTCCTTTGAACAACAATACCATCACTGGTTTATTGACTGGCAAGTCCTTCAACCAAACTCATCCTAACGGTGGTACTCCTCCCGCTTAGTTTAGATATTTACAATATCCTATACTTCCTTTGTCATATATATATATATATCTTGTATTTCTTTTAATAAAATCCGAATTATTATTTTTTTTCTGTGATTTTTATATGTCTGATAGATATTAATTCTCTCTTTTTTTTTTTTTCCCTCTCTCTTTCTTTTTGGATGACTATGTACCTATGGATTAGTTTCTCTTTTTTTCAATCAAAATTCGATAATGATTCATTTTCATGGATGATTCGAATCGACTTTTGTACAACAAGGAAATGATCATCACACTGTCATAACTCTAGTTTTTCTTTCTTACTTCTTCCATCATCAATTGTACATACCAACTGGTAGTCTATTTTCAATCTTTTTTTTTTTCCCTCTCTCAAAATTTTTTTCGTTTTTTATAAAATCAATATATCTGGTCTCTCTCTTGGGTCATCACCGTAGGTTTTTACTTTATTTTACCAATCATCTGCCATATTATACGATCATCAAGCATTGTTACTAAGTTATTTTTTTTTTTTATTATTTTAACACTCATTAAGATTTTTTTTATACAAAAGTAAAGCTATATAACATCATCATTAACGACCTACATGTCATTGAATTGAATCATCCATCCATAAAAAGTTATAATAACTATAAAAGAATTATAATAACTATCGTAATTATTATCCTTTTTCTTTTTAGTATAAATACTCCTTTTTTTCATGTATCAAATAAAATGTGGATTATTCATTTTGATTGGCTCAACCCCCTTTTTTTGATATTCTCTTACCTTCCAATTTGAAATTGATCTTTTATTTTTCTTTACTTTACTTTTCTTTTTTATTTTATCTCTTTTTGTATATGTGTGCTTGCGTAATCAAGTACTGGTGCTCACTATTTAACTTATTATCTTTCAATCATCCGATCTACTTTTTCAATTTGGGTTCTAACAACCAAAAAATCTCTTAACATAAGTATATCAACCATATTCACACAAAAAAAAAAAAAATTACAAAAACACTTTTCCTTTGGACGACTTTACAATGATTGACGTGGAAATCTTCGATTTGTACACCAAGATAGGAACTGAGTCCTCTACTGACCCAACTATCAACGAAGCCATCCTTTTTTTTTTTTTTTTATCCAACTCAACCTTTTATCATGAATACCGATGATACTCAACAAGTTCTGCATATGAATATTCCAAAGTACGTTGAACAATTGTCCTTGATAAGAGAAAAACAGCGAATAATTCATGAAATGGAAGAAAACCTATTATCTTTGACAGTACAAATGGTCCATTCCAGTCTTGAGAGACCGTATGACGAGTTTACAAAGGCGAACTATGAAGACAAAAGAAAAGAATACTTGCAAGAGTTATTAGATGATCATATGCCTCGCAATGTCATGTATACTTATATTAACAAAGTAAGAAAGATAGATACATGGTTGTGATGGAGGCCATCTTCCTTGGGGCGGTGGGATGTCGAGAGAAAGAAAAAAAAAAAAAAAGAGAAAAAAAAATTTTAAAAAAAAAAAATTTTTTTTAATATATATATATTTTATAATCTGTTTCTAGTTTTAATTTTAGTATAAATAGTCCATCTTTTTCCTTTTTTTTGTAGTTTAGTCAATAGAATATATAATATTTTAATAAAAAACTTCTCTTTACATCCCATTTCAAAGTGTATTTGTGGATTATCTCTCTTGATTGGCTCACTTTGTTCTATATTCTAACTCAGAACAATTTTACTTTACTTTTCTTTTTTATTTTATTTCTTTTATTATACGTGTGCTTGCGTAATCAAGTACTGGTGCTCACTATTTAACTTATTATCTTTCAATCATCCGAATTACTTTTTCAATTTTGAACCTATAAACCGAAAAATCACTTAACATCACTTAACAACTAGTAACAACAACTACATGATGCTATGATCGACACTTTAACCGTGGTAAAAGCATTTACCCGATGATCCAATTTAAAAAAGCAAAAAATGATTGGTAACTGGGTGATTCGAACACCCGCCTCTTACGAGACCGCAACTTGAGTGCGGCGCCTTAGACCAACTCGGCCAAATTACCTAGTTTGAACGTTAGACCCTGATGTTCATGATAAAGCCAAACGGCTGAGTTGGAAAAATCACAATTTCAGCCAATCACAGTGCGTTCGGTGTAGATTTAGCCGAAAAGCTATTGCTTTCATCCTCCACTTTATTTTATTTTTTATTTCGCTATCCTTATTTTTCTTGCACTTTTTTTTCCTTCTTTTTTTTTTTTTTTTTTTTTTTTTTACATTATACTGTACTTCCTTCGTCTATTTTACGGTATATACTGTATCTCCTTTTATGATAGAAACATACTTTTTATCTCATGTTGCTTTATTGGAAATAAAACGATATATACTTTTTGAATGATTAACGTATCTCACTTCATCTCGATCTATTTGAACAATAATTCACCTATCTACTGTACTTTTTTGTTTGTCTTATTGCCTTTCTGTTTGCCTTTTATTGATACATAGAGTATGACTGCTCTCAGTTTTTTTTTTTTTTTTTTTTTTTTTTTTTATGTATATGTGGTTTATGGATGATATGTGATGAAAGGATGAATGGAATGTGACTATGGGAACGATGAATGATTGAATGGATGGTGAATATAATGATATAAATGATGAATTGAACAATGGTATAAAGTAGTGGGAAAAAGAAACTCTCTTATACTTCTTCTTCTTTCTTCTTTTGATATGTGGGTTGATATTTTTCTTTAAAAGTTTATTTCTTTTTTTATATATATGTATAAATTGACCTTGATGATGTTTCTTTTGGTATACAAAAAAAAAAAAGCGGCACTTGAAAAGAGGTCAGTGGCGCTTGCATTGCAAATAAAGGGCAAAAAAAAAAGAAAAAGATTTTTTTTTCTTTTCTTTTCAAACACTTTTTGTTTCTTTTTTTTTTTTTTTATTACATTTGTAGTTCTCTATTATGCCTGCTGAAAAGAAAAGACCTCGTGGATTGAAAAGTAGTGCTGCTGCTAGCAAATCTACTCCCAAGAAAGTCAAGACAGAAGTGGACGAAAAGGATATACCTGAAAATGCTCAAACTGTAGTCATTGACAAGGTGGTAGAAGAAGGTGATGAAGTTGGTGAAGCTGCTGCTCTTTTCGAGAATGCTTTGGAAAAACTAGGTAAGAATGTACAAGAAAAAAAAAAAGGAAGAATGATATGGTTGGTATGATTCTTATTTTCTTTGTCTATAACACTAATGTCCTTTTATTGATTTGTATAGACAAGAATCCTTCTGAAGCTTTAACATTGTTACGTGGAACAGTTCATGAATCTGATCGTATTTTACGCAACTGGGAATCAGAACAACCTTTACCATCCTTGTTTTATTATACTTATGGATCAGCTCTATATGAACTTGGCCGCTTAACAGAAGAAGAAGAATTTACACCCTATTTAGAAGCTGCGGAAGAACGTCTCCAGGATGGATTTGACCATTTGAAAAAGATCGATCAAGTAACTGACGATGAAGTTGTCAACAAGATGAATATTACTTTGGCAAAAATCTGGCTCGCAAAGGTATGAATGAAAAAAAAAATAAATATGTGAAGTGGATATGTACTATTGGTCTTAACTCTTAATTTGATTTATATACATATAATTAGGCTGCTATGTTGGTAGATGATGATTCAACAACTATTCCTGATCTTGCTGTACGTGCTTTGGAAACCTTGGATAAGACTTGTGAAAAATCAAAAGTATCAACGGCTAATTTGGTGGAGATCGGTAGTATCGTTCAGAATCATGGTGATCTTTATTCTGTGTTGGAACCTAGAACCAAATTTACTCAATGGGCTGAAATTCTTTTCAAACGTATCCTTGATGGTAAATTAAAATTTGTTCATCTAATGTTTATGTTACTTATTTTTTTTTATTGGATAGATGAACCTAACAACGCACGCGTTCTATCTGAACTTGGTCTTTCTCAACTTTCATTAGGAAATTATTGGTTGGAACGTATGGATGAAAAAGAGGATGTCTCTGAACAAAAAGAAGATCGAACTGAACGAATAAATGAAGAACAAAAAGCATATGATGCCTTTGTTGAAGGTAATATTATCACTATTATTGATGACTTCTTTTTTTTTAAAAAAAAAAATAATAATAACCAACTATTATGTGATTTTATAGCAAAGAAATATTTCCTTCAAGCTCAGGAATCTCTTGAAAAATCAAAGACGTTGACACCACAAATCTTTAGTGATTTAGCCGAAGCATATTTGAACGAAGCCAATTTGACTCTGGACAGCAAAGAACAAAAAGAATTATACGAACAAGCAGTTAAGAACATCAATGAAGCGAAGAATCTTGGAAGTGGACTAGATTACGTTTTACCTGAAGGTTTAGAATTATTTTTAGATGAATGGAATAGTGAAGAAAAAGTAGCCTAGTTTAACTATTGTTTTTTTTTTTTTGGATGATACATTACTATTTGTGTGAAATAAAAAGAAAGAAAAAGAAAAAAAAAGATGTAGACTACCTTTTTTCCAGAATAGGAAACGGTGCTTGCTTTTTCAAATAACGAATTGAATTTGGTTTTTCTTTCCTTTTTCTGTGTGTGTGTATATGGGTGTGTACGATTTTTTTTTTTTCGTCTTTCTTTTCGAACCTCGTATAACATTTCTTAACCTTTCCCACCCAGTTTTTCTCCTTCTTCTTTTTTTACCTTCTTTACTTTATATATTCGCATTCAAACTCATTAGTTTATGACTAGTCAAGAACAAGAGCCTCTACTTGCAGGTGAAAGGACATCAGAAGACGACAATGAACGACACCCATCTTCGGAAAGTTCTCAACAATTTGTTCGTTTGGAAAATAGACTTCAAAGTGGTCGTTTCACCTCCCTAGAAAAACTCTTATTCATAGTTTCTATCAGTTTATTCATCATCTTGACGATCTTTGTTGGACTATATGCTCGACGTGTATATGATGATCATCCTTATCCACCAACACCCAATCCTCCTCAAGACAATAATGAAACTACAGTAAAATGAATAATAAAAGGCTCAACAAATAAATGTGATTCAGTGGGTTCTAATCACTCTTTCTTTCTTTCTTTCTTTCTTTTTTTTTTTTAAAAAAAAATGTAGCCTCTTTGTATGACTCCAGAATGTGTATTGACCGCAGCTCAAGTACTTCAAGATATTGATCTTACTGTTGATCCCTGTGAAGATTTCTATGCTTATTCATGTGAGTTATTGTCATTTGGTTTATCAACTTTTATATTCATTTTTTTTTTTTAAAAAAAAATCTTAATAGGTAATAATTGGGAAGAACATCACAATATTCCTGAAGGCAAATCATCCACGGGATCTTTCGACTTGTTAGCTACCGGCAATAAAGAAGTATTACGTGGTATTCTTTCTCATGACTTTGATTCCTTTTATGAACGAGTCTACGATGAAAAAGAAGGCACTCTTCCCGACCCTGAAAAACTGGTGGACAAGCAAAATTTTTATATGGTCAAGAATATGTACGATTCATGCATGAATGAAGTCTTGATTGATGCTAAAGGCGCTACGCCTCTTTTGCCTTTATTGAGTGAAATCCAAGAATTCTTTGCTGGTGATGAAACTAAAATCTCTAGTAAAAACTTGACTCTTGCTGTTGCTACGTTGGTGAAGAATGGTGTAGATCCTTTCTTTCAACTCTTCATTGATGCTGTAAGTTTATAATATATAATCAAATTTTATTTGACTTTTTTTTTTTTTATTTCTTTCTTTCTTAAGGATGCCACTCATCCTGAAAACAATGCACTCCAAGTTATTCAATCTGGTCTTACTCTACCATCCAAAGAATATTACAAAAATGACGATATCATCAATGTCATGCAAGAAGCTATTACTGATACTTTGGATTTGGTATTCACAACAACAAATGAAATTGGATGGACAAAGAAGCGATCTGACCAAGCAGCAAAAATGGTAGTGGGATTGGAAAAGAAGTTGGCTGCTATCAATGATGAACTTGAAGATTTGATGGATCCTATTGGTACTTACAACCCACGTACTCTATCACAACTTAGCAAGATTTCACCGCAGATTGATTGGGATTTGTTGATTTCTCACTTACAACCTTCATCATCACCTCATCAAGATTCTATTATTGTCACCTCACCAACTTATCTCGCTAATCTTTCCAGTCAAGTATTAGAACCATCATCTCCGGATACTCTTCTCACTTATTTGATCTGGCGTACAATCAATGTTTATGTAGATGCTCTTGGAGAAGATTTACGAAAACCAAGCGACAAATTAATGGCCAAAATCCAAGGTAGAAATGCAAAGGTGACTGAACCTCGGTGGGAAACATGTTTACAACAAGTGGATAATTCTTTGGGCTTCATGGCTGGTCGATTATTTGTGCAAGAAAAGTTTGGTGGCAATGCTAAAGAACGAGCTGATGATTTTATCGATTCTATCAAGCAAGTCTTTCTTGAACGTTTGCCCGAACTCAACTGGTTAGATGATACAACAAGAGAAAAAGCTGTTGAAAAGGTATAGATTCGTTTGTTTATTCTCATTCTTTTTTTTTTTTTTTTTTTTTTGTTAATTCCAATCTTTTTTTTTTTTTTTTAAATATATATATATATTAGGTGAATAAACTCATCAGCAAAATTGGATATCCTACCAAAACACCGAATGTTATGTCACCTGTTTCTCTTTCTGAATATTACTCTGGTTTATCCGTATACGTTGATGATTATTTTGGAAACTATATGGCAGGTTTACAATTCAGTGTGAAGAAGGAATGGCAAAAGGTTGGCAAGGAAACGGACAAAACTGTCTGGCTTATGAATCCTGATGAAGTGAACGCTTACTATAATCCCACCGTCAATGAAGTAAGTAGTACAGATCCCATGATGATTTATTGATTATGCGCATGGTTGATTCTTTTTATTTTTCTCAACTTAATAGATTGTCTTCCCTGCTGGTATTTTACAAAATCCATTCTTTGGCAGCAACTATCCAGGTAAATCAAACCTCTATTGAAGTTAATGTTTTATACATTATATATATATATATATATTCACTCTTTTTTTTTTTAATACACATTTCCTTCCAAATAGATTACTTGAACTATGGAGGTATTGGGGTGGTTGTTGGACATGAACTTACGGTAAGGGAAAAAGATATTACCCAATTGAACCAAATTTTTCATCTTACTAATATAAATCTCTCTCTTGATAGCATGGCTTCGATAGTATGGGACGGCATTATGATGGTAATGGACGATTGGTGGAATGGTGGACCAATGCAACTTCGGAAGCATTTGACGAAAAGGCAAGCTGTTTTGTGAAGCAATACAATAATTTCACAGTAGATGCCGGTAATGGGGAAAAAATCCATGTCAAGGGAAAGCAAACATTAGGCGAAAATTTGGCAGACAATGGGGGATTAGGTGAAGCTTATATGGCGTGGAAACGACGCTACGATAGTGACAGAGAATGTAAAAAGTACAACAATCAACGACTTCCTGGGTTGGATGATTTGACACCAAACAAATTATTTTTTGTGAACTTTGGACGAGTATGGTGCAACAAAATGACCCAAGAGCGAGCAAAACAACGGGTAAGTTTTTTTTTTTTTTTAAATAAGATAAACTATTTTGATTGATATATATATATATATGTTTAGGTACTTACGGATGAACATTCACCAGCAAGATGGCGTGTCAATGGAGCGGTACAAAATTCTCAACATTTTGCTCAAGTCTTCCAATGTCCTTTGGGTAGTGCTATGAATCCAAAAGAAAAGTGTGAATTATGGTGATATCATGCATGAATTTAGGATGATTTTAAATAAAATATATATTTTTGAACTTGGATGAACTTAATAAAAACAATGATGATGATTTTGAATGACTGGACTCTCTTTTTTTTTTTTTTTTTTCTTTTTTTAAGGAGAGTGGTTGATTGATTGGCTAGTAGGAAGAGGAAGATAAAATAAAAACGTGTTTACTTTTTTTTTTTTTTCTTTATTTCATCTGTGGGTATATGTGAGTTTGTGCGCATGTGTGTATTATTTTGTGTTATGTGCGTGTGAATATAAAAAGAGAGTACAAACAAAAGAGAAAGAATAACAATCGGATGGTTTGTTCATTACATTGGCTCCCTCATCAATAGTAATAAGTATGTGATTTGTTGACTCCCTCAAGTGAATTGTAGTTTATGATAAAAGGAGGATGGATGATCCAAAAGAATGAATAAATAAATAAATAAAAAAAGGGGGGTGGGTCACTGCATGATCCAATGAAGGTAGTTGCATGATTTCCACCTCGTGTTGATTAGCAACAAAAAAAAAAAAAACATTTTGGCAACTACAAAAAAAAAAAAAAAAAAAAAAAAAAAAAAAAACCTTGTCTCACGTTTTGAATCTCCTACCCCTTTTGCCATTTTGTTTGGGTCGCAACCCCCCCCCTATTTCCTCTTGTTTTTTTTTCTCTCTCTTTCTCAGTTACTTCTATTCTTTCTACTCCTCTTCTTCCTTATCCTCCTCACTCTTTCTCTCTCTCTCTCTCTCTCCTTCTACTCCTCTCCACCCCTTTCTCTTTATCCATCTCTCTTTCATATACACTAATATTCATACTCACTTTTACAACCCTCACACACTTACAACCACACATTCACAAAACCACAAAAGAAAAACAAAAGAAAAAAAAAAGAAAAAAAGGTGCTCTAATTCCTCTTTCTTTCTTTCTTTCTTTCTTTCTTTCTTTCTTTCTTTCTTTCTTTCTTTCTTTCTTTCTTTCTTTCTTTTTCTTATACTTTACTTGTTTTATTCTGCAATCTTATTACAATGGATACATTGGCTTCTGAAGAAACCACATACTCTTTACCATCACCACGAGATTTATTGCTATCATCTTCTCAGGAACAACAACCAATGGAGGATTCTCCAGTAGACAAGATGATGGTTGACGAACCATATGAAACTGAAGATATTCAACCTTCTTGTGGTAAGCAAGAAATACTATGAAATAAATAAGTAAATATTTATTTATACTCTACCTTTTTTTTATTTTATTTTAGAAAAACCTCAATTACCTTCTATCAGTAATATTCAACCATATTCACCGATTCCTCATTCATACAATGTTACTTCCAACAATAACGATAATCCTACTACAACGGCCAATTCTGATATCACCACTAGTCCAACTACTATTACTACAACAACTACAACCACTAACTCAGCAACATCTCTTCATGGAGTACCTGCTTCTGATGAATATCTTCGTCATCGTATGTCGGATATGTCTATGTCTGCTGTCTCTGGTGGTTTACCTTTGGATCGTTCTCGAAGTAATAATTCTACTGTTCCTCCTCCTGGCTCAAGTCCAAATGGAATAGTCAACAACAATAACAATACTGTGTTATCACCTTTGGAACCTAGTCATTATGATGGTTCTGTCTCTTATTCTCGACGTGGATCTTTGGTCAATATGCCTCCTTCCTCTCTGCATCATGATTATCGTAGACCTTCTATTACTGAACTCGGTAGTTTGCCTCTTCCAACTACATCTACTAGTACAAGTCGTCGTGACTCTATAGCTACAATCACTACTGATTATGATTATCACACTTCTCGTTCACCTTCGCCTTCACCATTCAAACAACATCATCATCAACAACGATCATCAGATATGGATTATTCTTCATCAGCCGGTCATATTGCTCCTCCTTCATATGATTCTTTTCATCGACGTCATTCAATTGCAACTGCTGAACCTTCTCATTCTTCTTCTTCCAATCGATTTGCTTCTAAACATCGACGTAAGTCTCTCTCTCTCTCTCTCTCTCTCTTCCTGTCCTTTTTTTTTTATTTTTTATATTGAAAACACCTTTTTTTTTTTTTCCAAATTAGCATTCAGATTTCCAGCAACTATTCATGAATCACCCAATGGAATTTATTCTGCACCATCAAGTCCTCCTGAAATCATGAATTCAACAAATGGAGAAGTGAATACTGGAACAACTCATGAACTCGGTTCATCAAAATATCCTCGTACTCATAACATGCGACATGGAGGAGATCATCTTTCAGGTTACTCGTCTCATCACCATCAACAGCAACATCATCACCATCATCAACAACAAAATCAACGTGTACATCATGGACATCCTTATGCAGGAAGTTATTCTCGACGCCGATCTATTTTGAATGATGAAGATACTCCTTCTTTAGCTCGTCGTGCATCTATGCCTGTGGTGACAATGGGTCGAGCTCCAGCTTCCGGTGCACTACATCATCCACCTACACCAACTCCTACGCCACCTCATCATCATCATCTTGGTCACACATCTCACCAATATCAAAAACTCTCTTCATCATCAAGGTTAGGAGGAAGTGATTCATATAACACAACTACAGGAGGGTCAACTATGATAGATGAAGAACAAGAACTTGAAGGACGAGATAAAGGATCTAGTGGTAGAAAATCTGAAACACCTTATTCAAGAAGTCCCGAATTACGAGTTAGCCACAAGCTTGCCGAACGTAAAAGACGAAAGGAAATGAAGGAATTATTTGATGAATTACGTGACTCCTTACCTGTGGAAAAGAACTTGAAAACATCCAAATGGGAAATCTTATCAAAAGGTAAATCAATATGATTTCCTTTTTTTTATTTACTTATTATTATTTATTGTAGCGGTGGAATATATTACAGCACTGAAACGGCGTGATTTTGAAAAAGAAAATGAAGTTAATAGTTTACGGCATGAATTGGCAATGATGAAACGGGAACGAAGGTAAACCCAAAAAAAAAAAAAAAAAATAGATGGATTAACTTTACTCTTTTTTTTTTTTTTAGTGGAAGTTATGGAACATTACCATATTGAATAGGTTGAATTTTATACCAAGCTGGATACTCTTCTTTTTTTTTATATATATATTTTATACCCCTTCTCTTTATCTTTTTTTCTCACTCACCCCTCTCGGTCTACTATATCATTCTTGCTTAGTCTTAGTTCATCTATTCTTTTCTCCTTTTTTTTTTTTTTTTTTTTTGTTGTTGTTGTTGTTGTTATTGTTGTAAAACGCATGCTTTCCTTGATATCAAAAACAACAATCATAAGTTACTCATTTTATTCTCCCTTCCTTTATTCATTCATTTCCCCTTTCCTTTTTTTTTTTTTTTTATTATTATTTATTTGTATTCATTTCAGTCGTTGTTTAATAAAGCAAAATATTTTTTTTTGTTGAATCCTTTATACGGTCTTCGAATGTTTCACTTGATTTCTCTCCATTCCTCATGTGATGATGATGAGGGGAACAACGTGTTAAAAGATTATGCAAAACAATATACATTAAAGAAAAAGCACATGATTCATGCATATTGGTTCTGACATCTTCCCCAATTTTTAATCATTCAAAACAAACCATCATTGGCAGCTCATTAAAAAAAGAACCGCATCTTACTGACAAGGGGTTTATTGTTTGGTAGACACGTTGTTTAACGGAAGTGACTCTGATTTCTCCTCCCTTTTTTTTTTTTGTTTTAGTTACGCCTTCTCCTACAAGACAACACCTATGTCTTTTTTGCTAGACACTCTCCGTGCCAACTTTATTCTTTCCACTACGATGATTACCTCCCCTTCTCTCTCTCTCTCTCATAATTTCCTACAAGGTAACTTTTTATATCGATATATCCTTCTAATGAAACTCGTTTTATTATTATTTATTACTACTCCTACCATCCATCCATTATATCATATCATCCATATCATCATATCATTCATATCATCATCCAATCATATCATCATACCATCATCCAATCATATCATCCTATCTGATCATTCACCCTTCATCATTTAGTATATATATATATATCATTCAATCAGGAGTTTACGAATTGTAAAAAAAAAAAAAAAAAGAAAAAAGAAAAGACATCATCATCTATCGAGAAGAAGTATATAAGATATGTTTTTTTTTTTAAAAATAAAAAAAGAGAGATTAAAGAAAAAAGAAAGAGAGAGATTAAAAAAAAAAGTCAGATCAATATGCAATGTAAAAAAAAAAATTTATAAAAGAAGAAGAGATCAAGGTTTACTGTAATAAGTTGTAAAGAGGAAATGAAATCAGGCTTGGAGTTACCTTTTATGGAAGATTGATTGTTCCAGTAAAGGGATCGACCTGTAGAATTACCTATTTTCAATCAAAAGGTTTAATGTTTGATTCATCCACCGCTAATTGAAAAGAAAAAAAAGACATATTTTTTTTTTTTTTGGTTGGATCTGTCAAACTAGAATAAAAATAGAAAAGAATAGCGGAGTTCATGACAATTATCATTATTACTTTTTTTTTTTTACTTCTTTATTGATAATTTTCAAGTTACCCATCATTGATTTTGTTATTTATATTAAGAATGACATTTTAAAAAAAAAGAGTAAAAAAAAATATAAAATAATAATAAAAAAAAAACGAACAAACAATGAAAAAAAAAGAGAAAAAAAGTGAATATTATAAGAATATTATCATTGATAAAAATTTCATTTTTTGATAGGTGTGACAAAGGTATAACGGGCATGAATCACGTGTAGTCTAATATTTTGTACTCTCTTTATTATATATATATATTTTTCATTTCCCAACTTATCTTTTTTTTTCTCTCTCTTTTAAATTCAGGAGTTTTTCTTTACTTTTTATACTTGATGACAAAAAAAATGTGTAAACAAAAACAAGTTTATTTTATTTGCATTGATTAAAGTAGTGTCAGCAGATACCGGAGAATGAAAAATATATACTGAATGATAAAAAATAATACAAATGATATATATATATTATTACTTTATGGTGTAATTCCTATTATTATCTTTTTGCATGATTTGCCAATAAAAAAAAAAAAAAACTATTTTTTACTATACTGACGGACATTTAAAATTGACTATTTTGGCTACACAGAATCAATAATATAATCGATCCATTATCATCACCAGGTGAAAAAAAAAAAAAAAAAATACTCGGAACCCAATTTTTTTTTTTTTTTTAAACTTTCTCAAATTATAAAAGGTCTTATTCCCCTTTCACTCCTTTTCAACCTTTTTTTTTTTTTCTCCTTTCTTTCTCTTTTTTTTTCTCACTTTTTTTTTTTTTTTTTTAAAAAACTTTCACTTTATATATTTCTTATCATGTCAGCTGAAGATACCAAAACTGAGTCACCTGTTGTCGAAACCCCCATCACCAACAACGACGCCACCGCCACTCCTGTTGAAGAACCTACTTCAGTTGAAGAAGTTAAAAAAGAAGAGGAATCTCCTAAGACTGATGAAGAAGAAAAGAAGGATGAATCAAAACCTGCTCCTTCTCCTTCTCGTTCTGGTACCAAACGTTTATCTTTGTTTTTAAGTAAGGCTAAGAAGTCTTTTGTCCCAGAAAAAGAAGAAAAGAAACCTTCTGCTGAAACCAAGGCTCTTCCTGAAGATCCCAAACCTATTGCTGAAGAAGAAGATCATCAAGAAGTTCCTGCTGAAACTACTGAAGAACCTACTGTTGAACCTACTGCCTCTACTTCTGATGATAAGCAAGAAAAACGTAAATCAAAGTTCTTGAATGATTTCCTCAAAAAGGTAATTCTTTTTTTTTTATTTTATTCTTAAATGTGATGATTATCAATATATATATATGTATCTTTGTGTATGTGTGAAACATCGATAGCAGGTTTGAACTTACTTTTTTTTTTCTTTTTTTTTTTTTTTATGAATGATGAATTGATATTTTTAGCTCTCTACTCCTAACAAAGATGGCAAGGTTGTAGAAAAGTCTGATGCTACTAAGGATCAAACTGAAGGTAAAAAAAAAAAAAAGAAAAAAAGAAAAAAAAAACTTCCACTTGATTTTTTTTTAGTGACACTTGAAATCTTTTTTTTAAAATGTTATTCTAATAGAAACTACTGAAGCTACTACTGAAGAAGCTGATGCTACTGAAGAACAACCTCAAGAAGAAACCACTCCTGAAGAACCTGTTACTACTGCCGACACTTCGGCCCCTGCTGTGCCACCCAAGGATGCTCCCAAGAATAAGGAACAAACAAATGTGGTAGATCAAATTAAGCGTCATTCTTTGGTGAATAAATGGTTTGGAAAGAAAGAAAAGGCTACCCCTGCTACTAAGGAAGAACCTGCTACTGAAGAACCTGCTACTGAAGAACCTACTACTGAAGAAACCCCTGCTGCTGAAATTGCTACTGATGAAGCTACAAATGATGGTAAGTGTGGTTAGGATGGATAAAAGTATATCATTTCTCTTTAGTCTCATGTACACAATGTGTAACATAACTCTTGCACTATTGAATTTATACTTGATGATCTTGTGTACCATGAAAATTTTTTTTTCTATTATTCGTTTTATATTATTGATTGATACTAAAAAAGATTTTTTTTTTTTTTTTTATCATTTAGAAGCTCCCAAAGAAGATAATGAAGAATCTGCTGAAGACACTAAAGTAACTCAAGAAAAGCCTGCTCGTGCTGGATCTCCATTGGGTCGTCGTCTGACACAAATGCTTCGTGGTTTCCCAAAGAAGGAAAAGAAGGATAAGAAGGAAAAGACACCTGCCAAGGAAGAAACACAAGAAGTAGCTGAAGAAGAACCTGTTGCTAAGGAAGAAGAACCAGTTAAGGAACAAGAAGAAGAACCCAAGGTGGAATCTCCTGTTGTTACTGCTCCTACTGTTCAAGCTACAGCTTAAATGTGATTACATATTACTTCCTTTTTATTTTACTTTTTATTTTTTTACTTAGTTATTTATTATTTTACATATATACTCTTTATATTTATTATCTTTTATCATCTCACTTTATACAGATTTAGTTTTTTTAGTTGTCTTAATTCAAAATTGCCGCTTCTCCCCCTTTTTTTTTTCTTTCTTACTACTTATCTTTTTTAGTTTATACATTACATTTTAATGATGATGCCATATTCTTTGATCTCTTAGTCTTTTTTTAGCAAATACTCTCACTTTAATTCTTTTTTTTTTTCGAAATAAAAAAATGAACATCAACAAATGATTTGACTTTTTTTTTTATTGTTTATATAAATATGTATGTATGTGTGTGTGAGAAGATGTTTCCAGTTTTGGATGATGATCCAGTCATTTAAGGGGGGAGGATGTGGTCCTTTTTTTTTTTTTTTTTTTTTTTTTTTTACCTGGATCAAACAAAATCTTGGATTGACATCTCCGTTTGAAATCCGATGCCTTTCACCCCTTTAGGAGCAGTATGTTTCAAAGAAAGAAAAAAAAAAAAACAGGCCATTAATGCTTGATGCTTCTAAATAAAGCAAACCATGCCATGTTTATATAGATCTATCCCGCCAAGAAAATTAGAAATGTTCAATGCCGATCCTACGACCTTTTTGATTTGCATCATCCATTATATTATTGAATACAAGCGTCATCATAATCTTGACATCTAGTTAGATTCAAACATACATCCTAGGAATACTAATTCACTCACATGCACATACATACATACATACATCCTTACGAATAAGAAAAGAAGAATGACAACTATTTTCAATACAACTTGTGTGGATGATCTCATGTCATAACGTCATAAATATCTTTCTTTGCATCATCCTCTTATAGATCTATCTTCTAGATTTTCTCTTTCCCCCCTTTTTATATATATATCTTCCTCCATGTTCTTTATTCTTGATGATTATACCTACCTTTTCATCATTATCCTCCATGAAAAAAAAAGATATGTACATTTTATTAGAAAAAGTCAAAAGTAAAGAGGAAACAAGATAAAGAAAAAAAAGGATGATAGATGATGGTTTTAAAAAAAGTAAAAAAAAAAAAAAGACGGGTGTGTGTATATAAATGAGTATATATATGTATATGTAAAAAAAAAAAAAAGATAAACTAAACAGCTTGACGGAATACCACTTTGCCTTGACTTCTAAACTGTAAAACTTCACGTCGACCAAGAATAGTAAGAGCACGAAGAATGGCAGCTTCAGAAAAACCTTGTTGAATAAAGTCATTCTTGATCTTCATGACGGATACTTGGGAACCAATAGGTAATCGACGTTGGATTTCTGATTCGATTGATTGAACTTCTGCCATCACTTCACTTCTAGTCATACCATCAGCTATATATATACAATCATTCATTAGTATTTTTTTTTTTTAAAAAAAAATATCATACTTATTTTTTGAACTTACCACCACCACTTTGAACAGCGTCCATAGTTGAGTACTTGAATAATCGAATGGCTTCTTCCACATGTTGTTCATTGGCAACAGGAGACAAACTCATTTTGGCTAAAGATTCTGATATACGAATGATAGCTTCCAATTGTCTAATTTTATAATGTATCACAAAGCAATCATAAATTAGTCAGCTGTCAGTCAGTCAGTCGATCTTATTATTATTATTTTTACCTGATAGTAATGGGAATGGATGACCTTACTTGTGTTTCTCTTTCAGATTCCTTGACTTCTTTTCGAATTGCAACAAAATGACTACTAAGCTTTTGTGCTGCTTCAGGAGTTAATCGAGGTGCACATTTCCTATTTAAAAAAAAAATAAGATCAATATGAAATAATGAATGAATGAGAAAATAGACTTACGCCTTGCAATAATTAATATATGCCTTCATCTTTTCCAAATCAATATCACCCATGGCAGTATCTTGGATTTGTCGATTCATGTGAACATTGAGGACATGTTTGGCAATAGACTATTGAATAATAATAATAATAATAAATTCGTAAATTATTTTAAGTCATCAAGTAAAAAATCATTTGTTCCTGTGATCCTTCCCACACATATATTCCACTTACCATATCTCGTGTTTCATTGTGTTCATCTTTAACAATAAAGATCATATCAAAACGTGACAAGATGGTTGTTTGGAAATCGATATTCTATTAATCATCAAAGTGATTGACATCAAAAAAAAAAAAAATAATCAGTACGATATAATATTCCTTTTTTTTCATTTTTTTGTCATTCACTTACTTCACCAGGACTCTTCATATCATCATAACGACCAAACACAGGATTGGCAGCTGCAAGTACAGATGTTCTTGAATTGAGAATAGTAGTGATACCTGCTTTGGCAATGGAAATAGTTTGTTGCTCCATAGCTTCATGAATCGCCACACGATCTTCATCTCTCATTTTATCGAATTCATCAATACACACCACACCACCATCTGCTAATACCATAGCACCACCTTCAAGATAGAAATCACGCTAAATAATAATTAAAAGAAAGAAAAAAAAAGAATAAGTAAAAAAAAAAAAAAAAAAAAAAAGAAAAGAAATGAACATCATTGACATTCAACTTACAGTGCTTGGATCACGAATCACAGATGCAGTCAAACCAGCAGCACTACTACCTTTACCAGAAGTATACACAGCAATAGGAGCCACCTTTTCCACAAATTTAAGTAATTGAGATTTGGCTGTACCAGGATCACCCAATAACAAGACACTGATATCCCCACGTAGTCGCATACCATCAGGTAGAATTTTTTTGGATCCACCAAATAATAAACATGAAATGGCTTTCTTGATATCTATTAAAAGTGGATTGGTTACTTTCTAGATCATTCCTTTCATATTCAAAAAAAAATATGTACCTTTGTTGCCGAAAATAGAGGGTGCAATACTAGTAGAGAATGTTTCATATAGATCAGGTTGACGAGACATACGAATATATTCTTCTTCTTCAGCATCAGTAAACACAGCTCGACCACGATTACTATTATGTTGATCAATCTGTAATCCAACTACTCGAATATAAGGTGTACGTACTGCTGCAGCTCCAGTTGATTTCTATCACAAAAAGAAAGAGAGGAAGATAAAATGAGATTTATCATCTTATTGTTATTTATCATAACATACCGTCGCCTTGTTTTGGTAAATAGAGTAAATGCCCATAATCACTGTACGCATACCAGGAACTACACGATTGGTAAGCCATCTTTTTTTTTTTTTTAAAAAAAGAAAAAAGAAATGAGTATTCTCTATAAATTGAATTGCCTTTTCTTTTTGTCTTTCTTTCTTTCTTTCTTACCTATCAGCATTAAGAATAGTATGACGAGGAAGGTCCCCTACAGGTACCATATCAGGAGCTTCTTGAAGTTTAAGTACTTGAGAATCCACAAAGCTACATTTATCATGAACAATCACATAGGGATCCATAGGACAATTAGGTTTTGAACCATTATCAATAGGTTGACTATAAAGAAAAAAATATTAAAAAGTTGATTACTTATGTTTTCAAATCATTCTACTTTCTTTTTTTTTTTTTGTATTACCTATCACACACTCTGGGTAAAGTGATACCAGCAAATCCACCATTGACAGGAATCACCTTGGTATTTCGACAAGAACGACACATAATATTAACATAAGTGGCTCTTGAACTGAGAGTAGAAGCACCAATGACAATACCAGGAAGACGAACTAATTTCCCAATATAAGTCGACTAAATCCAAAATATAAATAAAACATGTTGTTTTATTACTATCCCACTTTGAATAATATATCATTTGTTGACTTACATTCAAATCACGAATTTGAATCACATTGGCATCAGATGTGAGAGTGACTTGACAATCAGGTACATCAGCATCGTCAATGGTACCTGGAGTTGCAAATAAGATACGTTTGGCACTTTCTTTCACAGCCAGTTCAAACTATATAAAGAAGAAATAAAGAAAAAAAAAAGGTTCATGTGGTGATTAGGAAGAAAAAAGAAGAAAAAAAAAAGAAGAGAATTATTCTTTACCAAAGGTAAATGTTCAGCAGGAGAGTTTGAGAGTTTGTTGGCAAGATCGGCATTGTAGTTAATAAGATGACTCATATCGACTTGTATGTAGTATTGTTTAACCATGAGGTGTTCTTGAAGTTGATCTCTATTCAATAAAAGTTCAGTTTTGTGAATTCAATTTCTTTTTTTTTTCTTTACCTGTAGATAAAACTATTTCCCAAACGAAAGTTTTGAATGAATTCTAGGTACAAAGATTTCAACTCTGAACGAGAATTGATATGTTCTTCCCCAGGTAAAACACTAGTAGAATAGATTTGTCCACGATCCCAACCTGCACTAGCCATGTTAGAAGAAGATAAATAAAAAGATAATAAAGAGAAGAAAGACAGGATATCGCGGAACACGCGGAAACAAATTTTTTATTTTTCGTGATTTTTTTTTTGTTTGTGACGGTCCGGAAGTTCAATTGTACCTGAAGTGAAGGATCGACAATTGATTACACTAAATATAGGACTATTTTATTTTTTATATTATTTGATAAAAAAAAAAAGAAACAATAAAACTATAACAGATCACTAAAGTAAAAAAAAACTCTAAAGCTAATATATCATTTACACTTTTCCATTGGCTTTGGCAGCATCAGCAGCACTTTGACTTGATGAAGACATTGGGATACTTTGTTGTTGTTGAGTATTGTTGGATTTATTACCAAATGTTTTTGCATAAGAGTAGACAAGACCAGCAATGAATCCAACAATGATTGCAGTGACATTGGCAAAAGTGGCAGGATCTCCAAAGAATAGAATACCAGATGCTGCAATAGGTAATTTGTTCAATGCACCTACCATGGAATAAGTCGTTGAAGATGTAGTACGAACACACCAAGCAGAAGCATAAGACATCACAAAGGCTGAAGCTCCAGAGAATATCATAGCATATATCATTTGTGATCTAATTTCAGGAGGGCTATCATCAAATTATTAAAAAAAAAGATTAGAAACATGTACATTTAACCTACTCTTTCTTTTTTTTTTTCTTTTTGATTTGCTTACAATGTTCTTGATAGATTTTCCGAACTCCAATCTTCAAAAATCAAACTTGGGATGATCAAAATAGGAATAGATAAAACATTGTTGTAATACATTGTATCGAAATCCTTGAATGAAGTCAATTTGATTCGTTTGCGCATATACAGAACAAAGGCAGCGGATGAGATACAGTTGGTGGCCATCCAAAAATAACCAATAAAAGTAGAATCCAAAGTAACAATTTCAGATAATGTATCAGTTATATCTGCCCAACCAGCAATGACAGAAGACAATACCTATATAAAAATAAAATGAAAACTTCATCCTCAAAAAAAAAAAAAATAGTGTGTTCTTCTTACCATCAATCCAAAAGAGAGTAACATTTGTTCAGTCACCACACCACCAAACCAAAGTACTTCACCATAAGCAATAAGAATAATTGTCAAATTCTTGAAGATGGTATAAATAGGAATACGAAGATATTGAAGTGATTTGGAACCAGTATAAATCATTGCCACAAGAGCAGCAGCAATTGGGAACCATTTCTTTGCTTCTTCTTTGTCAAAATCACGAAACTTGATAAGATTCAAGAATTTGAACATATGTAATAATGCCACTGTTACTAAGTTCTAATAATAATAATAATAATAATAAATGATGAGATTCTGTAACCATGTATATATATATATGATCATACCTGAACTGTTAATAACATAAAGTTCATATTGAAACCATAACCACTAAGAACATACTTGTTGGTGACAGTCATCAAGATACTTGCAAAACAATAACAAGCTATAGGTAAAGCAGCACGCATGGCAGGTGATAAACTCACAATAGATGGAGCGACAATGGTAGAAGATGATGAGTGTGTTGTTGCTGGTCGAGGTTCATCTTGGTCATTGATGGCGATTTTACTATATTCTGGTTTGGAAGACGACGACATTGTGTATAAGTTTGATATATATGTATTATTAAAAAAAGTCTAAAATAATTGAGGAGTGACCGTGTCTTTTTGTATATAAATTTGATGAAGGTAGATGTGGACTGGCAGACACACACACGCACTCACAAAAAAAAAAAAAAAAAAGAGATATAATGAAGGTAGAGAAAGAGAGTGATAGAGAGAGAGAGAGAGGGGGAAAGGGATATAGTAGGAGGAGTGTTGTAACTATCCAATTGAATAGGATGAAAAACTAAAAAAAAAAAGAAAGAGGAGGAAAGAAAAAAGAAGGAGAAAGATATATATAGATATGAAAGAGAGAGGAGAAAAAAAAAGACAGAAATAATATGATCGAACGCACTAACAAAAAAGTCACCTTGTAGGATAGATTTGATTGGCTTAAAAATCATTGACAACATATTTTAAATTCAGAACAGAGGCAATATGTGAGGGGAACAATATTTTAGCCGCGCAAAGTGTGGACATAAAGGTTCGACTCAATTTCATTCATGTTCCTTTTTTTCTTTTTCTTTTTTTTCTTTCTTCTATAAACTCATTCCCCCCCCTTTTTTCTTTTTCACTGTTATCATTTATGACTATCAGGGGAAAGAATTCTTTAGACTTTGAACCTACTTACTTTTCAAAAATGGATAGTGATCTTTCCAAACGATCTGGTGGTGGTGGTGGTTGGTCATGGTTTCAATTGATCAGTTGTTGTTTTCTTGCTATTCTTTTATCTACTCATTTTCATTACAAGTTACCTGAACCAAAAACTCATAGAGGTGTGGATCCAAATACTGGTCTTGTCGAATTCTCTGAACGTAATGCAATAGAAACTATTTCTTATCTTAGTGATACACTTGGATATCGTAAGTTTTTATTTTTTTTATTATTTTTATTATTGTTTTTTTTTTTTTAAAAAAAAATAATAATAATTTTATTTTATATAGGTATTGTTGGTACAGTAGAAGAAGCACAATCCGCTGATTATTTAAAGAATATGATTCTTGATTATAAACAATCTTCAGCAAATATACCCGGTTCACCCAAGTTTGATATTTGGATTCAACAAGAAACTGGAAGTCATCGATTTGATATTATGGATCATAGTAATATATGATGATGATGATGATGATTTATTACAATCTAATCCTTTTTTTTTTTTTTAATAGTGGTATTAAAAGCTTATACAAATATTACCAATATTATTGTTCGATTGTCATGTCCTGAATCTGATGGTATGTCTGGTGTTCGATCTTGTGAAGAAAATGCAATTCTTGTCAATTCCCATTTTGATACTACTCTGGGATCTCCTGGTGCTACAGATGATGGATCTGGTACAGCTGTCATGTTGGATATCATTCGTGTTCTCAGTCAACGTGATTGGACCGGTTACAAAAATTCTATTGTGTTTTGTAAGTCATGAATGATTATTATGAAACAAAAATAGATCAACTGACTCCTTTCCAATAGTATTCAATGGTGCTGAAGAAACCCTTCAAGATGCTTCCCATGCCTTTATTACAATGCATGATTTAAGAGATACGTAAGTTTTTCAGAGAGGGGTGAATTATTAGCGGGATAAATTAAGAGCATAATTGATTAATTTTTTTTTATTTTAGGATCAAATCTGTTGTGAACATTGACGCATGCGGTACAACTGGACGTGAAATCTTATTTCAAGCAAATTCAAGGGAAATGATTGAAGCTTACAAACAAGCACCTTATCCTCACGGAACTGTTTTGGTATTATCTTTTTTTTTTTTTTATTTTATCCTTATTTGATATATGATTATTTATATCTCCTTTCTTTCTTTCTTTAAAAAAAAACTTTATTATAGGCAAATGATGTATTTCGTACTGGATTGATTTTATCTGATACTGATTTTCGACAGTTTGTTCAATATGGAAACTTGACAGGTATTGATATGGCTATTTACAAGAACTCTTATCTTTATCATACCCATTTGGATATAACCAAGCATCTTCAACCTGGATCAATTCAACATCTTGGAGAAAATACTTTGGCTATAATAGATCATTTGGCAAAAAATACTTCTTTGATTGGTATCGTCCCTACTAGCGAAATTGTCTTTTTTGACATTCATGGTAATAAATAAATAAATAAAAAAAAAAAAAGAAAAGAAAAAAAAAAGTAGTGACTCTATCTATATTTCATTTTATAGGAATGTTTTTCTTGGTATATTCTTGGGCAACAGCATATCGAATCCAAATGGCGACTGTCCTTATGGCTTATACATTTGTTGGTTATATTATTTATATCTCTAACCGATCTACTCCCTATCGTCCTATTAATGTGCTTGTGTTGTCCTATATTCGATCAACGATCTCCGTATGGATCAGTGCCATTGCAGCTATCCTTCTTCCTATCACTGTGGCTGTCTTTTTGACATCTGGATTTATCAATAGGCATATGGCTTGGTTTTCTCATGAATGGTATGGTATCCTTATATTTACTCCTATGGGTCTTTTAGGTGCTTATGGTGTCCAATATCTCTCTTATTCTCTCCCTGGTCCTCTTCATGTGGATATGGAATATGGATTATTTAACTCGCTCGTTGTTGCCTTCGCTAGTATGACCTTTTTAACAACCATGACCGGTGTAGCGAGTTCTTATGTATTCTGGGTGTATAGTGTGATTCTTCTCCTATCTGCTATGATCAATGAATTCTTCTTCAAACCTACCAAAAATATCAAGTCATTAGTTACTCAACCCAAGATTCATATGTGGACTTATGCTATTGCAACATTCCTTTTGGCTTTTATCTATAGCGATAATGTATTCGCACTGATTGATATCTTTGTACCATTGACCGGTCGTATGGGTGTAGATACTCCTGTGGATATCATCATCTCTATTATCTTTGGTTCTATTTCATTTATGGGATGTTTACCCTCTCTGGCTCATGTACATCGATTTGGAAAACGATTTTTGGCCAAGATCTTGGTTTGGATTATGCTTGCTCAAACTGCCATTCTTTTATCAGTTATGGTCTATGGTGGATCTCCTGGTGGATGGGCTTTCCCTTATGATGAAATGCATCCCAAGCGATTGTAAGCATTTGTTGTCTATTGATTATTTTTTTTTTAAAGAAAAAGTACTAATATATATATATATATATATGTATATATAGATTTATTCAACATTTGAAAAATTTGACATCTGGAGAAGCATATATTGCGATTGCTGAAGCTGATCATGGACCTTATATCAATACAGTATTAGATTCTTTACAAACTGAATTGAATGTGACATCTGAAAAGCGTACGGGAATAGACGGAATGAGGGATTGGGACTCTGTATATCCATTCAGTCATTTCCTAGGTGGTTATCGTTTCAATACTGAACCTTATATTCGAAAACATTCAAACGATCCGAAGGTAAAACAAGCTATCAATCTTGCTGAACAATTCCCTGGACCCTTCCCTACTTTGACAGTACATAACGATACATATGATCCTGCAACTGGTATTCGCTCCTTCTCTATCTATAGTATGGCACCTTCTTATACATGGACGGTGATTTCTTTTGATGGACATGTGGTTGATTGGAGTATCCAAAATGAAACACCTTTGTCAAAACCCTCTCATTATGTCGTACGTCATGTCACTGGCTTTGGCAACGATGGATGGAAATTGGATTTATCGATCAAGGTACCAGAAACAGATCAAGCACTTGCAGCAGTTGGGAAATGGAAAATGCGATTTGAATTTACAGCTTTGGAAAAAGAAGGATTTGCTGGTCGAGGTGAAGAACGATTGATTGGTGGTGTCGGTATGCTTGGGGTTATTCAACGTATTTTACCTATCTGGACAACAACCACTTGGCTCAGCTCTGCCGTACAAGAATGGGAATTATAGATTAAGTTATAGTTTATTAGCATTTAGTATTCTTCGTTATTTTATAGAACAATATTATTATCATCAATCGATCAATCAATCATTATCATTATCATCATCATCATCAATAGTATACTGATATATTTTATATAAATCTTTCCATACAGTCAATATATACTATTTAAACCATTTGAAATAAACATTTATTCCATTATTATTATCGAATATCATCCCCATCTCAACATGATAGCTAAGTTATCCACGCATGGGTTCAAACTCCGTATTCACTTTTTTTTTTCCATCTTACCGTTCTCTTTTTTTTTTTTTTTTTTTCTTTTCTTTTTTTCTTTTTGTGACGGACTCAAGACTAATTTATTTCATCACTACAATATATCTATATAATCTTTTTGCATCATGGATGGAAATCATATTGATAAACGATACTTCGTAGAAGTGTTTGAAAACTGTTCTTTGGATGACTGGCAATATGAAATGCGACGTGAAATGCAAGAACTTTTAGTAAGTATATTATATATATATATAGAAGAAGAACTCGAAAAAAGGAGCCGGTTATATTAGGTTTTTATATTGTATTTAGATTATCCATATATGGTTGGCGGATATGAGAACTGGTTATATATATGATGAATGGACTTTAACCTGTATACTCTCTCTTTTTTTTTTTTTTTTTTCTCTTTTTAGCCTGGATTGTATCTTGGACCATTTGCAGTATGTCGAGACGTGAATACATTAAAAAGTCATGGGGTAACGCATATTTTGTGTTTACTTGATGGTAATGAAGTGAATTTGTTTCAACGCACACTGGAAGTGGCATCCCAATTCAACTCTCACATTATTGAAATAGCCGATACTCATTTACAACTACTCATCACCCATTTTCCTGTTGCCAGTCAGTTCATCAGGTCCGGTATTGATCATGGTGGGAAAGTACTAATTTGTTGTAATGGAGGCATGTCACGAAGTCCTTGTTTTGCCATTGCTTATATCATGGAAACTTTCAACATTAGTTTTCGGGATGCCTATCAATTTGTTCAGGCCAGACGACTATGTATCAATCCAAACGAGGCCTTTAAAAGTCAATTGAAGGTAGGAAAAAAAAAAAAAGAAGCGATGGATACTTTAGAACTGATTGTATGCTTTTTTTTTTCTTTCTTTATTTTGTATTAGGAATATGAACCGATATATATGGCGGCTCAATCACAACGACAGCAAAGTGACCATCAGCAACAACATCAAAATGGATATACTATACAACAACGACAGAAAAGAACGCAATTGATGGATGATCACGATGGATTTGATATGGACGATATGCGATCAGATACAAAGCGAAGAGACTACTCATCATCATCACCATCAACAACATCAACAGATTTTATCTAGTTTATTTATTTACAACTTGCCCTCACTTTGAATGAAAACAAAAAGCAACAAATATTTTTCTCTTTCTTTCCTGTTTACACACACACATATTCCTTACATTTGTGATACCTCTTCTTTTTGTTTTCATAGTACTTCCCATCATGTATTTTATTCGTCTTTCCTTCGGATTGTGTATACTTTTTTTTTGTCTTGTTTTTATTTTGTTATTACAATAAACATCAGTCATTTTACTATCATCTTTCTCTCTTTCTCTTATATATATATATATATATATATATATAATGGGTTGAGTTGATCAGACATAAGAGAAGTCCTTTTTTTATCATGTAACAATAAAAAAAAAGTGATACGTACAGAATCTAAAAAAAGAGACATTTGGAAACATGCATTGTTCAAAAAAGGGAAAGTAGCATATGTATGCGTTTTATTAAAAAGAGTGACAATAACAAAAAAATGTACAAGGTATATCCAAAACAAAAAGAAGTTGTCATCATCTATCGTTCTAAGTCGTCATCAATGCCAATTGATTCGTTTTTGACAAGGAGTTGTATTTCATCATCATTATCATCATGATGTTCATTTCGATGTTGTATCCATGCTATCAGTCCAATAATACAAAGGAACACAACGATAAAACAGACACTACTTGTAAACCCGCGTTCTAGGTATTAAAAAAAAAAAAGATGAAACTTGTCAAACACTCTATTTCCCACATCTTTTCAAATTCACACTTACTGTAATAGGGAGCATCTACAAAAAAGGGAAAGTCAAAGACAAAAATCAGTCTTTTTTTTTTTTGTGGCCATCATTCATGGTATGTTGATGATACTTTACCTGTAACGGGCCAAAGAACAATAGGACTCCAAGTATACATCAATGATGAACATGTGTTCATCACGGCAATAGCAATGGCTCTAACATCACGATCAGTCAAGAGTTCATTTGCCCATGTCATAACAATCTAATAGAAGATATATATATATATATATAAATAGAACGAAATGGTTTAATCTTTTTTTTTTCTTTACTTGTATATCATATACCTACAGGTTGAGAAGATGCCAAACCAGCGTGTGTCATGATAAAACCAACATATAGAAATCCAAAGGGTTGAATAAAGGCAGCAAGTAGACTAAAAATGATACACATAATTGAGTATAAAGCAAAACAATCAAATATGTCATTACTTACATACATCCTATCAAACCGATAGAGGACGGAAGAGCAATACACCTAAATAAGAAGAAAAAGCTCTTTTGTCAATGGTTCCCTCTTTTTTTTTATTTCTTTTTGACATTTAAACATGACTTACCATAAACGAGTTCGGTAGTAATCACTAATAAGACCATTACCTAATACCATGACCATGGTGATTAGCATATCAGGCTTAAAAAAAAAAGAGAAGAGTATTAGAAATTGATCGACCATGCAAACTTTATACATATTATTTCTCTTTCTTTTTTTTTTTTTTATGATTGTACCAAGGTATCTTACCGTTGTGAAAAGATTGGCAGCAACAGCATCATATCCTATTCGTTTTGCTACAATTCCTAATACATGACTTGCACCCAAAGCCAAATTCAATAAAGTCCAACTGATCACCAATGGTGCAATGTACTTGTTTGTCAAAAGCAGCTTGACTATCTTTTGAGTTTTCCAAGGTGAAGTTTTCGACCCTTGTCGTCCTTCCACTGCAAGTCGTATTGTTGCTAGTTCGCGTTCCTATCCAAAACATGATCAATCTCTTCAATTTTTAAAAGCATTCATTTACCTTTTCGTTCAACCATGTTGTGTTATGAATATCATCAGGAAGATACAAATATCCAGAAATGGCCACCAAGCCTGTCAAGATCCCATCAAAGATAAATAACCATCTCCATCTAGATATATCAATTCATTGCTTAACATCAGTCATTTGTCTGTCTCTTTTTTTTTTTTATCTTACCCACTGATACCAAAGAGACCATCTATAGTTTTCAGAAAGATGGCTTGGATAACACCACTAAGAGCTCCACCAAGGGTTCCAAACATAGCAATAAGACTAGTGCGTTTTCCCAGTTCCTTTTTGGTATACCAATTACCCAATAAAAAGATGATCTAAGAATAATAATAATAATAAAAAAGAGATGAGAAATCATCCATTTATTCTTTATTGACTTACACCAGGAAAACATCCAGCTTCGGCTAAACCCAATAAGAAACGAAAGACAAAGACTACATAGACGGATTGAACGGCTGCCATGGCCAAAGTTAAAATACACCATATAAGTTCCAAGATGGGAAGATAACGAGAAGGTCGATAATGTGTCAATAAGATATTAGAAGGGATTTGCATCCTGTCAAATAAATAAATAAATAAATAAATAAAATAGAACTTTTAGAAAAAAAAAAGTGTTTTATATCTTACATCAAATAACCAACCATAAAGCATATAAACATCACATTATATTGTGTCCCCACAATATGGAGGTCTGTTTCCATCCCACTAACAAAAGCCGTAGCTATCAAAAACAAAAAAAAAAATTTTATTGATAAAGAATATTATTTGTCTTTTTTTTTTTTTAATATCTTACCTAGATTCACATTGTCCATTGTTTTGACCATATTGGAAAACATGGCAAATAATAAAAGTCGTTTATCAAGTCGTGATACCAGCAGTCGTTGAGTTTTGTCATTATGATATATGTTATTGTCGTCATTGTCGTTATGATCATTGTGTTCAGGAAGACTCAATTGAGGTGATAAAAGTGGCATCTGTTGATGGTTGTTATCATGGTCGTCAATCATCTATAAGTAAATACAAAAAAAAAAAAAAAAAAAAAAAGAAGAATTGAGAATTGCTTATCTTTTTCCGTAATTCAATGTGCGGAGGTTTAAACCTTTGGATTTATGCTTCTCAGTAAGAAGAAAGAATGAAGGTCAAACACGTTTATTCGCGTCATTTCCCTTTATGTACTACCATTCTTAGTAAAGAAAAGTAGCGATAGAATATAGAAAACAATAATGTCTTTATTTTTTTTTTTTTGTTTTGATCTTTTCGAGGGAAAAAAAAAGTCTGTGCTTAATGTCAGGATAAATTTGGATTGATTTCCTATTTTGAGCAAAAGGGGGATAAATTTTAAACAAGGATAGAGTTTTGTTGTGATGCATCATCATCGGAAAAACACTGAAAGCTTATATTCAAACGTCTCAGTTCTTAATTACTAACTAATAGATAAAAAGCATTGATTAATGTTATGAAACGAATGCCACCCATAGATTTTTATAAACAAAAAAAAAAAATTATAAAGTATAAAAATCTTTGGATTCCCGTTTATGCAACCATCTTCTTTTTACTTTCTATTAAAAATTATATCTATTCATAATGCCATCTGATGTTCAACCTGTTAATCTTACTGGAGGTCAATGGTAAATTAAAGGAAGAATTATATATATATAAAAAAGATGATCATTGACGATCCCTTTTATTATATCATCATAGTGATCACTGTGGACAGGTATGTTGAATAACAGGATTTTTGACAAAGTAGATTCATTTTTTTTTTCAATATAGTATGGTCATAATCGAAAAGCTTGTGGATTACTAAAAACAAAACATCGTATGAATTCATCAGATTTAGAAAAGTTTTTTTTAACACAATGAATTCTCTAACCAGTAACTTCAATTTTTTCTTTTTAATGATACCCTCTTTCTCTCCTCCTCCAGAAGAAAAATTGACACTCAGTGAGGAGGGATCGCCATACTGCAACAACGCCCATTGGGCAAAAAAAAAAAAAAAAATAAAAAAAAAATAAAAACTAGTTTTTTTTTTATTTCCCGTTTTTTTTCCTTCTTTCTTTTCTTTTTCTCTAATAAACATGGGTGCCAACATGACACTAAGCATTGGAGAACGACTTTATATTCTATTTCACCAAGTTATGTTTTTATTGACTGGACTGATGACTACTTTGGGTTGTCAATGGTTATTCTATAAAGGTGCTGCTAGTAAGTTTAGATTTCATCAAGAAAGACAAGATAAGAATTTTAGAGAATCTTAACATTTTTTTTATATTATTATTATTGTTATTGATGAAAGAATAGCTGGGGATAGTTATTTGACCCAATTATCACAATATCTTGGTATGATCTTGGTTGGATTGCTTATTCCTTCTCTATTGAAAAGAAAATCCCAAACTTACTCTAGACTGGCGACTCATGAAGTAAAACAACAACAATAACATACATATATATAAGAAATAACTAATTTGTAATGGATATAGGAATCAATCCGTATGGAATCACTAGATGATAATGATAGGAATAATGAAAAGGCAACAATATATGTGGAAGGTGCTGTACCTCATTCTTCACTTTTGAAGATGGCAATATTAGATGTCGTTGCGAATTTTTGCGTTACTCTTGGGTTTAGTTTGATTGGTAGTGGGGTAAAGAAAGAATTCAAAAGTGACTGATGAAATACTAACACTGTTATTTTTGTTTGTTCTTTTTTTTTTTTTTTTTTAGATGTATCAAGTTATCTATTCTAGTGTAGTAATATGGTGCGCTATTTTAACTTACTTTTTGATGGATCGAACACTGACCAAAGTACAATGGTTTTCTATCTTTGGTACAAGTGCTGGTTTGGCTATTTGCTCACTTGGAAATATGAATAGTTCAGACCTTGATTCAAGTAAATTATCAAAAATTCTTTGTTCAAATATTTATTTATTTATTTATCTATTGATGATCAAATAGGCAATGGCTTTCTTCTTATGTTTGGTACACTGATGACATTGGGTGGAACCTTTTTCTATTGTAAGTTTCAAAGGAATGGTTTCATGGATACTAATATTTTCGTATATATAGCGTGTATTTATGTGTATTCGGATTACATGTTATCAAAACAAGATCCACCTCCTCTACCAGCGCGTATTTGTTGTTACATTGGGATGTACTCAACAGTGATATCATTGATATGGATTTCTATTTACACTTTGCCTCGTTATGATCAGCTGATTCATATTGATGATAATACATCCAACCAAGTCGTTTGGGGAATGTATCTACTTGTGACCGTTGCTAACGGAACTCATTCTTGGAATTATTATGAATTGATTGATCGAACTGGAAGTGTACGTTATACATACTATATATATTTGATATTGATCTCTCTCTTTTTTTTTTTTTTTTTTTTTTTTTAAAAAAAAAGGTGGCAACTGGTATTCTACAAGGACTTCGAGCAGTGATTGTTTATGGATTGAGTCATGCGTGGTATTGCTCTAGTGATTCTGCTCAATGTAAGTATAGTATATTTGAATGGGAAGAGTTGGGAAAACATTGACTAACGTTTGGTTTTTGTTGTTAACTTGTGATAGGTTTCACTGTATATAAAGGGTTTGGGTCCCTTATGGTCATATTATGTGTTTTACTTTTCACTATTGGTGGCAATGGATTATCCAAGTGATGGACATCTTTTTTTAGTCTAGTTAGTATAGATCTATTTTTATACCCTCCGCTTCATTTTTTTTTTTATCATCATCATCATCTACCCTTTTTTTATCTGAAAATAAAAAAGAATCATTGCTATAAAAGAAAAAGTACCTCTTGTTATGAAGTTTTGGTGACTGGTTATCAGATAGTTTACCAATTGTACAACGTATCACGACCATCTAAGAAAGAAAATAGGAAAATAGTCTTGGGGTGAAAACTTCATGATGAAAAAATGACTTCATCTATTTTGTCGGTTCCTGGATTTATTTATTTTTGACATGTTAGTTGTGATGCTAATATTTGTTGAAATCACCATTCCTTATGACTTGGCCTGAACTGCTTTGGGAAACAATAGAGATCCCCCACCTCTTTTTTTTTTTTCTTTTTTTTTCTTTAAAAAAAAAGAAGATGATGAGTCGTTATATCACAGGATCAAGGAACTTTTTTTTTTCATGTTACTCAAGTATCATTTTTTTTTTTATCGATCATATCTTTTATTGTGAAAAAAAAAAAATAGTGTACTAAAAAGTAAATTTCTTTTTCTAATCCTCATCAACTCATGTTATTGTCGTCATGGTAATCAAACAAATGATGATGGTCAAGGAAAATTTGTTGATTATTTTGAAATGGAAAAGCCCCATGTCCAAAAAAAAAAAAAAATGAAAAGGGAGAAACTTTTTTTTTTGTTGTTGTTCATCGATAGCCTCACATGGTTTCTCCAATTGCGTGACAGAAAGGTAAAAAAGGATGAAGAGAGAGAGAGATAAATGGATAGATTTTCATTGGCGCGGCTAATGAATATGCATAATCTTTCTATCTATTTCATCCCCCAAAAATAAGTAATATAGGTAAGGGGATCCTTTACAGTCCCTAACAAATAATTCCCCCCATCCATTCATCCTATCCTTCCAGCCCAAATACGGCAACTTTACATTTGTATCTCTTCGGTCCATCCTTAAAGTTTAAATTCATAATAAACTAATCATGTTATATCATAAAGTTATGGAAAATTAAAAGGATATCTTTATTGATACTTTTTTTTTTTTATCTATAAATATCTATTGAACTTTTTCTTTCTTTCTTTTTTCTTCTTTTATTTCTCTTTTTTTTTTTTTTCTCTTTCCTTCTCTCTCTCTGTTTCCTTATTTAGAATCTTCCTTTCCTAATCATCCATCAAAAAAAGGAAAAAAAAAAAAGAGAAGTAGAAAATACAATGATGATGAAATCACCCACGTTATTACCTTTCGATATGATGTATATCTCTTCACCTTCAGACGATGATGATGACGAAGATAGTTCAATGTCGACTGGACGAACAATGAGCACAGTTTCCATTTCACCTACTCATCATGATGTTTATTTGGATTCAATACGACCATCCATTTCTTTTTATCAACATGCAATTGAATCTGATCCTAATGTTTCTATATCCAAAAACACTTATTTTATGGATGGTGGTCATCGGTTTATTTCTGTAAGTATCCATTTTTATTTTATTTTATTTTATTTTATAGATACTTATTATTTTTTTTTTTTTTTTAAAAAAAGGTACCGATGTTGGGCAATACAAATACAAAGGCAGGTTCCGGTATTTCACGATTATTTGAAGAATGGTTGGCCAGTAAATTATATAGTCAGCCAGTCTTAATGGATGATCAACAACGTTTACCGATTTTACAAGATCATGTCGAATTGGTGGCTGAAGATATTCTAAACAAGATGAAACAATCCTCATGGAAAGGCCTGGATAAAATCATGATCAAGGTACGGACTGGACATGTATATACATATCATTCATGCGATGGCCAACCTTTGATCACTCAAGATATGGAAGATCTTTTTCAACAATTCCCTTTATTCGTCGAATTCTTTGTTTATACCACTTCCTCTGATGCTCCCTCTACTCAACTTTTACTCATCGTGGAAAATGTTACCATCAATCCTGGAAATCCATATAAATTGATGGAAGCTTTTTAATTTATACCCCTTGGACATCATCATCATCCTTATTACTTTTTTTTTTTTTTTTTTTTTTTTTTTTTTTTTACATGTAACAATTTTGTTTGTCTTGCTATATATATAATTTTTTTTTGGGAAAAATAAATAGAAGTATGGATCCTTTTAGGCTTATCTATCCTTTGTTATTTACTAAACATAATCCTATCAATAAAATAATCTTGAATGTTCCACCAATCATTCATGTGCTTGAGGAGAGATAATAAATGACATCTATCTAACTCTGAAGATGCATTTATTTTCGATCGATTAGCCTACAACTTTTCCACACTAATCAAACTAATCCGCCCCCCTTTTTTTTTTGTCTCTTCTGCCCCTCTTATCTATTAGAATCACTTTAAAATATCTCGTTATTGTAGACATTGTAAAATAATAATACTAATAGTACAATATGACATCATTTCGTCCAGGAAACTTTATTCATATAATCAATCTAATCAAATAACAAACTAATCAACGGTAGAAGGTGGATAATAAGATGGAGAAGTGGTGGTAATGAATGATGGCGGATATGGTGCAGGGGGTGCTGTATGAGGTTTATTTTGACTTGAAGTGAACCATAATGTACTGATGATGACTGTCATTCCGAAGATCTAAAAAAAAAAAAAATAATGTTATCAACCCATTTTATCACCTGTGCGCAAATTGCATACAATGTTTTTTTTTTTTTTTTTTTTTTTTTTTTTTTTTTTTGTTTACCATGGTTTTTAAAGAGATGGTATCTACAAATCCATTGGCAATCTCCGCAAATGTTTCAGCTAACACTTTTGTTTTCCCAATCCAAGCTGGTGTATATAAACATTGTAACCATTGACGACAAGGCTCCACCATTGCAGGACGAACATTATTTTGACATTGATTCCGATGATATTCTTGTTCACAAATAAAATGTTTTTCCATAAACTCTAATTATATATAAAGTAGGTAAGTAACTCGATACTTGCTCTTTTTTCTCCTACTATACCTGATTCATAGACTTGTATCTTTAAAGCTACGTCTTCATTCAAAGCAAGCACAAACTGGAATCCAATATACAAAAGCACCGAGAACAGTGCAAGTTGACAACCAATCCGAATCAATCTATAGTGTAAATAATAGTAATAATAATAATAAAAAAAAAAGGAAATAAAAATAATGAGTTCATTTTGTCATTGTCCTATTACACTCTTGCCCATCACTGTTAATTGAAAAATACTACTTTACCCTGCAAAGTAATACACAAGACTCTTTCGATGCGCTATAGGATCATGATGATAATATGTCGTAGTAGGGTATAAATGAGGGTGATGATAAGAATGCTGTTGATCTTGTGATGGATGATCAGGATACATTGTTTGATCTATTGTATCCGGAGTCGTTGGTGAATATGATGTATGCCGTTCTGCTATTGGTGTTGAAGTACTATTCGCATCAACATCGCTTCCGATCTTGTTTTTATCTGATGATGGTAAAGTAGGTGACGCATGGAAAGGAACAAGTGCCTTGGTTTTATCGTCTTCATTGCTGTCTTCTTGTTTTATCTAAAAATGTGTAACATAAAAGTTAGTGGTTTTTATAATATCCATATTTTGTGTGCGTGTATGAACTTTTTGTTTTTTCTTCCTAGACATACTTGACGATCATGTTCTTGAGAGTTGTTTGGTGTTGGTGGATTGGATAAAAAAGAATCATCGCCTAAAGAAATTCCACCTAGCTGTGTTGACATTGTATGATCCAAGTTTGTTTGAACAGGTGTACTGAAATAGCTCTTGGGTACAAAAAGATCATGTCGGTCTTGCTCTATCGTTGCTGGACCAGGAGGAGTAAAAGCTTCCTTGGAAGGTGCTATTTCAAAATCATTAAATAAGATCAGTCCATTGTTTTTACTGGAAAGAAAGGATATTTTTTTTTTATACTTACAAGGTGAATCCTTGGTTTCTCTGAGGAATGCATTATATGAAAGTAAAGGAGTATATTCATATTCGAATTCCATAGGCGCCTCTTTTGTTCGATGATAATGAGTCATGATCAAACACGAGAACACAAAGGATAATAATAATTTCAATAGTAATAAATAATGGTATTCAAAGAGAGAGAGAGAGAGTAAAGAGTGAGGAAGAAAAGAAAAAAAAAAAAGAGGGAGAGGCGTTTATGAGTTGTTTGGGACTCCGCATTCTCTAGTGATGGCAACAATGATATGATGAAAAGATGTAATTTTGAAAGATGTTGATTTTGTTTATTGACAGAGTATAAAAGAAAAGAAATGATATGTACAAAGAAATGATATAAACTAAAATAAACTAAAAAAAAAAGAAAAATGAGTGAATGATACTAACTAATCAAAAAAAAAAAAAAAGAAAAAAAGATAACAGTGACAATATAATAAAAAGAAGACACATTATTAACACATCCGAGTTTGACCACCAGTATATTCACCAACGACATCACCATCCATATTTTGTAATCCAGATAAAAAGTCACCTAGATCTTCTTGAGTTTGATCAGAATCTCTTGATCGACCATGGTGTATGGAAGAGGAACGAGTATCGATACATATAGAAGCGGGTCGACGTCCAATCCCATCAAATGATAACCTTTCTGGAATTTGGATTACTGTTGGTGGTTGTTGCTGCTGTTGATATTGATAATTTGTTGTTTTAGATACCGGGAGATATTGTTTGACAGTCGAAGAAGAGAGTGATCGTCCTAATTTGTTACTGGCGTTATTAAAAGTAGTTGGGTATTCCAAGTCATTATTCGTAAAATATACCATTCGACTAGGTGAAGATACTGGTTTTGGTGATGATAGAGGTGTAGGGTTGCCTGAGTCATTGTTACTGTTGTTGTTGTCTTCTTCCGTTGTATTGTATAAACATGATTCTTTCTTTTTCAAGGATAAACGAGCAGAATCACGATGATATTGTTGGTGTCGATAATAATAATACTGTTGACTTGCTGAGGAGTTAGGAGGACTATTTCCAGGTAGAGGTGTTGAATTGGATATGGTAGGTAATGTTGTTGATATCATGGGTTGTGTATGTCCTAGAACGTGTTTTGGAGGTGTAGATGGTTTGGCATGATGATTGTGTTGCTGATGCGACTGATGATGCTGTTGATGTGGTAAATCAAATGAGGTTGAAAAAAAATCAGGAGAGGATCTGTTGGAATCATTATTATGAATCATCCAATCATTTGTAATATCCAAGCTTCTTCTGTTTTCACTGGGAGTTTTCAAGATGATGGCAGATCGAATTTTTGGCGTCAGTGGTTTGTGTCGATTTGTGTCTTGATAGCTGTCATCTTTATCACTATCGTCGCGAGATTGTTGTTGAGTATCTAGCATACACTGAAGATCTGCACTTTGTGATTTCCTATGGCGCAGCATCCTTGTCGGAATTCTCTGTGAACTGCTATTGGGTATGACATTTGATGGAAGTGTTGACTTGTTTAGCTGTGTTGATTGATAGGATGAGGAGCGATAGGATGGGGATGAAGGATAATGATTGTATAATTGTGCATTATGAGGAGAGCCAAAGGAAGTTGAACGTGACCGAAGATTTTTCAATGGAGGTGATAACGCGGTTGACGAAGTTGAATTGGTGGAGACGGTTGATACATTCGAACTTGCATCCAGTAGTGATAATGGATCTCCTTTCAAGTAACTGATAGCCGTTTTCAACGTGGCCAGGGCGAATCTATATAATGGAAGATTAATAAAATGAATAAACAAAGATTACATTTACACAATTCCTCCCATTTCACTTTTTTTTTTTTTTATCTTTACCCGTGTTCAGATCGTTCCATATGAGATAATCGAAAATGTTCCATATAAAAGGCTAAGCTTGCAATACGAGAAATACGGGCATGGGTGATAACATAGGCAAGTAAAGGGATCATTTCATCTGTGGTGACAGAAGATTCTAAAAGATAAAAAAAAAAGTCAATATGATGGATGACTATAACGTTGTTCAAATTATTACCAGAGTTGCTCGATCCATTTTTCAATTCATTTGCGTAGTCATCCACAGCTTTTGTGATCAAATCCAAAGTTGATTTCACACAAACAATCTTTTCTAGTGGTGTAAAAGCTAAAGATGTTGTTACAATGGTGTTATTGTCTACGTTGCAGTTAGAGGAAAGTGATACATCGTTGTCGGCATCTGTTTGTCGTAAGCAGGCAATGGCTTGATCAAAGCATGAGAGAGGCATTTCTGAAATAGGATAACTGACTGTATAACGTTGTAGCGTGATATTATCTTTTGAATAGCATTCGCAGATAGAGTAAAGGTAGGCATCTTGTGACTGAAGTACTGATCGTAACGATTGAATCCAAATTTTTTCATGAAGGAAGCCCATGATTACGCTATATAAATATAAATTAAATTAAATTTAGTGTTGTTAGTATAGCTTTTAAACAATAAAAATCAGTCAGTAGTTCACACACATGACATAATCTTACTTTTCAACCAGTTCCAGAAAATGGTCGTGTTCAGCTTGAATCCGACATGCGTCACGCAGCAGCTTGTTTCGTTGTAAGATAGTCTATTGCCAAGAAAAAAAAAAGAACAATCAATAAGAGTCATATATATATGTATGTATATATTTGATAAATCAAACATCCTGTCATAGTATGTACAATTTTTTTTCTTTTTTTTTTTTTTTAGTTTATACCTTGTAAGCTTTGGTGTAAATGTGTTGAATCTTCTCCACAGTATAGTTGTTAAAACCACGAATATAAACATAGGTATCCACGAATTCTTGAACCGCTGATTGTAATTCAAGTAAAGGCTCCACATTTTCAGCAAACATATTCAAAAAGTCAAAATCACTATTCATTTATGAATACAGAAAAGGAATTGGTTATTATTATTAGCTTCCTTTTTTTTTTTTTGTGTATGTGTGAGTGTGCGCTTGAATCATTACCTTTTCGAGTTGCGACAAATGGGGATGTTGATTGTATTTCGACTTTTTTGAAGTTGCTGCAGACGAAATAGAAACAACGGAATTAGACTAGTAAGGAAACTTTTTTCTTTTTTCTTTTTAATCATTACTTACAGAAGCTTCACCTTCAAGAGGACGTTGAATCATATATACACGGATTTTTTTGTTTCCAATATAAACCCATTCTTCTGACATAATATGCACTGTTCTTTGTTCCTTGAAACCTATATATATATGTATATAAAATCAACCATTCGTTAGAATTGATTTATATGTCATTATGACGGAATTTACCGGATACACTTGATATCAAAGGTTGTTCAATAGAGATAACCTTTCCATTGGCAGCTTGATATTGACCTCGATAATACGGGGAAGAATTGTAACAGTGTGTTTCTAAGATGATCAAAAAAAAGTGGTCAGGAGATATCGTAATATAAAAAGAATCCTATTTTTTTTTTTTTTTTTTCAAATTTACCAATAAAATCTTTTGTCAATACAAGACCTTCCAAGGATCTTGAATGGGGTATACAGACAACGATTGACCGAGTGAAAATAGTGTTAAAATGGGATCGAAGGTAAATATAAAAACTATTATCTTCCAATTCTTCTGGGGCTAGAGGAGGACTTGATAGAGGAACAGAGATAGGTCGAGTACGAGATGACGATGAAGAAGTAGGTGACGGATCCGGTGACGTTTTCGCTTGTACCATGGAAGCGAGAGTTGGATAAACCTGGTCTCTTAATGAAGAGGAGGAAAGGTTATTGCCTTGATTGCTGCTATTACTACTTGTGTTACTATTAATACCACTGTTGTTGTCGCAGTTGTTATTGTCGTTGTTCTTGTAAAAATCGTCTCGTTTCGTTTTGCTTCCATTTTTCAAGAAAAAAGGGAATGAAAAAGACATTAACAAATACGTGAGTTCGTTCTTTTGTTTATAAGTAAAAATAAAAAGAAAAACTTGAGTTCTTTATAAATATATATATATATATATATATATATAAGATATAGGTAAATAAAGAGGTATATAAAAGAAGAGGGAAAAGAGAGAGAGAGAGAAAAAAAAGAGATCACTCCTAATGAGTAAAAAAAAAAAATCAAGCCGGAGTTGTAATTCTAGTCTTTTTCCCCTTCTACCCCTTTCTTCTTTTTTTTTGCCTCACCATTATCCTTTCAAGTATCATCATCAATAGCATGACAATCTGTCAAAATCAATATATGATTGGTTAAAGAGAAATAGAAAAAAAAAAGGAAGGAGTAGTTGAAGGTGGCTCAGTTCTATTTCATCATTCACATTGTGAAAGGTTAAAGTCGTACATGAGAAAACAAGCCCTAGCGGCGTTTTTAACTTTAAGCGTTGAGGCTGTGTATGTACAATTTTTCATTTTTCTTCGATATTTTTTGTTTTCAGAATCTTTTCTCTTTCTTTCTTTCCTTTTTTTTTTTTTTTTTTTTTTTTTTTTGAAATATTATATGCTGCGGTTTTTTTCTTGACATTTAAAAATACTGCTTCTATGTAATGTTAAGTCTTACAAAATCAACAAAAAATATTGACATTCAACTTGAAGAAGAAAAATATTACTTTCCTGGTCAAATAATCAAAGGTAATATATACTATTGATTAGATCTCTTTACTGATAATATATATATTTTATTTAGGTGTTATCAATGTACATCCCAAACATCCAACGAAAACGAATAATATAGTTTTGAAGTTTACTGGTGAATTTTCTTTATCTTTAAAGGAAAAAGATACTATTTGTCTATTTCAAAACACAAAGATCATCAATGTGAACTCCTCCGACGAAGAACAAACCAAATCCATTATTCTAGAATCCAAGTTATATACCTTCCCTTTTGAATTCTTGGTACCAAATGATATTCAACTTCCTAGTACGATGGATGTAAGTTCTACTTGAAATATTTGATTTTTGTTTATTTGCTGATCATTGTCATTTAACCCACTTTTCTTTTTATGATAATAAATTGTTAGTTTAACAAGAAAACTCGTATTCGATATACACTCTCGGCATTACATGATAAACATATGGTTCCTGAATCGCTTTGTCCAAAGGTAGATTATCCCGTACATATATTGGAATTTATCGATATTGATGACAAGAAGTACAAAATACCACAACTCAAGACTTCTCATGTGCCATTATCCAATATCAACAATCCATCATCATCATCATCATGTATTATCCGGGTTTCTATTCCACGTTATGGTTTTACACGCGGTATGTATGAATTGTCAAAACGCCCAATGTCTTATATGCATGGAATCATTTCTTGCAGATAAGAAGAAAAAAAAATTTCCTCCATTTCTATTTATATTTTGTATTATTTACTAATTTTTTGTCTTCTGCATATTCTTAAGGTGACATTGTCCCTCTCTCCTTGGTCATTCATCATATCGAACCTATTACTCTTTCCGAAGCTATTGATATTAGTTTGATTCGTACTGTGGAAATTCGAAACAATAAGTAAGTAATGAAGATCAAATATATATATATATATAGAGAAAAAGATTTAATATTCATCATTCTATTTTTTTTTCTTATTATATAGAATCAATCAAACCAAAGAAGATATACTTAAATCAATAAAATGCGATATCGATATCAACGGTACATCATCACACTTCTCTCAAGCCATGAAACGCCAGCTGTTGGTTCCAACATCAACACCTCCGTCGACGCAATTCAGGGACAACTTGTTACAAATTCAGTATAAAGTCCGCGTTAATGCCCAACTTCAGGCCAACAATCAACAAAAAGACAAGAAAACTCAACAAGACGGTACTTGTACTATCGATATTCCTATTGTTATTGGTACTTATCCTCGCGCATCCATTCCAATTGATGACGATGACGACAATAACGACAATGATATATATCTTGAAACAGATTTTATTGATATGGCAACCAATAGCATTTCTTCTGAAAGCAACTTGAATGATTCTAGTAGTATCATTAGTGATGACAGGAACGCTGGCAGTACTATCAGCAGTCTCTATTTATCACAAGTTGAACAGCATCACATTATGGAAAGTGACCAGATTCGCCAACTGAAAAAGTACTCCTCTGAATCATCATCAGGTAACTCATCTTCTTCCACCATCAAGCTCACAGCAAGACCTACACATGGCAGCGACATAGGAAATGGTACTGTTGGCCGCTCTGATTCTTTGGCTTCAAGAACATCCAATAAATCTAGTTCATCCTTCTCATCCTATCGATCGAATCAATCTTGGGAAAACTCTTCGCCATCGTTATCACGGAACACCTCATTTAGCACCAATGTCTCTCTTACCGATACTAATAAATCGCCCGTGATTACCGTGAATTTACCTTCTACATCCGAAACAATCGTTATGACAGCTACACCATGTTTTGACGACAATATCAACAAAAATATATCACCATTACCACATCATCGCGGGTCCGATCCAACTGGTATGGTTCTTCAACCTGTTTCTGCACAACGACATTCTTATCATGATCGAGATCAACCTTCAGGGAAAAATAGTGATGCTTCATTCATTGACCATCAAAAACGACACTCTATCACATTGTCATCATCGCAGTCATCAATATCGGAAAATTCGTTTAGCGTTACCAACAACTCATCAACCAATATCACACTCTTAGCAGCGTCTTCAGCTTCACCACCAGTAGCCTCTATTATTACCTCTCGACATCATCACTCATCAACTTCATTAAGTTCTTCTTTCCACAACAACGAAATATCAATGAAGAATCATCCTGGTTCAAGATCACCAACACTTCCATTACCTGCTATGAATCCAACAACCATAATGTTACAACCTGTGGAAAATAATGTGGATAAGCGACCATCAGTATCATCAGTGCCGCAATCGCCAATGAAGAAGGCTATTGATGTTACAATGCCGGATGTATTAGGTAGTCGGGACAGGATTCGCAAGGATACAATGGATAGTTATCAAAATAATAGAAATGGCAATGATGATGATGATGATGACGACTATGACAACGACGATGACGATGATGATTATGATGAAAGTGATCTACTGGCAATTGTCAAGAAAAAACAAGAACAAATTCTTTTGGATGAACAGACTCGATTACGCATAACAGAAATGAAAATTTAGTTAATATATTTATTCTTTTACTACATTACTTTTTATTTTTATTTTATACCCCCCTTTTTATTTATTTATTTATTGTTATTACTATTATTGTTATCTTTACTATATATATATATCGTTTTCTTTGTACAGTGATGAATTTTACAGACTTAGACATACTTTTTTTTTATTTTAATAAATATATTAATCATGCATTCACATACCAAATGAAACAAAAATATTAAACTATAATCTTGCAGTAGCATCCTTGTTATTATCAGGAGCATCCTTCCTTGTCATCCGTTCACAAAGTTCACCTACATCTCTTAATGTCTTTTCAATGATGGCAGCGAAGTCTGCGGTAGGTAACGTGGTACTATTGCTTTTTGATTCCATACCAAACTTGATCAAAGTACGTGCAGCCATATAGTTGATGCCATAACCATCCTGAGTAGCAGCACCAAACCCGGTACCCATGATTTGATCACCAGCTTGAAGTCCAGAGGTACTTAATCGGAATGTCTGTGATTCTGTAAATATAGGATCAGTAAAGATACCATGCAATGGAGCCTTTTTTTGTTCTGAAGAGGATGAGGACACAGGATGATCCATATTAAGTAGTTTGAGAGCCAATAGATGTCTATCACATCCACGTCCATCACTTGCTATCTGTGTATATTTTCGATGTGCCACAGTTGCTTGAACCATCAAGTCATATTTCATCTATCAAAAAAAAAAAAAAAAAGAGAGAGAGAGATTAATTTTAATCATCTCATCCATCATCCATCCATCTTTTTTTTTTTTTTTTTTTTTTTTTTTTTTTTTTTTTTACCTTGTCTGTTGTTGAAGGAAGATCAAATGCTTCAACAAACGCCTTGCTTTCCAAACTACACGTGCGAATAGTTTCTGTCCTTCCATGAAGATACTTGCGAGTGGATCCAGTTTCATAAGTAGCGGTAATTTTATGATGAGCACGATAATAGGCTAATTGCAGGATCATTTGGAAATAGGCATCAGGGGCCATCTTGGCCACTCGTTTGACCCAATCGGTACCATAGTCATGGAATTGAAGCACATAAGGGTCGGATAAATTCGCGGTTGTGTTAGCATCCTCTTGTGCCTGAAGCAAATAGGTATCGATGTGATGATCGGTTGTCCAAGTTAAATGTTCAGCATGGGATGAACGTGTTGTCAATTCGAATGGCTGATCATTGAATAAAGCAAGATCCGCACTCATCCATGAAGATGATGATGATGAATGAGTAGTAACAGAATGAGCCAATGTATGATCCACCACATAACTCAACATCAATGCATCACAAGGTGAATGTTCTCCAACAAAAGAGGCTTTTCCATTGTTTTCTACAAATAAAGTAAATGATTTATCGTACCATCGATTATGTCCTACACCAAGATTATGTTGACCACAAAAACTAGTTCTTGCCCATGAGGCTACATCCGCTCCAAGACTATAATCATCCAAACATAATGCCATCAATCCAGTTTCAATCTTTGTCAATGATGATCGATTGTTTGGATCTAGTGTGAGTAGATGATTTCTTGCTAAGGCCCAATTATCCCGATCCCATGATGTCAATAAAGAGATAGGCTTCTGAGGTTGTTTCAGGTTGACTGCATGAGATACGATGGTAGAGAGCTCACTATGATATTTTTTTTTTTTTTAAAAAAAAAAGAGTTGTGAATAAAAGGGGCAATGATGATGATGATGATTTTTTTTTTTTTTTTACCTTTGAATTTGGTCCACAGAAAGTCGATGTTTAATACCATCCACTATTTGATAAACTTGTAATTTATATATTTGATCACGTACAAGAACGATGATGTGAAGTATTGAAGCAGGATCAGTCTCCACCAAGGCATCACAATAAGGAAGAGGAATTCTTGTGATACCATAGATCTTAGTATATTGATGCATGCATAAAGGTTTTTTTCCAGCACCTAAATCCACAGGAAGATCTTGACTAATAAATAAGCAAATCATCATTAGATTTGACAATGTCAATTGATTTCCATTTTTGTCGTCCTTTTTTTTTTTTTTTTTTTTTTTTTTTTACCGTTCTAGAATATCATTATAATCCAAAGCATAATAAATCATATGGGCTGCTCGACGAATTTGGAACTGTGAAAATTGACCAGCAGGAATGGATTGACCGTTGTTAGCTAAGAGTTCTTGAGGATGATGATCATCATCTTTACCAAGCATATACCAATTACTATTAACCATCAATGGTGCACGCCATTCAAGGTATGCTTTATTCCCAAAATAATAATAATAATAATAAAAAAAACTTAATATACTATTTTTTTTTTTTTTTTTTGATTATGATATACCTTTTTTTAACCAAAAATTATCATCCAACCAATTAAAAGGAGAATGATGATCAATATCAATTAATCTTTCTTGTAAGGATCTACCCAAAGGACCTGTCATAAAGTCATGCACGATTGCTTTGGTTTTATCATGTTCTTCTTTGGTCTGTAAAGGAGCCACTGAGCGTAAATATAGAGAACAAGTTTCTTGTAAAGAAGGTACTGGTAAACGAGGAAGTGTCTTTTGTAAACTGAAGGTAGGTATTTGATTGGATACCATAGTGAATGATGATGATGACGATAGAGAAGAAGAAGAAGAAGAAGAAGAAGAAAAAAAAAAAAAAGGGAAGAAAAGTGGAAGAAAAAAAAAAAGGTAACTAATATAAAATGAGGGGTGAGAAAGTATTGATTTAGAATCACATGTAAAGTTGAATCTTGCTGACTTGAGTGCATTTGACATGATTGAACTTTGTGTACTCTTTTTTTTTATGAGTGGGAGTTTTAAGGTTTTGTGGAGAACAACGAATGATATCTTAAATCTCTAGAGAATGATGTCCGCTTTTTACTATTTTTATCTTATTCATTCACCCACAAAAATAATATGAAGTCATTCTTTTTTTCTCTTCGCTTTTTTCTTTATACACTTTATTCATTGTCATGATCGTTGGACTTCATCCGGATTAGGTAACTGGGTTTCAAATGGGATAAAGGAAAGAAAGTGGATTGGGTGACTGTGGGCAAAAAGCTCATTCAATCAATTCAGTCTGGACTTGTGCCACGTTTCTCTTTTTCTCTCCCTCTTTCTCTCAACTTTTTTTTTTTCTACATCTCGATCTATTCTTACTTTTCTCCATTCTTTTTTTTTTTCATTTATTTATATGAATACTCTCCTTACCAACATGTCATTTAAAGATCGTACGAATGAATTTCACTCTGTAGTTGATAGGATACGAAACCGATCACAAGGCTCATCTACTTTAGAAAGGCGTGCATTACTTTCTTCACCTTTACAAAAGTCATCTACTCTTCCTACTCAACAACATCATCCTCGTTCAGAATTCTCTCTCATGGCATCAGAAATCAGTCAAAACATTACAAGTACAGCAAGTAAATTGGAAAAACTCACAAAACGTAAGGAAAAAAAAAAGTTATATATATATTTGTATTTCTTTCACTCACTTTTCTTTATTTCTATATATTGGTAGTGGCTAAACGAAAGACGTTGTTTGATGATAAACCGGTGGAAATTAGTGTATGTCTATCATCAATTTTATATATATATATATATATATAGTGTAGAGTATACTAAGTTATATATTTTATTATATAGGAATTGACTTTTATTATCAAACAAGATATCGCCAAACTCAACAAACAAATCGCTATGCTCCAAAACTACACGAAATCACAAAAACAATTAAATAAACAAGCAACTGAACATACTTCAAATGTAGTAGTGGCTTTACAAAGCAAGTTGGCGGATACTTCCATGAATTTTAAGGATGTTTTAGAAATTCGAACTGAAGTAAGTATTAAAAAAAAGGTATTATATGTTATTTACTATGATATATGTTTCTATAGAATATGAAGATGACTAAGGACAAAAGGGATCAATTTCTTTTCTCCACTGCTGATCAAGTTGCTGGGGAATCAACACTTTGTAAGTCAGGAATGAATAATCACTACTATAATGATATTCATGCAATTATCTCTCTTTTTTTTTTTTTATTTATTGTTAGCCAATTCACCACTTTTCAAAGGACGCCGACGACCAGGAGAAGACAAACGATCATCATCGTCATCACATCAGCATGTACAAAACGATATCAAAACAAATGGTAGTACGATGAATTTATTACCTGTTGAAGAGCAAGAATCTACACTATCTCTCGGTATACCCATGTTATCACAACAGCAATTACAAGAACAACAACAATTTGCTGTAATGGAACAGGATCGATATATTGAAAATAGATCAACGGCCATTGAAAGTATCGAAAGTACTATAGCAGAATTAGGTAGTATCTTCCAACAATTAGCAACTATGGTAGCAGAACAACGAGAAACAGTACAACGGTAAATTTTTTTTTTTTTTTTAAAAAAAAAGAGACGGATGGATGAGATTGGACTAACTTTTTTTTTTTTCTTGATAGAATTGATCAAAATACGGATGATATTGAAATGAATGTGGTTGGTGCTCAAAGGGAACTTTTGAAATATTACACCAACATTAGCTCAAATAGATGGTTGATTATTAAGGTGTTTGTTACCGTTATTATTTTCTTCCTCTTCTTCTCCTTTATTATGTAGACTTATTATTATTATTATTATTTATATTATTGATCTTCTTTCAACTTTATTCTTTTTATATACATATTCCCCTCTTATACTCTCCTTTATTTATTCTTTTTTTTTTTTTTTTTTTTTTTTTTTTTGGAAAGATCAGTGTAGAAAAATATTACCATTGAAAATAAAGAAAACATCACCTCATGCTTCGATCAATTTTTTTTCTCAATTTGGATCTTTCGACGGACTTTGTAAAATGCAGTCTTTTCTGAATACTTATGCTCTTTTTTTTTTTTTTTCTTCTTTTTGTTTTATATATTACGAAGGAAAATGGAAAATCGTTCACAAGACATTCCTCGTCAAGGTGAACGCTGGACCTCCATTCAATCTAGAAGAGACAATGCTGGTGAAGCTACTCGAATGTTTGTCTCTCATGTTCGACACTATTTTTCTTCCTTGCCTCTATTGTCTATTCTCGCCATCGCCATACCCATACTTACCAATGTATTGGATATCCTTACTCTTATTGCGCCCACACATGACATGTATTTTTATCAATGGTGTCATCTTTCTATTACAAGTATTTATCGTTATCAAGGTATACTACCAAATATACATATATATATACATATATATAACAAAATCCTCATTACCTTCTTTTTTCTTTTTCTTTTTCTTTCTTTCAATAGTACAACGCCTATTGCTTTATCCTTTAGTTCATCCTGGTACATCTATTCTTATCACGAACTTGATCTTATTAGTTCCATATATCTCGGTACACGAGCGTAGAAAGGGCTCGCTCTGTCTTCTATATGAACTGGTGGTTATTTTCACTCTTTTGCCAGCTGTATTGTATCTATTCATTGTAAGTCTTGGTATCTCACTGACTGATATAGCTGATGATCGTCTAGGCGTGGCGACAACTTCTGGTTTATCTGTTTGGGTGATAGCACTTTCTTTTTGGTCAATGTTGGATGAACAATCAAGAGGAGAAGTCACAAATCACAGGTAATATATATATATATTGTTAGAAGTAAAATCAATAAATGCAACTCACTACTATTACTACTACTATTATTATCATTTAGTCTATTTGGCGTGGTACCTCTTCCTTCAAAAACCATTCCATTCCTTCTCGTTGTATTCTACTTCTTCTTGATGCCTGATTCGTCTCTGATTCTCCATTTATGTGTTGCAGGAATTGTGTACCTTTGTAAGCTTTTATGATAGTTTGTATAAAGAAGTGATGTCAAATTCAAACAATGATTTTTTTTTTATTTTTACACGTAGATTCTTATCGTCAACTTCCGTCCAATCTAAGACCTACCAATGAAATGTATCGCCAATATGAAAATCAATCATGGTTACGATTACTGACTACACATCCAAAGTATATCAATGTGGAATCAGCATCTTCTGGAAATGGATATCTACCAGTGACAACTTCTGATGCACGCGGTAGTTCTTCTTCAGCATTTAGAGTCAACACATCATCCATTTCATCACCACCACCACCAGCTTCCAACCCTAGGAGCAACTTTCCAGGTCATGGGTATACTTTGACAGATGATTGATATAATTATTTTAGTTTGATGATCTAGTTCTAAGTTTTATTTTGAATCATGTGAAATAAAAAATTATTTTGTATTTACAATTTATCTTTTTTATTATGGGATGATCGCTGCTTTCAAACGCCGAGGATATTTTTTTTATTTCTTTAGTTGAAATCTTTGTCTTTTTTTTCTTTTTCTTTTAGACGGAAAAGAATGGCAAGCTTAGAGTCGTTGGTCAAAGAAAGATATTCAGCAGCCAAAGCGAACAATGATATCTTTATATTTGAATCAAGTTCAACTCAAAAGAAAGATAATGGCATATCGGTAAGCACATTTGATCTTATCACCATCAAAAGACTTTTAATTAATCATTTCATTCTTATTAGTTCGAAATCAATTTTGTCCCAACATTGGCCAAGAAACCCATTGATGAATACAACAAGACTGCAAAGAATGACACTATCAATGATAACAAACAGCCCATTAATCCATTTTTGAACCCAAGCCCTGCACTTATCGTACAAGAAAATGAAACCCATCGTATCTTACTCAACAAGTTTTGTGTTTTACCTCACCATTTATTGATTATTACCAAAGATTTCCAGCCACAAACTCTACCATTATTCCCACCAGATCTAATGATTGGTTGGAAAACGTTAATGACAGCTTACGGTCCATCTTCTCCTGGCTTACTGTTTTATAATTGTGGCCCTCTCTCAGGTGCAAGGTATTTCTCTTTTTGTATATATACATTTTAACTAAACTCATTGTCTCCTCCCCTTTTTTTTTCTCTCTCTATTATAGTCAACCTCATAAACATATGCAACTCATACCCCTCATTGAATCTGGTGCTTCTCCCATTCAACAAGCTGTTAATAAGATTGAAAATTCAAAAGCTGGTACACAAAAAAAAAAAAAAAAAAAAAAAAAAAACTATGTTATGTTTTTTGTTTCTGATGGTTCTTTTGTTTTTCTTAGGCGAAATTTATATGTTGGACTCATTCCCATTTGTACATGTGGTAACACCTTTAGATCGCCAATTCATGGATGAAAGCCCTGAGGCTGCAGTGGAGGATTATTTGGGACAAATGTTCTTTGGACTATTGGACGCCATGTTTCAACAAATTCGACTGGTGGATAATGAAAAACTTTCAAATGTCAAACCATCCTACAATTTTATAATGACCAGTGAATTCATGTTGATAGTAGCTAGACGACAAGAATATGCGACACTTACGACTAAGGATGAACGCGATTTGGCAATCTCGATAAACTCGATGGGCTTTGCTGGTTACTTATTGGCTAAGACTGAAGATGAATACGAGGTTTTGAAAACAGTAAATATCATGGATGTTTTATCTCAAGTTGGTATTCCTCGTCCACTGGATTCATCCTCTATAGCAGATGGACATATAGGTCAACAACAAACTACCTTGGCAAATTAACCGAATAACATTTGGATGGATGGATTCTCATGAAATTATTATTGGATTTTTATATTGATTAACCTTCTTATCCTACTATTACTATTATTATTATTATTATTATTATTATTTACCATACGATTATTATATAGTTTATAGAGATTTTTTGAATTGATAAAGAATGCATATATATATATTTGAAGGGCTTCTGGGATTGAATTCTTTTTTTTTTTTTTTGTGGGATGGAACAAGTTGTATTTCTTTTTTTGTTTCTCTTTTTAATAATTTTTTTTTCCTGATTATGCCAGATATTAAGCTTGAATCTAGAGAACAATCATTACCACCTGTTGCAACACCTTCAAGTGATGGTACAGGAGCAATGACACCAGTAGATTGGGACGCTTCTATGGAACTTGCTTTATTAAATGCTATTGCCAATTGTAAACCTGTGGGTAAAGTTCAATAGAAAAAAAGAATATATATATATATTATTCTTACTGATCGCTTTCTCTTTTCTTCTCTTTTTTTTTATTGTTAGGTATACATAAACACTTTCGTATAATGTGTGTTCAACGTCAATTCAACGAAACAAGTCCAGCTCAATGTAGCATTCGCGAAATATGGGAACGATTAGGTGATTACTATGGAATGAGCGCGTTAGATGAATTGGTCCGTTTTTTTTTTTTTGAAGACAATCATAAAATATCAATGATACTCATCACCATTTATTTTATATAGGAAGAAGAGGATAAGGAAGAAGAAGAAGAAGAAGAACAACAACAAGGCGATGAAGGACATGTTGAATTCACTCTACCTACAACATATGATATACCTGATCAGCAGCAGGATACAACTCGAGAAAACTCACCAAGCATTGAAAGGCCGCCAGCACGACGTACTCGTACCAGCACCAGTAGTAAACGAGACGTGTCACCAGCGGTAACAGAATCTTCTGTGGCTTCGACACCTGAACCAGAAGAAGGTAATTGGTCCAAAAAAAAAAAAAAAAAGAATAAACATTGAAACCAAATCTTTTATTTATCTATTAGGGAAATCTATTTCAAGAAGGACAGCAAGAACTAGGAAATCCGAAGCAAATACTCCTGAACCAGTATCATCCCGAGGCACATCATCCATCACAAGTAGTACAAGTGCCAGTAGAAGATCCAATCGAACAACAACATCAACAACAACAACAACAAAAAGTACTCGACGGCAGAGCAAACGGAAATCATAAACATGTGAATCACAACAATTGGGGCCCACCATCTAAAGGATATGAACACCGATTAGTTTTATTTGATGAAATATTCCCAATCCGCCACCACTCCTTCAATCAAATCCATCCACTCCTAGTTTATGATCCTCTCTCTCCTCCCCTTTTTTTTTTTTGGTTGACACCCCTTTCTTTTCTGGTTAGTTAGAAATATCACCTTTGTTTTATTGACATCCAATCCTATCTATTTCCCCTTTTTCATTATGTCGCCGTTCGAATAAAATTTTCTTTTTTACTTTTGACTTTTGTGGATCCACCTTTTTTTTTTTGTCTCTTTCTTTTCTTTTTTTTTTTTGTCTCTTTCTTTTCTTTTCTTTTTTTTTTTTTTCTCTTTTATTCATTTTTTTTTTTATTTCAATTTTTTTTTTGGAACAAGATGGCTACCAAGAGAAATGTTTCTTCCACAAAGGAAGAAGGACCTGTAATTGACGAAGCTATTGAACGTAATTGGGAAATCCCAGATTTTACTATCAAGGAAATTCGTGATGCTATTCCTGCCCATTGTTTCCGTCGTGATACTTTCCGATCATTCACTTATGTATTCCATGATGTGGCTATCATCCTTGCTTTGGGTTATGCTGCTACTTATATTGATCATCTACCTTCTGCTCCTTTACGTTTAGCTTTATGGTCTTTTTATTGGATTGCTCAAGGTGTTGTCGGTACTGGTGTTTGGGTTATTGGTCATGAATGTGGCCATCAAGCTTTCAGTCCATCCAAGGTAAAAAAAAAAAAAAAAAAAAAAAAAAAAAAAAAAAAAAAAAAAAATCGGTTGGGGAGTGACCCATTACTGATCCTTTTTTCTTTTCTTTCTCCCCTTCTTTTTTTTTTTTTTTTTTAAAAAAAAATCCCCTAGGCTATCAACAATGGTGTAGGTATGGTACTTCATTCTTTATTATTGGTTCCCTATCACTCTTGGAGATTCTCTCATTCTCGTCATCATAAAGCTACTGGACATATGACAAAGGATCAAGTAAGTTAGAAATAAAAGTAGAAGAAAAGGTTATTGAGATATATAATTTTTTGTTTTGTGTTACTTTAGGTATTTGTACCTCATACTCGTAAAGCACTTGGATTACCTGCTCGTGAAGTGGATCCCGAAGGTGATGGACCTCATTCAGCTTTAGAAGAATCACCTATTGCTATGTTGTACAATATGGTGATGATGTTTGTATTTGGCTGGCCCTTGTATCTCTTTACCAATGTCACTGGACAAGATTATCCTGGTTGGGCTTCTCATTTTAATCCTTATTGTGATATCTTTGACAGCAATCAAGTTTCTGAAGTATATCAATCTGTAGCTGGTTTATTGGCTACTATCGGTTTGTTAACATATTGTGGTCAAGTCTTTGGATCTTTGGCCATGATCAAATTTTATGTGATTCCTTATCTCTTTGTTAACTTTTGGTTGGTCCTTATCACCTATTTACAACACACCGACCCTACTTTACCCCACTATCGTGAAAATGTCTGGAATTTCCAACGTGGTGCTGCCTTGACCATCGATCGTTCTTATGGCTTCATTTTGGATTATTTCCATCATCATATCTCTGACACTCATGTTGCTCATCATTTCTTTTCCACCATGCCTCATTATCATGCTGAAGAAGCTACTGTACATATCAAGAAGGCTCTTGGAAAACATTACAAGTTTGATCCTACTCCTATTCCTCAAGCTCTTATCAAATCTTGGAAGACTTGTCGTTTTGTTGAAGATGAAGGTGATGTTGTCTTTTTCAAAAATTAGATAGTCTTCTCTCCCTTTTTTTTTTTTTTCTTTCACTCCTCCAATCCACCCTTTTCTCTCTCTCTTTTTTTTTATTATTTTTATTTGCTTTATATTTTAGATAGCATCATACATATTTATATATCATCATCATCCTCTTTTTTTCATATATAGTTTATTTATTATTTGTCCAAGTTGATTATATCATAATAAACTACAATCTATCTTCATTTCTACATTATATATTATTGTGCGATAAGATCTTTTTTTTTTTTTTCACCCCTGCCCTATCTCGTTATTAGAAGTCCGGTATCTTTTACTGAAGAAGGTTTCGCCCTTTCCTCCTTTTGTCCCGTCTTTGTCATACATAACTTTCTCCTCACTTTTTTTTTTTTTTTTTTTCTATCCTCCAATGTCAACTATTCCGAATGATATCTCTATTGGTACACGTATTCAAGTAGGAGATGATAGAGCTACAGTACGTTATATTGGCCAAGTCACTGGATCTACTGGAGAATGGTTAGGCGTCGAATGGGATGACGATAAAAGAGGGAAACATGACGGTTCTCATAATGGTACTCTTTATTTCACTTGTAGGTAAAGTATTAACCAATAATAAAACTTATATATATATATATGTATATATTTATTTTACTCTTATTTTGTCTAAAATAGATCTAAGAGTTCAGGTTCCTTTATTCGATATAATGCTAAAAAAGTATGGACTGGACGATCATTTTTGGAAGCACTTACTGCAAAGTACCTTGAAGCTAGTACAGATCATCAAGATCCTGTGCAGGGGAATCCTATCAATACTACTAATACTACTACTATTACAAAAGACGGGGAAATTCTTTATCTAGGTGGCAACAAGAATATTCAAGTAGAAACTGTTGGTTTTGAAAAAATACAAAAAGCTCAAAGGTAATATGTATGTATAAAAGTAGAATGATCTAAACTTATCTTCTATTTTTTTTTTCATTTTAGTCAACTTCATGATTTGAAAATCGTTGGATTACTTGATATGCGAATCCTGGACGCCGGAAAGGATAAAGTCATTGCTCATGCTGGTCTATGTAAGTACAACAGTAGGAAAGGAGGAGATATGACAGGGGAGGGATAATGAATAGGAGGTTACTTTGTCTGTCTTTTGCATGATCATACGATCAAACCATTGTATTCATATTTTTTATTATTATTGATGTTTATAGCTATGGAAGACTTGGATTTATCAAAGAATCTCATCAACGATTGGACAAACGTCGCAAATATCACTTCTCAATTACCTCGATTAATGATCCTTCGTTTGAAGTAGGTTAAATTATTCTTTATTATATAGTATGAAACTTATTGTCTCCTATTGTTTCCTTTCTTATAGTCATATTCGCCTTCTTCCACCAAATATAGATGTATTGAATTCGTTTTCCCCTTCACCATTTGATCATTTGAAAACGTTGGTCTTATGTAACACACACATCACCTGGGACCAAGTGTTGCAATTAGATCATCTCTTCCTTCATCTTGAGGACTTACAACTTAGTGGTAATGGTATTCAAACAATTGATCGTGCTCCTATTCACATGCGACAACTCAAATGTATCAACTTGGAGGATAACTGTTTGCAAGATTGGAAAGAAATCAATCATTTCTCTTCGTTACCAAAGTAAACAAAAAAAAGTCTATTAGTTCATTCAGAGATTGACATAGGTTTTTATTTAATGATAGTTTACAAACACTATTTTTAAATGGCAACATGATTCAAACGATCGACATCATACCAAATACTTTTACCCAGTTGGCGTTTTTACGAATCGATAGGAATCAATTACAAGCATGGACAAATTTTGATATTTTAGATCAACTTCCCTCATTGGTCAAATTACGTTGCCACGAGAACCCTATTTTTAAAGGTACACAGCATATTTTTGATTGAAATATCACATGAAATTAACCAATTTTTTTTTATATATATATTATGATGATAATCATACTCATCATCCTTTATCATTAGACTTGCATGTGGAAGAATCTGCTGCTCAAATTATCGGAAGAATCCATGGTCTCACAACACTAAATGGGAATACAGTCAGTAACTAAACAAAAAAAAAAGGTTGAAAACTAATTCGTACAATGTTTGTTAATTCATTATAGATAACAGATCGCGAGCGTATTGATTTGGAACGCTTCTATTTGAAACTATGCACTCGTGATGGTGATACTCCTGAAAGCATCAAGTCCCTGCATCCAAGATTTTTACAATTATGCCGAGGTAAGCAAATCTTCCATATGAAAAAGGGGGATTATCACTCACATGTCGGGAACAATTTGTGATCTCGTGATTTTTTTTTTTTTTTTTTTTTTTGCTCTCTTCGGGGGTGTTGTTAGTACATGGGGAACCAGATTTTGGACAAAACAAACAAAATATTGGTATGGTCACCTCAACAACTCTCAATCAAAGACTGATGACCATTACCCTATCTCATTTACCACTGGATTCCGAACAAGCATTATACCAACATCATTCAGCTAATGATTTACCTCCACCAAAACAATCGGTAGATAAACGTGTACTTGCCACCATGCTTGTACGTAGTCTTCGTCATTTGATTCAAAAATTATTTGGTATACCAGCATCTCGACAACATTTATTTCTTATACAACAACAACAACATTCAACCATCATCATGGATATGACGGATGATTTACGTGATTTAAAGTTTTATAGCATTACCCAAGGGGACCAGATCATTATCTTAGATTATTGATTGTATACTGTAGTTAGATCTAATTTTCCTCTCTCTCTCTCTCTTTCTTTCTTTGTTTTATATATATATTCTTTATAAAATGATAAATAAAACGATTCATTTAAAAAAAATTCAAATCTTTATTCTTCTTTGTTACATATATTAAATATGAAAACATCATTATATCCACACGGATGAATAATAAAATAATAAAAAAAAGGTAATGTCCCTTACATCATCATCATCTATCATATTTTCAGATATGTTACTGTAACTCCCTTCCTTTATATCGTATAACATGCAACAAATATTTGTACAATGCTTTATTACTGTGTTATTATTATTGTACGCATCTATACTTTCATATTCAACACCTCAGGACGATTTCCTTTTTTGGCTTTTATCATGGTCCAGAATCATCATCTTTTTCAAACCAACACAAACACAAATCTATTTTATTTCATCCACAATATATTCAATGATATAATAATCACTAAAATCTATGGTATACTACATTTCTAAAACTAATTATCCATATCCACAGGTCTACCTATATCAATATTGTTGATTCACTCTTCTCTTTTTTTGTTGTTCATTGTTTGACCTTGTTGTATTCACTGCCTTGTTAGTTGAAGAATACTTTGCAGGTATTGGCCCAAATGATTTCAGAGAGCTTGACAGGATTTTCATTTCGAACTGAGGCAACTACATGTAGAACAGAACTAATGAGAGAAAAAAAAAAGAAAAGAAAAGAAAAGAGACAAGTAATAATTTCCAATGTTAACTTCCAATGTCTTTTTCTTGCTTTTTCCTTATGTAAGGCAGTTTCTTACCCTATAGCACATGGTTCACATCTACTCTTGACTGTACAACCCATTTCAAACTTTTCTTTCTTCTTGCTATCAGGAACATATAAAGTGATTTCTTCTTTTGGTACGTTTTTCAAATGAGCATAAGAAGCATGAGTTGGTCGAATGTCACACCATGGCCCATCTATAATAAGATGATGTTTAGTACCATTTTTGTTGATATTTTATCTTGTTACCAGTTTCAATCATTAATCGATCTTGTGGAATAGCCTTGACAACTTCTAAATTTTCTTGAGTCTTGAGAGAGCAACCATTAATACCGATATAAAGTCCAAGTTCTACTAATTTTTCCATTTCATCCATTGTACCAGTAAAAGAGTGGACAACCCCATGTGTAAAATGTTGTCGATACTGTTTGATCAGAGTATAAAAGTCATCACCTGTGTTTCGATTGTGGAAAAACATGGGTAGTTTCGTTTCCTTGGCAAGATCAAATTGTACCTGGAAATACTTTTTTTGAGTTTCCTTGTCACAAAAATGAAGTCGATCATAATCTTTTTTTTTTTTTTTTTAAAAAAAAAAATGGGGGTTAGAATTGTGATCTATGTATTGATTTATAGAAGATTTTACCTAAACCACATTCGCCGATAGCAACCACGCATGGGTTTTCCTTGATCAAACTTCGCAGACCTTCCAAATAAGCTTGTGGTCCTTGATCATAGTTTTCGAATTCCGTACTTCGAGTAGGATGACATCCAACAGTAGAATAAAGATAACCAGCTATATATAAAACAGAAAATAGATGTTTGAATTGACAATAATTACAATGAATAAGAATTATTTCCCATCATCCTTTTTCATTCTCGTTCTTCTTTTCATATTCCAACTTACCATGTTCAGGTTTTGTGGCCATTTCGATTGCTTCTTTGGAATCAGCCAAGTTGGTACCTGTGATGATCATTCTTTCAACACCAGCCTTTTTTGCGCGTTCCAATACTAATTCAAGGTCATCTACGTATTAAAAAAAAAAAGAAGAGACAATTATAATAAAGATGTTAGTGAATATAGTTTAGGATAGAGTGAGATAAAATAATAGAATAAAATAAAGTCTTACCTTGATGTACTTGCTTCTCGCGGTAAATACCTTGAAACATGGGATCAGTCAAATTGATACCAATATCTATTCAAATAAAACATTGATCAATTTATTTATTTTCAATTCATTTGAGTTCTATACCTATAAATCGCATTTTCCTGTAAACTGAAGTAGAAAGTGAGCGAAGAAGCATAAAGGAAGAGAAAAAAGGTTGGATTAGGAAATTCCCAAAGATTTAAGCTTCGCTGTTTCAAATTTTAACAGTGACTGGTGGCCAGGCCTAGTTAGACATATTTTTTTTTTTTTTTCCCTCGAGTTACCACTTTTTTTTTTTTTTTTTTTTTTTTTTTTTTTGGCGTGAATTGGTGGACCCTTTCTTTCTTTCTTTTTTATTTCACTGTTTTCTCAAGCATATCAAGTATGAAAACGGGATGGTATTCTGTACTTGCTTATGTCTGAAGAAACATGCTCTACAAAACATGCGCCATTCCTTTACGGTCTGTAAACGAATAACCACATCCCAATTACAACATTCTCGTTTCTACAGCAATACATCGACATCACTATTACTTTTACGACAACCGTCACCTTCTGTACCTCGACTAATCAATAGATCCTTACAATACCCGACTGTCTTTCATAGTCATTCATCACGACACTGGCGTTTCATATCTGTTAGCTCATCTTTACCCTGTTCTTCCAACAAACAACATGGATTAAAATACGAAAAAGATGACATGACTCCTATTGAACACTTGGCTTCACCAACCATATTACTTCAACATTGGTCTCAACCTATAAATAAAACTTCGATGAAGGAAACAACAACTGACATTTCTTCTCCAGCTAATTACGATCAAGCCAGCAAGCATAATTTGGATACCACCATGTTGACTAGTTGTATACAAGATGGACGACTTGGAGATGCCATGACTCTATTGATGAACTCGAATTCAATACACAAAGGTACAATTGGATATGCTACGAAAGCTCGACGATTGCTTTTCACGAAATTAGCCCACTTGTCTTTTATTGAACTGGCCGATCTACTTGAATCTTGGATGCAGACACAGCGACAACAAATACATGAAGGACACATTTCCAGTAAACGTTTGACACTGTTTCTCAAAGCACTTATGATGACCTTACCTATGACCCTGGTGGAACAACTAGTACTCCGGTTTCCTTCTGATTATTATTTACAAGCAGCTTTAGTCAGTCGATACGTGAAAAATTACTTGGCAAGCGACAATGAAAGTGATACCCAGTTGGGAACCATGTTGGCATTATTAGATACGTCCATTAAGAGGATTACGGAATCACCAGATACAATCGTGCGATTATACAACTTGGTCTTGAATGGATGTTTAAAAAAACAGGATTGGCATCATGTCGCTGAGGTATTGTCACGAATGGAATCATCGGGTTGTTCCTTGGATACAGCTTCTTTCAACATGTTGATACGATCTCGACTGGAAAATGATGATGTGGAAGCAGCAAAAGCATTGTACGAAGAAATGGTACAGTTCTCTCTGACACCAACTACAGCAACTTACAATACATTCATTAAACACGCCTGTCAACAACAAAGGTGGGAGGATATGACTTTGTGGATCGATCGATTATTGGAACAACATCAACCAAATCCGATAACGTTACGTATTATGACTGCCGCTTTGACTGATCATACTGATCAACCCCAAGTGTTGGATGCTTTTGGTCGTGTTGCTCTGATGGTTCCAGTGACGAATGAAGAATTGGAAAGGACGATCAACGTTAGTGTAGCTCAATTACTGCGTCATAAACACACTCGTTTGGCATTGGATATCCTATACAAATTATTTGCTCCCCAGCCGAATCTCAAGGACTACAGCCTGTCGACTCTAACTTATAATCTACTGATTCATGCATTGGCACAAGAAGGGAATATGGAAGCAGCTGATCAAGTACTTGTTTTGATGCGAGACAAAAAATTAGATGATGACAACAACAACAACAACAACAATATCATGCCTATGACCATACCTGACCCTGATATTGTTAGTTATACCTCACTGATACATGGATATATCCGGACAGCAACATCACATGACATGGACATTCGACGTATTTTGAATTTGTACAATGAGATCATGGAACGAGGCTTGGAAACAAATGCAACTTTACAATCAGTAGTTTTGTATGGGATGATCAAGTCTAGATTTCAGGATATCGATGAATGTGCTTCGTTATTTGCTGCTATGGTGGAAGAGGATGATGACAATTTGGAACAACTGTATGATGGCAAAATGGAACCTAAACTCGCCAAAATGACAATGTATAACATGATGATGGATGGTTATTTCTTACACCAATACTATGGAAAGGATCAACAAAATTCAACATCAAAAACAACAACAACAACAACATCTGGTCAACGGCATATACCACCAGAAGCATTGACCTTATTGAATCAAGCAATTGTAAGACGATTACCATTAACGACAGCAACTATGAATATTTGGGTGCGTGGACTTGCTATCTTCAATCACGATCTTATTGCTGCTGAAGCCATGGTGAAATGGATGTCTCTTACTCATCATGTGAAACTCAACGAACGGACGATTTATTATTTGGTGCAAACAGCAATCACTCAGGATCGTTGGGACAAGGCAAGGAAATGGATCAAAAAGTATGAAAGTATGGGTCAAGTCATTCAAGGTACTGGTCTTCAATATTTTAAAAATATGGTGATCAAGTGAATCATGATGAATTTTGGTATTCCCTCCATTTTTTTTTTATATATATATTTATTTCATCTTTATTTTACAATGTACACTCCCCTCCTCTCTCTCTCTCATACTCATAGATTAGGTACATTGTGTTGTATTATTATTCTTTTTTTTTTATTTATTATTTTTTGACTTGTATATTTTGACCAAATTGGGAATAAAAAGTAGACTTTTATCGATAGAATAGAAATATAATAAGATAGAAATTTTGTTTTACAAATATGTGTTTTAAATTTCAGAATAAGAAATATGTATCGTGATGATGAATGCTGATAGTGTATCCCTGTCTTAGCAGTGAATATGATGATGATAATGATGATAATATCATACCATATAAAAAATGTAGTTTTTTTTTTTTTTTTTTTTTTTTTTTTTTTTTTTTTCAAGTATGGCTGTTGAAAAGGATCAGCTCACCTGCTGAGGCAATCATCATCAATCATCAATCAATGTGTTTTGACATACTCTATCGACATCTCTAAAGCGACATCTAGAAAAGTGATAATGCCACATCCATTTTCGGGAAAGCCTCATATTTTTATTTTACAACATCGCGAAACTATTTTCTTGTGACCCGACAAAAAAAAAAAACTTTGAAAACATGGATAAATATCAAATATCTATATATATTATATGTGTGCTGAATGTATATTTATAAAAGATATAAGGGAAACAAACAAATAAAGTACTAACTAAGAAGAATGAGAGAATGACCTTGATCTATAATTGCTTGTAACTGTTTGGACGGAAGATTGACTACTTCTGTGATTTAATCCTTTCGAAGCTTGTTTCACTTCATCCTCTGTGCACGATCGAATCTACAGAAAAAAAAAATACATCAAATTAGCACTAAATATCCACTCATTTGAATATTCTCTTTTTTTTTTTTCCTTCTTCCTGTACCTTGAGTGATTCTCGATCGAATTTGTAGGGAATAACGCCAGTAGTACCATCGTATCTATCAATAAATGTTGAGAAATAAATGCCATTTGTTAACCCAAAAAAGACAAAAATAAAGACAAATAAACACTCTATACCTGTTCTTCTTCACATCGAGGTATTGAAGTCCACCAAGACCATGCTTTTGTAGGATGATGACATTGTCTGCCTCTTGTGTGACCTTGGCGCTACCGAAAACTGAGTTGATATCCATTTGTTCACCAGGATCCTTTCTTGGATGGACTACCAGGGAGATGTGGACGTTCTGTTTGGTGGCGAATCTTCGTAATTGATGAACTGCATAATCTTGTAATTCCCATCGATCTAAACTTGATCTACCTTGTTGTGATAACATGAATTGAAGATTGTCAAGAATGATATGTTGAACACCGTGCTTATCTACTGCATGTTGACTTGCTTCAAGAACATCATCGATCGCCGTGCTACTAAAGAATTTCAAAAAATAAAGTGGAAGCTAGATAATTATGTTAAATATCGAAAATCAATATTATGTATATATATGTTCACTTACCTTTTCGAATTCATTTCCCCAATGGTCAAGTTCTTCAGGATATAAACTAAGATCTTTTTCTGCAAATTGATAAAGCATCTTCTTGGCTAATCGTTGATTCAGAATTTCAAAGGATCCCCATAAGGTTGGTACTCCACTTTTGCAGTAATCCAAGGACAGTTGACTCATTACCGTTGTTTTCCCACCACCTGTTGTTCCTGTTACAATTGTCAATTCACCTTGTCGATGACCCTTGAGAATTTGATTCAATGCTGGTAGATCCGTTGACTGTACTCCTTTTGATTCTTCTGGATGCAAGATATCTTGGTATATTTGTTGTCGTAGGTCCGAAAAATTCAAAATCTTATCATGTTTATCACTAGTTTTTTGTTGTTTTGAGAGTAATGAGGTATCCAGTTCTTCAAAGCTATTAAAAGGATCTAGAGTTGTTGTAGTATCTTCAAAAAGTGTATCGTGTACAGAATCTATCCTTGAATTGGGTGTATCAAAATGCTCTAGAGGATCTGTCACCATAGCCGTTTGTGTAGGATTTCTGGTTGTATGTAGTCGATGATACCAGGAAGAACGTATACAACTTCTTTTATAATCGGTTGAAAGAAGTTTATAAGTAGGACGTAGGTATCTTCCAGTTGATAACATGTTTGTTGTAAAAAAATTGGAACAAAAAAGAAAGAAGGAAAAAGAAAAAAAATTATTTTTATCCGGTACGTGGAGTTTAAAATGGACCACAACGCGTTGATGACAATGAATTGCACTTGCTTTTAAGTTTAATACAACAAAACTAAGAAGTGTATTCCTATCAGTTTGAATATCAAATGAGAGAGAAACTAGAAGTTATAAATGAAATTGACGAAAATCATACAATGACTACAATGCCTTTTTACATGTATAACAATAGGAATAAACCATATATCAATTTTTCTCTTTACATATGTTAACAATAATAAAAAAAAAAAAACAATGAAAACTTTAAGAATGTTACTTAAATATTCTAATATATATTATTGTTATCAAATATAATGGCGTTAATAATATCATCTTATTTTTTTACCTTTATGCGTTTTTAATATAGAATATCGTCACAGCCAATTTGGGGATTTTTTTTTTTTTTTGAACGCCGAGGAGCTTGAATTCTTGAAAAAAGTCGCATCTTATTTCTCTCTTGTTTTTCTCTGTCGCTCTCTCTTCCCTTTTTTTTTTTTTTTTTTTTTTTTATTTCTCCACTTTCTTGATTGATCTTTTCAATCTTTTTACTTTATTTTGGTGAATTGATTGTTGAAGCAATTGGGAAAAAGAGCAAGACGACATACACATTTCGATATAGTACAAGTCATTGTCTCAACACAACAAAAGTATGCATTCAGTTTCGCCTGTGGATCAATTAGCTTTCGGCAAAGAAACAAACGGATATGGAAAAAAGGATAAAGGCACAACAGGAAATAATAATAATGAACAACACCAAATAAGTTTACAAAATGGTAAAACTATAACATCCGACAAGATCATTCTTCCTGTTGAAATGGCTAGTATGGTTCCTCTTCGTACTCTTGTTGGAAAGATGATCAACAAAGCTCATGCTGACTTGATGACCTTGACTGACACGTAAGAACTTATTTTCTTTTCTTTTATTATATATTGTTTGTCAAACTAATATTTTCCTTTTTCCTTTTTATTATTACTAAAATAATAAAATAGATTACCTTCCATGTCTGATGTTGAACGAAAACGACAGATCCTCAACTATACCACTTTTACACGGAAACAGTTCCTAAAATTAATGGTACTGGTGAAATGGGCTGAAAATGCAAACGATATTCAAATGTGTCAAGTATGTCAATAAAATAACAAATGGATTTATTTTTGATTTCTCATCTTTCCCATTACTACTTTTCCCTTTTTTTTTTTTCTTTACAATTTTAATAGAACATTATGGCATTTTTGGCGAATCAAAACAAGACGTTCCAAGATACAGTAGACTTCCTTCACAAGATTCATATCGAGTTACCAGCTGCTCGTGTTCGAAATTTTGATATACTAACAGCTGTTGATGTCCTAACAACAGGAACTTACCAACGCATGCCAACCAAAATTGAAGTAAGCCGAAAACTATCATAGACCTTTTAATTACAAACTTAATATCATTCTCTTAACTAAATTATATTATTCTTATTTATAGGATATGTTACCACCAAAACCGTTAACAGATCAACAAGTATTAGAAACATTCGAAAAAATGAACGACGAAATCCGAATCCGAATGTTGACAAAAGAAGTTTTACCTTCTCCTATGCAGCAATATCGTATCGGTAAGGAAAGAATGGAGGGGGGATAGAAAAAAAAAACTCTTTCAACATATTTGCCCACTAACTTTTTGTTTTACTCTTCTTTTTTAGAGAACGGACGTGTTTACTTTTGCGTGGAAAATGAATTCGAAGTATCACTTACATTAATGGGAAATAGCGATGATCGAAAATGGTGGATTATATCTCTGGATGTTTTAGTTCAACCTTCTTCAGGTGGTAGTGCGGCTGGTAATATTAAGAAAAAAAAATATGGATAAAAAAAATATCACATAGAACTTAATTTTTCTTACTATTATTTATTATTCTGTTTGATAGATGTAGATATATCTTTGAATGAAAACCAACGACAACGACTTCGAGCAAATGCACAACGACAATTAACACCTCCAAGCATACCAAGTGAGAATAAGACTGAACAATTACCCGCTGAAACCAATACAACAAATGACAAATCATCTCCAGATATACAAACTGCTTTAGAATCATCAACAGATCGGCAGTTATTCTTCCCTTTGGTCAATCTCTACGACTATATTCATCTCTTCTGTCTCAACATGCAATTGGAAATTATATATATTCAGGCTACGATGATGGCAAAAACTCGTTGGCTCGATCAGCTAAAAGTTCATATGAACTCTACAAGAACACATTTGACTCTAATATATTGGGGAGGTGGATCTCCAACAGCACACTGGGGTAGTCCACAGGTAAAAAAAAAAAAAAAAAAAAAAAAAAAAAAAAATTGGGTAGTGCGGTAAGAGCAAGATAGAAATAACTATCATTCTGAATACATATTTTGTTTACATAGGTTCTTGATCAAGATGACTCTCAACTCCAACAACAACAGCAAACGACATCTAGCACAACAATTGAAATTTCTATCCGCAATGAAGAAACAAAACGAGCAGAATCGATGGTAGTACCAAGCAAGGCATCATCTATCGCTGTTCGTGATGAATTGAAAGGATTGATTCAAAAATCTGGTATTGGTGCTTCAGTTTCTTTGGCAGATTTGGATGAAACAAGCAGAAACAAAGTCTATTGTTCATTGAAATATCCCAAAAGTTGTCTGGATGTCCTTTGGAGTGGAAGTAAAAATCTTCATACAAACGAAACGTTATTGGTAAGTTTAGAATCTTTTGAAAATATTGTATATACGGAAATTGACTTGTCCAATACTAAATTCTTTATATATATATATACGATCTAGAACTCGATGAATATGAATGTCGAACTACTTTTATTACATGTTACGAATTACCACAAACATGCTATCCTTGGTAAATTCCGACAACTTCTCAAATCCCAGTCAGTGTTCTTGGAAGAAAATGGATTGCATCTGGTAGATGATTATTATCAGGATAAATTGGACTCGTCAGGTATATAATAAATATATACATCTAAAAAGTTTAGAACTGATTGATTATATTTTATTTTATTTTCATCACATTAGATGAGGTTTCCGATGGACAACCTTTAGTTATACGGTACAGACATGATCGTTATATTCACATTGATTTCGATAGTCGTGTTGGTCGTGTCAAGGTGTATGAAGCTGGCAAGAATAGTGGTGATGGTGATGGTAAGAATAAAATAGACGGGGGGGCTTGTATCCCAATACTTATTCTTTATTATATAATAGTGAAACTTAGTGGTTTAGAAGATCGATTGAATACAGACCCTATCAATATTGGACGTCATTTACTCTGGCTTCGATCCGAAGTGGTGGTACATGAAATTGTCTCGCTGGCGAAGCAGTTAAATCTACAGCCTTTCCATCCTTCTCAAATGTTACTTCGAGCAGATGACATGATGAAACTCTTTGGCGATCTACCAACGTCTTCACCTGACCTTATGAGCTCATCGACTGTCAAGAATCGACTACAACAGCAAGCATCAACTATATCATCAACGTCATCAGTATCTTCACCTACACCACGACGGGCCGGTGTTGAACAAGGACAACAACAATTAGCAAAGTCATCTTATCCTCAGCATTGTGTCTTTTTACAATTTTCTCAATTTGAAGATTGGTATTTGGTAGTAGCTGTCATTAGAAATGAATTCCAATCATCATTGTGTTGTCTCAAGTATGGAATAACGAAGAAAAGGAAAAAAAAAAAGGCAGAATAGGAAAACTGGACAGTCATCTGTTCTATGTACTTATCTTCTTTCTTTTTTTTAAAAAAAAAAAATAGGAAAAGCACGGATCAAAATGCTATATACCAAGAATTTGCAGACTTGATCCATGTGGATTATGATCAGGTGTGGAAAGAACGATTTATCAATGGACGGAATGATGATTTGGAATTGAAGTTATCGACAAAAAAACGACATAATGATATATCAAAGGATATCAAAAAATTGACTTCTGAACAACATTCGCCTAAAAGACGAAGAACAATGGATGAAAACGATCTCTTGCCTGGATCATTAAGAAGAACATTAGACAAAACTGATAAGTAAGTCCATAGAAAGTATATGCGAATGATGATACTGATAATACAATTCCTTTTTAAACAAATGATTTGATATAGTTTGGCTATTGACCTGCCTTTTTTAGCAAAGCTTGAATCACTTTCTAGGTATAAAGCACATAATAATATGACTCATCATGTTTTTATTACTAATATGTCTATCATTATTTTTTCCATTCATGTAGAGCATTCATTACCAACCGCAAGATTGAACTGCAACTACATCAATATAGGACTATCCGTTCTCATGCTCGACCCTTCATTAAATCATTATCTGGAAAAGAAACTCGTGCAATGAACCATCCATCTGCTGATCGAATGGAAGTGATATGTGTTTCTCAAAAGGATCTTCTAAAGACATGTGCTTATCGTAACGTTGATATTATATTACCTCCTGGACCTCCTGGAACTACTACTCCAGTGAGTGGAACTGCAAAAGTGGATATGCTATCCTGGGTAGATTCTATTCTTCCTCGTATGGGAAATGAAGTTATGTTACGTGCTTCTGGATGGTGGACTAGAGGTAGAAGTCAATGTTTTGTGGAAATACAAGATCGCGTTGATTGGACCAATATTCCTTTGAAATCAAATGATATTGCAGGTAAAATCTAAAAAAAAAAAAAAAAAAAAAAGTTCTCACTTTTTATTTTATTTTGTATGGATTTAGATCATATCTATTTGAATTGCAATAATAGTATATTATCATTTACTTACACTGATATTGATTCCTGTGTTGATCGTTTTCTAACTGATTGGGAACGGATTTTTATGATGGCCAATCTTTCAAGACAAGGTAAAAACAAAGAATTTGAAATACATTGATATAACTAATTATTATTATTATTGTGTAGTCTCATCTATTTGGCTGAAAAAGTTCAAAGACCAGTTATCATTCGAACCATGCGATATGCGAACATTGACCTTCACCTATGCAACTGAATTTATGTGTACTATTCGATGGGATTCTCCTAGCAAAGGTCGATCACGACGATATATTGTCAATCTTGGAACAAAGGCTGAAATGGAAGGAAACAATACAGCAAACAATCTTCACAAACATGCTTCAAGTACATCGGACAAGGTATTACTACTTCCTACAGCATGCAAACGCAATCCTCATTGGCGAGTGGCATCTTTCCTTCAAGATGTTTTGAATGACAAACGGGATTTGGTTTATTTTGTTCAAGTTATCTTCCAAACTCTTCCATTGATGGCTTGTCTGGAACAATTAGAAGTAGCCTGTGCAGAGGAAGGGGATGTTGGTCGAGTATGCATCATTCCACGGGCATCTGATTCTGTACGCATTGTGTTTTCATCTCTGTAAGTTGATCCTATATTTGTGGTTCCTTTCATTTATTTTATATATTTTACTTTATTAGATATGGTATTGACATTCGATTCCATGGACCTTCGATGATGTGTATTTCTGATGCTGCATTTTACCATACTTTTTATCGCGCACTCAATGCTACGACAAAATCCTTGATCCCCCCGGCACCTTACATACCCCCATCGGCATCCATGATGGAACAAAAGGACAATGGTATGTCTCCCATCAAAGTGGCACAACAAATGAACTGCAAACCATTTACAGAGTTTGACAAATTATTACAAGATGTGGATGATTGGATCTTCACCTCGCCTGATAAAAACGATTCACAACTATCTTATTTGGAACAATCTTACTGGTCGGATGCTTCTGAACCTTCGGTCATTCCCTTTGATCATGGTCTTCTTTGTTCAGCCTCTCTCTGTAGAAATGTATTATTCAAATTGCAACACTCAAATTTTGGTTCTTGATTTTTTTTTTTTTTGTTGTCCCCTTTTGTTGCGTTTCCTTTTTTTTTTTTTTTTCTAAGTTTATCTCCATTTCCCTTTTATATATACACTCTCACATATATAAATACTTTTTTTTATATACAATTCAAACCAATAAAAGTCAAAATTCATTACAATATTATTTATTCTACATGGTGTGTATGTAAAATTATATAAGTTTATTAAAAGTTCAAAGTCCTAACATTAATACATAATCATTCCAGTCAATCCCAATCAGTATCTCTGACCAAATTGCCAGCATCATCATCATCATCAGAATCGCCACTTTCCAAAGCTTTCATCTCCGTATCGTCATCAATCCCATACCGTTCAGTAGGTCGATCCGTTTCAACAGTAGTAGTAGCGGCAGAAGAAGATTCCGGTTGTGCGACCAATGTGTCTTTATCTTTTTGTATCTTATCATCAAGTCCTTTATCCATGTTGGGCATGCGGACGCATTGACCAGTTTCCATTAGTTGTTGATGTTTTTGACGCAAGGCATTTCTTGCAGCTTCAAATGCCGAAGCATAATAGAATCCATGTCGTTTCTAATAACAAAATTAAAAAAAAAAATAAAGATCATAGTTTGAGTGAACATTCATTCTTTTCATTCTTATTATTACCGTTGGAGGACCAGAATGCAAATACTTGGAAGAACGAAGAATACAATCAAAATCTGGATCAGTGATATCACATACTTGATACCAGGAAGAACGAGTAGGTATAGAATGGCCATCAAAGATGTAGGAAGGAGTCTGTACACCATCATTTTCAGTACTAAGTATAAATAATAAAGAAAAAAGGTAATCAAGATTATCGTCCAGTTTTTTTATATTTCTTACCTTGAAGAGGGATCTTGTTGTTCTTGTTCATTAGCAAACACTGGTAATTCACGATTTCGTTTCGCACGCACATATCGTTTGTTTGATGCAGTATTGCTAGTAGCATGACCCATACGAATATCTACCTGCTGATACCTAAAAACATCAAAAAAAAGTTGATATTAGTCATCCATTCTCATGATATTGTATTGTTTACTTACATTGCATAACGTTGATCTTCTTTTGGATCGACACCATATTTCACCCAACAATCACGCCAAGGTCCATTTTGAAAAGAATATGCAATAGATGCTAAAGCCCTATTAAAAAATAAAATAAATAAATACAACGTGTTTGAGTGATCCAATATTTTTAAATTATTTTTAATAGAAATTTCTTACTCCATGAAATATTTGTCATCATCAACATTCATTCGACTTCGTAAAGCATGTTTTGACCAAATAGGACGATCCTCGTAGAGCTATATATACATTGAGTCAGTTGCATAATCAAAAACCTTTTTTTTTTTTTACCTGTTCCATTTTTTCCTTGAGTTCCAATGCATCGCCAAAAAGATGTTTGGATGATGGTGGTTTAGTTGGAATCTGTAAGAACAAAAGAGAGTTAAAGAATATAGATACTATCAAAGAAGATTCAAATAACTGTTGATAAATGTGAAATCAAATAATAATAATAATAATAATAAAAAGGATATTGTTGGTCTCGAAGGAGATAATAGTTCGATCCATTGAATTAGTGGTAGATAGATTGACAAGTTTGGTAACATACTAGAAAAAGATAATGGTTAGTCATCTTCGATATAGCATAATATTGAAATCAAGGCAAGGTATTACCGTTCCATCAGGTTGTAAAACACGGATACGAGTCACCGGGGCATTTTGTTTGTATCTACAATATAGTAAAAAAAAAAAAAATCAATCACACATAACTTATTTCCTTTATACTTCGAAATGTCATTGACTTACTCATATTTGAATGGCGTTTCTGCGTTAGTAAAAACAGGAGGTGGTATGTTTCGTAAATTGTTCATATCATCATCATTCAGGGAAACTTTATAATCCAAGATACTTTTGGCTGCATAAAAAAAAAAAAAAAGATCAACCATGATATTCTCTATTTTCATGTCCCTTCAACTTACTATCTCCAGTAACCAAAGCTGATCGTAGTTTCCTTGAAGGATCATCTTTGGGTACCAAGTATTGGAAGTCAGCCATCCCTAAAAATGAGAAAAGAAAAAAAAAAGAACACATATCAATGATCAAATAATATATATATATATATATAATTACCTCTAAATCGACAAGTTTGTGGAATAGTTCCAATTAATTCTGTTGTAATTTGACCTGGATCTTCAGGTTGATCCTTTCTTCTTCGACGTGTCACTTTGACTAGAACCCTAGAGCTAGGTACAATAGATCCATTGATGGTATGGCAAAAAGGATCATTGGGTCGGTATCGTAATTCGAGGACGTTATTTTCCTTGTTTTTGTAAACCTAGAAATGAAACAAAGGGTGGTATAAATGTACTATTATTATTATTATTATTTATTCAAATGATACCTGAGAAACTGCTTTTTCGCCACCAAAGGTTTGTAAAACACGATCGATGTTCTTGACAACACCTGGATATTCTACACAAAAGAACTTGCGATTGCCAACAGGATAAATTGGTGCCTTTTCAGATGTTGTTGATTCCATATGGAAAGTAAATTATATGTATATAAAGAAGAAAAAAAAAAAATGAGAGAGAGAAAAAAAATCAAACTTTCGTACTGGATTTAAACTTCCGCAGATGGCGAGTGTCTTAAGATTTATTCATGCATCACCATTTTGACGTTTCGCTTTATTATAGTAACAATGTTTCTATTATATGTTTATATTTGTAATAATATGATACTATCTATTGTGATGAATGAATTACGATTGTAGTATATGAAAGGATAACGGTTTGAAAGTTGAAGGATGATTGGATGATTATGGATGGACGATGTTTTACGAGGGAAAAAAAAATAAAAGTGATATCCAAAATTTTCAAGCTATTCAGCTTAAGTAAGTTTACCTCTGATAAGTCATTGTCAGGGAAGTATCAGCGGTCTTACTAAAAAGAATAAGGGCCCAGTTGCTTTTCTTTTAAGATGTAAATCCTTAGGCGTACAAATCGTGATGCCGCTTGGGTCAAGCAAAGTAGCATTTGGAGAATCGATCAATCGTCATTACTTCATTCAGTACTCTTTCTTCGTCATGACTGACATCATCATCACTGGTATTGGGACTCAACATCAACCATCATTTAGAAATATAAAGTATCATTAAAAAATAAACTAAAAGATAAAGTACTAATAATTTTTTTATTGGGGGATTTTGAATAATAGTAATAAAAACAATCATAAAAAAAAAATCAAAGATAAAGACCTTCAGGAGTTCCTTCACTCTTTCTATACAACACCTTTTCACGAGCCTTTCGTAAATCTTCGGCCACTACCTTCATACGACGTTCACGTAATGCCAACAACCCAGCTTCTGTACAAATAGCCTATCAAAAAAAAAAAAAAAGGAATCAGAAAAGAAGATAAAACACAAATATATATATATATATAGATTACCTTGATATCAGCACCAGAAAGATCATCTTTAGACATGACGAATTCTTCCAAGTCAACATCATCAGCTAAAGTCATTCTTGAGGTATGGATATTGAAGATACGACGCTTTGTCTTGACATCAGGGAGAGGGAATTCAATCTTACGATCAATACGACCAGGACGAATCAAAGCAGGATCCAAACTATCGATTTTGTTTGTTGCCATAATCACCTTGACATCACCACGAGAATCAAAACCATCCAATTGATTTAATAGTTCTAACATAGTACGTTGAATTTCACGTTCACCACCCGAAGTCGAATCATAACGTTTAGTACCAACAGCATCGATTTCATCAATAAATACAATGGAAGGAGCATTTTCTTCGGCTACTCGGAAAAGTTCACGGACAAGTTTAGGACCATCACCTAGATATTTTTGAATAAGTTCTGAACCAACAATACGTAAGAAAGTAGCACTCGTTTGATTGGCCACAGCCTTAGCAAGTAAAGTTTTCCCAGTACCAGGAACACCATATAAGATAACACCTTTTGGAGGCTTAATACCCATTTCTTCATATAATTCAGGATGTGTTAATGGCAATTCAACTGCTTCCTATAATATTAAATAAAATATCATTTTAGTTTTCATTCTTTATTTTTTTTTATTTTTTTTTTTTTTTACCTTGATTTCTTGAATTTGTTGTTCCAAACCACCAATATCAGCATAAGATTCAGTAGGAGCTTTTTCCAATTTCATAACACTAACCATAGGATCTGTATCATCTTGAAGTACACCTACCACAGCCATTGTTTTATGATGTAATAGAACACTACAACCTGGTTCTAAAGAATCCTTATCCACAAAGCTCATGACAGATACATAATATTCTGGACCTGTTGATGATGATACAATAACATGATCGTCGTCAATAATTTCTTCCAAAGAGCCTACAGACATGGGTGAACCACGAAGATCGTCCACTCTTGTTCGTTCTTCTTGATCCCTTTCTTCAGCAGGTTTAAGTCTTTCTTGATTTTGCACAAATTCTTCTTCCAATAATAAATAATCTTTCACTCTTTCCATCTTGAGCATCTTTAAACGACATCGAGTAGTAGGAAATACTAAATAAAATAAATAAATAAATAAATAAAAAAAAGTAGATCTAAAACAAATATATATATTACCTTGAGGTAACTTGGCACTTGTATCAGGACCTCTTTTCTTTTTCTTTCCAACCCGAGTAGGTACAGGAGGTTCCCACTTTTTCTTTTTTTGATCTTTATCCTATAATATATAAAAAAAAAAAAAGAGTGAGATAAGATACCACTTATATATATATGATTTATTTATTTTTTTTTTACTTTGTCTTTCTTGTCATTGCCTCTTGGCATACCAGATTGTGAATTTCCCTATAATAATAAAATACAATAATAAAAGGTTAAGTATATATATATATATATATATTATCATCAAATATAGATCATTTACCATTTTGAATAATAAGTTAAGGAATGAAAGAGAAAAGAAAAAAAAAAAGGTTGCGCGTTCTTTTGCTGAACGTCAAAAAAGTGCGAGAATAGAGAATGAAAATTTTATTCACTTTTGTCCACGTCAGCTCTGATAGTAAGTATGCTGAATTTCAAAAAATCGCATTTCTTTTTTTTTTTTTCTCTGTCTCTCTCTCTCTCTCTCTTTATATAACTAAAATGTATGTTAATCAAACTTATTTTGTAGTGTTATATACTCACTTTTAATAATATATATTTATAGGGCACCTAAACGAACAAAGAAATCTACGATACCAAAGTCACCTTCTGTAGATGATACTAGTGATAATGTATTAAATCTTACTTTGGAGAAAAAACCTTTTAAAAGTTCAAAATACTCAACACCCAAAAAGTGGAAGAACTTGAAACAAATCTTAACTTTGGAAAAGAATCAAGACTTTAGTTTGGATATACCTACTTGTAAATATATGAAAAATATATATATAATTTATTTCTCTATATATTAAATATATTATTTATTGATTAGATCAAAATATTGAATGTCCTCCTTCTATACGACCTCAAAAGAAATATTGTGATGTGACAGGTTTGGAAGCAAACTATACTGATCCAAAAAGTGGATTACGTTATCATAATACTGAAATTTATCAATTCATTCGTACTCTTGGTGTTCCTAATGTTCAAGCTTATCTTGGTAGTCGAAATGCTGCTGTAGTTTTAAAATAGATATATTATTTATTATTATTATTCATTGTACATACAAACTATATATATATATTCATTTATTCTAATCAAATAAACTATATTATATCTGATCATCAATCATATCATCTTCATCATCATCATCATCTTCTTGTTCTTCTTCTTCATCACCTTCCACTAATACGCTTGTCAATAAATCATTCATATCTTCATTATTTATATCTTTGACCAAAGAAAGAGGTGAATCTTTATTCTTGTTTTCAATTCTATGAAAAATATCGTTATTATTTTTGATATTAATGATGATGATGATTTTTTTTTTTTTACCTTGGATTCGCCCCAGCATCCAATAAAATATTGACCATTTCTAAAGCTATTTCTGGATCATCCTTGTATTGTACTGCATTATGTAAAGGAGTATCACCTATAGCATTCTTACTATTCATATGTATACCAGCGACGCGTACTAAGAGTTCTAAACAAGCAAGAGCACCATATTTTGTTCTAAAAATAATAAAATGAGTATAATAATAATAATAATTAAAAGTAGAAATTTTACGCATAATGAAGAGAAGTATTGCCATTATCGTCAGTAAAGGAAATGTCGAAGTCACCTTGAGCTAATAAGTCATTCAACCATTCGTCTTGATCATTTCTACAAGCAGCAAGGATAAGTTGATCTATTTTTCGATAAAAAGGTTAAAATATAATATGTAATATATAAATAGTAAAGTACTAAACTGTTCGAAGCACCGTGAATCTCTTCGTCCATTTTTACGAGAAAAAAAAAAGAGTTCTTTCAACAAAAACAGTAAAAAAAAAAAAATCAAATCAATAAAAAATAGGCGGAGTGTAAAAATAACCATTGGGAATCACATCCCAATAGTAAAGGATAATCTATCATCCATCACAATGAATAATAAATAAGAAAGATAAGTGATTTTTTTTATTAACAATTTAAATTACAATATCATCCATTTTTGAAATATATTTTATCTGAATTACTTTTCTTAATAATAATAATAAAGGCCTATAATATAATAATAGGTCTTATATAATAATAAAAAAGACCATATATTTTTACTTACTTGAATTGGACCAAAATCAAAAAAAAAAGTACATATTTTTGGAATGTAGTACAAACAAGGTACAACTATTTTTGGAGAGGTTTTACAGTTTTTTCAATAACTTTTTTTTATTATTATTATTTTATTTTATGATTGAGAAATGTTTCTATTTTTGTTTTAAAAATAATAATAATCAAGTAAAGAGTTATATATATATAGTAAATTAGAATTATTACTACACTGTTTGTGCAATTCAATTGCCTTTTTTCTTTCCAAAATTGGATTGATTTGATTCCCCGAATTCGGTTTTGTGAGATGTGGAAATTTCCTATTTTTTGACTCTCTCTTTTCTCCCTTTTCCTTTCTTTTCCTTTTTTTTTTTTTTTTTTTTTTTTAATTTACTTATTCTTTTAATCATTCTATAATACTACATTATATATATATATATATATATTTATGCATTCTTCTTCCAATAATAATAGAAGTCATCGTAATAGTGATCCTTATAGAGCAGCAAGAAGAACTCTTAGTCCAGGTAAAACTATAATTGAATTATATACATCAGTTCTTTTTTTTTTTTTTCTTTTTTAACTTTATTATTATTTTTTTTCTTTATTTTCAATATAGCTGATTCATATGATTCCTCCAAGTTAAGATCTGAATCTGACATTCACTCTCGATCAGCGTCTGATAGTAGTACTAGTCGACTTACAACTTCTCAACCAACGTACGATCATAGACGAAATGATTATTATACTGATGATCCTTATGCACCAAGACAAACGAGTCATAAACATCATACACGAAAAGATACACCAGAATCACATCATACTACCAATTCATCTTCAACGATACCATCACAAGAACAACAATCCGATTATTATCAAGCTCAAAAAGCCAATTCTTATTTACCATATTCACATCATCAACCAGGAAAGAAAGATCATTATTATCAACCTCCAGCAACGTCTATGTACTTGGAAAGTGAACATTTACCTAGTTTTACATCACCACACAATGGCGGAGGAGTTGGATCTTTATTACAAGATAATATTGTCATGGATATGGTTGATTCTCCGATACTCACACGTCGAAAGGAAGGATTGGATCGTTTACCTCCCTTGGAAGAAAAGAAACGACGGCGATTCTATGGATTGGGCGCGAAAAGATTATTGATTATTGTATTTATCTTTATTGTCATTGTAGTGATTGTTTGGTACTTTGTTTGGCCTCGAACATTTACTATGACTTATGTGGATACAAATCTTTATGGAAGTGCTTATCAACCTATTCATCCAAACAATACAGTCACTGGATTTCAAACTACTTGGAATGTCTCCATGATGGCTGACAACAAGGAAAATTGGGTACCCACTCATGTTAGTAGATTGGATCTCGATATTTATGATCAAAGCACTGGTGTAAGATTTGCAAATGGTACTTATGGTTCTTTTGTTTTACCTCCCAAATCACAAAAACCTATCGACTTTATTGTCAATATTGATTATGATCCAGCACCAAATGATCAAACCTTACAAGATCTTTCAGCTGCATGTTTAGCTCAATTAGAACCAAATGATCCATCACAACCTCAACCACAATCACAACAATCTCTCAATTTACATTTCGATGTCACTTATCATATAGCCGGTATTGCCTGGACATCTCAAACAAGACAAAATGTTGGTCAATTCAATTGTCCCACATGATACCCTTATTATTATTATTTTATTTTTATCTTATCTATAATAAAATAACTTTATTCTATCTTTTACCTTTTTTTTTTTTTTTTTATCATGTGGGTTTCTTATGTATAGTTTTTAAGGATTTCAAAAATAATTGTTAAAAAAATATATAACTTTTTGTTGAAACTTTTTTTTTCTATTCCGATAGCTATAATTTGATCCATTTGACCAATCAAAGGACAAAGATGATCTTATCCGTATCAATCCGACTCTGTCTCTCTATTACTAAATGAGGATCGTTTTGATTCCATACGGATGAAAAGATGAATGATGATTGGAAGACGGGATTCCATAGAAAGGAGGAAACAAAATAGAAAGAAACATACCATAAAACGCTAGATTCGGTAAGTCAAAAAAGACGTGATTTTCTTGATTTTTGAGATAAAATAAAGTGGTAAATTTTCTATTTTTTTTTTTTTTTTTTTTTTTTTGATTTCTTGATTTTTCTTTCCTTTTTCTCTCACTTTTTTTTGATTTCACTTTCCTTTTTCTTTTTCTTTTTTTTTTCTTTTCTTTATTCATACAGACTATATACATATATACAGAACAATAAGCAACGCACAGTGATCATGGTTCATGGATTTACAAAAACAGTGGATTTGAAAATCAATGTTGTGTCTGATGAAATCTATTTTTTTGGTCAACCTGAAGAATCGGCTGGAAAAGTTTTACAAGGTACCGTACTCTTGACATTGACTGAAACTATTAAGGTGAAACGTCTGACTTTGGACTTTAAAGGGAAAATGAAGGTGCAATGGACTGAAGGTATTAATGAATGAATAAAAAAAGAAAAAAAAAAGTGTTATTAATCAAAATAATAATATATTATAGGACCTCAACATACTCATAAACAAGAAAGAAGTATTATTCAACATGAATGGATTCTCTTACCAAGTCAAAACAATAAACGACCTCATATTGTTCCAGCAGGACAACATTCCTGGGACTTTACTCTGACTTTACCTGGTGACCTTCCTCCAACACTACAAGCTGAAATGGGTAAAGTGTGTTACCAATTGACGGCCAATCTCGAACGTTCAGGTGGATTTTTATTACACAATACCATTCAACGCAAGAAGCCCATTCGTGTGGTCCGTAGTGTACTACCTTCTGAATTTGAACTGGTACAATCCTTGGAAATCCATAATACTTGGTCTGAAAAGATGATTTACGATATCTCCTTACCTTCCAAATTATATGCTCACAATGCCATCATTCCAGTCTCTTTCACCATCCTTCCTATTGCCAACAAATTAAGAGTCCATGCTATTATGGTGACATTGAAAGAATGCTGTACATATGAAGCAAACGATAAACGCAAGACGGATTCTCGTATCATTAAGATTAATAGACAAGAAAATCCATTCAGTCAAGCTGTTGTTAATCATGATGGTATGCCCTCTACTCCTTGGACCCGTGTATTGGATGTACAAGTACCTGCACGATCGCCTATGATCTTTTGTGATGCCAATAGTGATATGATTCGAATTCGCCACAAGCTCAAATTTGTTATTTCAATTGTCAATGCTGATGGTCATTTTTCTGAACTACGTGCTACTTTACCTATTGTGATTATGGATTCATTTGGTCCCACTATCTCTGCCGCTTCAGCTGAAGCTCTTACTTTACCAACTTATGATGAGAGTTGGCGCTCTTTACCATATGATCGTCATTTATGGGATACTTTACGACAACAAAATGGATCTACTCATACTGATCTAATGGATTCTCGTCAACCAGTCACTATCTCTAGCTTTACCCGAACAATGACATTGACTTCTTCTATGGTACCTTGTCATCGACTTGAAAATACAACAATGGATTCTGATTTAGAAGATGAAACAGTAACACCTCATAATGAAGCAAATGATGAAAATTGGTGGCATGGTGTGGATTTATCTCGAGTACCTTCTTATCATTCTATGATGGATATGGATCCTACTGTTCCCACTTGTACACAATTACCTCCTGCTTATGATCCTATTTGGCAACGATGCTTTTCTTCTTCTTAATTTAGTTATTCTTCATTTTTTTTTTCATTGGTTTTTAGTCATACTACTCTATTTGCATTATATACAATCATTATATTAACATACCCCCCCTCAATTCATATATCATGGAATAAAGTTTATCATTCATACAATAAAAAAAATAAAGCCAATCCATAATTGGTATATAGATCGATCCTTTTTTCCCATCTGCTTGTTACAAAAAAAAAAAAAAAGTCCTGAAGATGAATGGGTAAACCTGATTCCTTTTTTTTTTATTATTATTATTATTATTATTATTATCATTCTTTTTAACTGTATCACCATCGCGGAACAAAACGTTTCAATCATGATAATGGCGACACAAAAGACAAGAGTACCGAGGATGTGGGGATGTCTCATTTTGAAACACAATTGAATTTCCGTTCATAGTTCTTTTTATTTTCCCAAACCTACCCCCACTCTTATTTCCCATGTTATTGCCTATAAGAAGAGACATTGAGGGTATGTACTTTAGTACTGATGATTTTGCATGAATCCAAATCCAAGTTACATAATTTATTCTTTATTTCTTTTATTTTATATATATATTTATCTACTATAAAAATAAACAAAATGAGAAAAAAAAAAGAATTTAATTGGAATAGAATAAAAAAAAAAAAAAAAAAAGAGGATGATATAAACTAATTTTTTTTTTTTGTTATTTTGCTAACCTCAGACCAGTTCTGACTTTATTTACGTATAAGGCAGTTTTTTTTTTTGAGGTACCAAACCAACGAATTCTCTTTTCGCGGAGCTTATTGTCTTTAATTTTCGTCCTTCTTATTTCTTTTTTTTTTTATTCTTTTCTTTCCTTCTTTCTTTCCTTATCATATCTTTTTTTTTTCAAGTCCAACTACTCTTATCTGATAGGCTTTCTCTCTCTCTCTCATTTTTTATATATAGTATTTATTACCAATGCAACAAAATCATCATGTCAAACGTAAATGGACAGAATCCTTTTCTACTTGTGATCAAGTGAACAATGACGATGACTTGAAGAAAGTACAAAGTAGGTCTTCATTATTTCTTTTCTATTCATTATACTAATTCTTTTTTTTTTTTTTTAGGTACAAGGTCGTCTACGTATGAAGAAGATATTGACAAGAAAGACATGGAGGTAAAATTATACGATTTTATATATGTCAATAAATTAAAATTTTTATTCTTCTAGGAAGATGATGAAGAATTGAAAATCAAACGCAAGGCGCAAAATAGGGCTGCTCAAAGGGCCTTTCGTGAAAGAAAAGAACGTTATGTAAAGGATTTGGAAATCAAGATCAAACAAGTACAAGATAATCATATCTTTGCCACTAATCAATTATTTCAAGAAAATCATCACCTTCGATCTATTATCTGTCGATTAGAAGCTGAAAATATTGCTTTGAAAGGTGTTACGCCCTTGGCCAATTCTATCAACAATCACGATCTCAACCTTTTTTCATCGTCTTCTCCTCAATTCAATACTCTTGGTTTATTACCTCAACAAAATTTACTTTTACCTCCTGTTATGACTGGATATCAACCTATTCAACCTAATCCTATTACTAACAAGGAAAACAAGAAATCAATCAATCAACCAAAACCATTGGCTGCCAAACCTCCCGTATGTCAACAACAAATCCAACCTATCCACAAATCAATCAAAACCAAAAAGAAGGAACAAAATCGAAAACAAAAAAATCAAAATCAACAAACCTTACAACCGGAACAGCAGGAGTTTACTTTTTCCATCACTACACCCGCAACTTTACGTGCCGACACTTTGGAAAAGAATCCATCTGTAGATACTATTGAATTAGTTCCTCTTTATCATCCTGATCATCATCATCCTGCTCTTTCTCAAGTCAACGACAATCCAACAACAGATTCATCTCTCTCTTGCGACTCACCTACCTTGACATCAGCCACGTCTGTTATTGGAATGGATACAACAATGCCTTCATTATCATTTTTGGATGGATACGATGCATTTGAAAAGCTCTATGTTGATCAAGATGCTTCATTATTTGATGATGATCATGGTTTAGGATTATCTATGATTCAATCTCGACGTAATTCTGAACAAGATCAAACAATGAAGGATGAGAAAATGATCAAAGAACAAAAACCAGGATCAGCTAGTGATCGATTGTTGATGGAATCTCAACATTCAAATCAATCTCAATCTGAACAACAACAACAACAACAACAACAACAACAAGGCCGACGGGCTGGACCGGGTGCAACAACAACTATAGTGATGGAAGACGATGAAAAGACCCCGATATGGCAAAAGATCACCGAACATGCTCAAAACAACAAATTCAGTGTGGATCATCTTGTGGAAGCTGTACGCAGCACAACAACATCGAAAAGGAAAAACAAACTTTTGGTGGATGAATGGGAATTGGAGGCCATGGTACATGATTTGAATTATTATCTTTAATGATGATGACATCTTTCTACTACTACTTTGATTATAGCATACATCTTTTTTTTTTTTTAGATTCATCTTTATTCCATTCTTTGTACATATAATAAAATAAAAAAAATGCCTAGATATTCATAATATCCATACATAACAAGTGAGGAGATGGAATTTTCTTTTTTTTTTTTTTTTTTGTCCAACCAGCGGTGAATCAACCCTCCTGAAGTGAATAGAACAAAACTAGATCAACGTCCGTGCAATACTAAAAGTAACCATAGACCCGCCTCCTTTTTTTTTTTTCTACCAAGCAAAAAAGAATATAAATAGAAATCATTCTAAAAAAAAAAAATGCATGAATTTTTTGATATAAATATAAAGCAATTTCTTTTTTTTTTTTTTTGTAATTATTTTATTCTTTTTTCATGAAACGAGTTCGCTTTCAAACCATTGAACGACCCAAGATTCCACCTTTGGATTTGTCATGTCTTCGTCTTGCTTCATCGTTGTCTCCTCTCCAGCCACCTCGACTCCGTATTGATACTCTTCATCATACTCCTCTTTATTATACCGCTTTATCCACTTGTTATTCCTCCTAATAATAAAATAGGGCGTAGCATATACTTCTTGGCAAAAAAAAAAAGTGATATATGTTTTTATTTACAAAAGATATACAAATGAAGATATATAAACGAAAAAAAAAAAATATATTTTTTTTTCCTTTTGACTATCATATCCAAATATACAATAAAAAAAAAAAAGGGAGGGAATATAAAAAAAAAAAACTATGGATTTTTAAATATCATTCTTGTAACCATTGTAATTCCATCAAACCATGTTCCTTTCCTTCCTTCAAAATAGACCATACAAAATCACGTAGTGTTGTTGTTGTTGTATCATGATCATTGTTTCCTACTTGATGATGGTAATAAGGTGACGGTGGCCGTCTATGTCCTGGATTCACCCATTCTTCTCGATCCGTTGTTTCATCTACATCCATTGATAATGCTTGAATCACACGAGTTCGAATTGAACGATGATCTTATTGTAATAAATAGATAGAAATAAATCACATTAAACCCTCTCCTCTACTTTTCTTTTTTTTTTAAATTATTACCTGATGTTTCTTCATTATTCAAACGTAAGGAGGATCTATTACATCGAATTGTACGTACATTATTATTCATTGATGAAGAGGAAGAAGAGGTTGAAGATGAAGGCGATAGATGATTGTTTTGATCATTGTTCTGTACTGATGATGATGAGGAAGATGAGGAGGAAGATGAAGAAGAAGTCGAGGATGATGGTGAAGATAATGTAGATAATGATTCGTTATTGCGATTTTCTTGATGAATAGATTGTTTTGGTACTTCCAAGACATTAGTAACCAGTCGTCTGACAGTACATTTCGGAGAGCGCCGCGCATCCAAATAAGTGAGTCGAGGACAAGAAGATACCCATATCCAAATAAGACGAGCAGTGATCCAGCCGCAGCCTTTTATTTTCAGTTGTTCCAAGTGAGTACATTGTTGACCGATGGTTTCGATAGCAGTTTCAACTGGAATTTTCACATGAGTCAAATCAGGTTGAATAGCATAATGTTGTAAAGTAGAGATATATTCACCCGTTTCCACCACAACACTGTCTTGAAACACTTGAGTATAAGACAAATCCAGAGAAACAAGATGTTGACAAGTTTGTGCAAGTTGAACAAGTGAAGACGTGGATACTACTAAAGAAGGATAGGTATGAGTCGGTACTTGACAACCATCTTCCGATAACACATCATACGTATCATCTGTTGTATGACTAATGGTGCCAACAATGTTGTCATTCACGGTAATAACGGTGGTTCTCGTAGAGGTACCAATAGAGTTGGTTGTCAAAGGTGAAACAGATGATAAAGTGGTTTCTGATGTTTGAGTTAACCTTGAAGAACCTACTACATTTTGTTCTTTTGTATTCAATAATTCTATATAAATAAAATGAGTCTATTTATCTTTTTCCAAAAAAAAAAAAAAAAAAAATTACCAAATCTACCACAAGATAAGTCAATAGATTGAATCAAAGAACCATAATGAAAAAAACGTTTTTCACGACAAAGAGTCAAAATAAAAGTGGCCCATCGATAAGTATTATGAATCTTGACATGTTTGTATAATAGAGGAGTGGCACAAAGAAACCATTGACGACATACAAGAGAAACTGAATATAAAGTGGCTTGTTGGTCGACAAGATAACTAAGGATTTCCAATAAGAGTTCTGGAGGTAAACACCAAACACTACGATAACTAGCTATTGATGTTGTTGAAGTATTAGATAAACGTCGATCAAGTCGTCGACACCAACGTTGATACTGTGCACGAGGTATAGCTACAATATCGTTTTCCATGAATATATATTAAAAATTGATTATAATTAATAGTAAAAGAAGAAGAAGAAGAAGAAGAAGAGAAAAGAGAAAAAGAGAAAAAAAAAAAAGGAGGAAAAAAAAGAAGAAGAAACTGATAAATTTCCAGTCCGCCAGTTTTCCTTTTTTTTTGAAACCATTGCTTGAGATACCCTTTTTTTTTTTTTGATAAATTCTCTAACCACAGAGTCCTGTCCTAATATCCAAATTAAGTCATCTTCAAAAAGCATGGATTTGATGCAGTCATTTGATTTGTTTCCCTATCTTTTTTTTTTTTTTACTCAGCCAGATGTTCACTAAATATTATATTATTAAAAAGCGAATCACTTTTTTTATGAATCAGTTTTATGTTTCTCTAGTAGTTCAATATCACGGAAAAATAATAATTCTTTCTTAGTTGCGTGATTGAAATAGGGTGGCACAGAAAGTACAAGTTTTTTTTTTCAAAAAAGGAAACGTGTTGTACGAAACTCTTGAACTTGTAAAAGGTTGTCAAATGTATTGGATGTTTTTTCTTTTTTTTTTAATAGGGAGAATTCATTTGATTTTTTTATTTGATGTTAATTATCATATCCTTCAAAGAGATGAATAAGTCATATGCCTGGGTGCTGTCATCATCAATGCAAAACTACAAAATATCATGCAATGTTGAAATAATCATCTTCCTCTTGGTTTGTTGTTGTTTTTTTTTTTAAATATTACAGTTTCTTTCTTTTTTTTTTTTCTCCAACAGTGTGTATTCTTGATTATTATATAGTTCTATTAGTGACGACTTTTGTCTGTATACAAACCAAACAGATCGCTATGCCCTCCTTTGGTTCATTTTTGGTAAATGATTTCAACATCCCATCTCCTTTTTCTTTTTTTTTTTTTTTTTTTTTTTTTTTTTAAAAAAAAAAAAAATGATTGGCTATTTTTAGCTTTCACAGGGTTCTTGTCAAGTGATCATTTAAGGTAAAAGATATAAGGTATATTCATAATATGATCCCAATTTGACCTTTTGAATAAAAAAAAAAAAAAAAGAGATAATAATACATAAATGATGTGATGTTTATTTTCAACTAATAATAATAATAATAATAATAAGGGTAACTACATATCAAAGGCAATTGTTATATCATTGAGAGAGGTCGAAACCTTAAGAGAACCACGACTTTTCTTGTATCGATATCCTTCTCTTGCTGCACTCTTTTTCACGTCGTTATATACTATTTGTTGTTGAGGATCATCCATCACCACTGCGTTTGTTGATGAGGTTGTCAATTTGAAATCTCCAGCAAAATTAGATGGCTAAATAAATAAATAAATAATAAATAAAAACATCATCATTCTTGTTTGTTGTTATTTTTACCATATGAATAGTGACGGGTGCATTGCTAGTAGAGACTTCCACATGGATCTTAGCATCAGGTTTAGCCAAAGGATGTTGCCTAATATAAAGGATGACAGGAGCATTGCTTGTCTTTGCTGTGATAGATTTTCGAATCAAGAGATTATTCATACGAATTTCCGCATTGCTTGTCACCAAGGATAATTCTTTTGTCATCAACTTGCTGTCATTCATGATCAAGCGTGCATTGGATGTTTTGATCTTGCATTCACGTCGTACATCGATATCTCCACCCGTCAGATCGATTTTGGCATTCGTTGTTCGTAAATCCATTTCCTTGCATTGTATTCCTTTTCCTCGCCAAGTGATCATCGCATTGGTGGTATTCAAACTGATGGATTTGGCATCCAGACTTCCTTGGACATCGATCATTGCATTGGTGGTTTTGAGAGAAAACAATTTGCCTACCCATTCGTCCTGATTCCAATTCAGTTTCTTGTTGTTTTCCTTCACTTCCACAGTACTTTTCCGTTTGTCGAAACTAGGTGATTTTTTCCGTCGATGAGACTTTTGATTGCCTTCACTAAGATCTGTGCTTGAACTTGTGCTTGAATATGAGGACGAGCACCGACGTGGCCTTGCTCTACATTCATTAATGCTTGATCTCTCTGATTGTGGTGGATGGGTGAATGAAGACGAAGGGAGTGGTGGTAGTGGTGCTGTGGCAGGTGGTGCTGGAACACTATGAAAAGTAGCAGGTTGCCGAAAGTGCGGAGAAAGCGTCTGTTGTACCTTAATATCCCCTGTCCTCATGTTATTTCGAGAAACAATATCTGCAGAACTTGACTGAAAACTGCCAAGACGTGGTGTTGGTTGTTGTGATGTTGATCCTGAAGGCGAATTTCTGTGATCGATTTCCGAATAAGGAGGAGGTGAATCCATTGATTATTTTATTGGTTATTTAAAAAAAAAGAGAAATATAAAAAATAAAAAAAAAAGCAAGAAAAAAAAAGGGAAAAAGGAACAAAAAAAAAAAAAGAATCAATCTGAATGAGAAAAAAGATTTGCCAAGACAGCAAGATATGCTTGCCGAATTTAAAATAGGAGCTCCGCCATAGAAACCCATGAGAATACATTGCATTCAACGGTAAAATGTAACATAAAAGAACGGAAAACCTGGATTTGCCAAGAACCTGTATACAGCTCTTCATGTTGAATGAATAAATATCGATATGATCCATTTTACATCAATACTTTCACCTTATTTTATTATTGTGTATTTTATCTATTTTTGTTGTTAATGATTCAATGATGATTCGTTTGACATGGATCAAGGTTGGATCATCAATTAAACTAAAATATCATCCTATAAGTGGTAAAAAAAAATAATTTTTTTTTGGTGCTTCATCCTAATGATTCCAATGGATAGTTCATCATCGTTGTCAATAAAAGTATTTCAAAACCACTGTAGATTCTATAAATAGGTATCTTTCAGGGACCAGCTCATCATAGTAGCAATCATGGCAGAGAGAAAAAAAAAAATAAAAATTGATCACTACTTTATCGATGAATAATTCCATGACTAACAATTGATTGAATAATTTATACAGTATGTATGATAGTATGATCAATGATGATAGTAGAAGGATGATAGATTTCTGTTAAAACAACTGGATGTAAAGAATAACTGTATAATGTTCATGACTATAGAAAGATATCGTATAATCTATTGATAGTTGTCGACAAAACGATCCAACCAAAATACAAGTGGCCAAAATGTTCCTTTTTTTTTAAAAAAAAAAATACCTTCCTTTTCCTATCGACATCATAGGCATTTATCACACTGAAACAAATATCGATACCCATCTGTAGTGTTGTGTAAAGAATAGATTGTTTTATTTTGTAAAGCTGATATAAATATAGAATAAGGCAGGCTATAAGTGTTGATACAATAAAAATAATAGGGAGATAAACTAATACGAAAAAAAATGGATATTATAAACTAGAGAAGGAAGTGAATGTATATATAAATGTGGGTTGTGAATTTTTTTTTCTAAAAATCCTCATAATCATCTATTTCATCATCATAAAAGAAATAGTTAGTAATTTTTTTTTTTTTACTTTCAATTCCATTTTCTTAAATTACCTTCGATACCATTGACAGCGTGCAAAACAAAAAGAACGATATTAGAGGTACATTGCATTGAAAAGCCTTGGTATAATCCACGCCAACCCCAACCAGTCAAGAAACCTCTAGGATGTTTCGCCTGTTTGCGTCGACGACCGCCTTCTTCCTTGATGATATGATAAGCAGCATCCACAATTCCAGTATAAGGTACTGGTCGCATAGCCACGACGGTTTCAAAACGTTTCTTGGGAGTTCGTGTTCTGATTTGACATTGTAGGCGTTTTCGAATTGTTTCCAAGGGTAACATGATCAACAATTCCAAAGTATTCAATCCCAATTCGGCCAATCCATATAAAAAGGGTGAATCATTAGCTGAAATCCGTAATACACGGTCAATGATCAAGGGTGTCGTATTCTGTAACAATGGTGTGAGTGTATGATACAATATAGAAGGGAGTAAGTTGTGATTCAAATAAAGTCCACGTAATCCACCTTCTTCTTCCAAGATCGTATATAATGCATGTACTGGTCCTTTATATTTACGATGTAAAGGTGATGCGGATTGCACAATCAATCTAGTCATTATATAAAAAAAAAAAATTGAGTCATGATAATCATTTTTTTTTTGTTGTTAGTTTTTACCTAGTTCGAATCAATTCCAATGGAGAAAGCAAGATACCAACAAGTAAATGACTTGTTACCAAAGTAGCCAAGTTGGGACCAACATGATCCAAATGTACCAATGGGATAGTATCATCATAAAGACCAAAAACATCATTGAGAGAGCCTTCGACAGTAGGTTGTAAAAACAAATGACAGATTTCATAAAGCCAATTGGTATATTGTCCCTTGAAGAGAGATCGCCAACCTTCATGTGGTTGTTTCATCAGTCGACCTATACCTTGCCATACACCCTTGTCGATCGGTTTGATCTGATAAGAAGGTCGAGTAGCATCATCATAAACACTGGTGCGTACCACATAACCACTACCATCCAGAACTTGTTTTTGTCGAAAGATGGGATCATCCACGTCTAAAGAAGCACTAGTTGGTATGTCTTCTGAATGTCTACGTCTTCGTCGTTGATGTTCACCATAAAAATCATCTTCATCGTCTTCTTCCGAAGAAAGATCATAATCCTAAAAAAAAAAAAAAAAAAAAGTCAATAAAATAAATAATAATTAATGTTTCAACTTGCCTTTTCATTGTCTTGTTCATCATTATCTTCATAACCAGAAGTAGGACTATCACTGGGAAGTACTTCAACATCTTCATGAGGTGTATACTGTACTTGCATGAGTGTTTTGGAAACTTCGAATGGATTGCTAACTGCCGTTGTCAAGAACTTCAACACGGAGAAATTGATTAGTTCACGAGCAGCCGCACGAGAATCAATTAGATCATCATAGTCATTGGGTGCATAATATGGATCTTGAGTAGATGTAATAGAGGTATAGTTGAAATTGTTGCCATTGTTGACTCCGGGCGTATAGTAGGGTCGTAAACCATGAGAGCCTCGTCCAGGACTTGTGGGAAATGTAGCATAAGGATGACTTGAATCAGTCGTCATTGATAATATACACAAATGTCACGTAATAGAAAAAGGGAAAAAAAGAATATGTTTATTAAAAAAAAAAAAAAAAAAAAAAAAAGTAAAATGAAAATTGTGTATAAACAACCACCCTCACTATACTTTTGTTTTGTTTTTTCAATCAGCGCCTGGTACTTTTTTTTTTTTTTTGAACCGAAAAAGCTCAACAAAATGTTCACAAGGTAATCCACTTTTATTCAAATACGGTCTATAAACTATATATACTTTATTAAACAAGAAGAATAAAAAAAAAAGGCTCAAATAATGTACTATCAATTATAACTAAATAAATAAATATAAACAAAAAAAAAAAAAAGATACATGATTCTATTTCTGTGGGATACAAGCGGAAGGAATAGGTTGGAGATGGTAAGAAGAAGGTTCAGTCTTGAAACAGGTTGAGGAAATATCGTCAGGGACATCAGCGACGGAGCTTGTAGAGAAATGCTGGGTATGATTGTTGTTTTTCTGATGTAATGATGTTGATGATAAAGGGACCAATACCGGGTTCTTCCGATCATACAAAACTTTGCCCTCATGATATGGAAACAGTAGATCCGATGAAGATGTTGATGAAGAAGAAGAGGATGATGATGTTGGTGTTGATGAATCATAATAGGATGTAATACTTTGTCTTCTTTGGAGTGGTGGTAAGGTTAGCGTAGCCCGAGGTGATACAGAAGATGATGGTGCCATATGATGATGAGAGATGTTCCTGAAGGTATCATGTATTTGAGGAGAGATGCCCGGAATTGCTCCAACACCCGTTCCGGTTGAATCAGGAATAATTTCTGGTTCCTTGAAAAGCGTTGTAGATGATGATGATGATGATGTAGAAGATGAAGGTGATGATAAAATCAATGGTGGTAACGAAGGATAATGACGGTTGATTAATAGTCGAAGTGTCTTTTCGATTTCCGATAATCGTTGTTCAATGGTGAAGATAGTAATACTTGGTTTCTTGATAGATGGTGACCTCGATTTTCCGTTATTATTGTTGTTATTATTTTTTGTGAAGATTGTATTATTATTTTCATCAGGTGCTTTTATTGAAGTTGTAACGAGTCCTATGGTTGTTTCTGTTTTCTTGTTATTTGTTTGTATGAGTTTAGCTGTTGTATATTGACAAGAAGAATGAGACTTGAGACAAGGAGCACAAATGGGTTCACCATCACATTTTGTTTTTTTTCGACGACATTCTGTACATGCTCTAACTACTTTCAATCGTTTTCTTCTTGGAGTATCAGTTTGATTCATGAAAGGGTAAAGAATGGGTATATTGAAAAAGAATAAAAGGAATATAAGAAGAAAAAAAAAAAAAAAGAAGAAAGAAGAAAAGAAAAAAAACAAGGAGTGGGACCGCGGAAAGGGAATTTCTTGAAATCCAAAAAAGATCGAGCTTTTTGGTTGGTTTTAAAATGAATACAAATAATATATTTATTTTCAATCACTGATAACTATATATTTGAAAAGAATGATCAAAAAATAATAATATGTTTTTCTTTGGCATAAACACAGAACAATGACATCTTTTGAAAAATATCGGAACCTTTTTTTTTATTATTAACAAAAATGTAAAAACATTTATTTTGAAAAATGGAACATATCTTGTCCATTTTAGTTCAAATTATTGATCTATGATTTTCATTGATTATCTCAATCATCTTTTTTTTTTATCTTATAATAGATTCTTGCATTAACCGAAAGCCAAGAAATTTTTTTCTGCCGTTAATGAATATTCAAAGTTCAAATCTTCCAAACCATGAGTTAATTTACTTTGAAGAGATGTTGACTTTCTTTTCCTTTTTTTTTTCTTTCACAAAGTTCTCTTAAGAAGATTCACTTTACAATGAATAAACTTGAATCTATGATGATTGGTGGTGATTGATGACGACTGATGACGACTGATGATGATTCCAAAATAATGCCAAAGTCTCTCATATGCTGACTTCAAACTCATCTGGTAGATTCATTTTCCTAAATTCGTTGGTAGAAAAACAAAAGAGTTTTTTTTTTTCTTTTTTTTCTTATATTTGCCATATTTAGCAGGTACGGAATTGAAATGAGCCTGCTACCACTGAATTTCTTTTTTTTTTTTTTAATGCCATTAATGAGACAAATTACTTTTTTTAATCCAAAAGTGTCGTTCTTCCCAAGAATCTACTGTAATCCATTCATATGTAAAAAAAAAAATGATTCAACAACTAATCTTCCGGAACTCTAATCATTTATGAGAAGTTTTTGCTACAAATCAAAAGGTTGTCAAGGACGGAAAAATCAATCCATCTGTCGTACAACAATTGAACACATCTTTTAACAAAAAGAAAGGATTTTCTTTCTAGATAAATTACTTTGTGGCTATTGAAAATTTTTGGAATCGCCTCTCCTTATGTCTATAAATGGAAAAGAAGCGGGTAAATTTTTTCCGACTTCCCCGGATTACTTGTCAACTCTCGTCTGATATTTAAACAGCCTCCTTTTTTTTTTTTTTTTTTTTCTCTCCTTTGAATTCAACAATGACAGATATCAAAAAAGATCCTACTGGTAAACAAAAAAAAAAAAAAAGGAACTTCCATTGTATCAACCATTTTGATGTATTTTATTAGACTGGGAAGAAAGATGGCAACTTGGAAACACTCAATGGGACGCAGGTAAATCTAGTCCAGCATTGGTCACCATGATGCAAGATGAAGAAGCAAAACAATTTATCCCATCAAATGCCATTGGTATTGTTCCTGGTTGTGGTTCAGGTAAAAAAAAATATTGGCTTTCTTATATTTTTTTTTTTCAACTCATTCCGTTATTTGTTTTTCTTTTATTATTAAAGGTTATGATGTGAAATATCTAGCTACACCTACTCGACATATGGTTGGACTGGATATGAGCAAAACTGCTGTAGAACATTGCCAAAAACTTCATCCAGATGCTACTGCTTTGAATTATGAATTTATTCAAGATGATTTCTTCAAGTTTTCTGTACCAGAACAAGGATTCGATTTGGCTTATGATTATACGTACGTGCTTTCTCATCGTTTGAATATCCTTGATTGACATGATCATCTTTTTTTGTATGATAGATTCTTTTGTGCTTTACCTCCTATTATGCGTGAAGATTGGGCTACACGATATGGTGAAATCATTAAACAAGGTGGCATCTTAATCTGCTTGATGTTTCCTATTGAAGAAAAGGAAGGTGGTCCTCCCTATGGTGTCAGTGAACAAGCGTAAGGAAAAAAAAAAGATGTTATATGTAGTAATCCTTACTTAGCTTTTTCTTTTTTTTAAAAAAAAAAAACATCATACCTTAGATATAAGGATGTTTTATCATCCAATTTTGACTTGGTATATCTGAAGGATGCTATTGGTCATGAATCTAGGATTGGTAGAGAAAAGATCAGTATTTGGAAAAGAAAGTAATTAGAAAGTAGATTAGTTATGAACATACTTTTTTGTACTTTTAAAACGTGCAATGAATGAATAAATTATATACTTTTTGTATTATTGTCTCAAACTATGTTGTACGTTAATAATGACGGGTGAAAATGGTTGATGACAAGTTTTATGATGTCGTGTTGATGAGGTTTGTCGAGTAAATCATCTTATGACAAAGAAAGCGTCTTGTAGCAATATAGATATGCGTATCCAATCATTTCTACTTTTGTATGTCATGTAAAAGGTATACAGGATGAATTTTTCATTTTTATTACTATAGTAGCATTTCACATATCATGTTATCTTTTGAGTATTACAGATAGTATGGAAGAGGATGAGGTAATAATGTACTTTTTTTCTTTTTATTAATGTATCTATACAAGGGAGATGTGCGGATATATCATTCTAAACTAATTGGTTGACTTTTTCTTGGATGGTTCTGGCGATACAAATGCGTCGACTTGATCTTGTTTTCGTTTTCCATTACTATATAAAAAAAAAAAAACGGTAAGTAAACAAGTAACTATTTCAAGCCCTTTTTGTTTCTATACCTTTTTGTAAATATCATTTCTGCTGTTAATGGGAAGGAGATACAATACATATCCTTCTTTGGCGCAACATTTCGAACCCAATGTAAATTGCTTTTTGAAGCATCATAAGGTGATACAATGACTTGTTCCACTCTCTAGATCGAAAAAAAAAGAATATATATACATGTTAGGATAAATCGTTGGTTCATCATACAATCACGAAAACACACACTCATATATATATATATATTCTCATTGAAGTTACCTTTGCAATATCTTGAGCAGGATCATCACTTCTTGTAAAACAATGACAATGGACAGTTGGAAGTTTGGGAGAAGGATCCAGAGAATCGTATAGTGCCTTTTGATCTTGATATAATCCACGGAAAGCATCCAAAAAGTCGATAGCAGTTTCCGGCAAATTCATCACAAAATGATCAAATGTTTTCCATTTACCTTCGTTTACTTTTGCTAAATCCTTCACTGCTTGTCGTATAAAATCACGGCCGTCCATATTGTATGTTTTCAGTCGACTTTCAGGGATCTAAATACCAAATGATACATAAAAGACAAAGGTGAGTAAGATCTCATCATCGATATTTTTTTTTGTTTTCTTTTTACCTTGTTGTGCGTCTTATTTTCTTTTAACCAACGGAAAGATTCAGGATTAAGATCATTTGCATATACAGTCACACCATTTTTAGCAGCAGGAACAGCAAATGGGCCTACACCAGCAAATACATCACCTATGGTTCAAGAATATTAGTACACACACACACTCATATCATATAGTTCGGTCCACTTACACACAAGTTCATCCTTTTTGAATGATTTGACCAAGCGATCATGTTCCGTGTGTAACCTTGAGTTCCAATAAACTTTGGAAAAGTCGAACTTGAAACGGCATCCACTTTCTTTCTATAAAAAGAGGAAGGTAGTCAGTACATGATGAAAGAGTATAAACCAATTTTTCTCCTTCTTTTCAAGTATTTACCACTTCAGCAATCATGTTAGAGTCACCAGCCAAGACTTCCATCTTGAAGAATCGGAACGTGGTATCGATACTGTTGATTTTATTGACTACACTGGTAATGTTTTTATTTTTCTATATGTAAAAAAGAAAAAAAAATCAATATAAAAGGATGATTTATACTTTTTCTTTTCTCAAACTTACATCCAAAAAGACTTGACCAATAAGATGCTTCCAAGGATACAATTCTTCACGAAGATTCATGTGAGCTAGAGAAAGAAATAATAGTAGTAATAAAAACGAATAGAGTTGATCAGATACAATCATCTTATTCTGATTTTTTTTTGTTGTACGTGCTATCAGATACAATCATCTTATTCTGATTTTTTTTTTGTACGTGCTATCTCTTACCAATATGACCAACTTGAGTATAAGCTGAAGGAATTTCTTTCACTGTATCAGGTATCACGGAATGTAAGATTTGTTCTATGGGATAAGGAATAATTAAATGTGAGCAGCTAGATTTTTTTTTTGTTTGCATGAAATTCAATTACCTGTTGTCCAATAAGAATAATCCAAATCAATATTATGAGTGACAACTTTGAGTTCCTCGTTATCGATGAATTTCTTGCTTTCTGAAGGGAGTTCATTTACATCTAGATCAGATTAAATGAAACAAAGAAATGAGTTTACCCATGTTATTAATATTGTATAATTTCGAACTTCAATTACCTTTCAAGTCGTCACGTAAAAGTAAAAGTCGTGTTTCATTGAATTCAGGGTCGCGTACAACACTAGGTAATCTAGGCAATCCAAGGATATCACTATAGGAATAGAAGAAGAAGAAAATAATAATAATAATAATAAAGAAAGGTATTAGTAAGTTGGGAAAGCATAGGAGTTATTTTACCTTCTTTTTTTTTCCTTTTTTTATGAATGAATCATTTACTTTGATAAAGTTTTTTGTACCAGTTTGATTTTCTTCAAGGGAACACGAAGGGCCAAAGTCTTGATAGAAGTTTTAAATGCTTCTCTATTCAAAACGGTCATACCATGATGAGCAGGTGGGGCAAGCATGGCGCAATAGTAGAAAAGAAGAAAGGGAAAAAGGTAAAACGGATGGAATTCGAATTTTTTGCCCTTCCGCATCGAAATTTTTTTAATTTTGCTAAGCATCTATAGTCACAAAGTCTATTTAAGCACCGTTAACGAAGAAAAAAAGCTTTTTCTACTTTTTCTTTACTTTGATTTCTATAGCAACAGGAATAAAAGGTAAACATCCTTTCGATTGAAGGAAAAAGACATGAAAAAGATATATAGACTTGTTGAAGATATGATGATTTTTAAAACACACTGAAAATCCTTAATTGCTACCGTTTAGCCATGGTGGTTACAGTTGCAGAAAAATTATACTCTGATGATTTGACAATGTTTATTATCTTTTTTTTTGATACTTTTTCTTTCAATCAAATGAACCGATGGAATAATATATATCTGACTCTATTCTTTTTTTTTTTTTTTTTGATCAATCATCAATAAAAAAAAATAGGCCGTTATGAAGAACCTCACTCTCTTTGTCAGTTTTTTGTTACTTATTGTCAGCGTATATGCTCAATATGATATCCACTGCTTAAAAGGAAAACAAGGTCCTGATAATGAACTAACCATTAGAGCATGCCAAACTCAAAGTGCAACCCCACACCAAGTTTGTTACACGTCCAATGGTGATGCCTGGTGTATGAGTTTGAAGAAATATGCTGTGGATGATATTAGACGGATTTATTGCAAGAACTTTAGAGTAAACTCTCACGCTGCACAATCACTTGTGGTACATGGTTGCAAAAAAGTATTGAATTAAAGTGCTACATCTATAGAATTTATTTTTATATCCAACAACAAACAAGAAATCAATCATCTTATTATATCTTAAAATAAACTCTGTTTTTTATATCCATCAAAAGAAAACTTTTTTTTTTTTTTTTTTTTTACGAGTAAATGACTCCGTGCAGGATTTTTTGTGATACCATCTCCAGTTGTGTGGCTTACCCTTCCCTGAGTTTTTTGGTCTGAGCTTTCTTTTTTTTTTTCTTTTTTTGGCATACAGGATCAAATGCGCCACCTTGTAATAAAGCTTTAAACTAACTATCGTGTGACATGATTGATGTATTGATATATTGATGAATGGATGGACATTTTTTATTTTCGATTTTTCAAGACATTTCAATCAATACTTTTTTTCCAAAATATCTTTTTAAAATTAAAAAAAATAAAAGTTAATATTATCATCCTTCATTCAATAATAATCATCATCCAACATAATTGACACCATTGGATTCCTCTCCGAAAATTAATTTAATACCATCTAATATTATTTTATCGCTTACATTACCACCTATCGTATAATGTTCACTAAAAGGATTTCATCGATTTTTCCAAAAATTGCCTGATGATCCCTCGACAATATTTTTTTACAGCCAAAATTTAGCTGAGGAGTTTGAAAATTTTGGCTGTAAAATCCAAAAATCCATCCCATTTTTTTTTTTCATAACTCTCTTTCCCATTGACTGCACTGCTGAAAAGTAACTACCTATTGTCAACTGATTGAGATTAAGGTATAATATGTATTACGATGGAATGATATGGGATGACGGATTGATGAAGGATAGTAGTAGATGATGATGATGATGATGATGATGATGACAATGGTTATCTTTCTTGTACTTAAATTATTTCATTTCAGATGACCTAATGCGTATCTTTTTTTTTTATTATTTCTCTTTCCTTGGATTGTTCCAAGGCTATCTAATACTTAATCACTGAATTCATGGCGTCTGTAGGAGTTCCAAATTACCATGAGGTATAAAAGTGAAGGTGTGATTTACGCCAACTAATTTCCCCCTTCTTTTTTATTTTTTATTTTTAATTTTTATTTTTTTTTTTCCTTTCTTCTTTTTCTATTTTCCTTTCTTTTAGAACTTGTTTTGCGATTAGATACTAGGATTCAACTACTACTAGTCACATTACATTTACAGCAGCTTATTTTACTTCATGATACCAATGACTCGACCTGTATCTTCCTCTTTATACCCATCTCGTCGACAATATAGGAATATCTCTTCATTGCAAAATGTCCAAGCAGAAAAAAATGAAACTTCTTCGGTAGCTATTCAAGAAGCTATATCCTGTACCCCTTTTTATAACAAGAAAAATACATGTTCTTCTTTCACCACCAAGCTGAATAGTATGTTACAGGTAAAAAGACAAAAAAAAAAAAGATAGTGAATAGATAACTGTCATGCTGCGGAGTCAAAAACAGAATAAGATAATGAAGAGAAACACGATGACTTTGGTTGTTGGCTTTCAACAAGAGGTCCGTGTGTAACAATGCGAAAAAGGGAGTGATGTAAACTATTTACTCATTTTATTCTTTATTTATAGAACTTTTATACAAAAACAGCGTTGATCATCATACAAGCAAGGCTAGTTACTTCAAGAACAGATAGACTCAACAAATGGGTAATATTCAAGATCATTGTGTAAACTCTTGTCGTTTAATTATTTTATATAGTTTTCATTGACAATGACAGATATATTATCTCTTCGAAATGAATTACGTTTTTGGCAATCAAGAGCTGTCTATCCATGTGAAAAGTGTCCTCCTGCTATGATCATTCATATTTATTTGGACACAACTCATCTTAGTTTGGAACAAATACAAAATATTATGAAGGATTATATGCATCATCACCGGTTCAATCGAGCATATGATAAAAAAAAGATTATTTTGGAATCTTGGACTCTAACTTGCAAGTAAGAAATATATGTATATATAAATGATTCTTATAGTCTTATTACTGATTTCGTATTATGTAGGCAGGCTGCATCATCTGATGATTCAACGACATTTGATTTACCTAGTTTATATAAACAATTCATTACCTACTTTCGTGCTCTGCATTCGCTTACTCGTCTTCTTCCTGGATGTTTACTCTTCCGACAATTACAAAAAGAAGGAACATTTGGTTTATGTTATAGATTAGGGACCGACATGAATTCATTTCTTCATGATGAATTGAACCCAGGTAATACTATCATTGAAATTAATTCATACTTGATTAACATGTTATATTGTAGACAGTGGATCTCTTCTGCGATCAGCAGTGTATGAATTCTCAGATATCGATACTCCAATAGGGTAAGTCGTAACGTAGTTCGATTATTATCATATTAGTTCTAAAAATTTTTATATGACACCTGTACCTTTTTTTTTTTTATCTGGTAGTACATTACAATTAAAAGTTCACTATCGAATCACAGATCGGATGAATGGTGATTACAGTATACTTGCAACCGAAAGGAAAGAAAATGTACGATCTTGTCGACAACGACAACCTATACTACCTAGATCACAGTCAAGTCCATTATTACAACATCAACGTAAGATACCTATTTTGGTAAGGAACCAAAAACAGAATGAAAGAATGTCATCTCATTTTGCTCTTTTTTTTTTTTTTTGCTATTCTTCACACTAGCATGACAATGATACCTGGGCGGTAACAAAAGATGAACAAGAATGGAATACAGTTTCGACATATGGACAGGATTCATCGACATGTTATCGACTTTCAAGAAAATCATCATCATCGTCATCATCATCATCAACATCGTCAAGGAAAGCATCAACGCTTTGCATCTCACCCTTCAAGTCTCCTTCACTTTCTTCAGCATCCACTTTAACTACATGTAAGTTATTCCATCCTTTTTTTCAAATGCATTGTATAATATGAACTCATTTTTTGTCTTGTGATAGCTACCATGTCCAACCATATTCCGATAGTTGAAAAATCAAAGTCATCTTCTATTACTGAAAGCAGCAAGACACCATCTGGCAGCTTTTTATCAAGTTTTCAAAAATGCAAGACAACCAAAAGCTACATGTCAAGACAAAACACAATAGATAGGCGAACACACAAAACTTCTTTGGAGAAAATGAATCAAATGGTAAACTCAGTATAATTCGGCTGGAATAGTTATTTCTCATTTCTCTATTTTTTTTTTTTTTTTTTTTTTTTTTTTTTTTTTTGGTAGCTGGACATGGATGATGAATTTGAAAAGTTTGTACGACTTATCAACACAAAGCACGAACTCAAGTTATGCCAGGGAAACAAGTCAATGGAGAATATACGATCCGATATGAAATGTTGCAATAACGATAGTGCAGTATGTGCTCATTATCAAGATCTTTCAACGCGCAATGATATGAGTGATTCTTTGACAATTGGAAATGATACATGTCAACGGTTCGAGGTAAGGATAAAAGGAATGATATTTGTTTCGACTGATTTTCTTCTTTTTCTATATATGCATTTATATATATATATATATATATGTTAGACTACCCTTGGACGTTTCCTTGCTCTTCGATGCGGACATAGTGACCTTGAAGAATCCATGACTAGCAATATCGCAACCACAACTAGTTTCTCCTCACCATCACATTCCATGTTTTCGACTACCACCACCACTACAACACCATCACTAGACCATACATCAGTATCTTCAACATTGGCTTTACCATCCGCCTCCAGCTTCAATACTATCACAACCAAAAATATCGATCATTTTATAGTAGATGATTCCCAACAGCAGAAACTACAACAGTCTTACCCTTCTCAACAAATGGATACTTTGGAAGAAGAACAAGAATTGGATGATGTTTGAAATAGGATAGATAGTTTAGTCTGTTTGATGCTTTATTACCAATATAAGATATGTCCAAAGTTTAAATTTGTAACAAGAAGGATGATTTGTTCATGTAGTACATGGGAGTCAATTAGGGATTCAACACGTGGTTTATTTGGAAAATAAAACTATGCTTTTTTTTTAATTTTGACAAAGATAGATTACCTTTCAGTCTTATATGATCATGATTGTTGTCAATTGTCCAATTCATTCTCTTTATCATTTTTTGAAATGCACAACATCACATGGCTGGGTTTCATCTATTGTTCTTTGGATAAGGGAAAATGGGTGGATTCAGGCACCACCTTTTTTTCCCATTGAATTGGGCATTTTCCACTATTTCAATATCCGACCCAAGCCACGGCTAATGCAATTTTCATTTTTTTTTTCTTGTCCTTTTTTTTTTCTCTTTTACTTTTTTTTTCTTCTTTCTACTGTTATTAAATCTACACCAGTTTGCTATACCTATCATCTGATTAATATACACAATAAAAAAAATGGGAAAACAACCAACAAGACGTCGAGGAAATAAACAAACCGTGAATCCACTCAAACGAGTGTCTGCTGGTATTCAACAAGCCATGGGTGAAGTGGAAGAAGATAAAGTATTACCTTTGATCGCCAAGGTAAGAAAATGATTTTGTTGAGAAAAAAAAAAAAGAGAACTTATCAATATTTATAATAAAAAAAAAATTAGTTAAATGCTCCTAATGCTGCTGATAGAGCTTGGTCTGCTTCCTGTATCTCCAACTTGGTCATGGCCAATGAATCTACTCGAAAACTCTTACTTACAAATCGTATTGTGGTATCATTGATCGAACGTCTTACTGATGACAATCAAGAAGTTATAGAAGAAGTACTTGGTACTCTTAGGTAAGTTGTATATATATATTAAAAAAAAGGATGGATGCAAAGATGTGTGATATCAAACTTAACACTCAACTCATTTTTTCGTATTTTTATGCAGAAATTTGGCATCAGTGGAACCTACTATAGTGAAAGAATATTATAATCGTGATATATTGACTCCTTTGGCTGCATTACTCCCTCGAATTTCACATACTCTTGATCTTGTTTTGAAGAATGCTCCTTTGGAAGATGACACTGATAAGGAACGACGCCAAACTATTTGGGATTTCGCAGAAAACTTTATTTATATCATTTGGACCATTAGGTAAAGAAATATAACAAAAAAAAAAAACAAGAGAAGACTGAATATACTTATTTTTTTTTTTATATTGATACCTATAGTGAAACATCCGACCATTATCTCAAGGCCATCAATCGATTGAATTTGATCAACTTTTTCATCTCCTTTTTATCTGCTGCCGATCAATGTCCTACTCGTGTAGTGGTTGCTGCTGGTAATGCTTATACTTCTTTTATATATATATATATATTAAAACAGTATGGCTCATTTTTCTTATTTGATATAGGCCAATGTTTGACAACTCTGACCGAAGACAACAAAGATATTTATATCGAATTCCAAAATCATCCTGAATATATTAATATGCTTTTTGATATCCTCAATAATAGTAATTCTCCTGATAAGGTTCTCGTTAGCGTGTTGGCATGTGGTAAAGTCTAAATACATATATATATATACCATATCATGGTACTAATGGATTGATTATTTTTTTTTTGATATAGCTATTTTGATGAATGTCAAGGAAGTGGTACAATTGTCAGGTTCTTGGGATGATGATCGTGACGCATTAGGAGAATTGAACAAAAAGATCATTCCTATTTTGGTGGCATCACTTGACTACGACATTCAAGCGGCAGCGGAAAAATCAGTGGCAGCAGTACAAAGCGGCAATGTGACGAAACATGAAGAAACTGGAGAAATCACACCAAAACCAAAACAACCATTAGTAGAAGAAGAACGATACATTCAAAGTGTGGAGGATCGATTGTCAACATTACAACTCTCTTTGGAACTTTTGGCGGACATTTGTTTACAAGGTGAAGATTCAGAAGAAGATGGATGGGCCGATGAAGACGATGAAGACATGGGAGATGAAAATTTGGCGGATAATATCAATGAAGATAATATTGATGATTATTTACAAGATGCAGCAGCCTTGAACGACAACACAAATGGCAATACGGAGTTATTAAACAGTAATCCCGTGATGCACGCATTCACCTATCAAATCTTTCCTCAACTTATTCGTCTTGCCACACCTACACCAACTTTATCTTTCCCTGCTGATCCTACATTCTGCCCTACAGTGACCCTTGGATTAAGTTTGACTCATCAACGCTCTTTGGAATGTATCAATAACTTTTTATTGGCAATGAATGATGTGCCCTCTAAAATTTGGTTCAAGGAACATGTATCGGATGCACAACAAGCTTGGCAATGGCTTTTCCAAACTGCTCATCAAATTGGTTCTTGTACTGCTTCGGAATCACGGGATAGTATTCTTGAAGTGATGGTGGGTTGCTTATGGTCTTTAGGACGTGGACTTGGTCAAAATATTCCTTTAGGATCTACTGATGTTGCTACTCTTTGTGGAGCATATCAAAGTGCAAATCGAGATTCATCTATGCGTGTCAAGGTAATAGGATGTTTGGGTCCTATTGCTGCCAAACAAGGTGACATTGAAACTAATAAGGTAAGCGATAAGGAAATCTGTCATTTACTAGTTTAGTCATAGAAAACAGGGTGTATAAAAAAAAAAAGGGAAAAAAAAAGTTTATTAGCTAATATGACCCGTTTTTTTTTTGTTATATATAGATGATTGGACAGTTTATTATGGATATTTTATGTGATTCCAATGGTAACCCTGAAGTTAAGATAGAAGCCTTGAACTTTTTGTACGACGTTTATAGTGATTGTGAATTTGATTATGATGAACCTGTATTTGTACATGGTGGTTACTTGAATCAATTAAAACAATTGGTACCTTCTATTCGTTCTATGGTAAGTTGGAAAATATTTGATTCATATATGATATATTGGAATGAAAACATACAAAAAAAAAAAGGGAAATCGAATATTTGTGATACTTGTTATCTTACTTTTTTTGTGTTTGTACAACCTTATACTTGTTCTTCTTTTTATCTTTTAGGTAAAATCAATAGACCGACGAAAACAATTTGATTTACGATCCAGAGCTGATGAAGCATTAACGAATTTGGTTGCATTTATCAAATACAAGACTACAGAACGACGATGAATCAATACATCATTATATTTATAAGTTTTATTTTAGTATTGATAGTAGTAATAGTAGTAGTGATTTATAGACATTCATCAATAAAGGAAAATATTATATAACAAAACCAATATCTATCATGTTTTTCAACAGGTGATCCACTCCATTAACGGATTATATGTACTACCTTCACTTTGGATTACAAAATTTCCCATGAAGCCAAGTTGTCTCAAGTAAGCAACCAGTAAAAAACACCGTTTTCCCTTTCCTTTTCCTGGTTTTAAACTTTTTTTTGGTGGGAATATGAATATGGCGCACCCTGATATTTTATTTTATTTATTTTTTTTTAAAAAAAGGACCCTTTTGAATACTCAAATAACCAAAAAGAAAGAAAAAAAAAGAAAAAAAAAAAACTTTGTCGAGCGGAGAGTATATATAAAATAAAGAAATCATTTCTTTTTTTTTTTTCTCACTCTTTCTTTTCTCTTTTTTTCTCTACAATAGTAACTTTCTTTTTTTTTTCTCTCTGTTACTATGGGGATCAGTTTACCTTTCCGTTACAATAGTCCAACGTTCCAAGTCTTTTTGGTCGGTTTTATCTGTTTCTGTTGTCCTGGTAATGTCATTCACATAAAACAATAAAAAAAAAAAGAGAAATTATGCAGAAGTTACTGTTTTCTTTATTAACGTTCCTTTTTTTTTTTTTTTTTTTTTTTTTTAGGTATGTATAATGCCTTGACTGGTATGGGTGGTGGGGGCAAGTCAAGCACAGAAGCAGTGAACAATGCAAATACAGCATTATCTATTACTTTTACTGTTTGTTCTTTACTTGGTGCTCCTGTTTATAATATTTTTGGTCATCGTGTAATCATTCCTGCTGCTCTTACTTATGTTCTTTTTGTTGGTTCTTTCTTAAGTGATAGTGATGGTTTCACTATTGCTGCTGGTGCTATTCTTGGTATTGGTGCTGGTTTCTTATGGACTGCTCAAGCTGGTATCATGATGTCTTATCCTAATGAAAATGAAAAGGGTAAAGCTTTTTCTATTTTCTGGATGGTGTTTAATTTGTAAGTACATATAATATATATAATTGACATTATATTTATCTATCTCCTCTTTTTTTTTTTTTTTTTTTAATAATAGAGGTGCTGCTATTGGTGCTGCTATTCCTTTAGCCAACAATTGGAGTAACACGACAAGTAACGTCAATATTGGTACTTATATTGGTTTTATGGTCTTGATGACTTTTGGTGCAGCTTTAGCATTGGGACTTTCACCTCCTAGTAAGGTGGTACGTAATGATGGTACTCATGTATCTTTACACAAATTCTCCAATTGGAAACGTGAATCTTTGGAAGTGATCAAATTATTCATGAACTGGCGTATGTTGATATTAATCCCTCTGTTTGCTGGTTCCAATTGGTTTTATACTTATCAATTTCAAGTGTACAACGGTGGTGGTTACTTCAATTTACGTGCTCGAGGTCTTAATAATATGATGTACTGGTTATTCCAAATCATCGGTGCTGGCTTCTTTGGTTGGTTACTTGATTTGAAAGGTTTGGGCACCCGACGACGACGTGCTCTTATTGGTAACACCGTTGTCTTGATTACCGCCATTGCTCTTTGGATCGGTTGTATCTTTATTCAAAAGAATTTCACTTATGAATCTGCTCAAAGCACTCCTGATTCTCAAAAGACAGATGTATATAGTCCTGGTTATGCTGGTATGTTGATAGAATATGCTCTATTTGGTTTCATGGATTCTATCTATCAAGGATTCGCCTATTGGCTCATGGGAACAATGACAAACGATACCGAACGTGCTGCTCGTTATGGTGGTTTTTACAAGACGATTCAAAATGCCTTTGTCGCCATCGCAGCTCAAGTCGATGTTATTCATACTCCTTATATGACTCAACTTATCGTTGTCTTCGTCCTCAATGTGGTTGGTATTTTGCTTGCCTATGTTGTATGCTTCACCGTACCTGATGTTACCATTGAAGAAATCGATAATTTGCAAACTGGTGGAAAGGAAATAACTGTGGGTGGTCATATCGAAACTGTGGAAGATGGAAAAAGGGAAATAATTGGTGCTGGTGAAAAGTTTGAAACTGTGCAGTGATGATCCCCCTTTTTTTTTTGGGCAAGATGATTGGAATTTGATTCACTTGTAGATGGATATTAAGGATGTTAGGCTAGTTCCTCATATCTTTTTTTTTTTTTTTTTTATCATTAGTACTATCTATTCCTTCTCTTTTCCTTTCCTTTCCTTTTATTTTATCTTTATTACTCTTTTAGTTTATTATTTCCCATGCACTATTCTTGTATTCCTTCTTTTTTTTATTATTTCTATATTATTTCTTTACTTCCTTTGACTCTGTTCTCCATCTAGTTAGTTGTATTCCCCTTTTTATTTTATTTTATATTGGTGCAATCTTACTTTTTTAATCTTGAAGTTTGAAATAAAACATTACATGACAAAAAAAAATAATCATCTATCCCTTGTTCATTTGTACTACCGAAAATCATCCTTTGTGTTCACTGTACGACGTTTTTATTTATTTATTTATTATATTGTAATCGTATTTGATTGTAACTACTTGGGTGACTTTACAAGGAGGGGGAGTGTCTGTGTAAGGATGTAGAAGTTCAAAATGAGATAAAAGATGCGCGCGGAATAAGAGGAAATGGTGCAACATGTAAAATATATATATATATATATATTGTGTCATCTATTCTATACAGACTTGTCAGCAATCGGATTTGCATGAATGGTCACATTTCGGATACGTAATTCTTGAATAGGTCGATGTTTTTCATCCACAGGCACTTTTTCAATAGCATCCAATGTAGTATCAGCACCATCAATCACCCTAAAAAAAAAAATAGTAAGATCAGATCATTTTATCTTCATCATCCTCCAATCTAGTTTATAATAACTTACTTTCCAAATACAGTGTATTTTGTATCAAGATGAGGTTGTTTTCCATAAGTGATAAAGAACTGAGATCCATTAGTATTGGGTCCAGAATTGGCCATAGAAACAATACCTCTTGCATTATGCTAAACATTTTTCACAATTGTATTAACTATTGTTTCTCTAATAATGACATCTTTTCATTTGATATCCCTTTACTTACTTTTAAAGTTGATCGAATTTCATCATTAAATTTACGTCCCCAAATAGAATTACCACCTTTCCCTGTTCCTGTTGGATCCCCAGTTTGTAACATGAAACCTTTGATATTTCGATGCATTAGATTATTGTTATAATATCCACTTGCACAGAGGGCGAGAAAGTTCTATATTGTTGATATATAAATCCACCATCAAAAAAAATACTATTAATTTTAGAATCTAAAACGTATTCATGCCAATCCTTATCCTTACTATTATTGTTTATTTTACCTCTGCAGTATTTGGCACAGCTTCACAGAACACTTCTATTTTGAGATCACCTAGATCAGTATGTAAAGTCACAGACTAAATAAAATAAAACAATATTAGTTCACATGGTTTTTCATTATATAGAGCCTTTTTACCATTTTATCTATATAAAAAAAAAGAAAAGAAAAAAAGGGATAATATACAGAATGGATATAGAGAATGATTCAAGAGTAAAAAGAGACAAAAAAAAAACGTTTTGTTTGTCATTCGAATTTAAACCACCGCGTCTTCTTGTTTCAATCTGCGTGATATTTTTTTCTTTTTTTTTTCTTTTCTTCTTCTTCTTTTACCCACATTATTTTATTATCCAATCATTCTTTACTAGTTATCTGTTGAAACTCTCTGGTAATGAATAAATATACAAAAAAAAAAACACTTATTATAATAATATAACACGATATTTATTTATTTGCTCTTCATTTAGACGCGTCAGTGGTATTCCCTCTTTTGGTGTTCTTTGGGAAGAAGCACATATTCTCCTTTCATTCTCTACTCGGTAACCCTTACTTCAAAATAACGCGTCTCTTCTTTCTGATAGCAAGAATTGCTAGCATCCCGCGTAAAACCAGCAAGTCAACGCCACCTATATGACTTTGTAAACGAAAATAAATAAAAATTCTTATACTTCATTTTTACTTATTGAAATGCTATTATTTAGATTTATATTCTTGTTGTCAACTTCAAGATAATATTGATATGTAATGGGTATACCAATAATTTGATGATGGCGTCATAGGCTTACTGTGAATTCAGTTCTATCAAGTTTTTCTTTGGTCATTGAAAAATATCTTCACCAAGTTGGTAACAAGTAAGAAAAGAAAAAGAAAAAAAGTCAAGAGGAGTAAACACACCTTAACTTTTTTTTTCTTTCTGCTTTTAGCACAAGAATGCATGATCATATTTATGATAATATAAGATCATACTGTTAATCGCTTTTGGTGCTGCCCATGGACCAACACCCTTCCTTCTTCTTTGCTTTGGTGACAAATGATGATTCCTTAGTGATTCCTGTATCTCTGGGACTCCTTACGTTTCTTCCTCCATCGACATCCATTCTTGTCCTCGCCATCAATAGTCCTTTCGTTACTCATTTCTATCGATCTCTCACTCTCTTCATGTACATATGATCCCCTTTTTCTATATGTCCCGTCGGCTTGAAAACAGCATCATATGATATATATTTTTACTTTATTATACCATTCTCAAAGATTCCTATCAACTTCTCTCTACGCGCCATCCATCGCCTTCAGCTTCTCATCAAGTATGGATGTGCAGAAAATGCGAAATGAAATTATCCTCAATATTCAATTCAAAAATGTTTCTACTGGAATCCATTCGCATAGTCGATCGCCTTATCACAATATACATTACAAACATAGGAAACATGTACTATGGAGACCTCGCATCGCACCTTTTTGGCCAAAGCTATTGATTATTGGGGAGCACCATCAAATGATTACAAGTGTATATTGGTAGCACTTGATACAATTTACAGGATATGTCAAGAATTGATTGTCATATCGTCCGGTCGCCTTGGAACCCTCATGTGTGATCTTCCATGGAAATAGCCCATCGTAAGTAAAAAGTCAAAAATGAAAGAGAACATGAATTGATTTGTATTATATATATATATATATATATATATATATATATTTGCTAACCCTTTTTTTTTTTTTTTTTTTTTGAACATTTGGATAAAATCAGTATATGGTGAGACTACCAGTAACGTTCACCTCTTTGTGTAGTTGTGCTTTTCTTCACTTTAGAGATCATTTGGCGGCATGTACATTCTTCAACAGATACAAAACATCGGGTTCCTATCTCTTTATAGCAACAGATGTCGATGATGGCGGTAAGTATACGTCTATATATATATATATATATATGGAATAAAAGAAAAAAGAGAGAACTTATCATCTGCTCATTTTAGGGATTCATTAGCCATACCATCAAGAATTACATGGATATGTAAGTCATTCATGTCTGGATATCTTTTTATTAGTTTTGTCTCTTATATTTTTAACTCAATAACATCTTTTATCTTTAGGTGGTTTAACAATTTATTTTAAAGTCTCATTCAAATTGGTGGTCTATGCTTCCGTTTTTCTGGTTGTTAGGGACCTTTCTGGACTGCATTTACCTTTTACATTTTATTTAGTCTTTTTAGTTTATCTTGACGGATATTTATTTTATACTTTTGTCTTTATTATTGTCACGTTTTATTTTTTTTTTTTATATTTTTGAGACAAATTACGTTACGAAGCTCACTTACAATCAGATACGAAATAAAGAAAAAAACAATGATTTTTTATCTCCATTTCACTTTTTTTTTTCTGTAGATATGCAATCAGACAACTAAAGGATTCCAAATCAACAAAGAGTATGTATTGATCTTCATGTATTCTTATTTAAATGTTTATACAATAAGACGCATTGGATGTTAAATACAGATCAACATTTGTTTCCTTTTTTAAGTACACATTTTGTATATGTTGATTTCAAAAAAGAAGAGAAGAGAAAAAAAACAACTTTGCATGATTTTGTATATGTAATTTGGATGGTCAATGTGCTCTAATGTTTTTTTTTTTTTTATATTACAGTGATGAACGTTTTTAAGGATATGAGACGTGAGATCAAAAATGAAATCAAAAAAAAAAAAACTAACAATAATGTGTAACGATGATCTTTATAAGATAAAGACGATAAGTAGAATTTCTATTATCCGATATGATTAATCATCAAGGGATGCTAAAAATATTTGTATAGAAGATTGAACGTATAGAGAAAAATGGGATTATTCCGAGGAAGAACTCAAAAACTTTGAAAAGGGTATAAAAGGGGGAAGATACCAATTTCTAAATTAGGATTCCTCGGAAAAAGCAGTATTGAGGCCCTTCATTCTCTCCTCTTCACTCTTTCCGCGGATGGCCAAATCAAAAAAAAAAAAAAAAAAAATCGCTGCTTATAAAAAAGCGAGAAAAAGTGGTTGAATTTTTTTTTTTAATTTCATTCTTTTTCTTTTGTTTCTATTCAAATCTTCTCTTTTTCTTTATCATGTGTGGTATCTTCGGGTAAGTGTCTATATATAAATATATTTAAACTTGACTTATTGTATTTACATTGTCTTCAATAGTTATTGTAACTTTCTCGTTGAACGCGATCGTCGGTTTATTTTGAATACTCTATTGAATGGTCTTTCAAGATTAGAATATCGTGGTTATGATTCTGCTGGTATTATAATAATAAATAAGTGACATTCAAAACCAAAAACTCATTCTTTTTTTTTATTTTTATTATTTTAGGAATGTCGGTAGATGGTGATAATGGTATTCAGATTTACAAAGAAGTTGGCAAGGTTTCTGCTCTTCGTGAACTTGTTGAAAGTCAATCTATTGATTTTGATAAAACCTTCATTAGTCATTCTGGCATGGTAATATATATAAAATATAGAAATAAAGAAAAAAAAATTTTATTTTATTTTTAAATCTATATAGGCACATACCCGTTGGGCTACTCATGGTAAACCTTCTCGTATCAATTCTCATCCTCATCGTTCTGGTATCGATAATGAATTTACAATTATTCATAATGGCATCATTACCAATTACAAGGAAATCAAGACCTTTTTACTCAAGAAAGATATCGTGTTTGAAACTGAAACTGATACTGAAGTCGTGATTAAACTCACAAAGTACTTGTATGATAGTCAAAAAGATATTAGTTTTACTGATCTTGTCAAGGCAGTGGTGAAAGAAGTGGTAAATATATAAAATAAAAAAAAATAAAAAAAAAAATAAAACAATGAATAATAAAATGGGAATATCTAATATATAAATATTAAAAATATAGGAAGGTGGATTCTCTTTTATCTTTAAAAGTTCTCGTTATCCAGATGAACTTGTGGCTACTCGTCGTGGATCTCCTTTATTGATTGGTGTCAAGACTTCTCAAAAATTAAAAGTGGATTTTGTTGATGTTGAATTTAGTGAAGGAGCTGAAAGAGGTAAATTACTTATTCATCATCATTTATACAATATTAAATTATTTTTATTTTTCATAGCTACTTTAAATGATCCAACTGGAACTGGGTTTGTTGATGTTGCTTCTGGAACTACTGGTGCTCCTCATTTGAATCGTAGTATGTCTCGTGCCTTTTTAAGCGAAGATGGTTCTCCTCAACCTATTGAATATTTCCTTGCTTCTGATGCCTCTGCTATTGTGGAACATACCAAACGTGTATTGTATTTGGAAGATGATGATATTGCTCATATTGGTGCTGGTGGTATGTTTTCTTTTTTTTTTTTAAAAAAAAAGAAGAAAAACTGAAATGATTAATCGTTTTCTTTTTTTTTTTTTTTTTTTTTTATGTCTATTCATCATTGTAGAATTACATATTCATCGATTACGTCGTGAAAATGACAATTCACCTATTAGTCGTACTATTGAAACATTGGAAATTGAATTGGCAGAAATCATGAAAGGCTCATTTGATCATTTTATGCAAAAAGAAATCTATGAACAACCTGAATCTGTAGTCAATACTATGCGTGGTCGTGTCAACTTTGAAGATCACAAGATTACTCTTGGTGGCCTCCGTGGTTATTTATCTACTATTCGTCGTGCTCGTCGTATTGTGTTTATTGCTTGTGGTACTTCTTATCATAGTTGTCTTGCCGTAAGTTTATTCATTGATACTATATATATATATATATATATATATTTTAACTGATGGCAATATCATTTATTAGACAAGGGCTGTTTTTGAAGAATTGACGGAAATCCCAACGCAAATTGAATTAGCTTCTGACTTTTTGGACCGACGATCCCCTATTTTCCGTGATGATGTATGTGTGTTTGTATCTCAATCCGGTGAAACTGCTGATACCATTTTGGCCATGCGTTACTGTTTGGAACGTGGTGCTTTGGCGGTGGGTATTACGAATACTGTTGGTTCCTCTATTTCCCGTGAAACTCATTGTGGTGTTCATATTAATGCTGGGCCTGAAATCGGTGTGGCTAGTACCAAGGCTTATACTTCTCAATATATTGCTCTTGTCATGATGGCTCTTCAACTTTCGGAAGATAAATTGTCCACCGAGAATCGTCGTAAAGAGATCATTGATGGATTATATCTTTTACCTGGTCATATCAAGGAAGTGCTCGCAACTGCTGGTGATTTACAACAACTTTCCAAAGATACTCTATCCAAGGAAAAGAGTCTTTTGATCATGGGTCGTGGATATCAAAATGCTACTTGTTTGGAGGGTGCTCTGAAAATCAAGGAAATCTCTTATATGCACAGTGAAGGTATTTTGGCTGGTGAACTTAAACATGGTCCTTTGGCATTGGTGGATGAAAACATGCCTGTGATTTTGATCATGACTCAAGATTCATTATATCCTGTAAGTTGATCTCCTCTTTTTTTTTTTTTTTTCTGTGCTAATGTTTTACTTATTTTTTTTTTAATAGAAAGTACAAAGTGCTTTGCAACAAGTGTCAGCACGTAAAGGCCAACCCATTATCATTTGCAATACGGGTGATGATAATTTGATCAATGATTACAGAACCATCAAGGTCCCCAAAACAGCTGATTGTCTTCAAGGTTTGATCAATGTCGTTCCTTTACAACTTTTATCTTATTATCTTGCAGTATTGAATGGTCAAGATGTGGATTTCCCAAGAAATTTGGCCAAAAGGTATATATATATATATATATATATATATATATATAATATTGACAACATTTCACTCACTTTTTTTTTTCTTTCTCTGATGTTTATAGTGTTACTGTGGAATGATTAATATCCACCCAACATTCCCCTTTTATCTATATCAAGATGATACTAGTATTAGTTATTATTATGTCTCAATAAATTTTTTTTTTTTTTTTTTTTTTGGGTCTGCATTGGATTTGCCTTGCTATTTCAAACACAGACATGTGACTTTTTCTCTCCCCCTTCCTTTCGCTGTCTTACCTTTTTGTATGCTCCCATAGAAAAAAATAAACGCCTTCTTTTTTTTTCTTCCTTAATTCACATTCTATCAACATTATGGATTTCTCTCGTTTCAACCAAGCTGAACAAACTCAAATCGCTGCTATGATTGAACATAAGCAGGTATGATAATATCCAGGAGCAATTTACTGAAAGAACGAACCATTCATTATTAATTTGTTTTTTTTTGGATAGATGAAAGACTTTTTACGTCTTTATAGTAGTTTGGTTCAACGTTGTTTCGATGATTGTGCCAATGACTTTACCACCAAATCCATCACTGGCAAAGAAGTAAGTCCAATTAACAATAAATCAAAGAACATTATTAATGAATATCTTTTGATCTTTTAGGAAGCTTGTGTGAACAAATGCGCAGATAAATTCTTGAAGCATTCTGAACGTGTTGGTACTCGTTTTGCTGAACTTAGTCAACAAGTAAGCAATACTTTTTTTTTTTATTCATGATTTTTTGATATTGACATTTTTTTTTTCACTTTTGTTTTGTTAGATGACTCCTCCTGGTCAATAGATTAGATGATTTCTTCACCCTTCTTTTTATATATATATAAATTTTGTATCATATATCATCCGCTCTCTCTCTTTTTTTTTTTTTTTGTAAAGGACCTATCTCTGAATATATATAAACAAGTCTTTTTTTAGATCAAGCATACATAGTAGATAGTATCTTTTTTTTTGTAGACACATACATTAATAAAAAAAAAAAAAACTTTTGACATACAGGAATTTTATTATATCATTGATGTTGATGAAGGTAAAAAAAAAAAAAAAAAAAAAAAAAGATTATTACTATAAACAAATGAAGACAAGGGCGATACTAAAATAATAATAATAATAAAAGGACCTAACTATGATAAAGGAATGCTGATATGGATGATGATCTTAAAAAAAGAAGAGGGTATATGTGTCAACGCACCAGGCGAAGAGGAAATCTTTGGGTAGTTTCACCGAACTTCCTGTTGCCGATGTTGTTGTTGGTTTAATAGGTTTGGCATATGACATGTTGGTGATGTTGGTGTAATAGGTAATTCTAATATAACATATAAAAAAAACACTTAGTGTATCAAAGATATACTATATATAATATATATTACCTGGTTCTTGTTTCAATGGTTCATCAGGAGAAGGTGAAAGTAACCGACGACAAGTGGGACATGTTGGTTTTGATACATGATGTTGAATCCATGAATGTAAACAATGTCTATCGATTTTGGGAAGATTTAATAACAAAGCATTTAACTATATTTTTTACTTACAAATGAAAAAGATGTCCACAGGAAAGTTTCTTGGCTGTTTTCAATTCATCCCGACAAATCGCACAATCATCATCGTAAGCATCCAATTCTTCACTAGTAGCGTCCACATATTGGCTTCGTACATAAGACATGGCTCTCCATCTTTCACGATGAATCACTACTTTACTATGTAGATTCTTCAACACACTACGTACATTGAGGAATAAAACGATATCCACTAATCCGAATGAGATTCCATGCATCCACTTTTTTGGTAATCACAAAAAAAAAAAAAAAAGGTCAGTTATTTTTTCTTTCTTTCCACTATTTTCTAATTGATTTACCATCAGTTGTAAATATTGAAGTAAAGTACATCCAAGAATCAAGACATCAGCACTGATCTCCGCATAGTAATTGATCAATCGTTTATTTTCAAATCCATTTTCTCTAGATTGATCCAAAAGATGAGCCAAATATTTTGTAATGACTTGAGTAGTATCCAAAGCAACAGGAAGAAACTAATCAAAAAATTAAGTAAGTATCCATTCATTCATCTTTTTAGATTTTTTTTTTTTGTTTACCTCCAATGTCAAAAAAGTTAACGAGTTGGGAAACAATATCATACTTCCAATATACCAAATAATGTTTGACACAAAGATACCACATAATAATCCAGTGATCTTACGATATGCATTTGGAGGAGCATAAGCAACCGTGGCCAACTATACATATAAAAAAAAATTAGAGAATGAACAATTTTAATAAAAGAGACTTACATTTTCAAATCGATCTCGACTAAGTAAACTAAAAATACGAAGGAAGCCAAGGACACCAATCCACATAGATAGACGTAAGATTTGCCGCCATACTGGATCCATCACAGCACCGATGAAAATAACCTTGAATAATAGAAAATTGAGCATTCGATCATACATATGCTATATAAATAAATAAAGGTTCAATATCATACAAAAAATAATAATCTTCTTTTTTTTTTATACCTGACTTTCCATTAACCAAAGTTCACCAAATACTGATTTGATAATGGCTCTACCCAACAAAATCGAACAACAAATAGGCATGTTCACGTGGAACTATGTAGCCAAAACCCGGATCATTTATCAAAAGAATTGGGTCATCACAAGGGGAGAAATTCACGCCAAAAAAAAAAAAGCAGGATTTTTTTTTTCCAGGGAGGAAGTATACAACAACAACAACAAATAAGCATGGACAAAAAACAATACATAGATAAAGAAAACAAGTTAGTATGGTTGACTTGGCTCTTTTTTTTTTTTTTTTTAAAAAAAAAAAATACATACCAATAAACTCATTTTTTGAGATTCTACAAAGGTGATGAATGCACCGATATAAGAGTTACAAGATACAAGAGATGAAGGTTGACGATAATAATAACCAAAAAGTGAGTCGGGACCCATCCAACGTACATGTTCAAACCCATCCAGATCCGCAGTATAACAATCAGAAACAGACTTGATCAAATCCGATTTCAAAAAGGACCGTAGAGTAAATACAAAAGTTAAAGTGAACATAAACAAGGAGGAGAAGACATAGGTCGGAACATCGCATCGCATATTGTTAGGATTGTTGTTAATAAAAAGGTATGTAATGGGTTTGACTGATTATGACTTTTTCCGCTATAAAAGAATAACAGTAAAAAAAAAAAAAAAAACAAAAAAAACAACAAAACGATATAAATATATTAATTGTATATGTATCAATTGATTTATTTACAGAAGGGAGAGGGGTAAGAAAAAAAAAAAAAAAAAGAAAAGAGGAAGAAGAGGAAGGGGGGGGGGGACAAACAAAGACAAGTGGGGAAAAAAAAAAGATGAGTGAGAAGATTTTCTATGGAGGATATATTCAAACCCAGAAGTCATTTCATCAGCAGGCATACAAGTTCATAGGAGATCATTGGATCAAACTTGCTTTTTTTCTTGATTTCATCTGTATAGATCTATCCAATCCAGTCTTGCGTCTATTCCATCGACCTTTCTTTCTTATAGAATAATTCAAAGATCCATTTGTTGTCCCATTTTGACTTGATGATTTATAAGTTTTATCCCCAATTGATTCTATATCTTCAAATTCATCATCATCGTCATTGTGCATCGATATATCACCATCCTTTTGGATGGATCGTAACATTTGTTGAGCTTTTGAAAATACAGGATCCAATGAACTAGGAGAGCTGAATTGTTTCAGATCGGAAGTACGTTGTCGTCGTCCTGTCTTGAGTAATGTGTTTCGTCGTTTCGATTTGCTTTCTAGACCACCGCATCGAAGTTCTTTCATCAATTGATCCATAATTTCTTGTTCATTATCTTGTTCTCCAGAATCTAAAAAAGAAAAAAAGAAAAAGAAATTGAAATGTTAATATTGCTTCTCTTTTTTTTTTTTTTTTTGTGCTTGCTAACTTACATTTGCTGATATCTACACCTTTAGAAGGATACGATTTCGTACTCGAATGTTTTTGTTGCTGTTGCTGTTGTTGTTGTTGTCGATACCGTCGTTCCGCTTCTCGTAGTCGTTGTGCTTCTTGTCGTTCTCTTTTCTGTCTGATCAACTGACTCTCTTGAGAGCATTTCTACCATAGATAAAATAAATAAGTAACCTCTTCTATTTATGTTGTAGTTCTTTTGACATACTTCCCAACTAGTAACAAATGTGTTGAATATACCAAAGAATTCATCAGGAGCCACTTTGTTAGGATCTTCACCAAAATAACGTGCTACCTCTTCATAATTGGACAGCATGTTTCTCTGTAGTTCTTCCAATTGGGTATAGAGTACTTTCGCTTCTTGACAGAATGCTGTCATTACTGATACAAATGTATCTTCTTTGCTGTCTTTGTTGCTGGACCAATGGTCGTTTTTGAGTTCGTCTTCCAACTTTGAAAGGCCTTTAGACATTTCTTGAAATTCCATATTCACTTCAGTCAATGACACTATAAAATAATAACGGTTAGCATTGAAACTAACATTCACTATTTTTTTTTAAATTTAATTTACCCTTGCACGCTTCTTTGCATTCATCCAGCTCATCCACAAAATGATCAATACCAGGAAAGTTCTTTTCCACCGTTTCCGCCAAAAAGTGTAATAAAGTAGTTGAATTAGAGGTACCTTTTGTATCTACAAGCTATATAAAACCATATCATCAGATCAAAACAAAAAAAAATATAATTTTTTTGTGGTATAAATTGGTGATTACCTTGTTGATGCTGCCAATACGAACTCCAAACGCTCCTCCACGATAAGTGTTGCCATTCAGAAAATTGCCAAGTAACAAAATCAGCTAAGTTTCCATATAGAGAACCACATGTCAGTATACTAACAATAAGTCGAAAATGAGATCTTACCTGGAGTAGTTCCTTAAAACTATTAGCTTCATACAAGGACATGGACGCTTTCATAACAATCGTCATTTGATGTGAAAGTCGATGGTATTTATCGGAATAGGAAGCTTTGAAAAGCATACATTCTAATCGTTCTTTGAATCTTGGAATTTGTATCATCTAATAATATAAATCAAAACTAAGTAAAATGATTTTTTTTTTTTTTTTTTTTGGGTTACCTGTAGACAGAATTGATCCGGTGGAGAAAGAGCTTTGATTTTTTCAGTTGGAGACTTGATATATGGCGTCAATTTGGTAATTTCATCCTTTGTAGGTGCAAATTTCAACAAAGTTGATAGTAATTGCTCATCGTTGAGATCTTGATCCATGCCAAATATTCGATCTTGGAATTGTTCTAATGGTAATCGCTTACTGAAACTAGTCATAAAGATATCTATAAAAATAGAAAGAAAGAAAGAAAAAAAAAAGGATGAGAATAAAAATAAACATATTATATAAAAATAAAGTCATCAATACATATAAATACTTACTGAGCGTATATGCCTTTTTGGAATCAATCATATGTATTTGTTCTTTCTTTCGTGGTGCCTTGATTTCTACAGCAGGCTTTTGAGCAAACGTTTTTTCAATATCATCAAATACACCGGCCTTGGCAAGTTGATATTCCAGACTATTCTCAAATGATTTTGTTGCCGTTGCTACTGTATTTCCTGCTGATGTTGTTTCCTGGTCATTTTTCATGGTATCTTCCGTTGGTAAAGTAATGTTTGATGATATACGAGTAGATACTGCAGGTTTGTCAAGATGACTCCATACTGTATGTCCAATGTTCATCAAATTCATCTTTTCCCATTCCACAAACTTGAGTTTTTGTTTCGCTTGATACGTACTTGATTTCCGATTAGTATTTCCAATTGCACCAATTGGTCGATTATCATTGGCTGTTAGAGGCGGAGGTGGAGGAGCAGCAGGACCATTGCTGTTCAAAGATGGCGGTAGAGGCGGAGGAGGAGGAGGAGCACCGTTCACAGGAGGAGGAGGAGGTGGTGGTGGTGGTGGTGGAGGTGCAGTATCATTCATCGTTGGAGGAGGAGGTGGAGGTGGAGGAATATCATTCACAACTGGAGGTGGAGGCGGCGGTAATGGAATATTGTTCACAACTGGAGGAGGAGGAGGTGGTGGTGGTGGCGGTGGTGGTGGTGGAGGAGGAGCTGGAGGTATAGTCGTATCGTTGGTTGGTAAAGTTTTCTGACGTGTGTTTCCTTCAGGTTGTGGTGAGTGATCTATATATCCAAAAAAAAAAAAAAAATTAGTAAAAATGAAACCAATCTTCATGATTATTTTCATATTACCTATAGGAGAAGATATGGACAAACCAGTGCCCGCAGTAAGATGAAGATTTGACATTGAACTTGATGTTGATTTCAGTGAAGGAGTGGAACGCGTATCAGAAGGCTTGATGGGAAAGTCGAGCGATTTTACAGAAAGGGACGTTGGCGATTCAATTAAACTATTTTCACCAGCATCAGATGCAGCAGATTTCAATGAGGAGGAAGTGGCTACTTGATTTTTTAGACGTGATGTCGATTGTAATAGAGGTTCAGACATGGTTGATTCTGGATGGACGTTGACGCCTGATTCATAAGGGCTTCCAGTAGGAGAGGCAGGTGATAGTTCCAGACTGTCTTCCGATTGTCGTTGTTGTTGGTTTAGCTTTGGAGACATGCTTCCGTCAGTACTTGATCGAGATTTGAATGATTTGTTAAAGTTGACAGAACCTTGTCGGATCAAAGATGGTAAATGAGCACCCAATTTATTACGAAAAGACTGTTTCAATTCGTTCACATTTGTTTGTCTTTGAGATTCCAGTAGATTAATCTACCCAGAAAATAAATATAAAAAAAAAGTTAGACCGATCAATCAATGATGTATTTTTTTTTCCTCTTTCCTATTATATTACTTACTTTATCGTCAGAATCAATGACATTCCACATCTTGATATTTCTATCTCCTTTTTGTGTTGAGAGAGGATTCAACGAATTTTGGCGTCGTAATTGCTGTTCAGAAGAAGATTGTTGCTGCTTCTTGTCGGTAAGGAGTCGTACAGCTTCATACAGTCGTTTGATTTGTGCATCCATGGCTTCAAGTGTATGTTGATGTTCTACTTCCAAATCTTCTAGTCGTTGTTGTAATACAGTATTGGTTTGATTGGCAATATGTATACTTCTAGCCAATGATTGATTTTCCGCACGAAGTTCACCTACTAATCCATCAGCTTTACGGTCGACCAATAACTTGAGTTCTGCTTCCCTTTTGATAGCTTGATCGGCTCGTTCACGTTCTTCGTACATATCTTTGAGAGCTTGATCCAGTTCGTCTTCATCCGAGAATTTTGATAAGAGATGACCGATGGAAATGCCGTGCATTTCTTGGAAACCATTGGGTGATCCTCTGCGATCTGATGTGATTTGACCCACTACCATATCAATCAATTGATAATACCGATTTCTATAAATGAAATAATGATAATTAGTCAAATACATAAATATATACAAAAAAAAAAAAAAAAAAAAAAAAGAGGACATGAGTATATATATATACCTTGTTTCTGGGTCATATTGAATAAGTAACAAATTTTGTAGTATATTTTGTAAAAAGTCATAGGCGCGCGTTCCAACAAGAGTAGGTACAATTGCTTCCATCAAGCCAAGAGGTTCATGAATGTTGTTAATAATCGTGTCGCCATAAACAGAATAAGTATCACGGTCATCCATTTCACGAAATTCATCAATTTTTCGGTTGATCAATTCATTGTGAAGTCCACCAAGTTCTTGTAAAATAGAGTCCAGACCACCTTGATAGAGTTGGTTTCTTAATGCGATCCTTTCTTGTTGATTATCTACAGTATCAGGATCTACCATTGCACAAATTAAGAGCATATTGGAAGCCTAAAATATATATATATATATATATATTAATGATTGTATGATAAAATAGGTTTCATACTTACAGCATATTCCGTGATTTGTATCTCTATATTCCCTGACATACCCAATTGTCGAAGTTCTTGACTAGCCCCAACAATAGATCCCATCTTGCCTCGACCTTGTAACATATTTGAAAAATCGGATAACCAAGGACCAAATCGAGAATGATGATTTCCTTTTTCTTTCAATCTGTCCATACCATGTAATACCATCGAGTGACCAATAGGTTGTTCACAATAACATATAAATGTTAGAGTATCACATGCTAATCGTCTTGCAGGCATATAAGGTGATAATAAAGAGTAAGTTAACGTGTCGATATAAAGAGGATCGCCTAATGCTTCTTTGATTCCATGCTATTATAATAAATATCAGTATTATTTCTTGAAATAGTCTTCTTTTTTTAATTCATTTCATACCACATTATTGAAAAGCGCTCGTAAACATTTGATAAGTTCAAGTTCAAGATAAGAATTGTGTTGATGCCTATTAGTAGTCGGTAAGAAAAGAAGGATTAGAAGAATCATATAGATTGTAAAGATACAAGTTCATATTTTTTTTTTTTTGATTACCGTCTAGATGATTGACTGTTGGTCCTTGCCAGCTCTTTTGCAATATGCTGCATTCCTTGATGTTCGACGAATTGGCGCACCCAACTATTAAAAAAAAAAAAGATGAAGTCAACATAAGAACTCAATATCGTATAAATCTATTTACCTAAGAGGCATTGTTCTTAAGCGCACCGCCATATCACTAATAAGTTTGATTGGAAGGTCTTTTTTGTCTTTGTGTTGAAACAAATGGATGTAATATAGAGGTGAATTGGTATCTTGAGTATGATAGTCAAGAAAAGAGGAATGCTGTTGCTGGTTCTGTGCTTGTGAATGAGGTGAATGTCCACTTTGTAATTTTCTTCCAGTATGTCTAGTAGAAGGGCGATTCGATCGTTTGTTGGTACTAATGTTATTACTGCCACTTGCTGTCATATTTCCTAATTTCGTTAATTGACTTTCGTTGCAAAGAATCCACCATTTTTTGTCCGAAGAAAGATCTCGTAAAGTGGTATCACCAAGGTTCAAATTCAGTCTTGACTATAAAGAGAGGATAAAGAAGTGTGTGAGTTAAAAAAAAAAAAAAGTTAATGGAGTATGACCAAGTAAAATATTCTTACCGCTGCTTCTTCAAAAAGACGTTCAATATCATCGTCAGAAGGACGATCGTTTCCTTCTGCTAACCATTGTGTAACTGGGATTTGATCGTCAGAAGCATAAGGGAGACTTCTTAAAGAAGAATTGGCTATGAAAGACGACGAGTTAAATGAATCATTCATAATAATAACAATGTATATCATTTACCCGTTGTAGTCCAGGAATCCTTTGTACTTGTCGGAGAGACCAGATCGGGAGAGCGAGGAACATTATAAGATTGTATATTAGTTTTCAAAGGTGTAAGAATATTTGAAGCATGTTGCTGCGTTTGTGGTTCTTGTTGAAAATAAGGTGGTAATGACGTTGGAGTTTGCCGTCTTGGTTTCTTTTTCCGTTTACCACCAATATTGGAAAATATATCCATTGAAGCAAGAAGAAAATAGATAAATAAATAAATAAAAGAAGGTAAGAAAAAAGAGACGCAAACAAAAGCATTTGATTGTGTTGACAAAATAGGTAATCCGAAAACAATTGTATTTGAGCCTCCGCAGTCAAATGGCTGCCATTGCGTCTTTCTGTCTTTCTTGCTGTTTCGATCTTTTTTTTTTTTTTTTTCATTATGATACTTCCACTATCTCTTTTGCGTCGCGCACATCCCGGATGGATTGATACGTGGCGATCATACCTTAGAGCTGGAGGATTTTTTTTTCTTTTTCTTTTTTTTTTTTTTGGTAAGTGCATTTATACAGGTAATATTTAATTGAAAAAAATAATGCTAACCACTTTTCCAATTCTTCTTTTCAACCACCGAAATGGGGGAGGGAAATACGTAGATCCAATGGCGTGTCAGGACCAATGATTATGCTGATTGAAATCAATTAAGTAAAATTCTTTTAAGCTTTATATAGACCTTAATAGAAAATTTATTGATGATGTATAAAATATATGATTTTATTTTTTATTTTTATGTAAAAAAAAAAGAAAGAAAAGAAAAAAAAAACGGATATGTAAATAGCTAATGTAACGTGAGTGTGATTGTCAAGTGTGAATGTATATGAATGTGAGCGTGAAAGCTTCTTTTCTTTTTTTTTTTCTTTTTTTTTTCACTAAGAAGGAAGGAATACTGAATGACATGATACAGAAATGCAGGTAATGGTTTAAAAATGAATGACAACTAAAATACTAATTAATCCAAGTTTCCTATGATTTCCAAAAGTAAGATGTTGCCCATTGACCAAGATGTCCAAATACAGAATGTGATGATGCTGATGATTGTTGTTCTAACATTCTATCATGAGAATCCGTCGTAACCTTGTTAGTATTATTATTATTATTGTTGTTGTTGTTGTTGTTGTCATTGTTGATATTAGATGTTTGATGATGTATAGCATCTACAGTTGAAGGTTCACTGATAGGTTGGGATTTTGATGCTTTGCCGGGAGAGAGTATAATGGGTGGAGAAAAAGAAGTATTGGACACTACTTGATTTGATGATGATGATGATGATGGTATATCCATACGCACACTAGTTGTATATTGTTGGTTTGTTGGCTCGTCGTCATTGTCATATTCCATATTGCTGTTGCTGTCATCAAAGGATTGTCGATGAAGGTCCCAATCATCATCCACATAATCACTTTCAGGTTCAGAAGGTGATACATCATAGACTATAGAAGATTGTCCTTCCCATTGAATAGATTGATTTGACGTATTGGTTGTTTGTCGATGAAGTTGGTAATCAGGAAGGTGGATAGATTTTCTGTCGTCATCATCGTCCCATGAAGAAAGTGAGTCTCGACGAGATACGGAGGTCACAGAATTGTCAGAATAAGAGCTACTTTTGAGAACGGCTGGTTCAATTCGCTTGATTGATCTTGGTGTTGAGATGTTTTTTCTGTTATTGTCATAAGAATGGTGTTGCATCATAATACCATCATCATCATCTTCATCATCATCATTATCAGCATCATTCTCGCTATATTCCTTTTCGTCATTATTGCTATCATCACTGTTGGAATAATGTGTATGTCGGCGATGATGATATTGATTTCCATTGCGGCGTCTATGAGTTGGATAATCATCATCTTGTGAATCGGAATGATTATCATCAGTTGTTGTTCCAGTAGTATCAGCACGATCGGAAGAAGAAACATAATATCGAGAAGAAAGATTGGCAGTCATCTTCACTTTTGGTAAAGAACCTGTTGCACTACCTCCATCATCATCGGAAATCACCATATATTGTTCCACACGTTGATTGAATCGTAACTTTGGTTGTCGATGAGTGGCGATAACAGAAGGAGAAAAAGCACCTAATTGTCGATTAGCTTCGGAAAGTGAGATTCCAGATCCACCAGTTTCGTTTAAATCGCTAACATGAAATTCAGATGCTGATCGACGTAAGATATCAGACATGGTCACCTTTTTCAATGCAGATTTCAATGGTCGTTGTTGAGTAGTAGGTAATATTGAAGTTGATGGTGGATTGGTTGTTGCTATTGCTGTATTTGTTGTATTTGACGTGGTTCGTGTTACCGTGGAAGATGACAATGGTGGTGCAGAGGGTGTTCCCGTGATACCTTTATCAATCAACGGCGCATCAGATGCATGGATAAGACCAAATTTGTCATGAGCACTGGATTCTTTTGGAGCATAACGATCTTCTTGTTCAGTTTTTGTGACTGTATGTAATGGACCATAAAGCCAAGTAACATCACTATCCTTCAACCTATTACATATAATTAATAATAAAACAAAAGAAAAATGAGTGATTTTTTGTATAACTTTAAGAAAAAAAAAAGATTTTTTTTTTTTTTTTTTTTTTTTTTTTTACCAGTTGAGAGTTTCTGGACTAATGGTCTTCAAATGATTCCTTTGTTTCGCCCAAGTACGCCAAGAAGCATTTTCCAAACGAATACCATTTACAATATCCTTTTTTTGTTTTGTCATCATTCTCCAAGAAGCAGCCAGATCCATTTCGTCAAAGGTATAAGATAAATAGTCAACACATACTTCGGGAGACTGAATATCAGTTCGTTTTTGGGATTCACTATCGTCATCTGCCGTTTGCTTTTTCAACATTTGGTATCAATCAATATAATATAATGAGAGATAATAAAAGAATAATAATAATAATAATAATAAAATAGACTGTTATATACTAGGAAGGTTTTATAAAGAGTTGATAGAGATGTCAATCAAAAAAAAAAAAAAAAGAAAAAGGAATAAAAAAAAAAAGGAAAAAGTAAATAAAACCAAAGGGTAAGTTAAGAATAGAAAAGGCAAAGACATGGAAAAAACCCCGACTAACATTAGAAATTTTTTATATATATTTTTTTTCTTTCTTTCTTTCTTTCACTTTTTTTTCAACTTAATATAATGGTTTTTTTCAATACAAAGTCAACTATTATTCTTAATCGTATTATAAGAGCATATACTACAACTTCAAATATTACTGTTGATGCTTTAGTTTATTCAAACTATGGAAAACCTTCTGAAGTCCTAAAGTAAGTTATTGATAAAAAAAATATATATATTCTTTCTAAAATATATATATATATCTATATATCTATATTATAATATTAGGTGGCATTCTTATCCTCTTCCAGCATTAACTCCAGAAACAGTTCAAGTAAAATTCTTAGCTTCACCTATCAATCCTGCTGATGTCAATCAAGTTCAAGGTGCTTATCCTTTGAAACCACCATTCCAACTTTTGAATGAAAAAGACGACATCAAATATGCTGTGGGCGGTAATGAAGGTGTAGCTCAAGTCATTGCTACAGGTGACAAGGTCAAAGGTATTAAAGTAGGCGATCAAGTCATTATGGCAAAAGCTGGTTATGGTACTTGGCGTACCTACGCGACTGGCCCTGCTTCGGACTTTCAGGTGTTACCTATGACAGATAGTGTGTCCAATATTCAACTAGCCACACTTTCGGTCAATCCTTGTACTGCATATCGAATGTTGAAGGATTTTGTCAAATTAAACAAAGGTAAATTATCCTACATCTTATCTAAAAGCTTATTTTTTTTTTTTTAATTTAGGTGATTATGTGATTCAAAATGGTGCTAATAGTGCAGTGGGACAATCGGTTATTCAATTAGCCAAGGCATGGGGTATTAAAACGATCAATGTAGTTCGTAATAGGTAATTTCTTTTTTTTTTTTTTTAATGGAATTTGACACGTTTATATATTATTTTAATAGACCTGATATTGATGCATTACGCAATGAATTGGAACAACTGGGGGCAACTCATGTGATTACAGATGATGAACTAGGTAGTTTTGAAACCAAATCATTGATCAAGGAATGGGGACAACCGAAATTAGGCTTGAATTGTGTTGGAGGAAAATCGGCTACGGAAATGGCTCGTCATTTAAGGTAAGGAAATAAAAATGAGGGGGATTTTTTTTTTTTTTTTACTTACCATTTTCTATTCTTCATTTTAGTGCCAATGGACAATATGTAACTTATGGAGCTATGGCTAGAGCACCTTTATCATTACCAGCATCATTACTTATCTTTAAAAATATCTCATTCCATGGTTTTTGGATGTCAAGATGGACTGATACACATAATATGGAAGAACGAAAGATTATGATTGATGAATTGATTGATTTGATGAAACGTGGTCATTTCGTCGAACCCAAATGGACTCAAGTAGAATGGAAGGAAGAACCTGTCAAGGCAGCGGTGGATCAAGGTATTCAAGGATATGGTTCTGGCAAACAAGTGATTTTGTTTTAGATTAGACTGGTAGATTTATTTATTAATGTAGTTTTAGTTTGATGAAATAAAATGCAACATGATTACTGGATATCATTTATTACTTTTTGTCATTACTTGTGGTCTTTATTATTGTCGTCAAAATTATTGTTGTTGTTTCTTTGCTTATAGGGGAAAGTTGTCATGCATTGTATTCTTTCTAGTTGGATGAAAAGATGGGTGGATGTAGAATAAAGGTTAAGGAGCAATCTCCCCCCCTTTTTATATATATATTTATTTTACTTTACATAGTCAAGGAAAAAATAGTAGTATTTATTATGATGATGGTGGGTTGTATTGCCACTCGGAATAGTGGAAAAAAAAAATCGGTTATTATGTTGAACTCCTTAATATATATGTATCCATAGCAACCAATACTTATCATTGATAAAACTCGTTCTTTAGTTGTCACTCCTCTAACTAGTCGAGACAACGAAAGGGAGGGAAAAAAAAAAAATAGTGAATGGGATAGGGGATTCTTCTAATTGACAAAAAACCACAATATGGGTTTATATAAAAATAAATAGAAACATTGTGTAAGCCAATAAAAGCGGTCTTTCTCAAAGATGGATAAATCAAAACAATGCAGATCTTCCTTACCACGCTCTTTTTCTATAATAGGAAACAAAAAAAAAGGTATTTTCTCTTTTCTTTTTTCATTTCTTTTTCATTTCTTTTCTCTTTATTTTTTTTTATTTTTTATTTTTTTTTTTTTTATCTTTTTTATTTTTATAGATATATATATATATATATATATATATATATTTTAACCCCATCACACTCATTTCTTTTTCTTCATTAAAACTCCCTTCCTTTCATTAAAATGGATTACTTTCCCTCTCCACCCTCATCACCTACTCCTTCTGCTTTTGATAAAGTAATTTGTGGAGCTTGTGATAAACCCTTGTCATCTGATTGGTTTTGTTCAGATTGTCATAAACGATGTGAAATCTGTAATAGATTCTTGACTCATGAACAATGCTCTCGATGTTGGGTGTATGATGAATATCAACATTCATATGTACGTAAACCTCGATACTTTTATCCTCCTCCTGCCTATTTTTATTCTTCTTCTCCTCCTCTTCAATATCCTCAGCAACAACATCATTATCAACAACAGTATCAATATCATCACTATCAACAACAACACCAACAACAACAATACCATCAATATCAACAACAATCACCCTCCTTGTTTTCTTATTCCTTACCAAGCTAAGTTCGACAACCTTTTTTTTTTGTCACATTGTATATAAACACTTCTTTCCGTTCTACTTTAGTTTTGATTATTTTTTATACTCATGTTTTACAGTTCTTTTTTTTTTTCATCATCATGAATAATGCTTTTGTTTTCTTTACGGATTTTCCCCCTTTGGATCTTTTTTTTTTACCCCTCATTTTCACTTTTTCTTTTTTTGTCATTCACACGCATCTTTGTCTCTCTCTTTGTTTTTTCAGACCCCCCCTCTTTCCACCCTTTCTCCCCTTCCTTTTTTTTTAATATATCATAATAAAAAAAAAGAACTCTATTCTTATCATCTATTCATTCCTTTTTATTGTGATCAAAAAGTGATTTATTTTATAGAATGGTATAAATAATCATAAAGAAAATATAAATCTTGGATGATCTTCTGTTTTAAAGATGAAAAAAAAAAACAAATCTGTTCTTTTTTTTTAAAAAAAATAGGAGTACAATATATTCATTTGATAGAAAAAATGTCATGCATACTAATGCATTAGCTATACGATCATCGGTAAGAACCAAAAGAATGTTTGTAGTATAGTTTAAGGTCCCGATTTACAAATCCACTTATCGTTTCTCCTTAATTTATATATGAGGTACATCATACGTACATAAATACAATCATCGTAGAATTTTATCACCATCATAAGGATTATTATATCAAGGATAATAAAAAAAGATAATCATCGTAGGGATCATCCATCGTCGTAGAAATCACATATCCATAGAGATCATCACTATAGAAATCATCATCATCATCATCGTCGTTCATAATGACCCTCATCTATGGTTGTATCAAATGAACTTGCATTGTAAACGATGGTGTATACAGTAATTAATGAGCTTCTGATCTTTATCATAGATTTACCTACTGGCTATGTTTAAAAACTTTCATCAGAGTTAAATAGTTAGTTGTTAACACTTTTTTTTTTTTTTTTAATCAGCACTTGGTTGATTAACAAGTACCTTTACCGCTAAAATGTTTTCACTTTCCATTTTTGGGGTGGCACTGGAATAATCTGCCCTGCGAATTTTCTTTTTTTTTTTAAAAAAAAATTAAGGTACATTCGATCCATCTCTTCTGTCTTTTGTTGTTGTTATTTTGTCCTCATTTCTCTCTCTTCTTCTTCTTCTTCTTTTTCTTCGTAAAGAGGTCTCCATCTACTTTTTATCAACTGGTTTTATGTTTTCTTGTTAGATAAATGGATGCTTGTCTACTTTTATGGTCTTTTTTTTTTTTTTTTTTTTTTTTTTTTTTTATTATTATTGCGAAGTTAGATCTTTTCTAGACTTCATGATGGAACGGGGACCAATCGTAGTGGGAACTATTTTGATAGATGTACGTATGACTGGATCAACTAGGATATAAAGTAGGATCAATGGAATGAACGTACAACTGAGTAGATACAACTGAATAATCACACTCAACTGGACAGAAAGGATCAACTATATATATATATATATATATAAAGATTGGAATGAATTGTAGGTAGTATCTACGTTAGATAGTTTATCGTCATGTTTTTTCAATAAAATCATCCTGATTTATTCGATTCTTTATTTATTATTGTTACTGTTGTATCTATCTACATTATTATCTTGTTTGTCATCATTTGTCAATATCAATCAGTATTATCATTACAAATAATGAATATATTATCATCAAGTAGTGCACAATCAATTATTGTAAAAAATCATCATCCCACAAAGACCACCAAATCACAAAGAATTAAAAAAAATAGAACCCTTTTATTTTATATATACGTTGAAGACAAATGGAATGATACAAAGAGAGAGAGAGAGGAAGAAAGCACAACACCTTCAATAGGACAAGTACGAGAAGAGAAAGAGAAAGGAAATGAATGAAAGTATGAAAACTAGTAACAATAATAATAGTAATAATAAAAATAAAAAAAAAATAATAGTAATATATATGTATAATAAAAGAAGGATATGTGTTTTGTGTGTGTGTGTGTGTGGGGCGATCTAACCTAGTACTTGCCTACCATGAAGAAATCCAATAAATAACGATATGATCACTTATAGCAGCACTCATCAAATTGTCCATAACATCAAATTCTTTTCCTTGTGATGACTTGCAGACGCCACAATAGTTTGTCCATTATTGTTGATAGAAGCCAATCCTGCCACCATTCCCGATTGTGTACCGGCACGTTTTGGTTGTGATCCAGATACGCTGCATTGCCATACATAGATCGATTCATAACCACCATAGACTACCCGTAATTTTTCCGCACCAGTCACAGTCGAAGCATTGTTACCATTATTATTATTATTGTTTGCTGCTGATTGTGATAATCCATCTGTTGTTGAATCCGTTGTTGCAGTACTACTAGGCATGATAAACGCACATGCTGAGATCTTGTCCGTAGCTGTATGTAAATTCATCATTTTCCATTGTCCAGTTTCGTACACCATCACCGCATTTTCAGATGATGCCACCAAATAACTTCCATCCGTAGACCAGTCCAAACTACAAATATTCTTTGAGTGTTCTGTGTTGATCGTTCGTACCGCCGTGGTATCCGCGCTAGATGCATTATTCTTGGCTGCATCAATATCGATCACAAACAGTTGATTACCCGCTGCACATGCAAGAATCTTGCCCAAACGAGGATGGAATCGAAGTGGATTAGCTGCAAATAAGGATTTGGATGATGCCATCTTGATTGTTTTTTCACATTTTGATGAGGAAATTTGCCATACGTTGAGTTCACCTTCAGCATCCAATGAGCATATAGTATCTGGTCGATCTGATGCAAAATCTACTGCTGTAATTTGTGCTTTACATTCAAATTTGGCAATTTGTTTGACTTCGGTTTTCTGTCCAGTTGTATTACCACTACCGTTGCTACCACCTTCTTTGATTGCTTGTCCCAAGTCCCATACACGTAAAGTCTTGTCATAAGAACTTGTCACCAGCCATTGTCGTTGATCAGGACTCCATCGAGCACAGGTAATATGTGATGTATGACCTTCTAGTGTCCATCGAAGTCGTTTTTCTTGTACACCCCAAATCAATACTTTCTTATCATGTCCAGCACTTGCCAACCATTGACCATCCAAAGAGAATGCTACCGTTGATACCTTGCTGTTGTGTCCTGTCAATTCGCTTACAAGTTGCAAAGTAGTAGTATTATCCACAGATAATGATGAAGTCGAATCGCCACCAAAACCACCTCCCATGCTTGCCAAGAATCCACCACCAAACATTTCGTTGTTATCGCCACTCATCAAAAGATTGTGTTCTCCACCGTCATCACCTGCTGTAAATATTTCACCAAAATCACCACCATCACTCATCATGAATCTTTCCAAATCAAACGATATCATATTGTTGCCATTGTTCATCATGTTGCCACTTCCACCAGGTGTTACTGCTGTCTGAGCTGGTACTACTTGTGTTGCAGGAGATTGATCGCCTTCCATCATACCAGGAGATTGCATATCATTAGCACCACCTTGAGTTGACGGATTCCATCCCATTCTTGTAGCTGCTGGTGGTATACCTTGTTGGGGTGGTAGCGGTTGTTGTTGTTGTTGTTGTTGTGAAGATGTTGGTGTTCCTTGTACTGGTAATGACTGCGGTGTTTGTTGTGGTGTTTGTGATTTAGCCATATTTCGATTCATTTGAGGAGACTGACTAGGCTTGGCACTTTGATCTTGACCAAATGATGATTGTTGTTGATGTTGCTGTTGTGAAAGTCTTTGTTGCATAGACATGACTGGTGATGCTTGCGCTGATCCAGGAAGATTATTGGTATTTTGTGGAGTTTGAGCAGCATTCATGACATGTGGTGATGGCATACCCATTTGAGGAGATTGATTTTGAGGTCCATTTTGATTTTCCACTTCAGGATTTGGTCGTTGGCGTTTGCTAGGATGAGGTTGTGGTTGTTGTGCTTGTTGCTGAGCTTGACCATGTTGTTGAGCATACTGTTGTCGTTGTTGATCCTGATGTTGCTGTTGCATTATATAATGCATCTGCCGTCGTTGATAAAGTGCCAAGGGTGTACGATTTTTTTCTTGATCTTGCGGTGAACCAGCACCCATTGGTACTGAAGGATTAGGACTAGCCATGTTCGGATTGGGTGGTGTTTGTCCTCCTTGCATTTGCTGTTGTTGTTGTTGCTGTTGTTGTTGCATCATCCTTCGTTGATTGAATAACATACGTTGATGTTGTTGTTGAGCCAGAAACTATAATTGACAAAGTATTAAACTCCCATCTTTCATATTCTTATTTGAACATACCTGTTGTTGTTGTTGCTGTGGGGTCAGTCCTGCCATTTGTCCATTTTTCATCATTTGTTGAGCCAACATCATGTTCATCGCCGCTAAATTTATAAAATAATAATAATAAATTTTTTTTTAAAAAAAAAAATTATTATTTTCAATTCGTAATTTTATATTCTTTTCCTTTACCATCACCACCAGCAAATTGACCAGCCATCATATTTGGATTTTGCATATTGCCAGGCATTTGACCGGGAGCCGCAGACGCAGGAACTCCAACGGGAGCCATATTTCCAGGTGTTCTAGGACCATTTCCTATTAACAACATAAACAATTAAATTAAAAAACTTTACTTTCCACGTTGCCACTATTTCACTTTACCTGCTTGACTCATAGGATTGGTTCGATTGTCCGCTTGATTTCCCGAGATCGGATGTTGTTGTCCTTGTTGACCTTGTTGAGCAGAAGGTGGTATGTTTTGTTGTTGAGTAACAGTTTGAGGATGAGCCTGGTTGGGTACGGGTTGAGGACCTTGTTGTAAACCTTGTTGTGGACCTTGTTGTAGACCTTGTTGAGGACCTTGTTGTGGACCTTGTTGTGGACCTTGTTGAGGACCTTGTTGAGATGATATAGAAGGTTGGCCTTGTTGAAGTTGTTGTGTCTGAGGCTGTTGAACTTGTTGATTTTGAGGTTGACCTGGTTGCATTTGTTGTTGTTGTTGTTGTTGTTGTTGTTGTTGTTGTTGTTGTTGTTGTTGTTGCTGTTGCTGTTGTTGCTGTTGCTGTTGCTGCTGCTGTTGTTGTTGTTGTTGTTGTTGTTGTTGATACAGTTGTTGATTCATCATCACTTGCTGTTGCATTTGCAGTCTAGCTTGAGCAGGATTTGTAACTTGCATCATATTTCTAAGTAGAAAGTACCATTAAAACGGGCATTAACATCCTTTGTACATTTTTTTTTTTTTTTTGGATTTTCACTTACGGATTTCGCATTATCCCTTGTTGATTTATATGAATGTTTCTTCGAATATGTAATTGAACAGAAGCCTAAAGAATTAAATAAGAAAGGGAATTCAATGAATGAGTAAAAAAGTAATTTGACAAACTTCGTCTATATATATCACTTACCCTTTCTTCTGGAGTTAATGATTGAGGATCACGACCACCAAAGCCTAAGGCATTCATACTGTTGATAACAACAGGATTTTGTATACCAACATTCGGGCGTTGACCCATCATCATTTGACCTTGTGGATTCATTGGGATGCCTTGAGCAGAGACCATGGGAGAGTTCATCATTCCTTCAGGATGACCAGTTATTGCTTCATTTCCACCAGCTACACCAGGACGTTGCATTTGTTGTGGAGAAAAAGATGGTGATGGTGCATTAAGCCTGCCAGCAACATGTTGTTGGGGTAAAGATGCTGATATGGTTTGAGGTGTATTGACCATAGAGTTTGTATTGGTATTTCCAGTCGTTGGGGTGTTGTTATTTGGTGGAGGCATACTGCCAGTATTTGGTAAAGACGCTGTACTACTTGCTGGTGAAGGACGATGGTCTCGTGACTGACCAGCTTGTTGTTGTTGTGATTGTTGTTGTTGTTGTTGTTGTTGTTGTTGTTGCGGCTGTTGTTGTGGTTGTTGTTGTGGTTGCGGTTGTTGCGGTTGTTGTTGTTGTTGTTGTTGTTGTTGCTGTTGTTGAGAAGGTACATGAGGAAGTTGAGGAGCATGTTGAGGATCTTGTTGTTGTGGTTGACCATGAAGGTGGTGTTGTGATTGAGGAGATTGACCCATTCTTTGAACTTCAGATGCCCTACGTTGTTGCTGTTGTTGTTGAACTGCTTGTTGCATACTGAAAGTACGTTGCTGTTGGAGTACTTCTTCTTTCCTGTTACGTAATAATTCATGGTACTAAAAAAAAAAAAAAAAAAAAAAAGTGAATATTCATATTAAATAAAAAGAATATATATATATATATATAAACTTACTTCATCGTGGATTCCGGCTTCTTTGGTCGCCTGAGCATCCTTATTTTTTGCATGGTATACATCCCAAAATACACCCCACCAATCAGCCAGAAATCCCGTTGCAATATCAATAGGAGGTTGTTGTTCAGTGGACACGTTAGCTTCTGCGGCAAATGATCGAGCTGCTTGATGAAAGTTGTGTTTCTTGCAATAGTCATAGATGTAAATATGTAAAAGTTCTGTGGCTCTTGCATCTACTACTGATCGACCCGGCGGCCTAGGAGTAAACAAAAAGTTAGTATAATGTAAACAAGTCCCCCCTTTTTTTTTTCTCTCCAATAGTTCCATAAATCAACTGAAAAGAAACAAAGATAGAAATAAACGAAGATAGAAAATAATAAATAAAATAAAAATAATGAAAAGACCAACAATAAATAAATTGTTTTCATAGTCTTTTATTATTCGTCATCTATATTTCCATCCGTATTCCTTTCCGTTTTTCTTGTTTCATTTTCATCCCAAGCTTATTTTTTTTTTTGATTCCTGTTGTATTGTTGTTTTCACCCAAAATCAATGAAATAAAAAATATAAAAAAGAACCTACCCATCCCAGGTATTTCTCCTGATTTGCGGCTGCGCCATAATATGTTCCTGTTGATAAGAAGAATATGTGTATAAGAAAAAGATTAAAGAGTGGGAAGGAAAAAAAAAAAAAAGAAAGAAAACAAAAAATTTGGCGCACAAATGGAAAAAGGTGAACAAAGCGAGAGAAAGAAAAGGGAAAAAAAGGGCCGGAGATTGTACCAAGGAGGGACAAGAAAAATAATAAAAAAAAAAAAATGTGGGTTTTGAAGTGACGTGTTGCATCAGAAAAATAAACATATTATTTTTCATTATTATTATTATCATTATTACTATTATTTTCTACTTTAAATTACAATTTTATTATAAAAACAACATTTTTTTTTCTCTTTCTCTCTCTCTGTATTTCTTTCTCTTTTTTCGGTTCTTTTTCCTTTCTTATTTATCTTTTTTCCTATATTCTATTCTATGATTATATGAATCAATGAAAAAAAAAAAAACATCATGAGCTTAAATCCGCTCCTTCAAAACTAACCAATTGTATTCATTGAAGCGGCATTTTAACCTGTCAACCTCTATTGGGCATGATGATGAACAGTGACACACTTGATTTGAATAAGTTTATTGATAATGAGTAACAAAAACAAATAAAAAAAAAAGGGAGACCTTCACACTTTCTACTAAACTATCTAATAATAAGCTATCATCCAAATTCAAATCCAATAATTGAAGATCAGTCTTATCAATATCAGTACTTACAACATACCTAGATTCCAAAAAAAAAAAAAATTAGATATCATGTTAGTCTAGGAAGAAGTATGTTTATCACTTTATTGATTCCGAATTTTAAATATGATGATCTTACCCATAAACCTGTCTTGATATCAATATTGATAAGTACAAATCTAAGAGTATCCAAATGTAAAGTCAATCGCTGAAACGATGTCATCAATTCTTGAATAAACGATGTATTGATCATCAAAGAGAACACACTAATTTCCAAAGTTTCAGACTAGATAAATATAAACGGGTAGATCGAAAAAAAAATTGGATGTTTTTTTATTTTTTGTTGTTGTTACCTTGCCAATAAGGTAAATATAGTAATCCCCCTTGTATCGAATTGGTATAATATACGATTATTACAAAAATGTCGATACCAAAAATAGGTAATTAACCAGGATGAAGCGCCAACGCAAACTTGATCAATTCTACGTTGATGATTAAAGAAAGTCGTGAGTAAAATGTGAGAAAAAAAAAAGATAGTGAATCAAGATGTTGAGAATAAAAATAAATGAGTGTTATCGTTTGTTGTTGGTAAACGTTGATGCTTTTTCTTCAATATCATATTGGTATTACCATATACTGCAAGTCATTTCTTAATCCAGCGCTTCTATAATATGATCTATCCACTCTTATATACACTTTTTTCTTTCTTTCTTTTTTAAAAAAAGAAAAAGGAAGATGAATATTCCATTGACACTTAGGCACGTGTAGTCCTATTCAGTAAAAAAAAAAAAATCGTACTTTTCAGTAAGAGTACTTTATCAATCACCAAATTAATAGACGGACGAATATGACGAAGAAGGGACTTGAGATATCGTACCTAAATATATCAGTTGTTGATACTAATGGGACTTCATGTTGGGAATCTGAATCCTTGCAAGTTTCTTTTGTTTCGGAATAAAAAAAAAAAAGAGAGAAGAAGTGCACCAGATTTTTTTTTTTTGGTAACCTTTTAACCTTTTTGTTACGGGGTTTGAATGTAAGACTAAAAAAAAAAAAAGAAGTATGCATAAAGTCGTACAAAATCGAGCTTATTTTTCAAGATTGATTTGAAATATTATGTTGATGATAATTTTTTTTATTATTATTATTATTAAAGATTCATCAAAATAGTAAATTATTTCTATCTAGGCAATAATGACAATGAAACTAGCAATGAAAAGAGCAGCTAAAGCAAACAATTCATTGGGAAGACCATGAGTCAATGTAGTGGCAGCACTTGGAGAACCAGTACTTGTAGAAGTTGCAGTAGCCGATGAAGAAGAAGATGTTGCAGAGCTGCTACTCGTCATGCTGCTTGATGATGACATGGATGAAGAGCTGGATAATTCAGAACTACTAGACATGGATGTACTCACAGCACCAGTAGGTTCCACCGAAGGTGATGTCATACTAGTCTCCATAGGATTACCTCTATAGAAATGGATATAATAAGATGAATCATTTTATATTTTTACTTTTTTTTTTTTTAAATCACTTACGTAGCACCGCCGGCTAAAATAAAAAGAAAAGAAATAGAGATGATTAGCATCTATCTTTGGTTTAACAATTTTAACTTACTTTGTTGAGCATTCACAATAACGGCAAAGAGAAGAGTCACGAAAAGAAGCTTGAGTTGCATAATGATCAGTCGTATTAAATATAAAAAAAAAAGTGAAAAAGAAAGAATTGATAAAAAAAAAGAAGTCGAATTGATTTATTTAATAGATTTCTTTTTCATGGTTTTCACAATTATTCAAAGGGAAAAAAAAAAGGGAAAATATACTAAGACAAAAAAAAATGTTTTTGACCCATGGTGTTTCTATATAGGCTTGTCCTTACAGTTCTTTTTTTTTTTTTTTTTTTTTTGGCTCAAACCCTTTGGAAATTTGGCAAGTTCTTATTTCCACTCAAAAAGAAAGTCAGTGAGTCAATGGCGTATAACTGATTTCTACCGTAGAACCATTGATCATCTTTTAATATACTATATATTTATATTAACCAGTCAATCTTGTACATCGATCTTTTATTATAATATTAGGAATACAAGGATGTTCCATTGTCAGAACGAATTTACGGGAAATTTTGATAGCGGACTTTTTTTTTTTTTTTTTTTTTTCTCTCTGAGTCATTCCTTCCTTCTTCTTTTTGGTGCCTGTATCTCTTTTACTTTTTTTTTTTATGAAACAAACTGGTTTAACCATAGTCATCAAAGTCGGCACTACGTCTATTTGTGATGAAAAGTCTCACTTTCCTATTTTATCCAATCTATCCGGTTTGGTAGAAACTGTCCTCAAGTTAAAATCACTCCAACATCGTGTCATTGTCGTCACTAGTGCTGCTGTTGGAACTGGTCTTCGACGTTTAAACATTGCTGAAAAACCTTCTCAATTAGCTGCTAGACAGGTAACACTCTCTCTTTTCACTTTTTTCTATTTTAAAATAAAAAGTATTAACTATATATTTTGATAGGCTGTGGCAGCTGTTGGTCAAGGTCGTTTGATGGCTCTCTATGATGATCTCTTTGGACAATTCAACCAACCAGTTGCTCAAATTTTACTTACCAAGAATGATTTATCCGATGTAAGCTCATATTTAATCTTGAACATTCTTGTCTCATTAATTTATATCATTCAATTTTTTTTTTTATTTGTTTGATTCATAGCGTTCTCAATATTTGAATGCTGTCAGTTGTTTGGAAGAATTATTATCTATGGGTGTTGTTCCTATTGTCAATGAAAATGATACTATCTCTACTCAAGGAATTCGATTTGGTGATAATGATACGTTAGCCGCCGTGACAGCAGGAATGATCAAGGCAGATTATCTATTCTTATTGACCGATGTGGATTGTCTTTATACTGATAATCCTCGTACAAATCCTGACGCTCGTCCTGTTCTTTTATGTGATGATATTGCTTCTTTGAAAGACAAAGGTAAAGTCTCTCTCTCTCTCTCAAATAATAATAATAATAGTAATAATATAAAAAAAGGCGAAGCATTTATTTTCATCTCATTTTACTCACGTACCTCTTTATGAATATATATATATTTCTATTTTTTTTTTTTTTTTTTTTGTAGTTTCTGTGGCTTCTGGAGGTTCAGCACTAGGTACTGGAGGCATGATTACCAAACTGATCGCAGCAGATTTAGCAACTGCAGCAGGCGTGGCAACGATCATTACACATGGATCCAAGGCAAGCAATATCACTACTATCATCGATGACGATCAAACAAATAAACCATTACATACCAAATTCATGGCCAAGAATAACCCAATGTTGGATCGCAAATGGTGGATTTTACATGGATTACATACAGCGGGTACTATCTATATCGATGCTGGTGCTGCCAAGGCTGTAGTAACTCAAGGACTTCGTAGTAGTCTTTTCGCTGCAGGTATTGTCGACGTCCAAGGTACTTTTAATGCTCATCAAGCTGTCCAAATCTGTTTACGGAAAGACAAGTCATCATCGGATGTGATCATTGGAAAAGGATTGGCCAATTACTCTAGCTCGGAAATCAGTCGGATCAAGCGTTGTAATAGTTCGGAAATTGCAAGTATCTTGGGTTATGTCAATGCAGATTGTGTTATCCATAGAGACAATCTGGTTCGTGTGGTGGAAGAACAAGAGATTTTATGATTCTTTTTTTTTCTTCTTTTAGTTTAGCACTAGTTGATTCCCCATTTCCCTCTTTTTTTTTTTTGTATAGTTTTATTTTCCATTTTTTTTTTTAAAAAATATTCAAATCATTTTAGATCAATTTTAACTAAACCATCAATAAAAAAAAATTATTGTTTTTTTTTCCCAACAAATATAGAGTGAATTTGTTTGTTCACCGTAGTGCTGAATATCATCATAAAGTTCAATGTTATTTACAAATATATTCTTATTCCATTATTATTATTATTTATAGATCATCACTCTTCTATCTTCACCTGGATCCACCTGGAAAGATAGATGATTATGATTTGACTAGAAAAGATGTATTTTATAAAAAAAAAATCATATCGATTAACGCTAGTATTATCTCATCAATTTGTCATCATCACTCATCAGAAATCATTCAACTACTATTATCGATAATCGTACTATCATCGCATATCTTCCATCCATCCTCTCTATTCATGCATTATCACATATCAATATCGCTATCCTGTCGCTTCCTTCATCCAACAAAAAAAAAAAAAAAAAAAAAAAAAAAAAGACCAAAGGAAAGAATAACAATAATAATAATAATAAAAACTTTATTGACCAATGATCTTCTTCAATTCAAACAAGCGTTTAGAGAGTTCATCACGTTCATTTTCACTCTGGGCATAGCGCATCTTGATATCGATCAACAGAGATTCCATGGCGGCCAGTTGATCCTCGAGACGAGCATTGGTTTGATTGAGCTGGGCGTTTTCAGTGCAAAGAAGATTGAATTCAGTGCTGTAGTTGGCTTCGATTTGGGCAGGAATGGCTTCGGATTCGGTCACGAGAGATTGGACCACGGCACGTAAGGAATGTTGTTCATCTGTCATTTGCTGTCGTTGATGTTGACTGTCCCGCAGTTGTTCTTGTACATCATCGTGTTCTTGTTGAATGGTGCGTGTGGTTTCTTGTAACTGTTCCACTTGTTGTTGTAAGCCGGCTTGTTGCTTCTGTAACGATTCCAGTAATTTCGCATCTTGTTCTTCTTTGAGCATCTGTGCCTTGTGCTCCTTCTCAAGCTGAATCAGACGTTTACGTGGTATGTCCCAACTATTTGCATCCTGTACCAATTTTCGTTCATCATCCTGTTATTATTTCATACAAAAAATAAATAAAAAGTGAATAATCAAAAAAAAAAAAAAAAGAATTATATTACCTTATATTGTTCAAATAAACGATTCTTTAAAAAGTCCAATAAATGTTCAAAATCCAATTCCAAAAGATGAGTTTCATTTCGTTTCAATAAAGCAAGAGCGAATTTCAAAATAGCATCTAGACCTTCAGTAAATACCATATCGTAGACACAAAATACCAATTCCAAAGGAAATTTGTAGGCAAATAAAGTCATAAACCATTGGGAGGCATACATGGTCGAATCGATGCCACGACGTTGTAAGTGACGTGAAATATGAGGTAAATGTTCAGCAACAAGAGATTCAAATTGGTATAATCGTAAATGAAGACCTTGCATATCTGGGGTAAACATATGACGAAGGCCATAACTTGACATGAGACGAATTAAAACACAAAAAGCTTCTTCATCAGGCATCTAATATATAAATATATATATATATATATATATGTAAATAAGTAAAGTCAGACCAAATACATCATTCTTACATTCAATAATAAAGGACCAACAATAAAAGCGAGACCTTGACAATAGCCAACTTGGGTATCATAAACACTATAAGCACGAACCACATTGTATAAACCTTCTTGTCCAACCCCATCTTGTTCTTTGAAGTAATCATGACCAGGGAATGTGCGTGCCAAATCACGTTGAATCATCTTATCATAAGGACTAGCTGTTCGTAGTAAATCAAGATAGTGTTGTTCTTCCATCAATTCCAGTTGTTTGCTTTTGGATGCTAATTGCCATACCATACCACGAAGAGAAGGTGGAATCCCTTTTTGGACTTGATATTGTAAATCCTTACTTTTATGTATTTGATCAAAATCACATATCACTGTTGTCCAGAATTCTAATAAAAAAAAAAAAAAAAAGAGATATGAATAAGAGTTTTTTTTTTTCTTATTATATATATATATATTCTTTTTACTTCTTACCCCAATCATAATCATCCTTATTTGGTATACTGGATGAAGCCAAAACTAAACTTTGTCGAATAGTTTGTCGTTTCAAATTCAATAATTGTTGTGCTTTGGGATCATTGCCATTGTCGCTATTCAATTGTTCCATTTGTGCCAAAAGAGATTCCTGAAACCCTGGTAAGACACAACTAGGTGGTCGAGATTGCCTTTTTTGTCGTTCGGTGAAATTGTCAGATGGACGTGCAATAACTGGTTTTTTGCTTGTTGGTGTTGCTTTACTGAAAGGTGACCATAATCCAGAGACAAATCGTTGTGTAGTACTTGATCTTGAAGGTGTCATCGTAGGTGTTGTGGTATTGTTCGATGTAGTAGTAGTAGTAGTAGTAGTAGTAGTAGTTGTATCTATGGGTGCAGGCTTAATGGAGCGATCTTTTACTGGAAGAGGAGGATTGTTGTCAGTCGTCGGAGATTTCACTGATTTGGTGATCATATTTGACATTGCACTAGTGGCTACCTTGATGATGGATGAAGAAGACGATACAGTAGTTGTGTCAACAGAAGTATCTGTGATTGAAGGCATTCCCCTGTTGTTGTCGGTTGTGGTGGTGGTAGTAGAGTCTTCCATCAGCGATATTTCATTGAGATCCGAAACTGAAACAGATGAAAGTCGAAGGGTGCTTTTACTATTATTTGCTGATAACGTTGGTTGCGGCGATTGAGTATGATTATCCAGATCTTCCAAATTCACAGCACTATATTCTTCATCTAAGGGCGTTTGATATTCCAATAGAGCTTCCTTTTGCTTGTCATGTTGTTGTTCTTCATTCAATGGTGGGGTGGTGGCACCTGTATCTGCTGATTGGCTACGATTTAACATGAGATTGTCGACTGCCGTGTCACCATCGAATAATTGTTCATCATTTTGATCGACAAAATAGCTGGTACTAGAAGAAGAAGATGATGATGAAGAAAGATTAGACTTTTCATGATTTGAAGAGAGATCATCATGGTTCGTGCGCATATCAGACTGATTGTTGTCATAAACATCCTTTTGTTGATCGATGGTCGATTTGTTTGCATCTTCGAAATGGAAAGATTCATTATCGATGTATTCATTATCGTTGGAATAAACACTAGAATCACTATCATCATTGTTGTTTTCAATAGTTGTATGGGTAATGGGTGATGGGGTATGTTCTTGTTGGTGGTGGTGGTGGTGTGTATTGTCCGAGTCAGAGTCAACAGAGGTATCATCGTCTAATTCATCATCAGTACGAACATGAACAACACAACCAATATTGTCTTGATAATGAGTTTTGTGAGGATTTTCAAGAGGATCCACAGCAGCTACATAATCTTGATGGTCAAAAGTATCAGAAGATTGAGTCGAATCATCAGAATAATACGCGACATTGTCTTCAGTATCAGAGTCATCAGAAAGTATTGTAGTCTTGGTTGGTAATGAAGTAGAATGAGTGGTTTCAGTAAGAACATTCATCTCATGGCAACAAAATAATAATAATAATAATAATAAGAACAACAAACAAATAAAAAAAAGAAAAAGAAAAAAAAGAACACCCAAATTGGATTTATGAAAAATGTGCCTTTTTTTTCTCCCTTCGTTCCACAAAGGAAAATTGAAATAATAATCAATTTCATTTCCCGCTTTTTTTCCTTTGTACTTTTTCTTTCATTTACTTTTGTCTATTCTTTTGTCACATAATGTCAATCAACCTTATCCTATTATTCAACGTAAAATGCTTCATAAAAATATATAAATATATATATATAGAAATTCTCTTCTCATATTTTCATTTTTTTTTTAAAAAAAACAATATAGTTAGTGTTGACGACAACGTTAACTCAAGCAGCGAATCCAATCATGTTTTGTAAATGTTTTTGTGGATCCAATAGTACTATATTCGAATTACCAGTCATAGAAAAACCTTGTGGAAACTGTACTAAACAATTCTGTTTAGACAATGTTGAAAATGGGATATGTGATGGTATTGCTGATGAGACATGTCCTAGTAATGATTTTAAAACCGCTTGTTTTGGTAAGAAATATATATATATTTATATCAAATGAAAAACAAATTCAAAGATTTTTTTTTTATTTTGTTTTGGTTAGCACGGGATTCTTTTAAAGATGAAATTATTGTACGCGTATTCTTGATTGCTGTTGTTGGCTTGATTGTATTTGCATTGATCATACCCTTTTATACTAAATGGAAAAAGGTAAAAATCGTTTATATATATATATATATAAAGGTACTTATATTAAAGTACCTCATCATTTCATTAGGATCAAAAATTACGACGACAATATACTCAAGTGATAGATCAAGATATGCCTTCTCAATAATAACCCATTGATCATACCTCCTGTTTTATTTTGGTTATCCACTTTCATTAGACTCCTGCCTTTATCCCCCCCCCTCTCCTCTCCTCCCTTTTTTTTTATTTATTTATTTATTCTGTACACAATTATAATCATTTTTGTTTTATTTCAATCGTAAAAAGTTGTATCATATCATCACATATACATATAAACATCAAAGTAAAGAAGAATAAATATATCTAAGCTATCTCTATTGTACACCAGTTAGGTTTTCCAATGGGACTAAATGAATCAACCTTCGAAGTCGTTCTAGTTTAGAAAGCTAATAAAAAAAAAACGGGTTAATGATTTTATTTTCTTCTTATCAATCAACTACTTACCCATGCAGGGAGATAGGGTTGAGGAATCGGATTTCGTACTACGGGTATCTCAAATGGACTTGATGTATCATCCAATGCAACAGAATCCAATAACAAAATATCACTCTTGTTTCCGGAAATGACATGTTCCGCCACTGCTTGCAAGATATCACTTGTAATAGGGTTCTAAATATAAGATAAAGTTAAGTTATAATTATTCTTTCCTGTATTTTTCTTCTTACCTCATAATCAGCCACATAATAATTAGACATCAACTTTTGTACCTGAGTAGGAGACAGAATCCAACAAGCTTCATAGATATTTTCAATATCTTCCAAAGTCGCCTATATATATATAAAATGAGTATGATCATCTGTAGCAGATGAATTCGCTATTTTTTTTTTTTTTTTGTTTACCTTTTTCATTTGAAGTAATTTTGTAGATTGCATTAGATGTTCCAACTGTAAAATACCTTCATTGAGATCATGACTTTTGCACCATTCTTCTATCCGAGTAATGTTATATTGAATTTGCATAGCCCGTTTCCATGAAGAAAAGTTCTTGCGCATAAGAAGATCATTGAATGCTGTCACTCCAATCAGTTTCAACAATTCTGTCAGTACTTGTGTGACCACTGATGCTTCTAAACCATAACACTTCATTGCCCGCCATACTTTGTTCAAAAGGTTTAATACATTGTCCATCGTATAGGTAGGTCCTGCAGATCCACCAGGAATAATCCTCTTGTAGAATCGATTGGAATCCGTTGTTGTAAATCCAGGTAAAGATTGTCCTTCCACCACTGCCGAAATCACCATCTTGGACAGACATTTCTTGAGTTCTTTCATCCCTGCATGGAAAATATTGTCTTCTAAGCATTGTAGTTCAAACTTGATTGTTTCTGTCAATTTTTCAAAATCGTTCCATGCCGCTGATCGTCGTAATCCGATACCATTGGTGGAATGTTGACTGGATATCATTTGTTGTTCCTTTTCTTGTTCAGCTACACAGATAATAGATAATAGTTCATGTACATTCGACAACCAGTAGATACTTGGAAGAATAGCATCTTCAACAGTATAGCTCTAGTATTTCCAAAAAAAAAAAAAATGAATACAGATAGATAGCTATAATGGCTTTTTTTTTTTCTTACAAGACATTGTTTTTGAATAGAGTCCATAATAGTAAACAACATTCGTTCAGATTCTTGTACATAATTCAGACGCCACATTTCCATAACACAAATACCAATTGTATGAGCAGGGAAAAATACCTCTTTTGCAGATGGTGGATTTTGTAAACTTGGTAGAGGTATCCTCAATCCTTTGATAAGACCATCAACGAGTTCTTGTTGAAGTCCATCCTCGTCACGTAAAATAGTATGAATCTGTATTTCACCAAAAAAAAAAAAAAAAAAAGGAAATTAATGAATGGAGTCAAATAGTGAAGGAAAAGTTCTAACCTCTTGAATAGATGCTTCATCCAAATCAGTTACTTTGCGTATAGTCTTGGAACCAAGGATCTTGCTGTATTGGTCCACTGACATAGGACGAGGATTTTTGTTTGATATTTCAGTTTGTCGGATATGATCAAGAGAAGATTTGGTTTGTGTTTCACATACACCAGCCGAGCTATTCCGTCTACCACCCACAGTTTTGCGAGATGTACCAGGTAAAATTGTAGGAGTAGGAGAATCAGGAGTTTGTGTATCATTGATGGAGGAGTCTGTTGATAGTTCTTGTTGTTGTTGTTGTTTTATGATGGATGTTGAAGGTGACATGATAGGTGAGACACTTCTTGTCATATGATTGCTTCCACCATTAGGAGCCAAAGATGAACCGTGGATATTGGTTGAAGATGTTTGTCGACGTGGAGCGTGTAACGCCTGGCTAAGTTGTGCTTTGAGTGCTGTGATTTGACTCTTCAAGTCGGTAACAGTATCTGCATCTACCATCGTCTTTATCTTATCGTTGGCTTCGTCCAAATTTTTTCTCAACTTTGTTGTTTCTTGTGCTTGCTGATCCAATTTTGTTGTCAATTCTTCAGTTTGTCGAGTCTTGACCTTGATCTGTTCCGATGATTGTTTGCATTCGTTGATCCAATGATCCCTTTCCACTTCCAGTGCTTGCCATTTTTCCATAGGTACCGTTGGTTCCTTCAATTTGTCTTCTAATCCTTTGGCTTTTCGTTCCATTTTTTCATACTTGTCCATCCATGTTTTGATTTGTGTTTCCAGTTGAATAGTTCGGTCCGTCATAGCTTTCTTTTCATCACGTACCGTTGTCAATGTTTGTGTTAATTCTACCACCTTCATTTCCAAAGCATAGGATACTTCCTTCAAATGGGATGCTGACCGGGCCTCCGAACGCAAAGCGATAAAATGTTTCTGAGCAATACGGCGACGAACACAGGATTGAAGAAGAAGTACAAGTTGAAGTTGTGTCTTGTAATGTTTTCTAGCGAACCAACCTCGAATCATACGCTGAATCTGTGTTGCTGCATAATGTTGTCGACATGTCACCAATTTTTGAGCTCCCAAACGTGATCGAATAGCTATATATATATAAAAAAAAACATTCAATATCGACTGAAGAGAGACAAAATATTCTAATTAGTGGAAACCTTACCAGTTTGTAATGAGAGAATAAACCGTTGTTTGGCCAGATATTGTTTCCGAGCAATGAAGCGTCGCCAGTTTGTTTGAATAACAAGAGAAGCGCGATATCTTCGTAATGCATCCATTTTCTTCTTTGCCATCTTGTGTCGTATCACAGTTTGTAAGCCAACAGTCAAAGATTGAATTCGAAGGTAACGAGTTCGACAGATATATCTACGCATATGTTTTTGTAGTAAAGTAGCACATTGATTAAATCTATCTGCTCGTCGTTTCTCCAAGTAAGCAAGCTGAAAATAATAAAAGAATTATCTAGTTAGTTTTTATTTATATATATATATATATATATATATATATATGTACTTTTTTCTTTTTTTTTTTTATTTATTTATTACCTGTCCAGCACGGAAGAAAATTTTGGTTTTACCAACTTGATACATAGTAGGGTCAGCAATGGCTTCGTCCAAAATAGTAGAAGCTAATTGATGAACATCAGGTTTTTGTCGAGGATCCCAGTGAGAGAATGAAACCAAAGCATAGTAACGATCGACAAATTCTTCAAAAGTCCAGCGTGTCGGATAACCTTCACAACTGATTCGAATTGTTTCCAATACACCACATGCACGAAGTTGACTAAGCACCATATTTGGTTCGAATTCCCAGGCCACCTTTGCTTCATTAGGTTTGATACATCGAATATAATGTACATTTGTTCCACCAATAGTATCCATAAGATTGATCAAAGAAAGTTTGAAAATAGAACCTAATGTAGGTTTGCGATACATCATGCTCATGCGCTTGGATTCAACAGGAGGTGATGGGTTGGCAGCAGCAGCTTTGTCCAAAACTTGTTTCAGGAAGTCAAAATCGGTCGATCGAAGTAAAGCCAGATGTTCATCCGGAACTGTATCCTTGTTCTTGTCCATAAAGTTTTCAGATTCATATTCCACTTGATGAGCATAATGAGATATAGTGAAAGCCTTGTTTGAGAATCTTGGTTTTTTGAAGTGAGATTTGAATTCAGGTTTATCAAAATTAGTATATAATTTTTGAATAAATCCTTCATCAGAACCAGAAGGCATTCTTGATTCCTATTGAAATATATATATATATATAAATGAATAGCTGTAGCCAAAAAAAAAAAAAAAAAAAAAAAAAAAAACCGGAAACTTACTTCATCCAATAATGAGAGAATACCCATACGACCTTCAATAAGTTCAATGCATTTTTGGTTATCAGAGAATTCAATAAAAGTCCAGTTGATCTGTTCACGGACATATTCCTCCTGTTCCAATTTGAAAACATGTTGATTGAACTACATAAATTAAACAAAAAAAAAAGTTAATCATCAATAAAGGGAATTGAATGTTATTTTTATATTTTTTTACCTGTTGTTGAAGCTTTTCATTTGCATAATTAATACAGAACTGTTCAAAAGAATTCTTTTTGAAATGTTCAAAACCATAGATATCCAAAACGCCAATAAAAGTAGCGACATTTGTTTCATCTGATGAGGACAGTCTTTCATTAATAACTCCAACCAACCACTCGAATAGATTTGCATATATATATTTAGCAACAGAATCCTTGACGACTTGAGCTTGTACTGGGGAAAGATTGGTGATGATTTTTTCAGAACGGGTAGTGATTTGTTTGCGTACTATCCATTTTCGAAATTCGGTGGCATTGATGCCAAGAAGTCGAGTAGCAGTCAGTAAGGATTCATCAGATTCAGACACCATTGCATCGGCGCGTCCCGTGATTTGTACATTCCCAATATGTAATAATGCTGCTAAAAGTCGAAAGATACACCATTGTAATTGTACAGATAAGCCGACAGTAGATAAAGCACGTTGTGTATGACCAAATTCCGTTGCATCATCGACATTAGGTATAGAAGTAGGTCCATTTTGATTCAAATAATTAAATGATGTATAATCCGTCAATTCAAATTCCTTCTTTTCAGATAAAGGTGCACCAGCACATAACTATATATACATATATATCAAGAAAAAAAAAGGTTAGTTCTATATGATTCATATAAAAAAAAATTATTTTATTTACCTGATAAAAGATATGATAATTTCTTTCAGTTTCAGGTTGATAAATTAAACGAGATCGTTCCAACAAGTATGTTCGAATCTTTGCCCCAACGATATTTGTATGTTTGTCGAATTGAATTTCAATATATTTTCCAAATCTAGAACTATTGTCATTTCTTGTCGTTTTTGCATTTCCAAAGGCTTCCATGATTGGATTAGTTGCCAAAATTTGTTCTTCTACTTCAGTTAATCCACCATCCGATTTTTTAATTCGCATTCCATTAGATACTTGATCATCAGCTGTAGCAAAATAACGCATGATATATTTTGCACTCACAGTTTTACCAGCACCACTAAATAAAAAATAAAAAAAAGATGAGTGACTTTTTTATTTTAATTGTGAATATTATTTACCTTTCACCAGATACTACAATGGTTTGATTTGATTTTTCATGTACCATACAACGATAAGCATCTTCAGCAATGGCAAATAAATGAGGATCCAATTCTCCACGTCGTCGACCAGAATATTGTTGTACTACATCAGAGTCGTATAAGGATACCCGATCAAATGGATTGACGGCAATCAAAACAATTCCAGAATAGGTATAGATCAAGTGTTGTAAGTATCTTGTACGAATAGTGTTCAATACTTTTTTATTTAAAAAAAAAAAAAAAAAAAGAAAAGTTAAAAAAAAATATTGATTATCCATTCAATTCAATTATCATTATCCATTTTTTTTTTTTTACCTGAAGGCTCATTAAGATAACTAAGATTAGTTAAATCATCTGTATTTTCTAATTTAAGAGGATTTCGTAAAGGTGGAAGGTCTTGACCATTGGTTTTTTCAATTTGAGTCAAAGTAGTTTCATAGACACATTCCTAACCCGATAAAAAAAAAAAAAAGAGAGAGAGTTAATAATAAATAATTATATATTTATTTATTTACTTTATGGTTACTATCAGCTTCAAAGACCAAGCGCACATTGTCAGAAGTAATTAGACTAGAAACACATGTAGTAGAAATCCAAGCTTCTTTCGCGTCTGTAAACCAAGCCTTGGTACCTTTACTATAAACTTCCAATGCTTGTAAGTATGACTCGACCGTCATGTGGTAGTAATAATAGTAATAGCAATAGTAATAATAACAGTAGTAGTAATGTGAATGATAAGAAGAATAAAATAAAGAATCAAAAAAGCAAAAAAGAAAAAAGAAAAAAAAAGAAAAGAAGAAAAGGGAAAAAATGAAGCCGGGAAGGGGAAAAAGAAAAGAAAGGGGGCGGACAGGAAAAAAAAAAAAAAAAAAAGGTTGGTGTATCACGAAACAAGCAATAATAAGAAAAAGAAAAAAAAAAGTGGAAAAAATGAAAAAAATAAAAACGTTTCAGACTTTGTTCATCAATGAAAGAAATAAATACATATGCATTTATACTATTACTATCTACTTTTTATTTGTATAATACTTATTTTTTTTTTTTTATTTACACTTCCCCTCTGTGTCACTTATAATAGAAAAAAAAAAGTCAGATGTGTCACCCTCCATCACTTTATTAAAAAAAAAAAAAAGGTTTATATGTATAATAAGTTTATTTGTTGGATAATATTATTCAAAATAATGTAAAGATAAGGAGAAAATAAAAGTTAGGGACTAATTTTTTAATAATAATAATAAGAATAAGAAGGAATAATAGTAATAATAAAATATGGGGGGTATAAATAAACTATTTTGACTTTAAAGATCATTGCCATAAAGTGTTTTCAAATATTGATCTCTTTCCCTTTCAGCTGGTGTTTTATCTTGAGGAAAGGATGAAGTATCACACCAACTAGGTATTCCAGTTCGTTGTTTTGATCTTGTGCTTCTAACAGTATAAAATGTCATAGATGATTTCTTATTGTCATTATTATTATTGTTTGTTGACGTATTTTCCCTTCTTTGTTGTTGTTGTTGATGCTGTTGTTGTTGATCATCATCCTGTGATAGATTATGAGGAATACCTGCTCGTTTTGATTGTGCTCTACAACTCCATGTTTGTGGTTGTTGTTGTGAAATCCTTACCATGGTTGCTGCACTGCCACTACTTTTTCTACTATGTCCTGTACTTTCTGTATGTGCTGATAATCCTTCAAAATTATCCATTCGTTCTTGCATGATTCTTCGATTGCTGATAGCATCACTAGCAAGGGTTCTCTTTTTGTTGGATATCGCTGATGATTCTATATCGATAGGCTTTTGTCGTTGATTGGGATGTAGAAGATTATCATCAGGTACTGCGTATTTGCTGGATCCAATTGGAGAGTTCGTTGATGTGGTGAGCTGACGATCATTTGTTGATAATCTTCTTTCTTTTCCATCAAAGACTTGAGTTACTTCCACTTTTTCATTAGATGATGATGCTGGTGTATTGATAGAAGGTGAATTAAATAATCCTTCTAATGGTGTTGTTGTTGTTGTTGCTGTTGTTGATTTTTTTTGATAACTTTTTCCAAGAGTACTTGCTCGTCTTCCAAGAATATCATTAGTCAAATATCTTGTTGAATTGGCATTGGTGGAACGACCAGAGACTGTGGTATACCCTGACTTGATAGATGCACGTCGAAGATCTTGTTGACGATTATTCCCATTTGCTTCCATGACTTCTTGATTAAACATTTTCAGAACGGCTTCATCATTGACTAGCATCGAGCGGGTCTTTGATTTTCTTGAAGCTGATCGAATCACACGTCTAGCGGCATGAATGGCTGACCCATCGGAGTGATTATTATTATTATCCTCATCATTTGTGTTGGTAATAGATGATTCTGGCGCTGCTGATGGTGATGGTGATGGTGATGATGCTGAAGGTGATGATGATGATAGAGGTGATTCATTGTTGATCATTCTATCATATTCTAGTGCTTGTAACTCTTTATCTTGATCCAATACTATATTGTTGTGTTCATTTTTCAATGCTAAAGTAGGAGACACGGTCGGATTTTTGTAAGGAGGTGTAGGAGAAGAAGAAGATGGAATACTAGAGGAGGCTGTATGTCGACTGATTTCAGATAAAGATGGTCTAGGAAGGTCAGTACTAGGACGAGAAGGTGAATCAAACATTTGATGTACTGGTGCAGCGCGTGATTTAGATTTTTGTCGTCGTATAGATTGTCGTAAAGTACTTTTGATAGTACCAACCTTTTGTTGTACAGTATTGACAAGTTGAGGCATATCCAAATCAAGAGTAGTAAATCCACCTTTAGTACGTTCCGTTTGCATATATCGTTCAAAAAGTTGCATAGCATCATCAGAGTTCAATTCCATTTTATCAGAGAAAAGAGAAGTTGAAGGTGGTGGGAAAGGTAAAGTCATTTTTTCTTGATCGATCATAGCTGGTTTATAAACTTGATTGGTTGGTTTATTGAGTGATTCCATAGTGACAGTGGATTCAGTGTTAGTACTGGTATGTTTTTCTAATTGATCAATGGTATCTACTGTTCTTCTCTTTGATAGATAACGTCGTAAGACAAAGTAAAAAAGTAAAACAATCAAGAGTCCGACAACGACAGCCATCACTACTAATGCCCATATAGGAAGGTCCAAGGATGTAGGATCTGAGGTAGGATCTATAAGGAGTGTAAGTGAGAACAGGTTTAGTAAAAGCAATACTATGAAAATAATTTTAGTATTCCTTACTAGCAGTAACTGTCAAAGTATAGCATAAAAGGACAAATGCTGACAAGGTACCCTTTAATTGTAGTTTCATCATAAGAGTCAAACAAAAGTACAAATATAGGTTAAAAATAAAAAAATAAAATAAAAAAGTGAGTGTATTTCACAGCAATTCAAAGGGGAGGGCAAAAAAAAAGAAGAAAACGAAGAAAAGGAACAAGAAAAAAAAAAGACAAAGACAAAAAGAATAAAAAAAAAAAAAGTAAAAGCAGGAGATGATGGAGTTTTAAAATAGGAGAACGCGAAAAAAAAAGTAACTTTTTTTTTCTTGTAAGTCATGTACTCCTATTCAAAGGAGTTGGAACAAGGTTGCAGTCAATCTATCATTCAATGTATGACCCATTTTAGTATTTCATCATCACATCATCTAAAAAAAAAAAAAGGAGGGACGATCATAAAAAAAAAAAAAAGATATACACTAAGAAAAAACTTTATTTCATTTTATCAATAAAACACAATTTCTAAACTAGTTACTATTCATAAATAAAAAAAAAATAAAAATCAAAATCAGTTATTTTAACATCAAAATAATGTCAATACATTCATATCACCATCATAAGTATATTCACTATCATCATCATCATCATCACTAATACTGTCAAATATAGTCATATTGCCAAGATTCCCTTCCAATTGTAATTCATAAAGTCCACATGTCCAAACACTAGCATTTACTTTGTCGCCACCATTTATCCAATCATCCATCCATTCATGAAATTTCATTCTCGTACTTGTCGGAAAGTAGAATCCATTGGTGTTCATGATCCATACTTCACCTCGGCATGAACCGCCACATATCAATATCCAAAAATAATGCCGATTATGTGCTGCTGTTCCCAAAAATAGATAGCCGCCTACCATTGGTATCCTGTTACTGCTGTTGTTCTGTCTATTTATCATGCTGGTATGATTCGAATGAGTATTATCGCTGTATCTTTCTAAGGAGATGGATGGATGTTCATATAGTTGGAATAAATCTTCTATAAATGATCTAGTTGTAGGTATTTCCTTGTCATCATCATTATCGTCATCGTTATCATCATCATTATCGTCATTATCATCAATGATATCAATATGATCTTGGTGCACACTAGATAAAGGAACAACAGAAGGACCATCGAAAGGAAACAAATCTGGTAATCCACGTAAAAATGAAGTTTGTCTTCCATTAAAATAAGTAGGGAATGTTCCAAGAGGAAGAAGTCCTTCACGACAAGGAGAACATTTTCCACCATTTCCCACCATTGTCAAGAATAAACGATAATCTTCAGGAAGTCTAACCTAGGCATGATAAAACAAAAAAGTCCATGGTCAATGATTCATCCAATACCTTTTTTTTTTTTTTTTTTTGTTACCGTACAGTATGTTCATTTTCAAATCTAGTAAGATCATAACTTTGAATAATAGGAAAGAATCTGATACCTTGTTCTTCCAATTGATCTTTGAGTTGCCAGATAATAGATTTCAAACCGTCCAAGGTCACACCGGGCATACTTTAGAAAATACAATAGCAACACTTTAAAAAATGATAGTATATAGAAAAGAAAAAGAAGAGAATATTAAAAAAAAATTATTTATTTTTTTTTTAAAAAAAAAAAAGATAAACAGAAGAAAAAGGGAGACGCCCATTCCTTATTTTCTTCCCCTTTCCAGCATAAAGAGAACAAATGAACTAATCAGAAGGATAAATAAAAAAAAAATAAACTTTTTATTATACAAAAATGAGAAAATGATATGAGTGATTGATGTAGATGATATAAAAATAAAAAAAAAATGCGTAAACTAAATCTATTTTCTAAATTTCTTGGAAGGTCGTTTGTTTAATGTATTATCAGATTGACGTTTGCCACCACGATTAGAATCACTACGACGTTTTTGTTGTTGTTGTGTAGAACCTTTCTTCTTGTTGTCACGTTGATTTCGTTGTTCAGCTGTCATTTTACCATCAGGACCACGTTGTGATCTTCGCTCCACCACCTTTGAATTTTCTAATGAGAATTCCACAGTCAATCGTTTACCATCAAATATATCAGGATTGTTGTTAAGGTATCGTAAAGAAGCCAAAGCATGAGAATGTGTGAGGAATTCCAAGAACCCATAACCTTTACTACGACCGATTTGGGTAGCAGCATCTATTCGATCCTTGCTTCGTACAATCTTGGCTTGCTTGACACGAGGTTTGTATTGCCATCCTTCTTCCTTTTCCGCCTTGGTCAAATCAGTCCTAATACCACGTTTCACCTGTTCCTTGAATTTTTGAATACTTTCCATACCTAATTTTCGAAGTTCGGTTGCATCCACCTTGATGGGTAAATTTCGAATAGAAAGACGTGTCTTGGAGATAAATAAAGATGGATCACTACTGACGAATTTTTTCCGTTGAGAGAAGGACATTTGTCGTTTCTGTAATTCTGCAGGTGTAATCGTTTCGGCTGCTGGAGTGTTGGGGAAGATCACACCTTCACGCATCAGGTATAAATTTCGTACATCATCCTTTTTCTTGAGTGAATCCTTATCATCCTTCATCTTTTGAGCTGATTGTCGATCCAAAGCACGGGTCACATCTAATACACGACCATGAAGAGTAAACTTGAGACCTTCACCAGATCCAGCATCAGGAGTAAGAATACTAGAATGTACCATGTTGCTTTTCTTTTTTTCACGTTTAGACATCAATGAGTTGAGAGCATCTTGATCATCAGCGTTATCCTTTCTTGACATCTTGCGTAATGCATCGGCTTCTTCTAAACATTGATCCGCATCTACCTTATTCTTCATACACACAAATCCTGTTCCTCGAGACAATCCTGATTCTTTATCACGAGTAATACGAGCGTAGATCACTGGACCCCATTGTTTGAATCTATTCCAAAAAAAATCAGATTCTATTTTCAAGTATCTCATATTGCGTTTTTTTTTTTTTTTTTTTTTTGTACTTACAGATCCTTCAAATCATTTTCAGTGGTTTCAAATAATAAATTTCGTACAAAAAGGGTGGTTCCAGCTGATACTTCGGGGAATCTATGTTGAGAATTGGATTTTGCAGTTTCGTTATCTTCCATTTCATCGTCATCGTCATCAGATTCCACTTCTTGTTCTTCTTCATCATCATCATCATCCTCGTCGTCATCACTGTCCTGGTTTTCTTCGTCTTGATCGATTTCTTCATCTTCGCTACTATCAGAATCATCATTCTCGTTTTCATCATCATCACTACTATCATCGCTGCTACTATCGTCACTGTCATCACTGCTTTCATCATCGTCTTTTCCATCCTCCATCTTGGTATCGCCTTGTTCATCCACATTGTTTGTTGCTTCAGCATTCTCCAACTTTTGGAATCGATCTTTGGAAAGAGCCCAATCAACAGCAATAGTTCGTCCATGATGTTCCGTTGCATTCAAAGCTTCTACCGCCTTTCAAACAGAAAAAAAAAAAAAAAAAAAAAAAGAGAATAACGTCAGAAAAAATATACAACCCTTTTTTTTTGATATCAAAGAAGTACTTACAGCTTCAGCTTCAGATACAGTATCAAATTGAATAAAGGCAAAACCACGTAAAGGACCATTTTCGAATTTTCTTGGTAGTTTCACATCAACAACTTGACCATGTTCTCCAAAGAGTTTCTTCAGATCCTGTTCTTTATACTTCCAAGGCAAGTTGCGCACAATCAACCGAGCTTGTTTGTTACCTACATCAACTGTTGTTGTTGTTGTTGTTGTTGTTGTTGTTGTTGTTGTTTTTGGTTTTTCGGATTGAGAATGTTTGGCAGCATGTTCACCCGTTGTTTCTTTTCGTCGTCGAGCCAATTCCATTCTAAGTTTCCTACCACCCTTGAATTTGACCGATGATAGTTTTTCCAGAGCTTGTTGAGCATCTTCAGCCAAAGCATAATGGACATAACCAAATCCTTTATTCTTGAATCCAGGTTCACCCTCCTTAACATGTTGATCAGTGACTACAAAACACTTTCGAATAGGTCCGACATCACTGAAAAAACTTTCTAGATCCTTGCTGGTGGCATCGTAAGGAATACCTCGTACAAATAAGGTAGACTTGGCATGACCCTGTTCCTCCTGATTCGTTGACAACGTTGTATCAGACATTCGATATATATATATATATACAAAGAAGGGAGTAAGTATTAAAGATCAAAAAAAAAAAAAAAAAAAAAAAAAAAAAAAAAAAGAAAAAGGGAAAAAGAATCTTTATTGTGTGGCTTGAGGGCGGAGAATCTTCGACCGCACATAAAAAAGTAAAAAAGATGGATTGTTCGAATGCCATAATGATGATAAACTATCTAACGTGATACTATTTCTGCTGATAAAACATGATAAAATATATAATCCCCTTCCTCTTTTTGATATCCATCCACGTTGATTTTTCCATTGATATATAAAGGAGCATCCAAGACCGCAGAATGAAATTCACCATATTCACCACAGATGTCTGCGTTATTGATATCTACATGTTTCTTGATCCATTCTAAAGATAAAATATCACCCACACCATTGTTTTCATCAGAAGTAGAAAGTTTTCTTCGGTTAATACAAGTTACCATTATCTCGAAAGGACGTTGCCACATATCTTGTAGTAGCTCTTGTCGTGAGAGTTGCCATAAAGGTCGTATTAAAGTTACAATATCTTTACAAGCACGTTCCATAAAGTCAGAACATACTTGCAAAATATCACCTAATGAAAAAGAAAATAACAAGAAAAAAAAAACAATGTCATTCTATAGGATTCCTTTTTATTTTATTTTTTATTTTATTTTTTTGTTACCTGTTACTAAACCATGAATACCATATTCTTCCTTTAATTGTTGTAACTTTTCTCTATATGATTCCAGATAATGAGGACCAGTAATAGTACATATAACATGAGGAATATTGAGAGCTTGACTTTGTGCTTTGATGATGGCCATTGGATGAGCACGGAATGGTTTGTCAGGAGGAGCAAAAGTGACCAGCACTGCAACCTTGTATCCTTGTTCAACCACTCTATGAAGAGCTAGAAGACTATCCTTTCCTCCTGTAAAAGATATAGCGACGGACTGTGGAGCCATTTGTTCTGTTTTAAAAAAAAAAAAAAAGAAAAAGAAAAAGAAAAGAAAAGAAAAGAAAAAAAAAAAGCCTGGCATTCATTCCTAAGGTACTTTTTTTTTTATTCAAATGGGCCAATCAAAATCATCAGAATAAAAGCATGAAAATGTGAATCATTCAATCCATCAGGTCAAAAAGCATTGATAGATTTTTATTTTTGAAAATATTTTATTTTTTAATAATAAAACCAAAATGACAAAAAAAAAAAATAATAAAAATAAAGAAAAAATAAAATAAAAAATAAAAGAGAAAAAGGATAAAACTTAATATCTATGCAAAGGGACGCTGTTTTGTGGTTGAGAAGAGGACTGATCACTAACATCATCATCATCCTCATGTAATGTCTTGATTTGGACAGTCTTTTTATCAAGACGAGCTGGTTTTTCACTGAATGTTTCTTGATCATCAAAGGTCATCTCAACAGTATTAGCATCCGTTGTATGAGCATTCTTTATTCGAGTTGTAGCTGCACCATCTTTATTTTTGCCATGATGATTACTAGTAACCCAATGTACCGTCATCACATTGACCTTTATAAAAAAAAAAAAAGGTGAATCAAAACTATTTCTAATGATATCTTATTATTATTATTTATTTCTTACCGTGACATCCACAGTACACATGGTCAAACATACTAATCCACGTTCATTGCCATGAGTCAATACCACTACAAATACATTGATAAATGAAACCAATAAACATACAACTGAGGCAACAAGTGTTCGTCGAGCTAATCGGTAAAGTCTTGATCGTTTCCAATCCATTCTAGAATTTCTTCCTACGTTCATCAATGGTCGCATAAAGAGCCATGTCAAGTACAGATTCAACATCTATATCATTTTTTAAAAGAAATCAGTCGAGGATATATTAAAAAAAATTGTCTATAAATGGGGAAATCTTTTTTTTTTTTTTTTTTTTGTGTTTGTCTTACAAAGTCATATATCTACATCGATGATCATAAATGAAAGAGAGGGAAAAAAAAATAATGATTTGTTAGACATCATCAAATATCTCTATCAAATGTTATTGATTACCATCAATGGGATACTGGCAATGAATTGTAATCCAATGATACACTTTCCATCATCTGTCAAGTAAATGTTCCTAAAGGTTAACTGTATGAAAAAAAGGAAATCAGATCATCATCAGATTTTTTTTTTTTTTTTTTTTTTTACCATAAGTACAAAGATGATGATATAAGGACATAATAAAGCTAAATGGAATCGATAAACACATGTCTTGAGTCGTTTTGTTTTTGTATTTGTCACAATATGAACACGTTCCATAAGCCAAGCATAACCGATGACTTTACTACCAGCATAAAAGACATCGCATGACATCATGCCTAATGTACATGATACCATGTTATCTAAAATATAATTAAGAAAAAAAAGAAACAATTCATTAGTTCATTACATTTTAAATCAAGAATGATGCATAACAATGGATGATGTTGGATGAAAGGAAAAAAAAATATAATACTTTACTGTTATTGGTAGACACCAAGATGGCTGAAGTAATACAAAAAGCCCAAGAGGAGGTATAAAGTAAGAGAACCAAGATACGACCATAGTTTGTATTTCTGAGACTTTCACCATATGTTTTATTACCCATACCGGTGGCCAAAGCAGTGATGCACACTAATGATACCATTTCAGACATGATTTCTAATTCATCAGGACCAACTATACCAGGTGCTATTTCCATCCCGGTGAAATTGGTAGTAGAGTTCCCATAAGGCATTCCCTGTTCCATTTTTTTTTTTTTTTGAAAAGAAAAAAAAAAGGTATATATATATAAAAGAAGAAAGAAGAAAAAAAAAAGACAATTCTTTTTACTTTGATAATTTTATAACAAATGATCATCCGGCAAAAAAAAAAAAAAAAAATGAAAAAAATGAATTAAGGAGAAAAATAGATACCATACGGTTGTCATCAACGAACGATTGAATTAAAGTCAAACGTCGCACAACCATATTAACAAGATGTAAAGTTGATTCGTAATGGATTTCGAAAACTTTATATATTCTTTTTGATTTTTCTTCTTATTTGACGTCTCACCTCTTTTATGGAACGGGAAGCTTCCCTTACCATCCCTCAAAACTCCCTTTTTTTATATGAATCAAGATGTTTTCCGAGTGCATTGTCTTTTTTAAGGAGAAGTCAGTGCCACTATCTACCGTGGTTCAACAAAAAAAAAAAAAAAAAAAAAAAAAAAAAAAAAAAAAAAAGGGGTAACCCCCAAGTTTAATCATCTCTAAAGAAATCACTTGTAGCAGAATAACAAAATCCTTTTTTTTTTTTTATTGTTGAAGAATCATATTGATTTCTTATGTTGCACAGACATTTAATCCAAATCATCAACATTATTCAATATAAACAAATCATCATCATCATCATCATGATATTCATTTTTTAATTTTTCAAAATGAATTGCCTTGGGACGATAATCACGCTGAACATCGGTAGGGATCAAAGCGAGCTTTTCATATTCCCACATGTGTAAAGCGGTAACAAAGATAGTGCGAGACCAAGCTGGATGAAATTGTTTGGCTTCTTGCACGATACTTGCCACCTCAGATACCATCAATTGTTCAGCCTCCAAAAGGGATTGCCATAATAACTGATCGATATATTGCCGTTGAAACAATTCTGATAATGCAGGCTTGGCCATCTCTACCTGATGAAGACGATGCACACATGCCTTGGCTCGAAGCAATAGACTGGCCATCACATGATGCCTACCCACATTGTTTGCCTGCTTGATCGCTTCGTAGGCTTCTTTTTCTTTGTATTCATCAAACCATGCTTCACACTTGGAATGACCTATCATCCATTGTTAATCATCCTTTGCTTTCATCTATTCCCTTTTTTATTTATTATTATTATTATTTTCTTCACCTTTGTATCGTATATAATAATTCATGATTGATCTAGCAGTCATCATAAATCCTCCAAGAAAAAGGAACGGTACTAAAGCTGTGATGATCACAGTCATGATTCAAAATAGATCAATAATATCCAAAAAAAAAAAAAAAAAAATAAGAGAGAGAGAGAGAGCAGCATTGTGTCAAAAAAAAAAAAAAATAATAAAGAATGAGAGCCTGGTTGGTATGATGACCTAAAAAAAAAAAAACAATCACCATTCCCAATGAAATCAATTCATCCATAACCAATCAGAATATAAATCCCATCATGCCTATAAACGAATCAATATATCCAATTTCTTTATTGATTTGATGTTTTGCAAATATAAGTAAGTAATAATAATAATAGTAAAGAAAAAAAAAGAATCCCAAAAAGAATATAAAAAGGTTAAATGACTATTTTCTAAACACAGATATATATATATATATATATCACTAAAGATACACTATCAAGCTTCACCAAGTAACCATTCCACCACAGCGTTTTCTTGTTCTTGTATATCTTCCCATTCATCTTCTGGTAAGAACCATTCTTCATCACCATCGACCACACCATGTTCACTAGCAGTATCATCCATATCATCATCAGATAGTGTCTTGGATTGTGTATTGTTGTTGTGATCTACTTGATGTAATTGACTTGTTCCAGTTTCATCCGTGACAACAAGAGAAGGAGGATCCGATGATTTCTTCTTTGGTGGTGCATCCGTTTGAATGGCCATACTAACCCCAGCAGCAAATCTAGCCGCAGCAGCAGCAATAGCAGCAGATGTTCCTGGTCGTACAGAATGATAAGTAGCAGCTGAAGAAGTGGATGTTGACTTATTGGTGGGTCGCTCCAATGCATTAGGGTCCCGTTGCAAATACATAAATCGTTCTCGTCGAGGAATATAGGATGAAGCACGTCGTTGTGCTATATCATCCAATGAGTGAGCCCTTTCAAATTGTAACACCTTGTCCAGCACTAAACTTTTCCTAGAGGATGATTTTTGTTGAATTGTAGGTGGTGTTGAGAGTTGTCGTGATGTCGTATTAGTAGTATCTTGGTCTGTTGTTGAAGGTGAAGATGTTCTTTGATAAGGTTCATCACGGGTTGTAGATCGAATAGACGAGGCGGATGATTTTTGCTTGACCACTTGATCCAATTGCTTGATGGTGTTGCCCACAGTGCCAGCTGTAGAGATTTTGCGTAAAGTAGTAGAAGTAGTTGCAGTTGTAGTAGTAGTTGTTGTTGTTGTTGTAGAATCCCCTTGAATTGCATCAGCACTTGTATCTGTCACATTGATGGCATAGCTTTCATGTAGAGATTGACGTCGAGAAGGATTTGCCATGGATGCACGTTTGGCCACAATACTGGAAGGTCGTTCGGGGCGCTTATTATTATTATTATTATCTTGAATAGATTCAGGTTCATTCGTCAACTGTTCTTGACTTGATGATGTAGACTCATCGATAGAATCTGTCGTTCCTTCATCTGATGATCGTGTAAGTCCCTTTTGATGTTTGCTACCAATCAAATCAGGTGATGACTTGCTTTGTTTTCCTAATCGTTGCTGCTGTTTCGTTGTAGAAGAGGAGGAATCAGTTCTTTTGACCGTTGTTGTATATCCAGGTTTTGTATCATTGCCATTTGTCTCATCCTTTCCATTTGATGATCCTTTTTGTTGCTTGGCTGCTTCTTCTTCCTTTTCCCTTTGACGACGTAGATTTTCCCGACTTTTTCTGTTACTGAGACTACCGCGGCGAAGAGTGGGGCGAGATGACGAGCCAATTGGTTTTGCAGTAGTAGGTGTGATCGTAGTGGTAGTAGTTGTAATATTAGATGTAGTAGTCGAAGGAACCGTTTGCGATGGCTTTGGAGAGGATGTATCCACAGATGAAGGTTGTTTATCCGATGCTTTTGATGATTTGATGGATGATGCAAGCGATGAGGATGAGGATGATGAAGGCAGTTTCATATCGGAAGGCACAGGAGGTCGATTTTTCGATTGTCTTGAAGAAGTTGACGAGGTGGGTGTAGGGAGTGACTTTTCCACAGCTTTGATTTTGCTTGTTGTTGAAGAAGCAATAGAAGAAGAATCTGTCGATGGAGGTTTTGGTGCTTCACGAGGGTTTTCAAATCGATGATCAGTTTTAATCATCTTTGGCTTTGAATCACGTTTTGGTGTAACAGCTAAAGTGGTCAATTTCTGTTGTTGCAAGATATAGTCGTTCAAAATCGAATCATCCATTTGTAATGATGATGTTCCAGATTTTGTAGCAGTTGATGGTGTTGTTGCGACAAGAGGAGAATGTGGGCGATGATGATGACCAGATGGTGTTGGAGTTTGAGGCCTAGAAGTTGAAGTTGAACTAGTTGACATTCGAGGGACAGAAGCAGATCGACGTTTCCAAGCTGGTTTCGAGGGTATAGGATCGTCCAACATTTGATCCTTGATTTCAATGGATTTCAATCGATATGGAGTAAGTGATACACGCATAGTATTACCAGAACGAATCAGATCTTCAAAATTCATTGTAGGAGCATCCGGATCATAGGCTGAAGAGTAAGCTGGTTGTTCAGTTGCGAACGAACCTTGGTCATTCTTGAATACCTTGTATGACTTTTTGTTGGATAAGGAAGAAGAGGTAAGACTGGTATGAATGGATCCATTACTGGTGTTATCGGTCATTATAGAAACAGGACGTTTGTTACCATTGGATTTCACAGAATAATTGGAAGAAGAAGCATGAGGTCCAAGTCCAGAAGATCGTTGAGGATTGGTATCATCATCATCGTCGTAATGTAAATCCAAATCATCGAAATTGATTTCTCCCAAAAGATTCTTTCCTTGATGTTCAGAGGCTATAATTAAATATATTAATCATCATTTTTCTTTCAATTGATAATGATAATAATAATAATAATAATAATGTACCTGTAGAGTTTCGGATGATATTTGGTTGAAGTACACTTGATCTGGGCATATAACCATGTGCAAAGGAGCGTTTCTATAATAGTCAAAGATTGAAAAAAAAAAATGAGTTATCAAATAAACCCCTCCTCCTTTTTTTTTTTTTTTTTTTTTTTTTATATTGATCTCATCTAATATAAACTTACTTCCATTTTATCTCGTAGATCCATTTGACGAAAAATCATGCCAACTTGTACATCATCAATCAATGCCAAAAAGAGTTCTTTGATGCGTACATAATCAGTATCTTCAGTTTCAGCCGTCAAAGCTACAGCAGTCAATATATATTCAGCCATATGTTCTAATACAGTTGTCACATAGATTGCCACGATAGGAGAGATAATAAGATCATCACATTCTTCATGAGGCATCCAAGATTGTTGATCATCTTTGTCGGCCAAAGTACAAAATTCAAAACATTTATCCCGGAGAAGAGGTAGACATTTTTGAGTTGGAAAAGGTGTACCAATGGATCTCATTTTTTCATATATATCATAATCAATCACTTCTGTTTCAGTAAAAGTTTTGACTTCTAATTCAGCTTCCACAATTGCATTCTTGCCAAGGGTAGAGGGTAACAAGTTGAAAACAGAGGTCTTGATAAGTGATAAGTCCAAAGATTGACAATTAGTTAAAAGATGTATTAAAAATTCGTCAAGGAATTGGTTGATTCCTAACAGTGCATCAGTAGATACTCGATAGGAACCGACTTCAGAGATGATGGCGTTAGCTGCACGTTGACATATATAACGACACTCTATTAAAGAAGAAAGGGAGTAAGTCAGTATATATCAAGTTTAATTCAGTCTTTTTTTTTTTCTTTTGTTTACCCCTTGACATTGAGGCGAATCAAGAGTAGGTTGGTATGAATAATAAATTGTAATAATAATAAAATAAAGGGTAAAAGAATAAAAGCAGTAGAGAGAGAAAGAGTATAAGAAAGGTATTGAAAAGAAGAAAGGTAAATAGTTTTGGAGGAATCAGTACATAAAGAAGGGTAATAATAAAAGAATGGAGTTAAAAGTAAGAAAAAAAAAGTAATGGGTTTAAAGGAATGTATAATGAAGGAAAAGTAAAAAACTTTTCAAATAGAAAATAATAATAAAAAGGTAAGAGAAAGGGGAAAGAGAAATAAAATAATATCAAAAAAGGAACTCATATGTAAATAGAAAACGTGCGAGTCGCAGTTTGAAATAATAGCAAACAAACTCGCATGCTAATTATTATCACCAAAAAGATGATCCATCTTCTCTCCTTTTTTTTTCAAAGTAGGAACATTTAGCCAGTTGCTTACGGGAGAAACAAAAAATAAAAAATAAAAACAAATGATCACTTGATATAATGCTACTTTATTGTGTTTTATGCAGACTTGTTCTTTTTTTTTTTTTTTTTATAAAAGAAAAAATTTATTCTTCAAAGTTACAAACCTTATGCACACATCAACGTAAAAGACTCCTTTTTTTTCAGTACCGCCAGATTTGAAATCGAAGAAAAATACAACTTTGATAATAAATTGAATCTCATTATAATGTTGTTTATATTTGGTCACAATGTATCTGTCATTTTGAAAGGCTAGCCCATTTCGTACCTGACCCTCTTGTCAACTGTACTCTTGTCAGCCACTCTGGATAAAAATTGAATTACCGATTACCATTCTGGGGGGAGTCCCAGAATTTTTTTTTTTACAAAAACTTTTTTCTCTCTTTCTTTTCTTGTCTTGATTGATCTACTTTGCAAAATCATGGTTCATCGTGTTCCATTTACCAAACTTATTCATCATCCTACTGAACCTTCTCTTGTACTTGCCAATGGTGCAGAATTTCTTGTTGTCAACACCAAGTAAGGAAAGAAAAAGGAACGACAGTATATCAATATTGAACTCTTCTTTTTTTTTTTTTAAAAAAAAAAAAAAAAAAAAATGATCTAGTGATGGGAAAATGACAAAGGAATACCCAAAGGAAAGTGAAACCAAACCCACGTCTCAAGAACTTCATCGTAATATTGATTTCAGTCAGGATGGTAGCCGATTGGTAACTACGGGTGATGACAAAAATATACGCGTCTATGATACCACTGATCAATGGAAGCAACTTTTCTCTCGACCTGCAAATAAACGTGTCAATGCTTTACAATTCACAAAAGATGCTTCTACCATTGTTGTCGCTGATAAATTTGGTGATGTTCACTGGTAAAAAAAAAAAAAAAAAATTAAGGAAAAGAAGGAATATATACTTATTGTTCACTCTCTTCTATGTATATCTGTATAGTCATCCTGCTGAAGCTGCCACAGAAGACAAACTGGCCCCTATTGTTGGTCATGTCTCAATGCTTACTGATGTGGTAAGAAACTCTCTCTCTTTCTCTCCATATGTATATATTAGCTAATCTACTTGATTACAAATGCCTTCTGATAGATTTTATCCGATGATGAAAAATACGTTATTACTGCCGACCGCGATGAACATATTCGTGTTAGTCGATTCCCCAATGGTTACAATATTGAAAACTATTGTCTTGGACATACAGAGTAAATGAAAAACTAACAAGAAATATAGAATGAATACTTATTTTTCGATTTTTAATCAAAAATGTAATAGTGTTGTCACCGTGATTCGATTACTACCTTGGAATGTGAATATGATGGTCTCTGCAGGTGGTGATAATACTATTCGCACTTGGGATTTCGTCAAAGGTGCTCAAATTCAAAGTTTGAATTACTTGGATTACATTAAACAATATGTCAATACTCCTGTAAGTGGATTGAAAGAAAGAGAAAAAGAGAAAAAAGTGTACCAATTCATGAATGGAACATATCTGATTCATGTTTTTTTTTAATATAGGCTAATGAAAATTCACACACTGAAGATCCTATTGTGAGTTCCATCAAATTTGACAAGACATCAAAGACAGTGGCTGTTGCATTTACAAAGTAAGTTAATAAAGCATTCGATTTTTTGAGATTTTTATGGGAATTGATCTGATCTCTATTTCCTTGTTATTGATAGGGTCTCTGCTATCTTGTTACTGGAATGGAAAGACGATGAGAAATCACTGGTATACAAGGATGTCATTCATTGTGATCGACCTGTATTGGATATCAGTTTTGATTTACAAGGCAAGTTATGGACAAGTTTGGCGCCTACTACTGAATCAGATGCACTTTTGGTTATCTATTCTCCTGTCAATGAAAAGGTAGTGGGATAGATTGTAGAAATAAAAGAAAATAGGTTGTAAATTGACTTTTTTTCTTTTGTTAGTATGAACTTCTTCCTAGTGATCACAATTTATTATCTTCAGTAAATACAACTCAGGTGGAATTAGGTAAAAGTGAAAATAGCAATGGGATGTAGATAAATAGCAAGTGTCATTGACTTCTTTTTTCTTCTTCTTTTTCTATTTAGTGGAAACCATGCCTGATCTCTATTCTCTTCTCAGTGTACGAAAATACTATGATCAATTTGAAGAAGATGATTCTGGCAAAATGAAGAAACGAAAAACAGGATAGATTTAAGTTAGAATGTCATATAGATACAATACAATTTGTTTATTTTATTTTATTTTATTTTTTTTTAAAAAAAAAAAAAAGAAAGATTGAAATAAATATATTTTCATTCATTTATTATCTTGTATGCGTATCGTTTACAAATATAGATATGTAAGCAAAGATAGATATAATTGAATCAAAAAAGAAACTAAAGGGAATAATATATGATCAAAAATAGGAGTAACAAGAGAGGGGAAAAGCGTACAATGATGAAAAATCAGGTATACAACTAAAAACTAGGAGATAAAGAGAAGTGAAGGGGTATCAAGTAGAAAAATAAATAAATAAATCAAAAAAAAGAAGTAAACCCAATTGATTCTATATGTCTATCTAATGATGATGATGTTGATGATCCAATTCTAATAAATTCACCGCATCCACACATTGATTTCCTTCTTGTTCCAATCCATTAGCAGTTTGACCTTGTTGTTGTTGTTGTTGTTGTTGTTGTTGCTTGTTTGTCAATGAAGATCCACCATCATCATGAGACAATGTCACCAATGCTGGAGTTACCTTGGGTATATTATTTTCAATGTTTGCTTCTTGTTCCGTGTCATCATTGGGAGGAAGGTGATCATTACCAGAAGAGAAAACATCATGTGCCATATTGGTCAGTCCAGAGAAAAGATGATTCAATTTGGATTCACTTCGTCGATGAGAGGATCGATTGTTCATACGAGATGCTGCTACTGCTGATGAAGATGTTGTAGATGAGGTCGAAACAGATGGTGTGGGTAATTGAATCAAGGTTGACGACTCTGTTTCATCATTCGTTCGATCTACCAGTTGAGATGCCAACGAGAAACCACGGATCACTGAGCTTCGTCTTCGATGTCTTTCTTGCTGTTTTACCTCATCGTTACGATGTTGTTGCTGGTGATGATGAAGTGAGACTATCGTATCAATTCCTCGTTGTTGTTGTTGTTGTTGTTGCTGATGGTATAATTGATGCTGATGTTGTTGTTGTATAATGGGGTTAACACGTCCACTTGCAAAAGGACCATTGAGTTCCAGTCCAGATGTCGTTGTTGTAGCTCCATGATGATGACGTTGATGATGAAATGAAGATAATGGTTGATGAGGTATAGTTGTTGGATGAGAAGTGTGATCCAAACCTCGATCGTCAGACTCTTCTAAGCTTGTACGTGGACTTGTCATTAATGCTGTCGCAGCTGAAGCTTCACTAGCCAAACTTGGTAATTCGTCCTTATCAGGTTTTAATGCAAGAGCACCAAGTCGATTGTTGCGTTTGGAAGTGATCAAATAAACACCAACAAATTCAATAGCACATCCAGACATGAAACTGATTGTAAAATAAAATAAAAAAAAAGATTTAGTTTTTTTCTATTCTATAGTATTTCAAAATATATATATATATATATATATATTTACCGTGACAATTGATCAAGACCCATATCATCAAAATCATGATAGATGATAGCACTTCCAATAATGGCAGATACTGTAAATAAGACAAATTGAGTGGGAATAACAGCCGTAGAATCAAATCGTTGTAAAGCTTTATTGAGGTACTTGATTTGTAAGATAGCAGTAACAACCAGAGTTAGAATCAAAAAGTAGGATATTGGGTAACTATAGTTAGGAAAACGCGAATAAATAAGTGAGATAAATGGGAAAATGAATGTATCACAAGATAACTTACGCGAACATATTGAGAAGAGTCAAACTGAGTAATGAAGCTACACTTTTTGTACAAAGAACAGTATAACCACCTAATAAATAATAGAATATATTATTATTTTTACTTTTATTTTTTTTTTTTAGAGTCTTACCATAAATAGCCACCAATCCTAAATCTACTAAGATACTTTCAGCGCCATACCAAGGAGAAATAGCAGTAAGAGTAACAATAGCTGCACCAGATATAATAAAATAAATAATAGAACGAGTTTGCATTAATGCTTCCATGATAAGATCGGGAGATAACTATGCAAAAAGAAGAGAAAAAATTTATCGTTAATCTAGTAATTGACCCCTGGTAAGCAAAACTTACAGCTGTTTCTTGTTCATTTGAACTAAGAACTACAATAGCTGCACCTGTTACAGCAAGTATAATACCAAGGAAATCCCGTTTTCTAAATACTTCTTTTAACATGAGTGGAGCCAAAATGACATTAGCCACTAAGGTAGTAGTTCCCAAAGGAGCAATAGTTGATGCTGGTGCAAAACCATAAGCTAAATAAAAGAAAAAGTAAAAAAAAAAAAAAAAAAAAAAAAAAAAAAAGTTAAGTTTGTCATATATATAGTTTTCTATCCCTTTTTCCTTTTCTGGTCACTCCTATTCCCCCCCCTCTTGTAAAAGAATATTGATACTTTACCCACAAAGTTACCAACTTCACCCAAAATCATTAGAGTAATACCGAGCCACCATAATTTAGAACGAAGATATTCACTATCACCATCACGTTGTTCTTGAGCCATAGCCATAATAAAACGTTGATGTTCCAACTCCTCTTCGGGTGAATTGGAAAGATCTTCCGAAGTTCTAGGTGAAGAGTAACCATCGTCAGGGTAAAATGCATTGCCGGTATATGAGCTGTGTGAAGAGGCTGATATCCAACGAGGAGGTTCATCCATATTGGCGAAATATTTTGCCATTTGTTGTTCTTGAAGTTTATTATGCTAATATAGAAGAAGACAAAAAAATAAGAGTCAAAAAAAAAAAAAAGAGAGAGAGAGAGAGAATATACTCCAGTGACAAAAGAGTCATTATCATTTCTTTTTTCAACTTACAGCAAGTTTTTGAACATTCAAAGCAACAGATATTAGAGCCTATTTTAATAAAATGAAGTGAGTATTTCAAACAAAATCAAGAAATGTCAAACTAAAACTTACATTGCCGCATACAGAGACAACCACACCAATGAAGGTTTGGAAAGCCATATCCCTTTCTTCTTGGTCAGTATCCATAATAATAATAATTGGATTTCTATATATCTATATATCAATATGCTTTAAAGTTGGACGGTATAATAAAAAAAAAAGAAATAGGCATAAATTGCCAAATAATAGTGGGTGAAAAGAAAAAAAAAAAAAAAAAAGGAAAGGAAAAAAAAAATTGAGACCTACCCATAAAAGCCAAGGGGAAGAAGAGGCAGAGATTTTTTGATTCTCAGTAAGCTTAAAACTCTATTAAGGTAGATCAACACGCGCACCATAAATAGTTTGTATCCCCTTTCTTTTTTTTTTTTTTTTTTTTTTTAGTTTTATTATTATTTTATTACTTTTTTTTCTTTTCTTCTCCTATCTAGAAAAAAAAAATATAATTTATTACTTTTTCTTTTTCTTTTCTTTTTACTCATTATTCAACCAATATGAGTGTACAGGCAACTGTAGCTTTTCTCAATCGACATGATGTCAATGATGATACTCCTATTCCAAGACCTATACTTCCTTTATCAAAGAACAATACATGGACAACAAAACTATCCAAAACCACTCCAACAAATACTTTGGTTAAAGAAGAATCTTACAACAATAATAGTAAACGATCACTGAAATCTCGGTCTGTTCTTGATATGTACACAGAAGAACTGACAAATTTATATCAAGAAGCAATCAACAAATACGAAACAGCTTGTGAAACCATCAAAAAATTGGAATCAGATGTAGAAATCTATGCATGCGATTCGACAAAGGTACGAGATTATGAAATTCGAGTGGAATATTTGGCTCAGAAATTGGAACAAGTCTCTGAAGAACGAGATCATTTGGAACAAGAATTATCATCCTATAAAAATCGTCATGGAAATTTGGCTACTCCTGTTTCTCCTGTATTTGGTCCTGATATCTTTGGTGGAAAAAAATCTACTGCTTCTCAAAAGGATGATCATCTTGATAATCAAGAATTGGAAGATCAAGAAAAACAACAACAACAGCAGCAGCAACAGCAGCAACAACAACAGCAACAACAGCAACAGCAACAACAGCAACAGCAACAACAACAAGAAGAAGCTTATTTTGATGATATATTGGATGCTTATGAAGAAAGTCGATCTCAACATACTAACGATCAAAACTATCAACAACAAATGGAAATGATGGAACAAGTGTTAGCTGAATACGATCAAGGTATGAAAATGGCTATGGAGAAATATGTGGCTGATTTAGAACAACAACGACTGGAAAACAAGACATTACAATCGATGGTCAAGAAACAAGATGAACTTATCGCCAAGTTGGAAAATCGAGATAGTCAAAGCAATGATTCAACATCATCTAACGACCTACAACGTACTCAAGGTGGCTCAACACATGATCAGAATCTTTTAAGACAGCAAGTGGAATTACAACGTATCGAATTGGAAAATAAACGAGATCTTTTGACACAACTATTGAACGAACGTGATGATTTATTGAAAAAAGTGAACGCCAATACCAACAAACGTAATAATAGCGATAATGACAATAGACAACGACGTACTCCATCCTATAGATCATCCATCGATATGTTGGCAGAATTGGCTCGCGCAGACAACATACCAAAATCACCTGCATCCATTCGATCTCTGGGTTCACAATATCAACTTCAACAATGGGATACTGGTCGTAGTACTCCACCTCCTTTTGCACCGCCTAGAACACCACTTCCTCCTTTACCGGCATCCGATCAGCTATACAACAGCAACAACAACAACAGCAGTAACAATATCCTTCATAACAATGACTCTGGTATAACTCGGAATTCTTTGGTAAGCTATTCTCGTAGTTCTTCTTCATCCTCTTGGTCGTCAGAAGAACAACCACATCATCCTCTTTCAACGTTAACACTTCCACTCAAACACAACAGTAGCAACGACAATACGATCACTGATTCTACTGCCTATCCATCTCTGACCAACACTTTATCCAATGATAACACTGAGCCTACTCCTCCTACTACTACTGGATCTTTTTGGAAAGGATTGAAAAAGAAATTTTAGATAGTTACATAGTTAGATAGTTAAATAGAAATAGTATATTTATTTATTCCCCCCGCCATTACTCCTTTTTTTTTTTATTTTGTCCATACATATTACTATTATTATTATCATCATCATCATTCATTTATTCCCATTCTTTTTTAATAGCCCCCGTTTGATCTTCTGTACATTAGTCCCTTTTTTTTCTCTCCACGTTTTATTTATTAACAGGTATCCAAAAAAAAATAAAACAACTATTTTTATTGATATCATATATATGCTATTCCTAATTTTATTCTACATATTAAATCTTACTCGTGTTCATCCCCATGCGGCAGTTGTACAATAATTGATAATTAAGTGTCCTCCAGTGCCAAAACACTAATATATGAAAATAACAATAAAAAAAAATAATTAAAAATTAAAAGAGAATATATATATATGATTACTTACTTTGTAAAGATTGGAAACAGTTTCGTCTGGAGAAGGAGAAAATGCACTGTTGATATAAAGGAACTATATGTATTTGATATACAAACAAAAAAGTAGAAGAATCAGTGAGTGAGAGACAGACGACAAGTGAGTCATGTATTATTCCTTTTTTTTTGGATATCTTACCAAAGGATCACTACCATGGTATTTGAGTTCTTTTCGAAGAAACTGAATTACTGTTTGAAACTTGTTGGATGCTGTAATTTTATAATAACTTTGCTTGAGGATGGGAGCATTACCTATAGCTGCAAACCGTACTATGACTTTTCAAAAGTTCAAAAGAGAAAAAAAAAAGAAAATAGGAATAGTCTATAGATTAAAAACCAACTATCTTCTTCTTTTTTTTTCTTTTTAATGGAAGTATTATTATTTTTTTTCTTTTACCTTTGGAAGTATCTTTAATTTTCAATGTTGCTACGACACTATCTAGAGTTTGACCCGAGTTAGTTTGAGAACCAAATGGTGGTTGGTCATCGGTTTGTTCCATAGAGGCATTGTCATTAGATGATGTCGGTGAAGATATTGTTGCTGAAGATGGTGAGGCTTCTGCCATAAAGATGTTATAAAGGTCAAATCCTCCAGAGGTGACACGTAGAAAAAAGAAACAAGAAAGTAAAAATGAGAAGAAGAAAAAAAGATCAAGCAGTAAAAAAAAAAAAATCAAACGAATTTTGCTCATGCCTTTTTTTTTTTCATCTCACAACCCCGCTCCAGAGCATATTTTGATTTTTGGCTGTAGATCCAAAAAAAAAAAAAAAAAAAAAAAAAAAAGTAAATCATCAACCTTCAATAGCTCTAATCAAATTTAACTCCCAGCATTGCTTTATACTTTTCATAATAAGTGGTCTCATCAATGATCATATTCATCAATAGGCAATTGTTGTATACATATAACTGACAGAATCTTCATTTCATCTGATCGACAGAAATAAAGGCACTAATCTCAAAAGAATATCCATCCAACCAATCATCATCATACTTTTATCCCTCTTCAATCATCAACACTTTAATCATCGACTACTTCTACCGTCAACACTTCAATCATCAACACTTCATCCATCAACAACATCATCTCCTCTCTTCTGTCACTGATAAATTGGAAGTTGTGACGGACATTGAATATCCTTGACGCGTTGTAAAAAAAAAAAAAAAAAAAAAAAAATCTTTTGTCTTTGTGCACTTTTTCTTTATTGTTTCTTTTTAAAAACTTTTGCAGCATAATGACAGATACAGTACCAGGTAAAGTTCTATTAAGAATATAAGGATAATTATTCTTCAAAAACGCGCTTATTCACATCAAAGTAAATACTGTTTTATCTTAATTGTTAGATAAAGACGAACAAAAACAGATTGATGAAGAATATCAATTATGGAAGAAAACAACACCAATGTTATATGATCTGGTTGTGACTCACAATCTAACCTGGCCTACACTCACTTGTCAATGGATGCCCAAAGTGTCAAAGTAAAACAAAGAAAAAAAAATAGATTTTTTTTTTTTAAAGAAAAACAAATGCTCATTATATTACCTTATTTTCGACTGTTAGTGATAACGGGTATACAACACAAGAACTTTTGATTGGAACGCATACAAACGATGAAGAAATGAACTATACTCAGTTTTTATCTGTGGATTTACCTCGGGAAGACCAAGATATGGATTCTTCAACATATAATGGTAATAGGAACAAAATGGTCGTTTTAGATATTGATATTATATATTTTGATAGAACAAAAAGCTCGTATGAGTTTAACTCAGAAAATGGAACATCCTGGTGAAGTGAATCGTGCACGTTATCAACCATCCAATCCCAACATTATTGCTACTAAAACACGTGATGGTCCTGTACTGATATTTGATCGAATGGATACTACTACACCCAGTACACCACTATTACGATTAACAGGCCACTCAAAAGAAGGGTAAATTAACAATACAAAAAAAAAGAAGTGAGAAAATCAAGAAACTGATTTGTATATTGACTTTTTAGATATGGTATGGCTTGGAATCCTCATGCTAGCAAATCAAATCATCTACTTAGTGCTGGGTTTGATCAAATGATATACCAATGGTAAAAAAAAAAAAAAAAAAAAAAAAAAAAAAAAAAAAAAAAAAAAAGTATGAGACAGAAAATTTATTAATATATAATATTCTGTTCTAGGGATATCGGATTGACTCCCGATAGCGATGATAAGAAGACATTGGTACCCTATCAAAGATATGAAGGTCACCTTGATTGTGTGGAGGTAACATAAAAAAATGAAAGGCGGAGACACAAACATCAAATGCAACTTTATCAATAAAAAAAAAAAAACTGAAAATAAGCTTCTTTTCCTATTATAGGACGTTAGTTGGCACTCATCAAATACTTCTATATTTGCATCTGTAGCTGATGATATGAAACTGATGATGTAAGTTACCCAAATAAATAAAATAGACTTTTTTTTTAACCGTATACTGATTGTCTCTCGTTTGTTTGGTATTCCTAGTTGGGATGATCGTTCGGGATCAAAACCGACACAAAAAATTCAAGCACATAAAGCTGAAGTCAATACAGTGGCTTTTCATCCACATCAAGAATGGATGATTGCAACAGGTTCTTCTGATAAGGTAATAATCAAATGAAATGAAAAATAACAATAAAAAAAATGAAACTAAGCCCTTGAATGATGTCATTTTTATAGACAATTGGTCTATTCGATATACGCAAGTTGGAAACGAAATTACACACTTTTGATATGCATGATGGTGAAGTACACCAAATAGCTTGGAGTCCACATCATGAACCTATTATTGCTTCAGCAGCCACAGATCGAAAAATCATGATATGGGATTTAAGTAGAATTGGTGAAGAACAAACTCCTGAAGATGCTGAAGATGGACCTCCTGAACTCATGGTAAATAATCTTAAAAAAAAAAAGATCATTATTATTCACTTTTTATTATTCAAGTTTGTACACAATGGTCATACTAGTAGAATTTCTGAATTCAGCTGGAACCCTTTGGATCCTTGGATGATTGCCAGTGCAGCCGAAGATAACATTGTCCAAGTTTGGCAAGTGGTAAGTATAGTTTATTTATTTTTTATTTTATTTTATGATTTCATTGGTGTGGATGATAGGACGGCTATCATAACTGATTCCTTTTTTTTTTTATTATTGTTATCATAGTCTAGAAACATTTACACAAACAAAGATAGTATAGAAATTAGTATAGCAGAATTGGAATAATATTAAATAAAAACTTTTTTTTTTGTGTTTGTTATTTGATGAACTCCTCATTATTTTGATTTTTGGCTAAGAAAGACGTGCCATTATGTATAAATGGGACAATTTTATTGATAAAGAAAAATTATTCACACCACACCACGTGGTCAAAAAGGAAATCAAAAGAGGGGGGAAAATTTTTTGAAAGGGGAAGAGATAGAAATTTTTCGTCATTGGCAGCCAATCAATTGATAAGGATGAATGAGTGTTAAAAATCAAGGGGGGCACAGACTGTTGCGACATAAGTTGATATTGATACGATTTCTCTGAAAACCCGAGTTAAAAAAAACTCCGCATGATAGAGAGAGATATATATAAACCTCTCACTTTCTTTGTTCTCTTTCTTTCTTTCTTTCTTTCTTTCTTTTTTTTTTTTCTATTGAATTACTTTTTTATAACGTGATTTTTTTTTTAATTTGACATACTTTATTTGAAAATAATATATATACAATATGGATGATCATTGGTGTACTAATTGTGATAAGGCTATTAGTGCTTTCTCTGTAAGTAATTAAAACAAATATTATATTTATAACTCATTATTTTTAAATTTTATTTTAGAATTCTCTTTATTGTTCAGAAGAATGTCTTCGAGCAGATGCATTGAACCACCATCCTCTACTTGGGTATGACTATGCTGAACTTAAGGACTTTCCACGATCTACTTCACCCGCCATGTCAAGTTCCTCTTCCATTACTCTGTCACCTATACCGTCTTTTACTCTACCTTCGCCTCAAGCTTCACCAAAATATCCTTATACCAAACAATCGTTTTCCTGGGATCATAAGTTATCACCACCGATACTAGAACTGGAACCAAAACTGAATACTCCTCCTTCTTCTCCCATACATCAAAAACGTTCCACTTTGTTTTTTATTTAATTTTATATATCATTGTTACTATTTCATCTATTTTGTCATATTCCCCTTTCCCTTCTCTTTCCCCTGACTCCTCCTTTTTGCATTATCTATCTTTTTTTTTTTTGTTTTCACCATATCATCATGTCTTTTTTTGTATATAGAACACACTTAAACCCGTTTTTTTTTTTAAAAAAAAAAAAAAACAATATCATCCTTTTACTTTTAGTATATCCTTCCTATCTATTTGTTTCCCTACTCTTTTCTATTTTGAAATAAAAAGAAGGATAACATATTATACCAATGGAACATATGCCCCTACTTGTTTTCTTCTTTTTCTTTTCTTTTTTTTTACATCTAACACTCTCATCCAATCAAAAAGCAGAAACTACTCACGACAAACGCCGAGAAAAAAAGCGACCCATTCATGCGTACAAAAAAAAAAGATGCATTCTCGACTGGATGATTTTTCCCACACAAATTAAAAATGCCCCATTCCTTTTTTCCTTGCCTCCCCAATGAAGGATGGTGTAACGGGAGATGCAAGGTTTCATTAGCCTAAAAAAAAAAAAAAAAGAATCCTTTGACTCACCGATCATGATGAGTTTCTTTTTTTTTTTTATCAGATCCTTTCAAATCTGATATCAGATTAGCGGATCTTTGAGGGACTTTTTATTTCTTTATTAAAACTAAATCATTTGTAAGACTTTGATCATTCATTATAGCATCATGTTTTAGTTTAGATCTTAATTAAGATATCTCAAACAAATGAACAAAAAGAGTAATAAAAACAAGATCAATATGGAATAACTTTATTAATGAAAATAAAATGATACATATATAAAAAAAAAACAGAAAAATAAACTACAAAAAAAAAAAAAAAATGACATGAGAAAAAAAAAATTGCTAGATTAGTGTATATGATTGGAGTCATTGGAACTATTATTGCTTCTATTGATAGAGTATGGAATCATGGTAGATGATCCTGAATAAGTAGGTGAAGAATCTAATGAAATACGATGCTGGTCTCTATTTATCGGTTCCACCATATGTCGATCTCCTGTTGTCTCGTCGAATGAAGTCGATGATCGCCGAAAGAAGGAAGGCTGATTGTCTTCTGATAAATCCTCGGGTTCAATAGTATTTGATCGCAAAGGTCTCCTCACTGATGATGCTGCTGATGAAGCTGCGGGAGGTGTGGCTAAAAATGAAAGGTTCCCTTGTTGCTCTTGATGTCGCTGATTCAATCGTTTTTCCCATAATTCCAGAGTTTTCAAATCGGGTACTTGAATATACATATCATACATACCTTGTCCATGGATCTTGAGTACATAATTTTCTAATTCTGCTGTATATACCGATGCATGATGATATGTCATCACACGACCTTGTTTTGCGTTTTTCTATATACAAAAATTAAAGTTATTATTTTTTATGTCTAATAATGCTGTTACACCTACCGAAATATAGGAAAAATAGCCAAGCCAAGGAAATACCATGATATGTAACATTTCCCATTGGGATAAAGATGGAAGATACCTTAACACCTTGCGAGCTGGGACATCTGCTTCATACACCTCGACATAACTACCATGATTGCGACCAATATTTTCAATATAACCTTCGTGATTATTATTATTGTTGGATATGGATGAATCATACTTGTTGTTGTGAATAGAACGTCGAAATAATGCTGGTGCGTTCGAACCCAAGATTTCTTCCAGACTAAGTAGTTCCATAGCATTATGATCATTCTCTTTTGAACCCATATGGTAAAATGAATGCTGTTTTTTCTGAAGATGGTTGGTCGATAGAAGTGCTTGTTGTTGTTGTTTTTGATGATGATGAGTAGTAGTAGTAGTAGTAGTAGTATGACCTTCACCAGTGGTACCAAATCCAACGGTAGCGGCTGCTGCTGCAATTAAATGACTGGCTACGGATAGTTTTTCATTTTCCTTATCTTTTTCTTGTCGTCTTTGTTGAATGAATGCTTGAAGTTTGGGTAAAAAGAGAATCAATAATGAAAATGTAGTGGCCCATAACACGGTAACAACGCTGATATAGTATTTGGTGTAATAATCCGCCATAGGATTCACAAGTACCACAAATCCAACTATTGCTGAGAACAAGATATTACTACGGAAATGTAAAGAAGGATAATGATGATGTTAGCATCATTTAGTAAAAAAAAAAAAAAAAAAAAAAAAAAAGGAAACTTACTAGATTGATAATCCCATTTGTCGACATTCGCTATATCGACTATAGTGTTTTCCAGCCAAACGAGTTTTGTAAGCCAAAAAAGTTGCAAATATCAAAAGAATCCCATTATAAGAACAAAGAAGACCAGCAAAGACCAACTTGGAAGGATGTTCCACATTACAAGACCAATAATATTGAGTCAAAGATACACTGACCTTTTCTGGATAGGGAGTTACCACAATAAGACCAATCACAAGAATAATCTAATGGAAAAATAATTAGCTAATAAATCACACACACACACATCCCTTCATTGTTTTGTGTTGATCCTTTTTTCTTACCAAATCTATTCCCATCATCACTGTAACTGACTTGATCAACTGAAGATCCGTAATCACTGTTCGACTGATAAATATATTGTTAAAGATGCGATAAATTCGATAGTTTTTGGCGATCATGTTGCTATTGAATATATAAGTTTGTTGATGAATTAAATTTATTGTACAAATAATTAGGACGTTTACCTTAAAACAAGTAAGAGTCCCAAACTAAAAGAGATCGGCATAGCGATACATGTTGTTTGAGAAGGTGGACCGATCATCATCACCACTGATGCATAAGTGAATATAAATCCAATTAATTCCAAGCAGCAAAATAAAGGACTATTGAATGAATAAAAAGATGGATATATCAATATTCAGTTAATTTTATAATTGCTTTTTTTTTATTTTTTTCTTTGCCTTGCAGCCTTGAATATTTCATTTTTTCGGAATATCACCACAATAATAAAGACAGAAACAGCAAAAAGAGATCCAATGGCAGCCACTATCATAATAACAAAGGATATGGCAAATGTTACATCAGGATTGAGAGCAGAACTTGGAGGAGAATCAGAAGGAACCTTATAATCATAGTAATAATAATAATAAGGGATAAGTGAATGAATTCAAATACTAGTCAAATTTGTTTTTTTTTTCCTTCCTACATGATAAGTGCCATCAAAGAACATGGGTGAAGAGAACATTGTAAGATTGCCGACCAGGACTTGACCAATAGCAATAGGATTTCCATGTTGATAGTTCATGATACGATAGTTTCTGGTTTGATTGAGAAAAAAAAAAGAAGTGTAAGTTTGTCAAACACATAATATGTATACATTTTGCTTACCCAGCCATCATATCACCATTTGCATCCAGTTGCATAGGTCCATCAGGTCCAACATATCCAGTATTGAAAGCTTGAGGAGTCAAGAAATCACCAAGATTACCAGAAGCCAGCTGAAGTAATCCATCAGTATGATTTGTTGACGGTCTTAATATGTTTTGAAATCCATTAGCCATCATCATGAGACATGAATACGCAAGTCTATTATATAAAAAAAAAAGATTGAAGTAAAAGTGATTAATAAAAAAAAAAAAAAGACATTAAACATAATAATAGCTTTTTGATGGATAATTACCCTTCATTGGTATTGATTTGAGTGGTACCTGCATATGGGTATCTAAAGAAATATAAGATATTCATAATCAAAAGATAAATACAATTTAATTAATACTTACACATTCGAATCGAGATGTGACCAACTTGATAAAAATTTGTCATAAGGAGGATATCCATTCAATGTGAGCCAGTTGGTAAAGTAGATGAGCCCATTGAAATCTGATTTCAAGGAAAGTTGACGTGTATTATTGGTTGAATGTGTATTATTGTTGTACGTATCAATGGTTTCTTGAAGGTAAGAGGTAGCATCATCATCTACAAGGAGCCAAGTATATTCAGAAGACAGATAACCAGCTACAGCGGCCTGTACCAATAGATCAGATTGAATTTGACCAGTAGCGGCAAGAAGAATAACACGCGCACCATTATTGGACAATGAATCTAAACTTGTTTTCATTTCATCAGATGTTGGAGTAGAAGTGGTGGATGGAAAAGATTGATAATTGATCAATTGAATATTCATAACTTCAGTTTGTTGGATCACACGTTGATATACTATAATAATAATAATTATAGAGATTAATATATTGAAAATAGAAATTATTACAACTTTACATTGTTGACCAAGAGAATCATCTGAATAAATGACGCCTATTTTTGTCCATCCTTGATATACTACAAAACGTAACATAGCATCGATCATCACCACATCAGTTGGTATAGTACGAAAAAAGTATTTAAATTGACCCTTGTCGGAAAACGAAACTAAAAGGAAAGAGGTTAATCGTGGCAAAAAAAAAAAAAAAAAAAAAAAAAAAGAATTCTATTTTAGGATTTACCAGAAGAGGCAGTGAAGGAGCATTGAGGTAATTCCAAAGCACTTGTCATCAAAGCACTTAAAGCAGTCCATGAACTTGTAACATCACCAATAACACCAATAACACCTTGTTGAAGTAATGTGACTAATGCATAGACAGCGTTAGTAACGGCGGCTTGACCCAAAGAAGCATCTGGATAGGAATCCTTTTCAATCAAAGTAATATAAGCACCTGGAATCACTTGAGCTGCATTGATTTCATTCACGGCCATTCGTATTGCCGATGCCCCCCTTAAAAATACAATATAAATAATAAGAAAACAATGAAAAACTCGGAATGAGATATATTTAGACTTACCCCCAAACAATATCTTCAGTAAACTTGTCATCTTTTTGACTAAAAGGTAAAAGTACGCCAATCTAAATATAAAGAAAAAAAAAAATTTTTTAAAAAAAAAAAAAAAAAAAGAGAATTAGACACAAAGTTTAAGGGGGAGAAGATGAATAATTCAAACAAGGGGAAGGGGGCTAATAAAGATTTTACCTTTAGTTCAATAAGTCCAGTTGTATTGAAACGTGGGGTCACATACACTGTATTGTTGTCTACTTGAGAGAGATAATTGAATGGATCTTGATAAAGTGTTCTTCCAAATATGGTGATAGTGCCGTCGCTATTAATATTGTCGCTATCACTACTCATTATTCGTGAAGATTGTGATCGTAATAGTAGTAATAGTCAAAAGACGGATAATAAGGAGAGGAGGAAAAAGGGCTTTGATTGAGAAAGTGAATGAGAGTGAGTATAGTAATAATGGGTCAATCGTGTGAGTTTGAATTCAGTAACAGGTAATGAGGAGTAAAAGGGATATAATGAAGAGAAAAGAAAAAAGAAGAATAATAATAATAAAAAGAAACAATAAAAGATAAATAATATAAATAGGAGTAACTAAAAGATAAAAGATATATATATATATATATATATAAAGGAAAGTTTCAAGGAGTGAATCAGCAGAGAGAGAAAGAGAGAGGCAAAAAACGGAGCTTTAATAAATGTCATATAAGTAAGAATTTCCATTGCATTGACAAAACACTGTAAAAAAAATATATTATATATATATATATGAAGACTAAATAAATAACTGTAACTAAACTATACATCAAGAGTTCTAAGATACTTCCATGGCCCGCCTAGTTCCTTGATCAGAATCATGTCCAATAAATAAACAAGCATCTTGTCGACGATCCAGACGATCTAACCAGTCTTGTGGTATAGAAGGAACAACCGTACGTTCTCTTGCCCTTTTTTCTCGTTCCGTAGCTCCCATTTTCTGCCGGAGTTCTTGATACATCGCTTCAGACATCGGTAAATTATATTTTTGTTGTCGTTGATTGAGTAATCCATCATCATCATCATCATGTGGATGTAAATGTAGTTGTAACGGTGAAGGATGATGTTGTTGATAAGAAGTGTAATGAATCATAGTAGTCGATGTTGGTAATGAAAAAGGTAACATATAATTTGAATCACGTTTTTCTTCAATCCAATCACGTCCATCATCTTGATCGTCATTGTCATCGTCATCATCATTCCCATCGTTTATATTTTGTTCTTGCTGATCACCTAAATCTTGATCATCTTCATCTCCACTATCCAATTCATCAGTTGTATCTCGTTTTACTCGAGTATTATCCACAGTAGGTGTTGTTGGAGTAGAAGTCCATCTGGCCATAATCAAACTACCAAGACTTGATACACTGGTAGGACGGGATGATACATGACTTTGTCGGCGACTACTAGCTGTACTATTGATAGGTGATCCACATGATTTATTGTTGTTGTTGTTGTTATTGTTTGTGTTACTGCTGCATCTCGATAAGGAAATCTCCATACTTTGACTACTAACACCAGAACGTTTCTTGAAATGTTGTTGACCCATATTTCCATTATTAACAGCATGTTGAGCAAGTTGTATAGTATATTTTTCTACTTGATCAGGTAATCGAGGTTCATCTACTTCATATCGATAGTTGAGTACACATCGTCGAATTTGTAAAGGGTTGAGTAGTTCAAATCCATGAAGAGTTCCAATAAAAGTCGTCAAATCATTTAATTGAGAGACACATTGTAAGAGTTGAAGTAATTGAATCAAAGGATCAAAATAACTTGTCAAATGAATAGGTAAATAAGGTTGTTGTTCACGTACCCAATCTTCTATAATCGATAGATTCATACGCACTTGTAAAGCCTTGGATCGACACATGTACTTCTTGTTCATCAGAATACGATTGAAGAGTTCACAGGACATAAAGTGGAAGAATTGAGCGATAGCTTGGACAATGATGGTTGGATGAACTTCATAAGATTGTAACACATATAAAATAGATGATAATAAAGATGTGATGGAATGTGGAGATAAAGTGGTACATGATGGAGATGTGACAGAAGTAGAAGACATGAAGGATGATAGTGAATTCATTGGTGAAGTGGGTTGATCCATGGAATGATGTTGTTCGTCTTGATAGAAATCTTGTGGTCGTTGATTGATTGGTGATGTTGGTTGTTCAATAGTTGTCATGGCAGCCATAGATGAAGGACGACGAGATGAACCACGACGTCGGAAAAAGCGTTGCCAATCATCAGCAAAATCCACGGGGTCAGCTCCAATAAGGTCATGATCCAACATACTAGGTTCTAATATTCTATCCATACGTTTTTCAGAATCGGTGACTAGTAACACATAAGTTTCAGAAACAAGTTCAGATATTTCAAGTTGATGTTCAGCAGTTGCCACCACTAATCCAGTATCTTTCTTGAGATAATACAGTAATTGTGAAAGATTGGCCATCCAAAATGCAAGAGTATGAATATCACCTTTGTTATTCTATATTTGTCAGTAAAAAAAAGTTAAGTCATATGCTTCCATTGTTTTTTGTTTTGTTTTGTTTTTTTTTTTGTTTTTTTCGTACCTGTAGCACATTAGCAATTTTGGAGATAGCACCACTGAGAATTCCATGTAACAATTCACGAGCAGAATAATAATGAGCATAACGAGCACAAAGGAATAAAACATTAGAAGGAACCCAAATTTCTTGTCTAGTCTTCATTGGTAGTTTCAAACTTGATATGGTAACATGAAGAATGTGTTCAATATCGTCTTCAGCAAACACAAACATCTGATCTGGTAAACAACGATGCCATACAAAGTGATGTAATGATTCCATACTAGCTTCACAAGAAACTAATTCTTTCATTTCGTCATCGTCTTCAGTATAAATTGATTCTACTAGAGTTTGTCTTTCAGGTTTTGGTGTACTTGTTGAATCGTAGTAATCATAAACATCATCGTCATTATCGAGTACAAGTTTGGGTAAAGTACTAGATTGTCGTCGTCGTCTATAAAGTTTCATTTGTTTATAAAATTCTTGTTGTTGACTATCAAGTTGAGTTGGTCGTTGGTCAGGTGTAGGTGTCAAAACTTGAATAAGTTCTTGATTATTATAATCCACAAAATCCAACACTGTTCTTCCTTTAGCTGTACGATTTGTCCAAGAAGCACCATGAGCTAATAATATTTCAACTATGGCTTTATGGTTGTTTGTAGTTGCCCACATTAAAGGTGACCATCCTACTGTATTTGGTCAACATTGAATAAGAAGTATAGATAAAGGGGAAAAAAAAAAGAAAATCAGTATGGCCACAAAAAAAAAAAAAATAATCTAAAATCCAATCTTCTAACCAACCCATGGATTCAATGTCAGCCACCCCCTTTCCACTTTCCCCCCTTTTTTGACAGTTCCTTGTCTCCTGAACTCCAACTTTTTTGTTACTCCTTTTTTTTTTCCATCACCCCCTTTGGTTTGATTTGATTTGCCTCCCTCTCTCTCTCTATTTTTTTTTTTTTTTGCCCACCCCTCGTCAATAGACCTAATTTATATATATATATATATATATATATTGATGCTTACTTTTATCTTGAACATCCACACTAGCACCAGCATCCAATAATAATTGAACAATGGAAGCGTAACCAAAACAAGAAGCATAGATCAAAGGAGTTGTTCCCATCGATTTATCATCAGAATCATCCACATTGAGAAAAGGTCCAAGTCTTTCATCGTTCAATATGCGTTGGACTAGACCTGAATTACCATGTGAAGCGGCATAAGCTAATGATTTCGTCACACGTCGATGCCATCGTTGTTGATGTAATTGTTGTTGTGATTCATCATCATGCCAGTCTTGTTCCATTTGATGTAATAGATTTGAGCCATCATCATCATCATCATCTGCATCATCATCATCATCATCGTCATCACTCATCAATAATGGTAATGTCCTTGATGTTGATCGAATCATCATCATCAAAGGTTGTGTTGCTGTTGTGATAGTTGTAGTAGGTGTTGATGTAGATGAAAGTGAAGAAACTGAGTTGATAGAAAAAGTGGATGATGATGATGATGACCATGACAATGTATTATTTGGATTCTTTTGTCGATTAGAGATTACTGGCGAATCAGGTGTAGATACCATTTTTGTATTATATTAGTTATATCTATAATTATTGTTTGTAAAAAAAAAAAAAAAAAATAAAGAGTTGAAAACAAAGAAGCGTGGGTAGAAATAAGTAAAATAAAAAAAAAATTAGAAAAGAGAAGGAAAAATAAAAGTTGCTATTTACATTAAGATTGTTATTTGTTTTGTCTTATTTTGTAGTAGTTGAACTGGCGTATTTTGACTTTTTTTTTTTATCGAATCGGATGAGAAAAGTAGATGGAAAGAAAGAGAGAGAGAGAGAGAGAAAAGGGAACCAAATAAAAAAAAAAAGTAAAAAATAAAAATAAAAAAAAAAGGGTTACGATATGGAGAGAATTCACTTTTTGCTGGATTGAAAAATTCTGCACGAGGGGATCCCAGTCTCTGCATTGACACATAAATACAAATACACGCACTCTAGAACTTTTTTTTTTTTTTAAAAAAAACTTTGTGATTGGTCGATCATGGGGTCATCCGATATCAAAATGGTTTCTTTCAAAAATTGATATAACCGTCATCATAGATATCATCACAGGAATCATAGTAGTCATATTACAGTTTATTTAGTAAAAAAAAAAAAAAAATAAAGATCAAGTATATAAAAGTAACAGTAAGGAGAAAAGATAAAACAATAGATCATCATCTTGATCAGTAGTGATGATGATGTTGACCGGCATATCCAGTATCTGCATAAGCATTGTATTCATCTTTTTGGAAGTATGTATAATCATCATGCTTTTTGTGGCGAAGACAGGCAAAGATATAAAGAATAAAAGATACTAACAAACATCCACAGCTACCCACACCAAGTAAATATAAAGAAGGACCCCAATGATACACAATTGAAACCTTTGTTTGTAAAGTCTTGAAGACCAGTTGATAACAGACGATCACCAACGCCAAAGTTGCTGTACCACAAATCATACCAAAAAGACTTGCAAAAGCACCTAGAATAGGTAAGCGATTACCTGACCTGTTTTCTCGAATCATCAACCATCCTAATATCATAAAAGTAAATAATAAATAAAAAGGGATCTTAACTATTTTTTTTTTTTTGGCTACTTACCGAGCATAGCACCGAATGCTAGAATGGTAGTAGGGATGATAAGGACAATGAATTGATACGCCTTTGCAAGTTGATCCAAAGCACTTGTATCTACAACACCATTGATACCAAAAGTCGAATAATCTATAATATTATATAAGAAAAAGGGGCATGCGTCAGTAATAAAGGATACTGAAAAAAAAAAAAAACTTGATATCGGTATTTCAATTCTCATATACTACTTTACCAAAATGTTGGACAGGTGTAGGTTTGGTACATTGACTGATTCCTTTATCTAATATACATGCGTTGTAAGGACCAAATCGTATAGAGATAGTTCCGTAGGTGGCTTCTGCAAAATAAACGTTAGGTAAAAAACTATTTGTAAATGTAGTTCCAATATTGGCGAAAATCAATAAAACAAGTCCAGCCACTGAAAATAGTAAACCAAGTAGATGAAGTGATGAACCCATAAGTATTTACACTTTATATATATTTATATATATATAAAAACAAAACGAAGAAAAAAACAAAAAAAAAACAAAAAAAAAAGAAAAAGAAAGGAAAGAAAGAAACAGATCAAAATTATTCAGTTGGTGACACATTTAATTATAGGTGTTGATCTGAGTTTCGAGACTCTTGTGTACCCAGTCCATGTAAGGTAATTTACAGACACTAAGAAAACTAACATTGTAAATGAAAATAACTAAAAAATGCATGTTGATAAAATTGATATCATTTTATTTTATTTTATTTTATTTATTTTTTTATTTTTAAACTGATTACTTGGATAGCTTGATTAAAATATAATGAAGAGAGTATGAAATGAATCATTACATAAGTATTTTGTTTAAAATAGGTCGTACGAAGGTAAAAAGAGTGATCTTATTTTCCTTTTATATTTCATCATTGAAATGACAGTCGTTTTCCAACTTCACCTATATATATATATATATATATATATATCATCCACACATCATCCACTCATCATCATCTGTCAGTTATGTATCTTTTATCATTATCAATCCAATCTATATAAACATAACCATGTATTCATCCCATCAATTTCAAATAATACAGACAAAATAATTGTAACAAAAAAAAGAATCAATTCTTTCTTCTTTTTTTTTTTATTATTATTCAGTTGGAAGAAAAAATAGTAATACTAATATCTAAGCTGAATCAATTAAGTTTAGTCAAAGAGACCAAAGCCCATGTCCTAAAAATTGAAAGAAAAAAAATAAATTTAATAAAACATGCATCTATATATATATATACCATCCCATTCATCCTTCAACTTACTTCATCTTCAGATTCTTCTTCTTCAGGAGCAGCTTCTTCAGCAGCAGCTTCAGCACCGCCAGTAGCGGCAACAGGAGTAGCAACAGCGAAAGCTTCAGGGTTTTCGAGGTATTCCTTCATCTTTTCAGAACCAGGGAAAGTGTAGTCGGAAGCAACAGAGACAGCCAACAAGTTCTTGTAACCGTTGATAAGAGAGTGAGGAACGGAAGCCAAGGTAGGGTAACCAACAGCCAAAGAGATGGAAGCAACTTGACGGATAGCAGCCAAAAGGTTAGCAACCAATTGTTCTTCACCAACATCCAAGACTTCAGAGGAGAAAGTAGAACCTTCATCATAAACTTGGACAACAGCCATACCGTAGGTGAAAGGAGAGATACCCAACATGTTCAACAAAGCAGCTTCGGAAGGACCAACCTTTTCACCAGCTTGAACCAAGTTGACATCGGAAACAATTTCAATGGTACCACGAGAAATCTTGGTAGGGATACCGAGAGCTTGGAAGAAAGAAGTCTTACCGGGTTCCATACCAGTGTTACCACCAGGCACAATCACATCAGCAGGAGCAACAGCGTTGGCACGAGCAGGAGCAGCAACCTAAAAAAAAAAAAAAAATGAGTATCATTATCACCAATATATATATACATTTATATAAAGTATCACTTACACGGTTGGAAAGAATCTTTTCACGGACTTCCTTCAAGTCACCATTGGTGAAGACGAAACCAATGTTACCACGGACATGAGGCAAAAGACGTTCGAATTCGGGACGTTCAGCAACGAAGGTCTTCAAAGCACGACGAACCATGGTGTTCTTACCCATAAGGACAACACCTTCACCACGGAGAGAGTGACGGATTTGGTGCATTTGGTTGGAGCTGACATTATCGACATTGACAATGAAGATGGACTTGTAGGTATCCAAGTATTCCTTCAAACGGAGGAAGTAGTTTTCTTTGGCTTCTCGCTTCGACATGATGTGTATACTGTTCGAGGACTTTTAAAGAAGTACTATAAAAAGAAAAAAATGATAGTTTTTTTTTTATTATTAGTCACTGTCATATTTTTGATATTAAGAATGGATGGATGGATGGATGGATGGATGGATGGATGGATGGATGGATGCATTTGATTTTTTCATAGAACATTACCAAAAAGTTAAACAGGTAAAAAAGGGAAAGAACAAAAATGGCACTCCCCTTTGCTAGGCTTAAATGATCAAAAAAAAAAAAAAAAAAATTGAGTACGTTCAAATTCATTCTCCGTTTTCCTGTTTGAGATGAACATGTACCTCTTTTTACTTTTGTAATTCACTCAAAAGTGACCATCATCGTACCAAGTTTGGACTAAATATAGATGAAATCATTCTCTTTTATTTGTCTTAATAATGTTTTATACCTTATCTCCCAATTTACGCAGTAAATTAAACATGGAATATCAATTTTGCCATTCCTTATCCTATAATGATCATCATTCAACGCAACTGTCGTTGGATTTCTCTCCAAAAATTAATCTAGCTGTCATTGAATCCTGTTTTATTGGTTATTCCTCTCATCTATTATTATGCAAAAAAAGTATCAAAATATTTTTAACCTTTTTTTTTCCAAAAATCAAACTATTACTAGTAAAACATGTGCGCCTGTAGTTATTCGGACCCGGCTAAATTCCTAGCGAGACTCTATTCTAAGAATGGACTCGGTTCCAAAGCAAATGCGATTCCGTGTTCAATATATCGAAACGTTGAATCATCAGCATAAAACTTTATTTCCTGCTTGCCATTATATTAAAAGTCAGTAAAGTTCTTGTCAGATTTGTCATCCTGCCGCTATCTTTTTTTTTCCTTTTCCATTTCTTTCCCACTCTCTTTCTTTTTTTTTTTTTTAACATATATATATATATATATATATGTTAACCTTCTCAATTGCAAAACATTTAAAAGCTAGATCTTTATTACCTTCTTCTACTTATTTTATCCAAAGAACCATGTCTACTATGAAAGCTGTTGTCGTTGAAGAATATGGTGGTCTTGATAAACTTATCTACAAGGATATTGAAAAGCCTACTGCAAGCAAAGACTCTGTTGTCATCAAGAATCATATTGCAGGTGAGTCATTCTCTCCCTTTTTTTTTTTTTTTTTTGGTTCTTACTTGAATGATACATTGATTTTCTAATACAATTACTTCTTATTCAATAGGTCTCAACATGATTGACACGTACCATCGTACTGGTTTGTACCCTCTTCCTTTGCCTTTTGTTATTGGTCGTGAAGGGTAAGATATAAATATAAATATATATATTCTTTTCCTTACATAGTCTGTTTTAAAAATCATCTATTATAGTGCTGGTGAAGTGACCGAAGTAGGTGAAGGTGTTACAGATTTTAAAGTGGGTGATCGCGTTGTTCATTTGGCAGGTTCTGGATATGCTGAGTACACTGAGGCTCCTACCTCCACAGTTGAAAAGATCACTCATGATATCTCATATGAAACTGCTACAGCTGCTGCCATTCAAGGATTGACTGCTTTGACTTTGGTCCGTGATGGATACCCTGTGAAAAAAGATGGTAAAAAAAAAAAAAAAAAAATAGGATATCTGATTTAGTTTAACATTTTATACATATATCTTTACTTTAGATTATATTCTGGTACATGCTGCAGCTGGTGGTGTTGGACTTTTGCTCTGTCAATTAGGAAAACATTTGGGTAAGTACCAAAAAAAAGAAAAAAGCGTAAAGTACTTATTCCTTTTTTTTTTTGGATTCATAGGTGCACATGTCATTGGTACTGCCAGTACAGATGAAAAGTGTGCTTTAGCCAAGGAAAATGGAGCCGAATTCACTATCAATTCTAGCAAAGAAGATATTGTGCAACGGGTGAATGAAATCACAAATGGTGTTGGTGTACATGCTTCATTGGATGGTGTAGGAAAAGCGACCTTTGATATCTCTTTGGCCAGTACTCGTCGATTAGGTACTTTGATTACTTTTGGTAATGCTTCTGGACCAGTACCTCCTGTCAATCTTTCGGTCTTGACTCAAAAAAATCTCAAGTTGATGCGACCTACTCTCTACAATTACTTGGCTACCAGGGAAGAATCAAGAAGATGGTATGATGAATTGTTTGCTCTTATCAAACAAGGTGTGCTCAAGTTCCATATCCACAAGGTGTATGATCTCAAGGATGCTCAACAAGCCCAAAAAGATATTCAAGATAGAGTAACTACTGGCAAACTTTTACTTCGACCTTAGTTAGGTATATATAATTATGGATGCAGTTAGTTTAATTTATTTTTTTTCTATTTCAATAAACTACGGAAATTCCTCGATCATATGCTCTTTTTCTTTATTTTATCTATAGATTCATTGGTTTAAACCAATCATCATGATGACTATTGCGACGATATGTATATATTTCTTCTAATATGACTAGGACAGGTGATTTTTATCATGATGAAAGCTGATGTTGGAATTCTATTATATAGTTCTATGCTTGTTGATTGTTACTCATTGTTAATGATAGCTGATAGTGGTCGATGATGATGAATAATGTTGAGCTCAATATTAAACTTCTATAATGATGAGTGATGCTAACTTGACAGTATTTCTTTTTTTTTTTTTTTTTGTAATCATGTCGTTTTTGATTTTAAAATAAAAACCTGATATGCTTAGGATCAAAAGGAAATGTCAGAGGGATGATGATTATCGTCACTTTCACGTAGGATTCAAATTTAAAAAAAAAAAAAAAAGAGACATCCATCCAATATGTCGGTTTTGTAAAGCGAATACTGCTCTGCTAATAATAACACTGTAAGAAAAAAAAAAGGTCGAAACATATCATATATAAAAAAAAAATCAATAAATACAGAATAATATCGGACAAAGCATGAAGCCTTTATTGAAAAAAAACAAAAAGTAATCATGTCTAACTAAAGTAAATCAATCAAAAAAAGATATGAATATGTATAAGAATGGTTGTATTGGTTCCAATTTTTTTATTGTCGTAAAATAATAGGTAAATAAGAATAAAAAGTGTCGACCAAGAGAGGAATGTTGTTATGATAGAGAAAGCGCGGACATGTTGGTTTATTGTTGATATGATTTTTTTTTTTTTTAGTTCTTGGTAGCTTCCAACTTGGCGTAGTAGGCATCACGACGTTGAACGTTGGGAATGTGGTAAAGGTTCCACCAGGCAGCACCACCAGCAGCTCCAAGAGAAAGAGCAATAGTGAGATCCTTAAAGAATTGCTTTCGGAGCTTACCAGTAATAGGAGCAATCATATTGATATATATAAAGAGTAGGGAGGGTAATAAAAAAAAAAAAGAAAAAGAAAAGAATCAATTTGTTTTGACCCAAATTTTCAAGGTCAAAAACCAGCCAATTTTTTTTTTTTTTCTCCAAGGCTTACATTGTGACGTCCAAACCGGAGATTTAAACCACAGAAGAAGAAAACGCGCCTGATTTTTTTTTTTTTTTGTCTTTTGATGAATATCTATGTGTCATGCAAGATGATAGATAAACGTAAATAACTTATCTTTTGTTTTAACTTTTAGTAACTAGTTGATTGTTGATTGATGAATAACTATATAATAAACTAAAAGAAGTTTTTTTGGTATAATGTACGAATTTTTAATTTCTTTATAATATTAGAAAATAATAGAAATAATATTACTTTCAGTCAAAACTTTTTGACAAAGTTAGTTCTTGATTGGTATTTTTTTTTTCCTACATCAATAGTAGTAATGATGATGAAAGGATGAGTGACATAGCCTACAACTTTTTTGAGTTCAGAAAAACCAAACAGGATTGGATTTCTACTCCGCTTATTTTTTTTTTTTTTTTTTTTTTTGAAAAGACTTTATATGTACCTTCTTTTCTTGTCTGGGGAACTCTTCTTTCTTTTACTCTTTTGTTTTCCAATATATTTCATACCCTCTTTTTTTTTTTTCTTGTTTACATATATATCACTCTTAGTTTTACTCTCTCTCTCTTTCTCATACTTATTTCTACATTATATATATATATATACATCCACATACATACATACGAATATATACACCATCTAATTCTTTTCTTTTTTTATTTTTCTGAAACAAACAAAGGATGGAAGATCTTATTCAACTAACCAACAAGTTACAAACAGTGGTATCATCCATTAGTGCACATGAAACACTCGATTTACCTCAAATAGTGGTGATTGGTTCTCAGTCTAGTGGCAAGTCGTCTGTCTTGGAAACCATTGTTCAAAGAGATTTTTTACCTCGTGGTAGTGGTATAGTCACTCGACGACCTTTGATTCTTCAACTTATTACAAGTCGTTCAACCGATGCTGTGGAATATGGTGAATTCTTACATACTCAAGATAAAAAATTTTTTGACTTTGCCGAGATTCGTAGGGAAATAGAAAGGGAAACAAGTCGATTGGCTGGGGACAACAAAGGGATTTCTCGTATGCCCATTCATCTACGTATTTATTCTCCCAAAGTATTAACTTTGACATTGGTGGATTTACCTGGTTTGACAAAGGTAATATATATATCTTATCTATTATTTTTCATTCTCTTATATATTTTCTTTTTTTTTTTTGTATGTAGATCCCTATAGGTATGTATAAATATATTGTTTAGTGATGTGAAATTGACAACAATGGTGGTGATCTTGATATGGAGATAAATATATACACATATAAAAAGAAGGGAAACTAATTTGATATCTTTTATATATATATATTACAACAAGGTGATCAACCTACTGATATTGAAAAGCAAATTCGAAGTCTTTTGATGGATTATATTTCCAAACCCAACAGGTAATAATAAAAATAAATGATTGAGAGTTTTTTTTTTTTTTTTTTTTTTTTTTTTTGTTTATTAAGAAAAATTTGATTTTATTTTAGTATTATCTTGGCAGTGACACCTGCAAACATGGATTTGGTGAATTCTGATAGTTTGAAATTAGCTAGACAAGTAGATCCTGAAGGTAATCTAGTAGAATATGAAAAAAATGAGTAATATAACATTTACCTTTTTTTTTTTTTATCTTGACCTAGGAAAACGTACTATTGGTGTCTTGACAAAATTGGATTTGATGGATGCTGGGACAAATGCTTTGGATGTATTGACTGGAAGATCTTATCCTTTAAAACTTGGATTTATTGGTATTGTGAATCGTAGTCAACAAGATATATTGACCAATAAACCTATGGCTGATGCACTCAAGGCGGAAAACGACTTTTTTAGACAACATCCTTCTTATCGAGCCATTGCAGGAAGATGTGGAACTCAATATCTTTCAAAACAACTCAATCAAATCTTGTTCAATCATATCAAAGATAAATTACCTGAACTTCGAACTAAACTTAGTTCATTGATCAGTCAAACTCAACATGAACTTTCACAATATGGTGATCCTGTTTTAACAACTGGAACAATGCATAGAGTAAGACAAAGAAAAAGAAAATGGAAAAGAAAGGGAAAAAAAATAAACTAACACATATTTATAGGGATCACTGATTTTACGACTCTTGACTAAATTTGCCAATGATTTTGTTGCTGCTATTGATGGTACATCTTCTGAAATGTCAACCAAGGAATTGTAAGTCCCAAAAAAAAAAAAAAAAAAAATTAGTTCAGATATTTAATTATTTTATAATCATTACTTAGATGTGGTGGAGCTCGGATATACTTTATTTTCAACAATGTATTTGGAAATGCTCTCATTGCTATCCCTCCTTGTGCTAATTTGACCAATACCGATATCCGAACTGCTATTCGTAACTCTACCGGTCCTAGACCTTCATTGTTTGTCCCAGAAATTGCTTTCGATCTTTTGGTGAAACCTCAAATCAAGTTATTGGAAACTCCCAGTTTACGATGTGTAGAACTTGTTTATGAAGAATTGATGAAGATTTGTCATAATTCAGGTGACAAGGTAAAGAAAGAGGGAGAAGAGCTTTGGAATTAAAATAGGGAATTGATCTTTTTTATCATTATTATTATTTCATAGGAATTGATGCGATACCCCAAATTACATGCAAAATTAGTTGAGGTGGTAGCGGAATTATTACGCGAAAGATTAGGTCCAACCTCTAGTTATGTTGAAAGTCTGATTGCCATTGAACGTGCCTATATCAATACCAATCATCCTGATTTTATGGGTGCAGCTGGAGCCATGTCGAATTTGGAATCTGAATCAAGAAAGAAAAAGAAACAAGATAGTAGTAGAAGAAAAATCACTCGACAACCAAGCATGAACAGTGTATCAAGTGCTGTCAAAGCCAATGGATCTGTTTTTGATGATGACAACAAATCAACTATTGATCATCATTCTGCGTACAAAGAAAATGGACAGGTACATAATGATTCATTCCTCAACTACTTTTTCGGTGGTGCAGGTAAAACGGAAAGGCCAGCTTTGGGATCTCCTGAAATGACAAGTATGCAACAACATTACGCTCCTACCATGTCAGTCAGTAGTTTGATGGAAAATGAAATTGAAAAGAAAATGGAACATGTGACGATTCAAAACGGCAATGGTGAAGAAACAACTTATCCTGTATCTGATAGGGAAGAGATTGAAACTCAACTCATTCGTAAGTTCTCAAAAGAAAAAATAATGGGATATTTCTTATCTTTTTTTTTTTTTTTTTTTTTTTGTTAGGTACATTGATCACCAATTACTTCAACATTGTTCGAAAAAATATTCAAGATCTGGTACCCAAATCTATTATGCATCTTTTAGTCAATCATTCAAGAGAATCTGTACAAAATCGATTAGTGACATCTTTGTATAAACGAGAATTGTTTGATGAACTATTACAAGAAGATGAAGCTATGGCAGCTGAACGATCAAAATGCAAGCAACTATTAGACGTATACAAACAAGCTTTTGATATAGTGAATAGTGCAGTTTGATAATATATATAGTTTATCTTTTTACCTTAGTATCCATTTTAGAATAGCTTGATTTTGATGAAATAAACGAATGTTACACAATAGTTGAAAAACCCATATTTGAATAATTTATTCTACTTTTGATCATCACTGCCCCTGTTTCCCCTTACTATGGTTACACGGCGCCTATTAAGTGAAAAATTTATAGAAAAAAGAACGATCGAGATCCATGATCCTTTTTTTTTTTTCTCATTTCTTTTCTTTTTTTTTTTCTTTTTTAATAGAAGATATAATGGGACTTGGTGAAAAAGTAGATTATCGTATATCTATGCTAGTAGTACTATGCAAGGATTGTAATCAAGATGTTGGTTTATATCCTGGTAAGTAAATTTTTATGCTATATAAATTCATTTGTTAAGACTGACATTCAATTTGATATATTCCTTTTTTTTTTCTTCTCTCTTTTCATATTAATAATATATATATATATATAAAAAGCTCGCCATCAATGTCAAGTCGAACGACCTCCTTTACCACCACTTCCACCTATAACAATAACGTCAGAAAAGTCAGATCCACCTATCACAACATCTTTATTACGTAAAACCTCATCTCCTGCCCTTTTAAGAAAACAATCAGCTCGTGAACCAACAACTTTGAAGGACACAAACACTATCACTAGAGCCAACTCTACTATAACAACATGGTCATCACGATTTGGAAGACAGCGATCAACTAAAAGCAACAATAATAAAGAAAATAGCCCTTTAAGTGAAACCTCTCTGAATGACGATCAGAAGGAAGAAGATACAACAAGTTATTTAGACCATTACTATGCCCAACTACCTGAAACGGATGAACAACAACCAAAAACAACAGGACTTAAGAAAAAGTGGGGTGGCTCAGTAAGGCAAAATGAAAAATGGAAACAGCTTGTGGATAAAAGTAAGTACATCCAAAAAAAAAAAAAAAAAAAAAAAGGGTCCTATTTTGTTTCGAATGGAACAACTTATATATAATCATCTACTCACCTATCTATTATACATATATATATATATCCTATAGGTGAGAAAGAGAAACAGTCTAGTCCAAAGCTATGGAAGAAATTAGTTCAAGCAACACAAAACATGGCTTCACAAGACGATCAAGGGCCAGGTACACTAAATATATATATATATATAATATTTCGATCCTAGTATTAATCCTTGTTATAAACTTTGTTCTTATAAAATTAATAGAATCAGACGAATCAGATTGGGAAGGCGAATCACATGTATCACGGATATTACGCGAATATTATGAAAAAAAGCAAGTCAAACTACCTCCATGGTTACTGGATGATCGCACACCTCTGGCCAAAACAACGGTATTGGATGAAGAACCTCTTTTACAACGACAAAGGTCATCATCTTCACGAGGACGTTTATGGGAACAATCAACAACTAAAGAAGAACCATCAGCACGCGAATTGGAACGACAAGCATTTCGACAAGAACATCGACAAGTCCTGATGAATAATAACGATAATGATCATAGCGACATGGATGATGACAGAAGGAGATACAAAGATTTACCATCGACTGATGACGAACACCAATCTATCCATCGAAAAAGCAAAAGATTGGAACGAATGAAATCAGCAAGACGGTTTGTAGAAGAGCAATATGAAGAATATGATGATAATGATCAACATGGACCCAACCCATCTTCATCCATTCGACGACAGCATACAGTAGGACAGAATAGGATGGATCAAGTTCTTTTAGTACAACAAGCACGTCATGCCGCAATATCAAGATCAAGAAGTGATCGGGCCATTCGAAATATTTATCAAGATCGTAAACAAATGGAATCAACTGCTATTGAAATCACTCCTTCTAACTATCGATCTTTTATGTCATCATCCAATGAAAACAAATCGCTGGTCGATTCTCTTTCATCCAAACAACAACGTCCCAAACAACGTTATTTGAGTCAACGACAAGGACTTGATTATTTTTAGATTAGAATTATTTAGTTTTATTCTTCAATTCTGATTAATAAATCACCCTCTTTTTTTTATGATTATTATGATTGTTATTATTGATCCCAGTTTGCTTAAGTAAACGTGTGTTTTTTTTTTGTCTTTTCTTGGTGGGGTATTTAAATACCGCTGATGATTTTCTCTCCTTTTTCTTCACTTTTCCTTTTTGTTTTCTTTTTTTTTTTTTTTATCTTTTTCCTTTTTTTTTTTCATCAATGCCGTCTTTGGGGAAAATCATTAATCACCCTTTATTCAATATTGGGTTCTTTTTATTGGTACGACAATTGACAAAGTCACTTCCTTTGGAAGATAGTTCATATCTTTGGGGTATCCGAGGTGTTTATTATGGTGCTCAACTCCTCATCTTTTTATTGAATCTCTATATATTGAATATTATCTCGAATAAAAATGGTAAGTAACAAAAAAGAAAGAAAAGAAAGAAAAAGGAAAAAAAGAAATAAAAATATACAATTGAAAATAGATCAAACTGTTTTACGATACGTGGAACCCTCCAAACCAAGTTGGGACGGAACAACAACACCGGATAATTTGGTGGTGACCACTTTTGCAGGTAGAAAAAAAGGAAAAAAGAAGAATGACATGTATGGTTAGACTGATTCATTTTTCTTCTTCTTTATTATTATTAGACTATGATAAAAATGAAGTATTAAAAGGAATGAAACAATCAGTGATTGGTTTGGCTATGGTGACCTTCTTACATTTCAAGTTTGGTTATGTGCAACCATTGATCATTCAAGCAGTATTAGGATTCAAAACGTTTTTCACTACAAAAGAAGCAAGAATTCATCTGTTCCATCAATCAACAACAAGCGGTGATTTGAAGCGACCTTTCCGTGTGGATTCTCCTTTTGGTATGAGTTCTCTCAATCCCCAACCAAAAACTGACAAGGCATCTATCAAGAAAGCAGAACGAGCTATGAAGGCAGATTAAAAATTTTGTTATTTTTTTAAAAAAAAAAAAAAATTATATAGAATACTTTTAGTAGACTAGTTCTTGTTGTTCGTTATTGTTTATTCGTTGTTTTATATATAATAAAAAATCTTTATTTTATTTCCTTTTTGATTTTGATCCGTAACAAGCCCTTTACAATTGAAAAAAAAAAAAAAAAAAAAAAAAAGTTTGGGGTATATCATCCTAATTTATTATATGCACTCGTGGCTTGAGCGATAGCTTAATTGTTGCATTCCTGCTTTGACTCCGATGATGGCCAGTATGAAAAATAAGCTTTTTGAACATTTGTGTAGAAGAATCTTAAAGGGCTTACTCCATGCTGACCTTTAATAACGAAGAAGAAGAATTTATATGATCCAACAAAGCCTATACTTCTAAAAAAAGAAGAGGCTGAGAGAAGAAGGTTATGGTTTACTTGATTAAGTCATAACAAGACTCAAAAAAAAAAAAAAATATCTTTAATGGAATAAATTGATCCGTAGTTTTTTATTAATATTATTCTTCTTTTTTTCTGTACAACGCTCCTCCATAAAACACGCAAGGATCTAGGGATATTCGCTCTTTTTTTTTTTTTTTTTTTTTTTTTCTCTTTTGAAAAAAAAAAAGGAGGGAAGATTTTATTTTATTGCCCCTTCTCTTTCCTTTTTTTTTTTTTTTTATTCTTATTATTATTTTTTTTTTTTGTACTTATTACTTTTTATACCATAAACTCTATTCATCAAACTTAATAAAACGAACTCCACTTTATTATTATTATTATGAAAGACGGTTTCAAGACCATTACTATTGAACCGTTCAATGGTTACCTCGACTTTCAGGGACCTATCAATCCTCAAAAACCTTCAGGCAATCTATCACTTAAAGGTGACATTCGTATGGAACTTACCAAGTCTGTGAAAGTAAAAAATGCAACCATCAAGTTCAAAGGTTCTAGTCGCGTTTGCCATCAAAATACTCTAGATATCATTGATGTTAGTACACCTATATTACCTAAACTCAAGACTCAATTATTCAATTCGACTACTTCTTTGGGTCCAGGTAAAGTGACTTTACCTTGGGAATTGGAAATCCTCAATATCTACCCTTGTAGTGTAATGATCAAACGTGTTAGTATTCATTACAAAATCGAATTGACCATTTCTTTCGGCTTACACCGTACAGTTACTGCTGAATATCCTATCGTTATTCGACGTCATCTATTACCTTGTCTAGAAGTAACTCCTTTGGTACCAACAAAACTATATACAAAGACCATCTCAACAAAATTCCATTATGAAATCAATGCTCCTAGGATTGTATGTATTGCTCAAGAAGCTATTCCTGTTGCTATCAAGCTTTTGACCATTGGAAGTCAGAAACGTGTACTTAGTGTACGAACTCAAATCATTCAAGTGGAATTGTATAGGTAATAAAATATATATATATCATTATCTAAAAATGTAATATACTAATATATATATATATATATTTATATATTAATTAGGTGCAACAGTCTACCAAAAGCCGACGCCGATATGACCAATTTCAAAACACAACTTTTGAATCAAAAAAGTGCAACATCATCATCATCTTCAATTAGTTCAGGGAAAAAGGGAGAAGCCAATAAATATGCAAAATACACCAAACGAACAAATCCTGCCATTATACATACTCTCGATGAAACACAACTCATGACATCCAGTCAACCACTATTAATCCGTCATCCACTAGGTGAATATTTGACATTGGGATTCGAATCTCCATTGGCCGCTATATATCATCAACTCGAAATTACTTTTCAATTTGGTGCCAGATTTGAAGACATTCGTGCAAAAATACCGATCCTCGTTGCCTCTGCTCCACCATCTATCAAGCAAACAACAACAATAACATCAGCGACTTCAACAACTACTACTACCGGCAAACAAACTCAACAAACGGATTCTCTTCCTTTGGCTCTTTATCCATATGAAAAATTACCTGTATGGGAACCTATATGTGTGACTGATGAAAATCGACTTGGCCGTAATAGATCAGCTAATAAGACACCAACTCCATCAACAAATAGTAGCAGTGACGCTGCGGATGAAGAAGATGAAGAAGAAGTCGGGGGTATTCTTGAAATTATGGCAAATTACAATAATAGGAACAACAAGAACAACAACAACAGTGATAACACCAAAATGCAGTCTATATCCGACAATCAAAATGACTCGGGTTTTCTTGGAGTTTCCCCAACACAATCACCTTCTCAATCATTACGACGTGCTCATTCTGCTGCCAATTTGACAACAAATCAACATCAGTCTGACAACAGTAGCAATCAACCATCTAGCTCATCATTGAAAATTACACCACATCGTCCACCATATCAAAAGTCATCAAAAAATACCTTGTCATCATTGTACAATAATAAACCATTATCCATCAATCAACAACAGAAACATCTCAGCTCTGGGAATTTGGATCAATCTACAGGAATGTGGCCACGACCTGGAACAGAAGTACCACATCAATGGCGGCGACGAAGTAGTAGTCAACCCTTTGTACCCGTTGATAATACCTCTATGCGACCTCCAAAAGACCCTAGACGTATGATGAATCAAACCTCAGCTCTATCACCACCAGCGACAACATCACCCATCCAAAATTACAAAACCATCAAGAATACAGCAAGAAGCAAATCTCCATTGAAAAATAGCATCAATATACAGACTCCATCTTCAACGCCTTCAGCATTACAACCTTCACCAGTCACTCTTCCTTCCGACAAGGCTATTCATATACCTTCTACAGAGGATTCTTTAGCAGATATGAATGATTCTTTGATTGATGGCTCAGATTCTTCCTCATATATGGCAGAAAGTCTTAGCAGCGTATCTCGAACTGATTCCTCTTTGAACGATTTGCAATCTCGTCCAGCTTCAATTACATATGCACCAGCACCTGGCTTGCCTTCTGATATACAGCTTCAACCTCAAGATACCAATCCTGGCGCTCTTTTGGAAGAATATTTTATCCTTTCTCCTGGAAGTCTGGCATCCACACCTGTTACTTCACATTATAATTTTACCGATTCTTCATCCTATCCTCGTGAACAACATCGGGCATCTATTCAATACACTCAGGGATTTACTCGCAATGGTACACAAGGATTACGGCAATATCATCCAAGGGCAAACTCAACCGATATGCTATCAGTGATTTCCACAGCACAATCTTCAGTATTGGATCCAGATGAAGATATTATGCAAATGATGCAAGCCATGGAAATTAGATATCAACAACAATTAGCTCAACGACAATCTTTGGAACAACATTACACCTATGCAGAATTACCACCGATTCCATCATCGTCACAACCAAGAACAACAACAACAACACCTGATGAAAGAAATGAACGATGTACAACAATTTATTATGAGGATGATAGTGATGATGATAATGGAGATGATGAAGTGGATACACATGGAATGTATGATTCAGATGATTCAGATGATGATGATGGTAACAAGTCTACAAACAAGTCGGATGCCAACGAGCAAAACACCAATCAGCTTCCTACCAACTCTCCACCACCAATAGCCGTCTCACCTTTGCCACCTTTACCACATGAACAGGATGAAAAAAAAGGTCAAGATCAAGAAGTATTGGAAGAAAATCCAGAACCAGTATGTCTTTGCCCCAAGCATGGCGTGATTGTACCTCGTAGATAGATCCTTTTTACCCTTTCTTCTTTTCTTTTTTTTATGTATGTAGCCGTATATATATATCTATATTTATTCTTGTATTTTTTTTTTTTTTATTTATTCCCTCCTTTTTTTTTTTTTTTTTTTTTACCTCTCATTCTTTCTTTCTCTTCCTCTTATACATATAACATATTTCCTTTACCTCTGCCATCGTGAATAGTACTCATCAGATCGTTTATACTCCGCAATGAATTTTTGAATAAAAACAAGCATTTTTTTTTTATATATTTTATTTTTTTTTATTCTTTTTCTTTACTTTCTCGACTTCACTTTTTTACAATGGATGATTCAACTGAAGTAGACAACGGAAAGATTGTATACGACTGGAACCCACCCACTGGTATCATCGATCAATACTATTACCATGGTGAAACCATTACGCAAGAAGAGGTAAAATAATAGTAACATAGTAGAAATACTCTTTGTAAAAAATGGAATAGGCAAGAGTTGAACTAACAGGTACTTATAGATGCGCAAGATGTTTTCCCACTCCAAAATCAAAGAATATAAAGGACATAAAGAAAAAGTACATACGGTAGCTTGGAATTGTGATGGACGACGACTCGCTTCTGGTTCAGTAGACAAAACTGCTCGTGTTTGGATTCCTCATCGTGGAGTAAGTTCATTGACAAAAAGAAAAAAAAAATTATATACATACCTAATTCTCTTTTTTTTATGGTATATGTAGACGGATATACGATATTCTACTGAACTCAAAGGACATACAGATAGTGTGGATCAGCTGGACTGGGATCCTACTCATCCTGATCATTTGGCAACAGCATCTTGTGATAAAACAGTACGTATTTGGGATCAACGATGTAAGTCTTATAGAAAAAGTTGAAAAAAAAGGTAATAAAAAAGTTGACAATATGTTCCTTTTCTTTGATGAATAGCTGGAAAGTGTACCGCTGTGGTCCAAACGGGCGGTGAAAATATCAATGTCTGTTGGAGTCCTGATGGGGATAATATTGCTGTTGGTGACAAAGTAAATTCAAACAAGGAAAAAAAAGAAAAGTGATGGAAATAAGTGATTGATGATGATAATAATCCATATATTTATATAGAACGATACCATTAGTATCATTGATACACGAACATTCACTATCTCCATGACACAAAAACATAATGTTGAGGTAAATCAATAACAAAAAAAAAAAAAAAATATTTTTTTTTCGATGATCGATTCATTATTTTTCATTATTAGGTGAATGAAATTGCATGGAACAAGGCCAACAATCTTTTCTATGTTACCACTGGTCAAGGCACAGTGAAAATATATGAATATCCTTCTCTCAAACTTTTACAATCTTTACGTGGTCATACAGCCAATTGTTATTGTGTGGAACCGGATCCTACATGTAATTATCTAGCTGTTGGTTCTGCTGATGCATTGGTCACTCTTTGGGATATCAAATCAAATGTTTGCTTGCGTACCTTTTCTGAACTTAGGTAATCATATTAAAATATAAAAAGAAACGAACTCACTCATTCTGGATATTTCAATGATTGATGGATAGTTGGCCTGTACGCACATTAAGCTTTAGTTATGATGGTCAATATATTGCTTCTGCTTCTGAAGACAATTTTATCGACATTGTAAGTGAAAAAAAAATTTATTTCTTAATTGACTGATTTCTTTGTTTTTTTTTTTTTTTTTAATCAAGTCTCATGTGGAAACTGGACAATCTGTACATCATGTTGAATGTGCTGCAGCAATGAACACAGTGGCATGGCATCCAAGGGATTATTATTTGGCATATGCTGGTGATGAAATGGGAGCAGATGGAAAATACTCTGGGAATCTCAGGATTTTTAGTATCAAGGACCAAAGGGATCAATAACAAATGCCTTTATAGAAATAGATATCATTCCAACAAAATAAATAATCCTATCTTTTGTATATATATATAATATTCTTCATATCTTTTTTTTTATTATTACTATTATTAGTTATTTTACATCGTATCAAAATAAATATATATTTTATTTTATTTTATTTCATTTCATTTGATAATTTCAATGTGATATTGGTGATGATGCAGATGATGATGATGATGATGATGATGATGATATGGATCTTTTTTGATGTGATGATGATGGGAACAAAGAGGGAGTTTTCCTATTACGTCTTTTGATTATATCGGTTCTTAGAGCAAGTGGACGTACGACACCATGTAATTTTAAAAATAATCCGCAAGCGTTACAAAGTGGTTGACCAAGATGATCTCGACGCCATAAGGGGGTGGTAACAACGTGACAATTAGTACAGGATATAGATGGACCTTTTTTATTATTCATCCCATGAGATTTTTTATGTCTTTTTTTAAATCTCTTTTTAGGATCTTGTTGAAAGGAGGATTGATTCATTTCCATCTTGTAAAAATCATCAAGAATCCATTGTGATGTATTCAATGGATTACCAGTAGAGTTTGGACAGATGGTCAGTGGATCATTGTTTGGATGAATGGAATGCATTGCCAAGTTATGTTGCGATGGAATCATGCTAGTATGATCACCAGTGATCGTATTTCCTGAACCCACGTGTGTTGTTGATGATGATTCAAACACCGTCATGTACCTTGATGTATTCAAAGCAGAAGAGATATGTATGTCTTGATAAAAAGAAGAAGAAGAACATGACGATGATATATCATCTATTGGAGAGGATGACCAATAAGAAAGAATAACTCCATTGTTGGATGTTACCCTATGATTATCATACTCAGTGGAAGAATACATTATTTGGGTAATGAAGAAATAAAAAAAAAAAAATGATGATAAAAAAGAAAAGAAGAAAATGGTTCAATCCTTTAGGATGCTTTTTAAAATGGTGAAATTAGTTTAACAAATGACGCTTGATATCATATCAAAATAAAATAAAAAAAAATAAAAAAATAAAAAAAAAAGTGGTACAAAGGCCCCTCTCCCTTTTTATGTGTCTCCTTTCATATAAAAATAAAGTATTATAATAAAGAATTTATAATAAAAAAAAAAATAGATTTTCATGACAGGCCTCCAATATTATGTACCGTTGCTAAAATAGGAAATGCTAGCCACTGATAGTAACTGATACAGTTTTTGCCTTATGACAGCTTATCGTCAGTTTTCTCTTATTATTGTTTTTTTTTTTTTCGTTATCATTGTTTCCTTGTTTTGATTATCACCAATTGAATAATGGATGAGATTAATCAGAGAGCAACATATAATTTAAGGAATTTATCAATTGGGTTCAAGCTTTTTTATATTGTGACCATGGTTGATTTCAAGTTGAAAGTTGAAGGCGGAATATCAATTGTCTCTGGATTTACTCTACCAGTCTTTTTCTTTTTTTTCTTTTTTTTGTCTCTCTATTTTTTCTTTTTTCTTTTTTTTTTTTTTTAAACCTTTCACGTTTATATGTAACTTGATTGTTATTTCTGAATGGTCACACTGAAAGATATCTTACGATCTGCGACACAAACTATTCGCCAAGCAACGGCAAAATCAACTGGTCAAAGCACGTTGGATATCATTGACAATTACCTTGATGAACATCCTTCAGAACTTGTTACAAATGCTACCATCAATGGAAACAGCAGCAACGTACCAACATTAAACTCTACGCCTTCATCTCTACTTGTAGCAGCTGCGACTACCACCAATCTCGCAAGCAATACAAGCACTACTGGTGTATCAGCAAGCTCGAATACAACTTCTTCTGGCAGCAACAATTCTATTGCACCTTCAAGTAGTACTGGCAACTTGGAAGACAATGAAACACATACCGCCATTGATAAACTCTCTTCAGAGCTCTTCTTTTTATACAATACCACCATACTTTCTTCACCACTTGCTGTCACTGTCGTTTCTTGTACAGCCGAAGCTCAACGACTTCACAATCAACAATATCTCCTACTCTGTTTTATCCATGCTCTTCTTCCTTTACTTGGTCCCAGTCGTATCTTTCAAACATCCTGGTGGTCCAAAGCTCTTCAACCTATTCTTACCACAGCAGCTTATACCGATCATATTAAACAACAAGCAAGACAAATTGTTATCACCAGTCTTATTTTGGAACAACAAATTATACGGCAACTTGGACAATACAATCCGACAAGTAGCATTTTAAAACCAAAATATGCAACTTGGACTGTAGATTATTATCTGGAATGGGCTAGAGAATATCAAGATCGTGAACAACATCAATTAGATGCTTTGGTTGATAAACAGGAACAACAACGGGAGGAAACACCATTAACAGAAAAGGCCAAAGATGATATACGATTACAACATCAAGCTTTATTAGATATGGAACAAGAAGAATGGTCGAAAAATCTCATGTTGATCCTAATGTCACTTGGTGCTGCTGAAACAAAACCTTTCTTTTGTCTTTTGGATGGTTATTTCCAATCAAGTCAACATCGACTACAAATTGTTTATCTTCTTAGTGAATTCATGCTTCGAAAGGTAAAATTATAAACAATTTTTTTTTGTTTAATTTTATTTATTTTTTATTTATTTTTTTTTGTCACTTTTGTAGAGATCTCATGCTCATGAAATCTTGGAAACTCCTTTATTCCAATCCATGCTCAAGTCATTGATGGTAACATACAAAAAAAAAAAAAAAAAAAAAAAAAAAAAATTGGGATTTATAACCAAGAATATTTATATATTTCATTTCAATTTATTGCTTTAGTATGACAATTCAACTACATTAATCGCGATCTCGGTTACCAATTTGATTATGCTATTACCAAGGATATGCTCATTTTTGCCACCTTATTTACCTCAATTGTTTTATATCTTTGCACGAGCCATTTCTTGGGATCAATTACGTGATATGCGAAAAAAACAACATTCCTTGACAGCATCTTCACCTTCTACAAAACAAAAGACTGATTGGGATTGTGCAGGTATATGATAATAAAAAAAAAATAATTGTAATATAAAAATGAAATTTCCTTGTTGACTTTTTTTTTTTCCTATACAGATTATACATTCTCCAAATTGGCAGCACCACCTTCCAATCCTCAAACTGGACCTTTCTTTACAGCATTGTATGGTCTATACCCTTGCAATTTTTTGAATTTTTTACACAAGCCTTATGCATATTTTAAAAAGAATGGATTTACAGTACCTGAAGAATTTGATGAAGAAACCTTTCGTGTACGAACAATGGTGCAAGTATCAAGACATATGTTACATCCAAACTTGGTGACAATGGACCTAGAAACTGAATTGACAGATCGTTCAAGATGGATGAAGATGGAACCTCCTGATGTGATTGCAAGAATCATGAGTTTGGATCTTACCAATGCTGCTTCTCGTGTGGCTTTCTTTGCTAACAATGCTGATAATGATGATGATCAGAGCCGGCCTCGACATACAAACTCTATGGATCTTTTGGATACTTCTCTTTGGTCAGCTACTTCGACAACTTCAAAGGGTAGACAAGAAGATGAAGAAAAGGAAACAGAGAATGTTCATCCTCCTACATCCATCTGTTCTCCAGGTCATCAAGTATTATCTCCACCATCAACCAACAAAGGAACATCGGATACATTAGATTCTTCAACGAAACAACCCATGATATTCAATATTCTACAACTTCATCGTGCATTGAAAAGTGGTGCTGAAGTGCTCATTGGTGATGACATTTGGGTAAAAAAAAAAAAAAAAAAAAAAAAAAAGTTGGATAGTGATGATAATACTAATAAGATTTTTTTTTCATTTATTAGGAGGCTAGCTTGGAACATATCACATCTCCAGCATCATCTTCCTGTACTTCACCCAATCTAAAAGATGCACCAACTTCACTTATGGATCATCAACTTAATGCTGCGATTGGCGACTCATCATCGGAAACTCGACTTTTGATTGCAGCTTTGAAACGGGAAGTACTATTATTACGAAACGAATTAAACTTTGAACTCTTCTTGAAACAACAACATCTTCAACATATTGGACGATTACACCGGGAACATGTGATGGATAGCACAGTAGAAGCTGAACGACAACAACTTTACAATACCAATCGTATGCTCAAGGCACAACTAGCTCAAACCACTGCCAGTTTGGAAAAACTCAAATCAGAATCAGCTTTGGCAAGACAAAAACATATCAAATGGGAAGATGAACAATCCAATAAATTACGTGGTTATCGAGAAGCAAGGAAAGAATGGCAAGCTCATATGGATGTTGCCAATACTCAACTTGATGATTATCGTCACATCATTGCGGAACAACGAGAACAATTGGAGGAATCCAGAAAAAGGTAAAAATTCGTTATTATTTGCCATTTTTTCTTTCTTCATTAATTCGTATATAAATAGGACATTTGAATTGGAAAATGAACTACAAACTTTACAACCTGATTTAGAAAAAGCCTCTGAATACCAACATAGGGTACGACAGTTGACTCAACAAATGTTACTATGGGAAGAAGATACTGCACATCTTAAAGAACAGAAACGTTATATCAAAGGACTATTATCTCAATGGTGGAGCATGGAAGAATTGATAGCAAGTTTACAAGCTGAAAATCAAAAATTGATGGCAAGTCAAAGGTAATGATTTATTCCATGTCTTTTTTTTTTTTTTCTTATTTTTTTTTTTTTTTTTTTTTTTTGGCGGTAGTCAAGGAGAAAAAGAATTGGAAAAGTTGACAAAACAAGTATCCGAATTATCTTCATCAACTATTGACAAACAGCAATCATTATCCCCATCTGCATTGTTTACAACATTCAAGGATACCCAACAAGCTGAAATGGACGAAATGAAGAAAGTAGTACAAGAGTTAAAACAACAATTGACACTCTCTGAAATGGACAAGATCAAATACCAAGCTGAACTGGAACAATACAAGGCTCAAGTCGATAGTGATCCTCAACAATCAGTAGAATCAGAATAAAATTATTATACTTCTTTGATATGATTTCCACATAGTATCCCTCTTTCTTTTTTTTTTTTTTTTTAAAAAAAAAAAAGGGTAGTATTAGTTTTATTTGTTTCTATTATCTAGTATGTACATATTTTTATTATTTAATGAAAGAATCATTTTTTAACATATTGTTTGAGAATCAAAGTAAACACCAATTTTATTTCAAAACAAAAAAAGAGTCAATATAAATCATAGTTATCCTATGCTAAATGATAAAACGTAGGATCTGAAATCAAAGCTTGAGTAGAAGGAGCCACCATGATACCTTTCTCGATAAGGGATTGAAGAGTTTGGTCCAAATGATCAGGTATCACAGCACGCGTCGCATCTTTCACCAAGATAGTCTTGAAACCAAACTTGAGAGCGTCCAAACAAGTCATCTTGACACAATAATCGGCAGCCAATCCACATACAATGACAGTATCAATAGTATGTTGATATAAATGTTTGGCCAACGAGGTGATTTCATGATATTGGTTATCGGCAAACCCACTATAGGAATCTACATCAGGATTGGTTCCTTTTTGTACGATGATTTGTACTGCTGATTGGATATCTTGGACAAGTTCTGCCCCAGGGGTATGTTGCTTATCAAATCAAAAAAGAAAAAAAAAAAAGAAAAGAAATAAATAAAAAAAAGAAAGAAAGAAAGAAAGAAAGAAAAGAAAGCACTTACCACACAATGATCTGGCCATAATACTTGAATATAGGATTGATCATTATAGTTCAATTGAATGGTATCAAAAGGACGTTTGCTTGTATGATTGGATGCAAAACTGGTATGGTTACTGGGATGCCAATCCTAGAAAGAAAGAGAAATGATTACGGTTATCATTTATTTTGTTGTTGTTTTACCTGAGTGGCAATGATAAGACCTTGTCGAGCTTGAACAAAAGTAATGAGTTGTTGGACATTTGGGATAATATGGCTGGCTTCAGGCACAGGAAGAGACCCAGACTCTAAGAAATCGTACTGTATATCCACTAACACGAGTGCTATTTTTGAATGATGTGCTGAAGAGGTCTAAGAACAAAAAAAAAAAAAAAAAAAAAAAAAGGTTGAGAATGATAGAGTTTAAAAGAAGAATCTTACTTTTTGACTCTCTTACCATGGTGTGATAAGTGAGAAAAAGAAAAAAAAAAAGAAAGAAAGAAAGAAAATGCGAGGGCTGAATTTTTTTCGGGTCATTTGATTTTTATGCCAAAAAGGGATTTTTTCCTAAATATCCTTTATTGTCATAGATTGATGTCAAGACTATTTACAAAATAAAATTAGTTAACAATATAACTATCTTCTCTATTGAAAACAAGCAACATTTCCCATTTTTCTTTTTTCTCTTTTTTTAATATATATATATATACTAACATCCTTTCTTTCATGGTAAGATGCCTTATTATGGAAATAAGTTGAATGACCGGCAAAGGAAGGGCATTTCGACGTCACTTTGGGAAATAAGTTTGGTAAAAACTTCAGAATGAGTGAGTGGCAAAAAAAAACAAATTTCCAAGCTCAGTCAAAAACAACAAAAAAAACATTTCTATTTCTTTTTTTTTTTTTTTTTTTAATTCTTTACAGCAATCGTTCTTGTTTCCTTTTTTCCCCCACTCTTTTTTTTTTTTTTTTTTTGTAAGCATGACAATTATCAATTATTCATCTTACCATCATAAGTAATAACTTGACTTTTTTCTTTTATCATTCATGTTTAGATTATATAACGTACGATGCCTGTTAAAACCTTCAACAACGAATATCCAGTGATTGATACCGATCCTCACTTTTCTCGTGTGGTTCGTTACTTCAGAACTTCAGACTATGCTGCTTGGGCTGCTGGTACTGCTGCTGCTCCTGGTCTTTTACTTGCCATGGGTAAATTTATTTTATTCCATATCGACCTTTATTTTTTTTATTCATTTTTATTTTATTTTATTTTATTTTTAATAATGATATTAGAAAAAGTCAATCCTGCTGGACCTGCTCGTAACCTTCGTTTACCTCTTCGTTTGGCTACTATTGTAGGTGCATTCGGTGGTTTCTTATATGCATATCAAAATAGTAGTTGTAAGTTTTGAAAGTTCATCAAGATACATAATAGACTTATCTTTTTTTTTATTATTATTAATAGTGCGTTTCTGGGGTTGGACTGAAAATGCTCGAGAAGTAGCTAAGGATCAAGAAGAAATGCAACAACGTTTGAAGGAAGGCAAGTCTCTATATGGTGATAGTTTTATGCCTGAACATGTCCAAAATGAATCATCTCGTAATTCTCGATTTGCTCAATTAAAATTCAGTAAGTGATCTACATATATATATCCATTGATTTTAATAATATTCTTTCTATAGGTGCCTATCCTTGGTTCAACTTTGCCAATCATAACAACCATGGTGTTGATACCTCCAAGTACGAATCTTCTTAGATTATTTAGATCATTTTCACCTCCTTTTCTACCATCTCCTATTATTTTTATTTTATTTTAAAACAATCATACACATTTCCTTTTTTTTTTATAGTCTTTTATAGTTTTTACTTTATTCTTTTGTGTATAAAACTGAAATAAAGCCAAAACCTAGGTTTCCCTTTTTTGTTCATTTTTTTTTTCAATCTCAAATTACAAAATTAATCTTTTTTGGTGCCTGTCTTGTCTCTTTTTTTTTTTTTTTTTTTTTTCTGATGGTATGACATTAATGTCTTCTTTTTTAAAGTCGACAACTTCAACACCTGTTTATCTTGACACGACACCCACTTTACGTAAAAAACAACCATTCCAACAACATCAATACATTCAACAAGAACAGGAACATCTACAACAAGAAGAACACATCCAACATAGGTCTCACCAGTATCAACAATATAAACCTTATCAACAGCATTATGAAACAAATTCAATCTTGAAACCATTTAAACGAACATCATACATACATTCTTCAAGGCGACCATACACCAGCTTATCGACTACATCTTCATCATCTGTTCGATCTTATACCTGCCTTCTTTTTTTATGTTTGGCCACTTTCATCTCTTTTGGTGTCATCTATCAACTCTCTCCGTCTTTAACATCTATCTTTCAGCATCATTCTGAAGATGATAATATGTTTGTTTCAATTGTCCCCAAACGCATAGCTATCAAATGGCGTGGTTATCTTTCTCAACGATTTTTTGACTCGTCAGCTATTTCACCCAAATGTAAATAATCTGTTTTTTTCTTTTTGAAGATAATATGGCATAAAAAACAAAATATCTTACTTTTTTTTTTATTATTATTATTATTTTGTAGTGTATTTCCCTAGACATTGTCCTTCTTCAGATTCCACTTTGGATACCAATCATATGCTTATGTGTGCCAAACCAGTTCCCTCATTTATATTTGCAGGCAGTGAAATGAGTGGATCAAAATATGTCTTTGAACAATTACGCCAACATCCTCAAGTAGCTTGGACCATGGATTCTTCACCATTATCAACAGAAAATATGGAAAAAACATCATCATCATCATCATCACCCATCATTGGTAAAAAAGGCAACACTGGCTTTTCTTCCTTGGATGATGATGATGTGGATGATGGACAATTAAATAGTGATGCCGCCTTTGAAGCTTATCTCTCCCAGTTTCCTTTTTTGACTGACTACGAATTGAACAACATTGAAAAACAACAAGTGGTCGTTGGTGAACATGCTCCTCATTATCTATACAAGAGTTATTTTATTGCTCGGCGGATTCGTGAAACTCTTCCTCATGTCAAGGTAAATTTTATCTTTGCAATAAAATGATGACTCACATTCTTTTATATAGCTTGTATTTATATTACGGGATCCTATTGATCGAGCCTATACTCAATTTTTGAATGAAAAAGCATCTGCACGACATAAGGAAGACGGATCATCTCTTTCATTTGATTCATTAGTGGACCTGGAACTATCTATATTACGTCGATGTGGTCATACCAGTACACAAACAGGTTGGGAAGGGTTTGTTCGATGTCATCAAGGAAGTGAAATTCGTGCCACTTGGAATTTGACCAGTAATAATGATAGTGGTAAATTAATCAAAAAAAAAAAAAAAAAAAACTTTCAATTTATATTCTTTATTTCATAATAGATACTTTGAAAGTATATGATTCTTTGGCCAAAGGAATGTATTACAATGCATTGTTACCTTTCTTACAACAATTTCCTGCTTCTCAAGTATATGTAACCAGAACCGAAGATTTTATCAACAACCCTTCTCAATCCTTCCAAAAGTTGGCCAGATTTTTAGGCATTCAAGAACAATTTTTTTCGGAAAGGAACTTTTATGGACGAATGAAATCAACAAAAGATGATGATTTATCCTCCTTGATTCTACAACAACAACAATTAGGACGACATCTTCGACATCCATCTTCTTCTTCCTCTCGCTCACATCATTATCGACCACAACAAAGGGTACCAATCATGGCAATGGAACAAGAACTATCCGCCGATGATGAGGAAGTAGAAACATCATCATCATCGTCATCATCATCATCACAAAATAATCTGCCACATCAGCAAGAGGATGTATTAGACTTATCGATTCGATACCGTCTTGAAAAACTGTTCCGACCATTGAATCAACGATTGTTAGAATTGTTTGAACATGAAGACGATTTTCGAGGTTGGGATTATGATGTGGATAGAGGATAATTATTATTATTAGTTTTTCTAGTTTAATATAATATGTTGTTTAGTTAGAGTTCTTAATCCATCAATAATAAAGATTCGTTTTTTTTTTTTTTTTTTTTTTTTTTTTTGCTTTCTATTTTTTTTATTATTATTATTTCTTTTTTTGATGCTTCATTTTTATTGATATCTATTCACAACCTCTCTCTCCCTTTTTTTTTTCATGCGGCGGAGTACTAATGATGATCCATATTTCCTAAAAGTATAGCAAAGAGAAAAAAAAAAAAAAAAAAAAAAAAAGGAACTATGTCTTGTCATAAGATAGGCAATTCTCAATAAATAAATAATAAATAGAACAGATAGATGGATAGATAGAATAGATAGATAATCTCTCTTGAATGATATCATTTTTTTTTAGTATCAAAAAAAGAGGAGACACCAACAATACATATCATTGGTCATTTTTTTTTCGTTCCATAGTGTTACTACAAAAAAAAAAAAAGGTTCCATAGTGTAACGCTCCTCCATGATTTTGTCATGTCTTTGTCATCACATTTGTTTTTTTCCCAAAGGTACATAAAATTGGTAAACTGTTTATTATGATTATAAAAAAAAAAAAAGAGTATCAAACTAAAACTATATATATATATATGTAGGGAGAGTAAAAAGAATAAAATATGTAACTCATTTCATCGATGAGTGTTTTGTTTCTTTGCATCATTGGTCAAGGTAACAGATGCACGACGTTTATTGTGTTCATTTGTATCCTGGTCTTGATCGTTATCATCATTACTGTCATCACTTTCGTCATCGGGGATTTCCGGCATAAGGAGAGATCCATCTCCAGGATACTTGTAAACAGAACGAGAGGATGGAGATTCAGAAGATGTTGATTTATTGTTATCGAATGAAGAAACCGTAGATTCATCATGACCATGATGATCATACTAAACCAATAAAAGAAAAAAAAAGTTGGAGACAAAATGAAAATGTTCTATTTTTTTTTTTTTTTTACCTTGTTGTCCAAAGCAGGAACAGCCATAGTATTATGGAGCATTTGAATGAATTCACCTATATTCTTTTCAAAGGTTTCCAATGGATATCGTTTTGCCAATTTTGCAAAATGTTGATGTAAGCTGACGTCTTTTTCAATAACCAAAAACTATATATATATATATAAAAAGAAAAGTTCAATAAAAAATTCATTGACATGAATGAATGTCTTTTTTTAAGAAATTTACCTCTTTTTCACGTTCACGGACTTGAGTTTTGAATAAATACATTGTACGAGTCTTTGGGAATAATAAATGATGATCAGCCGCCTTAATCCCCCAATCATTTTCTAAATCATCATCATCGTCATCCTCATCATCTTCAGGAGTACGTTTTTGTTGTGTTGTTGAAGTATCATCCAAAGAATCATCGTTGTTGATATGATGATCAGGTTCATCTTCATCTTCCACATCACCATAAGAAAAGATTTCATAAATAGATTCCAAACCAGTTTGCATATCACACAAGTAACTTTCAATAGCAGCCTGAGTCAATAATTCCAAAAATAAGTCATACCATCTTGGAGGCATACCACCACCCATCACTTTTTGTCCAGCAAAAATCAAAGGTTCTTTTTTCATAGCTTCATCATCATCATCAGAATTCGTTTCCAAGGTTTGTCGTAACATATCAGCACTTGTTTTAAGAAAAGTTGGGATGGCTTCTACTAATCCAGGTGGTAATGATTGTTTATTATTATTATCTTGACAAGTCACACATTTTTGTAATCGATGTCGTCGACAATAATTTGGTATAATCATATGAGTCCATCTACAAGTACTTGTATCTTGATCAGTATCATTGTGATGATGATGGTGATGATGGTGATGATGATGACGACGACGTCGACGTCGGGTAGAAGAGGAAGAATGAATCACGTGTTGACTACTAGTTGATGTATCCAATCTTCCAAATATCAAATTTGTCAGTTGACAAAGGTGAAGGCGCTGTTCAAAATGACTGTCGATCTGAAAAGAAGGTCGTTTATTACGTTGACTTGATAAAATGCCTATAAAAATAAGAAAGAGTTATATATCAAAAAGTTGGATATTTTTTTTTATTATTATCATCTTTTTACCGGCTACAATAGATTCCACTGCATTTTTATCTTGTTCTGCTTTAGTTGCTGTAGCTACCCAACGTTGTTTTCTAACTTGAATAGCATCCTTGTCTTTATCTTGTAAAGGACTAGTCAATTCCAATAATTCAATTTGTGCTTGTTTCAATCTAGATTGAATAGATAAATATAAAAGATAATCCAAGATAATCTTATTCGTTGTACTGGGAGGTGGTACATTATGTTGAACAGGGGCAAAGATGAACTTGAGACTGGGTCGTCTTGTTGTTGTTGTAGAAGAATTCGGTAAAAGTGTCGTCAAATCTGACTTTTCTTGCATGGTTTTATATAAAGGAAAGGAAAGAAAATAAAAATAAAATAAAATAAAATAAAAACGAAAAAAAAAGGAAAAAAGGAAAAGAGGAAAAAAAAAAAAAAAAAAAAAAAAAGGAAAAAAAAAAAAGAAAGAAAGAGATTCCGACCTGATTGATTGGATGGTTCCTGCCAAAAAAACTCTCTTTTTTCTTAATTCTTTTCGGTTTTCCTTTGTCTGTTCCGATAAACGAGTCACAAGTATTATCTAGTGTGGAAATCAAATCTTTTTTTTTACCTTTTTATCAAACTCCCTTCACTCCCCAAAATCTTTATACCTGCTTTTATATTATTATAATTATTATTTTTATTATTGATTATAGTATTGTTTTACTCCTAGATACATATATATTTAACTTAATAGGAAAAAAGTAATCAAAAGTTGTAATCATTACATTTTTCCAAGTTAAGCTTATCTCTTTTTTTTTTTCATTGTCATTCACATGGGATATGCGGGAATGCTTTCATTCGGGTTCTCTCTCCCCCCTCCTTTTTTTTTTTTTTTTAAGACGGGTAAATGATTTTTTTTTGATATTTGCTGTGTTTGAATTGATGTCATGTTTTTTTTTTTTTTTTTTTTTTTGTTATTCGGCCTTTTTTCTTTGTTTTACTTCATCACTATGGCCAACCAAAAACGAGAATCAACTCAAGTTCAACCAGAAGATGCTACTATTGTTTCTTTGGTATTACAATCTCTTGGTGTTCATGATTATGATCCAAAAGTAGTACAACAATTACTTGAATTTGCTCATAGTAAGTTTTCACAAAGAGACAAGTTTATTTTATTTATCTTTTCTTTTTTTAATTGTTATATTAGGATATACAACTGACGTATTCCAAGATGCTTTAGTATATGCAGAACATGCTAATAAGGTGGATATTGATTTAGAAGATATACAATTAGCTATTCAAGGACGTGTGAATCATTCTTTTACTACACCACCTCCCAAAGAAGTAAGTAATATTTATTTATTTATTTTCTTCTTAACCATTTTATATTAGTTTTTATTAGAGTTAGCAGAAGAAAAGAACAAGACTCCTTTACCATTAATTCCTGAAAAGTATGGTAATCGATTACCAGCGGATAAATATTGTTTGACAGGTCTTAATTTCTCCATTGTACCAAACGTAAGTATATACATAATAAGGTCGGTTTTGCATCTAATTCATTATTCTATGATAGGCACCTCCATCACTTTCAAATACAACAACACAACAACCATCATCAACATCTTCAACAACAACAACAACAATAGCAGCAAATGATTCACAGTTACAACAATCAAAGAGAAGGCGCGATGATATGGAAGATGATGATTATGATTTCTAGTTACAATGTTTTTTTATTTAGTAATTCTTACTTGTATATACCACCTTTTTTTTTTTTATTATTATTATTATGATTATGATTACTTTTTATCTTTTTTTTTTTTGTTTGTTTGTTTGTTTAAAACAAATATGAATAAACGACATCATCATACTTATCTACTAGTTGAAATAATATTTATTATTATTATAACATGTCATATTATATGTGTCGTCTTTTTATATATTGATAAGAATCAGAATGAAGAACTGTGCTTTATCTAATAAGGTAGGATATACTTGTTTTAATATAGAGAGGATCATTTCTTTTGCATGATATTGATCGAATGGACGGACATTGAACCCATCCCGAGTTCTCTTTTTCCTGGGGATTTTTTTAAATTTGATTCACGAGACAGGTGACAGGTATGCACGTTTTTTTTTTTTTTTTACTGTCGTCATCATCATTGCAAATCATCATCATGATGAGTAATATTGATCTATGTTTATATAGAATGAGTTTACTAAAAAAAAAAGAAAAAAAAAAAAAAAAAACTTGGAGGATTCAGGGATGATGACAAGGGACTTAAATTGTATACTTCCCCTCAAATATATAAAGAATCTTTGAAGGATGGAAAAAACACATGTCAATATATAAATGTTCTAAAGAAAATCCACCTGACTTTTTTTTTTTTTTGCATTTCTCACTATTGAACTCAAAAAAAAAAAAAAGAACTTTGGAATGCTAGGTCAGGTTTATCATTTTGTATTGAATGGTGAGACCCGGGGACAATGTCGTGATCTGATTGGTGGATGACACCGTTCCGTTTCCTTTTTCAGTAGTTTACACTTGATTAGGAGGCAGTAAAAAAAAATCTGGTCTCCGAAAGTTTTGCTTATGTATTTCAACTTTTTCATTTTTCTTATTTTCTATCTTTCTTCTCCTTTTTTTTTTTTTTTTATTTTCTTTTTCACTTTTTTTTTTATTATTCTTTATTCAGGATGCCTTCTAATTCACACTCTCACAATAATCGGACTACAGCTACAAGTGTCCTTGTTATTGGCATGTTAATTTCCGGTAAGTCAAATGTAGATTTTATTTGTTCATGTAATGATTCGTCTCTTTTTTTTTTTTTTGTCTAAAAAGGTGTTTGCAATACAATTCTCAACAAGTATCAAGATATGCAATGTGTTGAAAACTGTCAAGCTTTAGATCCAGCAGAACGACGATATTATGAACAACCTGTTTGGCAAACGTAAGATAATAATGACCGAACAACCCACCGACCCGACCTATCACCGAGCTATTTTTTTTTTTTAATCTTCTCTAATTATCTATCAATTATCTATTATTTAGGTTAAATATGTTTGTTGGTGAAGCATTTGTTTGGACTGTATACTTCTACCAAAAATGGCAAAAGAGACGATCCAATATGACAACTTATTCCTCCCTTACTGAATACCCTCCTTCCTCTGTGCAACAAATGGATGCTTCCGCTATTATCGATGACGTAGTAGATCATTCTGCTAAAGATCATCCTTCCAACTTACCTTCATTACATGGTATCAAGGCTTTATTATTTTGGATTCCAACTCTTTGTGATTTGACTGCAACTACGGTAAAAAAAAAAAAAAAAAAAAAAAAAAAAAAAAAAAAAAAAGATCATCTTTGATTTATTCTCATTTTTATTTATTTCATATAGTTGATGAATGTAGGATTGATCTTGACGTCAGCTAGTGTATATCAAATGCTTCGTGGTGCTGTGGTGATCTTTACTGGTATCTTTAGTTATTTATTCTTACATAGACGACTTCGATTATTTGAATGGTTCTCCTTAGTTTGTGTGGTACTTGGTGTAGCGATTGTTGGATTATCATCCGTCTTATTTCCTCAAACTCGACCTGGTGTGGAAGATGGTATGTCGACTGATGTGGATTACTTATCCTTTGTAGGCGTTCTGATGGTTTTGGGTGCACAAATCTTTACAGCAACACAATTCGTAGTGGAAGAGAAAATTCTGGCACACTATAAAGTAACACCTCTCAAGGCAGTGGGATTAGAAGGCTCCTTTGGTGTGATCTCGGTTGTTAGTGCTCTACCCATCTTACATGTTTTATTCAGTAAACAATCCTCTCATTTTGATATGTATAGAGGTTTCCATGACTTTTTTGATCATCCTGGTGTATGGCAAACTGGTATCTTTATCAGTTTATCTATTGCCTTCTTCAATTGGTTTGGTCTTTCTATTACGAATAATATTTCTGCTACTGCAAGAAGTACTATTGATACCTCAAGGTAATATAAAACAATGAATTATATATTTATTAATATCATTATTATAATATTAGAACCTTATTTATTTGGATGGTTTCTATTTATCTGGGCTGGGAAATCTTTTCTTGGATTCAAGTCATTGGTTTCATTATTATGGTGACTGGTACCTTTTATTTCAATGGAGTATTACGTTGGCCATTTGCTCAAGATGAATTAGAAGAAGGGGAAACTGATCGTTTATTACCATCTCCAGAATAGACATATAGATAATAATAGAAATTATGTTTATATATACAAATACCAATAAAATAATATATATATATATAATCCATCTTGTTTTGTATGGGCTTTTTACGGTTTTAAGCTTAAAAAAAAAAAAAGATGAGACTTTAGAAAATATCCGTCATCGACGGTCAATGACGGTCATGAATCATCCGACACTTTATCATCAATGGATTTCCTTTTTAAGGTGAAGATGATCCACAAAAGATATTCATGGGATTGCTTATGAGTTTTTCTTTCTCATTGGAATGAATGTATCGGTGAATATGTTGAGATCATCCTTGTTTTAAACAAACAAAGCAAACACAAGGGCGTTTTGTGGAACCTTTTTTTCTACATTTATTTTTATCAACCGCGCCTTTCAGGTCTGTGATCATCCAAGCCTCGTTGGTTATTTTTTTTTTCAATTTATTCAACAAGTTATTTTTATACATCTTTTGTGTATTAAACAAAAAAAAAAAAGTAGAGAATCTTTCTATAAATGACACCGGAGTTAAAAAGAAAGGACAATATAAAAAAGGATCGCGTTTTCTTTTTTTTTTTCTTCGTTTTCATTTCTTTTTTTCTTTTTTTTTTAATTTAATTAATTAATAATCTTCCTCGTACTTATCATGAAATCTGCTTTCTTATTCTCTTTATGTGTTCTTGCCAGCACTGTGTTTGGTTGTCATGGTCTTCAAGCAGTGGCTGTACTCAAAAATGATGAAGGTGCTCATGGTGTAGTGACATTTGATCAACCCAATAATAATGGTCCAACCAGTATTCACGCTGAAGTTTGGGGTCTTCCTGCTGGTAAGCATGGTTTTCATGTACATGAATATGGTGACTTGACTCAAGGTTGCAATTCGACATTGGCTCATTACAATCCTTTCAATGTAACTCATGGTGCTCCTACGGATAAGATTCACCATGTCGGTGACTTGGGTAACATTGAATCTTCAGGTCCTGATCAAGCTGCTGTTTTGGATATTACTGCTGACTTTATTCATCTTCAAGGAGATATAAGTGTTCTTGGTCGTGCTATTCTGATTCATACTGGTGAAGATGATTTGGGTCGTGGCAATTCTCCTCTTTCCAAAACTACTGGTAACGCTGGTGGTCGTTTCTTATGTGCCGTCATTGGTTGGGCTGCTCCTAAACAATAGATTCTTTTTTTTTTCTTTTTAATCTTTTCAGTATAGTTTATTTTATCATCTTACATTTATTTTTATTTTTATTTTTTTTTGTATACAGTAATAATAAAAAAAAAACAATCTCCCTCCTTTTTTTATTTTTTTGTTGTTGTTATTTCCCATTTATATGATTTTTCTTTTTATATGTCATCATCATCAATCAATGATAAATGATAAAGTATATTGAGAGTGTTATTTGGAATGCACTTTTTTTTTCTTGATGTATCCTTCCCCTGACAATCATATCATCTTTATCAGATCAATACCATAAGGATCATGTTGATGTACCGAAAAATTGATTTATCTGATTACGACTTTGTGTCCCGGGATTTCTGTCAATGAAAAAAAAAAAATAAGCGTCTATTAGACGTCTTACATCTCCGTCTGTATCTAATGTATACCTTGCCTGTTTTGTAATCAAAAAAAGAAAACATGGGAACTCTTTTTTTTTTTTTTTTTTTTAATCGCGGCAAAGACCGAGAAAAAAAAAGTAGAAGATCTACTTGGGACTTGGAGTTATCATTTCTTGTTCTATCATCATCCATCATCTATCATAAAACGTTCGTCATCATATATTATCCATCATCCACCATCAATTATCAATCGTTTATTATTGAATTACCACTATACACTCATTTTGAATTCCTCAGTATCAACTTTTACCCGTGGCTTAATTCATTAGGAAATAAATCATCATCACTATTGATATGCAAGATTAGAGTTTTTTTTTTTTTGTCTGATGGACAGAACTAGATGATCACATGACGCCCCACCATTGTTATGACAACAACAACACGCGCGTCAAAAAAAAAAAAAAGATACAAACACACATGCAACATAAATACAATAAGCAATTTTACATTATATCTATATTTGGACAAATCGTCAAATTCTTTTAAGCAATGGTAGCTATGAAAGGTTGGTAAAGTTGATAGATGGATTGTAGGGAATAACAAGAACTTTCCATTGCTAACGGAGTTGGACATTAATAATATACCCCATGACAAAGTATCCATCTGCGACTTTGTCACACAAACTTTTCATCTCTCACGATTTCAATCTGTTCAGTAAAAGCAGGGAAAAGGATTTTCATGCATTGATGGAGGATGATGATGTGTTGAATGGTTCATATTTTGATACCACGGAGTCTAACATTAAAGACTTTGTTTTTTTTTTCCTACCAGTAACATTGTTCTCATTCATCATACAACAACGAACTATCTTATCCATCATCCATCATCAATTAATCCACTGTATGTTAGCTGATTCTAGGACAAATCATCCAATCAATTGCATCTTGATATATCCTCTTTATACTCTTTTTTTTTTTTTTTTTTTTTTTTGCTGCATGATGACCCTTGCTTAGTCGTGATAAAAGAAAAAAAACGCTGTCACGGTATCTCATTCTGAAGTATCACCTTGTTGCGTATTTCCACCACATCCATATTGTCTATGGGATATCCTCTGATTTTATGAATTTTGACTCTCCATCAATTTCATATATTTGCCCTGAGGAATAGATGAAGAATATCGGATTGTGTCCCGTTTCCGGATTTTATGTAATAGAAATTGTTTGTTTGGTAATTGAATATCCGCATGATCCCTTATGATAAACACAAAAAAAAAAAAAAAAAAAAGATTCTTTATTCAGTATATGTTTTATTAATATAATATGAAGAGATATAAATATGTCGAATGATTTGAGAGAGAGAGAGAATCAACTAGAATGAAGTAAGGAAAGAGATGTTCAAAGTAAAAGTAAAAAAAAAAAAAAGAAGGAATCATGTACTAAAAAAAAAAAAATAGTGTAGATGGGGAATATATAAAAGTGTAATAAGAATGAAAATATGATCTATTGAATGATAATAATAAACAAAATAATAACAGCTATTGCAACCAAACAGGAAGATAATAGGACAATCCCTCGACTAGCCGGAAAGTAACCTTTGATCATAGCTTGTTGTGAATGGAAGAATCTAGATACGGCAAATAATACAAAAAAGATCCCAAGTAAAATAAACATCAATCCCACCAATCGTCCAGATTTCAATAATGCTTCGAATTCGTCTTTTGGATAATGCGTTGATGGTGTTTTATCCAATCGAAATAATTGTGTCAGTCCTAATACATACGGATAGATAAAATAAAATGAATAAGAGATCCTGTCATTCGTCTCCTTTTTTTTTTTTTTTCTATATTACCAACACCAACAGAAATCAATGATAAGCTTGTACGAAGCCATGCAAGATAAGTTCTTTCATTTGCTAGAATCACCAAAAATAAAACAAAAAAAAAGTAAAAAAAGAGAAGAAAAATCAGATGATCATGGTTTTTTGTTTTGTCAAAAAAAAAAAAAAAAAAAACTTTGATTGAATAAACCTTACCTAGATGATCACGAGCCACACTACCTTTGTTGTCTAGATAGACAGACAACGATTGTTGTTCTAATAGGTAGGTCCAAAAGTATCCATATGATGACAATGAATCATTTTCTTGTTTCCAATCCTCTTCCTGGGTTTCCTCAGTTACGCTATTAGAATGTCCTGACCTTGAACGTAATAATGGTGTTTGTTCATTGTCATTATCATCTTGATCAGTTGAATGGCAACTACTAGAAAATGATACTGTGCGAGATATACTATTATAATTTTTGAATGAACTAGTATATTGTGTCGTATTCATTAAGAGTAACAAAAAAAAAAAAAGAAGAAGAAGAAAGAAAAATAAAGAAAAGAACAAAAAGGGGAATCTATAAGCATATTGCAACTTTATTCTAAAAATGACGGCAAAAACGAACTTTATTTTGACCTCCGTCTTGAAATCAAAAAAAAAGTAACTTTATAATAAAATCCTCAGCAAAGGAAAAAAAAAAAAGGAAAAGGAAAAAAGAGTGGCAGTTTTATGCTACTTGAAACAATTACTTATATTAAGTTTAAAAAAAAAAAAACTACTACTTTAGTTTGCATCTTATTTTTCTTTTATAGTTTTTTGATGTTGATGATCTATACTTTCTTACAACTTTTGAATCTCCATATCATATCATTGGAACAAGTCTACTGCGGAAGACGAAATTTCATCAAACTATGTCATTGGTACAACCTTACTTTTTTTCTTTCACTTTCTTCTTCTCTTCCTCTCTCCCCTTTTTTTTTTTTTTTTTTTTTTTTGTATTATACATGACTACTACTACGACTCAAGTCCCTGTAGGTGATCTTCACTGTCAACATGATACCTACTGTAAAGAATATTATACACATTGTATCTCATGCTCTGAAAAACCCGATAAAAAAGGTTTTTACCAAGTAAAACTTCATGATACAAGTAAAGAAAAATGAATATATATACTTTATGAACAATACTAATTGAAATGTTTATCTTTTTTTTTTCTAGTTCTTTTTCCAGAAGGTGGTGGTCAACCCAATGATACCGGTTATATCAACGATATACGAGTATATAATGTACAACGACAACAATTAGAACATATTCATTATACCAAGGAACCTGTACAAGTCGGTTCAAAAGTCAAACTTACCCTGGATTGGGAACGGCGTTTCGATCATGTACAACAGCACACTGGACAACATCTTTTAAGCGCGATTTTGGAAAAGCCACCTTATTCGATAGAAACGGTGGGTTGGTGCATGAAAGAAAAGACAAGTTATGTAGAATTGGGTACAGCTGGTGGATCTCAACCTACACAAGAACAATTAGACGAAGTAGAACAAAAAATCAATGATATGATATTACAATCGATTCCTGTCAAATGTCATACAACAGCTATGAACCATAATGATGATGATAGTTTACGACCTGATTCTTTACCAGCAGATTATGTGGGTAGTCAAGGTGTGATACGGACAATAGAAATCGAGGGTGTGGATCGTAATCCATGTTGTGGAACACATCTACGTGATTTGGGACATTTACAACAACTCAAACTTTTACATACCGAGACAATCAGGGGTGGTAATACGCGATTGTATTTTGTATTTGGTCAACGTGTGGTGGATAACCTAGGTGAACTTTATGATCTTAGTCGACAATTGACCAAACTGTTATCAGTTCCTCCTAAGGATTATTTGGATAGTATCAATCGTCTACAACTTCAATTACGTACACAAACAAAACTCGTCAAGAAATGGCAATCTCAATTGGCTACGTATGCTATCAAGGATCTTCAAGTTCAACTCAAAACTTCTCCTGTGGCACTTGTATATGATGAAGAGGGTGAAGGTGGGATGCCTTATTTATCCTTATTGGCTGGACTTATCAAGGAAGCCAATCTACTCCCAGATGATGATGATGATGATGAAAACAAAAAGGCTATTGTGTTGGCTTCTGGTGAGAGATCCAAAGGTGGTGTCATGCTGATTCTTTCTACTGATGATGTTTACTTGAAAAAGGTGGCTACCAAGGCGATGTCTATTCTCTCTGGTGCAAAAGGCGGTGGTGCTCGTGGACGTTGGTCTGGCAAGGCAACTTCATTTGTTAATATCGAACAGATATTGAATATAGATTAGATTTGAATACATATATACAGTTTAATATTGTTTGAAAAAAAAAAGAATCATTGTACAAAATAAAAACAATCTGATATTTTGCAGACGCTTGTCGAAATAAATATATATATATATGTCCATAAAGAGTTTTTTTTTTTATTTATTATTATTATTATCATCCATCCATTCATTCCGTAATATGCTATTATTAGATCATTTATGAAAAAGAAAAAAGATTCAAAAAGATAAAACGGAAATAAGGAACACATAATGAATATTGATGATCACCAAGCTAATAAGAGATCAATCATATCATCACTGTTGTCAAAAAACAGTGCATAAAAAGCAACCCTGAGTTTAAATCGAAGCATTTCAAAATGAAGTCCTGTCTTCAGTTTTTTTTTCTTTTCTTTTTTTTTTTTTTTTTTTTTTTTTTTTTTACCTCTCTCCATATAAATCCTCATGGCACGTAAACAAAAAAGACAACATTGTATACAACAACAACAAACACCAATCAGTCGTCAGCTTTCTGATTCATCAATACAACGCGAAAGTGATGATACTGAAGACAAGTTGACCCAGATCGATAGACATCACTATTTTTTTTCTCAGTTCTTTTCTATATTTGAACAACGGAACCAACATTCTACGCAACAACAACACGAACACGAAGATCTTCCTGTTTTATTAGACTGGACGATATCTATATTTGTTTACCTTACTGGTATTGTAAGAAGAAGAAAAAGAAAAAAAAAGCATCATCTTAATAACAACCATTTTGTAATTCTTCATATTGAAATACTTTTTTTTTTTATCTATTTACCTAATTTCATAGACGTGGTGATAAAAGGACTTTATATTATCAAACCTTTACTATCTATATTGGTGGCTCTATATATATTCAAAATGATCATCTTTTATGGTTGGAAGCACTTCTTGGATATAACTTGCCCTTATATTCCGACTCCTTTTTTACCTTTACTTCCTGCTTGTCAACATTGGAATGATCCTGTACCCAACTTTTCTCAACTAGTCACAGTACAAGAAAAACTATGCAACACTGTATTGACGCATGACTCTACAGCAAAAAGGACTGGATTTTCAGGAAATAGCGACTCCTTTGGTGATACGACACATCCTCTATCAGCACTTGCTTTGAAACAGGTAGAATTAGCAACCCGTGATTTACAAATGATGGTCAAACATTCTAACTTGGCCTATAAGGAACTTTTGGGTGAAAAAATGACGGAATATTTGATGCACTCTAGGACATTTGGAAGGGATATTCAGGTACTAACAAGGAAAAAAAAAAAAAGATGGGTTAATCTAAATGTTCTTTTTTTTTTATTATGTATATAGAGTATGCAAGCACAAGGTAAAGGTGTTATCGATAATTTGATCACATACAACACTGTGACATTACGTAAATTATCTAATGTGGAAAATGGAAAGACAAGCAGACAAGAATTACGTTTAATATATGAAGCATCCATGGGATTAATTGGTAAATTCAAAAAAAAAAAAAAATAGGGATGAAACATATACATTGCCATGGTGATTTGTATTCATATTTTTGCTGTTTCTTCATATTTTAGAAAAAGAAGCTCGTCGATTGATTCTTGCTATCGAGAAGGCTCAAGGATCGTTAGATGTATTAGAGGCGGATCTTTATGCAATTCAAGAAATCACGATACAAGAAAAGAGTCATCAACGTGCTGAACGACCACATGTCTTGGTAGATCTGGTGAATATGGTTAGAGGAAGGGAATTACAACGACCATTAGTACGAGAAAACATGGAATTACTCTTGAAATATGACGTGGAACGGAGTAAATCATCTGAAAGATTGATGATGCTTCTCGATAGAATGGAGGCCGTGCAAATGGATTTGGAAGAACTACGGACTCAAGTGGTGGCACCTATTGTTATTCCGGACTCTTTACCTTTAGAAATGCACATTGAAAATATTAACAAGGCAATCATACGATTGAAACAAGGAAAATGGACGGATTATGATCAACAAAGGGAATCGGACACACTATCATCATCACTAGAATCTTCATCAGAATCATGACACAATAAATCCATTCTTTTTTTTTTTATGTATCTTCATTTTTATTATGTTTTATTATCTTTGATTTTATATATATATATATATATTAGTTTCTACTTTTTAAAATTTATATTATCAATAAACAATCATTTATATGTTTTATTATTATTATTATTACTTACAATTGGTTATAATCATGTTGATTGTGTAAAAAATAGGGCATGTTAAAATAGCAAGAGAATTAAACTAGCGCTTTTTTTTTTTTGATAGCCAGGAAAAAAAAATCTCTTATTTTCTTTTTCTTTTTCTTTTTTTTTACTTCTTTCTTTCGAATCCTTTTTTTTTTTTTTCTTTTTTTTTTATCAATCATGCTTCGATCAGCTTTGGGTCGTCATTTACCAAAGCCATCCTTTTTATGTTTTCAATCTCTTCGTCATGAAACACCTATCTCGATCCAAAGATCAAGCATAAAAACAATAGTTTATCAACAGTATTGTTTATTCAACAACAGTGCCATTCAGCTGTACGAACGTAGCAAGAATAGGGATATGAACAACGATGATCGTCCATCAGAAAAGAAGAAAACATATGGAAACCGTCGTTTTGTCAATTTGAAAGATGCTGAACGTCGTGCTAACCGTCATTTATATACACTACCAAGAGATGTCTATGGTACTTCTGATCGGGTGGCTCAATTGTTAAAATTGACTGGCATTGATGAAGCTATTGAATTCGTACAACATTTACCTTTGGATCTACAATCAACTGTGGTTTGGAATCAACTTCTTGGCTATTGTGCTGAGCATGGAAGAGCAAATCTTGCTGAAAAATTGTTTACTCAGGTAAAAAAAAAATATCTAGACAAAATATAAACTGAAAACTGATTGGATTTAATTATGTAGATGCGGAAACGAGGAATGTATCCTAGCGATTGGACCTTTGGACATTTATTGACAGCTTTTGCTAATAGTACATCTCGTGCATCAGTAGAAAGAGCAGAAGGATGGATACAACGAATGGAACAATATCAAGTGACACCTACAACTTTACATTACAACATGTTACTGAAAGTATATGAAAATGCACAACAATATAATCATGTGGTGGCTAAGGTACGACAAATGATGCGTGATGATGGATTATTACCATTCCCAGATAAAGTGACACTCTCCATTGCATTGAAAACATGCCCAGTACTGGTGAACAATCCCAACAAGGAGATCAAACGTATTTGGCAATATATTTTGGATCGATTGACCGAACAACAACAACAACAACCATCATCATCATCATTATTATTATCAAATAAGGATCATCGATCTCCATATGTCTCGTCTTTACAAGCCAAGGTTGATAAATTATTATCTACAGATACGACTTTTCGACAGGATCAAGATGCACTACAGGAACAATCTTTGTCAAATAGAACACAACGAGAACCTTTAGATGTGGATGATGCTTTGGTGGTGGCTTTATTAAGAGCTTTGGGAAGAACAAGTATAAGACAAAAGAAGAATCATGATGGTGAAGATCATTTGGCCTTGGTGATGGATATCATGGAACAATTGTATGGCTTACGACCTTTCAACACTTCTAATAAGAAATTGGAATGCTTCAACTTGAAACCAGGGGTCAAGGTATTAGATGGAATTGTACGTTATTGTGGTGCTATACGAGAATTTGAATTGGGAGAAGCTTATTTTGATCTCGCACTTCAACAATTCCCAAGTTTGGAACCAGATCAGCAAGCCTATGATGCTTATGCATGGATGCAATCAAATACCCGACGCAAGAATAGAAGAAAGGGTGATCATTAAATTATAGATTTAGTTAAGATAGATTTATTTTGTCAATAAATACTTTTTTTTTATATTATTATTATTACTGTCTCATTTAGTTTACATTTTGTTTTTTGTTTTAAATATATATATATGATCAATGTGATGATCATGTCGGAATCGGAATTGGCATGGTGTGAAAAAGTAGATATTGCTGACAGGTCGTTTCAAAATTATCATATGAAAAGTCGTACCCCGCAACATTCTTTTTTTTCTTTTCTTTTTCTTTTTCTTTTTTTTTCTCACCATCATTCTCTGCTTATTCAACTAATTCATTATCATGTCTTTTAAACAAGTTTTTATCGTTGCTGCTAAAAGGTTTGTTATCTGTCTACTTTATATATTTTTGAAAAACAACGTTCCTGAAAAAACTCACTCCCCTTTTTTATTATTATTATTCTTTAGAACACCCTTTGGTACGTTTGGTGGCAAGTTCAAAGATATTTCTGGTAAATACAAAAGAAAAGGAAAAAAAAAGACTATGAATATTATCATTAGTTAAACATTCATCCTTTTTTTTTTTTTTTTTTTTTTGCTCATAGCATCTGAATTAGGTGGACTTGCTTCCAAAGCAGCTTTGGCTCAACTCCCTAAAGAAGTACAAGTGGATTCAGTGATTATGGGAAATGTGACACATACTGATATTGCTGGACCTTATCTTGCTCGTCATATTGGACATCGTGCTGGTCTTCCCGTCCATGTACCAGCGCTTACAGTGAATCGTTTATGTGGTTCGGGTCTTCAAAGTGTCGTCAATGGAGCTCATGAAATCATCTGTGGTGATAGTGAAGTGGTATTGGCAGGTGGTGCTGAAAACATGTCGTTATCACCTTATGTATTGTCTGGCAAATCAAGATGGGGTAATAAACTTGGTGTGGATCTTCAATTACAAGACTCGTTGTGGGCTACATTGACGGATCAATACCCTCATCCTACACCTATGGGCATCACGGCAGAAAATCTGGCGGAAAAGTATCAATTGACCAAAGAAGAATGTGATGTGTTTGCATTGACCAGTCAGAACCGTTACGAACAAGCTGTCCAAGCTGGTATCTTTGATGATGAAATTGTAGGTGTCGATGTCAAGGCACGCAAAGGGGTGGAACATGTGACTAAGGATGAACATCCTCGACTTGGATTGACTTTGGAGCAAGTGACCAAGATGAAGGCTGTATTCAAGAAGGATGGTGTGACATCTGCTGCCAATGCGTCTGGCATTAATGATGGTGCGGCTGCTTTGGTATTGGCTTCAGAAGATGCTGTGAATAAATATGGTCTATCTCCTTTGGCTCGTGTGGTTAGTTGGCAAGCATCTGCTGTGGAACCTACTTTGATGGGTCTTGGTCCTGTACCTGCTATTCAAGGAGCTCTTCGTCGTGCTAAACTTGACTTGGATCAAATGGATTTGGTGGAAGTCAATGAAGCTTTTGCTGCTCAATACATTGCTGTGGAAAAGGAATTAGGCCTTGATCGTGAAAAGACAAATGTGAATGGTGGTGCTATTGCTTTAGGTCATCCTCTTGGTGCTTCTGGTGCTCGTATTTTGACTCATTTGAGTCATGCTCTTCAACGTACAAAGAATAAATATGCCGTTGGCTCAGCTTGTATTGGCGGTGGACAGGTATTTAAAAAAAAAAAAAAAAAAAAAAAAAAAATATATGATTTATTGATTTATTTTTTTTATTTAGGGTGTTGCTGTCATCTTAGAACGCGTGTAGAAAAGAAATAGAATATAGAATAGTAGCATTAGCTTATGATCAATAAAGTTACTTACTTAGGCGTCGTACATTAAAATATAAATTCTAAATGAGGTAGTGGATCATTCGTTCCTTTGCCCCTCTTTTCTTTTCACAGCCTCGTTTTTCTTATTATTTTACTTTTTTTTTTCTTTTTTTGTATAACTTTATCTAAGCCTGATCCCTTTCTATCTGATTATTTTTTTCCCTCTCTTTTTTTTTTTTTTTTTTTTTATCAGCAATCTACTTTCCTTTATTTTTACATCATTATACAAAAAGGGGGTGAAGAAAGTTTATCATGGATAAGTTATTCAAAAAAAGCTTTTTCAACGATTCGTCCCGTCGATCAGACAAACAAGACAAGTCTACTCATCCTCCTACTGATCCTCGTACACAACCAAAGAATAACATGCGAAATACCAAACACCAATCTAGAAATACCTACCCTCTTGCTGACGATTATTCACCTCAAACCAAACAAAGAACTTCTTCTCCTGCTCATAAAGCAACTCCTGCTCTTCCCCATGGTCAACAACAACTTCCTCCTCAGCAACAGCGACAGCAAGACCAACCTCAGCAGCAACAGCAACAGCAACAACAACAACAACAACAGCAACAGCAACAACAACAACAACAACAACAACAACAACAGCAACAGCAACAGCAACAGCAACAGCAACAACAACCTCAGCATCAACAGCAACAACCTCAGCAACAACAACAACAACAACAACCTCAGCAACAACAACAACAACAACAACAACCTCAGCAACAACAACAGCAACAACAACAACAACAGCAACAACAACAGCAACAATCATCTCCACAACGGCCAACTGAACACAGTAATTCTCCTTTAGAAAGCAATCGCAATTCCTTATGCTCGTCCGATATTTCCTTCGAAGATAAACAGCAACAACCACGACCTCCTGTGCCTAAACATCATACCAATATCTCTCAAACAAGTCTAACCAATGCAAGTACAAATAGCAATGGTGGTGATAGTATTTCTGGGGGTAACAAAAACAAGGACAAGGCTGGAAAGAAATGGGAAGTGTTAGCTAGTCAAGTGAATACGTTGAATGAATCGAAAACCAAACTGGAACAACAGCTCAAGTCTTTGCGAAATGAAAAGGATCAACAATGTATGGACCTACAACGACAATGCGATGAACTTCAAAGGATGTTACGCTTCAAGGAAGATGAATATACCAAGATGCAAAACAATTTCCATAAGCATGTACGTGCTATTCGTGCTACTGATGATGATCTTTCTACTATTCATTCAAAACTTACCATGCTACAAGCTAAAGCCAGTCAACTCCCTATGGCTCTTCGTGCATCCTATCAAGAAACCAAGACAACGGATATTATTGCTTATTTTGAAAAGCGTTGGCCACAACTCAAACCTACATTGGATCAACTATTGAAGCATGATGTTACTACTGGAGTCTTGGCAACCACGGTGAATGATGGATCAGACAAAACGAAAACCAATAGCGACATGAAATACGAAATAAAATTGGATTATCCTTTGGCCTGTCTTTTGGTGGAAAAAATGGTGATGGAAGTATTGGTGGAACATGTCTTCAATGCGCCGGTTCATCTTGGTCTTTCTATCAACCATCATTACGAAGCCCTTTCTGATTTTATGGAACAACATAAAGCGACAGACTGGTCCAATAAACTACGACAACAACTATGCAAGCTTGCCGTCAATGCAAATCAAGAACAAGTCGGGATTACCAACGCCAAAGCTCATGTGGTTCAATGCCTAAAATCCGAACTTGATATCATCTACAACATTGCTCCTGAAAAACTCTTGCCTAAACTGGAAAAATTAGTGGATCTTGCAGCTGAAACAAGTCTTGCTATGCATGGACAAGATGATCCCGTATTATTTGGAACAGACTTGGTAGAAGGTCAAACGATGTATGATCCTCGATTCATGAATCTACAATTTGGCTCGACTGTGATTACGCCTTTAGCAACAAAAACAAATAAACAAGATGGAAAAACAGATGATGATGTGAATCATAATGATGATGATGATGATGATGACGATGATGATGATGATGATGACGATGAAGAAGATATGACTGTTGATGCTCCTTTATCCCCATTACCTACACCTTCCTTGGTTTTACGTGTGGTTGTTTCTCCTGTGGTCTACGCTGGCGATGAAAATGGAATCCCAACCCCTCTTTTACCCGCTAGAGTGATTTGTTTTTAATATGATTCCCTTGTTTTATTAAATATGTCTCTATTGTATTCCTTTTTTATGCACTCACACTACGAAAAATCTATCTCCTTTATTTTTTTTTTTATTTATTTATTTATATGCCTTAATAAAAAACGATTTTTTTTTCTAATCCAATCAAATGATTATACTATTGGATTTTTTTTTTTTTGTGAATTGCGTTGTGATTAGATGCATGATCTTTTTCTTTGGGTTGCAGAAATGGATGATTTACCATCTCCAAAAAGAGAAAGTTACAGTGTACACCTTTCCAAAAAAAAAAAAAAAAAAAAAAAAAAAAAAAAGAATCCGTTTGCTTCAATCCATGGATTCACTTGGATTGCTCCCTTATTTACTCCACCAATAGCATCACATGTTATCCTTTTTGCATTGATTCATCTATTCATTGATTTATTACTACTGCCTTCAAAAAAAAGAGGGAATTAAAAAAAAAAAAAAAAAGAGTGAAGGAAAACAAAGAAAATATTGTTCATTTCATTTGATTTAGTATAAAAGAGGGATGATCCTCATTTATCCTTTTTCACTTTCAAGTATATCTCAATCTTTTTTTTTTCTAAGCTCCCAAGCGAATTTTCCTCCCTCTTTCTTTTTACTTTATATTTTTTTTTATCAATACTTCAAAGTGGAAACAAAAGAACAAGTAAGTAAAGAATATTATAAGAAGACTAGTTTCATCATCTAATATAAAATCATCACATCATCATTTAATCCAAATGTCCTCTTGGGCCAATCTATGTGTGGTATCTCTTTACTTTTTTATTCAGGGCAAGTGGTTTTTTTTATCGATCATGTCTCTCTGTCTGCTTCTTCTGAGTGTCACTATAGTTCGTGTTAATGTGTGTTGGACCTAAGCTAAATGCAAAATGTCATTAGTAATTTATTTTTTTCTTCATCTATATCTTCTACCTTTTTTTTTTTTGTCTCAATTTAAAGTGAATAAACTGTAGTTTTGAAATCCCGTCTTCAATTTTTTTAATGGAAAAAGAGAATGACAAATTCCTTTTCCTTCACTTTTCTTTTTTTTTTTTTATTTTTCTTTTACCCCACAAATAAAGTAATTACATTGAACCATGGAATTTATGAGTGCTCTTGGTTCACAAGAGGATGCTTATCGTCCTTCCTTGTTTGAACTTGTCGCTCAAGAAAAACTTAGAGATCTCTTACAACCAGCTGTTCAGTATGTCACTGCTGTAAGTCTATACCTTCTCCATAAAAAATATATATATATATTCAAAACTAATCCATATTTTATATTGATTTAGGTATATGCTCAAAGGTATCCACGTTTATTGATTCGACTTGTCAATAATCATGAAGAATTTTATGCCATTTTAATGTTTTTGATTGAACGACATTATTTGAAGGAATGGGGTAAATATATAACAAAGTTATTTTATAGAAAAATATTGATCTTTTTTTTTTAAAAAATATACATATATAGGTGCTTCGTTTGCTGAAAACTTTTATGGATTGAAAAGACTGTCAACTGGTTACCTGGAAAGTAAACGATCACAACTTACCTTACCAGTGAACAATGGCCAATCACCAGCTCTAACGAGAAAGGAAATCAACAAATCTTTACTTGTTCTTGTTGGATTACCTTATATCAAATGTCGAATGGATTTATTCTATCAACAAATTTCTGGTGATGTTTTGGGTATCAATGAACAAGAAGAAAAAGAAAATGATGAACTGGCTGATCCAACTACTCCTACTCGACGCAAATTCAAGATTCGTCTGATCAAACTATTTCGAACAATATATCCCTACATCAATGCTATTTACTATGGCTCTGGTTTGATCTACAATATTCTATACATGTTCAACAAGACAAACTATCATTCTCCCTGGTTACATTTAATTGGTCTTCAAATCAAACGAATGAGTATGGCGGATTATGTAAGTATAAAATGATCATCGATATCTATATATATTGATTTTATTTTATTTTTGGGTGATTATAGCGCGCTTATTATGACAAAGTGGATGCATCTCAATTAAATTCATCGACAAGCTCTTTATTAAAGAATCCATTACGACTCTTCTCTGGTATCTTTAGTAAATTTATTGAATTCCTCAAAGTACTCCTACCTATGTCTATTTTCTTCTTCAAGTTTTTGGAATGGTGGTATTCTTCAGAATTTGCACGTGGTACTGGAAAATATGGTGAAGAAGATACTGAAAACAATATTACTCCACCAGAAAAAACCAAGGTAAAGAAAATAAAAAAAAAAAAAAAAAAAAAAAAAAAAAAAGATTAATCACGTTTTTATAGCCTGATCCTAGAGGAATCAAATTACCTTCTACACCTAATACTTGTCCACTTTGTTCAAGCAATCCTATCAACAATCCAACTGCTCTACCTTCTGGTTATGTTTTTTGTTATACTTGCGCTTATCGTTATGTGGAAGATCATAATAGGTGCCCCGTATCTTGGATCAAGATTGATCGTGGTGTGGAAGATCTAACCAAGGTGTATGCTGATGGGAATTTGTAGATTAGCTGTAGATTATTTAGTTTGTAGATCAATCAATACCATTTTTAATAAAATCATGTTACATAATAGTATCCCTTTATGTTCTATATTCAATAAGGTTGAAAAATCTTGCCAAAACAGTAGTATGGAGAAATGAAAAAATCATTAGAAAATATATTTCATCATTCAACCCAATATCATCCCATTCACATCATCCACTCGTCCGTGTAGTTGAAAACCATCAAAGATAATAAATGGATAATCATAAAAAAAAAAAAAAAAAAGTTCTAATTTTTTTTTATCTATATGTTCTCTATTCTAATATCTATCAAATATTCTAATAATATCTAACTATTTACAAGGACAGTAATTGACGATCGAATACCTTGATCATACGTTCATCCGATTCCCCAATCATTCCAAAAAATGGTTCAACGGCCGTTTTTGTTGTAGCATCAAAAAGTTCTTGAATCACGTTTTGTAGTCTGGTACCTGTTTGTTTGAAATCGGGAAACTTTAAAAAAAAAAAAAAGAAAGAAAAGAAAAGGAGATTATCATCATGTTCATCTTTTTTTTTTTTTAATTGATCTATCCTTTTTTTTTTTAATTGATCTATCCTTTTTTTTTTATTATTGATCTATCCTTTTTTTTTTTTTTTTTTTTTTTTTTTTTTTACTTACGGCATTTGTTTCCAAGAAATAGACATTCATATCTTGATCAATCATAAAATCAACACCAAATAATTCAAATACATTAGGTAGGGCTTGAAAAGTCGTCATTTCACTTGAGCAGGCATCAAAGACATCCTTCAAAATAAGTTGCATCTTGGTAAAGATAGAATCCAAATCCTTTTTCGCTATACCACATTGTTCCAATTCCCAGAATAACTTTACTGATGCTTGTTCATCAAAATCAGCTTGATCGGTTTGTATACAAGTATTAGTCAAATGGATCAGAGTATCAGAGAGGTTCTCCAGGGTATAATCCTTCATAGCAAATAAAGCAAGCATGTCACGATAAAGATAAACTTGAATATTACCCACTGCCAAAACGTATGCTCGTACATGGAATTTGCGTTGATGTACAAGAAGTGGATGGTCAATATAACGTTGAATAACCCATTCACGCACTTGAGATATATCTTCTTCATTGTCGTCTTCTTCTGAATCAGAATCTTCCATCACAAAAATATTTCGTAATTGTTCCAAAGAATCAAACACTTGAATGCCTGCTGCTTTATTTGCTAGACTTGGTTTAATAATGAATCGATGTTTTAATTCACCTTCTTCTTCTTCGTTGGCTAATAGATCCCGTTCCACTTCAAATACTTCATTCATGGCTTCTTCAAAATAGTCGACATGATCCAATTCAAATTGCCAGGTTTCAGGAATAGCTTGAGACAAGATACTTTCAGGATACTTGGACAGGTACTTTGTCACATTGTAGGCAAACTGAGACTTACGAATCAATCCTTTTCGAATACAATAGGCATTACACATACTGTTGATACTAGTACTTGGTCGATGTATATGATCCCAATCAATAAGCTCATATTCCAACCATTGTAAATGGATAAAAGGCGTTGTATAATCTTTTTCACATTCATTTTGGCTAATATCTGTTGATACTTTGAAATCTAATGGACTTGATTCCAATGATCTAACAACACATTGTTGAGTATAAGGTTCATCAATATGTACAATAGCTTGTAATGTGGAAGGTGACATATCAATAACCAAATTAAAAAAAAAAAAAAAAAAAAAAAAAAAAAAAAAGGGACGGAAGAAGAAAAAAAAAAATCTTTTTTTTTTTTCCTTTTGTACAAACTGTTATCACCAACACTGTTAACTCCGCATCATCTTTTTCCTTTCTTTTCTTTTTTTTCTTTTCAATGCTCAATGTAATATAAAGTTTAAAAAAAAAAAAGAAAAAAGAAGGAAAAAAAAAAAAAAAAGAAAGAAAAAAAAATGTAGAATGTAGTAGTATAGTCAATGTAGTATAGTTAATCAAGTACCTTTTTTTTTTTTTAATAAATAACTTCGACACTGTTGATACATAAGAAATATGACCCAATGAAAAGAGATAAAACATAGTTATATAGTATACAGTATGTCTACATCAAAGGTAAACATTACTCTTAATCATCCCATCACATTGCTCATAGGTTTCTTCAAATCTAATTCATTTTAAAAAAAAAAAAAAAAAAAAAAAAAAAAAAAAAGGAAAAAAAAAAAAAAAGAACAAACTTGAATACTGATCAACCTTATTTAAGCCCTGGAATGAATAATAATTGAACAAACCGTATTCGATCTCCGACGATTAGCTATATATAGTTAAAATCAAAAAAATTTTCAACGCTTGGTTGCATGGTCTAATGGTTATGACTCCAGACTTTGAATCTGGCAGCCCGAGTTCGATTCTCGGTGCGACCTTTTTGGATTTTTATTGGCTCGATCGGAAGGTGAAACTGGACGAATCACAGGCCATTGTTTTATATCATTGCAATGTTATATATTTTTGTAAATAGATAGATTCAATCTAATTGTATTTAGATGAATGATGATGATATTTTGTAATGAATACTGGCTTTATTTTTATAAATCAAAGAAAAAAATGTTGAAAATAGAATAAGATAAACGATGTGATCTCTTGCCAGCCAATAAAATTTGAGTACTTTTCAGATGATGATAGATTTGTATAATAAAAATAAAGATCTTGTTCGATATTTCTTTTTTTATTGATGAGAAGAAAATATATATATAAAAACCTAACTAAAGGGAAAGTATATACGGTAAATGTCTACTATTTATACAGTATTAAAATGTGACAGTATCGTCGCAGTATCCTCTAGTAAAAAAAAAAAAAAAAAAAAAAAAAAAAAAAAAAAAAAAAAAAGAGGGTGTAAAGAAAAATAAAAAAAAAAATGGTTGTAGTAATATACAGTATATCGACAGTTAATTTGATCTAACTCATATTTCTTTTCCTTCTTTTTTTTTTTTTCTGTAGCTACCCATCAATGATCTATCGTTTATCATCCATCATCCTTTATCCTTCAATCATTCATCTTGTATTTATCTCAATCATTTTTATATCTCTGTTGTATCAAATAAAATCCTAATATATATATCAAATGCCATAAAGTCTGAAACAACCTTATTAGAGGTATGTCACATGTTTTTTATATCTGTTTGCTTAGTTGTACTTGAGACATCAAGAGAGAAGAAAAAAAAAAAAAATGATAGAATTGCCTTTTTTGATTTGCTGACGCTCAATCATCAACGGGGTATAATTTTGACCCTTCTTTTTTTTTGTTTTTCCTTTCCTATTTTTCTTTTTTTTTTTCTTTTTTCTTTTTCTGTTTTCTTTTTTTCTTTAAATAGAGATACAGAAAAAAATAGTATGGGCGATCTATATCCAACATTATCATGGTATAATGTTATAATTGCTTCCTGCTTTTTACTTGTTAATGGTATGACTTGTTTTCTTTAATAATATACTTATGACTAACTTGTTCCTGAAGTATGTATATCTTATAGATTAGGACTCAAGTTAGGGAAACCTTTAATCATTGCAGCTATACGATGTATTGTACAACTTACTATCATGGTAAATTAAACATTTTTTTTTTTATTCTAACTTTGAAACATTAACTTTTTTTTTTTTTTATTAATAGGGAATGATCCTTCAAGATGTATTCAAGGCACGACGATGTGTATTGGTTATGTTATTAACATGTAAGTAATATAAATTTTACAATTATCTTTTTTTTTTTCTCTGACAAGTTGTTTCAAGTTGTCATGATCTTTCTTAGTGCTTGTGAAACTGTCTACAATAAGTCACAATGGATGTACAAAGGCATATTTCCATCAGCATTTTTTTCCACTTTATTTTCAACCATGATTATAGGGATACTTGGATGTCGCTATGCTATTCAACAACAACCATTTTGGGCTCCAGAATACTTTATACCAACGATTGGATTATTATTAGGATTTACATCTGGTGCTATGGCGGTGGCTTTACATTCCTGTCTTCATCATATACGGGTTAATATGGGACAAATTGAAACATACTTGGCTTTTGGAGGAACTCGATGGGAAGCTGTACAACGTATTGCTAAAGATTCCATTCGTTTGGCAATGTTACCTACTATCAATCAAATGTCAATAACTGGTTCTATTGTGATTCCTGGTGCTATGGCTGGTCAAGTGATATTAGGTGTTTCTATTCAACATGCGGTTATGTATCAACAAATTATTACATTTTTGATTTCAAGTGCTACTTGTATTGGAGTTGTCGTGGTGGTTATGGTAAAAAAAAAAAAAAATAATAAATAAAATAAACGATACACTGACTAACATTGAATAAATAGTTTTGTTTACATACGATTGTAGATAGTGAACATAGGATACGTCAAGAAAGAATACAAAAAGGTACAAGGAATGTGATACAAAATGTAAAAGATTCAATAATCCATTTTAGCAAGAATCTCATTTATTCCAAGAAATCAAAATGGCAATCATCTAGTAAGGAAGATGAATGTCAACCTCTTTTAGCATAGTATAGAATAGTAAAAAAAAATTCATTTGTATATTTATCATCATCAATAATAATAATAATAATAAAATCTTTAAGAATTATTTGTTTGTTTCGTCTTCTGTTCGCATGATTTTTCATGATAGGGAAACGTCATTCATTGGCCAGCGTTTGTGATTTTTTTTTTAATCTTGGACTGCCCCCCTTTTTTTTTTCTTCTCACTCTTTTTTTTTTTTTTTTTTCTTTCTTTCTTTCTTCTGTTTATATCAAAACTTTAGTTACTTCCCACTCTTTCCCTTTTTCTTCTCTGTACATATATCAATAGTTCTTCATCTTTTCTTTTTTTTTTTATAACATTCTTCTTCTTGTATACCCCACTTTTTTTTTCTTTTTTTTTTTTATCATATCATATTCACACATGACTTCTTGGGCAACCCATTACTTTCCTTCTTCACATGACGTTAATCGTCGATCGACTGCAGCTGCAACAACAAGAACAACAACTACAAGAACAACGTGGTCTGAAGGACCTCGACTAGTACGACAAAATGCTTTTATATTGGATCCTACCGAACCATATACATTTGATTCCTTACCTCCTACATCCGAACAATCCTCTATTTCGTCACTCTCATCTTTTGCTTCTACCTTATCAAGTGCTGTTTCCGAAGAAGAACAAGAAGAATATCAACAACAACAACAAAAGCATAGTTTCAAAATAGTCCAGAAACGACGACCAAGTAATAGATCACCTATACCACAGAATACTGGTGATTATGACGAACCTTTTCTTCCTGCAAGATTATCATCTAGATCATTTTCTTTACAATCTTGGTTAGGTATAGTTGATATTATAAAATTATATAAAATGGTAATACTTTATTTTATTATAGAATACATTCGATCTATCTTAAGGACCATACTATTGATGATGATGATTTATTTGGGATATCAAATCTTTGCTTGTACAGAATTACAGCCAATGCCAACCGAACGACTTTATGCTGTTGATCCTGGAGCTCCAACTCATGTTTGGATACCAGTAAGTAAATATACCATAAATAGATCAATTTATCATTAAAAATAAATGATCTTTTTTTTTTTTTTGTTAATTAATAGGTATTTCAATGGACTTGTTGGAGACATACTTGGATGGGAAGATACCCTAGTGTTACTTTATGGATCACTGGTACAATTATTGGACTTTACTGGATGCATTGGAAACGACGATGATTCGATTTAATAACTGGAAGAAGCAAAAGAAGAAGAAGAAAGAACAATGGTAAGAAATCAATCAATAAAATATAGAGTTTTTAATATATATAAAAGGAAACAACAACAACATTTAGATGTTATATAATACTAGATAGATTATCACTTGTCTCTTTTTTTGTTATTTTGATATATTACACCGGCCTTGTCATGTTATCTATTCATGGACAATGTAAGTCACAAACGATGATGAACAATTTTTGATTTTACTTGACCCTTTTTTTTTTTTTTTTTTTTATTGACATATAGACAAGATTAATAATATCTTGCCGCAAGTCCTTTTTTCCCCCCCTCTCCTTCCTGATCAAGTCAGCCTTAGTATTAGTATCTGATAGTACGTTTCCTTTTCTTTGATTACATATTTGTCCATCCAATTTAGTCTATGTAGATAGTTGAATTAATCATTCAAACTTGTTTATATTCTTCTTATTTTTTTTTTTTGTGAATAAAATCATCATCTCTTGCAGTCAAGTCTTGCCTTTTATGTACATGTTAGTCACTGTTTCATTCATTCATTTGATTCGATTAGAGTCTAGGACGGAGATAATTTGTATAGCGTTATTGTCTACTGTTATTGCTTTCTATAGGCCAAAGGATGAGACGGATATTCAAATATCATTTATAATCCTTTTTTTTTTTTTTTATTTTTTGTATTTTTTTCTTTTCTTCTTTATAACTTTTTTTTTCTCCCCAAAAAAAGATATTACTGTACCATCCGGGTCACTGGCCACCATTAAACATATTACGAAGCGCTTTTTTTTTATTGGATCACTTGCTCCATCAACCTCTTTCTATATTATCTTCCCCCTCCTCTCTTTGACAATCTTTTTCAATTTTCACTTTTTAATTGAACAACAACAACAATAATTAACAACGACATGACTGATTATTCCTATGAATCGTTTGTTTCTCCTTTGGATGCTTTGGCTTTTGATATTGCTGCAAGTCCTTCCAAATTGGATCAAGAAGCTGCTGCTGCTGAACTTGCTCTCTGGGTAAGGATTATATTCTATCATTTACTTTTATTGTATACTTATCTTGAAATATTTTATAGAGTAATGCTCAATTTACCTTTGACGTGAAACCTGGTGAAGGTATTTATGACGATGAAAAGACCAACAATGTTAAACAGGATAATGATCCTATCACTTATGAAAAATTGGTGAATTATTTGGATTATGAACTCCCTCAACAACAACAACAACAACAACAACAACAGCAGCAACAACAAGTGAAGCCTGAACAATTGGTATTGAATCATCCACCTGTTTTGTCACCTCAACCTTTGACTATTACTTCGCCACCTGTTCAATCCACTTCTTTGCCTCGTGGTGGTCGTCAACTTCTTCCTAAACCTACCATGTCTGTACCTTTGGCTTCATTGTTAACTTCACCTCTTTTGCCCTTGAGTCTTCCTCCTTATCCAACAACAACAACAACAGCGAATGCCCCCAAGAAAGCACGCAAGAAATCGGCATCCACTACTGCTGGTGTGAAACGTGAACGGGAAAATGAAGAACTCAGTGAAGAAGCGATTCTGGCTGAAGAAGACAAACGACGACGCAATACTGCTGCTAGTGCAAGATTCCGTATCAAGAAGAAATTACGTGAACAAGCCATGGAACAAACGGTACATGATATGACCAAGAAATCGGAACTTTTGCAAGATCGTGTCAATGAATTGGAATTGGAAGTCAAGTGGTTACGTAACTTGTTGACTGAAAAGGATATGATGGTCAAGAACAATGCATGAAATTTGAAAAAAACAAAAATAAGAGAGAGAGAGGGGGGAAGATTTTAGAATAGAAATATTGGATTTGGTGTATGTGGAGTTGATCAATTCTTTTTACTTCTTTAGTATTTTTTTTTCTTTGTTTTCTTTTTTTTTTTTAGTATTATATACAATTATCCCTCTTGTACTTTTTTTTTACGTTGTGTTTTCATTCTTTATTTTATCATGATTTTTCTTTTCTTTTTTTTTTTTTCTTTTACTTTTTATTTATTCAACATATCTACTTTTTTATTATATATATATAAAAAAAAACAATAATAAAAATAAATCTCCCATTTCAACAATGATTCTTATAATCTACGTTTATTATGATTGGGTTTAGAAGTCATGGCCAAGGATGATGGTTTTTGTATGATGATAGAATGATGATCGACAAATAATGATTCGACCTTTCCGACTGAGGAACAAAAAGTTGTAGTCATGCTTTTTTTCTGGGACTGAATTCCCCATATTCTCTTCTCTTGTCTTTCAGTCTCTTTTCTTTCTTTTTCTCCATTCTTTTTATATATATATATTAATATACAATAATATAATGTCTACTTCTACACCGACATCAGATACAGATATCAAAGCACCTCGTACTCCATCTTTTTCTCTCTCGTTACCATTTGGAGCCCAACCGGATATTAGTAATAAATAAAACGTGAGAAATGTATATTGTTGCTCATATTTTCTTTTTTTTTTTTTCTTGTGTAGTTCGTGCCAATCAGAAAGATGTATATTATCAATCTATTTTACAAGAGCAAATATCTAGTGTATGTCAACAATTTCTAGGTAAGAAAAAAAAAAACTAAAGCCTACATTGATTCAATGTTTTTCAATTGGACTGACTTTTTTTTTCTTTAATAATAATCATATGCACTCGAAATCAGGTGCACGAAGACAACACCAATGGCAAAAGGAGATCAATACTGTATCTGACTTTTGTTATTATGGATTGACAACTTTACTAGGTAAGTTGAAAGAATGAAAAATGAGTGGTGGTATATGATGAACTAAGTGAGTAATGCTAGAAAATCTGAATACTCATTTTTTTTTTTTTGCCTTTTTCATTCATTCTTACTATTATTATTATTTATAGGTACTCAAACATTGGGTGAAGAATATTGCGATCTTGTTCAAATCAATCAATATGCCGATGTTTATCCTGGTTTTTTGGTAAATATGACTAAAAAAAAAAAATAAGGGGGAAAGTATATTTTTTCTTTTTATGATGATTTACTTTTTTTTTTTAATTTCTCTCTTTTATTTTACTAGCGACGAACAATACTTGTATTTGTACAGACATTATTGCCATATATATATACACGTGGAATTACTGAAATCAAGAAACAAGGTCAACAACGTCGTTTACGTCCTGGGCATCAGCGTGAAGAAGGAAATGTAGAACTGGATACGATACCAATGAAAAAAAGAATTCAACAATTTGTACAAAATACCTTACCTACTTTGCAGGAATTTGTGTTAAAAAACGTTCGACCTATGCATTTGGCCATCTTTTACTTTTTTGGTGCTTACTATAATTTCTCCAAAAGATTGACTGGGATTCGTTATGTAGGTTTATATAATCCATTATTATCATTTCTTTTACTCATTTTTATATCATTTACAATAGTTATTTACACGACAATTAGGACCCAATGAACAACGTGCAGGATATGAAGTATTGGGTGTATTGATTGTGGTACAACTAATGATTCAAGCTGGTCTAGAATTACGAAAACGATGGATACAATACCAGGAATTGATGACTGTTGACCTGATTGGCCAAAATGATGATGGAACAACGGCGATCGTGGATGGGACCGAAAAAATGGAAACATCAGCTGAAATAGAGACGGTAGATGATGATGATTTTGACTTTATGAATGCTTTTGACAAGGATGAAACAATCACTCAACCAGAAGAATTATCTTATGAAGCAATGCAAATGTTAAAATGTGCTTTATGTTTGGAACCAAGAAAAATCACTACTACTACACCATGTGGACATCTCTTTTGTTGGAATTGTATTGTTGAATGGTGTCAAAATAAGGTATAATAATAATAATAAATATATGGAAATGTCAAAATCACCTGCCTTGAACTGACTATTTTTTTTTTATTTATTTTATATTTTTATTAGCCTGAATGCCCTCTTTGTCGTAGTCATGTCAATACTTCTCATTTGATACCACTAAACAACTTTTAAAATATAGATAGTAGTAGGTATATAGTGTTATTCTTGAATAAAGTATCTACATTTTTTTTTTTTTTTTTGGTATTTCATATGGTTACTCATCAATGGAAAAAAAATTGGCCGTTCGGAACTTCAATAAAGGTACTAGTTAGTTTTTTGTGAAATAATACAACAGGGTTTGGAGTAAAAAGTTTTTCCATAGTGTTCTATTGATGTTCCATGTCATATTCTTTTTCTTTTTTTTGGAATATTCCCTTTTATTATTTCATGATATATATATATATATATATATATATATATAATTATGTAGTAATTGATTCCAAGTTTCTTCTTATAAAGAAAGAATGATAATGAGTTATGATTGATCCATCATTCTTTATCCCTCTTTTTTTTTGTTTGTTTTGAACTCAGTTGACAAAGTATGAACCCGGAAAAGAAGATTTTCCTGCAAGACCAACTCATCTAAACCAGAGAAACGGATCGGTCACTAAAAATCAAGGTGATACAAACCGCAGGTTCTTGAAGAACAAAAGCTGTCCCACAGAGTTGAGAGTTTGAAACTAAAGCATTGATCAAATCATTCGTTTTTTTTTTTTTTTTTTTTTTTTTTTTTTTTTTTTAATCTTGATATTATTTTTGCCGAACAGAAAGACGGGATTTATTCATATGATTAATATCATCAAAAAAAGAAAAAAAGATACATTTTTTATAATGAGATCAAACATTATTTCTATCCATTTGAAAGAAAATATATAAGAAGTAACATCATGATGAATAAAAAAGAAAAAAAAAAAGAATCGACCTAGTGAGTCATCATATGATGACACAAAAAGCAGAGGTCAAAACTTTAGGATAAAACATTATTGGGCGGAAAAGTATCGGGCCGCTTCGATTTTATAGAGAATGATGATGATAAACAAGATGAACCAAAAAGGTAGGGGTTTACATATGTTTATCCGCGCTCGTTTCATTGTTTGAAAAAAAAACAAACCCCACCCATTATATCCATTTGACACAAACATTCTATTATGACACAATATTTATGATGGATTAATATTAGTAGGAGTAATAAATAATAGCATAAAAACATTTTAACAAGAAAAAAAATTATTATCTATTTTATTTTGTGTATTAGTGATTTGGTTGCTATAGTTAAATAGTTTAATTATAATATTAAAAAAAAAGTTTATTCTAATATATCACGATGGGACCTTATTTTTTTTTTTGCATATTTTTGCACCCGAAAAGTCAGTCAAAAATCCGACCTTCTGTCCTAATCAGGCATTTAGCCTGTCAGCTTGTGTAGTGAATTTTTAAAAAATAAAATCAAACACTTTTTCTTATTTTCCCATTCTTTTTTTTTTTTTTTTGTTTGTTTCTCCTTTTCTTTCTTTTTTTTTCTTTTCTATTCATTTTTTTTTTTTTTTTTAGTCACTCACTTTACGCATATACTCACATATTTATACATATACACGACTCCTTTTTAACCTTTTCCCCTTATCATTATGATAAAACCATTCCCATTGTTCTTCGTATTATTATCTCTATATGCAACTATTGTAGCTTCTCAACACCACATGTCAACGGAAGATCCACCACTTCCTGCCTTTAATGCTACTGGTGAAGAACCCATGTCTTATGCTCTTTTACCAGATAATAAAGGTTATTTTTATACTCATGTTGTCTTTATGGTCATTGCTTTTTGGATTCTTATGCCTATGGGTAAATTTTTTTTTTTTTTCAATTAGGGACAAAATTAAAAAAAAAAAAAACTCATTTTTAATTATTTTGATGATAGGTGTTATGTTTGGTATTGCTAGATCACCGTTCCATGTACCTGTTCAAATCATTGCCTTCTTAACATCTTTACTTGGTTATTTCTTTGGTCATTTGTATGCTCATAGTACTCCTCATTTATACAAAGGAAATTCTCATCATAAATTGGGTTGGATTATCTTTTTATTTTTGATTACACAAATTGCCGTGGGTGTGGTTCGAAAAATCGCCAAAGCAGTAGGGAAAACACAAGAAAGTACTACTGGTTATGAATCTCTTACAGAAGAAAATATACGTTTGGTTCGTCAATCATCTGACAATCATCCTTCTCGCAGCAATAGTAGTAGTAGTAATGGCAATGGTGGTGATACTCATAGTGAAGGTTCCATGGAAACTCTACATCATAACAATGGTAATTATGATGAAACTCATTTGACAAATGTTATAATAACCAAAGTAGAAGAAGAACATCAACGATTATCTATGGATGATGAAGAAGAAGATATTGATCAACTTTTACAAGAGAATGATCCTATGATGATGATGGGTAAAAAACAACGTTCTCTCTGGATGCGTGTTATTGATGCTACTTTACCTTGGATTCCTCAAATTATCAAGACTATTTTTGTTCGCACAGCTTACAATCCATTCACTAAAACTGTTTGTCGTTATATCCATTCTATTTTGGGTCGTATCTTTATTATTTTGATCTTTACTCAAACGATCAGTGGTCTGGTGGTTTATCATGGTGTCTGCAGGTAAGATAATAATAATAATGATAAAAAGAATCTCCGACTTTCCATTTTTGATTTTTTTTTTTATTGGTAAAAGCTTATTCATCATTTCCTTTTTTTTTTTTTTTTTTTAATAATAGATCTTGGGATGTACTTGGATGTATTGCTCATTTGATCAAAGGTGGTATCTTTTTCTTTTATGGTATTCTAACTTTTGGTCGATATCTTGGTGCATTTGCTGAAAGAGGTTGGGCTTGGAATCGTGTAGATGGTGGTAGTAAATTTAGTTTTGAATTTATTGAATGTTCACTTATCTTTATTTATGGTATTACTAATACATGGATGGAACATTTTGGTAAAGATTCAACATGGAATCACAAGGATTTTGAACATGCTAGTCTTGCATTTATGTGGTGGTGGTGTGGCTTGGTTGGACTCCTTGTTGAAAGCCGAAGTTTACGTCGATTATTAGAACGATCATTTATGAATACACCTTTAGATGTATCTCGACATGAAATTCATCAAACTTATTCACTTAATCCTTTCCCAGCATTGACTATTATGCTTACTGGTATATCCATGGGTAATCATCATCAAGAAACTCAATATTCTACCAATGTTCATTTTATGTGGGGTCTCTTATTAGCATTGGCTGCTCTTTGTCGTCTTTGTACCTATCTTTCCTTTTTCCAAAATACACCTCATTCCATAAAACCATCTCGACCTCCTACTGAATTAGTAGGTGCCTTTTGTTTGATTGCTGGTTCTATCTTATTTATGGCTTCCAATTCTGGTACGATGACATGGATGCGAAGATTGGAAGTGGACACTATGTTTATGATGAATGTTTGTGTTGCTTTGACATCTTTGACTTTATGTTATGTGGCAGCAATGATGATTCTTAAGGCTTGGGCAATGAAACGTGAACAACGCAAGAAGGCAAGGATTATAAAACGTGATCGATTTGTGGGCCAAGATGTTTAAATCAAACATGATATTTTTTTTTTTTTTATATCTATTTTATTCTTTTTTTTTATTTTTCTTAAAAAAACAAACTATTTACACACTATTCTACTTTACCACTTATTTTTTTTTTTTTACTATTTTACCTTAGTTCTTATTATTATTATTACTATTATTATTATTATTATTTGTTATCTATCATTTTCATCTCATCATCATCTATACTTTGTATATATACATATATATATATATGTTCTTTCTTAACTTTTTGAATAAAATTACTCTATCATATCTGACCACTTATTATAATGTATATCTTATTATTAAAGTAGGATGATTGTGTATGTTTGTGTATATATAAAAAGGGGGAGTGGTAAAGGGTTATAGGAAAACGGGACGGGATTTTTAAAATTTTCTTTTTGATTCTTGTTTTTTTTTTTTTTTTTTTTTTTTTTTTGTTCTTCTTTTTTCTATTTTGAATACATATCACATTTTTTCTTTCTTTTTTCTTTATTACACCTCTTTATTCTCAGTTTTGTTTTTAGTTATTTACTCCTTTTATCCCATTTTTCATCCTTTTTTTTCGATTTATCATGTCAGATAAATCTAACCTTACTGAAACCAAATTGAATGATGGATCCATAGTTCGAGTCAATGGTAAGAAACAAAATATAATATATTTTTTATTGATCTTTTTTAGAAAAAAAAAAAAAGAAAAAATAGATGAACCTTTTAAATCTATTTAAAATATAATAATAAAAACTATTATTCTGATTCTCCTTTTTTTTTTTTTTGATATTTTATTTAGATCATGTTTATTTGACTCCAGAACATCTTGGTGAACCATATTATATTGGTCGTATTATGGAATTCTGTAAGGTGCGTAAAAGAAAAGGACTTCAAGTTCGTGTGGCCTGGTATAACCGACCTAAAGATGTTTTCAATCGAAGATGGTATGATGCCAATCTATTGATTGCTACTATGAATTCTGACTTGAATCCAGTTTCTTCTATTCGTGGCAAGTGTACTGTTCTTCACAAACATTATATTCCCAAGGATCAATTTGAACTTTATCGAAACTCTGAAGATCATTTTTATTATACTCAACTCTATGATCGTTATATGCAACGTGTTTATGATCTTTTACCTTGTGAATTGGTTCAAAATGTGCCTATGGATGTACGAGAAGCTCTTTGTCAACGTTATCAATTTATCATTGTTGAACAAGGAAAAGCCGCTGATCTTACTAGTGCTAGACGTATTTGTTGTGTTTGTCAAAATTGGTGTAATAGGTAACTAAAATAAAAAAAGTTAAAATAAAGTAAAATAAATAGAAAGATCTCATCATCTTTTTTTTTTTTTTAAAAATATAGTGCAAGTTCTGTGAAATGCGCTGGTTGTCAGAAAAGTTATCATATGACATGTCTTTCTCCTCCTTTAACTCGTAAACCTTCTAAAGGTTTTGCATGGCAATGTGCTTTCTGTTCCAAGAAAGAAATCGAAGAATTATCAAAATCATCATCGACATCATCAACATCATCATCTCATGGGAATGAAGAATCATCACAATCATCATCAATAACATTACCATCTTCTTCTACATCTATTAGCCGATCATCAGATGCTGTTAAACGTATTCCTCGATTAAGATCTCAACAACAACAACGGCAACAGCAACAACAAAATCTGCAACAGCAACAAAAGCAACCTCAACAACAAAATGGACAATCAACGACTGAAAAAATTTCTGGTGAGTCTCAAGAATTACAAGACTATTTATCCAATAATGCAAAGATATTCGAAGGTAATATATATATATATATATATATAATTATGATGTATTGTTCCTCTCTCTCTAATTCATTTCCATATCATAGATCCAAGTCAAGTTAGAACAACTCATATGTGGCCATTCCGATATTTTGGTGTCAATACAAATATTAAGGACATTTTGGGTATGATACAATTTTTTTTTTTATCTTGATGAGATTCTAATGAAATACTTTTTATATATATAGATATTGATGATCGTATTTACCCACGTGCCGCTAGTCGAATTGGAGCCAAATATCAAGCAACCGTACCTGATTGGAAAGAACCTTCTGATTATGATACAACAAGTAGCATGAAACAAATGACATTATCTCCTTCATCCACTCCACCTCTATTACCCTCAATTTCTGTCATCAATACGTCTTCTTTGGAAACTTCATCACCTAGTAATAATACAACTTCTCCTACGAAAAGATTGGAAAGACGAGGAAGACCTTCTAAACGGAAAGATGCTGCTAGCCCGAGTAGATCTATATCTGATGATTCTTTGGTCATAGAAGATGATAGACCAGTGATCCGTGGTACTGATGATACAGTTGTACCTTTGTTTAGTCAGCCTAATAGATTGAATGAAGACGAATGTAAGGTTTTTTTTTCTTTGTGTATGTGGTGCGTGTGTTATCATACTCATGAATCTCTCTTCTTCTTCTTTGCATCTAGTGGATACTTATATCAGCAAAGTTCAATCACTTCCCAACTTACCATTTGCATCTTATTCATCGGATGCATACGATTTGGCGTTATCAATGCTGGAAGAAAATATGTACGACACAAATGCTGCATTAAACAAAATTCGACAAGTGACCAAGGACGATTTTTCTTTTCTAGTGACATGGCAAGCAGATGAAATCCAGGCATTCGAACAAAGTATCCGGGAACATGGACATGAACTCTTATTTGTCAAACAACGCATTCCTACCAAATCCATGGCTGATATTGTACGCTTTTTTTATCAATGGAAGAAATCTGATCGGTATGAACCTGTTTATTCTGTATGGACCAAAGTATTTCGACCCACCAAACGATTCAAGAAACATACTCGATCGATTATGGATTGTCTCGACAAAAGTCAACAAGACGATAAAAATTTGCTCAAGTTACTGTTGTTACCAAAAACCAAGACGAACGGACGCGATCAAGATGTTAGTGATACGGATAATGAAACTGATGATGATGAAGTAAAGGATGAATCATCACAATCGACAATGAAGAAGACCAATGGATTATCAGCACATAGTAGTGATAGTAGCAGCGTAATCAGCTCTAGTGATGAAGATGATGATCAGGATGGAGATTATATAGACGAAAACAAAAAACAATTGCGACAATCCTCTACTTCTACTCCCAAGGCTACTACGACAACAAAGACAACATCTCGTAAACCTATACCCACTAATCAACCTAGAATTACAAGATCAACACGTCGTTCAGCAGCAGTAGCAGCCGCAGCAGCGATAATCAAACAGGAATCCAACAAAACGATTCGTGACAAAAAAATTCAACAACAAGCCAACAATCATCATGATACCAATCACCATGAAGATGAGGAAGACGACACTACTTTGGAGTTCGCGGCAGATCCTACTGTTGTACCATCCACAGCCATTAGCAAAAACAACAAACCATTCCAATGTCTCAACTGCAATACGACTCATTCTACATTTTGGCGGAGGGTACCTGGTGATACCGATCGAAAACGAAAGATATTCGATGTTGTTTTATGTAATGATTGTGGAATTCATTGGCTCAAATATGGTAAAAGACGTCCTGTAGTTACTGAATCTATAGCGCAATCCAATGGTAATACTTCTAACTCTCGTGGCCGTGGTCGTCCTAACAAGGTGATCAGTTCTAATTGTAAGTTTTGAAGGAAAAAAAAAAAAGACATTTCTCTATCATTCTAACAATACAATTATATTCTTTTTTTTTATATAGTGAAACGGAAACGTAGCGAAAATGAAAATGATACCATTGGAAAAAAGGTGAAAGAAGATGTAAGTTACTTTTAAGAACGATATATACATAGATAATCAAGCGTGTGTGTGTGTTTTGATGACTGATGACCAATTTTTGCTCATATTTTTTTTTTTAAAAATATGTTTATTAGCGCTCACTAGTGGAAAGACAGCCAATATCATCTGTATGTCAAGTTTGTCATTCTATGGATCAACCAAAACGACTTATTTCATGCTCTGACTGTCATCTAGTGGTTCATGATGGTAAAAAGATTTAATTAAAAATAGTAGTAGTATAAAAAAAAATGCTTGCTTGAGACACTAACCATAAATGATATATATGTATATATAGATTGCTTTGGTGTGGAAAAGAAAAGCACAAATTATTGGCAATGTGATGTGTGTAAAAACAAGAAGAAACCTTCTGTCTCTTACGTAAATAATTATATTTTAAATAGATGATTCAAATCAATGAACTCACTTTTTCTCCCTTTTTCCTTTAGTTATATCAATGTGTACTTTGCGGGAAGGGATCCAAAGGAAATCAAGAAATCATGAAACCAACTTCTGGGTACAATTGGGCTCATATTACTTGTGCATTATTTATACCTCAAGTCAAATTTATCAACGCTACTACTATGAGTCCAATTGAATATGCAGGATCCATTCCGAACACAAAAAGGAAACAGGTAAGATCTGTAGATATGTGTAATGTTTTTAGAGACTATATCTAATACATATTGTTTTCTTATACTTTTGTGTACATCAATTATAGACATGTCAAGTTTGCTATTGTTCTGATAATGGTGCTTATCTTTCTTGTAGCGATGACAGTTGCCAAAAAGATGTGCATGTGCATTGCGCTCTGGAACAAGGATACTGGACTGGATTCACTATACATGCTATATCGTCTCCTTCATCATCAATACGCAAGATCAATGAACTTCCATCTAAACCCATAGTACCTTTTGGAACTTTTGGCAAGGATTCTTCTAGTGGGATCATGATACCTCAAATATTTTGTCCTCAACATATTCCATCATCTTCAAGAAAAGATCTGTATCCTTTGACTACCCGTACAGTTGAAAATAAGGTAAAAAAGAAAAAAGAAAAAAAAAAAAGAGACAAATGAAGAACATCTTGTGGTATTTAATTGTTCAATTTTAATCTTTATTTTATTTTTAATAGTCCTGGATATCTATCTATGCTCCTTTGTACAAATCTATCGATCCAAATACAACACCTGCCATGCGTCGCTATGCTGCCTGGTGTCAACGCAATGGTCAACCTGCACCTCAGTATTTATCTTTTATTCTACCAAACACTGTCAGTACAAATATTGATAGTGAGGATTTGACAGTAAATGGAAAGAAATTGATTCATGACAGTACCAACAATAAATCACACCGATCACGATGTCTTACGGACTTACTGGATCAATCATGTAGCTTGTGTCCTGTCGTTAACTCTCCTTTCTGGTGGAATATGAGCGAAGTGAAATCATCTATGGTGAACAGCAACAATAACAACACGGATAAAAGTATAGACTTGGATAACAAACTCATCTGTCAACGATGCTACTGTGACTTTCAACGTCAACCTGATCATCATGGAACACCAAAACTGCAATCTACAGTAGATTAGTTTTTATTCTATCAACATTATATTCCCCCTTCTTACATTGCTTTTTTTTTTGTTTTTGTTTTTGTTTTTCATCTTTATATATCTCATCCTATTTCATGTTAATTTGATGTTTTGTTGCCCTTTTGTATATTTATTTATCGTCAATCATCAATATTCAAATCTTAATAAAAAAAAACATTTATACAAGTATTAGAAACTTTTAAACATTTGATTCATTTGATTACCACCTTTGGACAATAAAGCCGAGAACGAAATGTTGGTAACACAATACAATACGGCAAGTGAATTCTACCCTAACAACGAAATCAATGTGGAAATAGTACATGTTTCTATTTCTCTCCCACCTGATTCCTCTGTCTCCTTTTTATCAACCTGCAATGAGGCGTTTCAATATTTGACAAAGACGGGATATGAAATAAACACCTTTTTCTTTTCTTTATTTTTTTTTTCCCCTTTTCTTCCCAACTTTTTTTTTCTTTTTTTTTCTTTTTCTCTCTCATCTTTTTTTCTTTCAATCTATCTCTCACTTTTATATTCTATTAGAGGTAAGAGAAAGAAAAAAAAATGAATGAATAATAATTATTAATGATTATTTATCATAGTTCTTTGTTGAAACGCGGTTTGGGAAACTTAAGGTTGTCGCCATGGTATCATTATCACAGCAAGAAGAACAACAACAACAACAACAACGTACTTTAGGGTTTCTTAAACCTGATATTCTTGACCACAAGACTGAAGTGATGAATTTGATCAAAACTAAACAATCTTGGAAACTAACTTTTGAACAAGAACTTATTCTTTCTTTGGGTGAAGCTAAAGTGTTGTATCCTGATGATCAAGAAGCCTTATGGTTAAGCAGGTAGATAGTAGTGTAAGGTGGCAAAGTTTGAAATGGAGGATGATATCATTGATTTTTTTTATTTTTATTTTAATAAAGCCATCCCGTTTATGTATTTATTTTGGAAGGTACTAATGTGATCAAGGACTGGTTAGATTTTGTTGGCCCCAAGGATCCTGAAAAAGCAAAACAAGTCTCACCTCAAAGGTAAATAAAAAGAAAAAAAAAGATAATGGAATTTTGAATATATATATATATATTCTTATTAATTTTATGTTATTTTTAGTTTACGTGCTATTTATGGATTGGATCTTCTTCATAATGTGTGTCATGCCAGTGAATCTCCCAAGGAAGCTCAACAAGATCTAGCTTGGTTACAAAGTCTGGTGGTTGATGACCTTTCTGTCAAATTTGATAATGTCAGTCTTTCCTCATCTGGTAATACAAATACTTCTAAAAAACAACTTGTTAAACCTTCGAAACTCAAGAAGCCCACCACAATCGGTACCTCGAAAATCGCCGCTCCTTCCACATCTGCAGCCTCTTCTTCTTCCGTTTCCTCTTCTTCCTCTTCTACTTCTCCTGATAATACTAGAAGAAAATCGACAACGAAATCATCATCCTTAGCTCGTCCAAAATCATCCCTTGGTTCACGTCCTTCAACTCCATCTTCAGCAGCAACAACCACTATCAAAAAGTTACCTACCAATGGTGGTAAAACACAAGAAACAACATCAATCACAAAAAAAGTCATGACTCAACCATCTGCTGTTAAAAAATCCACTGTTTTACGCCCTCCAAAGGTAAGTGTCACATACTTTTTTTTTTTTTTTTTTTTTTTTTAAAAAAAAATTTAACGTCCTTATCATATTCTTCATGTAGGTTCAAACAAACAAGACCAGGAAAGAGAGCAAAACATCACGCATTACTGCAAGATCGGATCCTAGCAAACAATCATCATCTGATCCAGTAGCCAGCATGGGACCCAGCACCAGCAAGCGCCTTGTCAATGCCGGAAACATCTCGAAAAATAGTAACCCTGGTATATCAGTACTAACAGGTCGTACACGGAAATTTAGCACCAGATTGGACAGTCGCAAAAACGCCAACAGTATCCTCTCTTCCTCTTCTTCTGCAACAGGAGATACAACAACAGCAGCGGACACAACAGTAACAGTGGATGCAACATCAACTGTGGATGCATCAGCACAAAAGGCCTCAGAACTACCGGATACATCGCCAATTGTGGATACACCAGCAACCGTGGATGCGCCACCACCACCAGCAATTACAGATACATCAGTAGAAACGAATGATCATTCAACACCAATGCCTATCAATGATGACGCAGGTGACTCAGGTGACAATGTGCCTAATGCTTCGGAATCTCTCAACACAGTGCCCTCAGTCTCAACATCCTTTTCGCAACATACAACAGAAAGTGATCATGATGCAGAAGTAGCAGCAGCAACATCAGCACAATCAGTTAAAAATGGAGACAGCAATGGATGCAATCGTGATAGCAACGGAAAGTGCAACAACGACATGATGATGATGGATAGTATTAGAGTGGAATCACCTTTCTTACAACTGGATCGTCGTCGATCATCATCATTCTCGCCTGTCAGTGTAGCATCATCTTTAACAAGACCAGAAACACCTGAAGTAGATAATTTACGACAACGTTTTGAAGTGTTAGCCCAATCAGCAGCAGCTACATCAACAATGACAACAGGCTCAGTAACAAGATCACCAGTATCAGTCAAACGTGGTTCATCTATCACTCCAGAAATGGCATCTCGTATCAAAGACTTGAAACCTAGGGATCCAGTTGGTTCTCGTGTAAAAAGTATGGTGGAATTCTTTATGGATGAAAACCTTCACAAGTGGGAATTCTAGGTCTCCTTCTCATTTCTCTCTTTCCTTTGCCCCCCTCCCTTCTTTTTATATATATATATATATATTCCATTTATCCCCTATTATTTACAAGTTTCTTTTATTATTGTTATTATTATTATTATCATTTTTATTATCATTACCATTATCATTATTATCATTACTATTATTATTATTATTATTCTTATCATTACTCTTAGTAGTTGCCCTTTCCATTTCCTTTTCTTTTTTTTTTTCTCTTTATACAATAGATCAATTTACTACAATTCAGTATATTTATTTTTATCTTTATATTCTATCCTTTCTTCCTCTCTAACCCATTCCTTCCCCCTTTTCAAAACAACAACATTATACCATTTTGTATTGTATCTATTCCTTCCTTTATATCCTAGTTTTTATATTTCAATCACACTCAATATGGCTATATTCAATAAAGTTGTTTGATTTTTTTTTTTTATAAAACTTGTTTATTATTTTAAAATGTATTATTTAAACAATTAATAAATAACTATCCAACTAACTAGATACCAAGATAATGGGTCATCAGATTGATAATATTTCAGAGAGCGCCTTGGGGAGGTGATTTTTTTTTTTTTTTTTTCATAGGGGTGATGATATTTCGTTGTCATCACGAAGAAGAATCCAAAGCCATTCTGTAGTCAAACGATCTATCCAGTCATCATAAAGAGTACGTACATTAGTTAATAAATCCAATAAATCCAAGTGTAGTTGCATATGATGATGATGATGATAAGGAGCACGTGCTATTTGTCGAAGACATAACAATTGTTGTTGTGATTGGAGAGTTTTCTGTTGTGCTGCGACTAAGAGTGATCGTTGTTGATCTACGTGATTTTTCCAAATGTGATGTTCCTGTTGAAGACTAGATAAGAGTTGATCTTGAACAGAGGTGCTACGTTTTTTATAGGTTGTATAGAGTCGATCCAATTTACGTTGAAGTTTGATATTGGCGTTATCTCTTGCTGTAGCCAATTGAAGAGATTGTTGATATTCAGTTTTGTTTTTTTCTAATGCTGCTCGTGTTTCTGCTAATTGTTGGTTCAGGGTAGAATAACGTTTGTATAATGAAGACAATGTATCTTGAGTACGAGTAAAATAAGTCAATTGATTGGTGGTATTGTTGGTGGTCATAAATGTAGATGTATCATTTTGAAAAACAGAATAAGTAGATGAATGCCATTTTGGTATATCGCAATGAAGTGACATTGATAAATAGATGAAAGAAAGAAAAGAAAGAAAAGAAAAGAAAGAATAAAAAAAAAAAAGAAAAATAAATAAAAATAAAATAAAAAAAAAAGAAAATAAAAAAAAAAAAAAAAGAAAAAAAAATATAGGGGTCCGCATGATTTCACCCAGGAGAGAATCTTTTTTTTCTTTTTTGGAACAAGGTCAAACCGGAGTTCAAATGTTTTTTTTTGTTATTTTTTTTTTTTCATTCTTTCTTTCCCTTTGTTCACGTCTTTTTTTTTTAATTAAACCAAATGTCTACTCATTCACCTAATAAAACTTCTGAATCTGTAAGTTTTGAATATATATTATATAAATAATAATATTTATTAATAATATATATATTCTAGTTATGGAAAGAAACAAAAACACCAGAAGGAAGGATCTATTGGTATAATACAAGTACAAGACAAACTACTTGGAAAAAACCTGAAGTATTATGGACAGAAGAAGAAATAGCTATTAACCAATGTCCTTGGAAAGAATATACTACTCCAGAAGGAAAGAAATATTATAGTCATAAAGAAACTAAACAAACAACTTGGCAAATACCTGAAGCTTATCAAGGTAAAAATAATAATAATAATAATAAATATTAATTAATTAATTATATATTAGAACTTTTATCTACTTTGAAAAGAATCAAGGAAACAACAATAAAACCATCCTCTTCAGGTTCTCCATCTACTATAGTAAGCCCAATGTCTCCAGTAACAGCATCTCCTCCAGTCAATCAAACATCAACTTATTACAATAAACCAACTATATCTGCCACTTCTGCTTCATTATTATTATCACAACCTCCTGATATTAAAGTAGATTCACCTGAAAAAGCCATGGAACAATTTCATTTATTACTAAAATCAAAAGTAAAAAAAAAAAAAAAAAATAGAATGAAATATATAATATGAATTAAAAAAAATTTGATTTTATTTTTATTTATAGGGTGTTAGACCTGATTGGTCTTGGGAAGAAACTATGCGTGCTATTATTACTGATCCAAGATATCGTGTCTTTAAAACTATTAGTGAAAGAAAATCTGCTTTTCAATTATATATTAATCAGGAAGCTCAAAGAGAAAGAGTAAGTTTCAAAAAAAAAAAAAAAAAAAGAAAACAAAATAGTATATTAATTAGGATGATTTTATAGGAAGAGAAAGAAAATCAAGAAAAGAAGGAACGAAATGATTTTTATGCCATGTTGGAAAGAATACCTCAAATCAAATCTTATTCTTCTTATCGAACAGTTTTACCACTATTTGCAAATATGCCAGCATTTCAACAAGTAACATCCGATCGTCAACGACAAAATTTATTTCATGATTACATTCATCAATTACGACGATCAGAAAAGGAACAATTACGAAAAACAAAGAAAACAAGTATAGAAGCATTTAAACATCAAATATCTAATCAATTTGATGTACAAGATATCACTCTGATGCCCAAATGGAAAGACATTTATCAACAATATGTCTTACCACATGATGATACTTATAAAGGAATGACTCAGTTGGATTTTTTGGAAGTATATCAAGATTATTATCATGATAAATGGAAAAAACCTTTGGCCGAATATCATGAACGTCTTGAACAACAACAACATCAAGATCGATTGGCAAGAGATGCATTCAAGGTAAATCAAAAAAAAAAAGAAAGAAAAAGGAAAAAGAATTGAGTAAAAAAAAAAAAAAATGAAAATTGACTTTTTCTTTATTGTAGCAATTATTGAAATCATTACATCAAGAAGGAATTATTCATGTTCGATCACAATGGAAAAATATCTATCCTTTTATTGAAAACGATACAAGATATACCAATCTTTTGGGTGTACCATCTTCAACACCTTTAGATTTGTTTTGGGATTATTTGGATGATTTAGATCAAGATTTATATGATCAACGAAAGATAGTACAAGATTATCTTAAGGTAAGTTAAATGAATCAAATCGAAATGAAAAATTTACCTTTTTTTTTTTTTGATAGCAACATGATGAAAGGATAACATTGGAAACAAGTTTAGAGGAATATCAAGATTTATTGGCGAAACATCCATCCTTATTGAATCAAATTGAACCTAATAATATTCCATTGATTTATCAAGAGGTAAATAAATAAAAAAAAATAGACATAAAGAATAAGAAATTCATTTTTTTTTTTTAGATTCAAAAAAGGGAATTAAGAAAACAACAAGAAGCTGAAAGGAAACAACAAAGAAAATTACAAAAGAAAATTAAAAACTTACGACATGCTATTCGAAAATTGGATCAACCTCCTTTACAAGCTAATGATACTTGGGATATGATAGAACCACGATTACAAAATAATGCTGCTTATCTTGAATTAGAACAAGATGATGATGCCAAATTAGAAGCTTTTCGACAAGCATTAGCCAGATTGACGGTAAATGAAAATCATATACATATATAAAAAGGGTATTCATCCATTTTTTTTTTTCTCTTTTTATTATAGTCTGAACAACAAAATACTGAAGTAGATGAAGATGATGATAATGAATATGATGAAGAAGATGATAATGATGAAGAAGGGATGATAAGGGAATAGAATAGAATAGAATAGATTTTATTATTGATTACTTTTAACAAAATGAAATAAAATTATAGTTTTTCTATTGGAGAAATCAAAAACGACTGCTTTTTTTTCTCCGCCAACTTTATATATAAAAAAAAAACTTTTTCTTTTTTTCTTTTTTATTTTTTTCTTCTTCTTTTTATCACCAAACTTGTAGGATAGCTGAACTTATATACATACATATACTTATATATAGATACATATATATACATACATATCTTCTTCTTCTTCTTCTTCTTCTTCTCCTCCTAGTAATATATATATATATTTCATTGTTATTTTTATTTTACATACATCCTCATTATTATTATTATTATTTTATTTCGTTTAATTAGTTATAGATATGTCATCAAGTACTTCATATCCTGGTAAGCTTTTTTATATTGCCAACCATTGAAACAAATGTGAAGGAGAGAAAGGGAAAAGAATTGAAAATTGAATAGTATAGAATTGTCCTCTTTTTTTTTTTTATTGATGTCTTTTTTTGGTGATGTGTATCTTTTTGTATTGTGTTTTTTTTTGTGTATGTTGCCAAAACTGCTGCTGCTGGGTTCTGGGCGTGAAAATATTGGGGGGAATCATATGACAGCAACTCTTCCCAAAAAGGAGGGATTGTTTGATCTATTCTCTCTCTCATATTCATGCTTATTACTGTCAGCGTGTATCTGTGATTTCTTTTTCTCTTCTTTTTTTTCTTTTCTTTTCTTTCTTTTTCTCTCTTTCTCTCACATATCATCGAAAAAGAAATTGTTATCATTTTATATATTTACTCCTGTTATTCCTTTTTATATATATATTATAGAAACTGTTTATACTACAAATCCATTAAAACAACAAGAAAAGCTGATACCAGTGGTTCATCCTCCATTGGAGCAACAGACTTCATCATTACCAACCATCGACAATTCATCATTATTTTACTTTGGATCTAAGAAACAGGATGTTCACCAAATCGCAAAAGCAATGGTTACTCAACTGGATACTATGTCAAAATCAACCTTAGATTTCGATACTACTATAACAATACTCAACTCTATTCCAAATTATGACCTACCTTTGGAAATATTAACAAAATATGGATTGGGAAAACTTATCAAATCAATCAAGAAAAAGGCACAAGAATCCAGTAAGTTTCCTCTTATCATATTTTAGTTCAATAACTCACTTTTTTTTTTTTTTTTTTTTTTTTTTTTTTGATAGACACCAAAGCCATTGTTACTGTTTGTGATACAATCATGCAAAAATGGAGGGAACTACTACCAAAAGGTAAAACTATCCATCATTACTATCCTACATTGTCAAGCCTATTAACTTTTTTTTTTTTTTTTTTTTGATATAGATGGTCCTAATTTATCAAATTCGCCTACACCTTCACCAATGTCAAGTCCAAAACAACCAGTAGGACAAGATATTGAACAACCAGCATCAACACCTTTTCGACTGGCAATTCAAAAGGAACCACCAAATAAACCAAAAGCAATTACAAATACATCCTTCTTTGATAGTTTACGCGGACCATCATCATCCTTCTTAAATACTACTCGTCCTTCATTTACTACACAATCATCAAAACAAATATCGTTCTCTAACCTTTTGAATCAAGTCCAAGGTAGTCCATCTCCAAAAAAACGTGTTATTGATGATCTCGATTCTGATTCAACATCTCAACAACTACAAACGACAAAACAACGAACTCGTAGAGTTAAATTCAAACCTGATCATCAGCTAGTTTCCATTCGTGAATACGAAAAGGATCCTCTTGAATGGAATTTCGTAAGTTTTGATAATTAAAATGTGTGAACAAATATATTAATCTAGTTTTATAAATATTTAAGGATGCGACCACTACAACAACAACTAGTACAGATGGTATACCTACGACTGCAGGTCATGCTCGTGATATGGATATACGTGAAGGTCAAGTCATGTCAAAAGCTCATCAACACAATATGGATTCATCATCCAGTTTTACAAACTATCAAACATACGAATTGAATTCAAATCTTTGGTACACTCCTCGATCTATATTTATTCCTGATGACTGTAAGCCACCATGGCCCAAGAACTCGGAAGAAGCGATGATTCAACAAGAGCGGGAAAAAGTGACATTGGCTGCTGTTTATCTTTCTCTTTCTCATGTACCACCTACTCCTGCTGAACCTGATGATCCTGGGGTTCCAAATGAAGATACAAAGATCATCCCATTATATGAAGTGCAAACAGAAGAGAATCATATTGAATCAGAAACTACATCTTGGTCAAGTTCTTCTCAATCCAATGTTCCTACTCAACTTTTACATCCTTATCAACCTACATCACAATTCCCTACTCAATCTATCCAACAACAACAACAACCGGTAAGGACTCTTAGTCCACCTGATCATCCAATTGCCTTTTACAATCAGCTTCCACCACAATATCAACAACAACAACAACATCAACAACAATCGTTGCAAGGACAACCATTGAATCAACAAATATTATTACCCAATAATGTTCAATTAGATTTTTTGATGAAGCCTGGGTAAGCAAATGACCTGATGATTCTTTTTTTTTTTTTTTATTAAAACAATAATTTCTTTTTATTATATAGAATTATGGATGCATTACAAGCAGTGATGAACAGCACCAATCTTTCATTCAATAATCAACAGGTAATATATATATTTTATAGATGGAAAATTAAATACATTTTTTTTTTATATGCTGCATAGATTCCCTATGATTCAAACCAATCTACATCTCAACAATATCCAACACAATACCAACCATCACATTATAGTACACCTTCTCCAACATCAACAGGATCAGTTGAAATGTTTCATTCCTCCCCATCCAATCAACAAGTACTATTCTCTAATAACGGTGAATCAAGCGACACGACAATTGGCAGGAAGAAAAAGGGAAAACCAAGTAAAGAAGCAAGACGACGACAAAATCAGTCTAATCGTGCCCGTTTTGGACGTGGAGCAAATCGTGGAGCTAATCGTGGAGGAATAAGTCGTGATGCTAGCAATACTGCCAATATTCCATGTATGTTCTACTTGGAATCTGGATGCCGATTTGGTGATAAGTGCAATTATTACCATCCTGAATAAAATCTTAGTTTGTAGATAGATTGTTATATATATATAGTTTGTATAGTTTTTATTACATAGTTCTATTGATTCTTATCTCCCTCCCTTGTAGCATTTAAACATATATATATATATATTTTAAAAAAAAGTCATCTCTTTATACAAATAATAAACCTTTTTCATATATGAATATCTAATTACGGACTTTGGATCAAAAGCAGATTGATCGTCTTCGGATGGAAAATCTCGGAATGACTACCCCATTGATTTATTCCCCAAAAAAGGAACAAATTTTGATCTCTTTCTTTTTTTTTTTTTTTTTTATCTTGATTTATTTTATTATTAAATGGAAAAGGAACCATCAAAACAATACAATATCACCACTGAATTATCTGCTGTAGTACCACCTGATGGAGGTCGTGGTTGGTGGGTTGTCTTTGGGTCATTTTGTGTAAAGAGTCATGAATAAAAACAAAATAAATATAAATAAATAAAAAAAAAAAGGGGGGACAGATTCTCAATTTTTTTTTCTCTCTTTTCTTTTCTTTTCTTTTTTTTTTTTTTTTTGTATACTTTCTAGGGTTTATTTGCTATGTAAGTTGGCAACAAAAACAAAAAAAGTTTTTTTTTTTTTTTTACTTATTTGGTTTCTTTTAGATATGGGGTCAACTATTCTTGGGGAGTATTTCTCAATGCATACAATAAACAGATCTATGTTGGTGAAATGACACAACTTTCTTGGATAGGTTCTATTTGTATTGGCTTCTTTTTCATAATTGGACCTATTAACGATTGGGTGACAAGGAAACTAGGTTATACGATCATGCTGAAGATTGCAACCATTGTATGTCCCTTTGCACTCATGATGGCATCTATCACACACGAGGTAAAAAAAAAAAAAAAAAAAAATATGAACGTAAATAATGACTTTTATATTTTTTTTTTTATATAGATCTGGCAATTATATCTTACACAAGGTCTTCTTATGGGTTGTGGTGCTAGTTTTGTATGGTTTTCATGTATTCCTGCTTGTCAACAATGGTTTGATAAGAAACGAGGCATGGCTATTGGATTGGCAATGCTTGGTAGTGGTGTGGGTGGACTGGTCATGTCGAACATTACTCAAGCTGTATTACTATCATTGGGTTATAGATGGGCTCTCCGTATTCTTGGCTTTGTTTGTTTTGTATTCCTTGGTATAGCAACTCTTTTGGTCAAGCCATTGCCTAATAGACAAATGAATCTGAATCAAGATATGACTGTTCCTATGTGGAAAAAACAACGTGCCTTATTATGTCGATTGGATTTTAATCTTTTATTATCGATTGCCTTCATCACGACATTTGGTTATCTCGTAAGTTTTTTTTGTTCAGGGACATAATGTATTTTTTCTTTATTTTAACCTTTCTTTTTTTTTTTTTTTTTAAAAAATTTAGGTACCTTCTTTCCTGTTACCATGTAAATAAAAACATTCCATAAAAGTCTATCTCAATACTCATCTATCCTTTTTTTTTTTTTTTTTTTTTTTAATGTAGCTTATGCGAGTTATTTGGGATTAAATCCTTGGGTTGGAACCAACTTATCTGCTATTCTCTCAGCTATTAATGCGGTATCAAAGATATTGTTGGGTTATACAAGTGATCGTGTGGGACGTCTCAATACTTTTTGTGTGTGCACATTCATGGCAGGTATCATGTGTTTGGCGATTTGGACCAATGCAACAACAGAGCCAACGATCTGGGTATTTGCAACCTTGTACGGTTTATTTGGTGGTGGTTATCTGACAATGCTGGCTGCCATCGTTCCTCAAATTGCAGGTTATCATGCCATCTCAGAAGCCAATGGTCTGGTGTACTTTATGAATCTACCTGGTTATCTTGTCGGTACTCCTATTGCATCCGCGATCATCCATACAACCGTGCCTGTCCATTATCCTTATGCTGCAATCTATGCTGGTTTGCTAATGTCTGTCGGTGGCTTGCTGGCTTTTGCCTTACGGGTATTACAAGTAGGTTGGTATTGGCGTATCAAGGTTTAATTCGTTTATTTTGATCCATCTTTGTAGTTAGAATATTATCATAGAAATTCCATCCATTGTCTTGAATAAAATTTATTATTGATTTTATAAATACTTTTTGATTTAAAAAGGGTTGAAATGGTTTAAGCATACAAAAAAAAAAAAAGATTTTGTAATTGGATGGATAAGCTGGTCATTTTTTTTTTTTTGATTTTTACAGCCAAAATTTTCAAAGTCCTCAGCCAAATTTTGGCTGTAAAAAAAAATCGTCGAGGGGTCATCAGGCGATTTCTGGAAAAATGGATGAAATATTTTAGTGTTTTATTGCACATTAGCTGGAAAGATAAGTGATGAAATGGTATTAGATGATATTAAACTACTTTTTTAAGAGGAATCGAATGATGGTTGTTTTATTGAATGATGATTGGATAAGAATGTTGATCCTTATTTTTTTTAATTTAATTTATTCATTAGGAGATAAGGTATAAATTATTATTAAGACAATTGAAAGAGAATGATTTCATGTATGTTTCAATTCAAGTTTGATACGATGATGATTACTTTTTAGTTTGCAAAAAAAAAAAAAAAAGTGATGGCTGATAGACAATAGGAAAAAAAGAAGCAATTTTATTGGCTAATTTTTACCGTCAAAAGTAGGGGTGGCAATTCCCTTTTTCATTTTTTTTTCTTTCGTTCATTTTCCTATACTTTTTTTTTTTTTTTTTTTTTTTTGCACAAGCATTCATCTTTGTTCAAACAACAATGCCGAAACTTGACAAACTTGGTTTTGATGAGATGATCATCATTAGCAAGAAAATGTTTTATGGTGGCTTTGCCTTTCTTCCTTTCCTATGGTTGGTCAACTTTCTCTATTTCTTTCAACAAACTCGGAAACCTTCTGCACCAAAACAACTCAAACATTGTAAGTTTTTTTATTTTAAATAGTATAATAAAAGAAATGACATTTTCATTCTTTTTTTTTTTAAAAAAAAATAGATGTTTACTTATCCTTGGGTGGATGTTTACTTTGGTTCATTGTTTTGACAACCTGGTATGGAATATTTGTGAATGAACGAACGTATTGGGGTGCTTTAGGTGACAAGTTGACGGTGGTGATACCTAAAGGTAGTTAGTTATATTGACAATCATTTTGATCCTATATACCCATATCTTTTTTCACTGTATTTTATACCCTCTTATCATCCAACGGAATATTATTCCAATCTTTTGTACATAAAATTGATATGCAAAAATAAATAAAGAACAAGTCATTAGATATGTATATACAAATAGAAGATAGCTTTTTTTTTATTTTTATTTTTATTTTTATTTTTTTAATATTAATATTCGAATCACCACAATACATATCAACTATCACTAAAAGAATAATAATGATAATAATAAAAAAAGATATCCATTTCTACACTTTGATGGCGGTAGAATCGACAGCAGCAGCGGCACGGTAGGGAGCAAAATCTTCTTCAGTGACAGGGATAGGATCTTCAGCAGAAGCCATATTGCATTGTTGAAAAATTCGAGTATCGGTGTCCTTCAAACAACCCACCACAGAATGTAATACACCACGATTATGGAAAAGGACGAAATCACCATCTCGCCATTCATGAGCAAATACATTTTCAGGACTAATAGCTGGTCGTTGGATTTGATACAGGAGTTCTCTCACCTTTCTTAAATCACCTACAGGTTTGCCATCAATGATCAGATCTTCCACAGCAGCAGGATGGACTTGAAGATGGATTTTCTTAGTCACAGGATTCTTCCAAAGCTATATCAAAAAAAAAAAAATCAATATAAATATTTAAAAAAGAGATAAGTCTTATTTTTAATATATATATATATATATAAGATCATTTTACCATAGGATAAATCTTGATATCTTTTTCTTCAATAGGAGGTAATTCATCAGGAGATAATTCTTTATCTTCAGATACCATACCCAGACCGTTGGAGCGTGCACGTGCTTTTGAAATCCAGAGATAAGGATGAGCAGCATATTTGACTTGAGTACGGAAAGCTAATTCCTTCATCTCAGGTGACAAGATTTCGAAAGCCTTTTGCCCAGAGATAACTATATATATATAAAAAAAAGGTCAATTTTCTACTATTATGTATCATCCTTTTTTTTTTTTAAATTACATGCAGTAGTGCCTAATTGAACATCCAAAGTATCACCAGTACCATCATCGTATTGAACAATTTGTCGCCTAGGTTCAGGATTTTTAACGCCAAAAAGAGTAGTCACCTTGGGAGGATTTAGTTTATATAAAGCAGCATCCATATGCCAACGATAGAATCTAGTTTTACCTTGTGCTTCTTCTTCATCAGTCAAAGGAGTATGATGGAATACTCTGTGGTTTGGATGAGTCAGTTTACGTTCTTTGACACCTTGATAATCTCTTACAATACCATGACCCAAAAGTTGAACCTGAGGTACATTAGGAAGAGGAGATAAGTCTCTTGCAATGACAGATTGTTCTGCTCGATGTTGGGCACCATGACCATAAGTATCTACTTCAGGCTCAAACCGTTTGGTAATAGCATATTGCGTTTCCGGTTGAACATGTCCTTGACCATGTACAACTACAACCTGATGGGTATAAACTGCTTTTTCCAATTCTTTGAATTCTTCATCTATAGCATAGAAAGAAAGTCAGCTAAGTAAAAAAAAAAAAAAAAAAAAAAGCTGTATTTTTTTTTTTACCAGTTATCTTTTCCAAATCCAAGTCAGAAATAGATACACCAAAGTCAACACCAGATTGAGTAGATTGAATTGGTTGAATAGTAAAAGTCATTGTTTAAATAAAAATATAGAGAAAAGAATAATAAAAAGAAAAAGTATAAGTGGGAAAAAAATAGCAAAGGAAAAAAGAAAAGTAAAAAATAAATTTAAAAAAAAATAGCCTTTTTATCAGTACAGACTGAGCTTTGCATTGTTAGAGAGAGAGAGAGAGAGAGATTATACTCAATAAAGGCAAGGATAAAAGCGGAGGGTAGATTCATGCTTCTTGTTTTTAATATGTGCGTTTCCACCAATCAGAGAAGATTCTACTGATAGTATATCAAAAGTACTGTTTCTCCACATTTCTTATCTGAACATGAAAATACCAAAGAATCAAAAATATATCCATACAAAAAAAGTCAAGGGACCTTACAGGTTTTTCAATCCGTGACCACAATTGTAACAAAAACAAAAAAAAAAAAAAAAAAAAAGAAAATAGAAGAAAAAAAAAAATTGATCTACATTGTCCCTTTTTTTTTTTTTTTTTTTTTTTTAATTATTGACATGTACGATGATGATAATAAGGCGTACTCATTATTCTACATCCGATTTTACCGAGGATAAAGATTAATGAACCCAATAATTAATTTGATGATCCTTTTCTCATTTGGTAATTTTGAAGCTTTTTTTTTTATAAAACTGGTATCATTCATGAATTTTCTGTAAAAAGACAATGATGCCAATTAACAAGTAAACAAAGTAGATTATTTAAAAGAAGGCAAAACCTTTTTTTTTTTCTTCTTATTCATTTTTTATATTTTATTTATTTTTAAATTTTTGATGATGCAGAAATTCATCTGTTACTATTGGATTCTTTTATTCTTTCATTATATTACAATGACAAATGGTCTCAAGTTAGTTCAGTATTGGTAAAGGAATGCTATTGTTTATAGAGGGTTTTATTCATTTTTTTTTCTTTGTTAATGAATAGGGGTCAAAACTCCGCTAGTGCTAACCATGGTGGTGACTCTGCGCAAAAAGTAAAGTGAAGCCAATATTTTTTTTTTTTTTTACTTTTTACTTTTTTCTTTTTCTTACATTTTATCTTTATCATAGCCACTTTCTTATTATTGTCAAGATGATACTCAAGATATACTTATCATCTCTTTCGTTCATCAATTCGGTACCAATCAAAAGCTGGCTTTTGATTTGTCAACAGAAGGCAACCGGTGCAAAGGATTGATTCAAGGAACACAATTGTTGAACTGTCCACAAATGGAAAAAGAGATTCAAACTTGTCAAAAAAAGGGTAAAAAGGTCTTACTTTCTTTGGGAGGTGCTAGTGGCTCTTATGGTCTAAATTCTGGAAAAGATGGAAAAATGTGGGCTGATCAATTATGGAACACCTTTGGCAACGGTCAAGTTGGGAATAAGAGACCATTTGGAAAAGCTGTAGTGGATGGATTTGATTTGGATATAGAAGCTGGTAGTGTGGAAGGTTATTCAACTTTTGTTAAAACCATGCGACAACATTATCGTAAGTGTTTTTTTTTTTTTTTTTTTTTTTTTTTTTTTTTTTTTTTTAAAAAAAAAAAAGTGATCTAACCTATTATACTCTGTCTAGTTAAAGACAAATCGAAAACCTATTATATTTCTGGGTAAGTTCCAATAATCTATTTATATTATTTAGTAACTAACAACAATATATCATTTTTTTTACTAGTGCTCCTCAATGCCCATATCCAGATGCATGGTTAGGCGATGCTTTGAATCAAGAATGGTTTGATTTTGTATGGATTCAATTTTATAATAATGTGAGTACCTTTTTTTTTTAATATTTCACTTTTTCTTTTGTTTGTAATCCATTTTTTTTTTTTTTTTTTTTTTTTTTTTTTTTTTTTAGTATTGTAGCGTGAAAGGTGGTCAATTCAATTACGATACATGGGAAAATTGGGCCAAGAAGAAATCAAAAAACAAGAATGTACAATTGTTCCTGGGAATTCCTGCAAGTGCCTCTGCCGCTGGTTCCGGTTACGTACCTCTTAGTGATTTGGTGAAAACTATTTCTAAACTTAAATCTTCTCCTCATTTTGGTGGTGTCATGATGTGGGATGTGTCTCAAGCTTATGCCCAAAAGGTCAACTTTGCAAAAGCCGTGGCGAAACTAGTACATAAAATTAAGAACAATGGTGGCGATGATCAAGATGATAAGCCTATAACAACAGAAACTGCAGCAATAAACATACCTACTTCTTCTTTGGCCAGAATCAACTCTCCTACAGGAACATTGACAACAAAATCGAAACCTTCCAACAAAAATAGCAATAACAGGAATCATCATCAACACAGAACATCGACTTTATTATCCGCTCCTTCCAATACTCCTGAATCAAGGTAAAGTACATACAACTTGTATCTATATTATAACTGATCTTCTCTCTTTCTCTCTCTATAGTGGAAAACATGGAAAGACTCCACATAGCGGAACATCATGCAGTACAACGGATACATTCAAGTGTATTAACGATAGGTTTGCTCAATGTGACCAAGGAAAATGGCTAGTACGTCCTTGTGGTGGTGCTATGAAGTGTAAACAAGCGTCTTCTGGTTTAGTTTACTGTGGATGAATGGTTTAGTTAGTTAGTTTTGAAATTGAAATAAAGTTATGTTTTGTACTCTGCTTTAAGCTGGATGAATGGACGGATAATATGTGCAAGGATGCTAATAGAAAAAAAAAACAGGAATAAAAAAAAAAAGAAAGCGATCGATTCAGCTTTTATTATGATCAAATATTATACACGCACAAAATGTCAAAATATCAACATCTTGCTTTATTACATTTCACATTTTTGATCAACAGACGCGTGTTTTCTTTTTCTTTGAGGTCCATAATCTATATAATCCATGATGACGATGAGGAGAAGGATGCGTTGTCTTCATTTGAGGACTTGGTGGAGAAAATAAATTTAAGTCTTTGACGGATATTTCAAATTTTTGAGAAGGGGCCAAGGTAAGCAATGTACTTGTCTGTGAAGAAAGTAGACCATCTTGATTGTGTTGTGCGATTTTTTTTAAGGGATGTTTAGATTGTCTTGATGATGATAATAAAGAAAAAAATGGTAGACGTATGCTAGATAATGATGATGTTGCTGTTGTTGTTGATGATGATGATGATGTTGATGATTTTGCTAAAAAGGAGGATGATAGTTTTCGTATGATATTTCTTTTTTTCAGGCTAAAGATAGACCAACTGGGAGATAAAAAAACAGACTTGCATTTATCGGCAGTATGGATGGCCAAAGTACCACAAGTATCAGTCATCGTGAATTTTTTTTGATGATATCCCAAAGAATATGATGATGATGATGCAGTGGTAATGGGATGAATTTTTCTCTTGTGTCGGATCATCGTCAATTTACCCTCTTGTTTACACGATAATGTTAAGCATTTGGGCAACTGATTGCTTGTGCTATAGGCATGATGATCTGGAATGAGTGAGTTGGAACTAGATACTGATATTATTTTTTGTTGTTGTTGTTGTTGTTGTTGCTTTTCTTGCTTAATTTTTGTTAAATGATGATGATCATGATGATTTGAATGTCCTTTCTTTTTTTTCTTTTTTGGATTATCCATTGGTGGATCGTACTGTCGTAAAAAGTTTTCTTCTTTTGGTGGCAATGGTGGTGGTGATGGTGTATCAGATAAAGGATTAAAAGCTACATAAGACAATGACCTTGATGTCCATACGGAGGGTGATGATGCTGATAGAGGAACTGATGATGATGGGGGTGGTAATGGTGTGGGTTCTGGTAATGATTGTGTTTCTGGATGAATGATTCCATGTGATTGACTGAAAAGATGAAATGAAGGATCATAAGGCAACAAATTTGTTTCTGTTGTTGCTGATGTAGGTGATGACACGATGATACTACCGGGCGGTGGATCAGCCGATATAGGATGAGCTAGAGTGATGGGTATTTCGACAATGGCATCGGTACTATCATTATTTATTTATTTTTTTTTAAAAAAAAGAACGGAAGGTACTCTCATTATCATTTGATTCCAACTTTAAAGTGTTAACGTAATATAGTTTACCTTGTTAATGATGATGCTGAAATACGTAATGCAAATGATATATCAATCAGTTTTTGATGTTTAATAGTGAATTCGTGTGGCTTTCAGATAAAAAAAAAAAAAAAAAGCGAATAGTGAGTAATCATCTACTCTCCTTTTTTTTTTTTTTTTTTTTTTTTTTTTTTTTTTTGTATGTATCCAATCATCACATCATGCAAAGATTTTATTTACCGGTATTTCTAGAGGAATCAAAACATGATCATCACTTTGTGGATCGAGTGGTTTCCACCAACCTAAATTCAATAAACTTGTAGTGGCGATGAGTTCACAGGTAGATGTCACAGGCATCAAGTCAAAACTTTTTTTCAATCCTGTCTGAGAAAAAGTATTTTCACGTTTAATCAACTCCAACTTAATGTCACGTAGCTTATGGACCGATCTATTCTCCATTGTCATGGTAACATAAAGGCATGTACCAGATGTCCATATAGACCTTGATATATTCATAGTTAAATCAACAAAAGAGTGCTTATTTTTTTTACTATCAGTATCTTTATCGTTATTAGCGTTGCTGATGATGGGTGATAATAAAACAGGTGATCTCTCCCATATCCTTCGACGTTCACAGATAGGTTGATAAAGTGCCATTTGCTCTGTTGATTTTAAGCTGAGTACATTTTGATAGACTTGTAGATGTCGATCCATATACCATACCTCATCATGGTCATCTATCCTTACACGAGCATGACTATATATATATATATATATAACAGAAAAGTTCAGAACTCTCGGATTCCTTTTTTTTTTTTTTTTTTTTTTTTTTTTTTTTTTACCATTGTAAAGTATACTCTACACATCCTTTTTTATCTTTATAACTACCACCCAAATCAAGTGGTAATTGAAAACGAAAAGGGATGGTCATTTGGAATGGATGATGATTGGCAGGAACGATTAACTGATCATTAGGTTGTTGGAGAGTTAATATTGGTAATTCAAGAAAAGAGTACGCATGAGTAGAAGATGAATAATGAACTGGATCAAAAACAACTGGTAATAATAATAATAATAATGAAAAAAAAAGTAATTGGTTAATCATTATATTCCTCTTTTTTTTTTTTTTTTTTTTTTTTTTTAACATCACGATGTACTTTCAATTCCATGCAGCATTAATTCCAACTGTTGGATTTCCATATTGGGAACAGGTGTAAGCGAAATGGTACCTTTCATCAATCCTCCGCTCAATGCATGAGGTGATTTTAGATAAATCATCATTTTTTTTGTTTGTACCATAGCGTCCTTCTGATTCGAATGACGAGATTGATGATTAAGTGAACGTATGGATGATGAATCGGTTCTCAAGGTTAACCTTTTCCACAAATTGATAATGCCTCGTGTTTCAGTCTCATTTGCATCTACGGTTTCTTTAGACATCGTGGCTCTTTTAGACGCCTTGGTCTCTTCAATTGTTATCATCCGTATAAATCTATGCAAGTAAAAGAGGAAAGAACAAAAAAAAAAAAAGGAGAACGGATCTTTTTTTTTTTAAAAAGAAAAAAAGAAAAAAGAAAAAAGAAAGCATTCCAGCATAAGAATGTATAGAGACGGACCAGTCTATTATATGATGATCATACATCGAAACATGATTATAATCATCTATTGTTCCTCTTACGGCTCTTTCTATAACAATCATTTCATTATACGGAAATATGCTATACATATATATATCTTTGAGGATCTCTTTAAGAAAAAAAAAAAAAAAGGATGATGATTCATTTTGAGACTCCGGGAATATATCTTTGCATAAATTACTACAAGTTTTATTGTTGCCAAACTTGGGATCTTTTATCATTATTATTTTTTTTTATCAATTTGGAATCATCATCATCGTCATCATCATCATCATTTTAATTAGCTTTTTTATCCATCATTATTTTCAACTATAATAACCTAGATCATCCACTAGTTTTTTTTTTTCTTTTCTTTTTATAGTTGATGAGAAAGCAAGGTCGGTATTTCTTTTATCTCCCAAAAAAAAAAAAAAAATTGTTTGGGGGATGAGTTCAGTCACGGAGTTTTGAGACTTTTTTTTTATATATACCAATTTTTTTTTTTTTATTCTTTCCAGCTGGTTCTTTACTTCTTTTGTTCTTCTTACTATCTTTTTTTTTTATCACTTTTCTTTTGATATCAACATACCCCCCTTTCTATATATATACAATATATATATATAATATATATAATATACATACAACAAACATACATTCATACATATATTATCACATTTATATATTTCGCACTTTTTATTCCAAAAAAAAAAAGTATACATGTCTGAAAATAACTCTGAAGAACATCAAAATCATTCACCTTCTCGGGAACAACCATCTACACGTTATTGGTGTCATCATTGTGGTAGAGAAGTTCCTATATATATGGCTCCTGATCCTACTTGTCAACGTTGTAACGAACAATTCATTGAAGAAGTAAGTCTTTTTATTATTTTTTTTTTTTTCTAATTTAAACACTTCTATGTGATTATCAATCAAGATTGATGATGGTAGTGACGATCCTCGGGCTTTCTTAGGTGGTACAGCTATGGGTACGGATGACGATGATGAAGAACATGGTGGTGACGAGGATATTATGCAATTCTTTAGAGGTGCTCTTGGTGGCGGTGGTGGTCATGCTGGTACAACACGTTTCCAATTTTCGTCAGATGACTTGAATCAACAACGTAACAATGAAAGTGATGGTGGTACTGGAGGGGCTCCTATGGGTGCTATGTTACAAAATGTTTTATCAAGTCTACTATCTGCTGGAATGGGTGGAAATAACACTGAACGGAATGAAAATGGTAGTAATAACGAAACTGGTGGAACTACAGGAACTCAACAAAGACGAACACCGATGATCTTTTATAGTGGGATGGTAGATGGAAATATGCAATTCCGACCTATCAATATACAAACAGCAAGTAATACAAATAATGAAGGACAACAATCAACAGATGGTGGCGGAGCAACAGCTTTCTTCCAATTGGGTGGTGATGGTCGACCTAGTGGAAATGATGGCAATACGAGAACTGGTGAAGGAAGAAATGAAACTGGAAATAATATTCAAGGGTAAGTGACTGGATTGTATTTATAAATATATACATAAATATATACTAATATGAGATTACTTAATTTATCATAGGTTCCTTCAATTGATATCAGCATTGACTGGTGCTCCTATGGATGCTGGACTTGTAGGCAACCCAAATGATTATGTTTTCTCCCAAGCTGCACTTGACAACATTATCACTCAGCTGATGGAACAAACTGCAGGGTAAGGACAAGAAGAAGAAGAAGAAGAAGAAAAAAAAAGTAAAGAAAATATTGATATTTATCATCTACTCTTATTCTCATAGTCGAACCGCACCTCCTCCTGCGCCTGAAGATGTTATTGATAGTTTACCAAAAAGACCATTGACTGAAGGAGAATTCAGTAAGTCAAGATGAAAAAAATAGAGGGGGGGGAGGTTTTCCATCTATTCACACTTCTATATTTTTTTTATTATCAGAGGATCAAGTAGATTGCGCTGTATGTAAGGATGAATTCAACCAATCCGAAATGGTAATTGAATTACCTTGTCAACATTTGTTCCATGATGATTGTATCAAACCTTGGCTAAAGGTTAATGGGACCTGTCCTGTATGGTATGTTTAGCAAAAAAAAAAAAAAAATCATTGATCGCTTACTCTTTTTTTTTCCTTTTTTTTACTAGTCGTCATTCTGTTGTACCAGTATCTGCGGAAGGTGAAGGAAATAATGACAATAATGCAGCACCATCACAACAACAGCAGCAACAAGAACAGCAGCAACAACAAGAACAGCAGCAGCAACAGGAACAGGAACATCCATCTTCCTCTTCACCATCAACGAACGTTCCAAATAACGAAACTGGGGATTCTTCTCATGAGCGTGATTCAACCCAACAATCAGCCTCTTCTACAGCAAACACACAAACATCATCACAGCAACAAAACAGTGGAAATAATACACCATCAGCAGCATCAGCGGCTTCAGCAGCATTTGCTTGGTTTACAAACGCACGATCTACCTCATCATCACCTTCTCCTTGGTCAAGCAATATTCCAGGTCCATTCACTTGGGGTCCTGGTAATAACAATAACAATAACAATAACAACAACAACAACAATGTATCCTCAAGACATCAACAACAAAACGAAGACGATCACCCTGCGCCAGATATGGATCTTGATTTAGATTAGTCGTTTATTTACGTTTATATTTTTCTATTTCTACTGGCTCTGTATTATGTATATTTCGACTTTGGTTGTTTATATTTGTGTTTTGACATATACTGAATGAAAAATAAAATAAAATAAAGGATATTGTATTAGTTCTGTAGATGAAAGCTTCATTTTAATTGAATTGACCAGCATGGGCGGTGAGTGAATCGAACGTGTAAAAAAAAAAAAAAAAAAAAAAAAAATAAAAATTAAATAAAATAAAAATAAAATAAAAATGTCTTGTCTCTTTTTGTTTTTTTTCTTTATCTTTATCTCTTCATACATTTCTATCTTTTGATACCATGAAAGTACGATGTTTGAATGATGTTGCCTTTCTTATCTCTATCAAACAACATACTATTTTGATCAATTGTCCATTGGAAACACGAGTTTTACCGTCCATCGACCATTTAAATAGTCAAGTCGATACATCGAGTTCATTACACCATGAATCCGATTTGGACAAGGTATTAGCAGCATATCATCCTTTGGCAAAGCAAGCTATTCCATCACAAGTAACTGATTATGGCAATGATCCTACTCAACGACAACAACAACAACAACAACGACAGGCTACAGTTTGTCGCGTGATTAACCTGGACGGTGTGAATATCAGTAACATCGATGTGATACTCCTGACACAATACGAACATGCACTTGGATTACCTTTTCTTACCGAGTATCTTGGCTATAAGGGTAAGATCATCGCTACCGAACCAACTATTGAATTTGCAAGACAACGTATGGAAGAATTAGTTCAATATCGAACTTCAGCTGATTCTCATACTATGACTTCGTCTTTTTCTTCGTATTACAACAGCAACACAATCGTGGATGGTGATATGGACTGGCAGTCGATTTATACTCTTAAAGATGTGGCTTCTTGTGTGGAGAAAATACAACCTGTTCGTTTCAATGAAAAAATGGTAATATTATTATTATATATTCTTAAACTTAATTTCTAATATATATATGTTTATTAGCCTTTATTTTCTACTTTGGATGTGATGGCTTATAGTTCTGGTTATTCTATTGGAAGTTGCAATTGGTTACTGGAAACAAGTTTGAAAAAAATCGTGGTAATATCAGCTTCCTCCACAAGAGCTGAATTACATCCTTCGTTATTGGATTGTGCTATTATGCAGTCGGCGGATGTTATTCTGGTTAGTGATCTTATATCTGATAACAACAATAATTATGATGTTGGCTGTAAAAAGTTACTCTCTTATGTAGCTGGTACAGTGGGTGCAAGACACAATGTAATACTTCCTCTTGCTATCACTAGTGGTATCGTATATGATCTCATATGGATGGTTCAGTCACATCTTCGATCGATTGGAATGGAAATTGGCCCTGAACCTCATCAAATACCAATGTATATGGTGAGTCCTATGGCGGATCAAAGTTTACAATATGCAAACATCTGTGGTGAATGGATGACAACGGATTATCAAGAAAATCTCTGGAAATCTGAAATGCCCTTACCACATGGACATCTTTTAAAATCCGGTGCGTTGACTACATTTACTACTATGGCCTCTATTCCTAGGTTAACAAAGACAAAGAAGATGCGAACATCACCTTGTATTGTGTTTACTGGAGACCATCAAGTTATATCTCATGGTGCAACAAACTGGTTTATACATCATTGGGGGGCTGATCCTCAAAATATCTGTCTATTTACAGGTAAGAATGGAAATCTAGTTGATAATTGGATGTCTCACCTTTTTTTTTTTTTTTTTAAAAAAAAAAAATAAAAATAAAAATAAAATATAATAGATCCTGAAATGGTACAAGATCAGCTACAACATTACGATCAAGGTGGAAAAATGAGAATGATGCATATACCTTTGGATACTCGACTTGGTTTAATACAATTAATCGAATTGTTACGCTTGCACTGGACATCAACAAACAGTAGATCTCGATATTTATTATTACCAAAATCTTCATCGTTGGAATCTTCACCCAGTCATGCTGTACTACAAGATTATCTTTCAAAATCGAATGATATCACAATGCAATTTTACTCTCCTGGAGACATGCTGGATATTGGGATGAACTTTCAATGGGAACCTATCTCCATTTCAAGCAAGGTAAGAGAAGAAGAAAAAAAGAGTTTATATAAAATTGTCTCCTTAAATTTTATTATTGTTATTTTATTAATATTATGAATGAATAGTTGGCCAAGGAACTTAAGCCCAAAGAAATACCATGGATGGCAAATGCTGATACGACCAAGAGAATGGCACCTATTTCTGGTGATCTTCAAATTTACAATAACGAATTGATTTTACGGCGTACAATACCTCATTTGGATCCAGCATTTTTACTGTCATCATCATCAACAATGATCAACGACAATGATACACATCAAGCAATGGATGCTTCGGAAATACTTGATCGATTACACAAGGTAATTAAATTAAAAAAAAAAGATCATTAAAACCAAAAAAATCATGTGTGTGTTACCTTTGAACTCAACCTCCTTGTTTTTGATATTTGACAGATTGGTATTATCAACATTAGAATGGAAGAAAATGATCAATGTCTCAAATTATGGTTCCCTTATTCTTTTCAGCCTGGTGTGGACAATTGTATTGAAATTTATATGGATAAGATGATGATCAAGACTAACAATGAATTGACGCGATTAATGATACGAAATGCTTTGGTTGAATAAAATGGGATTCTCCTTTCCAATATCATGCCTGGTGGTTTGATACATTATGTTGGATGAACATGTTCCATTTTAGGTAAGTCTCCAAATGCCTTTTTACCTTCCTTTCTCCGATTTTTTTTTTTTTCCTTCTTCTTCAACTCCTTTTCTTTTTGTACTTTTTACACTTTTCCTTATACTCTCTCTCTTTTTTTTTTTTCTGTCTCTAGTGAATTGAATCTTTTTTAGTTTAATTCATATATTTTTGTATATTTATCACCAATTGTACTCTTCTTTGGCCCTTAACGACCTTCTCTCTATACATATTTATATATATTTGAAATTCACTATGGATATCAAGGTAAATAAAAATTATATATATATATATATTATATCTCCTGTTTTCATCAATTACTTTTTATTTATTTATTTCTTTCTCTAGAATTCTACAAAACCAAAATCAACTATTGGATCTAAATTACAAAACAATCCATTTCTCTCAAAAGATCAATCCAATTCTGGTAGTCTTAACGACAACAATATGAAACAGACAACCACCAAGAAAATGACAACTACTCCTGCTTGGCTCCAACAAAAACAAGAATTCTCATCTTCAAAGCGTGCTTCTTTACAAAAAATGTCTCAGAAAGTATCTTCCAATCCGTGGAAGAAGACAAAGAATGATTCGACGACTACAAAAACAACTACCTCACAAACTTCCAAACTTGATCCTATCGGGAAATCTTCTACGGCAAAACCAGCAACATCATCATCACGACTTCCAACGTTATCTTCTACCTCTGCTAACAAAGTATCATCAATGGCTGCAGCTTTTGCTCCACAGTCATCCTCAACAACCAAGTCGCAGAAATCATCAGTTCCATCAACAAAGATACAGCAATCTTTATCTTTATCGTCTTCAGCATCAAAGACAAATATAAAGCAATCAGTTTCTCCATCATCAAATGCGAAGCAATCAGTTTCTCCATCATCAAATTCACAGCAATCATCCTCACCATCTTCAAAATTACAACAACCAGTATCTCGATCATCAAATTCACAGCAATCATCTTCACCATCTTCAAAATTGCAGCAACCAGTATCTCCATCAACAAAATCACAACAGTCAGCATCTCCATCAACAAAACCGCAACAATCATCGTCGTCATCAGCTCAGCCAAGGTACAAAACCACCAAAGATCTTAAGGAAGAAAAGGAATCAACCAAAATGGACGCAGGTTCGAAAGAAGCGATCGACCATACATCAAACTTGAGCTCAGCTAGACAGATAGTAAATGATACCTCAGATCGAAAGGCTAGTCCCCAAAAGGAAATGGAACAACGCACCGATACATCAACCAATTCATCACCACCACCGCCATCATCATCATCATCAGCATCAGCATCAGCATCAGCATCAGCATCAGCATCTTTGTCGGCAAAACATCGTCCTATAAGTATACTCGATACTTCTGAAAAAGAAGACAACAGTATTATCAATGCTACCCCTGAAAGTCGATCAATCTCCGAAAAAAAAGAAAAGGAAGAAGCAACTGAACAATCTCCAGCAACTGCCAACAGTGATACAACAATCTCCTGTAACACTACTACCACTACCTTACCAGCAAATTCAACTCATCCCAATATACCCTCATCTGTACCTTTATATTCAAAGCAAAATCCAAAGGAATCAACAACTGAATGTGATATCAACTTGGAACAGATATCCTTGCCCTCTACCGCTACTTCTATGAATCCCTTGGAATCATCATCATCATCATCATCATCATCAAGCAATCATTCAACATCATCTCCTTTATATAACCACAAGAACATATCAACAAAAAGTAAGACGGATAGTGTGTTTGGAATTTCCTTACCATGGTCTCAGCATGCTCGACAAGAATTACAGCATCAGAACGAATTACCGGGGGTTGGTCTTGATGTTACAAGCTATGATACCTTTGTTCAGCAGTTGGCCGTATCTCATGCTATATCTTCCTCCTTGTTTTTTCCTACTGTCTCCTTTGATTATGCTCAGAAATTGCAAAAGGTAATAATCTACATGAATGTATGAATTCTTCATTTATTGCAATCATAACTAACCTTTTTTTTTTCTATTTTTATTTTCTATTATATTATTTATATTTACAACATATAGAAATATCATGAATCTAGTGATCATATCGATATGATTGGTACAAGACTCTTAATGGAAACCAAAGCTCAAAGAATGATTTTGGCCATGCACAAACTTTCAAGTCATACTTTGCAATCCGAATCAGCATCATCAACAACAACATCATCATCATCGACAACGTTGTCACCTAAGGAACAAGAACAGGAACTTAATCGTTTGGATCAAGTGGATCGGCTGGTCGAGGAACTCATTCAATGGATGCATCGTGATTATTCAAAAAGGGAACAATATCTTCAACACTTGGCTGGTACATTGGCGAAGCAATGTAACTACTTTGAACAGATTAAACATCCTGTAGTAGACAATACGCAGCTAGCATCATCCTTACAATTTTCTACTACTACTACTACTACCTTGTCAACAACAAAAACGGCAGCAACAGCAACTACATCGACGACATCTTCAATGACTACCGATATGAACCATGCTTCAATGATCAAAAAGGAAACACAATGGATCACAAATATACGACACGAATTCATGAAGCTACTCGAACATCATTTTCCATCTATTTCATTACCTACGGTACATCAAGAGAAGGAACATCAGTCTATATCAGCAACTGCCATGTCGACATTTTCAAATTCATCATCATCTCACCCATACAATGATAAAAGTAATCGATCATCATCAATATCATCTTCATCATCATCATCATCATCAACATCGTCAACATCATCGTCATTATATGCAATAGAGCGCGATACTACTTTTGATTCAAACCGTACCAGTGTGACCAGCATGATGACGGAAGAGCAACAAACTTATCATCTTTATCGTCACCACCAAAGCATGCTCAATGAAATTTTGCAACTACTTCAACTATTAGACCAGCAGATGAATAAGTCTCTGACCATTATCGACAACAAAAGCAGAAACTATGATATGGATAACAAAGACGTGCTAGTAGATACAAAGAATGAAGTGGAAGATCTTAGGAAGGAAAAGCAACTCTTGACAGTGCAAATCTCTGAACTCCAAGAAAAATGGGATCAAGCACACAAACACAATAAACTATTAGCAGAGCAAGTATCTGAATGGCAAGAAAAATGGGAATATGAACATGTGAAGACTGTTCATCAGCTTACAACGGCATTGGAAGAAGAAAAACAAAAACATCAAAGAAACCAACAAGATAGTTGCATCATGACTGAAAAGGAAATTGCCGCACTTCAATTAGCTTTGGATCAAGAAAAACAAAAAACAGAAACATTGACTGTACAACTGAAGAACCAACATGAAGAAGATCAAGGCAAATGGGTGATCATGGAAAATGAAATGGATCAGCTGAAGAAAACTTTGGAACAACATGTTATGGACCTGCAGGCTCAGGTGACACAAAATCAACAACTCAAACAAGTCTCCCAGGACCGTGTGGATAGTCTCACCATGTCATTGGACAAGGAAAAACAGCAGACCATCGTTTTACAATCTCAACTGGATCAATGGCAACAAGAACAGGATTTATTATTGAATCGCTATTATCATCCACACGACAAGGATAATCATGACAAGGTGACGTTGGATATTGTACTAGGACAATTACAAAAGGAACGGGATGATGCACTATTGGAGACAAAGCAATGGCGGGTGAAAGCACAAGAACTTGAAACAAGGATCATGACGATGGAAACAACATTACAGAATGATCGAACGATGTCTAAAGTACAAGTAGCTTCGCTGGAATCGCAGTTACACAGTCTGGAGGAAGAACATCAACAAGAGAAAAAAGAAGCTTTGGCACAATTACAGGCAACTTTTGATGCACAAGAACTCCAATGGCAGAAACGATTGTCAGAGACACAAAATCAATATGCAGAAGCAACACAACATATCCAAACCTTGAAGCAACAAGTTGACAAACTCCAACAACAAGAAATGCATCACATGGCCAACAAAAAGAAGAAGGATGATGAAGATTGGCAACAAAAGTATCAAGATATGGTGGTTCGATTGGAAAAAGCACAAGAACAATTTACGATGCGTGAAAGTGGATACTTGTTACAATCAGCCAGTGTGGAAGCAGAATTAGAACAAATTCTCAAGGAATACGAACGTCTAACACGGCATATCACTGACTTTAATGCGGAAAGAAAGAAATACGAACAACAAATCAGCGACATGACACTGCATCAACAACGAACGGATCAACAACTAGCAGATTTGCAAGTCCAACAACTTGGGATGACGGATGGCCAGGGAACAACGATGACGTTACGAAAGGAGTTTAGACATCTGATGACACAAACCAAACTAGCACATCAACAACAATTGGAAAAGGAACAACAGTTACGAGCTGCTTTGGAACAAGAAAGAAGAGATGAAAAACAAGAATTAGAACGATCGCGATGGGATCGGGTGAATGTTAGTGTGCAAACTTGTTTTTTAGTATAGAATTATTTTAGTTAGTTAGTAGATCTTTCTATGATATTTGAAAATATACCGTTTGAATTGGAACTCCACAGAAAAATAAAATAGAAATCTTTTTTTTTTTTGTTTATGATCCACACTTTTTTTTTTATCTTTGTTGATTTCCAAAATGAGCATTAAACAAATGATGTTGTTTAACAAAAATGGGATAATCATTATTAAAGTTGTCTTTGTCTCCGTGGGAGCTTTTGATCTGATGATGCAATTTCATTGGTAGATGATTTCAAAGAGTTTTATCTAAACAAGTTGTTGGTGTAAAAAAAAAAAAATCTTAACGAGTCGTCAGCTGAGTTTTTATTCTTTTTTTTTTTTTTTTTTGTGTTAATCAAAAAGATCCTATCTTTTTTTTTTTTCTTTTCTTTTCGATTCTTTTCTTTTCTTTTCGTTTCTTTTTTATTTGATAAAAAAAAATATAATATTTCATACATATATTTATTTATTTTCATTGATGATGGCACCAGTAAGACAACGCTCTTTGACACGTTGTGTTCAATGTCATTCTTCTTTTCGACCACTGGTATGGGGTAGAGAAACTGGACAGGGACCAATGTGTGATACCTGTGGTGATAATCTTGATCGACTTTCATCTTCCTCTTTTGGCCGAAATTACGATAATGGTTTGGATGAAAAAAGCAAACTACAAACAGACACTTTATTGACTTGTGCCAACTGTCAAACTGCCTGTACACCTTTATGGCGAAGGGATGCCAATGGACAAACAATATGCAATGCCTGTGGATTGTATTACAAGTTACATAACGTGCATCGACCTGCTACTATGAAAAAAACAGTAATCAAACGACGTAAACGACTCTCAGATGAACAACAAGTCTCCAAGGAAGAACAACGTATGAAGAAGAAGAATGATCTAGTCATGGTGCGTATGGAACAACAACAACAACAACAACAACAATCATCATCATCATCATCATCATCTGTCATTTATAACAAACATACATGTAAACCACCTTCATCAACTACAGCCATTACTACTACTACTACTACTGCTTCCTCTTCTACTCATCCAGATTATCAGCGTATCAACAAAGATTTGGTACCTCCTTTATTATCACCTACATTACAACAACAACCACAAGATCATCTCTTATATTCATCAGACATCAAAAAGTCAATCAGTAATAATGACAATAACAAGAAGAGGAAACGACAAGAATTATCAGAAGAAATTGCAAGACTGACTCGATTATTATCAGATAAGGTACAAGAACTGACTGCATTGGATCAAGCTGAAGAAGAACAACAAGATTATGATAACGATGGATATCAACATGGAGATGAGGATCGAGTCATATCATCATCTTCATCTGTTTCATCATCATCATCATCTATTACACCAACAAACTATCCATGTACACCACCTACTCAAGAAAAAGAAGATCAAGAAGAAAAGGAAAATATTGCACAATCTTTATTATCATTAGCATCCTCACCTCAATCTCATCTTCGTTTACCACCCATTTCATCTATGTCTTCCTCCCTTTCCTCCCCTTCCTCCTCATTATTTGTTACTGTATAGAATAGATATTATCCGCTCCTTTTTTTTATTTATTATTATATCTAGATAGATCTTCCTTTTTATTTTATGTACCTAGTATAATATATATATATAGTTTTAAGTGAAACTGTTATATGTAGTAGTGTTTATGATGATTCTGACATTGAAAATAAAAAAAATTATACCATGCTCTATATGAAAAAGTTTGGAAACAGAAAAAAATCATCCGTGGAATGATACTGGACTTAATAATTACCTAATTTAGATGTTGTTCCCCTCTCACCAAATATCGTAACACAAAAAAAAAAAAAGAAAAAAGAAAAAACAATATCACTGATAAGATAATCATCTCCAATGATAATTGTTCTTTTTATCATTTTGAAGAGGAAAAAAAAATTAAGCTTTAAAAATAGAATCAAGAGTTTGAATGAATTGTATAGAAAAAAAAAAAAATAGAAAAAAAAAAATAAAAAGGGGGTGACTATATCGTTTTTTTATCGTTTGTTTATTAGTCCAAATAGATAATAAAATTACGGATGTTCCCGTCAGTACTGTTGAGAAAAAAAGGTTGGGTCAGCATACATGAAAATGAGCCTACAAAATAGAAATGGGACGGTTAGTATGAAATCACACAAGTGAAAGTGGATTCATCTTGCCAAATTGGGTCAACATGCACTTACCAGATATTTCCAAATAAGAGAGCCTTCAAATCCTCTTTTTTTTTTTTTTTTTTTTTTTTTTTTTTTTTTTACTTACAACGCAAGCGTTTAACCGTCGCGGATGTTTGTTATCCGGATTATTGTTGCAACCGAGAGAACACCGAAGGTCGAGATCCACCTTTGATAAAGTTCATCGCCAGAGAATGGATGTTACGAGCAGCGTTATGATCCCGTTGCCATACACGTCCACAACTTGTGCATGATTGGACGGCATGCAATTTAGATTCACCAACTTTTATGTTTTCCAAGGACTTAGTACCACAATTGCTGCAAACTTGACTAGTGAGATATTCATCGATGTTAGCCACTATCAATCTTCCTTGTTGTTCTGCCTTGCGAAGAAGCTTCCGAAAAATATTTGCTAGACCATGTATTTTCCCTCTGAACATGCGTCTTCCAAATGATCCATCCCCTACACATACGACAGTGGTTATATTGCTTGGTGTTTGACTGAAAGGAAGCTTTTTCCATTTGTTCCTAAAAAAAAAAAGGTGTTTGTCTATCTGTCCTCGATCCTACCAAAAAAAAAAAAAGATTACTTACAATTTTGGTTCCTTTGCTGTAGATGGAGCCTGTAGCTGATCATCAGATGAGGATGGTGGTAGTTGATCGTCAAAAGAGGATGGCGGTGGTGGACGTCTTCTTTTTCTTCGTGTCGTTCCATCTGTTCTAGTTCGAGCCATGACAACTGCTTCACTTGGATGATGATCAGGATCCGGATTGTATTTCTTGCCGCCATTAACGAAGATATTTATCCTTTCGTCTTGTACCTTTTGTTTCCCGATGTAATTGAGGAATCGCAGCCGTTGTATTTCAGTGCCATAGAATTGGACCAATTGAGGTAAAACATCAAGTAATCGTTCAATATACAATTGTATACCATCCATACTGCTTGTTTTGGGCGACGGTATTGAAGATTCAAGTCGATCGATATTTTGAGATTGTTTCGTTTCACAAATAGTGTTGTTCGTTTTCTTATATCCAGCTTTCACGTAATACTCTGCTGAGGAAAACTTTCGTACCTGGTGTCGTTCGGAAGGATCGCTATTGTCGACAGCCACGAAGACTTCAGTAACCCCAGGGTCTACCCCCCATACCTTGCATTCTTGCATATCTTCACTGGTAATATCGTCAATCGAAAGAGAAGGCAATCGGTCTTGATTCACTATTTTTTTGAAGGGAAAGGAGGTTGCATAGCCATCTGTCGTAAAACTGTTTTCGAAAATTCCATGTCTACTTCAATGAAACAAAACCAGATTAGTACTAGATCATTCTTCTCCTTTTTCTTACCTTTTAAGCTTCCGCAAGTCAAACATATTAAAATTCGGGTGAGGCTGGTTTGGTGGGATCGGTGTAGAAGATGGATTAGCCAAACGTCCTAGACCAAAATGCTTTAGTATTGTTCCAAGAGATTGATGATCGATGTGTATATATTTGCGTGTGAGTCCTGGAATGGGTATGATAGTGAATAGTCTTGCTTGCTGCTTTGTCAGATATACTGGTGGTGCAAATCTTCCTTCGCGAATCTCTGTTTGTGCTGTAGTAATGGCGTTTTGTATATGCATAATAGATTCAGCGCTGAAGCCAGCAGGTAATTTCTCTGGAATAAATCGTACACCTTCATTGATAATATTTGTAATAGCGCGAGTCAACGATGAGCGGCGGCGATGGTCTAATCGTGTCCATTCAGGCAATCCAGATAAAAGATGATATGTCCATGTGCGTTTTGCTTCATTCTGAGGTATGGCCGGTAGTTGAGAGTCTATTTGATTCCATTGTTCCATCTTGCGTAAGATATCAAACATGACAGGTAAGAAAAATTCTGGGTAGGAGGAGATTGTTGCAGTCGTAATAGATTTCGCTGAATGTACAGGATTTGGTATTTCAAGGTCCAGTTGTGTCATACCTATACTTCCTACACTTGAGGCTGGAGACGGGATGTCCATTGGCTCCGGGAGTGGGTCTGTCGATGAGCTAGCTATAGACGAGCTACGAGATGCTTGTACACTTCGACGTCGAGCTTCTTCCGTAGTAATCAATTCATGTATATTGTTCCATTCGGTACTTGCTTCATCCATGATGGTCAACAGTGATTCATTGAGCTTGTCGTCAATAGCTGGATCGTATTCAATTTCTGGCCAAACTGGAGGGAACTTGTCATCATTGACGGTGGATTGGTAAACAAAGTGAGCAAAATGCATAGCATGATTTTGTGCCAGTTCCTACACACGAGGGAAAAAAAAAAAAAAAGAGAGATGAGAAGGAGAAGATTTGTACTGATTTGCCTTTACTCTTCTTGTAGATATACTTACAGGAATCATGCGTCGAAGGCGGCCTTGTAAATATGCTATATAGAATCCATCAAAATTTTCGACAACATGAGAAAGGAGATGAGTTGAATAGGTTTGTGCTGTTGAGGATAGAATACCACTGAAAGCAATTGGAGATCGACCAATAGGGGAGGACACCTTTTCACATCGTGCCAGAGGAAATTGCTGGATAAATCGACGAAACACAAAATTGATATTATCACGTGTTGCAGCATCGAAAGTCGACTGATTGGTGAATTTGCCACCTAGTAGTAACTGGAAGATACCATAGAAGAAAGCTTGTTGAAAGAAACATGAGAGCAAAGGTAACCCGGCATCAAGACGATATGTGAAGAAATATAATAAAAAGAGATGACCCTTGATCACAAGTTGGCGATTGAAGTCCACAACAGTTTCCACACCTTGAACAAACTGAGTCTTTTCGTCATCGGTCATATCTAGGAGTAAACCATACAGGCCATGTTTGATCGTGTGAGTTCGGAGAGGAGCACCAGAAAGTTCTTCGTTCTTGACCTTTTGTCGTTTTTTCTGATCAGGACATAAATTACTTGAGGAGCGTGAATGAGTTTTTGCCAATTCATGACGCCCAGCAGCGATACATGTGGGACACGGTTTGCGATTTGGGTTTTCTAGTTGAAGAGCTTCTTTTCGACCTTGGTTGGCAGTTTGCTTTTCTTTCTTTTCGTCCTTAGCCTGGCGTCGTTTGGTAGTCTGTTTAGAAATAGCTTTTTTCTGTCGCTTGTTCGCTACCAAATAATGGGAAAATTAGTAAATGATATTAGCTGATTCAGAAAGAGAATTATAAAAAGTAACATACCTGGTTGTTCATCGTCTGTATCAGCATCTTGCTCTTGTTGCAGTAATTTTTGTTGTTTTTGTAGTTTTTTATTTCTGATGAAATTTTGTACGGTACGTGCCATGATAGATATAAAGATAAGAGAAAAAAAAAAAAAAAGACTGAAATACAGCATGATCTTGGACTCACTTTTTCGCGGAGTTGGCCCACATTGAAAAACTTGACCCAATTAAAATTCATTTGACCCATTTCCATTTTGGTGACCTATGTAATTAAAACTTCCCTTTGGCTTAACCAACGCACCTCCTACCTTTCAACGACTAATGGATTCTATCTTGGTTGTTTCTCATTTATCACGCCAACATGTAAAACTTAGTTTAAGAATTAGTATAAAAGTAACTACTCTAAAAAATTTTCCCGTCAGTAAAAAAGAAATCGGAGATGAGGTTCTTGTTATCTATTTTTGGACTGATAAAAAGAAGAAGAAGAAAAAAAAAAAGACGACTATACATAACTGTGATGATAAGGAGAAGGATAATGGTGATATTAATACTTTTTTTTAAAAAAAATTTTTTTTTTTACTCTATAATTACAATGATAACCTATAAATTTCAAAAAAAAAATTCAAGATTTGTTTTATATTCTGTTCATATTTGGTACAATGATGATGACGATGATGATTTTAGAGCGAGAAAGGTAAAGTTTGCTTGCCCACTTGTATGCAGTAATAAAAAAAGATATGGAATAGAACTTTTGAATTTTACAACCGAAAATTGCCTGATGAAATCAATAAAAACCTTTGATTGCTCATTGTACATTCAATGACAAGATATAAGGGATAAAATGGGATTAGATATGATATTAAACTACTTTTTTGAGAGGCATCTAATGGTCATTTTATTGGATGATGGTCATTATTGAATGAGATATGTTGACATTTTATTTTTTCAATTTACCCTATAAATTGTGAGGCAAGATATAAATTGTTCTTAAGACAAGTGAAAGAGCATGTTTTCATCTACGTTCAGTCTCGATTTGATGTGATGATGATGATTTTTGAGCGAGTTACAGAAATATAAAAACGACTCTATACATGTAGTGTAAAAATAATGGTTTGAATATTGAAATCAATGAAGTTACTAAAAGGAAAAAAAAAAGATGAATAGATCAAAAAGACGGAGGGGTGAATGCGACTATAAAAACCCTTCACGAATTAATACCCTAAAATTCAAGCTTTTTTTTTTAAGAGAAATCCTTATTAATTTGATCAACTCGGTTTGATGATTCTCTATCATGTTTGGATGATCACCACCTATGTCCTCCTTTCAAAAGGGCTTGAGGGATAAAAAGCTGTCTGGATTTCAACTACTGTGTCTTTTTTTTTTTTTTTTTTTCGCACTCTCCAGCATTTTTTTTTTTTTTTTTTGACCTCGATTTATTTCTTTTTTTCTTTTATCTTCTTCTTCATCATCATGACACATATTTCATGCTTTGTTACAATACATATTGAAGAAAAGGAAAAAGAACATTTACAACAATTATTACAAATACCTTTGGAATTCATCAATCAACAAGAACAAATAGCAACTTTGGATAACGAGCGTCTATATCTTGTATGGGACCAACCGGATTCTCTTTTACTTGTTATCACTTCTTCGTCGTCAACCCGTTACAATATACATGATGAAAAGGACATACAACTCTTGGTTTGTCAACTAGTATCTCTCTCAAACAATCTAGATAAATCTTTTGAAGATAAACCAAAGGAACACGCTCTCTATCTCGATCTACCGTTATTGAAACTGAACCACAATGATATAGATAGATTACGCCAAGCTATTGTACAGTGTCTTCATGACAGATGCTCATTAACTGTCTTGTTGGACACTACTGCTATTCCCTCCTATTCGTCATCATATTCCCGCTATTCAACAACAACCACAACAACAACAACCACTTGGTCTATTCAAACTGAAGAACAATGGAAAACATGGCAAGCTCTAATAGGCGAACTATACATAACTCAAGCCCAGTTGACTTATTCCCACCATCAACCTCTTTTTGATATGACTGTTGTCTTTCTTCCATTTGTACGTCGTGAAACAGAAAAGGCGATTCCCTCCACATTGTCCAATATTGATACAATATTTGTAACAAACCAAGGCAAGTGAATCCACTCTTGTATCTTTATATTTATTATGATTAACATTATTTTTTATAATAGATACCTCATTGATCAAGACTTGGAATGAAGAACGACAACATTTTGGTTATCCTCCATTAACAGTGAAACAAATGGAGTCTACATGCGAAAGCAGTAACAATGATAATCAAAAAGGAATTGAGAATAGGACGAACAAAAACGAAGAAGAAAACCATCGATTTGAAAGGGTAATAGTGGGTGGCACATTTGATCATCTTCATGCTGGACATAAGATACTATTGACCATGGAAGTACTATCCTCGACAAAATCTGTTGTGGTGGGCGTTACTGGTAAGAAATAAAAGAAAAATAACAATAATCTTTGGTGTTGATCTTTTTTTTTTTTTTTTTTATGTGCATTTTAGATGATGCAATGTTGGAATCCAAGAAATATAAGGAATGCATGGAATCGATTGATGAACGAATTGCAAACGTACGACAATTTTGTGAAAGGATACGACCGGATTTGATCTATGAAGTGGTACCTATCTATGATCCATATGGGCCGACAATCACTGATCCAACGATAGAACTTTTGGTATGTTCTGTTGAAACTTTGAAAGGTGGTCATATGGTCAACGAGGAACGACAAAAGCGACATTTCCCACTCGTAGTATTATGGGTGATTGATGTGATCTCGGCAGCTTCTCAAGAAATTGGATTGGATGATGAAAATAATGACAAAGATCAATGGACTAGCAAGATTAGTAGTACTTGGATCAGACAATATCTATCAACACAGGGCAATGATAAGAAAGACTAGACTAGCTAGTGTTTTATTCTTTATTCTTTTATCTTTTTTTTTTATTTTTATATTTTGAAATAAAACATATATTGATAAGAAATCATCATCATCATTGGATGGGTTTGTTGTTGACATGATCAGTAAACATTTGTAATGCTGCTACAGGTTGATACCATGGAACCTAGCATAATCAAAAAAAAAAAAAATATTGAGGGTTATATTTATAGACATTAGATTGTGTTCATGTATATATATCGATAATCAACTTACTTCATGACCGGCTTCATAAACACGGACAAAAGTCAAATTACCACCAGATTGAACTTGACCCACTTCTTTGCCACCGACATTCCAACCTTTCAAAGAATCACTTTGATAATCTTTACTTCCATTGAAATCCAATTGATCGGCCCATGCATAGTTACCATACTATTTATTTTTTTTTTTTTAAGAAAAAAAGAGATATTAAACAAAAGTCGTCTTCCAAAATCAAATAAAAGTAGTGATCGTATTTTTTTTTTTTTTTGTGCTTACCCAATTGCAAATATAATCAGCATCACCTAAAAAAGAGAATGGTTGTTTAATGTCATGCTTATAATTTTTGTGAAAGATGGATCTTACCAGCATATAGCAATACGCGTACACCATTGTTCAATAAATCGGCCACGTTGGGTGCAAAGTTCTTGATATCATCCACAGTACTACCAAATTTGGCTCCCTATGACGGATGAAGCCCCACCAAAAAAAAAAAAAAAAAAGAAAAAGGAGAGATCAATGGAAAAGAAAGGTGTAAAAAGATGATAACTTACTGCAGAATTGGAACATTCTTGATAAGATCGGGTGGCACCAATGGTGGATCGAGTGGATGCAGAGTTCAAAAATTTGATATATGTGCTAGGAAGACTGTCACTGGTACGAACATCATAATAACTTTTACCAGAGTTGTCGTAAACGCCTTCCACATTGGTACCACAGAAATCATCGGCATTGGCACAATCATCGAGGCTGCCAGAATCATAACATTGTTGAGCTAAAAAAAAAAAAAAAAGGGGAAGAAAAAACGGATGATCTGTCAGTCTTTTTTTTTTTTTTTTTATGTACATAAAATTTTCATATGCTTACCTAATTTGACACATTGAGGTAAACTAGCGTTCATTTTTTGACAATCACTATCAGAAAGAACAGAACCATCTAAGAATAGAAATCAGTCTTTTGTACCATACCTGATGATGATTTTTTTTTTTTTTTACTTACAAGATGAATCACATGCCATTTTTTCATAGTATTGACTAGTAGTAATTGAAAAAAAAAGAGTCATTGAGAATCTCTAGAGGGAATTAAAAGCTTGTTGAACTTACTATTGAATCAATGGATCAGTGAGACCATTGCCAACACCGATGGATTGCAAGTTGATAGGAATGCTCTTGGATGATGAAGACAAACCTTGGTTTTGTTTCAATACGTAATCAGCGAAGGAAGGAATCTAATTGTTTAAATAGCATAAAAGGAATGAGCTTTCTATTGGATATTCATATTGAAGGAATTTCTTACGTAATGTCCACCATAAGATTCACTAAAAAAAAATATAAAAAAAAATAAAAAAGAAGAAAACAAAATAGAAAAAAAAAATGATTAGATACATGATACACGAATATATGATAATTGAATGTAGGGATGATGAATAAAATGAGAAGATGACATACCCAAAGAAGTGGAAAGGTAACTTTTGATACTTGGGGAAGGCTTCGAAGAATAATTGAATCATGTTGTAGGCCAATGGAGCGGCTTCAGCAGTGGAATGTACGTTATCAGCACCGTAACTGAATCCGACATTGGAAGGCTAATAAATAAATAAATAAAAAAATAAAAAAAAATTGTAACCTTGATCCAAAAAATTTTCAATGTTGCACTTGTGTACTTACTTGATCGAAGAAGAGCATATTAGAGACTTGATTCCAACTACCTTGATCATTATAGATAGCTTGAGAACCATCATTATTGACTCGACATGGACCTAATTCTTGCCATAAACCACTTTGAGAAAAAAAAAGAAGACGTTAGGAATAAAATAAAATTAAATAAAAAAGAAAGATGATCATTAAATACTTACATCATTGAAGAACATCCAGGTCCTCCATTTAACCACACAGTGAAAGGAGCACTATCGGGATTTTGTCGACTTTCAAAGAACCAGAAGAAATAATGTTCATTAGTGCCGACATTTAAATAACCAGAGTACTAATTAAAAAAAAAAAAAAAAAAGAGTGAGATCAAATAGTTTTATAATGATGATTAATGATGATTTTACTTGAACCACAGTTTCATCACATAGTTTGGGTTGTTTGTATGTCAAAGTATGATTGGCAATATTTTGACTGACAAAGGTTTTGGTACCAAGATTATTATCAATTTTGGTGGGTAATGCAAATACGGTACCTAGAACGGCAACAATACTCAAGAGTGATTTCTTCATGATGATTATATATATATAAAAAAAAAATAAAAAAAAAAAAAGGTGAAAAGAAAGAATGATAAGAAATCGGTCATTCATCCATATTTATATTTTTTTTTTTTGAATTCTAAATCACTCATTATTTTAATTTTTTTAATAATACTTTGTGAATTGGTGGCACTTGTACTAAGGTGTAGTATTTCATATTCATTTTCATATTAATGACAACTTAACAAAACGTTAAAAAGTACAGAAAGCATAAACTGGAATGCAAAAACAAGATTGTTTAATATCAAATGATAATACATTTGGGAACACAAACTGCCTTAATATAGAGTATATACCTTTATCTGGTTAGGAGGATTGATTTCTTCTATTATTACACAGAAATGATAAACCCTTTTAGCCTCATATATAACAAATTTACCTTTTTCCATGAAAATATCATTTCATCTACCCAAAAATATAATAATTACCCTTTTTTAACCCTATTTGACGTGGTAGTTTGAATTATCTAATAATTTGTTCGTAATCATCACGTATGAAAGGATGATGATTGTTATATGGTAAGTAAAAAAAAAAAAAAAAAAAAAAAAGAATAAATATCTCCTCATGATCAATCGTCATGGGAAATAACACATACAACTCTTTTTATATATATATATAAAAATCCATGGGAAGCGAAAAAAATAAAAAATAAAAATAAAAAATATAGCTATATATTTTGACTTTTGACCCTTTTTTTTTTTTCTTTTTTTACCCTTTTCTTCCGTATCGCTTTTTCTTTTTCCCTTTTAACTTATTTTGTTTGAATTCTCTCTCATCTTTGTTTCACTAAACGATAACACGTTTAACCTTTATTAGGTATAATGTTATTCATATAGAAAGGTAATGTCAAAAAAATAATAATAATGTATTGAACACTTGATACTCATTCAACTCTATATGATCCTCTCTCTTTTCATTACTATTTAAAGTGTAAAACTGCTTGTAAAGACTGTTTCCATTTTTGTCCTGGTATGTTGTCTTTCATTTCCTTTTTTTTTTTTCTCATTACCTTATTCCTTGTCCCTATACTTTTTCGCCTCATCTTCAATTTTACGACTTTGTCTTTTATGTTTATTTTAGATCATTTTTCAAAATAATCCTGTCTGCTTCGATTCTCTCTATATATAGTAAATAGAATAGGATTGGAAGAATGACCGACCTGGACGAATGGACGTACAGCAAAATCAAGCGGATAGATACAAAATAGGATAAGATAAGTGCATGGTTTGTCTGACAGACGGGATATATATATAGATGGATCGACTGAATGCATGTACAAATGGATATCTATTGAATGGGTTTGCAGCTGGACCAATATACAAAAAGGATCAGTTAGTTGGATGAATAGACAAGCTGAATAGATATTACAATACGATGGATATACAAAAGGACCCTACTGGACAGCAAAAAGAATAGATATATACCTTGAGTGATTTCTTCTTCTGGTTTTGTTGTTAATTTTATACTTGTTATTTATCCTGATTATTCTTCTAATTGTAGTTAGTGTATTGGAGTTTAGCTTTATAGGTGTTATATGCTTCAATAAAATGTCTTTTTTTTTTTTTATCACCAGTGGTCGAAATATCATGTCTATCATCATCATATATATATATATATATATATAATTATCATCCATGTAGGTGTCATCCTCTACGTGTTCATTCATTAATATAGGTCATCGCTCATACAAAATAAAATATGGTCAATATAGGATATTGATATCATCCTTTATAAAATCATCATCATCCATCCATTTCATACAAGGACGTCATCGTACCTTCATTATTGTCAAAAGAGAGTCAGGTATAGATGAGACAAGAAAAGGAATTATATGAAGTAGGTGACAAATTGACATGATGTTAAAAGAAAAAAGAAAAGATATTTAATAAATAAAATAGAATAGATATGAAGTCAATATACAAGAGTGGATAATTTTGACAGTAAAAATAATTGGAATGATCAATATTAATACGCACTAACAAGATATGATGAGGAATAATATATAATAAAAGGTATAATAAATCGTAAACTAAATAAAACTAAGCTATCCATTCATAGGAAGCTGCTTAATATGCTGTGAAAACATTTGGAAGCAATTCTCCCTTTGGTAATATGGTGCCTACAGAAGAAAAGAATGTGAATGAACATGTCATGTGATTTCATTGTTTCATGCAAGTTACCTTGTGCCCTGCTCGATAAACCCGAACAAAAGTCAAATTGCCACCAGCTTGTACTTGACCGGCTTCTACACCATTTACTAACCATGGAGATAGAGTTTGAGATCGGAACTGTTCACTTGCGTTAAAGTCAAACGTTTGAGCCCAACCATGAACGCCATACTATAAATATACACGAAATAATATCAGTTATCTATTCCATCAATAAAAAAAAAAAAAAAAAAAAAGAGATGTTACCCAATTTGCTCGGAAATCAGCATCGCCAGCATATAATAACACTTGTATACCATTGTTCAGCAAATCGGCAACTTGAGGGGCAAAATTGCGAGCACTATAATAATAACAATAATAATAAAAGTAATAGATTATTATAGATGAAAAGAAAGATCTTTAATGACTTACTAGTCTCCAGTACTATAAAAAGCACGTCGCTTGTAGTTTTTGTATATACATAAAAAAAAAAGGATGAGCCAATTGAATGATGAAAGTAGATAATGGAATACTTACAATATCAGTAGGACAGCGATGGAAAGCAGTTCTTGCACCAATAAGATCTCGGATTTCACGCTTGTTCAAAAATAAACCATAATTGGTACCAAGAGAATCATTTTGAGAGGCACGAACATCATATATATTTCGTCCAGATCTTAGATAAATGTCTTCTACATTAGTTGCACAATAGACAGTAGCTTTATCACAATCCTTCACAGTACCGGAATCATTACAAGTTTGTACTACAAAAAAAAAAAGGAAATAATATGAGAACTAAATAAAAAAAAAAAAAAAGGATATCAATGGATGGAGTATTTACATAATTGGATACATTGAGGTAAATTTTGTCTAATGAGAAGACAATCAGCTTGAGAAAGAACAGATCCATCTAGAAATAAAAAAAAAATAATTTAATATCCATTGATCCTTTCTACAAAAACTTACATGAAGAATAACAAGCCATAGTTTCAGCATACTGTCTATATAAAAGAAAAGAAATGAATAATTCAATTGGTTTTTTTTTTTAAAAAAAATTTTTTTTTTACTCTTGTACTAAAACATCAGTGATACCGTTACCAATACCAATAGATTTCAAGTTTATAAGTTGATGATGATTATTTGAGACAGGTGACTGATTTTGTTCAATTATATAATTGGCAAAAGCTGGTATGTAATGTCCTGCATAAGATTCACTATAATAATAATAATAATGATTAGTAAAATGAATCATTATAAACAAAGATGTACATTTACCCAAATAAATGAAAATCTAATTTTTGATATTTTGGAAAAGCTTCAAAAAAGAGTTGAAGGAATTGATAAGCACGAAGCTTTGCCTTTTCTGTGGAATCGACCTTTTTATCACCATAAGAGAAACCTGCACCAGCGGGCTAACAAAAAAAAAAAAAAAAAAAAAAAGTAGATTCAGAAACCCTTTTTGTCATACCAAGTTATCAAAAATTTTTTTTTACCTGGTCCAGAAATAGTAAATTAGAGACTTGATTCCAACTACCAACTTCATTGTAAAGATCTTTAGTACCATTTGTATCCACACCACATGGTCCAATTTCTTCCCATAATCCACTTTTATTATTATTAAAGGATGATTAGTTTATAACTATTTATTATATTCTTTAATTTTATTATTTCTTACGTCATAGAGGAACAACCAGGACCACCATTTAACCATACAGTCAAAGGAGAATCATCAGGATTATTTTTACTTTCAACAAACCAGAAAAAGTAATGTTCATGAGCACCAACATCTAAATAACCAGTATACTATATAATATATAGTTTAGTAAAATAATAAGAATAATGATAATAATTGAATATATAAACTTACTTGAAGAATAGTAGGATCACATAAAGTAGGTTGTTTAAAGGAAAGAGTGGCTGTAGTGTTTTCACTGTATAAAACACTCGAAAACGTTTTTGTCAGTAGTGCGGGTAAAGCATAACAAAGTGAGCTAGTCAAAAATAAAACTAGTAAAAAAGGATAAAACGTCATATGGAATAATGTTTTTTTTTTTTATACAAGTTGGTCAATTGGTATTCGAATAATAATAATAATAAAAAATAAAAAAAAAAAAAAAAAAAAGAAAAGAAAAGAAAAGGGAAAGAAAAGGGAAAGAATAGGGAAAAAAGAAAAGAAAAGGAGAAACTAGGAACTAGGTTTTTAACAAATTTTCTTATACCGCTTTGCTGTTTGTTTTTTTCGGACTGCATCCATCCAATGATCGTAACATGATACCGTTATTAAAAAGGGACTTGCTATAAACGGTAGGGAGTTGATCTTGAATCTATATATATTATCAAATATATCATTATCAATCTATATATCCTTTTAATATATATTATATTAGTATTACAATAGATATATAAAAGATTAATTCTTTTTTTTTTTTTATTATAACGTAATAAAATTACACCACACATGATATATCATTATGCAGCGGGGTTTTCTGCCAAAACGCCTGCAAAAATACACAACATGCATCCATGTGTGTATGTGTGTATGTGTGTGCGGGTGTGTGCGCTTTTTTTTTTTTTTTTTTTTTTTCTGTACAATCCGTTTTTTTTTTTTTTTTTTTTTTTGAAAGAAAATTACCTAGGTTATACAGTGTCCTTTTTTTTTTTTTCCTCATTCAATCATATAATCATTTTTCTATTTTCTAACTTATATAATTAGTTTTATATGTTAGATGAATTGATACTCTTCATCAAAAAAAAAAAAAGTTGTCATTTTTTTTTGTTTATAGGATGAATTTTATAACAATGAGTTGGTTTATTTTAAAACGAAGAGTCAAATGTTTCGATATTTTTTTATTTGCCACAAATAACAAACTGTCATTCAATGCATGATCACACGATTTTTATTATCAGTAATAATATCATAGTATAGTGATTTAGTGGTAATAGTAATTTTGTTGGGGTTTAACCTTTTCTATGTGAAAGTTTTTTTTTTTTTTGGTTTTCTTTAGGCGGGCTTTCCTATTTTGGTAATAAGAAAAAAAACTATACACACTCACACACACAATATTCGCTCTGGAAAGCGGCTTTCCTTTTCTTCCCTTTTTTTCTTTTTTTTTTTTTTCTTTTTCCTTTTTTTTTTTTTTCTCCCATTCACTTAACTTTTTCTTCTTTGTTTGAACTTGTTAAAGTTCTTTAAAGATATCTACTTTTACATTATCAACTTTTATTCTATTTCAACGATATATTTATTCTTCTGACATTTTTTTTTTTCTATTTCTCTTTTTTATACCATAAACCCCCCCTTTTTTTTTAAGTCTTATCATCTTTTGACATTTTACTATTCATATACATATACATATATATGTATCTATAGTCACAACTATAATTACTTTTTATTACTTACTTTCATGTTACAAGAATATCCAGCTAAAGTACAACCAAAGGCCTCATCTGAAAGACAACATCTTGGCATAGTGGATACAGAAGAGGCTAGCAATATATTGATGACGCTGGCTAGTCAACAAACCAACCAACAACAACATCAAGAAGAACTCAATGATACTAGGATAGGTATATATATTAATATATTAATATATATTTCAAGATGATATATCAAAACATTTATTATTTTTATATATTTATTTCTCTTATTGATAGAAACGTTGAATAAGAAAAAACAAGATCATCCGAAAAACCATTCTTTGGTAAGACTACTACTATATAAGTTATACAAAAGGAACTCAATATACTCATATACTCCTTTCTTTTCATTCTCTTTCTCCTTTTCCTTCTTATTTAGACCTTAAGAGGTAATCATAATAGAAAACGAACTCTCCTTTGCCATTAATCACACTTTTTTTTTTAATTCATACTATTTTAGATCGGGCAAGATCAGATCCTATCATGCTCCTGGCTGCTGCTGCTGCTGCAATTGATAGTAGTAATGTACTTGAAAGACCTAAAAAATATTATGGAAGAGGTTATGAACGAAAGGAAATTGTCATTCAACGAAGATCAACCGATGAAGGTAAAAAAATATCAAATAATAATCATAATAAAATAAATGATATATGAATCACCTTTTTTTTTTTCTTTTTAATAGGCTCACGACGGCGTTCTTTTTATGACAATGACTTCAACAGAACACATGATCATGAAGATGATATGGATGATGATAATGAAACTGGTGGTGATGATGAATCTCGTTTTACTGATCAAGATACACTCAACAAAGATAATCTCAACAATGACGGTTCTAGAATAGATCAGGTATATTTATTTGAAATGATTCTATTTTATAATCATCATATCAACTGACCTTTTTTTTTTTTCCCCTTATACATGAAAAAAAAAAAAAAATAGCGATTGGATCCCAACTATGCTCTACAATACTTTTCAATGGTAAAAAATAGTTTTGATAAAATTCTATTTTATGTTTTAAACTCACTTTTTCATTTTATAGAAACAAAATCCAAAGATCAAGAGAAATGCGATGCATGCATATATCACCTATATGATCTATACCGATATCACTAATAATAGTTCTTCCGTAAGTTGTCAATCAAAAAAGTGAAGCGAATAACAAAAAAAAAAAAAAAAAAAAAAAAAAAAATAGAGGAATTTATATTGACTTGTTTTCTTTTAGGGCATGGATAGAAAAATCAAACCATATACATCACCAACTTCATACATTGAAGAAAAGAAACATCACAACAAACGTTCAAGTGAAGAACTAGAAACTACATTTTCTGTTCACAACCATTCACCAAACAAAAAACAACAATATTCTTCTACTCATCATTCCTCATCAACTTCTTATGGATCATCCCCTTTATCTCCTTCATCCAATACTATTTTACATGGTCAACGTCAACGACATCATCATCCTCATCAACAACAACAACAACAACAAGATCAACCCTCAAATTCTTTTTCTTTATTACCAACTTCCACTTCCTCTTCTTCTTCTTTATTACATCATCGTCCATTGACTGCCTTTTTATGGGACAACAATACCAATTCCACCAATAAATCCAATACAACAACCTTATCATCTCGTACTAGTATGGTTTTACCTCCTTTAGCACCACCTTCAACTCGACAAACATTATTGTAAATAGTATTTATCTATCCTTTCTGTATGCTTATCATTTATTCCAATTACTTTTCCCCAACTTTTTAAATAATAAACAATTGTATATCCAAACTTTTTTTTTATTTTATTTTATTTGTGACAAGATGATGTAATGTAGATCAAAATAATATGATATATGTAAAAAAAAAGAAGAACGAAAAATAAAACTAAACTATCTATTCTTCGTCATCAGCAGCCAAAGTCATAGCAATACGATCCAAATCACGTTTACCATCTTGAGTAATCTTACGACCACCCTTCTTGTCCTTTTGCAATACACCGATCTTTTCCAAAGATTGAAGCACCTTGCGGTTGACAGATCCAGAAGCATCGGCATGGTGAGAAGGACGCATACCACGGTTGACACGACCACCATGAACCTTGTTCAAAGCACCAACGCCAACAGCCTTACGAATGTAAATATGACGAGCAACGGAAGCTATATTCAAAAAAAAAAAAAAGAAAAATAATGTGAGCATCCTCTTTTTTTTTTTTTTTTTTTTTTGTATGTTTCTATTTTCTTTTCTTACCAGCACGGACAAAGTACCAGTCAGGATCGTAAGGAGCCAATTCCTTGTAAGTACCAGTCTTGACAATATCAACCCACTTGGGAACTTCGAGCTTACCAGTACGCTTGAGGTAAGCAGCATAAGCTTTGATGAAAGCTATATAAAAAAAAGAAAAAGAAAAAGAATTAATATTTCATTGTCATGATATCATAAAAGTCGTCTATTTTTTTTTGTAAGAAATGATTGATAACTTGAAAAAGTGGGACAGTAAGAAGAACCAGGTACTATATATATGAGTGGGTGTGTATCTGCGTGTAAAGGAGAGGACCAAAAACAAAAAAAAAAAAAGTCGTGGATATAAATTGTACATGTGCACATGGAAAAGAGAGAGAGAGAGAGAGAGAGAGAGAGAGATAGTGTGTATATATATATTTCAATATATGTAGGCGTGTGAGTTTGTGTTGTCCTATAGAACGAAGTTTGTTGCGTTTCCAAAGTTTATATTATACCGTACCCTCTGCCTGTATCCCACTTTTTCCCAAATCATTCAGTTCTAACAAAAAAAGAAAAATAGTTAATGGGAATAGAATGAACTTACCATGAGGATTAACGTCCTTGACAGTGATACCAGCCATATTGTTTTATGAATAGAGGAAGAAGAAAAAAGAAAGGAAAAAAAAAAAGAAAACAAAAAAAAGAAAGAAAATTTTGTTGGCTCTTACCGAAATTGAGGCTTAGTGCGGAGTTACACATATAGCTGGCATCTCTTCCAAATATGGCCTATAATGTGTCATGTCAAAGCAATCTATCCCTTGAGTTTTCATCCTAAGAGAAAGGAATGGAAAGATATAATATAAAAAGAAGTTATATAAAGAATTACCTCTGTTAATATTGTATTGTCTATAGATAAGTGACCTAACATCAATTGCCTTGTTCCTTAAATGGACGATGATGATCACTGTAAACACTGTAATAAAATAATGTAATTAAAAGATGATTGAATGATAAGATGGTAATGACATAGTGAATGCTGGTGGGAGAGTAAACGATGAATAACGATATGTGATGATGTGTGGCGTATGATGGCTATCTATGACTATTCTTTGATATTATATTTTATTCATATACTGTAATAATAATCATTGACGACTATTGATATTATCGAATATGTTAACGACAATAAAGGCATCGCATAACGATCACAATAAGAACAAGATCATCAACCAAACAGAAAAATATAAAATAAAAAAGACCAAATGACATTGGTTGGAACTCGTTATTGTTGCAAAAAAAAAAAAAATAATAATAATAAAAGAAAAAGGCTTGACAATTGTAATCATCCTCCTCCTCTATACACTATTGATATGGAAATGATGACTATTCATTGCACACAACGCACCATCTATCATATTCATCATTGACACAAGAGAAACAACACACAAAAACAAAATAACATGTTTATTTGATCGTAGTAACTAAGCTAATTCAATCTTTGCACATAAACTAATGACTGTTTACAGTTCTCCAGAGTTCTCGATCTTGATTTCAGCTTGAGTCCTGCCAGAACCAGAGCCGAGACTTTCGATCTTCTTGACGACATCCATATTATAGGACAAACCATCAAAAAATAGAAAAAAAAAAAGGGTGAGAAAAGGGTACACCTATTTTCCTTCTCATTCACTTCACTTACCCTTCAACGACTTCACCAAATACAACGTGCTTGCCATCCAACCAAGGACAGGGAACAGTGGTGATGAAGAATTGCGAACCATTGGTATTGGGACCAGCATTGGCCATGGATAAAAGACCAGGTTTAGAGTGTTGCAATTTGAAGTTTTCATCAGCGAACTTGCTACCATAGATGGATTTGCCCTGTCAAATATGAAAGGTGAATAGTCAAGTCACATTTCGATTCATGGTCTATTTACTTACACCAGTGCCGTTAAAGTTGGTGAAATCACCACCTTGCAACATAAACTGCTGAATGACACGATGAAAGATGGAGTCCTTGTAACCAAAACCTTTTTCACCAGTACAAAGAGCGCGGAAGTTTTCGGCAGTCTTGGGGACTACATCAGTATAAAGTTTGAAAACAATACGCTAAAAGATGAAATTTAATGTTTAATAACTGGTGACACATTCAAAAAAACGATGGTCTTATACTTACACCAAGAGGTTGACCGTTAGCGGTAACGTCGAAGAAGACCTTTTTTTTTAAAAAAAAGGATAAATAGGCATGTTAATACATTGACAGAAGGGAATATCTTTTTTTTTTTTGTTTTTTTTTGTTTTTACCTTGGGATTGGCCATACTTTTTTTAGATGATTGAAATGGAAAGTAAAAAAAAAAAAAAGAAAAAAAGAAAGAAAAAAGAAAAAGAGAAAAAAGAAAAGAAAATAAAAAATATTTCTTTCTTTAATGCGCGCGAGACATCGTTATTTTTTTTTTTAATATCCCGCGCTAAACTTGATTTTAGATGGCAGCGTGTTCATTTCCCCCCTCCCTTTTCTTTTGCATAAAAAAAATTTCTCACACAAGTTCTTTCAATTGTACGTTTTTTTTTCTTACTTTTCATATAAATTATCCTTCTTCACTCGATATTAACCTCTACAATGGATACGTTTAGCTTTACAAGATGAATCTCCTGTTATGAAACAAAAAGTTAAAAGATGAACTACTTATTCTAACAAAAAATATATTCTTTTCTTTTTTTTTTTTTTTTTTTTCAGGTGCTACCTTGACCCTTTTTTGTTTTAATTGTTTCGACAGTTGGAATCAAGATAAGAAACAAAGCTATTATGCCTAAACTATATATTTTGAACTCTCCGAGGTAAATAATTTTTACCTGTTGAATCGTACACGGAGCTATTCATTCATTCTTTTATATCTTCACTAGGTATTCCACAAGGATTTGAAGGTAATGATAATGTTATTTACTTTTACTTGAGGTAAAGTTTCAAAAACAAAAGTGCTTTTCTTTTTCTTCTTTATTTTTATTTTTTGTATATACATTTTTCTGACCTTGTTACTATAACATCCATCTAGTTATTATCTAGGACTGCCATTCTTTCTTCTTCTCATACTTCCTATCTGCTATCCTGGACAATCCATATTACTACTACTACTACTACTGAACGTACGTGTAAAAAAAAAAAAAAAAAAAAAAATCTAGATACTCGAAAACTGATCATTTAAATTTAGGAGCAATAGGATGCTACGCAAAATGGCTAAATAAAAAATGGACTAGTATAATGGATATACAGAAGGATCAATGAAATAGAGGTGGACATACAATAGGATCAATAAAATGGATGGATCAAGGTTCTTGTACCTTTTTTCCTAATTTGGAGGATCTATATTTTTGCCGCTGAAAAAAAAAGGATGTCGTAAGAAGCAAAAAATGTGTTTTGTTTTTTTTTTTCTTCTTTTCTTTTTCCACAATTGTATTTTTTTTTTTAATGCTTCTTTTTTTTTATATATATATATATATAGGAATCCAGTCAAGGTATAAAAATAAATAAAAAAAGGACGTCATATACATATTCATTATATTCATAAACTGACCCAATCACTCCTGTCTTTTTTGTCGCGTTGTGCAATATCTTTTAGTTAAAATAAACAAACGCAAGTATCTTCAACATATGATATGACGTGTTTTTCATGTTTGATAAGGTAAATCCATTTCATTACAACTATACCACAAACCTTAAAGGATATTAATCTCATGTTTTTTTTTTTATCTGAATCTGTATTGCAGTCATATCTACTGCCACTGCTGAAACGCGTTATCTGCTACCCTCCCCAAAGGCAAGTGTTGATATAAATTGAAGCTGTCCTCATGAGCAATTACTAACGAACGCTTTTTTTCTTTGCGTTGATATGGGAAAGATGAGAATTCATCTATACCTTTTTTTTCAAAGCATGCTCTTTAACATAGGAATACTACAAACCAGCGCGTGAATAGGCAAGGTAACTAGTACTCTAAAGATACATAGTTCATAATACTAATGTCCCTTCTTCGTTGATGTCATACCCGTATACACTGCTCTCTATGATTTGTCCTTCACAACATCTGATCGATATCACCAATACTTATACCATATTATCCTTTTATTTCACTTACTCGTCCTACAACATAGCCTGAACTTATTGGTATTTTGGAATAGAAAAAAAAAGGAAAATATTTATCCATCTAGAATTATGTCTCTGATTCTTCTTATTGGGAATAGATACATTAGAAGAGGCTGCATCACTTTCCTGGATCAAGCTATTTTCAATAATCACCATGATCAAGTCTGAAATCTCATCAAGCAGTATCACTCAAGAAACATTGTTAATACTAACAAATATCGCTGATGAATCAAGGTAGTATGCAAAATATGAAAAGGATATTTATCGTGATACTCATTCTGTTTTTTTTTTTTTAATGCTTATCGTCATCATCATGGTCAATTAGCATCCTCGATATTATGCGTCATATCACCAACGGTTCTTCTCTCAATAATAGAATAGGAAGGCAAGCTGAAAAAAGAACGCTACTGTTTGTGTGTTTATTCTGTATTTTTAATTCTATTCCTTTTTTTTTTTATCTCTATTTCATCCATGCAACATCAACTATCGATTGTATTACCGTAAGATGTGTGAACTAGCTACAATATCACTATTAAGGTAAGTTCCCAAAAAAAAAAAAAAAGAATTACTATTACTGTGGTGGGCGTTTTTCAATGTTACTTTATTTCTTTTCTACACGAATCGTTTCAAGCTTTATTATTTCATCCATCATTTATCATCTAACTCAAATAATATTTTTTTTTCCAAAATCCTTCCTCGTTGGCGCTATAGACAGCTACTAGTACACAACGTAAGTCTAAAAAAAAAAGAAAAAAAGACGAAGAAATGTTGATCCATGCAAAATTACTCACCATCATTTTATGCCAATAGAATATGACTAGATGATTATACAACAAGGTCAACGAAACGAATGGACGTACAACTCGATGAATATTCGACAGGATCAATATACGACAAGATCAATATACGACAGGATCAATATACGACAGGATCAATATACAGAAGGATCAATATACAGAAGGATCAATATACAGAAGGATCAATATACAGATGGATCAACTGTTGGACAAAATCTCTCTTCTTGATTATCTCTTATGATTTTGGTTGGCTTCTCTATCTCCTTCTTTTTTTTTTTTTATCATGGATGATTCTTTTACGGATAGTTACAATAAGTAGTAGTAGCAGTCATAGATAGTGGTGTGCATAGTGTATCATCTTCTCAATAAAGTCTTACCCATAATGATCAATAATCTCAAGTACTATCAACAATTATCAGATAAAATAGAGCTAGACAATCAATGTATCTTTCTTTTTTTTTTCTTTTTTTTTTTTTGTAAAAAGAAGATTGTATTATCATCGTCATCATCATTGGTGTAGTCGCCATAAATACAGATTTATAAACTCCCCATTATCATTATCAACGTCAGTATGATTAAATGAAGCAAATACATCATAAAAACAATCACCAAGGAAAAAAAAATGACAAGTAGATGTTGAAAAAAATGGTTTATACTTGTTTGGACATACTTTTTTAAATAAAATCAACTGAATAAAATAAAACAAGAATATGTTATTATTTTCTATAGTAAAAGGAGGAGGATACAGGGTAGTGACAGTTCCGTTAGCATGGTATACATATATGGATAAGAAAAATGTTTCAAAGTTATAAGTATAATAATAAGACAAAAGCGTATTGCTATATCATTTATCAGTCTTTGCTGTATTCTTCCCATAGATATTGACAGCTGTATCGTTCAGTACAGTTTTCAGTACTAAAAAAAAAAAAAAAAAAAAAGGAAAGAATAATATACCTAGTAAAAATGATGATTATCCACTGTGTCTAAAAAAAAACTCCATGTAATTTAGTGGTTGATGTTGGCTTCTTACAATATTGGTATATTGATAACATTTGCTGATGATAATGGGGACGACTTGCGAAAATAATGACATAGATGATAGACACAATGGTATAATATGAATATAATTTTATTGAAGAAGATGACATACTGAACATGGTAACACTACTGTATCTATAACTAAAGCAATCCATTCAAAGCGTCAAGTAAGATAAGATCCAGTTGTATGTTCATCCGTCCAATTTATTCCCATCTACCGTCCGTCTGTTGATCCTGTTGTATATTCATCCTAGTTGTCAGTCTATCTTTCTGTACAAATTGAAGTAGTAAGTACTTGTGTATCTAGATAAAAAAAAAAAAAAAAGAAGAGATCAAGAACGAATTATGTATACTGTATACAATAAAAAAAGAGAAAGA